GGGCCAATGGGCTGGGGGCTCTACACCACCAAACTTCTCAGGCTCTACTCGCACGTATTCCTCTACACGTTCCACCGAGTTGAGGTTAATTTCAGTCATGGTGTATCGGCGGACAAAACGAAGCACGGTTTGAACGATGAGCACCGAATACGACAGCGTGAAACCTGTAAGGGCAGCGTCTGCGCCGGTGAGAAGCAGCAATACCGATGTCGACAGAGTCACGAATGCTCCAATGACGTCAATACGAGCCGCCAACCACCGATTTTCGCACCACAGGTACCAGAACGCGCGGTTGGAGCGATCGATCACATCCATGCATTTCCGAAGGACGCGCTCCGAGTCACTGTAAGCACGGATCGTCACGGTGCCAATCAATGTTTCACCCAGAAGTGTAAAGAGAGGCGAGCGCTCCACGCTCTCAATACGCTTCATATCTCTCGAGGAGGCAAGGTACAACGCTCCGACGGCAAAGTATGCTAGGAGGATGAAGCCAGCCAAGTACAAGAATGTGGGTGTGGCCCAGCAAATAATACCTAGAATGGCCACCAAAGTAACAGCACCTTCGATCATCATACGCAGCGATGTAGTCATTTCTTGATCCACAGTCTCAATGTCTTTTGATAGGCGATTCATGATGCGTCCAATGGGCGTTATATCGAAGAACCGCGGGCGCGCACGTAGCAAGCTCTTAACCATGCCGAAGTACAGCAAACGAGAGGAGCGAAGAGCAATAAAGTATTGCAGGCAGTCTCGTGCTGTGGAAAGCAGGACGAAGAGCATGACAAGGAAGACATAGTGCGTCAAGTAGTACCATGTTTGATCCTTGCTCATAGGCGGTGGCTTCGTCTGTAAGAACACAAGGAATTGCGTCAGCGTAGGCGAGCCGCCATACGAGCTAGCCCACTCCTTGAGCCATGCATTGCTCCACACATCGGCTGTACGCACACTGGCATACATGGCTACCAGCGCCACCCACAGCGCCATGGCCACAGAGGCATACACGGCCGAAGAGCGAATGTAGGTCCAGTACAGATGCGTCGCACTTGACTGGCGTTGAATGGACTCGGCATTGGCTGTAACATCCTTCTTTGCACGTCGCGCCTCTGCTTCAGCCCATTGCTTCTTCCGCTTCTTTTCTTCCTCTTCTGTGACAACCTCTTGCTGTTCTTCTTCCACGTGCGCTTCGTCGACAAGATGCTCCAAATCCGGCAGCTCTGTCGGTGCGCCTTGGTACGTCACACGGCCGTCTTCCATGGCTACCACATACGACACGGCCGGCATAAGTAGGGTCACAGCATGTGTTACCATGACAATGGTACGATCCTGCGCCAACGGACCTTTCAAGCAGTGTTCGTACAAATGCTTCGCCGTGTGCGCATCCACGGCACTGAGTGCATCATCGATCAAAATATGCTTGGCATGCGAGTAAAACGCACGGGCCAACGCAATACGTGCCTTCTGGCCGCCGGACAGCGCTGTGCCTTTCTCACCCACTTCTGTCTCATCATGGAACTCGAGAATCTCCAGGTCCGCTTCCAAAGCACAGGCGCGTAGCACTTCGCGGTACCTCTCTTCCTCAAATGCTGAGCCAAACAGAATGTTTTCTCGGACGGTGGTACCTTGTAGCCACGCACTTTGACTACAATACGCGACTGAGTCTGTAAGCCCTGTCGTCGGATCCTGCTGAAGGAACGATCGCGTGATGGGGCCTGGCATTGTAGTCGTGCCACTCACTTGACGAAGCTCGCCCAGCAGGGCGAGCAGCAACGATGATTTTCCTGACCCTACCGGCCCAATCACCAAGCTTAGCTTTCCTACCGGGAAGCGGCAGCGTAGGTCACGCAAGTGAAACAGGGCTGCCTCGTCACTATCATTGGTGGGATAGTACGAGAACGTTGCGTTTTCGAAACCAATATATGTCCGAGGTGCGGTGGTTTGATTCACCTCTTGCAGCTGATCGAACTTGTCTGTATCGTTTGAGCGTAAGAAGGCTTCAATGCGTCGTACTGACACAATCGAGCTCAAGAACAAAATGATCATCTCTGGGAAATCTGAGAGTGGAAGACGCAGCGTGTTAAAGATGTACAAGCTGGTGAAAGCCGTTTGCGCTGTCAGCGTATGACCGAACACATACGTGTACGTGCCAAATGCTGCTAGGGTCACGACCATAGGCATACCGACAAAGATAAAGTTGTACACGACAGTCAGTACGTTGTTCCATGCCAGCACACGCAACTCCCGCGCCCTCGTCGCATACATGCGCTCCAGAAACGAGTTTTCCCAGGCGAAGAATTTCACCGTTTTAATGCACATAAGCACTTCGTTGGCCAAGTCAAGACGTGCGTCAGTGGCTTTCAAGATCCCATCCTGAATGCGCACCATAGCCTTGGACAGACGCGTCTGCAAGGGCGCTGTGATCACGAGCACGGACAGACCGGCCAACGCAGCCCAGCCGAGGAGATAAAAGAGGAATATGCAGCTGAAAAAGATCGTCAATGGGTAGTCCACTGTAGGCTGATGAATGAACGCAATGAACGAATCGATCTTGTACGTATCCACTGAGATGAGCGAGGCAATGTGTCCATCTGTCATCCGCTGGGCATCTGACGAATCGGCGTTTTGCGCAGCCAGGTGCATTTTGCGACGCATGCTTTTAGAGAGCAGCTCAGTGGTCAAGTACGAGCGCAGCTGAATCGACGAGATACGGCCGCATTGCCACGTATTGATATCCACGGCAAACTCCAACACTTGGAAGACAAACATACTTACGGCCCATAGAAGTCCAAGGTGCCATGGGGGTGGTGCCTTCCCATGTGCGATGGCCTCGTCGCGCTTCGACATGAAGCTCAAAAGGTTGGACAAGCTGATGATTGGAATGAATCGAAGCCAGCATCGCACAAACGACAGGGACAGCTGACGCCGAATTACTGCGCCTAGTACGCACCATAGACGGCGCAGCAGTGAATTGTCCTCGGACGAGATGGCGTACCGCACGGATCCTACAATGGTGGCTGTGCGCAGTTCGTAGAGCAGCTGCGGGATCGCAGCGAGCGTCGTCGGCTCAAAGTACTGACGCCACACAAACGGCGTCATGAACGTGTATGTAATGCGGCTCAGGAACGACGAGTAGAGTTCAGGCGACGGGAGGATCGCTGCGTCGTCCTGTGTGGCGCGCCTCGGTGCCGCAGGCATGTCGGCGACCATTTGCAGTGCTGCCTGTGTGGGGCGCAACGTCCGACGACGTAGCATGAGAGCCAGGAGCATCGATGCGGCACACAGCATCTCGATCCATGTCAGCGCCCGCACAATCGGCGCTGCATTGCTTACGAGCGCCGTACGTAGATTCGATCCCATGGCAATCGTGTAGGGTACACACATGTTCAGCTTGGTAAAGTACATGGGTTCGCGACGGCGGCGTGCACACACACACACATACGTCGCAGCGCATCCATACAAGCCCCATGTCCATGTCCATTCGTACCTGCTTGGCAGTACAAGGGCGCTTATCATATGGAGGAGCGTGACGATGGTGCACACGACCACATCTGTAGCCAGGTACGCGGTGGGCGAGTCCTTTGTGTCTGCGTAGGCCACGCTGGCCTGCATAATGGCCTTGGCTTCTTGCCAGAAGATGCGGTTTTCTGCGTCTACGACCCGTTTCTGTGCATCGGTCAGGATCGATGTGGCTGGTGGCGGCGTGGCGGTAGGCAGCCGCAGCGAGATCCGACCGCTCCGCAGCGTGATGGCCACAATGAGGCAGGCTACGAGCGGCAGGGCGCCATTAATGATGCCCGCACGGAAGCATGGCTGCCAATCGAGGCCGCTGACCGGGCTACGTAGGCACTCCATGCTAGGGCGCTGGACGACCAGCATGTCACGGAGGCGCGTGGGCGTCGTGGCTACGGCGCACGTTCCATGCTTAGTCATGGGGTTTCTTGCTCGGCCAAAAGGATCTGTACGACAGCCGCTATGGACTACATGGTGGAGGCGACGGCGCGATCGGGAGACAGGGTCTTGGCCATATGCTCGAGGATCGCGTGGATTTCAGGGGGCGCTTGCGGAAGCGGCACTTTCGGGGCGCGCAGGAGCTGCGCAAACGTGTACAGCACGCCCCATGGGTGAGGTCGATGCACAATGACACGTTCCAGGAGGACACGCAGAATCTGTTCACGGACAAAGGCGTCGTCCTCCATGTACAGCGTAAGAAGCAGTGTGCTAAAGTACGCTGTATGGCGCGAGGGGAATCGCAGCTGATTCGCTGCGACGCTAAGCAGCAGGTACCGGCCTTCCGGCTCGAGCTCCCGCAGCAGCGTGTGGTACAGCGCCAGCACGGGATCACGCTGTGCAGCCTCTGGCGCCGTGCTAAGCAGATGCTGTGTGCCTTGCCATGCGCTATGTGCCAAGTACAGCACCATCGCACTCATCAGCGGCTCGTGGAAGTGCGTGTCGGTATGCTGTGGCGTGGCCTTGCATGCGTCGGCTAGCGACGTGCCGAGCGTCGTCTTGCGCGACGGCTGCAGCCACTCGTCGAGCCACGCTTGCAGTTTCGGCGCGTTCACCAGCACGGCGCGTACGTCGTACTGCGACGCAGGCAGGTGCTTCGCCTCCGGGAGCGTAGCGAGGCGAACGGACGCAGCCAGGGGATCGGGCAGGCGCATCGTGCGTGGGTACGCACACAGAATGATGTTGCGCATCTGGATGCACGACGGCGGGATCGCATCGCTCAGACTCTGCGCATGCTCAGCGAGGTACTCGGGTGCGTCATGCAGCAGCAGCAGCAGCACACGCAGCGTCGCCGTGTACAACAGCCGCATCGTATCGTGCAGGCCACTCTGACGCAGGAACGGCGCAAGGAACCGCAGCTGGCTCAGCATCAAGCGATGGAACAAGGCCGTGCCGCCCGGCGCGGCCAGGAGCGGCGCAAGGAGCAGGCGGTGCGACATGAGGCCCAGCCAGGAGAACGCAAAGCCAGGGAACGTGCTGGGCTGCAGTGTGTGCAGCGCATTGGCAATCGCCAGCAGTGCCCCCTGGTACGCCCCCTGCAGCGCCGGCTCGGCATGGTGCAGGTCAAAGAGCAGGCTCGAGAACAGGCGGAAGAACGGCTTCTGCTGGAAACGTGCACCGAGTTCTTCGTGCGACTGCGCAAGGACCAGCACGATGATCGACAGAATCTTGGTCAGGTACAGCACCTTCGCGTGCTCGTCGTTCGCGCCATGCGGATCCGCATGGTACTTGACCAGGTACACGATCAGCTGCGCGTACGTATCGATCGGTGAGTAAATGCCACTCGCACGGGTACCGCCGACGGCATGCTGCTTCAGGTAGTGCCCCACACTCACTTCCGTGCACATACGGAAGAAGAGCGACGAGACTTGCTCGCCTTTCAGCACGTTCTGGCTCTGGAGCTGCGTCACGTACTCCACAAAGGCCTTCTCTGGGTTCGGCGCTTGCTGGAACATACGTACCCAGCTCGCGAAGCTGTACGCCAACTGCTCCCGCAGCGGCAGGGCCGCATCGCCCGGCGCCAGCTCGTCCAGCTCGTCCAGCAGCTGCTGCGTCGCAGGCGTCGCGCGGCCGTACTGCACGACCTGGTGCAAGGCGCTGAGCAGGGTCGCGAGCTGCTGCCGTGTAGCGATGCCGCTCTGCAGCAACTCGCGAGCCAGCTGCGCACTAAAGTCCAGCACGGACGGCCGGCCCTGCGAACGAAGCACCAGCTTCGCCAGCTGCTGCTCCTGCTCGCCAATGCCGATCAGGTTGGCACGTACTAACTCGAGCGTCACAGGCACGTCAAACTTGCGCTCGTCTTCCGCGTACACGAGCCATGCCGTGACTTCCTTCGCGACCTTGGGCGACTGCTCACACAGCTGCTCCAACACGGCGACCCATACCTCACGCGCAAGGCGCGTGTGCGACTTGTACAGCAGCTGCACCACTTTCTGCGCAATTAGCAGCACCGTCTCGTCACGCTGCGACGCATGCACGACCAGGTCGGTCAGGTGCGGCGAGATCTGACGCACAAAGTGGTTCGTCGGCAGCGTCGCCAACGTCTGTGTGTCGCCCACCTCGGTAAAGAAGCGCTCCAGCTCCGCAGCCATGCTGAGGAAGCGCTCCAGCGCACGCGCCGGCGGCGTACCGCCCGCACTCGCCACAACCACGCCTGCCGCCGCAAGTTCCTCGGCCTCCAGATCCTCGTCGCCCCGCGGCATACTCGGCGTCATCGCCAGGTTGTCATACACACGCAACTGCGCCGGCTGCAAACCTGGCGGAGCAATACGAAGCATGTCTGGCAGCGTCGTGCTGTAGTGCAATAGTGACGCATTGTCCCAAAACACAACGCCACGGCCATGCGTCACAAACTCACGGCGCTTCGCATAGGCACTCGCAAGACCTTCGTCAACCTTGGCCAGGGCCTTTTCCATCGCGGTCTTCTCAATCACGACACATGCCAAGTCCAAGTTGTCCTGGACAAGCAGCAGCAAGGCCTGCTCCGGCAGCGCCTGCTCCGTAACACCCCCCGCTGCGAACAGCTGCCGCGCATGCGCGAGAATGCTCAGACGCAGTGGCTCTTTGCACGTGACTAGCGCCAAACTGCCCGCCATGTTCTGCGCCATTTGGTGGGCGGCGGTACGCAGTTTGTGCTCGTCAGGCTCCATCGCAAAGTCCTTGCTGACCAACTCCCGTGTGGAAATCGAGGCGATGGTGACGCTGCGCTCGACCACTGGCGTGATAATCTCCTGGATCGCGCGCTCCAACGCCACGTACATGACACGCTTCCACGCCGCACTGTTGGCGTACGGCACCACTTGCGGGCTAATCACGATGTACTGCGCCATGTTCTGCAGCATCGTGACAAACATATCCTGGTACGCAGCATTGTCGCCGCCCACCGAGAGCTGCTCCATGCCAGCCACGACACCGGCCGTGCCGTACTCGGCCGGCGGCGCACTAGGCGGCTCAGGACGACGGCCCGGCAGCAAACGACTCGGCTGAAGCTGCTGCAGATCCACCTGCAGACTCTTGCACAGCACTTCAATCTCAAACTTCAGATTGAGTTTCAGGTCCGCAAACTGGTACAGCTCGACTAGTAGGCTTAAGACGGCCATGAGCCATGGGTTCGGCGGTCGGAAGACGACCGAATGCACACACTGCTCCAACACTTTGCACACAAACGGAATCGCGACCATGAGCCGCCCCGCTTCATGCGCTTGCAGGAGCAGCATCTTGAACGAGATATGGCGGTGGCGAATGGGTTTCTGCCGCGCCAACGTCGTCAGACCCAGCCAGGCGGCCAAGTTCTTGAGGATCGTACGCTCCGACGACGACTGCATCGTCTTCTCCGACTCCAGCAAACTCTTCAACTTGACCAGCGTCTCATGCAGGACATACGTGTACGTGTTCCGCAGCTCCAAGCCATCGAGGAACAGGCGGTACAGCTCATGGTTGTTGGGCTCCAAGCTCACACGCTCCACGACAAGGTAGCGCGCCAGCCACTGCAGCACGTCGCCGGAAATCAGTTCCCGAGCTGCCGGCAGCTTTTCCGCAACGTTGGTCATCGTCATGTTGTTGATCAGGAAAAGAATTTGATCCGACTGCGCCTCGCTGGGTGTACGTTGCCCGTCTGTGGAGACCTCGTCCACATGCACTGCAGTAAAGAGCGACTCTGTCGAAGCGCGTGTCTTGCCGTTCTTCGCATCCTCCAGCGCCTTTTCTGCAAGGTACACCAGCTGCGGGTGCGCCTGCTGCAGCGTCGGCATGGCCATAAGCGCTTGGCACAGCTGCGGCCACTCGGACAGACGCGGCCAAAAGCGTACCAAGGCCCGCGCACCAAAGTGCGACATGGGCGAATCTGGCGGCGAGCGCAAGGCGTCGACCACGTAGCGAATCGCAATGCCCAGCGGGATCGAGTCAATAAGTTGGTCGCGAATCAGCGAGCCAAACACTTCCGACGTCATGAGCAGCTCGCGTGGCGGGTAGTACAGCTCAAACCAGCGGTACTCGTCAAACAGGGTATGTACCATACACGCGAACAGCTGGTGCTCATGCGGGTCGTCAGAGTGTTTGCATCGCTTCAACAGCGCCATGATATCATCCACACTGACCTTGCCTTCGTACATCTGGCGGTACCACGAATCAGCCTCACGATGGATCTCTTTCGAGAAGGAGGTCACAGACAAGCCCGGCTCCGTGCTATCGGTGCCTGGCGTGAGAGACATAAGACGTGGATGCAGCTGCAAGCACAGGTTGCGCACCACTTTGAAGTGCTCAATCTCTTCCGGCGTCATGGTATCGCCAAAGCTACGCAGCACACGCAAAAACGTAGCGACTTGCTGCACGCTCAGCGGCACAAACGTAGGCTCCGCTTGCGGATCGCGACGCACCAAGTCCTCCTTGATCTTTTGCTCCAAAAAGTCAAGTGCCTTGGTCACCATAAACTCGTCCGCAGGCCGATCGCTAATCCGCTTTTGCAGCCATGGTTCCAGCTCCAGCGCATCGCGTCGCGCTGCCAGTGCTGCTGCGTCCAGCACAAATACCAGCGGACGCTGTTCGCTCAGCAGCGCGTCCAAGCAATTCAGCTCTTGGGCGACCTCGACGATGCGTGTGAGATGCAACGCACTGTCGCTGTACAGTCGCTGGAAGGCGTCGAGCAACAACGTCGGCTGCGTATGCCACAGGCTGTAAAACACCAGTTGACCGGAGGGGTGTCCTGACAAGAACATTGCCAATAGCTTGGTCACCAGCTCTGGGTGCACAGCATTGGTCGACGGCGGAATCGCAGCAAGACCCAGCAAAACACAGTCGGCCTGCTGCTGAATCGCACGCTCCAGGATGGCCGTCACAGCACGACCAACCTCACTGCTGTCTTCCGCACCAGGCGCGCTGCCGGCCAGCTCCATGAGAGTCTCAATAAGGTCCGTCATGTTCCACACACTCTCACTAGCAGCTTGGGCTTGTGTCTGCACCGTCTCTGGAGCTTCTTTGTAGTCGTTCACATCCACAATGCGGCGCACCGGCAGCGAGACCATCTGCAGCGGCGACTCACTTAGCAAAAGCATCGAAAACAGCAGCTGAAGCTGCCGCAGGCGATGCTGCCAAACACCCCACAGACCAGAGAGCGCCGCTACCGCGTCTTTTTGCTCCTGAATCCATGCGCAGAGGCCCGTGCCAATGGCCGCACACGGCGGCACCGACAGCTCCGGCCAGGAATCTTGCGCTTGTAGGATGGCACGCGCATCCAAGGACGGCTGCAATGCGTACACAGCCTTGGCCACCGCGCCGAAATCCGTCACAGGTGTCGCTCGCGGGCTGGGCAGCGTCAGCAACTGGCTGAGAAGCGACGCCACCTCCTGTGTACTGGGCGATGTGAAACCTGTTGCCTGGAGAAGGGCACGTGCTAGGGATGGCGTCATGACACTCGGGCCTAGCATGCGCAGGACCTCCGCTGTTCGTCGGCCATTGGCGTATTTCGACATGGCCTGTTCAAGGGCCTTGGGCACCGTATCGCCGTAGCGCTCATGGAGCGCAGCGAAAATCTTATGACGTTGTGTCTCGTCCAACGAAGCACACTGTGCATCCGTCGAAGTCGAAAGAACGGATAGCATAAAAGGAATGAGTTGGTCCGAAGAAAGCGAAGGTTTGGCCTGCGCAATGTGATCCAGCACAGACGCAAGAAGCTGTGCTGGATCTGCATCAGGCGGTACAGAGACCTGGCTATCTCCTAAACCGTGAAGCATGGTGGTGGTTGGTTCGTCTGACCAAGTCGCGTGTGCCAAGGCACGCTGCAGTAAAGCTCGGTGAGACGAGTCTGACGCGTGTGCAATAGCACGACAGAGAGCGTCAGATACCCACGAAGGATGTGCGCCGGCGTCGCTACAGAGCGTATCAAGCTCTGTAAGTGTATCTGCGAACGTGTCCGGCGCAAGCTGCCACACTAGGTAGTGAACTTGGCGTTGTACGACAGAAAGTACGTCGGTATGAACGTCAGGTTCAAAACACGAGGCAGTCGATTCGCTCTTGGGCAATCGAGTACGCGCTTTAGAGCGTAAATACTGCGCGATTGGCGAAAAGCGGCCCACGTTGGTGTTGTTTTCGACACCCAGGGGACAATGCCAATGCCCCGCTCTCAAAGGGGAATGCAGAACCGCTGCGGAGCGGCTGACGACAACGATGGCCAGGGCCTCTGTCTCGGCCGAAGACCCATACCACTCCACCGTGGCCGCGCCGTGACGCGCTGTGGGGAGGGGGCCCGGCCGATGTGGAGGGGGAGCGAGGCGATTGACATGGCGCAAGAGCCACTGTTGAGACAGAGGCGTTTGTATCTACAGCAATGCATCTATGATGTTTTTGATTTTTCCGTGGACGGAGTCGTAGGGCGACCAAGAAGCCATCCACTGAAGCTGGCAATCGCCAGCATATACAGCTGCATGAGATTGGCCATCACAAAGTGTGTGATCGACTGCCCAATTTCCAGCCAGCTGCCTTCATCGCGAATCGCAAAGAAAAAGTTGAGCGCAAGCACGTTGCCTGCCAGTGCCGCGACCACCAGAGGCATGTACACGTCGCGCAGGCCCAGTCCACTGGCTACGATGGCTAGGCGGCTGCTGGCCGCAGGCAAGGCGCGTGGCTCAACGGCCTGCAGGCACAATGCCATAAGGACGCTCGAAAGAAGGATAAAGGGTACAATCAACTTGACCACCAGCAGCAATGCCATAAGGAAGGGCTGAAATACAGGCACGAGGCGGTACACAGGTGACAGGTAAAAGCTCGAGATCGAAGCCACATTGCCAGTGCCAAAGAATCCAATGTTCAGGAGAAGGAAGTAGAACAGCCCCAGCCGCACATCGTCCAGCTGCATGGGCCGTGGCGCAGGTGTGAGGGGATGCAGCATGTTGGCCTGCGGACCACGTGCCATCACAGCCCGATCACGCGCTAATTCAGCTTCCATATGACCCCACAGCAAGACCAAAAGGGTATAGCATAGGAAAAACAGCACCTCGTCGCGCAGCGACAGGATCACGTACACAGGTGCAAATGCAAAGACCAGCAGAAGAATACGCTCACGCAACGGCTGCGATCGGCCATTCTGTGGCCGTTGGAATCCCAGCACAAATGGCGCCGAAGCTGAACAGAGCAGTACGGCCCAGCCCAGGACTTGGCTCGTCCGTGGCAGACCCTGCTTCGCTGCCAGCGATGAGGCGGCAGTGGCTGTCACGCCGATCGAGGTAGCAAGGCATACGAGCTGCACCAGCAGAGCCCAACGTGTGCGCGGCCAGAACGTATCGGCGCCCTCTTCTTTGTCATCCGGCAGCGCTGAGAGCGCTGTGAGCTCGTCTGTCGTCTTGGCATGCATCATAGCATACATTTTCTTACGACGGCCGAGGTAATCCGGCGGCATCAGGAACGCCGCTGGCCAGATATATACACACAAACCAATGATCAACAGCAGTCCACCTCCTAGTGAGAGAAGCGGCACACTTTCCTCCTTGTCTGTAGGAAGCGACATGAACCAGGCAGTGGCGGCACACACGATGACCCATACGACCACGGCAACTTGGTGTCCTTCTTTCCACGTCATCGGGAAAAGCATGACGGGGATCATGGCCATCGTAAGTACAATCGCCAGCCAAAGGAGGCGATGCAAGTAGCCATACATGGCCGCTTCGAGAAAAACGACACAGATCGCCACGTACAGACCCGCCCAGCCTACCTGGGGCCACGGCACATGCGGCGGTAGGAAGGCAGGGAACAAGTGAATGCGCGTTGACAGAAGCATCCAAATGAGACCGGTCGCGCCGCTGTAAACAAAGTACATCATCGGCGCCGAATCCAGGTAGAACTTGCTCCATACAACAGCGAAGCTCAGCATGACGATGGTCAGGGCCGTATAGTGGACGCGCCGTGTAGGCGTACGGCTCTCTGTCGGTAGGGCATACACCAGCAAGCACGATACACCGTACAAAAACAGGCCCACGTAGCCCAAGACAACGACGGTGCTAAGGATCGGCGCGTCGTACTGATGCAGATACTTAGCACCTGCTAGCGCATCGTGCATCAGCGATTCACACTCTTCCACGGCATTCTCAAAGTCGCCCTGTTCGATCGCACGCGCAATGTCCTGGATGCGCGCCTCGCCAGGCTGCACGCCAGGCTCACTGCGCAGGGCCGGGAATGGCTGGAAGTGTGCCATACGTGCGGCACGGTCGTTGTGCTTCACACGGTACACTTCCAGCACCTGTCGTGCAGTCGCCAGGGCGGCGCGGGCGCGGTAGGCAGGCGGCGCGTCCAGCAACGACATGGGCAAGTGGCCTTCCGCGTTCGCAGGGACTGGGATACCAATCCACGATGCCATTAGCGGCGTTAGGTCTGCCTGTTCCACATCGGTTCGGGCATAGTACTCCAAGTCCCAATGCTTGTCGTACTCGGTGTACGCGAACCCACGTCGACTCAGGCGCTGCGCTGGCGGAATGCCTGCGCCCCAAGCCACGAGCGGTGTGCGTGTGTTGTCCGGATCGCCATCGCCATGATTGCCTTTGCGGCTCATACCGTGATCTGCCGTAAACAAGAACGCCGTTTTATCGTCGTCAAAGTAGTCTTCAAACAAGGCATCCACCTCACGTGCAATAGCGTCCACGACAATCGTATTGCCCAGGTATTCAGGCGAGTGTGGGCGGTACGTATGTCCCGTGGTATCGAGTCCTAGCAAATGCAGGAAAAAGACGGTCCCGGGCGCCCGCAAGCGGTCGTCCAAGGTCTTGTTGGTCTTGCCACGCTCCATCAGTTCCTGCATCTGTGCCAGCACCCACATATCAAGTTCGACAGCATCCTTGGTAAAGTCTTCTGCCTCCTCATCGTACACAGCCCATTCCATTTTATCTTCCGTGGTGCCCAGCGCAAACATCGGCACAATGTCCGGCGAGCCGTACGAGAAGGCATACGTCGACTGATTCAGAAGCGAGTCAAAGGCCAGTGGATTGACTTTCCATCCCTTGGTAACCGCACTGATATCCTCGTACATGCCGGCAATCAAGGCTACGTGGCCCGGGCGGCTCTCGGTAGGCACATGCGTATGGCTCACACCGTACCGGCCTGGGCCTTGCGCAATGCCGCGCAGGAATGGACCGACATAGGCATGCGACGGCTGCTCATCCTCGTTGGAGACAGACGGCGTATGCCGCGAAAACGCATTGTCGTAGGAGCCCTCGTACACGCTCTCCGTGCCACGAACATTGGGCTGGGCCCAGGTGGGCAGTGTAGAGGTAGGATGCTGCTTGAACAGAGTATCAGCACGTAAGCCATCAGCGACAATCAGCACAAGACGCTCGGCCGGCGCGCCATCGGTCCACGGTGCCTGTGGTACAGCGTGGCTCGCATTGAAACGTGGTGATGGGTATACCACTGGTGAGTGGAAGTATACATCAAAGATCGACCATGTAAAGATCAGATGAAATACGAGTGAGATGAGGAAGAACTCCAGCTGACGTAGCAAGGAGCTGCTACCACCACCACCGCTCATACTCGGCGATCGAAGAAAACGGACAACGCTGCGCAATCCTCACCGCTACGGTCGCGCTGTTGTTCCTTTCGCGAGGGACCTGCAGCGCGTGGCTCTCCCCCTGCAGCCCTTCTGCGCACGTGGCGACTCCCTCGTGGTGGCCAATCCGTCTATACGCCTCCTATTTAGCCGGCACGTGCGTCTGGGGCCAGCACGCGCTCCAGGTTGGACGATTCTTCCTCCGCCAGCTTCTGGCGCTGTTCCATATCTTGGCGCGCCAGCTGGTGCTCCAGCGTTTCTGACCGCAGGCGGTTGATTAATCGAATACCGTTCACAGCCTTGCGGAAAGTTCGCTTCGCATTGAATGCGCTCTTGATGTCAGGAAGTAGGTCGCGTTGGCCGTCGCCATGCACGCTCGTGACGTGAGCGAGCCATGGGTGCTGCAGCGCTTCGTGCGCCGTCATGCGCTTCGCTGGGTCGACAGTCAGGAGGCGTCGGATGAAATCACGCGCCTCCTCTGACACACCTTCCCAATAAATTGCGGGCTCAAACTTGTAGTCACCCGCCACGATCTTCTGCATTTCGTCCATGTTGGAGTCCTGATCAAATGGCGTGTAGCCACATAGCAAAAAGTAGGTAATGACACCAATCGCCCCTGCACGTCAGTGTGCTGCTATACATACACATATCGACCGGCTTACCATGGCCGCTGCACATTAGCTTCGCAGTATACGTACGTTTTCTTAAACAGTTCAGGCGCCATGTAGCCGGGCGTGCCGCATGTAGTACTGAGCACTGTCATCTTGTCCTCATCAATCATCCGAGAGAGACCAAAGTCGGCAATGAGCAGGTCAGAGTGCTCAGACCTATCACGGAAAAGCAGATTCTCTGGCTTTAAGTCTGGCACAGGGTGAGTGATTCTCAACATACCTCGGTGCACAACGCCCAGATCGTGCAAGAAGGCCACCGACTCTGTCACAGTACGCACGATCTGCGCCGCATCCTTCTCGTAATAATTACCACGCTCGCAAATCCGGTCAAACAGCTCACCGCCCTTGCACAAGTCAGTGACGAGGTACAAGTTGTTCATCGTTTCAAAGTAGTCAACCAACGACACGATACCACGGTGCTCTTGCGATACACGCTTCAGCGTCGCAATTTCGTTGCGGACCATGTGCTCGCGGCCACGCATAAGCGACTTGCTGATAACTTTGCAGGCATAATACTTGCCTGTCTCAATATGCACAGCTTCTTTGACCACCTGCGTATAAGACTCGTTCCATACGTACCGCATAGGTGCCCTGGCCAAGGGTTCGTCCTGTTTTGTACGCACACGGTACTGTAGCCGGCGTTCCGCTCATGGCTGTTCGCTTGGATGGTCCGCGCGACGCCCTCCACGTCAGGCCCAAAAGCAGACAGGCAGGCAGGCCGCGTGCGTGGCGATAACCACGTGACGTGGAGAGGTAGGGTGCCCAAGCGAGCGCTGCCCTGGTGCTCGCTTGACACGTTGTACATGGACTTCTTCGGACAGCGTGGGTCAGGGAAGTCAGGTACGCCCCGCCCGCCGGCCGTACGTACGACAGTCACTACAAAACGTGTAGTGACTCCAACATCCACGAAGCAGGGTGCATCGGCATCGACGACGCAGGCCGTACGTCGAAATGCCCTGCCGGAAGCCATGCAAAAGCGCATCGCACAAGATCGGCTAGAAGCTGCGCAAAAAAAAGCCGCCTTAGAGGCGTTTGCACGACCACGACCACGAAAAGTAGCACGTACAGAGCGCCCGGCGCGTCGTGTCATGAGCCACAGCCGCAGCGTTAGCGATGATGATGATGACGATGCGGACGACGCCGCGTTGGATCGTCTTGCTCGCAGCTCGGCCTCATCAAGTCAGTATGGCACATCTACCTTCCACTACCATGTTCCTCGCTCTATTTTGCCGCCGGACGGCTACGATCCTTTGGCGCCGGAGCTCCGTGCTACAGCCTCGGGGCCCATCTCAAGCCGATCGCTCGTAGAGACGTCGGAGACCATCTATGTGCCATGTACGTATCAATTCTACTGACCCAAGTTTTTGAGGGACTGGAAGAACAGCCTGTGGTAACCCTAGAATACCCTGCGATCGACGCACAGGAAGAATTTCTGCTGCTTGTGCCCAAGGATGTCGACGAGTACGATCCGATCTCGGACTTGCTTCGCGTCGTGCATGCAGTGGTGGCACATTATATCCCAGCAGCACAGCAGCCGCAATTTGGCCACCTGGATCACTTAGAAACTGGCAGCAATGCAGGGAATACGCTGGACAAGGTGTCAGCGCGTCTTGCCATGCGTGCTGACTCGTCCGGCCCATCGTCACGCAGCACGACGCCTGTGCCTAGCACTACCAGTACGCCGCCTCCCTTATCAGGACCGGCTGATGAGACGGAATCCATATTGCGCTCGTTCACCAAGGCACGGAATCGGCGCAACGGTCCTCTGTTTGTGCGCTCCGTGGAACGGTACAACGCGTTGCTTCGCACGTTGCGGCAAGATGGTACGATTACATCCCATTTGGCTACGCTTGGCGCGTCGCATGGCATGCCAGAAGGTGTATGGCGCACTATTCAGGAGCAGGTCTACGCTCGCGTGGCTGCGCCGCATGTCGACAAACTCAAGCAATACGAAGCATTCTCTGATTATGTGTACGGCGAAATGCTACCGCCATTCCTGAGTGAGATTGAGCGCATTGCCCAGATGGGGCCTCAATCTGTGTTTGTGGATCTGGGGAGTGGGATCGGCAATATTCTCCTCCAAGCGTCGCTGCAAACAGGTTGTGCATCGTATGGCTGTGAAGTTATGGAGACCCCAAGTGCTCTCGCTACGAAGCAGATCATTGAAGCCACACACCGCTGGCGAATGTGGAATGTGTGTGGCGGCCCTGCCATGGAAGCATGGTGTGAAGACTTTACCGAGTCGGATCGCGTACGTGAGGTCCTGCGCCGTGCCGATGTCGTGCTTGTAAACAATTACGCGTTTCGTCCGAAGACGAACGATACGCTGTCCCTTCTGTTCCTAGACCTGAAGGACGGCGCCAAAATCTTTTCGCTGCGTCCTTTTGTCCCGACTGATTTTCGGTTGACCGAGCGCACAGCATCCAGTCCCCTTGCTATCCTACGTGTGGAAGAACGGCGGTATGCAAGCGGATGTGTAAGTTGGACGGGCGGTAGCGGTGCCTACTACGTCCAAACCGTGGACCGGAGCTTAATCCAGCACTTTACTGCTAGTGCCGTTCCCGAAAACACTACAGCGATGTAGGAACTGGAATTAGTTTTATGTATACATACACCATCCGAACCCCTTGTCTTCCGCCATAGAACTGACTCGCCATGCACCACGGGCATTGTGTCGAAGGCGAGCCTCGACCACGCTCACGCCTTCCTCCCGAAGACGGTCCGCTTGGCGCGCTGCGCCAGCGCCACCATCACCACGCTCGGAAATGACGCCGCCGGAGCCAACCACGCGCTGCCATGGCACCGAATCATCCTGTAAAAACTTCAACGCCTGGCCCACCATGCGCGAGTCTGGTGTAAGCACCGCTGGATAACGTACGACGTGGATATCCAATCAACTGCCGTGTCAGAACTTCGTCATGTCGCGTACCTTTGCAATATGTCCTGGTGTCAGTTGTAGGCCTACGTACCGTACGTAGTCACGCGACCGTAGGGAATGAGACGCGTACATTCGTACACCATGCCTAGACCATGTTAGAAGCGTGTCACGCACTATGAAACCGCTCGGCGTTGAACAATTCGTCGGCGTCAACCATGTGTGGGATGGTGCATGTGGAGGAAGAATGATCAGGGCGCGTTCCACTACAGAATCTATTATTCCCAATCGATGTCATCGTCGTTGCTGGCTGGCTTGGATAGCGATGAGCTCATTGTATGATTCATAGCTGTGGATGTAGGATGGGTAGGTAGGGCAATTTCGTCGTCGTCGTCCCATGCAAAGTCGTCATCACCACCGACCACATGCGGCGGCTCCTCGTCCGCCTCTGTCTCTGCTTCCTTCTCTTTGCCTTTCTTAGAGGCACTGGCCGATTCCTTCGCGGCCGCACCTGCTACTAAAGCATTGTACCGTGCCTGCAATTCCTTTGTTAGGCCATGCAGCGTAGCCCCGCTGGTATTCATATATTGACGTGTCATGACTTCCACATCTTTGAGAGAGGTTTGGAACGAATGTGGGTCCATCGCATTCGCATTCAATGTCGCAATCTGTGTCTGAAGCTGCTCGATCTGTGGATGATACGCCAGCTTCTTAAGGGATTCCCATGCATTCGCCGACATGGCACTCCACGACGACGCCGCATCGCTACTGCGCCTGCCCTTCTCGCCTTGCTCTCTCACGTCCATATGGCTGGCCGTAGATTTCAACGAAGATGAAAATACGGTTTCGTCATCATCATCATTATCATGCCCGGCGAGCTCGAATGGAGCGTCAGGCTGCTCTGCCGCTGTCGACGAGCGCGAAATTTGGCGTGCACGATCACTCTCCGTTTGCATACGGGCATCCAGCGCTTCCAGCCCGGCCTTGGCCGTGTTTATAATGCCACCATTCTCTTCCACATGCGTCTTCGCTGTCTCCAACGCGCTTTGCGTCTACGTCTTAGTCACATTGCACGTACCTGGCTGTGAACGCCACCCCACCATGACGACAGGCCGCCCACCAGATCCATCACACGGTTCTCGATCTTCCGTGCCACAACATCCACCTCTGTCTCCTTATGATGGAGTTGTCTCTCATCTTCATTGATTGCAATCAACGCCGCGGCCGAGCTAATGGCCTCGTCCGCCATCGTGCATGTACAGACGAGGCTGCGATCGCACTCCCATACGCACGCGCCATGGGCCAATAGGCACACACCTCCACCATGGACCTGGCGCCGTTCTCCACGTTTCGCCGACGTGCGTTTCATTTCCTGGGTCAACGACACCATGTGGGCCGCAGGGCAGCTCCTACTGACCAGCGCACGGCTATCGCACCGTGTGCTTGTGTCGTGCATGCAAGATACTATGCCGTGTGCACAGCGCTTCTTGCATGCCTCTGTTGCGCAGTGCACCAAGCCTCCGAGCCTGACACTGCACGGCACCACGTACGCGACAGACGACGTAACCAACATCCCCTCGTCGATCATGTCACGTATTTTCCCCAACCCCAAACTCCCATACGCAGACCATCATCCACTGGCTTTGTTGCGCCAAGAAATTGAGCGGATTCTAGGCCCCAAGTTCACGCCTATTCGTGCCCCCTCGCCGATCGTCACGACCAAGTTGAACTTTGATGACTTGGGCTTTCCGGCTGACCACCCCGGTCGCAGTCCCTCAGATACCTATTATGTGAACCGCAACACATGTCTTCGTACACATACATCGGCGCATGAGGTGGAAACGTTCCGAGATGGCCACCTTCGCTGGCTGTTGACAGCGGACGTATTCCGCCGTGATGAGATTGACTCGTCCCACTACCCCGTCTTCCACCAGATGGAAGGCGCGAGTGTATGGGATCTTTCAGCTTTCCAGCCTGGCGGTGAAGTTGAAAAGGAGTGTGAAGCAATGGAAGCCACACTGCAAGGTGCTGGCATGGAGATTGTAGACGACGTGGACGTGGCCGAAGCGGATGGCTGGCAAGCACATCACTTGGCCCAGCATCCTCGGGCATCGCAGTTGGCATTACGTCACCTTAAGGCATCACTGAATACCCTTGTACTTGGCTTGTTCCGTGCGCGCTGGGAGCAAGAATCGGCATCGGAAGAACCTCTACGAGTCCGCTGGATCCCTGCGACGTTCCCTTTTACGGCCCCGAGCTTTGAGGTGGAAGTGTGGTTCCGTGGTAAGTGGCTTGAAATTCTGGGCACAGGTATTGTGAAACAGCGTACCTTGGACGAGTCCGGTATCCCTGAGAAACTTGGCTGGGCGTTCGGTCTAGGGCTAGAGCGTATTGCTATGGTGCTATTTTCGATTCCTGATATCCGTTTGTTCTGGTCGCAAGACGAGCGCTTTTTGAGCCAATTCAAGGTGACTGACAACTCGCTTGTGACTTTCAAGCCCTACTCCAAATACCCACCGTGCTACAAGGATGTATCGTTTTGGATGTCCAACGATTTCCACGAAAATGATCTGTGTGAGACTGTGCGTGACTTGGCGGGCGATTTGGTGGAAGACGTGGCATGCATTGATGACTTTGTGCATCCCAAAACGAAACGTCAAAGTCGCTGCTACCGTATCAACTACCGCAGCATGGATCGAAGCCTTGAAAATGACGAGGTGAACAGTGTACATGCCCGTGTGCTGGAGGCATTGAAGTCGTCCTGCCATATTGAGATTCGGTAGACGTAGGTAGCCGCTCCCCCTCTCGCGATAGGTGGAGGGCACGTGGACACAACACCAGAACGATTAGCGCGGTTGGCGTGTGCGAGTGTTTCTTATCTTCGAGCGACCATGGGCACAGTGTCTTTTCTGCTGAAGGCGCATCTGTATGCTATTTTGGCGATTGTCATCTACGTGGCTGGCTGCTTTTTACTGGCGCTGCCGGAAGCGCAGCGTCACTACCTTTTTTTGCATCAGGTTCGCTTCCCGTTCTTCACCAAGTACCATGAGCCGCATGCACATGGTATTAGCCGTACGTGTTGTTTTGCACTTACCATGTAGCTGGACAAGCACGCAACTTTTACTTCAACTCTACGGATGATGTGCGCATTGGTGCATGGCACATTCTTCCAGAGTCCATTTACGAGACATATGCTCAGCATGCGAGCGAGAAGACGCCAGAGCTTCCAGTGGAGATCTTTGAGCAGGCTTTGCAATCGCACCCTACCTTTGTGTATCTACATGGAAATGCCATGAACCGTGCCGCGCCATTCCGCATTCGCACATACAAGGACTTGGTCCACCAAATGAATGCCAATGTGATTGCGATTGACTACCGTGGTTTTGGCGATTCGCAAAGTTTCCCGACGGAAGAAGGCGTGATCAACGATGCTTACGCTGCGATTCAGTTTGTGCGCGACCATGCTGTGAATCCCAAGACTGGCAAATCGCCCGGACTCACGCTCATGGGCCAGAGTCTTGGGACGGGTGTGGCCTCGCAGTGCGCGTTGCGTCTGCATCGCGAGGGCATTCATCTCGATGCATTGGTCCTTCTTGCCCCATTCAAGTCCATTCATCCCATGGTCGCCGAGTTTCGAATGGGTGGCGTAGTACCCCTGCTAGGCTTCCTTGACCTGTTCCCTGGCAAAGATGAGCTGATTCAGTCGTTGCTGCAGTACAAGTTCGACACGATGTCGGCGCTGAAGGAGCTGGTAGAAAGCTCGACGAAGCCTGACGCTCTGACTGCGCCAACGATCTTAGTCATGCATGCGGAGAACGACGAGGTGATTCCTGTGTACCACGCAGAGGATCTGTACATGATGGCGGAGGACACGACCCATGCTATGGTCAAGTCGTCGCCTTTCCTTGTGTGGGGCTCGAATGCGCCAGACCTTGGCTATGTGCGCTCCATTATGCACAAGAGTGCTCGGCTGCCTGAACGCCGAGGCTTGCTCCCTGGCGCACGCTTCGTGCTGCCTCGCAGTGCGATCTTCACCTATGTCCGCCTGGAAAAAGGGGGGCACAATCATTTGCTGGACTACAATGTCGATGCCATGCAGTTGATGCTACCGCAGTATATGACGGGCCCAGGCGCCACAACCTCCTCGGCCAAGTAGACTACGCGCCATGGCGCTGCTCCGCCATTGTATATAGTCGCAGGGTATCTAGGAAATGTGTTGGCATCCATTCTCGGGTGTGAGCCCAAGATGGGAGGGAGCCGATGGTCGTAAGTCGGAGGCACCAGCAGGGAAAGCCGTGTAGTTCCGGGGGGCGAATGCAAGGATCACAGACCATGAGCACGTCAGGCTCCGTGGCCATAGCACCGGCGTGATGAAGCGCTGATGAAATGTGCGAGGAGGTAATGGGTATCGTAGGTAGGGTATTGACAGCCTGCACCAACGCAGGTTTATCGTCGCGCGCGGATAGCACATTGACACGTACGTGCGGTTGATGCAGCGCCTTGTCACATAGTGCGCTTGGTGATGGAGAGTACGCAAACGGCGGAGGGTACTGCCCTTGCGTATCCAGTCCCATATGTACGTCCATGAGCGCAGGGGAGGCTGACGGAGAAAGCGCTTGCGCCGCCTCACGTAAGAGTCCTTGTTCATCGTATACACTCAGCTCAGCTATCCCCGCTGCAGCGCACCACTCGACAAGACGGTATACGTCAAGCATGGCTTTGTGCACTTGCTGGCGCATATGCGTAGGAGACGCGCCTAGCGCTGTCTGATGTGTTTCCCATACGAATACCACAGCGAGATGCGTGGGCTTGCGGTACCGATCCAACGAAGGCAGCACATCGTTGAGGCACCGAATCCGATACGGCGCCGTTTGCACAAGAGTACATATATATTTGCAGAGGCCATAGACCGTATGCAGCAAGCAGAACAACACGGCATACAGCACAGCGGCCATTGTACCAGGCGTGCACCCCAAGGCGATTTTTATTTTGAGGAACTGCAGAAGACGTCCGTCCACGCTTACTTCCTAGTGTAGGTACGTACGCGCCAGCCTCGTCTGAAATGAAAGCCCCCGATCATACGAGGCCCGATACGTTTATGCGCAGGCAGGTTGGACGTTGGTTTCTACCCCACAAATACCCACCCTCTGGCTCGCTTGCTGGTGTGCGATCCCATGGCCGCCTCCGTCTCTGAGCGGCTGCCTGCCGAGATTGTGCAGCGCATCTGCGAGATTGTATACCTGGACAGTATACCGTTATGCTCACTACGTCTATTGGATCCAGATATTGTGCCGTCCGCTGCGTTTGACGCACAAGCCGTGTCCACCTCTATTGACGATACACAGCAAGTTCTGTACACGCTGTGCCTAGTCAACCGCACCTTCTATCGCTATGCACATCCGCTCTTGTACCGGCGTGTACAAATTACACTGCCTTATCGCTTCATGCTGCTGTTAGACGACGCCCTTTCCTCTGCGGCTGTGTTTCCCACTCAGAATGCCAGCTCGCTCTCGAGTATCCGTATGCTGGACTTTTCGGCGTTCCGTGCGCTAGGACTGCGTCGCACAGTCGGCGAAAGCACCGAGCGGCGCTTTGTGACAGCAGAGCGCCTTTTTGCGTTGATTCATGCGACGACAGGCTTGGTCGCTTTCGGTTCGAGTGAGACGATGGACAGCGCCTTGTCGCTGGAAGTGCTGGAAGCTCTCCTGTTCCGTGATGGTGAGGCAAGTCGGCCAAGTCGTATGCGTGACGTAAGTATGGAGCGTGGGGCGAGTCCCATTCATACCGCCTTACAAAGCCTTGACTTGTGTGGCTGCACCAGCCCCAAATTCATCGAGGCCATGCATCAGTTTGTGCAAAAGCACTTGGAGCGGATGACGCCACGATACAGTATGTACGATGTACCGGAAGAAAGTGATGATGCTATGGGTATGGAGGAAGAAACGCGTGGCCGCTCGCGACGTACGGTACACACACATGCTCGCCACCCTTCTCGGCATCGCATGCTGTCCAACACGCGAAAAAGGATGTTCCCCTCGCTACATCGCTTAGGTCTCGCTGGCGTCTCCATTCCCCGAAGTGATTTGGCGTCGTTTGTACTCTCGTTCCCCAACCTGACGCACCTAGACCTCTCGCAAACGAGAGTGGATGCAGCGATGCTGGACTGTATTGCCACGTCAAGCATGCAACTGGAAAGCTTGTCCTTATCGCGATGCCGCGCCCTCACGTCGGAATCCATCACAAACCTGCTCATTTCGTCGCCTGTTACAGAAGGATTGCTGGAGCTTGCGCTGCAAGGGACACTGCTCTTCCCCACGCCACTGTCGCCAGATGATATGCGCACTATCGTGACCCATGCACCCTGCATGCGCAGCGGCAATCTTCGGTTCTTGGATCTCGGTGGATGCCCGCTGAGTGATGAAGAGCTGAGCATGATACCGGCGCAGCATGCACTGCTTGACTTGGGCCTAAGTGCGATTCCTACTATTACGCTGCGTGGAGTCAGCGCCTTCTTGCAGAGCACTGCGCCCAATGTGCAAGTGCTGGACTTGTCACAAAGCGCTGTACCACATGGCCATATTCACGCAGTGCATTTATACCATGAGCTGCTCGCGCCGTGTACGCAGCCACCGCCAGCGATGGAAATTGCCGAGCAGCTAAAAGCATTGGGCTTAAAACGCGACGACGCAGATGCTCCCTCCACGGAAAACTGGACGCCGCCGACCAACCTGCGTGTGGTGGAGCTTTCGTCCGCGGCGCTGGGCACCGTCCGTGGCGGTGTGGGATCGTGGAAAGTCGTCTGGGGCGCAGGACGTCGCGGATGGGTCGTCGATACGGGCGCAGGCCCGGCTCCTCAGGCGTTTGATATTCCTGTCTCCAACGTCGAAGCAGCGTCACGAGGACGTACACGCATCCCTGAACAGGTTGTCCCACGCCGCCCTGCCATGAGCATGGAACGTAGCAGCCGTATCGTGGAGGAGCGAGAAGAACGAGGACGAACGCCTGACCGGCGTGGCCATGGACGTCGGCCTGTATCGCGCTCGCCTTTCCATGACAACCGGCTGGCCATGGCTGCATTCGAGTCGCGATCCCGATCCTTGTCGCTCTCACGCAACCAGGAACGGCAGGAACGTCGAGTGCCTTTGATGCGGACCGAGCCTGTGCATGTGGAACCGCAAGTCATTCGCAACCTCGCCGACGACCATCCTCGACGCAAGATGCTAGAGCACGTTGCCTCCCTCGAAGGTCGCGTGCCAGGCAGCTTTGGATGGCACAGTCACAAGATGGAGGTGCTACTGGGGTATGGCCTGCTAGGCCATGAAAAGGGAAGTTATGCATGGTTTGCCTATCAAGACGCCTAAACTAAACCTGGTCAGATGGCGGAATGGGCACGATAGGATTGGTAGCGGACGATGCCGTAGGCTCTGTTAACATATGGCCCATCCGCTCAATTTTGGTGCGCAGATAACGCTCGAGGTCTGTGCCACGTGTGACACTGCCACCGATCAATGTCGCGCCAGTATTTCGCTGCGTGTGCGAGTAGAAACTACCCGCGCTTTCGTCGGACTCGTTCTCGATATCATCCTCGTCGTCATACACATCCTCGTCGTCGTCCCAGACCGCGTTCGATGAGGCATCGTCCAACGACCCACCGAGCCCCAGGGAGGACGCATCCATCGCCTGCGAGATCACACTGCTCGGCCGAGACGGACGACTGGGATGCGCGAGGGATTCAATCAGCTTCGACTGGGGCTTGTCCTTGAGACGCTTCGAGAGCTTACGGCGTGATGTGTGTGTGCCATGCACATTATGGTGAGCATGGGCATGCATGTGGTCATGCTGATGCGCGTACTGCCACATACGAGGCACCATCGGCACGCGCTCCGTCACACGGATGCCCTCGCTCTCCATGGCTTGCATCTTTTCAGGGTTGTTTGTAAGCAGACGACACTCCTCGATACCGAGGTCACGTAGAATGGCACTGCTCATATCGTAGCGGCGTGCATCAGGCAGGTGGCCAAGAAGTACATTTGCACTTACGGTATCGTGGCCCATGTCCTGTAGATTGTACGCCAGTAGCTTATCGAGCAAGCCAATACCACGGCCTTCCTGTCGCATGTACACCACAACACCACGAGGCGGCACAGGCTGCCCGCTTTTCGTATGTGTCATAGTGGTGCTGATAATGCGCAAGGCCTCATCCAGTTGCTCACCACAGTCACAACGCTGGCTGCCAATCGTCTCGCCCGTGTAGCATTCCGAGTGGATCCGCACGAGCGGTGCAGGCGCCGATTCATCGGCACTGGTATGCTTGATCGCATCGCCAGGCTGCGACACCTCCTGGTGCGCCTCACTAAGGCGGTTCACATAGGCACCACGCACCAAGCGCTCCATAGGCGTCTCGTTTTCATGCCACACAGCATCGAGCGTGCGGCTGCGTAGATGTCGGGGCTTGCTCAGCAAGCCTTTTCGCTGTTTGTCTTGAATGGATTCGTGATTCTGCGCCGGATCAATCACCAGCGCCATATGCTCCTTGCTATCGTGGTTATTGCGGTAGAGATGACAAAACACTTCACCATGCGGCGTGGGCACGCGTGTTCGACCGCAGCAACGGACTTCCAGCGGTGGCAGAGGCTTCACAGGGGCCTTCACATCACGGCCAGGCAGCACAAGCGGCGTCTTGGCATTTGGCTCCGTGGAGGCCCCCGTAACCGAGGCGACCTTGGCCTCGTCTTTCTCACGCTGGAGTCGAAGGCTGCGTGGAGCTTGCTTGCTGTACATCAATGCACGACGTTCCAGCTCGGCATCGCTCGAATGCAACATAGAGCTGGATGGATGCTCGTGTTGCTTCGGCGGATGCATCATTTCTTCTTGCCGCCGGCGCTCACTCACACGCATCTGCTGCGAGTGGCCAGATAGATGAGCAGATGCAGGATCGGCAAAGGTATGGTGGAAGTGATGACGCGTTACCTGAGGGCCGGAGCTGAGAGATGCAGCCAACACGATCGGATCGATAGGCGGCCGGCGAAGACCGGCTACGGTGTCCAATACGCGAAGTTGGGACGGAGGCAATGGGCGTGTATCGTGACTCGGTGGAAGAGATGTGAGCATATCTAATACATCCAAATCACGCGGATCAACGCGATGATGGTGCTCGTCTGCAACCATCGTAACCATGCCTTTTTTACAGCCCTCGTCTCCGCACGCCAACGTGGCCGACGGTGTTAAGCAATGACCCCGCTAGTTGCCTGAGTGTATATTACATAAGCGTAGGGTGGCACGAAAATTTTGTCTGCGCCGTGTCGAGTGGTGCAGCCTCGCGACGATGGCGCGTCTGGATTTGGACAAGCTGTTGGACGTCGCACCTGAGAGTATGTATCCTAACAGACTTACGTGAAGCTATCGATCCTGAGAATGATACATATGTGAACCCTTCAGACTCGGAGGCGGAGGAGGCCAGCTCCGGTGAGGAGGAGGCCGAGGCGACCGAGGCCCGACGACACTACGTCGATATGGGCCCTAGCCAAATGCGTCGAAAGGCTCGCCTCACAGAATCGGATGCATTGGACCAGCCGAAATACAAGAGTATCAAAACTTCTCGCGAAGAGATGTTCGGCGACGATTTTGACGACGATGAGGAGATCACGTCTGAAAGCGATGACAGCCTCGAGGGGGAAGATCTCGACGAAGATGACAGCCTTGCTGAGGAAAAAAACGAGGGCGAGATCGACAGCGACGAGGAAGAGGTTGAAGAGGAGGATGGAGACGACGATGACGACGACGAACAACAGCTTGTCGTTCCACCCAAGAAGGCCGAGAAAAAATCTCGAGCTACACCTGCCATGGAGGATACGCATAGCACAGCCGATACCCTTGCGACGCAGCAACAAGAGTCGCAAACCTTGCTGCAGCAACTTCACGCGAAGCGATCGCAAGACGCTAAGAAAGGGCGGCAAGTCCAAAAGCAGATTCGCAACTGGGAGAAAGCGCTGCGCCTTCGTATTGCTCTGCAGAAAGTTGTTACAAGCGTAGGCCGTATGCCGTCGGCATCACAGTGGGATACGTACCTGGACAAGGCGCCGGAAGTGCGCGATGATTTGGATGCGGCTGCTGTAGAGCTCGAAGATCTGGCAGCGAATTTGCAAACGATTCGGACGCAGCTGTGGAAAACCAATGTGCCTTCGCTGGCCAAGGAGCTAGCGACAGTGCACCCTGACGCGAGTGCTTCCAAAGCCCTGTCAACGCTGGAATCGATCATCGAGCCACAACGTCGTGCTCTTCTCGCGCGCTGGTCCGCCAAGATCGCAGCGGCGCCAGACTCTCGTGGGACTAGTGCAGCTGCACGCCTTCAACTGCGTGCTATGAACCAAGGCGTCGTCGAGCAGATCGATCAAGCCCTCGCAGGCGAAGGCCTTCGTCGCCTCATTGATCGGACTCGTGTATGGCGTGGCGAAGGGACAGAGCGATTGGGCGTAGCCGCTACAGACGACGAAGACACAAGTACCAAGGTGGATCCAGATGTCTTTGACGATAGCGACTTTTATGCCCAGCTGCTGCGTGATCTCATCGACAATGCCAGCATGGTCGAGGCAGGTATGTCAGCTACTGCCTCTGATGCATTGCAATCGCGCAAGCGGAAGCGGACTGTGGATGTCCGTGCCTCCAAAGGCCGTCGCCTGCGCTACGATGTTATGGAAAAGGTGCAAAGCTTTATGCCGCCTATTCCCAATACAAAATGGGACGACGCGCAAATTGAACGTCTGTTTACGCGTTTGGCGTCTGTGGCGCCTGCTGTCGTGGAAGAGACAGTGGAGACGACAGACGATGTACCTGTCGACGATGGTTTCCGTTTACTGGGATAAGATTCGTTCGTACATAGGAGAATATCATGAGGGACTATGTATACAATTACAATTCGTGCGCAGCAGCTACTGAGCGTTTGGCCACATCCCAGTAGCCAGCCAGTTTCGGGCCTAAGAGCTCTTTGAGTTTGTAGTCTGTCGGGCAGTGTTCCATGCGCAAGGAGCCAGGCGGGAAGGATCGATCACGCACGGGCCCTTCGAAGACCAGCTCACACGTATTGCCCTGTAAGTCGAGCGCGGGTGCGTCGTCCGCAGCTACGGACGCCTCCTCGTCGTCGCCCTCGACACTGCTTTGCCGTGGACGGCCAGGGTCTGTCCAGTCAATACGCACAAGCATCAGGCGCTTGTACGCCTTAAGCGCCTTGGCTGATCCTTCCACGACAACCAAGGCCTGATCAGGATGCGTAAGAATCAAGCCACTCAGGTGATGCTGTTGTGCATTCTTGCGTACTTTAAAGCGATGCGAGGGGCTTTCCAAGCGGCCAATGCGGTAGACGTGGCACCAAATACCTTTGGCCTCTTCCACCTTGGTCTTGTAGATCCGCCGATCACGTCGCTCTTCGTCGGTCAGCATACGCTCCGCATTGGTTCGCTCGTGCTGTTCTTGTCGTGCAGCCACTTCACGGCGGACACGCGCCTCAACTTTGGTCGGATCTGCGACGGCTTCTTGGCCAAGGACACGCATCAAATTCGATAGCTTGACTTTCGGTGGGTCAGGCGGCAACAATCCCATTTTAATGCGGTCGCGCTTGTCCTGCTGCTCGGCTGCACGACGTTGCCGGCGCATCTTTTTCATCTCTTGCTTGGTCAGGATCACGCCACGTGATGGTACTTTGATATTCGCCGTAGGCGGCGGGATGGGGATCGGATGCTGAATGAGATGGTCCACAGGGGAGGTATCTTGGTCGATCAGAGGGAAGGTCGGCGGTCGTGATGCCTGTGGTGCTAATGGCACGTCAGGAACATCGCTGTACGACTTGGTCGGCAGCAAAGCGACATCCCACCATTCTGCGGCTGGGGGTTCTGGACGCTGCGTGTGAGTGCTTATGCCATATACGTACGCGGAGGATGCGCTCATCGTCGAGCAGCTCATCATGCAAACCCGCTTTCCGAGCCGTTTCCTGAATGCGCTCTTTCAACGCAGCCAATTTCTCGTCCCGACGGATTTGCTCTGCTTCCATAATATACTTTCCAGGCCGGTGAAATTGCATAGCGCGATGCATGCTTTTTGGCTTTGGACCCTCGGTCTTGTCTGTTTCGTGTGCAAGGTAAGGGTTCTTGGGTTTCAGCGGCACAGGTTTCGCATCCAAGATCGACGTGGTAGGAGGCGCAGGTCGACCAGGGATCGCACGCTTGTTCGCCTGGATCGAGGCGAACTTGGGGGCCAGGGACCGAAACTTTTCTTGAATGCGAGCGGCGTCGCCTAGTAGGAGGGGGTGAATACCCACAGGCTTCTCGTATTCAGGCGCACGTGCTGGCGTCGGCGCTGTGATATCCGCTGCCTTGCTCGTCTCTGGCTTCACGGGAGGAGCAGGCGGTGCACTGGGTTTGGCGGGCAAGCCAGACTTCTGGAAAGCGGCCATGGCACGTCGCCGCGCTTCCTCAATGGTCTTGCTCAAGTCGCCCAGCGTGGGCGAGAGTGACGGTGCATCGAGTTTGTTGCGCTTTTCGCTGGGAAACGCTGTGTCATCTCCTGACCCTGGAAACTGTCGCTTGGGCGCCATGGCTGACACCTCCGACGCACTGACGCTACGCTTCAATCGCACTGTCGTCAGGCGGTCGTTCGCCCAGCGCGCAAGCGCTACGTGCACGCATATATCACGTGACGTAAAAAACACAGGAAGAGGGCCTAAAAGGATGTGTTGGAGTTCCACTTTTTTTGCGAAGAGCACCGCTGGTACGGACCCGCAGGATTGCTTTCTCGTGACTATCCAAACCGGGCAGCCATGTCATTCCGCGACTCGAGTCGGCGCCAGGACACGTACAAGGCGAAGGGTGTGTTCAAGCAGGATGAGCTTCGTCGCCGTCGTGAAGAGGCGCAAGTTGAAATCCGTCGTCAGAAGCGTGAAGAGAGTATGGCGAAGCGCCGCAACCTCAACTTGCAGCAAATCTCCGACGCGCCTGACTCGGACGAAGAGGACGAAGTGAATGATGACTTGGACATGAAGATGACGTCGGATCTTCCGGCGATGGTGCAGGGTGTGCAGAGCGACAACTTGGACCAGCAATTGGAAGCGACGACCAAGTTCCGCAAGCTGCTCTCGAAAGAGAAGAACCCGCCCATCGACCGTGTGATTGCGTGTGGCGTTGTGCCGCGCTTTGTCGAGTTCCTGCGTAGTCCCCACAGCATGATCCAGTTTGAGGCGGCGTGGGCGCTGACCAACATTGCCTCGGGTACGTCGGAGCACACGCAGGTGGTCATCAACTGCGGCGCTGTGCCGATCTTTATCGAGCTGCTTTCGTCGCCCGTGCTGGATGTGCGTGAGCAGGCTGTATGGGCGCTCGGCAACATTGCAGGTGACTCGACCAAGTGCCGAGACTTTGTGCTGCAGCAGGGCGGTATGCATGCGCTGCTGGAGCTGCTGAGCGAGGACCACAAGGTGAGCATGCTGCGCAATGCGACATGGACGCTGAGCAATTTCTGTCGTGGCAAGAACCCGCAGCCGGCGTGGGAGTTGGTATCGCCTGCGCTGCCTACGCTGACGAAGCTTGTGTATGCCATGGACGATGAGATTCTGATTGATGCGTGCTGGGCGATTTCGTACCTGTCGGACGGCGCCAATGAAAAAATTCAGGCGGTGATTGAGTCGGGTGTGTGCCGCCGCTTGGTCGACTTGCTGATGCACCCCTCGGCGGCGGTGCAGACGCCGGCGCTGCGTTCGGTCGGCAACATTGTTACGGGTGACGATATGCAGACGCAGGTGATTGTGGCGAGTGGCGCGCTGACGCCACTGCTGGCACTGCTTTCCTCGCCGAAGGACGGCATCAAAAAGGAGGCGTGCTGGACGATCAGCAACATTACGGCCGGCTCGCCGAGTCAGATCCAGGCGGTGATTGATGCGAACATCATTCCGCCGCTGGTGCACATTCTTAGTCATGCGGACTTTAAGACGAAGAAGGAGGCGTGCTGGGCCATTAGCAATGCGACCAGTGGTGGTCTGCAGCAGCCGCAACAGATCCGGTACTTGGTGTCGCAGGGCTGCATCAAGCCGCTGTGTGACCTGCTCAAGTGTATGGACAACAAGATCATCCAAGTAGCGCTGGACGGTCTGGAGAACATTCTCAAGATCGGCGAGCAGGACAAGGAGACGATGGGACCTGGTGCGACGAACCAGTATGCGATGTACATTGAAGAGTGCGGTGGTATGGTGACGATCCATGCGCTTCAGAATCATGACAACTTTGACATCTACAAGAAATGCTTCTACATCATGGATAAGTACTTCCCTGATGACGAGGAAGAGCAAGATACAGGCATTGAGGCGCCGCAGGTGAGCAACACGGGCGCGTTTGCGTTCCCTTCGACCGTGGCAGCGCCGCAGACGGGCTTCCAGTTCGGTCCTTCTCAGAACATGCAGTCGTAACTTTGATGTGTGGCGTAACATAGGACGAAGCGCGTGTCGTCGTTGGGTTGGGTATGGTAGTAGATCCGCGCTGTACAATATAGTGGGCGTAGTACCGCACGTGGCATTTACAGCGAGGTCGGGGGAGCCTTCTCCGCGAAGCGCGAGGCGGGGGCCGACGTGGGCGGTAAGGTCGAGCCTACCTGCGCCAGGTACATGGCTAGGGCGGAGCGCGCAGGTGCAGGCGCAGACGCAGACGCAGACGCAGACGCAGTGGACGCCTCCTTCAGGTCCGGCAACCCCGCTAGGTCCGAGGGCAAGATGGGCGGGGGGAGTGGAGAGGTCGACGGGGCTCTGGCGATGTCGCGAGGCACCGCGGCGGGCGCCAGCGACGGCGGTCCCATCGGCAACACTGGCGGCTTGGACGCGGCGTCCGAGCTGGCGCGGGTGCGTCGTGTGGCTTCATCGGACGAAGACGGCTGCGAGACAGAGACACTGTTGCTGCGTAGGCGATGGGCAGCTTCCGGAGCCGTGCTAGCCGGCCATCGATGCACGTCAGGCGAGTTGTGAAGCCACCATTTCGGGATGGGCGAGCCGAGCGCGGGCCAGAGCGGCGTAGCAGGCGGCGGCGTCGAGGTCGAGACCGATGCGGAGCTTTTCGAACGAGCGCGATTTCGCACAAACCCACCAGACTCTGTCTTGCTCATACGCACGGCGCGTGGCGCCTCGGCATCGGTGCCTACGTCGTCGGGACTCTGCACGCTCCGACGAAAGAGGTGCGTCAGACTAGCCCGATTCGACATGCGCGAGGTCCAAGATGTGCTTGGCGCGTCCTCGGAGCGCCCAGGCGCCGGGGACATGGAGGGCGCAGGCGGCGTCGACGAGGAGAAAAGCGCAGCGCGGATGGACGCAGCAGGATGCGAGGCCTTTTCCAAGAACGTCGGAATGCTCGTTCGCCGTCGTGTGTCAGGGCCGGGCGACGGCGCCATGGTCGAGGCCAACGCAGGCGAGTCTTTTTTCGGAAGCACATCGTGCGGCAGTGTCGCGGGCGATTTGTGCTGCCAGCTTGGCGTCGGCTCGCGTGAAGGCGGTCGAGAAGGACCGTCGCTCCAGGACGAAGGCGAGTGAATAAGCGGCGAAATGCCGTCCCATGCCTCTGTGGACGCGCCGGAGCGCAGCAGCGAGACGCACGCCGGATGCTGACTCGCTACAGAGAGCATCTCTGGTGTCTGGTGATCGCGATCCAATGCATGTGTCTGCGCTCCGTACGCAAGTAGGAGACGCACCACATCCGTGTGCCCATTCGCCGCGGCAAAGTGCAAGGGCGTGGACCCTTCGATGCCAGGGCCAGGCGCCTTCGACTTGCCCTTGGGTGCATTCACATCGGCCCCATAGCGTAGGAGGAGATGACAGCATGCCGTATGGCCCATGCATGCCGCCACATGTAGAGGCGTGATGCCATGGAGCACATCGTTCGCCGGCTGCCCATTCTCGAGCGCATACAGCACATGCGGCGCATTGCCTAGGCTGGCCGCCCGATGCAGACCGAGACTGGGCGCAGGCGTATCCGAGCTAGATACATCCCCATTCGTCGTCGTCGTCGTCGTCGTGGCAGGCGGCGGCGGCGGCGGCGGCGACGCGGGACGAAGCCCTACGACGCCATGTCGCCCACCAGTGCGCCGCATACTTCGCAACGAGGCCAAATGGAGGGCCGTATGGCCCCCCGCGCGCGCGGGGCCCTCTCTCCACATGTCCCTAGCCCGATGGGATGAATCGGGCGATGGCTCCACGACGCTGGATCGATGCGGCGATCTATCTTGGACTATGTACGCTTCTTGAAAGGATTGTGCAGACGATGACGCCGACGAGCATGCTGACCGCCTTCCATGAGACTCACTGTCTCCTGCATGGAGCCAGCATCGCCACCGCCCTGCCGTGAGTGCATCGACATGACGTCATGGTGGTGAGGATGCGCTTCGCCGCCGGCGGGCCCTGGAGACATGCTGCCCGCAGCCTCAGGCGGTTGGTGCATCGCCGCGTACTCCATCGCAGCGGCCTCCGCATCCTCCTCGTCCTTGCCCTTCTTGCCAAGGCCCACGACGCCCATGATGCCACGGCCAAACGTCTTGCCGCCCGTCGCTACGCCGCGGCCCAGGCCGCCAATGCCGCCAATGACATTCGAAGCGACGTCGCCGACCAAGTGCCGGTTCAGCTTGTGGGTACGGTTGTTGAGGTACTGCGGCTGGAACATCAGACGCACGGTGATCGAGCTGTCATCGTTCGCGCCTTCGCCTGTGAGTGGGTACGTCCGCTCGTACGTCTCAAACGGCTCCAGCTCCGCCAGGTTCACAACGGCCTTGCCCAGCGGGTCGGACGCGCCCACCTGATCCCAGTCACGCACATTGAAAACATATTCGTGCGTCAGCCGCGACTGGATAAACACATCGGGCAGCTGCTCGTTGTACGTCGGGTTTAAGTTGCGTTTCACGGTCTTGGTCCGTGCGACAGTCACGCCGTTGTCCTGGAAGAGCACGTACGGATCCGACTTGCCGCCGCGGTCGGCCACTGAAAGGTTCGCACACGAAAGCACTTCGATCGAGAGCAGACCCTGGTTCACGACACTCTCCACAGGCTCCAAGTGGACATCCATCGGGATGTAGCGGCAACTAATCTTGATCTTGCTCGTACCGTCGGCCGCAAAGATCTCACCCTGACCCAGCTGCGACGTCATCTCCATGCCCTTGGTCGCCACTGACTGACCCTTCTCCACGGCTTTGCCGGGCATCGCGGTAATGTCACTCATCGACGGCGCATGCATCTTCATGTCATCCAGCTGCAGCTTGCCGGGCTTATTCAGCAGCTGCGACGGATCCATCGAGCCATTTTCACCCGTAGCCGACAACGTCAGCTCCATGGGCTCGTCCAGCGTGCCGTCGAGCAGCTGCTTGGTCGGCATCGAGCACTCGGCAAACACATCCGAGTCGCGCGGACCTGTACGCAGACGGAACCACACATTCGACACATCCAACTCACGAACCACCGCCTCACCGACTTCATCCCAGTCGTACTCCGCCTTGCGTCGCTCCGTCGTGTACGCCGGCCAGTACGCGTCATCAAATACGACCTCCAACTGCGCACGAGGCCGTGCGATCTTGCCCGAGATCATGTTGAACACGACAATGCCCGAGGGGCACGAGAGCAGCTGCTCATTCGTAAAGTCCATACCAGCATCTGGATCGTCATCTTCCATGTCATCGTCGTACGTAGTCGCGTGACCAGCACGCGTCGCACCACCCGCCGCTTCGATCGCATCCGGCGAGTCAAAGAGCGAGTTTTGCGCGGCCGGCGCAGCCCGACCTTCGGCCTTGCGGCGCTCCGCTTCCAGGCGGCGGTTCTGCTCCAAGAAGTTCGCTCCGCGCACGTGCATGGACGGAAGGAACTCCACATCAAAGTCAATCGTGCCTTTGGTCGTGCCGTTCGGCTGGCGCAGCGGCTCATGGTGCGCCTGACGACCCAGACCTTGGTATGGATACGTGCTGTCGGATACATTGTCACTGGCCAGCTTGCTCACAGGCAGATCGCAGTAGCCAAGCGTACGGTCGGCCGTCGAGGTTTGGTAGTCCATGACTTCCAACCGCACCACCTCCGCGGTGGAGTGCACAGGCGCATACAGCACCTGGTTCCACACGGGGTTCAGGTTGTCGTCAATCACACTCGTGCCGCTGACCACCAAATTGTTCACACGAAGCATCGCATAAGGATCCGACTTGCCGCCAGAAAGAGCCTCGACATTCTTCAGGTCCTTCGCACGACGCACCCAGAACTTGAGCACACCAATCGCAGGGCGGTAGCTGTTGCTGCCGTTGATGCTGCCCGACATCAAGATAGGCTTCCACTGCCCCGACATGCGCAAGCGCGCGCGATCGTTGTTCGGGAAGGGGAACCAGTCCTGCTTGCGCTGCCGAGCATGCACAATATCGTCGACACGCACATTCAGCGAGGCGACCACGGCGTCCTTGGCCAGCGGACGCGCATCGACAATGTCCACGGTAAGGGTACTGCCATAGCGATCTGTAATGAAGAACTCCAGCACCTCTTCAAAGATCGGGTCATGGGTATCCTTGATCACAGCCGTCTCCTTGATGAGCTTCTTGTTCAGCGAGAGGCGTGCCTTGGGATGCATAAAGCCCTCCAGCGTCTTGGAGGGGACCAAGTCACGGACTTGGTGCAGCGTCAGGCGCATGATACCCGCCGACGTCTCCGGCAGCGGGAGCAGCGTGCCATCCGGCGCACTCTCAGGCTTGAGCACTGGGAAGTAGCTCAGCGAGTACTGCACCGAACCACTGGGCTTCTCGTCATACATGATCGCCTTGTTCAGCTGGCCAGGATTTGGGTTTTGCATGAGCGATGACAGGTCAAAGCGTGTCACACCGAGACGCGTATCAGGGCGGCTGCCATTGTCGTCCATGACTGTGAGCGACAGCAGACCTTGCAGCTCTTTCAGCAGCACATGCTTCGTCTCCTTGAACGTCGGCTGCGAAATAGCCGTCTTGGCACCCGTTCGAGCAATCTCCTTGCCATCGTTCAGCGAGATGGACACATAGGGATCCGGCTCGCCGCCCATGACCGACACACGCCGCAGATCACGCGCCGACCAAATGGTGACTTGCAGCACACCAACTGTAGCATCGAGAGGCGTACCCGACATGATATCCTCCAAGTTCAGCGAGAATTGGTTCGGGTTGTACATCATCGGACCAAGCGACGCATGCACCTGGTTCTGAATAAAGCCCGAGAGACCCGGCAACGCCGCTACATCCAGGCCGAAGGTGCTACCACCAATGGGCTTCAACTCAAAGTCAAAGCTGGGCGGCTCCATAAACGACAAATCGACCATCTGCACGTGAGGGAAGCTGGAAATCAGCTTGAGGCGGATACGCATAGTACCCACAAAGCTCATGTTTTCCACAAGAATCGGCAGACCAGCGCCGACCATACCTTTACCGACACGGATCGTGAGCACCACTTTCGGGTTGATTCGTCGCGAGGCCTGACGCACAGTCAGGTCAGCCACATCACTGGGCGTGAAGCTGACTTTCCAGTCCATTACAATAATGTCGTCGTCCGTGTCGGACAACGTACGCACATACTCCACAATCGGAGCCTTGGTACCGAGAGTAAACGTGGTCAGGCGCAGCGAGTCAAGGAATGCAGGCGTATTATCACGCAGCACCTCATCGACCGATTGAATGATGGTGGCCGAAAGCACAGGCTCGTAAATGAGCCAGAACCGCGCCAGGAAGTGGTTGATCCAACGCGCCGTCTCGTTCTCAGAGATCATGCGGTGACGCGCAAGCTCGCGTGCCACATCATCGCGCACACGCTGCCGTGTGCGACGCACGGAGGTCGTGTAGTACGTGCCTGCCACGGCCATAATAATGATCGCCATACCCCAACCAGCACCAAAACGCGTCATGAGGTAGGTCACGATGACAGCGCCAACAATTGCACCTGCGTCAAACCATAGGTACCCATAGTACGCATCTTCCAGGAACGAGCTCACAATGTCAGTGTCACGCAACTGCGCACGCTGCACATCCAGCTCATCAGGCTTCATACCGAGCATACGACGCGATACACCAATCCAGCCGACCGTGTACCAGTCAGGGATATTGACAGACGGAGAACCCGCTGGCAACGCACCAGGCACAAGCAACTCCCCGCCTAGCTGGCCACGCTGACGACTCGCCTCGTCAATGTCACGAATACCGACATCCGCACGCACACGACGACCTTGAAGATCAGAGGAACACTCACGGTTGAGTATCTCGATCTCCTTACGCTTCTTCTCTTCCTGAAGCTCAGCCATCTCACCGCGAGGTTGGATATCCTGACGCGCCTTGGCGGCCGCTCGCGCCTTCTGCTCAGGCGAGGCATTCTCGTCAAAGACATTGACGTCCGCACCTTCCGCTTCTAGCTCGTGCGCAAAATCCTTCTGGACTTGTTTAGGGTCGGACGGCGGCTCATTCTCCTTATCTCCCTTACTAAAAGGGTTATGAAGCGAGACCATCTCTCTCACCCAGGCTCAAGGCACCAACAACACAAGGGAGGGAGGAGGGAACGAGCATAAAATGCAAGTGTTGTCGGTCCTTTCATTACACTTGGCAGGTGGAGCAGCACAAAAGGCCGCGCTTGCTGGCTCGACGCGCGCGAAGGGCCAATCGTTCAGTTGGACATGAATTCATTGCGTAAGCGATACTAAGACGCCGCTCGCGCCATGCCCTATCGACCGCGTCCGCTTCACGTGCGACGAACGCTCAGGCACAGCAGCTCAGTGGAATGCAAGTCAAAAAAAGAATTTCCTCGCGCCAACAGCACAGGCACCTCTATGATGGATGCTATGACAAACGAGTCATATTGATCATACAGAAATAGAATGAAGCATAGTCACAGACTAATAGACTACTACTTTACTTACGCGCCTTCTTCTTCGGACGCGTCGCCTCTTCCTCCTCCAGGTCGATCTCGCGATCATCATCGTCTTCATCCTCTTCATCTTCTTCATCCTCATCCTCTTCATCCTCATCCTCGTCCTCATCCTCATCTTCAAACAATGCGGGCGTCTCAAAGTGTTGCACAGCGTTCGGGAACAGGTCCTCGACAATAGCGCGGCCGATGCTGCCAGCCACTTGCGCGCTCTCACTGTCGAAGAAGCTCGAGAAGAACGAGCCAGGCTCAAAGTCGTCCGCCTCCAGATCAACTTCATCGTCCTCCTCCTCGTCCTCACGGTCCGCGGGAAGGTCACCCACCGTAGGCTTGAGCTTCGACAGGTTCACCGCATCCGACTTCCATGAAATGGGCGTCTTCACAGGCACAGTGTCTGTAGCAAAGTCGAATTGCGCAGAGAACTCACCCGCATCAGGCGCGAGCTTGAACTCCTTCACCAGTACCTTGTCCTCAATAAAATCGTTCGGTGAGAAGTGGAACTCAATCTTCGCCGCACGCGGGTCCTCTGGATCACGCACCACGTCGATCTTCGTGAGGTGGTCCAGCAAAGCGTGGTCATCGTCATCAATGTACACGTTGGTCGACACGCAGTTGGTCAGTGCTTGCGGCCAGAAACCTTCAATCTTGCTCACAACGTCAGCGCGCTTCTTCAAGATTGGGTCGTGGAGCTTAGCCATAAGCTTGGCCACTTGGATCTCAGCAGCATCAAACTCCTTCTCGAGTGCCTTGATATCGTCCTTGACGGTGTCGGGAATTTGGCCGATCTCTGGTTGACGGGTCATGGCGTGTGAATAGATGGCCACCGCGCGACCGGACGGGCGATGCATAAAAATTTGTCGACACTTCCCTATAACGTGAGCATGAGTCAGCGCCTGCACGTTAAAGTAGCCTTCCCCACCCCCTCTGCAATGTACGTGAGTGGGTACGTACGCAAACCCCTTGCTTTTCCTTCGCGTTGCTCGCCCCCCGCAACCTTACTAGCGCCCTGACGATGGAATCGCGAGCTCCCGCTGCGGTCCGCTCACGGCGCTATGACACAGCGACGGAGAACACTGGTACGTCGTCTATGCTGCGACCACGGTCGTCTGTGGACGATTTGGGCAGCTCAGTAGCTGCACCGCCGCCGGGCGCCTTTGCTCCGCCTGTGAGTGCGAACAAGTCTCAAACGCTCTTATCCGCCTTGCAAAAAAATAGTTTGCATGGACACGCACTAGGACAGAGTGACGACGAGGACGACTGGACCGATTCTGAGCCGGAAGTGGCCCCTGCTGTGCGGACATTGCTCAATGACGAAGGCGCGATGCCTCCCACGCGGTCGTTCTTGCAGGAAATGCAAACGCGAGAAGACAAGTCGTGGATTGATGATCTACAGAAAGAGCACCCCAACATTCGCCGTGTGCCTATGCCGTCGGTGGCAGATGTAGAAGACGAGGATGCCCCGAAGACGATCCCTTCAGCGCCTCGTGTGCGGACTGTGCTGCAGTCGACGAACGAGCCCTTGGATACATTGAATGAGAACGATATCTCAGTGGCTACCGCTGCAGCGAAAGCAATGAGTCGCCTCACGACAGATGACATGGACGACGAGGAAGCGGATCCTGTGGCGGCCGATAAGCAGCCAGATGACGACGAAGTACAAGCAGCTGCGCCTCGTAAGAAGAGCAAGTCGAAGGTCGAGTATGAAGTGGGGCCAGATGGGGAGTTAGTCAAGAAGAAGAAGAAGAAAAAGAAGGATCGCGATACCAAGAAAGATCCTACTTTGAAGAAGAAAAAGAAGAAGAAAGACCGTGAGACAACGATGACCGCGCTGGATGATCAGGCCGATACGCTGCCGCTAGATGAAATGGACGAGCAAGCTTTGTTGGATGAATACACTGTGCCTACGAGGTCCCTAGCGGGCGTGGATGTGCCATCGCGGAAGGTGGAAGACGATGATGTGCCTTTGGCAGCGTCTGTGGACGACAATGACGAGGAAGAAGAGGTGCAGCCTACGCACCGCATGGCGGACCTGCACCGTGAGTCGATCGCTGATGCATGGCCTCGTGCTGCGACGGAGGTGGAAGAGCCGGAGGACGAGGAGGAGGATGACTGGACAGCGCCTTCGACACTGCTCCATTCGCGCATGAAGACGGAAGAAGCATTTCCTACGCTTATTTCGCCGGCTGTGGCAAAGGCTGTGCCAGCAGCGGCCACAATGAGTGTAGGCACGACGCCCAGTCATCCTAGCTCGTCGTTGGCATCGCCGCGGTACGCCAAGCTGGATGCTGCCGCATCCGTGTCGCCTATGCCGACCAGTGCACCGCGGGAGGATCGTCCTGCATCGCCAGCTCAGTCCTTGGCCCTTACAGAGGTGCGAGCGCCGACGGAGCTGGATCGCGATGTGGAGCGCAGGATGATGGCCATGTCGGTAGCGCGTGATCGTGGCCGTGTGCAAGTCTTGAACTACAATGCTACGCGTCTGGCTGTGAATGTATACATTTTGTACTGGGGCCTCTTTGCGACGCTACGCAAAATCTGGCGTTGGGAAAACCGATGGTTGACGGGCAGCTTGGCGGCGTTTTATGTCATTGTTTGGTGGCGTGGTGATTTACTCGCTGTGTTTTTCCTGGCTGCATTTTTGTACGTGGCCACGTTCCGTGTATGGCAGTTACCGCCGACGGCCCCTGGCCAAAGCGATGCGACGGGGATGACACGTTCTACAAGCCAGCAATCGCTCATGCGCCGTACCACTGATGGCATGAACATGCTAACGATGGCACCGTCGCGAGAGACGCTGCAGCAGGTCGGCGATCAGGTGCTTGTTGTAACACATGGCCTGGCCGATATGCATGAGCGTGTGAAGAACTTGATGTTGTGGCGCAGTCCGTTGCTGACATTGCGGTATCTTGGATGGCTGTTGCTCTTGGGTCTGATTAGTATGCACATTACGACGTGGATGCTGATGCGCCTGCCTGGCTTACTGGTGGGTCTGTTGGTGTTTGTGGTGGCGCCGCTCATTGAGTACGGTTACTGGCGCAACATGGTAGAACTGCTGAGCGAGACCACCGGCACGCGAATGCCCGATCCCTCCACGCCCTATGCCACGATACGCGCTGTGCTGGACAGCGTGCTAGCAGGTGTACCGACCGACGAGGAGTACTTACGTCAGAAGCTCTCGCGTACGCACTGGGAGGCCGAGCGTGAACTGCGTCGCCGTGGCCAGTGGATTGATGCACACAACAAGATTATCGGTGAAGAAGAGGTACGTATGCGTCGTAGCACTCGGCACGCCAAACCTACGCGACACACGACGCATCGCTGGGCAGACGTGGACGATGCAACACGCGTCCTGCACCGCCGCTCATCACGTGCATTGCATGCATGGGAGGAGGAAGGGATGGACGACGCGCCGTACCTGTCGCGTTCCAAGTCACAGGCTCATCGCAGCAGCCGTCCGTCCCACCGTCGTTCGTCGCGGTACCTCTCGACGTTGGACGACGACCGCAGTGATGTGCCGCTCTCGCCGCCGAGCGATATGGATCATGCAGTTCGCCGTCGCACGTCTCGCGCGATGCCGACATGGGACGAAGAGCCACGACGACGTCGGGGTGAGCATAGTAGCGAGCTGCGTAGCTCGCATCGGCACTCGATGATGGAGCGGGAGGAAAGTGGACGCGTATCGCGCATGCGCCCAACCGATGCATGGCCAGAGACATACGAGGCGCCTACGTCGCGAGGCACACCACGTGCGCTTGACGTGGATAGCGCATCGGAGTATGGCTCGCAAGCCGGCACTGTATGGGAGCTCGACTCGGTGGCTGAATCTTCGATGGCACCTGCCGCGCGTGTCGAGCGGTGGCGTGCGGATACCACGATGCCAGAGCGCGTACATACACCACCTACTGTCAGCAAGTCGGGGCCTTTGTCGTCCGCCTCCCCGCCCTCTCAACCGGCTATGCGTGCCATGCCCAGTCGTGACGAGGAACAAGTCATCGGCGCAGCGCCCGTCCAGAGTTTGTCCGCGGCGGCCGCAGCAGCAGCATCGATGCCGCGTCCATGGAGCCCAGCGAAAACGACTACGCCTACGCGGCCACGAACGCCCGTGCAGCCCACAGAGGTACAGAGCAGCACAGTGTCGCCCTACGTTCCGCATCGCATGACCCAGTTACTTCCGCCGGCCGTGACCTCAGCTACGGCGTCGCCAGCGTCCGTCGTGTCGCGTGCTGGCACAACGTCAGTGGAAGAAGCACTGTCTGACATTCCACCGCCGATTCAAGTGCAGCCTCGCTCTACGACCATGCCGGCCATCCCTGCAGCGCTCTCGTCCGCGCCAAATAGTCCGGCGATCCCACGTGTGCTAACAAGTGCCCCTGTATCGGCGTCACGGAGGCCGGACGAGCTGGGCGATGAGTTTGACGGCATGTTCCTGGCCGTGTACCGCAAGCGCTTGGGGCACTTGCTAGTCTTCCCCACGCGCATTGTATTCCTCCTATCCTACGGCCCGAAACGACCTTTGGCCCCTGGCCCCGGCCTTACAGAGACAGACTTGGATACGCTCAGTCATTTGGTCGAAGGTCGGCCTTTCTACCCGATCCAATCGCCGTCGTCCATTGCGGCAATGGTGAAGCAGGAGATGATGGGCACAGGACGTACGTCGCTGACCATGGCGCCTGTCCCCCTGGCTCGCATTCCCTCGCTGGATCATATCCTCTTTGACGTCCCTATGGACGATGTGGTGAGCATAAAGAAGCTACGGAAGACGCCACCTGTCTTGGAACACTGCGCCGAGGGTATGGAGCTGGTCCTCGCCCACAACGAAAAGAGCGTAGGCCTGCCAGCCGTGCTGGGCCGTGACGCGGCATTCCGCCGTGTATTGGCGCTGCAGCCAGACAAGTGGGCATCGTCATAGAGAGATAGATATCATTATTCACGAATCCTAGGCTAAGCCAAACCCTGTACTGTGCCGCAGGGCAATCCGCAATTTGGCCTCCAGCGTCGAGGCATTGGTGTACACAGGCAAGAACAAGGTAGATGTGCAGGTACTGCTCCATGGCACCCGCGCCGCGCCCACCTCCGCGTCCACATGATGAAGACGCAGTCCCAGTACACGTGGACCTAGCGCCGGAACACGGGTACACCCAGTAATGAAGCCCAGCAACGCATGCTGCTCGTCAGGTGGCAGGTGCGTCCAGGCTGCCCAGAAGGCATCCAGATTGGCATACACCGAGGCTGCTTCGTTGCTAGACCGGTCTGGGAAACCGACCAGTTCTGTATGCGCCCGCAACGCTTCAACGTCCAAGTACATTTCGTCCCGTCCACATAACAGTGTCTCCAGCTCGGCCGCAGAGAGGAGCGCAAGCAGCGAGCGTGGCGCAGCCGCCCCCACGATAGTGGCAAACCCGCGCGCAAGGGCTTGCAAAGGCACTTGAATCTGCTCCCACAAAAAGTAGGTGCACAGCCGTGCGACGTAAGCTTGTCGCTCACTTGCGATCACAGCGCGTGTAGCACCATCGGGGCACAGAGGATGCGAGCCATGCAGCGAATCCACTTGCCATGTCAAGTGCATCGCTGCAACTTGACTCGCGTCGCAGGCTAAAAGCTGGCGCAGTCCGGCCGCCAACGTGGGCTGGACATCGTCCAGTGTCTCAAGTGTGCATGGCACAGCCTCGTTCTGCGCTAACGCCAAGAGAAGCGTGTACATCGCACGGGGCAGACGCAGCGGCACTGTAATTTGATGGAAGAGCGCAAGGCCCATGATAGCGCCTAGCAAGCTCAATCGGTCCAGGGCACTGGGCGACGACACGGCAGATGGATCAAGGAATAGGATACCTTGCATACTAGGCTCCTGCGTCCCAAGATCGTACCAGCACGCATCATGCTGGAGCTCGTCACAGAGCACTTGGAGCCACTCTTTGCGTAGCCCGCCCGCATCCTGCGCCGGCTCATCACGAAATGTCACATGCAAAGGACGGTGCACAGCGCCGTACGGCACGTCCCGCCATGCATCTAGCGCATCGTCTACCATGTGCGAGCGCAAGACGGATACGTCCCATGTGCCTGTAGACGCAGAGGGCGACGGTGGCGCCACGCCGGCTGGCCGTTCCATCGCATCAAGCCATGCGTGATGCGACGCTTGACGCATCGCACACTGGGCCTCCCATGCAAGAAGTTGGGCCTTGGCACCCAGCGTGAGTAAGAACGGCGCATCGCACAGAGTTGCAGCTCCATGCAGCCACAACGTATACTCGTGCACGATGGAAGGCAACTCCGTCGCGGCGACATAGAAACGAAGCGAGGGAATACGCACCGGGCGTACCTCGTTGGCTTGCCAAGCATACATGAGCGCACGAACGAGCCAAGGGATCGGTGCGCGCGTAAATGGAGAAGTAGTGGCTGATGCTGTTATCATCGAGGCCCAGTGCCAGCTAAGCGTCGTCGTAAGCGTATCAAGAAGCTGTGCAAACGCCTCTGCATCCATTGCACCCATGGCAGCACGCATCGAGGCGTCCATGTGCACGACCCAGGCATCTACACACGCATGTGAGTTGCAGGCCCCAGCGACAAGCAGGGCAGAGAGGACGACCATCGGCTTGGTAGGCACACATGTAGCATCGAAGCGCGAGGCACACACGTCCAACGCTGATGAAAAGCTAGCGCGCCACGTTTCGCGTACCTCGTGAGGAAGGGTATCAGAGGCACAAAGATAAAGCAGTTGCGATACGGCTTGGTGCGTCTCCGTGAACAATGTCCATGTTGCCGGTGATTGCAGCCAAGTGGCTATGGTAGGCCCCAGCGCTTGTAGTGACTCCAGGTCTCTGAGCGATGCAGGCAAAGGACACGGATCCGACGGAATCGGCGAGTCGTCCCTTTTTTGTGGAGCGCGAGCCTTGGCCCGAATGGAAGCGATGGCATCGTCCAGCCATGCCTCCTGGGACGCCAACGTGGGTGGCATACTACGCCATGGCGCCGTGTGCGAGGCATGCAACGTCTCCCAGTGTGCTACCACAGAGCCGGTAACTTGGCCATAGTACATATGGGCCCAAGCGCCCATCTGGCCACTTGGCGCCTTGTCACGCACGACAATGCTGGCTACGCCATGCACAGGGAGGGGGGGTGGCGACGTACGAGGCCGACGTAGATCAAGGAACGTATCGCCCTCCTCTTCGTCATCCTCCTGCCGCTCGCTGGGAGTATCCACAATAGGTCGCGCTGTGCGCCCTGCATTGCGCCACTGCGATGCGCGTGCATTCAACTCATCGATGCGGGAAGGATACGGATTGAAGGTGGACGTTGTTTCTTCCCACATCGAGCGTGCTGCGCGAGCGCGACGTGAGCGAGGCTGCTGAGCCGCCGAAGCCAGGTCAGGAAAGGCAGATGTTGAAATAGAGGCTGAGCTAGAAGCCGAAGGGCGTGCCCATGCCGACTTGCGTGGCGACGGTGGCATGGACCATGCGTGATGACCGTTTGACACGAAGAGGTGGAGGCCTTTCACAAAGACCTAGCCTGTCCGCCGAATTTGGGCCGCATTTTCATCCACGACCATGTCGCACGTCCTTAGTCTCCCCGTAGACTACGTGCCCAGTCATGCTACGAATACCCTATTTTCGAGTCTACGGCAGCGTAGGCCGCCCACTGACAACGACTGGCCACATAACGAGTTTGATTTTGAGCCCTTTGTGAAACGAGAGCTCCAAGTACGGCTTGACAGCGCTGATGATCTCTGTCCACGCTTTGCAGCTAAAGGCCAATGTGACTGGGGTAGTCGGTGTACACTGCGCCACTGCATCACACCCTCGCCTTCGATACCCACCACCAAGACGCGCGACGTGTCTCGTCGCACGGTATGCAAGCACTGGCTACGTGGCCTATGCAAAAAGGGCGACCAATGTGACTACTTGCACGAATACGATCTGCGGCGCATGCCAGAGTGCCGCTTTTACGCTACGTTTGGGTTCTGCAACTCGGCAGATGAATGCCTCTATATCCATATTGACCCCAGTGTTAAGCGACGTGCTTGTGAGCGATACGAGCGTGGGTTTTGCGAACTTGGTACGTCCTATTTTTCGCACTGACACATGCCAGGTCCGCACTGTCCGAAGAAACACATTCGTAAGATGGCGTGCCCGTACTATCTCGCTGGCTTCTGCCCCCTCGGACCTGAGTGCAACTTGGGACAGTACGTATGGATGCACTAACACGCGCAGTATCAAGGCTCTGTACCCATCGCCAGCATCGCGGGCAGCCACGCCTCTACTGACCCACCGTCCTCTTACCATGGCGGAGGCCTTTGGTGGAGCGCCCGGCATTCAAGAACTTCCGACCGATCCCCATACTGGCCGTGTCATTGTTCCCGCCAAAGACTGGGCTGCGGCTGCCGAGCTACGCAAGGCTACCGCTGCGGCTATACGAGATGGATCAGCACGCAAGCGTGAACTAGCCGATGTACAGTGCTACAAGTGCGGCGAGTATAATCACTTTGCCAACGCATGCCCGAACAGTCGCATGGGAGGCGGATTCCGTGGCGGTGGTGGTAGTGGATTCGATCGTAGCGGTGATCGTTGGCGCTAGTTAACTATGCATTGCAGGCAGTAATGAAATTAAAGCTTCGCATGAGGCTTGCTCACATCAATCTTGGTATGAGTGGCCGTGGCGGCGTGGGTCACACGCTTGCCATCGCGGCTGTCGAGCGCGAAAAAGTCAATGTGCAGAAGAGCCGCAGCACGGCCCACCGACATGGTGCGGGCTTCCACCTCGATCCACGTACCGATCGACAGGGGGGCAGCGTACTGCACGCTCAGCGTCTGCGACATGCCCATCGTTGTCCAGGGCTCGTGGGGCTCACCGCTGCAGTGCAAAAGCAGCTAGTAGGTCAGTCTGGTGCGTCATGTACATACGGCAAAGGACGACAGGGTGTCGGCAATGGTGGCCGTGCATCCACCATGCATCGTGCCGAAGGGGTTGGCCATGTGCGGCGCCACCTTCAAACGGAAACGCACCATGGCACGACGAGCACGCTTCGGGCGATCACTCACCGAGCGCCAGCCGCCGCGCCAAACCACACCGTCACGCTCGCAGTGTGTGAGGAAGCAGAAGGACTTTTTCAATGTAGCCACATTGTAAGAGTCCTCTGATGTCATCATTGCATCGAGCATCTGCTCGATCATGGCCGCAGCCTCGTCTACTGATTGCATCGGCATGGTGGATAGAACGGAACCTACTATCTGGGCTTACTAAGCACGTGAACATCGATTGCCGAGGCGGTACACGAGCGTCTCGAGCTCTGTGAGCTGGGCCTCGCATGGCGCCGAGCTCGCTTTGTCCGCCTTGGCTTTGGCGGTGGCATACTGAGCACGCAACTCGCTTGCTTCCTCATGATCCCCCGCCTCCTCAGCCAAGTGGGCCGCGAGGTAGGTACACGTTGCTTCCTCTCTCCAGGTTTCTGTGCGCTGGAAGTCTATCAGGGCGTTAGTGGAGGCGCGAACCCAGGGCCGGGACGTACCTATCATACCGTTCCGCAAGGCATTTCTCGCCATATCTGATTGGTGCGTAGCTAGGGCCCATTTTGCTTGGACCAACCGTACATGGCCCCGCCGCTCCCCATTGGGATCGGCCAGGGCTGAAGGGAGAATCTCGTCGAGGAGCGCCTGCGCTTCTGTATGCATGTCAAGCGACATGATCATCACATCCGCCAGCATACATAGACACGTGCGTCGCGCCGGATACAGTTGTTGCGCATCACTCGTCGCCAACGCTTTCATGAGAATTTCCAGGCATTGATGCGGCTGCTGCGCCTCCATCAACGCTCGTGCCTCTTGGAGCCACATGAGCGCTGTGGCCTCTGTATCCACCGGCGTACTTTCCCACCACTCTGTGATCAATGGGCAGAGCTCTTGAAGACGACGTAGCGTTGCCGTATGTTGTTGTCGATGTGCGCGCTGCCACACTACATGCCATAGCCCATCCTGCCATAGCCGATGCAAGTGTATACTCGTGACGCATTCCAAGGTCTGTGGCTCCATCAGCATCACAAGCGCCTCCTCGTAATCACCGCGCTCCGAGGCTTCGAAAGCAGCTGTGATCGTTGCCTCTAGCCTAATCGAGGTCCAGTTTTCAGGCGGCGTCAACCGCATACGATGCACATGCGCCAAGTATACTTCCGCCACGGAGGGCACGCCGATTTGCAGCCAGAGTCGGGCTAACACTGCCGATGGGCATGCGGCACTCCGTTCAATGCTAGGACGCGGCTCCCATGCGGCTTCCGACGATGCACCAGCTTCGCGCGCTTTCCATGTGGCATCATGCAGTCGTTGGACAAGGCCAAGGAGTGGCTTTCCACGCTCTCGATCCATATCGGCTTTCCATAGCGTCAAGGGAGCATACGCTCCATTTTTGAGCGTGTCGTCGGTATCGCGCTGCGTTAGCACATTGGCTTGACTAGGCTGGGGATCCAGGTAGGCGAGTTGGTCCAATAGGCTGGGCTGTTAACCACGATAGGGACAACGTACTGATCGCAAGCCCGCATGCATTCCGTATCGCCCACTGTCCGTGAGAGGAGAATGGCTTCGTCCAGGGCCTGCGTAAGTGAGGTAGTAACGTACAGCACGAGATGCACGGTAGCCTTTCGTCAACATGTGAAACCGGGCCAAGTTCAGGAGCGCATGCTGATGCATTTCCCTGTTGATCAGTCAGTGATACCACATACTTGTCGCATCCAGGCAGGGTATAATCAAAGAAGGCATGTAGCTGGTTCTTTGTCATGGTATAGTTGCCACGACGTTCACTATCGCGCCATGCTCGGTACACTTTGGCTGGTTCACTCGCTGGCCCGTTAGAGGACGTTGGTAGCGTACCTTGCCATTCATCTGCCACGGTATTCTCTACGCCGTCACGCCAGGCTGTACACAAATGAAGAAGCTGAAGCCTGTCCCGGTCTAAGAGCATTTCATACGATAGCCGTGCTCGACGCACAAAAAGCCCCAGGTACGAACGTCGATCCTGCGATCAGTTTAACTTTTTCTCACGTACGAGAGGAAACGCAGGGATCTGGGTTGTCTACCTGTTAGCCGCCCTTGAACGTACCTCTTCCTGTATCATGTCCAAACAATCTGGCAATTCTGCGTGTGAGCATATATGCTCACGTACTGGAATACATGAGATCGGCCAAGCCATCCAAACTATCCAACGATGACAACTGTGGTCAGATGGCATGCACATACCATCGCATCCAAGTAAGCGCTAAGCCGCGCTTCTGTGTTAGGAAAAGACTCCAATACAATATGCAGACGCATTTGCATGCTGCTCCATGTCGACGGGACTGGATCCAGCTGTGTGTGAGGATGTCAGAGTACCTACACTCTCCAACGCTCGAGCCACGTACATCAACAGGACCCGGCCTGCACGCTCTTCTTGTTCTACTGCCGGCTCTAGGCAGAAAAAGGTGATGAGTCCCAGCAAGGCTACAGTCGGCCCATCCAGGGCCTGTTGACACCCGAACCGGATCATCGACGTACAATGCACGCGCCGTGTTGGTACGCGTGGAGGCGTAGGCTGGCCGTGGAAGTGACGTGGAGGCGAGGAGTCCACAACCGCGACATGGCTTGCACGGTGTGGGTTGTCCATCTTCATGTCGACCCACGTACCACAGAGCCGCATTCTCATTGTGCGGCATGGTGAAACAAATGAAAATGTACAAGGGATTATCCAGGGTCAGCTGGATACATTGCTGAATGACATGGGTGTGCAGCAGGCACGCATCACAGGCCAAGCGCTATCGAAGGAGCCTGTGATGCGAATTATCAGTAGCCCATTGAAACGCACGATGCATGTACGTACAGGCCCCCCACTCACGAAAGACTGCCGAAGAGATTGCTGCGCACCATCCCTCTGTCCAGATCGAACGTGAGCCGCGCCTAATGGAACGATGCTTTGGTGTACTCCAGGGCCAAGTGTACCGTGGTCCAGCGCAGAAGCCGGAGGATACTGAAGGCATTGAGCCCTCCATTGCGTACGTGATAACCATGTCTACTCACACTCTCAGCATGGTCGCACGTCTCCAGTCTTTTTGGCACGACCTCATGAAGGATATGAAAGCCCAGCCTAGCGTCGTCGTGCTGGTGAGCCATGGCGGTGCTATTAGCACCCTGGTCAACCAAGTCGTTGTCCCTGAAGGGCATGCTGTGCACGGGCCAGGTATTACGCCGTCGCGATTCTGGAACTGCAGCATCTCCGATATCCATTTGTATGATCATCCATCCAAGCCAGGCACGATTGTGCGTTGGGCAGATGTTTCCCATCTGCATGAAGCCACACACAAAGTAGTGAATGTAGACGAAGCTGCCAATTAAAAATCAAGGATATATATATATATATTACATGAGGTGTAGGCCTGGCCGTTCCTCCTATGTTCGTGGGGGTGCGTGCGCTGAGGAACGTTGGCGATTCAGAAGCGTCTGCAACGCGCTAAGCCACTGAATCTCTTCGTCTTCCGTCGGTGCACACAAAATAAAAGAGCGGTCTGTCGTTACAATGCGGAAGCAGTATGCAGGCTTGTGCGAGTCAGGGTGCAAATGACTCAATCCATCGCGCAAGGGCGACGAGGGCATCCCACCATGAGCTCGTGCATCTGCGCCGAAGCCACGCAGCCCAAATGAACTGGGCGAGAGCGAAAGCGATGGACCAAAGGGACTCGGACTTGGCGGATCATACTCCATCACATCAAGGATTGTTTTGGTGGGAATACGTCGATAGGAGCGCGTATCCATATGACTCCGAGAGTAATAAAGCATATCTAGCGTAAGAACAAACCATCGTTTCCGCCATTGCTTGCGGCGATGACTCTGCTTCATCAAATAGCCCTGTGCGATAATGCGATTTGTATCCTCCTGCGAGGGCGCTGCTGGCGACTGCATCTGTGCAGATACCTCTGATGGAAGTGGCATCAGCATATCGCCAGGCGCATCATCAAATTCATCCTCAGAGCTGCTCAGCCCTGTCGGGTGGTTAGACGAAGAGTGAGGTATACTGCCATAGCCTTCTGGTATATCGGTAGTAGGGCGCTGGGAAGGCATATTGATCGGCATGGGAATTTCCAACTTGGTCTTGCGGTTGTGTGCAGGCTCAATACGTATGGCATGGGCAGGCGAGGTCACGGTGCTGGGGGAGAGCAAGACATCTGGGGCGCTTTCGTCGTATGAATAGGCATGGTTTACTACCGGCGTGGCCGGTAGCGGCGTCGCCGTACTTGATACCGGAGAGGCCACCTTGGGATCCATATGCGCGATACCTGATGGCTCTGTAGCCGCATAACGCGTCCGCTCCAAGTCATCAAGCCACACGTTCGTTTGCCTCGGCTCAGAGGCGCGCAGATAAAGCGTCTGATCTTGCGTTACAATGCAAATGGAGACACCTTCACGCTTAAGTTCCACAGGAGCCACTGTGCGCATCTCTTTGGCCTGGATGACACTGTGCAATGTATACTCTTTATCGTTCTTGTAAAAGGCAAGACGCGTCGCACGCAGTACGACCCAACGACGCTTCCATTGCTTGCGCTTTTCTGTACGGGTGAACATGTACGCAGAACGCAGTACTTTCTCATTCAGGAGTTCAGGGGGGATCTCTGAGAGAGGATGCTCGTCTTCGTCCTCTTCCACATCCAGGTCTGGCATGGCCTCCGCCTGCGTCGGCGACGCTGACGTGGGCGCGGTGGACCTTTGCCCAAAGGGCAACGATGGCAGGAAATGCCCCAAGCTACTGTCTCCATGCGACGGGCGCATTCCAATCGAGCTAGAGAGGATGTTCATCCTCAAATCATAGGGCCAGAGCCGAGTTTGGCTATCTTTCGGGGATAATACAAAGGAGAGAGCGGCACAGCTGTGATGTACGCCACCTCGCTGGGGCAAGGGCCTTAGGTCATAAGAACCCCCGCTTAAAGTCTCGATCTGGGTCCCTTTCCATAAATCCTCAAATTGGCACGTGAGGGCCTCAAGGCAACGCGGGTGACGACGGCCGTTTGAGGCTCCTATCTTGGTCAACCATGTTCGGTCGTGCCAGTTCGATGATGCCCCTGCGTGCTGCCCAGCGCGTGTCGGCGCGTACTGCATCGCCGATGCAGATCCGTCGTGCTTCGGGCCATGGTCCTAGCTACAATGAGCCATCTGGTATGTTCCGGCGTTTGGGTTCTAACGATGCACAGGATACCTCTTTGGTGAAAAGGTACTTACACCGCCTATACTAACGAACAATAGCCACCTGCACCTGGTACGAAGCGTGTGAAGGATGCATGGGAGTGGCCATGGTACCTGGGTATGTACGGCGGCGCTGCTGCGTTCGTTGTCGCGATGTGGTACAAGCCGGACAAGAGGTATGTCCTTCTTCTAGCGGCACAACTAACCTGCTCAGTGTTCGTGTTTGGGCAGCTCCGGAGGCTGAAAAACGCCTCGATGAGTCGGGTCTAGAATGGCGCTACAAGCCTTCGCCCAACTCTGGCTACCCTAACGGTATTCCGAAGTGAGCGGGCATTGAAAATACAGGACGATCCTATCCACTATTTTATCCATGCTGTGTATTTGCTACCTTGCTCCTTCATCTACTCTACAGGTTTACGAATGTTCAACTTTGTCCGTAGTTGGGTAATCTAATCTTATAAGCTTTCGAACATACATACCATGGGGATATGTGCCTGGAGGCGCTTTTCAATCATCGCTTCAATGGTCAGCACCTGCTCCAAAGCTGTATGAGGGGGAAATGTCAGTGTTATATAGGCCGTCATGAATGGTCCATTTGGTATCACTGCAAGTTGACTCCATGAAAACATAGGTCCTTCACCCCGCTCTTTCATATAGTCCAATAGTTGGTCCAACTGTACACGCACACTCTGTACATGCTCAGGACCGGCACTTCCATCGCACAAATGGTTCACCGCCGACATAAGCAGCCTCCATGCCTCCCGAAAATTGTACACGGCCTGTACCATACCGCCTAAAGGATCCAGCCACGCGGCACCCAACCACGTACCAGTAATAGCCAGAAACGTCATAATGGAACCCATACTTTCCACACGCTGATGCTGTGCACTGGCCGCCAGCACAGAACTGCGCGTCTCCTTCGCTTTTGCCATGGTAATGCGAAAGAGGATCTCCTTTCCGATGATGTTTAGCAGGACGAAGGCCAATGCTAGAGGGTCTGTGCTTTTATGTTTATGAGTATGTGAATGTCCCGAGGAGATCCCACTGATGAAGGAATGAATCTGATGAGACCAGAGCGCTGTGGATGGTACAGTGTCCGAGATTCGCGCAAACGCGTGCATCCCAATTCCCAGGGAGCCAGCCAGCAACGTGACGCTGATAAACAAGGAGCCTATGGTCTCCATTTTTGCGTATCCAAATGGATATTTCTCCGTAGGCTTCTGCTTAGCTTTATGCAGGCACAGCAGCGTAGCAAAATCACTAATCGTATCAGAGGCAGAGTGGCTCGCTTCTGCCATCAAGGATGAACTATCCAGCGCGAGCCCTGCGAACCCCTTCAACACGCAGAGAAAAAAATTGACACCTAGCCCCAGATACGCCATACGTGCGATGGAGTCGCCACGTTCTAAAATTTGGCTCCAGTCCATGGTTCCGTGCAGATGCACATGGTCATGACCATGCTCGTGGTGCATATGGTGGTGATGAGGCGCGTCTTCTTGTGCCTTACGCCCCCAAAGGAGACCCATGATGCTGTTTCACAACAAGGAGAGAACCACTTTGTGGACGATAGCCTGTACCAGCACTATGTATCGTGATCACCACAAAATACCCTCCGGTTGACAAAGCGACTTAACAGGTACTCGAAAGTGGAGTAAGGGCTCGTTGAGCCTACCAAATAGGCAAGAAAAAAATATTTTTGCACACCTGCATGGTGCACGCTGTTCTCTGCTGTATGTCTTGGCACGTTCCTGCTGACCTGGAGGATTTAGGGCCAGGTACAGGGCGTAGCAAAATAAATTCTCTTTATTCGTGGAATATATGGGCTTTGAACTATGTATATCTCCAGGACCTCTAGTATTTGAGCTGATTTACATTTACTAGTTTTCCTTTTATTCGTACCATGGAGGGGTTTTTTACGTCATTGCTAGCATCGAGGTCCGTTTGTACATTGTTGTATATCTCATGTGCCTGTGCACGGTTTTGAGGAACAAAGCCGGTGCTTTGACAAACTAAGCGATACCGTGCACGGATGCGTTCCATTAACTTGGCGAGATCAGGTTCATTTTCTGAATGTTCGGTTTGGTCTTCTTGAAGGAGGGCAGAGTCATTCGTAGTTGGCATATCTTGTAACAACATTTCCAGCATGTCCAGCTGCTGTTTTTGTTTCAGCATTTTCCGACTAGCACCCTTCGCCTCTTCTGCTTTTGTGAGCAGGTCCTTAAAAGTGTTGATGAACCCCTCATAATAAGCAAGTTCAGACCAGATTTCAAAACCTTTTTCGAGACCCAAGGCCTTGCCCTCAATAAAGCCAAACGTTCGGCCTTTGCGTTCTCCCTCTTGGTAACCTAATTGGTAAGCCTCTAGCTCTAATCCCGCCACGTCGTTGAAATCAAAATCTGTCATATCGGCCAAGCAGGACATTACAGGGTGCCTTTTCGGCAGGCGATTTCTAGTTAAGGAATATTTTTGTTTGCGTCAGCAGTGGTGGTGGAGGAAGGAGATTGACGTAAGCTTGCGTCTTGTTCTTTGGTCTGACCGAGATAATCTTCACGTGAGATTAAGCCGGGGCTCGCCACCGTGGCATTGCTCATACCCCATACTTGCTCGGAGCGGTTTGAGTTATTGCTAAGCCTTGACATGGAGGAAGATACACTAGGGTGCGAGTCCAAAGGCCCCATGGTAAATGATTTTTCGGTACCTGGCGTCACAATTGTAGAATCTGACCCTTGCCTGGCCGGAGAGAGACTCATGTTTTGGAGCTGTTGGGCCATTTCCAGTGGCCCCATGGTGCTGGGTGTCCCACTCCACTCATGGCCAGACGATGTCATCATTATAGTATCATGAAGAATGTTAGGGTTGTTAGGGCAGGACCATTTTAATGCATGAGAGTCTGTACTGGAGGGTACAGGCAGGCCACTTTGGTTCCCTGCATACGTAGGGATTGTTTTTGAAAAGGATTCCAGTCGAGCCACCATCTCATTGATAGGAGCCGAAGTTGGATGCCCAGATGACTTATCACTTGTTGGTGAACCTAAAGCCACAGATACCGAGTTGGAAGGTCTGCGTGGAATGCTTGCGTATATAGGCGAGCTAATGGGCTGTTCATAGACTTGCGCATCGCGCATAGACATTTGAGGCTTCCCATAGCTGTGGTGCGCAGATCTACTCGATAGATGAGGAACTGCTCGTTTTGTGTGTAGATTCTTCTTGGCTAGCTCTGCTTTTAAAATGCAGCCGCGGTCGGGATCCACACGGAATCCATTAAGCACATCCCGAGCCTGTAGAGCTTCTTCACGAGTGGTAAACTTGGCAAAACCGATAATCTGTTTGTTCTTCGCTGTGGGTGCGTCATTACCACTGTTGGATGTCTCACGTGAATCAGGATCAGAATTGATACTGGTCCAGGTGCTGTGGCGTTCCCCGAGCTTGCGAGAATCAGCTTCGTCTCCTTTTAGGGAGTTGGAAGACGGCGTGGGGTACTTGAGCATGGATGCCTCAAACCCTTTGGCAAACAAAAACATGTTGGAAAACTCGCGATCAGTAATGTCGTCCGGGAAGCCGGCCATGAAGAGAGTGGAAATTTCTTGAGGTGAACGTTCCGACATAGGGTTGGGTGCGGTAGCATCGCCCTTCCTAAACACTGCTGGCGACTGGCTGGCTGCCCCGTGAGATTGGGCCGGTATACCCATAGGCACATGGAGGTTATCCATATGATCTGTCCGTCCTGTCGGCTTGAAAGGTCCATTCCATGTGCTTGGGACTACGTTGATAGGGGGATGCGTAGCACTGCGCATAGTATATTGCTCTGTACCAACCATAGACATCGGTCCGAGTCGACCCGATGAATTGGTCCAGTTCCATTCGCGAGAAGGAACATGGGTACTCGGCCCAGATACCATTCCCATAGGCACATTTTCCATAACATGCGTAGTACGGGTCCTCTCTGGGCTGGCTGATATGCTATCCTTTCCAAAGTTGTTATACGAAGCCATAGTCCAATGTGGGTTCATATCTGAAGCGACCATAGGGTAGGAATTGTTACGCTGTTCATTCCATGCGGCGGTTCCCGGGGAGGTGACAGGTTGAGTTGGATGGTCTGCCCTTAGTACATCTTCAGCGCGCTGCATCAAAGCAGCGTCAGAGGGCATCATCCCTTGCTGCATGTTCACCAGTTCACGCCCCCACGTTTGGCTCACTGGCATATCGTAGTTGGGGATGGGATGCTGAGGGGGAAATGATGGAGCCAGCTCTGATACGTTGCGTTGCTGTTCCGGTATTGTCATGCGTTGCAACTGACACGTCTGTCAAATGCGAAAATACAAGATCCTCTAATACAATGCAGTGTCGACAAAATTTCCCCTCCAGCAAAGGTTCATACCACGGTGGCTTGGCTCTTAGGAAATCGTGTCTTCTACTACCGTCTCGAAATAGATCGTATTCGAAAGGTCAGCCGGTTGGTAATGCGTGATAATCCGTTACGATTATGCACTCGGCCGTAATCCTCCATTCAGCGCCGATGCTATGCATAGATCCACACCTGGGAGTGTCATTAACGCCAAGCGGGTGACATCTGCACTATCGGAGAACAAAAAAAAAATCAAAAATTCTGCATGATAAACGTCATTTTCTTATACGCTGGCCAATGGGTAGCAGTACCAAATTTATTGCAGAAATTCAGTTGACCGGTCCACAGAGGTGCACGACCGCCTTTGTCCGGAAACTCGGACTTAAGCCCTTTTCCGCTCCAGGAACGTCAGGAGAAAAAATTCATTCAATCAGAACTAGCCACTTTTTCTATATTCCAGTGTCAAGGCCTGCAATCACAAACTGATTATATCAGAATCGGAGACGAACGTACGTTTAAGACCCCCGGTCCGCTGCTACCATTGGTACGGTGTAAAGGTTTATGCGATTGGCCATTGAGGTAGACGTAGAAGACAATGCAATAATTTGTACAGATACATGCCACAGTGGATTTGGCGAGTGGTGCGCAACCCAGCACATTTTGGAAGGCTCGCATATTAAGTGAGACTTCTTGCCAGGCCTGTCGGGTTGCCGGCGGAAGCTGTTCGGCGCTTTGGTTGCTTACATGTGGGTGTTCCAAGCCGGTCCAAATGGCATCGCCTACCACCTCCGGATCAATCACAGCCAGTTTGAATGCGCCACTATGATTTGCGCCTAGGCAGACCTGGTTCGACAAAGACCGCATTTGTTCGGCCACGGACTTCACTTCTGCCAAGGGCGGCATGACAACATATACCTGGTCCGTGTCAGTGTACATAGTTGAACATACATCAGGTGTGGGGCACATTGGCTCGGCGATTAAGCTCAGCTCCTGTGTCCGTAGGATCCGGATCAGCAATTCTTGTGATACATTCAGTTTAGCACCAGAATAACTTGTCATGGTGATAGAAAAGCTAAGGAGTGGGTCGCGATCACGCTTGCCCAACCGTATCATAACTTCGAGGGCACCAGCAGCTGATCGCAATACCCGTGCTAAGCTTTCGGCAGACACTTCTACCGTAATCTCATTGTTATTATGCGATTCAATTCTGTAATCGGAAAACAACGCTGCCGCTTCCAATGTGGCCCAGATTTGCACGCCATCCTGACCAGCAGGGGATATAAGGCGAAAGGTGTTGGGGGTGAAATGCAGGTAGCAAGGCGACGATACACTCGCAGCCGTATCTATTGTCAGTACGTCTCGTCTCTCCTACGTACGAGCTAGCCCTGTAAGCAGGGCCACATTGTCCACGCTGGCCCGTAATCGCATCGCACTGACACGCGCCTGATCCTCTTTCAACGCGACTGGCACGCGTAGTGCATGTGTCTTTTTACCGCCGGCCGAGTGAAATTCAAAATACCCACGTGCCGTTCGACGTTTGCTTCCCATCCCAGCGCACGGATTCATTGACAAGCATGTCGGGCTGGGGCAGTTGGCTGTACGTATCCACAGTATAGGTGACTGACAAACAGTACTGGCTCCTCGCAGCCATCTAGTGGTACGCAGACGCCTGCTGGCGGCGAAGCGATGAAGACCAATTTTTTCCCTGTTACCGATGCTTTTGAGCAGACTGCCTTGAATGGCGAACTTCGGAAAGGCGACCTGAACTGGACATGCCCATCGGGTCTATCGACGGAAACATCGACTTGGTACGCTATGCTGGAGGATGGCTCGTTTTTCCTCAACCAAATCATTTATTCGCCTGTTGGGTACGTTTATTGATCCATCTCGCTCACGCTCTAGTCTTTTCCAGCCGCAAGTGCAGATGACATTCCGTTACTTCCACCCCAAGACCGGTGAGAACATCTGGAAGTCAAAAAATGTCGACCAGTTCCAAGTGTTGCCGAACGACAAACGCTCGTGCAAGTCTAGTGCTTTCACTGTCACGATGAAGGACAACACCGATGGCTCTCAGCAATACGACATCACTGCGACGCTGGACAGCGACGTTCAGCTCATGTACACGATGAAGCGTCCTGCTAGTGCCAACGGTTGGAAGCTTGGTTCCGGCGACAAGGGTGGCTTTAGCTACTTTGGGGAGAACCAAGAAGCTCCGAGTGGCTACGTGGTGCACCGTTTCTGGCCGTACACGGAGACGTCCGGCATGATTGTTTTGAACGGTCGTGCGCTCGAAACTACAGGTCAGGGAATGTTTGTCCAGGCCATTCAGGGTATGCGTCCCAACCTCGTTGCTTCGCGCTGGAACTTTGCCAACTTCCAGTCGAAGGAAAACGATGGTACTAGCGTTGTGCTGATGGAGTTCACAACCATTCCTGACTATGGCAAGGTGGAAGGCGATGGTCCGCGTACGCCACAGACAGTGACCGTGGGCTCGATCGTGTCCAAGGGCCAGCTTCTCTCTGTGGTCGGCGCGACGCGTGCTGCTAAAGAGGAGACTGTGCCTTCGACGCATATCGATCACGAGGACCTCACTCTGGATGCTGAAACGGGCTACCGTGTGCCTCAATTGATTCAGTACACGGCGGAAGGTCCTGCGCTGGTAGGCGAAAATGCGCCTTCCAAGGATGTTACGGTGAAGGCGACTATGAGCATCAAACTCGGTGCACCCACGGCGACGGAGGGTCTCATCGAAAAGGTGGATGTGCTGGCCGAAATCCCCTACATGGTGCGCAAGCTTGTGAACTATGTGGCGGGTACGAAGCCGTACATCTACCAAACCATCAACCCATCCAAAGTCACTATTGAATGGCCTGCCTCTGTATCCACTGCTATTGGCGCATCTGACAACCAAGTGACGCTCGAGGGCACTCTGTTTGAAGAGCACACTTTCATTAGCGAGTAAAGACGCACTGTCCACCATGAAATAGTCATTGTATGCAAAGCTAGATTTTGAGCGCAATCGTATCTACTTGGTAAAGTAGCGAGCAACCTTGCCGAAGATGTGCAGCAGCACCACACTGAGCACAAACGCAACCGAGAGCACAAGAACAATGAAGGGGTCGCTGCCGTGTGAGCGGTGATGGTCCTGGTCCATACGTACACAGTCAAACCCTTGTTATCATCCGTGTAGAGACGAAGCATCGTGCTGGAGCTACCGCCTGCACCGGCCGCACGGGTACTGTGCGGCTTGTTCGCAGCCTGCACGGCGGCTTTCCGGCTGTCATGTTGTTAGGGCAGGCGCCGTACATACCGCATGACGTTGGAGTTGCGGCTAGCCAGCGCCGCAAGTTGAGCCTTGGTAAGAGGTGTATGAGTGCCAGCGTTCTTTTCCGACTGTATCGCGAGTCAGGCACCATGCCATGGACGTACCATATCGATCGCAGTGATGGCGGAGCAGCGAGCTGGTTGTGGTCGACGACGCACCGACGAAACACGTAGGCCACGTGGCCGACAAGCCATCCACCGCCATCGGCCGCGATTGTTCTTCGGTTTGAGTCGCTGTCTCCACCATGAAATTTGAAAAGCTCAAAGTGCGCCCCAAGAAGCTGGCGGCGAAGGCTCCTTGCGCTGCGGAGTTTGCCTCTGTGCTTGCATGCTGGGCGTCCTCCAATGATCTGCGCTCGCAGTCGGAATGCATGCAAGTCACCCAGGCGCTACGTGAATGTATGATGATGAAGGTAGGTTCTGGGTCCTACCGCTCTGTACTAACACTTATAGCATGTGAATCATGCGCGTGCTAAGCCTACCATCAACTACCACCTGGCCCGCTTCTCCAAGCATATGTAATGCTAGGCGTATGCCTGTCTTGATACCGGTACGGCATTGTCGGCGTCCTGTATACCTCTTTTCTTCTTTGCGTAGACCACGGTCCGCAATCCTCTCGACGTAGTATGACAAGTGTGTTTGTGTACCGGAACATTGCCGCCCAAACTAGGGTCATAGTCATTGATGCCTCTTTATGAGTGACCACGATGTGCATGTAGATATTGCGACCGACATGACGTTACTACGTCAGGCCATGGAGCTGCGGATCCATGTGTTTGGCGGGGAATATGGATACGGTCGTGACAAGGAAGTGGATGCGTATGTACATGCTGTACTCACCCGTCTAGGCTCGATCACATCTCCATCCCGTTGGTCCTGCGACACCGTGAAGACGAGCTATGGGGCGTCATGCGTGTGATCCCCTTTCCTGTACCTGAGGTTCCTCCATGCTTCTACGAGGCTGATCGTATACGCACTATGCCCGTACTTCCAGGGAGCGAGCGAAGTGTGGATGATATGCTAGCGTACCTATGTTCACAGCAGACCGTACAGCAGGACGAGCGAGGAGCGATCGTGTTATCCGGTATTAAGCTCGGTCGCATTGCTATTCCTGCACCGCTACGCGGCCGTGGCATAGGCCGTACCTTCATGGCTCTGGTCGAGGCATGGGCTACGTCTGTGCTGCAGCCGTATGCGCAACGCTATGCGCCGCAGGCTGTGTATGCCACGGTACAGCTCACGGCACAATCGGTCTCAAAAGGGTTCTATGAGCAACTGGGCTACGTGGCCACCAGCGACGAATTCATACTGCTGTCGCAACCGCATGTGTGGTACGCGAAACGTCTTCCGCTGTTGTAGTGTGGAAGCAAGCGGTCTTGTCGCCTCTTCTCCACAGACCACCACCCCCACCCAGATCCATGTCTTCAACACGCGACACTTATCGCGTGGCTGTCGCCTGCAGTGATGAGCTTCTTCGTGCTGCGTATGAACTGCGCCACGAGGTATTCTATCTGGAGCAGGGCTATGACGAGGATCGCGAAGTCGATTCGTATGTATACGTGTCTCCTCACACGTAGGTTGGACGAAGTCAGTGTCCCTCTTGTGCTCCTTCGTGAGCGTGATCAAGCTGTCGTTGGCGTGATGCGCATCGTGCCGTACCCGGTACCGAGGGAGGAAGTGCCCTTTTATACACGTGCGCAGATTGCAGGCGGTCTTCTCCCTGGCCGTGGCAGGTCAGAGGCAGATATGGCCCAGCAGTTTGTAGCGGCGCAGACCACGACGCTATCGGGCTCGACACTGACGTACTCGGGCGGCAAGCTTGGCCGCATCGCTATCAGTCGTCAGGCGCGTGGACAAGGATGCGGAACGATCCTTGTCTCGGCCGCTGAGCAGTGGATGATCTCTGCCCTGCGTGCCGCGCAACGCCCCGACGGTGTGACTCATGTGGAGACCAAGTCGCAGCTCAGTTCGCAGAAGATCGCGCTTCGCTTCTACGAATCGCAAAACTATGTGACGCAAGGCGCAACGTACTTGGAAGAAGGCCAGCCGCACATTTTCTGTGTCAAGCCGTTGACCGTGTATTCCTGAGCGAGGCAAGGATATACATAACAAAAGGGGGGTGGGTATCTACGCTACCACGCGCTGCGCTTGGGCAAGGAGGTGGACCAACTTGGCTGTATTGTACGTCGGATGCGTGGGCAGCAGAGCCTTTTCGCCATGCGGACTTTGGTGGAAGTGATGCAACACCGTTGAGAGCACACGCCTGACCATACCACGATCTGCGGCTTGTGTATGCGCGTGCAGCAGCGCATTGAGCGTCGCTGTCCAGCTCGCGGGGATCGGCGGCGGCGCCCTATCGCGGACCTGCTCGGCAGGCATCCCGACGCTCTTGGCCATAGTGCCATGCGCCTGAAGCATCTCGTCGGCTATGCAGACGCCACGTCGGAACCCCGCGTGGCTCGCAGGCGTGCCGAGCAAGGCACGGGCCATTGTCATATAGGTCGTACTGGTAGGCACCATGGCAGGCGTAGAGAGGGTATCCCACAGCGCATACAACAGACGCAGCGTGGGCGACATGGCATCATCGTCGTCGGGCATAGCGTTTCGTAGCGACGATGGTACGTCCGACAACGGCATGGCGTCCACCACAGGCCGATGCTGCCACAACCCCACGACCACCGTCTCAAACGTGATCGGCGTCGGTGTGAGTTTCGGCGTCGTGCACATGGTATGGAGCAGTTGCAGCGCCATAGCAAGGCGCGGCGGCGCCTCGCGTGTCGTTGGAAGGCATGCCTTGATCATCGACGTAAAAGTCACGGAATTCGGCTCCACGTGCAGGGACTGCATAATCTGCATCACCTGCTCGACGCACTTTTCGCCTTGCCCCGGCGCAGGGAACGCACGTAGCATCGCATCCAGGACCGTAGTAAAGGTGACAACATCGGGAGTCAAGGACCGCTTCGCAATCTCGCGAAGAAGTTGCGCCATGCTCTTCATATCTTTACGGCGCGCACACGCACGCAGCACAATGTTCATCGTCGTAATTGTCGGCGCAGGCACCGAGCCACGGCCCATATGCGCGAGAAGGTGCATCGCCTGCGGCATATCGTTGCTCATGCACAGCCCATGCAGCACAGCATTGTACGTCTCGACAGGGATCGTCACGTCGTTGCGTGCCTGCAACGCCGCCAGCAGCGCTAGCGCTTCCCGCCCCTGCCGCAAGCGGAACAACGCCATAATCATGGTCGTGTAGCAAATCAAGTCAGGTTGCGCACTCGAGGGCCGATGGACCAAGGCCGTCGCGGCGCGCGCCAAAGGCATATCACACTCCGGCGCGGCGTGTGTCAGTACACGCCAGGTGGCATGCACAGCTTGTGGGAACCCTTGGCGCGAGTGGCCATCCAGCACGGCATTCCATACGGCCCAGGAAGGCCACATGGCATCGGCCGGCATCGTCGCTTGGACGTGCGCAATCACGTCCCACACCTGCGCCGCCCAATCCATACGATTCGCGCCGAGCAGCCCAGATAAACATACGGCCCATGTACTGTCGGTCCATGCACCCAGCTTCGCAGGCGAGGCACTGGGGTGCTGCGTAAGCCATGCCGGCTGCGACGTAGCTGTGGCGCTGGGCCGAACCCCTGCGTCCATCGCCGCTTGAATTAGACGCCAGGCATTGGGCACATCGCCCTTGGCAAAAAGACTCCCTAGCAAACGCGCGAGTCGGTTGGCGCCGGCATGCCCGCCTGTGCCGCCTAGCAAGCCACGCGCTAGTTCCGCGTGCGAGATCCATGCCAACGCACGCTGCGAAATCTCAGCGGCTTCCGCCTGCTCCCGTGGCCATGGAAATTTGGTATATTGACGCCGTGCATGTGCCAGATCGAAAAAGAGCTCTGTATGCGAGCCAACATCAAACGACTGCATCGTATGCACGAGCCCACGCAAGTCGTTGATCGTCGCGTAACACAGCACGAGCAGCTCCAGCAAGTCGTGCACATGCTGCGGTCGATGTGCGCCTGCATCGAGCCATAACGCCTCGTCCGCCTCGCGCGCACGAGCATGGCGTCGTGCCTGGACATACGCGTCAAACAACTGAATCGCTGCCGGCGCATCCCCACTAAGCAGCTCTACTTTCATCCATCCTTGCACCCCCAGAATATCCATACGCTCCGCGGTGTATCGCCCCCAAGCCATGCACCGTTCTTTCCAGGCGGACTGGCGTGCATGCAGCTGAGAGAGCATGGCCATGTTGGCACGCACGAGCGCAAGTACATCTGCATGGTCATGTCGGCGCATGTGCGGCAGCTCCTGCCGTGCGCGAAGAGTGTCCCACGCCTCCCATACTTGCTCGAGATCTCGTGCTTCTAGGCCAGCACGAAGCGACTGCAGCTGACTCGAGGCAGGAGCACGGACCGATGTCCATAGCGACCGGGTCCATGGACGCACTCTCGCCGCGAGCATGGAAGACGCACGTCGTAGGAAGACCGTCGTCGTCGCAGGCCAGCGTCGCCTTGCATGGCGGAGGTCGATCTCGGCCGATGCGTCCATCGCCTCCACGTCGCAGCGGCTCTGGCGGGTGTGCGAACCAACACCGAGGTGCGCGCGGACGTCTGCCAGCATGGCCGTCGATCATGATGCCGAGCCGCTCCTGGAAGAGGGACGGCTCCATGAAGATCAGGTATATACCTTAGATGAGGATGCTGCGTATGTGCTACCACAGCAGCGGCGGTACTTGTACGCCCCCATCTCGTATGAGCAGGCGATGCGGCCCCATCGTCCGATGTGGCATCCCCTCTATTGGTACGACCTCGCGCGTGAAAACAGCCACGTATTCGATATGTTCCGTCCGTCAGATCGCGTGAAGTGGGTATGGGATCGAACTACGTCAGTGCTTACTGTGCTGTGGCCGCACAGTCGCATTCATCAGACCATCCTTATCATTCTTGGATTGTGGGTGTTGCTGAGCTATGCCAACTGGTCCGTGAGCCAAGTCCTTCCACGCTCGCCCCTGGATGGCTATGACTACTGGAGCTTCCATGACAAGCTGCGGCATGACTTGGCCAACGTCCACTTGGCGCCACGCCCAGGCGATGGCCTTGTGGACCAAAATGCGACATGGTCCTTCCTCTTTTGCTACAGCACAGGCGAACCTCTACGCTACATTGACGCCATTCGGTGCAAGAACCGCGCGAACTTTACCTTGGAACCGTTCCCGCAAGACAATTCCCTCTCTTCCACGGATCACTCGTACCTGTTTGTGAACCCTGTCATTGCCGAAGCACAGGAATGGTACCCACGGACAGTCGCCAAGCCTGTCATTACGGACGAAATGCTGGAGCGCAGTGCACCCATGCCACCAGCCTACGTGTACATGGTAAAGCATGCAGTGCCTGATCCGAGCGATGAAATCGCGTCCAAAATTCACGTGTACATCACAGCCACGTACGATAAAGAAGCTGTGCCGATGCTTCAGCGCGCGATGGTAGCTAAACTCTCCCATGGACTCACATCGAGTGGAGTAGAGATCCTCACTGCTCGCAATCCAGAGTACGGCAGTTTCGTGGCAGAAAATCACAATCCGCTCGAGTTTGATATTGTGGTCTCCTTCCCCGAGACACAGCCAGTGTCTGGCTTTGTGACAGATATTCGCGAGGGCTTTGTGGAAGCCTTTACCGAGAAAGCGTACGAACGTGCGCGTGAATTGCATCACGAGGCTTCGTTGGAGTTCGGCAAAGGGTCCTGGTCGCTGTTCGGTGGGCCCATGAAACTTAAGCCGAAGGAGGCTACCCCGGAAGAGCAGGCAGAAATGCGGCGCCTGCGTGACATTGAGCAATTCTTTGGCCGATTTACGTCGTATGTCCAGTATGGTACAATTCATCTGGGTGGTGTCGTGCGTGCCCACTCAGAAATCATCGCCAAGACGCTGCATGGCTCCATTGCCAGCAGTGCGAAGCTCATGGCACAATACGTGTACATGTGGACACACAAGGGCCCAGTGACGCTGCATCAACGCTCCTTCACATCTGGTCATTTACAAACACATCTGTCCTCCAATCGCGACTCTATCGAAGCGTATGAAGATGCCCACATTTTTGGCTCGAAGACCAGTGTCAAGAGCGTGCATGGTAATATCAAGGGTCCGGCTCTGTACCACGCGAACTTTTCTCTCGAAATGACCACAGACTACGGCATGGTCGAGGCGCGTGTCTCTGTGGAAAAGCCCATGTTGGTCGACGTTTCCTATGATGACTTTTTGCACGCCGAGGAAGGGCGGCGTGTCGAAGCCACTCTGCAGGCGCGCGATGGCCACGTCTACTTGGACGTGGTCTCCCAACAGGCCGGTGTGCCCTTCCGCGCTGAAGTACACAGTGACAAGGACGAAGTGGAAGTCCACCTGCCGGCAGAATACGAAGGGATCCTCCACGTGCAAGGCACCGAAGTGCAATTGCCTCCGCCACCCACGGCACAGGGCCGGCATTGGGAGCCAATGGATGTGAAAACCACTGCACCTTTAGCGGCGGCCCAGGCGCGTGTGTACTATGACGAAACAGCGCGTGGACCTGCTCCCCCCACACCTCCCTCAACACCTGTGCATCTCGAGCCAGGCAAAACACCCATTGACTATGGTGCTTCTGTCACAGCCTATTCGGCAGAACAGCAAGCCAAGATTCTTATTACGTAAAAGACGTTGTCCAACATGCCTTGGATGCGTATGTATATATGTACTAGTTATAAATACCAATGTCGATTGACCCATGACACAGACGCCGTAGGCGGCGCCGGCCTCGCCTCCCCCGATGCTGCCTCCTTGAACTGTGCGCAGTAGGCATCCACATCGGCCTCACGTCTACGTCGTTTGGGCGGCCGACGCCGTTCTTTTGCCCATGCTGCGTACAGTGATCGTTTTTGTGGCGGCCGCGTCGATGTGATCGGTGACGAGGGTACAGCAGCAATATGGCGCTGTACCAATGTGCCAAGAGCCACAAGGGCACTGGCATCGAAATGCAACGCCATGGAACGAGACCACCCCATGGAATGCCGAGCCCAGTACGCAAATAGCTCCGAATCCGCCGTCATGCTCACATCAGGCACATATACAGCATCGCGAAGTGCTATACACGCCTCGGGACTTTGATCGCTGGGGCATGCTTCCGGCAAGGCTGGAGAGAGAAGGCTGTGTGCTTGATACAGCTGTGCTGCATAGTAATGCAAAGCTTGCAAAAAGGACTGGAGTTAGTAGTAAGGAAAACGTACGCTGGCAGGTAGTCGGGAATCTAGGGTAAGTGCTGCTATACGTACCTCGTTCTGGGGCATAGATCCAGCCATACTCGCCTGCGATATAATCACGCTCGCTCTCTTCTGTCCATTGTGCACTAACAGGCAGGACTTGCATGGCCAGGCGCCGCAGCGTAGCTTGCCTTGCTTCTGGCGTGGCCAAAGAGTCCTCTGCTAGCTCTTCCTCGTCGTCGTTTGATGCAGGCGGGCGATTTGGCCGGACTTTCAGCGTGCCTCGAAGGAGTTTCGCCATGCTACGTTCCATCTCCGCGCCGTACAATGGGATTCGCGCACGAGAGGGGCCGTCTGTACGTATGGAGGGAATGAGCGGGTCTTGGCGCTCGAGAGCCTGAGAAGGTATCCAGTAGGGCGATTGTCGTTCAATAGTCCCGCCTACGACGCGTCGCTGGCGCCGAAGCTGGATAGTGGCATAGGATAAACCTTCCAGGTCATGAGTGATGGGTGCCAGAGTATCTTGCCGGAGTACCAAGGCGGTATCCGCGTTGTCCAAGGCATCTCGACGATTCCGTTGCGTAATCTGACTCGATGGGGCAGGTACGTTGGGGCCCATCTCGGCAGCCAGCGACGTAGGTAGGCCCAAGTCCTCTGGGGTGCCAAGATTGATCGGCATCGCACGTGTGCCAAATGTATCTTTCAGAGACGACACACGAGCATAGCTCGGCGTAGGGTCGGTGCCGTTGAGGGAGGATACGCGAAGAGCAGCTACATCCCAGACCGTGGTACTGCGAGCCGTACCTGACATGGCGTGGCCCTTGCGCCAAGGTGCCAGGCAAAATAAAAAGTAGAAGGACAGCTATTAGTCAACTCGATCACTACATAGACAAACGACAATTAGTGGAGGAAGAGGGTGCGAAGCTGCTGCATCGTGTCTTCGGGGCTGGTCACTGTGTGACCAATCACACCGGGATGCGTAAAGATTTCGTAGTCGTTACCACCAGGGAACGTCTTGTCGCCGAAGAAATGGATTTCCTTCCAGCCATCCTGCAAGGAGATGCCTTTTTCGTTGACGTGGTTCAGCGCATACGTCTTGTCCCAGCCAGCAGGGAACACATCGAAGCTGATCTGCCCACCGATACTGTAGGTAAGTCCATAGTCAGGGAATTCGCTCTTCAGCGCATCGACAAACTTAGCACGGATACTGTGCTCTTTGTCATACACTTCGAATTCGTGACGCTCCTGGATGCTCGCATTGCGGCCGATCGGGCTGATGTTGACCATCCCGCGGCGAAACTCCACAAACGTACCACTACACGTCAGATATGCCGTATACGTACCGCATCACAGGGACATCCAGCTTGGCAATGTATGCCAGTGCAAACTTGACAAATTTCTTGTACTTTTCCTCGCCCAGCCAGTTGATAAACGACTGGCTCGGCAGCTGCTCACCCATACGGTAGGCCGTCAAACCGTTCTCGGCAAAGCCGTAATCAAACTGCATCGTAATATCAGGGTGCCCCGGCAGCTGAAGCTGTTCACGAATCTTCGACAAATCACTCCCGCCCACGAAGCCGATCACGACCTGCTCGCGCAGTGCCCTGAGGGTCTCCAGCATGGCATCCGATACCTGCTGACGAGCCGGCGTGAGTGTGCCATCGACATCAAACAGACACAAAATGCCAGGCTGTTTACGTTCTGCGAAGGGTGTGGCGCTAGACATGATATTCACAAGGAAAACAAAACAACCTGTTCATTCCAACGCTTCCAAACCGAGTGCGTCTAGCCATGCGTTGTTGTGCACGGGCCTGACCACGTGGAAAGTGTGTTCAGACACTCGACTCCGTGTGGAAATCGCTTCATTGGAATCACGTGGGTCTACAGCGTTCTAAAGTGCCCTCGCTTCGCGAGCAATCGGGGGTGGAGAAGGCGTACGTGATGGAGCGAGGGGGGCGTCTTCCTGGTATGGCGACACGGGTCGGCGATGTCGAGAAGAGTCACCTGGGTACGGTTCGGGGGATTGCGAACGAGACCGTTCGCGTTCATACGGCCGGTACGAAGGCGCTCGGCGCTGGTCGTCCCTGTCTGTGGGCGCACGCCGGCGTGCGCTCCGCTCGTCCTCAGCCAGGCGAGAAGCTCGCTCCTCACGTAGCCTTCGTGTTTCTTCGCGGCGCTGCTCACGTTCCTCTATACGCTGCATCCTGCGCTGCTCTTGTAGTTCATGATCGAAGGCTTGGCCTTCTTCATAGTCGGGACGGATACGTAAAGCTCTCTGCATCTTTTGCGACTCCACTTCCTTCGCTGCGCCGCGCATATGGGTATCTGAGGGACGAAGCTGCTTCGCCTCGGCATGTGTCGGCTTGGCAAATCGATTGGGCGCTGCCTCTAATCGCGCACGTAAAGATTGGCGAAGCGACGCCACCCGTTGCTGAATCTCGTCCTCAGGAAGTCTATCGCCATGAGCCAGTGTGTCATACGTACCCTTTCTCTTCCAGCTCATCTTGCAGTTCAATGCACTGGATTTCAATTTTGCGCCGTTGCTCATGCGCTACAATCTGGGCATCAGGTTGTGTGTGTCGTGGAGGCGCCTCTTTCTCACGCCCTGCCGGCAGCGGATCGCGCGGTCGCAAATGGGATAAGTTGCGCTGCACATAACCATTTGTGCCACTGCATCGTAAGAGGATCAGTTACGTACCTGCCACGCGCCGTCTGCAATCCAATTCCGTTGTACATGGCACCGACGAGCGCGCGTACAGTCTCAGCGGCGTGACAACGACGACGGTGGGTGCTTAGTCAGCCGTCTGCGCCGGAGCAGGGACGCCATTGTCGTCGGTCCGACGCGAGTTCGTCGACCAGACGACGCCCGCTGGAGAACGTAAGCCTGCTCGAGTATGGAAGACGCGCACTTGCAGCCGTCCATGCCGCAAAGTGGTGAGGGCATGACGGCCTTAGATCTGCATCATCTTATCTCGCAGTTCTGCCAAAGACCTGATCCGTCAGAGCTGTCGAGTGCCAATGCCGACTCGCTTCCAGGAAGTTCGGCCCAGCGTGAGCATGCCCTTCTGGAGCTAAGCAAAAAGCGTGAGCAGTATGAGGACCTGGCTCTGGTGCTATGGAACAGTTTTGGTGTGATGCCATCGCTGTTGCAAGAGATCATCTCGGTGTACCCTCTGCTCTCGCCGCCTGTCCTTACTGCGCATGCGTCGAACCGCGTGTGCAATGCTCTAGCCCTTCTGCAATGCGTGGCCAGTCATAACGAAACGCGTGGACCCTTTCTGCAAGGTACGTCTAGCTATGCACTCACATGTAGCCCACATCCCTCTCTTCCTGTATCCCTTCCTGAACACCACGTCCAAGTCGCGGCCTTTTGAATACCTCCGCTTGACGTCACTGGGTGTGATTGGTGCCTTGGTAAAGCAAAACGACAAGTCCGATGTAATTACGTTTCTGCTCTCGACAGAGATCATACCATTGTGCCTGCGTATCATGGAGACAGGTTCGGAGCTCTCCAAGACGGTGGCCATCTTTATCGTGCAAAAGATTCTTCTGGATGATTTGGGCCTCAACTACATCTGCCAAACCTATGAGCGCTTCTACGCTGTGGGTACGGTGCTGAGCAACATGGTCAATCAGATCGTGGAAAGCCAAGCGATCCGGCTGCTGAAGCATGTCGTTCGCTGCTACCTGCGTCTGAGTGACAATCCTCGAGCGCGCGAAGCTTTGCGTTCCTGCTTGCCGGCGCCCCTTCGTGATGCGACCTTCTCTCAGCTCTTGAAGAACGACCACATTACCAAGCGCTGCCTCGCGACGCTTCTGTTGAACCTGTCGGACCGTGCAGAAAACTAGTCATGACGGCCCTCCAAAATGATTCTATCTGTCTCGCTGGCGACGGACGACCAGCTAACGATGCCTTTATACCGATCCTGGCCCTGGCCAAGGACTAAGCGCATTGTGTACGAATCCATGGTGTATTGTACATTGGAAAATGGTGCATGTGCATTGCTTCTATGATCGAGTTTGTCTACACATTAGAGTAGTCACAAAATTGCTACATGCTTGTTTTAGAAAGAGGAATCCACACGTCGTCGCCGACGCGCGGGACGCGACGGGGACGTGGTAGAGACGTCTGTGCTGGACGACGAGCCTAGCACAGCAGAGCGAGACGCAGTATGGGGTGTCGCTGGGACAGCTGACTGCGTCGCCGTACGTCCCCGCGTAGGCCGTCGAGGTGGAGGAGGTGGAGAGGGCGACGCAGGGGCTGAGGGACGCATTTCCTCGTACATGGAGTCTTGCGACGACGGCGCCTCCGACGGCGCCTCCATGGCGATAGGATGCGAAGCGAGCTGCTCTAACGCCTCTTGGATCTGTGACTCTTGCATATGACGCGACGATAGCTGCCGCTCGACACTCTGGAGCGTTTGGTTGACAAAGGTCTCAATAGCCTCTCGCTCTTCTTTCTCCACGTACCCAATCACACTCTTTTGCAGTTGCGACGCGTTAAGTAGATCAAATTGTTGTACACGAATATGGTCCATGACCAAGGAGGCCAAATCCACGCGCTCGAGCTTTTCTGCGGGGGCCATACGCTGGTCCCATGGTACGACCGAAGGACGCGCTGTGTTGTCACGGCGTTGTCGCTCGCGCCGAAGCTGCAGTTGCAGCAGCTCTTTAGGATTCGCGACGCGTCCCACAAACTCTTGGCCAAAACGCGCAAGGTTTCCAAGAGGGATTTGGGTATCGTAGTGCACGCGCAAGCGAATGAGCGGCAATGGCATAGGGGGCCGCGTCGCGGGAGTATGATGCTGCATGCGTTCGTCCCATTGCACGGCCGCTTGCTCCATGAGTTGCTCAATCTAGGTCAGAAGGCAGCGTACGTACATGCTGGCGAAGAAGCTTGGTCACACTGATGCGGTCGGTGGGATCGATGCGCGCTGTAGCGGCCTCTGAGGTCAAGTTGATGTCTTTCATCACAAAGGGGCGAACGGTCTCGAGGGGAATCGGCTCGACCTTGAAATCTTTGCCACATACTTGTACAATCGCCGCACATTTCTGCGTCACTTCGCCCGGGGAGAGACTGGTCACGACGGTGCTTCCTGGCTGTGAAATGTAGTAGTTCTTCTCCGACACGGCTTCAGGGCTGATTCGCTGCTCATGCTCGTGGCCCCATACCACGTAGTGCAGCGAGTCATCCAGAGCACTTTCGGGCACATAGGCCTTGGGGTTGTGTGAAGCGCTACGGTGAGCCGGCAAAGTACGTACCGATTCTGGTGTAGTACCATGATATTGAACCAATCTTCGGTATCTTCGGAAGGTCGATACATACATATGTGCTTCTCACGTAGCTCATGCGACATGCGCTCGTCTTTCATGTTGCCCATACCATACAAGGCGATGCGTGTATCGCCCTTGCGCAGAAGAATGGGGCGTACGTGAAGCATGTCGTCAGGGATGCCACCGGCCGTGCGTTTTCGCGAATGGTGAGTAGCAGGCAGAGTCATACGCCCAAAGTAGTTGATTAGACCTGCCGCCGCTAGCACGTCCAGGGCGGATAAGGAGCCGTCTTCGCCTAGGCCTTGCGGATCGTCGTGATTGCCATGGATCGAGAAGACGGGGATGCTTACATTTAGATTGGCGTCATCGTAGTTGATGCTTGGGAACGATACATCTTTGCGCTTGTCGTCGTACGGGTCACTGAGTAGCTCCATGGACACAGGATCGTCGCCAAACGTGTATTCACGCAGCAACGACATGGTCTTAAACATGGTAGGCCGCGAAGGCTTGTTGTCATGGAACAGATCGCCACCGAGGAGAATAAAGTCCACCTGCGTGTGAGATGGGTGGCACGTACCTGTTGGTCCTTGGCGATGCGCAGAAGCTCACGAAACGTGTGCAGGGCGTCTTGGCCACGCACAGGATCGCGTTCCAGGTAGCCGATGCTGCTGTCAGGGCCACCCACGCATAATACATACTGCGTATCCGACGCAAGAAGAAACCGAACCGTGTTCGTCTCTGTGTGGTGAGCATAGAGCACGGGACGTACCCTCCGGCGCGAGATCGGACGATGCCATGAGGACCACGCGTACCTGCCCTGGTCACGCGTCGCAGGCTTTTTTGTATGTGGAGAAGGTCGTGTCACGTACAGAAAGTCTATTTACTTACGAACGGCGGGGCCACTTGGCAGCCAGCCATTGTGGCACGGCACGGAGATAGGAGGCCATTTGGGAGACGAAGGGCGATACGCTCACGCCAATGTTGACGCATGGCAGCGGCTGATTGTCCTGTGTACCACCTGTGACATGAATCGAGAACTTGGCTGCGTGTGAGAGAGAGCGGGGCGTACGTACCAGGTGGCAAACGGGCCGGTACGAGGACAGTGTGTGACACATCGTAGTCCCCTGGCGGGATAGGGCATTGCACTTCGACGTCATTCTCACGCAATACGTCGCAGAAATCGAGGCGCTCCGAGTACAGCTTAAGCACACCGATATGCACATCGACGTCCAGATAGGTGCCCTCCTATCAATTAGCCGTAGTCCTCCATACGTACCGTAATGTCCGAGAGCACAGTGCCGACGCCACGCACCGTCAGATTATGGCCTTTCATGGGTGGATCCGGATCGAGTGTCACGCTCTGGATGGTGATCACGGGGGGGATCGGACTGCAGTCTTCCATGTGCCATCCGATCTGCGCGATCTTGGGGTGGGGCGCAGCACTGGGCACATCCAACTCAAGGCCTTGGGCCGTGGCCTCCTGCTCCAAGATCGCTACCAGATCCATAGGCTCGTCCTCGTCTAGCGCGGGGCGGAACACCACTTGACCATGTTCACCACACGGGACGGCCGTCACGATAGCGCACAGCAGCGCGACAAAGCTTATCGCCCACGCCACCTTCATATTGGTCAATGTAGGAGGCCAGGACGCCTGCGGCTGTCATCGGGCGTGGCCGATGTGTGGAGGCCACGGGGGAAAAAAAACTGAATGGCTCACCCCGCTTTTCTCCCAGGGCCACCATGAAGTTAGACGCGACGGATGTGCGGTACCTCTCGTCGGAAGAGTTTCGCGTCTTGACGGCGGTCGAAATGGGCTCCAAGAACCATGAGGTGGTACCTTCCTCGCTCATTGCGCAGATCTCGTCGCTGCGGCATGCTGGTATCAGCAAGCTGCTATCGAATCTGGCCAAGCGCAAGTTGGTGGCGCGTGTGCAAAACAACATGTACGACGGATACCGCCTCACGTACGGTGGCTACGATTTCCTGGCGGTACGTGCGCTCAGTAAGCGGAAGAGTGTGTACGCCATCGGCAACCAGATCGGTATTGGCAAAGAAAGTGATATCTATATCGTCTCGACCGAGGACGGCGAAAAGCGGGTGCTGAAAATCCACCGCCTGGGCCGTATTAGTTTCCGTAAAATCAAGGAGAAGCGCGACTATATGGGCAAGCGGAAAAGCGCCAGTTGGATGTATATGAGCCGACTCGCTGCGGAGAAAGAATTCGCTTTCATGAAGGTACGTCGCACGCACACTCACGTCAGATTTTGTATGAGCATGGATTTCCTGTCCCCACCCCAATCGACCAGGCACGCCACACCATCCTTATGAGCTACGAGGATGCATACCCCTTACGACAGATATCGTCGCTTCCGTTGGAGCAAATTCAAAAGCTGTACGCTGCGCTTATGGCGCTGATTGTACGCCTAGCCCGAGCAGGTTTGATTCATGGTGACTTTAATGAATTCAACTTGCTGATCCGTGAGATTTACCCTGATTCAGAGTATGAGAGCGACGAGGCGGACAGCGCGAACGACGACAGTCCCGCGGATACGCCCATGGACCCTGTCGAGATTTTGGATCATGGGCGTGTCGAGCAAGGCAAGGGCGTCCAGCGTATTATTGCCGATCCCATTGGGCCTGATGAAATCAAAGAAAGTGACCAAGACGACAGCGAAGACGACGACGATGTGATTGAGCTAGGCGACGGCGTCCAAGTCGAGCCGATCCTGATCGATTTCCCCCAGATGGTCAGTATTCAGCACCCCAATGCCGACTACTATTTCAATCGCGATGTCGAGTGTGTGCGCCGTTTCTTCCGAAAGCGGTTCCGCTTCAATTCCAGCGAGTTCCCGAGGTTTGAGGAGGTCATGGCTTCGATCGACAAGGACGAGACGCAGCGTCTCGATGCCCTCTCGCGCGCTAGTGGGTACGGCGAGACGACGAAGGACGATAAGATGCTGGAAAGCGTACGTATGCCCGCACCTAACATTGCAGCACTTTTCCAATATGCACTTGGACCCGCAGAAATGCCCCCACCTTCACGAATCCGACTCGATTGGCGACGAGGAGGACGAGGAGGAAGAGTTTGGCCGCAGCAGCTTTTACGACGACGAGGACAGTGATTTGGACGAAGATGGCTCGGAAGGCCCTGAGTCCGAAGAAGAAGACGATGACGATGGCGCTGTCGAGGATCCCAGCGACGTAGGCGATGGCGCTACGTCGGCCACGCCGAAGCGCTCGCAACTTGATCCCTCGCATGTATCGTCCCGCGTCGCAGCGGCGCGTGCGCATGCGCAACGACGCGCCCAAAAGCATCATGGCCGCAAGTCGCAAGCGACCAAGACAGGCCGCCGGCATGGCGGCGGCAAGGCCAAGTACAACAGTTCACGCGCCGTGGCCGATTCGCTGAGCTTTTAGAGTAGCCTCGTAGCCTCGAAGCGCCCAAGCCGCCGTCTCGCGGCGACTATGTGGAGGACTGGGTTGTCGTCTTCCGCCCATGGCCGTCCTCGCGCCGTGGGGGCGACGGTCTGCCCGCCGTGCGCCTCGAGGTGTGTACGCGTCGCAGATGGCCGAGGCCAACTTGTATACGTGCTGGAACGGCCGGCTGCTCACGTCGAAAGATGCGCCATATGCGATTGTCGTGACGAGTGTGTTGATCGTGGCGTTTCCGGCGTGTTGGCTGGCATGGGAAGCGCCGTATTTGTCGGACGCTGTGAGTATTGCGCCTGTGGTCCTGTTTGTGTACTTTTGGCTGAGTGCGATGGCGCATATGATGTATGTATGTGATAGCTTCACTGACGCCAGTGTGACGGCCTTTACGGACCCAGGCATTGTGCCGCGCCACTTGGATCCTTCACCGGAGCGAGAGACTGCGTCGTCGTCTGCGCCGTTCGCGATCGAGGCGCCTGTGTTTGAAGCCAAAGACAAGCTGATCCCGCTAGAGCGGGTGGACGACGGAGGCGACGCGTCGCTCGGGACCATGACGACGATCGTGTCCAAATGGTGCACGACTTGCCGTACCTATCGGCCACCACGCTGCAGTCATTGTCGCTCCTGCGATATGTGCGTGGATGGCCTGGATCACCACTGTATATTTTTAAATGCGTGCGTGGGCCGCCGGAACTATACGTCGTTCTACGCCTTCTTATGCCATGCGCTCGGCCTGTTCTTCGTCGGGCTGGTCGGATGCATCGTGAAGCTGTACTACCTAGCAGCGCCACGCACGCCTGCCCAGGCGCGGCCACGAGGCACGTCGCAGCGTGGGTTTGTACATGCGCTGCAGAAAAGTCCCGAAAGCGCCGTGTTTTTCCTGCTGGGCGTGATTTGGCTTACTCCCGTCCTGTGCTTGTGGACGTACCATACGTGGCTGCTATGCCAAAATCGGTCGACCGTCGAGCAAATCCGGCTGGAAACGACGGACCATATGTACGATGTACAGCGTGTGCCCGGCACAGCATGGGAACACACCGCTGTAGCGCGTGCGTGTGCCCATGTCTCTGCGCGTGTACGCAACTTGGTCGTCCCGGCCGACTTTGCCACGCCGCTCGATGCACCGAGCGACGCGCCGGTACGTAGGCGGCCACCTCGACGCACGCGCGGGCCGTACCAGCACGCCAACCTTCTACGCAATGCCTGGCAGGTCCTGGGCCGGCCCACGCCAGCCACGCATAAATTCTAGACAATGTCATGTGCCTTGTATGTATGTATGTATAGCTTGGGTTCGCGCGCACCAAACCGGCCATGCCGCGTGCCTGTGGACCTCCACAGGATGATCGTTTTCTTGTCGGTCCGACGACGACCAGGCAGGAACGTGGCACGCCCAGCATGCGCCTTGACGCTACGATCGATGCGTCCAAGCTGCGTGTCGTCGATCTCCGCTCGATCCTCGTTGACTTCGGCGTGCCAGTCCCGAGAAATGCCCGCAAAGCCGCGTTGGTCGAAGCGTTTGAGGAGCACGTTCGACCTCGCCTGAGCGCCGACACGAAACCTGCGGCAAAGAGCCCTGCTGCATCCAAGTCGGACATGTCCCACGACTTGAAACCCGCCTCGATTGGCATTGGCGCTGCCGGGATGCGCACCACGTCTGTGTCTCCTCTAGCTACGCCGCCTGTGCTGGATATTCGGTTCTCTGACGACAATCCGTTCCAAGCATCGACGACGCCCAAGAAAGAGCGGTCCTCGTCGCCACTGATGCACGACGTCATGCGTGCGCCACAGACGACGCCGCCGACGCACGCTGCCGTGCATACGCCACGAGCGACACCTCCCACCCACGCAGCCGCGCATACGCCACGGACGCACGCCACGGTAGGCACGCCCCGCACGCCTTATACCCGCACGCCGCAGCAGGTGCAGCACATCGCCGCGCAAGCGGCCTCGCGTGCCAAGACATCGGCGCACGACGACGTGCCCAGCGTGATCCCACCGATCACGACACAAGTGCGCGAGCGTTGGCGTCCGCTTCTTGTGCGCTGGGCCCTGTGGATGTGCGCTGGCGTCTGGCTATGGTACTGCTGGCGGACGCGGCAGGCTGGGTACTGCGATACCTCGACGCCGCCTTCTTTGCCCTTGTCGGCATGGGACGCACTGACCTCGCCGCCCTGCACGCCATGCCCACCGCACGCCGTGTGTGCGCAGGGCCAAGTGACAGCATGTAAGTCAGCGGACTATATGCGGGAGCAGCCATGGCAGGCGCAAGTGCCGGGCCTGGCGCAGAGCCTGCCCCTTGCGTGGCGCGCCGAGCGATGCGTCCCAGACACGTACAAACTCGTGCTAGCCTCGGACTTGGCCGATGCGATGGTCGAGTACTTGGCCGAGTGGCATGGCCAAGTGCGATGCCAGCGTGCGGCGCCGATGGACCGCGCGCCTGCGCACAAGTTGGGCCGCATTGCCGTCTCGGAAATGACGCTGCGCAACATTTTGTATGAGCGGGTGATGGACACTATGGACTATACGACGTTCTCTACCATTTGGGACATGGCCACAGCCGGCCTGCTGGAGCATGCGCCACACGATATGATGGCGCTTACGTCCGACTACGAACGCTGGTTCCTCTCGCCACGGGCGAAAATGCCGGTGCTCTGTCGCTTGCGTCTGTATGTCCTCACATGGCTCCTCCGCCACCGCACGCGCCTGCTCACGTCGTTTTTCGCACTTGCGCTGGTGTGGTACGTATCGCGGCGTGTGCAGCAGACGCGCACACGCCAGGCCCATATCGCCGCGTACGCACAGCAGGTGTGGGACCGCTTGCACGCCCAGGCGGACCGCGCTACGCGCGAAGGCGAGCCACGGGGCCTGCCAGTGACGCACTTACGCGATAGTCTCTTGCCGGCCGACATGCCGCCTCGACCGCGGCAGCAGGTTTGGGCGCACGTCGCCAAGGTCGTGGAACGCAATGCCAATGTCCGTGCACGCCAGGCGCAGTGGCATGGCGAGTGGCAGCGCGTATGGGAATGGATCGGCATGGCCTCCGCGCCCGCCACGCCCACGCCGCCAGCACAGCCTACGTCGCGTGCGACGACCGATGCATCGTCGCAGGTGCCTACGTCCCCCCCACGGCAGAGCGCGTCGCCAGCGCCGCGCGCGTCCACGCCGTAGTTCGTAGACCGCCTGATGCATAGATCCTCCACATGCCCTGCCGCCCCCTTCATCGGGGCATGCATGCGCGCTCGCCGAGAAAGAGAGAAGTCTCTACCCCCGATCTGTGCACCGGTGTGTTTGCCTATGCGACGATGACTAGGCGTGCCGAGGCCCAGGTCCCGCCGTCGCCCTCAACATCGTCGATACGCTCCCGCCGATCCAATCGGTCGTTGTCTTCGATGGCGTCTACGGCCAGTATATCTCCCGGCTTGCTGGCGGCGCTGAAGCAGCCCAGTCGATCTGAGCCCGCGGTGGCGGACCAAGTCATGGCCAACGCAACGCCTGTGGACATCGCACGTACCGAGTCAAGTGGCTCAGCATCCTCACATGCCAGCCCGGAAGCGCGGTGGATCGAGTCTGCCAAAGAGGTGCCGCCCCTCACGCCGATCTTGACGGAGGCAGCGAAGCCCACGCCCACAGCCGCACAGCGCCAACTGCTGCGTACGCTGGAGCAGGCCGCTCAGCTGTGTGCGGAGGACGCCGAGGATGTCCAACACACATGGACGGACGCCAGCAAGGCGCGGCGTCATGTGTACTTTGACGAGCGCCGCATTCATCGGCAGAACTCGCAACGACAATGGCACTATGAGACACGCAAAGTCAAGCGAAGCAATCCCTGCGGTGTGCATACCAACAAACGCCAGGCCATGGACGACTTGATGCAGCGCTTGCAGGAGCAGATTGAAGAGGCGAGCATCCTACTTCGCCCGCAGCAGTGGGGCGAGCCTGTGCCGGTCCATGAACCGCTGCCCTATGAAGCCCGGAATACGCAAACGCACCCGATCCTTGACGAGCGCTCTGCAGGGATTGTACGGCCGTTGCAACTCTCGCTGCACTTTACATGGGAGGTGCATGGCCCGCCGTACATGATGAGATTCGTCCCTGCGTGGCCCTTTACGCGTCTCGCACACCCCCATCTCGTGGTGGCGTCGAGCGACCTTGGAACGACACTGCTTTCATGGCCTAGCTGGCTGGCGCCATGGCTCGAGCAGCATCCCACGCGGTTCTTCCAACGGCCGCTAATGACACTCACACTCCCGACGTTTCTCCTATGGCGCCTCGATACGCTGATCATACGCATTCTGGAATGGGTGTTGGTATGCCAACACTTTTTTCTGTACTGTATCTTGGCCCTAGCGCATACTACGGCGACCACAGCGCAACGTCTGGGTCTCTAATCTTCCATCTCCTCTTCCAAGGACTGCACCGCCTTACGAATCGCCGCATCCCGAAGCGACGCAGGCACGCTCTCATGCCGGCCATGAGGACCGACCCATGAAAGCTCCAGTTCAAACTCCTTGTCTTTATTATCTTCATGAGCCTTGTAGATGCTGTAATGTATAAGAAAACGTTTGTGTATACGTACATGCGAGCCACCTCTTCCACGGCTTGCTCCATGGACATCTCGTCCAGGTTCAGCTTTTCAATCTCTGTCTTGGCAAACTGCTTGCCTTTTCCAATTGCACAGCCATGGTACCCCAAGAACATCCCGGAGGGCTCGACCACAAACAGCTGTGGCCCACGCTCCTCATCTACACCGCCCAGAATCGCAGCCACACCAAAGGGACGTACGGACGAGTAGAGCGTAAACGCCTGGACGTACAACGCCACACGCTCGGCCAACGTCTTGACCGGGGTCTTTTGCTTGTATGTATCGAAAAAGTTGTTGGCTTCATCACGCGCCCGACCCGCCAGATGCTTCCCATCTGCCGTGAGACCAGCCGACGTAAGGCCAATATGACGGTCCACGCCAAAAATACGCTTGTTCGAGCCCGGCACCATGAGCTTGGACTGGATTAGGTTCTCGACGCCGAAGACGACGCCCTCTTTGGTGCGCACGGCAATGGCCGTGCCGGCATTTTCCACAGCTTTCATAGCATACTCAATCTTCCCGTTAGCATAGAGCGCATACACACCTGGAAAATACGACCATCCGGCGAGTAGGTACTCGCCGAGAGGTCATACCCAGTCCCTTGCGAGGCCATCGTGGATCTTAGCGTCGACGATGGTTGCTCCACGCGTCAAGGCCACGCGGCCGATCACGGCACGTGAGTCGGCCGAGGCGCCAGCCATCCTGCCAAGGTCGGTGCTCCCCCGCCCCCCTCGCGAGCGTGCCACCGACCAGCGCGTGCCCGCCGACCGCTCGCAGTCGTACGCCGTTCCTCTACGTACGAGAGTCAGGTACAGGGACCGATGACGCATTTACTGCCCCCACCTTTACTGCGTCTGTTCGCACCCAGACCGCCGCTGGAATATGCGCGGCCATTGCCAGGCGACAAAGATCCCAATGCCAAGCCGCGCTCACGCACCGCGAAAGACGTGGCCCAACGAAAGATTCAGCCATTGGAGGGCATCGCGGCCTTTTTAGAGCGTGCTCGTCAAGAAATCAGTCAGCATGTGACCGATGCCGACGATGAGACCGATGCGATTGTGACACAGACAGAGATACGCCGAGAACAAAAAAGGCGCGAACGTGCAGAGACACAGAAACGCATGCGCGAAGCCTACCATCCGAAGGAAGATACCCATGCGGCAGGCGACCCATTCAAGACCTTGTTTGTATCTCGTCTGTCCTATGATACCACTGAGCGTGACCTCGCTCATGAATTCGATCGGTATGGACCGATCGAGAACATTTCGATCGTACGTGATTTACAAGGCAAAAGCCGTGGGTATGCGTTCATTCTCTTTGAACGGGAACGTGATATGCGAAGTACGTACATGATCACTAACAGCAGCGGCATATTCACGAGCCGAAGGACTCGCCATTCATGGCCGGCGTGTGTTGGTCGACGTTGAGCGGGGCCGTACTGTGCGGGACTGGAAACCGATGCGCTTAGGTGGCGGCCTTGGTGGGTCGACGCGCAAGCCCAAGCAAAAGGTCGTAGTAGATTCGTTCCGTGGGGGACGTGGCGGGATGCGTGGAGGAATGCGAGGCGGCCGCGGCGGCCGCGGCAGCTTCCGTGACCGCGGCGGTTTTCGAGGGGGCGATCGCGATCGCGATCGTGGTGGCTTCCGGGACCGTGGCAGCGGTGGATTCCGCGATCGTGACCGCGAACGCGACCACGGCTTCCGGGACCGGAGCTACCGTGATCGTGATGGCCTACCTGACTCGAATGGGCCCAGCACCTTGTCGTACGGCGGGCCATCGTACGGACGTGCGTACGATGATCGCGCGCCGAAGCGGCCGCGGTACTAAGCCTGGGCTCGTATAGTCGTAGTTTTAGTCAGCAAGTGTTGGACAGGCGAGTGCAGACCTCGCGTAGCTTGGTCAGTCTCCCGATCTGCCTTGGCCATGCGCCGCAAGTGGAAAAAACATGGCAGCGAGTCGGAAGGATCTGCAGCCGACGTCGCGCAGCCTGGCCTGATGACGCCTGTGCACAGTACGTCAGATCCCAAGGGTAGTACCAGTTCGCTGCGGAAGCCTAGGGAAGAGAGCGAAAACGATGCGGAAGTCAGCTCGGATGCACGTGGCGCTGTGGTGAGTACGCGGCCGCGCCGCTCACGTACGCGCCAGCGTGTATCGACAGAGAACACGCTGCATACCGTCCCTGAACGCCGCACGCTCCATGATCGTGCCCTGTCACGCAAGAGCAACAACCCACCGTCCGCCTCCAGTTCGCTACGACGATCCATGCTGGAAATGGCGCTGTTTGTCGTGGTATGGCTTGCCATGATGATCCGCATGTGGCATAGTGCACCTCAAGTGCAGCACAAGCTGCTGGAGCTGTTTGCTATGGGTGTGCTTCTGTTAGTGTGCTTTAATACGCACCTGACAAGCTCCAGTACCATCTGGGCGACGCGTGTGCGCTACCTGCGCAAATCGGAGGTCAGTGACATTTTGTACGCATTTCTTGTCCCATTGCTGGCATGTGCTATGCTCCTGGACGTGGTCCCGAGCGAGCGTGTGCGCCCGCTCGCGCCGCCGCCCATGGCGCTGGGCGTGCGTGGGGCGTGGCGTGTCGAACGACTGCCCTTCGTGACGGACCGCCTGCAAGGTCGTGGCTCGTTGGTCGACTTGCACATCTTTTGCGCGATACTTATGGGCGTGCACGTCCTTGCCTCTACCATCATGCGACGACGTCGGAAGCGTGATGGCGCGCGCCTGCGCATTGAGGAACTCTCTCCCGTGCAGGCGTTTACGTACTACCATGGCTTTGGCTTGGCGCTCGCGTTAATATGTACAGGCGCGCATATCCTTGCACGTCTCTGTGGCTGGGGCGCTTGGTTCTTCGCCGATACGCCAAGCTGGGCGATCGTCGCGATTGCGCTGAATTTCCAGACGCAGATGTATGTCTGGACACGCGTCGCACAGCAGAACTGCACGCTGGGAGAGCTGGCGATTGTGTGTACCCTCAGCACGGCCATGTTCCATGAAGCGACGATCGTGACCATTGCGCGCCTCGTGCCATCGTACGGGCGCATTCTCTTCCGTGAGCCATCAACAATGTTGATGTACCATCTCGCGCTGATGATCGGCATGTTGGTCATTGGCGCTGTGCTTAGTCCCCTCTTGATTCTCTCTCGCAACTTGGCCCGCCGGCCTACGCACCGCCTGCGCTGGCCTGACAAACGCAACTTGCATCGCCGTCTTTTGTCGCTGGCCTTCTTTGTGCTGACGCTGACCATCATTCTAGGCGTATATGGCCCCTGGGTCGCATGGCAGCTGGGCGGTCGGAATCCGTGGCTGTACGTGGTCCGATCCATGCTGCAAGGCCCGTATTGGTGGTCCCGCTTCGCGCTCCTAGGCTACTGGGGCTTGCTGTGCAACATTGCGCTGCTCAGCATCCAGCTGATGGTCAATCGTGTGTGGCAGTACGCGACTGTTGGCGACCAAGTCAAGCCGCAGACGACGCTGCGTCGCGTGCCGTCCGTGTCGTCCAGTGGTGTGCTGGCCGCGACGGAACGTGCCAGTACGCTGGCAGCGACGCAGTTTGCAGAAAAACATGCGCCGGACGAAAGCACGTCGCTCGGCCCTCGCGTTGCTGTGAGTGTGAATGGCCGCCGCAAGTTTTTCCATGCATTGGCCGTGTTGTTGTTTGTGCCTGGGATTGCGTACGATCCGGCGTTTATGCATTTGGCATTCAGCGTGGCGTTTTCCCTGTTTATTCTGTGTGAGTATATGCGTTTTTGTGCCGTATTCCCCTTTGGGGCGACCTTGCATTTCTTCCTGAGCCAGTTCCTCGATAACAAAGACACAGGCCTGATGATCATGAGCCATGTGTACTTATTGTCTGGCTGTGCCGCCGGGATCTGGGGCGAGAGCCAAAGTCGGCTGGTCCAGCAGCTGGGCGTGCTAGTCCTGGGCATCGGCGACTCGTGTGCCTCGATTATCGGCCGCCAGTATGGCCGCTTTCACTGGCCACGTTCGAAAAAGACCGTGGAAGGCACAGTGGGCTTTGTAGCCAGCACAGTGGCGTGTGCGTACCTGCTGCGTATGTGCCATCTGATCGAGCCGTTCAGGGTGGCGCCGTTTACAGTGGTCATGACGCTTCTGGCGATGTTGGAAGGGCTGTCAGAGCAGAACGACAATCTGGTCCTGCCGATTGCCGGCCTCGTGTTGAGCTCCATGATCCCCTATTCCTAAGGGATACCTATATACCAACCTAGCTACACACGATTCTGTAAACTCTTAAACCACGCATTGTACGCATTTTCAATGTCAAAGAGCATCTGGTAGGTCCATTAGCTGCCTTCGTCCACGTACCTCGCGCGCCTGCGCCTCGTCCACTTCGTCACTCGCGCTGAGCTTGTTTAGCGTGATGAGCCTAGATGTGAGTGTCTACGCACGTACCACTCGAGGAGTTTTTGGCGCGCCTCGCCGGAGCCGCCGCTCACCTGGGTATACGTGCTAAGCAGATCGCTCAGCAAAGGGTGAAGCTGGTCCTTGGCCCGCATTCTCAGCTTAAGGGCATCCATGAGCGTAATAAAGTTCTGCGTGATTTCTGCCACGATATGAGCGCCTCCATTGGACGACGATGTCGCTGTCGCATCGATGTGCGCATGCTCGATCGTCGCAGGCACGCCCAGGGCAAGACGATGTGCGGCCGCAGGGTGGTCCATCTGGGTGTGAAAGACGAGAGCGTACGTACCTGAAAATGCGCCATAAACGCATCCACGTCCTTGAAATAGTAGGGCGAAGGCTTGGACGGGTCCGTTACGAGCTTACTAACAATCTTGTACTGGCCCAGCAGTCGTGTACACTCTGTCGCATACGCATCTTCCGGAACAGCGCCACGCACATACGCACGCTCCAGAAAGTCGAGGCAAGTAATGAGACTAAACAGTGTCGCTAGACTTTCGTAATTAATTCGCTCCTGACTTGTATGATACAGCTTTTGTTCCTTCCGTGAGCGCTGCTGGCACGTACTTCAAACACATTCATCGCCGCCCTCTCCTTCTCATGCATACGGGCGGAGAACGACCCTGCGCGCGTGAACGCACGCCGTTGTGGGGCCCTGGCGTACCTCCACGTGACACCAGCGCGGCGTCGAGCACGCATCACGTTCCTGTGTCTGGCCACCACGTCAACTCAGTGATAGGGCGATGGAAGAACGACATGAGGCGGCACCGTCCTCGCGGTCCTCGTCCTCGGCGTGTATCCGCTTCGATGTACGCAACATCTCGTTTCGCGCGCCCCTGGCGGTGTCCTGTGACGCTGAGGCCACCATCCTAACGCTCAAGCATCGTATCGCCGAAGCAGTGCGCAACACACGCGACGCTGAGCATGGCTGGCCACGCCCTGAAGGTATCCGCTGTATATGGCGCGGTACAATGGTCGCTGATGATACAGTGCTGCATGCACTACGTGCCGACGAGCCTGTGGTCATGCACATTGTCGTGGCCCCCGATATGTGGGAAGCGTACGAAGACCCTGTGCCACCACCGCTCACGCATTCGCCAGAGGCGGCACCACCGCCCGCCCCATCAGCAGAGGCCAGAGAGCCAGAGCCAGAGCCAAAGGCAGGGTCTGCCGACGAGGCAGAGACCGATGAGGCATGGCGTACGTACTTCGAGATGCTTGCGCCCGAACATGTGGAAGCCACAGCACATGCCCTGTACATCACCAGCCGGTGCTACCACATGTACTATGAAAAACTCGCTGAGACGTGCCAGGGAACTATGCCGCCCATGCCTCTACTACTTGTGCCGCCAGGCATCGACTTTGCCCCCGCTCAGGCCTTGTGGGCCGATGCATCGATCTGCCGCGATACTGTCGAGATGGTCGAGCGCCAGATCATGCAATGGAAGCCGATGAAGGAGCTCAGTGCGGAGGCCCAGCAGGCCTCTGCAGCCAGTCCTGTTGCGTGGACGTACGAGCCGGTCGAGGTGGACGGGCTGCCGTACCTGCTTCGAACTCCCTCTGACATGTCTACAAACGCTGGGCTGACACTGACTATGCACCTGGTGGAACGCACGACAACGCTGATGGAGGCCCTGATGCTGTTGGCACAAGCACACGATCATTATACATGGTCGCTCGCGATGCCTCGGCCGTCGAGTTCCCCACCACGGTGGGGCCGAGAGGATTGGCTTTCATTGGTATACATGTACTTCCATCTGCTATGGCGCATAGGTATAGCCCTGCTGCTCTTCTGGCCGCATCATTCGCGTATGCAGCAAGGGCTCGTGATCGCTGCAACAGTGGCCTACCTTGTATTTCGTGGATACCGCCACATGCAAGAGCGAGGACGGCCACCGTCGACGACCACTACGTCGACGACCCCAGCCGAGGCCATGGCGTCCACTACCACAGCCAACGAGGCCACGTCGTCGTCGTCTTCGGCATGGACTTTGGAATTGCCGCGCCTGCCGTATCGGACCCCAGCGCAGGGACACTGGCATGTGGAGTCGTGGATGCAGCGCATCGCATGGTTGGGCCTCGAAGAGGAAGAACGGGCCATGGGCTTTGGCCATACTGCGCCCCAGACGCCGCCGCGCATCGTATGGGAGACGTGTGCCTGGCCCCATACGCACGCTATAGAGCCACGGCCCGTATGGCATAGGCAGGCAGTGATGCGGTGGGTGCTCTGGCCAGTATTGCTATGCCTCATGTCGGTCATCCCGCACATCGAAGAACTTCGTTCAGATGCCTTGTCGATGCGGCGCGAAGCCATCACAGCGCTCGCGAAGAAATGGGAACGTTTGCGCGAGGCGTATGAAGCGGCAGAACGTCCCGTTCCACCGCCCCCTGCCTTGCTGCAGCACCCTGTATCACGCATGATTCTAGCTCAAGCGCCCTCGTCTTCTTAACGAAGCACGTCCCGCATCGCTGCGACGCTCTCCGCCGCCCGCAGTTGATCTTGTACTATACGCGTCTCTCGGCCTGGCGCCCAGCTACGCAGTATGTACTGCGTATGCTGCTTGATGAACGGCAACGACGTATCCACATTGTATTTCTCACATAGGCGCAAATAGGTCGGCAACACGCGCGCTGTTGGCCGTTTGGCTGGCTCGACCGACGATACGAACAAATCCGGCTGCATAAGCAAAGGCTCGCCGACCATGACGCCGTCAGCTTGGGTATAGGCCAGATTGGCGACAATATCGTCCCAAGTACGCACATTGCCATTGCTCAGGACCAATGTGGAGCCACCAGGCTGTGATGCATGCAGGCCTTGCGCTTGCAACGCCTCGACGACAGCGCGAACATGCTCCAACTTGGCAGGCCCCGCTCGACGACGATTGGGCGCCACGTGCCGTGCGTGCACTGTGATCAACGATGAGCCAGCATGGGCCAGCTGTGTCGCAAGTTCATACGTGTCAGGTGCGTAATCACAAAGGCGAACCTTGGTGGAGATGGGCCGATCACATCCATGCGCTAGCGCAGCTACCAGCTGCTTGACCAGAGGCCAATCTTTTCGGCCCAGGAGGTAGCCACCATAATGACCACGTTGTGCGCGTGTTTGTGGGCAGCCGAGATTGAGATCAATGCCATCGGCGTACGGCGAAAAAAGACGCGCGGCTGTGAGTAGCGATGCAGGATCATGCCCCGCTAACTGCACAATCTGAGGCGCATATGTTCCCATAGCGATATCAACATGCTCCTGCGCCTGCTTACCTTGCTCCAGAGCCCGTCGTGCTCGCTCGTAGATGTCGCCCTGCAGGACAATATCGTCGGCATGATACATTTGGCTGATGTGAGTGAGCGCATACGTACGTCCACGTCGCTGTGGCGCCGTACTGTACCGCTGTCGCACGAAACGCCAGGTCCGATTGGTCGACCATGGGCGCCGCAACATAGCTGTACCAGGCACGCGGCGGCCACCCACCCTCCTCGTCGGCCTGCATACCACGACACACGCCGCGCCGCCTGTCGCTCACGCCAGGCATACCACGCGTTGTACATGTCACGTGATAATACGCGAGATCAACACCCACGCGTGGAGCAGCGAGGAGCGGTGTGTGCGTACACCAGCGCGCGATGCCCCCTACGCGTGCGCGGCCCTCGCTGCCTAGCAGTATGCCACGTAGAGACTCGTCACCTTTACGGCGTTCACCACGCCAAGCGGAAGCGCGACGAAAACGAGCGCAGAGCATGGGCAGCGAAGCTGCGTCTACGTCTTTGTCGCCTACACGACGTGAACGTACGGCTGTTCGTGTACGTACGCTTGTACCACTGACATGATAGCCACGAAAAAGCGCTATTCGAGCTACACCACAGGTCTTCCAAAGTCCTACCAGCCTTGGGCCTAACCCAGAGCATGCGCATATTCGCACGTCAAACAACAGCAGCGATATTGCAACGTTGGTCGAGTCCACGGCACGCGAGAGTTTGGACGAACTGGTCGACGAACGACTGCAGTCGCCAGGGTTGCCCAACCCCTTTGCATCCCTGTATCGTGCTGCCAGTGCCTCGCCTGTCAAGCAAGAAGCACATACTGTGATGATCGTGCCGCCAGCCACTGAGGCCCAAGCGGAACGAAAACGGCGGCGCGTCACATTCAGCGCCTTCGAAGAGCAAACGTACGTACGCACATACTAACGTCAGCGCCTTTGAGCAGGATGAGCCGACTATGAGCATTCGACCTGCGCAGGAACGCAATGCTCTCATGGAACGTGGCTCGCCTGTCCCCAACCCAAGCCACGAGTGGGATGAGTCGACGTCGACCATAGCGTCCAGCGATATGTCGATGGATATGAGTTTGGATACCAGTGTCATGGATATGACAGAGGCATGGCACCCTGTGGACGATGCAGAGTCCTCTACTACGGTTGATAGGGAGTCGTCCATGCTAGCCGAAGAAGACTCCTATACGAGGGACATGGAAATGACCCAAGCTATGGCGCCTGTATCAACAGAGCAAGATACCACTACCACCATGGAATTTACAAGTGTTCACAGCGCATTACCAGGCGAAGACGATCTCTCGATGAATACGACCATGGACAGCGAAGCGGAGCAGTCCGCCATGGAGATGACAGAGATGTGGGGTCGCATAGCCGACGAGGCACAACGTCGAGATGCGGCGGCCGAAGAAGAAGTGGAAGCACTGGTCGGCCAGGAGAGTCCAAGGATCACCGCGTCGCCGTCCAAACCCAGCCAACGCTCGCCGGAACGACGGCAGACCATGGTGCTGTCGCCGGAACGATCAGGACGCAGTGTCGCTTCATCCCGTACCTCGACGCCCAAAGCGCCCATTGCTATCACGCCTCGGCCATCAACTCCGCCACCAGCAGCGACAGACGAGGCCGTGGCGCTAGCACCTGCCTCGCCGTTTAGTCCTGTGAAAGCAGGGCCCACGACGCCTACGCGTTTCCGCCAGTCGCTCCGAGGTGGCGTCCCCTCGCCCGAATACCAACACTCGCCAGCCCGCCGCGCTTTGACGACGCCGCCTGTAGGTACGGTGAAACCCTTTGCCACGGCGCGTGCGGCTACACCTTCGTCTCAAACACGCGCAGCGCATGCGCGTTTGTCGGAGGCGCATACGCCGATGTACCCACGCTCGCCCTTTATCCATTCTCTCATTCGGCAACGTGGTGTGCGATTGTCGAGTACCGCACCTGCTTCGCCTCATGTCGATACGGACGATGTGAGTTTGAGTGAGACGTCGTTTCACATGCACTTGGCCGATTTTCTGGGTGTCATTGGCCTCAAGTTCCATGAGGATATGACGGCCTCTCGCACAAAGGCGGATCGTCCACTGGAGCCCACACCGGCCACTACGCCAGTCGAGCATGCGAAGATGGCCGGCGCGGCTGTGCCGATGCTACAAGCGCTTCGCAGTGCGTGTGCCGATCTGAAGCAGCATGTGGAAGATGGGCGAAAGAGACTCAAGACCATGGAAGAAAACTTTTACGTTCGGCCCCCGGCCTTTGTCCAGGAATGGGGTCAGCTGGACGACGAGGACATGCGTCGAAGTATGAAGGGCCAGTTGAATGTACATAAACAAGCGGCACGTGCTGCAGCGATGCATGATTATTATGGATGGCGTACCGACATGGAGTTTGATGAGGAGATGACAGCTCTCTTGCAGAAGCACCGCGATCTCCTGCAAGCTGACCGTGCCACCCTTGAAGCGAAAGAAGCGCAGCTGACCAAGACATTGCTGCCGGCGCTGCGCGCACGTTATGCGGACCTGCATGCGCGTGTCCAGGAGGCGTGGAAGCGGCAAGAAGCGATTCGGCAATGTGACCCAGAAGAACTGAAGCAACTGCATGCGTCGATTGACGAGCAGGACCAAGTTTTGCAGACGATGCGTGCCAAGCAACATGATTTGCAGGACCAGCTCTCGCGTGTGCAAGCGCGTGTAGAAGAGACGGCAGCGAAGCGTGAACAGACCGAAGAGATGATTCGCGCTGCGCGCGCTGTCACCGATCAGATTCAGGGGTGCACACCCGGCGAAGCTGTGCGACTCGAAAGGCATGTGCGTCACCTGGAGACACTCATGCAATGGTCTCTGACCAACAAGACATCTACGCTACTGCAATTGACGTTCGCACGGACGTGGCAAGTCACGATCGAGTTGGACAGTCGTCGTGGGGCCGTGAAACGCGTCGCTATTGCGCCTGCTACGCCCATTGACGTTTCGCACCCGCATGCTGTAGCGCTCGCTGTGATCCGTGCTGCGATGGAGGCACATACGCCTACGCATGTCTCTGATGTCTTGCGTGCGGTTGCACGGCATTGGCACGCGTACCAACACATATGCGCAGAAATTGCGCATGTGCAAACGTGGGTCCCTGTGACCATGATGCCGCATCAAGATCAGGAGACGGCACTGGACATCCTTGCGAGTGTCCTCCTGGAAAAGGCGCAAGCCAAGGTTCAGGTCCGTATGGTCATGGACCTGGCAGCCGACGATCCCCTCGCGGCACGCGGCCTGCATATGGAATTGGTATACGGCCACGTGGAGTACGTATAGTGGCATCCTACTGACCTCTAGTACCCATGCTATGACACAACTAGCACGACGTGCGCTGACCAAGGCACATGGCACGTACGGCGCTCTCGCACAGGCCATTCAGCATGCCTGTGTCGCCATGGAATCGTAGGGGGTTGGTAGCGTAGGTAGGTGCCTCCACACGATGGGACCCACCACTTGGTGTGGAAAAAAATTTTACGGCGTGCATCTCCACCACAACGCCTAGGCCATGGACTTGTTTAGCGCGTTGACGGCCGGTGGCGCACGCTTTGATAAAAAGCGGTTTGCGCATGATGTATCGATTTTCCAAGATGCACGGCGGCACGAAGACGAGGAAGTGCCTGCTACAGCGGAATCCAGCGCGGCCGCGGCGCTGCCAGCGTCTTTGGACTTTTTCGGGAGCCACACGCAAGAGCGCGCTTCGCAAGCGCAGGATGCTGTGCCCTCCTCCGCGTTGCGGGCCCGTCGGGCCCCGCTAAAAAAGTCCGAAGTCCCTGCGTTCCTGCGCCAGTACCAAATCAAGCTCACAGGGACGGATGTCCCTGCGCCGCTGGCGTCGTGGGACGACCTGGAAGCGCGATGGCACGTTGAGTCTTGGCTGTACGAGAACCTGCTTGCAGGCAAATGGCCAGAACCCACACCGATCCAGCGCGGTGCAATTAGCGTGATGCTTGAACGGCGCGACCTGCTGGCAGGCGCACCGACGGGCTCCGGTAAAACGCTGGCGTTTGTGTTGCCTGTGTTACAGCTGCTCCAGTCGCATGCCAAAGTGGGATTCCGCGCAGTGATCGTGAGCCCTACGCGGGAACTGGCGCAACAGATTTACGACCAGCTGCAGATCCTGGCCCGGGGCCAGTCGTTCCGTACATGCTTGCTGACGAAAGTCACGAATAAGAGCACCGAAGCGCTGAAGAAGAAAAAGTTTGACATTCTCATCACGACACCGCTACGTCTCGTGCATGCCATTCAGCATGACGAAGTCGATCTGTCGCGCGTCGAGCAGCTTGTCCTGGATGAGGCGGATCGGCTGCTGGAGCAGGGCTTCCTCGAGCAGACCGATGAGATTCTGGCGGCGTGCACGCATCCCGATCTACGCAAGGCACTGTTTAGTGCTACGTTGCCAGCAGGTGTGGAAGAGCTGGCGAAGACGTTCATGGTGAATGAGTGCCGTGTGTTGATTGGCCAGAAAGACAGTGCCACAGAAACGATTGAGCAGCGCTTGGAGTTCACCGGGTCGGAAGACGGCAAGCTGCATGCCTTGCGGGCGCTGATCCAGGCGGGAGGCATGCAGCCGCCCGTGTTGCTGTTTGTACAGTCGATCCAGCGAGCGCGTGAACTGTTCCACGAGCTGGTGTATGATGGTCTGCACGTCGATGTCATCCACAGCGAGCGACCCAAAGCGCAGCGGGAAGCGGTGATTGATGCCTTCAAACGCGGCGATATTTGGATTTTGATATGTACAGAGCTCATGGCGCGCGGCATTGATTTCCATGGCGTAAACTTGGTCATCAACTACGACTTCCCTCAAACGGTCCAAAGCTATATCCACCGTATTGGTCGTACAGGTCGTGCAGGCAAGCAAGGCAAGGCCATAACGTACTTTACCAAAGACGATGCGCCCTACCTCAAATCAGTCGTGAACGTGATGCGGCAGTCTGGGTGCGAGGTGCCCGAGTGGATGCTCAAGCTCCCGAAACCCTCGAAAATGATGAAGAAAAAACTTCGGCAGGCGCCTGTGCAGCGCCAAGACGTTCGTGCGGCGTCGGGCCGAAGTTCCCTGGGCCGTCGTATGGCCAACCGACAGCGTGATATGGTACAGGCGAGCAAACGCCGCAAACTCAAAGCCGCGTCTACGACATAGTCTCATCTGCTTCCGCGGCCGTAGCACCTACACTCAGCGTTTCATGCGCCACGTCGGCCGCCCAACACAAGCGGTTCAGCACAGCAGGATCCGTATCGCCCAGCAAGGTCGCCATATCCTCGCGCTGCAAGTGCATTTTGAAAAAGACAAGCAGGCCTTGGGCCAGATGTGGCTGCCCTACAGTGCCTTTGACCAGCAGCTGCTCCAGTCCCTCACGCTGCGCCTTGGTCGGCGGCTTGGCGAGGGCGGTGTGCACGCGCGGCGTAAGGATTGGCGACTTGGTCTGCGATAGAAGCAGCACTTGCAAGAGCACATGTTGCAAAAACACAGTGCCAGCCGCATGCAAGCTTGTAAAGTCGACCGTCTTGAGCGCGCTCAGAGACAGACCGCCGCGAGCAAACCAGTAGGCGTAAGCACGCGCTACATGGATCAGCTTGCGCATGCGATGCACGTCGCTCAGAACAGCCGCACTCGTATCCTCGGCGTCTTCGTCGTCAGCCTCGGCGTCCTCGCCACCCTGCATACTTTCGCCCCCCACACGCTTCTCGCCAATGTCACGGAAGTAGTCCCATAGCACAAACTGCATCGTGACACGCATGCCCGGCTGATCCTGCGCCAAGTGCTGACCGACCAGCACATAGTATGGGTTGTACGTACGTTCCTGGGCTAAGCAGTGGATCAGCACACGAATGACTTCGCGACGCTGAACCTCGCTCAGCTTAAGCTGCATGAGATTCTGGGCTGCATCCTTGTAGTCCAAACTCGAGAGCAGCGTCGAGAATATCATACGACGTGCGTCTGTATTCATACCTTGTGCCTTGGCAAGCTGCGACACATCGACCTGCGTCGTACCGATGACATCATCTGGCAGAGCACTGGCGACAGCAGGGGCCGGCGCAGGGGTGTCATGGCTCGGCGCCGCTTCGCGACCTGTCCACGCCGCACCAACAAGCCACCAACGCCCATGCGATTCGGCATCCTGCAGGTCCTGCAGACCCACTTGCAAGGCGGCCTGCGTTCGCACGGTACGACGCTTCTCCATCGACGACAAGTACTTGGCCATGCGCTGCAAACTCTCTGCAGACGAGGAGGTATCGCGTGCCAAGTGCCGTCCTTTCTGACGTAGATGAACAAGTGCTTCCAGCATGAATCGGGCACGACTGGACTGTGCGACTTGCGCTGCAGAAGCAGGCGCGCCATCGAGGCACTTTTTCGTCAAATCCACAATGGCTTTCAAGGCTTCAGGATCCGCATGCCGAAGCTGCTGGCCACTGCTCTGCGCCATGCGCAAAATCAGCTCGATATCAATTTCCGCAATGGGTTTGGGCCCTGTCCACCCAGGAATCATCGCCGTGAAACTGTCGCCTAGCAACAGACGCACAAGATCCAGCAGGATACCAGACGAAAGAAGTTTGAGGTTGAACGTGTGGCATAACAGCATGACCAGATTCACACACTCCCGACTCCACGCCGAGACATCGCCGTCCGACGTAGCAAGCAGCGGCGCATAGGAAGCAAGGAAACGCTGAAGACACTCTTGCAGAAAATACGCCCCGAACTCCACACCCACAATTCGATGCATGGCGGCCAGCAGCGCCGCATAAAGCACGACAATTGTCTCACTTAGATTAGACCGCGCAGCAATGGTATCCAGCACGAGCTGTGTGATCATAGAAGTGACGTCGCCACGTGCATATGAGCGGTACAAGCCGTCCAACTCGCCAACAATGGTATCCAAGTTGCCCTCCGCAAGCCTATTCAGCTGGCCATTGATGTGACGGCGAAGTTTCTGATGCTCGAGTGACGTTGCAGCTGTGCTGGCCTTCTCAGCCGCTTTGCGCAACGCTGGCGGCACATACTTGGAAGTAGCCGGCGTAGGCGTGGCTACGTCGTTGGCGGTAGATGCAGGCGGGCCAATGTCTTTTTCCTCCTCCGCCCCTTCCTCGTCTTCATCAAGATCGATATCGTCCTCCTTGTCCTCTTCTTCCTCTTCCTCCTCGTCCTCGTCCTTGTCCTCTTCATCGAGATCATCATCTTCATCTTCATCGAGATCGACATCGTCTTCCTCTTCTTCAAGATCGACATCGCCTTCCAGATCGCCTGGCAATCCCTCGCCCTCCTCACTAGCACCATCGTCATACATGCCAGCATGGAATCGGTCTAGATCATCGAGCAAAAAGTCAAGATCATCACCTTCGTGCTGCTTTTGCCCTTTCTTGCCATACAATTGATGCTCCAACCACGCAATCTCGTCCTCTTCTTGCTGCTCGACGCGACTCAACGAGCGCTGAGAGGTGATGTCGGGGGACGTCGACTCTGTAGTCTGACCCGTTTTCTGCATGAGCTTCTCAAGCTTGGTAGGCCCCTTTTGCTTGTGCGCTGGAGCTGTAGTCGTTTTCATCTGCCCCGTGATCGGATCCATCACTGTTCGCTGTTCAGCCGGTGGTATAGGCGGCTCTGTGACCCGGGCCTTTTTACGTGCTGGCTCCGCTTTGCTCTTTGAAGGGGCAGAGGTCGTCTGTGCATGCACTGGCGTCGATGTAGGTGCAGGGCGCTTCTTGGTGGGAACGCGTGCGGCATGCTTAGCGCGGCGCTGTTCTTTCCTTGCAGCTTTTCGTGCGCCGATCGTAGTACGTTGTGGCTTCTTATGCTTACTATGCCCCCCACCATGAGAGTTCGTGTCAATACCGAGCTCCGCTTGCAAAGCAGCGGGCAAGCGCGTCGTAGAACGCGCTCGGTCTTTCCCCTGACGCATGGTCGTAGCTCGCTGTCAAAAAAAAATAAAATAAAAATGTGGAGATCCTCCAAAAAGGAGACGTGCACGTCCAGCTTCTATCCATATAGACTATAGACAGTTACTCGGTCTTGTCCGACGATGCTTGGGTGTCGTAGCTCTTAGGCTCTTGCGACGCAGGGTTGACCCACGACCACATATCTTTGATCTCATTCCGAGCATAGGCAGTAAGAAGGGCCGCGAACGAGCAGGCTGGCGAGAGGTATAGAAGGGCTGGCTGCCCTGCCTTGAATACATGCATGACGCCCATGGTCATTGCGAGGCCAAGAACGTAGCCAGACATGCAAGCTGTAAAGTACGGTTTCGGGAAGTCGTAGAAGAAGCGCGTAAACGTGAGACTGGGGCGTTTCTCAGAAGCAAGTTTCTGGTCAAAGCTCAGTGCAAGCGCCACAAATACACCAGGCACGACAATATCGCCGAGACCCAGAAGCGAGAACTGAAGCGCAGGCCTAAATTTCCAGCCCAAGGTTTGGATGGTCTCAAGCACTTCCAAGACGTTACGAGGCACGACAATCTTGATGGGGCCGTCAAAGTTGGTCGCCACGCTGACCATGACAGACTGACCGGCAAACTTGGAGCTGCCAAACACCCAGAAGATATCGTAGAGGAACAGACCGCCAAGTAGAATAAAGCCTGTCGCAAACGAGTCGAGCGTGATCAACATAATGCCCTGAATTGCAAGGCAGATCGCAATCACATTGGCCAGGATCCAGTTTTTCGTCATGAGGTAGATCGCTATGATCCCACACACCAGTCCAAAGAAGACCAAGGTGGGAACACTCACCTTCTCGTAAAAGTACAACATCCCCTTCTTGTGCGACGTGGGCTTAGGCGCAGGCGTAGCTGGTGAATAGCTTTTCAAAAGGCAGGGCTGCGTGCAAAACACGATCCCCTTCTTCTGCCAAGAGCCAAACACATGCGGCCCCATCATAATACGGCACAGGTGCACCAGGACATTAGGAATCGCAAGGCAGCCGGCCAGCGCAAAGTACGCGTTGATCACCATAAGAATCATGTCCTTCTCCAGGTACTTGAAAGCAAGGTAAAGCGATAAGAGTACAGCACTGCCAAATACAGGGAAGAGCCAAGCATGATCGGATGACATGCCTTCCGTGTACTCTTCGTCCTCGTCCAGCTCGGACTGACCATGCTTCTTGCGAAGTGCCTTGGTCGCCTCAGGTGTGTGCAGCGAAGCCAAGCTGCCGAGATAGACGACGCTCGATGCTGTAACGAGCAGAGTTCCTAGATGGTGAGCACAATATACACATACCGTAGGCCAAGTACAGCGACACGCTCATGATGGACCACGGGAACACTCGTTGACACCTACATCGCCGGGTGTACCTCATGGTGGAGGTGTGTATTGTGCTAACGTGGAAGGTACGACCTACCTACGACGACGCGGGCGGCTGGATGTAGGCACGTGGGTGGACCCATGCCTCAGCAGGGCCAGACAGGTACGTCTGCGTACCCACCATCCCAGCCCCTTCGACCTTATCGCCACGCAAGATGCGCTCGCGCTCTTCGCGGATCCGTGCCTGGGCTTGCTCACATTGCTCGCGCAAGTACTGAATCACGGCATCCGGTTTCGGGTCACGGAACACAGCTGTGCCGGCCACAATAACATTGGCACCCGCATCCGCACACGCCGAAATCGTCGCAGGCGCTACACCGCCATCGACTTCCACGTCGAGATCGGGGTACCGCGCGCGGAGCTCGGCTACCTTGGGCATGCACTCCTTGATGAATTTCTGGCCACCTGCACCGGGCCATACCGTCATGACCAGGATCATATCGACAGCCTTGGCCAGTGCATCGGAAATCTCCGTGGCTGGCGTGCCAGGGTTGATCGCGACCGAGGCGCGCATCCCTGCTGCCTTGATCTGACGCACAACCTCCAGGGGATCGTCTGTGAGGTAAGTCGATAGGGACGAGGACGTACCTGTAGCTTCAATGTGGAATGTGTACGAAGCGCCGCCAGCCGCTGCAATGTCTTTGATCCACTAGGACGTCAGTACAAAGCTCCTTCCGTACCTTGAGTGGTTCCGAGACCATCATGTGGCAGTCCATAAAGATCTTGGGCACCGCCTTCGAGACGCACTGCAAAATGGGGGCACCCATGACGATGTTAGGCACAAAGTGGCCATCCATAATGTCTGTACGATGTGAGTCGTCATCCACCACTACCTACCCATATGGAGCCAGTCTGCACCACAGTCCATCATACGTTGACACTCATGATTCAAGTTACCCAGGTCCGAGGCCAGGACACTCGGTGCAATCTTCACAGCCGGCATGACAAGCAAGTCGCGTGCAACCGCTTGTGGGGTGCGCCGCCCCCTTTATAAAAAATTTGCCGCTGGCCTCAACGCACGGCCAAGCCACGTGATGGCCCTGACGGTCTGGTCGTTCTCTCCTCTCCACCTAGCTAGCCTCGAGTGTGCTTGTCATGGACGCGCTAGCGGCGTACCAGTCCGAGAGTGAAGAGGAGGTTCCTTCTGTGCCTACATCCTCGGGTGCTCGTGTGCCGGTCACCGATGCACAGAGTGAGAGCGAGAGTGAGAGTGAGAGTGAAGTCGATCCCAAGGACGCCTTCGGATTGCAGCACGCCGTGTCGTCAACGTCGAATGCTCCCACCAGCACAGCGCTTGTGAGTGCTACAGCTGCGCCTGTGGTGGCCGAAAAGCAGGAGGCATTAGATGTCCAGCCAACAACACAGAGCGTGGCGCCTGGTGGGACCAAGACACTGACAGGCTACGTTGAAGAAACGGCCATATCCGATTTTGATTTCCGGAATCAGCAGCGGACCTTTGATGTGCTGGGCTACGCTCGGAATCCCAGCGCGTACGCCGCAGGCACGTCGGCAACCAATGCGCAGGCCTTTGTGGGCGATCACGAGGCCGCACACCAAATGCAAGGCGCGACCCTGGCTGACTTGCGTGGCGGCACAGCAGACACGCGACGGCAATCGCGGGCGATGCGCCGGAAGCGCAAAGGACGCATGGGTGATGCATCCATTGTCGATGGCGAAGGTGCATATGTGGGCCCTTGGGGCGGCTGGGACGACGAGGTAGCGCCTAGGGCGTTTGAGCCTGCACCGGCGACCGACATGGGCCCGACGCCCGAAGAGCTCGAAGCAGCGAAGCAAGCTGCCGAGAAGCGCAAGCGCGAGGCGTCCGAGTACGAGCGGCGCCGACAAATGGACGAGTCGCATGGTACCGAAAAGAGTATTTTCCATGGTGAGTCGCTGTACGATTACCAAGGCCGAACATATATGCATATTCCGACAGATACCGATGTGAACCTACGTGGCGAGCCTGGCGATACGGAATCGTTCTTGCCGGAAATGTGTATTCACACGTTTACCGGGCACAACAAAGGAATTACAGCGCTTCGCCTGTTCCCACAGAGTGGTCACTTGATGCTGAGTGCGAGCATGGATACCAAGATCAAGCTGTGGGATGTGTACCACGAAGGGCGCTGCCTACGTACGTTTTTGGGCCATTCCAATGCGGTGCGTGACGTTACGTTTACGAACGATGGACGTCAGTTCCTCTCGGCTGGCTACGACTGCCAAGTCAAGTTGTGGGATACCGAGACAGGTGCCTGTCTGCAGGCGGTCAGCTTTGACGACGTGCCGCTGTGTGTGCGTTTCAATCCTGACGCAGACAAACAGCACATTTTCCTTGCTGGCACGAACGATAAGCGCATTGTGCAGTACGATTTGCGGGAGCAGCAAATTACGCAGGAGTACAACCAGCACCAGGGCCCAGTGAACACAGTGACGTTTGTCGATATGAACCGCCGTTTCATCTCGACGAGCGACGATAAGAGTTTGCGTGCGTGGGATTGGGACATTCCCGTTCCGATCAAACTGGTAGCGGACCCGTTGATGCACTCCATGCCTTCCGCGACATTGCACCCATCGCAACGGTGGCTGGCGTGCCAAGGTATGAACAATACCATCAGCGTGTACTCCACCGACACGTTCAAGCCACGCAAGAAGACATTCCGTGGGCATACAACCGCTGGGTTTGCGTGCCAAATTGGGTTTAGCCCGGATGGCAGGTTCATGTCGTCCGGCGATAGCCAGGGCGATCTCGTGTTCTGGGACTGGAAAAACGGCAAGGAATTGAAGCGCCTTTCAACACACAAGGATGTGGTCATTGCGCACGAATGGCTGCCGCATGAAACGGTATGTATCTTGACGACTGACAGGAGTCCAAAATCGTAACGGGTGCCTGGGATGGCCTCATCAAACTCTGGGTAGGTACCCACGAGACGACTAACCACAGACGTAAAAAACGCATAGTAGACATCTCATATAATACTACAGACTACAATTACTTGCGGCGCTTCGCCACCTTTTCACCGAGGGCTTTGGAGCCTTGGCCTTTGCTAGCAAACTTGATCGCCTTGCGCAGGTTCATCTCGGAGCCGCCGCCCTTGTCCATCTTGGCCAGCAGCTGCATGTGCGCTGCCCGCTCCTTGCTGGCATCGATCTCGTTCGGCTGGAACGTGCGCTTGACACCACGCGGCTTCGATTCGCCTTCCAGCTTGGTATCAAAGCGGCCCATGGACGCCGTGCTGCCACGCGCACGCAGCAACTCGGCCTCCAACTCGGCACGTCGGCGAGCACGCGATGGAGCCACACCGGAGCCAAGTTCGCTCTTGGGCGCTGCTGCCGTTGCAGCCGCTTCGCCAGCCTGCCGAGCGAGATTGCGCTGGTGCTGCTTCTCGTTCTTGAGGCGGCGTTCCTTGCGCTCCTTCGCCGCAGCCTTGTCAGGCCGGAAATCGTCGTCGGCATTGTTCGGCACCTCAACAAGCCACTGGTTTTCCAGCTGCTTGTTAGCGCCTTGGTAGCCCCAGCGTGGGACCCATTCGCCGCGCTCTTCATCGTAGATCATGCGGTCCTTCTTGCGTTTGACAATACCCTTGGCCTTGGCAAACTTCTCCCATTTGGTCAGTGGCTTGGGCTTGGGCAACGGCTTCTCACGCGGCAGCGCTGTCTCAAACGCAGGGAGCGTCGCAAGGGGACCGTACGTCGCATCGCGCTGAATCGGAAATTGGAACAAGGTATTGATCAAGTGCTGCGTCGCATTCCGAGTGCGCGATTGCAGCAAGGCTTCGCGGTCCTTTTTGTACGCACGCACATCAAGCGGATTCACATCCAACGAGGCTAAGAGGCCTGCATCCAGCTGCAGGGGCGTCTCGCCCTGCTCTACAGCTGTACTTGTGCTCACCGCGGCAGCCATAGGTAGGAACGTAGCACAGCGCGAGGCTCGCCACGCCGTCAAGCGTCCACCGCAAACTTTTTCTGGAAGGCATCACGTGATGGTGCATCCACGCGCGCGTAGCGCTGTCGACGCTCGCTCGCTCGCTCGCTCCTAGGGCATCGAGTGCGTTCTCCACGAGGCCAAGATGCTGCGCGAGGGCCTCTGGTTCCTGATGCGGCTGCTGAAGCTAGCAGCGATCGTTGTATCGCTAGTCCAGCTTCTGATCTTTTTGCCTCTCTCGCTGGAGCATAGTCAGGAGACCTTCTTGACGTTCTCCGCGCTCATGGCCATGTTCTACTTTAGCCTGACTACGATGCGCCTGCTCACCGCCGACACTCGGTTCAAGTACGTGACGCGCATCATTATGTCGCTCCAGAACTTTGTGATTCCAGCCGCGCTCTTCTTGTGTGCGCGGTTGTACGCACCCGATGCATCGCATGCATCGCATACATCGACACCACAGCCGTTCTCGGCCACCTCTGTGCCATGGATGCAGTCCGTGTCGAAAGCCCAAATGTGGCTTGCGTCTCGTACGCCATTCTCCTGGGGTGTCAAGCAGGAGGAGGTCGTGCCCAAGGACCAGTTCTTCTCGACGCTGCTGCACATGGCACAGTACTCTCTTTCGCGGGTGCCTGGCGCTTGGTACTCGTTCCTATTGTACATGAGCCCAGTATTCTCCCTGCTCGAAGGACTCGCAAGCTTGTTGGTTGTACAGGCTGTCGCTCGATTCTCTCAGTGGCTGTATGTATCGCCTTAGACTGACCTCAGCATTCACGATCCTCATGGCCGTCGGACACGACGTATTAGCAGCAGTGTCCTGATCCGCAAACTCCTCCAGCTTGGTATTGAGGCAAGTGAGGCGTGGCAGCTTGTCTTTCTTCTGTTCTCGTCCACCGTGTATGTGGCATCGTCGGTTGGTCTGTATGTCAGCTTCGAAGGCGCTACCAACGGCCGCCCACTTACGGCCGCGGCCATTGGCGCGTGTGTCGCCTCGACGTTGTGGGTGACGGGGTTTGCTCTGGCCTTCCGCAAGGCGAATATCGTCGAGACGTGCCTTATGTATGCGTATGTTGTGTTCAACGTGTACCAACTAAGCACGTCGTTGCTGCTGGGCACAGACCCTCTGCACTTGCTGCACTCGTTCCGCAGTAAGAACTTCTCAGCCGTGCTGCTGAATGGGCCGACAGGTGCGATACTAGACCGGATGACCAACGCCATTGAGCATGGATTGCGTGTGTTTAGTGTCGCGATGGAGACCCTGCCGCCGACGGTGATCGTGAACTTGGTATACCGTGTGACGGTGATGTACCTCGCGACGCGTGTGCTGGTCATCTTGGAATGGCAGAGTCAGTACCGCAGTGCCCCTGTGTCTACGCCGTCAGACACGAACTGGCTCGATACAGAGGAGACGGCCAAGCTCTCGGAGCTAATGATGAGTGCCAAGGAGCCGAGCTCTTCGGATGAAACGGATACCCCCGACTATACAAGTGCAGAAGAGCCGATGGATATGCCAGAGTACGAAGAAAGGCCGGTCCGTTCCCGTATCATGGAGAAGGACGAGGAACGGAAGAACGATACAAGACCATCGTGTATGTACGAAAGCACTAACATTTGCAGCCCTCGGCATGGTCTTTGTGCGCTACTCGCGTTTTGTCCTAATTACCGTATACAGCCATTTGCTGTTGCTGGATCAGAACCACCAAATCTACTGGCGCATGCTGGCTGTATCGTTCACATTGGGTCTGTGGGGCATTGAGCTGCTTCTTAGCAAGGAAGATGCGGTGGTGAGCTATGACTAACGCCGTGTCACTGGTTTGTATTATAGATAGGGGGTATATAATGTTCGCGTCATGCCGTAGGAGGCCTCGTAGCCTCGAAAGACTGTGCGTCGGCAAGAAAAGCTTCCAGGACGGAGGCAAGGCCCTCGCTGAAGGTAAGTAGGCGACAACGTACCCTGTCTTGGCGCTCACGCCATAGCAGGAGAGAGCATAGGCTGGTGTCGTATCGCTGTGGCCTTCACGCCATGTCTTGGTAAGCGATGCATGAATTTCGTCGACCAACGAAGCAGAGCTCACGTCGTCCATCTTCGTCACAAGGACAACGATGGGCTGGCCACGTGTGTGCGCTTCCTCGGCGACGGCGCGCCATGCAAGGCTCGTAGCGTCTCTGTACGTCGGTGCCGCCTCGTTCTCCACGGAAGCATTGTGGATCCACGCAGGTCCATCGATGACCCACACCAACACATGCGCGTCGGCCATGTACTGCGCCCAGAGCGATCGCATGCTGGGCGCGCCACCGAGGTCCCAGAACCGCAGGATTCGTTTCTGGTACGGCAAGTCAAGCACATTCTGTCCCACGGTGGGCGGCAGGCGAGAGGAGGGGGCACGGCCCTGTAGGTAGTGATGCCGTAGCTGGGACGAATGAGTCAGCCAAGAAACGTACCGCTTCCTGGAACCACGTTTTACCGCCGCCCTGAAGTCCAATCAAAAGGACATGGTACGTGGACTTTTTGTTCCACTGTGCTCATGGATCAGTGACGTAGGGCACCTACCATACAAGCCTGCCACGAGATGGTACATCCCATCCACGCGATGGCGCACGTTGCACCGACCTACGCACGCACGCGTGGGCGCGAGCCAGCGTTGGAGGCATCACGTGAGACTATACCAATGGCCCCTACCTGATTGGCCGGCAGGACACGGGAGAGGGCGGTTTTGCGAGGCAGGTCGGCCGGCGGCGCTCCTAGTCCGTTTGTTCCACGTCGTTTGCACTCCCTGTTGACGACGATGCTGGGCTCGTTGAGGGCAGCGACAACTATGCCGCGTGCGCGGCTCAGTGCTGGTCCATCTGTAGCAACGCTTCGTGCTGCGACGTTTTCGACGTCGAGCGCGCGTCGTCAGGCTGCGCTAGCACCTGATCCGCCCAAGATGATCAAACTCACAGTGAACGGCAAGGAGGTCGAAGTCGAGCAGGGGTATGTGAGATAGAGGGCGACTGACCAGCAGCACTACGCTCATTCAGGCGTGTGAGAAGGCCGGCTTCCAGATCCCGCGCTTTTGCTACCACGAGCGTCTGAACATTGCAGGCAACTGCCGTATGTGCTTGGTGGAAAGCAAGGGTGCGCCCAAGCCGCTTGCCTCGTGTGCGTTCCCGGCGATGCCGGGTCAGCAGATCTTCACGGAGTCGCCAGTGGTCGCCAAGGCGCGTCAGGGTGTGCTGGAGTTCCTGCTGATGAACCACCCGCTGGACTGCCCGATTTGCGACTGGGGTGGCGAGTGTGACCTGCAGGACCAGACGATGCGCTACGGCTCAGACCGTTCGCGTTACCACGAGATGGCTGGCAAGCGTGCTGTTGAGGACAAGTACCTCGGCCCGCTGGTCAAGACAGTCATGACCCGTTGCATTCAGTGCACGCGTTGTGTGCGTTACGCCAACGAGGTGGCGGGTGTGCCGGACCTGGGTACGACAGGTCGTGGCAACCAGCTGCAGATTGGCATGTACATCGAGAAGATGCTCGACTCGGAGATGTCGGGTAACGTTATCGACTTGTGCCCTGTCGGTGCGCTCACGTCGCGCCCCCATGCGTTCCAGTCGCGTCCGTGGGAGCTGAAGAAGGTCGAGTCGATTGACGTGCTGGACGCTGTGGGCTGCAACATTCGCGTGGATGCGCGCGACCTGCAGGTGATGCGTGTGCTCCCGCGCACGAACGATGATGTGAACGAGGAGTGGATTAACGATAAGACGCGCTATGCCTGCGATGGTCTGAAGTACCAACGTCTCACGGTGCCGCTGATCCGCCAGGGTGACCGCTTCGTCCCGGCGTCGTGGCCGGAGGCACTGGAAGCGATTGCGCAGGGCCTCGTGCGCAGTGGCGCGAAGGGCGACGAGATCCAGGGTGTCGCTGGTGCGCTGGCGGATGCTGAGTCGATGGTGGCGCTGAAGGACCTTATGCACCGCCTAGGCTCGGAGAACGTCCTTACCGACGAACCGAAGGGTGACGAGGTGCCGATCAACGGCGTGGACATCCGCTCGAACTACACGTTCAACACGAGCATTGCGGGTCTAGACGAGGCGGACTATGTGATCCTCATTGGCACGAATCCTCGTCATGAGGCTACGATTATCAACGCCCGTCTGCGCAAGAACTACCTGCGCAACGAACTCGACCTGGCGCTCATCGGTGACAAGGTCGACCTGACATACGAGTATGACCACATTGGCACGGATGCCAAGGCCGTGGAGGAGTTGGCAGCTGGCAAGGGCCCGGCGGCCGAGCGCCTGAAGCAGGCGAAGAAGCCGCTGGTCATTGTCGGCAGCGGTGTGGCAGACCACCCTGATGGTGCTGCGATCTTGAAGAGCGTGGCGACGCTCGTGCAGTCGAACAAGGACAAGATGCTGACGCCGGAGTGGAACGGCTTCAACTTCCTGCAGCGTGCTGCCTCGCGTGTGGCGGCACGTGAGATGGGCTACCACGGCGCAGCTGGCAAGACGAAGCCCAAGTTTATGTACCTGCTCAACGCGGATGATATCACCGCAGCTAAGATCCCGAAGGATGCGTTCGTGGTGTACCAGGGCCACCACGGTGATGTGGGTGCGCAGTTTGCGGACGTATGCTTGCCAGGTCTGGCGTACACCGAGAAGAGCACGACGTATATGAACACGGAGGGTCGTACACAGATGACCCGCACGGCAGTCTCGGGTGCGGGTGCCTCACGCGAGGACTGGAAGATTGTGCGCGCGCTCTCCGAGGTGCTCGGCGTGACGCTGCCCTACGACGATGTGACGGCTGTGCGCGACCGCTTGTACGATATCTCCCCAGCGCTTGTGCGCTACGACACGCGCGAGCCGACGAGCCCTGAGGTGGCCGCGCTCGGTCTCGAGCAGCTCGCAAGTGCTCAGGCCAAGGCAAGTGGTGTGCCGCTGCACCGTCCGGTGGACAACTTCTACCAGACCGACCCTGTATCGCGCGCCTCGCCTACGATGGCCAAGTGTGTGCAGGCGTTTGTTCTCAAGGCCCCTTCGTTCCAGGAGAAGTGGGCCAATGCCACAGAGACGGAGCATGCGTCGGCGTAGACGTAGGCATATAGCACGCAAAAAGATCGATCGTCTCTTTCCCCTCCTTGCGCAACCCGCCGGCCTCTAGATGAGTTGAAGGAATTGAGCAAATAAAATTAGACAATCAGAGTTGAAACGATGAAGACAAACCAATGCATAGTAAAGACGAGGCAAAGAGCAAATCATATTCCGACTCCACTCTGCTGCAAAGAGTGGGTGGTAAAAAATATAGCCCCAGTGAGAAAGCAGTCCCGTCTGTAGATGAGTCGGTGGACGCAACATAGAACTCCCTCTTGCCGAACGCCTTCAAGGCTGTAGCCATCCCTAGGATGTTAGACACGGATCCGCCGCCCCCTACAGTGCGCCTGGAGCGCGGTAGAAGCTCGAGCCAGCTGCCATTACTGAGGGACCGCAGCCATAACCGCAATCCAAGCGCTGTCGGCATTGCTAGGTCCTTGTCAGACCGTATTCGATTAACGCGTGGCAACCAAACCGCAGAGCCAGATTTGGAACAAGGGCCTAGTCCTTTGGACGCCGAGCCCACGGTCAGCGTTGTGCCGCCCATTCGCGAGCAAAGGGAAGATAGCAACCCTCGCTTCAAGCCGAACCAGCTTTGGCCATGGAACGGCGATGCTGCTTCGGCGTGGTCCTTCCATCGTCCGAGCCAAACATCTTCGACCATTCCACAATACCCAGAGGACGAAATTGACCCTATGACGCCGCCTGATACCAGCCGTCATGGCTCAAGTGCAACAGTGCCTTTATACAATAACAGTCTTCGCACATCGAAAGGATCCTTGGATGTGACCAAAGCCTTGGACGATGGTCGTCCACGTATGCCCTCGATTATGGTGCAGGGCGTGGGCGAAGCAGAGCCTGTGCTATTGGATTCTGCCACCGATACAGCAGCCCCCGCTCCCTCCATTGAGGGGTCAGTGGCCAGCCCTGCAGCCAATGCACATGAGACCCATCGTCGCTCGTCGTGGATGCCCCGCCTTCCCTCCTTGTGGCCCTCAAGCACGAGCGAAGAGACTACAAACAAGGCAGGCGCTACGGCCAGCAAAAGCGATGCACATGGCGACCAAGAGCCCTCCTTATCGCGCTCCAGTTCGTTGTGGCGGCGATACCAAGACTCGCACAAAGCTCAAGAAACGGGGCAAGAACCGCTGCAATTGCACTCCAACGAAATGGTCGATTATTTGGACGTACTCGACCCAGCCGTGGGGATCTTCAATACCCTACAAGACTATGGCAATAGCTCCATGATTCCCAATGTCCCATGGCTCTACAATCGCCGTCCGAAATTGCGCATCGATCAATTCGTCCGTGAGTCTGAGAAAACATTAGAGTCGCCGCCCATGAGTGCCGACGCAGTGCCTGTGGATCAGACCGGAAGGATGAAGAGCATCTCGAAAATTCCTTCGATCCATCTCACCGAGGTGGGAGATACTACAAGGCCTTTGGCTGGCAAAGATGACCATTTGTTTCTTCCCAACAAGCAAGCCGAGGAAAGCCAGTTGGATCTGAGTGTCTATCCGGCGCAGGATCAGGCAGCGCCGACGGAAGAGCAGTCGACAGATTCCCATGATACCTTAAAGAAAGCCGGGGAAGAGGAAGAAGACCCTCATACAGATCGCTGGTACGCGATGGACGAGGAAGAGCGTCGTGAGTTGGAAGGGCACATCAAGTACCTACTAAACACTAAGTCGAAGACGAAGCGTATGTTCAAGGGCTTTTGGAACTTTGTACGCACGCCGATGGGCTTCATCTTGACGACGTACATCTTCTTGATCTTTTCATGGGGTGTGGCCATTTTCTTGTTCATTGTCAATTGGGTCCATGTGGAGCCATACCACAAATGGCGTTTGTGGGTGGAAGTTTGTGACCAGGTTCTATGTGCATTGTTCGTGACGCGTGGTGTTGGTTTTGCGCCCTACCGTGTGGTCGACACGTATCGCATGGTCCATATTGCGCACTTCCACTTTTTGACGTACAGACGACGGAAGCTACTGAATCTCCCCAAGCTTGCGAATGAAAGTGAGTTGCCCCGGTACACGGAGGAACAACTGGCGCATATTATGCATGATAATTCCAAGCAGATTTCCCATTCGGAGCATGAGGTGGAAGACATTTCCCAGATGCTTGAGCGGATTGGTGTGAAGAATGCGAATGAACTATCAGACCAGCTTCCAGACTTTAACAGACTCCTGACTCCTATACCTGGCCACCCTGCGGAAGGGAAGGTCATCCTTAGTCGTGAGGAACAACAAAAAGAGCGCCTACGACGTGCGCCGTCCATTCAGTCGATTGTGGAGAAACAATCACGAGAGGTGAGCGTGCTGACGCCCAAAGAGCAGGCGTTGCTCCAGCACTATCAGCGCCGTTTCCATGCCTCGCATACATTCTACCGTTACTGTGAAACAGAAACGCATCGACCCTTTCCGTTGTGGCTCATGATGACTATTGTCAGTCTCCTGGACGTGTACTCGATGCTACAGTGTTGTTTGGCCGGTACGATGTGGGGCATTCGGTATGAACGTCGACCCACGTCTCTGACGGCTTCTATTGTTTCGAGCTCGCTTTCCTGTAACATCATTGCAGGGCTGCTGATTTGGCAGGGCGGGAAACGTACGCGCAAGACCGAAGTGGTAGAGCGACGTGTTAAACTGGCCCTGGAGGAGCGTGCGATTGAGCGAATGGAACGCAAGCGTCTAAAAAACGCTCAAGTACGTCAAGAGCAGATATTGCATGAGAAAGAGCCAACGCAAGTGCGCCATCGTTCGTGGTAGTAGTGTATTCATAGTGTGTATGTAATTCGTTGGATTCGTACTGTAGCTCCACATAACATCCGCTTGGCCGGTGCTACGCGTTCCTGGTAGGGGCCATGTCGCGGCCATCGCATACGTCGACGCCAGTGCCGGAGCTTCGTGGTGCGGCGGCTATTGCGCGCAACATCGATGCGGCGGCAGAGAAGCTGTCCATGGGCCAGCCGAAACGGTCGCACAGCCGCACGTACGTATAGTCGCCTAAGACTCATTCGGGAGCACTATCATGACAGAGGCAGGGAGGCAGCCATGGTACGATGCGGAGGGGAAGCCGATTCAGCCGTACATTGTAGGTGTGGCGGGCGGAAGTGCCAGTGGGAAAACATCGATTGCCAAGGAGATTTTGAAGCGCCTTCCGAACGTGTCATGGGTTGCCATTCTCAGTCAGGATGCCTTTTATCGCCCCTTGAACGAGGAGCAGATCCAGCAGGCGTTCGAACAAAATTTCGACTTTGATCATCCGAACGCCATTGATCAGGAACTGCTTGTACAATGTGTCAAAGATTTAAAAGCGTCACGCGCTGTGCAAGTACCTATTTACAGCTTTACGCAGCATCAGCGCCTGCCAGAAACGACCTACTTGTATGGCCACACAGTCCTTGTGCTGGAAGGTTTGTTTGTGCTGCACGATCCAGCGCTACGAGATTTGCTTGATTTGAAGATCTTTGTACAGACGGACCCTGACATCATGCTGGCCCGGCGAATCCGGCGTGATATTGTCGATCGTGGCCGTTCGGTCGACGGCGTGTTGGACCAGTACCTTCGCTTCGTGAAACCGTCCTTCGATACCTTTGTCGGTCCCTCCGCTCGATACGCCGACATCATTGTGCCAGGTATGCACAATGCCGTGGCCATCGATGTCATCGGCCAGCACATTGCAAAGCACTTGACACGAGCCAGGACTCTTCTGTTGCGGCAGGACATCAGCCGTACGCTTGAGCCGGCGCCGTTTGATGTAGCCTCGGGGCGTACATTCCCCTTGGCGCGGCTGCGTGTAGGGACCAGCGTGGATGGCACACCAGTGCATGTGGTGGAACTGGCGCCCTTCTCCGAACAAGGGGATGCAGAAGGATTGGTGGCTCATACAGACGACATTCTGCCGCTCCCGCCAAACCTGTGTGTCATTCCGCCCAAGGCACAGCTGCAAGCTATGCTTACTGTGATGCACGATGTGAGCACGGCTTCCGGCGACTTTGCTTGGGCGTGCAAACGTGCAGGGGCATTTGTTGCTGAAGCGGCTATGAAGTTGCTGCCGTATCGCTCGCGAAAGATTTGCACGCCCACAGGCGAAAAATGTACGGGTGTCGAGCTTGATGTGACCCATATCTGCGGCGTGTCGATCCTACGCTCAGGCGCAATATTAGAACAAGTACGTATGGATCTGCTAACCACATTAGCCTCTTCGACGTGCGTTGCCGGCGCTGGCATTAGGCTCCCTTCTGATCCAGAGCTCTGGGACAAACTATCGACCGATGCTGTACGTGCCTGACAGAGACCTGACCATACAGCTACTCCGTATCCCTGCCGTCGTTCGTCAAAGATCGCACGAAAGCAGCGCAGACGTGGGTCCTGCTGACCGATGCGCAAATCGGCACGGGCGCGGCAGCCTTTATGGCAGTGCGTGTCCTCCTCGATCACGGAGTCCCAGAGAACCAGATCATTTTGCTGACACTGCTCGTGTCTGCACAGGGCGGTGTATGGTCCTTGCAACATGCCTTCCCACAAGTGCGCATTATCACAGCGGGTGTCGATCCAGGCCTGCAACAGTTTACATGGCCGGACCAGCACGATGGGTACACAGTGCACACGCATACGACATCACACGCAGAACACTACACACCTGCCGAAGCAGATATGGCCGAGCGTCAAGTTTTTGCTATTACCCCAGGGTGTGGCCAAATGGGCGATCGATTCTGGGGCACATAGACACTATCCATAGGCCCTTCGCTGCCATCATGGCCTGGCGTCTGGAAGAGTGAGCATTGTGGGGTTGGGCGTAGATTTTTTCTCCATGATTGGGTAATTATCTGCACGTCTGCGCGGAAAGCACCGGCCAAGCAAACTATGCGCGGCTGTCTCACTTGCTGACGTGAACATCACGCCCGCGCATCTTTTCGTCGGACTTGTTCACCAGCAACCCTGGCGTTGGTTGTATCCAGAAGAACCAACAGTTAGTTACTTCGTACGACAAAGACCATGTTTCGCTCCTTTGGGCGGATGGTAAGTGGTGTGTCCAAACGCGGTCGAGGCCGTGGACAGGACGGCTACGCAAGTGTGGACGACACCTTGGATGCTACACGAGACGCAAGACCTTCGTCTGATTTCACGACAGCCACCGACAGCGATAAAAGCAAAGAGGCTACACCCGCACAGTCAGGCACTTCTACGCCTACGATCTACACAACCGATACGGCTATTTCACCCAACTCGGTGGACTCGCCTGTACCGGTACCTATCACGAAAAGCTCGAGGTTGGGGTTGGGTGTGTCGCCTGATGCGCGTCACAGCGGCTGGGTAGCTGGCTCCCCAGCTCCTGGCGGCATGCCTAGCTCCTCCCCCTTATCTACAAGTGTAACTAGCGCAGATGGCGTTAAGACATTTGATATCGATGATATGATCTCTCGACTGATTGAGGCAGGCTATTCTACAAAGCTGCCGAAACCAGCGCTCAAGATCCCAGAGATTATGGCCATTTGCCAGGCTGCCCGTGAAGTATTCCTCAGCCAGCCTACTCTAATTGAGTTGAGCCCGCCTGTAAAGATTGTGGGTGATACACATGGCCAGTACCAGGATCTGCTGCGTTTGTTTGATATGTGTGGATACCCGCCAGCCGCCAACTACCTCTTCCTAGGCGATTATGTGGACAGAGGAAAGCAGTCACTGGAGACAATCTTGCTTCTTCTCTGCTATAAGATCAAGTACCCGGAAAATTTCTTCTTGCTCCGTGGAAACCACGAATGTGCCAATGTCACACGTGTATATGGCTTCTACGATGAATGCAAGCGGCGGTTGAATATCAAGGTCTGGAAGACGTTCATCGATGTATTTAATACGCTTCCCATTGCAGCCATTGTGGCCTCGAAGATCTTTTGTGTACATGGCGGACTGTCTCCCTCGCTGTCCAACATGGATGATATCCGACGCATCGAGCGTCCCACAGGTGTCCCTGACTACGGCTTGCTCAATGACTTGCTGTGGAGTGACCCAAGTGATACTGCCCTGGACTGGGAAGACAATGAACGAGGTGTAAGTTACTGCTTCGGGAAAGCAGTCATTCAACAATTTTTGGCACAGTATGACTTTGACTTAATTTGCCGAGCCCATATGGTCGTGGAAGATGGTTATGAGTTCTGGAACGAACGGACTTTGGTCACCGTCTTCAGTGCACCGAACTACTGTGGCGAATTCGACAATTTTGGCGCTGTCATGAGCGTGTCTGAGGACTTATTATGTGCGTTTGAGCTGCTGAAGCCTCTAGATGGCCCTGCTCTCAAGAAGGAAATGGCCAAGAATAAGAGACGAAGCTTGCTCCAACTGCAGCAGCAACAGCAACAGCAATAGCCAGCGTTGATCAGACCATTCCCACACTCATCCTGACCTAGTTTTCAGGTTTCATATATCTGCATCCTCGATTGCCATATCCTTCCTGTTGTCTCTCTCTTCAATCGTACTCAAACGAAAGTACGTGTAGGATTTTGTACGTAAGCGAAAATAGGACATAAATATCTATATGTGGATAAGGTCCGTGCCTTTGTCTGCGGCCGTCATGGCGTCCCCGCTGGCCGTGCAAGTGCATGACTTGCATTACCGCTTTACGACCAGCTCTACATCTGCATTGGAAGGCTGTGATCTTCTGCTCCCTCGCGGCGCACGTTGTCTTCTGATCGGTGCAAATGGCGCTGGAAAAAGTACCCTTCTACGCCTGCTTGCAGGAAAGCGTCTGTGCGAGGCACATATTAGGGTGTTTGGCCAAGACGTGTTCCGTGCGCCGCCTCAAGGTATTACCTACCTAGGAACCGAGTGGGCTATGAACCCTGTGGTGCGTAGTGATATTACCGTGCAAGATTTCTTGAACTCGGTTGGCGGCTTCCGGTTTAGTGAGCGTCGTGATCGTCTCCTCGACCTATTGGACGTGGATCTATCGTGGCGTATGCACATGATCAGTGATGGCGAGCGTCGTCGAGTGCAGCTTTGCATGGGACTCATGGAGCCATGGCAGCTTCTGCTGCTCGATGAAGTGACAGTGGATTTAGATGTCCAAGTTCGTTGCGATTTGCTCGATTTCCTGAAAGAAGAGAGTGAAACTCGAGGTGCAACAATCGTTTGTACGTATTGATACCAACTTACCCAAAGACGCCACCCATATCTTTGATGGTATCCATTCTTTTCCTACTAATATTGTGCATGTGCAACTTGGACGCACGACGACAGCGCAACCTTTTCCCTGGCCTCTACCTCCGCCCTCATCGCTGCCTGAGGATTTAGCCAGCCATCTTCCCGCTACGCTGCAAAAGTCCTGGTCCCAAGGTGGCTTCTCGTCTATATCGCTCCTGGATTTGGCCCTAGCATGGCTGCGCGAGGATCGTGTCCTTCGTGAACAAAGTGAACGGCAACGAGGTATCAAGCGTGGTCGTGCGAACCGGTCTATGGAAGAGACTACGGATGCGAAGAAGTTTTTCAGTCAATACGATTATTATACCAACTTTTCTACGTAGGTACTCATAATGAACGTATTTGAAGGGTATAGGAAAGTAAGCCCCTGTAAGAGCATGGTACTCACGATATTTTAAACCTGTTATAATTCTCCATTTTAGAATGGCCCTCCGTAATCGGCTGAGTGGCGCAACGGTAGCGCGTCTGATTCCAGCATGTGGAATGCAACACTTCCTCAGTGGAGTCTCCAGAAGGTTATCCGTTCGAATCGGGTCTCGGTCATTCTTTTTTATTTCACTTTTTTTTTTGACAGTGGAGGCTGTTGGCCTGGCTACTGCCAGCCTAGGTTTTTGTCGCCTGGCCTATTTTTTTTTGTCTCCACTCGTCGGTGAACGTGCATTGACGCCATGGCGAAAGGATCGCGGCGAGGGAAGCATTCCGATGAGTCACTGCAGCGGCAAGCTGACAGCATTGCTAGTTCCACAAGGATCCCTGTCTCGCTGCAGCAGTCAACGCCAACGGAGACAATCGGCATGCGTCCGCCCAAGTCGCTGTCCAACATTAAAGACAAAAAACTTCGGTCTGAACTTTCACGACAGTACCTTTCCCGCAAGCGTGCAGAGCAACATGCGAAGCTTGCTGATGAGTATTTGCATGGATCCATTCCTGGCGAAGATGCTGGGCTTATGGAAGTGGACAACGAGATGGAACGAACGGCTCGTGTTACGCAGTCGCAAATTCAGAGTGCTGTGGGTGTGGAAACGGCGCGCAAGTCGTTTGAGCTCAAGCTTGGTGGGAAGAATACGGTAAGTCTTGGCCCCTATCGTTGTGATTACACACGAAATGGGCGTCATCTGTTGCTGGGTGGCCGCAAAGGCCATCTTGCCGCCTTCGACTGGCAGAGTGGCAAGTTGTCGTGCGAGATTCAAGTGCACGAGACGGTGCGTGATGTGCGATGGCTACACAACAACACGTTTTTTGCTGCCGCGCAAAAGAAATATACCTATATTTACGACCAAAATGGCATTGAGATCCATCGGTTGAAAGATCATATTGAAGTGCAGCGTATGGAGTTCCTTCCGTACCACTTCCTGCTTGCGACGATCGGCAAGCCTGGCTACCTCAAGTACCAAGATACATCTACGGGCGAGCTCGTTGCGTCGCACCGCACTGGTCTCGGTGCCTGTGCTACGATGGCGCAGAACCCACTGACCGCTGTGATTCACCTGGGGCATGCCAATGGCACTGTCACGCTCTGGACGCCCAACATGTCGCAGCCTGCACTCAAGATGCTATCGCACCGTGGCCCTGTGACGGGCCTGTCTGTGGATGCCTTCCGAGGTGGTCGTGAGTTGGTCACAAGTGGCTTGGACGGTATGATCAAAGTATGGGATACACGTATGCTCGGCAAAGGCCCGCGACGCGAGTGGCAGAGCCGCCGTGCTGCGAGCGATGTGGCTTACTCGCAGCGTGGTCTGTTAGGCGTGGCATGGGGCAATCATGTGAGTTTGTATGATACACATGCGGAGCTGGGGAACGCACCGCCAGGTCCGTACATGACGCATGGCCTCCCACAGTGTGCGCCGCTGCAGGTCCGATTCTGTCCGTTTGAAGATGTGTTGGGCGTGGGTCATGCACAAGGCTTTTCGAGTCTGATTGTGCCAGGCGCAGGTGAGCCGAACTTTGATTCTAGCGAGGCCGATCCGTTCGAGACGAAGAACCGCCGCCGTGAGCGTGAAGTGCACAACTTGCTGGACAAGATTCAGCCGGATATGATCACGCTGGATCCCGACATGATGGGCCAGCTCGATACACGCGCCTCGCGGGCGGTGGACAGCGTCACTGCCGCGCCGTCGCGCATGGGCGCGGTGCCTCGCGCCGCGGATGGCACGCCGTATGCGCGTTTATCACGTGCACAGCGTTTGCAGCTCAACGATGCGATGGAGGCCGATGTGCTGGTGGACGACCGGGATGAGGACGAGGCAGGCACAAAGGCGCACGTACCTGCCAAGGGCGTGGCCAAGGAGAAGAATCGGGCGCGTGGCCGTAACAGCGCTATGAAAAAGTACTTGCGCAAGAAGCGGCAGAATGTTGTGGACGCCAATACGATTGCACTGCGGGAAAAGTACCAGCGCGAAAAGGCACAGCGCCGTGCGAAGGATATGCCGCCACCGCCGCCCAAGGAGCCAAGTGCGTTGGACGTCTTCCAGCGCGTCAAGGGCCCACGTGCGTAGAATCACCAAACCTTGTAGTACATGAAGCCTATCTTGCTATGCGATCTAAAAAGTGCCGCATTGATCTGCGCAGGGGTGTATGTGGTAGGGCTGTTTCGACTCGCCCTACATCATTAAAGAGGGGCGTACGAATCGCGCGATTTGTGCTCATTTTCCAGGAGCAGCACCAAGGTGGGGGGTATCCGTACGACCCGTTTCCGTAGAACAAAATGGACGTATTCAGCGAGGCACAGCAAGATCCATAAACGCAACGTAACATAACCAATTCAATATCATGGAGCAGAAAATGAGAACAGCCAGCGCATCATCAACTATAGCGCTTTAGAGCATGTACACCCACAGCCACACAAAGCACGCGAGGTACAGCAAGACGAGGGTCTTTGTGATGGGGCCAGACAGCGGCGCGACTTGGCGCTGCTGGTTGCGCAGCGCTTCAAGCTCGGCATCTGTGAGGTTCGTCTGACCAGCCTTGGCAATCACCTGCTCGTAGCCACGCACAGGCGCATCCATGGCATCCCACCACGTCTTGTTCGACGCATACTGCTGCGCACGCTGTCCCATCGTAGCACGCAGCGTACGATCCCGAATCAAACGCTCCAGCAGGATACTGTACGCCTGCGCACATTGCTGGAATGTTTGTGTGCCTGGCGACATGGCCGCCGCGAATTCCTTCACACTGGGAATGGGGCTCGGCAAGCCCGGCTTGAGAGTGCTCGACGCAGCCACAGGCACCGCCCGGCCACTCGACGCTGACAACATCGAGCCGCTGTCCGAATCGCTGCTCTCACTCAGGCGCTCAGCCAAGGAATTGCCACCCGACCTGCGCGCCTTCGAACGCGCCAAGGCGGCCGCCGATCGCGAATGCGATGTGACACGCTGCATGTCCAGCAACAACCCGGTGATGCCTGGGCACACCAAGTCTGACGTGCCCTCGGCATGCAGGCCGACCACCGGCAGACCCGATGCCAGCGCTTCGAGCACGACCTGCCCAAACGTCTCGGTGAACGACGGGAAGGCAAAGATGCTGCTGCTGGCGTACATCGACGCCAGCCGCTTGCCCTTTTGGTGGCCCATAAACGCCGCATCAAGGCCGTACTTTTGACAGAGACGCGTCAGCTCACTACGCGCAGGCCCATCACCCACAATGACCAGCTTGGCATTCTGCTTGACACTCGTGGGCAAGAGGCGGAACGCCTCAATAAGCAATCGGATGTTCTTTTCCCAGCTAATGCGGCCGACAAACAAGACCACTGCTTTGCTGTCACTGTCCACACTCGGCGTTGATGGCGCTTCCTCCGGCTGCGCCACCATCGAAGGAGGCAGCTCAAAGTCCGTGCCTGGCAGAGGCGGGACGTCCGATAGCGACTCGTACGCCGGCGGCGGGCTCAGCTCAGCCACCGGCAACGTGTCGGGCGTACGAATAAACTCTTCGTCCGACGATACAGCGCCCTTGCCACGCGCAATCGTCGTAGACGTCTTGCTCGATATGGCTTGGTCGTGCAATGTATCCAGCAGCGCCTGGGACTTGGGCTTGCAGCCCCAGCCCTCACGCAGGTTCTCGTCACGCGCAGCTGGCGTGAATATCTCCGTATCCACACCACGTCCCCAAATCTCCACGTTCTTAAATCCACGCTCTTGGAGCATGCGGCGCGTACTTTCGCTAGGGCAAAACACCATCTCACACTGCGAGTGCAAGGAGCGTGTCAGATTCCACATGACAGGTTCCAGGAAACCCATACCGAACAGCGAGGCGTAGGTAGGCAGGTTCGTGTGATATGATGAGACACGCGGCACATCCGGGAGATAGTGCTTGCAAATCGGAATCATTTGAGCGCCCAGCCAAATCGGATCCACAAAGTGGATCACGTCCGGGCGGAATTGCTGCAGACGACGAATGAAACGCAGTCGCGCAAAGTTGAGTTTAAGGCCAGGGTACACCAAGATAGGGATACCGAACGTCCCGACGACAGGGTGCCCCAAGTAGTCCTTGAGGCCCGTGTCAGGGCCCAGCACGAGAGCCTCGTGGCCCTCGGCATGGAGGTGCTCCAGCAAGCGGCCCAACGTACGCGTCACACCGTCAATTTTCGGTAAGAAGTTTTCTGTCGAGTCAGCGACCACATCGTGTACATACCAGTGACCACCGCGACGCGCAATTTTCGGCGCTTGCGGTCCATCGGATAAGGATACGACACAGCTTCTAACACCGGATCCACGTCGGCCCGCATCATCGTAGGTACGTTGAGATAGAAGGTTCCTAAATCAGAGTCTGTGACTTGTCAAAGATGGTACAAAGACAAGCGCTTGTGCCGGACCCTCTACAGGCGACACAATGGGGCGACTAGCGGTACGAACGTGCGCATACGCTGGTGGCTGACGGCGCACGCTGGTCCGGCACGTGGGGGGCCACCGATGCACGTTCCTATCGCACGGCAGACTCCACCGATCATGTGGAGGTGTTGATACTCTTGCAGCACGCGTCGATACACGAACGACGAGGACAAAGTCGTCGGCGACGATTGCGCACAGACCTCAGGGACGATGGACTTTACGTCCACCTATCGCCATGCATCATGCGATAGTTTGTGTTTCTCGCCAGGGTCCACGTTTCTAGCATACCTCGCAGGGCGGCCTCGTCGTCATGTTCACGTTCGCGTCTCAGGCACCTTGCAGATGGTTCGCTCTTGGGAGCTTGACAAGGACTTGGATACGTTGGCGTGGTCGCAGGATGGGTTGTTCTTGCTAGCTACCTCTCATGGCACAGACATTCAAGCCTCCCCGTCCAACGGCACGTCGTATGTCCTACCTCTTGATCCTGATGCGGCCGTGACCGACGGGTCCGACGATCATCGCGGATGGGTCGCCCAGATCGCTGCGGGGGTTGCAGGGCTTGCCCATGCACAGTGGATCCCTATCAAGCGCATACCTGCTGTAATGCAATTTTCTAGCTTCGATGCAGGCGCTGTTCTGTACTCGTTGTGTGATCAGGCGTTTACCGTCTTCCCTGATACCATTCTACCCCACATCTATGGCCACTCACAATGGCCCAATATGTTTGCTCTCACACAGAAATTCCAAGACAAGGACGCACTGGTACTCTATGCACCTCAATCCAATGCAGCGCCCTCATTGGAGGCGCCTGTCGTTTGGTCGCTGTGGCGTTCCATCCCCCTGCACACCACGTCGGTGTCAGGTGTTGCTTGGAGTCCTGACGGGTATGTATGGGCTGTATGGGACTCGGCTCTTGAGTTCCGAGTATGTCTTTACACACTCCATGGCGTTCTGATCGCGACTCTAGCAGCCAACGAACAGGGAACCTTGGTAACAACGTCTTCGCTGACCAAGCAAGACGTACATTCCCTCCTGGCACCCAAGCCAGCGACATCACGGGCGCGTCGTGTGTCTGTGCGTACTTCGCGAAGCATGAGCAATCCACTGGCACAGAGTGTACGACGCTCCAGCGCTTCTACCGCGTTGGCTCACGTCGCAGGTGGTGGTCTGGGCGTTCGTACGTTGTCATGGCATCCATCGAGTCAATTCCTCTCTGTGGGTGGGTACGATGAGCACGTCTATGTCCTCTCGCATGAAGACTGGAGTGTAGTCTATGTCCTGGATTACAGCGTTTCTGCTTTGCGCCGTCTTCCTACGTCGCCTGTCGTCTGGCAAGAGCCTTATCAATGGTTCGAAGCTACACAAGGCCGTGGCATTGTCTCCATGGAATCGACTCAACTTCCTATTCAAGTGTCTGTACAGGCCCCTGATGAAAAAGCCTGGCCACCCAAGGCCGGCATACAATGGCTCTCGTGGAACAAAGATGGGAGTGTGCTGGCATGCCGCAATGAAAGCATGCCTACCGTTCTCTTCCTTCACGTTTTCGAAGGCATTCACGAACGCAGCGTAGATATGTGTCTCCAACCACTAGCTCTCCTTGCCTTTGCTGAGCCAATCTGCTCTGTGGCATGGAAGCCTGGTCATCCCTGCTCGTTGGCGGTCGTTACAGGGCAAAGTGCTGTGTATACCTGGACCTGGCACAGTGCCCGTGATGATGCTTCTCTGTCGGACACAGAATCGACTCTACAAACGGCCGATGCCATTGCGATCCCGAATGATCGCTTTTCTGCGGTTCGACTGCACTGGTCACCTGATGGACAGTCTCTCGTACTCGCGGATACCTCTTCCTTTTGCTGTGTGGTGCCTGCGCCGTCGGAGGCCACCGAAATAGAGTCCGTCGCGCCCCCATGATACCCGTAGGCCTTACATACGTTCGTTGAAGAAACCACATCGATACTGGGGCGCGTGGTGGAGTGGTTACCACGTCCGCTTTGCATTTCCTGTACTAGCGGTAGGTCGCGGGTTCAAATCCCGTCGTGTCCATTTTTTGTTCTCCACGCGCGTACGTTGATTTCTTCTTGGTGGGGCGTCGCTCTGTCCTTGTCAGCCATCCATCCACTGCGTCGGCCTAGATTTTCTTTTTTTCCCTTTTCTGTGAACGTGGTGCATCTTGTCCCCACATTCAAAGGCGTAGGATACGATGTATGCTGATCGCGAAGAAGCTCTTCGCCACACACTTGAAACAGACATGCGCCACCCGCCTTCGATGAGTGCGGCTGATCGTGAGCGTCAACTCCAAGAAGAGTTACGTCGTCGTGCGGCTGACTCTCGTCGTCCAGACACGTACCATGACACAGTGTCGTATCGTGGCGGGGAGGAGTCTATGTCGCCTGATGCGCGCCGCGCGTCTCGTCGGCGTGGCGTTGATCCGTACAACGACGAACGTGGTCGTGCGTACTACGACCAGCCGGACCACAGCGACAACCGATGGAACGATTATGCGCGTAGCGATCACCATCGCCATGGACCGCATTATGAGGATGCAGCGCGTCACCACCGCGGTGGCGGCCGTCGTCACCGTCACCATCACGTCGAGACTCGGCGACGCAGCCGAAGTCCACCTCCGTCTCGCCGCGGTCCTGCATTGCAGGGCGCAGCGTATGAAGCGCGCTCGATTTTGTGCAGTGAGTTGGAGGCTCGTGTAGGCCAGCGTGATCTCGGTGAGTTTCTTGAAGAGTACTTGGGCCGCGATACGGTGCTGGATGTCCGTTTGTGTGTGTCTTACCCTTCCGGCGCGAGTCTCGGTATAGGCTTTGTGGAATTGGCGCATCCCGACCTGGTATCGCGTGCGCTTGAGCTCAATGGCAAGCCTATGTTTGGTGCACCTATTCATATCCAACGTACGGATGCCGCGATGGGCAATAGCATTGTGCAGAGCTATGAGCCGAAGGCTGAGTCGTCACGCAGTGCTACGTCGTATGGCCCGTCTATGAGTGCGCCGACAGGTCCGATCCTGCCACCCTCGGCGATGGAGGCGCAGGGCATCCCTGCTCCGTCCAACCCGGAGGCGCGGTTGTATGTGGGCAACCTTCATTTCGATATTTCGGCCGCGCATGTCCGTGCTGTGTTTGAGCCGTTTGGCCGAATTGACGATGTGGAAGTGTACTATAACCCAGCGACAGGCAAGAGCAAAGGCTTTGCGTTTGTCCAGTTCCGTGAGAAAGCTGAGGCGCAGCAAGCGATGGAGCAGCTGAATGGATTTGAGTTGGCCGGTCGTGCGATGCGGGTGGGGCCCGTGAATGCGCGTGGGACTGGTCCAGAGAGAGAAGGTCGTTCGGAGGGCCCGTCGTCTGAGCCGCCTATGTCATCGAGCGACAAGCGCTTTGCGTTGATGGAGAAGCTGGCACGGACCGACACCGAGAGCCAGGAGCCCAGTCGTCCAGTCTCGATTCCTGAGGCGACCAGCTGTGCAGTGCTACTGAAGCACATGTTTAACCCTGCAGAGTATGTACTTTGTGTGACGTCTAACCTGCCCAGAGAAACTGAGCCGAACTGGGCGCAAGATCTACGTGAAGATATCCGTGAGGAATGCTCTCGTCATGGCCATGTACAGTTTGTCTATGTCGACCAAGATAGTGCCGAGGGCGAAGTGTACGTGTGCTTTGGCCACGCCGCGGAAGCGCAGCAAGCGCGGACGAGTTTGCATGGCCGCTTTTTCGGCGGCAACCGCGTGGAAGCCAGCTTGTACGTTTCTGTGAACTAACATGCAGTATTCCTGAAGCCTTTGCGAAAGTCAAGGCGGGCTGGTTGTAGCTCTAGGTAGAGACGTAGGCTGCGATCGCTGCCTCATCACGTGAGGGCGAGCGTGGGGGACCTGCCTGAGGCGGCGGACGACGCGTCCTGGTCGTGGCACACTGCTGGATGGCCAGCCTGGACGAGCCCAGCCGACGTGTCTGGGTGTGTGACATTGATGGCTGTGGCAAGACGTATACGAAAGAAGCGCGGCTGATTGAGCACCAGCGTGTGCATACCGGGGAGGTACGTACCAAGTCTGCACTTAAGCGTATGACAGCGTCCGTATGTATGTACGCATCCTGGCTGTCATGCCTCGTACATGCGTGCTACGCATCTCCAGGCACATATGCGCTCGCATATGGATGATACCCTCAAACCGTTTGTGTGTCCGCATGACGGCTGCGAGAAACGGTTTTGGACGAGCCAACACTTGCATCGACACATTGTCTCGTGCCATACCACAGACACGGGCGTCGCTGCGTCAGACGCGCAAGCCTTGCTAGGCGACGCCTCGACCTCGGGCTTGTACCGCTGCGATCGACCTAGCTGCCAACTCCTCTTTTCCAAACGCAAGCACTTGCGGCAGCACATTCGCGACGTGCATGCGGACACCACCAATGCGACCTTGCCCTACCCTTGCGACGTCCCAGGGTGCGACAAGCGATTCGCGACTCATGCGAAGCGTGAGCACCACAGGCGGGTCCACGACCAAAGTCGGTACCAATGCTTTCTTCCTCATCCTGCGCCGCCTCCGCCTGGGCATCCACCGTATACTGTGGACGCCACGCTGCCATCGTGGACTTTTGCTACATGGACGCATCTGCAGCGTCACCAAACGCTATACCATCCGCCTACCTGCGCCCAGTGCGGCCGTGTGTTTGCGAATCGCGAGAATCTTCGTCGGCATATGCGCACCCACGACCCGTCCGCCCGATGGGATAGCGAATGGGTCTGCCCTTGGAATGGCTGCGACAAGGTCTTTCAAAGCCACTACGCCCTCAAGACGCACATCTCGCGTGTGCACGAAAACGAGCGCCCGTTTGTCTGCGATACGTGTGGCGAGCGGTTTGGGTACAAACACTTGCTGGCCCGCCACATCCAGGCGCGCCATGCAGCCGCACCTGCGCTGGCCTCACCGACAGACGATGCGCCGTCGCCTCTCCCCCACGTCTCGCGCCTGCTTGGGAATAGTGCTGGCCGCCAACGATCGCGGCGCGAGCGTGTCCTGTCGTGCCCCTGGCCTTCGCTGGGCGAAGGCAACGCAGCGTGTCCTCGGCACTTTGCGCGTCTCTACGACGTACGTCGGCATTTGCACAGCGTTCATCACGTCGACCTGTCCGACGAGGAACTTCGTGCGGTGATGCCTACCGACGCCCTCGTGCAGCTCCCGGCGCCTCGCGCCGCGAAGCGGATTCGCACAGACTAATGTACATTAGACATACTATACAGGTGTATATATTTCACAGCCTTGCTGCTGCAGCTGCGCTTCCAGGACCTGTTTCTGCGACTGCAGGAAGTGCATACGGCACGACAAGTACGCCAGCTCAAACTGCGTACTTCGCAGCGAGTGAGAGAGAGCCATTGTGGCCTGCTGGATATGATCACGCGTGGACTTTTGCAAGGGCGTAAGAAGGCCCAAATGCTTGGCATACCGCACGCTACGCTCATGCTCTGCGACCAACGCCTCGTGCCGTACGCGCTGCTCGGTCAGGAAGCGATTCGCGGCCATGAGGCTCTGCGCAAGCGACAGACCCGCACTGTACACACAGTACTTGTACGTATCACGTGTCGACTCTGTAGGGCCCAGCGCGCCTGTTTGCAAGGGGCCCGTCAGCGACTCGCCGTACGCCTGGACAGTCCACGTACTGTTGGCCGGCAGCATCACCGCGTCGTCCCACACGAGTCCGCAACTCCCCAGACTTCCGATGTAGTTGATGCGATCCAGCCATACATACGGGTGTGTGAGCTGTGTCTCAATTTCGTGCCAGTGCGCCTGCGTACGTAGACGCAGCACCATAGGATCTGTGACACTGTCATACACACACAACGCATAGGCCAACGGCATGACCTCGTCCACTTTGAACGAGTATGTTTGTCTGTCGTCTTCGCTCAAAGACGGAGGAATGCGCGGCATTGTCGCAGGGTCCTTGAACCACAAAAGACACGAGCCCGTCAGGACAAGACCCCATGTCTTCCATCGCGCTCGGCTCTCGCCGTCTTCGTCCGACTCACGGCGACGGACCAGCCCCATGTGCAGAATCCGCAGCAGCAACGGACGACGAAGCGCCGCGGCAGGGTGCCCACCGCGCCACCGCCGCGCAAGCGGAATAGTCAGTGTCACTTCCATCAGCGGCGCATCACGGCCCGTTTGGTGCATCAGAGGGAGCGTGAATTCATTGGACGTGTAGGAAAACGGGAACCGAACGCGCTCGTGCACGGCTGCCTGCTGCTGCTGCAGATCCAAAATGCGGCCCGTCGATATCAGTTTGTACAGCGCCTCCCGCTCTCGCGTCGCCGCTGGCGATCGGCTCGTGCCATCGCCACCAACGGGCTGATTCCGCGTGAACATAAACTCGACCAACGAAACATTGTCGTACAGATACTCCAAAATCACACGTTCCACATGACTCGCACTCGCGAGCGTGACGTACTCGGCCTTGGAAATGCGAGGTCGGACACTGCGGTGAAACACGTCCGTATGCAACAACAAGAGCGAGAATGTCAGAAAGTACGCAGTTTCCTGATCCATAATCGACGGATTGCAGGCGGCATACCGCTCACTGAACGCCATAAGCACGCGATCGATCTGCTGGGATTCCAGCGGCAAATGCTCCATCGCCAGAAAATGCCGAAGCGCCATATCAATCGGGAACTCTTCAAAATGGAAACGCTGCATGTACGAAGCGAGCGCTTCACGAAGGTACGCGGACGTTGATACACTTAGCAGTCGCGAGGTTTGGCCCTGGTAGGCCAAGTTCATTTTGGTAAATTGGTATAGCTTGCGACTGAACATGTATGGCGAATCGCCAGGCTGCGGTTCCATAGGAAGGCCTGTCGTGGTGCTTGGGGGCGGCGGCGTGCCTGCATCCTCCGACGCGAGCTCGGCGCGCCACACGTCACGGTCCAAGGAGCCAAAGCTTTCCTTGGAGGTCAGCTCTTCCTCCATACCGTCTTGCAAGAACATGTGCGGCTGTTTGGCTGTGTACAGCGGCGTCTGGCCGTCTTGGTCACGCTCAATCATATAATGCGACGCCCTTTCCCATTCACTCGAAGGCGGTCGTGCGACTGATGGATCTTCTTGCTCTGGCACCTCGGCACTTGCTTCCACACGGGGCTGCCGATTCCGCCACGCAAGGATGGCACCGAACAGACCCGACCGTGGCTCCGTCATCCTGCGAAGACGTGCTGCGAAGGAGTGTGGCACACGCGCTCGAGCTCGCCTGCACGCTTGCCTGCCTGCACGTGGCATCTTGGCGTAACGCAGGACCGACGCGCCCATGCCCAGAGGAGCTGCAAGCGCTGGCAAAAACGTATACACATGGACATAGATGCTCTACTTACGGCTCATACACTTTGACAGTCTTGCGGGGTCGGCTGTTCGGACTCGTGCCGACGTTGACGAAGGACATCGATACAGCATGGTCCTCATCCTCGTCTGCGCCATGATCGTCGTCTGACTTGTGTTAGTCGCTCTGCTGTGTATTCCATACATACCTGACTCCCACAACGTATACATAATACCACTGTCCTGCGGCCGCTCTTGCACCGAATCAATCACCCACATCGGCGCACCAGCCTTGCGCTTCAATAGCTGGACACCTAACCAGTCCATATAGTCATCGTCTTCATCATGCAACAACAAATCGTCCTCCAGATCCAGATCCACATCTGAATCCATATCAATGTCTTTGATTTCGTCCTCACGAATCAGGCCATGGTCGTTCTCACCATCATCCTCGTCTTCGGGAATCTCAATCGCAGACAGGTAGCCACCAGGCAAGACATGGTAGGTCGTGTGGCTACTACGCTCCGACGGCATCAGGTGCCAGTCACGCAAACGCGGTAGCATATACACTTGGTTCTCACCACGATACACATCAAATCGTCGCGGATGGCGAGCGCGGAATTCCTGCAACATCGCTTGCGAAGCACCGCCCAGCATCAGCTGACGCAGCGAGAGCATACTATCATCCACTTCGTACCCGGTCAACGCCAAAATACGCTGCCCCATGGCTGTGGCGAAAGCTTCGTCTTCTAGAAGATGGTCAAACTCATCTTCGTCATCGATCTCCTCATCATTCAACTTGTATAGCAGTGAGCTGGGATCCTCACGCTCGAAGATAGAGGGTTCCAATAGCGAGACTTCCATAAGTGATAGTTGGATACGTACCTGGAACCGAATCTAAATCGCTCACCTCTTCAATGACAAGTGTGGGCATTCTGTTGGTCTTTTCGATGTGGGCGCCTGTATGCATATATGTGCATTGGCGGATGGCTGCACATTGTCTTGCCAACTGGAGGCGTGTATTCCCCCAACAGTTCTCCCTCCACATCTGCAACCATGCCCAACGCCTGGGTGTACTTTCCAGGGGCGCCGTATACCCATCGTGCAGCGCTGGACGCGGCCCAGCATGTGGTAGGCGCATCCTGGGAAGTGGTGGATGGCAAGCAAGATCCACCCTCGGATGCCGATGCTACGCCGACCCACTATGATGCTTATATTGCCGATTATGACTACCTGCCTTTTGAGGCCCTCGCTGGCTCGTCTGCACGTTGCAGTAGCTATATGATCCGGAAAGCGCTGATTCGTAAGCATTATTTGGCTCATTCTATCCATACGCATAGCGTAAAGCACCCAGAGAGCCCACTTATGGTGCCACGTACTTGGATGATCGATATCCAGTTTGCTGACGAACTGGATGAGCTTCTGGCAGACGATCTGTACGACGTGCGTGAAGCGTTGGAACAAAACGAGGTCGCCGAGACGCCCAAGTGGTTCATCCTCAAACCAGGCATGGCAGACCAAGCCAATGGGATCCGCCTCTTTTCCTCGGTAGAGCAGCTCGAGCAGATCTTTGAAGAGTTCGAGGATGATGGCAGTGAAGAGGATGAGGATGATACATCGAACGCTGTCATGGCTAGTCAGCTACGTCACTTTGTAATCCAGGAATACATCGCCTCACCCCTCCTTCTCTCACCCGCCGATCCCTCCTTGGCGCCTCGCAAATTCCATCTGCGTGCCTATGTGACCTGTGTAGGCGGATTGCAGGTCTATTTACATGACGACATGCTGGCTCTCTTTGCCAGCATGCCCTATACCAATCCACAAACACACTCTGTCGATTTACGTGGTCATCTCAGCAACACCTGTTTTGGTAAACGGCATACCGAGGCCATGGATGGCCAGGAGGGCAATGTATTCCGCTGGCAAGACCTTATCGACCAGCCCGCTTGTATGCCTGGCGGATCCACGTTCTCATTAACACGTGCACATGTGGATCATGTGCGCCAGAAGGCGGTGGACGTCATCGGGTCCGTCTTTGGAGCAGTAGCACGCGAATCATCCATTCATTGGCAATTGTGGCCCAATGCCTTTGAAATATTCGGCGTAGATTTGCTTGTGAGTCTCGATACGACTCAGAATGAAACCGACCCAGCTTCGTTGCAGGTCTGGCTGTTGGAGATCAATGCTGTATGTATTCGCCCATGACTAACGGTAGCAACCGGACTTTGCACAATCGGGCCCGCAACTAACCTCCGTGGTACACCACGTATTTGAGCGCGCCATCCAAGTGGGTGTGCTTCAGCAAGGCCCTTGGCCTGTCGGTGAGAGCCGTGATCAGTGTACTTGCTGCTTCCAATCCGATCTGATTCGTACATAGTTACCCGGTCATATCATTGGCAGCAATAGCATGTGTAGCCAAAGGACTAGGTCGTACAGGTGCATTGGTAACAACATGAGGCAAATGCGATGGCCATCGTGGTGCAGCCTCGTTGGTGGTTTCTGTGAGCGGCATAGGCGAACTGTTTCGGGAAGAGACACGGCGACTTCGCGACCCGCTACGACTCGTCGATACAGCTTTGTCTTCACCATCGCTGGCTTGCGGGCTTCCTGCATCACTGTTGGCTGCACTGGACCCATTCGCATAAGGACTGGAGCTCTTGCGCCGTTTGGCCAGATTTTTCACGCCTAGGTGCTCCAACTCGGCATTGGCAGCTTTGCGCCTCGTCTCTTCGCGTTTCTTTGCTTGGCGCGCGCGGTATTCTGCATCTTCAGCTTTGGCCAAGGCCGTGCCCGGAGCACCTGGGTATCGATCATTCACAAGGGAATACAAATCCGTGCGTGACTCCGAGTCAAGCTTGGACATGGATGTGTTGTAGGGCGTCGTATCCACCAACATTTCTTTTTTCACACCGCTCTCTTCGTGGCGGGCATTTTCTTCGCGTTCTGGTTTCAAAGCACGCAATGCTTGAAATTTTCGATTGAGCTTGGGCTTGGTTGACATGATGGACGCGTACGTAGGGGAACCAGTCACGCTGGGGATCAATCGCCCCCCCTCTTGCGCACCCCCGTGATTATGGTCCGTGCACAAAAACCATGCCATCTCACGTGATCGATGTAGCTGTGTATCGTACCTCGCCGCGTACGCTTTTTCTTCTCCTAATGTCATTGAATAACGTCCTGGCTTTAGAGTCACTCGCTCCTTGCCTCTGTGCATTTCCCCTGGGGATTGCGGGCGCTCGTTGGGACGGAGATTGGTGCCTCGCAGCCAAATTGTCTTAGGTCTATATCTAAGATACAGGCCCAGAGGCAGAGATTCGTTCACGCAGATATACCCTATGTAGCCGACAGCTATTCGATAGCACTGAAAATTTGTGCCAACTCTGTATCCGCCTTGTCTTCCGTCCTGCTCTTGCTCATGACTTTGATGTCGCGCAAAAATAGGAACGGGTTCGCGCCCGCATCCTTCCACTCTGGCAGCGGCAAGCTGTTCTCGGTCTGTGCCCACTCTTTCCATTCGTCGGGGCTCTTGCGGTAGACACCCAGACGCAGGCGCCGAACAAAGAAACGACCGTAAGCCGAAGCTAACAATCTTTTTTCGTTCTGAATGGTTTGCTGTGCGATTTTGTTCTAAAAATGAGCGGTTGTAGTGTCACATACCTTAGTAAACCCATCTGCAGAGAGCCATACGGCATCCGCGACACGACTTCCCCATACATCGTCGCACAAATCCACGAGCATAGGAAGAAGAATACGAAGAAGAGATCGACGCTGCGCAAACGAAGCTGTTCGTGAAGCCAGAGCCGCAATCACCACATGCACAGCTGTCGATGATGTACACCAAGTAGCCAAGTCGCCATGGGCCAGACTAAAGGTGAGTTTCCATACATACATACATACCTCTCATAGAGCCATTCATTTTCTGGAGAAGGAAGCATAGCAATTCGCTGCAACAAGATACTGCCTTGCGTGGTAAACTGGTCAGCCTCCCCTCGTTTTCGCTTAGACTGTTTCGTGGGCTCGGCCTTTTGTGTGTTGGTATACGCTTTGAGCGTGTGCATGCTTAGCACCACAGGCACAAACTTTTTACGTGTTTCTTCCTCTGATTCTGCTGGGAAACGGAAAGCAGAAGTGATGGCATGCATGACTTCTTTGGCATAGTCCTGCAACTGAATGGAGCGCTCCAAGGCCGCTTGCAAGGCACCGAGCATCTGTCCTTTGACGAGTTGATCACCAGCCTGTGAAAGTTCTTGAAGTGCCTGCTCAAAGGGCGAAGGATCCGTGCCATGATCAGCTGGCAACATCCTCAGCATTGTCGCCACGACAAAATTGGCACATGGATGCGCACCCAACTTGACGACACGCCCTTGAATATACGTCTTCCAGAACCAGAGCAGAATGGGGACAGAGGTTGTGCGCAGCGCAGTCTCTAGTACATGTGTCGCAACCGTATCACGCAGAGATGCTTCCATGAAATCGCTGCGCGTATGGTCGGACTTGGATGAGTATTCAAGAACACGAGAAGTAATAGAGTCTTTCCGCCATGCCATGCTTCCTCGCTTGGCATCCGCAAAGCCGTTTTCAAGACGCATGAGTAGGCCTAAGGAAGGGGCCGATGTCGCCTCGGGCATCAGGGCATGGATCTTTTCCGGTGTAAGTTCCGAGGCCATGTGTTGGTACAACCGGTACAGTAGTGACAGAAAGTCGGTCGGAACACTCATTCGCTCTGAGAGCGAGGACCACGCTGAATCATCTACCATGGCCTTTTGTCGTTCCTTCGATCGGTACTTGGCACTGCGCTTCGAACGCAAATCGTCCAATGACGCCAAAGGCACACCGGCCAACAATGTCACCAAACTTTGTAGAATATGACTGGCAAATGGATCAGAGGCCATAGATAGAAAAGAAGACTCCATCTCTTCAAACATCGATGTGACCATCTCAGGAAGGGAGCGTAGGATACCGTCTTTGGAGGTGGTCGCTTTGGATTCAGTCTACAGAGTTAGTGTGTCACATACGTACGTTTGCATGCAGAGCCAATTGAGTTGCAGCTAGCAAAGACTGCAGCACATGTGAGCCATATCGATGAAATGACAAAGTTGTAAAGCTTGGGTAAGTCTCAAATTCATACGTACTTGCCAGCCATGCGGTCCAATAAGACTCGAAGAGCCTTTTCGCTGAGAAGCGGGGCCATATTTTCGAGAACCAGGGAGCAAGTTGGGTCCGTCGCCAGAGCAAGCTCATTCCCGTCCATTTCAGATAGTGCGGCCTGTAAGAGCATATCTTTTTCTTCGCTCCGCGCATTTGCATCATGGGTTTGAATGAGTTCTGTCAATTGACCATTTACTTCTTTAAAATATGATTGCAAAGGAGGTGCTACCAAGCCAAACGGCGTATTTGCATCATGCGGCTGCACCCAGGATGGGACCTCATCGTCTTCCATCATCGGCTCAGCCTCGGCCTCCTCAACATGCTTGGCACGCTTAGGCGCACGACGTCGCTCCGATTTGCCCATCGTGGCACTGACAGCGTAGTATGTGTGTGGAGCACTCGACATTTTTTTTCGTCGGCAGCATGATCCTTACCCAACGCTGAGTAAGCAGGCCTAGCCTAGTCATTAAGCGGTGGGGCCTCTTGCCGGGCGCCTGGTTTATCTTTATCTACGAACATGTCGAGCAACGGACGTGTGCTGCTGGCCTACTCGGGTGGTCTTGGTATGTCCCAGGTCCGACTTCTAACTTATCAGATACCTCTACGATTCTCTCGTGGCTCATTGACGAGGGCTATGACGTGATTGCCTACATGGCCAACGTCGGCCAGGAAGAAGACTTCGATGCTGTGCGTGAGAAGGCGCTGAAGTGTGGTGCGAAGGAATTTATTCTCGATGATATGCGTCGCGAGTTTGTTGAGGAGCTCATCTTCCCTGCTGTACAGGCCAATGCCATTTACGAGGATGTGTACCTGCTCGGTACCTCGCTCGCTCGTCCTGTGATCGCTCGCGGTATGATCGAAACCGCGGAGAAGTTCAACTGTGAATATGTCTCCCACGGTTGCACAGGTAAGGGTAACGACCAGGTCCGCTTCGAGCTGGCGTTCTACGGCTTGAAGCCTGACATCAAGGTGATTGCGCCCTGGCGTATTCCTAGTACGTACCTATGACTGCTGACCCATCGAGAGTTCTACCAGCGCTTTGCCGGCCGCAGTGACCTGCTGGAGTACGCTGCTTCCAAGGGTATCCCTGTGACGCAGACCAAGGCCAAGCCGTGGTCGACCGATGAAAACCTATTCCACATTTCCTACGAGGCTGGCATTCTCGAGGACCCGAACACAACGCCGCCGGCGGACATGTGGAAGCTCACCCAGTCGCCTGAGAAGGCGCCGAGCGAGCCGGAAAAGATCTCGATCGAGTTTGCCAAGGGTATCCCTGTCAAGCTCACGCTTACGGCGTCGGGAGAGAGCTTCACTGACTCTGTCGATGTGTTCCTGAAGCTCAACGCGCTGGCCCGCAAGCACGGTATTGGCCGTGTGGACATTGTAGAGAACCGTTTCATCGGTGTCAAGTCGCGTGGCTGCTACGAGTCGCCTGGTGCGACGATTCTGCGGGCAGCCCATATTGACTTGGAGGGTCTTACGCTCGATCGTGAGGTCCGCCGCATTCGTGACCAGATTGTGACGACCAAGTTCTCGGAGATTCTGTACTACGGCTTCTATTTCAGTCCTGAGTGCCAGTACATCCGTGGCTGCATCCCGCCGAGCCAGATTACCGTGAACGGCACTGTGAAGCTGAGCCTGTACAAGGGCAGCGTGACCATTGAGGGCCGCAGCTCCGATGAGCTGCTCTACGATGAGAAGTTCTCGTCCATGGATGAGCTTGGTGGCTTTGAGCCAGAGCAGACGACCGGCTTCATTGCTGTGCAGGCCATCCGTCTCAAGCGCTTCGGTGTCGGTCAGCAGCAGAAGGGCCTCGCGGGTGCAGACAAGAAGACGGCTTATGCTCTTCCCCCGCAGTAAAGGCCTGTTCGTCCATAGTGCATACGCTGACTAAATCCAAGCGTTGGCCGATAGAGTCCGTCGCGTGTAGGCCTCCACGTTCGCACTTGATGGTGTGGGCTCTCCTGCGAAACCAGTCTGCGCGGGTGGTTCGTGCCGGTGTACGTCCGTACGTAAGTGCTTCGAACATGTCAGTGGAAGAGAGCATCCGTGCAAAGCTCACGGGCGAGTTCTCGCCTGCGCATCTGTTCATTCGGAATGAGTACGTACGCTTTTAGTAACGCCGCAGTTCGTCCAAGCACGCCCACCATGCAGCGATGGTGGCGCAAGGCGGTGGGAACGGAGAAACACGTACGTGCATACCAAGTATCTAACTTTAGATTTCTTTGTGGAATTGGTATCGGATGCGTTTGCCGGCAAAGTACGTGGCACGGTGCACTGACGCAGACCCACATTGCACGTCACCGTGCTGTGAACGCGCTCCTTGCGCCTGAATTTGAGCGTGGCTTGCATGCGTTGAGTCTGCGCCTGAAAACGCCGGCGGAAGTGGCCAAGGAGCAGCAGGGATGCTGCTCAAGCCAGGCGTAAGCCTTCCTACGTAGATTGGCCTGTGATAGCTCGAATAGCGTCCGAAGTATCATGAGCTATGGGAGCAGAGACGTTATGCGAGAACAGAAAAAGGAGGGAAAAAGAAAAAAGAAATATCAAACACCGAGACAGTCATTATATATACGAAACACCTGGGAAACATGTTATGCATGCTGGATCGAAGTGCCAGCAGTGTCATTTCCAGCCACGCCGAGACTATGTGGGTCAGTATAATTCCAACGTACTCATCAATAAAACTCTTGCCCCACCATGCGGATGTATGCTTCTTCACGTAGCGCAGAAGCTTCTCAGAGTTGGTCGTGCGCGTACGCATATCCATGGACAGCGCCTCGTGAATCGCATTGGCCACCGCAAAACGGTCCCATGGGTTGACAATCAGCGAACCGTTGAGCGACTGGGCAGCTCCGGCAAACTCTGAGAGGATCATCACACCCTTGCGCTCCTGCTGGCAGGCGATGTACTCGTACGAGACGAGGTTCATACCATCTCGCGTACTCGTGACCAGGCATGCATCACTGACAGCGTACAGCGCACACAGTTCGTTAAAGTCCACAGAACGATGCAGCAGGTGAATCGGCATACTCTCCACAGTACCGAAACGACCGTTAATCCGACCCACAGCTTCGTTCACCGTCGCACGTAAATTCTGGTATTCTTCGACATCCTGTCGCGAAGGCACGGCAATTTGAATGAGGACCACTTTGCCGATCCATTCTGGATGCTCTTCCAAGAACGTCTCAAGACCTTGCAGCTTTTGGGGCATACCCTTAATGTAGTCGAGACGATCCACACCGACAATGATCTTCACGCCCTCAAAACTGCGCTCCAGTGTACGAATCCGGTCCTTCACAACAGGGCGCTCCAATGCCTCCTCGAATTGCGAAGGGTCAATGCCGATCGGGTACGTCCGAACCTGGACGCGGCGGCCTTCAAACTCGGCGCCATTTGGGAACGTCGGCAAGCCCAAAATACGCGAGCAAGACGACAAGAAGTGTCGTACATAGTCGTAGGTGTGGAAACCGATCAGATCGCAGTATAGAATGCCAAGGAGGATTTCGCGACGCACGGGAAGAATGCGGTACACTTCACTTGACGGGAAAGGGGTATGCAGGAAAAAGCCCAGCTGGATATCAGTACGACGAAGCTGCCCAGGGCGAATCTTCGACGAATCAAAGCAGCTGCTTCTTATATTGTATTCCATGGTAATGGGAGCGGCCGACACGTCGATCTTCGAGCATTCGTAGGGCACAAGGCGATCAATATCACCGCATTCCAGAATAGCTGTCAGCATCAGCGGGAGTAGCATCAGATGGTAGTCCTGGACCCAGACGCGGTCTCCTGGGCGCAAAATGCTGTGTACGACCTGCGCAAACATCAAGTTGGCTTCGCGATACGCATGCCAGTTTTCCTCGTCAAAGTTCATTTCACCGGGATGGTAATGGAAGAGCGGCCAGAGAATCGAGTTAGAAAAACCATTGTAGTGCAGCTCAGCAACATCGTCTGGAATCCAGACTGGGCGGCAGTTGTACTCTTTTTCGAGAGTCTCTTCAATGTACGGGATATGCTCTTCAGGCACGGTCAAGCCGGGCCAGCCGATCCACGTGAAATCCATCGTGGCTTTGGTTCCACGCAAGGCAGATACTAGACCACCAGACGAGTGCTGAAATACATACCCACCTGAGGCCTTCGGATCAGCTTTGATCGTCACCGGCAGGCGGTTCGAAATAACGACCAGTCGCTCGGTCATGGTTGGCAAGAACGCACGGGCGGACAGAGACCCGAGATAACCGTGAATGTGGAGGTCGGGGGGAAGTGCGTAGCACAACGGGACTATGAACACTAAGGGGAGCCAGAGGAGCGTCGCATCGGCAAGGTAGGATCGTCTTTCACGATGTCCGCGTATTCGTGGCGCCGTGGATCGGTCAAACGCTTGATCAGATGCTTCTGGATCCGGTCTTCAGGACGCACAATGATCACAGGCACAGGGCACTGCCAGATGAGCTGCTTGCTCAGGTTCCCAATCGGGGTCGTCCCCAGCATTTTTTCCAACGTCGATACCTGCTTGCCGCGTGTGCCGATGGTAAGGCTTTCGGGCCGGTACACACGGACCATGTGTAGAATGGTTGATTTGATATCGCCGCTCATAAATTCCACTGTAATAGAGATCTCGCGTCAGCCATGCAGGTCGCACGTACCTTTCGCTCGTCGCCGGATGCCCGATTCAGCTCGACAATGGCGCTGAGCAGATTGTTCGCCGCTTCACGCGCTTTTTTCTGATCAATAATGGCTGACAGGTAAGTACGAAAGCACGTACGTTCTTCTTCGTAGTCCAGCACACGCACAGCCACCACTTCATCGCCATCGTCGACCAGGTTCTCCATAATCCATTCCAACGCAGGCTCACTGGATATCAGACGCCACATACATACCTAGCTTCCGTCGCATCGACAGCACACATAAACGTACGTGTATGCTTGGTTCTTGTATATTCTTTTGCCTTCATCTGCAATGTATAGGAGGCTGTGCCGCTCACGGTCGACTCTGCATCGGGCATCGTATCGAAGCCGACAATGCGCTCGTACCCCTTGAAATTGTGCTCATGGGTGTTGGATGCGCGTGAAAAGAGCGACAGACGGTTTTGCTTCGCGGATGACCGCCGTTCGAAAGGGGGGCGTTCCATCACGAGTGGCACGCGTATGAAAGAGAGCAACCAACGCGGTGCGTCGCGTTGTGGCCGTGTCGCTGTATGTGGAGGCAGCAGAACTTGTCTATGGAGGAGGCTACGACTCTACCTCAATGGAAGCCCAAGGAACACAAAGGGTCAGTGGTAAACATGTCGGACGTCATGGAAGGAGTGGGCATGGTCGGTAATGAAGATGGTTGCATGGGCATGGGCATCATTCCGGGCATCATCGATGTCTGAGTGGGCACCGCAGCAGCGGTCGGCATACTGACAGAGGGTGTGCTAAACATGTTGGCATACGCATTGGTAGTCATCGAAGTCATGGGCATCATGGGCGAGGGTGTGTTCATCAGAGGCATGCCACCCATCTGCATGGGCGTACTCGGCATCGCCATGGGCATCGAAGACGTGGGCGACGCAGCAAAGCCTGGCGTGCTCCCCGGCATGGTATTCTGCGTAGTAGAGGGTATCGCAATCATGCCTCGAGTATTCGACGCATTCATCGGCGTTGACGCACTGAGCTCCGCCACAGGAATAGGGCGACGGAAGACCATCGCCAGAAGACGCGGGGCATTCATACCTTGCGGCGAAGGAACACGAGCGCTCAGCAGCGAGACAATCAAAATGCCACAGCCTGGGTCGCCATGAGGAACGTAGGCAGCGCGATGATTCTGCTCGAGCATCGTCGAGAGCATCTGGTAGTTTGATTCATTGTTTTCTGCCCCACGCACAGCGAGAGAGGAAGGGAAGGGGCGAATAGATAGGAGGGCGCAAGGAATACGATGAGCGGCAATGAGGCGCTGCAACTGTGTCGTATCCACAGGGAAAAACGTGTTGATGGTCAGAACATTCGGCCATGGCAGCGCTAGCAGCTGCCGGGCTGTCGAACTGCCACACGTAGCCACGACCAACGTGAAGAGACTGTCTTGGGCACTCGCGCCGGGCACCGACCACTTGAGAATGCCTTGCCATACCGACTGTACGCGGGAGGAGGTGGTGGAGGGGGGCGCCGATGACTCGTCCAGCCGTGGTTTGTGAGCCGCCGAGCGACTGGACGACGACTTGCCGGACGCTTTGAGCCCGGAACTGGGCCCGCTCAGCTGAATCCCAGCTTGCTTGGCCTCCTTATCAATGTTGATCAGCGCCTGCAAAATCGGATTGAGGTCTACAGGCCGGCCAGATCGTACAAGCTCCGCTTGCCGCTTGATGGCCAACTGCTGTGCACTCAATTGCTGCCGAATTTGTTCCAACGTCTGTATTTGCAGGGGCGTGCCAGGTGACGACGGGGTATGCACCGCGGTGAGTCGCGAGAGGTTTTTGAGCATTGTGGATTGCTGCTGCTGCAGCATAAGAATTTTATTCAGCACGGCCTGGTCGACTTTGCTGCTGTGGACGGCGGGCGGCGACTCGGCAGGGCGTGCACGCTTGTGGGGCGAGTCGGCCAGGGCCGTGCCAGCCGCTTTGCGAGGCCGTTTCCGAAGAAGTCGAGCCATTTCGGCTGAAGTGAATAGTACAGATATGTGGTCTGGTGGATGCCAATCTGCGCCTAAAAGCTGCTCCATCGATACAGCATCATCTGCAGAGCTACACAAGCTCTGATGTGCCGTGTGTACGAGCGTGGTATGCGCGCGCGCATCAGCCTCTTTCGTGCGACCGGCCAGAACTGTGCCAATAGAGATGCTTCGCTTGGCCAGCTTGGATATGATATCATGAGAGGTACAAAGGTCCAGCGACGTCTGAGTATTGATGCGCGGATGCAACGAACTCGCTTCCACAGGCAAGCGCCATGTGGCTGTGCCCTCGGTGCGGACGAGCGTATAGCTATCCAGGGCCAGCACATGCAAGAGATGGCGCGCCACGACGGGCGATCGATTTACATGCAGTGCATGCCGCGCAAACGGCGCGAGGTTCAAAGGTTTCTCGCGGGCATGGAACAGATCCATCGCGGCCGCTAGCGCGTCGACAAAGGCACATTCGAGCGTCTCATTTGCATGCAAGGGCGTATCAGCCGCATCCAGATGACCTAGGCCATACAGGGGCGTCATATGCAACGTCCGCTTGACACGGGCGAGGAACCGTGGTGCTGGAAGAAAGGGGATGCACGCGACCGCCTCGCCGGGGCGGCATCGTGCGTAGATTTCCGACTTGGGTTCAGAGCGATAGATGACACCGCCGATGAGAAGACGCGAGGACGAGCCTTGCAGTTGGGAGAGGGCATAAAAGAGGGGGTTCAAGGCGTGCGAAAGTACGTCGCCCCATAGTGCTCGTAGCCGTGGGCTATCGTGAATCACACATACGAGCAAGACTTCGGGCATACGTGGGGCCATATCGAGGGGCATGGCGTCGAGACTCCCGGGCGAGCCACGTACCACGCCGATCGGCGAGGTGCCGGCCGTCGTCATAAGGATTCGCAACGCCGCCGCGAGGTAGGAGGTCTGTGTGGAGGAACGGCAGGGGAGAGAGAGGGCGCCGGACAGATTGGCTCGTGGCACGCGCGTGGTCAGATTCTCCACACGTCCGCGACGTTGATGGTCCCAGGGTCGCGCGCGCCCCTTTAGTCATCGCAGGCCGGGGCGGCGACGCCCACCTACTTGCCCCCAACGTTCTAGAGTGCAGGTGTCATTTCTGCCATGACGGATCACTGCTGCTTTGCCCTGATCGGCGCTGCGGTGGTACTCGCTGCATGCGTGTACCTCGTGTACCTGGTCCTTGAAATCTATGTGCTCCCTGGCAAACCGGTACGTATATCTGACACTAACAGTAGATGTCGACCTATGGTGCGAACGTCAAGATGCGTGGCGCTGGTAGCTGGGCCCTGGTGACAGGTGCTACCGACGGTATCGGCCGTGAGTTTGCTATGCAATTGGCCAAGCAGGGCTTCAATGTGGTGGCGGTAAGCCGTACTGCGGAGAAATTGGCTGCGCTGAGCAAGGAGATTGAGCAAAAGTACCCTGGCACCAAGACGTGCTACTACGCCATGGACTTCCTGAAGGCCGGCCCTGCGGAGTACCGCGGTTTGGCGCAGCTGATCAGCCACCTCGATGTGGCCGTGCTGGTGAACAATGTGGGTATGTCGCATGTCATGCCCGTGCCGTTCTTGGAGATGGACGAGACGGAGATGCAGTCGATTTGCGAGGTGAACATCATGGCGACGCAGCGTGTGACGCGCGTCGTGGCCCCTGGCTTGGTCAAGCGTGGCAAGGGTCTGATCCTCAACCTCGGCTCGTTCTCTGGCCAGTGGTGCACGCCGCTCATTGCGACGTACGCTGGCAGCAAGGGTTTCCTGATTGCGTGGAGCCAGGCACTGGGCGAGGAGATGCGTCGTGCGAACGTCGATGTGCAGCTGCTCAACACGTACTTTGTCGTGAGCAACATGTCGAAGGTGCGTCGTGCCTCGATGATGGTGCCGTCGCCGACGACGTACGTGCGCCATGTGCTTTCGCGCATTGGCCGCTCGTCCGGTGCGCTGGGCCGTCCGTTCACGCTGACCCCCGTGCCGTCGCATGCGTGGATCGACTGGGCGACAGCGCACCTGCTCCCGAAATGGTTCCTTCTGCGCAAGGCGTACGATGTAAGCCTCGACACCCGCCGCCGTGCGATCCGCAAGGCGGAGCGTCAGGCCAAGGCACAGTAATGGACTATGTATGTAGCTGCTGCATCAATGCGTAGATACGCCGGAATTGGTACGTAAACTGAGCCGGGTACAAGAACGGCCGCAAATCAAAGCGGTTGTCGTCGGGACTGTACGACTCAGCATGGTACGCAGGGGTGATCGTCGTCATCTTATGGCGGTTGCGCGCGTACTCAAAGAAGAACAGCTTGACTTTCGCGACAATGGCGTCCGGCGAGAGGCGCGGCGTCCACATCGGAAGCAGCTTGACAAACATGCTATATGGCCCACACCGGCTGATCTTCCGCAGGCGGCCCAGCACGGACAGCTCGTCGTACGTCATGCCCATATCTGCCTCATCGCTCTGCACATAGTCTTTGGTGATAGGTTCCAGTTCGGCTGTCGGCGGCGCCTCCAGGAACGAGGCAAGGATCGGCAGATCAAACGCCGTTTGCGCATACGCGATAAAGCGCTTCAAGTCCGTCTTGGAAATGCTTCCGATCGGATTCAAGTCAGCGGACGAGTTGTCGTACTTTGTCAGGTAGCCACGCAGACTTTCGTCCACGTTCGCACTGCCGAGCACTAGCAGACCACCGTACCGCCCTTGGACCCAGGGCGCGAGCTGCGCAAAGAGGTACGCCAGCACCATACGTGATCGAGCTTGGATGTTTTGCAGCGCCAGGTTCTCTGCGGGGCTACCGCCATGCACCTTGAACTGCGGCGTACGGCCTGTGACCGTTGTAAACACACGCAGAACCGCCGATACGACGCTGTCAATATCAAAGTTGTAGTGGTACGATCCAATGGCCTTGGCAAGGTCCCGAGCACGATCCCTGGTAGCCTGACTCGAGTTGGTCGTGCCCATGTAGCATGTCACAAAGAGGCGCTGCGCTAGCGCCTGCGGCGACTCTGGCACCCATGTGCTGCCCTCTGCCTCGCCGACAATACGACGCGCATCTTGCAGGACCTGCTCATTGTGGCGCTCACATGCCTCGCATACCAAGCGGCACATGCTGTGCACAATCACCGCCGTCGCACACGAGTCAATGCCGCCCGACAAGGGCAGGAGGAAGCCCTGGGTACGTGATCGACGCAGGTAGTCCCAGAGCCAGCACGCTGGGCCCCGCGCAATTTCCTCGGCGGGCGTGTGGTAGTGCACACCCTGCGCCGGAGTCGTATGCAGCTTGGCAATGTCCACCACATCGTACATCAAACGCTCCGGGACGTCAATCCGCACGGGCCCACCCACCCGCATGCCGCCATGCCCGGCACTGAGCCACGCTGCTTGCATACCGCGGCTTTTCGATACGCGGTGGGCACGCACGTCGCCCAAGTCCACTGTCGCTGTGACGACGTCCACATCTTCCAGCCCAAACTGAGCGCCTTGCGCCACAATCTCGCCGTTCACGGCAATGAGCGCACACCCATCGTAGTACAGCCGATCGCCATCACATCCACGCTGGTTGGCGTACAAGTACACGCCGCCAAGCTTCAATGTAGCCTCACGAATCAGCTCGACACGACGATGCAACTTGCGCAGCTCATGGTGGCTGCCACTGGAGTTCATAATGATCTCGGCACCTTGCAAGGCGTGCCCAATATGCGGCGACGTAGCTGTAAACAATTCTTCACACAGCTCCACACCCAGCACCGTGTCGGCTGTCTGCAGAAGGGCATCGCCAATCGGTACCTCGGTCTGCCCTGTGACGTCAGTGATGCACGACGGCAGCGTCAAGCTCTCTGTCTCATGCGGCCGCATCCACGGCGAGAAGAAGCGCATCTCGCGGTAGTTGCCATCGTTGGCCAGCCACATTTTCGGGCGTACATGCAGCACCTTTTTGTTCATGATAGCAATGCGGCAATTGTACAGCGCCGCCTTGTGTGTCACGGGCATACCGACGTCACACAGGATGCCGCATGTCACATCCGAGTCAAGAATCTCGGCCAGGACCTGCCAGGAGTGCAGCTCGGTATCGCTCTCGAGGAAATGATCGTAACACTGCCGTTAGCCGATGCAAGTACCCACACCATAGCCTCTGCCATGTTAGCCGACCTAGCCTACGTACGGAATCTCCAGCTCCGGTCCGATACGCAACGTACTTCCTGCCGCCTTTGCCAGCTCAATGGAGCGCACAATGCGATCCCGGTTCCCGTCAAAGTCAAGCGCCCACTGGTTCAGCGAGCAGGTGGATACCGTCCTGGGGTCCGTTAGTGATCCGCGTAGCACGACTTACAATCGCGACATGGTGGAGGTGCAAGGGGAACCGACGACGACGCCCTTCCCTCCTCGGCGTCCCCCCCGCATCGGTATCTCCACATCGAGGTGGCATCGCGTCTCTACGTACATCGGCACTGCACAACAAGGGTACACACAGGCCGCCCATCTTCAATAGGCTCAATAAGATGCTCACGCACACGGCACGGCCCAAAATCAGCGGTCCAGCGCGCTAGCAGGGCCTCAATCTCACCCGGCTGGATCCGTGCGTCGATAGGCGGTGCGTCATAGGTAGCAAGGACCGTACCACGTCGTTCGATGTCCACATCCATCGGCGCATGCACAAAGTGGCTCAGTACGATCCATCCATCCGGCGCTAAAAGACGCGGAAGGTGGGGGAGGCATGCACGCGGCCAGAACCGCACGATCCATAGCATGTCATACATCGGGCGTGGCAGCACATGCACGGCCCAGTCTGTGAGGGTATGAGGCGGCGAAGGCGCACTGCCACGGGGGCCAAGAGGGATGGCATAGCCATCCTCAGTGAGCTGCGTAGGAAGAAAGCCCTCGCAAGCTGTCTCGGTAGACGTCTGCATGAGATGCAAGTCCGACAGGAGCAAGGAAGCGCGATCCAGCGCCGCCCGCCATCGATCCACCCCGGTCCCCCGCCAGGCCTGCTGTGCAGAGCGGGCTTGTACTAGGGCATACGCCAAGTCGCGGCCTGCACCACACCCTAGATCCAGGATCGTACAGGGCCCTGGCCGGTCAGAATGCAAACGAGCGTCTACGCAGCGCTGAATCACGGGCGCCGGGGTGAACAAAAGGTGTGGTGTATCATCTTGCAAAGACCATACCTGTGCTGCCTCCGCCCAGGCTTGGAACGACGTAGGCGATAGAAGAAACGTGGGGTATGGCGCCGTGGCCACGGCGCCTTCCGCCTCCGTACCAATCGCAAAGATCGCGGCAATGGCCCATCTCTCGGTAGGCACAAACGTGGAGGCGATGAGGTCGTGATCCTGTGCGTCACATACAAGAAGAAACGGCACACCACGTGGGGGCAAGGTACTGAACCGCGAGCGCAACGCGTCGATTCCTGCGATCGAGACCGCATGAGCAATATGGCCCTGCTGAAAGGCCGCAGGCGGGCGCAGATCCAGGCACAACTGCCGGTCCCATGCAAGAAACGACGTGCGCACTGCGTCGAGGGCCATAGCTACGCGCGTATAGTGGAGGGGGATCGAACAGGTCGATGCAACAACACTATAGAGAAAAAAACAAAAAAAAACTACATGAACACATGGAGCACGGAAGCTTCATCGCAAACGCGTCACGCTACCAGGAGTGCGGCGGGGACCCAGGGGAGTCGAAGCGGACACACGCTTCGGTGGTGCGACCTTGGACGGTGTATCTTGAGGTGAAGGCTTATTGCCACGCACGCGTTGCCGAAGAGAAGGCGAGATAATACGCATCTCGCCATCCTGGTCCAGATCATCATCGTCATCTCGCTCGGAACTAGAGTGGAAGGAAACGCCTGATCGCCGCGGCGTCCGGCGCACGCTACGCATACGAGGCGATTCCATGGCAGAAAGGCCCATCATGTAGCCACTCAAGTCGCTACCACCTAGCAAACCGCTGCCCGTCATATCAGCACCGCTGCCACGCAGCAGCCCGCTAATCGTCGGTGTAAGGCCCATCGGCATACGGCCAAAGGGCGTGCCTGACGCGCCCATGGGCGTCATGTTCACATTCGAGGGGTACATAGACGTGAAGCCACCATGTCCCTTGGTCGCAGAATGGGGAGCAAGACCAAGGCTCTGTGTGAGGTTCAAATGCTGGGGGCTCGAGAACTGATCGCCACGCGACTCGCGCGAAGCTTTCATCGAGCGCACTGTAGGGCTCGCCGGCATCTCATTTGTGCGCGAGAGGCCATGCGAGGACATGCGAGGGGTAGGATCAATACGGGTAAACGCAGCCAGGGCAGCACGATCCGATGACGTACGCTTGGTCAGCGACGACGGGGGCGCCAGCGCCAGACCGCGGCGAGCCGAGTCAGGCGCATGCCGAGCGTCGCTCGGGCTGGGCATATGGCCATGTATCGCATGTGCATTGCCGCCACGCAGCGGCGTAGATTGGAAGGACGATGGCATATACAACTTGTTGTCCAAGAAGCCAGGCGACTTGGTCATGGCCATCGAAGAACGAGAGGATACTGGCACGTTCTGGTCGCGCATAGTAAGTACAGAGCGAGGCGGCGTAGGCGCCACCTTGGTGACCAACGGCGACACAGGTTTGGTGCTCGACGAGGTTGACATAGAGGTCGGCGCCGGGGTGGACTCCTTCGAAGCGACCGACGCGGGAGGCTCAGAGCCGTTCGCGGCGGCCCGCTCCGCCGCAGCAGCGCGGCGCTCCTGTTCACGCTTCTTGCGGGCCCAACGACGCTTGCTTTCCAGCATGCGCTCACGGCGCTCCGCTGCGTTGCGGGGGCGATTCGCATCGCGGTCCCAGCGAGTCCGGCGTGGCTGTACACTGAGTGGGATTGCATGCTTGTCTTGGAGATGACGACGCCAGATACTGCGCGCATGCTTGCCCACATAGCGCTTCTCGCAATGAGGGCACACAAACACATTGGCGTTGGGGCCACCTTCGCCGTCCAGCTGCGCTTGCCGTGAGAGAGCAAGAAGGTCATCCATGTTGGGGACACGACCCGTGGACATTGTTTGACTCGTGTCAGAGGAAATGGAGCCCCATGTTTCGGAGAACGAATCGTGACGAGCGTCCATCTCAGGCGGACGCTCTTGGCTAGGGAGGGAATACGGCGGGATATTGGTCATCTGCATCATCATAGGAAGAGACTGGGCATCCATCATGGGGTAGGCGCCCGTGAAGGGCACCATAGTGTAGCCATTGGGTATGGCATTGGGGGGCATACGGGCCATAGCAGCAGGGTCAGGATGCATGGCCATTGGGAATGGGTACATGGCAGCAGGTGCAGGAGCGGCCGCGGCCGATGGATGCGGCGGCGCTTGCGCCATCAGGGTGGGAGCGAGAAGGTTATGTTCCGCATCAGAGCGGTACATCATGTACCGCGATGGCGATTGCCCACTGCCTGGTCGCTCAGCCATGGGCATAGGCATCTCCCAGTAGGGAGTTGTAGCAGTCGCACCTGGCGGCGGCGGTATCGTTGGCGCCCACATCCAGGCCGAGGGATCGCGTGCTGCTCCAGGAGGTGCCTCGAGCGACGCCGCTGAAATCATCGGCTACAAGAGAAACGGAACGAGGGGAAAGCCAATGCCACGCAACGTCGCTAGCACAAGCGACAGCAAAGGATGCAAGCCGGAGCCTGGAAGCCCTGCGCACGAAAACAACACACTTTATTGCCGCCCCGGCCAACTAACACAAGGTCGCGTTTACATCACGTGACTATAAACAAACCAGGCCCGCGACCACAGCGAAGGCCAGGGCCGCGCATGTGCCTAGGAGCGCTGGGGCGGGCGCAAACCATGCGCCATTTTTACAAGAGTTGCAGGACCAATCTAGAGAGGTTAGAGTGGTATATACGTACCAGAGAGAGGGGTATAGGCTTGGGGGAAATAGAGAGCAAATTGGGCCATGTTGTTTACCTGGAATTCTCCACCACGAGGAACATGGTCAGGTCCGTTTTCGTCGTAAACAATGAGGCGGTACGTAGCCGCCACAAGATCCGGCTGGCCGTGCGCCTGCGCATCAAGGCGGTAGCCGTAGGGATACCACGTCACAGCCGTAGCATCACCGGGAATGCCGCTAGGCGAGGGGGCTATGGGGTATGTGTTGCCGTTAGCTGAGCAGGACGCCGCGACAAATAGGCGAGCCGGTGTCTTGGTGAGCGAGGTAAATTGCCAGCCGAAAGTGATGGATTCATGCGGTGCAATTTTGTAAAAGGATTGCTGCGCGGTTTGCGCAGGCTCTGTGATGGTTATGCCGCCGGCCTGAAGGGTATCATCATCTGCGCGTGCTTGCAGCACGGTAGTCGGCGTGGCCGCCCTCAAGGAGGTGTGTGTGGCCGTAGGAGCGCCAGGATGCTTGGCGGCTACCAAGCAGGCGCATACCAGAAGCCATACACACGCGAGCGCATACATCGCTGATCGCGTCGCAACACTCTCAGCCTACCACGAGCACGTCCAAGCCGCTGCGCATCACGTGGAGGACGTGTGCTTTGTAGATGATTGATTTGCTGCGCCGTAGACAAAACATGCACACACCTGCATAGCCTGCAGTTGCGCGACATGGGGTAGGGACGTAAGCAAAACGCCCGCTCGCGCCGCACCGCGTGCATCTCCGCTTCTCATCTCTCTGGACCCCCCGAGGTGCGCGTCATTGATTGAACGCTTGGCATAGGCGTCTTTAGGCGATGGCCATCTTTGGGAAGAAACGATCCGAGAAGGATCGATTGCAGAAGCAGGGACACCAGGACTCTCAGTCTGATACAACGAACAATAATGGACTTCCCGGCCTAGTGTCGAGGTTTGTACCGCACTCACGCACAGAGAGCGATTCACAAGGGACGCAGGCGCTGGAAGAACCGCCGATGATGCGAACGTCTATTGGTGATATGAGCACGTCGAGTCTGCATCGATCAGGATCCCTACAACACAACTCATCGCAGCCACGAGCCTCGTCGCGTCTCTCGCGGGAGGGCATGACACATACGGTGGATGGGCCTATATCTCATCCACCCGAGTACGCGTCGATAGGCATGGGTACCGAGAGCGAAATCCATGCGCCTGTAAGCACTGGCGCGGCTGGGCTCTCGACGACCAACCCACTTCCGCCCACGCCGGTCATGACGACGGACGGCACGTCCCCTGCGATGACGTCGGCGCCGGGGCAGGCTGGCACGTCGAAGACGGACCGTGCACGACAGCCCAACGTGGTGTATCCATGGAGCAAGAAGGTGATTACCATGAATCCGCCGCGTTTCTTGGATGAAACACGTCGGCCGCCGCCCGGGGTGCTGAGCCCTCCGCCGTTCCCTCGCTATGGCCATGCTACGAATCAGGCCACAGGACCGAATCAGGAAGTGTTTATCTTCGGTGGGTTGGTGCGCGATAGCGTGAAGAACGACATGTACATCATGCGCGTGGAGCCTGTGCAGATCCAGCGGGCGAGTGGCATTAAGATGGACATTGCGTTGAATGCGACGCTCATTCAGACGTCGGGTCATGCGCCCTTGCCTCGTGTAGGCCATGCAGCCGTGCTTGTATCCAACGTATTTATACTATGGGGTGGTGATACCAAGATCCGACCGGACGATCCGCAAGACCAGGCGCTGTACCTCTTGAACCTCAACAACCGGGAGTGGACGCGTGTAGCCGCAGGCGGATTGCAGGGCACGCCCGGTCCAGTGGGTCGCTACGGGCATACCTTGTCGATTATTGGCTCGAATCTGTTGGTCTTCGGCGGTCAGCTGGACGAGGAATTCTTCAACGAGCTCTGGCGCTTCGACCTCAACAGTCTCAAAGAGACGCCGGTTTGGCAGTTGATTCGTCCTTCGACAGCGCAAGTGCCGCCGCGTCGTACGGGCCATTCCTCGGTCACGTACAAGGATCGGCTGTATATCTTTGGCGGTACCGATGGACAGTACCATTACAATGATACATGGTGCTTCGACTTTGCGACGCTCACATGGACGGAGCTCAAGTGTGTTGGCTACATCCCAGCCCCTCGTGAAGGTCATGCAGCGTGTATGGTCGACGATATTATGTACATCTTCGGTGGCCGTGGCGTCGATGGTAGTGATCTCGGCGACTTGGCTAGTTTCAAGATCTCGAGTCATCGCTGGTTCATGTTTGCGCATATGGGCCCTGCGCCATTTGGGCGGTCAGGTCATTCGATGGTGAGTGTGCAGAACCGGATCTTGGTGATCGGTGGTGAAGCATTCTCGGGCGACGTGCAGGATGAGCCGAATGCCATGCATGTGCTGGACACCGCCAAGATCAAGTACCCTGTCAAGACCGATCGGTCGCAGGGCACGACTGGCAAAGCCCCCACGTCGTCGGAGGCGCCCACGGGCTCGGCCCTGCCGCAGGACGTGCCGACCGAAGCGGCACTGGCGGAAGGCGCAGGGGCTGCGGCGGCTGGGATGGCCGCTACGGCTGCGACTGCGGCTGCGACCACGCACGAGCCCAAGCCGGAGCTTGTGTCTCCTGGCGAGCCATGGTCCACGATGCCCAACGGGCCAGCGCCGTCCACGTCGGCGCGAGAGACCTCGGCCCCCCCTGTGGCTCCTACGGAAGCGGACGTGCCTACCTCCGCAACCACGACACCGGCCACGGGCACGGAGCCGGAACTGCCTGCGCCGTCGGACCCGGTGGACGTACCATCGCCGCCCATGACGACAGGCGCTGCGCCGGCGTTGTATGCGTCGCCGCCTATGGCCACCGAGTCGCTGCCCGCGCATGGGAATGAGTACATGTCCGACTCTCAGCGTGTGCCCACACCCACACCGCCAGCCATGCTCGGCGCTCCGATCGCCTCGGCATCGCAGCCCACGACCCCCACGACACCTACGCCTGGGGTGACGACTAAGATGATTCTGCCAGGGCAGCAGGGCATTGAGGTCATCCCACCGCAGGCTGCGAATGAGCCGGCGCAGGCGGAGATTCGTCCGCTGCCCACATCGGCCTCTACGCCGGCCATGCCGGCGGCAGGCCGTGAATCGCCAGCGGCGGCGGCAACCGCAACAGCAGCCGCGGCAACAGGCGTCTCTGCAGCGGCAGCACCGACGCAGTCGCCACCACCACAGCCGCCGTCGTTGCCGCCACGGTCCACGTCGATGGCGTCGCTGCCTACGCCCAGCACCTCGACGCCGGCCCATCGTGCAGCGCCGCCGTCAGCGGCCGTCCATGGTATCGGCTCGTCGCATGACACGGCCGCCCCTACGCAGGCGCAGAGCAGTGAGCGTGAAATGTGGCTGCTGTCCATGCTTTCTATGGCTGTGAAGCAGGGCTTTGTCCCACCCGCACGCGCGCCGACATTTGACGAGGTGCTGGATATTGAGCAGTGGGATACAGGCGCGGACAACAGTGTGAAAGATGCGCAGGTGAAGAGTCTCTTGACGCTTAAGACGCAGATCACAGCGCTTCGCTCGGAGCTTACGAAGCAAGTGCATGTGGAAGAGAAGCGCGTCGCGACGCAGGAGCGTGCGCGTGTCGCCGCCCTGCAAGAAGCTGCGTTTTACCGTGCGAAACTCGCAGCGAACGAAAGTGGGCATATGGATGAACGCGCACGTCTGGACCGCCAACGCATCCTCCAGCTGGAGAAACTATTGAGCAACGTGACGCGCGAGCATGCCGAGGTGGAGCGCAAAGTCGCCATGCTCGTTGATCAGACCAAGTTGGAGTCGCGCTTGCGGCAGTTGGCAGAGGATCGGTTGGCGGAGACAACCAAGCGAGCCCTCGCCGCGGAAGAGTCGCAGTTGAAAGTGTACGAAGAGTATTCGGCGCTACAGAAGCATTCGTACGAGACGGAGGCCATGCTACGGGATCATGCTGCACAAATCTCGACGCTGACTTCGCGCCTGGCTGCGCAGCAAGTCGAGCGCGATACGCTGGAAGACAAGGTATCGACGTCCGCGCGCTCGGCCGATACGAGTCGTGCGATGCTCGCACAGCTGCAGGAGGCCTTGACGGCGGCGCATGCGCGGGCCGCAGAGTACGAGCGGCAGCGCAGTGAGCACCAGCGCCAAACCGAGTCGCAGGCGCAGCTCGTGCAGGAACTGCGTCGGGACTTGCAGGCCAAGACCAACGAGCTCGATGCGATGACGCAGCAGTACGAGCAGCAGTCCCATGACCTGATGGACATGCAGTCGATGGTGAACAACTTGCAGCGCGAGGCGCAGGCGAATCGCGAGGCAGCGACGGGCGGCCTGGCGCAGCTCTTGGCAATGCAGCAGGCTGGCCAGGGGCTGCATGATGCATCGGGCGATGCGACGCGCGATACGAATGTATCGCATGCCTCGCATCTGCAGGCGCTGCAAGACGAGGCGCAGCAGCTGCGTCAGCTGCACGACGAATCGCGTACCTCGCTGACCAACATGGCGGCGGCGCTGCAGCAGGCGACAGAGCGTGGCAACCAGCTGCAGCGTACGAACAACAAGCTGTTCGCCGAAGTCACGACGCAGCGCAAGCAACTTTCCGAGGCACTGCATGAGCTGGCCATGCTGCGTGATCAATCACAGACGTCGCGGGCCGACGACGTGCATCATGCACGCGAGCTCGAGGCGGCGCAGATCCGCAATTTGGCGCTGCGACAACTGCTCCACGAGAACCATGTCGATGTGCCAGACGACGAGACGCTCGCCGAGCCCGAGTTCCTGCAGTCGCGCCGCACAGCCGCGCTCCAGCGCGAGCTGGAATCCCACAAGCGCGCTGCAGAACGCAATGCGTTGGATCTACAGCGCGCACAGGACCAGCTGCATCGCCTTGGACAGGAATGGGAATCCCACCGCCGCCAAGGCATCGGCTCACGTCAGGAAATCGAGACACTGCGCCGACGTGCCGAGGAAGCCGAGCGTCGTCTGATGGAGGCGACCGAGGCGCACGAGCAGCGCACGTCGCAGCTGGAAAACGACTACCTCACAGCTGTCCAATTTGTGCGCAACACTGAGAACATGCTTCGCCGATTGAAGGACGAGCATCTCAAACTGCGTCAGGATAATGCTGAGCTGCGGGCGATGTCCGCCTCGTCCTATCGCAGTCCCTAACGTTGCGCGCGCCTGAGAGGAGTCGTTGGTTTTGTGACTTGACATTTATGGATATATATATAGCGATTCTACCTCATGCAATGCCATCCCATCTCGCATACAATTTACCAGGCAAAGGCCGAGGGCGGCATAGACTGAAGAGCGGCGTCAGCGAGCGTATACGTACCAACTTCGCAAGGCGCGCCACAAGGCCACTCAGCTGTAGCAGCGTACCGACCCCTTCGAGAGTGCGCATATGTGTCCATCCGATTTCCTGCGCGTGAGAAGAATACAACAACGTACGCGAATAAAGTCAAGCTTGACAGGCTCCGGCAAGGTATCCATCGTCTTCACGACACGGAACAACGTCGTGACAATGTCCAGCGACGAGTAGCCTAGCGACCACACATCGTCCAACTTGTCCAGCGCGCCGTCGACGTCGCCCGTATGACACCGCGTCAGAATCTCTTGGATGATCAAGGGATGTGGCTGATCACATACTTTGAACACATTGTCAGGGCTCACATAGCCCATGCCTGTCCAGGTCGACTGCAGATTGTTGATGGCCTGCCGCATATCGCCCTCGGCGGTGAACACAATCGCCGCGAGGCCTTCATCGGAGTACTGCACCTTCTCCGCCTCGCAAATCTGCACGAGCCGACGAAGAAGCTCCTCGTCCGTGATGCGCCCAAATCGGAGGATGGCACATCGACTCTGGATCGGCTCGATGATTTTGTTCGACTGGTTGCATGCAAAGCAAAAACGCGTCGTCGACGCGTAAATCTCCATAGTACGTCGCAACGCTTGCTGTGCACCCGGCGTCATACTATCCGCCTCGTCCAGAATAATAATCTTGTGGCGCCCCGGCGGAAGTGACACCTTTTTCTGTGCAAAGACCTTGATTTTGTTCCGGACCACATCGATACCGCTGCACGTAAGATCATACGCATGCCTTACATACCGGTCGTCAGAGGCATTCAATTCCAAAACGGCTTCCTTGTACGCATCGCCCAGCAAAGCATGCGCAAGGCAGTGTACACTGGTCGTTTTTCCGATACCAGGCAATCCCTACTTGTCAGCGTCAGCACGACCTACCGATACAAGCAGATGCGGGCAGTTGCCATTCTCTTCAATGGCTTTCAAACGCTCCACCGTCGCAGCATTCCCAACCATATCGCGTAGATACCGCGGGCGGTACTTCTCGACCCTGCACCATGAGAATGCACTACAATACATACCATGGCAGCTGATACCCAGGCGTGGCACTGCTTCCAGACATGCTCAAGGTAGCGCCCACGCACGCGTGGAGCGAGCGCGCGGCGGCGCGTCCTGCGTCCCCAGCGTCGGCGAGAATAGCACGTGATTCCGACGCACCGGCCACAAGGAAGCGTGTTGAGGGATAGGTACAGACTATGAAAGCGCACCGCGCGCATCCCGCGGTGCACGCGATACGTAGATATAATGCTCCAGACGCAGAGAATGAAGGCATACCATGCCCATGAATAGGCCAAGCAGACTGGCTACACCGAGGACGCCGTAGATCTGAAGAAGAAACGGCGCCCAGGACCGCCAAACCTTCCATGGCCATCGGATAAGAACCGTGTAGGTGGTATAGTATAGGTAGCGTACCGGCGTGAATAAGTGGTACAGAAATGTGGATGAGGCTGCGAAGATTTGATGAAGGCCATGGGCCAACTGAAGCCACGGCCATAGGAAGAAAGCAACGACGCCGTCTGCCATTCGTGCAAGCCGTCCACGAGGAGGCGGCGTAGGCATCAACGTCACACTGGATGCTTCCGTGGTAGAAGGTGGGGGGGAGGTATCCATCATATCCCATGGCAAACTGCCAAAGCGGAGTTGGTACTGACTCTGCCACAGTCGATCCCGTAGCTCGGCATCACGCAAAGATCCAGGCAGAGTATGGCCGTCCTTGGCACTGCTAGGTTGCTTGGCATACACACAGATCCAGCACAAACACAGCACGCTCACAAGCACGCGGAGCCCTAGCGCAGGGCCAGGGGCCCCGCCCATGACACGAGCACGACGTCTGGGCATGTGGAGGAAAGGCAAGCGCGCAGGAGGGCCGTGCTTCGTTCGTGCGGCCAATGTTCGCACGATCGATGGTTATGACAGCAAGGTCGCCCTACCTGATAGATTACGATGAATTGCCGGCCTACGGTACGTGCAACAACACTTACACGTAGCCAAGCATGGACCCTACGTCCAGACAGGGTACCGTCGGCCAGGCGATGCAGCAGCGGCTATCGCCTCGTCCTCCGAGACAGTCGTGGTGACCAGTGGAGTCGATTACCCAAGGACGACCACTTCGACGCTGAAGCAGTTGTACGTACATGACACATTCTACAAGTGCTGGAAGAGCGTGTGGTGTTACTGGCACAATGAAACTATGAACATTCATACGCATTTGTGGGGCTCAGTCCTCGCTTTCATCGTCCTTCTCTTGCAGCTGGCCGACGTGCATGGATGGCTCCCCCCCGGGCCATGGCCCATCTTATCGATGGAATCGTTTCCGTCCCACAATCCACTAGAGCTCTTCTCCGATTTGGGATTGCGGATGAACCGCCTTGAACGACTTCGAGAGCCGAGTCATGGCGACCTCGCGGCCATGACGGTCTTTTTGCTCTCCGCCATGCTCTGCTTGGGCTGTAGTGCGACCTACCATACGCTGGCCTGCCATTCACACAAAGTGGCACAGAGCTACAACCGTCTAGACTATGCCGGGATTGTGATCCTCATTGTCGGCAGCAATGTCCCTGCCTTGCACTTTGGCTTCCACTGCCATGGCATGCTGCGTACCATCTACATGGTCATGGTCTTTTTCTGGGGCATGCTTACGTTTTACGTGGTGACACAGCCGCACTTCACCTCGCCCAAGTACAAAGCCCTGCGTGCCTTTTTGTTTGTCGTGCTTGGTCTTAGCGGGATTCTGCCGCTCCTCCATGGCCTCTATGTCGCGAAAAGCTGGCATTTCGTGGCAGACGTCCTAGGCGCCAAGTACGTGATGTACAGTGGCGCGGTGTACATTATCGGTGCTATGATCTACGTGGCCCACTTCCCTGAGGCCAAGTTCCCGCGCACGTTTGATTACATTGGCGCCTCGCACCAAATCTTCCACGTGTGTGTCCTAGCCGGTGCTTTCTTGCACTGGTTGGGCGTGCGTCAGGCATATACGTTCTGGCATGCGCTAGAGACGCTCTCTGGTGAAACGGCGCAAGACGCGGTATGTTACGCCTTGCACAAGGCAATCGGTGTATAGTTACGGCGCTAACCGCTCAATCGTCCACGATGATGCATCTGTTAGAGGCAAGTCACTGTGCGGGTCGCGAACATAGCGGAATCGATCGTGTAGACGATTGTTACGACCCGTCCAAAACTCAATTTCGTCAGGCACGACAAGATAGCCACCCCAGTGGTCGGGCACAGGTACCTTGCTTTCTTCAGTAGGATGCTTGAATTCACGCTCACATGCCGCCACGAGATTCTCCAAGGCCTCCCGCGAGGGAATCACTTGGCTTTGAGGACTTGCCCAGGCACCGATACGGCTGCCGATGGGTCGCGAATCAAAGTACGCCTGCGAAACGTCTTTCGGGACACGTTCGGCCCGTCCAAGCACACGCACAGACCGGTGCAGTGTCGGCCAGTAGAAGGACAAAGAGCACCATGGATTCGCAGCAAGCTCATCGCCTTTGCGAGATGTATAGTTACTGTAGAAGTAAAAGCCACGGTCATCAGCCCCTTTCAGGAGAACGGTACGAGCACTAGGCCGCGGCTTGGATACACTCCATTTGGTCTTGTCTTGCATGGAAGACGACGAGGCAGGCGCGGGTGCCTGGGGGAGCGACGTCGTAGATAACGTCATAGCTTCCGGCTGAGGTACGCCTACCTCCAGGGCATGCTGGAACCATTTCTGGAACATGGCCATCGGCGTCGGCTCCAGTTCGGATGCCTCCATACCGTCTGTGACGTACTGATTATGACTGGTGATCTTCGTACCAGCAGGTGTGACCAACATGGCGAACAGGGGGGGAGGGACAAATACCCCGGCCGGCCGCTATGCTCCGCCCATCAGGGGGATGTCACACACCTACACTTGACCAAGGCGCCGCCCATATGGACGCTCGCAATGTCGACGACCGACAAACAAGGAAGGAGGCAAACGCCAGTGAATTCTATACATACATACGACTGCTATGGAGCAATATGCTACCTTAGCGGAACATGCGCAAATAGGCCAGTAGCAAGGCTCCCGCACCGGTAGCCACACCAACAAGGTACTGCATCGTTAGGTGGCGCTTCTCATACATACCTGTAGCACATTGAATTTAGCACTTTGGATACTCGTACGGATACCTGCAATCTCCGACTCGATCCGCGTATCCACCTCCTTGATCTTGAGCGAGTGCACGGAGGACTCGTCACGGATTCGGCCTAAAGGGTTAGCTCGCACGGTCGTGTTCGATCACATACCTTTCTCCAGATTCAGATCAAGACGCACACCCGCCGTAGTACGTGCAATTTCCTCTCGAAGACGCTGCTTCAGCTTTTCGACATCCGCCATGAGTCGCTCATTTTCCGACTTCATCAGCACAAAGTCACTGCGTTCCAGCAGCTGAATCTCCGACTTTAGCTTGGCAAAGTCGACCTTCTGAGTATAGTTGACACGTTCCGCTTCATCACGTCGCACAAGACCGCGCGCAAAGTTCTCAATGCTCTCGTTGATCACATCGGACATGGCCGTGACAAGCACATCGGCTTGTTCACGTGTAATGCCCGCGTCTTGAAGGCGCTGCACGAACGCATTCGAATCAAAATGAGCCGAACGTCTCTGCACAGCCGCCACAAACATAGGTCTGGCATAGATAGGCACAGGGAGGCCACGGCCTGCGCGAGAAAGCAACGATACGGCTTGCATGGCCCAACGTTGTCGCGCTGCAGAATCAACGAGCGACGCTGGGTGCATAGAGGGACGTGGAGGGAGGGGCCTAAAAGGAATATATTTTTGATGATATCATGACCTACTAGGGGATTCGGATCGGGTATGAACAGGCCAGGCGAGGGACAGTCGTCGAGCAGGCAGAACACAGGCTATGGCTGCGGACTCGGGGGTGTGCGGTCCAGCTGTTGGCGACACAATTCCACGTTGCTTTTAACAGCGCTCATCTCTGTACACGGTTAGTGTGATGATACATACGGATTCGTGGATCAGACACAATTACAAGTATGTAGGTACTTGACGTCAAGGCATCCATGTAGGCCATAAAGGTCGAAGTACGTAGCTCCAATGCCTGCACCTGGTATTGTGATTCCCTGATGTTAGAAAGCTAGTACGTACAAGCATGAAATCTTGAAATGCTTTACGAGTTCACTGATACGTTCGAATCGATCATCACTCAAAGTAACACCCTTCTTAGTAGCAGGTGAGGAATCGGTGACCAAAGAGCCTGTGAGGCCCGCTAATAGAACCTTTTCAGTATCGTTTTTGTCCTGCATCTTGACAGTATAGGTATCATGATTGTCCATGTCTTCATTCTGGGTTTCCCGTTGGAGCCGTGAAAAACGAGACATCATGAGAAACGTTGCCTTTTCAAAAAGGACAATCTCTGTCGCAGAGCACATATCGGCCAAGCTCGCAAGGTGCGTCTCAAAGCGCTGGACTTCAGGCACAATCGTATGCACAATGTTGGACCATGCCTTGTATAGTGTAGCGTCCCAAATACTGGTAGCATAGCAGTGTAGATGCATGCTATCACGAGCATTGGGCGACGAAGCATGTTCCTTCAGTACCTCCCGGATTTTTTTGCGCAAGTCCTGCACGCGGCTCATGTACAGCTCTTTACGACGTGACGGCTCAATCAAATCCATCTTATGCAGCAAACAGAATACCTCCGCATCAGGCGAGTGAGTGTTAAGGGCAGAGACACAATCCCTGTCACGTAAGACGAGCCAGTGCGAACCACATACATACCTGAAATAGCGTAGATCCGATTCCCATTCATGTGTGTCATCATTCTCATCTTCCGTGCTCACCACATCCACGACGTAGATAAGTGCACCCACGGCACTGAACACCTGGTTGCGTTGAGCGTTCATATAACTATCCATATACGATTTCTGACCACCGCAATCCCATAGATTTAAAACAAGGTTGCCAGGAAAGCGTACATGCGAGTGTTCGACTTCAATTGTACTGCCCAGTCGTTTGGTGTCTTCCGAACGATACGACGAGAATATAAAAGACCGCATAGAGGTCTTGCCCGTACCGGACTTGCCCATCAATAAAATCTGCTGCGTTAGCGTCGACAGCTGCGCAGCCCGTACCTTGCGTTTCATCGTCGGACAACGGCAGGAAGAGGCCTGTCAGTGGGCCCTCGCCTACGAGCGGCGTGGAGAAAAAGCCACGTGGCTGATAAGAGGACTACTCTACAAGGGGAAGAAAACAGCGCCGCGGGCGCTACCGCTTACGCCCACGCCGCACTTGGGACGCCTTGGCTGGCCGTGGCGCTGGCGGCGGCGGCATAAGGGCCTGCTTAGCTTGGTCTATGTATTCTTGAGAGAGGTACAACGTAGATTCGTCGACACCGACATCGTCACGCCAGCATTGGGGAATCTGTTGCAGCAACACACGTCGGATGTCAGCACAGGTGCTGGCGCTTTTGTTGCCGAATTCGTTGCTAGGGTCGTCTCGGCGCGATGTCGTGGGAATTCGGACGCCCAAGTAGGCCCCAAGTTCGTCTTGCCATACCGACGCCTTGTACCCCCGCATTTGCAAGTCGTACTGCACGGCAGAGGCAATGGCACGTGGCATGGCTTCCCATTGGTCTTGCACAATGGCACGGTAGCGTGGCGATAGATAGTACAATGCATGCAGTCGCTCATGCGCCAGAGATACTTCGGCCTTCGAGGCGAGCGCGGAGATTAGGTAGGTAGCAGGCGTAGATGGATGAAGTTCGCCATTGTCTTGGAGAATACCACGCTCCAGCAAGTCAGCCAACAGGGCATTCTCTTCTTCAGAACAGTGCGTATGCCACCACGGCAACAAAGGATCAGGATCCGAACGGGGCTCCGTAGCCAAACGGAGAGCTTGCAGCCATTGCGCGACGTACGCCAATGGCAAATTGAAGGCTTCGTAGTCTTTGCACACACGTGCCTGACGTGCTGCGTCCCATGTTAAATAGGTACCAGCATACTTTTCAGACTCATAAAAGCACTCAATACGCGCTAGCGCCGCATACTGGACAGCTGCTGCCCCAAACACCAACGTCAGCACAGGTCCGTGCGCTTGCCCCCAGAACAGCGCAGGCATTGCGTCGGAGTCGAAGAGGTGGAGGTGGATCCAGATCCATTCGGCCGTAACACCCGTGCAGTGGCCTGCGTGATGCACGGGCACGCTGGCAGGGACCCGGCACGAGGCTCACGCACGGTTTCGCAGTGTACCACAATGGCGACATCTAGTACGCCAGTTGAATCGTGGAGCGTGAAAGACGGCGCGCAGGTCTCGTCAGGCACCCTAGCCCCGTTGAAGAGCCAGGGTGCAGCTGCGGGCCTGGCGGCAGAGTCGCATGCGACGCCCGTGGAAGAGCCTGCGAAGCTTGCTGACAAGGCCCCTGCCCCAACCGCGGTGGCGACCGCGGCGGCATCGTCGGCGCCTTCTGGTCCGGATATGGCGCCGACAAACAATGTGCTGCCTACGTCGGATGCCTTGCAGAGTGAGAAGAGGGCCGAGGAGCCAACGGCACGTCCCTTGTCGACCATGGCCTCAGAACCGACAGGTATGAACCTTTCGTCGTCGTCGGCATCGGCATCGGCATCGGCCCCCGCCGCCAACATGGCACCGGGTGGTAAGGTGCGTCTGACCAACTACCCGACGATCAAGAACGCCGTACTACCCGCCGAGGGCAACGGTAGCTTTAGCAATGTGCATCTCGCGCTGTTGATCTTTTTCGCGCCGGCTGTGCTCTTGCGTTTGATTCCGTTTGTGAAGCCAAGCTGGTTCGGATGGACGTCGTACATGTTCCTAGTCGCCCTGTGCGGTGTGCCTGTGGCCATTGCCTACTGGACGGTGATGAGTATGTACGGCCCTCGTATCAACGAAAAGGTCAAGCTGCCGAACCGTCCGATCGAAGACTACTTGGACATCAAGGACCCTGATCTGCGCCGCAAGTACAATGGCTACAACAAGATCCCTATGCAGATCTTCTGGGACGCTTACTTTGACGGCAAGATCGAGGTCAAGGGCGAGATGCTGGATGTGTTGGAGTACCGCTGGGACTGGGCTGCGATGCACTTCACGCCCGAGCTGTTCCGCTATGTGCTCTTCAAGATGCTGCCGGATGTGCTGCTGCACAGCTCGCGTCAGGATGAAGAGCAAATTCGTGACAACTACGACCGAGGCAACGACTTCCACGAGTGGTTCCTGGGCCCACAGATGGTGTACACGACCGGTATTATTTCGGACCCGAACCGCGAAGAGACGTTGGAGGAGTTGCAGGACAACAAACTGAACCTTGTCTGCTCGAAGCTCGCACTCAAGCCGGGAGACCGTGTGCTAGACATTGGCTGTGGCTGGGGCACGCTTGCTACGTTTGCCGCGAAGAACTATGGTGCGGATGTGACGGGTGTGACGCTGGCGCAGAACCAGGCGGAATTCGGTAACGAGCGTCTCGCGAAGAACGGCATTTCGCAGGACCAGGCGCGTATTCTGTGCATGGACTACCGTGATATTCCTGTGAACCCTGGTCACTACAACAAGATTGTCTCGCTGGAGATGGCCGAGCATGTGGGCATTCGTCACTACGCCAAGTTCTTGAGCAACGTGTACGACTTGCTGGACGACGATGGTGTGATGGTGTTCCAGGTCGCGGGTCTGCGTCCGCGCTGGCAGTACTGGGACCTCATCTGGGGCCTGTTCATGAACAAGTACATCTTCCCTGGTGCCGATGCGTCGTGCCCGCTCAACTGGGTGATTGGCCAGCTGGAGCGTGCTGGCTTTGAGGTGCGTTCGTGCGATGTGGCGGGTATCCACTACTCAGCCACCATCGACCGCTGGCTGAAGAACTGGAAGAAGAACGAGGCAAAGGTGAAGGCCAAGTATGGCGACAAGCTCTACCGCATCTGGCTCTTCTTCCTGGCCAGCTCGGTGATTATTGCGCGCGAGGGTGGCTCGAGTCTGTTCCAGATCACGGTGACAAAGAACCTTAACGCTACGCACCGTATTGAGGGTGTGGAGTCGCATGGAAACCTGCTTCCTCGTCCGTACCCGGGCAAGAAGTACGTGAGTGTGTACAAGTAATCGGCCATGGCTGTTGTCGTAGATCGATGTAGGGCCTTTCCTCCACTCGGCGATAGGCATACAAATGCAAGCAGGCGAGAGACTTCTTTACCTAATCTCTCCACACATCGATCAATGATGACTTCATATCTTATCTGGCCGGCGGGTAGACAACTTGGCACCCCTAGAGCGTACGTGTCTGATAACGAACGAGATAAAAGACGGGCAGAGATGAGGATGAGATTGACAAGCCAAGATGTCACCGCACCCTTTGGACCCCGCACTCCCTGAGGAACTGGAAGCTGCTGTAGAGTTTATCAAGCAGCGCTTTGACCCTGATGTCAACATTTTTTGGTACGCTGGCTCGGTCTATGAGCCGCCGAAAAGCGAGCTACTACCGTACCTTCGCGCGGAACGTCAGGGAAAGCCTAGGCAGCCCCCTGCGCGTCGTATCACGATCTACTTTGGTATTGTGCACACGCCGCGCAACTTTGAAGCGGTGGTAGATCTCGGTCAAGGCGCCATTGTCGGTTTCAAGGAACTCTCGCGCGTGCACCAACCGCCGCTCGTCCTAGCAGAAGTGGACATTGCGCGAGAGGTCACACTCACTTCTGAACTCGTCCAGGCCGAAGCGAAACGTCTCGACATTCCCATGGACCTCGTCTTTGCTGAGCCATGGGATTACGGTCGTGAGGATGAACACGAAACTCCGCGAAGCTCGCAGGTGTTCATGTACATGCTGAACCCGGAGACATGCGAGCCTGAGTCCAACCCGTACGCTTTCCCACTGGACTTTATGGTGATTGTCGATCTAGAGCAGCGCGTCGTATCGAAAGTGGTCCATCTGAACCTAGAGGTAGACACGATCAGCAAATCCGTGAAGAATGGCGGGTACAAGTACAGCCGACCTGTCGAGCCTGAATACGTGCATGAACTTCAGTCGCAAAAGATGCGCGAGAGTGTCAAGCCACTGCGTGTAGTACAGCCCGAGGGCCCGAGCTTCAACGTGCAGGGCCAGCTGATTGAATGGGAAAAGTGGCGCTTCCGCGTAAGCTTCAACTGGCGTGAAGGATTTGTGCTGCATGATATTTGCTTTGACAACCGCGAGGTTATTTATCGCATGGCCTTGGCGGAGATGTTTGTGCCGTATGGTGACCCACGCAAGCCGCTCAACCGAAAATCGGCCTTTGACTTGGGCAACATCGGAGCAGGCAATGCCGCCAACAATCTCGGCCTCGGATGTGATTGTCTTGGTGTGATCAAGTACCTAGACGGTTACCTACTGGGTTCCGACGGCAAAGCCATGAAGATGCCCAACGTCATTTGCATTCACGAAGTAGATGCAGGCATCCAATGGAAGCATACCAACACAGTGACAGGAAAAGCTGTTGTTGTACGTCGCCGTCAGCTGCAGCTGCAAATGATCATCACTGTGGCGAACTATGAGTATGCATTTTACTTTATCTTTGATCAAAGCGGTGAAATCATGTTTGAAACGCTGGCCACTGGCATTCTGAGCACAACGCCTATCGATCCAGACAACAAAGATCCATGCGCCTACGGTACACGTGTGGCACCAGGCGTATTGGCACCGTACCATCAGCACATTTTCAACCTGCGCATTGACCCAATGATCGACGGTCATGACAATTCGCTCCAGGTGGTGGATAGCGTGCCGATGCCCCTGGACAAGGATACAAACCCGTACGGTATTGGGTACACGACGGAAACGCGCACCGTCACAGTGTCAGGCACGGAGCAGATTGATGTGAGCAAGAACCGTGTGTTCAAAATCATCAATTCAAACAAAATCAACCCCACCACACTGCAGCCGGTGGGCTTCAAACTCGTGCCCATTGCCTCACAGATGCTGCTTGCCGATGAGAATTCGTGGCATGCGCGTCGGTCCAACTACTGCACGGATCCTATTTGGGTCACGAAGTACAAGGACGATGAGCTTTACCCCGCAGGCAAGTTTACGAGTCAGTCCATTGGCGACGATGGCCTGCGCCGCTATGTCAACCGCAAGGATCCTGTGGAGAACGAGGACATTGTGATTTGGCATACGTATGGATTCACTCACAACCCACGTCCAGAAGACTTCCCTGTAATGCCAGCGGAGACGGCTCGTGTGCTTATCAAGCCCAATGGGTTCTTTGAGTACAATCCTACCTTGGATGTGCCGCCCAGCAAGCAGGCGTTCAACCAGAGTGTCTCCTACGAAGACAGCAAGGCCAATGCTGCGAAGAAAGGCACATGCTGTAAAATGTAAGAATGTATAAACCTTTGCTTTTGATAGAGAAGATATGAGCACGATAAGACCGTAATGATCAAGTATGAAAATCAAGATCGTAGCGTTGACACTATAGGGTCTATGAATGAAGAAAGCAGTGGCAAGCAGATTCTGTATGCGGACATAGTCGAAAAGAGAAGGACGGGCATGCATACCCACGCTCTAAGGCAAGAAGAGCACCTCTACCACGCCCATATCCGTGCATCATTAGGAAAGAGGGGTAGATACAGACGTGCGAATCATAACAGCAGTGGGCAAATCACATAATATACATGTGCCGATCTTCAGCCAGCAAAGCCAAAGGAATTCGACGGCATCAAAGGAGACGGATTCGGCACAATACGCACACGCGATACAGGCATGGTGTCTTGCACGCTGCTCAGCGTCGGAGACGACAAGTCCTTCGGCAGTGGCGGCAGCGGCGGCAGTTCCTGCTCACGTGCCTTCTGACGCAGGTTTGAGGCCGATCGGCTGTAGCGGGCCGCAATCGGCGTCACAGAGGGGTCAGGCAGGAGACTCTCTGGGGGCGAGCCATCCGCACGACGCGCGTCAGGTATGCGAGGTGTAGAGCCAATCGACGACGGACTCGAAAGTGGCGGTGTACGACGACCCATATCAGGCGAGAGAGAAAGCGAAGAGAGATCGTGTAGTGTCAACGCCTCCTCAAATTCGTTGGAGACTTGCAGTGGTGCAAATACGCTCATACCCTTTTCTGCCCGCGTCGTGGGCTGCTTTGTCGAGGGCAACTCCGTGTGACGCGTAGATACAGATGTATTTCCTGTTGACTTGGAGGAGGCCATAAGCGGGGAGGCACGCACCGTAAGGCGAGACGTCTTGTTGGGCACAGAAGGTGCAGCATCTTTGGGGAGCGGTGGGACCTCCGACGACGATGCCATCAGCAGATCGCCCATAGACTTCGCCGTATGCAAGTGGTTGGCAGGACGTGAGGATGGCATAGTCTGAGGTGCTTGTGGCGTCCTGCTAGAGACAGCAGCAGCAGCTGGCGTCGCAGCCTGGTCAGCTGGCGTGGGCACGGCGACAGGCACAGGCGTCACGCTAGATGTCGGCTGCACCTGGGAACGCTTGGCCTCATCAAATGGCTTACCGAGCGTGGCCGCCTTGCTGCCCGCAGCAGCTGTGGCGGCCGGGGGCACAGCCGTAGCTGTAGGTGTCGACTCCGTGAAGGCGGAACCACCTGGCACGTCCACAAGAACATTACCGTACTGGTCTTTAGCCATCATTTCTGGCAGCAGAGGCAAACGGCCTGTAGCAGGGTCAGCGCCTGTACATCCACTGCGGCAGCAAACACAGGGGCAAGTCGTCACACTGCCATTGACCTTGGTAGGCTCTGCGCCCTTCGGGGTCGGGAAGTACGTCAAAAGTGGTTCACCACGAAGACTACGCACACCCAAACGTGCGCGTGCAAAGTGCTCCGAGTTTTGCGGAAGCAGGGCCGGATCCAAAAGCTGTCCGCCTGGACCACGAATGAACTGCTCCGCCTCAGCTTCTTTGCTGCGAGGATGTGCCACAGAAGCAATACGAGAACCCATACCAAGACCAAGACGCTCCAGCTCATGCACGAGGTCCTCTTGGATTTGTCCTGCTAGCTTTGCCACAGACAGGGTCGGGGGCAGATAGCGACTGGGGGGAATGATCGTGTCAATGACAATATGGTCACCATAGTCGCTCACAGCGGTTTGCACGTGCTCCGTGGGCACAAAGCTCACAGCACTATAGCCCATCGTCACAGTGGCATTGGATTCATGCCTCACGGTAGGCGGAGGCACGGAAGAGGCTGTCGTCATAACGCCAGCCCAATGTCGCGAGATCGGTAAAGAGCAGAAGCGACTCAAGCAGACCCGTGGAGCCCGTTGGACTTTACATTTTTATGCAAGTGTCATTGGTATATCGAAATGATGTCACGTGATTTGACCGTCAGGCATTGGAGCGGAGAAATGTCTGACGGCAACAGGCGCTTTCCCTGAGGGGCGACGCTGAAGTTAAGCCGCCCAATGCTCGCTGCGTTCAGGCCAAGTATACTATACAGAATGGACGTCATGGGAGCCTATACATGATGAGATTGAGAGGATAGGTCCATACTATTTACGCAGTACGAAGGATCAAGTGCACACCACTGTCTGTCTCGACAATATCGCTCATAGCACCCACGGGGAGAGCGAACGCCGCCTCTTCGAACGGACGTTGCATCTGACCCCGGCCAAAGCTGCCCAGATCACCTCCAGAACGAGCAGAAGAACAGTCACTGTATGGTTAGCCAATGGTCATACGTACGAAAACTGCTGCGCCAGTTCACCAAACGCCTGCACAGATGGGTGCTCGCCCAGTTGTTGCTGGTACGCTTTCAGCTGCGCAATAGCCTCCTCTTTGGAACGTGTGATGGTCTTCTCACGCCAGCTGCTCGGTCGTCGGCTCTGATTGTGCTTCACAAGCAAGTGGCTTGCACGCACATGTGCTGGCCCGCTTTGCGACGCCTCACCTAGCAAATGACCGCCAGGCAGTTTGCGTGCCTGCTCTTCCGAGATACCCTCCGGCAGCTCCCACATCGACTCGTGTGTTTGGGGATTGTAGAAGTATGGAAGCTTGCGCGAGTTGCTAAATCGAACCTCCCATGCAGACGACATGTTCTTCAAAGCGAGGACGTGGCCTATGTTGCCACGTCCTACTCCTGTCGACATACGCACCTCGTGCATGATCACGTAAGGTGGGGGAAGCAAGGTGGAGGGGTTTCATGCATGCAGCCTGCAAGCTCATTTAAAGGTTGGCGCGCGTTTCTGTGCACGGGTGACCAAGGTGTCGGCGGTGCAGAGAGCGCGGACTGTGTCTCCTATGACGCCCGCAAGCGCAAGACGTTCCTTCCCAATTTCCCTGCCACATGCCCATGGGTCACATCGGTGGGTGCGACGTACAAGTTTGATTCAGAAGTCGTCACAGTGACGAACTACACATTCATTACATCGGGTAGTGGCTTTTCCTACCATTCCCCACGTCCATTCTACCAGGAACATGCTGTGCACAAGTACCTTGCGGAGTACCAGCACGATAAGGATGATCGCTGGTTCAATCCGCTCGGTCGTGCTTACCCTGATGTGTCTGCCCAGGGCTCACGCTACGTGATTGCTATTGACGGCGAATTCAAGCTGGTATCAGGCACTAGTGCTTCTACCCCGCTCTTCGCTTCCATGGTAGCGCTGCTTAACGATGCCAGCTTCGCCAAGGGCAAGCCAGCCTTGGGCTTCTTGAACCCATTGATCTATAAACGCCTTGGTACGAATGCTTTCCATGACGTGGAAAGTGGTTCTGCCGAGGGCTGTGGCGGTATGACGGGCTTCGAAGCACAGCAGGGCTGGGATCCGGTGACTGGTTGGGGTACGCCAAACTTCCCTGCGCTTTTGGAAGCGACCTCCAACTTGTAAGGACTCCGGTAGATGAACAAATGAATTTCAGTACGATGGCGACCTACAAACGGGTGGGGATCATGAGAGGCGCTACCCTGCCCATGGCATGTGCATCAGAAATGCGCACCGGAAACGGCCCCGATTGTGGTGTGACACCCCCCTCTATTCGTCCGCCAAAAAAGGGGCTTGGGAGACGCACGCATGATGGGATATCTATGCAAACGAATATGCGCGCCAGAGATGTGGAGGCGAGCCCCTTTAAAAGTAGGCCGGCCACAGGCTGAATTTCCTAGATATGAAAAGTTTTGATTAATTTGGAAGAGCGCGGTGCAGCCACGCAGATTACCCCAGATAGGGCAGATAGAGCTCCCATATATAGACACCGAGGCTCAGCACAAGGCTACCCCGTATTCTTTTGTACTATGTTGGTAGGCCACTGGGTCAAGCTGCTGGCGCTGCTGGCCGCTGCTACATCGCCTGTTCTCGCGTCGTCGCAGTTTGTGACTCTTGAAGATGTACACGTCCCTCGCGGCTGGGTGCGTCGCGCTGCGGCTGATCCTAACGAAATGGTCCCGCTGAGCATCGCGCTTCGCTCCAAGGCCAACGAGCGCGTCATCAACAAGCTCATGCTAACCAGCGACCCTGACAGCGATGAGTACCTTCAGCATCTTTCTCGCGATGAAGTCCTGGACCTCCTCCGCCCGTCCGACAAGACAAAGAACCGCGTACTTCGATGGCTCATGAAATATGGCATTGCCGAAGAAGACATTACCTACAACGCAGCCGGTGATATGATGTACTTTACGACCACCGTGGCTGAGGCCAGCGAGCTGCTGGGCGGCGCAGTTTTCAACATGTTCGAGCGTCGCGATACGGGTGAGACGTCCATTCGCACGACCAAGTATGCTGTGCCTCGTGACATGGAGAAGCATGTGGACTTTGTTGGTGGCAGCACGACCTACTTCCCAAGCACCAAGGCCCATCGCAGCATGGCTCGTATTGTGGACAAGGCTGTGGAGCTGCCAGACCCGGACTTTGGTGTCCAGAAAGAGAAGGCCGGCATGATGTTGAACCCTCCTGGCGTGCCTGCCTCATGCAATGTTTCGCAAGTGACATCGCTCTGCCTTCGTGAGTTTTACGGTACAGTGAACTACACTGTGCAATCGGCCGACTCGCATATTGGTATTGCCGGCTTCCTGGGAGAGAATGCGAACTACAAAGACCTGGACCAGTTCTTGAAGAAACAACGCCCTGAGGCTTATGCAGGAAAGGCCACATTTGACTATGTGACGCTGGGTGGTGCAAAGAATGAACAAAACCGTACCAAGGCTGGTGGTGAAGCCAACTTGGATGTTCAAACCGTGGAAGGTGTGACTTGGCCGATGCGCACAACGTACTACTTGACGGGCACGAAGCCTCCGTTCCATAAGGACAGCTTTACCAAAAAGAATACCAATGAGCCTTATGTCCTATTCCTGGACCACATGCTCAGTCTGTCGGAAGAGGAGTTGCCGCAAGTGCTTTCGATCTCGTACGGTGATGATGAGCAAACGGTACCTGCGCCGTATGCACGCCGTGCCTGCACCATGTTTGCCGCTCTGGGTCTGCGTGGTACCAGTGTGTTTGTGGCGTCCGGTGATGATGGTGTTGGTGCTTACGATGAGGGCGATGCATGTGTGACGAACGATGGCCGCAAGCGCAAGACCTTTTTGCCATCGTTCCCTCCGTCATGCCCTTGGATTACATCGGTGGGTGCGACGTACAAGTTTGATCCAGAAGTCGTCACAGTGACGAACTACACATTCATTACATCGGGTGGTGGCTTCTCGGACTATTTCCCACGTCCATTCTACCAGGAACATGCTGTGCACAAGTATCTCACAGAGTACCAACACGACAAGAATTATGGCTGGTTCAACCCGCTGGGTCGCGCCTACCCTGATGTCTCGGCGCAGGGCTCGCGTTTTGTGATTTCCGTGGATGGCAAGTTTGAGTTGATTTCAGGTACCAGTGCGTCGACACCGCTGTTCTCTTCGATTGTGGCCCTTCTGAACGATGCACGTTTGGCAGCAGGCAAGCCATCGCTAGGTTTCCTGAACCCACTCATTTATAAGCAATTAGGAACCACGTCGGGCTTCCATGACGTGGAAAGTGGTTCTGCCGAGGGCTGTGGTGGTATGACAGGCTTCGAGGCGCAGAAGGGCTGGGATCCGGTGACTGGCTGGGGTACGCCGTACTTCCCAGAATTGGTCCAGGCGGTGATGAAGCTGTAAAGTACATGGTATATCGTAGCGAGAAATCTACCTTCGTTTTTACTGTACCTACGATGTCAACAAAGAGGGGTTGGGCGGGGTATCTGCCTCTGCTGCGTTCGTAGAGGGCCAAACACGCACTTGACGTAAGGGTCCGATGAGAAAGGCATTGACACGTTGCAGATGCGAACGGCTCGGGGAAGCCGTGCTCACAGAGCCTGTGAGCCACTGCAAACGGCGCTGGGTGGCATCTTTGGAAAGACGTGTGCGATGTGCTGTCATGGCTGCTTGGGCATCTGCGGCGGCCTGTCCTACGCCAATCAAGTGGCGGTGCTCGTCAAAAGAGGCTGCCAGCACAGCAACGGCCAAGGCACCACTGAGTTGGCTGCCATCTGTGCAGCACACTAAGATGCCACGAGGTGATGGGCGCTGTGCTTCGCGCCAAAGCGTGTCCGTGATCATATCGACGACGTGTGGCAATGCTTGCGTGAACGCATGCAATCCACGTTTAGACGGCTCTAGCCCCAGTCCTAAAATGCCTGATCCCTCTGATGGAGGCTTCGCAGCATGAACAATAAGGGCATACGCTTCTCGTTCGTCCTTGGAAAAAGTATGACTCGTAGGCACCGCTTGGATATATAGAGGGGTCTCTTGGATTCGGGTGACATGACATTCGCCTTCAAGCCAAGCGACTTTGCCAACTTGGGCACGTTCCTCGGCCACCAGATGAGCAATAATCTCTATACGTTCCTCGCGCGTCAAGCTCGAATCCAATAGCGTGCGTCGGTGCCGCCAGTATAGGGCCGGTGTGAGGCCTTCTGCCCATGCTTCGTGATCATCGCCTGCGCCTTGGACATAGGTGGCACTGGGCCAGTGAAAGTCAGAAACAGAAAGGGGGGATACACTGACCAGCACGACATGGTGTTGTGTCGCATGGGGCAACGTAGGTATCTCAGGTGCATGAGCGAATACAGGGCAAAGGGGTTTGGTCAAGTGAGGGACGGCAATATCTGATGCACACAGCTTATCGACCCATTGAGGGATACGTGCCTCGATCTGCGCACGTTCGCTCTCCGATACGGCATCGCTAGGGACGTGCAACGGCGGCACTTCTGTGGGTGATCCATGCAAACGATGGGAGGCATGATTAACGACGCAGCACCATATCGGTACTGTTTTAGACAGAGCGTCTGGGTATCGTTTTCCGCGGCGCGTGGAATCAACTAGGATGCACCCGGTGAAATCTTGAGTGTGCTCGATGAGAGGAAGAAGATGCATATTGGCGCGCTTGAGACTAAAATCCCAATGATGCATGTGCCCATCCGTGGACTTGAAGTACGATGTGCCTTTCAGCAACGATGGATCTGTGTACCAGGCACCGCATCGAAGATTGGCTGTTGCGTGAGAGGCATGCTCACGTACCTATCAGCGGCAAAGGGTAACATGCATTGGCCACTTCTTCGACGTAGGAGGCATCCTAGATGGTCAGTGACATGGAGGCAAACCTACATGTGCAATGCTAGCAAGTCGGCTCCATGTATCTTTGGTTTCACGCCGAAGCACTTTGAGGGCAGCACGTTCTTCTGCCTGGGCCGAGCCGATCGACTGCATTCGAAAGAGTCGTAGAACAAGTCGTAGGTGGAGTACAACATCTACGTGGAGCAGAATTGGCCCGATCAGCTGCAGGCGCAATTTAGTTGCAGCCCGATGTAACCCCTTACAAGTTGCATAGGTTGCGTAGAGAGCCACCCGTGCATAGCCCTATGAGTACATTGTGTGTTCATTTCTCTCAACAACGATGGGGTTGCCAGGTGTCACGGTGGATGAGGGCTCCTTGGTATTAATTGCCCTCATCGCAGCCTTACTCGTATATGCTAAGGTGCAACAGTACCTGAATACACCTGCGCTGAATCCGTTGATTCTTCAGCGGCAATCGGAGGCCTCGGCTGTGCATCTGCCGCGTGAGTCGCCAGTCTACCGAAATGTGAATGCACAGATCGGATTTGACTTGGCTATGCGTCCCAAGCGCTCTGTTCCGACGGTAGCAGCGCTCCTTGCGCGTGGTGCCACAGGGAAGGAGCTGTCGCATACTCGTCATGTCCTGGATAGCTCGCTCAGCAACAGTGAGGTTAGAGCACAGGCTGTAGACTTTATGAATGGTGTATGCACGTTGCTCAAGACAGACTCACCGGTTATTGTGGTGTGTGGCCTTCTGCATACGTCGCACTCGCTTATCGCTTTGGTGGCTTCGTCGGTTTGTGGAAAGGGGCGTACGTTGGTCATCCCCCCTGGCCAGGCGCCTACATCGCTGCCCCAGGACATCGATCTGGCCAAGACCGCTGTGGTGTGCATCGACACACCTCTGCTCCCAATTCTTAAGGGAGCTGGCTTGGTTGTGGCGCGAGCCAATGGTGAGATCCAGCAGACGGTGGTGGAATGGGACGACGTGACAGGTGCATCGACTCAGCATGACGTGCCAGAGGTGCCGGAGGTCACTGGTCTTCAGAGCTACGACTTGGATATGATGGGAGCCGAGATGTTCGCGACGTTTTGGGATGGGCGCAGTGCGTGGGTCGACACGACACAGACATCCATGACGTCTGGTGTGACGGCCTGGTTGAGTGAGTACCCGGCGCATGACATTCCTACTATGAACGATGTAATGCTGAGTGATGCGATGTGGGCACGCTCTGTGCCTGCCCCTGCCTACGTCTCGTTGCTGCTCACGGCCCTATACACGGGGGCAGGCATTGCGGTGGAACCATCGACGCAATTGGTATCGCGCGTGCGGTCTCTGCGTCCTACACTGTTATACCTCAGCACGTACGGTGCGCAGAGCATTGAACAGAGTCTCTGGATTCCCTCCACAGGCTCGATCTTTCATGCACTGATGCGTCGTATCAATATGGATTTGCTGCGCAGCGGAATTTTGCCCAAGGGACGTATCCTGGACCGGTTGGTATGCCGTGATTTGCGTGTGCGTCTCGGTCTGGAAGATGTTCGGGCGGCTGTGCTGGTAGGCAACGGACATGCAGCAGAGCAGTCACTACTTGATGGGCTACGTCTGTACCTCGGTGTGCCGGTAATGCATGCGTACCTGCCAGAACATATGGCGTCCAATGGTCACGCGTCGTTGGTCACAGCACCTGTCTCTACGTCCAATATGCTTGACCTGCAAGTGTTTGCGCCCCAGGCGGTGGATGACAGCTCCGGAAAGTGCGTTGGTGCGCAGGTGGGCCCCCCATCTGTGTCTCTGGAACTTAAGCTCGTGGATGACACGCCGGCCGTCAAGAAGCATGCGGCGGCGATCGAGATGCTGCGTAAAGACTCGCCAGACGACCCTATGGGCGAAGTGTATATTCGTGGCTACACTCTCACTGCCACGGGTCATGACAATACGACGATTTCGCCATGGCATGCGACAGGCGATGTAGCAATGATGCGTTCCAACGGTACGTTGGTAATCATTGCCCCGAGCTCAGCGGAGGAGGCAGGTATGCTTCCCAACACGATTTCCGCGACGGATGCGAGTGAGCGCTTGGCCCAGCGTCTCAAGTCGAGTGCGACCAAGGTCAAAGCTGCGACGCCGGCTATGCTTAGTATGCTTTTGTTGCTGTGTGCAACGCCAAGTGTGCAAGCGTACTCGTCGCCTATGCATCACCATGCTGCCATGCTTACGCGCCGCGCGAACTCGGGTGACGCACCGGCTACGAACATGACGATGATTAATATTGCTATCAGTGGTCTTGAGACATCGCAGCGTGCGTCGTGGGAGCAGGGTGCTATGCAATCTGCGATAATTGAGTTTTACTACCCGATCTGGAGTGTCTTTGCAAAGAAGGACAAGGGCGTGTACCCCGATGCGAACTCGCTGAGCTTGAGTGACCACCCTGTGGACCTTGTGCGTCTTGCGAGCCAGAGTGTATCTGGGCAGGATCGTTCGGGTCGTTTGGCTAGTGAGATTACCGGTGATGAGCAGATGGGCCAAGGTGCGTCGATGGATTCGTCAAGCTGTGGTGAGGGTGTGTTGATCGGTGCCTGGGTCAACAACGAGATTCAGAACAACGCACTGAACCCCAATGGCTTCTTTAGCGGTGCGGCAGAAAGGCAGTTGAACTACTTGCTCACCAATGTATCGCGTGCAGGCAATGGAGCCATCAGCCAGCGTGCTGCGCTGAATGACGTGCAGCTGTGGTCCGATTCGGCATACATGGGTCCCCCCTTCTTTGCCTTGTATGGCCTGTTGTCGAACAACCAGAGCCTGGTCCAGCTTGGGTACGATCAGCTGCGACTGCAGCGCAATGCGTTGCGTCGTGCTGAGGGTGGCGGTTTGAACTTGTGGCAGCACATTGTGCAGTTGGTCGCTCGCCCGCCCAATGCGCCGCCACGCCCTGTGGATCCGCGTGCTTGGCTTACAGGCAATGGCTGGGCTGCCTCTGGGTTGCTGCGTGTCGCTGCGATTATTCGCGAGAGTCCGTGGGCGGAGGCTATGACGACACAGTACAATGACCTCATTGCGTGGGCGGACGAAATCATAGAGGCGGCCTATGGCTATGCGGACCGCAACACTGGCCTGCTGTACAATGAAGTGGACAACTCGACGTCGTTTTTCGATGCAAGTGGCTCGGCTCTCATGTCATACGCGACGTTCCGTCTGGGCAGCATGGAGCCAGGTCGTCGTGCGCACATTGACACCGCGGAAAATGCGTACAAGACGCTGTCCACTGCGCTGGATCCGGCTAGCTCGTTTACCAATGGCATCCAGACTGTGAATGAGCTCTCGTCCGGGGCGCCTGGCCCGACTTCGACAGAGAGTCTTGCCTTCATGGTTCTGATGTCGGCGGCTCGTCGTGACTATTATGCGGGCAACACGACCGGCGCCAACGGCACCATCAAAGCGCCCACAACCTCGACGGACAATGGCGCGCTGGGCGGCCTCGCTTCGTCGTCGGCTATGATGTCATGGGCATTGGCCATGGCTTCGGCGCTAGCACTGACGTGGATCATGTAAGGAAAATCGAACGGTTCGGGACATAGCCATTTGTTTTGTATGTAAGATGGGATTCATTCAAAAGACGATTTTAAAAACTATTTTGGCGAAGTTGCTTGTCGCCACAAAGAGAATGACAACATAAGGAGCATGGGATGATGATGGTGGCTAGACTTTTTCATCTACGAAAAAGTGTGCCTATAAATCACCGTAGTCTCACGACTTACAGATGCGAGAACAAGCCCTGGGCCTGGAGCTTGTCCGTCAGCACCTTCTTGACGTGGTCAATGAACTCGAACGTGTTCACGTAGTCCGAGCGCTTCATGTTCTTGCCGTGAATCGAGAGGGCCAGGTCCTTGGTCATGACGTTGTCCACGTCAATGCTGTGCACACAAGCCTCCTCGAGCGCCTTGGCAAAGGTGATCAGGTCCTGGTTGCCGTCCAGCTTGCCACGGAAGATCAGACCACGAGTCCAGGCGTAGATCGAGGCCACCGAGTTGGTGCTGGTCTCGTTGCCCTTCTGGTGCTCACGGTAGTGACGCGTCACAGTGCCGTGGGCAGCCTCGCTCTCGATCATGTCACCGTCAGGCGTGATCAGCTCCGAGGTCATCATACCGAGCGAGCCAAAGCCCTGCGCAAGCACATCCGACTGGACGTCACCGTCGTAGTTCTTGCAGGCCCAGACGAAGCCACCGTCACCCTTGATGGCCTGGGCCACCATGTCGTCGATAAGACGGTGCTCGTACCAGATACCGAGCTTCTCAAACTCAGGCTTGTACTGGTTGTCGTACAGCTCCTGGAAGATATCCTTGAACTTGCCGTCGTAGGCCTTCAGAATCGTGTTCTTGGTGCTCATGTACAGCGGCATCTTCTTGTCAATGGCCATGCGGAAGCAGGCGTGCGCAAAGCCAGCGATCGAGTCTGTGGTGTTGTACATGGCCATGGCCACACCACCGTGCTCAGGGAAGTCGTACACGTCGATGCTGATCTTCTCAGCATTCGCGTCCTCCGGCGTGAACGAGATAGTGAGCTTACCCTTACCAGGAACAACAAAGTCCCGGCAGCGGTACTGGTCACCGAAAGCGTGACGACCAATGCAGATCGGCTTGGTCCAGCCAGGCACCGGGCGCGGGACCTTCTCGAGGATAATCGGCTCACGGAACACGGTACCACCGAGAATGTTGCGGATCGTACCGTTCGGCGAGAGCCACATCTTCTTAAGGTTGAACTCCTTCACACGAGCCTCATCAGGCGTGATGGTGGCGCACTTGACACCGACCTTGTACTTCTTAATGGCCTCAGCGGCATCGGCAGTCACCTTGTCATCGGTCTAGAAGTTAGTAAAGTCACAAACTTCATACATACAGCATCACGGTGCTCGATGCCCAAGTCGTAGTACTTCAGGTCGACATCGAGGAAAGGAAGAATCAGCTGTCATATAAGTCGAGCCCAATATACATACATCCTCACGGATCTTCTTCCAGATGATACGGGTCATCTCATCACCGTCAAGCTCAACCACAGGGTTGGCCACCTTGATCTTCGAAGCTGCCAGAATAAGCGCCAAGTCTCAGATACGTACCAGACATGGAGGTAGAAAAGGTAGCAGTAAGGTTTTTGGTAGGAAGGTTAAATGCAAAAGACGGAGCGAAGCGACGAGTATACGATGCTGATGCTCCAGTCAAACGATGGAACATATGCGAAGGCAAGTTGCAGTCAGGTGGAACGCCCAAAAAAATTCACTAGGCGACAACTTGCGCCAACGCCTTGGTTTGTCCAGTCCCCGAGCGCCAGCAAAAGCATCCCTCAAATTTGGGTTTGTGCATGCTCTTGGCACGTGCCATTTGGTAAACCCTACAAATCCGATCTATGTCATAAACCGTAAGCCTCCGCGGCTTGTTCTAATTTGTTATACACGAGGCTGTAACAATGTGAGTGGGCGCTCTCCCATGCGTTATACGTACAATACAAGAGCTGAAAACTGTCAGCAAAATATCACAATGATACGTACCACTGCTCGGAGCACTCCGTAAACATGTGACACCCACACCTGCGTAGAGACCGCGTAGGCCACGCGTAGCATAGATGCGTCGGAATGTAGTCCAGAAACCTGATGGGGTTGATGGGGCCTTGCCGGCATGTGCTAAGAGCTCCTGCTCCGTCTGCATAGTAGACTTGACACTGTCCGCTGGGAAAAGGCTTACGTTGTACAGAACACCAGCCATGGCACCGCTTGTAGCCAACTCAAGGCTTCCAAGGTCCGATTTGGTCAGTAGCTTGTCAGGCGTAGATTGCTGGCGCCATTGTAGAAATTTGCGCGTAGCCACTTCAAACGTCAAGAACCAAGCCACACCACCACCAACCTCTCGTAACAGCGTACCAGACAAACCATGCCATAGGCCAAGCACACCAGATTGTCGTACAGTCTCAGAGATTAGTGTGGTAGCATTGGGAGGAGGCAGGGTCGACGAAGCGCCCATACGCTGCACTTGCATTTTACACTTGATGAGTTCCACAGGCGTGAGCACCAGCCCAGCCATGGCTCCTGACGCCGCTGCCGCAATAGCCAAGTCAGACATGGCAAGGGAGGACGCATCGCGGTAGCCATGCGCCCAGCAAAGGGCACTTTGCACTTGGTTGTATGTGAGAAAGAGCGCGGCATCTTCTAGTGTCGCACCCCAGAGAGGCATGGACACACCCTATGTTGTATAAGCCATGCAATGCAGCCTGCACGTACCCGAAAGAGACCGCGGACGCCTTCGTATCGAATGGTCTTTTGGAAGCAATCGAGCGCGCCAGTATAATGCGGCGCATCATGTGGCTGCGTCTGTAGTCGGACTTTTACCAAGTCGCTGCTGTAAGCCTGGATGATGAAGTAACGCACAAAGGATGCTCAATGATCTTGCTGATCATGCCAGCAAACTGCGATCCACATGAGACTACCACTGCAAGGTACGTACCGAGCCAAACATGATATCCTTGGTAGCACGATGTAACCGCTCTGCCCTTTCGGGCTCCACCACCAGCGGTGCCGCTGTGGATTGAGCAGACATCGGACGATCAGCAGATCTGTGCTCGATGACGCGTGGGCTTCACGAAGACCCTGCTGCACGCTTGGCTGTTCTCGAACGACGTCTCAAAAAAATGTGGAGCTCGGCCGACAAAGGCTCAAGTCCCGCCTGCCTACAGCAGCGGTGGCAGCGTCACATCGCACACAGACCCACTTGCTGTTCTGAGTTGGGACTCGATACGTCATGCCTTCGCTCTTTGGGTATGCGATCGCCGCGCTGGCGGTGCCTACATGGGCGCTAGCGCAGACGACCCTTATGATGAGCTCTTGCGGGCATATAACAGGCAAACCTGTAGTGATTTCGGCGCCGGAAGCGCACCGCGTTCTCTCACACCATCTCCACGCTGCCGATGCGACGTGGATGGATGCTGAGCACACCATGGCAGAATCGCCAAACCTTTGGCACCATCTGTCAGGTGATGCTGTGAAATACGATGCCAAGATGCTCTTTGAGCCAGAAGATTCGCATGGCAATGTCGTTGTGGTCTTCCATGGCCTCCAGGGTGAAGAGAATTTGTTCCCGAGCACGCTCAAGGCTACCCACGAGATTCCTGCCCACCTGTCGCCTTCGAAGGAGAGCTTTGATGCGCTGGCATCGCTGTATGCGTCGTCTGTGAGTGGCGTGCAGTCAAGCTGGGCAGACTATGAAGAGAAGAGTGCCAGTGCGTTGGACCGCCTTCAGGCCGAGTTGGCGCACATCGCAAGCCTGGTGAGTGGCCCCGACATGGATTTGCAGGCCCTGGGCAGCGCACGTATTCAAGCTCTTGCGGATGTGAAGCGCGAGTTTGGAAGCGAAAGCAAGACATACAAGGCAGCGAAGGAGCAAGTGAAGAGCACGCTGGAAGCGCTACTCGAGCGCGTGGAACGCCTGAGTGGTGCCAAATTGGCGCTCATTCACACCAGTGAGAATGCTTCTACAACGCATGAGCGCCGGGCACAGGCACCACTCTCGCAGCAAGCTGACCTGTTGGAGCCGTTCATCGCGACCATGCCGACGTCGGCTTCCAACGACGACAAAGAGATGCCAATGGGCCAACTTCCGTCATGCCCAGCTTCGCGGGAAGAGCTGGAGAAGGCAACGAACAAATGCCATGGCCACGGCAAAGCGATTCAGAGCTCCAAGGGCGGTGAGATGTGCTGGCGGTGCCAGTGTGGCTCGACCCGGGAGAACGGCCGGACGACGAACTGGGCCGGTGCGGCGTGTGAGAAGCAAGATGTGTCGTCACAGACGCTTCTTGTGTTGGGCACAGTCGCTGTTCTATTCGTATCGATTGTGTGTAGCATTGCCTTGCTATACCGGGAGGGCACCCACGAGCTGCCAGGCACGCTCGCAAGTGTCTCTCTGCGCCCCACCTGATAGCGAACTGTCTCATAGATACATTACTACATGATGGATATGCTTAGTCATCGTGCGCGCAGCTGACCCGGTCGTCGACAAGGGCCGAAGATAGTTCTTTTTTCCTGCTGTGGGTGTGGAAACCCCCTCCTTGGCGGCGTATGGAAGACGAAAGCCTGGATACTATCGGTGTATGTAGCTCTGAAGACCGTGGGAGACTGTCATCGACACTAGGCTGGCTCGATCCGCCTAGCCATCTCGAATTACTTCAGGTGTTTTATGTCTTGCGCCACGGCGAACGAACCCCCGTGCGTCGTCGCTTGACTACTGCAGAGCCACCGCTGCCCAAGCGATGGAACATGTGTCATACTTCGCACAAGTTCCGACAGGCTGTGTTGCGGCAATCAGAAGAGGACATGGACAGCGTGGAGCCTGGCCTCGCTCGAATCCAGCGACGCATTGAGTACGCCCCTCATGGCGAAAGTCCTCATGTCGGAAGCAGTGGCGATTGCTTGCTAGGCGAGCTCACAGATCGTGGACGTATGTCCATGCTCCGAATCGGCCAGGCGCTGCGGGCTCGGTACGTCGAGGCGGAGCATCTCTTGCCGTCGATCATGTCGGACGAGCATGCAAATCAAGTGTACTTCCGAAGCACCTATGTGAATCGAACCATGCAGAGCCTGGATCAGGTGATTGTGGGCTTGTTGGGCGACAAGGTGGGCCAGGAGGGTAGGTTCACACCCAAGGTACTGCTTCGAGATCCGTTCCAGGAAGATCTCGTGCCCAATTCTCGTACCTGCCCGCAGTTGGCGGCGCTGATGACCAAGTTTGAGAAGGCAGCAGCGCAATTCTATGACCCCAAGCTGGCAGCATTGGACAGTATTGTGGCGCCTATGGACCGTGGATTCTTGCCGCGCTTGGACCAAGGCCCAAAGCTTAGTGGACTCATTGATACCCTTCGTTCTGCGCTTGTGCATGGCATTTCTGTCCCACCTGAACTGCAAGAGCAATCCGTACAGCGTCTTATGGAGGACGCGGTGATTGCAGAGTGGTTTGGTGGGTATGAGTCGTCGGATCTAGAAGAGCGACGCAAGTTCCGCCGTATGGCCATGGGACCATTCCTCAGCAGTCTCTATGGCCAAATGGAACGGCGCGTGACGCTGGGCGATTGTGATCCTTTGCGGCTAGGTCTGTACTTGGGACACGACGTGACGCTAGTCGGACTCTTACATACGCTGGATGTATTCAATCGGAACTGGCCGGCGTTCTCCGCAGGCATTAGTTTCGAATTGTTCCGCGATAAGAATGCGTCTACAATAGCGCATCGCGACCAAATTTCGGACCACTATGTTCGTTGCCGGTATGGTGATGCAGAGCTTCATTTGCCAGGATGCAGTGCGGCCGGCAAGCATTTGCCAGGACACCCTGAATTTTGTACATTAGAAGCCTTTCGCGAAGTCGTGGTGGACCGATTGGAAAATCCGCAGGGACTAACATTGCAGGAAGAGTGCGGTGCATTTTAAGCACCATGTGTAAGAAAAGTGTACTATTATACAAGATGACCTGTCCCCTATGTTCTTCGTCGCATCCTCCAGCGACGTACTGTGTGGAGAGAGTGTGAAACAAGGAGTATCAGTCCCCCTCGTTTTTGTTGTCAGCATCCAGGAACCCGGCCTATTCATCGGTGTGACAATGCGTTTGCCTTACATTGTCTCATCTTCATGCATGGCCCAGAAGAACCAGACGGTGTCACTTTGCTGGCATGGAGCGCATGTTTCAATGGCGCAAGGATATGTTGGCCATATAACCTCTAACAACCTGTTCGTTTAGTACACGCCTGTTGATACGACAGAAGAATGTATAGCATTTCTTTAGCGCCGAACATGGGCCAGTATTCGTCCACGAAGTGAAGCTGTGTTTGCTCGTTGCATTGCCAGAGCAAAAAGTCACTCAGTCGGGATACATGCGACGTGCGCACAAGAATGTCGATGGGGACGTCTGTTGGTACCATTAGATGAGACGCCAGCGTCTCTTGGGTGATAGGGCGGCTTTCTTGGGCAGCATCCGAGGCAGCGCAGCTGATCTCATGCTGTGCGGCATAGGGCATGCAGATATTCAGTGTGGGCCCTGTATTGTCTCGCGTCGCATCTTCGACGCGCTTTGCTGTTTCCTGGACAGCTGCAGGTAGAAGATCGCGCTGTCCGACTATACGAATTCGTAGTGAATATCGTGCCACAAACTCTCCTTCGTGATACAGCTCCAGTAGACGTGTGCGGGCTAATTCCATCAGCGCGTCCACTTCGGATGCATCCCGCTTAAAATTATCAATCGCGAAAGCATATACGGTGACAATCTCGATCCGTTTGAGCGAAAGACATAGGTCCAGGACGCGCTTTAGCGTTTCAAAGCCAATATGGTGACCCTCCTGGACACGTAGCCCATTGGCTCGAGACCAGCGCCGATTTCCATCCATGATAAAGGCCATGTGCCGTGGTAGAGGGCCTAGTGAAAGAGATTGGATGGCTATCCGCAACACAGTGTCGCAGCAAGCCTCCCATACCGCCGATAGCTTGAACGCAAGCGTGCTAGGCACACTATGTTGTGGGGCTGTATTCTCGACGCTATAGCCACCAAGCACCCTGTGCCGTAGCTCTTGTTCGGATACAGGTTTATCAGCCTTTTGTTTAGGCGGATCGACGAAGCAAGTCGCGCCATCCACCATCCCCTAGCACCTTCCAACTACAAAAAAAAACGAAAGCAAACTCAAGACCAGTCAATACCTTCGTTGTGGAGGTGCGAATCTATAGGGCTATGTAGCTGCCTCCTTTCGGCGCTTTTTCGTACTGTCCTTCCCTGAGGTATCGGAGGAGCGCTTGCGCTTCGACTTGTTCGTAAGGGTATCCGTGGGCTCTTCAGACGACTTTTGTGCCTTTTTCTCTTTCTTCTTCTTCCTGTCCTTCTTGTCTTTCTTCTTGCGTTTCTCCTCCTTACTCGACTTGCTCGGCTTCTTTTCGTCCCGCTGCTTAGCCTTTTTCTTGTCAGACGATTTAGATTTCTTCTTCTTGGTAGATGCAGCAGTATCAGTGTCGACTTCCTTTACGATTGCTGATGTGCGAGTGTCGTCAATCGAGCCAGGGGCCTGCTGCGTCGTCTCAGTTGTGGTAGCAGTACATGTAATCGAGACAACGTTGGTCTCTTCGTCCATCTCTTCTGTAAGAGACATGCTTGAAACTACTTCGCCGCGAATAAAGTTGCTCATCAGCATACGTCGTGCGTGCTCTTGCTTTGCTAGCGTGGAAAGAGCTCGCCGTGGTACATTGGAATTAGTAGGTGTAGTCTCCTTTTTCGCCGCGGGGCCTATTGCAAGAGCTTTCGCACCGGCCTATATTGTGTTGGTGTGTATTGTCAGATACGTACCGCAAAGATATCGTCCCACCACTCGACGGCGCGATCACGATTTTGACCCACGCCGCCCAAGTTTCGTTTCTGCGGGATGATGATCGGCTTTCGAAGTCCCCTTCCTCGTTCACCGTCTAGGGGTGTACCGTGCCCGCTCCATCCCTGCTTTGTCAGGTACTCTGATGTATTCAGAGGCATCGGTGTACGGGTCGAAAGGCACAGACAAAAAAACCTGCAGAGCTGTCCAAAATTTTGGATTAGCTTGCCACGTGGAGAAAGGGGCCCATTTTCGCTGTACGTCAGGCTAGAGACCATTACCAACACCTACCGACATAGTGCCAAGATGGTGGGGCACAAGGTGGGCCTTCAAGCGGCGAGCACGGTAAGCAGGTCCATACGTACTCGACCCACACATATATACCCAAGTCTGCTACAGCATGGATGCACCGTCCGTGTCGCGCCCACGGCCCTGCCATTCTATACGCATACCCTTTCCCGCCAGTTCCTGACTCTTCCTAATTTACTGGGTCAAGGAAACAACAATACGCCACGACAGTTCAAAGAGACAGTCATACTTCCGTATGTACACTGATATACGATTGACCATGACCAGCTACTCAGCTGAGGAGCTGTACGACATTGTCTCTGATGTGGACTCCTACAATCAATTTGTCCCATACTGCACAGGCTCTCGCGTCCTTGGGCCATCCAAAAGTTCCGAAGCGCGAAGGAACGACCAGGGCGCATCAAAAATAGTGGATGCCGAGCTGACGATTGGCTTCTCGGCTCTCCGTGAAAGCTACGTAAGTGAAGTATCGATGCGGCCGAATGAATGGGTATTGGTACGTCTACGAAAAAGAAGGTATCCTAATCTACAGGCCAAGGCCAAGCCATCGCCCTTGTTCCAGGAACTTCGCACTGCATGGCGCTTCCGACCTCTTCCTGCGAGCCCATCGGCGTCCTTCCCTCGTACAGAGGTGAATTTCACCCTCTCTTTTGCATTCTCCAACCCCCTCTATGCCACTATTGCAGGGCAAGTCTTTGAAAAGCTGTCGGGCAGCATGATAGACGCGTTCCGCACGCGTTCTGAGAGCGTGTATGGCCGCCGTCGATAGAGTGCCGATAGAGGATGAACAAGCCAATCACATTAAGCCATTGTAGTGCCTCTGTAGATTCACGTGTCGTTTGACTTTTATGCACCTGTGCACACGTTATGGCGCAAGTCGCTTCCGTTTAGATTCACCACTATGCCTCGCGGATACGCCATTGAGGATACTAAGAACTGGACAGACTTCAAAGTCATCGACTTTGAACTGAAGGTAGGTGCTATAGCGACTTACGACGCAGACACCTGGCGACGTTGACGTTGATATTGCTATCACGCACTGTGGTATCTGTGGCTCGGACCTGCACACGATCTCAGGCGGCTGGTACGTGCTTGGCGAATGCTTACCGATAGGGGCCCTCTCAATGTACCAGCCGTGATCCCCGGTCACGAAATCGTGGGCAAAGTAACAAGTACGTGATACAATGCTGACGCATGCGAAGAGGTGGGCAAAAACGTGAAGGACATCAAGGTGGGCGACCGTGTCGGCGTGGGTGCGCAAGTAGGCTCGTGCAACAACTGCCACCCATGCAAGACCGACAACGAGAACTACTGCATCGGTGATGGCACTGGTTATATGGTGGACACATACAACTGCAAGTGGCCCGATGGCAGCATTGCGCAGGGCGGCTACTCGTCCAACATCCGTGTCCCTGAGGGCTTTGTATTCCCGATCCCTGACGCCATCAAGTCTGAGCATGCTGCGCCAATGATGTGCGCTGGTCTGACTCTGTACAGCCCACTCTACCGCAACAACGTCGGCCCTGGTATGCGTGTCGGCATTGTGGGCATTGGTGGTCTCGGTCACTTTGGTGTGATGTTCGCCAAGGCCATGGGTGCGGAGGTCATTGCGATCTCTCACTCTGCACGCAAGAAGGAGGATGCTCTGAAGATGGGCGCCACACACTTTGTGTCCACGAAGGAGGACCCTGAGTGGTTCAAGCAGTTTTCCAACAAGCCTCTGGATCTCATCATCAATACGGCGTCGTCGGCTTCTGTGGATCTCAAGGGCATGCTATCTTGCCTGAAGACAGGTGGCCGCCTCGTGTGTGTTGGTATGCCGGAAGATGAGATCAAGCTGCGCGTACAGGATCTCGCTATGCGTGGGGCCCTGCTGGGTAGCAGTCATATTGGTAGCAAGGTGGAGGCTCTCAGCATGCTGAAGCTAGCGGCTGAAAAGAAGGTGGAGCCCTGGATTGAGCTCTACGAAATGAAGGACTGCTCTGAGGCAGTGGCTCGCGTTGCCAAGGGTGATGGTGCGTACATCTCTACTGACATTTCAGTTCGTTATCGCTTTGTCCTGCAGCAGGATCTGGAGAAGGAGGTCGCTTAGTCATACATAGGTCTCTGTAGAGAGCCGGTCCTCTCCGGCGAGTGTCGGCCGAAGGCACCGACGTTCGAGATCGCGAGCGTCGCTCCCTCGTTGCCCGAGGTTCTAGTCTGTGACTGCGACTTGATCATCATGTTCCGTGCTTCGCCTGCTACCATGGCTGCTTTCCGCGCGACCTCGCGCGCCGCTATCCAGAAGCCGGTGTTCCAGGCTCACGTCGGCCCTTAGTACGTATCTCTGTGACTGGGCGGATAGACTAACATGATGTAGCAATGCGCAGTACGCCTTCAAGTGCGTATCCTTGCTAATGCGATATACTAACCAGTTAGGTGGGTCCCCTCGCTCTTCTTCTGGGGTTTCACGGGTGGTGTTTTTGTGACACTTGCTCTTAGCGGTGTCCCGCTGTTCAAGAAGGATGTTCTGGTGAAGTCGCCGGTGGTATGTATACGCTAATCCATTGCTGGAGCGGTGGTACTAACAGTGCGCTCTTATTCACACGCTGTTTGGTATTTTGCTATGGTATGATGTTTTTTTTTTTAACTCGTCTGTGCCTATCTTCTTATCGCGTGCTTGCTGTACATTTTTTTCCTTTCGGCGTGGTGGTGGTACTTTTGGCATTTTGTATTTTAGGCTTTCTTCTACGAGGGTATGTGGTATATGCATGGGGTATTGACGCGTATACAGACAAGACACCCGACTGCGATAAGCCGTTCTAAACCCATAGTTTTTCTATGTCATGAATTAGATCGCCTACGCCAACACAATCCTCTTAAGCGAATTGATGGCCAGCCTCCATTTTGGGAGGCGAGAGGCGTGGCCTTTCGACGCCTTAAAATGTCCGAGTTGCATCATTCTGCGCAAGCCCCATTGGTCCACGCGGCTTTTCAACCCAAAAGATAGCACCGTCGGTTTAAATAAAATAGATGGTTGCCAAGCGTCCGCTTAGCGAATTGCTCACAATACTCGCCCCCCTTGGCTTGGCAGCACGTCACGGCACTGCCACTCGCTTCAGACAAACAGCTCCATATCTTCAGCGCAGTGCTTCGCTAGACCTTGCCCGTACCCTTACCTCTTCACAGCACATCATGCAGCCTTTCCGTGGAGCTGTTCCGGACTCTCTTTTGGACCGTAATGCGTCGTGGTCGCAAGACTTTGTCACACAGCAGCCAGAACTTGCCCAGGCCCTCCGTGAAGGACAGCATCCCAAAGTGTTTTGGATTGGCTGCAGTGATTCACGTGTGCCAGAGAGTGTCGTATGCAATGCCCGCCCTGGCGAGCTGTTCGTCTTTCGGAACGTTGCAAACCAGTTCCACACGCACGACGATAGTGCCGTGAGCGCGCTAACGTTCGCTGTCCAGGCCCTTGGAGTGGAGCACATTATTGTTGTGGGCCACACAAGTTGTGGTGGTGTATGCACGGCGATCAACCAGGTTGTCGAGGAGCAAGATGACAACTTTGAGCCTATGCCGACCTCCGCGCTCACTCGCCATCTCTCCCCCTTGTTTGAGCTGGCTAGGTACCTGCGTGTGCGTGTGCGTGAGCGTCATACCATGTCGGAGGAGGCGCTAAAGAGCCATATGCTTCCTATGTTGACCGAGGCTAGCGTGCGCAAGCAAATTGAAAACATTGTGAACCACCCGGTCGTGCAGGACAACTGGAACCAAAAGGTGTCTCCATTGAACGGCAAGGTCAACCCGCGCGTGACGATCCACGGGTGGATCCACAATATTCATAATGGTCGTCTGCTGGATCTTGACATTATGGTCCGCCCTCCGCCCCTGGAAGGCGAGAAAGACTCGAGGCCGAACGCGTAAGACCAGTGATTCTGCATATTTATACTGTATAGACTATAAATCGTTCCAACGAATGCCACCTCCCTTGCCGTATCGTGTGGGCTCCTCGAGCCATGCATTGGCCTTGGCAAAGTGGCCATTGCCTAGGAAGCCACGGTGTGCACTCAGTGGCGATGGATGCGGCGACTTGAGCAGCAGCACGTTGGGCGTTTTCTGCGAGGTCAGTCAGCGTTCTACCCACCTCTGTGATACCTGCGTCAGCCAGCGTCTTAGCTGCCGGCAAGCCCCATGCTAGGAAAACCACACCTTTGTGAGGCCCGCCGGCGGAGGCGCTCTGATCCTGTTTTTGGTGCGCAAACATCGAAGCTAGGGGTCCGCCGCCAGTCCCTGACGCTGCTTTGAGTACAGATTTCAAGATCTCTTTTGTAAAAGGCTCCCACCCGCGATTGTGATGCGATCCTGCCGCCCCTGCAGTGACCGTCTGTGGTAAGTACAGCGCTAACGTACCAAGCAAGCATTCAAGAGAAGCACACCCTGCCGAGCCCATCCATCGAGGCACCCATGCTTCGGTGCCACAAAGTCTGGGTACTCTGCCTTTAGCTCTTTGTAAATGTTTTGCAGACTTGCTGGCACGGCCTTCCCCATAGGGACGGAGAAGGAGAGGCCACAAGCTTGGCCAGGTTGATGGTATGGATCTTGCCCTACAATCACCACTTTGATGGTCTCAAGTGGTGTCATGCGCGACCAATTGTAAATGAGGTGGGGCGGTGGGTAGATGGTCTTACCGGCCTTTTTCTCCACGTCCAAAAACGCCTTGAGTTTTAAGAAAGAGTCCTGCCGCATCGCTGGCTCCAGCCGCTGGAACCACGCGGAATTCATTGTTGTGCGTTCCAGAAGCCATGGGTCGTCTTTCGTACCAGCGTATGGGTGCGTATATACAGGCACATCGGAGGATGCCGTCGGTTTCACCTTGGGTGCTAGCGTCGTCTGCTGCGGTGGGCGAGGTGAAGCGACGCGCGGCTTTTTTGCCTCGGTCTCTTCGACGGCCCGAATCAAATCATCCGCGCTGGTATCGAACTCGTCAAATTCGTCCGGACTGGGCGACCTGGCTCGTTTCGGGGCAGAGGGACTCGACATGGCACGTCGTCCTATCGGCCACGCTACGCGTCCTACGAGACGCATGCCAGGGGCGCGACGCGTCGCGGCTCGACCGCCGTCACCCTACACGTGACCTCAGATGGGGCGACGTGTGGTCCATGCGTCGGTACCTGGCTAGGGTCCATTACTATGCCTTCGCCGTGGGTGCCACTCGAGGCCAACCCAGCGCTATTTGCCGCCTGGTGCACTAAGCTGGGCCTGGACACGAGTCAATATACGTTCCACGATGTGTTTGGTCTGGATGATGAATTACTAGCTATGGTCCCTCAGCCTGCGGAGGCCGTGCTCCTTCTCTATCCGATTACGTCACGCAGCGAAGCACAGCGTGAGCAGGAAGATATGAATCCACCGATGCCAGTGGCCCATATGCTGTGGTTTCCTCAGACCATCGGCAATGCCTGTGGGACCATTGGCCTCCTGCATGCCATTGCCAATTCCCGGGCGTGGGACGCTGTCGGCGCAGACACGCCGCTGGCCAAACTGCTGACGCGTGCGCGCCATGTGGCCCCCGAGGAGCGCTCGCGTCTTTTAGAAGCGAGCCAGGAGCTCTCTACCGCGCATGCTGCTGTGGCAGAGCAAGGGCAGACAGAGGCGCCGGATGCGCAGGACGATGTGAATTTGCACTTCGTGGCGTTGGTACGTAGTCCTACTGGCCAACTTGTCGAATTGGACGGCCGACGTCGGGGGCCGTTGATCCGTGCGAACGATGTACCTGCTGATGGCCTACTGCCCGCTGCTGCGCACTTCATTCGTGCGCATTACATGGCGCAGGATCCTGAGCAGGTGCAATTCTCCATCGTGGCGTTGGGTCCGTCGATGTAGGTATGTAGAAAGCTATGTATGTGCACGTTCCAAGGCTCGCAGCATAGCCTGTGCCTCTTTGTCTGTCTGCCGCGCGTCGCGCAGCAGCTGGTGCGCAACGTACTGCAGAGCGGGGTGCCCGTTCCATGCCTGTGCCTCCAGACGACGCTGGACCTGTCGTGCCTGGTGACGTGCGTACAAAAGCCATTGCCGGCTTGCGATATGAGTGCCGCGCAGAGCAGGTTCGGTCCATGTAGGTACATAGGCCGATGGATGTGCATCGCAGTACGGATCACGTCGTACCCAGCGCCAGAGCGAACGAAGACGTGACGAGGCCGTGTGCTGCGATAATGCGTACTGTGTCTCTGCCAAATGCATAGCTGTGAGTCCCTGCTTTTGCTGCGCCCAGAGCTGCTGGAGTTGGTACGCCGACGAGTTTGTCGTAGCGGCGGTCGTCTGCTTCTGCATCTGCTCGGCTAGGCGCCATGTCGCGAGCTGTGTCTGCCACGCTGAGGTCAAGTGGGAGGTAGCCTCATCGGGGGACTGCTGTGCCTGCTGTACATGCATCATAGCCGCGGCTTGCAACGTCGTCAGCGTGGATCGCTGTGCAATGGGCGACAGAGCCAGGTCCTTTTGCGCTAGGAGAGCATCGCGTGCGTCTGCGGTCGTGGTGTGCGCGCTGCTCTTCATAGCCCGATCCAGCCATGCCATCGCATCGTCCACATGGCCTTGCTGCCCACACTGCAGGCCTAGACGCTGCGCGACCCAGATCTGCAAAGGTCGATCCCCTGTGCCGCCTGTAGCATCGTACAGCTTTTCGTAGGCAAGCGAGGCAAAGTGCTGCGATGCTCGTGTCCCGATCCTCTCACGTACGTCGGCGAGCCACAATTCCAGCTGAATGGCTGTGGGATCCAACGGCGCGCTGTCTATCTGCGCCAGGTCTGGCACGGCGATCCGGCGCTTGTCAGCGACATGCAGCGCAGAGAGCAGGAACTGCTCGGCCATACGCCAGCCTTGGTTCTCATGCATCTTCGACATGTCCACCTGGTGACGCCCAAACACCACCGAAGGTGTAATGCCACCGCCCCAATGCTCCGCCATCCAGGCGCTGCGCACCATATGGCGTCCAAAGATACCGAGACGTCGATCGGTATGGGGCATGACAAGCCTGTTTTGCAGACGCATATCCTGATCAAAGCCCAAAAGATCCATGGCGGCGGCGCTCTCTGTCGAGGGCCCGGTGACTGCCGCCGTCGCGGCAGCGTTGGGCATCGCGACGTATTCGACGTACTGATGCATGCCTTCCCACACGCCCAGCGCTATTCCGCCGACGGCTAGAACTGAGCCTAGGAGGATTCGCGTAATGCGCGAGACAAGGACCAACGTCTCGACGACAGGCTCTGACATGATTTTCGATGCGTAGGACAGGTACGATTCACGCGATGACGTCGCGGCCGTCCTGGCATACACGCGTAGCGGGCCCACAGGTACGGGGTGCCGCAGGCCGTTGTACGCAGGCCCAAGCGACCTAGTCGCATACGGGAGCCGCCTACTGGCGGCGTACATCCTAGCCCACATCCCCAAGGCACCGACCGAGGACGAAGCACCAAATCGCAAGGCAGCGTAAGTCAGTCAGCCACGTGCGTAGAGCGGCGGCGGCGGAGGCCACGCCGGGCGACTGGGCTCCCTCGGTCACTCGGTTGTGGAACGCACACGAGTTTTCTGCCGCGTCATGTCCCTGTTCAAAAAACTGGACCCCAAAGCTGATCTCGGCACACCGTCGTCGCTCAAGTCGTCGATCCAGCGTGGTATCCGCACGAAGCTGCTGGAGCAGTATGCGACGACGTTGGGCGCCGACGATGGCGCCTTGCTCGAGAAGATCTGGCCGAAGAAGGAGTCGCTGACATCGGCCAAGTTCAAGTACGTGGAACGACGACTAACACCTTCCCAGGCGTGAGCACGTCCAACTTCTGCTCCTAAAAAATATGCCGCTGTTTTTCCAGCAGTACGATGGCCCATACCTGCCGACGCTGCAGCTGCTGCATCAGTACCCTATGCTGCTGCCTTCGATCCAAGTCGATCGCGGGGCGATCAAGTTCCTCCTCTCTGGCGCGAATGTCATGTCGCCTGGCCTCACGTCCGCTGGTGGCCACCTGCCAGACCCGTCGAAAGGCGAGACGCCCCTGCCCAAAGGCACGGCGGTGGCCATCAAAGCGCAGGGCAAGGAGTACGAAGTCGCGGTCGGTGTGCTGCAGCTCGATACAGAGGAGATTCGCGCAAAAGGCAAGGGCATTGCCGTCGACAATGTACACTACCTGGGCGACGATCTATGGGCGATCTGCGCCAAGGGCGGTCTCGCATGATATCTATACCCTTACGTCGCCTTGGCAAGAGGCAGGTCCAAGACACGAGCCACAATCGCGAATTCTGTGTGTTAGTCATAGTGTTTGTACGTACTCTCTGCCGCCTCTTCAATGCGTTTTTGCGTGCTCTTTCCTGCGCCATGCCCCGCCTGCAGCTCTACACGCAGCAGAATCGGGTTCGGGTTCTGGGCGAGTTGATGCTGCATTTCCGCCGCCATCTTGAACGAGTGCGCAGGCACCACGCGGTCGTCATGGTCGGCACATGCCAGGATCACAGCCGGGTACGTCTTGTCCGCGCGTACCGTGTGCAGTGGCGAGTACGTCATATTGTAGTCGAGCGCTTGGCCGTCTTCTTGCGGGTTGCCATAGTCGGCCGTCCAGGCTTTGCCGATCGTCCACAGCGGGAACTTGAGCATGTCATGCACACCCACGTCTGCAATCGCCGCACCGATACCGTGAGCGTCCGTGCACTGGTTGACGACGGCGCCGACACCCATACCGCCATTGCTTCCGCCGGCAATGGTAATGTGGCCCTTCTTCGCATACTTGTTCTCATGCAGCCACTGGCAGGCGCCTAGGACATCGTCGAAGACGTTTTGCTTGTGGAACAAACGTCCCGCATCGTGCCACTTGTCGCCGTACTCACCGCCGCCACGTGCATTGACGAACGCCAAGACGCCACGGTACGAGGCGACCCATGTCATCATCGAAGGAGAAAAGACCGCTGTGTGTGAGTTCGTCAGGTTGTACGTACGTGTCAGAGGGATGTTGAAGCCGCCATAGAAGTACACGTACGCCGGCGCCGTTCCATCGATCGGCATATCCTTGGGATGCGTGAGGAACATCGGGATCTTGGTCCCATCCTTGCTGGGGAAAAACACTTGCGTCGATACATAGTCGTCCGCGCGAATGCCTGCAACATGCGTCGTGGAAAACTCGGTCACAGACACAGGCGCCATCGCCTGCGAGCCGGACGCCGCCGCGCCCTCCCACGACACGCGGTCCACGCGGCCCGGGTTCACAAACGACACGGATGCCACGAACGACTCCTTGTGCTCTCGACGGCCTGTGATCTGCCCAATCGTACCGACCAAGTCCGGGAGAAGCCGCGTGATTTGCTGGCCCGAGTGCAAGTCATGCACCCACAACTCATCCTTGACATCGCGCGAGCACACCACGAGCAGCTTGTTGTGGTCAATGACCGTCGCTGTGGTCAAAATTGCATTCTTGTCCTCGGCGATCAGATCATGGAATGTGTGCACACCGCCTTGCAGCTGCGAGACGTGCTGAACACGCTGCGCCTGCGATGGATCCAAGTCAAAGTACACAATGCGGTAGTTCGGTGCATCCTTGTTGGTCAGCATATAGAAACGAAGGCCATCGTTCGCAAGGTAGTCCAACGCGAACTTGAACTCGGACGACAGTGGGATCCATGCCATGTCGCTGGATACGCCATGCTCCAACGACGTGATATAGTAGCGGTGCTTGTTGTCCGTGTCCTTCGAGTTGGACAGAATGCACCATTGACCATCGTCCGTCACGTCGCAGCTCCACATGGAGGAGCGCGTGACGGGATCCGAGTCGACCACCAGAATGTCCTCCGACTGCGGCGTGCCGAGGCGGTGGTAGTACAGCTGCGCATCCTGGTTCGCATCCGTCTCTGTTCCCTTGTCTTCCTGCTCGGTCGCAGGGAAGCGCTGGTAGAAGAAACCCTTGTCGTCATGCGTCCAGGTAATGCCGGAGAACTTGATGTGATCAAGCACATCTGGCAGACGGCCATCACCGCCTTCCGTCCCAGGTTGGCACGACGTCATCGGCGCACTGGTCTCACGCAGAAAGATCTTGAACCAGTCCGAGCCACTTCGCGAAATACCATAGGCTATGTACTTGCCCGAATGCGAGAAGGAGGTCCATGTGAGGGCCACGGTGCCGTCGTCGCTCAGCACATTGGTATCAAAGAACAACTCGCCCATCGGCTCCGTCGCTGCACTCTGCTGTGCCTTGTCGAGTTGCTCGCGCGTAGCACGATAGATCAGACTTTGCGGCGCCAGGCCCGAGTTGTACGAGTAGTAGTAACGACCGTCCGGCTTGAGCGACGGCGCACTGGTACGTGCATAGTCCCAGTTCTTTTGCAGACGCTGCTGCAGCGTCGTCTTGTCAGGGCACTCGGCGACAAACTTGGCCGTGTACGCCGCCTGAGCCTCTGTCCAGGCCTTGGTCTCAGGACTCTGTGACGGAGGGACTTCGAGCCAATCGTACGGTTCAGGTACCGTGACTTGGCCATGCTTCGCACTGGCATACGTCGTTGCTGCGTCGCTACGACGGGCGGCTGGGTACGGATTCGCAGAGGGTGTCCAGTTCATATTTCTTGTGTATACGTGGGGAAGTCGCGCTACAGATCGTCCTACACGAGTAAGAGACGACCGCCAGAGTGACATGCAGACTAGCAAGAGCCCACGCGCGGCTGCTGCGGTGGCTGGCGGGGCCGCGCGTCCCCACGCACCTCCACTTTGGGACCTCCCCTTCGCATCTACGTCACATGATATGCAGGCCTACGACGACCTCCTATGCAAAGCCATGGCCTGAGCGCTGCTTGCGTCGCTTGTGGCCCTTGTTGTGTTTTTTGCTGCTGCCCTGGCGAGCTGCTTCCATGCCCGGCGCTGCGTCATCCCCTGCTATCAAGCGGCCAATCGGCGGCATCCGCCGCCGGCCCTTGGTCATCATCCCGGTGGCCCCTGCGCCACCAAAGAACGCCTGGTCCACGTACTGACTCTTGGACTGCGTCGCTGTCACAGGAAGTGTACGAACATCGCTGGGCACCGTCATAGGCGCATTCGGGCGATGCTCGGGTAGCTCGGCGCGAAGACGTGCACGCTGTCCAGCATTGAACTCGTCGGCGTCTACACCCGGCGGGGGGTGGGCATAGAGCAGGCGGGCATTGATATAGTCTTTCAACACGTAGCGTGCAGCACGCGACTCATCCGGGTTGCCTTGGCCTTGGCGGACCAAGCCACGGGCAACGGCATACGCGGCCAACACTTCTAAGCCGGTCGGCACACCATTGCCGCCTTCTTCGACACTGAGCGTTGGAATATCGATGTTGTATGTCCGCGACAGAATATCTTTCGGGATCCGCTGTGCGACAAGTTCGGCGGGCGCCGTGTACTCGCGCATTTGATCGATCGGCAGGATACCATCGCAAACCAAGTCTGCTGGCGACGTGGAGAACTGGGGGAATACAAGACCGGGACAATCGCAAATGATGGTCGTGGGACTCAAATGAATGGTCTGGAAATGCTTGGTCTTACCGGGCGTCGCACTTACCGATACTTTCTTTTCACCGAGCAACGCATTGATGGTCGACGACTTACCGACGTTAGGGTACCCCACAAAGCCCACAGTGAGCTTCTCCGGGACGCCATCGTTGGGCAGCGATGGGTCGTCCCGACGGAACAACGTCAAGTCCGGTGCACACTGCAAGAATAAGCGCTCCAATTCGAGGACATTGAGAATGCGCGCTGGATCCGCGTCGAGCGAGAGCTGCTGCTCCATCGCGTCGGCCGCCTTGTCTGCATCGGCCGCCTCGTTTGCATCGGCCGCCTCGTCTGCGTCGGCCGCCTCGTCTGCATCGGCCGCCTCGTCTGCGTCGGCCGCCTCGTCTGCGTCGGCCGCCTCGTCTGCGACGTCCTCGTCGTCCGCCACATCCTCTGCATCCTCGTCGTCTTTCACACGGGCCGCCTCAAACTGCGCTTCACGCTGCGCTTTGGCCAATTGCCGAGCGGTTTCGTCCGCCGCACTGAAAAATGCAAAAGTAACATTCTGTTGCTGGAAGTACTTGGCCCAGGCCAAGCGTTGCTGCTCATCCAGGAGGTCGGCTTTGTTGATCAGCAACAACGTCTTACGCGGCCCACGGTACGTCGCCAGCTCCTCTTCCGAGAGCGAGGCCAAGTCCACTGGGTTCGCTGGGACGCTGTGCACGTAGTTTTCCAAGTCTTCGCAGCGGAATCGCAGAGGATTACGTGCATCGACGATTTGTACAAGGAGCTGACTACGCTCAATTACACGCCATAGTTGTCGCCACACTTCCAAATTGCGCTCGAACGGCGTAAGAACGAGACCGACACCTTCCTGCAGCTCAGCGAGGCCACGACGCCACTCCAGGAACGAGTCCTTTTCGGCCCGTTCTAGCTGTGTAGGCGTAGTGCTGGCATCCCACACCGGACGACGAGGTACACGCAGCCGGTCCTTGTTTTCGCGGTGGTTTGCCAAGACGTCTTTCTCTTCTTGCGCGGTGAGCAGGTAGGGGTTGTGCCGCGTCCGTGAGAGATGCGGCGCGTCGATCACCTTAATATTGCGCCGCTCCGCGGTAAAGTCGGCATCGGCCATCTGTGCCGTGTTTAAAAACTCGTCCAATGCGCCTTCATGCGTCACCGACTGCAGCTTGGTCCACTTGGGCTGTCCAACGTGTGTGTCGGTCGTATGAAACTCTGAGTGGTTCTTACGGTGCGCCTCTTTGGCCTTACGGTTCAAGATCGCATGACCTAGGCCTACGCGATTCTTTGATTGAGGTAGAGGCATCGTCCAATAGCGTACCTACGCAAGAAGGCAGGTTGCGTGGCCCTGACACCTCGCCTCTTTTTTTTTACGCCACGGCAGTGGCACACCACACTCGATCACGTGTGGAGGAAGGCACACAAAAAAAAGCTGCGTGGCCGCGAGCGAGCCACATTGACCAGGGTCGCTTGCTTGCCCATCCATCGCATTTCCTTGGCATGGCTGGCGACAACTTGGCGCATGTGCGTCTCTTGACGCTCTTGAATGTCAAGGCAACGCACCCACGCACTGAAGATGAAGGCTCGTTGGGGTCGGCTAAGCGTACTCGTGTGGTGTCTGTCGCACCCACCGCCAAAGCGTCTGCGTCACCGAAAAAGGCACAGCGTGACGAGACAGACCCCCCGTCCCACTCGCTGGAAGAGGTCGTAGTAGCGAAGGAGGAAGATGATGATGATGAGGAAGCGATGGCCACGTCTTCGTCGGAGAAGGATGCATTTCACTGGCACTTTGGTGCCGAGGCGGAGGCCTTGGAAGGGGTGGACTTGGCCCATGTCACATACGAGTCGGCACGTCCTCTCTCGATCCTGGAAGGCGCTTCTATGGAGCAAGTCGTACGTACGTCAACGCCTGCTGCGCAGCCTGTCTCGCGTCCTCATGCACGCATTTGGCAAGCGTTCACATCGCACTACAAAAAGAGCCCTACGATACTGCAGAAAGAAGTGCTGCCGATTGTTGGCGCGTATATGGACTTGTGGCACTCACGTGTGACCATCTCGGAGCATACACCACTTCGACAGCTCCTAGCGATGCATGCTATGAGCCATGTGGCCAAGACGCGACAGCGGATTCTTAAGGACAACGAGCGTTTGGCTAAGGCAGCTGCGCGAGCCCAAAAGGAGCAAGACGAGGAGGACGATGAGGAAGAGCTTCCTGAGCTGCGTGACCAGGGCTTTACACGGCCCAAGGTCCTGCTTCTCGCGCCGTTCCGCCACAGTGCCAAGGTATGGATGGATGCGCTGATGGCTGTGTCCGCATGCGAGCAAGTCGAGCAGAAAGCGCGATTCTCCAAAGAATTCTCCCTTCCGCCCGGCTCGATTGATAAGCTGTCGGATCCCACGACAGCGCACCGATACCCAGAGGACCACCGCCATACGTTCCAAGGCAACATTGACGACAATTTCAAGCTCGGCGTAAAGTTGACGCGCAAGACATTGAAACTGTACAGCCCCTTTTACGATAGTGATATCCTTGTGGCCAGTCCTCTAGGACTGCGTTTGCTTATGGAGAAGGAACATACATGGGACTATTTGTCGTCGGTTGAAGTCTTGCTGGTCGACCAAATGGATGTGATGCTGATGCAGAATTGGGATCATGTGAAGTTTGTGATGGAGCGTCTGAATGCGATTCCCAAGGAAGCGCACAATACCGACTTTTCGCGTGTCAAGCCATGGTACCTCGATGGTCATGCGCCACTGCTACGTCAAACCATTCTTCTCTCCTCGTTTGATGCGCCTGAGTTCCGTCAGCTCTTCCATGCGCAACACAATGTTGGTGGGCGTGTACGCACATCGATGCTGCGTCCTAATGATGTGCCGACGATGTCAAGCGTCGCGCCTGGTATACGTCAAACCTTCTACAAGTTTGACAGCGCGAACGCCCAGGGCGAAGCGGATTTGCGTCTGCAAGCATTCCAGCAGAAGATTTTGCCTCTCCTTCAAAAATCTGCTGTGAGTTCGACGCATACAATGATTGTTGTTCCATCGTACTTCGACTTTGTGCGTTTGGAAGATGCCTTCCGCCGTGCTGATCCACCTGTGTCTTACACGACCCTCTCTGAGTACTCCTCGAACAAGGACATTTCTCGGGCGCGTGAAGCGTTCTTTTCTGGCAAGAAAGGCTTTTTGCTGCTCACCGAGCGCTTCCACTTTTACCGCCGCTACCTGATTCGCGGCGCCTCGACTATCGTGTTTTACGCGCCGCCCGATCATGCACAGTACTATCCTGAGCTCATCAATGCCCCCCTCACACCACGTGACGGTGCAGCGGCCGCCATCGAGGCGGCGGATGTGCAAGTGCTGGCGCTCTATTCCAAGTACGACTTGCTTCGTCTAGAACGGATCGTAGGACGTGCGCAGGCGCGGAGTATGGTCACTGAAGGCCGTCCGCTCTGGCGCTTCGTGTAGAAACAGGGTATCTTTTCTCTATCGCTGGGCAGCATTGTGCTGCCATGCCGTAAATCGACTATACAAATCAGCGCACATTGTTGGCGCTGGCCACGCGGCGCATAGGTTCGAGACGAGATCTGCGTACGTTATATCGGGCACGGCCTCCGCCATCGCATTCCATACACAGGATAGAATGTTGTCGGCACACGCTTCGTACCGTGTGCCTTCGTCGTCTTTCCATGCCGGCGCATGCGGTCCCGTCAAGTGCACACCCCATCGGAGGGTACTGAGCGCTAGGGTATACAGCATGTGTACGATGCGCTGGCGCATGATGATCGTGTCTGGATGCATAGGCGCCCCTGCGTACGTCGGCGGCGTTCGCATCGCATTGGCAACAGCTTGCGTATGCGCTTCCAACACGTGAAGATAGGCACGAAGCATCGCTTGGTACCGCCATTGGTCATTGTCGAGAAGGTAAGAGGCTTGTTCCACTAACTGTAACATCGCCTGCGTCTCCACTAGACTCCATGGATCGTACGCACCCTGCTCGGCAAGGGCCGTAAGACGTGGGGCGACGGTATTGGCGACCAACGTCGAGAGTGCTTCCTCGTCACCGCCGCGGGGTAACGTCGCTCGGTCCATGTACGCCTGCAAAGCGTGCTCCCACGCAAACCCGTCCAGACCAGCAGGCGGGCCCAGCAGCCGTACTTCTTCGTCCTGTTGCGCACACCAACACGGATCCCATACCGCCATCTCGTACCGAGCCCAAAACTCCCATACGTTTGCTAGCGCCAAACCGCCCCACGCAAGATCGTACTCTTTCGTGAAGCGCTCGCGCCACGTATGAAAGCGCTCCACCAACGAGTCCGGCGTATCTGGAGCGGCTGGATCACGAAATGCCGCAGCTTGGACGTCAGCTAGGAGCTGCTGTTGCTGCTCAAGCACATCGGCCTTGGCTGCCAGGAAATCGCGGCGCTCCGTCTCCGTGAGCCACTGCGCACTGGTATCTTGTGGCTCATAAGCATGTCGACGCCGTTCTTCACGTCGTGGATCATTCCACGCTCCATTCGCATCCATGGGCCGCGGCTGTCTCGCTGACGCTGACGACGAGAGTATCACTTCCAACGACGCAGATGAAACGCCATAGACCAGCGCCATAGCATCTTCAAGTGCCAACCAACGAGCCCGCTGCCGCGTAAGCGTACGATCGACAAGCAGTGCCAAGGAATTGTGCTCTAACGTCTCCAGCATGGGGCTTTTTACGTCGAGGAACGTGGCCACCGTCTCGATGAAAGCTTCCATCTCCGTCATCCACGCGGCCTTGGTTTCGAGAGCCTCCACTTCTTCTTTCAGCGTCGTTTCCTCGGTCTCGATGGACTGCAATTCCTTCTCAGCCTGCTGCATCGTTGTCTCACGCTCGGTCGCACGCTCGCTCAGTGTTGTTAGCCGTGCTTGGATGCGTGCCAAGCATGAGGTAGGCGTAGGCAACGCTGCGACCATTGGCACTGGCGCTGAAGGCCGTGATGAACGCTTGGTGTCATCGTTGTCCGCTGTCGTAGTATCAAGCCCCATACGCTGCAGCTGAGCGCGTTCCCATGCATCGTGCGCCTCTGCCTCTTCCTGATCCTCCTCCATAGCGTCTGCCATAGCTGGGAGGGCATCTGCCTGCATAGCAAACGCATCTTCTTCGTAAATACGCGTCGATTTGGACGTAGGTGTAGCTGTGAGTCCAGGCGCTAGCTTCGTCGTAGGCCGAGGGCGCCGCACGACAATGGCAATATCATCTTCCTCCTCCTCCTTGCCTTCCACAGCGTCGATCAGCGTGCGCATCTGCCGTCGCCGCTCCATCTTGCGCTGGCGTTCGGCTTGCCGGCCAAGAGGGATGCGTTCTGTGGCTTCCGTGTACGCTGCATGCTCGTCTTCGCCCAGTCCAATTTCATCTTCCTCTCTTGGGAGACGAGACGACGGATGCGGACCTGCCTCATACGAGGTAGTTTGAGTAAGAGCCCCACGAGGCTGTACATGCGTCACGTCGAGAGATACAAAATCATCTTCGGTGGGTTCTTGGACGCTTGTTAGCAAGGCAGCACGTTGTTCACGACTACGCCGCTTCTTACGAAAGAGGCTGGAATCTGGCGTAGCAATGGAAGAGGATGTGTGCGCCTGTTGATCTCCATACCGCTGCTGCAGCTGCTCGCGCCACGAGCGCTCTTCCATATGGTCGACCGATCGATATCTCGTGTCGTTCCTCCACATTGACCGACCAAGACCCTCCCCCGATCCTGCACGTGATAGAACTTACATAGTCCGAGATGGAAGTTGACGGCCACCGAATTCCTGCTTCTCCTGCATTCAGGGGTGCATCTGCACGCCAGCTGCATACGTCATGCAGCTACATATGCGCTAAAGTGCCCAGGTCCGATGCGCATGAAATTATGACCGCAGCCGGAAGCCCCTTACTGTATATTCGATAGAGCTTGCTCCCGGGGATCCTCTCTATTGACGTACACTATGGTTCGTGGTCTGTCGATGCCCAAGGGCAACAAGTATGTATCTGCATGCCGGGCATGGTCTTCTAACACCGCAGGTCAACTACGGCTTTGGCAGTCGTCGGCCTCGCCGAGGCACTCCTCGTGATCGGCTGGTTCACAGCTTTTATCTCTCAGTGTGTGGCTGAATCGAATGGTCTCCTTCGCCCTGGTATCCGCCACCCGTGGTTCACCATTTGGGTGGAGCTCTTCCTGATGGTGGCGATTGGTGTTTCGCTGGTGATCGAGGCGCGCCTCAACCTTCTCATCATTGCTCTTACGGTGATTGGTGTTTCGATGTCGGTACTGGCTGTCGACATTACGATCTACTCGGACTATGGCAGCTTGGAGGGTATGGCCGCAGGCTACCTCATCATGGCGATTGCTAACCTGCTTATTCTGATCTACTACTGCATTGTCCACGACAATGGCCACGGTGGCTTTGAGGACAAGGGCTCGCCCTTCAACCACACCACCGTTGTCTCGAACACCAACGGCCCTGCTGGTGGTGTGATTGGCTCGTTCCCTGGTAGCGGTCTTCGCAACCGTTTCAGCATGGGCAAGAACCCGATGAAGAAGAGCGGCCAGCCTGAGGGCGTCAGCAACGTCGGTATGGGTTCGGGTGTCTCGTCGGGCGTCGTTGCTCCTACCACTGGTACGGGTGCTGGTCTTACTTCGGGCGTGAGCAACCAGGCGGTGGACATGTCGTCGAACCGCCAGGCCTACACCCAGCCTGAGGAGGTGGCCATTGGTGTGCCTAACAGCACCAGCACCTCAAACGCCGCTTCCATGCCAACTCAGGCTGTCCACTCCACGGAGCCAACGCAGGAGGTGCCGTACGGTGCTGGCAACGATATGACCACGTCCGGCTCGTCGTACCCACCGACATACATGAACACGCAGAACAGCGGTAACTTGGCCCCTCCGATCACTTCGGCGATGGGCTCTGAGACTACTGCTGCTACGACGGGTGCCGCTACTGGTGCCGCCGCTGGTGCCGGTGCTGGCATGGCTGGCGGCGCTACCGCGGTCGCTATGGAGGGTGTGCAGCGTGCTGAGGCCCTATACTCGTACAAGGCCAACGCTGACGACCCGACCGAAATCTCTTTCAACAAGGGCGATATCCTCCAGATTGTGGACAGCTCGGGCAAGTGGTGGCAAGCTCAGCGCCCGAACGGTGAGCTTGGTATTGTGCCGAGCAACTACCTTCGTATGCTGTAATGATGATTCTACCTTGTCATGGACTATGTAATGGTCTCTCTTTTTCTGGTCGCTTTATTCCCGTTCTTCCTGCCTTATGATTGTGTCATCTTGTTCATCGTTAACACCGTCTCTCTATTGATATACGCCCTGCACGAGCAAAGCGTCATTTTTTTCTGACACATCAAGGCGTAAACAAACGTTTGCCGTACGGATGGATGGTCTTTTATAATCTTCATACAGATCATACAGGCTCTCGTATAGCGTAGAGTAGTAGCGGTAGTATTTTTAAGCGGTATGATGCGGACGTATACGAAAGACAAGGCGATATAGCCCGCTCGTACAGCGTCCTTTGTACCAATTGATACGCCATGGACTATGTACTCCAACATTTTGCATTCGTTCAAAACTTCTTTGAGCGGTTCGATTCAATAGCGTACGTCTCGTGAGCTAAATACACATAACCACTGTCTATGCAGCGCCATGCAGCGTGCTCAAATTAGTGGTGGTCCTCGGTACCAAGGTACTCGAGCTCGTACACTGTCGGTCAGTATGCTTATCAACATAGCAACATACCATTACCACATCGCGGGCACCGGCCCTGCTTCCTGTCGATCGAGAGAGTGAGCCACACAGCCTCGTGCGACTCCGCCGGGAAACCAGTGCAGCCAACAATCTGCTCAGTAGCCTATATTGATTAGACCGATCAAATACGTACCATGCTCTGCACCTTGATAGGGTTGGCCTTCGTGCCGAAACGCGAAGCGTCCAGCGGCTCCATGTTGAACACGTCAATACCCTGGAGCTTGCCCATCAGCTCAAAGCGCTCGAGACCAGTGCTCTGCTGCTCGTCCGAAGCGATCTCACCCGGCTTCGAGCCGTCACCCTGGATCAAGGGCTGGTGGTGCTCCGAGAAGCGGAGAGGCGTAGTAGCCAGCGAACGGACAGCCGTGCGCTGCGCAATAGCAGTGCGCAGAGGAGCGCGGAAGGTCTGTGTAAGGCTGCTGCGGAGGAACGACATTATCCTAATTCGGGTGATTCAGGATAAGAGGAGGAGTAGTGGCCGCCCGCTCCTCGCACCGTAAAAACCCAAAAAGCACGTGTTCTGCCCGTCCAAGGCCGCGTATTTACAATTTAATTCCATATTTGCCGTAGGGAGACTGGTGTCTCAATTCGTTTGCGCAACAGCTCCACTTCACAGCGTGCTTAGGCCAGCCTCGCTGCAAACTAAAGCGATGAAGAGCAAAGGCTCCCATGTAGCTCTGGTACAGGTGCGTTGCATGTTGCCTTTCTTACACACAGGCTACAAGTGCCTCTATCGTGCTTATCGTTTGGGGACTTGTTTTTTACCATGCAGGCAGTTGGCGTGTGGCCTTCCCCACATTGCACCACTTGTGTGTCTCGCTGGGCTTGTATTTGATTATTCAAGGTGTATTTGTCCTTCAGCCTACACGGACCCCAGAAGAAAAGGAGAGGGGGCTATTGTGGCATGAAATTTTTACACTTGGCCTGGGCCTCCCCTTAATGACCTACGGGGTCTGGGTCATGTGGGAAATGCATGACCGGCCAGGCTCCCAGCATTTTGTATCGTGGCATGGGACACTTGGCATATTTATTATCCTAGCACTTTGGCTTCAATCGATCTTTGGCATCATTATGCTTTGGGCCTACAAACCCTTTTTTGGGACCAAAGCGCGAGCTCAAGCCATGTGGAAATACCATCGGTATGTCCAAAGTAAAGTAACTCACACGCAGTATGAGCGGCTATACATTTATTGCTCTCATCACTACGGAGCTTCTTCTTGCTTTCTGGGAAGTAAAATGGATCTGGCGCGTGGCTACTGTGCCTCTGATGCTGTGTGCAACTATCCTAATCGTTCTCATGGCTTACGGCATGATCATGCGTATTCGTCCATCAAAGATGGGATTTTAATGTCCCACTATTCCATAGACATGTGCATTTTCGGGTATGACGATATAGACTATACACTAAGTCTCGTACAGGCATGTGCAGCCGTGCCATCAAAAGCCGCGGTGTTCTAGCCATGACTTGATCTCACGCGACAAATTCGTGCGCAGGAATACCGTCTTGGGGCCTGCACTCTTTGAAATACGTACTAGGATCTGCGAATACGGGTTGGCCTTGTCAAAGGGGTCGCCCCAGCCAAACTCTTCGAATATATCACGGCACAGGGCCTTTCTCATTAGTATTACATATCACATGGATACATACCGCTGCATCACCTTCCACCTTACGGATTTGCGTGAACCACTGAGACCCTCCGTGCCGAATATCCGTATACACAGGGAGGCTCAATCCACTCATACCAACGCGAGATACATAGTATGGGTAGCGGATTGCCGCTGGTGATGGTTGTGCCTCTTCGTTGGGTTCGGACGACGACACAGTGCTTTCGTGCCGAGCATGGATAAGTGTACTCAAGCGTACAGCAGGAAGCACACGAGCTCCCATACCCATGCGGGTCGGCGCAAGTGCGGTTATCCACATCTTCGCGACGTCTCTATGTCAAAAGGAGGTACGATGTTCTGAATCCACATCTGGCCAGGCTCCATCACGTGATCCCAATGCCGCCCCGAGCATTGAGCGACCCTTCGCGCCTTGGTGTGTCGAACGTACGTACCATTGCCAATATGTCGGAGCGCATTCGTGAGCTTGTGGATGAGCCAGTGTCTTTTCTGCGTGAGGGCATGCAGTTTATGAACCGCTGCACCAAGCCGGACCGTAAGGGTATGTTTACTTTTTGATATGGTAGAAGAGCGTGAACTAATACTGTTCAGAGTTCATCCAGATCTGCCGCGCCGTAGGCACTGGTTTCGTGGTTATGGGCTTCATTGGCTACCTTGTCAAGCTCATTCATATCCCCATTAACAACATTGTTCGTATTCACTGCCTATTTTTGCGTTCCTTATGCTAACATCGTTCCTCTCCTCTGTCCCTGCATGGATTGATTATATCTACAGCTTGTGTACGTATCTTTGTTGAAACAAACTGACATCCTAGTGGTGGTGCTTAATCTCATTTGATACGTGTGGGGATCTAGAGTGGTGACTCACTACCACGAGTACATTTACCTTCTTAACACTATCTCTGTACCATTTTTGCTCTGTCTGCGACAGGGTACCGTAGAAGGTGTTGCTATTGCATCTTTGTCTCTATGGTAAACGTAATGTACAAGGAATAAAAACTCTGCTTTGCAACTGAAATTGTGACATCTCTGTATCAGCGACCTTTTATAGATCCGAGGCTGACATGATCGACAAGCCCACTCTAGACAACGCACAAGCTATGAGCAATAAGCACACAATAAATAAATCATGGAATGCGCTTAGCGCAAGTGATATTCCTTTTGGTTAGGGTAGCAAGGGCTACAGATGCGACGCCACAGCGATGTACAACTACATTGTATGCATCTGTCACCAGACAAGACACAGACACCAAGAAATCTGCGCCACAAAAAGGGGCAGTAACACAACTTACGCCTTCAGGACGTAGCGACGAGTGCCGAAGTGAACATCCTTCTTGTGCTGGCGCTCAGTCTTGGCCTTACGCTCGTGCTTGGTCAGCTTGCGGCGGAGAGCACGGGTCTTCTTGGCACGGAGGTCAAGAGGCAGGTGCTTCTTGTTCTTGTAGAGCTCACGCAGGTTAGCACGCTGCTTGAGGTTGATCACAGTCAGAACGCGAGCAATGTTCTTGCGCACAGTGTTACTGTAAGGTTAGATTTGCTTCTCATGAGCGATTATACGTACATGCGCACGAGCTTGCTCGAAGCACCACCAGCGACCTTCTGGACGCGGAGCTGGAGCAGCTCCTTTTGGAGCTCCTCGACCTGGTTCAGCAGGTCCGTCTTGGACTTGTTCTGGAGATCGTGAGTGCGGACCTTGGCCTGGTAGAGTTAGCATGTCTGTTCTGTGCGAGAGCGCCTGTCGTCCATGAACAACGACTGGACCACCTGGATATCATTACAGATACGTCACCAAGCAGTCCTGATTTGCCGTTCTTGTATCCAGGGGACCTGAAAACATACCATAATGACGACACTCAAAAAGAGGTTTGTGTGGTGAGGACCAAGACGCTGGGCGGACGGACTAGGTATCGGACTTCTTCCTCAGCACGTGATCTACACCAAAACTAGGTAGTGGGCACGTGATTAATATGTGAAGGTGGAGAGCTTTAGTGGAGGCAGACATTTATGCAGTGCGATGCAGGTTCAAAGAAAGTACGGCGCTATGCGCCACGAGTTTGTACGGCTATGGGACGTGTGGCCATCGTCTGCGTGGTGGGCAAACGACGACGCCCAGGTGGCACGTACTTTACCACCGAGGGAACACTATGTGATGCAATGATTTGACAGGAATCCATCTTGGCCACATGAGCTGTAGGTCCGTAGACAGTAGGTTTCGCGTATTGCCCCACAACAGCTCCTTTCCACTGGGACAGGATTTGAGCTTTACCAGCGGGAGACGCATGGGCCAGTTGCGATTGAAGGATGTTGTAGGAGCCATTCTTATTACTAGGTGGAATTGTTTTTCGAATGGTACTAGGTGGGGTTTGAGGCTGATGCGGGATTTGCATAGGTTGCACTGGCTGCAGTGGCAGGGCCACTGAAGAAGGCTGCGGTACGCCTTTGCGAGGTGGTGAAACCTTGGACGTCACAGCTGCATGGGGCACCCGAACCTGTGGAACATGGTGTGTCATATCGTTCAAAGGTAGGGGCTTCATCACTTCCTTCTTTCGCTGAGCCACCTGAAGAGCTCGACCAGGGGCGAGTTCGAAAGGCGGTGGCACCAGGTTTGGTGAAGGCGGTGTTTCTATCACCTCACTGGACGTTTTATGGGACTTGAGGCGAATCCCTGTAAGTTTGGATCCATTAGTCCATTCATGCTCGTCCATGCGAGGTGTAGGCGGTGTTACGACAAATTCAAATGTACTGCGTTCCGTAGCAATCACACAATGCTGTGTACCGTGCATGGTTGGCGTGAATGTCATTTGATCCCTTGTACCGGTTATCTGATCCACCTGGCCATCCTGACTATGACGCCGCTTGGCTTGGGCTGTGAGTCCATGAAGCATAGTGATACCAGGTCGTATCTGAGGTTGCTGTTGCTGCTGCTGAACTTTGGCGTCCCATCGAGTCGAGTGTCCCAATGCATAAAAGAGGCGCTGTGCCGCTCGAGCACGGTCTTCTGACCTATTTTGCTGTGAAGTTGTTAGCTGGTCATTATTCGAAGCCTGTTGAAGAGGGCTGGGTGCGAGCGCCAATCCGTGGTTCGTTATCGGCACAGGTCGTGGCGGTGTGCTTGTATTGCATACACGAATGGTAGCGTCATTACGGGAGCAAGACCATTTTTCCTTACGCGTCATAGCTGTGCAAGGACGCTGTGGCAATGAGAGAGGAACACCATCGATAGAGTTATCCGCGACTGTCCATGCAGTAGAAGCCGAGGAGTGGTGAGCACTCGCATCATCACTATCACTATCCGAACTAGGCTCGGCGTCTGACAAGGGCTCTGTAGGCGTTTGCCAAATGGAGTTTTGAAAAGAAAGAGGGAAGAGTGTCTCGCGCTTTTTTGTCGGCGACATATCGCGCGTCGCGTTTGCAATCCAATTCATAGGGGAGGGGGAGGGGATAAGATTAATGAGGGAATGAGGCGAGGGGGTGAATCAAAAGGATGTGAGGAAGGGTGAGGGGTAAAGGAAAAGGTGAGGGGGGATATGGGGTAGGGGTACGACGGTGCTGAGTGAAAAGTTCTTGCAAACGTGGGTCCAGCCCACAAGACGAAGAACGTAAAGAAAAAAAAGGAGTGTGTAGCGCCTGGCTACAGTAAGGGGAAGGGAGGGGTAAGGGAGGGGGGAGGGGAGGGTGATGGCAAAGGCCGGAATGAGTCTTACTTCTTCGCCTATCTGCACATATATACGTCTTGAGCGGGCATGGGCCACATGTGCACCGACCGTCCACGCCTAGCTGCTAGGTGGATGTTGTCCGTGCGTCGCAGCTGCAGGTCGTGCGTAGAAGTTGGCTCATGCCACGTGGCTACATACATCCACCCGCTGCCATCCCTACCTTGCTTGCTGGGTGAGACGTGCTATGATGCTCTTTCATGTATTAGCGGTGTAGGCTACGTATATACGTAGCTTTGATCGCGCCCCACTTCCGTATCATGCCATATCTATGAACGACTCAAATGAAGGACGAACGCGACGGTATAAGTGTCTCCTGCGCTAGATACTTGTCGGCACCTGTTTCCGTGCTTTATCACGTACAGCAAACCAGGCGATCTGTGTAGCGGTCAAGGCTACCCACAGTCGGCAACGACGCCAGTTGGCCACCTTCCTGTCTGCGCCTAGGGCCCGGTTAAGATGGCCGGCCACCTTTGTTCCAGGTCGGCCGAGAGGTGTGGAAGCGAGGGTCTGGCCGTGCCCCTCGACCCCCCGCGCGCGCCAACGGACTGTCGAAAGCGAGGGCGAGGGGGCCTGTCTTTTTGTCAGTCTCGGCCGGTGCACTGAAAATTGGAAGCGCCCGTCGTACCCCTTCTCGGTACGACGTGCGTGTCTCCCGCATTTTGGCCAGGACCGCCTTGCTTTGCTAGCGGCCCCTCCTCCCCACGTCCTACCTTGGCAACGATGCGAAATATCAAATGTACGTATCTACAGGATCGATGGTACTAACATGGTAGGTGTGGTGGTCGGTGATGGTGCTGTCGGCAAGACGTGCTTGCTGATTTCGTACACGACCAATGCCTTCCCTGTATGTATTATCGCTGCATGGCAACTCATACGATGCTCAGAGTGAATATGTGCCGACTGTATTTGACAACTACACCGCCAATGTTATCGTCGATGGTGCACCTGTCAATCTGGGTATGTATTGTGCCTTGGATATGCGCTAACATGTAGGCCTGTGGGATACGGCTGGCCAAGAAGATTACGACCGTCTGCGTCCTCTGTCGTACCCCCAGACGGATGTGTTCCTGATCTGTTTCTCGATTGTGAGCCCATCGAGTTTTGAAAATGCCAAGACCAAGTGGTGGCCGGAGGTGTCGCACCACGCCCCGGATACCCCGATTATTCTTGTGGGCACGAAGCTGGACTTGCGAGAGGATCCTGAGATGAATGCGCGATTGCGGGAGCGACGGATGCAGCCGATCACCTACAGCCAAGCCGTACAGATGGCAAAGGAAATCCGCGCAGTAAAATACCTCGAGTGCTCGGCCCTCACGCAAAAGGGTCTCAAGGGCGTGTTTGACGAGGCCATTCGCTGTGTCCTGTCCCCCGCACCCAAGAAGCGACGAAAGGCGAACAACTGCCTTGTTTTGTAATATGGATACAAACAGTGTCTGTCTGCCTCGCGCATCTCACTGCTGTCTGATCACCCGCCTCACACTAGGCGTGCCTTTTCATCTGGAGGTGGTGTAGTCTACGACCCACCTTTGCTAATGCTTGATTTCTCATCTGTTCTCAAGACCACGTCTATATCCGTAGACTGGCTATAGTGCCTTGTAACGACATCCACTTTGACAGTGTAGGATAAAGGAGTGAAGTAAGTACATGGTTGGCCGGCTCGCCTATGGGCCCTATACCACAATAAAGTCGCCGCGGCAGCAGGAGCAAAACAGCAGGGCATCTTGCGAGAACTGATTGGGATGGGCACGATGCGCCTCATGCGCCTCATGGACGGCACTCGCGACGCGGCGGTGCGTCTGGTCTTGTACAATCGAAAGCGTACTAGTCGGTAATTGTGGCCCTGGCGGTCGTGATGTGGCGGCCTCGCCTTGCGTGTCGCTTGCAATGCGAGCACGCAGCATCTGCAGACTTGCATGCCGTCGATGCTCCTGCGCAGGTGGGATCACCTCGCCACGGCGCTGCCGTGCTACCTCGGTGGGCTGCCGCCGCGGAAGGAACTCACTGGGCTCTTGCTCGCTTAGCGGCGGGAGCAGAGGGGTCGTCGCAGACGTAGTCGCACTGCGCTTATGCACTCGCGGCAGGACTTTGGACGGCAAGCGAGCTGCCTCGGCTGTTGCTGCAGCCCGCTCCTGCCGCATCGCTGCCATCTTTTGGTCGTGGTCATGGACGAGTTGATCGAGTGTCGTCGCAAAGTCACGTTCCATCCGTGCTACTTGCTCCGTCAGCGCCTGAACGCGAGCACGCAATTGCGCATTCTCTTCCTCCAATTCGGCACAACGCACCTCCTTTGATGTGTCCGCAGGCTCTTCGGGAATAGGACTCATCTCGGTGCCAGGCATATCGTCATGCTCATGCACCGTCGTATCTGCCCCCGCCTCCGCTTCTGCCTTCGGCAGGGTCCAGGATGTAGGCCCTGCGTCCTCCTGCTCCATCCCTGGGAGTGCCTCTGACGCCTCTGGATCGTCCAAGGCAAAAGCCTCCGAGGTCGCTCCCGATGCCTCGAACAAGTTCTCAGCGGGCAATACCGCATCGTCGTGCGTCCTTTCTTGCGGAGGGGCATAGGGATCGGTAGTTGGAGCCGCCTCTTCCTCCACGGGCGGCACATCGTAGGTCATCGGAGCTGCTTCTGGCTCCACAGGCTCGGCCTCTTTCGTGGAGGCAGCGGCATCATACGCATAGGCTTCCTCCACAGGCTCAGCCTCTTCCGCGGGCGGCCCTTCATCATACGCATAGGCTTCGTCGACGAGCGCAGCCTCCTCTGCGGGCGGCCCGTCATCATACGTATAGGCTTGCTCCACAGACGCAGCCTCCTCTGTGGGCGGCGCGGCTTCGTAAGTATACTCTTCCTCAGTAGGGTAGGCATAGCCAGGATCTTCAGCGTCCGCCGGATACGCTTCGTACGCCGCAGGGTCATAGTCGTACTCGTGCCCTGCCTGGTCGTAGTACGCATCGTATTCAGATGGCTCTGTAAAGCCGTAGGCATTCGTCTCATCAAACCCTTGCTTGGGTGTATATTCGTACACAGTCGCATGCTCCGAATATGCCTCGTCCCCTGTATCAAACAAGGACGAGGCAGCTGGCTCTTCAGGTACCAAGTTCTCCGACGATTGCATGTGCATGTGCTTCTCAAAATCCTCGGCAAAGTTGTTAATCGAACTAGCTCGTTTCGGGCTGGGCGCATACAAATTCGTCATAAAGTGCGCTTGCGACGTATGCGCTCTTGTAGGCGTAGCTCCCAGCCACAGTACCGGATTTTCATCTGGCATTTCAGTCGCCGTCGATGTGGAAGGCGCCGCTGCCGAGGCGTCCTCGCCTACATCCCATTCGTATGTATCGGCTGAGAAAAGCTCGTTCGCCGCAGGTGCCTCGGTTTGTTCGTCCGTAGGAGGCTTAGGTGGTGCGGCCTGTGTAATTGCCACGGCAGGGACTGTGTCTGGGTCATCCGATGGATCGGCTGGATCGAGTTGGTCGAACGACCATGTCTCAGTGGTATGGGTGTCTTGGTACGATGACCATAGATCCGAGGCATAAGCCTGCGTGGATGGTTCATCCTCGGCTGTCGTCTCAGTTGGTGGGAGGGGTGGGACGTCATTGGCTTGCTCTGTTTCCGTCGCAGCGGGAGCAGAGACGACCGATGTCGCGGCCGTGGCTGCTGCTGCCGCCACCTCTTCTTCTTCGCGCTTACGACGCTGTGCCTCTCGATGACGACGTAGCTGTTTGCGCGCGCGTTCCGCTTTGGCAGCTCTCTCGTCCATCGTAGGTAAGGGCGGCGCGTCGATCTAGACCGTATGCAGCAGAAGCGACGCAGTGTCCGTCCGGCCACGTACTGTTGGTGAGATCCTCCACGTCGTGACGCGTGGGGAAGGGGCCTTCTCACGTGACATTTCGCCGCGAAGGTCTAGGTCCTTCGCCAGACGTCCTCAGGTTCGCCGTTCGTGGCTGGGCTACAGATCGCAGTTACGTGTGGGACGGATGCACCGAGCGGCACGGCTAGCATGCGCTAGCATGCACCGTGCTCCGTGGAGCGCGCGCCTACCTATTCACCGCGCAGCGTACAGCTCTATGACGATTCCTGACACGCCACAAATGCATCGTCGTGTCATGTACGAACCTGTTGCCTCGCTGGATCGAGGACCCAGTGCCCAGCTTATCCAGATGCTGGAATCATCGCAGAAGCTAGCACCTGATACACTTTGGGCACTGTATACACAGGCCATGAGCGAGGTGCCGCAAAAAATGGAGGATGGCTCCCTTCGTCAACCGCAACCCCTCGCGCCTACACACCATCAGCTGGTGCTCGAGTCGCTGCTTCCACCTCATACACCGCAGTACGAGGCGTACGAGGCGCAGCGACGTCGTACGGCACAGGCACGATACCAGGCGCATGTCGACGAGCAGGATGGCCGCGCGCTGGATTCAGAGGGTCCGGTGGATTTGTCCACGCCGCGATCGATGGCACCTGTGCCGCCGGTGCGTGGGATGGGCGGCCGAACGGCGCGTGTGTTTGCTCAGCGCGCGAGTCAGATCTTGCGGCATATCCCTATCGATCAACGGACTACCGAGCTGTACAACCGTGTCCTTGCCGTGCTATCGCACGGCGGTCGATACAAGTACATGCGCTCCCTATGGAACGATATGGTCAACGCGCGGGAGCAGGGATATACCAATGCAGCGCCCAACCAGGCGACCTGTCATCACATGATGATGGGGTTGGCACGGAACGTGGAGCAAAAACTCGCGCGTTTCCGGGCGATGTACCGCCATGAACTGTTAGCGCCCGTAAACCGTCGACCGACAGCCGTGCAGTCGGAAGAAGCAGCGGCGCATGTACAGGCCTCGGTCGACCAAGCAGCGAGCACTGTGCTCATGCTGCTGCGTGATATCCAGCGCCAGGGCACCCTGCCACGTGTACGTACGCTGGACGTGGCAGCTCGTCTGTTGCGTGCCACGGGTCAGCTCCCGCCGTTGCTCGAGCTGCTGCGGTACGGCTTTGGGATGGATTTGCAGCATCCAGATACAGAGGCACCGTCGTTGTGTGCGCCCACCACATATACACTCAATACGACGCTCATGGCGCTGGGTGAAATGGCACGTGCCTCGGATATGAGCATGGCCTATGAGGTCATGACACAGCGTCTGCCTACCGACAGTACGGTGGCCGTGGCCCCTGTGCTGCCGAACACCACGTCGTACAAGCTGATGATCCGGCATGCTGTGTCTGTCCCCAAAACGTTGCTGGTGTCCAAGGCGACGGTCGCTGCGCCACGTTCGTGGCTTGCGCGTCTCGTGGATGGGCCCCAAAGTACGCCAACGATCGGCATTCATACGCCCGCCCAGCGCGATGCAGAAATGCTAGCGCGCTGTCGTGGCGACTACTTATACCTTGCGCGTACGTACGTCAACGATGCGCTGGATACCTATGCGGCACAGCTGCAGCATTTGGCGGAGGGACTGCAAGTGTCTGTCCCCTTGGCCGTCTCGCAATCCATGGACGAGATTCATACGCGGGCTCATCAACGTCGGCAGGCAGCGGAGGAGGCCCACTTGGAGCGCCCGCTCCGTTCGAGTCGGCGTCTATGGAGTACGTACCATGCTGTGGATGCCGATATGCCTTCGCTTTTGGCTGCGTCCGAAGACGACGTGGACGCCACGCCGACGTCGGTGAGCCAGGGCCTGGTCTTTGTCCCGCCGCGCGTGCGTGTGACATGGACGATGTTGCGTCCCTTGCTGGATGCGGCCAAAGCACGCCGCTCGACGGGCCAGCTGCTATGGCTGCACCCACGAGCGGATCGAGCGGAAGCGTTGCTGGCGGCCGAGTACGATGTGCTTACACGCGCGCATGCCGCGATCGATCCGATGTATACCGACCTGTTGCAGTCCTTGCTTGCGCATCGCGACTATGTCAAGCTGCTTCTACAGGACATGTCATGGCTCTGCGACTCACGGCTGCCTGGCCGCGTGCATGGCTGGCGCATGGCGGAGCAGCATCGCAATGCCAAGCGGAACGAGCGAGCCGCAGCTAAGCAGCACGGTGTGTCGAAGAAAAAGCGGCGGGCCTCGTCGCTCACATCGTATACCTCAGAGGTGCACGTAGATTAGAGCGGTAGCCCACATACATCGCAGTCTGTATGACCAGGTGGATTGAGGAACGTGCAGTGAGGGCATGCGGTGCCTTGGCTCTCCGCGTGGGCGTCGCCGGACGCCGGCGGCTGTGTGCTCTCCGCGAGGCTCTGCGCCATAGCCGCTGTCATATCTGCGTCGTGCTCGTCGTTCGAGACGCGCGGTGCATGCTCGCGCGCAATGGCACACAGCGTTTGCCAGCCGGACGACGCAAGCAATTGATCCAATCGCGCACCCGTATCGTGATGGGTCGCGACGTCGCAGGCCCACTGCATTTCCTCGTCGGAGAGGAACCCACTTTGGCCCAGGAAGGCCAGGAGATGCCAATCGCTCAGCCACTGCATGAGATCGGTCCGCTGCGTGTCTGATTCAAGCGGAAGGAAGGCATGCATGGCACGCCACACATCGTCCAACGACTGGTCATGCAAACCTGGCCGATTTTCAATCGCAAACGCATGCGAGAGGAAGCGGGGAGAGGGGTCGGTGGGGAAGCCATGCGTACTGGTCGTCAGCAGGTACTCCACAGGGAAGGTCGGTGAGGCACGCTCCTTGACGTCGATGCCGTACTTGTTGGTATACCGATAGAACACATCAGGGACGTACCGCGTCGCGTCGTTCGGCTTCACACGGATAATCGTGGGGTGCACACTCGCCTCGATCATATCCGCTTCGACCATCCCCATTGCCTGCTCACTGACCTGGTACGCCGCCACATCAATCTCCCCTTCCGTGTTGCCCGACAGCACACACGTCACAAACTTGCTATTCCACACACCGCTCTTGCTCCAGCGGCAGGCACTGCGTCGCTGCGCTTGCCACTGGGCCGCAAAGAGCGCTTCCTGGCCACTGAGGAAAAAGCTATCGGCATGGCGCTTGCACGCGACCAGCCCCGCCTTGGTCGCATCGGTATGCGTCGGATCCGCTGCCTCCAGATCGGTGTAAATCATACCGACAATCTGCAAGCCACATCGCTGCGCAAGCGCGGTAATCCGATCTTGATCGTCCCACGGCCATCCCAACGTCAGGCCGTCCATCTCGCCCGCCTGTGGCGGCTCATGAATCGCTTCGACTACGGCCTTGATGCCCATGGGCACTTTGTCGTACGGCTCATAATGGCCCAGCAAGAACCCAAATCGCTGCATCGCCGTCTTTCGCCACGTTTCCAGCATATGGTCGATGAGCGATGGGTGCGCAAATTCAACATGGTCGACCATGCGGTACACCTGGCGCTGCAGCGTAATCGCCGAGGGTTGGCACTTGGTACAAATTCCCGCGGGCCATGGCGCATGGTGGCCGGACGGGCAAGGCGTGAGCACGCGGTAGTTGACTTCCTCCAGCGGTGGGATGTAGGTCGACGACGTCGACGCAGTGGACGTCGAGATGTTTTGTTGCCGTAAGTAGGCATGGAACGACAAGTGCTTGATATTGTGCTCTGCTTGGTAGCCAGCGTCGTACGGTTCCAATGGCATACAATAATCACACATCCCCTTTTCGCCATGCCGGCAGAACTGCGGATCACGCGCCCTTTGAATTAGGCCCCGCTGCTGGGCCCAGTAGGTATCCACGTCGTCCATACGCACAGATGACGTAGTAGGTGCCGTCGGCTGCGTCGGCTGGGCCGACGTGGCAGGCGACGCAGAAGCCCCCGCGCCAGTAGGCGTTTCGTACTCGGCATACAAAAGCTGGCCATGTCTGACGGTAAGTCAAGCACAGTAGGTACGTACGTAATCCCGAGTGCTTTCAGAGTCGAGCCCTGCAGCTGCGCGACGGATCGACCTTCGCCGCGTGGCGCATCTGCGAGCGCCAGCGTCGCTGGATCGGCCTCGATAGACGCCAGAAGGTGCTGTACAAGCACATCGACGGTATCGTTCTCATCGAGCGTATACCGAAACTGTCCATCCTTGCACCGAATACGCACAAGCTACGAGTAAGTGCGGCGGTAGGCGCCTACGTACCATGATGTTGGACGACAGACGACACGACACCCAGGACTACGCGTCCTGCCGCCACGACGGCGGCGGCGTCGCTGACTAATCCCTACGATGGATGTGGCTCGTGCGAATCTACTTGGACCATCCGCTACGGATGGCCTGGATCAGCCAGGCATTGAAGGCCGGCGTATTATCTAGGTACAAATGGTGGCCTGCCTTGTCGATCACATCGATATGGACATGACTGTTGCCTGCCTTTTGCAGGATGGTCTGGGCGGCTCGGCCGCCTCGCACATCCATCCAGTCATGCGAGCCGTAGGACATGAAGATCGGCATCTTCAAAGGCGCGACACGCTGCACCATGGGCCACCGAGCAAAGGCGCCAGGGGCTAGGATATCAGCCAGGCAGTGTTCACTGCTTGCCGTGTCGGTAAACACACCATGGCAATACGTATGCAGCGCCTTAATTTCGTCCGGCTCCAGCGACTGGAAACGACGGCGTGTATATCCACCCATCAGCCATGGACCCAAGATCGTGCTCATACGCACGATACCAAAGGGGCTGATATTGCGGTCCCATAACCATTGCGCTGTCTTCATCAGGACAGGGTTTAGAGGCGGCCGGCGCGCAGGCACACTACTGGGCGGCGCCTCGCCTTCCTTCACTCGGCGAATCTCATGGAGAAACTCGGGCAACGAGCCTTCCGGGATACCCACGGGGGACAGCAAAATCAAGTTGGCGATGCGCTCTGGATAATGCAAGGCATAGGCGAGCGACAGGTAGCCGCCGAGACTGTGGCCAATGAGCACCATCTTCTCGATCTTCATCTTCGTTCGCCACTGCTCCAAGGCGGTCAAGAAGAATGTTTCGGAGGCCTCAACACGCTCGCGTGTCTTGGGCGAATGCGGCATCACATACGACGGACGCGAGGAGCGGCCCATGCCAAGCCAGTCTAACGCGTACAAACGGGTATGCGGCATCGAGGCAATGGCCCCGACGTTGCGGAAGAAAAAGGCACTGCCAGCGCCATAGCCATGCACAAGCACCACAGGAATTTCGTCCTTGTCACGGTCCTCGTAGCGTTGCGGCGTACCGATTTCAAGCATGTTGATGTAACGTCTTGTTCGGCGGTACAGACGCGAGAACCAGCCCTTGCGCATCGCAGGGTCCTCGCCTATATCGACCATACGGATGCACCCAATTTTGCCGTCGGCTGCTGCGGTCGTAGCCACCGTCGCATACGTATTGCCAGGAGCCACGCTAGCTGGACGGCTGGACGGCGTCGTAGACGTACTCGTGGCCTGTTTATACGCCTCCACCATACCGTCTACGCCATCATCGTTAAGGTGCGCGGCATTGCTCAGCTTGGCGCCACGAAAGTAGCCAGAGTTTTGGTATAGGTGCAGCTCCGCTTCGGCTGTGTGACGTGGTGAATGATGCCACCATGACACAATCGAAGCGCGGATCGTCTCAGGGACAGGCCGAATGCTCTCCGGAAGCGGAAGGGGCATAGCATCATCCAGGATCGGCTCCATAGTGTCCATGATCGCTATACGCACGCCCGACCTAGTGCAGCAGCAAGGTCAAGGGACGACGCGCCGATCCGATTGAAATGCACACAGGTCCGCGGATTCACTCGCTCCTTCTCCTCCACATGGACCAAGCCACAGAGGCCTCGTTAGCGCGTGTGATTGCGGACGTTGAGGCCGAGCGCACGACCGCCGATGTATGTACGCCTTCCGTACTCATAAAAGCTCCTGCGGGATCAGGTAAAAGCCTTTGATCGGGCGCAGCGTATGGTAGCGATGCAGCTGGGGCAAGTACATACACTGCCGCCATCGCAGCTCGCTGCGCACCAAGCGGCTGTCGAGCGTAGCTTTGTCGATGTACGAACCTCGCTGGCCGCTTTGGCCAAACAGGTCCCTCATGGCGAAGTGTATAAGGTGTGTGCGCCTATGCAGGCTGACCGCAGTGGGCGGATGTATGGTCGTTTCCTATGCGCAATGCCGTGTACGCCGCAAGCTTGGCGTATTATCTAGGGGCTGGACGACTGCTCTCCAAAGAAGCAGCAGCGATAGTATTGGGCGGTATGTATACACAGCACTTATGCCAGTCGACATGCTGCCTGCCGATTGTATGCTCCTCACGACCGAAGACTACTTGCATGGCCTCATCTCGATGGTCAACGAACTACCGCGCCTAGCCATTCATGCGGTAACACATGGCGACTTTGACGCGCCTGTTCGCATTGCAGATATGGTGAAGCAGGTGCATGCTGCCTTCCAAGTCCTCAACCTGAAAAACGATGCGCTACGGAAGCGCTTCGACTCCCTCAAAGTACGTTTTGGCCTGCTTACCTGTACAGTATGATGTCAAACGTGTCGAAGAGATTTTGTACGATATCCGGCTGCGTGATCTACAGGGGCGCACTGATATGCCGCTGGGCCTGGCTGTGGTAGTCCCAGAGGCCGAGGCTGCCGCCCTGCTGCAGCGCCTCGCGGGCCGAGCTGCGTAGACACAGTCCAAAATGCTTATACACTACAAAGCGCGAATGCTAACCATGGAGTACAATAAAAAGGGCACATACATAACCCTCTCAGGCGTTATTCATTTGCGTTTCCATCGCCCTTGGACGATTGGTCATTCATTGGATAGGGCACCATATTTAAAAGCGAGCCACGGTGTTGCGGTGGCATAGATAGCGGGCCATTCGCGTCCATGAAAGACGCCGTATCCACACCGCCTCGCGACATGACAGGCCGTCCACCTCCCACCGGGGGAGGCCCAGCCGACATGCCGAGACCGGCACCAGGATGCATACGTGCATCCCCCATGGGCGCCGTAGGGAACGAGTACATACCAGAGCCCCATTCATTGGGCATCGGCGCCTTGGGCAGGCCTTTCAGCTGCGCTGGCGGCGCGCCCATACCCAGAGCTGGGTCCATGGCATCCATTCGTGGCCGCATATCTTGCTGCGAAGGCCGCAGAGGCATAAACGAGGCATTCGACTCGCTCATATTGACCCGTGGCGATACACCCGCGCCAGGGAAAGGCGCCGGCATCGCTGGCGCCGGCATAGCGTTGCGGATCGGCACGCTCGAGCTGCGATTCCGCATCATATCCGAGCGCGGTACAATATCGATCAGGAAATCAAACAAGTCAGAGCGCGCAATGGCGTTGGCAATGTCAGAGCGCTGGATCGTCCGACGCTTGTTTTCCTCCGCCACCATGAAGGCACGGCATGTCAGGTCGGCAATAAATACTACATGGTGAGCCCATACATATACATACTTTCACAGGCACGCGAGAACAGGATAGGCGCCTCGGCAGAAATCATCTTGACTTCATCGTCGTTTTTCATCACTTTTTTGATACGAGCGAGGGGCAGAGCACTGCTGTTGCCACTTGGATTCGTGCCTAGGTTGAAAAAGTCGATGGCCTTGCCGTCCGAATCAAATCCATTCTCGACCAAATCCATTTGATAGCGCCAGAAATACCGCTGGAACTGTGCAGGGTTGCGCGAGTATTGCTGGATCAACGAGCTTAGACGCGTCCCCGGAGCCATTGCGCCGTTCGAGTCCGGTACTAAGGCGCCATTCTCACTCTCGCCTAGCTTCTCATGCGCAGAAGGCGCTCCTGGCATAGGCATAGGTGGCTCTCCAACTGGGCGCATTCCGCCTTGGTTAGGCTGGTAGAACGACATGGGGTGTAACAGGGATACGTCCGAGACTGGTTACACGCAAGGAGTCTGGTACGAAACAAGTGAGTGCGCAATGGCCCTGGCTAGCAAGCAACGACCACGCTCGAACAACTTCGGATGGAAAGTGTCGACGTACTCTCGGCAGCCACTGTGTGGGCCCGATCGGATACTAACATGTTACATGCACCCAATAGGTACATGGATCAACAACACCTCCACCACCACGCTGCGCGATGGACCGCCCAGCGTGGATCGTGTGCTACAAGCCAGCCAGAAGCGAGAGACTGATTGGAAAAAGGGAAACTACATCTATGAAGATTCAGTAGGCTGCTCAATCTTTTGCAGGTGCGGGCCGATTAGCTGCCCCGTTAGTAGACCCGATCACAACACAGCGCATACCTTGGCCATCTCAAAAGAGCTAGAGAATGTTAGCCTGCCAGTCCCGCTTTATACGTACTCCACTGTCGACTTTCCGAACAAGCTCGTAAGCTTGGCATCACAGTTGATCTGGTCATGTTAGTGCATACGGACGTACCTGACGCTTGTTCGTCCCGTTCTGCAAGTTATGTTCCTTAATATACACCCACAATTGCTTCACAACAGCATAACGAGGCATTTCATTTCCGCCACAGACTTCCGACATCTCAGCAGACAAACGCAACGGGCGGTTGATAGGGCTGTTGGGGTTCGGAGCGCGCTTCTTCTTCGGCTCCCCATCCGCCTCTGTAGTGCTAGCACGCTTCTTGGACTTAGTAGCTTTCTTTGGCTCCTTCTCCTTTGCTGCAGACTTGGGTGCCTTCTTCTCCTTGGGCGCAGGCTTCTTGGACGTGTACTCATCATAGCACTGTCGGATGACCACATCCACAGCCTTCTTCTGTGCCGTCAAATCCAGGCCAGCTGGCAAGCTTCCCTCGGGAAGATCTGCAAGAGCAAGGCGAATCTTTTTCGCAGACACCGTAGACAAGTCGGCCTCCTTCAAGACTTCCAATATCCGCTCGCGTAGCACCGGCACAGCAGCCGCATCCAACTCAGCCATGGTAGATAGTGGAGGGAGTGGGGGAAACACAACACAGCTCCACCCCCGGACGTGCGCTTCCTCCACGGCCACGTGCATCCTTGCTCGCTATGCTGCCCAGTTCGTCGGTCTGGATGCAAATGTCTAGGGTATGGCGGTCAGAGATGCCCATCAACCCGCTCGTGAAGACTGCTTCCAATATGCTTCTGCCTCCTCTACAATTGTACCGCTCTCTGTTGCGTGCACACCGTTCTTTGCCACCGGAGATGCGAGCCTTGGGCGACGACTATGTGAAAGCCGAGTTCCGCCGCCACCAAAAGATTGACAATCCACTCCAGATTGTCGCATTCTGCAGTCAATGGAAGATGTACTTGGATTCGCTGCAAGCTGACAGCAAAAATCCTGACGGACTTCGTGGTATGAGCCTCGACCCAAGCTTGTTGGAGAAGTTCTCAGACGAACAGCTGTACCAACTCTATGAGCTCAAGTTGGCCACAGAGGAAGTATTCGATCCTGAGCGTGCCCAAGCGGCGCCGCCAGCTGATTATGATCCATCAAAAGCTTTCTAACTTTGAACTAGGCCTCCGGCCATGAAAGGATGGCCTGCGGTGCTTGCGTTTCGATGATCTGCCCTGGCGCCAGGCCCATTTCCACTTCTTCAAAGACAGCATTCTCCTTGACACGTGAAAACCCAAGCGTGCAAAAGAGCGCCAGAGATGGATCGTTGTCCATAGATATCCTAGCGAAAAGCCGGTTCATCGGCAGGGGGAATGGGTGCGTCGTCTCATCCGATGCCATGGGAGGCTCTGTGGTGATATAATGAAGGAGCATACGCAAGGCTTCACGTGCCAATCCTTGCCGACGCCAATGTGGCTCTGCAATCATAACTTCCAGTTCGCCCCATGTCGTAGACGGTGCGTCCATATCGTCTTCATCCTCGTACCGTTCAGATAAAAACACATTGACGTCGCCAGCCATTGAACAGGCACGAAGGAGTTCTGTGACGCTAGTTTCTTCACTCATGGCTCGCTCTTTGGCTAGGACAATAAACGTGAGTTCTTTCGCGTAAGCCAGATGGAATACGTACTATCTGCATCATCCCTCCAGCTCTGCTGCATCTCATATTCTTCTTCCAAACTTAGAGGCTCAGACGCGGTTTGCTGCTGCAAGGCAGGATCTTGCATCCATGTATGATAGGTAGGCACCTAGTGTCAGAAAGGGATGGGACGTACATGTTCACGCCTGTCTGGTAAGACGCCCGCTTATACGTACCGATAGGGAACAAGGACCACACGTTGCCCGACCAGGACAGTGGTTTTGTTCACACGCATGGTCCCTGCGTAGTAAAGAAGAGAAATACGACCCATTTCTGTGTACATATGCAGAAAACTCCACACGGTTTACCTGGCAAGAGGCATGGATATCGTAGCTACGGCCCTATCGCATCACGGTTGCTGGTTCACACCTAGCCTGGTTCTGTTAGTCATTGTCCATATACATACAGAATATTGCCGCTGCTAGAGGGCAGGTATGTCACATTCTTTGCCGAGCTCAGCGTCTTGGCGATCTGCTGAGCCGCCTCGATACGACGGACCGTCAGCAGACCATCACCAGCCTTGTCCAAAGCCTTCGTAATGAGCGCAGCACCCTCGGCTTCACCTTCCGAACGAATAACCGAGGCCTGGCGTTCCTGTTCAGCCTTCTCGACGACGAACTTGGCACGCTCAGCGTCCTGTTGCGCAATCTGTTTTTGTTCCACAGCCTTGGTAAACTCCTGACCAAAGGTAAGGTGCGTGATAGAGACATCCTCCAACACAATGTTGAACTCACGCGCGCGGTTCAACAAATCCTCACGAATGCGGGCACTGACCACTTCACGCTGGGTAATCAGCTCAGCTGCATCGAATTGCGCCACGGTAGCTTTCAAGACTTCGTTACCAATCGAGGGAAGTACACGTTCATCGTAGTCCAGACCCAGTGACTGGTAAATCTTAGGGAGATGGGAGACATCTGGGCGCGAGAGCACACGCAGAGAAAGCGTCACCATTTGTAAATCCTTCGAACCAGTGGTCGTGGAAATGGTGCGCGGCTTAATACGCACGTCGTAGAGAATGGCGCGCTGGAGCCAGGGAATCAAGAAATGAGTGCCTTCAGACGTAGCCTTTCTATGTGAGTGTTATATTGACATACCTTGTCCTTCACACCAGTGAAGCGATCGAACATCACGGCACGGTATCCACCTGGTACATCATACATGCTGGCCTGGACAGCAAGGGCGCCAATGCCCAGAGGCACTGCATGGTCAGATCTTTCTCTCTCTTTCTCACATACCTGCAAACCTGGACAGGAAGTTGGTAGCCGTGTTCATGGCAGCGGTGACGCGGTACACGAGGCGGAGGTGGCGTCGTCGATGGACCTGTGGCTCCCAGCTGGCGATTTCTCCCGGCCTCGTCAGCCTCCACATAGGCGAAGCTTTCGACTCCAAGCCAGGCCACCTCTCCCTAGACCCTAGCAAGTGGCACGTGGATTTTTTTTTTTTTTTGCCTGTCAATAAAGACCGTCAAGCTTCCTTCGATGTCAGGGAATGCATAGATTATGTGGTAACCCATACCCATTAGCTACGACAAATGAGTCTACAGGATGGCAAAGAGAGTACCAAGCCAACCTACATAAAGACATAGGTTATCTTGTTGGGTTGCAAAGCAGAATCTACCCTTTACTTGAGCTGCTTCTTGGCGCCCTTGCTGGCCGCGTAGCTCTCACCACCGAGGACGGCAGCCACACCGACAGCGATCGCAGCCAGGAGCTTCCTGTCCCAGGTCTTGATCTCGTTGCGGTTCTGGTAGCCGAAGTAACCAGCGGCACCCACCACAGCCACGTTCACAACGCTAAGAGTCGAGAGCCAGTACTTGGGGTTGCTCGAGAAGTCCTTCCACAGCGACTGGAACTTCTTGACGCTAGTGTCGAAGCTCTTCGAGATGCTGTATGGTAAGCTTCCTTACGTGGGACATACCTCTTGCCGGCCTCCTTGGCGCGGTCCTCAAGCTCCTCGGCCTCCTTCGAGATGATCTCGCCGACCTTCGAAGCAGCAGCGCGGGCCTCATCGAGGAGGTGCTCAGCCTGGTCCTGGTTGTCCCTGTACACGTTAGTTGCTTTCATAAAATATGTACATACTTGGCAGCCTTCTCAACCTTGTCAGCGGCCTCACCAGTGGCCTTCTTGACGCCGTTCGAAGCCTTGCTAGCCTCAGCCTTCACATCCTCACCGGCCTTGTTAACCTCCTTCTTGACGTCAGTAGCAGCGTTCTTCATGTTCGCGTTGTTGGTCATGATCGTCGTTTGCAGTAGGGTTCTAACCGAGCCGGGGATCTAACTCGGATTCGGCCGCTTACGCGGGAAATTAGGGTGGCAAACCGTCGCTTGCCGAACCGCTCGGCAGAATGGCCTAATCAGGTAGGTTACATTCCCTATTACATAAGCCAATCTCAACGCGTTGCGCGCCGTCTGCCCCAGTTGGCTCGAGCGTTCCACGCTAGGTTGCTATGGCGCAGGCACGTACGCAAGCGAAAGAGCACCATATAGTCTCGTTTCTGCAGCGTGAATGGGCATCCACGTCCAAAGAGAGTGGACGACCCTTAATCGTCGGGTTCCAGGGGCCGCAAGGTAGCGGTACGTCATTGCAAGCTTAACAAGCTCATAAACACTGCAGGCAAATCGTACACATGTGCTCGCGTTGCCGAAGCGTTGGCGCACGCATCCCCACCTCTTCGTGTGGTCGTATTTTCTTTGGATGGTGCGTCATGTGTTTGCTTACCATGTACCAAGATTTATACCTTCCTCACGATCAGTTAACGGCTGTGGCTCTCCGCTACCCCACCAACCCTTTATTGCACGGCCGCGGCCAGCCTGGTACGCATGATGTGGATATTGGTACCAAGATCCTTCAAGATTTTCGCGATAATGCTTCTACGATTCGCATCCCTGTGTATGATAAGAGTGCGCATGAAGGTTTAGGCGATCGTCTTCCTTCATGGCATGTGATAGAAGGCGCTGTGGACATCGTTCTATTCGAGGGTTGGTGTCTGGGTTTCCATAGCGTACCCATGTCCGTTCTACAGCGAACTATGGAAGTGGCAAAAGATGTGACTCCTGCTCCCGCCTACGCTGCGTACACCTTGCAGGACGTGAGCTTGATCAATCAAGAGCTTGCTGTATGGGAGCAGGCATGGTACCCTCTTCTGGACGCGTTTATCCAACTGTACCCTATTACCCCACCTGGCACTAGTCCCTGGTCTCTTGTGTATGCCTGGCGCCTGGAGGCCGAGCACACGATGAAGCAACGCAATGGCGGACATGGCATGACAGACGAGCAGGTCAAGGCGTTCGTGCAACGGTATGCGGCTTTCTTTGTGGCTTACACACCAGGTACTTGCCCAGCTATGAGCTGTTTACGCTCGATCTTCGCTCAGCCTCCTCGCGCTGGCACGGGCATGGAATGCGCATCGAAATACAAGCGGATCGTAGTGCACAAGCTATTGAGTATACATAGTTTTAGCAACAAATTAAGCCGAATCCGTCTTGGGGCGCATGAGCACGCGGTAGTTGCGGTGCTGCACCAGCCACTGCTCCTGCGGCGGCATGTCCTCCTCACCCGGAGTGCGCACCACACGGAAATCGCCCTCCACGTACAGGAGCGAACCCTTGGGCACGTCCTTCAGGCGGTTCACCGTGTTCTCACCGAACGCGAAGATCGAGTGGAACGACGAAGTCGGGGTGGCCGGCGAGCCATCCTCGTTAGGCGGGCCGGGCTGGTCCGTGGTGGCCAGCACGTAGCGAAGGTACTCCTTGCCGTTGCGGCTTTCACGCACCTCCGGCGAGGCGACCAGACGGCCAATCAGCGTCACACGCGAGAGGGCCGACGAAGGCGTCGACGAAAAAGCCTATGGGTAAGTCGATGTACGTGTACTTACGCGAGTGTTTAGAGCGCGGGGCAGAACGCGAAGCGAAGTGGGGAACATGGCTGTCAATAACAGTGTAAGAAGTACAACAACGCGTCGCGGTGGCGCGGTGTACCTTGAGACGCGTCTTCGGCCGAGTAAAGTGATACGCTGCCTAGTGCTTCTGGTCCGCGTGGACAACTCGGCGTGTCGCGCACGGTGTCCCCTGGTGGCTATATCCCTAGTATTGGTTCAGCTCTACACGACCACCTTCCTTCATCATCCAGTCAGAAAGCGCTTGCGTTACACGAACTTGGCATGTCAAACGACTGGACGGCTTGCGTGTGATGGCATATTCCAGCATATCGTCTTCGTCATCGCTCAGCTCTGTCGTGCCGAACAACTGCTCTGCCTTGGCAGGCTTTTGGGTGAGATCTCCACGCGCCATAGGATCGTTTTTCTGAGCATCGCAAATGTAGGCATGACAGGTAGCGCACTCTAGTGATCCGCCGCAGGTGGCTTCAATGCTGGGCAAGTCGTGTCTTCGTGCCACTTCCATGAGCGACTCTCCAATCGTACCCATGACTTCAAACCACTCGCCCGCATACGAGCGGAAGCGCAGGGGGACTTGCGAAGGGGCTGCTGATGGCCCACCACGCGCTCGAGGTGTGATATGCGCTGTGTACACGACAGGTGGTCCCCATTCATTCATGTGCTCACGCTGCTCGGCCTGCGTCAGACCCAGCCGTCCACGCCAGCGTGGCCACAGCACAAGCCGTTCGCGCAGATCATCCAAGTCGTGCCGCGATGATGCGGGAGCAAGAGCGGCGCGGAGAAGAAGCGGCGCATCGCTCGTTCGAAGATTGCCGTACCAATCGCCATGGGGATACACCAAGGCATTGGCTGCCCATTTATGCCCACCCACATGGCTCACTGACATCACACGAACTTGTTTGGCCGGTGCCTTGTTGTCTTGCTTGCATGTGTCAGCATGCTGCGCCACTTGGTCGCGTAGCGTATGCAGCAATTCCGTGCCGACCACACCGCAACGACAGTCGCGCATGCCATGTGTGCATACATAGATATGCGCCTCTTTGGTATCTTTGGCTTCTTTCCACATCCGTTCAAGTGTCGTTCGAAGCGTTGGGCCGCTGGGCAGCGTGCGCAAGGAAATAGGTTCCGGCCATGTCACAAACTTCCCTTGGTCATTGTAGGCGTACAGCCAGTACATTTCGTCCTCAGCCACTTGGCTCGGGGGAGGCCGCATCGCTTTATCGCGATGCGGATCCCAGGCTGGCTGCGCCTCTGGGAGCGATGCATCCCCTTCGGACAAGCTGATCGCATAACCGTCCAACGATCCGCCCTTTTTCGCGCGGCTGCTCAGCTCGGAAAAAAGCGGGCTCACAGACTCCATGTGCGAAGGCCATGTCATCGATTCTCGCGCATACTGGGCTGGCACCAGCACAATGTGTGCCTTGTACTCTGGGGCGGAGCCTGGCAGCGGCGAAGGGTCATAGGGCATCGCCGGAATGCGACCCTGTTCGTCTAACGCCGGCGCGATGTCGAACGGGTACGACGCCCACACGCGCGTGCTTTGCGCTCGTGCAGATAGTACCGGCAGAAAACTACGCCATCGTAGCGGTGTGTACCATCGCGGTATGGCCCTTCCAGCCCGGATCGCTGTCCCTAGGCGGATGATCATTCGCGGCCGACGTGATGTGGAGCGGCTGTCAAGAGCGGAGGGCCATGGGTCAGACACCCAAAACTCGTTCCACTGCGCGGCGCGCCGTCCCTCCACGCCGCTTTCTTTTGCCTCGGAAGATGCGTGGCGCCCCTCTCTTGAGGAATGTCGCACCTGCGACGCGTAGCATGCCGCGAGTATTAGCTCGCTCATTGAGCATGTCTTCGCGCATGTGCCAGGATGACCAAGGGCGCCGTACGACGCACTTTGGTTTCCAAACTGTGGACGAGTCGCTCAAAGAAGGCCTAGTCGGCAGTGTGTTTTCGTCGGTGGCCTCGTCCTACGACATGATGAACGACGCGATGTCGCTGGGTATTCATCGTCTTTGGAAGAACCATTTCGTCGAGATGCTTGACCCGCGCGGTGGCATCAAGTGTCTGGATGTGGCAGGTGGTACCGGTGACATTGCGTTGCGTCTGTTAGACCATGCCCGTACGAAGCACCTGGACCGCGAGATGAGTGTGACTGTGCTGGATATCAATCCCCACATGCTTATTGAGGGTCAGAAGCGTATGAAGGAGACGATGTACTGGAATACGCCGCAAATCCGATTCCAGCTTGGTAACGCTGAGCACTTGGACCGTGTGATGGAAGTGCCTGAGCGCAAGAACCCGCCGGCCAGCACACGCCGCAACCCTGTCCTCCCGCCGCTTGTGAGCGAGCCAGTTGAGAGCGAGTCGATGGATCTGTACACGATTGCGTTTGGTATCCGTAACTGCACGCACATTGACCAGGTGATTCGCGAGGCGTATCGCGTGCTGAAGCCAGGAGGTATTTTTGCGTGCTTGGAGTTTGGTAAGGTCTCCATCCCGCTGCTGGCGCAGCTGTACAAGCAATACTCTTTCAATGTGATCCCGCCGATTGGCGAGTTGCTGGTGGGCGACCGGGATTCGTACCAGTACCTGGTCGAGTCGATTGAGCGATTCCCGACGCAGGCCGACTTTGCTCGTATGGTAAGTGAGGCTGGGTTCCTTCTGCCTGGCTCTGCCGAGGCGGCCTCGATGGGCCTGCCGCGCCTGCCGAACCAGGGCGCATGGGAAGATCTGACGTTCGGTATTGCCACCATCTGGACGGGTACGTATGACGAGGCGACTGACGCTCTTTTTCAGGGTACGTATTTGCTACACTCACAACGGCAGTATCAAGCCCTTTGCGTAATGCATTTGTCTACTTGGGAATGTACTCGCATCGAATAAAGGTTTTTGTCGGCTCTTGCGGCAACACACAGAAAAAGCCGAGCGTTTGCATAGTCTGGAATAGATCACGCGCTGCGAGATGGTTAGGCCTCCGTCCTTTTTTGTCCTTACACACCTTCGAGGGCAATGTTGGCACACTGCTCCTGGCCATTGGGCAGAATGCGGCACAGCTGTGACTGCGACGTGCCGCGTTCGCTGTTGTTAGCCAGCTCCTGCCTTGCGCACGTACCCATCCAACGTGAACGACGAGTTGGTGCCGCCACGGCTCTGTGCATCTTCCGCCACGAGGCGACGCACTTCGTCGTGGGCTGGTGTATCCAGTTTCTCAATTAGGTTGGAGCTCTGGGCGGACCTGGTAGCGTTAGCTGGCTATGCACGCTCCCTGTCACGTACATAGCTGGGGATCGCTCTGACAGCGTAGAACAAGCGCCACTCCTGAGCGTCTTGGCACCGTCGTCCTGCCTGCCTGCCGTGGCTTACCTAACCACGCCTCGTTGGCCCGCTGGCCCACGGCTGCGTGTGGAGAAAGGAGGGATGGTGCGGGGGACGGCCTCTCCTTTCAGCGCTTCGTTTCGTTTGCATGTCGTCCAGGCTGGTGCGTGGACTGCGCGTGCAGGTAGCCAGCTACAATGCCGGCGAGCAATACGATGGATCCAAGGTCCCGGATCTGACCGAGTGGCTGGTCCCGACGCTCACAGAGAGTCGTCGAAGTGGCTATGTGACGCGGCCAGCGCCGCCCAGTGGTCCTGACGCCATGGGACCGCGAGAGGCGCCTGATATTTATGCCGTGGCGTTCCAGGAGTTTGCGCCACTGTCCTCGGCCTTGGCGGGCCAAATTCAAGTGCCGCTCGCCAAAGTCGACACGGAGATTCGACGTACCGTGCGCCTTCATCAGTCTGTTGTGCGCGACGATCACATGTACGATCCCCTTGAAATGGGCGGTGGCCCAGAAAACTATGCCAAGATCGCTGAGGTCTCTCATGGTGGTCTGGTGCTGTTTGTGTATGCACGTGAACGTGCGCCACAGCATGCGCGTGGCATCGTATTAAGTGCCGCTCAGCGTGTGAAGGAAGTGCGCACATCGTACGTTGGGACCGGCATCGGTATGATCATGGGCAACAAGGGGGCTGTGGGTGCACGTGTAACGCTTGCGTCAGCCGTCACAGGCGCTCGTGACGAGGTGATAACGTTCGTATGTGCGCACCTGGCAGCCCACGATCACAAGGTGGCACGTCGGAATGCCGATTGGCGCAATATTGTCGAGCGCTTGGTCTTTGATCCCGCGAGTACACAGCCCCCACTCGTTCTGCAAGAGCCCACTATGGGACCTGGTCAGCTAGGCGCAGTGCAGTCTGTCGCGGCTGGCCGGCAGACCCTTACGCCAAGTCCTCTGGACCAGCATGAGTACTCGCTCTACGACACACACCATCTCTTTGTGCTGGGCGACCTCAATTATCGCGTTGCCACAGGTGTCGAAGGCGTTTCGCCGCAGGGCGTGCCGGTGCGGCCCGGCTCGTTCCCACCGATCACGAGGGAGACCGTACGTGCTGCTGCCCGCTCCTTCCAGCCAAGTCAGTGGGCTGAAATTTTGCCGTACGATCAGCTCTCGATTGAGCGAGCCGCTGTGCCTGCACGCACGATGCACTCTCTTTTCATCCCAGATATGGCGCACCTGAAAATACCTCCCACGTACAAGTACAAGGCAGGTGGCGAAATGGAGCAGATGAGCAAGAAACGATTGCCTGGCTGGCCAGACCGACTGCTCTGGGCCTCTAGCGATGCGATGCAGGGCAACGAGGCTTTGCGCTGCGAGCTGTATCGCAGTTTGATGCGATACACTGCCTCGGACCACAAGCCCATCACTGCGATTGTCGAGCTGCCGTATCAACTTGACCCTCTCACCGAGTTCCTGCCTGTGCCGTACGATCTCCATCCATACTGGCGCTCTATGCGGACACTGGGGCGCTGTGTCGACCGCTTGGTGGGGTATCTATGGATGCTGCTGCTTACGTTTGGCCATGGCCATTTGGCGCTGGCCCTCCTGGAGATTGGATTGCTGGTCTTGGTGGCCATGTACTGGCTCCCAGGCCATTGGCCATGGTAGTCTACGATATAGAGACATTACTCCTCTGCTTCCACGCGCATAGCAAAGTCGTACGTATCGCCATCCGCATCTGGCGCGAGCAGTGTGTGGTACCAGGAGCGTAGCGCACCGATACTGCGCGCATCATGCGCCTCCAGATCGGCTGCCAACGTAGCCTCATCGCTGTGCGTATGTGTCTCATCGTAGGCGGCCACACGTGCCTGCTCTTCGTTGCTCACATCAAGCTCAGGTACCGTGCTAAGCAGCGTGCCTAGCCAGTTCAGTTTGTTGTCCGGGATCATTTCGCAGGGATGAACTGCTAGCACAGGCAGCTGATTCCGCTCGTCTTTATCGTCAATAGGTGGTAGGGCTGACTCGTTTTGGCCGCCGGCAAACAGGGACGACATCTTCGTCTCCTCCTCGCCAAACAACGTGGCGTCTTGCGCCTCGTTTTCCAGGAATTCATGCAGCGTCGCCAGCTGGGCGGATAAGAAATGAGGTATCGGCGATTGCAGCGCCGTCGCAATGGAGAAGGTGTGTGACAACAAATTGGTATACTGCGTCTGAATCGACGGCCAATCCTCAATACCGGGTGTATGCAACGTCTGTTCGCGCAGCAAGGCAATGGAGTTGCGTAGCGAGTCGTACCGCTGGTACAGCGTCATAAGGTGTCCGAGAGGCGGGCGCGCCGAGGCCAAGGATACATTCGCGGCTGGCATCTCTCGGCGTGCTGCTCGCCCTTGCGACGACGACGACAACGACGTCATAGCGCCAAGGGCTTCCTCTCCACCGTGCGTGCGGTGCTACGAGCGCCGCCGTACGTACGTTTGCTTATCTAATTCCTCCTGCAGGCAGGCTTTTGGCTGATCAAAGCGACGTTGATGACACGCAGCGTACCGAACGTGCGTGTGGAAAATCGGTCGCGGCTTTCCTGTTGTGCACCCACAACCATGATGGGGCTGGACTTGGTACAAGAGCATCATGAACGTAGCTCTCACTTGGACGAGAGTCTAGGCCGTTACTCGGCGTATACCATCCGTCTCAAGACCATCATTGCTACAGGGTCTCGGTACATTGCGTATTCGTCGGACATTGGGGAGGCCTTTCGACCGCTCACGCGGCCCAATGTCGTGCGTGCTGCATACGGTATCAGCTGGGCCTACATTTTTGCGGACGTAGGCTATACGTGCTGGAAGGCCAATGACGAGCTGGACAAGACGTCGCCGTCCAAGTACATGGACTTGGGGTGGATTGCAGCGCGTCGTGCGGTCTTCCAAACGCTCGCCTCGTTGGTCTTGCCCGCTGTGACGATCCACAGTGTAGTGAAGTACTCGGCCCCGTTGTTTGCTCGGCATGCCTCGAAACATGTGCGTGCGTTCGGGCCCACGTTGGCAGGCTTGCTCGCGGTACCGCTTCTGCCGATCATGTTTGACCATCCTGTGGAGCATGCTGTCGACACGGTATTTGATGAGATTGAGTACCGCCTGGCTTCCCTGATGGGCAACACAGATGCCAAGAAAGTCAAGGATATGAACAAGCTTACGAACGAATACTCTGTCTCCTCGGTGACGGAGTCAGAGAGCTCTTCATCGCCTCTGTTCGCCAAACTGGCTGTCCTCGGTCTCGGTGTCGATCTTGTGTACCTTCCGCGCCTTCGTCAGCTGGTCTCACGGCATGCACATCGCTTGCAAGCATGGCAGCGTCCTGCTGCCGTAGCCGCGACGTCGTCTTCTGTGTCTGCTTCGAAGGAGCCTGACGTGTCTGCCTCGCTACGCATACCCTCTCCTCCCATCATGGCGTCGGCAGCTCAGCACTTGGCACGTCGTATTCTTGCGCCCAGTGAGGCCATGCATTTCCAGACTGTATCGCCCACCATGGCCCAGGACGACTGTTTACGTTTTCTCGCGACGAGGTACGCATCGCTATGGCCCCTATGAGACAGGCACTGACGCCCATGTCACGTAGATGGACCTGCAAAGAAGCAACATACAAAGCCGTATACCCGCACCTTGCTCTACGTGCCACCGATATTGCAGTGCACAAAGACGGAGGTGCGAAGCCGACCATTGTCCTGGAGCGGCCCACACAGCAATACCACAGTGCCTCGGGGAGAAACGTGTCGGACCTCGTAGCCCGTCTGCGTTTCCACGCGAGCGTCTCGCATGACGGCGACTATGTAATGGCGTCTGTCCTAGCTGAAGACCCTTCAGCTGCATAGAGCCCTTCCCATCTATTTCACATGTAACGTATTCTTCCGTACACTGCTATAAAATGCAGAATAGAACAACAGGTGTGCGAAAAACGGACTCGCTCCGATTAAGCGGCCAGCTTCGTAATCGCAGCCTGGAGCTTCGAGGGGTCAGCACCGACCACCGTCTCGATCTTCTTGCCGTCCTTGAAGAACGCAAAGGTCGGCATGGCACGGATGCCCACCTCCTGCGCAATCTGGGCCTGGTCATCGACGTCGACCTTGTAGAAGCCGACCTTGTCGCTCACGGTCTCCGAGATCTTCTCGAAGATCGGGCTGATCATCTTGCACGGACCGCACCAGGTGGCCCAGAAGTCGATAACAACAACCTTGTCGCTGTTGATCACCTCCTTGAACTGGTCGTACGACGAAATCACTTGAACACCCATGATAGAATGGTGGTAGTGTGGAATTGGGGACCGTTCAGCGCGCCACGTTATATAGGGCCTCGCCAGCGAATATTCCATGACGTAATCGCCGGGACCCCCTCGCCAAGTGCACGCGCCTCCACTTCATAGGACGCCACACCGTGGGGATTCGTGCAGGTAGCGTCCGCGGACTCGCGAAAATGACGCAATGGTCAGTCCTCTGCCTGATCCAATGTCCGTTTATGTCGCCCTAGCCAGCTCGCCAAAGAATGTCCCTTACACGTGCTCTATGGTGTCTATGGTCTCTTATGCGCTCATCGACTTGCGGTCAATCTCTGGCGTCTCCGACGGGTCAACGTATGGCACCGTACCCAGACCCAGCGCACAGCCAATCTTCTGGTAGATTGTCGTGGCAGGGTGCTTGGCACCACCCTTCAGACCCGTAAACTCAAAGTCCTTCCACACAGGGAACCAGCAGCGGAGCGCAAAGCGCCACTGCCAGTCAGGGTATACAGCCGTAACACGGCCCGACTTCGGGTCACGGTACCACGATTCGCAGGTCGGGAACACAGTCGAGCGCATCTTCTTCACGATCCAGTGCTGTTCATCCAGCTCGGCCTTCAGCTTGACGTCAAAGGTCGGGACCTTGGTCACACCAGCAGGGGCCGGCGTGCCAGGCAAGTGAGCAATTGCCGCCTCGCTCGGCTTGGCCGACTCAAGCACATGGGAGGCCACTGACATGAGCATCTCTTGTTCACGCTCCGACGTGTAAATAACCGACATGTGGCCCGTACCAGCGTTAGGGCCGACAAGCATACCCATGTTCGGGAAGCCCGACACGAATACGGTACGGTAGGCGATGACACCACCACCACCGTACTTCTCGTCGTGCTCACGCAGCGTCATGTCCTTACCGCGCGTCACCATAGGCGAACCAGCGGCTTTCACACTGAAACCGTTGGCCATGACAATCACGTCGGCCGGCAAACGGCGACCATCCGCCGTAACCACGGCGTCCTCTTCAATACGCACAAGCTTCGAGGGCTCGAGCTCCAGGTTCTCGCGGTGCAGAGCAGGCAGGTACTTGTTATCCAGCACACGACGACGGCAACCGACCATCAGCTCGTTGTTCTTCGGCAGAAGGAGGTCATGGTACTTCTTCGGCGCCTGCTTTGAAATGTAGTCGCGGCACATCTTCTCCCAGCTCGCACGGAACTGGCGACCCAGCCACGACTTGGTCACAATCGTAAAGTGCGACTCCAGAACAAGCCAAATGATAATACGTTGTACCCACATGAACAAAGGCACATTGCGCAGCAGCCACTTCCACCACCAGGTCTTCACAAGCTTGCTGTCAGGCAGCGGCGCGTACCAGTGCTTCGAGCGCACAAACTGCGTCACATGCTTGGCCTCCTCGGCAATAATTGGCACAAACTGCGTGGCCGAGCAACCATTACCCACAACAATCACGTTCTTGTTCTTCAGGTCAACAGAATGGTCCCAGCGAGCCGAGTGGAAGATCTTGCCCTTGAAGTTCTCGTGGCCCGGAATATCACACTTGTTGGGCTCCGAAAGACCACCGACGGCCGAGATAAAGAGCTTCGAGACAAAATAGCGGATCTTCGGCGAAGCGTTGTGCGGGTCCTTCGGATCGAAAGTCGCCGAGAGAACATGCCACAGACCCGTAGCATTGTCGTAACGCGACTCAAGCGCCACCGAGTTGAAGAGGAACAGGTGACCAATACCGTACTCCGCCACGACGGTGTGCACGTACTCACGCAGCTCCGTCTGCTGAGGGAAGAAGCCACTCCAGTCGCTCTTCTGACGGAAGCTGAAACTGTACACAGGCGCAGGAATATCACACGCACAGCCAGGGTAGGTATTGGCCTCCCAAGTACCAGCAGGGCCCTGCAGACGCTCAATGATCACCATGTCGGGCACCTTCTTGTACTTGCTCTTGAGCTTGCAAGCCAAACTCACACCACTGAGACCACCACCGACACACACGATGTCATGGTACTCGGGCTTGAGGCCACCAAGGTTGATGGGGTCCTGTGCAAGTTTAAGTCCGTTTGGAAGCGAAGTAGGATAGCCGTCCATTCTTAGACACGGTTACAAATAGAAAGGTAGTAGTGGCGTGCCTATTTAAGTACATGGGTTTCAGGGTGTTTGAATGAATGCCGATTATCACGTGGTGAAAACGAGCGGCCCCATCGGATATAAACACACATGATTGGCCATCCTAAGCCGGTCCGGTCAGCGTCTGTTGAAAATTGCGGGGTGAACTCGAGCAATTTTGGGCGGTCTTTTGAAATTCTAAAGAGCGGAGATCCTATGTGCATCTGAAATCGGTCGTAACGCGCAAGCCAGGTCCACCGCATCGGGTTACTCAAACACAATCTTCGTCCCGGCAGGCTTGGCTGAAAGTTGCGCTTCCTTGGCTCGCTGTTTGGCCAGCCAGCTGGGGTGCACACTGGGCTCCTCTGTAGCTTTCACGGGGGGTCCCTTGGGCGTAGGGGCACGTGGGTTGGTAAAGCGTGGCATGCTCTCAGGCACAGGCGGTAGCGCAGGTCTGGCGCCCTGGCCTTGCGTCGATGGCCAGCCCTGATCTGCTTTTCCACGAGGTTTACGTTCCTTCTTCGGCTCCTTTTCACGCAGTTTCAGGTGATTCGCATGCCGACCATATTTTTTCTCCCAAATGCTAATCGGTTAGTAGATGGTGGTACGTACGCTCGGCGCTCTCGCTGTCCTCGCCTATTCTTGCGCTGCGACTTGGCCGGGCCTTTACCCGCTGTGTCCGCATAATCTGCCTCCGCGTCACTCCAGTCATCGCCTTCCTCAGCAGGAATAAACCCAGTGTGCAAGCTAGGAAGAAACGCCGAGTCTTCCTCCTCTTCTTCCGAGTCGTGAGGGCGTTTACGCGAGATGGGTACGTCGTCGTCACTTTCGTCCGACTCACTGCCGGAGGCCACCATCGCATCCATATCCATCTGGGATAGGCCCAGTGGATTTTCGTTGCCCATTCCATCATCACTTTCATAGTCCACATCGCTAGGGGCCTCCTCCTGTACCTTTTTCTCCTTCTTTTTCTTCTCTTTCGTAGGTTCGGCTTTGGGCTCGGCCTTCGGCGTAACGAGACTGGCCAGTGCCTTCACACACGACGTCATTTCCTCTGCCATGATTTTGGAGCTAAGCACCTGGTGCAACACTCGTTCTTCTACCGACGAGGTAGGTGAGCGCACCTTCTCGATCGATGCGGGGTCCACCTCTGTATTTTCAACAAAACGAGCAAGGGGGAAGCGTTCCGCCTTGTCCTGCTGGTTTGGTTTGGGTATCAATTTGCTTTTAGCAAGTTTGGAGGAGAGGGCACGAACGCCCACATACTGTACATCCAAGTTTTTCAATATACTCAGCTCCTGCTCCAGCATATTGGTAGCCGCCTTATCCTTGTTCTGCTTCAAACGACGCACGTGCTTTTGCAGTTCAAACTGCTTGACTTTTTTGGCCGATGACTTGGCGACTTTGATGCAGTGGTGCTGTTATGGTGAGCCGTATATACACCTACCAGTTTCGTTTGTATGCGCTTCTCATCCAGGACTGGCGCCGTGGGGCCGGCCGCCGCCTCTTCGACCTCCATGCCGAGTGCACAGTGCGCTTCTTTGTCGCGGTGCGCGCCATAAAAAGTGCGTGCACGTGACGAAAAGAAAAATTTTGTTGCCGTCGAGGGGGTATTGCAGGGACAGCATCACCGCACCATGGCCAAAATCAAGAAGAAGGGTGAGTCTGGTGCGGCGAAAAACTATATCACGCGCAATCAAGCGCTGAAGAAGCTCCAGATTACCCTGGCTGAGTTCCGTCGCCTGTGTATTCTGAAGGGCATCTACCCTCGTCAGCCACGACACATCAAGCGGGCCAACAAAGGGTCAACAGCACCGACCACGTTTTACTATGCGAAGGACATTGCGTACCTGCAGCACGAGCCTGTTCTGCAAGCTTTCCGTGAACATAAAGCGTTTGCCAAGAAGGTGAACCGTGCGATTGCTCGTCGCGAGTGGTTTGCTGCGAAGAATTTGGACGAGAACCGCCCCAAGTACCGTTTGGATCACATTATCAAGGAGCGCTACCCCACGTTTGTGGACTCGCTGCGCGATCTGGATGACGCTCTTTCGATGCTGTTTTTGTTCGCTAACATTCCTTCGCAGAAGAGCATTGCGCCGGAGATCACTACACACTGCGCGCGCCTTTGTACAGAATGGCAGCTCTATGTGATGCGCACACGTTGCCTGAGCAAGGTGTTCTTGAGCATCAAGGGTATTTACTTCCAGGCTGTTGTCCATGGCCAAGAGATTACGTGGCTTGTGCCGTATATGTTCACGCAGACCATTCCTACAGACGTCGACTTCCGTGTTATGATGACGTTTTTGGAACTGTACCAAACATTGATGGGCTTTGTCCTTTTCAAGCTGTATACCGATGAAAACCTTGTGTACCCACCCAAGCTAGATGAAGAGATGGACAACCAAGGCGCTGGCTTTGGCTCGTTGGTGCTTTTGGCTGCCGATGCGGATGTACTCTCTGGCAAGAACAATGTGGCCCCCATGGAGGTGGCCGCCGAAGAGGCTTCGAGCAATGCCGTCGTGCGCAAAGACGGTAAGAAGCTCTCTGCCCGCGATGTCAAGCGCCAGATCGCACGTCTGACGAAGGGCGAGGACTTGGCGAACACTGATGATGACGATGAGGCGTTACCGACGCTGGATACCTCCCACGACAACGACGAAGAACGCGGCGAGGCTTTTGTGGCGCACGTGTCGAAGCGTGCGGCCGAAGAAGGTGTGGGTGCTGATGAATTGACCACCCTCAACGACCTGCAACAGCAGGAAGGCGGCGACGATACGCGAAAGCTGTTCAGCCGCTACGTGTTTTTCATTTCGCGTGAAGTGCCTCGCGCTGTGTTTGAGTTTATTCTGCGTTCGTTCGGTGCTCTTCCCTCCAACCTTGGCTGGGATGCTGTGGCTGGTGCTGGCAGTCAGGTCGATGTGGACGATGAGCGAATTACGCATCACATTATGGACCGTCCTGTGGACGGCCAGCAACCCACGTACCCTGGCCACCGCGTATATGTGCAGCCGCAGTGGGTCGTCGACTGTATCAATGCGCGCAAGCTGCTACCGACGGATCCCTACCGCCCTGGTCAAACACTGCCGCCGCATCTGAGTCCGTTTGTAGACGACCGCGAGGTGGCCATGCGGGGCGGGTATGTGCCGGACGAGGCGAAAGAGAAGCTCGGTATGGAGCAGGAGGCTATGGACGAGGAAGAAAGTGAGGAGGAAGACGAGGAAGAAGACGAGGAAGAGGCGGATAACGAGGAGGCCAGCGAACGTCCAGCGTTGCAAGCCTTGTTGGCCGACCCTACCGGTGCTGGTCTCCTGGAAGCGGCTGAGCTCGAGGCGGAAGCGGCTGGTGGCGAAGATGCGCTGCTGGATCTACGTAAGCAGCATGCTACGGCCCTGAAAGCGTTCAAGAAGAAGAACAAGCGTGTGCCTGAACTCTCTGAGGAGGCCGAGGCTCGTGATATGGCCAAAATGCTTCTGTCGAACAAGCAGCGTAAACTGTACAACCGCGTGGGCCAGACTGCGACGAAGAAGAAGGAAGATAAGCTGCGTTTGGAAGCGAAGAAGCGTTTGCTTTCCAAGAAGGCGGCCAAGTAGGCTCATAGAACCATCACTGTGTCGTGCCGTTTGTGCGTAGCCGTCGCCCATGTCCTGCCCCAGGGCCCAATGTGGAGGTGGCAGCGTGGCGGCAGGTTGTTGCTGTGGAACGACGACGATGGCAGAGAGCGTGAGCAGCTCCGCCTACCCACCCAATGAGACGCTCTATATTCAAAACTTGAATGAGAATGTGCGGTTACCAGGTATGCTATGCTACGACTTACCGTAGTGATGAAACAATCGCTCGAGGCGCTGTTCTCGACCTACGGCCCAGTGCTCTCGGTGGTGGCTCATAAAAATCTGCGTATGCGTGGTCAAGCGTTTGTGAGTTTCCAGGACAAGAGCACGGCAGAAAAGGCGATGAAGGAAGTGAGTGGGTTCCCTTTGTATGGCAAGAGCATGGTATGTACTGTATTTTCTCACGATGGTAGCGCGTGTCGTTTGCGAAGACGCCGTCGGACAGTGTCGTGGCGTACGGCGGTGGGGCGAAAGATTCGCCCGCTACGACAGAGGCGCTGGCCGCGCACAAAGCTGCACGCCTTGCGCAAAAGCCCATCACACGACGGCGGAATGTGCATCGTCAGCGCGAGATGGAGCGGAAACGGGCAGCGCAGGCCGCCGCGGCGCGAGGCGAGATCCCTGCGGCCCCGGTACCGAAGCGGACTGTATCATCGCGTGCGCAAGCGAACCAGCTACCGGACGAGTACGTCCCGCCGAACAAGATTCTCTTTTTGCAGCAGATGCCGTCGAGTGTGACGCGAACGCAGCTGATGGACATTTTTGGTGCGCTACCGAATCTCTACCAAGTGCGTACGATCCCAGGCCGTACCGACATTGCGTTTGTGGAGTTCAACGATATCCCCTCGAGCGTGGCTGCGCGTGATGCGACGAACGGCTATACCTTTCCCACAGGGGAGCGCTTAAAAGTATCATTTGCGCGCGCGTAGTAGCGCCATTGCATGGCGCGGCGCGTCGTGCGGTGCCGTGGACTGACTGCCTTTTGGTTCCGCCGAGGGGTAGGAGCCACGTGGCACATGTAGACTAGGCCCGTGATAGCATCGATCAACCTATAAGGCTCGGGGTACCCTCTCGCTGAAGGGGCAGGTCACCGGATCCGCCCGGATGTGCGCTGCTGGATCAACCCCAACTTCCATCATGGCTCTTGCCCGCTCGGTAATTACTGCTGTGCCCCTGCGTGCCGCCCGCGCCCCAGCACGTGTCGTTGGCACGATGCGTTTGCCTCTGCGCACCATGTCTACGAGTGCTTCTCTGCAGGAGCGAAAGTTCCGTGTCGAGCGCGACACGTTCGGTGAGCTGCAAGTGCCGGCGGACCGCTACTGGGGTGCACAGACCCAGCGTTCGTCGATGAACTTCAAGATCGGCGGCCAGCGTGAGCGCATGCCTGAGCCGCTGATCTCGGCTTTCGGTGTCCTGAAGAAGGCCGCCGCGACGGTGAACAAGGAGTACGGTCTTGACCCGAAGATTGCGGATGCGATCTGTGCGGCGGCCGACGAGGTGATCTCGGGCAAGCTGCACGACCACTTCCCGCTGGTCGTCTTCCAGACAGGTTCGGGTACGCAGTCGAACATGAACGTGAACGAGGTCATTTCGAACCGTGCCATTGAGATGCTCGGCGGTGAGCTCGGCTCGAAGAACCCTGTGCACCCGAACGACCACGTGAACCGTAGCCAGAGCAGCAACGACACGTTCCCGACGGCGATGCACATTTCGGCGGTGCTGGAGATCAAGCGTGAGCTGCTGCCTGCACTCCACCGTCTGCACGACGCGCTGAAGGCCAAGCAGGATGAGTTCAAGGACATTATCAAGATTGGCCGTACGCATCTGCAGGATGCGACTCCGCTGACGCTCGGCCAGGAGTTCAGTGGCTACGTGCAACAGATGGAGAACTCGATTGCGCGTGTTGAGGCTGTGCTTCCGCGTCTCCGTATGCTTGCGCAGGGCGGTACGGCTGTGGGTACCGGTCTGAACACCTTCAAGGGCTTTGACACGAAGGTGGCCAAGGAGATCTCGAACATCACTGGCGAGGAGTTCATTACGGCGCCGAACAAGTTCGAGGCGCTGGCGACCCACGATGCCATGGTCGAGGCGTCGGGTGCGATGAACACAGTGGCCGTGTCGCTGATGAAGATCGCGAACGACATTCGTTACCTCGGCTCGGGTCCGCGCTGCGGTCTTGGTGAGCTGTCGCTTCCGGAGAACGAGCCTGGCTCGTCGATCATGCCGGGCAAGGTCAACCCGACGCAGTGCGAGGCGCTCACCATGGTGGCCGCGCAGGTGATGGGCAACAATGTCGCTGTGTCTGTCGGCGGCTCGTACGGTCAGTTTGAGCTGAACGTGTTCAAGCCCGTGATTGCGAAGAACCTGCTTTCGAGCGTTCGTCTGCTTGCGGACGGTGCGGACTCGTTCACCGAGCACTGCGTGGTGGGCATCCAGGCGAACAAGCAGCGTATCCACCAGCTGCTGAACGAGTCGCTCATGCTGGCCACGGCTCTGAACGCTCGTCTTGGTTACGACAATGTCGCCAAGGCTGCGAAGAAGGCGCACCACGAGGGCCTTACGCTCAAGGAGGCCACCGTGGGTCTCGGCCTGCTTACGCCGGAGGAGTTTGACGAGCAGGTGCGTCCTGAGCTCATGCTGGGCCCGAACGACCCGCCGAAGTAAATGAGCGATGAGGATAGTCATACATAGGCCGTCTATCTGTTATGACCAAGATACATACATCGCGTACACTACAGCGGCTCCGAGGCCGAGCCAGACGGGCGCAGGGAGCGTCGCCCAGCGCCTCGTTTCCACGGTCCACGACGACGTGGCTCTAGGCGCGTCCAGATGCAATGCGCGACCAAACAACTCTTCGAGTCCGCTGTCGGTAGGCCCGCTAAATCGCTGGGGTCCCATCACCCACGTAGGCTTCTCGCGCTGCTCCGGCTCGATGTCCATGGCCTCGTCGTCGTCGTCGGCCGCCACAGCCGCCGTCGTATCTTGCAAAAGGGTATCCAATGGGGGCGGCGGCGCTGGGATCGTCTCATGGAGCGACATGGCCGCTAGGGGATCTGTGCTCGTCGTTTGCATGGACGTCGCTGAGGTCGATGTGGCATTCGGCACACGACGAAGCCACGGTTGCGTATGTCGCATGGTGTAGCGCTGCGTCCACATCAGCGGCACAAGCTGCGATTGCAGGAGCCACGCGCCGATGCGCACCATGTGCCACGTACGAGGCGGCAACGGTACGACATAGGCATGGCAGTATACAAGGAGCCGCGCTGCCCAGGCACTACACCATACGATACGCCAGGGCCACGGCGAAGCGGTGGACGTGGGCCGCGCATCATACCATATAGGCACACACGATAAACCAGCGAGCCATGGCCACGGCCGCTGCAACGTGCCATCCCAGACCAGCCACAGGACTGCGAGGCCCGCGAGGTACGAAGTCCACGCACCCATCACCACCAAACCATGCCTGAGCCGGTGCCACACAGGCAACGAGACAGGCTTCGCGGCACGCACTTGCGTTTGCGTTTGGTCGACCCATGCGCCCAACGCGGCACTTTGCCATTGCTGCTCGGTCTGCCGAAGCCGCGCATCGACGCGTGGCTGGCATTGGGCACAGACCATCGGGTATCGCTGCTCCAGCGAGGCGCGGTAGGCCGGGTAGGCCGCCATCCGACTTTCGTCCGTGCTAGGATCGTCGTCAGACAAGTAACTGGCGAGCAAATTAGTCACCAACGTCTGATTCGCGAGGCAGGTACGACAAAAGACAGGGGTATCGCTGGACGCCGATGTACGTACCGCATGCGATGGTGTATCGAGAATGACAGGCTCGTACGTATCGAGGACATGACCCTGCGTATCAGCCAGATTCCACGCTTGGCACACGGAGCAGTACCAACGTGTGCGTGTGCCTGCCGAGACCTGCGTGGCTACGTCAGCCGCGTAGCACGACGGTAGATCGGATGTATCGCCGTACGGCGGGACAAGAAGGGATGTAGTGCCGCAGTAATAGCACGTACTCTCGGCTGGCGACGCGCGGCGCCGCGTCAGCCAGCCCCAGGCTCGGCGCATGACACTGACGTTCGCGGCGTGGATGTCGGTGGGTCGTTGATCGGGCCTCCTCCACCCCGATGAGGAGAGGCCACGCGTCGTGCTTTTTTTTTTTGGACTCAACTTGACAGCGACAACGACATGCGCCGCACGGTCGTTTGTGCACTGCCTAAGTCGGTGGTGCCTAGGCCCACCGGCGCACATGCACGCATGGCGTCAGCTGCGCACCTGAGTGAGAGTCTGGGCCATGACGGCCTGGCAGATCCGACACTGCGAACGGCGTTTCTTCGGCCGCCGCAGGACGAGTCTGTCGCTTCGGCGACGCAGCAGCGTCTTTCGGCTGCAGCGCGTCTCGGCCAGGCGAAAGTGCAAGGCAATGCAATGATTGCGTTGCCTGATGCCCTAGCCATGCATCTTGCTTCATTAGTGCGTCACGGCCATCAAGATCAATTGCGTCGCGATGCCTTGCACTACCATGACCTATTGCATACCCCGCCCGAGGACAAGACTAGCCTGTCCCAGGATCGTACACACTTTTTCACTGCGTCCCTGTCTCGTGCGCGTCTTTCACCCTTGTACCTGAGCCAGCTCTTCCCTGCACGGTACGCGGTGCTTGTGCGTGTGCTCGACGAAGTCCGTCGTCGGATGGCCTCGCCTTTCCCGTCGACGTCGTCCTGGGCGCCGACGCATCTGTACGACTTTGCGATGCATGCGACTGAAGCCCTATGGGCGTACGAGGCCGTCTTTGGCGCCGAGGCGTTGACCGAGTACACGGCCGAAACACGCACAGGCACCTTGTTTTCCACCTGCACCTCTCTCTTGCAATCGCCCCATTGGCAGCACGTTCGTACGACGCTGCGGCAGCGTGGCGATGCGCCGCATCACTTGCGCGATGTGGAGATTGCGCCTCATGCGCCGACCATGACGCTGGGCGTGCATGCCTTTGGCCTGAGCGATCTTGAGACAGACATTGCACGCGAGAAGGAAGTGCTGCGTATGTGGAAGAGCCATGCGCATGTCTTGGTACTGATTGAGCGTGCGACGCCGCGTGGATTCGCTAGCCTGATGGCCGCTCGTTCGCAGCTCTTGATGCTGGGTCGTACCTCGTCGCCCTGCCACATTGTTGCGCCGTGCCCCCACGATCATGCGTGTCCAATGCTGCATGCCTGGCCCGGCGATACAAAGACTCCACGGGGTCTGTCGTTGTGTGCGTACTCTCAGCTGTACCGCTTGCCGTCATTCACACGTGCGGCAGCGCGTCTGCAGCGTGGCGATGCGGTGGAAGAATACTGCTACGTCGTGGTACAGCGCGGCGAACGTCCTTCGTTGGCGACCCACACGCCGATGTGGGCTTCGTCGCTGGCTTCGTCGCATGTGCCTGAGGCAGTATCGCACATGGCCCAGGCAGGTCGGCAGGGCGTGCTGGACGACCTGCGGGCCAGTACCGCCGCGCCCGACGCTTCGGCGGCTACCCCGCCGTCGTATGTAAGCGACGTCGTGGCCCAGGGCTTGACGCAGGACCGTGTGCTCCAAACGGACGCGTATGCGTGGCCTCGCTTGGTACGTGCGCCCCTCAAGAAGGGAGGGCATGTTACGATGGACGGCTGCTGTGAAGACGGCCATATACAGCGGTTTACTATCGCCAAGTCCGTCGGTCGGCAGGCGTACCAAGACGCACGCAAAGCGCGGCAGGGCGATTTGTATGCCCACGCCGCCCTTAGCAGCAAGCCGATCATGGTACTTCCGAGTCCTCATGCCAACGACATGCAGAAAGATACCCAGGAGGATAACACGGCACTGTCTCGACGTGGCTCGTCCGTGGCTCGCGATGAAGAATACGTATACCTCGGCCCTGAAGCCCAGTACCAAACACGCCAGCTGGGCCACGTCTCTAAGCGCGTGTCACGCCGCGCGCCCAAGCGCCGCATGATCTTGGATGCCACACGCGACGATACACGTAGCAGTCGCAAACCCAACCGCCGAGAATTGGACGAGGCCATGTGGGCTGACGACCAAGCGTCGTCGTCCCATCTTCCATAGTGTTGGCGCCCTGCGCGTATTTGTACCTCCACCAACGTCGTACTAGCACGACCGACCACGATGCGCGACGAGGGCCCGGCGGCTCCACGAGAAACGTCAACGCCTGCGTCGTCAGACATGGCGCTCGCGACACGCGGCACCGTCTCTGCGCCGCCGCAGATCGGCGAACGATCGCTGCGGCAGCAAGTGGTGCTGGACGAGGAGACGTACACCAGTGGCCTTTCACGCATTATCCAACGTGATTTTTTCCCCGACTTGCCACGTCTTCAGGCGCAGAATGCCTATCTTACGGCCCTGGATGAAGGGACCCAGGATGAAATTGAGGAAGCGGCACGCCGCCTTGTGCACGAAGAAGCACGATACGGCGTGCTTACCGAGCGAACACGACGGGCGGACGACGGCGAGCCACTCACGCCGATGCCCATGCCTTCCTCCACGCCTCGATCCGATACACCGAGGCCCTCGGTGGGCACAACGCCCTTGTCGTACGTGGGCGATACGCCTCGCTCGTCCACTTCGATGCACGCTGCAGATGTGCCTACCAACCTGACGATGGGGCAGTACCAAACACGCTACACAACCGAAGACAATGCATCGTTTGCGCATCTCATGGACGTCACACGCAAGCGACGTCGTGAGAAGTACGACTGGGCCTACAAGGCGGCGGAGCACGAGACGGCCAAGCGCCAAGCAAAGATCGAGGCGGCCCACCACGAAGCTGAAGCGGGTCGGCGGCTGGCCGGGCCCTCCGCGCCGAAAGGCTTGCTGGCGCCGCCACCACCGCCAGTACCGCCGACCTCGTCGTCTCACGCACAGGGAGCGCTTATGCATGCGCCTGGCAGTCTCACGTCTACAGCGAAAGCGACCAAGACAGATATGCCGCCCCCGCGGCTGGTTCATGCCAATACGCGTTTGGATTGGCACAGCGATCTAGGCATGCCATCGTCGGCTACGACTCCATCGACGCCCAGTAGCAGTGTGGTCGATGCTGCGATTCATGGCACTTCGTCCCCTCGTGTGAATGGCTACGGGTTCGTGAGCATGCCGTCCACACCACGTACAGACATCGGGACACCGTCTGTGGCAGCGACGCCACGAGCCAGTGCTGCCTCAGCGTCGAGGACGCCACGGCCTAGTACTGACATACTCAGTCCTGCTGCTCGCACGTTGCTGCAGCGTACCAGTCGTTCTGTCTCGACGCTGTACCGCGCCAATCCCTCGTCGACGCCGCGCTCTGCTCGCTGGACACCAACGCCTAGTCCGGTCGTTCGACGTAACTCATAACATCCTATCTAGCTAGATACCCCATACCACGACTTTGCCATCCCACCCAGCGGTAGCAAATCGCTCCCCTGTAGGGCACGTGCGTACACATGTCACACGCGCATCATGACCTGTAAGCGTGGCCACGGCCTCGGCGCGCAGCGTATCCCATACCACGCACTTGTGGTTTTCGTAGCCGGCACAGAGCATACGGCCTGAGCGTGAGAAGGCGATTGACTTCACAGGCGAGGCTGATGTCGCAGGCTCGTAGATATTCAGCTCACGTTGTGAGCGCACATCCCACAGACGGCACGTTCCATCGTCAGAGCTTGACGCCAAAGCCATGCCGTCGGGGAACATGGCCACACTGTTTACATCCGAGCGGTGGCCCGTGAACGTATGCTGCACGCGGCCCGTGCGCCGGTCCCATACACGCACATGCGAATCAATGCCGCTGGAGACAAACACGTCAGGACTGGTCGGCGAAAGGGCCAAGCTTAGGACGTCGCCCTGGTGCTCGGAAAACGTATGGACTGGCGTTTCCGACTCTGTATCCCATTGCACGATAGTGCCATCGCCCGACGCCGTGAACAATGTATAATCATCGAGAAACTCACACGCGCTAATGTAGCCAGAGTGACCCACGAGTGTGTGCTCCACGGGCACATCCACCGCACTCTCGCGATGCCGCAGATTGTAGATCGAGCATGCATTGTCCAGTCCACCAGACGCGACCAGCAGGCCCGAGGGACAGTAGGCACAGCACATGACATACGGCACAGGCGTGGGGATGGCCTGCACCTTTTGGCCATGGTGCGGATTCCAGAGCACCAAATAGCCGTCCTGCGAAGCGGTCAGTAGATACCGTCCCTCATTTGACCATGTCAGGGCTGGTACTTTCGAGGATTGGCATCGCATGGTCATTTGGCGCTTGATGTTCAACGAGCGGATCGCCGGCACATGACTCGCAGCTAAGCGCACTGTCCATGAGCTTCTCGTAGAGGTACGTACAGTTGGTATCCGCCATGCTTTTTGAGCGCGCATCCAGTTTCTGCTTTAGCGCGTCTGACTCGACGCGTTGCGATGTAATGGCATCCTGCAGCTCTTCCGGCATGAGTATCGTCAGCCGAAAGGACCGCAAAGTCGTGGTCCCCGCAAGGAACAGCAGAGAGGGAGCCAATAGCGGTCCCTCGGCCGATCGCGAGACCCCCTGCTCTTGTCCTCCTCCTCCGCTCTGCACGGCCCCCCTTTGTGTCCACGTGGTGACGACCATGTCCCACGCAGGGTCCTGGGCCGAGTCTCGCCGCTCCAGAGCTATGCATACTCATCGTCGCTCAGCGTTCGATAGCTTTGACGAGTCGCAGTGGCTGTATGGATTGCGCGAGCATGTACGTTCCGTCCTGCTGGAACGACGAAGGCCCCTGTCTCGCGACCAGGCCCCTCCCTCAACCCCGCCGCTGATTCGCGCTCAACACCAGGCGCCTAGGATGGTCGCGTCCGACCACGAAGAGGAGGCGCCTGAATCGATTCCGGAGGACCCGGAAGCCAAGTCGCATTTACGCCTCGCTGCTGATGCTATGAAAGAGCTCTTGGCGCTAGGCGGCGTCGTCGACGAGGAGAGTGAGCAGCCTGTGGAGATGGACGGCTTTGCAGAAAAAGTATGGCGTGTGGACGAGCCACAGGAAGAAGGCCCATCCTCCCTCTTCTCGCTCTTTCAGACCCAGTCGAATGGGCCTGTCGACGTGGATGCCCTCCTGCGCTTTCGTGCAGGTATGACGGAGGCGCAAGCTGAAGAAGAGGCTATGCCACCTCCACGCCCCAAAATTGAAGTGGTGGAGAGTGACGCTTCTGCATCCAGTGCTACCAGTGACAGCGACGATGACGAGGGCAGCGGAGATCCTGCCGAGGATGACGCCATGGAGGCTGACGAGGATGAAGACCACGAGGGCAAAAATGATAGCCAAGACGATGACGACGATGGCGACAACGACGATACCACGGGGGACTCGCCCAGGCAGGACAATGCATCGCCGTTTTTACGTGACTTGGCGCACGCAGCGTCGACGCACTCGTATGAAGATACGGAGCAGGCCACGCCCGCTGAGCTTTTGATACCTGGCCAAGGTGGTCAACACGCCCCGATCGTCGTTTTATCCGACAGCGAGGAAGAGGAAGAGGAAGAGGAAGAGGAAGAGGAAGAGGAAGAGGAAGAGGAAGAGGAAGAAGAGGAAACGACGTCGCCCCCTTCTCTTCCCAAGTTGTGGTCCTACGCTGTGGATGATGCCCTTGCTGAAGGCAATAGCAATGAGGAAGATGAAGAAGAGGGTGATGGAGAAAACATGCTGGCAGAAGACAATATGCTAGAAGAAGAAGAAGAAGACAGCATGCTTGCGGAACAAGAGGAGGAGGAGGAGGAGGAGGAAGAAAACATGCTGGAGGATGAAAATGAAGGGGACAATGATGAAGATATTGGGCTGAGCCAACGGAACACTGAACCGACGGCTCATATGGACATGCCGGCCTCTTTGATAGCCGATGCCTCACCTTTTACGGAGGAAGAGCCAGCTCTACATCCATCTTTGCCTATCGATGAGGCGTCTGAGACTCGTACAAACCTTACCGAGGTGATGGACGAAGATGCAATCACCGCCTCTCTCCTTCCTACGTCTGAGACGGCTGAGAACACGTCCACCGTAGACACGTCTGCGGAGGCGACCACAGCGCCACGTTCCGAAGTAGTTATTGAGCTGCCGACGTACGAACGCGACGAGACATCAGGGCCATCGTCGATGACGGACCCCGTGCCCGTCTCGGAGACGCCAGCCACAGATGCACAGCCTGCACATGTGTCGCCTATGGACTCGTTGGCTTCGCAGGATGAGCCTACCATGATCGATCCTTCGTTGTTATCTGTCCAAGCTGATGCGTCCCGAGTGTCTTCCGCTGATGCTGCCACGAACCAGGTAACAACGGCATCTGATGGTACGTTGTCTGAACATCCAGATACATCGGAGGCCCATGACACGTACCCCACCTCGCAAGGCAAGGACGAGCCAGCGGAGTTGGCCACGCAGCCTTCCCCTGATAGGGACGTGTCCGATGCCAGCACTGAAGCGCTGAGTGAGGACGAAGAAGCGGACACATCCAATTTGCTGGAGCAGCCAGACGAGCACGATATCATGTTTTCATCGCCCTCGCAACATGCCACGCGTTCTCACTGCGCGTTCCAGCGGCTGACATTGACGAAAGAAGACGGAGCGCCGACGTTTATTGTGCGTTCCTGTACGCTGAACCCTACTGTGCTAGAAGAAGAAGGCGCGGAACAGACTGATGTGATCACCGATAGTCTGGAGATGCAACCGTTGGATGCGGATTCGCTGCCTGAGTCGGTGTACCATGCCTTGTGCCGTATAGTCGGCCCGGCCTTGCTGGACGATGTGTATGTGCTACCACAGAGTTTGGGCGCTCAATGGATGAAAACGGATCCCGAGCATGCAGACATCGAGGCCTCGCCTTCTAAGCGACCACGAACGAATACACCATCGCCACCGCGGCGGATGCGATTGCGTACAGCGCAAGAGCGTCGACGACGCCAGCCTTTCTCGCCTAGTTAGCGCTTCTTTGTAGATACCCTTAAAACGCGTGAACCCTCCACACGTGGCACATCGACCCTTGTCGTAGGCCCATCATGTCTCTCTTGTCGTTGACGCGGCGAGGTCTTGGTCGGCCAGCTGTGCCTCTGCTGGCTCGTGCCACGCATAGTTCGTACCGTCCCATCTCTCCGGAGTCTGTTGCGAAGGAGGATGCAGAGTACGAAGCGAAGATTCAAGCGGCTGAGCAGGCTGTCGCCGATATGGGCTTCCCTCGCCTCTCTGTCTTTCGCCAGCCGGTAAGCTGGGGCGATCATGATCAATTCCAGCATGGTACGTCCAGTGTCACTTACCATAGTCAACAATGCACACTACATTCGCTGGTTTGAGACTGCCCGTATGCGCTGGATTGAGCGTGTGACAAGCACCATGCGACCTGAGCTCCGTGACAACTTGGCGCTGGGCCGCGGCGTAGGCATTATTCTTGCGTCGACGTACTGCCGCTACCGTCGGCCTGTGACGTACCCTGACACGGTCGTGATTGGCAGTGCTCCGTACCCACTGCGTCGTCGTGATCGTTTCGTGATCAAGGAAGTGGCCTACTCAGTCAACCAGCGTGCGATGGTCGCCGAGGCCGACTTTGACTGCGTAGGCTACGACTACGACAAGCTGTGCAAGGCCACTTTGCCAGACGACTTGGTTGCTGCCATGGAGATGTGGCAGTACACGGGCGCCGGGAGCGATAAAAAGCGTTAGCACTTCGCGCATACATATATTGCGAATAGAAAATCATAATACTATGGTACACTACACAGAGATGGTCTTGAAGAAGTGGAAGCCGTCCGAAGACGTTGTACCGAGCATACCGGGGATCTGCGGGTGCCAGTGCACTTCCTTGATATCGCTTGCACCGTGGTGACAGAACAGCAGCTGACTCGGCACAGGCTCGCCGTTCGGGCCTGTGGGCATCTGGGCAGCCTGTTCCTCGTCGTCATGCTCTACACCCAGGTCCCACAACGTCACTTGATCATCCCGACCTGACGCCGCAAAGATGCTGTCTTCTTCCGGGTGCCATTCCACACTGCTGATCGGCGCACGATGCCATTGGAAGTGCGCCACAGGGGTAGACCGCTGGGTATTCTTGAAGGCACGCATATCCCATACATTCAAGGCGCCATCATCGCCACCTGAGAGCAGCAGGTACTGCGTGCCACGGTTCCAGCTGATCACATTCACATCCTGCTCATGCGCGGCATCGACGGTGAGCGCCGAGCGATGCGACTTTACACGCACATCCCAAATACGAATACTGCGGTCTGCCGAGCACGACGCAAAGACGGTCGGCTCAGCAGGTGACCACTGCAAGTCCTCCACCGACGATGTATGACTCTCAAACGGCGTAGCGTGTGTTGTAAAGCCGGTATTGTTGCTTGTCGTGAGGAAAATCTTGCTATGCATATCACCTGTGACCAGACGCAGGTGCCCGCCCTTGCCAGACGAACCGCCGCCAAGGACACCGCCCCAGTCCATGGCAAAACCTTCGGTGCGGTGCGACGACACTGTAAAGAGCGGCGTCTGCACCTTCTTCTTATCGATGGTCGTGCCGGGCTGGTTCAGCGCATTGTACAGCGGCCGCACGTCCCAGATGTGCACCTTGCCTATCTCGGACCACGTGGCCACAGGGTATGGATCGAGGCAGGGCTCCAAGTCCGATGTGGGAGTCGTCGTGGGAGCGGCGCGGATACGGTTGATGCCGCCCAGATGCGGGATCGATTTGTACTCCAGCACGGCATCTTCATCGACATCGTCGTCCTCATCGTCGTCCTCATCGTCAGAATTGGCTGGCATCGTTAGTACTGTTTCAGAAATCCATTGTGGTAGGCTCAGAGAAAATAAGATAGGTAGCGAGTTTGTTTTCGGCATCGAGCGGCACGCCGCTCATACAGCCAAATGCCTCAAGACATCATAGCCAAGCAATGGGGGGAATACGTACCATCATCACGCGATGTGCGATGCATAGCACTGGCCTTCATGACCAGCACTTCATTGTTCTTGGCCGTATCGGCCTGTGTACCCGCGACAAAGTAGGCCGTATGCGGCATCGTCTGGCGCTGCGAGCCCAAATGATCGCGCAAAAAGTCGAACGACAAGCAGGGCCACGTCACGTTCATGCGGTGTAGCATATGGTACGCAGACTGATCAGGCACTAGCGTCTGGCCTTCTTCCAATGGCATTACACCAGGCATGTACGCCTCCGTAGGCGGTGCTGACGTCTCTTCGTCATCCAGGGCCTCGTTCTCTACTTCTTCCAACTCCATCTCGCCTTGGTTGTTCACGACTTCGCCGTCGCTTTCAATCTCATCCTCAAAGGGATCCTCAAATTCACCCATACCCTCATCGTGAGGGGGGACAGATGCATCCGTCGCACCGTCGACACGGGGGCGCTCCGCATCAGGCGCGACCTCGCCATCGGCCAACGTGCGTTTGGACATGGTACAAAGCCAAAAAAAAGTGCTTGGGCCGACCTGCCTAGAAAAAAAAACCCGAAGAAAAAAATGCCACGCGGTGCTGGCATTCGCATTCGCATCCGCAGCCATGCCATGCCACCGTGCCTCCACTTGTCCCTCGTACACGGCGCTGACTCAGCGCTGTGCGGGTGACTGCAAGGTCACTCACACCGGCGTGGCCCTCCAATTTTTTGCACGGACGTTCATTGATCGATGTCGGCAATTCGTGCGCTTGTTCTAGGCTCTGGTGGTCGTGAGCATGCGCTTGCTCTGCACCTGCTCCGCTCGGAGCGTGTAGAGCATGTGTATGTAGCGCCTGGCAATGGCGGTACAGCGACGCTAGGTCATCGCTGCACCAATTTGGCCTCCCCCAAAGCTAGTGGTGATTTCTCGGACATTGCGCAATGGGCAAAGGACAACAAGATTACATTGTGTGTGCCAGGCCCAGAGGCGCCTCTGGTCGAAGGCGTCGAGACGGCTTTCCGCCAAGGTACGTCCTTGAGTACTCACCCCCAGTCGGTATTCCAGTGTTCGGCCCCTCGAAGGAGGCAGCGCAGATGGAAGGCTCCAAGGCCTATGCCAAGGACTTTATGGCACGTCACCATATCCCTACGGCGGCGTACCGTACTTTTACGGCCGATCAAGTCGATGCCTGCATGGCGTACATTCAAGAGTTGGGCGGTGCGAAGGCCATAGTGCTCAAGGCGAGTGGCCTGGCCGGCGGCAAGGGTGTGATTCTCCCTGAGACGGACGAAGAGGCGTATGAGGGTGTGCAAGATCTGCTGGTGAAGAAGGTGTTTGGCGATGCTGGCGATGCCTTGGTCGTCGAGGAGCGTCTGGACGGCTCGGAGCTTTCCGTGCTGGCCTTCTCGGATGGCTACACTGTTCGTGCGCTGCCTGGCTGCCAGGACCACAAGCGCATTGGCGAGGGCGATACGGGCCTGAACACAGGCGGTATGGGTGCATACTGCCCGACGCCGGACGGTACTGCGCCAGGCATGGAAGAACGTATTCGCAACGAAGTGCTCTTGCCGACCATTGAGGGTATGCGTCGCGACGGCACACCCTTTGTCGGCATGCTGTTCGTCGGTTTGATGCTTACCAGCAAGGGGCCGAAAGTGCTCGAGTACAATGTACGATTCGGTGATCCAGAGACGGAAGCTGTGCTGGAACTGCTGGCCGAGCCAACGACGTTGACGGATGTGATGATGGCATGTGTCGAGCGCCGTTTGGACTGCGTAGAGCTGGCTGTGCGTCCCGGTTTTGCAGTGAGCATTATCATGGCCAGTGGTGGCTACCCCGGCAAGTACGCGACGGGCGTCCCGATCGATATGAGTGCGGTGCCGGGCAATGTGTCTGTGTACCATGCTGGCACGAAGCGTCTTGAGGATGGGACGCTGGTCACGGCTGGTGGTCGTGTGCTGGCCGTGTCGGCGGTCGGCAGCACGCTGGAAGAGGCATTGGAGCATGCGTACGCGGGCGTGAACAGCATTCAGTTTGACGGCATGGTCTTCCGCCGCGACATTGCGCACCGTGCGCTCGGCAAGGCAGCGTCCACCTCGGAGAGTCTGACGTACGCAGCGGCAGGTGTCGACATTGATGCGGGCAATGCGCTGGTCGAGCGCATTAAGCCGCTGGCCAAGAGCACGCAGCGTACAGGCTGTGTCGGTTCGCTGGGCGGCTTTGGCGGTGTGTTTGACTTGAAGGCACTGGGTATGAACGACCCGCTGCTTGTGAGCGGTACAGATGGTGTGGGCACGAAGCTGCGTGTGGCGCTCGACTTCGGCAAGCATGATACGATTGGTATTGACTTGGTCGCCATGTCGGTGAACGACCTGATCGTGCAAGGCGCGCAGCCGCTCTACTTCCTCGACTACTTTGCCTGCTCCAAGCTGGATGTCGACACGGCTTCGGCTGTGGTGAGCGGCGTGGCGGAAGGCTGCCGTCAGGCGCAGTGCGCGTTGATCGGTGGTGAAACGGCTGAGATGCCAGGTATGTACGTCGGCGACGAGTACGATGTGGCAGGCTTTGCTGTTGGTGCGGTCGAGCGTAGCGCGATTCTTCCACGCATGTCGTCGATGCAAGCAGGCGATAAGCTTATTGGTCTGCGCTCGAGCGGCGTGCACTCCAACGGCTACTCGCTCGTGCGGAAGGTCGTGGCCAAGTCGGGTGTGTCGCTGCACGCGCCGTGCCCCTGGGGCGCGCCTGGGTCGGTCGTGGATGGCGTGTCGACGCCAGCGACGCTTGGCGAGGCGCTCCTTGCGCCGACGCGTATCTACGTTCAGGCACTGCACCATGTCCTTCACTCCACTGATCATGCCGTGCTGGGTCTCGCGCACATTACGGGCGGCGGTTTTACCGAGAACATCCCGCGTGTGCTGCCTGACGGTCTCGGCGCGCACATTGATCTGAGTACGTGGGCCCGCCCCCCGCTGTTTGCCTGGCTGCAGCAGCAGGGCCACATTGAGGCGGCAGAGATGGCACGTACATTCAACAACGGTATCGGTATGGTCCTCGTCGTTCCCGCCTCGGCCTGTGACGCGACGTGTGCGGCATTGCAGGCTGCGGGTGAAGCACCTGTCACCATGGGCGAGCTTACGTCGCAGCCGGGCGTGACGTACGCGCACTTGGACTCGTGGACTATGTAGCGCTCGTAGCAGAAGAGTGGTGGTGGAGGCTCGCTGGGAGGGCATGTGGAGAAGGCCCTTTTGGGTGCTGGGGGCGACGAGAGGCGACGCGGAGGGGCCGTGGGTTCGCGCGGTTTTTTTCTAAAGGACGCTCTCTCCGTGTGTGGCTCCTCGCCCCATCGAAACGATGTCAAACATTGAGATGGTCGAGCGGACAAGCTCCATCGACGATCCATTTGCCGAGCCGGCTCATGCCAAGAGTGCGAAGGCATACGCCTCTGACGATGGCTCGTCGGCGTTGAGGACTGCGATTGCGACGGGCAATATGGAGCGCGTCGGTGTGATGATGTGGGTCCTGACGATGTGTGCCGCGTTGTGTGGCTCATTGTTTGGCTACGACACTGGCTACGTATCCTCTGTTCTTGTCTCTCTGGATCAGTTTGGCGACTTTGGCCTGCTTGGCGATGGTACCAAGCAGTTTATTACGTCGGCTACGTCGCTCGGCGCGTTGATCGGATCGGTCTGTGCCATGTTCCCTTCCGACTGGTTCGGTCGGAAGGCCGTGATTGCGTTGGCCAACATTGTGTTTATTGTAGGCGCCATCATCCAGGCGGCCGCGCACAATACGTGGACACTGATTGGCGGCCGTTTCGTTGTAGGTATCGGTGTCGGCATCGCGTCCATGATTGTGCCGTTGTGGATTGGCGAATTAGCCCCTGCCCACCTGCGTGGACGATTGGTGACGCTCAATGTCGTGTTCCTTACGCTCGGTCAGCTGGTAGCTACCGCCGTAGGTGCTGGCTTTGAAGGCGTCCATGGCGGTTGGCGCTACACAGTCGCTGGCGGTGCGATCCCTGCGATCATTTCCCTGGCGACGATGGCTTGGCTGCCAGAGTCGCCACGGTACGATAGTCACCGCGGCAATCTCGAGCGTGCTGTACGTACGTTCCGCCGGATCTATCCACATGCGACCGAGGAGTACTGCCGGCAGCGGGCTGAAGATCTGGCTCAAGCACTGCATCAGCTGGACACTCGTATGGAGAAGCTGCCGTACATGCAGCGCCTGCGCATGCTGTTGACTGGGCCGAACGCGCGTGCCCTTGCGATCGCATGCGGTCTGCAAGCAATGCAACAGCTCTCTGGTTTCAATACGCTGATGTACTACAGTGGTACCATCTTCGAGGCGATTGGCTTTAACAAGCCTGTTGCTGTCTCGTTGATTGTAAGTGCCACCAACTTCCTGGCGACGCTCTTTGCATTGCGTTTTATTGACTTGATTGGTCGACGTCGTGTACTTCTGTGGTCGGTGCCGATCATGGTCGCAGCCTTGGTCTTTGCAGCAATTTGCTTTGCGTTCCTTCCGACCACACCAAGCGGTGATGTGGTATCCGATATTCCTTCGGGTCGGAAAGTATGGACGTATCTGATTATTGTTGCGTTCATTATTTACGTCTTCTTCTATGGCTTTGGTATCGGCAATGTGCCGTGGCAGCAGGGCGAGCTGTTTGCGATCGAGACGCGTGCTGTGGGAACCAGCATTGCAACGGCGACCAACTGGGCATGCAACTTGATCATTGGTGCGACCTATCTATCGCTGGCTCGGGCTGCGACCTCGTCTGGTTCGTTCGGCTTTTACGCTGGTCTGTGTGCGATTGGCTTTGTGTTCTGCTTGTTCTGTTTCCCAGACACGCGAGGTTTGTCGCTCGAAGAAGTCCACTTCATCTTCCGTGGGTCGTGGGGCATTCGCGCGGCCGAAGAACTGCGAAACGAGAAGAAACGCGTGGCGGAAGAGGCACGTGCGCGCGACGCCATCGAGGCGGCTTTGGCGCCGCGCATGGACTCGCCTATGGATGCGTCAACGACACAGTTTGTCAAACAGCCCACCCATATCACAGTTACGCGCACACGCAACGGTGATGGCGATCTAGATGCCGTGGATATGCTGGACCCCCTCGACGACTACAAGTCGACCAGCTTTACGAGCAGCGGCACGTCCGGCATGAATGGCTCGACCCCAGCTGCGCTGCCCCTGAGCCTTCCTAGTGAGATTCAGCCACCGGAGTTGGCACCAGTTCGTCGCTCGCATTCATTGCCGTACTTGCACGACGCCGCACAGTCAGAGATAGACGTCGTGCATCCCCCGCAGGTGGATGCATCGCAATCGACGAACCCACTGAGCCGCTATTTGGGCATGCATGGCGATGCGCTCATGATGTTTGTGACGTGCTTTGCCAGTCTTGGTGTGTTTATGTTTGGCTACGACCAGGGCGTGATGAGTGGCATTCTCACACACCCTGCCTTTAAAGAGTTCTTTGAGCATCCGACGGCGGCACAGGTCGGTACTATGGTCGCGATTCTCGAGATTGGGGCATTGCTGACGTCGCTGCTAAGTGGTGTGCTTGCAGACCGCTTTGGCCGCAAGGCTGTGCTCGTGTGGGGCGCGCTTCTCTTTTCGCTGGGCGGTATGGTGCAAACGTGTGCTCTTGGGTACCGCTCCATGGTGGTGGGCCGCATTCTCTCAGGTTTCGGTGTGGGCTTTCTCAGCATGATTGTGCCGACGTATCAAAGTGAGGTATCGCCAGCGGAGAACCGCGGCAAGTTGGCGTGCATCGAGTTTACCGGCAACATTGTGGGGTACATGGCCAGCGTGTGGTTTGACTATGCGAGTGGGCTCCTGGAAGGCAATATGGCCTGGCGCACGCCTCTGCTCGTCCAGCCTATGATTGGATTGACGCTGGCGTTTGGGTCGGTCCTGCTGCCAGAGAGTCCACGCTGGCTGTGTGACCAGGACCGCGATAAGGAGGCGATGCTGGTTCTCACAGATCTCCACGACAAGGACGATCCACGACATGTGCGTGCGAAGCTGGAGTTCTGGGAAATCAAGACGAGTGTACTTCAAATGCGTGCGCAGGGCGACCGATCGTATCGTACGATGTGGCAGCGACTGCGCTACCGCACACTGATCGGCATGTCATCGCAAATGTTTGCGCAGTTGAATGGCATCAATGTGATTTCGTACTACGCGCCGCTGGTCTTTGAGAGCGCCGGCTGGATTGGCCGTGACGCGATTCTCATGACGGGGCTCAACGCGATCATGTATGTGCTCTCGACGATTCCCACTTGGTTCCTTGTGGATACGTGGGGCCGCCGTCCGATTCTGCTTACAGGGGCTCTTCTGTGTGCGCTGACGCTAGGGGCATGTGGTCTCTTCTTGCGCGCCAATGTATCGTACACGCCCACTGCTGTGGTAGCGTGTGTCATCTTGTTCAACGCGGCGTTTGGGTTCTCATGGGGCCCTATTCCGTGGGCATGGACGCCCGAGATCATGCCTTTGGCGTTCCGTGCGAAGGGCTCGTCGCTCGCGGCAGCCACCAACTGGGTATTCAACTGGATTGTGGGGCAGCTTACACCGGTTCTGCAAGAGGAAATTGGATGGAAGTTGTACCTGCTGCATGCTTTCTTCTGTCTGTGCTCGTTCGTGGTCGTATACCTGTTCTACCCAGAAACCCAAGGTGTGCCATTGGAAGAAATGGATACGCTGTTTGGCGATGAAGGCGCGCCCATCCCGCAAATGGACTATGAGACAGGCGAAGTGCGCTCCTCGCACGGCTCCGATCCAGAAGTGTGTCGCGTGCGTCGCTCCATCAGTACACACCCGCGCTTCTTCGACGATGTCCAGCAGGAAGTGCAACGGCGGCAGCGCGAGTCGGCACACTCTACCTCGTGGCTCGCTCAGACATGGTCCCGTATGACCAGTGCCTTTGGCTCCCAAAACCGCGGCTCCTATGAAGCACTACCAGTGGATTCGACATCGTAGGCTGTCAGGTGGAATCGTTATTGTAATACATAATTATACAGAGTTGGTACATTAGGAATAGTGACGCGTTCGCCGGTACATATGCGTTGCTTGTGCATGCGCTGCATGTATTTGTGAGTCGAGCTCGTGAAGCTCGCGTTCCAACGTAGCATTCCTGCCTTGCAACCAGTCAAGTAGGTCGATCACCTGGAAGAGGACGGCAGATTTGCTGCCAGCACCGCCGGCACTGCCGCCACGTCCACGCCCACGCCCACGCCCACGCTGACTCTTTCCAGCCATAGCGCGGCTACGTGCACGACGCTGAGCATTGCGTTTGCGCCGCTGAATTTCTTCTTCGTCACAGCCCAGCAGCAAATCTTCCTCTGTGTCCGTTCGATCGTCCAACTCTTCATCCTCCACGCCCGTGCCAGCGCCAGAATTGAGGCCTAGCGCGCGAGCGCCATAGCCCCGCCCTGCATCGAGGAGCTCAGAGAGCTTGGTAAATCCTTCGCGAATTTGATTACGACGGCGCTGCTCGGAAATAATGTGACGCTTGCGTCGGCCGGTCCCTGTGCCTGTTCCTTGTGTCGCATCCGAGGTCGAGTCCTCGTCGCCAGTGTCATTCGACTTGACAGGGGGCGTAGGAGAGGCCATGCCGGACGCGCCGCTTGGCCCTGGTCGCGAGGAAGGAGAGGCGGCATTGGCCCAAGAGGGTGCTAGCGACAAGAATGTGGACGACCCTAACGATGCCAAAGGTGGTAGGGGTAGATCAGAGGTAGGCAAGCCGAGCGATGGTACCGACGGCAACTCAGCAAAGTCCGCATCCAACGAATGCAAGAAGTTGGTCAACATAGCACTTTCATTTTCGTTTAGCAACGTGCTTGACGCTGCTTGAGCATCAGCTGGCGCTGTGAGCGTGGAAGGGAGGGAAGAAGCGACGTGCGCAGGGACGGTGAGCGACGTAGTCATAGGCACTGTGGGTGCCATATCGGCCGGCGTGGAAGTAGTAGACGATGTCGGACGATCCGACATGGACGCAGCGGCAGGCGTCTCGGACTGCAACTCACACGTAAGTCGTGATAAGAAGGATTCATCGAGCTCCAAGTTCGGCGGGAGCTGGCTCGGTACGGCAAAATCTAGCAAGTCAGATCGGAGGCGGCTGGGACATACCTTCAAAGGGACCAGGCGCTGAAGGGAGCGCGCCTGTCGTGAGTGATGAGTTATCCATCGATGGACGTCGGGGCATGGAGGACGAAGCCTCGGCAGATTTGGTAGACGAAGACGTGGCTGGCCACGACATCCCCCTGGCTTCGGTGCTTTTGTCTTCTAGATTGCGTTTCAACGGTAGCCGTACGACTGGCCGATGTCATTGCGTCACAGCGTTCTCGGCCCCTATTTAATCTACACGTGTGATTGGCTGCATTCTTGTACCAGGCCTCCACCTCTATGGGGGGCCACCAGTGATAAGGGCCTCTGGCCACGATGCTGCAGCTGCTTCGATCAACGTCCAAGCCGACGTAATGCGGGTGGGAACGTGGTCAGGTAAGATTTTCCAGGCGTCCTGAGCCCGTTGGATCGAACGACGCTTGGATCGTGTAGACACTTTTTGTGTCGGCACATGCCGCAATGCATGTTCAACGGCGTCATGCGCCAGAAGCTCAACCGAGGTAAGCAGCCGATACGCCGCATCGTCCGTCTCGTCGCTACCCGCCGGGGGCTCGGCTAGGAGGAGTCGTTGGAGCAGAAACTGGAGCCACTATAGGTTAGCATGTGCAGAATACGTACCAATACATTGGTCATCGGTGTAGCATCGCGCCAATCGTTTGCTACCAGGCGTCGCATCGTACGGTACACTTCGTACTGCGAATCACCTTGGCCCGTAAATATAGACTCATCAGAGAAATCATAAGCCCAAATCTCGTCGCCCTGTTGAATACGCGAGAGCGCATAATCGATCATGGTCGCACGTACGCCTGTGCAGGCGGGGGCATGCCGCGCTGCCATGAATTCGACCAAGTTGGCAGACGACGTTGCCATATCTTGCGGTGTCGTAGGCTCATCAAGACGCACCAGTATATTGCTGAGGTGCAAATCACGGTGCTCAAAGCCCAGGTCACGCTCTGCCATGGCAAGGGCACAGGCTGTCTGCCAAAATACGGCAGCTCGTTGAGTCCACGATGTGAAGTGGACATGCTCCAGCTCTTGACCGGCATCGTCCATCATGAGTAGTGCGTATAGTTGCTGTAATGGCAACGTATCAGGCCGCGCATTCTCGGACCGAGACGGGTATGTCGTTTTAAACGCATCCCATGCCCGAAGCAGTTCATCAGGGTACTTTCCACGTACTACACAGGCGCGGTGCAAGTGCACCGTATGCGCTGACCATGTTCGTGTCGGCTGACTGAGCGCCTTCGTAAGTCGCACTTCTCGCTCGACGCTGCTATAGGGAGAGAGGGTAAGTCCACGAGGAAGCTCGTCCAAACTGCCAGAGTCGAGCGCAATGACTTTCATGACACGCGCGGGCCGGCCATCGATCGGTGTGCATTGGTATACGTCAGAATAACTAGCTTCGCCAATTTTGATGAGGGGACCTTGACGAGCCAGCTCAGTGACCATAGTATCAAAGGAAAGAGGAGATTGCTGATCAACACTCGACAATAGAGAGGTCAGCTCCGGCGTTTGGAGCGATAAGTCAGCCATGGCCGTAGACAGGCTAGGCTCTGTGTCTGCTTCATTACCACGGAGGTCAGCCAAGGGACGGCGTGTAGGCGACGCAGGTGGCGAAATATCATATTTGCTTGTCCATGAGCGCAGAGGGGCTGTAATTTTCTTGGTGATGGTATCGCGTGGACTCTGCATCCACGATGGCCACGGCGACGTGAGATCTACGCCCGCAAACAAACTTCGGCGCACAGGCAGCTGTGTCGAGGACCGTGAGGCAGGGGGCGGCGTAGCAGGTTGGTTCTCATCGAATGCCGGCGTCTTTTCTACAATCCTTGTCCGATTTTTGCGTCCATATACATGGATCTGACGTGTATTCGTGCTCTGCATAATGCAGACAACAACACGAAAGCAACCAGCAGCGTGTCACGCCTGCGTGGAGGAGGTGCACCTCCCTCGACACCACGCGTTTGATCACGTGATGATACGAAGACGAGCGCCGGCCGTCCACCGTCTCACGCTTCGCTTTGCCGTCGTGGTGGGAAGAAAAACGATGACGTGGAGTGTCATCGGTGCGCTACAAGGCGTACGCCATGCGCTGCCTACCCCCCATGGTAGCGTGCGTATGATGCATCAAACTTCGGTCCTGGCACGCAAATCGGGGCCTGGCCGCGGCCGTGCACGAAAGAGTCCGAATACGCTTCTTCGTTTGCATGCGGAGGGCAAACTTCGTGGTGCTGAGGCCTTGCAAGCGGCAAGGCTTGTAGAGGAAGAGAGGTTCCGTTCGAGCTTTTCGGGAAAGAGTGACGAAAGTGCACACCCGAGTGATACCATGACATTAAGCGATGCGCGCCAAGTGATTCGGGTATGTATACACGCCCTGCACACTACTAACAGGACAGGCCGTGGATGCAGCGCGGCCACGCAACGCGTATGAACTGCACATTGTAACGTCTGTGCCATCGAACCAAACCAATGCCTTCCGTGGCCGATTAACGTACCCTCGCGACCCACGTATCAAGGGTGAAACCGTACTGGTGTTTGCCGACCAAGACACAGAGGCTGCGCAGGCGGCGGAGCAGGTGAACGAGGAGCTGAAAGCGAGTGGATCTTCGACGCGCTTGATTGTTGGTGGTCAGGAGCTGATTGGTGAAACATCATCAGGCCGTGTGCCTTCGTATACGCGTGTGCTATGCACATCCGCGTTGCTGCCGAGTCTAAGCAAGGCTTTGGCGCGCACGCTGGGTCCGAAAGGTCTGATGCCCAACGTGAAGCGTGGCACTGTGGCCAACGATGGCGAGGAAATGCGTCGCGCTATTGATCAGCTTGTGACAGGTGTCGACTGGCGTGGCGATCGTGTGGGCGTGGTGCGTGGCGCTGTCGGCCGTATTTCGTTCAGCGAGGCGGACTTGCGTGCGAATGTGCAAGCGTTTTTGGATGCCGTCATTGCGCGTGCGGCGAGTGGCCTCACAGGCACCAAGGTGAGCGTTAAAGTCGTGGAGAGCTATGCACGTGATGTGTCATCGCAACGAGAGGATGGCACGACATGGCAACGCCGCGGTCCTGGGGCTATGAAGCGTGCGCAATCGATTATCAAGGATGTCTATCTAAGCTCGACACAGGGCCCAGGTATTCGTCTGCGTTTGGAGGATGTGTTGTAGGTAGGCCCCCCCTGATGCCTAGACGCAGGGCGAAAATAGGGACGCAGCGTAGAAATTAGTCAGCGCATGCACAATGAAGCAGCATCCAACACCAGCGTGGAGTGGCGTCAGGTAGACTGACACGCTCCTTCTTGCCTCGACGAGAGCGAGACAGAACGATTGTAAGTCAGCCATGCGGTTCTTTGCCGCTGTGGCCTTGCTGCTCTCGATTGCAGCCAGTGTGCTGCTGGGACTAGCGACCTTTAGTATTCCGATCAACGATGCGTTTTATCTGTTCCGCGCACGAATGCCAGGCTTGGACTTGAAATTCGGTACGTTTGGCTACAGTGTCAATGGCCAAGATTCGCCGATGAAGCTGGGGTATGTGATACCAAATCTGCCAGGCGACTTGAATGCGATTTCTGGTATCGTGCATACCCTGTCGTACGTGCTCGTTGTGCTTCCCATTGGCTTTGCCTTTGCTGTCGTGACGTTCTTTGCTACGCTGCTGGGCTTGCTATGCTCGCCCGCCATGAATCTGTTAGGTCTGATTCTCGCTGGCATTGGAGGACTGGTCACGACCTTGGCATTTGCAATTATCATTGCACTGTACTATGAAGTGCGCAATCAGCTAGGCAACCAAACCGTGCTCGAGCTGACGTTCGGCAAGGCCTTCTACTTCGCGGTAATCGGTGCGGCGCTCCTTTTCGTGTGTGCTGGCCTGCTTTGCATTGCCGTATGCTGTGATCTCATTCGCCCACGTCGCAGCCGTGGCGGCACGGCATCCACGTCGGCCGCAGCGCCCTCGCAGCCCTACGAGCAAGTGGCCATGCAGCCCACGGTCGCCACAGCGCCCTCACAGCCGCATGATCTGCCGCAATTTGTCGAATACCATGCGCCTACCATGCAAGGAACAACAGTCGAGTCATCGGACTCGCAGCCAGATGTCTACATGTATCCTCCACGCCCCTCGCAGCGAGCGGCGCCGATGTCGTCAGAGCCGTACGCAGCGCCTGGTCCCAACACGGCCGGCATTGGTACGCAGATGGCACGCCGGCAGCCGGTCCTGTTAGCCGAAACGGAGTTGGATCGTCCTCGGGACGCAGGCACCTCGCGTGCGCATTTACTATCGGACCATGAGGACGACGAAGTGTACGGTGATGCCTACGCTGTGCCTTCCACATCCTCTCGTGCCCGCCCTGTGGACGAGTACGCCGACTCGGACTCTGCCTCGGTCCCACCTACCGCGCCAGGCGTCACACAGCAGCAAGCAGATGCATGGTTCCTGCCGGGCGGACGTACAGATGTCGCGCCGGCGGAGCCGCCTCGCTACATCAACACAACGTCGGACTATCCACGTGAGAAGGGCGGCGCCAGGTAAGAGCAAACGTCCTTAGCCACCATGTCTGTAGTTGTACATACATTGCATCATCTTTCTCCTACCAGAGTACGGTACAATCGTTGGCTAGTACAACGGACTACGTTACTTGCTGGGCGACGACGACGGTGGTGGTGGTGGTGTGGGCGTGGGCGCGGGCGCGGGCGCGGGTGCAGGCGCAGGTGCAGGCGCAGGTACAGGTGCAGGCGACGGTGACGACGTGACGGGCGGAGGGGCCGAGGCGGCTGACGCCTCGTCATCCGTTTGGACCGTCTGCATAATCTGGGCCAAGCCACTGAGCTGCTCAGGTCGAAGCTTGGACAAGACCACGCTCAAGTGCAAACGCTGCCGCGACGCAGCAGAGGCGCCAGGCGGCGGCGGCGGCGCTGTAGGTGGGAGAGGCACTTCTGTGATGCCAACCAACAGCACAGGCTCCGTTTGCAAGCCGACCACAGGCCGCGGCGCAGTCAGCCCTGGGTTCATCGCAATCGATTGCCCTGCACTGGCCAAAGAAAGCGCCGGAAGCAGGTGCGAGGCAGGGACGAGGTGAATGCCTAGCGCTGTAAGGCGTGGGACGCAGGTCATCGGGACGACCAACGGCAAAGGCTGCGTTGGAATCCCCTGCGTCGCATTACCTGGCTGAGACGGAGGTGGTCGTACGAGCCCCGATGAGCCTGCGACAGCGATGGGCGGGGCCCCTGCTGAGGTCGCGTTGCCTGGCGACGCCATCGGACCGGGCTGCCCACGTGACGGCATGCCTGCATAGGCCGGCATCGTTCCCGGCGCAAAGGTCGACAAGGGATACGGCGGACGAACGTCGTGAGGCGTGCGGGCCATGGTAGGCGAGGCACGTGTATACGCAGCAGAGGCAGTCCCATCGTCGCCCGGTCGTTTCATCGGCAGCGTAGGACTAGCAGACGTGGACCAATCCCGCATAGGCAACGTACTCCCAGGCAACACACTCGACAAGGGCAGACCCAGGCGCCCAGGTCGCTGTCGTTCAAGCTCTTCCAGCTCAGAACGGGCACGACGTAGCTCTGCAGAGAGATCCTGGAACGTCTTCAGCTCGTCTTCATATAGCAGTCGTTCCCAGTGCTCCAACGAGGCCTGCATGGAAGGTGCGCGATCGTACGTTGTCGCAGATCGCGTCTGAAGAGCCGCAAAGCGCTTCGCTAGTTGCGCACGTCGTTCGTACACGGAGGCAGTGTACGTCGCCGAGGGGAAGGGCGGTAGCGCTAAGCGCATAGAAGGGGTATCTTGCGATGATGCCTCGGTGTCCAGACGTGCGCGCTTGTACGGCACCGAAAACGTGACATTTTCGTTGTCGTCATCATCATCCTGGCTTTCCTTGGTCGCAGACGAGACAGTAGCCTCCATCGCGTGAATCAGATCTTTTTCAGGGAGGTGCCATACATGGTACGGTAATAAACGCTGCACCATATCGTCCCAACTGCGGAACGGCGTTTGTAGATCCGGAGAGAGTATACGTGCGTGATCCTGCGCTAGGCGTGCGCGATAGCGCTCCTGCGTACGTGCGCGCTGCTGCGCCAGCTCTGGATCTTCGCCGACCAAGTCCTTTTGCGGCGGTACACGCGCAGCAGGCGCAGGGCTAGGCACAGCCGGCGACGTCGCTGGCGCTGGTGTGCTGACCGCGACACCGACGCGCGCTGGACTCACAGCCGTATGCGAGGGCGGCGTAGACACCAACGGGGGGGCCGCGCTGGGTGTGAACGATGTGCGACGTGCGCTGGGACCGAGGCCATTCGCTGCGGCCAGCGCATTCGAAATGATAAACGGAGGAGCGGGGCTCGTCGTAGGTGGCGTACCGCGGTGCACGGTAGCCACAGGCGGTGGACGTGCGGCGTCGGTCGCCGTGGTCGGCGGTGGGCGCACGCCATGCCGATGCACCGTGACAATGGGGTTGGTATACTGCGACGAAGCGCCAGGGCGGGTATACACATCCGAGGCACGTACAGGGATGGTGGTGCCAGGCATGACAGACAGTGTCGAGGGCGTCGGCGTGCCGGAGGGTGGGGGCTCGTGACTGCCACTCGGCGTAGATGACGACGGCATGGCAGGCGCTGGGCTCGGCAGCGCAGCGCTCGTCGCTGGCGTACGAGACTCCGCAGGAGGCGACGCAGACACTGCCGTAGCAGCAGAAGAATTAGCGATGCCGGACACGCTGTCGATACAGAGAGAGGTGGTGGCGCAAAAAGTTCGTTCGCGTTACGAATCGCGCTGTCAACACGTCCTCAACGCAAATTGCCTCCGTCTTGGATGCACGCCCCGTTTTCTGCCAAGGGCCGCGGCGGCGACGCCGGGCGTGTTCTGTCGTGATCACGTGCACGCCAGGTCCGTGCTAGGGGGTGCGTCGCTCGCTCTCTCTCGTGAAAGGGCATGGAGACGCTCACGCTGCCCAGTCACTTTCCTGCGGCGGTACGGCATGTGTACCTTGCCCAGTTTGAGAATGTACAGAATGGAGGCGCTTTAAAAGAGGCGCTCATTCAGGCATCCAGAACGCCCGAGGGATCGGAGGACCGGCGACGCATGGACATGGCCTTTATCGATGCGCGTCTGATCGTCAGCCGACGGCAGCTGATCACAGCCATAGTGCAGGCTGTGATCGCGTCTGAACGTCGATGCCTGCGTGGCGAGGAGCCAGATGCGCCGATCGGCCTCAAGACCCCGTCTATTCACTCTGATATCTTGTGGACACTCAACCCGAACAACAATGTACGTCGTCGTGTGTCCCACTGACATCCAGATTGCCGATGCGCTGCGTCGCTTTGGTGTGTCCAGCACGACACGCTCCTTGATCCTTGCGCACATCGCGCCTCCGCCCCCGGCAGGTCCGCGCCCGGAGGCCCTGATGACCCATATGCAGTCGCTGGTCGACGGCCAGGTACGGCACGAAGGCGTAGCGCTCGATACCAATGACGACCATGCGCTCACTCAAATGTCTCTGCAAGACACTGCATCGCCATGGAAGGAGCTGGGCAAAGTGTACAAGCTCCAAGATACCTTGGCATTCCAAAACCGCGATGCAGCGGCGGTGGAAGAATTGATCTGTGCTACGGTCGCTACGAAGTACATAGGCAATTAATTAGTCCATCTCGACCAGGCTACTGTAAGTCACTTTCGCAACGTACTGGTACTCGGGTGCATCCAACTTCTCTGCCCCCTTGAGGAACGGAATCGAGACGATGAACAGGTACTCCACTGTCTTGGCGCCCAGCTGACGCACAAGTTCGCCGGCCGCCGAGGCAGAGCCACCGGTAGCGATCAGATCATCCACAATCAACACGTTGGAGCCAGCGGGAATCGCATCCTTCTGCATCTCAAACACGTCCTCACCGTATTCCTTCTGGAACGTCGCCTGTGCACACGTGCCAGGCAACTTGCCGCGCTTGCGCACAGGCACAAAGCCAGCGCCCAAACGCTGCGCAATGATCGGCGCAAGAAGGAAACCACGCGCATCCAAGCCCACGACATAGTTGATGCGCGCATCCGCCTGCGAGTGTGCCAAGCGTGGGAGTGTCGACGTGAAGATATGCGACATGAAGTGCGTGATCAGCAGCTCAAACGTGATCGGGTCGCGCAGCACAGGCAGCACATCGCAAAACAGCACACCCTTCTTGGGCCAGTCAGGGTAGTACTCTACTGTGAGCTAGTCATATTCACGTACGGAACTTGGCCTTGAGCAATTCGATATCAGCCATGGCGGTCGACAATACAAAGAAAAGGGCCCTCGAGGCGCCGTGCGCGCGTTTTCTTGGTTCGGTCTCGCGTTCGCCCTCAGGACGGCCAGAGCCACGCCGCCATGCAATGGAGGTGTGTATTACATAATAAGGTGCCCCGATTCGCTACCACGCCATCGCACGTTTGCTGCTGTGACTGCCTAGATGAACGAGCCTGGCGCCGAGCCGGCGCCACCCCCACCTCCTATGGAGGCCATCCATCCCACAGTATGTATTATGGACAAATTGACGTGTAGCTCTCTTCCGAATCGTTCAGTCAGGAGGCCCATGCCGTAGCGCAAATGGCGCCATACGTCACGGACCCCGCGCAGTTTCTCCTGAACATTCCGTCCGACAAGCCCTTTACGACACAGGTCCCAGCGTCGCTCTTCGACGAATGCGTCGCTGTCCTCAAACGTACGGTACAGTGGCGTGTATCGTCGACACGCTACAACGGCGCCCTCCCCCATGGACGTCGATATGCATGGCGCAAGCACTACGTATGTGATCACTCAGGCAAGCCACGCGATCGTCGGAATCCCAATCTGGCCCCAGGAAAGCGTCGGTCACGGCGGGCATCGATCAAGATTGGATGCCCTGCCTCGTTCACAGCGACACAGGAAATGGGAAGCGACATGGTCGTAATGGTATGTCGTTTCCAGCATCAGGGCCATACAGTCAATACACGTGAGTATTGGGCAAGCTCGCGTATCCCGGACAATGTGCGTGAATGGATCAAGGAAAGGGTGAGCGAGGGTCATGACCAGAAAGAAATTGTGCAAATGATCCATGAGCACCAGAAAAATGCGGCCAACATACCCCCTACGAGCCCCGCGTTCATCCCTCCTGGCGTCCAAATTACACGTATGGACGTATACAATATCATAAAACGTCACAAAAGTATAAAGGCTCAGGAACATGACGTGGGCTCAAAAACAGTCTCCACGTCACGCCGGCCAATGGTGAACGAAGGTGTGCCGCTCGATTTGAGTACGCAAAGTGGGGCTGCGGCTGCTGCCGCGGCTGCAGCGGCAGCAGCCGCGGCGGCGGCTGTTCCTACGTCATCGCTCCATATGAGTGACGCACCGCCTCCGAACGACTCTCATGCGCTGGATCCAGCTACCGCAGCAGCATCGTACTCCCTTTTATCGCCCAATGCTCAGCTTCCTCCCGCTACACCGGAAGAGGCAGTGAGTTTCGCTCAGCAATGGAGCGATTTGCTAGCCAATTTGCAAGCGCTTCAACCACAGATGATGGAAAATGCGCTCACAGCAGGCACAGCACGTCAGCCCAACACTGCAGCGGAGTGGTCGCAGGCGATCGCCCAGCTCACACAAGCTTGGTACATGGCCAGCAATCTGGTTGACCGACCGTCGTTATCTTCCCATAATCCACCCCCCTCCTAGTTGAGCCTTGAGCCAAGTATACGTGTGTTGGTGTAGATCCCAGCTAGAAAATGGACGCATTTAAGAACCCCACCTGTCCTCCCTCCACTTGTCTCCTAGCCACACCACCATCGCGCGATGGCCGACACCGCACGGCCTGTGCGTGCCATCACAGATCCCACGCTTCTGCCAAGCATAGTACCACGAATCCAGGCCATTGGGCGTCTGTTAGAGCAGATCCGCGATACGCCACTACCCCCTTCGGATGAAGCACGCTCGACAGAGCAGCCCATGGAACTGACGTCCACCGCGGCGGATACCTCGTTGCCGAATTTGGCGCTGGGCACGATCAATGACGAGGAGGATTGGGATCCATGGTCGCAGACAGATACAACGTCGACGTCGGAGCGGCATATCCCGACAGAGCTCTTGCAGGCATTGGCACGAGAAGCGACTGCCCTCCAGTCTACGTTGACGGACGCACGCCGAGCTGTGGATGCAGCGCCTGGCTCTGATATGAGTGTGGATGAGCAAGTATCTGTCATAGCTACCTCGGAGGCGTATCAACAAAAACAAGCGTACGTATATAACTATGTCTTACCTTTAGCGACCTTCATGCCAAGTGGACAGAGCTGCTGCCGACATTGACAGCAACAGGACGCACCGATGCGATGCTACTCGACTAGTTCAATGCCTGCTTGGCGCAATGTACGCTTAGACTGAAGGAGCATGGGACTGTGTGTGTGGTTAGGTACGCCGATATCAGCACACGTACGCATCGATCATCACATCACGGCCGTTGTGCGTCAGGCCAACAGCGCCTTTGTTCTGTGCCACGCCCTGCTTGTAGGCGTCCCAAATCGCTTGCGCTAACGCAATGTCTGCGGTGTTACTCACACATTACATACCCTGTTCGGAGGGCGAGAAGGCCCGTCGCATTACATCCAGCTGAGCAGGATGAATCGCCTGCTTGCCATCGAAGCCGAGCATTGCGCCTTCCTCGCATTCTTCATGTAGATAGGCTTCGTCTTTGTATTCTATGCATACCATATCCTGTGTGTGAGTAGCCCTGTACGTACGATCGCTTGCAGTTGGTACGCTTTCGCGATCGTCACGAGCTGTGAGCGGGGAAAGAGCAGGCCACGACGATCACGGGTACGTCGCACACCTGTAGCTGCACAGTAGTCCTCACTGGGATCAGTACGCTTATACGTACCTGGCAAACAACAAGGCGACAATGCGCGCCACATGGTCGTATGAAGCCAAGCGGTCCTTTGCCTTTTCAATGAGCGTCGGTATGTGCAGCAGGGATGCAGCACTCTCAATCGAGACAATCATATTGAGAGGCGATGTCGCACTGTATGAGCCTGTGCGAGCCGCACACGATGCGACCATTTCAATGTCCTCGACCTGCTCGACTTTCGGCAGGAGCACGGCCTAGCGTCAGATATGCGGCGCACGTACCTGCACACGATGGCTTTGCAATACAATATCCAAGTCACTCTCTGCCACATCGCGGCGTGTCGATGGGGCATTTATGCGCACTGCCAATTCGGGGCCCTCGGAGGGCGCTGCCTAGTCGTCAGAGTAGGGGCGGTGCGCCGTCACGTACCTGCAGAGCCTGCAATACCATGCCCTGCGCTGTGCCCTTACGATGCTCCGCCACGCTATTTTCCAGATCAAACACTATCGTATCTGGGGTCATCCGGCGGCTCTGACGCGAGCGTCAGTGGCTCTGCTACGTACCTTGACAAGCATTTTTTCCGAGCTGCCTGGCACGTACAACAAACTGCGGCGTGGGTGATCATGCGGCGTGGACGTGAACGTGCGCCATCCTACCCATACGGGAGACCGACTAGCGCACGTTCGTACACGATATAAAGCTTGCAATGCGAGCATGTCGATGGAAGGAAGGCGCACCGTGGCGTCGCTAGCGCCGTCCCTTGACGGCCTGCCTGCCTGCCTGCCTGCGCACGGCCGCGGGGTAACGCCTTTTCTCCACGTATGCACGTGATCACGAGGCCTTGGAAGGTGCCTGCTTCGTCACGTCTTGGCTTTGGACGTGATGGCCCTACCAGCGGTGGATGAAAGGTGGGTGCCTATCGTGCACATGGCGCAGCCACTTCTTGTGGCAGCGTGCATGATGCTGGCTATCCACCTTCGTATGCTTCGACGTCTTTTCCGTCGTGAAGGCCAAATTTCACTGGATGCTATGCCAGAGGCTTTGCTTCCACAGCCTGTCGTGGTAGCGCAGCATGAGCGCTACTCCAAGTCGACGCGGTGGGCGATTTTGCTGATTGCTCTGTCGTTCTTTGTGTCAGGTATCATGATCGCGGTCGGGGCGGTGCTACCGCCCCACATCTGGCTCCCTGACACACATGAATGGGACTGCCTTGCTGTCCAAGCCGTCGGCGGTGCGTTGGCCTGGTTGCTCGTGGCGTTAGCTACGATGCGCGAGGAGCGTAGGTACGGCGCAGGCCACTTCCGCCGTGATCGTCTGATGGCGTATGTATGCCTGAGCCTGGTATGCGACTTGTTCTTGCTGTATGTACATGGCCACCAGTCCGCGTCCTCGGATGTGCGCGTATGGACACGCATGCAGGTGGGCGTGTTGTTTGTGCGTAGTGTGCTTTTGTACCCCCTTGTTGCTTGGATCGCGTACAAGGAGCGCGTGTGGTATGTCCAGGCAGCCGCGTTGCCCACCGCCACGACCGAGGCGGGACCTTCGTCGGCCGCTGCGGCAGGCCCGAGCGCCAGCACGCCAGCGCCTGTTACGTCCCCTACGTTTTTCTCGCTGCTGAAGCGCGTGCGTGTGCTTGGCCCGTACTTGTGGCCCAGCAAGTCGCCACGGCTGCAAGTCATGGCCGTCGTCTGTGTCGGTCTGCTGTTCACGGCGCGTGTGATCAACTTGATGGTCCCCATTGCGCTGGGTCACGTTGTTGCCTCGTTGAGTGAGGGCCGTGATCCATGGCGTGCGATTCTGACGTTTGCGCTCTTGAAGCTGTTCCAGGGCTCCGGTGGTCTTGTCACCGTGGCGCAGAACTTGCTGTGGTACCCCATTGCATGGTACTCGGATGTGAACATGAGCCGCTTGATGTTTGACCGTGTGCTGAATCTGTCGATGTCGTTCCATACGAAGCGAAAGACAGGGGAGCTGATCCGTACTTTGGACCGTGGCTCGGCGATCAACAACTTCTTTGAGTACCTCCTCTTCTCGCTGACGCCCGTATTTGTTGATATCTTCGTGGCTGTGGCGTATATGTCCATTGTGTTTGGGCCCTATGTGGGCGCTGTGCTGCTGCTGATTATGGTCCTGTACACGTGGTGCAGTGTCCGTATCACGACGTGGCGTACCCAGCTGCGCCGCGAGATGAATACCAAGGACTCGGCCTGCAAGGCCATTACCACGGATACGCTGCTCAACTACGAGACAGTCAAATGCTACAGCAACGAGCAGTACGAATCGAACCGCTTTGGCGAGGCGATGGAGGCGTACCGCCAAGCGGAGTACCGCCTCGTGTTCAGTCTCAACATGCTGAATCTGATCCAGAACGTGATTTTGTCGGTGGGCACGCTGCTCACCGTCCTTGCTGTGGCCTATACTGTGGTGCATGGTCAGACTACGCCGTCGCAGTTTGTCGTGTTCATTTCGTACCTGCAGCAGGTGTACCAGCCACTGAACATGATGGGCACACTGTACCGCGTCGTGAACCAAAACCTCGTGGATACGGACAAGCTCATGGAGCTGCTCGACGAGGAAGTCGATATCAAGGACGTGCCTGGCGCGCCTGACTTGCATGTGGCACGTGGCGAGATCGCGTTTGAGGATGTGCACTTTTCGTACGACCAAGGCCGATCGACTGCCTTGGACGGCCTTTCGTTCACGATCAAGGCCCATGAACGTGTGGCGCTGGTCGGTGAGAGTGGTTCAGGCAAGTCGACTGTGCTCAAGCTGCTATACCGCTTTTACGATGTGTCCCGTGGACGTATTCTCATTGACGGCCAGGACATTCGCGATGTCACGCAGCAGAGCCTGCGCAAGTCCATCGGCATTGTGCCGCAGGAGCCATCACTGTTCAACATGGACATCCGGCACAATATCCAGTACGGCGACGTGACAGCCTCTGACGAAGCGATCGAGGCAGCTGCACGTGCTGCGCAAATCCATGATCGGATCAAGGAATTCCCCGATGGCTACGATACCGTCGTGGGTGAACGTGGCGTGCGTCTGAGCGGTGGTGAGAAGCAGCGTGTCGCGATTGCACGCACGATCTTGAAGAACCCGCCGATTCTGCTGCTCGACGAAGCTACGTCCGCGCTGGACAGCCATACTGAGCGGCAGTTGCAGTCCGCGCTGCAGACGCTCATGCAAGGCCGCTCGTCCTTGACGATTGCGCACCGTTTGTCGACTATCATTGACTGCGACAAGATCCTTGTCGCTGATCATGGTCGCATTATTGAGGCGGGTACCCACGACGAGCTTATCAAGCTGGGTGGCAAGTACAGCCACCTATGGCGACAGCAGAGCAAGACGCAGGCCGAGCAGGCAGCGGAGGCCCAAGCCTTTGCGTCGACGTCCGCAACCGGCCCTGCCCCTGCGTTTGTGTCGGACAAGACCGGCGACTCGACTGCGAAGGCCGGCAAGGCCAGCACTGCGCCCAACGCCAAGGCTGATGTCAACGCCGACAGCAAGCCTGCTAGCACGTCTGGCAAGGCCGAGGCCCACACCGAGACGACGGCTCCTCCTGAGGCTGCCGCCGCTACGCCCACACCGTCGTCACGCAATGCCAAGCGCAAGCATCGGCATCGCCGCGGCAAGCGCTAGCGCTAGATAGTCGTCGTCTTTGGGCAGTATGAAATTCAATCAACATATACGCAGTCTACACCAAAGAAACAATTACTCCAAACTCTGTCTAGTACGGTGCCATACCTGCGCAGCTTAGGGAATCGGCACTGGCTGGCCGAGCTCGTCACGGACCACGACCACCTCGACGTCGGCACGCTCGCCATTGTCCATAAAGATCACCGAGGTCATGTCAATCGGGTCGGTACGCACGCCACGCTTCTCCATGAACGAGCGACCCAGGATCACCGGGAAGTAGCTGTCCTCCGCCAGCATCACCGTGCACGGCACAGCCTTGCTGCCGACCTGCACAGGCCACTTGCCGAGGTTCGTAATACCGTTGTAGCCATAAGTACCAGGCGTCGTGTCTGCCGGAATAAAGCCATGGTCCAACGCAAAGCTGCGGCTCACGTACACATGACGGTAGCCCGACTTGAGCATCATCGGCACATTGTTCACCGGGCCCAGGCTGCCGCGCAGAAGACGCACACCACGCTGCGAGTGGAACTCCTCAAACGCAATCTTATGGTGGTGAGTGTGCTGCGTCTGCGTCGACTTCTTCGACTTGATGCTCTGTGTGTCGCGGTGCATCATGTGCGTAGGCTGCGGGCACACCGTGTTCATCGAGCCAGGCACAATCGGCTCACGCGGCGGGGGGTACAGAATGCTGTCACGGCCACCACCACTCACACCGCCCGCCTCGACGTACTCCTCCACGCCAGGCACCGTCGCGGCAGGCACACGGTGAATGCTCACCGAGCCCGTCTTGCCACGCGCCGGGGTGCGCGTCACAAGCGTGCTTTCGTCCAGCACAGGCACATTCGGCACCGGCTGCGCAGGGCCCAGGGCCGAGTAGTTCATCGGCGGCGCAGGCTGCGCCGCCAGGCTCGGCGCAGAGACAAACAGGTCCGCCTCGGGGGCGCTGCTGAAACGGTCGACAAAGATATCATAGTCATCAGCATCATCCATCTTGTACTGCTCCTTCTCATACAGGTACTTGAGGCTCAGCTCCGAAGCATCCTGCACGTTGAGTTTGGCCGCTGCGCGCTCCTTCAACCTACGCGTCAGTATTGGTCAGATATACGTACGAATCAATCGTCTCATTGTCGTGCTGACGAAGCGAAAAGCTGGGCAAGTTGCCGGGGTGGAACTACGCTTGGTTAGCACCATAGCCTACCAACGCGCGCATACATACATTCAGAATCGGCGCCATGATTGCAGATCAATAAGCGGGCTCACTTCACCCCTCGCACTCTTGTGTACGGGTGGCCCACCAACTGCGAATGCCGGCCGAGTGCATGCGCCCGACGCGTTGTCCACGTGACCTTCAATTATGTGGAGGTACCGCGAAGCCACGGCGTCGGCGCACACGCTCCGCACGCTCACTTGGACGTCATGATCGGGGTTACCGTGGCGGTGCTGCTCGCATGCTCCATGTTCGTCATGGGTGTGCTGGCCATGCACTGGCGCGCAGATCATTTGATGCTATGGGAAGCAAATCTTACCAAGGAAAACGTTACTATTGCCTTGCAGTACTATGCCAGCACCATCGGCATAGCGCCGCAACGCTACGCACACCGTCTCATGGCTATTGGCAGCATTCAGATTGGTATCCTCCTCCTCAAAATGTTTACGGGAGGTGCTAACAATCTGCTCTTCGACGGCGCGAGTTTGTGTACGTATTTCTTTCGTTTCTCACACACAGTCTTGATCCTCGCCAGCTCCGTCCTGTTCTTCAGCAAGATTCAACCTTGTACGTGTCCGCTACCACTCACACATATCCAGGCATCGAAGCGCTCCCTCCCTCTGTGCCGCCACCTGCTACGCTGACGCCACGTCAGCTACAGCATTGGGTCGCTTTGCTCCGCGAGCTGGCCAGCGCGCACATTCTTCTTTCCATGGCACTGCTCGGTGTGATCCTCCTTCAATGCGGCAAGTACTACAGTGTCCGTCTGCAAGAGCGCGAACGCAACGAAGAGGTCGACGTGCGCCTCGTTCGCCGGCTGCGCCAGCTGCAGCAGGAAGAACGCAAAAGTGGCGCTCTGAAAACGTCCACGGAAGACCTATTCCGTGCTCGTGGCGGAACGCACTAACGCTTCCACTTAGATCTGCACGTCAGACGTGCCTATATCATGCGAGAGGTTGATAAATGTATCACAGCCCTGTTGTATGTCAGTCCTCGCCCTATTGCTGCCGTACATACATGTCCCCAAAGACTCACGATATCCAGGTTGTTGTCACCGAAATAGCCAAGGTACAGCCGCGAGAGTGGCAGACCATAGCCTAGACCTGCCAATGTTCCCATACTGCTCTGCATTGCATGCGCCATAATATCGTTAGACTCATCAGCTGCCTCTGCGCCTGTTTGCGCATTGGCCGTCGTAAATGCATAGCTAAAGATCTTGGACATATTTTCCGGCCGGATCCCACCGCCTTCATCTCGGATACGCACACTCGTATGCGACGGTGCGTTGGCCAGTGTAATCACAATGGGAGGTGGACCGCCTGTCGCAGTCCCTGCCTTCTTCCGCTTCAGGTAGGCCTCTGTGGTCGCACGGAACGAGTTCTTAAGCAACTCGGTCATAACATATTCCAAATGCACAGGAATACCCACCGTCTTCACATCCAAGTCGCCTTCAAACGAAACGCTGGGCGCAATATCAAACGTCGACTCACAAAGGGCTTGCACGTACTCACAGCTGTGTTCAATAATGCGGAGAGGTGACATTTCTGTATCAATGATGCCCACAGACGTAGGCGATTGTACTGCATCTGTGCCGTTCTCCAGATCCGAGCTTGCCGTCAGCGCCAAGTGCTGCTCTGCAATAATTCGAATACCGATACGACTATGCAACGCGACGTCCAGGAATTTGGATACTTGCGCTGCATCCATGTACTCACGACATTCCAAGAACCCGCGCGCTAGCGTAGGCACATTCTCCGTATGGTCCTGTACGAGTTTACGCAGGTTTTTTGTGAATGTTTGGTTGTCTTCCAGCGTTTGAATGGGCGGCATACTAGCTAGCTGGGCAAAGGAGGACGCATACAATCGTGCCACCTCCTGGATATATGGGTTCGTTCCTACAATAAAAGGAAGCGAATAAAACTGACGCACACGTCGTGCTAGACGCACAGGCAGTTCTTGTTGCGTGTATTTGGCCGATCGTAAGAGTTCATCGGCGGTCGGTGGCTTTCCTGGCTGACCGCCATGGGCCAGCAGATATGGAATCGTAATCGGCTGCGGTGTGCGCTGCAGTGATTTGGACAGCAAGTCCATAGGCACACCATACACGGCAAACCGTGTAGCATGACGGAGCGGCGGCGTCATGACAGCTGCCAGATACACTCCCTTGAAGCCCAAGCAGATCGCCTACACCTCCCCCTGCGTGTGCGAGTCTGTGCTCGTCGTGCAGGCACACGCATTTCGGCCGAGGGCCGCCACCCACCCACACTGCGCGCTGACCCAGGCGTGCGAGCGTGCGCGAGGTTTGGTTGACAGGTGTCCTGCGTATACTATACCATGGCCGAGCTTTTTGAATCGTACGCAGCGGACTTTGCGCAGTTGCAGTCTTCCATTGAGAGTAGGCTCACGACCGATTTCTCCTCCGTGTCTGACGAGACCAAACGCTCTGCGTTGCGTCATGCGGAGGCGGAAGCGGAGGAGGCTGGCGAGATCTTGTCGCAGATGGAAATTGAGCTTCAGGCCTTTCCGCAGAGTGTGAAAGAGCGCTATGCGAAAGAACTGCATGCGCTCCAATCATCCCTTCATAAGCTGCAGGCTGATTTGCGGGCTAAACAGAAACCCAGTGGCTATGGGGCTAGTGGCTTGCCGCTGGACGAGTACCGCGACACGGATTTGGAAGCGAACGAAGGCGCACAGCGCCAACGCCTGCTGCAAGGTACTGATCTTTTAGAGCGTGGCTCCGAACGCTTGGCGGCAAGTACCCGCCTGGCCCTAGAGACGGAAGATGTTGGCGCGAACATCCTACAAGATCTCCGTCGCCAGCGTGAGCAGATTGAGCACAGTCGTGATACGGTATGTATAGCGCACTGACTGACCTTAGCTCCATGGGGCCGATGTGCATATCGATCGGTCCTCCCGAACACTGCAACATATGATTCGTCGGTACGTTTTCTCGCTCGTGTACTTATACTGGTAGAGCCAAGCAACAAAAACTGGTCACCATGGCGATTGTGGTCGTGCTTGTGCTTTTGATTCTACTCATTCTGTACTCCAAACTGTTTTAGTAGCCTCTATTCCCTTCCTTGTCCTTAGATCTGAAGGTCCTTTCCCTTCTACCCCACAATCAAAGCCCAGACGCCCTTATTAGCTGCCGCCACCCATTCAGCCGCCAGGGCATTATAAAGAGGCACGTGCACTAAATGCCGCGGGGCTTCCTCCTCATGCCTACCACTGCTGAAGCACGAGCCCCCGCCTTCCGAGCACCGGAAGGCATCTACACATGCGTGGACTGGGTTAATCCTTTGTTGCACCGCAATGCGAACCAAAATGGACCGAGCCCTGAGGCTACAGAGGGTATCTCTAACGAAGCCTCGATTCATGCACGTATCCTCCCCTCGGGTGAAGTCCCCCGGCTTAGTGGCATGCCCTTGCAGGGGCTGTCCAGCCAAGGAATAAATGGCGCGGCGAGTCAGCTCACGTCTTCCTTGTCCCCTATCCTGATCAGTCAGGGCGTAGACTGTGATACCATGGCACCGTCGACCAATGTATACAGTGGCACCGGCATGCTATCGCAAGGGTTATCGTCCGCGCAGCGTGTGACGCGACCCAAGTCGAGTCTTCGAACGGTGACCGGTACCTTTATTACGCGTGTAAATCAGTCGCAAGAGCTATCCAAGGCCCTTGCGCAGGCCACGGAGCCGACCCACTTTATGCTTTTGCACAGCAGCCACTCCCTCTTCTGGTACATCTCTCAGCCGACCAAATTGAAAGAGCCCTTGGTCCGCATTTCCTTCCAAGCCACTCCGCTATGCCATGATGTGAATGCATGGACACGACGTCCTGATCGTCTGGATATCGCAATTGGTTTCCTTTCTGGTGACATTGTTTGGCTCGATCCCTTTCTATTCAAATTTACTCGCTTCAACCGGGATGGTTGTGTAACAAAGTCACCGATCCGTCAAATTCGATGGGTGCCCGGCCATGAGTACTTGCTACTGACGGCGCATGACGATGGTTGCGTCTATGTATGGGACCTTGAGCGGGAGGATGGCAACGAGCCCAAGTGCCCTCCCGACCCCATGGAATGGCGGCCCACAGAGCAAATGGTGGCGACTCCACCGATTTCGCGACAGGAACAGCAGACATCGTCGGGAAGCACATGGCGTTTGAACCGGCAACGATACACAAGCTCCGGTGTCAATCCAATAGCGCACTGGCGTGTTGCTCGAGATCGCCTAACAGACATGGCCTTCTGTCCCACCGCCCAGCTCCTAGCCGTGACAAGTGCGGATGGATGCCTGCGTCTGATTGATATGGACCGCGAAGTTTTAGTGCGTTCCTTTGCGTCGTACTTTGGCGGGTTTACCTCGGTGTGCTGGTCGCCCGATGGCCGTTTCCTTCTAACGGGCGGCCAAGACGATCTGATTACCATCTGGGCCCCACACGATGCCCATGTCGTTGCTCATGCCCAGGGACACCAGTCGTTTGTCACAGGCCTAGCCTTCGATCCATGGCGCTCCAACATGGACACACATACCTATCGCTTTGCCTCTGTGGGTGAAGATGGCCGTCTTTGTCTATGGGACTTTTCCGCCTCTGCTCTGCATCGTCCACGCGGCGCACGAAGTGCATCGCGCACACGCCACGATACATCCAGAAAAGGCCTGCACAGGCTCAGTCTTTCCCATGCCTTCCAGAAGCCTACCAACCAGGTAGGGGTTCATGTACCGATGCTACCTCGCGCTGAGGTGTTTATTCTTCACCCAACAGTGTCGACGCGTATTCCCGGCTCTGTCCTGAGTGATGTACGTGCGTCCCCCCAATATTTACGAGTCGTCCATGTGGATGGTGAGATGGACATATACCAATGCAACTCAACGCGGCCGTATGCCATGTAATTCGTGCTCATGCTCTTCAACGTCTTACACGCCCCCCTGCGATCCCTCATACTTTGCAGGGCTGGTAACATTCGTTTCCATGCAATGATATCTTCTTGTACACTGTGCTTCCTTTGTCATGCCATAGCGCGCTACAAATAGAAATACGCCTATATCTATGTACGCTGATGACATGGGCACCTGCGGTGTTGCTATGCCTGTCTCACGAGTGGGCAGGATGGGTATCGATCAAGTAGCCATGACTACACATCTATGCGCGCTTCTCGCCAGGGCGGAGCTCACCGCGAACACGGTAGCCCTTTTGCACGCGCGGACCCCATCCACGGACCTTCTTCGGCTTCTTGATATCGTAGGCAAATTCGGATGGGTGCAAGCCCTGCCTGTACTTCTCCAAGGACCAGAGAATGTACTTTCGCTCTTTCACCGGCACACCGGCCCCCTTCAGTTTTTCCGTCGTCAAACTGAACATCTCATTCCAGTCTTCGCCAACAGCGGACACACACGTCGAGTTGGACACCAGATCACGGCGGGTCCTGGAAATCGCTTTTAAAAATGCCTTGGGTGTATCAATGCTCCCTTCCTGTTAGCCATCCTTTCCACATACCTCGAGGTGGCGGGACAGTTCGGTTCTGCGCAGACGACAAGAACCGAGCAAAAACAGGACGCCATGGCGCCTGCATGCGCATCATTTGCGTTAGACTCCAAGTCGACATGCTCAGCATCGTAACACTACCGCGGATTCTCGTACTCGACAAGAAGGTGCACAAGGTCTAATCACGTGACTATGAAGAGGTATTCACTATGATACATGCAATTCGTCCTAACATGTCCGCTTACGGCTTTGTCGCTGAAGCCTCTTGGCGATAGGTGTCCACACCAAGTAGAACCGCATCGAAAACGGCTTGGACAATGTACCCCAATTTGAGGTGCACATCATGTTCTTTCAAATAGTGTAGACTCCAGAGAATTTGTCGCATAGGCGCTTGGGATGCCCATTCTGCCCATTTCTTGTTCTCTTGTGTGTGAGATAAAGCTGAGAAGCACATGTTTCGCAGTACCTGAAACTGGGAAGGCAGGGAGGAATGGTATATATGCACCGCCAGTGTTTGAGATGCAAATGCCAAGCGGTCTTCAAAAGGAATTTGTAGTGGGATCAATTCAGTCCCCTGCAAAGCGGCAGCTTCGCGCTGCTTCTTGGTTTGTGGAATGAGTTGACGGACGAAGTCCATTTGAATCTGTACGAGTTCCGACGTCAAGCGTTTAACCAACGCCACAGAGGGGATCCATACTTTCGGCTGGATTTCCACAGGGATGCCGACAATGACGAATAGGAGAGACAAAAAGAATAAGAAAGCATGCATCGATAAAGAGGCAGTATCAATGAGCAATGAAATAAGCATGTCTTGCACCTTGGTTGACTCCGGTTTCTGGATAGGGCGTATTTGTTGGATCCCATAAATACGACGTGATGTGCTGGGTTGGGCCATGTAATCGCTCACGGAAAGCGCTTGCTCGTCATAGTCCTGACGCATAGCTACATCGTCACGCATGAGGCCTGTGGTGCTTTCTTCCAATGTGGTCGTGGTAGTAGAGTATGCCGATGTCTGACTCAGGTCATGTTCTTCTTCTTGAATGGCATACAGCACGGGGTTGCTAGGGGGCGGAGGACTAGTATCAATAGCTGGTTGGCTGCTATTGGACCGTCGTTTCCTCTTAGCCCGTACGGGAGGCTCCTTTGTGTCAGCTGGGCCCGGTGGTGGTGGAAGCGTTCGTCGGCTGCCAAACGCTGGTATGGTTTGCAGTGTTTCTTTGCTCCAATACAATCCATCAGGCATGCCTTGTCGTAAGAGCAGGATCGCCATGCGCCGAAAGGTGGGATATTGTCCCTCTGGTACTGTGTTGATCTGTGCAGAGCCTGAATGACCCCCCTCTTTGACGATACTCTCGGTCCATGCTGGCCGGGCCTCGTTCGGGATATCCATGGATTGCAAGTAGTCAAGATCACTTCGTTGCTCTAAGAAAGAGGCCGCGATCCGTGATAAGGCTTGTGTCATGATGGAGCGCTCAGGTACATCGGCGCCACCCGTGCCACAGTTAAGTGTTGGATTCTCCGCCCGGGAGCAACGTGCACTGACCTGGCTTTAGTGAGAGCCACTCATGACGCCTGCATCACCAGACTCTGATTATTTTTAATAAGGCTTATGCATAGGTGCTTTTTCGGCCCTGGGTAAAGCAGCCAAGCTGATTTCGTTGGCTCTTCTGCATCGGGCAAACATATGGAGAGAGAGAGCTCTGACGATCATCCTTGACATCGCCGATTTTTTTCTGTCAATCAATAGATGCAACTGCCGAAGCCCACAGGGCCATATGACGTTGGCATCGTCGATGTCGAAGTGCCTGTGCGTGAGCCACGAGACTTTCTACCGGACTTTTTAAGCCGTTCCGAGCTAAACAAGCTCTCCAAAAATGGCACAAAGCTTTCTGACAAGAAGGCCAAAAAAGTGTATCGGCAATTCGATGCCTCAGTCGATCGTTCCCAAGAAGATTTCAATGAAGCTATCGCTGAGGATGAATTCTTGAAGGAGCATGGGTATCGTCTGCGCTCTTCCACGCTGCACTTTCGTACGGTGCTTTTTTCTTTGTACTACCCAGGCGCATCCCTCTCGCCAGACAAGCTGAAGAAGTACAAGCAAGCCAAGTGGCTCGGTTATCCGCTTAAAAAGACGACGAAAGCTGCGTGGGCCTATCTTGGTGAATATGGATGGTATGCGCGTGCTTTCTTCCCTGTTCTTTTTACATTCATGAAGGCCCATTTGGCAGGTCGCGTTGGTCTGCCATTGGGCGATCCGTCAAAGCAACCTGCATTGCCTGGTACAGATTTGGATGGCATCACTGAGAACAGCTTATCGAAACAGACCTTCCCTGTGATTGTGTTCTGTCATGGCCTTGCAGGGAATCGACTGGCGTACTCCGAGTTCTGCACGGAGCTCGCTTCCTATGGATTTATTGTCGCTGCAATCGAGCACCGCGATGGATCGGGTCTTGGCACCTTCGTATGGTCCGGCGTGGAATCCATTATGCGATCGTCTAAAGTGGACCAGGATGATTTGAATGCTCGTCTTCGGAAGAATATGAAATTCGGTGGTAACGAATCCGTGCACAGTCTAGCTTTGCAAGATGGTGATACGAGGGAGGTTTTGCGTGACGAATCTTTGTTCCAGGACTTTAGTAAAGTTGCCTATCTTCCGTTTGAGCGGTTGGGTCTGCAGCCATTTTTTGCTGAGCAGGGCGAGAAGGAGATCACTCTTCGCCAGGCTCAACTTAAAATGCGTGGCGAAGAGATCAAAGAGGTCATGTATGTGCTCGGCCGCATCAATGATGGTGACAGTGAATGGCTTGCTCGTGTCCGTACACGCAGTATGGGATCTTCCCTGGCGGGACGCAAGACCTTCAAGCGTATGCGGGAGCAAGGCCTGGTGCCACGCTGCCGTGAGTTCTTTGCCAACTGGAAAGGCAAAATGGACCTTACGACGCACTCTTTGATTGGTCACAGCTTTGGTGGTGCTACCATCTTTGAGTTTCTTCGCACAGATCAGAACATTTTCCCATACGGTATCATCTTGGATCCATGGATGGAACCTGTTCTTGATCCTAGAGATAACCCGGATGTGCGCAAGAAACTGAAGCGGCCTGTCTATGTGATAAACTCGGAGGGCTTTACGATGTGGCCTGAGCAGTATGTCAAGCTCCGTCGTATTCTTGTGGATGCGATGAGTGCCAATCCTGAACATCGTGGCTGGCTCATGACGTTGACCGGTACTAACCATGGCGACTTTAGCGACTTGCCTTATCTCTTGCCTCGTATCTTTGGGTCGGCCATCCCCGGTACGGAATCTGTGCGTTCCTTTGCTATTATATCCATGGCACAAATCAAGGCGTGGCGACAGCGTTATGCTTTGGACAAAAATGCGTTTCACCTTATGGTGTCAGAAGGTCCGGATGCTCCAGATATGGCACCCACTTCCTTGTGGGGCGGCGGTGCGCGCATTCTGGCGGACAAAGAAGCGCCCGTCACGGACGAGATGATGAACTTCTTCTATCAAGTCCGTGTACTTTCCAAAAAGTTCCACCACAAACCTCACAAGCCACTGTTCTGGGAGTTGCGTGGCTGGAAGCAACACGCCCAAAATGACCCTAGTACACGTGCTGGGCGAAAGCATTTGAGGGAACAGGAGCGTGTTTTGCATCGTCATCGTCGTGCTTCGAGCGTTGTGCACGAACATATTAGCAACGTGCTGGACACGGACAATGCCTCGAACAAAAGTGGCGCTGAGTTTATTGACGAAAAGAACGGCCAGACCCCCCGCTTTATTGATCCACGCCAAGGTGGGAAGGAAGTATGGGACGGCCAAATTATCGACACGGATGCGCAGAATGTATATCAGACGTGGGCCGATAACATTTCTATCAAAGACACACGCCGACGCCCATTATCACTATTCACCGTATTCATGTGGATCCTTGGCGTGCGTCAAGGCTTGGCCGCGCCTGGACACTTACTTGTGCACGAATTTTAGAGGGGTCCTTCCAAGTCCACCTCCTATGTAAAAGACTATAGCCAAACATTATGACATTGCCTTTACATTTGCCCCAGCAGGCTAATCACCTGCTCATCCGTGATATTGTGAGCGCTGCGTGAGTATGAGGAAAGACGTACTTGTCGCCACGGTAGTTCAGACGTTTCAGCACTGTCACGACAGCGTTTCGATTGTACCCCTGCATGTAAGCTGGCGTAAATACGCACCTTCTGGCAGAATTTCTGCACATCTGCCTCTTCTAGACCAGCCAGCTGCACAACATCGGCGTTGTCGTTCTGTGGCTCACGAGCTGCGTACACCTTGGTCCAGTATTCGGCGGTCTTGTTGTAACTATCCAAGTTACTTGTGTAATGTTTAGCCACTTCCGCATCTTGTGGATCATTCGGCTCTGGAGAACACAGTAGAGAGCGAAGAGACATCAGTGTGGTTTTCAACGTGTAGACGGGGGACCACTGGTCCTTCAAGATATCCAAGCAAATGGCGCCGCTTTGTGATGACACATTAGGGTGGTACACTCTGGTAAGGAATCGCATTTGGAGCGGATGGAAGGGATAGCCTTCAGGTACGACAATATCCTGCATATAAGATAGGCATATACATACCACCTTGAAAAGGCCCTTTTCAAAGGGCGAGTTCTCAGGTCCAGGGAATGTGCCAATGAGATGGAATGGCGATTCTTCCATGAGCCCACAATACCGTACGTACCATCCACCATTTTCACAGTAATCTCATCATCTGGATCTTTTTCGCATGCGGAAATTTCGCGCATGATGCGCTTCAGTCGGGCGCCTTCCATCGTTACGAGTGCGAGAAGAAAGCCGCTAGTCGATGCGTATGGAGACACTTGCTGCGACGGCCGCTGGGCCTTGGGCACCTATGATGTGGAGGCTGACATCACTGATGTGTCTACGAAGGCCTGCCTGGCGCTGCTCATCGTCTACGAACGCCTAGTTAGGCACCCAAAAAGGCGCTAGCGACATTGCGACGCTGGATCTTGCCTGTGGCCCTGCATGGTCAGTACAATAGAGATACATACGTCTTCGGGATAATCTCTGCAATCCAAATCTTCTCCGGAATCTTGAACTTGATCAGCTTCTCCGCCAAGTCGCGCTGGATCGATGCCTGATCAATGCCCGTCGCGCCTTCTTTCAGGACGACAGCTGCGCCGACCACTTCGCCATACATATCGTGAGGCATAGAGAACGAGACAGCTTCTTTGATGCCCGAAAGAGACAGAAGAGCGCTGTCGATTTCCAACGGGCTGATCTTCTCACCAGAGCGATTGATCAGTTCCTTAATACGGCCCGTCAGCACCAGGTAGCCATCCTCATCCTTGCGACCCTGGTCACCCGTACGCAAGTAGCCATCCGATTCGGGCGGACAGTTACCAAACTCTGTCCGGAAGAAACTGTCTCGGTTGGCCTTGTCGTTGTTCAGGTAGCCATGAGTGATATTGGCGCCACGAACACAGACTTCCCCATTCTGGCCTTGCGGTAGTTCCTCCCCCTTTTCGTTGAGGATTTTCACTTCGACACCATGTCCAATACCGACGGTGCCTGGCTTACGCTTGGCGGGAGGCACCGGGTTGGACGTCATCTGATGTGATGCTTCTGTCATGGCATACGCCTCGAGGACCGGCGCATTCAGCGCTTCCTCCAACGCATGGAATGTCGTAGGTGACAGAGACGAGGAGCACGAACGGATGAAGCGGAACTGCGGCAGCGGCGTAGGACGGTCGAGCGTGAGCACAATCTGATGAATGGTCGGTACAGCCGTGTACCAGTTGACCTTGCATGCCTGCACATCCTCCCAAAATGTCGAGGCACTGAAACGCGAAGGAATTGCCACAGCACTACCGGCCAAGAACGAGGCCAATAGACCACAGAGTAGGCCATGTACATGGAATAGGGGCATGACCAGGAACGTCTTATCTTGCGGTGTCAGCTTGTAGGTATTTTGGATGTTGTGCATCGAGGTAAGCAAGTTCTTGTGGGTCAGTGGCACAGCCTTAGGTCGACCTGTAGTGCCAGACGTATGCAGGACCAACGCAGTGTCGTTCTCATGGGCCTGCCGCGTGGTCGCCGTGGGCAGCGGTGTGTCGCCATCAAGCAGGTTCATGGTCGCAGTGGCCACATCGAGCTTGATTTCGACTACACGCACTTGAAGACCCTGCGCAGCTTTCAAAGCCGCAAGCGCGCCATCCGAGGCACCATCCCCTTTCAGTGTACCATGCGGCAAAATCAGCAACTTCGACTTGGTATCATCCAGGTAGAAGTGCACTTCTGCCTCTTTGTAGTTAGGGTTCAGCGGCGCAGCGACCAGTCTGTCATGTTAGTTGCGCGCATACATACCCTTCCTCAGCTGTGGCCAGAAAAGCTGCAACGAATTCCGTGTTGTTGATCAAGCTGCTACTTACGGTCGAACCTGCCGGTAGATCGAGCGAGGCCAGTTGCGCTTGCACATGCGCTACCATCTGTTGAACCTGGGCATACGTGAACGACGCAGGCGTGCCTGTCGATACAGGCAGCTGAATAGCCTCCGCTGAGGCATCGTATCCTGCACGCGGCGAAAATAGTGTAGATGCTAACGTAGTGGGAGTCATTGTGGAGAGAGGGGGAGTCGTAGGCTTCTCGGCGGGGTACCGGCGACCCCTGGGCTTTACCCCGCACAGGGGCGTCGTTTCCCACGTGCTTTTTACCTACCATGCCGACGCCACGATCGATGCGGAGCCAAGTGCAGGCGATTATTTCGCCGCTGCTGCCTGAATTTCACAAAGGCCAGGCTGGTCGTGTAGGTATCTTGGGCGGCTGCAAGGAATACACTGGTGCACCGTACTACGCCTCCATGTCGAGCATGCGCTTGGGATGTGATATGTCTTTTACGATCTGTGCGCCGGAAGCCGCCCCGCCTCTCAAGACCTATTCACCTGACCTGATTGTGCACCCCATCCTCGACCATACGAAGAGCACAGAAGATGTTCGGAACGAGCTTCGTGCTCTGTTCAAGCGTCTGCATAGTGTGGTCATTGGCCCGGGCTTGGGCCGCGATACGTCTATGCAGTCGTTTGCTCGTGTGGCGTTGGAAGTCGCGCGGGAGTCGAACCTGTATGCTGTTGTCGATGCAGACGGACTATGGCTCGTTCAAAACGATCCCGAGAGTGTAAAAGGCTACAAACGGGCCATTCTAACGCCCAACGTCGTGGAATTTCAACGTCTGTGCGATGCCATGGTACGTGCGTGCGATGTATCTGACACCAGGGTGTGGAAGCGTCCGACGATGCAGCCCAGCGCTTGAGTATCGCGCTCGGTGGACTGACGATTGTAGAAAAGGGCCAAGTTGACCGTATTGTGACACCGACGTACGTACGTACCTACTCACCCTAGCGACATTGTCATATGCGACGAAGAAGGCGGTCTCAAGCGATGTGGCGGCCAGGGCGATCTGCTCAGTGGCACTCTTGGTACGTTCCTCGCATGGGCCCAGCGGTTCGAGGAACGCACAGAGGCTGGCGAGGATCTCCCCTCCATTCCTGCCGAGCGTCTGCCCCTCCTAGCAGCGCTAGGCGCTTCTACGGTGACGCGTGTAGCTTCACGCCGTGGCTTTGCGCGCTTGCGTCGTAGCATGTTGGCCAACGACCTTTTGGACGAAATCGGTCCGGCCTATGAAAGTACTTTTGGCTCTACATAGACGATTACACACGAAGAACATCCAGCTCCTTGAGAAGCTCTTGGGTTTCCTGGTCCTTCACCACTTTTTCGACCTGCTGCAGGGCCTGGTTCTGCTTCCAGCGGCGCATACGCCACTTGAGACCACGCTCATTCGCAAGGTCACCGCCCATCAGCAGCTCAATGGGCATCGCGTGCACATCCGCTTGGCCCGGGCGCGATGTTAGTTGGCCACGGGCGTCACGTTGGACGCCGGCAGACGCTTCTTCGAGCGCACCCCACTCGCCGCCAGCAGCAGGGCCTGTAAGCGGCGCAATGGTCAGGTAGTCCTGCGCTGCAAAGATCTGGCCACCTTGGCTCACATGCGATTGAGTTTCTGGGTTCTGCACAAACGCAGCGAGGCGTTGACGTTCCAAATCAATGATTTCCGAGACTTTGGGCGCTTGTGCAACCGGCGGGGGTCGAATGGATTCACGCATCGAAAAGCCAGCGTATGTCTTGGCGCCTGCTGGCACAGCCTGTGTAGCCAAGGCCACAGCGGCCTGCTTCTTGGCCAGCTGTGCCTCCCATACAGCGCGGCGTATCGCCGCCTGTTCTTCACCGGCTGGCGTTGAGCGCGGCTTGCGTGCTGGCAACAGCACAGGGTCTTCCGGTACCCATGGAACCCACGTCTCTTCTTCCACCGTGCGGCCATCAGCATGCGTCGCGTTAAATGTACGTGGACGTTCTGGTGTTTTGGGCCATGGCACTTCAATCTTTTTCAATGCCTGGCCAGATCGCAGCGACTCTTCGTCTGTCGCCTTGACAATCGCGAAACGTTTCCATACAAACATGCCCTTGGTACGATCATAGAATGGTTTCGAGCGGACAATGCGTGAGGCGTACATTCTGCGTGTGAGACTTGGTTGTACGTACTCTGTATCAGGCACTTTGAGCATCAGCTTCGAGTAGTGCACGGGGCGAGGCACAGATGTCACATTGCCAGAGTATCCCTTTTCTTCGCCCGCTTCCGGGTCGACAAGACGCGGCACGGTATGCTTAATATTCTTCGGGGCGAGTTTACGATGTTCCTAGCGGTGAGTGGAATAGGGTACATACGTCTGGATCGCGCAGCCACACACGGTTGGTCGTCCGGTCGATCGAGGTCACAATGCCTTCACCACGGATCTGCTTACCCTGCTCATCGTGGCCTACAGCACCTGTACGCAGCTTGACAACGTCACCGGGCACAATGTTCCAGAACGCAATGCGGTCTTTCGGAGGCACGTACGCCGGCGTCGTTTGCGCTTGTGTGGGTCGGAGTTTGCGGATGAACTTGTTGTTTGTGCCCTGCCACATATGGTCCAAGGACCGCAAAACGCGGCGGTTGGTCATGGAGCCTGACATGGTGAACGAACTCGCTAGGAAGGCACCGCGTAGGACGAGAGCCTGGAAAGACACGCTGACGACGACCTTCTTCAGATCACGTGATACAGCATCCAGGCGGTCTTGGGTCGTGCCTCTCTCAGGGCCTCGCCCTGAGCAAGGGCCCATACTCTCTCACTGTCTTTCATGTCGGCGACATTGGCAACTGGTGCGCAAAGCGCGGCATCGGTAGATGGACTGCGTCAGCGTTCCGGCTCAGCCAAGACCAACGCTACCAAGACCGAAGAATGGGGCGTTCCACCCACACGTCCCTCGCAGCCTTTTTATGAACCTTTGTTGGATGTTTGGTGGCGTATCTGGACGAAGACCTCAGGCAGCTTTGCCTTCTCGGTGATGGAGCCACCGGAAGTCTTTTTCATGCGTACGTATTTCTTGTCTAACCATTAGTGGTTATCTATATTTCCTTGCTCTTTGGCGTGATCATGGCCATGATGCAATTGCCTGCGTACGGCCAGATGGCGCTTCGTCGGCTCCATTACTATATCACAGGCGAGTAATTTCTTATCAACTCGAAAAATATGGCCCTGTAGCTTTTGTACAGGTATTTGTAGTATACAACCTATCTGGTTCGGTGATGCAATGTATTGGGACCGAAACTGTTGGGTAGAAGTTCAGCTAGGGTCAATGTCAAGACATGCTCTTGTTCCCTGTGCGCTGGTGTCCAGTCTTTCCATGGCATCCATACCGGTGTGTCCTGGTCACAAAATTCACGCAACACTTGCCGACATATGCCACAGGGCGTACATGGCTCAGGCGTATCAGCACTGACACCGACCCCAATGATGCGCTTTATCCTGTGCTCAGCCTCGGTTTTCCACTTGACAATCGCAGAGCGTTCTGCACAAATGCAGGCACCTGATATAAGCCTACCCTATACACACCATACGACGCGTTTTCCACATTGGCGCCTACAATGATGGTGCCATCCTCAAGGAGGAGCGCGGCGCCCACGCGGAACGAACTGCGTAAGTCACAACCAACGTACCTGTAGGGCGAATACGATACCTGTCTCGCTTGCACGGCCTGTTGTATCACATCTGCTACATGGATAGCTCGTAGTGCCTCCACGTCCACCATAGTCAGAGGCACTCGAGTCGTGGGACAAGGCCGAGATGGGTGCGCCTCCACTCTCTTCTCTCGAAGAACGATCCGTGCGCACGGCATTGTTGAGTGGCACGATGCGCCTTGTATGGTGGTGGCTTCTTTGCTGCGCTTCCTACGTGGCAGCATGGGGCAGCACGGGCCATGAAATTGTGGCTACCATCGCTCAGTCGTTCTTGGATTCATCCGTGCGCTCGTATTTGTGTACACTGCTCCCTTCATCGTCCCAGTACGAAGCAGCATGGCCGGGGGTGCACAACCAAACACAGTATGTATAGCGCAGCTAATCAAAGGTGTCACCTGGCTGATATTGCTACATGGGCCGATCGCGTGCGGATTCGTATGCCATGGACGTCCAAATGGCATTACGTGAATGCGGTGGGCGACCATCCGCCTACGACGTGTGATTTTGGCTCGCAAGGTTTTCATTCATCCAAGCATATCTTGAACAGTATGTGGTAGACCATTGACACCAGTTCTTCCCTCTATGACACATCTCTTCCAAGAGCATGCACACCGAAAAGCGGCCTTGCGGTTCATGACGCATCTCGTAGGCGACCTTCATCAGCCACTGCACATCGTGGGCCGGGCCCATGGTGGCAACTTTATCCGTGTCCGATTTGGCGACAAGCATGCGAATCTACACAAAGTATGGGATACGCATATGCTGGAGCGTCGAATCGAGCAGCTGTCCAACTACAGCGTCCCTCTTGATCGTCCTGCCTGGGCCACGGCCTTGCGTGGCACCAAGTACGATGCCTACGTCCGGTGGATCTTGGTGGAAGGACTAGGGCAAGGTACTGATGCGCCTGTTCATCCACGCTGGCCAGATTGGCGCGAATGGACAACCTGCCCTTCACAGCCCATGCATATTGCGGGCGTGTCCGACCCTACTCCCAGCGCCAAGGGGCCCATGTGCCCCTTGGCATGGGCCAGCGAGATGCATGCCATGGGCTGCCGCTACGCTTTTGCATACCCGGTTCCAGGTTCGACATTGAACATGCTATCGTGGGTGCTCGCTATATTACCAGGGGTGGTAAAAAGCCCTGACGTGGCCATACCCGTGTACTTGGATCCTGTCTACGAAAACATGGTCTTGGAAAAGGCACTTGCGATGGCCGGTGTGAGGTTAGCGTATATCCTTAACACTCTCTTTTATCGTGAGGCCCGCGCTCAGTATTCAATGTGGATGATCACGGCCTGACTCAGCATATGCGCCTTGCAACGTGGCTCGACAAGGATCGTTTGTGTCTCGTCGATGAGAATCGCAGGACCTGGCACATGCTCAAACACATCCAGGTCACGCAGACGGACAATCGCGGTAGGCACACGGCCCATACCATCAAAGTACACTGGACGCCGCGGCGCCTCGGCCAGCGCCTTGGCCTCAGGGAACGCATCCGCTCCTTTTTGGCTTTGCATCGTGTACTCTGCCAGCACCGAGGGACCCAAAGAGTCAAAGGTGCGGCCAATACCACGAATTCGGATGTCATCCACCAAAATCGGTCGGCCTGCCAGCACGAACCCAAATTCTTGGCGATACGTCTCCACAAACACCTTTTCCATATCCCAGCTGTCGGCCGGCTTGAGTGTCATGAGCGCGGTATCCGTGCCTTCGTACCGCATGTGTAGATAGATATCTGTATGCACACGCTCACGTGCAAAGCCTTGGTGCAGCAGCTCGTCGGTAACGCGCTTCGTCAGTTCGTCCACACGCGCCTGAATACGTCCATGCGATGTCGTCTCGTCCAGCGTAGAGCTCATCGCCCAAGTCTCGTTCGATGGTTCTTGTAGCTCATACACACGGTCCGCCAACGCCATGCCGTAGGCCGACAGAATAGAGGAGTACTTGTGCACTGCTACTGTGCTGATACCCAAGGCCCGAGCAATTGAGCAGGCGTGCTGGCCACCTGCACCGCCAAAGCACGCCAGAATGTGCTTCGAGGTGGAATAGCCACGAGCCTGAGTGAGAGAGCGAATCGGACGACACATGCTGTCATGTTAATGCTGTATATACGTACGCTTCGTTGGCCACACGAATAAAGCCCTGGGCCACTTCGTCCACGCTCAGACTACGACCCGTTTCCTGGTTGATTTGCTTCGTAAGAGCCTCAAACGCAGCACGCGAGCCTTCGACGTCCAAACCCTGGTCCTCGTTCGGGCCAAAGATCTTCGGGAACATTTCAATCGCCAGACGACCTGTCACGAGGTTCGCGTCTGTAATGGCCAGTGGACCGCCTTTGCGATAACACGTTGGGCCTGGGTGGGCCGACGCACTTTCAGGGCCGACCACAAACAAGCCGTTGCGGAAGAACAAACGCGAAGAGCCACCGGACGCCACCGTATTGACACTGTGGTAAGACATGATGGTACGTACTCCAACTGAGGACTCTGAATGGTCACGCCGTCAATCGTCGTTTCCATAATTTGTTCGTAGCGACCAGCGTAGCGCGACACATCGGTGGATGTACCACCCATATCAAAGCCAATCACGGGGCGCCTGTCGTTTGCATCGTAGGTGGTCAAGGCCATGCCTACAACACCGCCCGCAGGACCACTGATGATCGACTTGAGGCCCGTAAAGTGGTCCACAGATGTCAAGCCACCATCCGACATCATAAATTCCACACGCGTACCTGCCGAGCCATCACGAAGCGACGAGTCGAACCCGCTGAAGAAGCTGTCAATATACGCTTGCAGAACCGGTGTCAAGTACGCATCAGCCGTCGCTGATGTGGCACGTGGCACCATCTTGATCATCGGCATAAGCTCGGCACTGCAGCTGATACTGGGGAAGCCAATCTCCTTGGCCCACGCCTTGACCATCTGCTCATGCTCAGGGTAGGTGTAGCTAAACATGAAAACAATGGCCAGGCTGCGGTATCCATCGTCGTAGAGACGCTGCAGCTCAGCACGAACTTTCTTCTCGTCTGGACGTGAGAGAATCGCCACAGCTTCACCCGACACGCCACGAACAATCTCAGGCGCCTGGTATTCAGCGCCATAGGCACCCGCGCTAGGTGGCTGATCACGGCCGGAATAGGGCTTAGTAACGTGCGCATCGCGTTGTGTCGACGAGAACTGGATTGCATGCTCTTGCGCTTGCGGATCCGAGGTGTACCCTACGACGGTGACACGCTCGTCCACCTCGACCACTTCGTTGTACAACACTTCAGGCTTGTGGATAGCCAGGTCGAAGATGTGTGGGCGTGCTTGATTACCAATTTGCACAACATCCTGCTGTGAGTCTCCGTGATACATACACCAAAGCCCTTGGTCGTGATCAAGGCATGTCGCTCACCATCTCGCTCAAGTAGGGCATTGGTTGCCACTGTGGTCGACAAACGAATGTATTCTGCATGTAAGGCGAAAATGAGTACATACCGATTTCTTCCGTAGAAATCTTTTCAGAGCGAGGAATGGTACGACCTGTGGCTTTTTCCAGGATACGTCGAATGCCCTCTGTCGGTGCATCCCGATAATTGTTGGGATCACGCGAAAGGAGCTTAATCACAATGTCGTGCGGTGGCTCACCAGGCACTTCGGAGGGGATCCTTCCCAGGCAGTCCGTGAAGGTTCCACCACGATCTAAGAATGAGCATACGCCTTCTCACATACCAATTGCAATCTGAATTCCCTTGGGCATGTTGGAGGGGGGCTGACAAGACACCATTACGCCGTCTCGTACCGTAAATGTGGGGCCCGATGACCTCCACACATGATCTGTTCATAGGACCCAATCGGGCCGCCCATGTTGGGTGCGTGCACATGCCGAGGCAGCGTGGCGCGCGAACATCTGGCACGGCCTTCTTTGACTCGCTCGCCCCTGACATAATGCCTTCGCCACTGTCACCTGATATTGATTTGTCCGCTCGGATTCCAGAGCACCACAGCGTGCTCAATGATAACATGCCGTCAAAGTACACAGACCCGTGCAAGCAGGCGGCTATGCAATCCATGCGGTGTCTTGATAAGAACGGGCATGACAAAACCGTGTGTCACAACGAATTCTTCATTTAGTAGGTGTCCCCACCCGCCCTTCTCACACCCAGCCGCCAATGCAAAAAGGAGTTTATGCGCCAGCGCCGCGAACAACGTGGCGCATAGTTACCTCGTTTCGTGTATATAGCTACGAATTTTGTGCTTGAGCACCTGCATTGCGATACAAGCGCATAGTGCCATCATCACTCCCTGTGACAAACTGGCTACCAGGCACCACCAGCTGCGTTGCAGTCGCATCGTTGGAAGCCTGCGCTGCCTCAGGACGCCATGACACGGTCCAAATCGGCGTAGTTTGGGCCACTGTCATAACACATTGCACAGGTGAGGCACCGATGTCCCACAGCCGTACCATGCCATCGGATGAACTGGTGGCTACGACACGACCGTCACCTCCTGCTTGAACACGAAGAATCCAGCCCTTGTGGCCTTGCAATGCTGTGACAGCACTCGTAGCCTCTTTGGCGCGAATGGCACGTACGTCGTGCACCGTGGTCGTTCGGTCATCAGAGCCCACGTACAAATGATCCGAGTACATAGAGCTAGGTAGGGAAAAGCTCAACGTACGAATGGGCTCTGCATGATCGGCAATACGTGCAAGCAACGTGCCTTCTTCGACATGCCACACATAAACCTGAGATGAGTAAGGCCAATACATACAGTGCCTGTATTCGTACCCATAGCGAGCAAATCACCTTCATGATTCTCTTGTAAGTACTATGCACACGTACAAAGGCCAACGAAAGAGCGTACGAATTCGGTTCCACATCGTCCACAGGCAGCCTACGAATGCCTTCGCCAAATGTCGCCATGTCAGTGGACAAGAGGTATACATGAGCACCTTCGCCCGCGACCGCAAAGTTGGTGCCCAAGGGGTGTAGCGCACTCGCCCATACGTCCACGTTAAAGGCCACGCCATCAACCTGTACATCACGCACATGCTCACGTCGCGCAAGGCGCGACAGTGCACGATCAGACCACTGCCACAAAGCCACGGATCCGTCCATGCTGCTAGTGAGAAGAAGATCATCATTGACGCTAGGACTCATCGAAACGATGCCTAGGGTATGTGTATCCGAATTTGCCTGTGAAATTTGTGCTTCAGTTACATCGCTTCCGTAAGTACAAAAATACATACATCACATCGACACGCCCAGAGGCTCGACCGACAACGACGCCATGCTTTGTCCATGCCGAAGTCCAAATAGCATCTTCGCCTCCCTTCACTTCACAGTCTTCCAAGTACTGCAGAGACTAGCGCGTGAGTTTGCGTGTCTACGTACCATCGTGGAGGGACACTGACCGCCCTTCCTCCACTCGATCGTCCTTGGCCTTCAAGTTGTTCAACCACGATGGCCGCTGCTTCTACGGCTACGTACCCTGAGTGGGAGGAGATTCCGCCTGCCACACCGTCTCCTTCCGTGCGTAGGCGACCTATTATCCCTATGCCTGACGTTGTACGCCGTCTTTTTGCGCAGTTTCCGTGGTACACATGGCCTGCGGCGCACGTTGTAGCGTCAAAGGCCGAGGCAGAGCCGTCGCCCACCAACCCAGTTCTCTACATCACACCCCCTTTGGACAATGTCAGCTCATCATGGGCTAGCGCTGATCCTGTTTCTTTGCGGTGGCAAATGGAGTTTTTGCTCCGCGACGTGCCCTTTGAATGCAAGTCCGTGCACGATGCATATTGGTCGCCCGAGCACGCTACGCCTTTCCTGCAAATGCCAGAGGCCATGCAAAAAGCAGAGAATGGTCGTATTGTGATGCCACCGGTGCTTGGCGCTACATATCTCCCACATTTCATGGACAACTACTACCCATTGACGCGCCCTGAGTCGAAGGAAAAACCTGTTTGGCCAGGTACCACAGGTAACGAAGCACTTGTTTGGCAATCCCTTCTAGAAGGTCGAATTATGGCGGGTGTCGTATTGGCCTCGCTGCGCGCTGGTGCATATACACCACCACCCGCATCTGTGCCATTACTACGTCGCTGGTTCGGTGCCTATTTACCTGGGGAGCGTACGCCTGAACAGGCTGCTTATGCGAAGTTGGCACGCCTAAGTACCGCTGGTGCCTCGCCTTCGAGTTTGGCGGCGGTCTATGGTAGCGATTATGTCGCGGATATGCGAAACCCACTCACGCTTGTCCCAGGCTACTCTGTTGACTGGGTGGGCTTTGTTAGTGGTACATCGACGCATCAAACGACTGACATGGCTGATGTGGATGCTCTGCCGCCTTCGCTACGTCTTGACCAGGCGGCCATTCTAAGGGATGCTGCTGAGGCCCTCGAGTCTGTGGCGCAACGCCTAGCGAGCGATGTGGACGCCTCCACTGGCGAAGGATGGATGCTGGGCGCGGCACAGGCCACCTCGTTGGATGCCCTTCTATTTGCTATATTACACACCCTCGCGTGTCTTCCTAGTACAGTGACGGGACCCTTGACCCCTGTCCTGCAGCGTCATGCGGTTTTGGACGCATATAGGCGACGCCTCCACACGTATCTGCCATAGGGCCCGCGTATGCGGGCTGCGCGTGCCAACAAAACTTAGATATCGACTCAATGCCGCTCGGTGACAGCACGAAGGACGTTTTGGCCGGTATGTTAGGAAGTCTCTTACGATCAAGGCACGGCTGGTGGTATTGCGCAAGTGCTAGTCGGCCAGCCTTTCGATATTGTGAAGGTTCGCGTTCAAACGGCGCCGCCGGGCACATACAAAGGTATGTATAGGGTGAGCGCGGCCTGACATGTGATAGGTGTGGTGGACTGTGTCACCCACATTTTGCAGGGTGAGGGCCCTATGGCGTTTTACAAGGGCACGCTCATGCCTTTGATCGGTGTAGGTGCCTGTGTGTCGATTCAGTTTGGTGTGGTGCAGTACTTTAAGCGTATGTTTGCCTACCAAAACGAGCGTGCGAACCCTGCGATCAAGGAGCTCACCGGTCCCCAGCTGTACACAGCCGGTGTAATGGGTGGGGTAGCGAACAGTGTGCTGGCAGGTCCTATCGAACAGGTTCGTATTCGCCTCCAAACCCAGAAGGGCAATGCGATTCGTGGTCCGTTTGATTGCTTGAAGCAGTACGTATACACAAACACTCACAACAGAATCATCTCCCACTCCGGCGTTTCGGGCGTGTTCCGCGGGATGGGTCCTACGGTCCTTCGTGAAGGTCATGGTATGGGTATCTACTTCTTGACGTACGAGTATCTCGTGCAGAAGAAGCTGGACGCCGACAATCTGACGCGTGAGCAACTGCCTGCTTTCACTTCGATGCTGGCAGGCGGTGCAGCTGGCATTGTGCTGTGGCTTATGATTTACCCCGTTGATGTGGTCAAGTCGTACATGCAGACCGACGCGATGGACCCTCGCCAACGCCGCTTCCGTAACTCGTTTGATGTGGTCCGTCATGTACTCTCGCACAGCGGTCCTCGCGGTTTCATCAAGGGCCTTGAGCCGACGCTGATCAGGGCGCCGTTCGCAAATGCAGCCACCTTCGTCGCTTTCGAGACTGCTATGCGCTATCTCTCCAAGATGTGAATGATTTTGTAGATAGATTGGAACATACACTAATACGAAGTCGACATCTACATATACTATGCCATGGACGCCACCGCCTCCTCCAACGCAGCTCGCTTTTCCTCCCACATCCTTGCCAGGTGGGAGTCGGGTACAGCATTGGTATGTGCGCTGTGCGTTAGTACAGAGCTGATGTACATACCTCATCCAGCTGTCCACGTCCTCGGCTGGGACGTTGGTCGCCAACGCAGAGACCACCGCTTGGTTGGCCGAAAGAAGCGGATGGTCAGCATCAAGAGAAGCTGCCTCTTGCAGCGTACTGGAGGCAGCGGGCACATCCAGCTGCGCTGCCTGCGCCACAGCTTTGCCAATCAAGGCAGGAGCCATGTTTTGTGTGTTGGCGATGGTGGAGCTCTGGCTCATTTCGTCGTATACATAGAACGCTTGCTGTGTGGAACGACCACCTCGTACGAGACCGATCCATGCCTCCATGTACTGTACAAGCACGGAGTCGTCGCCCCACTGCCGGGCTGCCAAGTACTCCTTCTCCGCCAAATCTACACGATGAATAGCCAAGAGAATGTGCACACCTAACGAGATGCACTCCAGCTTCGTACTGCCACCAGTGCCTGTAACGCCCAGAGTCTCTAGGGCTTTGGTAGAATCCCCTTTGGTATAGAGAGCCAGTCCAACGTTGTAACGGACAATATCACTGGCCAACTCACCGGGCTCCACAACGTCGAGCAGCGTAGCCATTTGCTCCAGCACGTCAGCACTACCCTCCTCATCACCGGCATGGTGCATCTCCATGAAATCGGCAAGAAGAAGCACAGACATAGCCACGGGCTGCTCTGCATCATCACCCAACAGCTGACGAGCCCCTGGGATATCACCCAGTGCCAGCGCGGATCGGGCGGCATACACAAGTCGCAGAAGACTTTCGTCATCGATGGGGCCCGATGGGCTATGCATTTGAGCAAGAGCTATGCATCCACGGTAGGCGCTCTGGTAAAACAGACTCTGCACTTCGAAGGTCAACGAGTCCATCGTCAATGCCGTCTATGTGGAACAGGAAACTCGTAGCTGCGACGAACGGCCGAGCTACGCGTGCATGTTATATACACACCTACATAGCATGGGCACAGGCCGCCAACGCCAACGCCAACGAGGCACCGCTGCATGCGTAATATTCGTTGAAAAAACTACGTACAACATAGACAAACAGCCTATCGTACAAGATCCAAATTTACTCCGACGTAGCCTTGAAGATGAGAGGCGTCGAAGTGCCAAGACCCTCCGCGCCTTTGGCAAAGTTCTCCGCCGGCACACCCAACTCCAGCAGCGTAGAGAAGGCCTTGCTGAAGTCCTTGAAGAACTTGTCCTCGTCCTTGGCGTACTCCTGAACGTACTTCTTGAACGACGAGTCCTTAATAAGGCTGTAGTCGGACGGGAGCATCATGAGCGAGCCAGAATTCTTGTCGACGTACTGGAACGGACCATCCCACTTCTTGGGGACCCAGCCCTCCTCAAGTAGAAGAACGTAGAACTGGTTCGTGAAGGAGGTCGGCGAGAAAGTCCACGGACCATCAAAGCCACTCCGGTTGGAGTGGCAGCGACCCACAGCATGTGCACCAATGAGAGCCACAGTCTCCTGGTCGTTGAAGCCCATACGGTGGAACACATTGCGCACATGGTCCTGGCCCTTAGCGCCGTCCGGCAGACGGCCGTTCGGAGGCGTCTGATCTTCCGGCTTGTCAACACGACCCGGGCGCCACGGGATCTTTGGACCACCCATCTCCTGGATAGCTACAACACCACCAAGGGTCCACAGGTCCGAGTACGAGATCCACGGGAACTTGGCCTTGATGGGTTCCATAAAGTTACGAGCGGCCTCCAGACCGGCGTTACCGTCATGCGTAGCCTCCAGCTGGAAACGCATAGTGGCACCATTGCTGCCACCCGAGTTGGTCTCTTTGTCGTATGTACCAGAGGAGTGCCAGGCAAGACGGAGGACCACAGGGGCGTAGCTGCCGTCATCGTAGGACGAGTCCTTCTCCAGGGCCTCCGCAATCGCCTTGTACACAGTCTCATAGTCCTCCTTGGATGGCACCTTGTTTGAGGCACCACCCAGGACATTCTTCAGGTCGTCGCGCATGTAGTAGGCGGCACCCGCACCGGCCAAAAGCGCAGCCAAAAGGAGCGGCGTGTTGCTCGACTTGGGCTCGGCAGGCGTGCTGTAGGCGCGAACACCCATGCGTGGAGCAGCAACAAAGGCACGCGGCGCAGTGGCACGCAGAGCACGAGTCATACGAACAGACGAACGAAGCGAAGACATCACGTATATGGTTGTAAGGAAACGAAAGTCGGTCTAACCGCTTTACCGATTTCTAATAACGCAGAATGGAGTGCCCCGGCTCGGGCCCACTTGTTACGTCATGCATTTTGTACGCACCTTGATTGGTCCACGGTGCCAAGCTCACCGTTGGCCCCTGCGCAAGGTCCCAAACGTAGGTAGGACACGGTGCCATGTGTCGTAGTAGATAGGTTGCATTACTATGAACATATATGAAACATGCATAAAAAAGCAAAATCATTACACAGAGGGAGCGCTCACACCATACTTGAGACGCGACCCGAGATCATCCACATACTGATACAAAGAAGCCCTGGTAGAAGGAAGCGCCTGCTTGTCCAACGTTGGCTGTTTCTGCAAAAATTGCCGCGCACGGTCTTCAATCGATGGAATAGGCCGGAAATCATCTTCTCGGCGCTTCCCCCATCGCGGCTTCAGTGGCGAGTTGATTTTATGGTGTCGAATCATGGCCAGCTCCAAGCTCAGCATAAGTAAGTGAGCGCCGTTGCTAAGCAGACGTGAACGTTGCAACGCCTGTGAGTCTTCCAGCACTTGCGATTCACCGGTAGCTGAAGAGGACGTAGTATCTCGTATCTCACTCTCCACAGTAGCCGCACCATCTTGCGACGTGGGTATCACTTTCACAGCTTCACGTCGACCACGCCGCATTTCCGTATCGTCAGACCCTCCATCCACATGATGACTACGGCCCCGACCACGATCGCGTGTGCGACCACGTGTCAGCGGCTCCATGACTTGGTCTTCCTGCGAGCTTTTCAGCGCTGCTGCCGAAGCATACGATATGTTCGTGTGGCGACGCTGAAGAGTTGGGCGTCGGTGGGAGACGCCCAACGCAGAAGATTTGCTGGGCGAAATCATGGAGCCCACAGGCTTGCTCGTTTGCACAGAAGGCCGTCGACCGCGACCCCGGCTACGTGATCGGCCACGCATCTCCTCCCCTTCATCGGCATCATCCGCTTCTGGATCCGCAAAAGCATCGAGCGAGGGGGGCACAGGCTCCTCCGCCTCGGAGCGTAGCACACGTGGGTGCACAGGTTCACGCTGCTTTCGGCGACGCGGTAACACAGTTCGAAACCCTTGCTCGTCTGCATCACTGAGCTTTGCGGGTTTGGGTTTGGGAGTCGACATCCCACGGGCCTCTTGTGCCATTTCCATATCCGGAATATCATCGAGGGCATCAGGTTTGGTGACAAGTACAGGCGACGCAGGAGGTTGAGCATCTGGAGGCGCATCAGACAGTGCCTCTTGCTTGCGGTGAAGGACATAGCCTGGTTCGCACACGGGCTTGCCCAGATCCTTTAGCGCGGGAATCAATTCTGTGTCTCGCATTAACGATAGCGGTGGACGAGGCGAAGTCGTCCATCGTCGTGGGCTCAGACCCAGTCTATTCTCAAGGTGCTCCTCCAACCGCCCCTGATGGCCGTGTAGCATAGAACGAGAATGCCGTGTATCAAAACGATGGAGACTTCGGCTTCGAGCATGGTTTCGAAAGGCTTGCCACTGCACCTTCGTACTAGGCTCAATATCTGGATCGATGGGCTCACCGATGCCTGATACGTATGCCGAGAAGTCGAGTTTGTCAAACGGATGCAGTCGGACAGTGAGAGAGGGAAGCAAGTGTAGGCGATGCAAGCGGCGAGTTCGCAGCGGTTCGTGACTCTTGCCTCAAAGAGGATGTGTTCTTCGACGGCGAAGGGCTTTTCGACTCTTCGACAGAGGATGGGAGACCGCGGAACTCGCACCAAGAATCGGACCGAAGTCCCACATCGCTGCGGCTACGCTGGCGGCCACGTACCTTCATTCCTTGAAGATGGTAGCTAGATAGCAAAGAATTGATGATACCCAAACGCTCTTCATTCGTAATCGTCGCCACAGAATAATTCGATTCTGTATCCGCTTTCAACTCAGGAGAGTTTTCTTCGCACGAGGTAGGCGCCGTTTCATTAGAGTCATGGCTGCCGCACAGTTTAGACCCAGACGACCAAGAGGATGATTCGATAGGGCTCGAGGCCTCGTGCTCTGGACATAGCATGTCAGTAGACCGATGAAACAAAAGAGTGTGGGGTGTCACAGGAGCATTCGGCGAAATACTCAAGCTTTCGTTGTCATCTGAAGGACGGCGATGCACTTGAGACGAGAAAAAAGATACAGGCGCATCGATAGGGCTTGTGGAAGCCTGAGCAGGCTGACCTTTTAGCATTAGGGCAGAATCCGGCGAGGTAGGGTCTGTAGGTGAGAGATTCGCAGTCCATAGTGGGTTTGCTTCTGTTGGCGATAGGGGTGAAGATCGTGTTTTCTTCAGGTTCAGAGTATCTATTCGTAGAGGCTTGGCTTTCTTTCGTGAAAGAGACGAAGCAGAGGGAGGACTTTCTTTGGTAGATGCCTCGCCACCCTCAAGGGGTGACCCAGAGAGCCAAACTGGCAAAGCATTGAGTCCCCCTGCTAAGCTCGACAATGTCTCTAATATGCCCATTGGCAAGTGAGCAAGGGATTAGCCACCGATAAGGCGGCACTGGTGGTATAAGACGATGCAGTCGAGGTGAGAAAAAGCGCAATCGTGTTGCCACAGGACCCAGTCAGCCTCAGTTACAAATCAGTTTTTTTATTTTGCCTTGCAATGCCTTGAGTATGACGGGATTATGGCCTTCTGTGGCAAAGCAATGGTAATTTGCTCTTTTTACCGGCTGGATAGTGGAAAGCACACCTTGCTGCTGCTTGTCCCACGAACGAACAACGAGCGCGCAACCTGCCGACACATTGCTTGCTACACGACAAAGGCCCCGAATGCAGAACAGCATTATGTCATTGGCTCAGTACGCCGAACCTCTCTGCAACCTAAACCAAGGCTCGGTCCCGATCGGCCAATCAAAGTATATGTATATTAAACGTCGTACGTAAGGCTATATAAAATCAAGCTGACAGGCTCTCCACGATCAGCGGCAGCAGCCGCGGTATCCGCACATGTGCATTGACCTGCCACCGCATTAAGCCTGTACCTGCGCATCCTCGTTGCTCTCGCGCTTCTTCAGCACCAGGGGCTTTCCTGTCATGCGACGCCAGACATTATGAACGTCTTCCACCACCGTCTCGAAGTGTGAGGTAGGGTCGTAGGAGCGCGTAATGAAGATGTTCGAGTCCTTACCTGACTCCAAAGGTTCCTCCAGGTTAGAAATCGTGATAAACTTGTCATGAATTTCACCCAAGAGCTCTAAACCGGGGCGGAGCTCCAATTCTGGCTTGTCGGTCTCCACGACCGTTGACACTTGCGCCACATAGATACCCTTAGCACAAACATTGTGCGCTGATGAGACTTCGGCAATGTAGATGTCATGCTTGCGACCCACCTGATTTTGCGGAATGATCAACTGTACAGAGTCAGAGTTGTCGGTGTTGGGGATAGGGTGCTTGAGCAGGCAGATGGCACGAACCACCTTGGCAGTCTCACGGACAAGCGACTTGCCACCGACCGAGCGGAAGTAGCTGGGATCACCGATTACCAATTTGGCCTTCACGGTTTCGTCGCCACTGCGCACACCCACAAAGCTGCCTTGCTCATCGACAACCACCTCATCTACTGGCTTGTCCAGCATGTAAGTGCCACCGTAAATAGCAGAAAGACGAGCAAAACCTTGGGGAAGTTCACCTAGGCCATACAGTGGATAAATGTAAGGCGATTTGCCGTAGCGCGCCATGGACGACATGTACAGCAGGATACGCTCGTAGGTCTCGCGCGCCGGGCGCTGCATGTACGAATCATCCAGGTGCAAAGCCATGGCATGGCCGATAAAGTCCCTTGTTCCGGGCTCAAGGCCAAAATGCGCAAACACCTTTTCCATAGGCCACGAGTCGAGATCTATGCCTTGGTGCGTCGAGGCATCGTTGTCACGCCACTTCTGCAAAAATTCGAAGAAACGCTTTGCACGGCGCTTCTCAAACAGGCCCATCAGCGGCGAACGCACAGCCTCCATCTCTGTGCTCGGAACCTTAGCAATGCGCTTGTCACGGTACACGTAGCTGGCTGCGATTTGCTTGAATTCCAGGTAACGAGTAACATCAGTATGTACAAGCATGTTTACAATTTCGCCATTGGCCATCATGAACTTGGGAATCATGTCAATGGCATAGTCACGATCACGGCCAATACTGTCCGGCACGGCCTCGCCTGGGCGGAACTTGTTATATAATTGCGAGAGAGTCAATGAAGCGCATTCAGCACCATAGTAGTCATTACGATCAATGTGCAACACCTTCTTGCCCTCCACGGAGAGCAAAGCAGAAAGAACACATTCAGACACACCAGTGCCAAGAATTACAGCATCTAGAAAGAGTTAGCCAAAGCCTAGAATACATACCGTAAGTTTCATCCATCTTGCTCAACTACAAGGTGTGGTAGATCGTAAACCGACGTGCGTGTGTGCCCCAAGCGCTTTCATAATTCCAACAATGCGGATATATGTGGAGACAGGCCCCACGTCGAGCAAAATCTGCGAGAAGGCCACTGCGTGATCCACAATGGTGCGCTCGTACGTGATGACGGAGAAAGGCTCACATACTTATGCAGGTTTCCAAATATTGTGGTGACTGGCACGCCAGGTACTGGCAAGTCCACCTTGGCCTCGCAGATCTGCGAGACGTTTGCGATGGAAAGTGGAGTGCATCCCCTTCGGCATATTAACGTGGGCCCTCTTGTCAAAGAGAAAAGTTTTCATGCATCGTATGATCCTGAATGGGACTCGTATGAAGTGGATGAAGACCAACTACTGGACTACCTAGAGCCGCTCACCGGTGGAACAGCGCCGGACTCGCTTGAATCAGACCCAGAAGGCTGCGAGCAAGCGCGTGACGTGAGCGAAGACGACGAGACACGTGGTGGTCTTGTGCTTGACTGGCACACTTGCGATGCATGGCCTGAACGCTGGGTCGATTTGGTAATTGTACTCCGTTGTGACCACCAGTTGCTATGGAAACGCCTGGAAAGACGGTGTGTATGCGAGCACTAACCTAGTAGAAACTATTCGGAAAAGAAAATTGCTGAGAATAATGAGGCAGAGATCATGGGCGTTGTGGCTGAAGAGGCTCGTGAGTCATATGCACCTGAAGCAATTGTCACACTGCAAAGTGAATCTGCCGATGAAATGGAGTCCAACGTAGAACGTATCATCCAGTGGATTCATGCGTGGCGTCAACAGCGCGGTTTGGAGTAGAACGAAGTATACGTAGCCGGTATAGGCTCTTTTGTGCATGTGTATCAAACGGGGTATGTGTGAGCACTATGGATTCTACCAAGCCCATCCAGGGCGCTGGAAACCATTAACAATTTTCGGGCTGCCGCGAACCACACCGCCGCTGCCCAGACTGCGAACCTGGCGACGCGCCTTCTCCAGACGAGCCTCATCACGCTGTTCCCACGTCTTGCCAGGTCGGAGGACTACATTGAGACGAGCCTTGGGGTGATGCATAATACCCATACGAGCACGTCCTTTGATATCCAGGCGCGGCAAAAACATGCCCTTGGTCACCCAGGCCTCTGACACAACAAGCGACGATGGATCCAGACCCTTAGCCTCAGCATGATCACGCGCCATTACAAGTGTGGCCTTGACTCGTCGGGCTGCGCGCTTGGCACTGAATTGCATTTGCACAATGGCAAAATCAATCGGCTTGCCAATAATCTGGTTGGCAAGCAGGTTGAGCTTCCGTGGGCTAATGCGGAACACAGCTGTACTGTACTTATGTTCTGCCTTTTCCTCGCCGCCCAACTCGGTAGTGCCACCCCAACGCTTGCGCTGCAGCCGCCTTTGACGCTTCTCTTCTGAAGCGCGACGTTTGATGTCTTCATCACGAAATTCAGGTGCATCCATTGCATCCTCTACCAGCATATCACCCGTAGATGATTGTGCTGCAAGCATCTCATCACGGCGCTGGTCACGCTGCACACGTTCGTAGTCTTCTGGGAGCAAACCGCCCTGCTTACGCTGCAGCTGACGCTCACGACGGTTACCCTGAATAAGCGGGAGAACCGTATCCCAGAAACTATACGTTTGGCGCGACATGGAAAATTTCCGAGCCTGTACTGTGGAAGGCCAGGCCCGCACTACAGGGCGTGCCACGGAGGAGGCCAAAGCACGCAGCATCGTTGCGAAGCGATCGATGAAAGTCAACCACGGCTGGGACGAGGAAGACTCGCCATCACGTGAGTGAGAACCCAGCCCCGATGACCTGCCTGACCTTTTCATCGACCCCGATGCAAGTGGAGAAAAGTTCCATTACGACCATGTCGGTGCCAATCTCGAGGCCAACGCTGTTTATCGACGGGCAATGGTGCTCCTCCAGCGATGGAAAGACGCGCCCCACTATCAACCCATATGATGCATCTGTCATTATGGAGGTTGATGAGGCCACGGCTGACGATGCCCAACGTGCTATTGCCTGTGCCAAGCGGTACTTCACCACCTCGGACTGGCCCCACCGTAGCTACGAAGATCGATGCGCGCTACTCACACGGATGGCAGAACTCTTGCAATCCAACAAAGCGGAATTAGCTCGACTAGAGACGATCGATACCGGCAAGACACTTGGCGAAAGTGAGATTGATATTGATGATGTAACCAATGTGTTTCAGTTTTACGCGAAGGAAGCTCTGAAACTGGGTCAGGACAAGCGAGTGACAGGTCCTTTGATCCCTGATACGGTAACAAGCCAGATCATTCATGAGCCAGTAGGTGTATGTGTGCTGATCACTCCATGGAACTACCCAATTCTCCAGCTTTGCTGGAAGTTGGCCCCAGCGCTGGCCACTGGCAATTGCGTGATTGTGAAGCCCTCTGAAGTCACTCCTCTCTCATCCATCTACCTTATTAAGCTACTTGTCGAGGCTGGTTTCCCCCCGCAGACGGTGCAAATTCTCACAGCATCGGGTGCTTCGATCGGCCCTGCGCTCACAGAGAGTGAGGATGTGGATTTGGTCTCGTTTACGGGCGGTCTACAAACTGGACGTAACATCATTCGCAGCTGTGCGCAAACAGTGAAGCGGTGCACGGTAGAGCTGGGTGGTAAGAACCCCAATGTGGTGTTCGCTGACTGCGACTTGGACTGGGCCGTGGACAATGTGCTTACGGCCGTATTTGTGCACAGCGGCCAAGTATGCTCAGCTGGCGCTCGTTTGATTGTAGAGGAGTCGATTGCAGATGCACTTGTGGCCGGGGTAGTGCAGCGTGCGCAGCAGATTGTGATGGGCGATGGCCTGAACCCTGCCTCGGAAACTGGCCCACTCGTCTCGGCAGAGCATTTGGCGAAAGTTGAGTCCTATGTGGCCCTTGCGAAAAAGGAAGGCGCTCAGATTCTATGTGGTGGCAGCCGTCCAGATCCAAAACGATTCCCGCACCTAGCGAAAGGCTACTTCTTCTTGCCTACCGTCATTGACAAGTGTGATCGCACGATGCGTATCGTGCAGGAAGAGACGTTTGGCCCCATCCTCACAGTGGAGAGGTTTCCGGATGGCGACGAGGCTAAAGCGATTGAGCTTGCCAATGACACAAAGTATGGCTTAGCGGGCGGCGTGCAAAGCAAAGACCAGGCGCGTGCGGAGCGTGTGGCGCGTCGCTTGCGTCACGGCACTGTTTGGGTCAACACCTATGGCGCCTACACGGCCCAGTCAGAATGGGGCGGTTTCGGCATGTCGGGCAACGGTCGCGAGCTCGGCAGCAAAGGCCTCGACGAATACGTGGAAGTAAAGCATCTATGGAGTGAATCCAAGCCTGCCGTGATGGGATGGTTTAAGGGCACGGGCGAAGCGGCCCATATTTAATAGTGAGGACTACATAGGGAGTCACAGCTCATCCTTCCAGTCCGATTCGCTCAGGACACCAGCGTCGGAAATCACGACGTCCTCTGTCGGGCGATCACCATAGCTGGTCTTGACGTCTTCGATGTACTTCACCACGTCCATGCCCTTGAGCACGCGGCCAAACACGACGTGACGGCCGTCCAGCCACGGGGTCTGAACAGTCGTAATGAAGAACTGCGAGCCATTGGTGTCCTGACCAGCATTAGCCATCGAGAGAGTACCAGGGCCCTCGTGCTGTAACTCAAAGTTCTCGTCAGCGAACTTCTGGCCCCAGATCGACATGCCACCACGGCCATCGCCGCGGGTGTAGTCACCGCCCTGGATCATAAAGCTCTTGATGACACGGTGGAACTTGCTGCCCTTGTAGCCACGACCCTCTTCACGTTCTACAAGACCGACAAAGTTCTCGACCGTCTTGGGGACGGTGTCACCATAAAGGCCCATCACGACGCGGCCAATAGACTTGTCGCCGTGCTCAATGTCAAAGTACACTTGGTGCGTTACCTTCGCGTCAGCATGCTTCAATGCCAACGCGACCGACACCAGCGCCGAGAAGGCCAACAACACACGGACCAACGAAAACTGCATGAGGGGAATAAAGGAAGCAACGCGCACGCACGAACCCTCTCCCCCTTGTGTCACATGCCCAGGCAGGCTGGGGCGCTCGTGGCTGGTCGGCGTGCGTGCCGCCAAGGCACTGCCTGCCTCGTAGGTCGCCCATCACGTGCCAACCGGCCGACTCCCCGCACCCTCGGAGTGCAGAGGGCCCAACCGCAATATGCGGTAGGCCACCGAGCTGCGTCACAGTGGCAAGCGCTCAGGCAATCTAGTAACCGATCCATTTCCGCTGCGCTTTTTCACGCACCGCGTGCCTCTCCCTCCGCCACGCGTGGCCCACGTTCGAATTGATACTTGGTCCATTCCTGGAACGACGACGTCCCTATAGACACGTACATCCGTCGACACTTCACGCCATTGTAGTGCGATGGCGGAATTCCCTGTAGCATCGTCAGGGAGTGCCATGACGGATCCCAGTACCTTCGCCATCGATGCACGTGGCCTAGGTATCCCTGGTCCTCCTGAAGACCCACCGCAGGACACATTCATGACGCCTGGCGAACTCGCTAATGTTCTCCTCGAAGCATTTAAGACGCTCCTGAGTGAATGTGAGAGCTACGTACAGTACTTTGAGCAACGCTTCCGTTTGGAAGAAGAACATTTACGCAGCGTCAAACTCATGTTGGAGCGACATCGCGATTTGGATATGCGTGTGAACCGCAAGCTGGCTACTCTCCCTGGCCTACTACCGGATCCTGGCCGCTTGTCCAACTTGCGCAATACATGGGGCGATATGCGCCTCTCAGAAATGTGGGCCATTGATTTACGCTTGAATTCGCTCATGGAATGGAAACGCTCTGTACTCCAGCCTGTGCTGCAGTTCCGTGACGCGCAAGAGCGAATTCGACGACGTGTCAAGGACGACCTAAAGTCTTGCGTCGACGACTACAATGATATGCTGCATACGACACTTCCACGCATCCGACGTGCGTACGAAAAGCGCTGCGAAGAGCACGAGTTCTACCAGCATCAGCAACGTGCAATAGAAGAACAGCGACAGCTTCTCCTGTCCAGCTCACTGGTAGCGCAGCCTGAAACGCGACCGAGTCGCGAGAGCGCAGAACTGCCTCGCCCGCCCAGCGAGCAAGGGTCCTTTACATCCACTTTGAGTGGGCAGGACGGACCTTCGTCCGCACCCGCTACCTCACCAGCGCCAACAACGACGCCGCCACTGCCTGCGGCTACGTCAACGTCAGGTACAAATCGTTCCTTCCTCGAAACATTCCGCAAAAAAGAGGGCTGGGACCAGGCGCCCAAACGACTCAATGCCTTGTTCTCACGCATGCTGGATGTATCCGATCGCAGCCCAGCCACAGAGTCACACCCACTCCCTGGTACAGCAGCGCCCACGGCGACCTTTGACCCGGCTGTGGCCTCTGCAGGGACAGCAGAGCACTTACCCCCAGGTCTGTCTAACAAGTCTATGCAAACGCTAGCTGTAAAACAGGCCAAAGCCAAACGCGAAATGGAGGAAGCGGACAAAGCGTATCGCAAAGCCATCTTTGATTTGGAAACATTGCGATTGCGGCGCAATCGTGCCTTGGATGCCGCTGTGAAAAGCTTGCTTGAGTGGCGACGTGAGCTGGCCATCACGATGCAAAATGCTTCGCTGCAACATGTGCGTGCGAGTACGGCAATCCGTACTTCAATTGAATCGGTGCATCAACAAGACGAACAGCTGGCGGTGAGGATGCTGGACCACCTGGAAGAGGAGCAGAAAGTATGCGAGGAGTGGCTTCCGAGCACGCGTTCCCTTGTACAAAATGAACGTGTCAAGTATGTGAACTACTTCCATGGACCATACAATGATCTAATCTTTGGAACAGGTCTTGTTGATTATGCTTTTTCTCATGGCGATCAAAATACACCGTCGACTATGACAGAGACCGGGCAAATTATGCCATCGGTGCGTCCTCCGTTGATTCTCAGCAAATGTATCGATTTTATTGAACAGCCACGCTGCGTGGAGATGCCGGGCATCTACCGCCTGAGTGCGAAGTACTCGCGCGTGCAAGCGCTCACAAGTCAGATCGAACAGGATGAAGCCTCGTTCCAGTTCGACAAAGTGCGGGAAGACCCTATTTTGGTCGGATCGATCCTAAAGCTGTACCTGCGTCAGCTGCCCGAACCTGTGATGCCGATGCGCTGGGAAGAGCGTGTAAAGTACACGCACGAACGTGAAGAGCATATTCGCAGTGGCTTTTCCAATTTCAAATCGCGCATTCGACGCATGCCGCCTATTCATCAAGCCACGCTGCGTGCATTGCTGATACATTTGTCGTATGTCGCATCGTTTTCGGAGCAAAACAAAATGACAGTAGCCAATTTGGCTGTTGTTTTTTCACCTGTGATTCTCTCTGATGTGGACCCGGACACGACGTCGTTGGCTGTGGCGGCAGAAGAAGACAAAACGTTGGAGGACATGATTGTATACTGTGCTAACATTTTCTCCATCCCGCCCTGCGAAGAGACGTTGTTGCCGCCCGTGCCAGGCATTCCGAAGAGCTCTAGTCTATATCAATCGCTGGGCGATCATGAGCTTGTTGATATGTAACATTGCACTACCCACACCGCCGTACATAGTCTTGGTAGTGCTTGGCAAACGCTATATACCCTACGACGTACCGCTTCCCCTCCCTCCACTTTCTCCTCATGACGTCCACGCGTCCGCAACAGGTGGATGTCGGCTCCCTAGATGTGCCACAGGTACGTGCTCTCCGTGGAGACTTATGTGTACTAGTTGCTTGATGTACGAAAGCAACTGGAACTGGAGTTGAAGCAGTTTGCGACGATGTTTGGCCAGCTCAAGTTGGCCCAGTCGCGCTTCCAGAGCTGCTTGGAAAGTGTGGACGAGATCCGCCCAGAAAATCAAGGCACGTATACGACCTACTAACTCTAGACAAAACCACCCTCGTTCCTCTGACAGCGTCGCTGTATGTGCCAGGACGCCTAGCCGACCCCGATAAAGTGATTGTGGATATCGGCACTGGCTACTTTGTCGAAAAGGTACGTCACAGTCCCGTCTTACCCCAGACGCGTGCGGAAGCTCGGAGTTTGTACCAAGACAAAGTCAACTATGTTGTGAAGAATATGGAGCAGCTGCAAGAGACCATTCATCGCAAGCAGGACAACTTGCGTGTGGTAGGCGAACTATTGCAGGTGGTACGTACAAACGGACGGGCACAATCTCATTCTAGAAACTTCTCCGTGGCGAGAAAGGCTCGTCGGAAAACTAGTGCTATGTATACCAAGGTGTTTGTGGATTGTAGACCCATAGCGCAGCTAGTCACCCAGGATGCCTCATGTTCGCCCGACGGACGCTTTGGAAGGCGGTGGAAACGTCGGTGAGGGCGATGGACACGCTGCCTCCACATGACGCCGCCATTCTCCTACGTTGGCAGCCAGCGGGTGGGAAGGCTTACCATCGAACGTAGAGGATGACGAACCCGGTTGTGTGTGCGTACCTGCAAAGCTGACGGTAGATCTGGACATTGAGTTTGTGAATGGCCCACCGCCTTCGCGCCCAGGCGGTAACCGTATTGTCCTGGAATTGTACAAGGACAAGGTGCCCAAGACCGCAGAGAACTTCCGTGCGCTGTGCACAGGCGAGAAGGGCATGGGCCAGGCGGGCAAGAAGCTCACATTTGAAGGAAGTCTTTTCCACCGTGTGATTCCACACTTTATGATCCAGGGTGGTGACTTTACCAACTTCAATGGCACGGGTGGTGAGTCGATTTACGGCGAAAAGTTTGAGGACGAGAACCTGGAGGGCAAGCATGATGAGCCCTTCTTGTTGTCCATGGCAAACGCTGGTCCCAACACAAATGGATCGCAGTTTTTCATTACTACGGTGCCCACGCCGCATTTGGACGGCAAGCACGTCGTGTTTGGCCGCGTTCGCAAGGGCAAGGATGTAGTTCGGCACATTGAGCAGAGCAAGACAGGGGCCAACGACCGCCCTGTGGACGACATCAAGATTGCGGCGTGTGGCGAGTTTACGCCAGAGCAGCTGCAGGATGCATCGTTTGACTATGGCATCAAGCCTGACACCACAGGCGACAAGTATGAGCCCTACCCCGAAGACTCCGAGTTGCCGCTCGAAGAAAAGCCTGAGACGGCACTGGAGGTGGCTGAGGACCTTAAGGCGATTGCTGCCAAGCTTGTTGGCCAGGGCGAATGGGGCTTGGCGCGTGAAAGTATGTATTCGATCTCACTCACCAGCAGAATACGAAAAGGCGCTCCGATACCTCTTTGTGAACCCACACTTGCCTGAATCGACGGACAAGACGTTTGCGGCGAACTACCGTGCGCTGCGTACGCCGCTCCAGCTGAATGCCGCGCTATGTGCACTCAAAACAGTGCCGCCGATTGCGGAGGAGGCTGAAGCGCTTACGACGCAGGTCATTGAACGCGGCGCCGAAGGTGGTTTGGGTGCGCCCACGGAGGCGGAAATGGCCAAGGCGCACTTCCGCCGGGCCTTGGCGTACGCGACTCTGAAACGCGATGACGATGCCAAAGCCGATCTCGACAAAGCGCTGACGTACGCACCGAACGATGCGGGCATTCTTAAGGAGAAGAATGCGTTGGAAAAGCGCCGTCAGGCGCGTCTGGCCAAGCAGCGTGCTGCGTACAGCAAGATGTTCTCATAGGAGTACCCAGTCTATCTATGTATCGAATCTATAGCGCATTTACGACTGGTCACCCAGCTCGGAAAGCACATCGCGCAAGTGGTTCAGAATCACATCAATGTCGTTGCGTGACGAGTCGCATACCGACACGCCCATATGGCCGATACGGAAGTACTGGTCCTTGCAGTCCTTGTGCAGACCCGCACCAAACACGACACCACGCTGAGCCATCTTCGGGAGGATATCGGCGGCACCAAAGCCGGTAGGGTACCGCACGGCGGTCATACCGTTGGCCACACCGCCTTCACGCGAATCGGGGAGCGCCAGCTGCTCCAGACCCAGCTCAGCAATCGTCTTCTTCACCTTCTGCGACGCCTCACGGTGCAGCTGGAAGCGCTGCGAAAGCGACACAGAGCCTTGCGTCATGGTCTTGAGCGAGCAGTGCAGGGCGTACACCAAGTTCACAGAAGGCGTCGCAAAGTACGACGGCTTGCGGGCCTCGTACGACTTCATCACCGGGATCCACTTCTTCCACGAGCCAAAGTACGTGCCGGGCGGAACGCTGCGCTTCTCAAACGTCTCAATCGCACGCTGGCTAGCCACGGCCAAGCACAGGCCAGGCGGGCAGCCAAGACCCTTCTGCGACGCAAACAGAATGTAGTCCACGCCCCATGCCTCCATGTGAATCTCTTCGGAGCCGACACTGCATACACCATCGACAATGATCAGTGTGTCAGGGCTGACCTCCTGCACGACCTTGGCAATGCTCTCGACATCGTTCAGAATACCCGTCGAAGTGTCGACGTGCGTAATAGTAATGGCCTTGTACTTCTTTTCCTTGAGTGCATTTGCAATCTCTTCGCGCGTCGAGCGACCGCCCACCGGCGCAGTAAGCTGCGTCGGCTTGGCGCCGTACGTCTCCAGGCACTCTGTCAGGCTGTCGCCAAAGTAGCCCGTCGTAAGCACGAGCACGTCCTCACCCGGCTGGATCAGGTTCGCTGCGGCCATGTCCCAGCCCAGCGTACCTGAACCAGCAATGATGAAGGGCTGGCTGTTCGGCGCATCCACGACTTGGCGGATCATCTCCAGCGACTCGCCAAAGATAGGCAAAAAGTCAGGCGAGATGTGCGCCATCGATGGGTGTGCATTCGCAAGAAGCACATCATCCGCGACCTCAATGGGGCCGGGGATCATAAGGAGCTTGTGGTCGGCTTGCTTAAACGACGACATGGTGGTATAGAAGAAGGGATACCCAGGCTGCCCACGCACGCTCTAAAGAGCCGTCAGTCCGTCCGTCCCCGCAGCGAGCGGGCCTATGGAGGCAAGCCAAGTCCGGCCGTGCGTATGCGTATGACATAAGCATGAGTGTCATCCATTCATCAAGGTACGAAGCAGGCAGGCCAGCACGTCGGCACGCACGCAGTATGACGGCCTGGCCGAAGGAGGTGGTCGAGGAGGCGCTACGTCTACCACCTACCAGTGCGCTACCGCGCATCCGGACAGAGCCGCCGCTCGAGCGCATTCAGACGGCTCTGCAACATATGGATATTGTATACACGCCTTCGACGACCCTGGAGCCTTGCGACGAAGAATGGGAGGCTCTGCAAGATCGTATTGATGCAGCGCGGGCAGATCCTACAGAGCGTGCCTTTGTGCAGGCATGGCTCACGCGCCTAATCGAATCGGAGATCGCCTGGCTCGAAGATACCCCGGCACGCCGTGCCCTGCTGGATCAGGCGGCGTCCTGTATGGCCTCCATGTCCTCAGCGCTGGAGGCTGGCGACTTGGTTCGTGAGTTTACATTTCCCATGGAGGCCGAAACGATCCCCTCCTGTGTCCAAGGCGGCCCTGGCATGTCCGTGTCGATCACAGTGCGTGACGCGGCCCTTCCGCCCTCGGACGCACAGAGTGTTCAAGGCGCAGCGGAGGCCGCTGACGCGGTCGGTATGCAGACCTATGCAAGTTCCATTTTGATGTGTGACTTGTTTGTGCGACGACCTGGTGCATGGCATCGCGCCCTTGAGGCAGAAGCGTCGCCGCGCTCGACGCTTACCGTGATGGAATTGGGGGCAGGGACAGGGATTGTGGGGATGGTCGTAGCACGCGCACTCGATCAACACATCAGCCCTGTGCAGCATGCTACCGTATACCTTACAGACTACCATGCTGATGTGATGACCAACTTGCTGCACAATGTAAAGGAGCATTTGCACGTTGCCAAGGATCGTGTCGAGGTCGTGTGCGAGGCTTTGGATTGGCGCGCTTTGCATGATCTCGTGTACCCAGACGAAGCCTGTGGGGAGACCGTAGCCTGCCGGATCCCTCCGCCACAATCCATCTCCTTGCTGCTGGTGGCGGACCCTATCTACTCGCCAATGCATGCGACATGGCTCCTGCCTGCGATTGTATACCTTCTGGCCCTCCCTACCACGGACCCTGATGCACGCGCGCATATTCTGCTGCCTGTTCGTGTGGCTGGCCGCCTGGCGGAGCTGTACAAGACGGTGGATGTAGCACTAGCCCGCCAAGCACCGCGGCAAGGTTTCCGGCTGTGCCGCCAATCGCAAACGCACTTACCACGGCGCTACGGCTTAGGACGGCGTGATGAGCGCGAGTACATCTGGACAGTACTTGCATGGGAAAAGCTGGTGTAATGTACATACATACAGATGCTATGCACGACGGAACGTACGACCACTTGCCGTCTTCCGTTCTTTTTCGGCATGCTCCGGCTTGGCGCGGTTCAGGACTTTGAGGAACTCAGCGACACGCGAGCGCATGCGGCTGTGCATGTAGGCCTTGGAGCATTTGACTGGTCGTCAGGAAAGCAAAGTACATACTGTGGTAGTGCAAGTAGTCGCGGAACAGCTGAATGTGCGAAATGGTCGTCGCACGCACGTCAGGGTGCGCAAAGTGGCGAGGGAACAGAACGAACGTCACGTAGCCCGTGTTGTCGGAGCGACTTGCACCGACCATCTCGCGCACTTCCAACGGCGGTTCGCGGTTGGAGTACAGCACTTGCGGCGCATTCTGCAGCGCAGGACGACGACGCGCATCGACAAACTCCTGGAGGAATACTTTACCGAAGATCCGGTCCGTCTCCTCCTCAAATCGTGTGCTAATCACCACCGTCACACGGTCATGCGATGGCTGGATATACATGGCCTCGTCGGCCCGGTAGTGAAGCGGAAGCAGCGTGCCGCTAGGCGGCGCAGTGCCTGGCTCATACTGCTGCTCAAGCTTGGCTTGCTCCTGAAACGCACGCTCAAACGGGGCAGCCATCGCATGACGTTTGAGGAGTGCAACAGCGCCGATCAGAGCATCACGGTCCGCTGCGGCGATGTGAGAAGATCGATAACGTACCACCCGGCGGCGGCACAGCCGCATAATCAAAGGACAATGTGATATTATAACCTGCTTCCGTCTCAGGGCGGATCCAAGTACCATACATCTGATGCAGCTGCTCCATAGCACCGTACTGCACCAGCTCCGGCCAGCATCGGATGTCCATCGAAAGGACTAGGGGCCCTTCCTTGGTCGACTCCATATGATACGCTACACCGTCAAAGTCAGTGAACATTTGGTCCACAGAGCCAGGTCTGCTACGTTAATGCACATCCACATACGTCTCAAACTTGCTCGTAAGCACATCACGAATGATCGTGTTCTCCGCGCCTAGCAAGATCATCGTCGTCAGCGCCCCACGATGGTCAAGAGAGAGCCCGTGAGCACCTTGGCTGTTGGTATAGGAAGTATGGGCGGCCCGCGCGCACGGGGAATTATGTGTCTATGAGGGAGGCGCCGTGCCACTAGAAGCTTGGCGCTCGTCAAGGCGAGCGAGTTTCTCGCGGATCGCATCGCGTTCTCGGCGCAGATGGAAGTGCTCCAGCTCCAGGCTGTAATGGTAAGCCAGTATAGTACGTACCTTGATAGCTTCTTTTGGATCTGAGCACGTGTGGGCGCCGCGTCTACCTCGTCCGGAACTGGCGCGATGGCAGGCGCAGGCGCAGGCGAGAACGGAGGCTGTGTGGCCAAGGACGTCGAGCCCTCACCTTCGTGTGTCAGGTTCCCAGCCCGACGTCGGTCTACCCATTCACTCAGCTTCATACCGCCCCAGAATCCCAGCGGCAAAATCATCAGCGTGACCAGCGCAAGGACCCACCGAATACGTGGTATGCCGAACCATACCGGGGACGACGTCGCAGGCGTGTGCCCGGGTTCTGCAGGGGCTGAGCGGCGTGGCACGGGTTTCTCATGCGACATAGGCTCACGACGTACAGCACAGGTGGACATACGCCGTGTCCAGCTGGAGCCTGGGCGTGGCAACGGAGAAGGTCGACGCCATGTCGACTTCCACTGCCTGGTCGGTGCAGCGGTAAATACCGACCATGTGAGCTCACGGATATGCTGTACACTCGCGAATGTCTCACGCACAATGGCGTGCCAGATTCGCTGCGCTTTGGCTACCCAGGGGGCAATCCAACGATGAGACAGGATGCGAGCTATGATCGTACGACGTGCTGGCAGTTCTGGCATAGCAGCCATCTGGGCAGGTACAGAGGCAGGGGACGTACGTTCCCATGCCTCTAAGGTCAGCGCAGAAGGCGTGCGATCCGACCAACCACCGCCCGACGGGATGCCGAGGCGTGTGAGGCGCCGCAAAATGCTGTACTCCATAGCGCGCATCATTCGTGTCCCGAAGCTTTCAGCGCCCCATAACTCACGCGTGAGGATGCTAGTGCACGTTGCTGTCATGTGTGGGTATGTCGACGTCAGCTGGCGTTGAATTTGGTCAGCAAAGGCCATATCGGTGGTGATGCGATCACCAATGACCAGAATATGTGGCGGAAGGGTAGGGTCGGCGCTGTGCAGGGCGAGTGTCGCGATATAGTCGACGACCTGCTTCGCACATGCTTTGCCTGGTTTCTTCACAGGATGGCACAGGACAGGCACGCCGAGATTCGAGGAGACGTTCTCGGCGGCCAAAGCGTCAGGGTCCTTGCTGGAGCCTGCCGAGTTGCTCACAATCAAGATGTTGTCATCACCAAACACGGCTTTGCACTCATCCCATGTTTCCTGAAGAGGCGTCGCAAGTTGGTCCACATAGGGCCGAGTCTAGAGTAAGAAAAAGGATACGTACCAAACAATTGTCCTTGTCGTACACAATGTACCGTACACCATTGTTGTACACTTTTCGCCAGTCGAGCTGACGGAGAGCTGTGGTAAGATGGTATCTTTACGTACAATTCACCTGGATGTGCGGCACAATCACGCCAGGGCGTGCCATCGCACGTACGACGGCCCACACTCCTGGTAAGTTCATCGTCGAAGCACTGGGTGAAGGAGTGGAGATGCACAAGTCGGCGCGAACTCCACGTAAATTCGGGCTAATTTTGTCGTGCGCCTTGTATTCGGTGGACGATGAGGGAGCTGGACGACATTTTTTCGCCGCTCTCGCAGAGTGCTACGGCCAGCAAACACTCGAAGCGCAAGCGTCTTGAAGCTGAGGGAGGTGCATCGAAGAAGAAAAGTGGTGCTGTTACCTCCTCCTCTGCCGTATCGACGGATGCAAGCGCAACGCACACGACGTCTAGCTCCAAGAAGGCCAAGTCGCGCACGTCCAACGAGGGGACTAGCTCGAGTACATCGAAGAAGAAGGATGTGCCTGTGGTCGTGCATGACATGTCCAAGGCGTCTTCGATGCCCAAGCAGGCGCCTCGGCCTCGTGATGACGACGATGCGGCCTTTGCAGATACTCGCGGGACAGAACGTACGTGGCAGATCGACTTACGCAGGCAAACGTACCGAAGAAGGCTTCCGCATATTCACAGAAGAGGAACTTAAGCTCAACCAAGGCGGAGGTATGTATCCCACCATGGCATTTACATGCAGGCACACCGCTTTGTCCTTTTGACTGTGATTGCTGTATGTTTTGTCGACGACTAACTCTCCCTAGGCTACTGAATACCCTACATAGACGTATCCATACCTTTCTGAGACTCCAACATACATACAAAGGCTCATGCTGAGTAGACAGGCTCTCGACAACGGAGCTGCTGACAAAGCGCCCTGGAAGACAGGAGGCCACGACGACAGGGGCGTGGAGGTCCAGGCAGGCGGCGCAGTCGATTTCTGATTGCAGTCCAGCATGACGGCCTTGTCAGACGAATCGTTCTGGCAGTCGCTTGCGCTGGAGCCTGGAGCTCAGGCGACGCAGTGCCGAGAGGAGATTGCGAAGGAGCTTCTTACGCCTACGCATGTGCCCGAGCCAGAATGGATGCTTCATGCTCAGCAGTATGTATGATGTACAGACTTCTTACCGCTAGACATTGGCCTCGTCCCACTTCATACGAATCGATGCTGGCCTTGGATCCATCGCCTAGCGCTACATCTTTGCAGTTTGTGCGCTCTGGTATGGAAGGCCGAGTGATTGGCTACCGCGAAATGGTCTCTGCTGCTTCGCTGCATGACGTGGACATGCCGACCATGTCGATGCAGCGTCCCATCGCATCACGCCAGAGCTTTGTGCGTGGCTCGACGTCCTCCATGCCATTTCGACCTGGTGGTCTGGATGACGTGACCGTCCCCTTCAGTGAGACGGCGGCGCCTAGCACGTCCATTCGCTCGATCCCCCCTGGGTTCATGCGCGGCTTGCAGGCGGACGACGCCTCGTTGGTTGATACCAGTGTGCCGATATGGCAAGAGCGTGTCGTACAAACCGCACCTACCAGTGTTGATCGAACTGTGATTACCGTCGACAAGGATGGGCTGTACAGAGTGCCGGACGCTGCGCCGACGGCCAAGAACGACGATGCGGTGGTGGACGAGCTGCTACCGGAAGTATCGCTGCCTCGTATGTTCCAAGGTATGGTGACGGCTGCGCCGGAAGAACGCCGTGAGTGGGCGCACATGGTCGACGCGTCCAAGCAGATGACCAACTTTCATGAACTGGTGCCGACTATGGCCCATGAGTACCCCTTCGAGCTCGATACGTTCCAAAAGCAGGCCGTGTACCATTTGGAACGCAGCGAATCTGTGTTTGTGGCCGCCCACACCTCGGCTGGTAAGACCGTGGTGGCCGAGTATGCGATTGCCTTGGCCATGAAACACATGACACGCTGCATCTATACGTCGCCTATCAAGGCGCTTTCGAACCAAAAGTTCCGCGAGTTCAAGCAGACGTTCGGTGCGGAGAACGTGGGTATTCTTACTGGCGATGTGCAAATCAACCCTGAAGCGGCCTGCTTGATCATGACCACTGAAATTTTACGCAGCATGCTGTACCGCGGCGCCGATTTGATTCGTGATGTGGAGTTTGTCATATTCGACGAAGTGCACTATGTCAACGACCAGGAGCGTGGCGTCGTATGGGAAGAAGTGATTATTCTTCTTCCGCAGCATGTGAACATTGTCCTGCTCTCGGCTACGGTACCCAACACGAAAGAGTTTGCGGATTGGGTCGGCCGTACGAAGCGGAAAGACGTCTATGTGATCTCGACGCCCAAACGTCCTGTGCCGCTCGAGCATTTCTTGTATGCTGGCAAAGAGCTCTACAAGATCGTCGATGCCAATGGCCGTTTCTTGTCGAAGGGCGTGCATGATGCCTCCGATGCCCTCAAGTCGAAGCAGGAGCGCGAAGCTGAGTCTGTGGCTGGTCATGGTGGCGCCGCTCGCGGAGGCGCCGCTGGCCGTGGTGCCGCGCGTGGGGCGGGACGAGGTGCTACAGGCCGTGGTGGCGCAGGTCGCGGGGCGTCTCGTGGTGGTGGTGGCGGCACCGTGGCACGTCGTAGCGGTATGGCGACGGACAAATCGTTGTGGGTCCATCTGATCGGTCTGCTTCGGAAGCAAAGTTTGCTGCCGGTCGTCGTGTTTGTGTTCTCCAAGCGTAAGTGCGAGGAGTATGCCGACTCGCTTCCCAACACAGATCTATGCAATGCCAGTGAAAAGAGTGAAGTGCACATCGTGATTGAGCGCAGTCTCACGCGACTCAAGGAGCTTGATCGTGCGCTACCGCAGATTACACGGATGCGCGACCTGCTAAGCCGGGGAATCGGTGTGCACCACAGTGGTCTGCTTCCCATTGTCAAGGAGATGGTCGAGCTGCTCTTCCAGCGCGGCCTGGTCAAAGTCTTGTTTGCGACCGAAACGTTTGCGATGGGCGTGAATATGCCTGCTCGCTCGGTCGTCTTTTCTGGCCTGCGCAAACACGATGGCCAAAACTTCCGATACCTGTTGCCGGGCGAGTACACGCAAATGTCCGGTCGTGCTGGCCGTCGAGGTTTGGACGAAACGGGTGTTGTGATTATCGTCTCTGAAGATCCGGACGTTCACATCCTCAATCGCATGATTCTGGGGCAATCGACGAAGCTCAAGTCACAATTCCGTATTACGTACAGCATGATCCTGAACTTGCTGCGTGTCGAAGCACTTAAGGTGGAAGAAATGATCAAGCGGTCGTTCTCTGAGAACGCGACGCAACGTTTGCTCCCAGAGCAACAAAAGACTCTGCAAGCACTGCAAAAGAAGGTGGCTGCTATGGAGCCTGAGTTTGCTAGCTGTGCTATCCCGATCGATGCTATGGAGTCCCTGTACGACCTGTCGTACGATGCGGTGCGTTTGAACGATACCCTGCTATCCCTTGCGTACCATCATTCCCAGGGCGTCAAGAACCTCGCACCGGGCCGCGTCGTGTTGCTGCGTATGGGCGTGCAAGGCTTTGCGCCTGCATTCATTGTGCGTCCTGTGACAGGCGCACGTTTCCTCGTGCTTGCCGCCCTGACGCCGGGCCAGAAACAAGCTCGTCGGAAGGACGATACGATGCCTGTGTGGATTTCGCCCGTGCTGGCGTCGCAGCTGCGGACCGACGAATGGCAGCCGGAGACGATGGAGGTGTCACTGAGTAAAATTGCGTTGGTCACCTCGTTTATCGAGTCCATTCCCGCCGCCTCCATTCAGTCGCGGCGCCCGTCTGCATTGCGTCGTGGCATAGAACTGCTTCGTCCTTCTATTGAGCAGATCTCCGAGCACCTAACGAAGGCTGGCGACAATGCTGCGTTGGCCGTCGTGGATCTTGAAGTGGATTGGGCCCGCTTGCGTCGCTTGGACTTCCATGATGCACGCAAAGAGCGCAATATGGCGTTAGAGTCATTGATTACTGTGCAAGGTATTATGACGCACGACGACTTTGTGCGGGAGTTTAGGCTGATGCACAAACGCAAGTCGCTCACTCGCGAAATGACACGAGTCAGTGCGCTGCTCTCCAACGAAAACCTCGAGCTGCTACCCGACTACCACCAGCGTATTGACGTGCTGAAAGCGCTGCGGTTCATCGATCCCGACTCGGAAACTGTCTTGCTCAAGGGCCGCGTGGCCTGTGAAATCAAGAGCGCCAACGAGTTGATTCTCACCGAGCTGATTCTCGACAACACTTTTGTCGAGTATGCACCCGAAGACATTGCCGCATTGCTTAGCGTGTTCCACTTCAAGGACAAGACAACGATCGAGCCGGCTCTCACTGAGACGCAAAAAGAAGGCTATGCGCGCATCCTAGACGCCGCTGATCGCGTAGCCGCCGTCCAGACGGCGCACCAACTTAATTCGGAAGACGATGCGTCGACCATGCGCACTGGCCTTATGGAAGTCGTGTATCAGTGGGCGAAGGGCATGCACTTCCACGAGATTATGAAGCTCACAGATGTGGGCGAAGGCACGATTGTCCGCTGCATCACGCGACTTGATGAAACGTTCCGCGAAGTACGCGATGCCTCTCGTGTGATTGGTGATTTGGACCTATTCCAGAAAATGGAACAGTGTCAGCAGCTCATCCGTCGTGACATTGTTTTTGCGGCGAGTCTCTATTTCTAGTAGCCTCTATTCATTTCCTTTCGTACTCGTCGCCTCGTGCGACCCTGTGCCAGCCTGTGAATAGGTCATCATCCAATCATGGGTAGGCGACGTCGGGCGGGAGCTCATCATCCATGGTGGTGGCTCTGAGTTGGGGTCCGATGAATCCACCCACGCACCTGGCGCCGTAGGCACACCTTCCAGCAGTCGTTCTTCGGCCTGAATGAGCTTTTCCAGGGACATGCCACACACACACGTCTCATGCGACTCACCGGTACGCGGAGGCATGTGCGTAATGGCCCATGGTGACCCTTCGGGTAGACTACGAGGCGCCGATCGATCCGTGTTACGCAGACGAAAGCCCGGCGCAGATGTGACAGTGGCATCATTGGGACGCCACACAGGTATCACTGGCGTTTTGTACCCCGACATGTCGGCACTGGGTGACCCGGGGCGGGATGGCGCTCGGGAGGCTGTCGCCGTACGAAGACCTAAACGTAACGGCGGTGATGGCTCACGGTCGGGTCCACGAGAGGGAATGGTGGAACGTTTTGGGTGAGTAGAAAGCGAAGAGAGCGAGTGGATCAACTTGTTCCATTCCGTATCCGTGCCAAGGAGAGACGAGTTACGCGGAACCGTAGGAAGCCGTGATGTGGTTGGAGAGGACGACTCCGGCGTATGTGGCGTGTGAGGTGTATACGGTGAAAGCTGTGAGTATGGCGGCAAATGGATGGAGTCGAACGTGCATTCACACGAGGGTATCGAGACGGATTTGGACATTGAGAACACTTGGGGCTTCGGCAAGCCGTACTTGTCATCGAGTACGTCAACGCGCGAGAACAGAATCTCCAATCCAATCTCGTGGGAGATCCGGATGTTGGTTCGTGTTCCCTTCGCTGTCGATGGACGCAGTCGATTGTCGTCAGGCAATCGAGCAACAGCTTTGATTCGATAGCCATGTAGCGTCTCCCCCTTCTCGGTCAAGACATTCAGCGGCTGGACTACATCCGGTACGTGTCGCGCAGCTGCACCGAGTCGCGTGCCAGGCTGCACACCTTCCGCTGTGAGAATACCTTGCGCCCAGTACTTTCCATTGTTAATTTCAGGGTGCTGAGGCGGTGCTACACCCAGTTCCCATACTCGGTATTTGTCCTTCGGCACGGAAACCCATTCATGGGTATCTTTTCTGTGTAGTTCGTATTTTTGTTCCACAAATAAGCGAATCAACAGAACATTTAGATTGGGTGGGGGATTGGGGTGGACAAGGGACAACGTGAGAATACCTGCCACCGACAATGAGGGTGTTGTGATAGCCACAGTCAGGTACTGGAGCGCCTCATGGATGTCGTTGTACAGCATATCCATTGGCATCGGACCATTGTCCGGCGTTTGTTGCTGGACAACAATGACATCGCGGGTGGCTGACACATTTGAGCCATGCCGACCGGCACCGACCGCTGTGGCTGTAAGGGTGTATCGCGTACGACCGTATTTGCAACGCTCATATGGCGCAATCCAAGCAGGGATAATGAAATGAAACTCAAAGTCATGGATGCCACGTTCGAGAAAGAGGGTATTCGATTCATTCTCCGAAGACTTGGTACGAAAAAACGAAGGCCGGGTCGAGTGTCGTACAGAGTGACTCGGATGGCCATTGGTCTGCACTCGTAACGTCCGATCAAGCACGGTTTGCTCTTCCCAGCGCATCATGGACTTGTCTTTGGATGGTTTCTCTCCCGTAACCCGAGGGTATCCTACCACCTGCATGCCAAACAAGCGGATTTCTACACCTTTGATATACAGATCTTCGTGGCATTCCACTTCGACAATACCTGTCAGTAGCTTATCCTGACTAGGTACGTCGGGTGTGGCGGGTGGCTGTATCCATATCAGATCAGACTGTACATGCAATATGACCTCACAGGGCGATGAATGGTGATGATGCTGGGAGGCTCGCATACTGTCGCAACTGGCCTACGCCCCTAGAGAAAAAAAGCGGTCCACCGTTGCAATGAGTCTAGGGAGACTAATTCATGCATCTTGCGTGTACAACTTTTTCCCATGACACCCCAGCAGAGCAGCCCCAGTGGATTGGATTGCTTCTCGCTCACTGGTCTACCAATTGCGCCCTATCCTCCACCTAGTGGCATTTTCACATTAATTTCCTAGCGTTCGCAAGGGCATACGTGTGAGCAAGAAAGGCCACGCGTCGTCCGTGGGCGTGGTGCATGGCGTGGCGTCGCCAAGACCCTGGGCCTATGCTATGGATTGGCGCACCATGTCATACGTGTCATAGCGAGGATTTTTTGCCTCTCGTATGCCAGGCATGCCATCATACGTTCTGCGCGGACCATTTTTCCCAGGATGCGCATCGATGTCCATACCCACATGATAATGTGCTTGTGCCATTGTGTCCCTTGTGCGAAAAGCCACCGCCGAATTGGCGTCGCGGGGCTTCGTTGACTGAAATCCAAAATATTCTGGAAGCCCACTGGGCAGCCTTGTCGCGTGAGCAAGGCGGATGCCCTGCCCTTCTCCCTGACGATGCGAATTCTGCGACACGACAGTGTACACACCCCTCTTGCAAGCAGCGTCTATTTGTTTCCATTCGCGTACGTACCCTGTCTATTGACACTAGTGCCCCCACTGCCATCAGGACTTTTGCGTATCACATCGCGCGTCGTCTCAGCATGCATGCCAGGCACACCGTCCCAGGCCTAGCACGGCGAAAGCGTGGAAACAAGTGCTGCCAGCACCGACCTCTTCTGACAATAGCTATAAAACCAAGACACCTACATCATCCTCACCGCCGATCCCACCACGAACCACTCAACCAAGTCGTGCCATGACGAAGCGCGCTGCGCAAGAACGTGCCTCTGCCATTCAGGCAATGCAACAACGGCACGCGCGTGGCCTTTTAAGTGACGCAGAGAAAGTGGTTTTGGCTGAAAAAATGGCGCAAGCGGCGCAAGAGTCGTCCATGCCTGCCAGGAAAGAAGCTTGCACCGTCCAGTAGGTAGCGTCTCTGTATACCCCACGATCTCGATTCATTCAAGGCCCTGAACCATGTGAGTGCACGTGACCGCTCCGGCGCATCGGGTGCACGAACGTGCTCTTTCTCGTTCTTGACACGCGTTTGTACTGTCGCCCTTGCCAGTTCACTATGGCCGAGTCATCGAATCATAGGCCGCTCACTGGAAGTGGACGTGCTCATTCTTCCACAGTCACTGTGCACAACATTGGCAGTGGTCTCACGGTTCTCTCTTCCGTGTTTTTTGCCATTGTACTGCTATGCACACTGACGGGCATGCCCGGTGGAAACTCGCCGTCGGCCATGACCCCTGGGTACGTTGGCGCACCTCGCAACAACCGCTGCAATGTATTCCAGCAGCCAGGATACATTGCGCACAATCCGTACCCTGTATGGAAGTCGTACGACCCTGACTGTGAATCGCCTACGATCTTTCCCGATTTGCTGGCCCTTACGCCAGGTGCCAAGATGGGCACGGCTGCCTCGCTGCGCAGCCAAACACTTTCGACCAAGGCAAAGGATGATGTGATTCGCACTGTGAAAAACCGTACCGTGGTGCTTGTGGGTGATGCCGTGGACCGTGCAATGATCCATGACTTGTGTGCCATGTTCAACGAACAGCCCATCCCAGTGGATGTGTCGCACCCCTGGGGCTCTAGCCTGAAAATGCCCGCTATCAAGCAAGGCAAGAGCGCGCAAGGTGCTCTCCTGGCTGATTACTGTGTTCTGCCTGAGTTTTCCACGATCTTTACCTCGTTTTACCATTACGGTGCTGACACGGATGAGCTTTGGCGCACGCAGCCAGAGTACTACCCGCCTGGCCTGTTTGAGGACCGTGTCACTACTCTGCTGAAGCCCTACCTTGACGCTATGGCACTTCGCTCTGTGAACGGTGTGAAGGCCAAGTCCAACCGCCCTGACCTCATCGTGTTCTCGTCGAACCTCTGGGATCTGGCAGCCTGGGCTATGGAGGATGAGCGTGCCCACTTGGATGCGACAGGTGACCTGTCGGACATTCGCCTGAACTGGTGGCGCTCTCGTATGGTCGATATGATTGAAGCTGTCCGATTGCAGATCAATCCTAGCGTGCCATTGGCGTGGCGTAGTGCTCACGTTCCTATGACCAAAGTCAACGATACCGTGGAGTGGTTCTTCTCGAGTATGCACTCGACAACGATGCCTGCCCCCATTGAGGCAGGGCACCAGTTCGCTACGCCGAACCGAGTTATGCAACTGAACAACGCGCGTCGCTCTATGCTTCAGCTTACCGGCCGTGATGGTCTTCGTGGCTTGCGCAGCAAGACCATGTGGTCTGCGTCGAAGCAGCCGCGTCTGCGTGATATTCCCTTCGGTGAGGTTACACTAGGCCAATCTATGAACCAGGAGAACCTGCTGAACCCTGGTCTAGAGTCTCACTCGTACTTGTTCTGGAGCATCGTTCTTGCAGAGTTGTACGATTCGCTCTCGTAAGCGAATTTGATGCATGTAGGCGTTCCCCGTAATAGTTTTAATTTGAAACCATAAAAGTGCTACTGTGCGACAGAGCGACGATCGAATGGCCGAGTAGCAAAGTGGTTACTGCGACGGCTTTAGGTTTCTAATCCGCCGTTACTCGTGGGTTCGAACCCCACCTTGGTCATATCTTTTTATCTAGGCCCGTGCTGCTCATGCACAGGCCTTACCTAAGCTGTGCGATCGGACTACCGCCAGACCGATTACTAGGTTGACGTGTGGCTATTCCGACGTGATCCGTGGGGATTGTACGTTGTGAGCTGTGTTGCTTGCTCCTTAGCCAAGAACGTACTTTCTATTTTCACAGCCGTGGCCCTGTGATTGTTTTTTCCTTCTTGCAACGGGCTGGCCATGTATGTTGCCACGTCTGCTAACATCACCGCAGGTCGAAATACGCTGAGCAGCTCTTTCATGCGACGCGACCTCTCGATCGTGATCGCATGGAGCAGGATCTATCGATCCATCTGAAGAAGGCCACCAGTCCTGAGGAGACTTCGCCGAAGCAGAAGCATGTGCGCAGTACGTCGCTTTGTTTGTGCTGACGATAACAGAGTGTATTGTGTATACCTGGGACCACAAGTCGTCGCAATCCCTATGGACAGGCCTTCGTGTCTTGCCTATCCTGAATGATGAAGTGCAGACGTTCAAAGCGTTGATTACTGTGCACAAAGTCCTGCAGGAAGGCCATCCTATTGTGCTACGTGAGGCGCAGGCGCAGGCCAACTGGCTCGATACGTGTGCGCGTATGAATACAAATGCGCCGCGTGGCTATGGCAACCTGATTCAGGCCTATGTCTCATTCCTACATGCGAAGCTGCGCTTTCATCGGCAGCACAAGGAGTTCAATGGGTTGTTTGAGTACGAGGAATACATCTCGTTGAAAAACATCGACAACCCTGACGAAGGCTATGAGACCATTATTGAGCTCATGAACCTGCAAGATCGTATTGAAAAATTCCAAAAGCTTGTGTTCTCTACGCTGCGTGGGCGTGCCAACGAGTGCCAGATCTCAGCATTGGTGCCCATGGTCAAGGAATCGTACGGTATCTACAAGTTCCTCACGTCGATGTTGCGTGCCATGCATCGTCGTACAGATGCTATGGATGCGTTGGAACCTCTTCGTGGGCGATACAATGAGCAGCACTATGAACTTCGTCGTTTCTACTTTGAGTGCGCCAGTCTGAAATACCTCACGAGTCTGATCAATGTACCGAAGCTGAACGCCGAGCCGCCGAGTCTCTTGGCTTCCCCCGATGTACCGGAGCTTCCACCCCGTGAAGCACCTACACCGGCGCGTGAGCCTACGCCTCCGCAATTCGAGCACTCACAGGCCGAGATCGATGAGCAGGCGCGTCTTCTGAAGCAGTTTGAGGACAAGCAACGTCTCTTGAAAGAACAGGAAGAGGCAGAAGCGCGCCGTAAGGAGCGCGAGGCTCAGGAACGTGAGCGAGAATTTGCGGCCAGGCAGGCCGAACAGGCTGAGCAGCAGCGGGCCGCGCAAGAGCAGCTGCTGCGCTCGCAAGAGATGAATCATATCCATGGCCGCGTCGCTGAGCTGGAGCGTGATTTGCTGTTTATGCGTGGCCAGTACGAGCGTGATCAGCTGCTCTTGCATCAGTACGATGCACGCGTCAAAGCCTTGGAGATGGAGCTCAACTCCGCTGGGCAAAATATTCAGGCGCAGATGGCAGGCAAGGATGAGATGCTGCAGCAGTTGCAGGAGCAAGTGGAGACGTGGCGCAAGAAGTACGAGGCCCTGGCGAAGCTCTATTCGCAGCTTCGTAACGAGCATCTCGACCTGCTGGGCAAGTACAAGCAGGCGCAGCTGAAGGCGGGCAGTGCCCAGGAAGCGATCAACAAGATGGAACGTATGGAGCGTGATGCCAAGGCCAAGAACTTGGAGATGTCGGATATGATCCGTGAGCGTGATCGTGCGCGTTTGGAGCTGGATCGTATGCGTGGTGGCGAGCGCGAAGAGGTAGAGCGCTTGAAGCGTGAGCTCCGCTTTGCCGAGGAACGGGCGGCCGATGCGATCCAGGCACGTGGCGACGAGGTGTCGAGTATTATGGCGCGTATGAATGCCCAAATTGCCGAGCTGGAGGAGGCGCTGTCCTCGCACAAGGCACAGCTGGAGGCCAAAGAGGCGGAGACGTTGATTTTGCAGGAAGGTATGGACTCGACCATCCGGCAAATGAACGAGATGCGGCTGGACCAAGGCACGTCCGACGACGCGCTCAATGCGCAGATCGATACCATCATTCTCGACAACACCAAAAAGCTCAGTGCCATTATCGACTCGATTTTGCAGGCCTGTGCTGATAAGGTGGACGATGCCCTCTACGAGCTCGAGTCGCCCATGTCCAACGCGGCGTCCTCTGCCACACCCGAGTACGTCCTATCGCTTCTGGAAAAGACCCAAGCCTCGTCGAACGAATTTGCGGCGGTGTTTTCCATGTACGTCGAGCAGCAAGCAGGCGGCGAGCATGTCGCTGTCATCAAGTCGGCCAACCAACTCGCCCAGGCCGTGGCGGATTCGCTTCTCAATTTCCGAGCCATTTTGCGGTTCAGCAAGGATGAAGATGCCATGGAGCGCCTTACGAGTGTGGGTGTAGATGCCGGCAATGCGATCTTGCGGTTCTTCCTCAACACGCAGTCCTACCGCTTGGCCGGCATGACTGTCGCGCAACGCGGCCAAGTTGCCATGCAGCAGAACGCCCAGGCTAGCCAGGCCCTCAACCGACTCGCTGATGCCGCCCAGGGTCTGATTGCCTCGGGTCAGCACGTCAAGGCGCAGGGTGATCTAGGTGACTTGGTCGAGCGCGAAATGATGACGGCAGCTAGCACGATTGAGCAGGCGACGCAGCGTTTGCAGGCGCTGCTCAGTCGCGATAAAGCCTCGTCGCGTTTCTCCGCTACAGAGCTGCAAGTCCACGATACCATCCTCGAGGCCTCGCTGGCTATTATGCGAGCCATTGGCGGCCTCATTCGTGCGGCCACGGAGAGTCAGGAGGAGATTGTGGCACGTGGACGTGGTACAAGCACCGTGCAGCAATTCTACAAGAAGCACAACCGCTGGACCGAAGGCCTGATTTCCGCAGCGCGAGCTGTTGCGTTCGCCTCTACGATGCTCATTGAGGCAGCGGATGGCGTGATTATGGGCACCCACAGCCTTGAGCAGCTGATTGTGGCGTCGAACGAAGTGAGTGCTGCGACGGCGCAGTTGGTCGCTGCGTCCCGTGTCAAGAGCGAATTCATGTCACAGACGCAGGACCGCCTGGAGCGTGCGGCGAAGGCCGTGACAGAAGCGTGCCGAGCCCTTGTGAAGCAGGTACGCATGATTACCGAGCAGCAAATGGGCACAGAGGATCTCGACTATGCCAACATGGCCACGCACGAGTTCAAGGTGCGTGAGATGGAGCAGCAAGTCGAAGTCCTCAAGCTTGAAAAGGAACTGATGCAAGCTCGGCGTGTCCTTGGCGCTATGCGCCGGGCTGGCTACCATGCCACGGAGGACGAGTAAATACTACAATAGATACTATGGATTCTTACATGTCGTCGTCGTCGTCGTCCTCTTCGTCGTCGTCCTCATCGTCGTCGTCCTCATCGTCCTTGGACGTCTCTTGGCCTTGGACACGCGCCACAAAGGCACGCGCACGGTCCAGCACGGCTTGGACACCCGCGTCATCACCGATACGCTTCTCCAGGACCAACCACTTTTGGAGGAGCGACTTCATCTGCTTCGTCGTGTGCTTTCGCGCCACCATAGCACGTTCCATAAGCGAACGAACGCCGTTGATATTCTCTACCCGCGCTTCCTGGTCCATGTACTGCCACCATAGATCCAGGCGCTTAGGGTAGCGCGATACTAGCGTCTCAAACATCGTCCGTGCATGCTCGACATCGCCCAACTTGAACTCGGCCAAGGCATAGGCCGTCAGCGCACGAATATGATCCACGCGATCAAGGCTCTGCAAGCTGCGCGAGACCAGCGCATGTGCTTCCTCTGCGCGATCGTGGCGAAGGTAGAATTGGTACCAATCTATCCATAATGTCACACGTGCGCCAAACTTCTTGGCGGCCCGCTTGAAAAGATCAATCGCTTCGTCCACCTTGTTCGACTGTTCATAGATGGCAATCAGACGCATATGCACTTCATACGCATCGTTCAGCAGAATGGCTTCTTTAAACACACCATTCAATGTATCCGGCGATCCGTACATATTCTCGACGTTGAGGAGCGCAATCCAAACATTCAGCTTTTCTTGCTCTTCACGGAAATTGATGACTTTGATCGCACGTCGAGCCACTTGACGCGCTTTATCGACGTCGCCCAACTGCAAGTAGAAGGTCATGAACTGAATCCACAGGTACGAACTGTTGGGCGAGCCTAGAAGAAGACGTTCGTAATCGGTTGCCGACTCGAGTTTCTTGGTATCCAGTTCGGCAGTAATGTCCTCTGACGACGTCTTTTTGTTTTTGGCCTTGGCCTTGGGCATCGGCTCATCGTCCGACTCGTCGTCGTCATTGTCGTCGTCCCTGGCCTCCGTAGACGCACCCCACCGGAAGCCTTCCTGGAGTGACTGCTTCGGCAAGTGACTGTCGTCGTCGTCGTCGTCGTTTTCGTCGGCATTGACATCGTCGTCATCGTCGTCGATAAAATCGGCCATGTCCTCGTCGTCCTCCTCGTCCTCGTCCTCGTCGACATCCTCACCATCATCGATAAAGTCGGCCATATCCTCCTCGTCCTCCTCACTGTCCTCCTCGTCTTCACTTTCCTCCACATCATCATCCACCTCCGCCTCGTCATCAATCAAATCCTGCTCGACCTCGTCTTCCTCCTCATCATCGTTGCCCTCTTCGTCATCCTCGTCGTCGGTGCCCTCTTCCTCGTCGTCGCTCATATCCTCTTCGTCAAAGTACGAGGGCTTCAGACCGAACGAGATCCGCTTCTTTTCGGCATCTATTTTCAGGATGACAGCCTTCACACGATCGCCCACGGCAAACGCACGAACGGCATCTGCTGACTGACTGTCGGACAACTCACTCTTATGACACAAGCCACTGATATCTGTGCCATCGACTTGCACAAACACACCATAATCAGCCGTGCCGCGGATGTAGGCATTGACCTTGTCACCTTCATGGAAATCGTGCCAACGACTGGTCTTGGATGACTTGGTAGGCGAGAGCCGGCTCTTCTTTAACGACAGCTCCACCTTGCCGGACGGCTCGACACGCAGCACTGTACCACGCACACACTCGCCCACATGGAACCGACCACGGAAATCTTTCACGTACTCATCAAAGAGCTCCTTGATCATAACACGCGCATCCACACGGCGACCCAGCGAGACATAAACACCGTGATCCGTCACAGACTTGACGATACCACGCACATGCATACCTTCTTCCAGCTGGTCCGCACGGTCCACCACAGGATCCTTCGCATCCTCTTGGTCTCGACGCGAGAGACGTGTCGAGACTTCGGCCTCTCGGCCATGCTTGCGTACGTCCAATACCACACATTCAATGACGTCATGCAGCGAAGGCAGCACAGCTTTACTCAGATCATCGTTGCACTCTGTCACATGCAGACGCGCACGACAGTTGGTGCCTGCGAGGGCCACAGTGCAAGTGAGCTGGGCTTCCTGCCGCTCCATGACTTTGCCGTGATGCACGGCACCAGGGGCCACAGGCGCCGCCTTCGCTGGAGGCTCATGGCTTAGGATGACCAGACCTTTGGCCTTGTTCTTCGATACCACATACAGCCGTTCCAGCAGATCGCCTTCCTGCAGCTCATTGTGAAGCTCACGTACACTGCAGCTGCGCTGCTGGGCCAAGTAGCTCAATGCGATCAACGCACGTGTGCCGCTGGGCTCCAACGTCGTGATGGCCACGTCGTCCTTGATCGCCGCGACGCGAGCCTGCACTTCCTCGCCCACCTGCACCGCATCGACATTCAGCTTTTCCAAGTAGACGGCCGAGGTTTGCCTGATGCTTGCCGTAATGCGGCCCGTGTCCGGCTCGACCTTGGTCAGCCGCACCTTGACCACTTTGCCCGTCGGGTACAGCTCTTGCAGCTGGCCCGGCGTGAGACTCGTATCGGAGGCCTCCGAGAAAGGCACGACAGCACGAAGCGTACCGCCCAACTCCACGAGAATACTGGCCTGAAGCTGACGGAGGACCACAGCCGTGGTAATGACACCGACACGAGCCTGCTCGATCGACGACACAAGGGGGAGATCCGACTGCACTAGCGTGCGCTTGAATGTCAAGACAATGCGGTTGCGCATGGGATCCGTGTGAATGATGCGGGCCTTGAGCTCCAAGTTGGGCTTGAACTTCTTCTCAGGGTGCGCTAGGCGAACGTCCGAGTAGTGCATAGGGAACACGACGCCGTCCACATTGCCGCTCAGACGCACAAAGATGGCCTGCGGCGTGACTTTCCGGATGGTGACACGGACAACGTCACCCACCGGCACCTCGCTCACACGCATAAACTGCTTCTCCAGGACCGAGGTCTGCAAGCTAAGCAAGAGCAATCGATCCGTCATAGCATGGCCAATCACGCGTGCTTCATGCTCCGAGCCGACTTGGTACGCACCGGAGGTCGGTGCCAGGGCTTCAATGTGGTCGTCCGAGACACGCGCAATGTGAACAAAGGCCGAAATGGGGGCATCCACGACGCGGCACAGCAATCCCCACTCTGTAAACACCGTCGCCACACGCACACGCAGGCGCGTGCCGATCGGGTAGGCATCTGGCAAGGCCTTGTGCTCGACCAGGGGCGAGGTCAGCGAGACAACATGCGGCGCGGCACTCAGGCCAATTCGACGAGCACCCACCGTGTCTAGGGCATCGTCTTGTGCCTGGTCCCAGTCGCCTGGCATGTTCCAGAGGACGCGCGCGTCAATCTTCTGGCCGGGCTGCAGCTGTTCTTCCTCCAGCTGCGTCGGAATATGGAACGTGTCAATCGTACCGTCCAACATGCCGAACAGTTTGACACTCAGACCTTGCGGCACACGTGCCGTAATTAGCGCCTTGACAGGCAGGCCCGGCAGAACAGCTGTCTGACTCGGCGGCGTAGCCACAGGCTTCGTAGTAGGCTTCGTCGCGTAGGCACATCGGACTACACGGCCCTCCACGCTGTCCACGGTAAGAAGGACCACGGCGCCGACCGGCAGCGGCGCATCGCCAGTCGCCTTGAACGGCAAGAACCCATGTACGTCGTCTTGCAGACCCAGATCCAACGTGTAGCCATGATCTTCTTCGCTCTGAATGGTGGCAGAGAGTAGGTAGCCTGCACTTAGATCCTCTAGGCGAATGCCTTCATTCACCACACGCGGCTCCAGCGTGAGCTGCACACGCTGGCTCTCACGCTCGTATTCGCCGCCTTCACGGCCCATACCCCATTGGCGCTTAGCCCCTGGCGCATTTACCGACTCCACACTGGCACGTACCCACTGTCCGACATGGAAGAGCTCGTGAAGCTCAGGCGGGGCAGCCTTCTCTTCATCACTCTCCTCCTCGTCCTCGTCATCCAACGCACGCTGCAGACGTTCTGTGAGGGTTTGACTGACGCTTGTCACTGGGACATGACCGAGCAGCTGGTCACACATCGATACCACCACAGCGAGTGGGTGTACCGCTAACACATTGCACAGGATCTTTGTGCCAGGCATCAATCGCTTGTAGTTGAGCAGCTCTACACGCACACGGTCCTTCGGCACGTCGCGTTTGCGTTCTTCCTTCTTCGTCTTCTTGCGTTGCTTCCCAACCAGCTTCGAGCGCTTCGACGCACCCCCTTCCTGGAATAAGTCGTCCGCGGCAGCCGCCGCCGACTCACGTCGACCCTCCAAGACGGACTGGCGGTATTCTACCGGCGTTAGGCCCGTGCCACCACCACGAGGGAACGCCTCCAAGGGCTGCGGCCGCGCTGCGAGATGTGGTGCGAGCGGGGCATCAGTACGTGGCTTCTTGTTCTTATCCGTACTCGCCGATGAGCTCGCACGCTTCGACGACGGCTCGTCACGAGCACTGGTCGGTCGGCTGCGTTTCATGGCGTGGAACCAAAGAACAGACAAGGCAGAGGACCGACTTTTTTTTGTAGGCCCTGCAGGCTTACATAAACGAGAGGCCTGTCGTACGCCTCGCTGTGGTCTGTCTGCACGTTGACGCGTCCTGACGAGATTGACAAGGATGCGCATAGTTGCTTCATGGGTGTTTGCGGCGGCTGCTCTGTGCTTGCACGTATGCGCGGTGCCTACGTATGATCAGCATGTATTTGCCTTGAGCCCTGACGCTCATACCCTCGGCCTGACACAACATCGTACCGCCACGATGCATCCTTGGCATTGGCGTACGCTAGAATGTACGTATCTGTGCAACTTACCTTCTAGTCGAGGATGGATCTCGATGGCGTGTCCCAGAACTCTATAAAGACTGGCTCCGATTTCGCGATACACGTTTTATCGACGTAACAGAGGAGCGCAGACCCGCCATGTCAGCTACAACTTTGGCCAAGAAGGCAAAGTCATCTTTCCCTACGCATCTGCGGTACCAGGACGAGCTTCACGATGCATTTACACATGCTAATGACGTGGGAATGCGAAGTGATATCCAAAAGCTTACTTCGTACTACAACCGCCACTATCGCTCGCCCACTGGCCGTGCTAGCCAGAAATGGCTACAAGAGCAAGTCGAGGGGCTTGCCTCGAAACTTCCAGCCAAAACAACCGTAACCGAATTCGAGCACGCCTGGCCGCAAAACTCGATTCTTCTGCACATTCAAGGCACAAATACCACACTCACCAAGGAGCGGGGCGTGACGATCCTTGGTGCCCACCAGGACAGCACAAACCTTTTTGGGTGGCTCCCAGCTCCTGGCGCCGATGACGATGGAAGTGGGACAGTGACGCTTTTGGAAACGCTTCGTGCGCTTGGCAAGGCTGGTTGGGCGCCTCAGTCGGACGTGGAGTTCCACTGGTACTCGGCAGAAGAAGGCGGTTTGATCGGCAGCCAGGCTGTTGTGCAGTCCTATGTCGAGAAAGAGGCCCATGTCCAGGCTATGTTGCAAATGGACATGACGGCGTTCCTAAAAGAAGGCACAGAAGAGCGCATTGGCGTCGTGACAGACTTTGTTTCGCCCGCGTTGACACGCTACGTGGAGAACCTAATCGAATCGTACATTGGTCTGCCCATTGGCGAATCCAAAATGAAGTATGGCGCAAGCGATCATGCAAGTTGGGATCGCTATGGATTTCCTAGCGCATTTGTGATGGAGGCGTACGTATGTGTCATACTAACCTCACTAGACCGTTTGAAGACTGCAATCTACGTCGTATTCACGTATGTAAACGATTTCCTGACCCCAGACAACGCGCGACGTGTATACAGCGCCAGAATACTCCTTCTCACACATGCTTCAGTTTGTCCGACTGTCCATGGCGTTTGCCGTAGAATTAAGTGGCTGGGCGTCGACGCCTGCCATGTAAAAAAAAAAAAAAAAAAAAGTCATAGTCCAACGCTTCGTTAGTTGCTCTCCATCTACCTCCACAACGGCATGGCTGCGTCGTCGCCGGATCATGAGGGACCCAGCGCTGGCGCAGTCGATCTAGTCGATGCAAATGGCAAGGTGCAGTCATCTTCGACGTTTCCTACGCGTACAGAGCCTGTGCAGCCGACGGATAGCCATGATGAAGCCTCGGACCGATCGGATTTGCCGTATGGCAGTGACTTGTCGACAGGCAATCCAAAACGAGTGGTACTAGCCCCTGTCCTTCGGAAGCCCGTGGATAAGTTCACACCTATAGGGCAAGACCTCGATCCTGGAAGGGAGCATATCTCTGTGGAAGAATGGGTTCCTATTCATCACATCTATACGGAAAGGGAGTGGCGCCAATGGCGAGCCTTGCAGCAGACGTCGCACCACCGACTGTACACGAACGATGTGTCTGAAAAAGCTCCGCCCCACCCTACGGAAGAGTCCCAGGGCATGGATTCAGATAGCATCTTTCTCAAAACCCGCCGATATCGACTTCAGGACACGGTTGGCTGGATGACGCAGCGACTGGCAGACCGCTCTTCGGAAGACACCGAAAAACCACCTGCGGATCCTATGACGCTGAATCGTACAGAATCGGCAGGTTGGAACGAGCCATGGTCTTTCAAGAATGCCCTGGGAGATGAGAAAGAAGACAAAGTGGGTGTTATGCTCTTTGGCGCAGAGGGCCAGAAAAAAGTGGAAGCGATTGAGAAAAAGGTGTTTCTGTTCCTCATGCGGAAGCCAATTGTACCTATTCTCTTCCGTGTCATCAACATTGTCCTGATCTCCACTACGTTGGCTGTGGGTACCCGCTTGCATATCGCTTTATCAACTACCCATAACTCATCGGCGGTGGGTGTTAGTCCACTGACAGCTGTGATTTTCTCCCCACCATCGCTCGTATACGCTTTGTTCCAGGTATGGATTGAATTTCAGAGCCGGCCTATCGGTCTGTGGCGTGCAAGCGCGAAGCTGTGGTACATGATGCTCGAACTCGTATTCGTGTGTCTATGGTCTGCCGAACTGGCACTGGCGTTTGACAACTACTTCACATCGGCGATCGTATGTGTACACACCTCATCACCCTTTTATGCGATTGAAGACAGTATGGTTAGGTACCTTCCGAACAAAGACACTGTATGTGGGCTCCAAATTTCTTTGATTTGTGTCACATTTGTGTCTGTTCTTGTATACTTGATGGTCTTTTTGGTACGTATCTCCTTCCTTGCTTACCCACAAGGTTTCCCTTTTCCGCATTTTCTACCGCGTTGTTTTAATGAGCTGACTGCATTACAAATACATACAAGGCATATCTATAACTACATACCGTTACGTGGCAGGTGATGAAGATGCCGTACGGGTATCATGAGTGAGCGGCTGGTCCTTTGCTTGCCGAACGCGGGCCTTCCATAGTTTCGGCAAATCTAAGTGAATACCACGCGCACGATGAGCAAGTTGCCGATGCTGCAGTGCAGCATAATCAACACGCGTCTTGGGCCGACGTCCGGGTGGTGGCGTGGGAAGCGGCTCAGCTGTTTGTCCGTCAGCTCGGTGCGCAGGGACGTGGCGAAGCGTAGGTCTTCGATAGTGCCACCATTGCGCCCTGGGACGTGGTGCACGTTCAGGCGAGTCCCACAACTTGACAGCCTGGATGGGGCGAGGCGTGCGTAGAAACACATGGGTTTCTGGGTATACAGGTGGTCGATCCACACTTTCCATGATACGCCAGGGTGGAATGTTAGAGGATTGCTTGGCTGCCATAAGCGCCACTTCCTCATGTGGCTCTAAAGGGCGTTTTCGTGGTCGTCCACGCTTGCGTTTAGGGGTAGTGCCATCGTTCATCGGTGGCGGCGTGCTGGGAGTGATAATCGGCTGCGGTTTGGGCACGGGCATAGAGGCAGTATTGTCCATAGCCTCTTTCCGTGGCCTGCCCCTCTTGCGCTTGAGAGGCGGCATTTCATGCTCGTTGGTGTCCGGCTTGGGCTTTACAGTTTGGGCATCCCTGTTTGGCTCCATAGGTGCATGGGGGTCAGCAACGTGCTCCATCGATCTTTCTGCGTGTGATGTAGGCGGTTCATACAGAATTGGTACAGGTGCAGAGCGAGTCATCGTGCGATGCGTATCCGTAGATGTAAGAGGGGCGGCGGCCTGTAATAGGCCTGTGGGGGCATACAACGTAGGCGTCATTTGTGGTGCAGAGTGCATAGTTTCAACGTGCTGACTAGGTGGCAGAGGATACCTAGTGTGAGAGGAAGAATGAGATCCCGCAGGCATGAGGCGCTCTAAAAAGGAATCATCACCGAGGGCATTGTTCTTTGGCCAAGCCGTGCGGCGCTGCGTATACGGAGTGGAATGTGATGGTGCAGCTTCAGAATCACCGCTGTCGTCGTCTGAGGCCGAATCTGAGGCAGAGGACCGTGAATCTGACAATTGAATACGTGTCGTGGCGTTATGAGAAGGCGCGCCATGGCCTACAAAGAAATTGTAGCTAGACGTGTGAGCGAAAGGCGAACGTACAATGTATTAAACGCTGAATGCGTATGTGTGCGTCCCTGATGTGAGTAGCTCGTGGTAGACGAGGGCAGCCATGCCGCTCCTCTAGGTCGTGGAGGTCCCACTCTCCGTGCGTCCATCCGGGCAAGCGAAACGCCTTGCGCTTCGTGTATAACGTACGAACAGGGTTGATTGTCCTTTAATTTTTTTTTATATATATTTCTTATTTTTTGATTTTTCAGTTTCCATACTATGTGGAGGTCGTGCAGTGAGTTTATGACCAGTGTCTGTGCGTGGAGCTGCGGCCATGCGTGGGGCTTCCATGTCATACCATCCCAACCTAGTCTCATGGGCGCAGAAGCGATAGGGAATGCGAACTCTGATGATGATTCGCGAAGAAGGATCCTAAGTCATGCATGTCGTATGTTCCTTTATGACTCACACAGGTATATACATTCTTTCTGAAAAACTTCCCAAAGAGGAGTGGCATCGCTTGCTTTCCTTGGCAGGCTCCCTGGGCGCCGCAGTTTGTGATGATCGTCGTGATGCCAACATTCTGCTGACCGACATTCGAGCTCCCAAGCGCATTGAGAGGCATACGAGCGAGGAGGAGCGGGTACGTTTCTGCACACTTATGATAGGCCACGAAAGCCATTGTTAATGTAGCATGGCTCGATACTTGTGCCAAACAGAGAGTATGCGTGGATATGGAGGCGTACCGTGCGTACGGTCTGATTGATGGCCGCGAAACCGACTCGCTCGACCTGGATGCTACGCCCACGCCTCCTTCGTCGCGTGAAGGCTCTACAGAGCCCACCGACTCGGCAAGTCGTCCCATGAACATGTCGGACTGGGTCAATTCCGAGTTTGCTGTATTCCGCCGTACACCTCTTGTTAGTGAATTTAACCAACCATTAGTGGACGAACTTCAAGTTTTACGCGAGCATCGACGACTCACAGGTGATGCTACGAGTGAGATGGCCTATATGCGGGCAGCCTCTGCTGTGAAAGCGTACCCATTGCCGCTTCGTGATGTCAGTGAAGAGAAGTTACGGACCATCAAGGGAATTGGCGCCAAAGTGGCTACTCTTATACGACAATTCTATGACGAAGGTGGAATTGCGGAAGTGTGTGTTATTCGCCATGATCAGGCCATACAGACCCAGCTACAATTTATGATGCTCTATGGCATTGGGCCGCGAACGGCACAGCGTGCGTATCAAGAAGGATGCCGTACACTGGAAGATGTGACGCGACGCCAACATACCCACTTGTCGTCACAATTAGGACCTGCTGCAAGCTTGGCACTCTTACCGGATTTATCGCAGCGTATATCGCATTATGAAGTGCAGTGGATCACCGAAGAGGTGTGTGACTTGGCCTGTCTAACCCAGATTATGCAAGATATGCGTGGTTATCTACCAGATGCCAGGCATACTATCTGCGGGAGTGTACGCCGTGGAAAAGAAGAGGTCGGCGATATTGATCTTGTTATAACGTCAGAGGCCGAGCCTGACAATCACTCTTTCATCTTGGAGAAGCTGCTGTCAAAATGGCGTGAGGATGAGCGTCTGACACACACGATCTCTGTCACGCAGCCCGAGTCACATGGACGTGTGCATGTGGCAGAGATTGTGTATGTGTCGCACTATCATCCTCAACCTGTGCACCGCCGCGTGGACTTGGTCTTCGTGGCACAAGCCCAGTATGGTGCTGCTATTTTGGCATGGACAGGTAGCATCACCTATGAACGTGATCTGCGCCGCTGGGCACGGGCGCGTGGCTACATGGTATGTTATCACACGGCTTACTGGTAGTTTTCACACATGGGATTGGTCCATCTAGATACAATGCAACTCGAGCCTACACCAACAGAGGCGAGTGTGTACGTGCACAGCAGCATGGGTATTACTTATACGATCAGGTTTGAGTTGCTAGGCCTACCAGCCATACCACCCACACTGCGGAATGCCGACTGACTAGCTAACTGCCTCTAGCAGCCAATTATGCCGAGGTCACCTTGTGAAGCGACTCGGCCAGGTGGCGAATGTTGCTCTCTGTGATACCAGCGACGGAGATACGACCATTGCTAGTGAGGTAGATGTGGTACTTGTTCACAAGCTCCGCCACCTGCTCCGGCGTAATACCCAGGAAGGCAAACATACCAATCTGGTTGGTGATGTGGTCCCAGTTACGCTTCGAGCCGTACTCGTTCACAAGCAGATCCTTGAGCGACGTGCGCATGCTGCCAATACGGTCAGCCATGCCCTTCACTTCGCCCAGCCACTGCTGGTACAGCTGAGCATCGCCAAGAATGGTAGCGGCAATGCGAGCACCATGCACCGGCGGGTTCGAGTACAACGGGCGCACGGTGATCTTCAGCTGGCTGTCCACGCGGGCACGCACGTCCTCGTCAGCCGTCACCAGCGAGAAGAGACCGCATCGCTCACCATAGAGACCCATGTTCTTAGCGAAGCTCTGGCACAGCGCAATTTCGTGGCCCTGCTCAACAAAGTGACGCACGGCGAAAGCGTCGCGGTCCGTGTCACCACTAGCAAAGCCCTGGTACGCCATATCGAAGAGAGGGAAGTGCTTCTTCTCCTTCACCACCTCCGAGATCTTCTTCCACTGCTCTTGGGTCGGGTCCACACCGGTAGGGTTGTGCGCACAGGCGTGCAGGAGGACAATGCTCTGCTCCGGTGCCTCACGCAGGTCACGCAACATACCCTCAAAGTCGAGGCCGACGGTGTTCTTGTCATAGTATGCGTACTGCTTCACCTCCAGGCCCGAGTCCTTGAAAATCGGGATGTGGTTGCCCCACGTCGGAGTCGGGAGGTAGACCGTCTTCGAGTAGGCGTAGTGGCGGGCCAGGAACTCACCAGCAATACGCAGAGCACCAGTACCAGAAATCGATTGCGTCATGGCAATACGGTTCTCCTTCAGCGGGGCCGAGTTTTCGCCGTACGCCAGCTTAGCCGCGAGCTTGTCAAACTCGGCAAGACCGGTGATGGGCAAGTACTCCTTGTCGTACTGCGCCTCAAGCACACGCTTGTCCGCTTCACGCACGCTGGGGAGCACGTACGGCTTACCGTTGCCATCACGGTAGGCACCCACACCCAAGTTGATTTTGCGTGGGTCCTGGTCGCGCTTGAACGCTTCTGTCACACCGAGAATTGGGTCAGGCGGGCCAGCCTTGACAGCCGACCACACACTGCTGTGGCGCACCAGCAACGTAGCCGGGCGCATCACCTGAGCGCGCGAAGCGCGGGCGAGCAACATAGGGTTCATTTTGGAGAAAAGAGACACGAGAAGTGGACTGAGACACTAGTGCTCCTTTTTTCTCCCTTCCGATCATCTGGGCGATCAATCAATCACGCCCTGGCCCCCGCGTGCCCGCGTGACGCGGCATATGTCGCCATTGTGGCTGGCACCTGACTCGACTGCCCGAGTTTTTACGAAACATTATTACGTACATACCCTACACCTGACCGTGCGCGGCCATGCATCAAAGCCCAAAGGCACTCATATCAAACTCTGCTGCACTTTGTGCCGGCGGTGGGCGCCGCTCGCCTATGAGCGATTTAATCTTGGGCGCAGGCACCTCCTCCTCTTGACGGGATGGAGCCGATGCCTCTGCAGGCGGTGGCGTAATGCGCGCAAAGGACCAAGAGCGTAGCACAGAAACGCATAAAAAGTCGCAGCCTGATGTCAGTCAAGTTTGTACACGTACCCATCCGCTGCAATAGCCGTGCACATAGAGAAACGTATTGCGTTTCCCGCTGAGGAGAGATCGCATCGTTGTACCATGCATCACGCTTGCACTGCTCTAGCAGCAAAAGCAGGCCTGGGTCAGGGCGGTCTAGCGCTGGCACAGCTTCTGTTGACATAGCCTCCGAGAGCGGCTCCGTGAGCGCCGTAGCAATCGACGCTGGCTCTCCTAGTACGTCGTGCGCATAAGCGCATAGCCATCGGTCGCCAGTTTCTTTCGCATGCGGTAGCACGTACTGGCGTACCGCCTTTAAAAACACAGGGCCGAATTCGTCCTCTTCGAAAATGCGCGCCAATGCCAAGCCAAGCTCAAGATCATGCAAATGGCGCACACATACGTTGACAGCGTCGGAAATTGCTCCTCCCAGTAGGAAGAAGGCCGCAGCAAACTCAAAGCGGCGCTGACTGATCAATGCAAAAGCGTTTTTCTGGGCAGCAACACGCCATCGTTCCTGCGTAAAGTCGTTCGCGAGGAATGTTTTCATCTTGTTTTGGTCGCTGTGGCCGACAGCTCGGCGCCAAACGGAGCGCACCATGGATAGGTTTTTCAGGGCCAAGTAGAACAGGGTGCATCGCACCGGATTGATATCATCCCCCGTCGAGAAGGCTGCACGAGCGACCTGCTCCATGATCGGGACGAGCGCCTCGCGTGAGCGGACCCAGCAAAACACTCCTGTCGTTCGAATATGATCCCAGGACGGACGCTGTATCCACATGCTCTGCACTTTGCTCAACAAGGCCTCTTGCTCCGCACTGCGGAACGCCAGGATCAGACGGGCCGTCTGATATTGCGAGGCTACCCAGTGCACCAGGAATTGCAGGCCATACTCGTCTAGAACATGTGAAGATGTAGCGACGGTATGCACGGCACGAAGCGCATATGCCAACGCACTGCTGTCATCATGCGGCATTTCTGCAATGCCTTGGGACGATACCTTCTCGGCCATATTGCGAAGTTGATCGGCAGGCAGATCGAGGCCCTGCGTAAGTGACGTACGTGTCCACGACCATGTCAAAGCAGGCCAAGCCAAGCCGTGCAAATGTGCCTCGATAGCACGCACAATGGCCTGCACATTATCGAGCATGCCAAATAGAAGACACTCGCGAAGGTGCACAGCTTCGTAGTAAGGCCGCATCTTGTGCCGCTCTGCCAGAGCGGCTACAAGGCTCTCGCCATCTTGCGAGCCATGCGCCTGTAAATGCGTATCAAACATGAAAAGCTGACATGAGGACGAGATCAGCAGGCGGTGTTGACAGATCCACTTGACATGGCTTACATGGCCTGTACTCAGTTCGTTCAAGTCCACTAAGGCCATGGTCGACCAGAACAGCCCACTTTCCGCAACGATGTGGACCTGGTTGTCGGCACTGACTGCCAAAATACTGCCAAGCTGTTCAACGGTCGTCCAGGCCATGCTCGGCTTGGACTGTGACTCAATGGTAAAGGCATGCACTAGCGTATCGCATGTGCCGATCCATGAAAGGTCGCGAATTTGAACATGCCACTGGTTCTTCGTATGCGAGAGAATGGCAACGTGACCTGATGCATCTACACGCATTAAGGCCACGTCGTGCAAGCCCGTATTTACACGCGCCACACGTTCCCAGGTGGGAGCCACGTACACGTCAAATTGGCCCTGATCGGACATGGTCAGCAAGGCCGGTGTATGGCCAGGATGCAAATGTGGCACGATCAGCGCTGACACAATCTTAGTGGCGTCGAGCGAGACAGTGTCGTGCGTCTCAACTGCCCATGCTGCACGTTTTCGGATCGTCCAGCTCCGTAGTTCGGCGTTCGAAGTACACAGAATGAGCAAGGCGCCATCTCGCAAGTTCACACTGTGGAAGGCAACCATGGTATCCTCTGAGATCGCTGGAATGTCATGAGGTTGCATGGTGACATCGTTGATCGAAAAGTTCGGTGCGTCGCTCTCCTCAAACCGCTCCTGGTTGATGAGGCCAATAACCACATGGTGATCGTCCAGCGCCGCAATATGAGGGCCGTCGCCAATGGAACAGGCTGCCAATGTATCACGCAGCCGGGTCTGATGGATCGAGCGGAATATAGCCCTCCCTCCCATTTCTACCAGTCGCCACCAAATTAACACACCGTCGCGCGAGAAGCTAAGAAGTGAGCTTCGATTGTTCGTAAGTTCCAGTGACAAGATATCAGAGCGGTGCTCTGCTTGCAAGAACGAGCGTATAGATGTATCTGTATCTGTCTCGTTTCCTTCCGCGCCAACCATCATATCTTGAACGAACAAGCCATGAAGGTCACCATCAAGCAAGAGAGCCATGGAGACAGCCATCGAGCCACGCAGTCCGGAAGCAGTCTGAGCGTGAATCACTGCCGTAGGCAAAGTTGCTTTGATCGCAATCTTGGGTGGTGCAAGCGGGAAAAACTCCATGTAGAGAGGGCCTTGTGAGAGTTCTGTTGAGATGCACGGCGGAATACGTAGCACCATGAGTGTTTGCAGCAGATGCGCCTGCGCCGCTCTGATATGCAAAACGGCGTAGACGACCATCGAACCATCTTTCATCAGCGCAAAAAACAGATCCGGTGCTTGGGATCGGTACTGCCGAAGCTGCTTGAGTCGCGTCGTACGTACATGAGCCACTTCGGGTGCCTCTTCTTCCACACCGACTTGTACCATCTGCTCCTGCTGCTCAAGTAGATCCATGTCATGCTTCAGTGCCACAGACAGACGATGTGCATCACAGTACATGAGTGACACCACTTCGCTCATTGCCGGCGTATCACTGCCGTACGATACATCGCGTACATCGCTCGCCACATCAATCGCCGCCCACTGTCGTAGTGAATGCTGCTCGCCAGGAACGGGTGCATAAAGGTACGCCACATTGTTTAAGGCAATCACAACAAGCACCAAAGCCTCGTTGTTTGGATCCTCTGCCTGTCGCCAATCAATCGAGTGGATGGTACGTGTATGACGCAACATCGCGACACGTGTCACTTGGGCAGGATACGCCTGGGATACATGCCATACCATGACGCGTGTATCGGCCTAACAGTCAGCGAACCATTACGTACCAATGGTACTGCCGCCACGTACTCGCCCTGCGGCGACCAACGTACACGGAGAAGGGGGCGAGGTGTTCTAACGGTAAGTAAAGGAATACGTACCGAACGGACCAGGCCATGCGCCACTGGGAACTGGCATGCGTACCTTTGGTCCAGACAGACAAATGGGTATTGCTGCCGATAGCAAGTCTGCCTGAAGGGTAAGACAAACGAGTACATACCATGCGTAATGCTAGTCGTAGAGACAAGTTGTCCACGCATCGGCAAGGTGCCATCAAGGCGCCACCGCTTGTACACAGGCACTTGGCCCATCTTGGCCATATTAATAGCATCTAAGCGCCAAATGGCGACAATACTACCGATAGAGGCAATCAGCTGCATGTTGGTAACACGCATGGACGTACCAAAACATTGTCCGAGGTCGGTGACTCAAAGCCGAGCGATAAGCCACTTACACCTTTGATATGTGCTGTTCGACTGCCTGGCACATCGTCAAACGACAAGCATTGCATCAGGTTGTTCCGCCGCGAAAATACATTGATGCGCCGCCCGCTCGCTTGGGCCTATTGTGAGAAATGCTGATACATACACTCAAGTATAGCTGCTTGGATTCGCATATCAGGTGCGCAAACGTGTTCAGTGACGCTGCTACACGTGGTGAGTCGATGGGAACATCGCTCCTCGGCGCATGCGACGCACCCAGGGATGCCCACTGCCGGGCCAACGTGGGGAGCACGTCGACCATAGCGTAGTTGCACATTCCTCCACATCTACGAAAAGACTGCCTACCCACCGAGATCCTTCGCGAGCCAATGAGCCGTGACCTTGGAGAGCGTGGGCCCGTGCTCTATGGGTGAGTACGAATGCCACATACCGAGACAGAACGAATGAGGGAGCTTCCATGTGCATTCCGTGGACGACCAGGTCGGAACGACAGACTCGACCAGCACGGGGTTATCCGCATCCCGTAGCGTCTCGGGTACAGACCATGGCGTAAGCTCCATATGTGTTTCGGCATGTTGACGATGCCATGATGGGGCCCATGCGTCCTAGTGTTAGAATATCTATACGTACAGAGTTACCCTTGGCCCAGTAGCAGTGCACCGGCACTCGCTTCGCCTTCAATATTGACAGTGTATCAGCTGGCAGTTGTGTGATCATATCCTGCTCGTCAGCAAACGTGCGAAGAGCTGTGAAACTCGCGTACGGCCTGCGTACAAAGTCCGTGGTAATACGGGCCGAGGTTTCATTTTGCCATGTAAGCCAGGCCACCAGGGTGTATGTCCACGTATAAGGAAGCCATGCGAGAAACAGCCCCATCCAATACACGCAGAGGAGCATGGGCGGAGGAAGTAGCAGACCTACCAGTCGTGCTTGCGGCGCTCGGCCTATGTGACTGATGGTAGGAAAGAGGAGATGCAGTCCACGCACATGATCCGAAAACCGTGCAAAGAGGCGCATGGCCACGTAGGCGCCCATACTATGTCCGCCCAGGAGCACAGGCACATCCATCCCCACCTCATCACGGAGCATATGATAGGCCCGTGCCTGGTGCTCTATCTGATCACGTAGTCCATAGTAGGACCATGGCATACCTATTATAGACACTGATCCTGTTGGCGGCGGTGCTCGATGCGTTTCGTCATGCCCTGCTGATCCTTTACAGAGGATTGTGCACTCTCCATTCAAGTACTGGTACAAATGAGACAAGTATGCCTCGTAGTATTCACACATGCCTGGGTTGCCTGGAATAAAGAGTACAGCGGCTTTGGTAGGCTTCGAACTTCGCCATAAGAGAGCACGGACACCTGCCACCCATAGTCTCTCAGGACGATTGGACGTCATCGCGATAATCAGGGTCTGCTCGCTTGACTCTTCCTTTAGACCTCCACTTTCTTATCTCGGCCCCTTGTGTCGATATGGATAGGCTAATCACAGTGAAGCGGGCCGAGCATGAAGAGGTGCCTGCCCACCATGTAATATCGGAGGACAGCAAGGCGCGGACCTTTCAAAATCCGTGGGACAGCTGGCATAAGCCGACAATAGCGGAGCTCGTCCAGGGTCTAGAGTGGGGCGAACGTGACGGCAACCGCATGTTTCCCAGTATTTTGGGCTCCCTCAAGGATATGTTTATCGCGCCCATGGAAGGAAAGCTACCTCGTCCGAGCTACCTCTCGCGAGTCAATGTCCCGCTTCATGTTCAGAAGCCCGATTTTTCGTTTGCGGAGGAGCGCGTCAAAGCTACATGGCTCGGACATGCGGGGTCACTGGTACAGCTCCCCCCGCTCACGCCCGGCGACCGTCCCTTTACTGTGCTCTTTGACCCGATTTTCTCAGCGCGTTGCTCGCCGTCTCAATGGATCGGTCCTATTCGTTCGTTCCGGCCACCATGCAAGGTCAAAGAGCTTCCACCCATAGACTTGGTGGTGATTTCGCATAACCACTTTGACCACTTGGATTTTCATACAATTGAGTCGCTCTGGAAGCATTTTCCTGATACTGTTCACTTCTTTGCACCGCTTGGCAATAAGGACTGGTTTATCCAGCCGCATCTTGGGATTTCGGCGGAGCGTGTCTACGACATGGATTGGTGGGACGAGGCGCACATCCACGCCCCATCGACAGGCACAGAGGTCGGCGCTGGTATCCGACTTGTATGCACGCCTGCGCAGCACTGCTCAGGTCGAAGCATTGGTGATGCGTGTCGTACGCTCTGGGCGAGCTGGTTCTTGGAACATACACTGCCGGACAACGATGTGTTTCGTATCTACTTTGGCGGCGATACAGGCTACCAATTCCATACGACCGCCGGTTCCGACGATGATACGTACCCAGCATGCCCGGCGTTTGAGCAGATTACTGACAAGCTTGGCGCACCGGATTTATCGCTGCTCCCTGTGTCGGTCGGCGCGACGTACGCGTACTTGAAGAGTTTCGATATTCTCCCGGATGGCCTGAGTCCGGTGCCGCGTATGAATGATGGCCTCACAGGTGCGAACCATATGAGCGCATCAGATGCTGTAAAGGTCTTTACTATCATGCAGCGCTCTTCTTCCAAGCGCGTGCCAGTTGCTATGGGGATTCATTGGGGCACCTTTGTGGAAGGGATGGGCGAAGTGGTCGATACAATGACCACCTTGGAAAAAGCGTGCCAAGCACACCAGGTGGACTATGCTCGCGCCCTGCATACCAAGCCCCTGCATCCCACCTTTGCCTTGGTCCACCACGGCCAAAGTATTTCCCTGCCCCGCTAAGGTCCCCCACATGCACTGTCTCATAGGTCCGTGATGCATCTACGACACATTCTCCACGCCCCAGTACATCTTAGCTAAGCCGTGGCCGAGCCTGCGACGCCTCCACGCCCGTCCGTGCTACTACCATAGCGTTCGTCACGCGGTGACGCAGCAAGCCACAGCGTATGAGCGAGGCTTTCCTAGCGGCGCTACGAAGTCGCGTCGCTGACAACGAGTACATTGCGCATATCAAGGTCCATGAGTACCCAGAAGGAGTCACTCCCGGCCCTGATACCACGTACAAGACAAGGTACATCATACTAAGTGCGAGCCCCAGCACTCGGCGTGGCTTTGTGTACAAAGCGCGTCGGAATGCCAACGACACGTACAGTATAGGCAAAGAATGGGATGCTGGTCAAGTACGTGAGCTTGCGCTAGAGCCTTCGAACTCTGTCATTGTCACATTCACGCGGTCCTACCGGTGGGAAGTCGATCCTGCGCAGGACCCATTGCCATTCTTGACGAACTTGGCAATCATTGTGCAGAAATTGCAGGGCTCATTCCCAGGCATGCATGGCTGGCAACTTCCGCCGGAAGTGCTGGAGGAATTCGCACCGAATGCCTCACCGACCAACGCAGCACCTGCCCCTGCACCGGCCCATGCGCCTGCGCCTATGCCTGTGCCAGCACCAACGCCGACGCCGACGCCCGCCACGACAGCAGCAACGTCCGTGGCAGCACCCACGCCTGTCCATGCGCGCACACTGCCATCGTCTGCACCTCTCTCTGCACCTTCTCCCATCTCCACTCCGCCAGTAGCCACAGCGAGCGCCTCGTCGCACTCGCCTGCACACGGTTTGCCGCCACAGCCTGCGATGGTGTCCACACGCGCTCCATTGGAACGCAAATTGACGCGGCCACGCGCTGCACAGGCGCCGACGAAGACAACCCTGGGACGTGATGACGAGTCCAGTGCCCTAACACACGTCGAGGAGATGTTGGAAGGCTTTGAGTGGAAGAGCGGTGGACGTACCGCATCGGCAGTACGGCAGCATCAGGTAGGTACGGCTGACGTCATTGAAGCACGCCTGCTGGAAGAACTGGCCGCCTTGGAATCGTCGGGCATTCATGCTATGATCGAGCCGGACGATCGTGTGATGCAAGTGCTCAAGCATATGGACGAAGCGCTCTTGCAGCTGGATCGTTTGGATGCTAGTGTGTCTGGCTACAAGATGCAGCTGCTGGGTCGCGCCGAAGATATTGCGTTTATTGAGAGCCAGAACCGTGGACTACAAGTGCAGACGTCGAATCAGCAGCGGCTGCTTCAGGAAGTCGAAGTGCTCTTGTCGACCATTCGCGTTGACCACCAAGCCATGCAGAAACTGCAGAGTGTACATTTGGGTGCCGACGCGAATGCCTCGGAACTGGAGTCAGCGGCGGTGTCGTTGTACAAAAGCATTCTGCAAGCCCGCCCAGATCGACATGCACGCACTACGCCTGCCGACAAGGCTGCAATGGATCAACACTTGGCCCAGTCGCAAGCTGTGGCGGCCGACTTCAATGCACGCTGTATCCAGTCGTTCGGCGCCGTGCTGGAACGGGCCGTGGCGACGCAGCTCTCCGACGCACAGGCGACTCGTCAGTCCAGCGGCGCTGAAGCGACGATGCCGCGTCACGACCTGCTGGAAAAGGCACTGGATCCCTATTGTGGTCTCGCGCTGTACCTCAAAGAAACGACGCCCGACCTGTTTGAAAAGTTCACAGACGCGTACCTGTCCTCGGCCGCGCACTGTTACCGCGTCGAGCTGCAGCGTGTGCTGCAAGGCACCACTACGCAGCTGGCGTCGCGGACGGGCGCCCGTCCCTCGCTGGATGCGCGAACGGCGGACCATGCACCGAGTCTGGCATTGCAGCGGATTCTATCTTCGCTCCTGCCACGCGTATCTGCGGAATGCTCGTTCCTGGTGGACCTGCTACAGATCAACGATGCTACCGTCACGTTTGCCGACTATATGGACCTGGAGCCGTACTTCCGCCATCGTGCGGCTGTGACGATGCCGATCCCCAAGCAAAGTCCGCAGCAGGCCATGAGTCAAGCGCTCGATACCATCTTTTCCGCGCTGATCCCTGACTTGGACACCTTCCTCACCAAGGCGCAAGCCAGCAACCGTTGGGCGATTGTCGGCCTTGTAGCAGAAATGGAGCATGCGCAGCGTGCTGCCATGCAGGCTCAGGGCGGTGGCCAAGCGCTGGTGCATGTGCTCTCACGCATGATCTCTCGGCACATGGCCGAAGTCGTGCAGCTGCTGGACGACCAACTGGCCGCCTTCGAGCAGACCAAAGTCTCGACCAAGAAACGTACTGGCATCCTTCCTGTGTTTGCTGCCTTCCCTGCGTTTGTGCAGCGTATGGAGCAGCAATTGAGCGATGCGGATGACTTGCAAGTGCGTGCTACTGTCGATGCCGGCTACGAGCGACTGAGCCGTACCATGATCGCGACGATCCAAACACTCCCACGCAATGCGCATGCCATGGACGACGACAAAGGCCAGCTCAATCACTTTACGATCCTCCTCGAAAACATGCACTACATCAGTGTGCGCATTCGGCCTGGCATGCCGCCGAACCCGGCCCTGGCCCAGCTGCAGTCGCAGGCCCAGCACCTGTTGAAGACGTCGCGCGATGGATACGTCCAAAGCGTCTTGCGCCGACCTCTCGGGAAGGTGATGGACTTTGGGCACGGCGTGGACGCGCTGCTCCCTACGACGCCAGCCAACGAAGTGGCCCTGCACAGCGCCTTTAGCAAGTCCGCGGCCAAGAAACTCCTTCGTGACTTGACCGTGAAGGACACACGCAAGGCGGTAGAGGCGCTGTCGAAACGCGTGCAAAAGCACTTTGACGACGATGAGGTGTCCGCTTCGGCCGTCACGGCAGAACGTGATGAAATTGCCGATGTCCTCTCACAGGTCTGGCGCGCGGCCGAAGACGCGTACGTCCGCGAACTTGACCGCTTTGCCCGTATCCTCAAGACGTGCTACCCGGACAACCACTTGCACATGGACGTGACCACGAACGATGTCCGTCGTCTCTTCCAGACGATGCAGCCTACCCTTCGACGCAAGTAGCAGTACCCATCTATATATCATACGAAGGTTATGTACTGTACGCTGCCAGAAGAGACGCTGTCACAATACCCGCACGATGAGCGACCATGGACATGAGACTGTCGGACAGGCCATGCGTGTGCTCGTTGCTGCCGAACATGTAGATGGCGCCAGCCGGTCGCGAGTGCGACGACGAGGCACTGGCCGAGGTGCCAGGCGGTGTGGACGCACGCGTACTGCTCTCACTGCCATTGCGTGAGAGGCTTGGCTCACGCTGGCCTTCAATGCCGATCCGGCTGCAGGGAATTCGCTGGATGACAGACTCGGGCAGAGCCGAAGGCGGCTTCGCCCAGGACACATGGTCGTGCGCCACGAGGCGGTAATCGCGCGTAATGCCACGCAGCTTCGCACGCATAGCCTCCGGGTCCTGCGCCTTGGCCACCTGCTCGTCCAACGCAAGCTCACGTTCGCGTAACGCTTCGGCACCCTCCACAGAAAGCAGGGGGAAGTACGAAGAGAGTGTATGAACAAACGGCAAAAGCGATGGATCACGACGGAAACCGGTACCAAGAAAGACCGCGTCGTACGTCTCAGAGCGCTCCAGCAAATCGCCCATATTCGTACATGTATCAATACGAATTTGGTCGTTGGGCTGCTGCTCTACAGTGACCAGCTCGGTGCTCGCTAGGATTCGCACTAGTCCCTTGGGTGTCTCGCCTGGCTCGCTGTAGTCAATATCTTGGTCGTACACCACTTCGTACAGCGACTGCAGGAGGTCGCTGCGAATGACCGAGTAGTTTGTCCGCTTAAATTCAGCTAGCTGAGCATGACGCTGCCGCGCAGAGCTCTCCCAGAACGTAGTGACACTGGCAGGATCGAACGCTGCACTGTTCACAAACGGCGAGTCGTCAGAGGGCACGAGCGCCGAGGCACGCAATATCATATCAATCGACGCCGTAGGGAACCGATCGCGAAGATAAAGTAGCATTTCTGCCGACGACTGGCCGCCGCCAATCACGGCAAAGCGAAGGGGCTGGGAGGCGGCCTGGAGAACAGGGGCCAGCTTCGCCATGTGCGGCAAGAACGAGGCCGAGTGCACCACACGACTCTGTAGCTCACGCGGCCAAGTATACAGGGACTGGAACGTATGCGGGAGCTGCGGCGAGCCACCAGCCGCCATACTTAGATTCCTAGCAAGGAACTCCTCCTTCTCGCCCGTCTCAACATGCTCGCAGATCACGCGGTAGTGATCCAACGTGTGGCCGTGTTCTACAGGCACCACATCCACCACCCGACGGCCATACTGGACGTACTGCTGCATACGATGAGCGGCCCAGGCAAGATAAGCACTCCATTCGCGACGGCTTGGCACTTTCTCCTCACGGTTGATGTACTGCATCAGGCGGCCTTCGGAATGCAGAAAGTTGAGAAAGGACGAGGAGGATGTGGGGTCCCGCATCGTTACGAGATCCTTGAGCGGCGATACCTGCAGCTGTGCGCCTGGCAAAAGCAGCGAGGGATGCCAAGCAAATGTCGATTGCTGCTCCAAGAAACACATCGTAAAGCCTCGAGCCCGAGCCTCTTCATTTTCGTGGAGCGAAATACATAGCGCCAGGTTCGCGGGGCCAAAGCCTAGTCCAATATGATCGTACATGAGAAGAAGAAGAATGCCTTGTTTCAACGCCGGCTTCCAGTTTCTAAAATCTTCTTGCCAAGGTTCTCACACGCTTGATGGGATCAGCTATAGTTCTGTGTGTCTACATAATCAAGCGAGGTCCATCTGTTTCCGTTCCACACGGCTGCGCAAGAGCAAATCAGAGAAGTGCAGCCGTCAGCCATTAATCAGATAACTGGCCTGACACGTGCCATAGAAAGGAGGATGCACATCATAGCCTCCATACCGGTTTCGTCAGTACCATGTCGGCGTTGCTGCCTCGTTCGCCTGCGCCGCCTGTGGACGTACCACCGGGCGCTTCGACGCTGTTGGTAGGTGCTAATACCCACCTTGCTATCCATGTATCCCATGAAGGTGCCCAGGACGAACGTACCATACATACCATCCAACTCACATTGGAAAAGGAAGGCGGTGCCGAGGCCCTGATCGATCCGGCCGCTACGATGCGTGTCGTAGCGCCCTGTGCAGCGTACACACATCCATCCCAAGAGCCCAACGATCACTCACTTTCGACAAGGTCCAAGCGGATGGCCTTAGTAGACATGTCTGCGCCCCACACGCTCAGCGCTGCGCAAACGTGGACGTGGATCTACGTGCTAGTAACGCTATGGCCTGACCAAGAATACTTTGTTTGGCGCCGCTCATCGGCATTGGACGTGGAAACAGTACTGTCTTGTGGCCTTGCTATTCCTCACCCGGACAGCTTGCAGACAGGCTCGTGGGCCGAGCAGGGCGATCTGCTTGTGCCTCGTGCCGCTTTCTGGCAAGGTGCAGGGCCCTTCGTCGCTGGATCCTGGGTGCCCATGTTGGACCGCATAGGCGCTGTAAATGCGTACCCCATGCTTCCTATGACATACAAGCATGGCGCTGGTCCAAATGGTTTGTTGGCCTCTACCCAGCATCCACTACGCCCTTTGAAGCTGGGCGCCTGGCGTACCAAAGAGACGCCAGATGTGCCTCTGTACCGCCGGTACATCCCTGCGCTTCAGCAGACACTGACCTTCCGCCTGGCACGCGCCTCATGCAAGGAGGATGTAGATCTTCTTCACAAATGGCATGCTACGGAACGCGTCAACACAGGCTGGCGTCAGGATATGCCTTGGGAAGACCATAAAAAGTACCTGGAAAACCAAGAGGCTAGCAGTGATTCTGTGGCCTTGATTGGCGAATGGGATGGTGAGCCCTTTGGCTATGTGGAAATCTACCATGTCCAGGAATCACCGCTACGCAACTTCTTCGATGCAGGTGCCTATGACTGTGGTTTCCATGCGTTGGTCGGAGAAGAAAAGTACCGTGGACCTCACCGCGTGCGTTCCTGGATGGGCAGTGTGATCCACCTCCTCTTTCTTCTGGACGCACGTACTATGCGTGTAGTAAGCGAGCCTCGTGCAAGCAATACCAAGATGGTCGAATACGAGTGCCTTTGCGGTGGCCATGTGGAAAAGGTATGTGGAAACGACATGACTGACGTGCAGCTCATTGACCTGCCACACAAACGCGCTGCCCTGGTGTGGATTCCGCGAGAGCGGTTCTTCCAGCTGTGCCCTATGGGCCCTTTGAATACGTAGTCTAGAAAGTACATGAGGATCTATGAACATGACAGAAATGCGATCCGATGCCATAACACAAACCACCTAGCGAAGATAGTAGGAACGACGTGAAGGCGCGTCCGTGGACGCTTGGCTTAGGGGAAGTGGGGACAAGTCCGATTTGGGTGTACTAGACCGTTTCACAGCGTCTGCCACGTAGGCTGGGGTCGTAGGGACAATATGACCGTTTTCATCACAGTATGAAGCCACAGAGGAGGGAGTGAATGTCGGGGGCAAGGTCTTGGAGGAAGCGAACGGCGTCGCAGCCACCTCGTTGACGGCCTTCTCCTGGAAGGCCAGCCGCGGTGTTGAGCTGGGCGTCGCAGCGTGAGAGTCTGTACCCTTTTTGATGGGCGCCCGTACTGTGTCAGAATTGTGGGAAATAGATGGCTGCTTATCATCGCGAAATACAGAGACGCCGAGGCCTTGAACGTGTGAGCTTTGTGGCATAGCATCCAGCGGCTTGGCGTTGGAGCGGCGCATTGTCGCTGAGCGTGCCATACGAGGGGAGACACGACGCACAGGCACATCCGCCTCGGGATCTTCCGGTGGGACGAGTGTCGTGATGGAGTCAGGAAGCACCATCGAAGGGAAAACGCCCTCGGCTACAACACCTACCTTGGGCGTCGCAGGCACAAGCGACTCGTTCGTTGGCCAATCCTCCGCACCGAGACGCGGACTGCTCCGCACAGATGGAAGCAGTACTGTATCATCCTGGCGAGTTTGTGCCTCTGATTGGTGCCGGGTATGCCGACGTGACAGCTGCACGCCCAGCCCAGTAAGACCAGGCGATTGTGGGCACGTCGTGAAAGTGTGATGGGAAAGGGGTGGAAGTGTACGTGGCTCGTACATGTCAGCCGTCCGTATGGGGGATGACGGCGTGGCGGGTCTAGGAGCATGGCCGGTCGACCATGTCGGAGTAGGACCCTCAAAGGTCGACTGGGACGAAACCAGACGAGGTGTGGATGGCATAACTACCTCAGAGGAGGCCCATCCGTGCTTTTCAGCGAGACGTCGTGAGCGGCGCATAGGCACACTCTGATCGTCGGTGGGAGGCATCGTGGTCGATCCAGGGGACGAAGGCGACGGCACCATTCCAACGTAGCCACCGCACCAATCGCCGGATCGGTTGGGACGCCTGTGGGAACGATAAACACGCTCGTACGCCCGGCAGGCTATGCATGCCCTCCACAAACCACGTGGCATGCCAGACTCGCATCCAGGGACTAGCAAGGTGGTGGGTTCCTTGTGAATGGCTTGGGCAGGCCGCCTGCTCTTAGCACACGAGACTCGGCCTTGGACCTTATCTCGTGCCATGCGCTGGGATTTGGAGTTGCGAAATGTGGCGAAGCGTCGTACGCCGTCCACGTTATCATCCAATGTGCTAGTGGATGCAGACGAATATACTTATACCATTTACGATGGCTACCCGAAAGCGCAGTACCATTTCTTGATTGTGCCTCGTCTGCCCTGCTCCATCGAAGGAAAAGGGCCAGGAGGGAAGATAGATGTCACTACAAACGACCTAAATACCCTCAGCACCCTGCTTGCCAGTGGGCATGCTGAGCCGATCCTCGAACGGTTGGCACGCGCAAGCGAACGTGTACGTCCATATGTACTAACGCCAGCTTAAAACGCGTATTCGCGCATCCATGCGTTATGTCACCATCACACCAGACGGTCACGGCGTGTATGAGCCCGACAAGCCGCCATCCGGGTCCGAATGGGGCATCCACTGTGGCTTCCATGCTGTGCCATCCATGCGTCATTTGCACCTGCACGTCATTTCCGATGACTTTGTCTCAGACCGATTGAAATATCGCAAACATTACCTATCTTTCCACCCCACATTGGACCACTTTGTTACGTTGGAAGATGCGCTGGCAATGGCCCGCCAAGGCGTACGAGAAGTAGGTGGCATCACGAACTAACGCATTAGCTACCCTATGCGCCCTCACACTACGAGGACGTATTGCATGGTCCTTTGGTATCACTGGACATGACAACGACCTATCCAACAATCTCTACGCTCAAAGACGCTCTGCTGCAGCGGTGGAGGGAGATACGCTCGGCCACACCTGCGACACTACCAGTAGAGCTGATGAACAAAGACAGACGACTTGCCCCCACCGTGTTACACTCACGCCCAGCACCGGCCCCGTCGAAGCATCGCCCAAAGGAAGAACACGGCACTGGCCGTGCGTAGGATGGGTAGATGTGGGAGCGCCTAGTGTGTACATGTACATGACACTGCCTGTACTTAGCGCGGGTGGCATATGCCGTGGCTCCACGGCCAACACATAGGTTGTATCGTGCATGCGCACCATGTACACAGGATGGGCCTCCCGCTTCGAGGCTAGGACGTAGGCCATTCCAGGTAGCGAGGCCGTATGCTGCCATGCACTGAGCTGCACTGGCTTTGGTGGTACAAACACGTGTGCATCAACGTCGTGCTGCAGTAATACGGCCTGATCACGTAGTCCAGGTGCGGCCTTGGCGAGAAATGTCACGGTCTCTTTGGCTGTCTCGATACGCCCATCGCCATAGACCATGGAAATGTGCCAAGTCGTGCCCACGGCCATATCGTCCTCGTCCATCGCCTCATGAAGCAAGCTTGATCGCGGCATGGCGTCTTGCGCGTATTTCTGGGTCCCCTCCATCATGGCCATAAGATCCGAAGGGTCCAAGGTCTCGAGAACACCATCTTCGTCCGAAAACACCTGTACCCACCGTGTGCCTTCATGTGCCTTGGCCAGGTGCAGTGTAAGTAGGACATGCGATGGCGTCGTTTCGTACATCCAAATACTGCCATCCACATCAATGTCGGCCCACAAGGCACGCGATTGGTACGTCCCTGCACGAATAGCCGTTTCCGCAGGCGACAGTGCAGGCGCACTTGCATTCTCCTCCGTGATGGACGCGGACATAGCCTCTGTGGCCAGCGACAAGCTGAGTCCTTTCCGCGAAAAGTGTGCGCGTACAGCTTGCTTGGGGATGGACAGGGGCAAGGTCCATACAAGCATCACTGTATCTGGGGTCTGCGACCATGCATACGGCGCTGCTTCAAAAGGGGGCATGTCATGGATTGTCTCTGCAGTGGCAGGGGCAGAAGGCGTACGCAAAGGTGCCTCGGAACCGATGAGGTACGTGGGGCCATCGCTATCGAGCCAGGTACATGGCTCGTCGCAGCACACATGCCATCGTAGCGAGACGGCCGAGGCCGACTCGAACGTCGCATGTAGAAGAATAAGATCAAAATCTGTGCGCATGCGAGTCGTCGTGCTCGCATCGGAGGATGTACGACGCGCACGCTGTAAGACCATATGTATACTCTCGTCCTGGCGCAAGGCATGTACGACGTACCATGGCAAAGGCGTGCCAGGTGTCACCAACGCTGGCACAGACACGAGTTTGGATGTATATGACACGCTAGACTCGTCCATCGCAAGAGAAAGCACCCACACAAACGTATCGCTACCACTGACGATCCACGTTGCATCGTCTAGGCCATACACACTCGGCATGTGCTCGGAGCCATCGGTACACATATCAGGGGGAAGTGGACATTGAAGCATAGGCTCATACAGATCATCTGCACGCATAAACACCACCGTGTTATGCTCGCTGACATACGCGAGGACCGTGCCAGAGGATGTAGCCAAGGGCTCTTGCCTCGCGCGCGCTTTCAGCTCTTTGTACCCCAACGTGGTGGCCGCATTGGAATGGTACGTATTGGCATGCTCTGAGAGCGGGTAGGTATGTACCTGGACCTCTGACGAGTCCACCAAACGGTACGCCTCAAACGCCGGTGGCAGACGCGCACGGTCCGCACGAAACATGGAAGGCAGGACGAGCGAGACGAACGGCCTCCACATGCGACCAAAATGAAAAAACGCCTGGTGCTATGGAGACTACGCTGACGTGGCTGAGACACTGGACGACACGCCATCAACGTCACCACGCGTCTCTCGGATACGTCGGAGAACAAGAAGTGTACGTGCCAGTGGCGCCTCCGTATCAGATGGCATCTCTGAATCCGAGTCGTAGGGGTCGTTGGACTTGACATGCTCCCACGCCTCGTCGACCAACGAGGGGGTGTGCGTATCGGACGCAGAGAGATCCAAATCCCACAAAGAAGGCGTACTATCGCCCTGCGAATCATTCTCACCATCTACCATGTCAGATGGTGTACCACGCTCACGCGAATGCGATTGCCGCGACGATAGTCGTGCGCGCTTGACAAAGCCAATGGGCGAGCGTGTGAGCGCACCGGCATGGGAGCCAGCTGCCGCCGCGTTCGCAAGGATATTCGCAAGCGGATAGCAACTTTGTGTCGTCATAGAAATCCGCTTCTTGGGCTTTGCCTCATCAGCACGTCCATGCTCTGGATCATCGAGAATACCACTTTGCGCGAGTACTTTGGCCTGCTCTTCCTCCTGAAAGCGGACCAGGAAAGCACTTCGCTCCCCCTGCATTTGCTTACCCCATGCCACCTCTTCCGGCGGATCTTGATCTTCACGCAGGTATGCGTCCAAGTTCATCTTCGGAAGAGAGGGAATCAACAGGCGATGGGTATGCGATTCAGGGCAGGGTGGAATGACAGGCAAATCTTCCGTATCCGCCTGGCGTTTTCGGCTTGCACGACGTGTGGACTGCTCGTTCTGAGCTTCGGCCAAGTGCTCATATTTTTCTCGCCACTGCGCATACTCAGGGTTGGGCAATCCACGCCACAATGGATGATTGTTATCCAGCGGCGTCGAGCCTTGCTGGACCCATGCGTCATGCGCTGCCATGCGTGCCGCCCGCGACACATCATCGTCAAATGGATTTTCAGTCCCAGGAGCGCCAGGCGAGAGACCGGCCGGACCTTCCAAATAGTGGTACAACAGCCATAAAAAGGTATTCGCACGATCCTTTGCGGAGATGGGATACTGTGTCTGGGGAAAGAAGAGGGAGTGCATATCATGGGTCGGTGGGAAGTGAAGGCCCATGACGTCGGGCGCTTGCTGCGTAAGAAGGAAGATAAGAGTCACCACGGAGGTGGGAGGCCGGTTGCTGCGACGCAGCCGACGTGCCACCTCAGCTAGATCCGTGGGTACCTCTTCTGTATCTTCTCCGTGGTCGTGTCGGGCAGACGCCGAAGCGGTACCAGAGCCGCCAGGAGGACCAGGTCGCTCGTAGGGAAGAAGCACAGCTTTCAGTAGCGACTTCATACGTGGGGCATCTTGCATGTTACGTCGTGTGTTCTCTGACTTTTGCAGAGAGGGCACAGGATGGTAACTTCGCAGAATCGTCTTCATTTCCGGATAAAAGGCCAACGTCGTATTAATGCGGCCCACGTTCACAAGAAGACAGACTTTCGAAAAGTCTTCCGCATACTCTTCGTCCAGGAAGCATTTTTCACGCATGCTTTTCGTACATTTGCTGCTGTTCATCAGAGCTTCGATATACAGCTCTTTAAATGTGAGCTTCTCAGCACCAGGATGTTCCCATGGGGAGTTTTTCGCATCGTCCTCCAGCTCGGCCGTGGGCGTGATCGAGCTAGGGTAATTGGTATCACGCCACGACATGTACGCTTCACGACGTTCTTTCCAGGCTTCCAGCTCCGCCGGCGACTCGTCAGCACGCCGTGCCGAGCCAGCCGATTGGCCGTAAGGCCACACATACGTCGGAAAGGGACCAGCCATAGCGGCAGCCACAGACGCTTGCACAGCTGGCGGGGCGTTCTTTAGCGCATTGCGGTCCGCCTCGTTGGACGGCGTATCATCGCCTTTCTCGATATTTTGTACAAACGACGACATGGGTGCACCGCGTGTGCCTGGTCGCGGGTTGGTGAATACGCGGCGCGTGTCCGAAAACAGGTAGCACAACATAGCATGTTGTACGTCGGTACGTGTAAGTGGCTCACCATCATAACGCTTCACTGGCTGATTTCGCACTTGCGACGCGCTGCATAGGTAAGAAAAGAAGATATACGTACTTGCGTGGGCCCACAGACGGACCAGTCGAAGAGCCAGCGGCTTCCGACATAGGCGTATCATCACGCAGATCGGGCGACTTTTCCACCATCGTCGTGGGAGTCGCTTGGTTCGTCTCTCGCTGGAGCCTCTCGTCGGAGACCTGATTATTCATTCATTCGTCCGCAGCGCCAACAGCGCCGCGCGTGCCATGCCCGATAGAAGGATCGGGGTTGCAGAGGTGGAGGAAGACGTGACAGACCAGGACAGCGGGCGATCTTGTCTGCACGGCCAGTGCCACGACAGAGCTATGGCCAAGAAGAAAAAGCTGCAGTTAAAGTCAAATGTCCAACGTGGCTTTGCGACAACATCCGTTCCCAAGCGGGATACAGGAAAGACCACAGATACCAAGGCAGATGACTCAGCACCCTCAGCAGCAGCTACGTCGTCATCCACAGTGGCGGAAGTAGCATCGCATGCGGCTGAGATCGATGCAGCGATGCAAGATCCGTCGCCAGCCGATGCTTCCCAAGACAAATCCACAGGGGATACATACGATCCAGAAGCGGAAGAAATACAAGCGCTGCAAAACTTGGTAGAGATGATCTACCCGAGAGTGGAGAAAGAAGTACAACGACGCAGTAAGACGGTGGATCTGCAGCAGCGCTTTGCGAAATCCATTCAAGCTGTGTCGTTTCCTATCGATGTGCGTGATACAGCGCTTCGATTCGCGCGGCATGAGAATGATGGCTTGCGCGGAGATATCGACTTGCCCCCGTGCCAGGACGTAAACGATCCGGTCTTAGCCGGGATGTTGGGCAGATCCACGGCAGCAGAATCGGAAGCGAAAGAGCTGGAACATGCGTTGATTGTATGGGAAATGCTACGAACTCTTGGGTTTTCGCGCCATCATGCGACTGTGGCGCTGCAATATGCCCCGAATCTCGATGTGGAAGAATGTGTGGCTTGGCTCCTAACGCAGCTGGATGCAGAAGAATACCGGAAGCTATCGTTCCATGTTGATACGCCTCAAGACCATGTCATCTCGCGTGCTGCGGCCATGGACACAAGTGTGCCACCGCCATCGTCTTGGTACGACTTTACACGGGTAGAGCGTGAAGGTTTTGCGGCCCATACGTCCCAAGGGGACAAGGAAGAGACGTCCAAGGCCAAAGTGGACGACACCATTGACACGGATCGTGTGAGTGAGGCACAGGTCACAGCTTTGACTACCAAGGCGCGGGCTCTCATTACAGAGCTGCATGCCTTGCTGGACGAAGACTCGCCTTGCCTTGATATCGTGGAGTACCCCAATGAAGCCTGGTCGACAGCGCGTATTATGTCGCTTCAGATTGAGCAAGATCGGACGCAGCGACGGCGGACGCTGGGCGGTACGCCATCGGAAGCGCTGAAACAAGCATTGGATCACGATGCACTGGAGAAGCAGCTCACGCAACTACTTCAGCGTGCCAACGATGTAATGCAGCAGAGCGAGATGCAGCCTGATTTTCGCCGACCTCTCGCTCAGCAGCGATTTAAGGAGCGTATGAAGCAGCGCCAAGATGAGGAGGCCGCCCAGGCCCAAGCGCAGAAGGCCGAAGAGGCAGCACGTGCCCAGCGCCGTCGTGAGATTGAGAAGTTGGAGCAGCCGGACGAAGACAACGACGAACCAATCGATGCGCTGGAGGACGAGGGCGCTTTGGATTTGCTAGAGACCGCCGCCGCGGAGGAGTCTGTGACAGCAGGCTCGCACGTGCAAATTCGTGACATCGCGACCCAGGGCGCCCAGCGTACGCCACGCGCGCTGCTCAGCGATGCGGTGCAGCAGAACGATCCGCATGCACGAATTAAGTACACGCCGGTCTCTTCAGGTGGCCAAGTGCACCGCAGTCGTGTTGATATTGCATGGAGTGCGAAAGGCAATCGGCCAGCCTACGTCGATTCGTTTGCGCTGACAACGCAAGGCTGTACCTCGCGTGTGTTAGCTGACGATCTCGTGGCGACCTTAGCCTTGAACTGTGTCGGCCGTGAGAAGCATATCGTACGGCAGCTCGGCACAGGATTCCGCGCATGTTGGGACGAGCTCGAAGCCGCACGAGCGACACAGAAAGACGCGTTCTTGCGAGACGAAGTGCTGCATGTACGGCATGTGCTGTCACTGCGCGAGGCAAGTGCTACGCCTGCCGCTCTGGACAAGGCAGCGAAAGAGCGAGCGAAGCCGTCGCGTGAGAAAGCAACAAATTCTATGACCACGCTCTCCCAAGCACAGCCAGACCCTGCCCTAGCTGAGATGTGGGCTGATCGGCAAGCAAGGGACGCGTATGTGGCCATGCTGCGTGGCCGTCAAGACTTGCCGATCTTCCAGGCACGGCAGCAGATTCTAGACAGTGTGGCACAGTCGCAGGTGGTCGTGCTCAGTGGTGAGACAGGGTGCGGTAAATCCACGCAGTTGCCTGCGTACCTACTGGAAGACTGCTTATCGCGTGGCGAGCGATGCAAGATCTACGTCACGGAGCCACGGCGTATTTCTGCCATGTCGTTGGCGGAGCGTGTCTCGCAGGAACTGGGCGAGGCGCCCAAAAGTGTGGGCACAGGCGATAGCTTGGTCGGCTATGCCATTCGCTTGGAAAGCCAGATCGGCCCGCAAGCGCGCCTTGTGTATGCAACCACAGGCATTGTGCTGCGTATGCTTGAGTCGTCAGTCTTGGACGAGGTGACCCATATTATTATCGACGAAGTGCATGAACGTTCGATTGAGTCAGACTTTTTGCTGATTGTCTTGAAATCGCTCATGCGACAACGCCCCGATCTCAAGGTCGTACTGATGTCGGCGACGCTGGATGCACATCGCATTAGCGAGTACTTTGGTGGGTGCCCTACGCTGAGTGTGCCGGGCCGCACATTCCCGGTGGACAGCTACTTTTTGGAAGACGCCCTCGAGCTGTGTGACTACACGCTGGAGCCCGATTCTCCCTATGCACGCACAGATGAGCGTACCAACAAGGTCGACGTACGCAGTGCCGACGCGGAAGACGCGGGTGAGGAGGACGAAGACGAGGTGGCCGAGGCTGACCCGGCCCCAGGCTCCGCTATCGATGCTGTAACGTATTCGTCCAAGACGGTGGATACGCTAGCGCATCTGAACGAGCACAAGATCAACTACGAGCTGATTACGCTGCTGCTATTGCGCATTTGCACTGACCAAGCGTATGCATCAATGAGCCGCGCTATTCTGGTGTTCTTGCCGGGTATGGGGGAAATTCGCGAGTGTTTGCGTCATCTGGGCGAACATGCCGAGTTCCAGCAGGGATGTGTCACGCATGTGCTCCACTCGAGTGTCGCGTCAGAGGACCAGAGTGCTGCGTTCCTGCCGCCGCCGCCCGGGCAGCGCAAGATTGTGCTGGCGACCAACATTGCAGAGACGGGTATTACGATCCCGGATATTACGTGTGTCATTGACTCAGGTCGTCATCGCGAGATGCGGTACGATGAGAAGCGCAAGATTAGCCGCCTGGTAGAGTGCTTTGTCGCCCAAAGCAATGCCAAGCAGCGCCGTGGTCGCGCAGGCCGTGTGCAGCATGGCCTGTGTTTCCACTTGTTCACTCGCAAGCGCTATGACGAGTACTTGGACCCTCATCCGTTGCCGGAAATGCTGCGTCTATCGCTGCAAGAGCTGGCTCTGCAGCTCAAAGTCATGCCGTTGCAGATCGGACGCTCAGTGGAAGATGCGCTCTCGCAGGCGCTCGATCCACCACAGCCGGCCAACATCCAGCGGGCCGTCGCCTCACTGGTCGAAGTAGAAGCACTTACACCCACAGAGGCGATCACACCGCTAGGTCGCCATCTGTGCCATATGCCTCTGGACGTCCACCTGGCCAAGTTCTTATTGATTGCGGCCCTGTTCCGATGCACCGATGCTGCTTTGACCATTGCGGCCTTGCTCAACGCCAAGTCGCCATTCCTCAAGACATTGGGCCAAGAGACAGGGCGTGGTCGCGCGGCGTTCCAGCACGGCGAGCCCAGCGACTTTTTGGCCTTTGTGAGCATGTATCGCGCATGGCGCGCTGCCGTTGGACGGCAGCAAGGACGTGCGTTCTGTGCATCGCATGGTCTTAGTGCAGATGCGCTCTACCAAATGGAAGAGCTGCGGCAGCAGTACTTGGCATACCTGGTCGACACAGGGTTCGTGCGTGTGGATGCGAGCGTGCGTCATGACTTGGTACGCCGACGCACACGGCATGGCCGTCCTCGCTTGATGGAGATCCCAGCGCACCTCGATACGTACAGCCAGAGCGGAGCTGTCATCACGCTAGCCCTGGTCGCCGCCATGTACCCCAAGCTGCTGATCGTCGACGAAAAGACGCAGCAGATGCGCACACTGACGAACAATCAGCCAGCGGTCATTCATCCGTCCTCTGTGAATGCACGCAAACCACTCGGTACACCGTCCACCCACTTTGTGCTGTACCATTCGATTGTGTACTCCCACCGGCTCTATGCATGGGATACGGCAGCCGTGGACGACCGAATGGTCCTGCTCGTCGGCGGAGAGGCCGAGTTCAAGCATACAAGCCGAAGTGTGTATATTGATCATAACCGTATACGAATGGCTACGTACGATGCATCGTCACTCGTGGCTTTGCGCCTGCTACGTGATCAGCTGCGGCAGCTGATGCATGCCTCGTTCCGCAAACCTGGCACGCCATGGACGCCAGCACAAGAGCATATCTTCTCCCTGGTCCTGGCGCTGATCGGCGCGGATACCAAGACGATCCCCGAGGCTACCTAGAGTCCTAGCGACACAGGGATGAGCGCATAAACGCATTGTAACGACCGCCCGCTACGTTCGCTCCAATGTCGTGGACCAGCTTCTGCAACGTAGCTTTCTCTTCCTCCGATAGCGTTACATACGCACCACGTACGTTGTTCAGCATATTCGTCGTCTTGGTCGTGCCAGGGATCGGAATGACTTTCTCATACTGCATGAGCTCCCATGCCAGGGTCAGCGCAATGGCGTCGTACCCACATTGCGCGCCAAACGCCTCCAACTTCGCAGCTAGTGCCTTGTTTTTGTCAAAGTTTGTACCATCAAAGCGCTCCAGCATACCACGTGACGCCCGAAGATCCAACGCCTTGGCACCCGTCAGCAGACCCCAGCCAAGAGGCGAGTACGCAACCACAGTCAAGCCCAGCTCCTTGCATGCTTGCAACACGCCATTCTGCTCAATGTCCAGCGTGAAAGGGCTATACTCCACCTCCACGGTAGCGATCGGGGCGACAGCATGCGATCGACGAATGGTATCGGCACTGACCTCACTGAGGCCGATATGCGAAAAGAGGCCCTCTTTCTGCAGCTTGTGCAGCGTCTGCATCGTTGTCTCAAGGGCTGTGTTCATATCACGACGAGCAGGACCGTAGATATCGATGCGCTTTTGCGGTCCCAGGGCCTTTTGGGCCTCAGCCAATTCGGCACGTAGATTGGCCTCCGAGCAGTCAGGACGACTCAAATCGCCGATGCCATGGAAGCCGCCCTTCACGCCAATCGTTACTTTGTCGGCAAGGTCAGGGTAGGCAGCAAAGAAACGGCCCAGGAGCTTCAGGTTGGCGAGCGGGTCTGATGTACCATAAAAGGTAGCACTGTTCCAGTAAGTGACGCCCTGCTCTACAGCCGCCAACATCATCTCAAACGCCTGCTTGTCCGGCACAGAAGCAGTTTCTCCATTCCATGTCAGGCGCATAAGGCCTAGTCCAATGCATCCGACGTGGATACTCGATGCTGTGCCGCCCAAGGCACGTGTAGGTAGTGCCATGATGATCGTGGGATGTGGCACGGCCCTTCGGTAACCTGACATGCACTCCACATCCCAACCATATCTGACTAACTAAATGGCGGTCGGACCGCGTGCGAAAAGTGCGCAGCGACGTAGGCAGGCAGGCAGGTAGGCAAGCAGGCATAAAGAGTCGCTGTAAAAGTACTGTGCCTACACACTGGTATGAATTAAACGACGTTCACGTTCGCCGGCATAGGTTCTGTCGCCGCCTCAGTGGGCGTCGAGGCACGGCGAGATGTAAATAATGTACAAAACGAAAAGGGGGGGTCATGCTCAAAGCGAGTCATAGGCGTGCCGTCCTGCAACGTGGACCGTTTAACGACAATCTTGTACCTAAACACCCATGGGAAGATGACGTACCAGCAGAGCCAGTATAGTGCACCAACGACAAAGAAACCGCAGGCCACAGCTGGAGCTAGTGCGTACCAGATGGTTTTGTACTGGGCTTCCTGCTTGCTAGGCGGTGGAATCCAAGGAACCACCACAAGGAAGAGAGAAACGAGCGTGAAAAAGATAGCAATGGGGAACGTGGCACGGAAGGGTGGAGCCCAGTTGCGGAGCCACGAAGGCTTAATGCGCCATGAGTCAGGCATATAGGTAATGCAAAGACCGAGACCCACAGCAGTGTTGACAATGTTCAAGGGATAGGATGCTAGGTTCAAGACAAATGTATACGCGTCGCCCTGCGGAGGCGCCAGCATGAGAATGAGTGTGACAATGGCATGCCATGTAAGACCAGCCATGGGTGCGTTGAACGGGCGGTTGGACGCAAAGATCTTGGAGAAGGGAATAAGACCATCACGGCCAAGCGCTTGGTTCAGACGACCCTGTGAAAAAAGCACAGCGAACACATTGGCCACAGCGGAGAGGGCCACAAACACAGACAGCGCCTTGGTGGAACGCTCGCCAAACATGTGCTTGAAGAAGTATGCTGCGATAATCTGCTCACTACCGCGGATTTCGTCCAGCGGCACAGCAGCAAAGTACGCCACTTGCGAGAGCACATATAGAATAGTAAGGATGAGCAGCGCACAGCAGCCAGCCACTTTCATCGTGCGTGCAGGATTCTTGACCTCACCTAGCGCATAAAACAGGTTGGAGTACCCAACGTAGCTCCAGATGGCATTGTAAATGCATGAAGCTACGCCGTAAATGTCGCTGCGTGTGCCAGCAAACGCATTTGTAAAATTGTCAGGCGTGGGACCCTCAGTTTGGCCCGCGAGGGCAGCAAAGCCGGCAAATACAATAAGAAGAAGGATGACCACCTTGAAAATACCAATTACATTCTGGAAAATCAGACCAACACGGAGCATCGTGCTGTGCATAATCAGCGCGGCCATGATCACAGCAACACCAATACCTTTTGAGTTCCACTGCGTCGGCTCACTACCACCAGCACGAATGAAATACTGGCCAGCGGCGTTCGCATTGCCGGCCGCTTGGCCCAGCAATAGCGCTTGTGCTGCAAACATCGAAGCGGTGAGAAAGTTGGGTTTGCGGAAGACGTATTGCAGGTAGTTCAACTCACCGCCATTGCGGTGCATTTTCATGGCAAATTCAGCATACACGGCAAAGCCACAGCCAGCAATCAAACCACCGATTACCCAGTACATCAGACTCATACCCACACTGCCGCTCTGGTTCAAAATGGTCGACGTGGTGGAGAAGACACCAGTACCAAGGATACGATTCACCATCAAAAACACCGCAGAAAGTGTGCCTAGGTTACGACCTTGAGGTAGTTCATTGTAAGCAAGTTCAGCATCTGCTTCTTCATCCCGCTTTTCAGAATCGCTGTTCGCAAGTACAGATACGTCGTCATCACGGGCCTCCACTGGCGTAGCGTAGCCATCCAGGGGAGATTTTGTGTCCCCTAAAGGATAGGGATGGCCCTCCTCGTACCTGATGGGGGGCTCGACAAGCTCCATGGTACCGGGATCTAGAAGAATGCCAAGGCCAACACGAGAATCTTCCTAACTTTTCTTGGGCATGTTTTTTGACAGTTGGGTCCGCACTCAGCCTTCTGGCGCAATGACGAGCACGTCATTTCTAGACGAGGTGGAGGACCAATAAGACACTTAAAAATAGGGTGAATCGCAAAACGAGTGCCTATTGGCCCTGTGCTGTTTAAGGCATTGCCCCTTGTGTGAAAAAGAGAAAACTTAGACGCAACTACGAAACTTAGACAAACGTGGAAGGGACTGTGCGTGTCGGGTCCCACGCCAACATAGCAGGTGCTACAAGATCGTGGTGCCATCGATTCGGTAAAGATGTAGGGCAAGTAGGCATGGGGGAGGGCCAGGGACATGATGTAGAAGGAAGCACGGCAGGTTGCGTACCGCTCTGGGGCAGTGGAGACGATTGCGTAAGTGTACCTTCTATACAGATGCCCTCGTCATGCAACGATTGCATCGAATGGGGGTACGGGCGAAGAGATGACACCTGTACTGGCATAGACCATCCCTCCTCAATACCACGACGATGCAGCTCATTGGATAACTGGAATGGGGAGGAAAGCGCCAGCGCAGCCACGTGCAAAGCACCGGCACTCAGCGGAGGCACATGCAGAGACGTCACGCCTGACGTACAAGGCAAGCCAAGCCATTGCTCAAGAGCAGGGACATTCAGTTCCAAATCATCAAAGTCTAGGCGAGGTAGTGAGTCAAGTGGGCTGAATACAAGGCACTGTTGGGCATTGTCCATGTCGAGCAACTGATCCAACGTCAGCGTGGGTCCTTGTGCCGTATCCCGTGGATCAACCTCCGATGTCGATTGGCCCATCTGAGAAGAAGAGACGTGCGTCATGACAGGTGAGGGAGGTGTCACTCCAAGTGTCTGCTGGTTCGCAACTTCAAACGCGAATGGATCTCCAGCGCCTGGAAGATTCCAATCAGAGTCTAGAGAGAGAGGGTCCTCGATCTTGACATGGTTGGATTCATGGCTCTGACCCGAGACGTTCGGCGAAGATGTTTGTGACTCGGACGAGGTATGCCGAGGACTTGGCGGTGGCTCCAGCTTGGGGGCAGGCGGTATATCGCGTGATCCGGAGATGACACCCGGTTCTGTTATGGTAGTACGACGAGAATTGGAGCGCCGATTTCGCCGGTTTTGGAACTGCGCAGGAGTAAGCATGTGGCCTATATACATACCCATATAGTAACTTGTCGTGGCTGTAATCCTGTGGCTTCTGCCAGTTTGTATTTCTCTGCCTGCGTGATATTGGGCGCATGTTCAAAGGCATTTTCTAAAATGGCCAGTGCATGCGCACTATGACCTCGGTGACCGTCGCTGGATGAGGCATTGGCATCTGTTTCGTACGACTTAAGACGCTCATCCACCAGATCCAAAATGGCTTGTTGCAAGTCCCGCGCAGCGGCCATACAGCGCTGCTCAAAGAGTCTTTGAATCTGTGGTAGCACACGGTGACGAGTGGATCCCCATCGCTGCTGTACGTCAACAAAGTGTGCAGAATACATGTTCTTCAGCCGTTCCAATACTCTCTCGTACATAACTAAAAGAGCATCATGTACATTGTTGGCAAGAGGACGCTGACGCAGCGCAGTAACGAACGACGTTGATCGGATTCGTCTCAGATCCAAACACATAATAGGCACATCAGGAATGGGGCTTGTCACAAGAGATGGACAGTCCGTCTTGAGTCCTTGTAGTTTAGCAAGGCACTCATCAAGCAAATCAAGACCAGGACGCATACAAAAGTGGGGACACAATATGCATGACGTCGCTCTTATATAGGGGCTGCGCTCCAAGCGGCCTGTGCGGCGGGTGTAGATGTGGAGGCGTCTTTGTGTTTCAATATGCGTGGCGCTTTCGATGGGAGTACGACGCCCATTGAGGAAAACAAACACAGCCAATCTGCCAGCCACACAAGCACCGCATCGCAGACATACGAAAATGATAGGCTGCGATGGTCTATCGCCGATAAAGATCGGTCGTTGGCATCTTGGCCCTTTGTGTTGGACGCTGATCGAAGAGACACTTAGTCTCACCTAGGTCACAGAATCTGTCATACGTTGATTCCTGCCCCCATCGAGTCCTCATGCTATCACAGGAGGAAGTGTGCCAGAAGTTATTGGACTTTGAATTTTCTGTCCTTAATGCGCTTGCCACAGATGTTGATGACGTGCAGTATGAGTACATTCGAGAGCTCACCACGTTGGTAGGTGAGACGCTGTCACAGCAACAAGCGCAGGGCGAATTGTCTCTGTCGACTCTGCAACTTGGCATTCGAGTACGCGAGCGGCTTGACCAGTTGCGGTATGTCCTGCACGAGCAGCGGCACCAGGTGCAGCGTATCCAGTCGGATACGAACCTAGAGCTGACCAGCATATTACGACGTCATATACATACTGGATCGTCACCAGTATACAGAGAGCGCCGCGATACAACGCTTAACGCTTCGTTCATGCGTGATTGGTTCCTTCGAAATTTGGGACACCCATTTCCCACCCGCGAAGACAAGCAAGCGATCCTAGCTGGTAGCAACGCACGTATCAGAGATCGTACTACGCGTCTTCGGTACAACCAAGTCGTTTTGTGGTTTATCAACACGCGGCGACGCTGCGGATGGACGTCGTTCCTGCGAAAGTATGCCAATGGTAACAAAGACACCATGGCCGATATCGCATGGGCACTTCAGGAAGAGCAAGGGGGGACACATGAGACGCGTGCATGGTCTGCGGGCCCCACCAAAGCAGCCACGCCGAAAACTACAGCGCGTTCAGCGAAAGAAGCAAACATTCTGCCTGCAAAGAAAGGACTCCCAGCCGTGCTGCCTCATATTAGCGAGGACACAGCAGTAGCTATGCGGACGGAGTGGGAGCAGATGGTAGAGCGTGTCCGCTACGGAATTAAGGAGCGCATTGGCGATTGGATGGACGAAGTAATTCGCGATACGCACAGCAGCGCATCAGAGGAGCGACGTGGGACACCGAGGAAATAGTGTGGAGGTAGACAAGCAGAGATTTTTGCGACGGTGCTTTTCGTTGCTGCCAACGATTATGCCGTCGTACGCCCATACTGTTGGCGACCCCACCGAGCTAGTATCGACGCTGGATACTCAGATCCAAGCAGTAAAGAATGAACTCGACCAAACGTTCGACAAGCCGATGAACGCTTGCCTATCGGACCTGGAATCCAAAGACGCAATTGCACGTGCGCGAGACCCTCAAGCGCTATTACAGCACCGACTTACAGCGGCAAAGACGCTGGTCAGCGCTTCCTACGTGTATTTGGATGCTGTATGGATGTATCTGAAAGCAAAGGGTGTGGATCCAACGACACACCCTGTCCATGAGAAGCTGGAACGTGTCCAGGCGTATTTTGCCAAGCTCAAAGAGGCGACAGAGAACAAGGATGCACCTACCCAGAGGATTGATATGGAAGCTGCGGGCCGTATGATTAAGGCGGTGGTGCCGGAGGGCACACATACGCGCTTTGATGAAACGACAGAACCACATAAGCCATCTTCATCAAGCTTCCAGAAACATGATAAAGAGACGAACACTACTGCGTCCGAACCACCTACAAAAAAGAAGAAGAAAGATAAGAAGAAGAAGAAGACGAAGTAAATACGAGCAGAGAGAGAGTAGTTTTGCTGCTTGTATGGATACCCTAGTGTTGTTATTTTCGTAGGAGCCGAGCGTCTCTTTCTACCAAGTAATTGGGCCCGATTTGGCGCGATGAACTGCCGCGGTCGACCGATCTTCAGAATTTCCACCATGCATTTTTTGCGAGTGGTACGGCGTCCGCCAAAGAGCCATGTCCGATGCTTAGCTCGTGCTCTGAGCACAGGCAGTGAGCCAACAGCCTGGGCCACTGCTTTGGAGGCAGCACCGGCCCCAGAAGCGCCCACCTTAGATGCATTGGATGCTTTGCGACCCAATCCTCCTGTGCGATCTTCCAAACACACCGAAGCTTCGCAATGGTCCAAGGCCTATGACCGTGTCAACGATGCCTTTACACGCCCCCAACTGTATCGCCTTGCGAAGGAGGCAGATATAAAAGGTGTTCGCTCTTCGACACCCAAAGCACAGCTCGTAAAAGCCGTCTTGCAGCATCGATTTGCTTTGACAGACCCTACCATCAAAGCGAAACAGGCTTGCGAATTTGTGCCTTTCCCATTAAGTCATGTATTCTTACTCGCACAGCAGGGAGCACCCCTCTTCCAGGTGGCCCGAGATGCAGGCGCCTCTGTCACTATTAGCAAGAATGGGACGGCCATGGGCGTGTCGATCACTGGCAGTACGGCAGCCATTGAACACGTCAAGGCATGGCTACATACCTTTGAAGCATCCATTCACACGGCAAAGATGCAAGGCACGGTACCGCCATTCATGCTGCCATGGCTTTCACGTCAGACAAAATGCCATGTGGCGTCAGAGGAGAACACGCTGCGTCTTACGTACGTCGACCCACGCACAGCCGATGACGTCCACATGCTGGTGACGCAGCAGGCACACACTGCACCCTTGTCATGGCGCGATGTATGGTGTTATGGAGTGAATCGTGCCACAGCTGTGACCAATCTGCCCTTTGTGCCGGGTAGTGTTGCTGATGCTGCTACCCACTATGCGATCACGCAAGGAACGTATTCACGTTGGATGCATGAGCCCAGCAACGATGATCCGTCTGCTCTCTACGACGTGGCACACGCTACACCATGTGATATATCGACCATGAAAGACATTGTGCAGACACAGGCATCGTCGCTTGATCCTCTGCTATGCTGCGATACAGGCGTAACGAAGCTGCGCCTCTCGTTTGGCCACCTGCTCTGGCAGTCCATGCCCCGAACGACGCAGCCACTCACTACGCCGCATACCCATACTGGCGTCTTTGTGGAAGCATGCCCGCCTAGCTGCATGCGTCGCGTACCTACGATACCCGGCTGGACTGAACTGGAAATGGACGAAGCGACATGGGAACGTTTCTACTATCGCTTGCCCAGCCCTTCAGGCACTCACGATTTGGTTCTCACATATGCTGTGCATGAGCATGGTAAGACGTTCCATTCTGCTATGTGGCAATCAACACTGGACACATACGTTGCTTGTCCAACTGTCTCGGTGGATGCGAGAGTCACTGCTGTGTGGGAAGCACCTGCCTCCATGGAGCGTTTACGTGAGACGGCTCTTCGTACATACTTGGACAGCACTACGGAGTCCTCGCAGGCAGATATGTTGCCCCCACAGGTGCTGGAACTACGTCTTTCTGACAATGTCATGGCTCAAGCTAGGCTCTGGCGCACAGAGCATGTCGTCCAACGCTCATCGACGCTCTTCCACACGACCGAACAGGAAGAATTGGTCCTCAGCCGCGATGCTACACGACGACCCACAATGCCCTACCACGTCCCTATCGTATCTTGGACTTGGTCAGCATGGCCGCACGACCCGCTCTCGGTCCTGCGGGCCGTCGTACAGCCAGCCTACAAAGCATTGGGCCGCCAGACAGAAGAACATCGTCTATAGCCATTGTCTATCTTCCACGTGTTGTCCCTCCACATGTCGACGTGGTGGCCCCGCCGCCACGGCGTCTGCATCGGCTCTTACGACGCCACGACTGTGTCATTGAGAGGACAGCATGACACGGTACTGGGCATCCGTAGCTGTGATCTTTGCGGCGCTTATGCATGTATGCCATGCGTATATGGCCATGCTGGAGGACAGCAAAGAAATGCGGCAAGCTTGCAGTGGCATGTGGGCTGGCACCAACACAAGCGTGGAAGGTAGGTGAATTGGCACATGCTCATTCGACAGTGGTTTTCTACCCTAATTCTACGGGTCGTGTCACTACCATCATCTATGAGGCCGAAGAAATCGATCTGATCGGCAAGTATGATGTCGCACAGGAAAAATACGGCCACTATGTACGTCGCGCGCTAATGCTGACGCAGTTCAAAACCTACATTTGTACATCGCTTGCTATGCAGCATGGACTGTGTACGCAAGATCAGTTGGGCTATTATATTGTTGATAACAGCACGACCGTAAACACCATTCAACAAAAGCAGTTTGATTTCGGTGAGAAATTGACGGAGCCACAAAGCATGACATACCCTGTGACGTCAACAGGCTTTTACTGCGTTGGTGTTATGCCTCTTACAACGTCTACCACTGCCAAAAATACAGAGCGATTCCATGGTCACGTTGAGTACCATAACCGGTTCGATGGCCAGCTAGCTGCAGCCCAGCATCCTAAGCTCTATGTACGTCCTGTGCGATTGTCACTTATATTAGCTTTACTTCCTTCTTATGGTATTGTATATGGCTATGGGCGGCGCTTGGCTATTTGCTTGCTTCAAGTACCGTGATCAGATTGTTACAGTGCAGCATTTCATTTCAGGCGTGATTGCTTTCCTCGTGATTGAGATGCTGTGTGAGTGGATGTTCTACCGCTACTACAACCTGCATGCCATTGACTTGATGAAGTTTGAGGCCATGGATGGTAGTGCCGGTGTCACCGCTACAGCACGTACGCTGCTAGTTCTCTCGAGTGTGCTGGAGGCCATGCGCGACAGCTTGTCGTTCTTTTTGCTGCTCATCGTGTCGTACGTATACCTGCTACCTAATATGACAGAATGGGCTATGGCGTAGTACGTCCGACTATCGGTCGCGCCATCATTAAAGTGTATATTCTGACCGCCTTCCACTTTGTATTTGGCGTAATGTACTCGGTTGGTCTGATTCTCGTGCTGCTGGAAGATGCTGGCGCGTGGGTCGTGTTATTCATCTTCCCTCTGGCATTTACACTCACAGCCTTCTACATGTGGATTATGTTCTCACTCAAGGCGACCATCCAGGACCTCACGGAACGTCATCAAACATTCAAGTGTGCTATGTTTAAGCGCCTGCAGGCCATCTTGATGGGCACTATCATCACTATCGCCGTCTACTTCTTTGCGCTAGTCATCCTTGTATCGTTGAATGGTACAGGTGACTTTGCTGATGACTCATGGAAGTATCGGTGGTTTATTCTCGATGGCTTTCTTTCCATGGTATACTTTGTTGTGTTTGCGCTCATTGCTTGGCAATGGCGTCCCACAGGTCATAATATGCGCCTGGCCATGTCAGATGAGCTTGCCACGGATGAGGAGGCTGCAGGTGCTACCTACGATGTGCCGACTATCGACTCCGATCATGAAGAGATTGATGCAGATGCAGAAGAAGTGGAATCTGTACATCTACAACAACTCTCGCACGCACAGGCGCATGGCGACGACCTTCCATCGTACGCCTCTGTCTCTGCCTTGGCTGATGAGCATGAGACAACTACGTCGAAGGACCCTGATGCCTTGGTCTTTGACTTGGACGATAATGCCTCTATGAAAAAGCACGCTTCCTTTGACGAACACGATGCAGAAGACTTTGAGATGGAACGACTCACGCTTGACGATGACGATGACAGAACCAAGTAGTTTCCTGCATACCCATCATACTGTTAGGCTATAGACTTCTTCGTCGTGTACCCTTCGCCTGGCAGAGTTTGTGCTTGGTGGTCTATTTTTGTCGTACGCATACCCACGCACGTGCAAAAGTTTCGTAGGAATAGCAAACCGAAATGGTGCAAATACATCCTCCACTTCCCCGCACTATATATATAAATAACGTGCCTGACCATGGTAATGTACACGTCGTATCTCTGGCATGATTCGGTGGCATCTCGTTCTACTCTCAGGGTTACTTCTTTCCATTCACGTATATGGATATACATTCAATATCGAGAAGAAAACCTCTCTCTATCCAGTATGCAGCTGGATGTGGGCTGGTAGAGATTCCAACATAGAAGGTATGTTTGTCATGACACTAATGAATAGTGGTCATAACGCCAAAGACCACTCAAAATGTGTTTGCCTTTGTGTTTGACTCTAAAAGATTACAGACATTGACCAAGCCTGAGAGTGCCTGGCGTGGTGCTTCTGACTCGAACAGAGCTACTAGCCAATTACAGAGCAAAGATGGATCGGACGTACGTCGTAATCCTACTAAAATCTTTGACAAATAACCTGTGCATGAACAAATTCCATCACTTTCACATGAATACGGGGCTGAGGCATACACAGAAATGGATTCGTCCTATACTTTCCCCAGATTTCTATTGTGTTAGTATTGTGGCGAGCGGTACAGATGGAGGTATGGAACTGGAAAATCGTGTCTATGGGTATATTCAATTCAATAATGAATTTGAAGGACATTTACCTGCAAATGAATACCCGAAACTTTATGTGAGTTACAATTAGGCTAATTCAGCTCTATGCCACATGTACAGGTATTCTCTTTATCATTACTGCCACATGGATCACTCTATGTTTTCATTCGCAGAAGAAACTCCATTTCTTACAGCATCTGCTTACCGTTACAGCAGTTCTTTTCCTTGCACAAATGTATTTCCAATGGAAGTTTTATTCTTACATGAATAACCACCCAATTGATATCAGTCAACTCGTCTCTGTTTACGATGATAACAATATCACGGCAACAGTGCAACGACTTGGCATGTATTTCAGCTTTCTTAAGAGAGTCAAGGATATCATGATTATAACATGTCTGTTCCTCATGCCGTACGTACCGATGTTTCTAACGTAAGAGCGAGCGAGCCTACTTTCTATATTAATGCGCGGAACATTGCCTGCGTTTCTTTTTCCCTCATGCAAGGAATAAGTACATTCATCGATACTTATAATTTAACCGTCTTAGGATCTGAAAATAACACAAGGTACCATATAACACTTATTATGCAATTCCTGTCGTGCTCTCTTTCAATGCTATCGGCTTCGTTTGAAAACTCTAATCGACAAGGTACAAGGAAGAAGAGGATCAAATCTACAAACTATTTCCATATATGTCTTCTTGTGGGTGGATGGTCCTGTTTCCTGATTTTGCGTCAAGTCATTCTCTCACAGGCTTCTCTTGCTTTTGCGCGAATTCCTGCTAAGATCTTATGGCCATATTTATGGATGCTGACGGATTTTATCCCGCTGGTCTTTGGTATTTCATCGTTCATTGTTTTCATGTTTGTACTCTTCCCTCGTTACCTTTACGCTATACAGTTACCTGACGAGGCTGGATTCAATTTGGCGACAAATAAGGATCATTCGGAAGAAAAGATCTCTGAAACGAACTTGAGCTCTGCAAGAAACTAAATTTCAATTTACTGACACTATGGTGATAAGGACCCGGATTGTTTCTAGTACATGGTTTAGGATGTCATGCAGAGAGCAGAGTTCCTATATTTATGTTGTATATTTCACAACGATTTAACAGCCATGTGATGGGAGAATACTCGGTAAAGTACACAATAGGGGAGCAACTTCAGCGTTAGCCCATAACTTCGTCAAACCAATTTTCAAGTTCATAAAGGTCCCTATTTCCTCCACTTCGACAACCCCGCATTTCTGAGGTACCTTTAAGTGCTTCCCTTGACTAGGGTGCAGACGACTTTAAGAACGTCTCATGCCATATTTATCTGCTTATTTATTGCAGTACCTGGCTACTTATACCTTGCCCAACGATTTCTGCTCATCAGCTTGTTCCTAGATATGCTTCCTCTCTTATTAGGCACGTGGGCCACTGTACTGTCAATCCACGTAGTGTGCCTGTTACGCCCTTTCATTCGTTTGCTCTCTCCACATGAGCTTTTTTAGCACCGTGCATGTGCCTGCTCGAGCGATACTGTACAACATTACCCGTCTTGCTCAATGGTACGGTGGCTAGCGATCTTTGGGCTGGTTTGGCAACTCTGACCTCGTCTTGCTATACCTTCACTGTCAACCTGGGTAATCGGGCTCTATCGGAACCAATCTGCAACGGTGTATGGCAAGGTGCAAATATAACTTTGGAGTGTAGGTGGATCGTTTCGCTTACTGGTAGTTACTCTCTCACCAAAGTCCACTGAAAAAGTTACTGCATTGGTATTTGAGTCTGGTGAAGAGGACCGAATCGGGATCAAAAACCCTAATTTTCAGGATTTGTTGTTCTCAAAGAGATCTACGTCTGATACGAAGAAAATGAAAAGGACCATGTACGTCGTTATTCAACTAACATCAGTATCCCATTGACACGTATGATCTCACTTCTGTTTATGGTAATGATGATATTTCAAGAAAGGCGAAAACACTACTTGCACTTTGTGTCGTTTGGAGATCGCTGTGTGACGCATTATCCATTCAACTCCTTGTGCTTTTTCCGTGCGTATAGTATTGACTTACCACAGTGCCATGGATCCTGCTTCCGTGTTTAAAACAAAGTATCGAATTCATATAAGCTGCATCTCTTTCTTCCTCTCTTGTATTTCCAGTATGGAGTATCATTTCTCTACATTGTACGGCCATTTTAAATGTGAGGTTTTGGACTTTACACTTTTGTTTGTTCACTTGTTCTTTAGTGTAATGGTGCTCTGTTTTGGCATTATGTTAATGGTCGAAGCTATGATGAAGAGCTCCGAACAAAAGCAATTCTTGAAAGCGAAGCTTTATGGCAACTTCTTGTTATCCTTTGTACTCATGTTAGTGCTAACATTTTTTAGCCGTGTTGTTAAATTTTCTGATGCAATTGAGGGATATGATAAGCTTGGGAAAGACACTCGGAAGTACGGCTGGCTTTATCAAGATACTCTAATATGTACAACATTCACTGCCGTATCCATACTTACCATGTGGGTGTACCTGCCTCGCTATATCCAAGCGTTACATTTCATCAATGTGGCGCAGGAAGAGCATAGCACCAAGGCAACGACTATGTTGGGCCCAGCGATGCAAACCCACCTAAAACAGAGCTGAATTCGGAAGACTATCACCCATCTACGTCTCAACGTCATCTCCTAAATGACAATGAACTACCACCTTATGCTTCTGTGATCTCCGAGCATGACAGTCCTCAGTTGCAGCAGCACATGCTTATAAAAAGCGTATCATCCAACAATGAAGACAACGTGGAATTGGTGCAATTTCGTTCGTCCATCGAGAAATAGTTCGAATAAATCCATATTATTCTACTGAAAGCCGTAAATATACAATAAATCACTGTAATAGAACGCCTTTACGAGTCATCTTGCACGCGCTCAAGCGCATGGCGTCCACGCCGGAGACGTTCATGTAGATCCATTCCGCCACTCTGCTCGCCCCATAAATTACGCTGTTGGTCCAATAGAAAGGAGGCCTTGCCCGTATTATGTGCCTTGTCTCGACGCTGCTCTTCCTCTTCTTGTTCTTTCTGCTCTTCTTCGGTCACTTTCGCAATCATTGAGGCACGATCCGCTTCCATCGTCTTCGCATTCTGCATCATCTCCGCCAACTTTGCTGCGCGATCCTCTTCTGTCACGCGCGAGCAATTAGGTGAGCGTGAGCGGTGGCGGGAAGGGGTATCATAGTGGCGACGGGAGGATCTAAACGAGTCTTTGTCATGTCGTGCTTCTCGATCACGCTGTCTTGCGTAGTCATCGCGCTCGCGGCGATCATAGTTCTCACGCCGATACCGCTCATCGTACGGACAATGATTGTCGTAGTGTCGTCGATCATACTCACGTTCATCGCGATCACGACTTTCATGACGACGCGATGACCATTCTTCGTATCGATCGCTGCGGTGTCTGTCATGCCGGTCGGAATGATGATCTCGATGTCGATGACGATGGTGCCGGTCACGATCGCGATCGCGATCACGATCACGATTATGAGCGCGACGAGAACGATCTAATCTCTCGTCTTTTTCCACAGGTAAACCAAGACGTGCACGCATTTGGCGCATTCGAGTAGGGTCTTTCATCAGCATTTCGTACATGGCCTGTTCTTGTTTCTTGATGGCAAAAAGCGGATCTTCTCGCACTTTCAATGCCATATCCTTCGCTGTATTAGTTTCTTCCGGTTCGTTTAACACTGCAGGTCCTGCTGTCCGAGAGAGCTGCTGTGCTTCATTGCCTTGCAGGAGCTTATCAACACGTTTTTTGCCCAGCAAATAATCCTCTAATTCGCTTTCTGAAGGCCCTGTACTTGTAGCAGGCGTTGCATACATCCATTCAACGCGTTCAGAACGTCGTTTGCCACCAGCAGCTTCATGAATGCGCTGCAGTTCCTGCATTTGGCGTTCTTGTTCGCGCTCTTTGCGCAATTCATCGAGCTTTTTACGCTCCGCCAGTGCCTCCTGCTCCTGCTTCCATACTTTCTCTTGATTGCGCTGTAGACGTGGGTGCCACGACTTTTTCACGTTCAAATCACCGGCACCCATCTTGCTGGCGGCAGTGGCGTGCGGCGATTTAGCGCTGGGCTACCAGGAGAGTGGAGGCAGCGAACGATGGCGTACGCGTTCGCTCGAGAAGACCTCGGCCGAGCGCACGTGACTGTCGCGCGTCTCTTGTGTCCAAGTCGTAGCGCCGATAGTGGTCGTCTGCGCCTGCTCCCGACCTGTTGGCCCCCGCAAACGCGACGCACAGCTGCGCAGCACACGAGGTAAAAGGCGTGTATACACTGCGAGAGACTTGTGCGGTAGCTACGTGGACGGATCTATCAGCTGAATATCATGTACGCGGAAGAGGGGGTTGAGGAAATCAGCCAGGAGGACTGCTGGGATGTGATCAAGGCCTTTTTCGAAGAAAAGGGCCTTGTGCGCCAGCAGATCGACAGTTTCAATGAGTTCATGAGCAATACTGTGCAGGAACTTGTGGAAGAAAGTCGTAGTCTCACACTGGAGCAAAGCGATCAACACACTGGCCACGCTGAAGACAGGACACGTCGCTACGAGATCGAGTTCGGCCAGATTTACATGAACAAGCCTCAACAGACGGAGGCGGATGGTAGCACAGCACCGCTGTTTCCACAAGAGGCACGACAACGTAATCTGACGTACTCGGCGGGTCTTCATGTTGACGTGTCGCAAAAGGTCTTGATCAAAGGCGAGGAGGACGAGTTGGACGAGAATGGCGACCAACTGTGGGTGCCTGACCCAACGCGCGATGAAATTGTGGATGAGAAGGTGTATCTAGGCAAGGTGCCGATAATGTTGCACTCGCATTTCTGTTGGCTGACCGATTTGCCTGACGAGGGCAAGTACAGTTTGAATGAGTGTCCCTTTGATTCTGGTGGCTACTTTATTATTAATGGTTCAGAAAAGGTGCTGATTGCGCAGGAACGTATGGCCGCCAACCACGTATACGTCTTCTCCAAGGCTGCGCCGTCGCCCATCACGCACTTGGCTGAGATTCGTAGCGCGGTGGAGCGCGGTGGAAAGACGATCAGCACGATGCAAGTGAAGCTTTTCTCCCGCAACCGTGAGCGCAGTCTCAACAACACGATCAAGGCTACGCTGCCGTACATCCGAAATGATATCCCGATCGTGATTGTGTTCCGTGCGCTGGGTGTAGTGCCCGATCGTGAGGTACTGCAGCATATCTGCTACGACTTTAACGACACGCAGATGTTGGAGATGCTCAAGCCGTGTATTGAAGAAGCGTTTGTGATACAGGACCGTGAGGTAGCGCTGGACTTTATTGGTCGTCGTGGTACCACGACTGGTCTGTCTCGCTTTAAGCGTACGACGTATGCCCAGGAGATTCTACAGAAGGAAATGCTGCCTCACATCTCCATGTCAGAGGGCTCTAATACCAAAAAAGCATACTTCTTTGGATACATGGTGCATCGCCTTCTCCTTGCTGCGCTGGACCGCCGCGAAATTGATGATCGTGACCACTTTGGCAAGAAGCGTCTGGATCTGGCTGGACCGCTGCTCAGTGGCCTTTTCCGTATGCTCTTCCGCAAGGTCACGCGTGATATTTACCGTCATCTGCAGCGCTGTGTGGAAGACCAGAAGGAGTTCCATCTCCAAGCCGCTGTGCGTCATGCTACGATTACCAATGGTCTGCGCTACTCGCTTGCTACGGGTAACTGGGGTGACCAAAAGAAGGCAATGCAGTCCAAGGCAGGTGTGTCGCAGGTACTTAACCGCTACACCTTTGCTTCGACACTGTCGCATCTGCGTCGCTGCAACACGCCTATTGGCCGTGACGGTAAGATTGCCAAGCCACGTCAGCTGCACAACACGCATTGGGGTATGGTGTGCCCTGCAGAGACGCCAGAAGGTCAAGCTTGTGGTCTAGTAAAGAACTTGAGCTTGATGTCGAACATTTCCGTGGGTACGCCTAGCGCGCCGATTGTCGAATTCTTGGAAGAGTTTGGTCTGAACAGCTTGGTGGACATGCAAGCGGCTGATCCTAAAGCGACCAAGGTCTTTGTCAATGGCGTTTGGCTCGGTACGCACGACGACCCTGGCCAACTTGTTGATACGCTTCGTGATCTGCGTCGTAAGGACGATATCAGTCATGAAGTAAGTGTCGTGCGTGATATCCGTGAAAAGGAGTTGCGTATCTACACAGATGCAGGCCGTATGCTGCGCCCTCTGTTCATTGTCGACCAGCAGGACATGACATTGCTTATCAAGCGACACCATGTGGAAGCGCTCAATGACGAGTCTGGTGAAGGCTGGGACTGGACGCGCCTTGTCCAGTCAGGCGTGATTGAGTATCTCGATACGGAAGAGGAGGAGACGGTACTGATCTGTATGAGTCCTACGGACTTGGAGCAGTCGCGCGAATACAAAGCATCGAACGGCCATATGCTGCCGGATACGTCGGATGCGACACGCCGCCTGCGTTCTGCGCATACCTTTGCGCCAGATATATGGACTCACTGTGAGATTCATCCTGCGATGATTCTGGGTGTGTGTGCCAGTATCATTCCCTTCCCAGACCACAACCAATCGCCCCGTAACACCTATCAATCGGCTATGGGCAAGCAAGCGATGGGTGTGTTCTTGACCAACTACCAGATTCGTATGGATACCATGGCGAACATTTTGTACTACCCGCAAAAGCCACTGGCCACGACGCGTGCCATGGAGCATCTGCGTTTCCGTGAACTGCCAGCTGGCCAGAATGCCATTGTGGCCATCCTGTGCTACTCTGGCTACAACCAGGAAGATTCCGTGATTATGAACCAGTCGGCCATTGACCGAGGCTTGTTCCGCTCTCTGTACTACCGTACGTTCCAGGATATGGAGAAGAAGGTCGGTGTGATTACCATGGAAGAGTTTGAAAAGCCTACGCGCGAAACGGCGATCCGCTTGAAGCATGGCACGTACGAGAAGCTGGACATTGATGGTCTTGTACCGCCAGGTACGCGTGTATCTGGTGAAGACATTATCATTGGTAAGACGGCGCCGCTGCCGCCTGACAGCGATGAGCTGGGCATGCGCAGCAAGACCCATACCAAGAAGGATGTGAGTACGCCGATGAAGAGTACCGAGAGTGGTATTATTGATCAGGTGCTCATTACGACCAACGGCGAGGGTGCGAAATTCGTCAAAGTGCGTGTGCGTTCCACGCGTGTGCCGCAGGTGGGTGACAAGTTTGCCTCGCGTCACGGACAAAAAGGTACGATCGGTATTACGTACCGCCAGGAAGATTTGCCGTTCACAGCGGAAGGCATCACGCCTGACATTATCATCAACCCACATGCCATTCCCAGTCGTATGACTATCGGTCACTTGGTCGAGTGTCTCTTGTCCAAGGTTGCGACATTGTCTGGTCAAGAAGGTGATGCTACGCCGTTTACGGACCTCACCGTGAAGGGTGTCAGTGACATTCTCTTCTCCCTAGGCTACCAGTCACGTGGCTTGGAAGTCATGTACAACGGTCACACAGGCCGCAAGTTGCAGGCGCAAGTGTACTTGGGCCCGACGTACTACCAGCGCCTGAAGCACATGGTCGACGACAAGATCCACAGTCGTGCGCGTGGTCCCGTGCAGATCCTTACGCGTCAGCCCGTGGAAGGTCGTAGTCGCGATGGTGGTCTGCGTTTCGGTGAGATGGAGCGTGACTGTATGATTTCCCACGGTATGGCCTACTTCCTCAAGGAGCGCATGTACGATACCAGTGATGCGTACCGCCTGCATATCTGTGATCTGTGTGGCTTGACGGCTGTTGCCAACCTGCGCAAGAGCACATTCGAATGTCGTGCATGCCGCAACCGTTCTGCGATCTCGCAAATCCATATCCCCTATGCGGCGAAGCTCCTCTTCCAAGAGCTGATGAGCATGGGCATTGCGACGCGCTTGTACTAACTCATGCAAGCAGTACCTGGCTGCGATGTCATAGAAACGAGTCATATTTATTTATATATATAATAGCACCTAACTACGGTTGAACATGTGACGTACACCGTTCGTGATCTTGTCTTTCCCTTGCTCCAATTGGTGCAGTGTTTCATGGCCCTGCGCGGACAAGTCTGTTCGCAGCGACGTCGGCGCCGGCGCCGAGCTTGCGGGAGGTGTGGGACCATGCTGGCCAGCCTCGCTCATGGCCGTAGGCGGACCCTGTGCATGCGCTGGCGAATGCATCAGCGCTTGCGATGGCAGCAACGTCGACGCCGATGGCTGCGATGGCATCGGCTGTGCTTGCGTCTGTGTCTGCTGCATTTGGTTCGTCGTCGAAGGCCATGCTTGTGGCAAGGTAGATGTCGACGACGTCATCTGCGAGGGTTGCGACTGCGACACGGTGCTGGAGCCTGACATACGCTGATTCATATGCTGGTTGACAGGCGGAGGGAAATGCGTTTGATTCCCCTGCGTTTGTCCTACACGTCCAGGCATTTGCCAGGAGGCCATGCGCGCTTGGTCCTGAGACATGAGCGACGGGGCACTGGAGTGGGTCGAGACTGTGGTCGGAGGGATCCCTGGCGCACCGGGCGCAAGGGCCATCGTATCCGTCGAGTTGGAATGCGGCAGCGAGGCCGAGGCAGGTGGATGGCTCTGCTCTTCGATGGATGCATGGTACATGTCCGAGAGCAGTGGCTGCGTAGGCTGACCTGGCTGTGATATATTCATACTGCGTGCCGGAGGCTCGTCAAACACAAAGGCCGCATTGGATGTAGGGGTCGGCTGCTCACCCGCCGACATGCGACTCGTATTGGGCTCCGGGAAGAGCTCACTGTGGGTCGAGAACGGACTGGACAAACCCTGCTGCGAGCCTTTGTCGATCACACTACCACTAGGTGACGACATCATACCTTGTGAATCCCAAGGCATCGACGGCTGCGGCAAAACAGGCGACCCGGATATCATGTTCGAGTCTGTCGCCTGCAAGTTGCTCCGTGTCATACGCAGACCACGACCAACCGACGAGAGCGACATGGTCGAGTTCCGGCTCTTGTCCATGTTCGCCAGCTCATCCTCCGAGATACCGCCCGACGGGAGGCTTGGAATCATACCATTGGAGCCTGTGGACGACACGTGGGCCCGCTTCTCGTCCTTCTTCCGACGTGGCCACTTGAACTTTGGCGACATCTTGGCCAAAAAGTTGTTGCGACCCTGTCCCGGTGGAGGCGATGTGGACATCCGATACAGATCCTTGCTGGAATTCGACTTGGGCAAGCTTGAGCTGCTTTGATTCGGGCTCATGGGGCTCATAGTCGACACTGGCAAGGGCCCTTCGTTCGGAGGTGTCACACGCCCACTCTCCATCGCTCCTTGCGACATGGTGGAGAGGTCCACCGAATGGGACGTTCGCACCGGCGTGTGCATCATTCCGGTGGTTTGTGAAGCTAGCGGCATCGAACCCTTCACCGACCATGGCTGCTGCTGTGCTGCCAAGCGAGCCCACTCGTCGTTCATAGGAACCGGGGCCGTCGTACCAGCCTGGGCTGCTGCTCCCACCGCAGGGGCTGTAGACTGGGCATCTCGCGTCTGCATGTTCTGCAGCATAGCCTCGAGTGACTCCTCCGTCTCGTCACGCTTGGGCGGTGGCGGTGGTGCAGATCCACCCTCAGGCAGCGCCGGTGGTGCCGGCGGGTCCCAGCGTACACTCCATGCACCGTCGTGGGGCGGGATGTTTACGGGTAACACACCGATCGGCGCTGCAGCAGGCACCGTACGCGGCGGCGGCTGGGCCGCGGCAGTGGATGCCGGTGCGACGGGCGCTGTGGGCTTCTGCACCTGCTCCGTAGTTGGCTGCGCTTGTGGCGGTGTCGGTTGAGCAGGCTGTGACACAGATGGAGCTGCCTGTGCGTCTGGCACGGCACGGCGTGCGGCCGGCACCGGTGCCGTGCTGGGTGTCACGAGATCACTTGATGTCCGGCCCTGATCCAGCGCGATGACAGGTCGGTGTGTGAGCGATTGCGAATCACGACGCTGAAAACTGTCGTTCTCTGTGGGCGGCATTGACTCACCAGGCCACGATGCTTGGGACTGTTGTGAATCGCGCACGCGAGTGGACGGTATAGACTGTACAGGCTTCGGCTCCTCGGTGACCATGGCACGAGTCGGCAAGGTCGAGGCCGCGCTCGATTGCCAGATCGGTGGTGCATCGTCCATTTCCCACGTAGGCCGAGGTCCTTGACCCCACTGCGTCACCTGGTCGGGGTTGGGCGTGGGGTCAGCACTCCAAGCCGATGTTTCGCCCATAGGCATCGGATCCCACGCAGGGCCTGTGGTCGACGCTTCCTGCTCTTCGTTGAGATGGCGCGTGTTGAGCACATTGGCATGCGATGGCGCATCACCTTGTTGCTTTTCACGGAAACTCAAACGCTTGCGCTCCACGGACAAAATGCTCTGGTCGCTTTGGACTGAGATGTCACCGATACCGTAGCGAACGTACGCGGGCGTCGTCATACCGGTGGCCAATTGGTCTGGCGAATGCGCATTCTGGAGATCGCTTGGCGGCTGCTCCATCATCTCGCTCTCGGCCATAAACATGTCCTTGGCCGACATGGGCTTCTCTGCGTTGCCCATCAGACTGTTCTGGCGCCCTAAACTGCTGCGCTTTGTCGACGCACGACGAGGTGACAGCAAGTCCAGCGCACGCTGCAGGTCGCCTAGAGTGTTGTTAAAGTCGACACTGTTCTGGCGGTTCAGCTGCGCTACTGTCGGCGCGTCGGGCACCTGCTGAGAGGAGCGATGCAGCTTCCGTTGCGCCATTGTCTTCGGCGGCGTAGTCAGAAGCGCCGTGTCAATGTCATTGTCGCTTGATGTCATCTCCTTCTTGGCCGAGGTATCTTTTACCGAAGGCAGGATCTGATCCATCTCCGAGAGAGGGACGGTCGGGGAGGTCACGTTGGCATTCTCTTTGTCGCCCATGGCGCCGGCCTTTGTATCAGTCGAAGTCGGTGGCGAAAGCTCCGTGATGATGCTGTTGCTTGTCGGCGCATCGCCAGGCAAAGACTGGTCAAGCACAATCGGTGATCGAAGGGACGAAGCGTTTTGCGCCAGGCGGCGAGAGAGCATCTCGTGCGCTGTGGGCACAGGGCGCTTCGATGCACCATCCGCAGGCGGGATCGATGTAGCTTCTTTGGACTTCGCTTGGTCCTGGGCTAGCGCCGAACTGACAGTCGGCATCCCTGCAGACGCTGCAATCGCCGCAGCGCCAGCTCCTGCGCCTGCACCGACCCCTGTCATCGTCACAGGCGTCGCCGAAGGGTCCAGCGGTGGGCCTTGCGGCTGCGGCAGAGGGCGGCGTGGTGGCGCTTCATGCACAGCGTCGAGAATAGGGCCATGCGCCTCGAAACGCGTAGCACTGGCATTACGCTTGTGCATGGAGGCCGCTTCCATCTCCTCCTCAGGCTGCGAAATAACTTCCGACATACGTGCGGAGGCACGCTTCACTGAGCGCGGAACGTCAATGGACGCTCGCTGCATATGCCGACGAGCATTGGCCGTGGCACGCTCACGCTCAATCAAACGATCACGCGCCTCTTCTACATCAAGTTGCGGCGAGGGCGGCGTGCGTGGCTTGCCTTCCAGTACGGCCTGAGCAGCTGCCTTGGTACTGTCTGAAACGGAGCGTGATGACTCGTCCTTCTTGGAGTCGGCCGTAGTGGACTCTGTCTTCTGTTCGGGCGCCGACGAGCTCGAGTCTGTATGCTTGTGTTGCGTGCCAAACAGGCGCGACGCCGCCGCAGAGATGCTAGCGACGACCGTCGGCTTTTCCTTCTTCGAGTGTGTCGAGTCATTGTCATGGCTTGTATCGGGCTCAGACTTGATACTCTCAGGCTTCGAGGCACTTGGATGCGAGGGCGGACGGGCAGGTGGCGGCGGCGGCGTGGGCAGTGCCCGCGTTGAGGGGGCAAGAGAATCGCTTGTGAGCGCCGCCATTGCCGCCGTCATCGCATGGGGGCGCACTACTTGGCCTTGCGACACACTCCATGCCTCCGGCTCTCGCGTCGATGCCGACGGCGGTGGAGGCACCGCACGTGCCGATGCAGTAGGTGCCTTCTCTTGCCCCGGCAGCGGCTCCTCCGCGACTGACGTCGGCGCGGTCATCATGCCTTCGTTGGTCGACGGCGGTGTAAACACATCCGGCACACTGCTAGGCGCAGCAAGCAGCTCCTGACCCTGCTCAGGCGCCGCATCCAAGTTGGGCGATGCAGCAATAATCGGGGCATCACGTACTTGCACGTCGTTGTCTTCTGGCACAATAATGCCCGCTTCGGGTCCCTGCAGCCCCCGCGAGGGAACATCGAAGGTCGTAGGAGGCTGCGGCAGTGTGCGCGACGATGGCGGCGAAGCGAGCGAAGCCAGATGCAACGGGCGAGGGCCGCTGTTGCTGCGTGGCGTGGGCAGGACTGGGGCCTCCGATGGGCCGGCCCGACGTGGAGAATTGGTCTCTGACACGGTTTCAGCATGCGAAATAAAAGAACGCCACCATTTGGCCCGGTTTGGATCGACAGCCCACTCAAACTTGCCGACGATCGGCAGACGGCCATGCTCTAGCGTATAGGAAGCTGCTGAGGCCGAGTTTGTCGACATCATGCTCGTGTTGCTCGCGACACGGTGTATCCGACGCATAATCGGTGTGCCCCCACTGAGCGCCTGATAATTCTGGCGCTGATGCGGTGATATGGGGCCACGCCGAGCATACGGCAACGGGGTGACCTTTCCAAAGGAGTCGACCTCGGCGTTGTCTGTGCTCATCATGCCAGACGTTTCGTCGAGGTCTTCATCCTCGAAAAAGCCGCTCCATAAGGCGGCCCATGTAGCATCGCCAATACGAGGGCCATCACTACCCTTTCCATCATCGAGAAGATACAGCGAGAGACCGCCCACACTGGGCAGGCCATATTCGCGTGCAATGGCATATAGCTGTCCACCCAGCGTCGGATAGAGTGGGAGAAGTGTACCACGCCGCGCCATGGACGGATGACCGCCGTTGCGTGGAAGTGACTCGGTCGGCAAATCGGCTGGCGGTACGACCGTCACAAAGTACGAGGACGACGCAGCGTTGCGCGACGCCATACCGTTCTGATATAGGCGCATAGGTGTGCGAAGCATATGGGTTTGAGCCTCTTGCTTTCCGCTCTCTTCCATATCGGAATCACTCAGTAGCTCATGGGACGTTCGTGGCACCATCTCATCGCTGGGCACAGCTGACTCCTTAAGACCGGAGCTAGCAGCTGCCTCCGTGCTTATGGCACTTTGTCCAGGGAAGTGGGGACCTGCCATGGGATCCACCTCCTCAGGTCTTACGGCAGCGACGTTAATGAAGGCAAGGTGGTTGCGCCAGGCGGTGGTCGTACAAGGTCACTGCGGCTAGATTACTGCACAAAACAGTTCGATGAGCATCTATGTATGGTTTACTGTAAGCAGCCGCTAACACTGAGGGTCTGCCAATAAAATTACGTAAGTATATGCAAGCTTTATGCTCCACAAGGCCCCCCACTGAGAAGGCTGCGCCCCGTGGCTGGATTGCCAAGTCTACGCACGGCGTCAGACAAGCGACAAAGAACGCGTATTGCTACAGGCTATCTACAAGGCGTCGGGGCATTATTTTGCCTGTCGTTGGCGCAATAGGGCTGCTGCATGCTCGTACTGTGTTAAATGCACAGGCACATACATCGTCGCCGTATTGTTGGCCAGGGCGGATCCGAATAAAAGCGCAGTGACCTTGTCACCGTGCCATGCACCCTCCGTGTCTGTCCAAAAAACTCGCTTGATGCCTGCCCAGTACATCCACTCTAGGCATCGCCAGCATGGCCGACTGTCCGCATAACGAGGCATAACATTGGTGGTAGGGGGTATCGTGTTGGTAGACATAGTAGTACCACGCTGTCGTCGTCGCTGTTCTTTCGCCTTAGCTTTGGAGTCGGTATCTTGTAAAAGGCGAACCACATACAAATCCGCTCCACGAACACGAGAATCTGCCATGCTTTGCAATGGTCTTCGTGCTACTTTGCGGTAGCCCAACGTAGTGGACGTACACGAGTCCAGCTCTGTACCATTTTCCATGGGAGGAGGCGATACACTCCCTGGCGGCGGCGTCGAAGGCGGTGATGACTCACTTGACGAGGAGAGGCTTGTAGTACCAGCATCCGTCACGTCACTACTGGCACTCTCACTTGAACTCGTCTGTTTGGCGCCTCGCGCCTTCCGCGCCATCTTCTGCTCTTTACGACGCTTTAGCCGCTCTGCCTTGAGTTCCTGTTGCTCAATACGCAATCGACGCGCCTCCTGATTGCCAGCCCACAGTCCATGCCCGTGGCGCACACTGTCCGAGGTGGTACAGCGTGCGTGGCGTTGGTTTTTCTTCAATTCGTTTTTTATAGCGCGGTTTAAGACACCACTCGCTATCGGGGGCAAAAGCGATGCGTTGTTGCTCCCGCTTCGCGCCCTCGACCAAAGCCCGGTCACACTTGGCTTTGATTCCAGCAGCCACGCGCTTGGTGGCAGCTGTGGGCACGTCGCTGCAGCGGGAGCCATCCTGCATCTCGAGGGTCATATCATGGAACTGCGCGCACGTTGACTCCATCGGATCAAGCAGAACACTGCTCCGTGGAATGTTATGGGGGCGCGCTCCACGCAGCGCGGATGTCACAGCATGCATCTCCGCATGCATACTGAAGTAGGACTGGCCACGCGCGCCAGCGTGCGAGGCTCCTTCGTGAGTATGTATATGTGTGCAGTCATCAAGACCTCGTCGCATAGGGAGAACGATAGCCTCATGGGCCGACAACGGTCCGCTAAACCCTGTTCGTACATGGTTATGGCCTTGTCCCAGAATTTTACCGCCTTTCGTGATGATGGCGCCGTGACGGTAGCGCATGGCGGAGCGTAGGGCCTCCTGTGTTGCCGCATTTCGCATGCGATCTCCACGCTTTTGACTGGGCATGCTGGTAATTACGTCAAAGTGAATGAATGTATTAGGTTTGTAGCAGTGTCGTAACACAACCTTGTTTTTTTCTTCGCTAGCCAGGCTTGTGGCGTGCCCGCACAGTCAGAGGAAAAAAAAAAACAGCTGCCTATTGTACTATGAGATTCGGCCGAATGGAGGGCGCCGCCTCTTTCTGTCCCGCGTCAATCAGAGTCTAAGAGCGTGATGTATTCACGGCGTGGAGGTGGTCGTGCTTCTGGTGAGGGCGACGAGCGCACGTCAATGGGTATTGAAGGCTCGGTGGAACGCTGAGATGTGCTTTTTATAGGTAGATACAGCTGCTCCTGCGATCGTCCACCCTGACTAGCTGACATGGCCGGGCTTGAAGCCAAGGGGGCAGACGCGTCACGTTCTAATTTTTGCAGTAGCGAAGAGCTAGGGTATCGGGCCTCGGACAAGCTAGAGTGCTGGGAACAAGACATGGGTATCGTGGAGGAAGTGGGGTCGGTCGTCATTGGAGGAGGTATATGCTTGGCAGTAGGCGTCGAGGAGTATGCCTGTTCCGCTTCTCGTAGCGCACTTTCCGCATCCCAATCCCATTCGTCCATCACGTCGTCTGACCATGGCTCAGACAATGATGGCGGTGCTGCAGACACGGTCGCCGTAGGTGCCTTGACCTCTGTCATGCTGGACAAGGGCCGTGCAGGCGCCGACGAGGCGTGTGATGCCTCTACCCTACGTGCCGGCGGCAATGCGTTGGATGCTGGCCATGGCTTTACGTCCACACTTAGCTTCTCTGATATTTGGGCGGCTAGGTCGGCATAAATGTTCCATTCAGGCACAAATCCACCGAGGATATGTATATGGGGCGCTTCTAAGAGCAGTACTTGGTCATCATAAACACACTCGCGTACTAAAATTTTTGTGCCGAGGGGTGTGTCCAGAGACAAAGCCGGGATAGGAGTATATTCGTACGCGACAAGGTCTTTCGACTGGTGTCCGTCACTTAGGTGCCAGCGAAGCATGCCTCGTGGAAAGGGGGTGCCTGGCTCTGTATGTCGTGCAGCAAAAATGTCGCGTAGTGCTTGAGCAGAGACACCCACATCCATGACATGTGTGATTTGAAGTAGTCGTGGTGTGGGTTGTGCTGCCTCCATCGAGTCCGCCAGATTTGAGACGAGCAGCTGGGCGCGTACCTGCTCTAGGCACGCGGCAGAATCACCGCATATCGTAGGGGTTTTCGTCGTAAGGTACGCAATACACTCAGACCTGGGGTGAGTTACTGATATACGTACAGCCAGTCACGACTCAAGGGGAGTGGCCCCCATGCTGCCTGCAACTCTTCATAGACGGCCTTTTCCACCGAAGCGCGCACAGACGTGTCCATGGCGTAGCGGCTGCGGCCCAACAAAATAAATTACGCGTAAGCGTTGGACAGGGGTGCGGGGCTTATTTCCCCAAGTCGGCCACACGGGCTTCCATCGGCCGCCCACGCCTGCACGGGTCGCCGCCCGTTATATTTTTGTCTCTTGTTCCTGGTACTGCATCATGTACTCGATTGTGCGTCAGCAGTTGCTACGAGTGAGCGCGCCTTTGCGTGCCGGCATGGCTGGCATGCACACTAGTGCTACGCTGGCTGAGCTCAAGAAGTTCACCATGCCTGCCATGAGTCCGACCATGGAAGACGGTGGTATCGCCGCGTGGCGCAAGAAAGAGGGCGAATCGTTCAGCACGGGCGATGTACTCCTGGAAGTGGTACGTATTCAAGGAAACTAATCGCAGGAAACCGATAAGGCTACGATGGAAGTTGAGGCTCAAGATGACGGTGTGGTCGCGAAGATTTTGGTATGTTGTGTGTACCTATTGACCGATAGACGCCTGGCGGCTCGAAGAACGTGCCCGTGAACTCGGTGATTGCCATTATGGCTGAGGAGGGTGATGATCTCTCTGGTGCGGATGCTCTTGCGGAGGAGGCTAAGAAGGAGTCGGCCAGTGCGAGCGCTAGCTCCTCGTCCGAAGAGCCGAAGAAGGAAGCCCCGAAGAAGGAGGAGGCTTCGAAGAAGGAGGCCCCGAAGAAGGAAGAGGCTCCGAAGAAGGAGGAGGCTCCGAAGGAGGAGTCGTCTCCTGCTCCGGCTAGCACTGGTCCTCTGGACCGCGTAATGGCCTCGCCGCTGGCGAAGCGTCTTGCCCTGGAGCGTGGTGTGCCTCTGCTGCAAGTCAAGGGCTCCGGTCCGAACGGCCGCATTCTCAAGGAGGATGTGGAAAAGTACCAGCCTAGCGCTGGTGCTGGTGCTGGTGCTGCAGCGCCGAGCAGTGGTGCGCCTGCCGCCGCTGGTGCTTCGTACACGGATGTGCCTGTGTCGAACATGCGCCGTGTGATTGCGGAGCGCCTGACGGAGAGCAAGTCTACGGTGCCGCACTACTACGTGACGTTTGATGTGGAGATGGACCGTGTGTTGCAGCTGCGCGAGGTTTTCAACAAGGCCTCGAAGGAGGCTGCTCGTGGCGATGCTGAGAAGGCGAAGGCTGCCAAGCTCTCGGTGAACGACTTTATTATCAAGGCATCGGCGTTGGCCCTCAAGCAGGTTCCTGCCGTGAATTCGGCATGGCACGGTGACTTTATCCGTGAGAACCACGTGCAGGACATTAGCGTTGCTGTGGCTACGCCTACGGGTCTGATTACGCCTATCATTCGCAACTGTGGTACGGTGGGCCTGGCCGAGATCGGTGCGCAGAGTAAGGAGCTCTCGAAGAAGGCGCGTGATGGCAAGCTCAAGCCGGAAGAATACCAGGGCGGCACGTTCACCATCTCCAACATGGGCATGATGGGCACGAGCCACTTTACGGCTATCATTAACCCGCCGCAGAGCTGCATTCTTGCGATTGGCAAGACGGAGCCGCGCCTTGTGCCTGATGAGTCCTCTGAGAAGGGCTTCAAGACAGTGCAAGTGATGCAGGCCACCATCTCTGCCGACCACCGCGTGGTGGATGGTGCGATGGCGGCCAAGTGGATGGCTGCCTTTAAAGCTGCGCTGGAGAACCCTCTGTCGTTCATGCTCTAGGGGCAACGTATATAGGTACAGAAGGGTAGCCATAGGCCTAGTATACTGTCCATGAATCCGAATTATCCTCTATCTTAGTTTTTTTCGGAGGGAGCCTGAGCGAGATGGTTCTCTGCCGCCTCGATCAGAAGCTTCGACGACTCGCTAAAGGCATCACATAGCACGCGGGGCACGTCTTTGAATTCGGGGACGTCATCGCATGACACTGCAAGGGAGAAGTTGGCGGCATAACTGATCATGCCGATCGCTGGCGTTGGTTAGTATACATAGGAACGTACCCATCGTAGCTTTGCCGGGCGAGCTGGGCGGTAATACGTGGTAGCTGTACGCTTGATGCTTTCCAAACATCACAGGCTCTGTGGGACCTGGCACATTCGTCGCAACATGGTACTCGCTAAAAGCACGGTAAAAGATACTGCGTGCAATCGGGTAGTTGGGCACATACATGCCACGGTGCTTACAGATCTCGTTGAATGTGTGGTACCATAGGCTGGGCAGATACGATTTCTTGATCCGCAGCATTTCTTTGTGCACGTGCGCGAGCTGTGCACTGACCGGTGTCGCATCCAAATCAGGGTACTTGAGCCATACCATCGCTCCAGTGGTGTAGTTGTACAGATCCCAATTGCCTTCGGGACGAATGGATACCGGGACAAAGATGGCAGCGCGGCGATCGTCTTTAGATCCACGAGGCGATAGTCGGTTGGCTGCCAAAGCCATCGCTCGTGCCAAGATCGCTACAGCCACATCGTTCAGTGTCAAGTGCATATTGGGCGTGGAGAAAGTCTCCCGGATTCTCTTAATGCCGGCCATAGGGATACCGTCTGAATGGTAGTACAAACGCTGGGATGCGCGTGCTTGCTTCGGGTTCCGGTACACAAACGACTTACGCTTGCGGAAGTACAGCTCCCGCATTGTGTAGAACGAATGCGAGACGGTACCGCCAATCGTCGGCTTGATCTCTTTTTTCTTGTTTGCCTTGTTCTTCTTTTTTGCGACATCCACCCATTGTTGTACCTCCTTAATACCCATATCTTTCGACATGGCCATCAATGCAGCATGGTACGACTGAATCATACCCTGACCATCAGAGAAGCAGTGGTGAATCTTGATCATCAATGCACTTTTCGCACCCTCACTCGTGTTCAGACCTTGAATGAGAAGCGCTTCCCATACAGGCTTGTTATAGTCAAAGTGTCGGGCGAGGAAACGGCCCGCAATTTTGTACACTTGGTCCTCTGTGCCTGTTCCACCACAAGAGATGACTTCGATGTTTTCAGAGACGTGGAAATCTTCATCAATGCGCCACTGCGCTGGGCGAAGCCATGATCCAGATTTGAGCGAACGTGAGTACAGTGTGCGTGGGCCATGGTTCGGCGGAAGCTCACCACGCTTCATCTTCTCGTTCCGCTCCTTCCGGGCCTGCTCTGCCACATCTTCCCTCTGCTTGCGACGCAAACGGTCACGGCGGCGCGCCGTATACGGCTGGAAGTCCACGACGTAGCGGTACTTGGGGTAGAGCTGGACAAGCACTTCGAAAAACTCTCGCACAGTCTTGTAATCCAGTGTCGTTTTAAACAGGTACATGGAAAAACACGCCAAGTGGTACGAATCATCCTCCATCAACAATGTCACATTATCAATGCCATTCACTGGGAGTTAGACAGTTCTGTACGTACTAGCAAACACGCGACCTTGTTTCATCGTGTTCATCTGATGATGCGGCACAGCAGCCAGCTTTCGATCCCGATTGGTACGTGGCTTTTCGTGCGCGGCTTCGACCGCGTCCTGGTCTTCCGCATCATAGAAGACGCTGCTCGAGGATGTCTTGATCGACCGCGCATCCGAAACGACCTGGCCACTACCTTCCAGCAGAGGAATCGTGCGTTTCGAAGAGACAATTGCTCCACGAGGGCGTCGGCGCGATGATTTGCGAGTAGGTACACGACGAGGCTGACTACGACGCGTTCGAGGTGGCGAGTCTTCTTCAGAATCAGAGACCATACCACCCATAGCAGCCGCCCCACCCACTGCGCCTGCACCTGCAGCGCGTGAGCGACTTCGTGTGGGCGTCGTATAGGGCTTTCCCAGCCGCTCGTCATGTCGTGCTGGAGGCGTATGGGGCCGAGAGGGGTTAGGCGTAGCATGACCAGAATGACCAGCACTACGCGAGCCATGGCCAACATGGCTTGCTGATTGTCTGTGCCTAGTCGGCGTCGCTGTGCTACGCCGACGCTCTGCTCGATCCCTTGGCGCGCCACCTTCTGCGTACGATGTGCGCTTCGCAAACTGCTGCGAGCGTGTGTGATTGTAATCGTGCTCGGCACGAGATGTGGGGCGTCGCGTAGCAGGACGGCGGCGAGGACGCACACGCTCTACCTCCTCTTCATCCTCACTGTCGATCCTCCGCACTCGACGCGGACGTGGGCGTGGGCGTGGCTCATCATCCAGGCGGGAGTGTGGACGTGGCCGTGACGCCGTCCTTGATACAGGACGAGGCCTTTCAACTCGCGGTTGCGACATTGTTTCCTGCCGCGAGCCTGTTGAGGAAAAAAAGCGAGATCGCGATTTGACCCTATCCGGCCACAAGCGATCGGCAGGCCCTGCCCTCAGAAGGGCCTGTCTGCCTACGCATCGGTTACTAAATATGGTCGTCCTAGGCACGCACCGCATGCAGCCCGATCCATATATCGGCTGCATGCCTCCACAGTTTAAGCTCTGTTGGATCGTTACAGCATGGCCGCGTGAGTCGCTATGAAAGGTAGTCTACGCCAAATGCATACCTGTAGCACCACCTCGTGATTCCGCTTGGCGTCTCGAGGAGTGCGACTGTCGCTTGTGTTCGTCAGCGAACGCCTTCTTCGCAGCTGACTTTTCTTGCCGACGAATTTGCTTTTCCAGTTTTTGTGCCTCTTTACGGGCCTTGCGCTCCTCTTTGCTTTCGTTTCGATCTCGCTTCGCCACGACACGTGGACGTGCCTCCGATCCGTCGCTTTCGTACTCTTCCTCCTCTTCTTCTGCTTCTTCACGCACAGGCGGAGGCGGTGCACGCTTCTGGTCTTTCTGAGCTGTGGTATATCCGACAACTTGCGGCATGCCGGTACGGGGATGAATACGGATTTTCGGAATTCGCTGGTCTTGATCCTGCAGGGACTTGGGTCCTTGAGCTGAGGCTGTGGAGCGACCAGCTACACTGCCACGCACGCTCTCAGCCGCTGTGATGGTCCGTGGATGGTTTTCCAAGTTGGTCTTCGTCGTCTGGATCGTTTCCACGTCCCATTTCTCCCGGTTCGCACGAATCATACTAGGGTTGAGGAACGGATTTTCCGAGGCGGGCGTGGATACATCGTCGTCGTTCTCGACAATACGTGCCTCGCCCAGGGCCTGACGAATCATCGTGAGCTTCTCATCCGCTGTGGTGTTGCGATCACCCAGCGTCGGCCGCAGTTTACCGGCAATCACTTCATGGTTGTCCAAAAAGTCATCCAGGATCGCATCAAGATCCGACCGTGTTAGTTTCTCAACTGTATCGTAGTCCAATTCCTCACCATCCTCATCGTCGTTCATCGTTTGCATATCTGTAAAGGCGCCGGTGAGTGCATCGAGTTCGGCATCGCCTGTGGCTTGGCCACCATATTCACGAATAACTTGATCAAAGCGCGAATCCAAGTCGGTCAGTGCATCGTTGCGGAACATAGACGACGATGTCATCGACCAAACCGTTGATCCGCCGCCCACACTGCCTTCCCGCATGGAGGCAGCACGCCGTGCCAAGGCACCAGGCTTGCCCTTCTTGCCGAGTGCGGAGCCGCTGGAAGAAACAGAGGCTGTTGGTCGCGCACGTGTCTGAGCAGCACTGGGCCCCATCTCGCCTAGAGTATCACCATCATCCTCGTCTTCTTCGTCGTCGTCACTGTGACGCGATGCTAGCTGTTGCGCCTTGAAAAGCGCGACACGTGCCTCGAGACTCAGCGCCGACTCATCGCCACCAACCGCCTCTTTCTCTCGCTGTGCACGCTCAAGGGGATCCAGCCAGATGGCATCACCCTCCGGCGCCTGGTCACGCCAATCATCATCGGCACCTCGCTCCCCACTCCATGGCCCTTCTTGTACGAGATTGGCAAAGAAATCATCGTCCAGCTCATCATCGACAAACGCTTCATCGTCCAGCGCTTCCAGTGTTTGTCGAAGATGTGGGTCCATATCAGGCTGCAAGCCTTGTGGCTCATTTTCGTAGTGCTGTGATAAAGGCGTTTCTGCCGAGGCAAAGACCGAGGCAGGTAGCATGAGGTCTGGCTTGGCTTGGGCGGACGTAGTAGGCGCATCTTCTTTCAGGGCAAACTTGGGTGCACGGTCTTTGGGCTGTACAGCCGATGGAATCCATACGGCTTCCACGTCGTCGTCTTCGTCGACACCACCACGCTTGCTATTCTCGTTATCATTGATGGCACGCAAATGCTGCATGTAGTCATATTCTGTATCGTCATAGTATACACCATACAAGGCGGCCTCGCCGACATTCTTACGCAGTGGCGCTCCATCGCTTCCCAGGGCCAAACTGGGATCTTCTCGCGTCAATTCTGCACGAGTCTTGCCCTATCACGTGTAAGAAGTAGATGTACATACCTTGCCGCGATTCAGCGGCTCGTACGGCCGAAGGACATGCTGTCCAGCATCTGGATCGTTGCGCAACACATCACGCTGCGACCTGTGCACCACTTGAAAGTGCACAGCATTCGGCTGGCGCCAAATGGATTTGGGTCCCATGGTCGTCGTGAAAGAACCAGGCCCAAATTTTTTTTGACATCCACGTGGCGAAAATGGAGGCAGTGGCTCGTCACGCACCATAGCCATGGGCGACGACGAGCGGACGCTGCTGCTACCAGGCCAGCCCTTGCCTTTCCCGCACGGCGCCAAGGTGACGCCGGGCGCTGGAACGTATGCCCGTGATGGTTACATTGTGGCGAGCCGCGTAGGCTATAGCGAAGGCGGTCTGGCGGGTGTGCCTTCTTCGGCGCACACCACCGCCAGTGTCGTAGGGACCCAAGTACCGCTCGTACTCCCCCGAGCAGAGAGCACTGTACGTTTTCTTGCCTCCTAACGCTAGATTCTTGGACGTGTGACGCGTGTGACACCTCGTCAGGCGACTGTGTCCATTCTCGTCGTCGATGGCTTGCCGTGTGGTGGTGCGCAAGCGACGTCGTCGGGTACACGCTCGAATCATGCCGCCGGCGAAGGCATTGATGGCAGTGATTTCCAGGGTATTGTGCGTGCGCAGGATGTGCGCACGACAGAAAAGGACTCGGTTGTTCTCAGTGAATGTTTCCGCCCTGGTGATATTATCCGTGCCGCCGTGATTTCCCTAGGCGATGCGCGTTCGTACTATTTATCTACAGCACGCAATGACCTGGGTGTTGTCCATGCTACAGGTGGCGCGGCTACACAATATGGATGGGCCCCTGCACGGCATAGTTTGCAGCCGCTTTCCTGGCGTGAAATGGTCGATCCAGCGACGGGACGCACAGAGAAGCGCAAATGTGCCAAGCCAGCATGGCTCTAGCGTCTCTGCACCTACGCGATGGTGGACCAAACGTCTGGAAAGGTAGCCTGCAAACGTTGGCGTAGCGCTTCCCGTTTCTCAGGTGGCTGGTTGCGTGCAAACTGCCACAGGGTCTGTATGGTCTTTGCGTCGGGCTGTGTGGTCGTGGCTTGAGTCATGTCATGAAACACGGTATGTACGGCGTCGTCAAAGGCACCACAGCGAGCAAGGGCTTCCATGTATGCATCCAGCGCGTTCTTGGTCCGCAATCGCTGTGCATCTAGGTTGGTCGCCGTCGACATCACCTCACGCACCACGTCAAGCAGCCCAGCACGACCGCACGTATCACAGACGATGGTCACTGTCACATCATCCATGCACGTTGCTTGCCCAGTATTGTGGCACAGCACCACTAAGCTGTCCCAAATACCCAGCACCTGGGCAGGTGCGCCTGCATAATTGTACGCGTTCATCAGCGCATGTAGTAAAATCAAATCAGGTTCCAGTTGCCAATCACGCTGAAGAAGGGTATGTGTTGCACGTACGACTGCCAAGCTCGCACGTGTCTTGGCATAAAAGTCCAAGAGAATGGTATACGTCTGTGCACTTGGATGGCACCCAGCCTGGCGCATATCATGCAGAATTTCTAAAGGCAGTGACGGCGGTGCGCGTGCCCCCGGCAGCGTCATGCGGCACAGATATGCCAGGGCCTTGGCATAGAGTGCTCGATCCCAGCTTGGGAGTTTGTGTGCGTGTTGGTAGACGTCGCTCACTTCGTCAAAGGTGGTGCATGCATCCCATACACGACGTAGCATAGTCCACAAGGCATGGGGTGCAGCGCGTATCTGTGACGCCGACATGCGTTGCCATAAGGTGACGGCACGTGGGATATCGTGTAGACGCGCACACGCCATCATGATGGGATAAAACACGCCCAGGTCCACATGTGGGCGTGGTGGTGGTGGAGCACGGAACCGTGCGAAGAGCGAGGGCCGCGCAGGTGTTAGGACATCGTCCAACAGCGCCCACGCGCGGTCCAGCGCCGGGACAAACGCTGTGCAATGTGCCTCAATCAGTGGCTGTACGAGGGCCGTATCAGGAGCAATATGGTATAAATGACGTGCCTCCGTGTACAGTGCATGCGCTTCGTACGCCTGATTCAGATCCTTGGAATCGATCTGCAGAACAGCACGAATGGCAATGCTCAGCGCATGCGCTGATGGGGGTATACGCAGTACATCGGCGATCTCGCGAAGGAGATCGAGCGCTGCATCGCATGTGGTGATAGAGGGCCACTGGTCATGGTAGCACAGCAGGAGAGTAGAGAATGTATAAGGTGTGGGGGTAAACGCACCGCGGGCGAGCGCCTCGCGGGCGGTTTGTAGCGCATGCGCTCCATCATATTTCGCTCCTTCGTATTGGAGGTAGGCATGCCATGCCACTACATCGGTGCTGGAGGTGGCAGACAGGCACGTGCGCAAATGTGTCGCGACTTCATCGAGAAGCGGCGTGATGCATCCCGGCTTCGCAAACGTATGCAGACAGGTGCTGGCCCCGACCAAGTCCAGCGAGTGTACACCTAGCGCTTCGACAAGAGCCAAAGCTTCTGGACTGTCTTGCAAGGCGGCTAGTAGGGTATTGATAGTGCGAGGGGCGACAGTGCCATGCGTATGCATGTCCTGCACAATGGCCATCGCATGCCTGAGTGACGGCTCATCGCGCGTGGCCACAAGGCGCTGCACGGCCCAGGCGGCATCGTCACGATGAGGACGCCAGGTCGGATGGCGCATACGAATGTACTTCCATGCCTCGTAGACAGATCCCAACTTGTACGTGTACACACATAACGCGAGCGAGCAGACATCGCGACGTGGGTGCGATGCCAAGCGCTCGTCCAGCCAACGTTCGCACGTATGGGCCAATGCATAGGCACGTGGCTCATCCATACGTACAGCTTGGATCACGATGCGTACATCTGCATGCGCCTCTTCTGTGAGAGGCTGCGTCGTGAGGGCCGTAGCTGCGTGCTGGGCCTGCCGCCACGCCTCGTCTTTCATGGTGCTTACTTTGGGCACCGCGACGAGTCGTGGAGTAGCAAGGCTACGATGCTTAGCCCACCGTGAAACGTAGCTTGGGCGCGTAGGTAGACCCACATAGCAAGCAGGGGGGCGTATAGACCATACGCTTGCCCACACATGATTCATGGGCGTACGGCGTTCGTCGTGCGTGCGCCGTGCAGAGCCGCCAGGCCAGCCGCGACGTGGAGGAAGCCCGATTTTCGTGCCCGATCGTCCAACGCGCGACGCCAGGGCTTGCCTTCTCACCATGGCCGAGCCCCGCACGCACGATACAGACGCGGGGTCAGCGCCATCTGTAGCGCCTTCAAGCGCATCAGATCCGGTGCCGTCATCTTCCAGGGTCGCTGCACCGTCAACAATGCCGGGCTCACCCGTACCGCCGCTGACGCCGCCGCCGACTTCGGCAACGGCTGCAGCGACTACGCCAGCAACCGCGCCTGCCCAGGCCCCGTCGACTGCGCATGCGGCTTCCACATCGCATGGGCCTTCTACATCGACACAGCTACCACCGAAAAAACCAACCAAACCTTCCTCGCATGCCAGTCGGGCCAAGAATGTGGCGCTGGCCGCCCTTACTGGTGGCAGTATCGGCCTGGCTGGGCCAGATACCCCCATGCCAGGGTTCTTACCTGCTGGTGGCGGCGGTAGGAAAGTGATTCCAGAGCTGGTGCTACCCTTCTCTTTGCCTACAGTGCTGGCGTCGGAGCCATGCTCGCTGACCAAGGAGAACCAGCCGCCAACGTCTGAAGCTTCACAGCCTCTTGGGTCGAGCCTTGTCTTTCTTCAGGCCCTGCGCCAAACGCGTATGATGCACATGGTCCAAGTCTTACCTGCTTTTTGTCATCGTCAACGTGCCGGTATGGACTTCTTCGACGCTGTGCCATCCCAGCTCTTGCCGTACTTGGCCCCGAAAAAGACCCCTGTTCTCCTAGCGTTGGGTCGAGCAGATGTGCGTGCCGGCCCGATGACGTACTATGGTGTGCGATTCTGGCTTGTTCGTCCCGATATCCCATCGCCACCTGCAACCACAGCTTCGGCATCGTCCACGCCCGGACCAGGAGCACGGCCCTCAGCCAGTGCTTCATCGAGCTCGGCGGCGCCGGCGCCCACGTCCGATACCAAGCCGCCCCCTACGCCCTCCTCGTCCGCGCCGACAAGTGCCAATTCGCCGCACGCACAGACACAGGTCCCTCGACCGCCGCTAGATCCTGCGTTTGTGGCGCGCTTGCAGCAGCGAGCAGAGCGAGATCCACAACTACAGCATCTTCTTCACCTGGCACGTGTCGGCCAGCTTCCAGAGAGTGGGCTTATCCAGCTCAATGGTATTCTAGCCTCGCTCATGGCCCCACCGCCAGCCCCACCGCAACCTGTGCACGATCCACGAATCCCACCAATGGTGTTGGTGGAGTTTCCAGAAAATCCCAGTTTGTACTTTATACTACCGCTATGGCATGCGGCCGTGGAGCGAACACCGCGAACGCCAGAGGCACCTGCTTCCATTCAGCTTAGCTTTTGTATACCGGCTATTGGGTCCAAGGCAGCGGGCGATAGTGGGAAAGAGGAAGCACAGCGTGCCGAGTATGGTATGTTGGTCCAACCCCTCACATCCCCTCCGGCCGTGCAGGACAAGGTCGAAGCGCCTCCTCCTCCCACAGCGGCTCCCTCCGCAACACCCTCACCCCCACCTGTGGCGACGCCATCTACCAAGCGAGGACGTCGGAGTAGCGCACGAACCAAAAGCAACGAGACGTCCACACCACCCCCGCCGAAAAAGGCCAAGGCTCACGCTCCTGTGGACGATACCTCGACAGTGCCTACGAGGCATCACGAGCTCTTCCCTCTCACATGGCACATTGCCAACGAGGGCCCTTTGGACGATCGTATTTGGGACTGCTTTGGTCGTGTGCCTGGATGCATAACCAGAGGGACTTGGGCGACGCCGCATGACGAGCAGATCTTTCACGCTCTTCGACATTCTTTCCAGCAACGGGTACGTTGGTTTCTACTTACAAAATTGCAGCTGGCTAGTCGGCCTACATTGTACACACTTCCACCGACGATTCGTCCTAGCGACATTCCCCCTGGCTTGTCGGATCATGTGAACGACAAATACGCTATGCGCACGATTACGTACACCAACCGTCCTCATCCCAAACGCAAAGTCGCTATGGTGTCGGATGCCAAAGAGGTCGCTACGATCAGTGCGAATGAAGCTGTGCCACGTAGGACGTCGACACCCGATGGCGCCGTAAAACCGAAGCGCAAGCGTCATGTGGCGACACACAATCCTGACGGGAGCATCAAAAGCTGTGGTGCCTGCGGAAAGACCAAGACACCCATGTGGCGTCGAGGCCCGAAAGGTCCGTCTCAGCTGTGCAATGCATGTGGCGCAAAATGGAAGGCGGGTCGATTGGTGGTGCCGGAGGTGCCCCCACCGCCCATTCTCAATGATACCTTGCCTGTGCGGCATGTCAAGGCGCCGCCAGTATCTCCGCTGGGGGCCAAGCCGAGCCCCTCTACCTTGCCTGCCGTACCTGGCCCTTCGTCCGTGCCTGTGGGCCTGCCTGTGCCTGCGCCTCCTTCTGCCACACAAGGGCCTGGCTCACCATACCGACCCCCACCGCCTATTGTGGTGGCACGGATGCCATCGACCTTGCCAACGCAGCCGGCAAGGCCCGTGCCATCTGCGTCGCCTCACCCGCCCCCTACGGAGGAATCGGCCACGAACGCTACGATACCAACTACACCTGCCCCTGCGGCCCAGCGTCCCGCCGACACTTCCTCGGCAGGCACCAGTGGGCTGCCCTCGATGCCACCCGTGCCCACTGTCCCACGCACGGACGAAAAGGGGTCTGCTCCTACTCCCTAACGTGTACGGTCGATAGTCTTCGTGCTGCGAGGCGCCCTCGCGCTCCACGCGACACCTCCACATAGCCCTACAGCAGACGCATGACGACGCCGGAGGGCTCCGCACAGCGCTGTGTCTGTATCTCTTACGCAGTATGGTAGGTACGGCCTTTTCTCACGGCAGACTGTCCTCCCCCTAACGAAAGGCCCCGCTGTTCCGGCGGCGGCACGTAGGTTTATGCAGTATGTCGAGGCTAGTCCCTCGCCTTTCCATGCGACCGCCTCCAGTGTCGCTATGCTGGAGCAGGCGGGGTTTACCAAGCTGCATGAACACCAAAGTTGGGATGAAAAGCTGTACTTGGGAGGCCGATACTAGTACGTGATTTGGCACGTCTGACCTGTATAGCTACCAGCGAAACCAGTCGTCTGTGGTCGCCTTCGTGATCGGCAAGCAGTACCAGCCAGGAAGCGGCGTCCATGTGGTCGGCGCGCATACCGACTCGCCCAACCTGCGTATTCGTCCCGTATCCAAGCGCAGCAAGGAAGGGTACCTGCAGTGCTCTGTCGAGACCTACGGTGGTGGTCTTTGGCACACCTGGTTTGATCGTGACTTGAGCTTGGCCGGCCGCGTAATTGTGTCGACTAGTAAGGATCACAACCAATTCGAGTCGCGTTTGGTGCACATTCGTCGTCCCCTACTACGTGTACCTACGCTAGCGATCCACTTGAACCGATCTGCGAACGAGGCCTTCAAGTTTAACCAGGAAGAGCAGCTTCAGCCGATCTTCGGGCTGGCTGACCAGCTGAACCAGCCTAGCGTTTCTAGTGATGTGCAAGCCAGCAGCGCCGTAGGCACGCCCAGCATGGCGAGCAAACACCACCCAGCGCTCCTTCAACTCCTAGCGCACGAGTTGGATGTGCCTGTGGACTTTATCCAGGACTTTGAGCTCAGCTTGTTCGACACGCAGCCCCCTGCGGCCGGCGGTGTGAACAACGAATTCATCTTCACGCCGCGTGTGGACAACCAAATGAGCTGCTTCTGCTCTACGGAGGCGCTCATTGCCTCTGTAGTCGACCTGGATGCACTGGAGAAGTCCAAGAGTATTCGTGCCATCGCATTGTTTGACAACGAGGAAGTAGGCTCCGTGTCGAACCATGGCGCGGAGAGCAACCTGCTATGGAGCTTGATCCAGCGCTTGGCAGGCTTGCAAGTCCCTGGTGTGCAGACCAGCGCTGTCTCGTCCACGGAGCTGGTCGAGCAAAGCCTCTCGCGCTCGTTCCTCATTAGCTCGGACACGGCCCATGGTGCGTATTTGTGCACACTGACAGCAGCGGTGCATCCCAATTATGCTTCGATTCACGAAGATCATTTACGTCCTGTACGTATACTTGTGCTTACTCTAGAAAATGAACGCAGGTCCTGTCATCAAGACCAATGCCAAGCAGCGATATGCATCGACAGCCATCACAACGTTCCTTCTGCGCCGTGTAGCCCACCGTGCGGGCGTGCCCGTGCAAGAGTTCGAGGTGCGCAACGACTGTGCGTGTGGCAGTACCATCGGACCTATGCTCTCCAAGGTATGTACATTCACTCTCACTTCAGAATGTACGCACGGTCGATATTGGCAACTCGCAGCTTAGTATGCACTCAATTCGCGAGGTGTGTGGCTCGCACGACATCGACTACAAGATCCGTCTCGTATGTATGCCATGTTCCCTCACAACTCCCAGTTCACCGAGTTCTTCCGCTCGTTCGACGAGATTGACACCGAGTTGTATGTCGACTAAAGCACCCTATGAACTTTTCTTTTTGGAGGCAGAGCGTGGTCGTGCCGGCGGCAACGATGCCACCTGTGCCTCTACCGCGTCTATCGCGCCAATACGCTCCCATATCTGCACGTAGGATTCTCCCAAGAAAAGCATCTGTTTGTTCACCTGCTCGACCAGCAAGTCGTGCATCTGGTACCATGCCTCCGGCTCGGTTCGTGTATGCACCTGTGCATTCCACGTACTTCCTTCACGTACAGTGCCAGCGGCAGCCTCATGCGTAATGTTAGCCAGGAGATTGTAGGTATGCTGTAGCGGGACATGGTCTGCATCTTCGTCGCTTTTCGTCGCCGACGCAACATCTAGACGGTAAGTGAGTCAACAAGACATACAAGGCGACATATCCAATCCCACCGTGGGAAAATTGACAATCGTAGTATTCCGTTCGTCCACGAAGCGGTTCTTGGTAAACCGTCGAAAGTGAAGGATCAAGTAGGGAGGGAGCCGTGTGAGGTGATGCCGCCGGATTCGACCTTGTGCTTCCTGAATGGTAATGCCATCGTACTTGGCCAGGACATGCACTAAAGGAACTTGGGGAATAATGTTCTCAGCTACCACGTCTTGGAACACCGGCAGCGGCGGCAGGTCGATGGTCAGCATCAAGAACGGCGTCTGGCTCACTTGAATTGCTGCTGGTAAGTGACCTGATACATACCCTTCTCAATATTAAACTTCGCATGACCGTGCTCATCTTGTTGCCCACTATCTCGACGCCCATCGTGATCAAGTCGATCAAGGCTACTCGCACTCTCGTCTTCCAAGCCAGTGCGCACAATCACGTTTTGCGATTCTAGGCGCAAAGCGCCTTGGAAACAGGTCGTGATCACGGATGGCTGCTTTCGATGTGATGTGCCACCCACGAGGTCCATATGCAATCGATTCAGGAGCCAGCCAAGGAACTCCACAGGATCGGCAGGCGTACCTGGCTGGAAGGAGCCATGACTGACCTGGGCCACTTCCTGAAGAAACTCTTGGGGCGATACTTGGCTTTTAAAGGCACGTGGGTTCCATAAGCGGCGCAGCAGTAATCCGAAACGCTGGACCAACGATGTACTTTGCAACAATGGCTCTTCTGTGGCATCGACACGATGTGTGGCCGGTGTGCCTCCACGCAAGAAATAGTTACGCAGCGGCGTGACATGGGCCAATGCATGTAGGACGACACTCAAGCCCTCACTGTGCCCCAGATTGTTTATGCCCACGAACCCTGGTAAGTAAGTATGTGCCCGCAAGTCACGCGAGACAGGGGCCTCTGCCGTGTCAAACGTACGGAGTTGCGCCTCCGAGTACGTAAGACGCAATTGGTACTGGATATCAGAAAAAGAAGGGTCCGTCACCTCATAGTTGTCTGGAAGAATGTACACCTTGGTCGTGTCCAAATTCATAAATACATGATGAGATTCATCAATGGCATGAAAGTATGCATGTGTCGTCTTGCCACGGCCCTGGAAATATTTGCCACATACGAGACATGCGTATACATGTACATTTGACATGGATACAGAGCATACTTTCTCGAAATCAAAATCTAAAACATTCCGTTGGATCTGGCATTAGAACCAAGAATACGTACGGTGTCTAGGTATAAATCACGTCGTTGAGGTACTGCCTTAGCAGCCGCTGCTGCAGCTTGGCGGGCCCAGTACTCTGCCCCTTGAATATCGTCATCATCCGAAGCATCGCCCTGTACGACACGCACTCGCTTAGAAGGCGGCGCATCATGGCGCGATGCCCGTGCGCTCAGCGTCATGGTCCTATATTTGGCCCAGTTGACGTTGGTTGGCTGAGCTAAGCACAACACACGAAGAAAAAAGTGGACGCCTTGTGTTGAAACCTGTCGCAATCTGCGTGAATGGCGCAACGTAAGCGTGTGGGCTGACGTCTATTTGTCATTTGTCCAACCCCGTCCGGGCAGCTGACGTTACCATGCATACAAGCCTCAACCCTCTTGCCAAGCCAGGGCCATCTCTCTTTGCCCTAGTTTAATCGACATGCGCATGAGCACAAAAAATAGCCGGGGCCGATCGGTAGACAACAGTAGCCGTGCTTACCCGCCACCATGTCTGAACCTCTGGTCGAAGCCACGGTACCACCGGCCGACTATAAAAAACTAGAGCGCCGAGCGCGTCTCAAGGTGGACGCATTGATTGTACCCACATGTCTGGTCTTGTACCTGTTTTCGTTCCTGGACCGAGTCAACATCGGCCAAGCCAAAGTAAGTGGCAAGCCAGAAGGTGTAGTCGATGGAAAAATGCAGTACGCTGATCCGGGTGAGGGCATTATGGATACGTTGCATATGACAGATCATGACTACTCTATTGCCCTGACAGTTTTATTCGTGACATACATCTTCTTTGAGATTCCCTCCAACCTAGTGATCCGGCGCATCGGAGCAGGGCTCTGGATCCCATTGCTGGTTGTGGCGTGGGGAATTGTGGCGACCTTGCAAGGTCTTGTGCAATCCAAGTATGGTCTGTATATCAATCGGATTTTCCTAGGCCTTACAGAAGCTGGTGTCTTACCCGGTATTGCCGTCTACCTCACATTCTTTTACAAGCCACGCGAGCTGCAGTTCCGTCAGGCCATCTTCTTCACAGGTGCGTCGCTGAGTGGTGCCTTCTCTGGCTTGCTGGCTACCGCGATTCGTAAGATGGATGGTATGCAAGGCCAGGAGGGATGGCGCTGGGTGTTTTATCTGGAAGGTATCGCCACTGTCTTGATCGGCGTAGCCTGCTTTTTTATTCTACCGGACAATATCCAAAAATGCTGGTTTCTTTCGCCCCTCGAGAAGCAAGTTATGGCTGAGCGCCTGTATGAGTCCCGTGTGATCCAGCCCCATCGTGTGCACAAAGAAGGCATCGATACCACACAAGACCCATTGCAACAGTCTTCTAACTTTGAGTCGAAAAAATTATGGCGTCACGAACTTTTCAGGACCTATACAGATCCTGCTGTGTGGCTTCTAAGCTGCATTGGTTTTTGTGTATCGTTGGCCATATATTCTATTGCGTATTTTTCGCCTGTCATCGTGCAAGAGATTGGCCACTATACCCCTATTCGCTCAATGCTCATGTCCTGTCCTCCGTTTGCGGTGGCGTTTGGCTACAGTATTCTCATCGCCTTTGTGTCTGATCATTTCGGACTGCGCATTGTCACAGCTTTACCTGGCTTGCTGCTGAGTCTCGTGGGCTACATTGTCATGTACACGTCGAAAGAATCCATGACGCGCTATGGAGGTCTGATCATGGCCACCGCAGGCTCATATTCTGTACCGCCAGCACTTTTTTCCTGGATCGCCAACAATTCAGCTGGTCATTATAAACGGACGGCAGGTATTGCTAATATTCTTGTGTTTGACAACTGTGCCGGTCTACTATCGACGTGGCTGTTCCCACGGTCAGAAGCTAAAGGCGGCTACAAGCGTGGCACGCTCGTGAACCTGGCTCTGCAAGCCGTTGGTTTGGTTGTCCTTCTCATCGCTGAAGTATACTACTTATACGAGCGCCGCATGAGACACCTTGGCAAGCGCAATGATCGTGTGCAGCAATTACAAGAAAAATATGCCTGGTCAGAAAATGAGATTAGGGCCTATCTTGGTGACCGCCATCCAGAGTATCATCTGGAGGTGTAAAGTGTCGCTCCGTGTGTAAGGTTTGGTAGCTATGTAAGTTTCTAATTTCCGTAATTGAGGCCTTGGCTATCTCTAGCCTGTAAACAAGCCAACTGGTCATGTGACCTTTGAGACGGCCGCGCGTTGCTTACGTAAAGCGAATAGATTTCACGCACCTCTGGTTTTGCATGTCAAATCGTGGGGATATTGTAAATAGATGGCATCATTCTTCGAATGAATTGTGATATCGTGTTGAGAAAAGCAACACCCGCTGTTGAAAAAGCGTTCCACCCTTACCATGTCAACGCTAGAGAAGGAAGACGTGGGTGACGTCTTTGAAAGAAAAGATGACCACTACATGACTATGTCAGAGTTGCCTGTGGAGGCCACGATGGATCCTGCCGAGTATAAGAAAGTTGAACGGCGGGCTCGTCTTAAACTGGACATCTTGATTGTGCCTTTGTGCTTGCTTCTCTACTTTCTATCTTTTTTGGATCGTAGCAATATCGGACAAGCAAAGCTAAGCGGAAAGCCGCTAGGAATGAAAAACGGAAAGATGCAATATGCGGACCCTGGTGAAGGCATTGCTTCTACTCTGAAACTGAATAGCCATGATTACGCTGTTGCTCTTACCGTACTGTATCCCACATATATTGCATTCGAAATTCCCTCGAACCTTTTGATCAAACGCGTTGGTGCAGGTATTTGGATTCCGGGTCTAGTTACTATGTGGGGGATTGTTGCTACCCTGCAAGGTCTTGTCCAGTCCAAGTACGGCCTGTATATCAATCGGATTTTCCTAGGTCTTACAGAAGCTGGTGTCTTACCCGGTATTGCCGTCTACCTCACATTCTTTTACAAGCCACGCGAGCTGCAGTTCCGTCAGGCCATCTTCTTCACAGGTGCATCACTGAGTGGTGCCTTCTCTGGCTTGCTGGCTACCGCGATTCGTAAGATGGATGGTATGCAAGGCCAGGAAGGATGGCGCTGGGTATTTTACTTGGAAGGAATTTTCACAGTTCTTGCCGGTGTATGCTGCTTTTTCCTGTTACCGAGTACGATTGAAAAATGCTGGGTCTTGAACCCGACAGAAAAACGCCTCATGACTGAGCGCTTGAACATAACACGCCATATTTTCCGAGAGCGTCCTGAGTTGAAGGATAAGGTGGAGACCACGTACAGCGAATATTACCACTCAAAGGAATTCGACTACTCAGAGTTGTGGCGCCAAGAAATTAAGCGGACTTTCCTGGACCCTGCAATTTGGCTCATTTGCGTGTCGGGCTTCTGCATTGCCCTGGTAGTATACTCCATTGCCTACTTTGCCCCCACAGTCGTTCAAGAAATCAACACGTACTCGCCTGTTCGTTCAATGCTGATGTCTTGTCCGCCCTTTGCTGTGGCTTTCGTTTACAGTGTGGCTATTGCGGTTGTCTCTGACCTGTTCCAACTGCGTATTCTTACTGCTCTGCCGGGTCAGGCGCTTAGCTTGATTGGCTATGTCGTAATGTATGCTTGCAAGGACCCCATGACTCGCTACGGTGGTTTGATTATGGCCACGGCTGGTGCGTACTCTGTCCCTCCTGCTCTCTTTTCGTGGATAGCCAACAACTCCTCCGGTCATTACAAGCGCGCCACAGGCTTGGCAACTCTTATCATCTTTACCAACAGTGGTGGTCTTTTGTCGTCGTGGCTTTTCCCTGCCGAGGAGGCAAAGACACGATACAAGCGTGGAACACTGGTCATCCTCTCTCTTCAAGCTTTGGGAGTCCTTGTTGCTATCCTGATCGAGGCATATTACCTGTACGAACGCAGGATGCGAGCCATTGGTAAGCGCGATCACCGTGTATTAAAGCGACGTGGACAACACAACTGGACAGATGACGAAATCCGCGCATATCTGGGCGATAGTCACCCTGAGTATCAGCTGGAATTGTAATTGGCAGATTCATGACACAATGTGACTGCTATTGAAAGAGCACAAAGGAAATGGTGACATGCTTCTATACGCTAATGTTGGAAGTACATAATTGATTGGATTTTATTCAAGCTTGAGAGATATCGCCGTAATCTTTTATAATATGTAGAAAACAAAGTTGGGCACAGCACTTGGCTGATATCATATTTTCACATGTATTGGGTCCTAACTCGCTCTAAGGGAACCTATTGCGCAGTTCGTGATTATTCTGCAATCTCGATAACAGAGTTAAAAAAAATGAGGTAGCATAGATTAATCTTATGATGTAGTATGGTATCTCGGTATAATAGCCCAGTAATGTACACTCCCCAAGCAACCCCACACAGCCATAGTTTACCAACGATGCAACTTTGATCGATCCCGCAATGCGTATGTGGTTAGATCAAAGGCTCCCCACATTTGATCATCAACTCCTCACTACATCGATTGGCCTATTGAGGAAGATATGACTAATCGCAATGCAGCGGAGCATGACTGCGCGAATTTGGCGTATGAGGTCGAAAAATGTGGGGAAGCAACGCTTGTACCGATGGTCGAATAGCATCCCGCATAAGTAGAAGCAAATATGTTTGTCACGGCCCAACTTAACCGTTGCCCATGCAGTTTCTTTTATCTATAAGCGGGAGGAGACTCGCGGCACAGAATAAGCCGTTAACTAATACTTTTGAAAAGGAAAAAGATGATGGCACTAAGTGTGATACGCGTGATTTTCAGGAAGAGATTCGAATGGAAGACATGCCACTGCAGGCTACTATGGACCCAATCGAGTAGAAAAAATTGTACTCTGGGCTCGCTTCAAAATTGATTTGCACGTAGTACCGCTTTGTCTGCTTTTGTATCTTCTTTCGTTCCTGGACCGCACCAATACTTCTCACCTACCATTGTGCAGCAAATTGGCAGCTACACAGGTGTACGAGCCATGCTAATGTCGTGCCCACCATTTGCAGTCTCCTTTGTGTACAGTATGTTAATTGCTCTGGTGTCGGACTACTTCCAATGGCGCTTCATCTCTGCTTTCCTCGCCATGATTCTCTTTGTCATTGGATTTGCAGTCATGTATGCGGCCGAAGGTTCTATGACAAAATATGGTGGACTAATAATGCTTACTTGTGGATGTTATTCGGGTGTACCGCCTATGTTTGCATGGATCGCAAACAACTCGGAAGGCCATTACAAGAGAGCTACTGGCATCGCATTACTAGTTGTGTTCAACAACTGCGCTGGCTTAACATCATGCTTCTTGTTCCCTGATAAGGACAAGAAGAATGGTTTCCATCTCGGCAAGCTTGTGAACTTGAGTATCGCTGCTGTTGGTGCCTTTTTCGTTTTGCTAATTGAGGTACTGACATGGATTGAGGTCAAGAAACGTGAGAAAAGCAAACGAGATTATCGTGTCGTGGACCTCTACGCTAAGACGCATTGGACGAAGGACCAAATGCGGACATATCTCGGTGATGACCATCCCGAATACCGCCTGGAGCTGTACTTCAAAATAGGTTGACATTACTACGCTTTTTATTACCTTCACTATGTTATGGTGCTATTTCAAGTACGTAAATAAACCAATATAATATAAAATAAATTTCGCTTAGGACTCCATCACTTTCTGGACATTTACGCCACCTACCCATTTCGCGTATTTAGCCCATCGTGGCTCAATGAAAACGGCGCTGGCTTCTGCATACACTTTTCGCGTATTAGGATCAATGAGCGCGCCAGTCACGAAGCACTTACGACCCAGGCGCTCAGTAATCGTCGTCTCGATCGCATAAAAACGGTCCGCCTTAGCAGGGCTGCGGTAACGAACCTCTAGCTTGCCGGTAACACCAATCGAGTTCGGTAGACCATAAAAGGCCGAGCGTGCCAAAGCCTCGTCGAACATGGTCGCGATCAAACCGCCATGAACCACACCCTCGTACCCACTAAGGTTCTTACCAACATGGATGATAGCAAGACCATCGCCCATTTCACCTCCACCAGTATGGACACCTTGCTTCGTTTTGGAAAAGACAAGCGGGTTGACGGCAAACATATGCGGACCGCGCAGACTACCCGCCGTCAACTGCGATTCTAGCTCTTCCGGGGGACGGCTCGAGAAAGGACGCATCAGAATGTAGTCTGCCTTCTCCTTATCCGCTAAAGGTAGGTCGTACTCAATACCAAAAGCTTCGCGATGATTCTTCGCTGACGGTGTCTCCACCGAGCGTGGGAGATGTTCTCTGACAATTGGCAGATTGTGCATTTGCTTCTCTATGTCCATACAATGCCTCTGCTTTTCTTCATCTGTTAGATGTGAAGGCTTGGTAGAGTATGGGCGGAAAATGAATGGGATTGCAGGCGGTGGGTATTTAGCACCCAAGGCGTAGCACACGCCAGCGGCGGTCGTTGCCGAGAGTGACCAAAGAAGCCAGCGGCTAGACTGGCCAGGACGGCCTGACGTCGTAGTCACATAACTTCTATCGATACTTTGAGCACTACCACTGGTTAGAGCACTGGCCGAAACTGGCAGCTGTCCAAGGCGGCGAAGCGTCTGACGCGTAGGTGCCAATACCATGCTGATTAGTGGCAAACCTAGTCGAGTGGGAGTTCCCTCGCCAAGCGCCGCATGGTCCAATGATGACTAAGCCATAGTCTCAGAACGAACGCCGGGGCCACGTCATGGCGCACCAGAATAGTACGCCGTTCACTCCACTGTCTCCATGAAGCACGACCAGGAGGAAGTGACGTTACGCCCCGCAGATGCTGCAACTGGAAAGGTGGTGAGTGCTTCAAGTAGCGTGTCCGATGCGTCGGAAGAGGAAAGCTCTTCCTCGTTTCAGGCTATGAGCCGCGGAGACAAGCAGGGCTTTCTACTGCTTGTGCTGCTATACACGCTACAGGGTGTGCCGATCGGCCTTGCATTTGGTACAATGCCATTTCTGCTTAGGTCTCACGTTGGCTATGCAGAAATCGGTACGTTCATGCTAAGTACCTACCCGTACTCGCTCAAGCTACTCTGGAGTCCTATTGTGGACAGTCTATTTGTTAAAGAGTGGCGCGTCCCGCTGCTAGGCTATACGTTATCCCTCGGCCGTCGAAAGAGCTGGGTAGTACCGGTGCAACTGCTAGTTGGCATTACACTTTTTGTTCTCTCGTATTTTGTGGACTCTATTGTTACCCGAAGCGTTGACAACATATACCTAATCACGCTGATTTTCTTCGTGCTAATTTTCATGGCGGCCACTCAAGACATCGCCGTAGATGGCTGGGCTCTAACGCTACTCTCCGATGAAAATGTGGGATATGCTTCGACGGCCCAAACAGTTGGTATCAATATCGGCTACTTTATGAGCTTTACTGTGTTTCTTGCGCTCAATAGTGTCGAGACGTGTAATAAATATCTGCGCTTCCAGCATAAAAACACACCTATTCTCTCGTTATCTGGATACTTGCAAATTTGTGGTGCCTGCTTTATTCTTCTCACGCTATGGCTACTTTTCTTCCAGCCAGAAAAGAGCGAGGAGGACGAAGAAGAAATGGGCTTGATGGAAGTGTATAATGTAATTTGGAGGATATGCAAATTGAAGCATGTACAGCAACTGATCATTATCCATATGATTTGTAAACTTGGCTTTCAAGCTTTCGATGCTGTGCATGGGCTCAAGCTAGTTGAGCATGGCCTCGGTAAGGAAGATTTGGCTTTTGCCGTGCTCATTGACTTCCCCTTCCAAATCGTATTTGGTTATCTCGCTGCGTCCTGGTCCAAAGGCAATCATGCGCTGGAGCCATGGCTTAAAGCGTTTGTATTCCGCCTTCTTTTCGCTGCAGCTAGTATGGGTATATTGGCTGGTATGCCCACGCCGCCCAACAGCATTAGCTCATCATACTTTATGCTGATCATTGCCTCGACTGTGCTTAGCAGCTTCGCAGGTACAGTTCAGTTTGTGGGCATTTCCGCCTTCCATACCCACATTGCAGACCCTGTTATTGGTGGCACGTACATGACGCTGCTGAACACGGTAAGCAACTTGGGCGGGACCTGGCCACGATACTTCGTGCTGAAAATGGTTGACTTTTTCACAATTTCGCAGTGCGCAGCACCACCGGGAATCAACATGAAAAAGGTAACTACGATGCTGGGACGTGCCAATGCCACGTTGAGTCTTGGCGAATGTGCTACAGAAGCTGGAAAACAGCGTTGCCATGCCCAGGGTGGTGTCTGCCATATTGCGCAAGACGGATATTATTGGACCAACACTATCTGTGTGACTATCGGTGCCCTTACCTTCTTCTTCTTTATTTACCCGGTGAGCCGTCGCTTGCAAAAGCTGGCGCCATCTACCTGGCGCATAGCGGCCCACGCCCATTCTCATTAGGCATGCATACACTGGTCGTAGATACATACATTTCCCCACCCCGGAAGTCACGTGCATACCTTCTCCGCGAGTCATCCGGACGTAGCCGTTAGGAACGCACATCCTTAGTGTTCTGACATCATGTCGCAAACGTTTAAGATTACAATTCTGCCTGGTGACGGTATTGGCCCAGAAGTTGTTGAGCAGGCTGTGCGTGTCCTCGAGCGCGTCTCGGAGAAATCGACCAGTTTCAAGCTAGAGATGGCTTCGTTCGATTTCGGTGGTGCTGCTATTGACTCTTCTGGCGAGCCGCTGCCTCCGGCAACGCTCAAGGCATGCCAGGAAGCTGACGCCATTCTGCTTGGTGCTGTTGGTGGCCCGAAGTGGGGTGTGGGCAAGGTCCGCCCGGAGCAGGGCCTGCTGGCCATCCGTAAGGAGCTCGATCTGTACGCCAATGTCCGTCCGGCTCTCTTCCCGTCGGAGTCGCTGCTGGAGCGCTCGCCGCTGCGCCCGGAGATCGCCAAGGGCACTGAATTCATTGTGATCCGTGAGCTGGTCAAGGGTCTGTACTATGGTGACCGTCAGGAAGCCGACCTGGATTCGCCGGACTCGAAGGGCGAGGCTTACGACATGATGGTGTATGACAAGTCGGATGTGCAGCGCATTACGCGTCTAGCTGCGTACTTGGCTATGCGCCAGTCCCCTCCAGCCAAGATTCACTCGATTGATAAAGCCAATGTACTTGCGACTAGCCGTCTATGGCGTCGTGTTGTTACGGAGACGATCGAGTCGGAGTTCAAGGACAAGGGTGTGGAAGTGGACCACCACCTTGTGGACTCGGCGGCTATGGTCATGGTCTCGAATCCGCGCAAGCTTAATGGTATTGTGCTGACAGAGAACATGTTTGGCGATATCCTCTCGGACGAGTCGTCGGTGATCCCAGGCTCGCTGGGTCTGCTTCCGAGTGCCTCGCTCTCGGAGCTGCCGACGGGTGAGAAGCCCTGCAAGGGCCTCTATGAACCGATCCACGGCTCAGCGCCGGATATTGCTGGTCAAGGCAAGGCGAACCCTGTGGGTACCATTCTCTCGGCGGCGCTCCTGCTCCGTTGGTCGCTGGGCTTCGACAAGGAGGCGACCGCGATTGAGCAAGCAGTGCGCAAGGTTCTGGATGCCACTGACATTGGCGGTTTCGGTATGCGTACCGGTGATCTTGGCGGCAGTGCATCGACCAAGGAGATAGGCGACAAGGTGCTCGAGGTCCTTGACTCGTTGCTGTAAGTACGTAGATACACTCGCTTAGTCTGCAGGACGGACATTTTGTGGAGAAGAGGTGATGGCACGATAGGTAGTAATTCGGCCGATATGATTTCGCTTGGCGCACATGCATTATCGCGTCCGCCAGAAATTGATAGCCCGGCACATTGGTCTGTCTCCCGACACTACTGCGACCATTAGGACTGTGACAATGGGACCGGCCAGTGGGAAGAAAAAGAAAGGTGGAAAGACGCCTGTCTTTGATCTATCAGAAGAGTCTGGTGATGGAGGAAAGAGGCACTCGCATTCGAAGCGATCTTCAACACTGCCAACACCAGCACTGTCAGGCCCTTCTATCTCGGAGGAGGGCCTCGTCCGAATGCGACGAAGTGACTCAATTGCTAGTCTGCGCGCCTTTGCACAGATCATTGATGGTCGATCAGGGTACTTTGAGGATGTGCGTAAAACTGATGACGAGATTCGGGCCATCAAGAACGCAGACGTACGTGCATTTTATGAAGGTCAGAATGCTGTCTTGGATGGGTGGCGTGAGGTCGACGAAGTACTTGAGAGCCAGTTTCCTACGGAGATCATGCGACGCTTTTCTATGCCGTATATGCCGAACCTTACTGGTCTTATACATGGATTTGAATCGCCACACGGGCTAAATCACCGCTCGGACTACCCTCACCGTCATCCAGAAGACCATGACGATGGCTTTGGCACAGACGAGGAAAGTGACTCGATATGGTCACATCCTTTCTCACACCACTCTATGCGTCGCTCGCGCCGAATTAGTGAGCGGGCACTTACTTCTCTTTCAGGCTTCTTTGGGCAAGAAGGCAACCTCTCTGGCAGCCAATCGCGCGTGGATCTGGCGGCTGAAAGTTTGCAAGATCTATCGAAATCTCTGGCTGTGAACGAGCACAATAAAGAACGCCCGACACTGGCGGACCTCATCGAACATCCGGAGCTGACAGAATCTGAGGACGATGAAGGTCTGATGCTCGCGAAGCACAAGAAGAAATTTCACAACAAGCATTCGCTCAAGGAGAGTCGATCTATGCTACGCCGTATGCTCACCAGCAACCCTGCCATGTACTCGACGGATGCGCAAAAATACGGCGCTATCCTTAAACTAGACGCAGCGGTGGTAAGTCCCATTACGAAGTCCACGCCTAAAGTGGACGAAGTGGCGGTGACTATCCCCACGAATCGACCTCGGACGGATCAGGTATGGACCAAAGCGGATCACGAACGTGACAAACTTCTGCAGAATGTACCGACACACCAGCGGAAGCAGGATACAGACGCATTTGTGCAGTTTTACATTAACAGTATGTATCCACACGACTTACATCAGTCAATCTGTCCGTGAATCTGCTCCTGGTCGTCGGTAAAGTCGTGGCTGTGTATTCGTCCAACTCGGTTTCGCTGTTGGCGAGCTTGGTGGACAGTGCGCTGGATCTGCTGTGCACAGTGGTGATCTTTATGACATCGCGTGCTTCGGCGTACCGCAGTTGGCACACGTTTTACAAGTACCCTGTCGGCAAACGACGTCTGGAGCCCCTGGGTGTACTCATTTTTAGTGTATGTTACGTGGGTGACTTACATTGCTAGGTACTTATGGTGGTCTCCTTCTTGCAAGTGCTGCTGGAGTCGCTCAATCGCATTTGGGCGATTTATACACATAAACCTTTGGAAGGCGACGTGGCGCTGCCGCTGATCGGTATCTTTTTTATGCTCCTTACTATTGTTGTAAAGACGATGATGTGGCTTATGTGCCACAACCACAAGAACTCCAGTGTGCGTGCCATTGCGCAGGACTCGGAAAATGATGTCATGTTCAACATCGTCTCTTTAATTTTCCCAACGATTGGCGATTACCTTGGGTGGAGTTTGCTGGACCCCTTGGGTGGTGGCCTGCTTTCCCTGTACATCATTTCCGAATGGATCTCGACGATGGCTGACACTACATCAAAGCTCACTGGCAAAGCCGCCGATGCTGAAGATGCAAGTCGCTGCCTTTACCTCGTCTCGCGGTTCTCTCATGTCCAGGCCATTGCTGGATTCGAGATGTACCATGCTGGCGATACAATGGTGGCGGAGGTCGATGTTGTTCTTCCTATGCACTTTAAACTGAAAGAGGCACATGATTTGGGCGAAGTACGTACGAGAGGTTCAGGCTTACGCTAGATTATTACCTATTGTATCGAGAGTTTGACGGGCATTGAGCGGGCGTACATTGTATGTATGAAGCATTTCACTCACGCGACAGCATCTGGATTACAATCCGGCAGGTCAGTCAGGCCATATTGGGCAACGCGGTTAGACGGGACTTGAACGCGACGCCCGCCTTGTATATACGCTTCCTATTTGTAGTCCCACGTACTTTGCTTTCCTTCCTGACGCTGGGCGACTCCCTGCCCCGATCATGTGGAGACGAGCGCCCCCAGGCCCGATCGATGCAGGCGTCGAGCCGCCCTATGTCGCCTGTGCGTCGTCCTTCCACCATGATGTGGCTACCACGACAGGTGCACGCCACGACGCGCATAGCGCTTCAAACGCAGCGCATGCGGTGTATAAGGCCAATAATATGCACTGGTATAATGCCGAGGGCATCCTTGCCCTCACAACGTACTGTAGCGACGGTGCCACGTCGTTCCTCGGCCGGCGGTGTATCCATGCGAGCCGGTGTGTTGTTTGCAGGGTATGTCACTGTATAACTGACGCTAGTCTCTCGGCGCTAGCCATTGCCTTGACTGTGTATGGCGTGTACGTGTGCATACGTGTGACTTACTTCAGTTGGGACTATTTTGCTGCGTTTCGTGTATGGCCCAAAGAGCTGCGTGAGCCATTGCGCGCTGCTTTGAAAGCCAGGTTGCGTGGAAAATGGGAGCGTAGCGCCAAAAATTTCCGCATGTACGTATAACCTCTACTCATATCAGTGCGCTGGATAAAGCCCGCACATTGGACGATAGTCGCCTAGGTGGAAATCGACTATGGAAAACCACTGGCATTGCTATTGCGCTGGCTGATGTGTTGGAAGAGGGCGAGCAGTGGCAAGAAGCTGCCATGGTGTACCTAGATGCCTTCGACGAGATCCAGCAGCGTGGTGACTATGCTACGTCCGTGCCCGTCGAACGGACGCCGCAGGAAACTATGCGGGCGGTCCAACTTGCGCAAAAGATCGGTGAGTTGGCGCAGCGAGACAACGTCGCAGTGCCACCGCTGTACGCATCAGACGACGATCAAAGTCAGACCAATGAGCCAGCCGAAGGCTACCTCACCTGGAGTGTCGAGGAAATGTTGCGGCTGGCGCAGGCGCCACGCCAATCCGACCCGATCGTGCTGTCGGATCTGCCACTTCCACCATGGGTCTCGGAGCAAGAACTCGGCGCGAGCGTGGAGGCTCTTGGTGCGTTCTATGCAAGTCATCACAAAGCGGCCCTGGCTGTGCCATTGTATGTACAGGCCATCTCGACACTGCTACCGCCACGCTCGACAGGTTCGCCGCCCAAACCCCCGCCAACTGTCGCCGACCGCTGCCGTGCCGCGATTCTCATGAACAACATTAGCCAGGCACTGACACAAGATACATCGGATCTCGAGACACTGGAAAAGGCGGTGGCATGGGCGACTAAGGGTCTAGATCTGGCTACCATCACATCGTATCGTGCTGGCTTCATGCGCGATATGCCGGAGAATGAGCAAACTTGGCTCTTACGCTTCAGTGGCTTCGATCCCGAGAAGGTCGGCCCTGTAGCCCCCGTGATCGAAGTTGAAACAGAAGCGCGGCTGCATCAGGTACAGCAGCAGTGTCTTGGCACGCAGTTTGTTCTACTCTACAATCTCGGCATGTTTTACTCGGTATGTATATTCAAACTAACAAAAAAAAGATGCGGGACGACAAGGCCACGGCACGAACGCTTTTCCGCCGCGCAATGCGGCATGCAGAGCGTATGCAATTACGCGATGCACGCTCACAGTGTGCACGCGCGTTGGCCCGACTGGACCGTACATAGGTTAGGCAGCACGACGAATTTTGCGCTCGTCATTGGCACCATGGCGTTCCCACACCTTACTTGGCCAGCCCACGAAGCTGCGGCCTGCCACATGTGTCTTGGTTTTGGCCGCAGGACGTGGACGACGGCCCCAGTCCAGGAGAACAGGTGGCGCTTCATCGATGCCCAGTTCAGCGCGGAGTTCATCGATCGGCTGTGACCACCGCTTTTCCCACGCCACAGAGATCAGAGGTACACGAACATTTTGACCTAGACGCCATGCCCATGGAGCTAGGGCTTGCAATGTTGGCGTATCCGCCGGGTCGCTGGGACGTGAGAGCCATGCACGGCGGTCGTCATTCAGGACACGCAGACTACCGCCCAGCGCTGAAAGACCAGCGACGGGCAAGTGCATGTGTGACGCTTCAAAGTATTTCACAACGGTCTCGCCCAGCGTCGAGGTGGGCATGCCCAGCAAGACATGGTAAAAATCGTGGGTTTCGCGGTATCGCTGTATCACGTAGCGTGTCTCGTATGTCGGCATATAGCGTGCCTCGCATCGTCCATCTGGAACGACCTTGTTAGCTTTGAGCCATTCTATCCATGCACGGCCAAATGTGCCTTCAGGCAACGCAGCCAGCGTCGCTGTATCGACCGTGTGAGAGTTGATCGAAGGGCGCGTCAACATCAAGCAGCGTCCTTCGTGGGTCGATCGCATTTGTGCAATGAGGCGATCGATACTTGGGTACGAAGATACCTGCGTAAGAACTGTCAAGAGATCGCCACGACTGGGACTCGCTAGCAAGCCTACAGCACTGCCGACGCCTAGCAGCGCACGTTCCCATAGGGGCGCAGGCAAGCCGTATTCAGGCGCCTCGTGGGCCTCAAAGGCGTCAGCACGGCCTGATGCCTTATCGGCTAAGCATGCTCGTGATGTATGTAAATGCCGTGGCAGGCTACGCACAGTGGCGACGGCCCTCATTCGAGATCCCTGCAGGCGTAGCATGGGGAAGGTGAGAATCGGGGGGACAGATGAGGGTGTGGCACTACCTCCACTTGCTTTTTTTGTTACCATCGTATGGCCAAAGAGTGTCAATTGTGTGGCACGGCGCGAGCCGTGCTACGGCGGCCCAAGACAGGGCATATGGTTTGCCGTGAATGTTTCTTTACTGTATTTGAAACAGAAGTGCATCATACCATTACCGAGGCGAAGCTATTTCAGCGTGGCGATCGTGTCGCCATCGGTGCTAGTGGCGGCAAAGATTCGACCGTACTGGCCTATGTTATGAAGACGTTGAACGAGCGTTACGACTATGGCTTGGAGCTTTACCTGTTGAGCATTGATGAAGGTATAACGGGCTACCGTGATGATAGTCTAGAAACGGTCAAGCGGAATCAAGAGCAGTATGGCATTCCACTCAAGGTGCTGGGCTACAAAGAGCTATATGGATGGTCTATGGACGACATTGTTCAATCAGTTGGTCGCAAAAACAATTGTATGTGCACCCATTCTGACATTAGGTACCTTTTGTGGTGTATTCCGCCGACAGGCACTGGATCGCGGTGCAGCGTCGTTGGGCGTTGATCATATTGTGACAGGCCACAATGCAGATGATATGGCCGAGACGATTCTTATGAATGGTATGTGCTCACACGTCCCTGACACCAGTATTGCGTGGTGATATTGCGCGCTTGGAGCGGTGCACAGAGATCGTAACCAAGGGCCCTGATACCGAAGAAGATGCGCAGGAAGGCTGCGGCGCAGGCAGTAGCGGATTCGGCGGGAGTGGCATTAAGCGAAGCAAACCGTTCAAGTATGCCTACGAAAAGGAAATTGTGATGTATGCATACTTCAAGCAACTGGATTACTTTAGCACCGAGTGTATCTATTCACCAAATGCATATCGTGGATACGCGCGTGCCTTCCTGAAAGACTTGGAAAGCATTCGGCCTTCGAGTATTATCGATATCATTCAAAGTGGCGAGAATTTGCATGTCGCTAGCCAGGTGAAGCGGGCTGTGCAGCGTACGTATAAAAGGCACTTACCAGGCAGGCACCTGTGTCCGCTGTGGCTACATTTCATCCAATGAGTTGTGCAAGGCGTGTGTGCTACTTGAAGGCCTCAACCGCGGTAATCCTGCCATGGGTATTCGTTCGGACAAGTCGCGTGCTGTGAAAGACGCGCGAAAGGACGATGCAGACATCGGGCGGACAATCCCGCGATGGGAAGGTGTGCAGCGAGCAGGCGCCACAGCGTGGTAGGACTACCGACGCACTATATAGAGCCAGCGAGACAGCAGGCAAAGGATATCACAAAAAGTACAACAGCAGAGAAGGCGCAGGGAATAGGGCAGGCAACCAGTCGTACGACATTAGCGCTTGAAGATCGTCACACAGTCTTCGTCCTCGAGCACATGGTCGCCACCAACACGCTGGCCACGCGGATGCTTCGCGGAGGTGCCCCACACGACGGCATACTTGAACTGCTTGAAAATCTCGCGGTGGATAGCATTGCAAAAGTCTTCCACCGTGCACTTGCCTCGACGCAAAACGACCGGCGCCGTGTAGTCTGGCGGGCTCTTGCGTGGCTTGGTGTAGATACGAACCAAGTCCAACTCGTCCCACATCTTGTCCACCAACTCGTCAACGTTGAGCCACATTCGTGAAGAGATCGGGACAGACTTGGGAATCTTGTAAAGCAAGTCGAGTTCCTCAATAGAGATCGAATCAATTTTGTTCAGCACGTAGATGCAGGGAATGTATATCCGGTTGCCTTCAATGACATCAATCAGCTCATCCACTGTGACATCCTCACGGAACGCAATGTCGGCATTGGAGATGCGGTACTCTGACATGACAGCCTTGATTTCGTCATGGTCAAGCTTGGTCAGTGGCACTGTGTTGGTAATCGCAAGACCACCCTTGTCCTTCTTCTTGACAATGACATTCGGCGGTTTCTTATTCAGTCGAATACCAAAGCCTTCCAGTTCTGCTTCGAGGATACGCTTGTCATGGAGCGGCTTACCGACGTCCAACACGATGAAAATCAGGTTGCACGTGCGAGCCACAGCAATGACCTGACGACCACGACCCTTGCCATCCTTAGCACCCTCGATAATACCGGGCAAATCAAGAATCTGGATCTTCGCGCCACGCACCGTCATTGTGCCAGGTACAGTGGTAAGGGTTGTGAACTCGTAGGCGGCCGCCTCCGAGGTCGTGCCTGTAAGACCGGACATAAGGGTGGACTTGCCGACAGATGGGAAGCCGACAAAACCTACACTTGCAATACCAGTACGAGCAACATCGAAGCCGATGCCGCCACCGCCGCCACCGCCACCGCTAGGCGCAATAAGCTCACGCTTCAGCTTGGCAAGCTTGGCACGAAGTTGACCCAAATGGTAGGCCGTAGCCTTGTTCTTTTGGGTCCCTGATATAAGTAACACAATCCATATACGTACGAGCCATCTCATCTTCAATCTCTTTGATTTTTTGGACCGTCGTCTGCGCATGTTAGTGCTCTTGGACCCTCGTACCTACCATCTTGGGCGAGACAAGGATGCAACAGTAGGGTCAGAACGAAGAAAGTGTAAAGTCTCGGCCGACACTCACAGTACCCACCCAGCCCCGCCAGGTGGTCACTACGCAACGTTAGCTTCCCATGGCCTTGGGTATGTCTGCAGACCAGCGTGTGCTCCGTAACAGCGGAGCGGCTCCCCAAGGAGCTGCAAAGCTGATTATGGCACTGCTCACGTATGCCTTCCATTCTGTATTCCAAACCGTGCGTGCGTCGCCCATTGCACCTTGGGCAGTGACGCTGGCACACATGTCTGACGATGGTACCTCGGGCCATGGAGCTGATCCCATTGTAGTGAACGATCCATGGAAGAAGACTATCGACATCATCATTATCGGATTCCTTGTACTGTTGGGTGGCATTTTTGCCGGTCTTACTCTAGGCCTCATGGGTCTTGACATGGTCAACCTGCAAGTCCTTCTCACGTCAGGCTCGGAGCAAGAACGGGCGCATGCGGCCAAGGTGATGCGTCTTCTGGAGCGCGGCCGACACTGGGTGCTTGTCGTGCTGCTGCTCTCGAACGTTATCGTTAACGAGACGCTCCCAATTTTTCTGTCTGAGTTCGGCTCGGGCCTGACTGCGGTCATTGTCTCGACGGTGCTCATTGTGATTTTCGGCGAGGTAGTGCCGCAGTCGATCTGTGCACGATATGGTCTAGCAATTGGCGCCATGTGCGCGCCTATGGTGCATATATTTATGATCATTCTCGCACCTATTGCTTGGCCTATCGCAAAGCTGCTGGACTACTGCCTCGGCGAGGACCATGGCACGACGTACCGCAAGGCAGAGCTCAAGACTTTTGTCTCGCTTCACCAGCAGATTGGTACAGAGATCCTCAAGGATGATGAAGTGACGATTATTCGCGCCGTACTCGACCTGAACGAGAAAACCCTACGTGACGTAATGACCCCGATTGACGATGTGTATACACTGCCTGTGGACCACGTTCTGGACGAGGATGGCGTCGATGAATTGGTCCAATCCGGCTACTCGCGCGTTCCTATTCATGAACCGAAACGCCCTGATGCTATTCTCGGCATGCTGCTCGTCAAGCAGCTTATTCAGTACGACCCGGAAGACGCGTGGCCCGTCTCGCGCTTCCATCTCAACCCCCTGCCAGAAGCTTCGCCAGAATTGAATCTGCTCGATGCAATTAACTACATGCAGGTCGGTCGTTCCCATATGATCTTGGTCTCTGAGCATCCTGGTGAGCCCTCTGGTGCGCTGGGCGTTGTGACGTTGGAGGATATCATCGAAGAGATGATCGGCGAGGAAATCATCGACGAGACCGATGTGTTTGTCGATGTGCACAACAAGATCCGAGTAGTTCGCCAGAAGCCGGCTGGCATCAAGCAAGACCAGTGGCAGCCGCTCATTCGCGGTATCATTGAGCGTCGCCGCAAGCATGGTGGACCCAACCAGGTGCCGCTGCATAACAGTTATGGCACCATGGGTTCGCGGAGTCACAGCCAGAACAACGCCCAGAAATATGGGTTAGTGCCTTCGCAGAAAGCGCGCGACAAAGTTTCTATCAAGAAAGTCGGATCACTGCGTGGCTACGAATCGCAGGGCGAGATGTCGCCACGCACATTCGACAAGTACATACGTACACCCAGCTCCATGATTTCGTTACAGGGTGGCAGCGACACGGAATTCGGTCCCGAGTCGCTACACCTGTCTGAATCAGAGCAGGCGTGCCATGCGAATGGCCCGTACATTGTGGAAATGGGCGGTAGTCGAAACGAGCGGCCCCGCGTATTGACCGTGGCCGATTTGAATGAGGAGACAGCGCACAATATGCGGTTGCGTGCAGCCGCGAATACATCGTCAACACAAGTACAGATTGAACAAGAGCAGATCAAGCCTTCCCAGAAGAACTAAATAGCTTCCCCATACCATTGAATGATTTTTTTTTTCTTTGTCCTACCTATGGCTAGCCACCATGCAGTGTGCTAATAAATACAATACGATCATTCGGCTGAAGCACATAGTCCATCTCGCCTTCCAATTCCCAGTCACTGTCATTGATGAGCACGAGAATGCCAGGGCGCACATGATCGCCCTCAACAAAAAGCTCTTCCCGCTCTTGGATTAGATGCTGACGTATGTATTGAACCAACGCACGCACATCAGGGTCAGTCCCGTGGATTTTAGGTATATCAAGCTGATGCACCTTCTCATGTGGCGGAGCAAGAAGCAGCTCGGTGCCACCGCTGCAAGTGTTAGTGGGCCGTCGACGATGGGCCTACGTACCCAAACTCCACAGTCACGCGTACCATATGTTCGCTTCTTTCAATGGACGCAGGGAGCCTTGGCGCGAGATTAGGCCATGCGTTGGAATTTGCGATTTCCCGCGTGATATTAGTAGCGGAATTACTTGTACATCACACGCGCAAAATGATTGGATATTTTAACACGCGAGAGTATGTCCGGCACGGAGTAGATGCTCGACACACCAATCAAGCTTCTAATCCATTTTAAGATGGCCATCCGGGCGTAGAATTTGAACCTTCAGTTGAAAAAAGTGCTCGAGATCAGTAACGACAGGATCCCTACATTCCCTTGTCTTGCTACATCCATCGAACGGCAACCACACTACCACTAGTAACCACAAGTGGTATGTATGGCCACCTGCGCAACACACTAACATAATCTAGTCGTCTGCTGATCGCATCATGAAGCAGGTCCGCACCGCGCTCCTGTTACTCTCCGCTACAGCGGCGACGGCGTATGCCCAAGACGCTACCAACACCACAACATCCACTGTAATTTCCGCCATTGTTCTGGCGTTGATTCTTAGTGGTATTTTCATGGTGGCTTTCCTTGTTCTCCGTCCTCGCTTGCCTGCCATTTACCAACCTAAGACCTACCGCTCGAAGCCACCTAGCCGCAACAGTGAGCCATTGTCCAAGGGCATTTTCAGCTGGGTCCCGCAATTCCTTAAGACGCCGGATATGGAGATTTACCGTGTGAACGGTCTGGATGCCTACACGTTCATTATGTTCCTCACGCTCATGATCCGTATCTTTGTGCCGATCTGGATTATCTCTTGGATTGTGCTTATGCCTCTGTACGCGGCCAACGTGCCGAACCACGGTACTGGCTTCTTCCTTTTCACGTTCAGCAACGTCATCAACACGTCGAAGCAGCAGCAGAAGCGTAGCGCTGGTGTGCTGATCTTGCACTACATCATGATCGCCTGGATTTTGTACAACATCCATGTGATGATGCGCCGTTTCATCAAGCTGCGTCAGGACTTTTTGATCTCGCCGCACCACCGCAACTCGAACCAGGCTAAGACTTTCCTTGTGACGGGTGTCCCGAACGAGGTGCTAAGTGAGACGAAGCTTAAGCAGATTTACGGTCAGGTGCCGGGTGGTGTGAAGAAGGTGTGGATCAACCGCAACTTGAAGGGGTTGCCAAAGATGGTGGAAGAGCGTGACAAACTTGTGATTAAGCTGGAGAAGGCTGTAGCGAAGCTCATTAAGAAGGCTGCCAAAAACGTGAAGAAGGGCAAGGCCGAGGCTGTGGATGCGCCGGAAGGCCATTCGCTTTCGCTCGATGTCGCGGAGCGCTACGTGCCGGCGAAGCAGCGCCCAACGCACCGTCTTGGTAAGATTCCGTGCATTGGCCAGAAGGTGGACACCATCACACACAGCCGTCAGGAACTGCGTCGTCTGAACGACGAGATTGAGACGATGCGTCAGCGCGTGACGAACGACTACCAGGAGTACCCGCCGCGGAGCAGTGCGTTTGTGCTGTGCAATACGATGATGGGTGCCCACTTTGCCGCGCGTGCTGAGGCACACCCGGAGCCGTACCGCATGGCCGAGCGTTACTTGGAGATCCACCCGAAAGATGTTGTATGGTCGAACCTGAACTTGAACCCATACGAGCGCAAGATCCGCTCGGTGGGCTTCTGGGTCTTGACGTGGGCCACTGTCATCTTTTGGTGTATTCCGATTGCGATTGTCAGTTTGTTCGCTAACTTCGACTTCCTCAAGGATAAAGTGTTCTTCCTTCATTGGATCAGTGCTATTAAAGGCATTCCCAGGGGTATCATTAAGGCTGTGCTGCCTACGGCTGCGCTGGCTATTCTCAACTCTTTGCTGCCGCCATGGCTACGTTACCTTGCGAAGCAGAGTGGTATTCCGACCCACAACGGCATTGAGCTGAGTCTGTTCACGCGCTACTTTATCTTCCAGGTCATCCAGAACTTCCTGTTCTTGACAATTGTCTCGGGTATCCAGGCTAACGCAACGCAGTTTGTGGACCAGTTCAAGGACCCAGCCGGCTTTGTGGCTACGATCTCGGGTGTGATTCCCAAGGCCTCGACGTTCTTCCTTGAGTACGTATTCTTGCTGGGTCTTTCGGGTGCTGCGGGTATCCTGCTGCAGATTGTGCCGCTCATCCTGTACTATGCCAAGCTCTTCCTCCTCAGCTCGAGCCCGCGTACGATCTGGCACTTGCGCAACGACATGAGTGCGCCAGCATGGGGTGTGCTGTACGGCTCGACGATGCTGATTGTCGTTCTGGCACTGTCCTACATGGTTTTGGCACCGGTCATGAACGGCTTCGCGTCGGTCACGTTCTTCACGTACTACCTTGCCTACCGTTACATGTTCATGTACGTCTACGACTGTAAGCCGCAGAACGAGACGGCTGGCCTGTTCTTCCCACGTGCCATCAGCTTTACCTTTGTTGGTATTTATGTCAGCACGTTCGTCGTGGCACTCATGTACTTCTTCAACAGCGGTGCTAACACGGCCTTTGTGGCTATGGGTGTGCTGACTATCCTTCTGCTGGTGCTGATTGTCGGCTACCACTACTTCCTCATGGACTCGTACGGCAAGCTCATTACCGCGCTGCCACTCATGCTCGACCAGCAGGCCGAGATGCAGCATGGTGGTGACGTTGCGCCGCCGGCACTGCCTGAGAAGGACCAGTACTACGCTGCGGCTGACGGTACTATGGTCCCGGCCAGGTCGCAGAACCATGTGCTCCAGATGGAGGACCCCAGTGTGGATCTCGAGAAGAAGCAGATCGAGGAGGCCAAGACCATCAATGCCTTCTACCACCCCTCGCGCTTGTCGGAGCAAATGGTTCTGTGGTACCCGAACGACAACTACGGTATCGGTCGCTCTCAGGTGGCGGCCGACCATGGTCTTGGCTTTGAGTCGACGACAGACAAGGCCTTTGTCAACGAGAAGTACAAGATTGACGAGAATGCAGAAGTGGCGCCGGGTGAAGAAGACTAAGTACTTCGCCTGCGCGAGGAGTCTCTTATCTTGTTAACTTCCATCTTTCGTTTCCCTTCACTAGCACTAATACTACTACTTACTGCTGGCTTAGCAGACAGATCAAGCCAGACATCGGATTTCGTTCATAGCAAGATTTAATTCATTCATTCATCCTGATATTTTTTGAGGTGACTGACAAGCGACTTGATGTCAAGGCGCGCTATTTTCACGTCGCCACCCAAAATGTTCCCCACACGTTTTGGATTGCTTCCTCCACTACGCTGACATGACAGAGGTTGACTCGGTCGCCCGGGTGTCAGACCGCATCTGTGGCCATATGAACGCAGATCATGCTGATGCCGTAGAGCACTTGGTAATGTACCATGCAAAGCTACCAAGACTACCACGCTGGTCTAAGATGGAGTCCATTGCTGGCACGCATATGATCCTGAGGTATACACCACCCGATCATCAGGGGGCCATCATGGATGAAAACGTCCTACCTTTGATCCGCATCCCGTTTGATCCACCGCTAGAGTCGACGCATGATGCTAGGAAACGGCTGGTGGCGCTGAGTAAGATGTGTCAAGAGGAAAATGAGCGGTTTGCTCGGCAGAACTTACCCCAGGACTTTTGGGACAAGTACAATATGGAAGTGCTTATTGAGCGAGTAAATCGCTTTTGTATGGGTATGTCATGACCTATCTCACACAGGTAGATCCAATCACGATCATTACGTTGCTGACTCTATTGGGGATGGCATGGCACCCTGAACGCATGACGAGCAACGAGATTCTGCAAGCCACACTACCCATATTCCGCACACCATTTCTCGTCATTCTAGCATTCATTGGCCTCATTGCCGTATGGCATGGTATTACAGTGCTCAGCCGCGTTTGGACCAATGCCGAACCATTGCCAATGAACCAAAAATCGATCCCCTCATGGATCTTCAAAACGTTGACAAAGCCCACACTCCCAAGACTGGACGAGGAAGGGTGGCAAAAACAGACAGTATTGATTAGTGGTGGTGCTCGAGGGCTTGGCGCCATGTTGGCCATTCGCTTGGCGGAGCGAGGAGCGAAAGTCATCACATTGGACGTGGGAAAAACCACGGTAAAACACCCCAATCTATCCGCCTACCATTGTGATATTTCAAAACAAATCAATGTGGCATCAGTTGCTCGAAACATCATTTACCGCCATGGCTCACCAACTATGCTCATCAACAACGCAGGTATCCGTCATGGATTTCCATTGCTGGACTTGACTACCTCCGCCATTTCGAAGTACGTTGCCATCAGAACTTACCATCCTTAGAACACTGGAAACCAATACACTTGCTCACTTTTGGCTCTTAAAAGAGTTCCTACCTAGTATGGTTTCCCGAAAACAAGGACACATCGTTACCATTTCTTCCATCATGGGACATGCAGGTGTTGCACAGATGAGTGCGTAAGCTTACACACTGACAGTACAGCGGACTATGTGGCGTCTAAACACGCAGTGGTCGGGCTGCATGAATCGCTTCGATTCGAGCTGGATGCCATTTATGGAACGCCGCACGTACGCACAACATTGGTGACGACGGGGCATTTGCAAGAAACAGACATGTTTACAGGCATCAAGTACAACCGATTTGCACGTTTTATGGCCCCTGCCGTGCAGGCCAGCACGGTCATCGATAAGATCGTGGACGCTTTAGAACGGCAGGAAAGTCGTTACATTATGCTCCCATGGTATGCCATCTGGACCCCTCTCCTTCGATTGCTACCGTCCTTTGTACATGACTTTATTCAACTGGTATGTGTTTGTATACTAACAATAAGGTATTGGGCGCAAACTACTCCATGTCCACCATGTCGCCTTCCGTGCGGGCTTCTTCGATGCCCGACGACGTAGAGCTAAGCACGCTCCCACCTGCAATGCCACAAGAACAGGACACTGTTGCTCATTGACTACTAGGGTCCGCCGCAAGACGAAGATAGGGTTTGATCGTTTTGTAGCCTGGAAATTGAACCGTAGCTTCGTCGTCGTTCACCTTGGGATGAATAATCACGTCATCCCCTGGACGCCAATTGGCAGGCGTAGTGATAGGGTAACGATCACCAAGCTGCAAAGAGTCAATGACACGCAAGATCTCATCAAAGTTCCGGCCTGTAGAGGCGGGGTAGGAGATCTTCAGACGAATGATCTTTTTAGGGTCGATTACTAGTACATCTCGGATCGTGAAAGGTACGCCATTTGCGTCCACATTGGTCGGGTCCAAGGCATCAAGCATATCATATGCCGTAGCGATCGAACGATCGGCATCACCGATTATAGGAAATGCGACATTTGAGCCAGACACATCGTTGATGTCCTCGACCCAACGTCGGTGTGAAGACACATCATTGGCAGAGAGGCCGATGACCTTGACGTGGCGCTTCTCAAAGTCGCTCCGGCGACGGGCCACCTCACTTAGCTCGGTCGTACATACCGGCGTAAAGTCCTCCGGATGGGAGAATAGGATGGCCCAGGATTCATTAAGCCAATCGTGGAAATGGATTGGACCTTGCGTAGTGTCGGCGTAAAAATCAGGCGCAGTCGAACCCAAACGAAGATTCGTCATGCTTGCTGAGGAAATGCCGTGTTAGGCATGTGTGCGGAGAAGACCCTGGACAGGGAAAACTCGGGCCAATCAAAATGACCCATCAAACCTCCCCGTCTCAAACGAAAGCGCATATGCCCGCACTATGCTTGGTCACAAAATTATATAACGTCGCCCCGCCACGCCACCGAGTTTGACACCCATCTACTAATTAACAATGTCGAACAACGAAACTGTCCGTGGCGCTATCCACAACACTGCCAAGGAGGCCTCTCAGTCGGTGAGCAACTCTGCCAACAACGCGCAGGGCTCGTCCGACACTGCTGCTAAGGGCCACCATATGGTATCGAACATGAGCGAGAAGATCAGCGAGAAGCTCCCGAAGGTCGAGAATGATCTCCACCACTCGTTGGACAAGGGTGAGCAGAAGCTGAACAAGGCTGCCAACTACGTCGAGGACAAGGCTGACAATGCCGCCTCGAAGGAGAGCTCTAAGGCTTCGGAGCACAATGCTGAGCCAAGCACCCTTACTCGTCTCTCGGAGCAGGCGCAGCAGTACGCTTCGGACACCCTAAACTCGATCAGCAACACCCTCCACGGTGCTGGTGACAAGGCCGCGGTCAAGGCTGACAAGGTGGACGGCACTGAGCAGACTAGCTACCTCGAGTCGGCTCGCCAGGCCGCTGTTGACGCTCTTGGCAAGGCCCAGGAGTACATTGCGGGCTCGAACACTACCACCACTACCTCGAAGTAAAGCTGTGAATAGCTACATTGTATATACTAGCAGTAATAATTTCGCTATTTGACAGACTTTAGACTTGGCCCGCGCGTACCGTTTTACGTTTGGACAGCCCGTTGCCACGTGGTACATGCCTGGAGGAGCAGGTATCTCTCCTACGTGCGTGTATGGCAACGCGAATCCAGTATGGGGAGCTTAGCGGAGGATATGCTAACAGCCTATGCCGGGAATGTGCTTGGTCCTGAGAAAAATGTCTCCTATTATGAACGAATGCAGCAAAAAGAGTTGCCCAAGTACCTAGATGAAGATAACACACCGTTTTGGTCAGCACCGTGGCGGACCTTGCAAGATACAAATGCGTCGGGCGTCAGTGTGACGTCTTCAGCACGTCAACGCGAAGAAGAAGAGCGTGCTGCCATGGAAGAATGGGAAGAAGGTGTGCGCCAACTACAACTTGCATTTCAGCTTGTGTTAATTCCTTTGGTGGGAAAATGGTTTGGGCGGCGTTGGAGCTATTGGTGTACGTATAGAATGCAAAGTAACGTCCAGTGTTTATGAAGTGGTATCGAAGGACTGTATAAGTACCACTTTTACGTCGCAGTCGGCATGCAGCCAAATGGACCCTGTGGGGACATGTTTGGCTTTCTCCTTCAAACCCTTTATAACGTGGAAACAAATATACCCAGCGACAGAGTTACAATCTCCTCATGGACTCGGATTGGATGGCATCATGGCAAGACGCTGCACCATATCAAATATTTGTGCGTGCGGCTCACTCAATATAGTCTAAGGACCTGTTGGCAGTGCAAAGAAGCGCCTATGGGAAAAAAAATGTGTCCCTGCCTGCTAACGCATCTCCTGAATGATAATGGATTCTATATAGGCATGGGAATGACGATAGAAAGATTCGGTGGCTAGGCATGCGCTCTCTCCGATCATGCCAAGAATGTCAAGATGCGGATGACAAAGCACAACAAATGAATTGTACGCAGATCTCGCTTCTTTGACAATACCATGGATCCGTTAGAAGCTCTTCCACGTATTGTAATTGTGGATCACCACGATTCATACACACGAAATCTCCTCTATCTGATTTCAAAATGCTTTGATCCTGAGCCAAGCCCTGAGTTGCTAGTGAGTCGCGTAGCTGTGATTCCACATACCCACCCTGCTCTATCGCCTCATACGTTTGAAGACCAAGTCCTTCCTCACATTGATGCTGTGATTTTGTCACCGGGACCGGGTACATCGGAAACAGACAGTGATTTCGGCACGTCGCTGGCCCTGCTCCAGGACGAAGCCCTCCACGATCTCCCTTTTCTTGGCGTTTGTCTAGGTCATCAAGGCTTGGCAACGGGGTTGGGTGCTACCATCAAACAGCTGAAAGAGCCGTTTCATGGAAGAAAGCGGAAAATAGTGAAAGAACAAGGTTGGGAGAGAAAGGAAGGGTTCTGCGGCATAATGGATGGGGTTCCTGATGGTACAGAGGTCATCTGCTACAACAGTCTGGTGGTCGAAGAAGAGAGTTTACCTAGCTGCCTAAGAGTCACATCACGGTCTATTGACGATCATGAGGACATTGGCACGATTGTTCAATCCATGGAACATGAGTCTCTCCCACGCTATGGAGTGCAATTTCACCCAGAAAGTATTGAGACCACAGGCGGTACCACAGTGTTGAGCAACTTCCTGCATAATGTGCGGGAGATCTGGAATCAAAAGGATCCAGCCAGAGTGCGATCATGGAAGGACGCAAACACATGCCTTCCGTACCACATACGCAGTCTGGGCAGTGCTTGTGTAGCGCTCGGTACGAGCATTGGCATTTGCTCGCCACGTTGGCGCGTTTTATCCAAGAGCGTACCAGCGTCAGCGACGACGCTCGAGCATGTCATTGCTTATCAATTCCCATATTTGGCAGAGATGGTTTTTCGAAATGGATGTCCGAACTGTATTTGGCTGGATAGCGCAAGCCCTCGTGATCCTCAAAGCAATGTGTCAACGTTAACAAATGCAGACTTTTATTTGCATTATGATATGGCGGGGTGCCTTACTGTGCATCATCCAGGTGAAGACGTAGGGAAGCACCCCGGAGTACATCTTGATCTTGCCGCCTATACCTCGCTATGGCATTGGATGGATCAAGTGCAACGCACCATGCAGGCGCAAACCAGGGGATTGGAGAAAAGTGAGAAGCCATCCTTCCGTACTGGCTTTGCCGGGTTTTGGAGCTATGAGATGAAGGATGAATCACTGAGCCTGGGTTCACTGCATCCAGATAAATACCGAGCAGGCAACCAAGGATGTATGGACCGATCCAAATTGCCCGCTGCGTATTGGGCCTTTTGCTCGCGTGTGCTATGTTTTGACCATGAAACACGAACTTGGAACATGCATGCGCTGGTGGATGAAGGGGGTAAGACGAGTGATGCCATCTCCGCGCTGGAGAGGAGTGGAGTTACGCTAGGACTCTCGGAGGAAGACGCCTTGACGTGGTTCCAATGCGTCGAAACAAAGCTTCAAGACACAACGACCAGTACCATGACAGTGTCACCTCTCCCGCCCATCACATTGCATGGCTTGGACAATGCAGAGGTTTATATGCAAAAAATCGAAAAAGCTCGCGAGCTCATTAGTATGGGCGAAAGCTACGAGATCTGCCTCACGACACAATTTGAGGGGAAAGTGCTGGAGGAGGCGGACTATAACAAGTACTTTGCCCTGTACTGCTCTCTGCGGCGGAAGAACCCTGCACCTTTTTCAGCCTATGTGGAACTGCCAACTGTCCATGGGACACCACAAGCTATCCTATCGACTAGCCCAGAAAGGTTCCTCACTGTATCGGATAGGGGTACAGTAGAAATGCGACCTATCAAAGGGACCAAAGTACGGCCAGGCTGGGGCGCAGGCGAAGAGGACTGGCTTGCACGAGCCAAAGAAGAACCAGACATGAGGGCATTTGTGGCTGCAGAGGACCGACGACGACGACAACTGCTGGAAGCGGACCCCAAAGAGCGAGCTGAGAACCTGATGATCGCAGACTTGATCCGGGCTGATCTACAATCTGTGTGCTTCCCTGGCACAGTGGAAGTGCCAAGACTCATTGCATTGGAGACCTACGTGACAGTCCACCAGCTTGTGACCTCCGTCGAAGGCACACTGCGACCGAGTATTGGATGTGTGGATGTGACTAGGCGGTGCTTCCCACCAGGCAGCATGACAGGGGCTCCGAAACGGAGGAGTGTGGAGCTAATTGAGACGCTGGAACGATCGGCGGACGACCCTGAATCAACGACACGTCGTCGAGGTATTTACTCAGGCGCCTTGGGGTTCATTGGGGTGGACGGCGCATCAAGTCTATCGGTTGTTATCAGGACCATTACCATGCAGGGCGCCAATGCATTGGTGGGTGCTGGTGGAGCTATTACGTTCCTATCTTCTCCAGAAGGCGAATGGGATGAAGTGTTGACCAAGCTGGGGTCAGTTGCTTCGCTGGCCCCTTCGAAGTGAAAGAAAGGACTACATTTCACCGCATTCTTTTGTGAGTCATGTATATAGCATACCTGTAATACGAATGTCGATTCGAGGGCGATTGTTGGGACCACACGGTGTATTTTCGATTTTGCGTACTACCAGCATCCCTTCGACGACCTTGCCGAAAACGACATGCTTCCCGTTCAGAAACTCGGCAGGTTGTGTAGTGATGAAGAACTGGGTAAGTGGATAGAGACGTACTTGGCATCCATTGGTATTAGGTCCAGAATTTGCCTAAGGTCAATGTGTTATGCAACGTACCATACTCAATAGCCCTGGTGCATCGTGCTTTAAGGAGAAGTTTTCGTCAGGAAACTTATCACCATAGATCGAAAAACTTCCAGTGCCATCAGCATGGATGAAGTCACCACCTTGGCACATAAAATCTCTGATAACACGGTGGAATACACAGTCTTTATAGCCCATAGGCTTATGGTTGACTCTGTCGGTAAGTCAGCACAAGGCCTACCTGTGCTCTCCTGTGCACAATTGACGGAAATTCTCCGCCGTTCTGAAGTTAGGAGGGGGTCGCTCACGTACTTCGGCACAATATCTGAGAAGAGCTCAAACTTGATTCTTCCTACAGCTGTTTCACCGATGGATATGTCGAAGAAGACAATGGGTCGGCCATTCGTGCCAGCCCCGGACATTGTATTGTTGGACGATGGCAGCCGAGTGTGTTGCAAGTGGAGGCATCTGGTTCGTGTGCACAGATTTTGTCCCATTTTCGATACTGCGCTGTGTCCACCATGTCACGCATATTCGCTAGCCAGCGCATATTTCGTACCCGTATAGTACCCACTCATGTGCTTCCTTGTTTGGCACATCCTCGCATTCAACTACCAGCACGGTCTATTCATCACTCTTCCAATGTATTCAGCTCTAGACGGTCGGACCCTGTAACGTACGTATCTCTTTCTGCTCACACGGCAGTGATGACTTTTACGATCCTCTCGTGAATATTTTGGAAGATGATTCAGTCCAGATTCGTGTTGCCAAGGTAACACCGACATCTATCAAGCTGGCAGATGGACTGATTACTCCTCCCAACTGTATCTTCTTGGACGGCAAAGTGTTTGAATGGTCTCCGCCCGAAATCGACCCCATGAAAGCTATGCCCAATGGAAGTGGTTGGGAGGCCTGGGATGACAGTATCTGGTCACTTTTTGAGCTAGTCTCGCCGAAGCCTGGTATGTGATGGTCCAAGTATCTAATGCCTGCTAGAAATCTTGATTATTGGCACGGGCAACACTGTGCTACCTGTGCCCAACCGAATCCGTTCCTACTTACACTCCCTCGGAATCCAACTCGACGTACAAAATACAGTATGTATTCGTGTATACTTACTCAGAAAAACGCATGCTCATCGTTTAATCTTCTATCTGAGGAAGGTCGAAGAGTGGCAGCTGCTCTTTTGCCGATGAAATAAGCCAGGCAGTTTAATCCATGGGCTTGAAGACCTTGACATCGAAGTAAGAGATGAGGTAATATGAGAACGTTGCACCAACGTATCCCACCCCTGTGTATATGAGCAGCCGAGGAAAGTCTAGGTGTAAATCCACGCGCACATACATACCTTGGCAGAATCTCTCATCAAAATAGGTTTTCTCTTCTTGCGATGAATGCACTTCCGAAACTGATGTTGTTAGGTTCTCTTCAGAGACCTTTTTTCGCCGCCTCAAGTCCTGCTTTAATGGCAATGCATCTGCGTCCTTTGCCTTTGTCGTTCCAACGGTGACAAACTCCTGGTTTCTGGATGGCATGACCAGTCGCTTCATATTCAGGTACAGCCAAGGGATAGCGCACTTGAGAATGGGCGTGGAAATAACTTTCCATAAAATAAGCGGCACAATGGCTATATGGTCAGACATAGTTTAGCTCGTACCAAACAGCAAGGATGCGACAAGTTTGCCTAGAGTGCTCTCCACAACCACATGGCTCCAGAACGTACCCAGATAAAACATCCAAGAAGGAGGCAGCATTTGAGTCAACACCTTCAGCTTCATATCCAAATATCCCATATCCTCGAAATAATAGTTATTCGTCCGCCAATTGCCCAATGCTACTCCAACATACGAGCCAATAAAGCAGACCACTACCTGTTAGTTTCGAATGTGCATACCATCTTCATAGCATGGGCAAGGTAATATCGGGATAGGATGGATTGCAAGTGCGATACAACCAAGTACAAAAATCGAAATTGGCACTAGGGTGTTAAATCAACGCCGTAAAGTGGACGTACCCAAGGGAGACGAGACTTGAAGGAGATCAATAATTACCACATCCAACGCAATGGAGCCAGTAGCTACAACAGCACCGATAAGACATCCTACAATGCAATCTTCCGTCAGAGTTACCATAATGACATACCGATATAAGTATGCATACCGAGGTATAGCCTGCCAAAAATAATGGTGAAAGCGTATATGACAAGCAGCGACTCAAGTGCATAGGTATCGACAAAAAGCATATGCCAAAGATCTGGCGATGACATATATCCGATATTCCGTAGTAGCGTGATGGCGCGTCGTGCCTGCATGGCATAATAGTAGAAAATCACGCACATGCTAATGCTGTTGGCTGAATGAGTAGATGGGAAACCATATTCTAAATGGTATGTCCCAACAATAAGACGTCGAACAGGAGGACAAATGGGTCGCTTAACACAGAAATAATCCTAAATGTCAATAGTGCCACAGCACAATACCAACTTTTAACACGGCCGTTAAGTATACAGCCAATGCGGAGGTAAGAATAAGTCTGGTTATTAGTGTTCAACATCGTGGATACCAACATTCTTCCGAACTTTGGATCGATTAAAAGGTACGTTGGAGGTAAAAATAAGAGGAAAAATGTATGTGAACCCAGGAAAGAGGAGTACAAAAAGTACTGGTCTAACCATGGGTGCGACACTTTGGCCTTCAGTTCGTACACGGAATTATGGTACAAGACATACCTGAAGGGCAGCGATAGACCTTGAATGCGATTCAACATATGTTAAAAGTATATTGCGAACACGGACAGCCCAAAAAGGCCGCCGATCCAGGAACTCATCCTTCATTATGGGCCTATTCGTAAGGACACTCGGATTGTCGCGGATGAAGACGAGTGGAGGGAGATTTCAAACACCGGTATATGTGGAGATGCGTATACTTCTACAACACCTAGGGCCTGTTGTTAATGTTACCTTCTCGGCTTCTCAAGCACCGAGTCTCATTCAGTGGGCTTATAATGCGTATAGGGAAATAAGCGATGGGTTCTAACTTCTGTTCATATACGTCTCTTGTGTCTTCATATGTCTTTCCAGAAACATTTCACTTTTCTATTCATTCTCTACGTCCCTTTCATGATACTAAACTCACTCTTGTTCACGCAATTCTAAGTTTGGAGAGCCTTTTCTTTTTACCGTGGTTGCTCTTTGCCCTGTTTCATGTTATGTATTGGTGGGTGAACTCACCCTCACGTGAGCTGAACGATGATCTTTATTTAAACTGTGCCTGGTGATGTGGAGATCGATAGGTATATATAGATTTCACCTCAGTGCCTAGCCAATTAAACTCTCGTATCGACAAATCAACTTGAGTTTATACAGAGAACTACTCATGAAGGCAATGTGTTCTCTCCCGACGTAGAGCATTTGGTTGCTCATGACTACATCCAATCTACTAATAAAGTTCTTCTTCCTGAACCTTGTATCATTACAGTATGGTATTGACAGTACACTATGGCTACCTACCGTCTTCTCCTACATACGATCCTTAACGGGCAATAGTGCGTCGCTTTACTTGAGTTTGGCACAGTTCCTTCCGGCTGCTGTACAATTCTTTGTCTCACTTCTGGTCGGGCCTATCTTAGCCTTCTGGGGACTAAGTGTTAAGTGGTCTACTGTTGTTTTTGTCTTATTCTCAGCCATAGGGAACTCTCTCTATTCTTGTGCTGCTGAACATGGCATCGGAGACGTTTGGGCCATTATTGGTGGAAGGCTACTTTGTGGGTTATAGAGCGGGTCATTTTCTCTAGCCATGTCTTACATTGTCACTTCTACGTCAACAGAGGAACGATTACCCGCACTCTCTCTATTTCGAACCTTTGCCGGCATCGCCCTCGTGATCGGTCCGATCTTAAGCGTTGTGTTGACTTTATTTTCATTCCATATCGGTAAGTTCATTGTCAATCCCTACAATTCTCCCACCTTTGTCTCTTCTGCCATTGCTCTCATTGTCGCTCTCGTTACGGCTTTCTTTGTACAAGAGAAGAAGGCTAGCAAATACAATCTTATCCATATCATCAAGACACTCGCACAATTTAAAGAAGGGCTCCAATGGTGTCTGAGCTGTGCCTTCGTACCTGCTGGTATTACTATTTTTTCTTCTTTTCTCATGTCAAACGTCTTTTTCTTGATGTCTGATTTGTTGAGCTCACCATCCTTCTGGCATTATAATTTGACGCTCATTTCGGGGCTGCAAGCTATTGTATTTTTTAGTTTCTCTTGTTCGCAGTTTGTGCACTTAACGTATGAGAAAATGGATTGAGAGCCGATTAAATCAATCGGAAACGGTTATGGAAGAATCAGGATGTGAAGATGCGAAAGAGAGAGAAAAGCAGGTTCGTCTTAAAAACTCGGCAAGGTCTGAAGCCATTCTGTCTTCCATTTCTTTCGTGGTATCCATCCTAGATGCTATCCGCCCATTGACATCTATTATAACGTTGCAAAGTATGTAGTTTATCTGTACTGTGATTGAATGTGATATACACTGAAACCTATCCTACACGTAAGGTTCATAGACCTTTCAAGAGGCTTTAGAACCTCGTTGTTCGGCGAATCCTTTATCTAATCTTTGCCAAGATTTAGGCTTTGGTAACGGAGGGTTGATTGGGTCCGTTATATTTATCTTTGCTAATGTCGTTATCTCCACTCATAACAGAGAAGGAAGATATACCAAACAACTATTAAAGTAGCACGTTCTTTTCTATTTGTTTAACCCATAGCGTGGTTTCTTGTCAGGTTTCTCTACGGACGTTGTAAAAGGAGATAAAAACTCTCTATCTCATCCATGTAATGTGCCACACACACTCTTGAGCCATACATTCTTTGTTCTTCTCTATATTAGCATCTCCCTTTTCACATAAACCAATTTGTTAATAAGAGGATCTGGGGTTGGCTCTGGTGTATGTTGCTCACTTGATCTTTTATCTGGTAATACCAATCATGAACGCTTCAATACCTAGCACGCTTTCCTGGAGCATCAGTCTGACTAGTGTCTGCCTTTGAACTGATAAAACTCTCCTTGCTTCCTAGAGCCTATCCAAATGAATGCAGACTAGGCCTGGAAAGCACAGTGGCATGTAACAGCCGTGGCAATATAGCGTGTGCGAAGTCTCTCCGCATTCGCACTGTTATCTCTGAACTGCAGACAAAGATAAGGGATCATTTCTCATTGGGCAAAATCCATCAAGTTTGAAGAGAGCTCGCTCAGCGCGCTGAGAAGAAAAAAAAAACTCAAAAAACGCTTGGTCTATCTTGGCCTTCTTTGCACGCAAAATTCCCATCAGCGGGAATTCTGCTCAACTGCTAACGAAAATGAATATGCACAAGAACCGAAACTTAAATCCTACCTCCCGTCATGTCCCAGCAGCCTACAGAGGGGGAGCTTGAGGCCCAAACTAAGCAGGCTAGCGAGCGATCACACAGGCACAGTGACTATTCGCCTGCTCGTGGACGCCGCCCGGATCCTAGGCTCTCACGTGTATCTGAGGGCCGAGCACGATCTAGTTTCTCACCTTTCCGTCGCTCAGGACGAGCGGCATCTCGTTCGCGTGGCCGCAGCCGCGGGATGAGCTTCTCACCACTACGACGCAGGCACTTAGAAGATGAAATCTCCCGTATTACTGAGGGTATGGAACACGAAGAGCGAAGTGCCATTATCAATGCAGCGCGTTTTGGCTATGGACCATTGGCACGTATATTTTACACGGAAGAGGATGTGTTGCATCGACCCTTCGGTGGTGAAATGCAGCCAGGTATTTTCAAGAACGTTCATAAGCGTAAGTTTGCTAATCCTGCGCCTATGGGTCTATGCGGCCTTGCTTTGTCGGCCTTTGTGAATTCACTGATTTCCATGCGGGTCCTAAATCTTCACGATGAGAGTATTGTACTGAGTTCTGCGTTTGTCTATGGTGGTTTCTTACAGATCCTTGCTGCTATGTGGGAAATGGCTGTTGGTAATACATTTGGTGCTACAGCATTTGGAGCTTACGGATCGTACTGGGTGTCGTACGCCATTATTCTTACGCCGGGAGGGTTCCATATCAAGGACACCTTGGTGGCTACAGAGGGTATGGCTGGCTATTTGAACAGTATGGGTCTATTCAACTTTGGATGGTTCGTGTTTACGTTCCTTATGGCTTTATGTACCGTCAAATCAACCTTACCGTTTTTCTTCCTATTCCTTGTCATGGATTTAAACTTCCTCTTCGCCGCTCTTTCGTTTGTTCTGAATGATGGTCAAAGGGCTAATGAGGGTTTGTCTATCACGGCTGGTGCGTTTGGCATTCTTGTGTCTTTCACGGCCTGGTTTAATGCCTATGCTGGTGTGGCCGATGAGACCAACTCGTTCTTCCTTATTCCTTCATGGTACTTCCCGTGGACACCGAAGTCTGTGCGCACGGACGATTCCAAGGTAGGTCACGAGGACTAGCTGGGCTGTCTATCCCATGCGCACTTCCCTAAAAAAGAGAAGGTGAGAGGGCGTACCTTGTTTTCTCTCAAGCCCACTGTTTATTTTCAGCCTCTGTTTTAAAGCTATATGGGTGTTGTAAAGTGTGGTTGTACATATATAGCTTTCATCTATCTCCATACACTAGTCTCCGTAGCATTTCTTCATCTTTTATCGCCCTGAGCAATTTCTGCCTTGGATCGTTGCGCCCTGGCCATGACTAATCCGCGTACACGTTTGGGGGCGTCCATAGGGTACTGACCGATTCCAGAATTTGACGTACCTCTCTCCAAAGGTTGGGCGAGAAATACGTCCTCCCTGATTGGTGCACGTGCCTTTCTCCACCGCTTACCTGCGATCGTTTGTGCTGCACGTCTCACAATGGCACCTTGCAGCATGACTGAAAAGGACGAGGAACAATCGTGTTGGTACCTTGCCTCTCTACTGCCATGCGTGTGGGCTCTGCTCTAGCTGTGGCAGCGGCGCTTGCCGCGCCTGTGTTGGCTGATGATCTTACCAACATTAAGCACATTGTGCTGTTCATGCAGGAGAACCGTGCGTTTGACCACTACTTTGGCACCATGGCAGGTGTGCGTGGTTTCCAGGATCCGAATGCGCATATTTCGAACAACACTGGCAAGGATGTGTTCCACCAACCTGTGAACAAGACCATGGACCTGAAGGTGTCGGGTGCTGCGCCGGTCGACTACTCACCACCGAGCAATGTGAGCGAATTGCTTCCATGGTACCTCCCGCACCAGGGCGGCGACTGGTCTGACCGTGTGCAGTGCATGCTGGCTGGCTCTAACTCGTGGCAGCAGAACCATGCCGCGTGGAACGAGGGAAACATTGACCGCTGGGCCATGAACAATACGCCGTACAGTCTTGGCTACTTGAAGCGCGCAGACATCCCGGTGCACTTTGCCCTGGCCGAGAACTTCGTGGTGGCTGATGCTTACCATGAGGCTCAGATTGCCTCGACGGACCCGAATCGTGTGACGTGGTTCTCGACGTCGATCAATGCGAATGGTAGCTCGGTCGGTGGTGATACAAGCAAGGGTGGTACGGTTCTTGAGAACAACCGAGACCCCTACTGCCTGATCGGTGCTGATGGTGCTAAGTACTCGTGCCGTCCGCTGTACTGGAAGACGGTGCCAGAGTACCTGAGTGAAGCGAACATTGACTGGAAGCTGTATCAGGACTATGACAACTTTGGCGACAACACTCTCGTGGAATGGCGTCAGTACCAACTGGCTGCGAAGAACAAGACCGACCTGGCTCGCCGTGCTTTGTCGTATGATGGTATTCAGTCGTTCTACAAGGATGCCAAGGAGGGTACGCTGCCGGAAGTCTCGTACATTGTCGGCCCTCAGTACCTCTCGGAGCACCCGCCGTACACGCCGCAAGACGGTGCCTGGTTCCAGCGCAACGTTGCGAACGCTGTGATGAACGGCAAGAACTGGAACGAGACGGCCCTGATCATCATGTACGACGAGACGGGTGGCTGGGCGGACCACGTGATGGCACCGCACGCGTCGAAGGGTACCCCTGGCGAATGGATCCAGGACCCGTTCACGAAGGAGGGCAAGGACGCACCGACCGGTCCTGGCTTCCGTCTTCCCTTCTACATTATTTCGCCGTACACCCGCAATGGTGGTGTGTTCACCGAAGTGTCTTCGCACGAGAGCCAGACGCTCTTCCTGGAGAAGTGGGCGAAGGCGATTGGCAAGCCGTTCCATGTGAACGAGATGAACAAGTGGCGTCGTGAGCAGCTGAGTGACCTGGTGAAGGCGTTTGACTTCAGCAAGAAGAACACTAGTGTCCCATCGCTGCCGGAGGTGCCGGAGGCCAAGAAGGACCCTATTACTGGCACCTTCAACGGTGCGTGGGACTGCTTGCTGCGCTTCAAGGGCGATGTGCAACCTGAGATTCCGTATGGCCAACAGAACGAAACGGATGCGCTCTCGACGGAGAAGGGTGTGAAGATGACGCGTGGTGATCTCACTGAGGGTCGCTACCTCAGCTTTATTGCGTGGAACAAGCGCGTGGCTGTGTCTGACAACAAGCTTAGCTCCGTCGACGACCGTGGAGACTTTAGCAACGAGCAGCTGTTTGTGATTCACTGGCTGGGTTCCGTCCCGAAGGACAACGTGTACACTATGTCGACGGCGGACAAGAAGCAGTTCTTGACCAAGGACCTGAACCTCACGGACAACCAGGACAAGGCTGCGAAGTTTGCTCTGTGGGACAATGGCAATGGCCAGGGCTACACCATCCAGGAGCTCGACTCTAAGAAGTACTTTGACTTGAGCCAGGATGGTACCGTCTCGATGAAGGACAACGACGCGGCAAAGTTTGCCGTGGCGAGTGTCTCGCTTTAGTGTTACTTTTTATTTTCATTGCGAGGGTTTTTTCATGATACAATGACCATAGATTTTCACCGTTCTGCCTTTTTCCTTTTTCGCGGTATTGATGTGCACGTTGTGGTGGGCGCTCACCCACATATCTTCAGGGCGAAGTGCCTGAGTAATAGAGACAAACTATCATGCCGTCCTGTGATTGGCTGGCTCCACTCCTGTGACGACATGCTCACTGTTAAATGCCTGTCGAAGCGATATGAAGCCCGATGGTGCAGCAGCAAGCAGTAATTTTATCAAAAAGGCATCCCCGAACTGAGCCGATAGCGCGTAAAGGAGGTTCATGCGAAATACAATGGGTAGAGGGCCCCATTCCTGTGGCGTATATATAAAGCGCTGACCGGCCCTATTTGGCGCGTACTGTAATGAAGTCGTTCCGTGCGCTCTTTCTGCTTAGTGTGGCCACAACGGCCCTGGCCGCGACCTATGATGCTGTGGTGGTTGGTGCAGGTCTTTCCGGCTTGAATGCTGCCAAGACTCTGGCGGAGAACAACAAGACGTTCGTGGTGCTGGAGGCGCGTGACCGCGTGGGTGGCCGTGTGGTCAATCACTACTTGCAGACCGGTGGCGAGGTGGACATGGGCGCTGAGTTTGTTGGCCCTACGCACGACTATGTCATTGCCCTCGCGAAGGAGCTTGGCTTGGAGCTGTTCGACACCTACAACAAGGGCGACAATGTGCTGTATCTGGATGACAAGCGCTCGACGTATGCGGCTAGCGGCTTGCTTGGTGCCATCCCGCCGCTGGACCCTATTTCGTTGATCCAGATTGGCATTCTCCAGGGCAAGGTGGACGACATGGTCAGCAAGATCAACGTGCAGGCGCCCTGGGACAGCCCTAACGCAGCGGAGTACGATAGCAAGACGGCTGATGAGTGGCTCAATGAGCAGGACTTGACCGCTGATGCTCGTAAGATCCTTGACGTGGGCCTTGTGGAAGTCCTATCGGCAGATGCCACCGAGTACTCGCTCCTGTACCTGCTGACGTACATCGCCGCCGCAGGCAATGCGCAACACAAGGGCACGTTCGAGCGTCTTACGCAGACCAGTCCCGGTGCACAGCAATGGCGGGTCGAGGGTGGTACAGGCTTGCTGGCTGAAGGTCTCGCCAAGATCATTGGTGCAGACAAGATCAAGCTCGGTATGCCAGTGAGCTCCATTGTGCGTGGTGATGGAGACAATGCGACCTACACAACGACTTCGACGAGTGGCGAGACGTTTGAGTCGCGCCATGTGATTGTGGCCATGTCGCCACCGATGGCGGACCACATCAAGTTCACGCCGGCGCTGACGGAGGACCGTAAGCAGGTGCAGTCGAAGATGAAGATGGGCTCGCTCGGTAAGGGTATTGCCAAGTACGAGACACCGTTCTGGCGTGACAGTGGCCTGACGGGTCAGGCGGTGAGCGACAAGTATTCGACGCGCGCCACCTTCGACATTTCGCCGAAGAACGGCAGCAGCGGTATCCTCATGGGCTTTATTCAGGTCGCACAGATGCGTGAGCTGGACAATGCCACAGACGCTGAAATGACGGCCAAGATCACCGAGGCATTCACAGCCTACTTTGGCGACAAGGCCAAAAATGCCACGGAATGGACCTTCTCTCGTTGGGACCCGGCGCCGTACTCGGGTGGTGGCCCTGTCGCCCATGCCCCGGTGAATGTCCTGTACCCGCACGGCAAGGCTCTTCGTGCGCCTATTGGTAACCTACACTTTGCGGGCACGGAGTCGTCAGACTACTGGGTCGGCTACATGGATGGCGCCCTGCGGTCCGGCGAGCGTGTGGCCAAGGAAATTGATTAGAGTGGGATAGGTCAAGACAGCGATTCAGACACTTCACTGTTTTTCGTTGTGCCTGTGATGTAGGGTAGTACAGAGGTCCATGACGTAGTTCGTGCGATGCCCATCATGGTCAGCGTTGATCCCGTTGATGGCGCGCTCTCGCGTTCGGCATCACTGGGCCGTCGATGTGCATCGGCCAGTGCATGGATTGATGAACTCATAGGCTCTGTGAGCTCTGAAATACGCCACAAGGGAGGAGCCCGGCGCGATGGCGCGAATATAGGGCTCGCTGGAGGTGCTTCAGGCGCCGGCCTTGTAGACAAGTCCAACCTCGTACCTGGGACGGACACTCTGTGACGCGACTTGCTGGATTGATGCCAAGCCCATATACACCCACATACTAGTAAAAGCAGGCCGAGTACACCGCCTGTGGTACCCCCTACCACGGCGATGATGTGGGTCGAAGTAGGCATATCTACACACACATTTTGTGGACATGTATGACACGCATCAGGGTACTGTTGCAAGCAGATTTGTCGCGACGTACACGGCGGGCACGGTGGTATTGTATCGCAGGCCGGACACGACGCCATCGACATGAAGGTCGCAGGGCAAAGGCCTCATTGCCTGGCACACGATCTCTATCCCATCGAGCTTCGACCCAGGCGGCCCATGCGTCGTAGAAAGGAGCGGTGTGTGTTTGCTTGATGGAGGTGTGCGGTTTGTAGTTTTCTCCCCCGCATCGAACCGCGACAGTATTGGTACGCGCCGATGCCCAGTGAACAGTATGTGGTGGTATTGTCTTCTTACGCAGACTCACGATCCATGCTCGCGTGATCCTACCGGCTGATACGGATGTGCGTGGGCGTGTCACAATTGGGGCAGGCACTGTCGTGCATCCACGCGCGAAAATCGACGCTACGCTGGGGCCCATCACCGTAGGCGAAAACTGCCTGCTGGAGGAACATGTACACCTCATTAGCACCGACAAAGGCATGACGATCGGCGATGGAAATGTGTTTCGGGTACATGCTCATGTATCATCGCCACAGATCGGCAACTGCAACGTATTCGAAACAGGGTGTCATGTCTCGGACTCTCAAACCATCAGCAACTTTTGTATTCTAAGTGCCGGGTGCAAACTTGGGCATTCTGATCACGAGCACAGCATGCTGCCGGAACGGACCGTGGTCTATGGGCATGATGCGATGCAGCACGTCTGGAGTGGCGATGGCATGGGGCAGCATTTAGCGCTCCATGCGAAGCACTTGCAATACTTGCGCGATACGATACCCCGCTCCCATAAACTTCGTGTCATTCGTTCCTAGCTCTATAGATCAAAGCCTTCCGTGCGTACACCTACTCGCATCTGGGTATCAATGTAGTGGCCAAGCGCATCGTCACGCACCGTGGTCTTCAGGTCGCGACCTGGGGTAGAGCGACCGAGTGGTGCGCGCACGCGCGTCTTTGGCTTATGAGAAAACGACGGCGCGCGCGTACGCGGCGCGGTCCTTGAGGATGTAGGCAAGGGAGGAGGCTGCAAGCTCAAGCTTGAGCGTGGGATTGACGTCTGCGTATCATCACACAAATCCGCCGGTACTTGACCGACGATCGGCGCGCTGGCAAGCATGGTTGCCGCCTCTTTGGCGCGGGGCAGACCATCGAGTGCCGTGGGTAAATCATACATCGTGGGGCCACGCATGGGCGAGGGCGGCATGTATTCGATAGGTGGGTATAATTCGTCGTCTGTCATTGGAGTCGGCGCTGGCTCATCGGTGGTCTCTTCTTGTTCAAGTGGTGAGAGAGCTGGGTCTTGCATTTGGCCTATCCGTGCTTTAAGTTGGCCCGCTCGCCCAATGTTGCTCGCGGGTGTCACAAGGGCTTGTTTTTTCCATGGACTAGCTTGAAACGGCGTCTTGGTAGGTGAGCCATAGTCGTGTTTGGACTGGGGCGAGCGGTTGGTTTTGTCAGAAAATGCACTGCGCCCAAAACGCGAGGTCGACGCAAAAGGTTTGGCACCGCCATCACCGCGTTTGAACGGCGAGGGACCTATGGACGAGGCTGCTGGCTTTTCCGGAGAGAAGCTCAATGCGCGCGACCGCAACTCGGGGGATCGCGAAGGGCTTAGTGCGTAGACGTCGTTCTCTTGCGCAAAGGCACGAGGCTGTAACATGCCGTAGGTATAGGCCGACCTGCGTCTTTGGCCTCGCGCAGAGAGGAGCCCACGCGTCGTCGCGCCTTGTCACGTGATTACAACCCAGTCCGCTGGTCGGTACAAAGGCGCGGACGCGGCGAGCCGCGTGTGTCGTCGTCGCTTTGCACGAATATCGCGCGAGATGCCTGGCGTCTACGGTGGTGACGAGATCAATGCGGTCGTCCTCGATCCAGGTGCCTCCATTTTTCGCGGCGGATGGGCTGGTGAAGATCAGCCCCGCTCCATTTTCCCTTCCCATTATGGATGGCTGCCCATGACAGAAGAGGAGCGTAGGACGTATGGCGACTCCTCCAAGACGGCAGACGCTAGTGAAGCAGATGGCGATGTATCGATGGCCAGTGCTGATGGCTCTGCGCCTGCCCCTGCGCCTCCCCGTGGCGTGTCCTTCGACGCTTCGAAGGGACGTAAGCGTTTCGTGGGCGATGCGGGTGTGTCCTACTGGCGGGCTGGCCTCGAAGTAGATACGCCTTTTGATCACGATGGCATTGTGCAAGACTTTGATGCATTCCAGGCACTTTCATCGCATGCGCTTGATGTATTGTCCGTCTCGGCGCCTGTGCACCCCTTGCTGCTCACGGAGCCAGCAACGAATCCCAAATCGGTGCGTGCCAAAACGGCCGAAATCGCTTTTGAAGGGCTGGACGTGCCGGCGTTTTATCTTGCGAACCGTACTGTCCTGAGCGCGTTTGCGTCGGGTCGGCCTACTGCGCTCGTTGTTGACGTAGGCGCATCGCAGGTATCTGCGATTCCTGTGGTCGATGGCTTTGTATTGCGGAAAGGCATTCATACCCAACCCAACGGCGGCGACGCTGTATCGCGGGCACTGCTTTGGGGGCTTACGCATGAAATGGGCGAAAAGAACAAGAGCGGCTGGCTGGCAGACAGTCTTGTACCGCAGTTCCTGGTCAAGAGCAAGCAGCCTGTGGACCCGGGTATGCCGGCGCAAGCGACGTTGCGGGATGACCGGTTGCAGGCCACAGCCCCATCATTCCGCATGTACAAGACGATGGAGCTCCTTAACGACTTCAAAGAGGCGGTGTGTCAAGTGCTTGAGGCGCCGTGGGACGAAAGCCAGGCGGCCGCGCGCCCGACAAAAATGTATGAGTTCCCTGACGGCACCAACGATGCATTTGGACCGTTACGATTCAAGGCACCGGAAGCCATTCTTACTCCGAGCCTGTACGCGGACAAGACCGATGTGCTACCAGCGCGCGACAACCTGACGTACATGGGCCTCACCGACTTGATCTTGCAGGCGACCAAGGCTGTGGATGTGGATGCTCGTGCCTCCATGTTCAGCAACATTGTTTGTGTGGGTGGTGGTACCCTTCTGCCGGGCTTTATGGACCGCTTGAGCTACGAACTAAGCGTGGCCGCGCCTAGCCAGCGCATCCGCATTCACTCGCCTGGCAACTACACAGAACGCCGTCATTCAACCTGGCTAGGTGGCAGTATTCTCGCGAGTCTGGGTACATTCCATCAGCTCTGGATCAGTAAGCAAGAGTATGAGGAGCATGGCAGCTCGATCGTGCATGTACGATGCAAATAGATTCACACTTGTATGGTAGCCCAAAGCGTCCTGCGCAGGGACATGCTTGATGTCTGTAGGTCTGGCACGTGGCACCGTCGCTTCGGCCAGTGTCCAACGAGTGTATTGGCTACCAGGGTCACACCATGCAGGGCGGCGCCGGCAAGAAGATGAGTCGTCAGCAGCGACGCAAGATGAACAAGGACGCGCGTGAGCAGGAGCGGCTTGATTCGATCCGAGCTGAGGTTGAGCGCGAAATGGCTGAGAACCCAACAGGAAACCAAGGCGCTGTGGAAGAGGCAGGGCTCAAGCAGCTGTGCAATGAGCTGCAGCTGCAAATCCATGAAATTACACCGGATGGTCACTGTCTGTACAGTGCCATTGCGGATCAGCTCAATGTACGATACCCCATGGAGGAGCTGTACACGTATCAACACATGCGCAAAGCCGCGGCAAGTTATATGCGTCAACATGCAGATGACTTCATACCGTTCATCTCAGACTTGGATGAATCGGCAGCTGGTGTCGACAAGGGCGCACAAACTGCCGCGGAAAAGTTCGCGCAGTACTGCGACGCGATGGAATCGTCGTCGGCATGGGGCGGTCAGCCTGAAATTTTGGCTTTGTCGAAAGTGCTACATACGCCGATCCATGTCATTCAAGCCGGTATGCCCGTCGTGAAGATCGGCGACGAAGAGGTCGGCGATCGCACACCGCTGACGATTTCGTACGTACAGCTTCATACTTACCGCAGCTACCATGTCAAAATGTACGGCCTAGGCGAAGTATGTACTTTCTTTCGACTGACACACAGCACTACAATTCCTTGCGTCCAGCTGCTTCCGCATAATACATTGGTTCGGCACGTAGGTATCTATGGCATTTCTCCCAATAATCGTAGCTCATCACTTGATCGACGCACTGCACTTGATAATGTCCGCCCCACCACCTGGTCCTTCACACCGTCTGGACCACGGCGGGGGCCCAAGCCAAAGAGCGTATCGTCCTCAATAGAGCGGCTTTGTTGTCCAGAGATCTGTGTAGGATCAAGAGATGGCAATGTCGCCTCTTGGAGTTTTGCATCGTGGTGGTCCTGATGGTGAGATGTGTATATACGTACATTCACTTGCAAGAGAGAGTCAAACATGGATGGCAATGGCGAGGATGCATCGTCTGGGCGGACAGGCCCGTCCTCATCTTCATCCAGTTGCAGCCCCGCACGGCTATGCGACGAAGTTGCCTCCTCCTCTGGCGGTGCATGGTACACTTTGGTAATTGTAGGTGGCGTCGGCAGCGAATCGCGACGATGTTGTGGGCCTCGCTTCACAAGCGGTGTGCCTACCACGCTTTTCCGCCGCGCAGAACCTGAGGTGGGCGCTGTCATTGATGGGGACGCAGCACTAAGATCGTCCTCATCCCCACCAACGGAGCGCAGCAAGTCATGCACAACACGACGCGCCGCTTCTTTTGCTGGCGTCTTCAAGTATTTACTTTGCGGTACACTGAACTGCATAGTCACAGGCGGCGAGATGGAAGGCGGTAGAGCCAGTGACGTATCCTCGTCGCCCTCGTCATCTTGCTCCTCCTCCTGGCCCTCTCTGTGACTCGCGACATGATGATGTGAGCGCAATGGTGTTGTGCGCAAGTCTGCAATCCCGTTCCACGCTTTCGTCGCGTCGCCTGTCATGAACGGATTGGCAGGCAGGCCATCTTGACCAGCTACTACACTGACTCGTGGACGCGCCGACGACCTGCGTCGGTTCTTCACAGGGCTAGAAGATCGCGGAATGTCCGATAGCGCCACGGAAGGATCATTCGCCACAGACATGTCACCCGTGGGCAGAGGCGCATCGCGCCATGCAGAATCGTCCATACGACTGGCCTCAACATCCCGCTTCAAGCGCTCGAAGGGCGTCTCTAAGACATTGGATTCCGTGCGACCCGCGTAAATGCTGGTGCTTAGACGCGGGGGGGATTGAATCTGGTCACTGTCACGCGTAGCATGGACGCTATCTTCTGGCTCCATTGCATACGTCGTCGGTGGATGCAGACTTTCGGAGGGGTCCATAGGCTCATGCAGCGTTTCTTCCAATTCTTCAAGAGGCTGCTGTGATAAAGACACCTGGGCTGATGCTTCGAAGAATTGTTTCCAAAATCGCGCTGCCTGCCATGTTTGTGAGCAGGACGCTTCGTATTCACGAATGGCAGGTAAGATGCGCGAGGTGACAATTTGGTGCGCCTGGGAAAAGTTCTCATCAATTTCTTGCAGAGTGGCTGTAATGGCCTGGTCGAGCTGCATGAGCTGCTCGCCCACAGCTACGTTCTCACTCATGCTGCCTGCCACGCGCCCGCACGGCGTTGTGTTGCTTTGAGGAGGACGGCGAGGACGACGACGCGTCGTGACGCGTGAGGGGTGTGACCAATGCTGACCTAACAAAAAAAGTCTTTGACACAGCCCATGCGCGCACAGGCACCATATGGTGCCTGCTAGTGTTTCGTTCTTTCTTTGCACCTTCCCTGCCTGCGTAGGTCATGGGACGTCGGCCGTTGCCAAAGACGCCTGCCTCTAATATAGGTGCTTCGAGACCGCATGCTCAAGTAGAAGAGCATTTACTGCGCCAATCCAGCCCCCCAACTCGCTCACCTGATGCACTGATCTCGCCTCAACGATCGGCTGGATCGCCGTCGATGAACAAACCCTTCTCATCTCGTCCATCCCTACCAGATTTTCATTCTGTGGACCAGGCTAGCGTTACATCACCCGATCATAGCAGTGTCAAGCCTGCACCTGTACGTGTAGGATCGGTGGACGTTGTGTCGCCACCTACTCTTGCCCCGCCTTCGTTAACATCGCATGTGGCAGATATGTATGATTACCATGCACCTGCAGAAGAGCCATACAACGATCCTCTAATGTCCATGGACGATGCGTATGGTGATTTTGAGCGTGATGGTCTGGCCCGATCAAGCTACTCGACCATGGAAGGCAATCGTAAAGTCAGCTACGCCGATCTGAACGAATCATCGCTTCATCTGGGTATGCCACCGATTCTCCATGATGCAGAAGACGCCCCATTTCTTGATTCAGAAAGCATGCAAGGATGGGTTCAGCGTCAGCAGCGTCCAGAGAATGGCCACACACGACAAGTGCACTTGACGGAAGGCAACTGGATCGTGGACTACCCCGTGCCTACGCCTATCTCGAACGCTGTAGAGCCCATGTACCGAGAGCAAGGCTTCCCTAAGGAGTTTACACATTTACGATACTCGGCGGTAACCTGCGATCCTGATGAGTTCACGTCGGAACATGGTTGGGGTTTGCGCACGTCAAGCGAGTATCGACGATCCACTGAGCTGCTCATTACACTGACTTACTACAATGAAGATCGCAACTTACTCACAAGGACACTGTACAGTGTCATGCAAAACATCCGGGATATATGCAAGCACCGCACTTCTCGCTACTGGCAAGGATCCGAAGAGGACGGTCAACCTGCATGGCAGAAGATCGTTGTGTCGCTTGTCTTTGATGGGATTGACCCTTGCGATAAAGAAACGCTGGATGTACTAGCGACAATTGGCGTCTATCAGGATGGACTTATGAAGCGTGAAGTGAATGGTAAAGAGACCGTGGCGCATATTTTCGAGTATACAACGCAGATCTCTGTGGATTCCACGCCGAAGCTCGTCCAGCCTGTGCCTGGCCAAGACTCCAATTTGGTACCTGTGCAAATGATTTTCTGTTTCAAGCAGAAAAATTCAAAGAAAATCAACAGCCATCGATGGGTCTTCCACGCCCTCGGTCGTATGCTTCAACCTGAGATTGTGGTGCTCATTGATGTGGGCACCAAACCAGGCACACTTGCGCTGTACCATTTGTGGGAAGCATTCTATAACAATCCCAACCTGGGTGGAGCGTGTGGTGAAATTCATGCGATGATCAAGCATGGTATCAAGCTCGTCAATCCTCTGGTTGCTGCACAGAACTTTGAGTACAAGATCAGCAATATTCTGGATAAACCACTGGAATCCACGTTTGGGTACGTTAGCGTTCTTCCTGGTGCGTTTAGTGCGTATCGATATCGTGCTGTGACGGGGCGGCCTCTTGAGCAATACTTCCATGGTGATCACACATTGGCTGAGAAGCTTGGGAACAAAGGTATAACGCAAATGAATATTTTCAAGAAAAATATGTTTTTGGCCGAAGACCGTATTTTATGCTTCGAGCTAGTTGCCAAAGCCGGTGATCAATGGATCTTGTCCTATGTAAAGCCCAGCAAGGCAGAGACGGATGTACCTGAGCATACAGCTGAGCTGATTTCACAGCGGCGTCGCTGGCTCAATGGCTCCTTTGCCGCCTCCATTTACTCGTTGGTCCACTTTGTACGGTTTTATAAAAGTGGCCATGGGTTTACGCGTATGTTTTTCTTCCATGTTCAAGCCTTGTACAACCTCATTCAGCTAATTTTATCATGGTTTGCTCTCGCCAATCTATGGCTGACATTTGCCATCATTATTCAATACCTTCCCAGTATTCTACTGCGCCAATATGGGGATGCATGGCTCATTGCTTTTCATTACGTCAACCTCATATTTATGTGGCTCTATGCATTCTTTCTGGCACTCCAATTTGTCCTGGCCCTTGGAAACCGACCCAAAAGCGAGCATCTTGTATATGCCCTTTCGTTCGCGGTGTTTGGTTTCCTGGGCCTGTATGTGATTGTAATTTCATTGTGGCTAACGGCCGAATCTTTCGCATCTATGCATCCAAAAAATGGCGACTACGCTGATGTGGTTCTAAGTAATACCACGGCAGTCCTTATTGCTTCCTTGGCAGCTATGTTTGGTATCTATCTCATTGCCTCTCTTTTATACGCTGATCCATGGCACATGCTTACAAGCTCTGTTCAATACACACTTATGGCACCCTCTTTTGTGAACGTCATCAATGTATATGCCTTTTGCAACCTGCATGATGTAAGTTGGGGCACCAAAGGTGCCGACAAAGCAGATGCACTTCCCAGCGTGGGGCCGGCGCAATCGTGCGAACAAGCGGATACCTTTGAAGAAGCGGCGCTATCGCAGGAAGAGCTCGATACCCGATTCCAAGATGTCGTATCTCGTGCTATGTCTCCCTACCATGTTGAGCATGAGAAGAGCACTCCTACGATGGACGATGGAAATCGCACATTCCGCACACGCCTAGTTGCGTTGTGGTTGTTGACCAATGCCTTTTTGGTGGCTCTCATTATGAATTTGTACGACTACCAACCCCACGCTAAACTGGATGACGAGGTACGAGAAGGAAGACAAAACCAGCAGATCTACTTCAAGGTGATCTTGTGGTCGACATTCAGCATGGCTTTATTCCGCTTCATTGGCTGTCTCGTCTTTTGGATCCGACGCCAAAGCACCAAGTGGTTCGTGCGCTCATAGTTTTTTTCTTACATAATCTGTTGTGTCCCCCCACGTCCCCCACGACAGAGATCTCAGTATGTTGACAGCATCTTCAATGCCGCATAATCCCACAGCGATGCCGCTACCTGAAATGCCGCGGATCTTGTATGGGACTGCATGGAAAGAGGTGAAAACCACCGAACTTGTTCGCATTGCGTTTCATATGGGGTTTCGTGGCGTGGATACTGCAGCTCAGCGAAAACACTATAGAGAGGACTTGGTAGGCCTTGGTCTGCAACAAGCCTGTAAGGAGCTGGGGCTGCATAGGCATGATATCTGGATCCAAACAAAGTATGTACACGCATACTAACATTCTAGATTCACGCCAATGAGCGGTCAAGACCCTACAGGGTTTCTTCCATACGACCCCCAGGCCAATGTGGCCGATCAAGTCTGTGAGAGTTTTATCAACAGCTTGCGTTACCTTCATCCAGATGCTACCATTCCTAATGTTCGTTCTCTACTGGCCAAGTACGCTGTGCGAGCCAAGCGCGATACCGAGGAACGAGAAGAAGCGCCTCTGCAGGAGGTCTATCTCGACAGCTATGTAATGCACTCACCTATGAACAATTTGCAAAGCACACTACAAGCCTGGGCAGTCATGGAGGCCCTGGTCGATGCGGGCCTAGTTCGGTATATTGGTTTCAGCAGTATGTATCTGTCTTGCTCACGATAAGATGTCTATGACCCACAGATATTCGCCATCTTGTTTGAAAAGGCGCGCATTAAACCAAGCATCCTGCAGAATCGTTGGCACAGCTCTACGGGTCATGATGTATCCCTATTGTCCCAACTCTCCCCTGTCCTCTCGCCCAACACATTCCCTCCGTCGGCCCATTTTGATGAAGATGGACCACGAGGTGTTACATATCAGCCATTCTGGACACTCACAGGCAATCCAAGACTGCTTCAATCGGATGCAGTCGCAGCACTATCTGTCGAAAAGAGCCTCACACCGGCGCAAGTGGTCTATGCCTTTGTTAGTCAGGGTATGGGTTTACCTGGCCTAGCTACATGTGTACTCAGTGGCACACAAAATGAAGAGCACATGAAAGAAGCGGTAGATGCAGTGCATTTACCATCGTGGACTGACGACCAACTAGCCTCGATACGGAAAGAGGTCTATGGTGAATAGGCCTAGGCATAGCAAGCACGTAGTGGCACAGTGGTGGCTTTCCCATGTGGAGGTGAAAGGTCGGGGCGGCGGACGCTCGCTTCGTCCGACTGTTGTCACGATGCTGATTCCGCCGCCCAACTTTGGTATGGTAGAGGAGAGTTTGTACCGATCAGGACAGCCTGATCAGCTAAACTTTCCTTTCCTTGAGAAACTTGGTTTGAAAAGTGTGATTTGGCTTGCGCCAGAGGAGCCGGAAGTAGGGTTTCAGCACTTTTGCAGCGATCAAAACATTGAAATGCACCATCTCGGTGTATTGTACAGCACAAATGCGTGGGACCCGATCACGGAAGAGATCGTACTGCAAGCGCTTCATTTGCTTGTCCAGCCCGCCACGTACCCTTGCCTTGTCATGTGCAATCTTGGTCGTCATCGAACAGGTACGGTTATTGGGTGCCTTCGAAAGCTGCAGCATTGGAACCTGAGCGCGATCTTAGAAGAGTATCGCCGGTATGCAGGCCCCAAGGTGCGCATGATGAATGAACAAGTACGTCTACATCATACTCACACCCCCAGTTTATTGAGCTCTTCGACGAAGAGTTGGTCTTTGGCGACAACCCAGCGTAAGACCTATGTATACCCCTTGTGTGATGGAAGATCAGCGTTGATATAATTACAATAGAGGATGCCTACATACTAGATCCAAGCATTAACACGAATTCATAGATGGAAAAGGTGACCACGGCGTTTGGAATGACACGCATAAGATGCGCGCTCAGACCGCCATAGAACGACGCAGCGCCTTCTTCCCGCAATACCAAGCGGAAGGTTTGCACCAAGTTTGTGTACTTGCGTATACCATTCTCAGGTTGCTGCCGCAAACGCGTACGAATCACTTCGTGGGGGTATGTAATGATGGTCGCTACCATCTTGGCTGTGCCGGCCGAGCTTACCGTTTGGAACCAAGTAAGCTGTTCATCGCGTCGTTGCCAGTGCTTCAAACGCTCGTAAAGTACCCACTGGATGGTACTTTCCGAGACACCCAAGTAACTTGCACTTAGACCTTTGTAAAATCCACGAATGCCTTCGTTGCGGAAGATATCCAGGGTCATGCGTAGCGCATTGGTACTGGGGTGCTGTGGCGGCGGCTGCGCCTGGAAGAACCGGGCACGAGGTAGAGTCGCCGTGGAGAGACATCGCTGAGGCACATCGGGTGTGCGACCTGCAGCTGATGGCGTGGCATGTTGGGTGGGGGAGGATGTGCGCACTTGGCCAACAGCTGCTTGCCTTGCAGCCTGATTCTGCGCCTCCCGTAGCTGTGATTCGAGTTGTAGACGGGTTTTAACGACCCAAATGGGGTTGGTGGCCGTAGACGTAATGATACCAGCGATCGCTGCAGCGCTGAGATGCACCATGGACGACTCAGCACCGCCATGCCAGTGCTCGGCGATGATACGTTTTCCATTGCCATATGTGTAGAAATTGATAGAGCGTGCGGGAATTACGCCCACCAAGGTAGGGCCCAACCCTTTAAAAAGAGCAGATGTGCCTTCGCGACGGGCAATGTCGACCAACAAACGGCTGGTATCCACAAACTGCAGGGCGGCACGAACAAGGACGCCCATGAACCCTGGTCGTTCAGCGGCTAGAGTAGCACGTCCACGGTACAGGTCGGATTGCAGTCGTGTCTTGACGACGTCCAAAGGCGACGTGATGATGGCGCCACACATACCGCCAGCCCTACGATATTAGAACGAACACGACAACGCAAGGCCAACATACCCTCCAGCAGCAAAATGCAGCCATGGTGGCGTCCGCTTTTCCCCTGTAGACCGAGCCATAGGACTCGATCCAGTGCGGGAGCTTGGTTCGCGCAAGCTCATGAAGATGCAAAGACAAAATGCACGCACACACGCACGACGCTGCCTCCGCCACTTTTTTTTTTTTTTTGGTCAGCCACACCGACCACCACTCTCGTCCTCTTGGCGTCGTATGCGATGCTGACAAATCCATATAGGTAGACAGACAGCAAAAAAAAAAAAAAAAAAAGGCTTCTCCACGTGTAAAAGAGGCCCACAGAGGGCTGGCTGACTCTACGTGATCGTGGTGTACGTCATTTTTTACCCCTCCCCCTGCTTGAACGCTCATGTGTGGAATTATCGCTGTGCTGCTGCAGCACGGGCATGCCGCCTCCGAACTGCATGAAGGTCTCGGTGTGTTGCAGCACCGTGGCCAAGATGCAGCGGGTATTGTCACATGTGGTGCGAAAGGCCGCTTTTTCCAAGTCAAGGCCAATGGCATGGTGCGTGACGTCTTTGACCCACGCAGCATCGCCAGCATGGTCGGCTCGATGGGTGTAGGCCATGTGCGCTACCCGACGGCCGGCTCCTTCTCGCTATCGGAGGCTCAACCGTTCTACGTGAACAGCCCGTACGGTATTGTGTTTGCCCACAACGGCAACACAGTGAACCAGGACGAGCTGCGTACGATGCTTGATACGGAAGCACACCGCCATGTGAACACAGATTCCGATTCAGAGTTGCTCCTGAACTTGTTTGCGCATCACTTGCAGCGTACAGGCAAGTTCCGTATCAACGAAGAGGATATCTTTGCGGCCATTCAGTCGCTCATGTCAGAGGCCGTGGGCGCTTACTCTTGTGTCGCCATGCTGGCCGGGTTTGGTATTATTGCGTTCCGTGATCCGCATGGTATTCGTCCGCTGGGTATGTGCCGTCGCCAGGCGGAGGGCCCGGCGTCGAGTGGCCACGGAATGGATTACTGTTTCGCCAGTGAGAGTGTCGTTGCCGACTCGCTCGACTTTTCTGAGTGGGAAGATGTGCGACCTGGTGAGGCGGTCATTGTGACCAAGACCAATGTTACCCGCCGCCAGCTAGTAACGAAGCCGGCGCCCAACACCTTTACGCCGGATATCTTCGAATACGTATACTTTGCTCGTCCGGACAGTGTGATTGATGGCGTGAGCGTATACCGCAGCCGTATGGCGATGGGCGACCGCCTTGCAAAGCAGGTCCAGGCGGAGCTGCTGGACAAGGGCGAAAAGATTGACGTCGTGATTCCTGTGCCCGATACATCGCGTGTGGCTGCGCTGCAGTTGGCGCAGACACTGGGCTTGCCTTACCGTGAAGGGTTTATCAAGAACAGGTACATTGGGCGTACCTTCATCATGCCTGGCCAGAGTGTGCGCCGTAAGAATGTGCGCCGCAAGCTCAATGCGATGGCCCTCGAGTTTGCCGAAAAGAGCGTGTTGCTGGTCGATGACAGTATTGTGCGTGGCACTACGTCGCGCGAAATTATTCAGATGGCACGTGAAGTCGGTGCGAAAAAGGTGTTTATGGCGAGCTGTGCGCCGCCGATCCGTTTCTCGAACGTGTATGGTATTGATATGCCGAGCCGCAACGAACTGGTAGCGCATAACCGCAGCGTCGAAGAAGTCGCAGCGACCATCCAGGCCGATGCTGTGATTTACCAGACGCTGGACGAACTGGTGGACAGCGTTCGTGCTCTCAATCCGGCGATTACGAAGTTTGACTGCTCGGTCTTTGACGGTCAGTACGTCACGGGCGGGGTCGATGAGGCGTACCTCATACACCTTGAAGGCCTGCGCTCGGACAACGAGCAACGCAAGAAAAAGGCGCAAAAAGTTGATGCATCCCTCTCGGCGCCCGAGTCAGAGACGCTCGCAAGCTGCAGTGGGCCGTTCAACGCGTCGGAAGATATCAGTCTGCATAACAGCAAAGCGCGCTAAGGTCAAGGTCATATCGATGTCGTTCGTACATATATAGTATACTTCTTCGTCTATGTTACGTGTTCGTTAAGCGCCTGTGCATTTGGCCCACCAGCCCTGCTCATGGCGGTCAGCATGCGAAGCCAAGAACTGGCGGAGAGTGCACAGGCCATCCACGCGGTCCTCACAGTGCTCCAGCTGCCGCAGCGGGACAATCGCGTCGTTGAGTTTCATACGCACATACGTCTGCGGTGGGTACGCTTTCAGCGGCACACGTCGACGGCGCAGCGTAGGCGGTGGCAAAGGCGGGTTCGGGACGGGGGATGGGCAGTCAAATACCTCAAACACCATACGTGCACCGAAGGGCACCACCTGCGAGGTTCGGAAAGCGCGATGGGGATCGTCCACGGAAGGCGCCACACCCAGCTCCTTAAGACGCATAGCTGCAAGGACGCTTGTGATCACCGAGTCGTGCGTAAAGTCCGCATAGATCGCACGATCGACAGGGAAGTATGCCGCATCGTTGTTCAGCGTCGCATTCTCCGACGTCTGCGTCGCTGGGTCCCATGCTTTGTGTGTCATACGATGAAGCATCTCATTGAGCCAACCGAGACCCATCGCAGGACCGACAACATTCCCAGCACCGTAATCGTAGTAAAAGCGCTGGTCCCAGGCAAATTCATAGCCACGCCACTCCTCTTCCGTGAACAAATGGCAAAACTCGCTGCGGCCGTACGCCACTGTATCGTACGAGCACAGCTGCTGCATGCCAAACAAGATCGCCGGCGTAAGAGTTGCGCCATGCACATGCGCTTGCAAGCGCTTCGTTGCCTTGGCCAAGTATGTCTGAACCCAGTCGGCCACTTGGAACGATTCAGCGGCCGCACTGCATGCAAAGTTGGGCGCAAGCGTCGTATTAAAGCCTGGCTCCTCAATTTGGATCTCAACGTTCGTCTTGTTGACCCATGAGTTGCCCCAGAACCCTGTCGCCCAAGCCAGAGCGCTATCGACGATGCGCTGCTGACTGCCTGTGCGAACAAGCAATTTCCTGCCATGCTCCAAGTCGTCGGCGGCCAGGCGGCCATAGTCCATCGCAGCTTTAACACCAGACATGTGCAGCTGCTCCCGGCCAAGCGGTACAAGAAGCTCCGAGCCCAAGCGGTACGTGTAGTGCGAAAGGAAAGCCAGAGGCCCATCGAACGTAACACCGGGCTGAGCTAGCAACGCAGATACGGCCTCCGTCGGTGCGCCCTTGGTCGGATACCGCGAGCCATGGCGGTGCAGAATGTGCACCTGGCGCAACGAGCATGTGCCATTGGCGGACTCGGGTGTCGCAAGGTAGCGCGCGTTATCGATATCGCCATGCTGGGCAGAATAGTACGGCGAGAGGGGGCCCATATGGTAGCTGCACGGTGAGTATGTATGGTACGTACAATGGATTGAACTTCTCGTCAAACTCGGGCATCGACGTCTGGATAGGCGAGACGCCGCGGGTGGGGGTAGGCGCCGGCTGCATTTCGTCGGCAAACTGCGGCGGTGTGCCCGTTTCATAGGAGCCCGGCCATCCAATGTACGTAGGAAACGACGCAGGACGACGCTGAGCCGTGGTAGGCTTCTTCGTCTGGACTTCCACAGACTTGTCATCATGCGAGGAGGATGGGCTCAGCGCAAAGTAAAAGAGACCAGCGAGCAGGCCGGCAATGCATAGCAAGCTCCACAGCTGGACCATGCGCCGACGTGCTGGTGGCATACGACTCAAATCAAAATGACGGAGCCATGGCGGACGACCAGCATGATCGACCTCTGCATCTACATGTTCCTGGCCTGGCGCCATGTAGCCGCCGCGGGCGGTACGATACGGCTCATCGCCGCCATGACTGGGCACAGAGTGCAAGATCGGCCGACCATGTTCGTCTGACTCCATATGATGAAGACTGCTTGTGAGTAGCCTTGTACATACATCAACTTCTCCATCTCCGCAGGGTCTTGCTCCATACTCTCACGTACGTCGCCTGGCATCGTGACGAGAGGACAGCAGCTGTACCTACCTATCACGCACCGATCTTCCCTCCAAGGGAGGGGGAGTGGATGCGTGAGGCCACGTGATCCGACGCGTGTGATTCCTCCACCTCTCGGGCGCCGCTGGGAGGGTGGAATACCAACACATTGGTGGTACGTCGTGCGTAGACCATGGCGACCCTAGGGTACGTGATCTTATCCCGCTTACATGCAGCCTATCGAAACCGTATGGCTACAATATGCGGAGGATGGGACAGGAAGGCAGTCGCGCCTAGTACGTCGAGATACCTACTCACACTAGCCAACTCAAACGACTCGCAGAATCCACCCTGGGTAGTGGCAACCTCAGTGTCGCTGTTCGTCTCCCGGAAGGCGAGCTTTTTGAAGAATGGTTGGCTGTGAACAGTATGTACACGTCTACTCACGTCCAGCGGTCGACTTTTTCAACCATTTAAATATCCTCTACGGCACGCTGACCGAGTTTGTACGTGATCTTGGCCCTGGACTCACACGCAGTGCACAGCCCGAGAATGCCCCGTAATGTGTGCGGGACCGCGCTTCGAGTACCACTGGCAAGACTCGTCGTCGACCAAGTACCGGCGATCCACACGTCTGTCCGCACCGGACTATATTGAATGCCTTCTCAACTGGGCGCAGCGCCAAATTGATGACGAGCAGCTGTTCCCGGTGGACGCGCAAGCGCCATTCCCGCCTGTGTTTGTGGACCGCGTGAAAGCTATGTTGCGTCGTCTCTTCCGCATCTATGCGCACATCTATAACCACCACTTTGCACAGATGTGCGCATTGCGTTTGGAAGTGCATCTCAATACATCTTACCGACACTTTTTCCTGTTTGTGCACGAATACAAGTTGATGGATCCCCGCGAGATGATTCCCCTCGCAGAGATCAACGACGCGATTTTGGAAGAACATAAGCGTCTCACTTCTTCTAGGTAGATGTCTCACGAAGTACAAGTAGTACACTTTCCAGTACGTCCATCGCCTCGTCCACCTGCGCCTTGGTCACTGTAAGACTCGGCGCAAAGCGCACGGTATCGCTACCGGCCGATAGGAGCAATACACCACGCTCGCGGGCGAGCGCCACTACGCGACCAACATTCGATGCCTCCTGGAGGCCCAGACCGACCAGCAGACCACGTCCACGAGGACTGCCTTCTGCCGCGACCAGGTCAGGGAATAAGGTTTGAATACGCTGCAGACGAGTGAAGAGATGCTCGGACATAGCATGTACATTCTTCACCAACGCCGGGTCAGCGAGGCGGCCAAGTACATGGTGCGCAATGCGGCACGTCAGCGGACCGCCGCCAAACGTCGTGCCATGATCACCCGCGACAATCGCTTGCGCGATGGTGGGACGCATAAGCACAGCACCGATAGGGAAGCCATTGGCCAGTGGTTTGGCCATGGTCACCATATCGGGGTGGGCATCAGTGGGCATCGCCGAATGGCACCACATTGTACCTGTACGGAACAATCCACACTGGATTTCATCGTAAATCAACGTAGCTCCGACTTCGTCACACCGACGACGAACGGCTTGCAGCCAGGCCACATCAGCCGGAAACACACCACCTTCACCCTGTACAGGCTCAACAATCACGCCAGCTACATCCTCGCGAATCAAGTCGTGAAGCTGAGCGGTATCGTTGTACGTTCCCACACGCACATCGCCAATCAAAGGCATGAATGGCGCTTGGTACTTGGGGTTGGGCGTCATAGAGAGGGCGCCCATGGTACGACCATGGAATGCATTCTTGAACGACACAAGCACGGTACGGTTGGCATCCTTGCTCTTCGCGTACTTGCGCGCGAACTTGAGCGCTGCCTCGTTCGCTTCTGTGCCACTGTTGCATACAAACACACGCAAATCCTCGCCGGAAGCAGCAGGCGGTGCATGAGGCGCAAGGCCGACACCGCCATGTTCATGCGTCATAGCGACAAGTTTGTCAGCCATCTCGCCACTCCATTCATTGTAGAAGAGATTGCTGGAGTGCACTAGTGTCGCAGCTTGTTCACCGGCAATGCGCGCAATGTCAGGATCCGCATGACCGAGGGAATTGACCGCAATACCTGCAGAAAAGTCTAGGTACCGACGATATTCCTTCTCTGCACCAGGTTTGCTAGGCACCTGGGCGTACAAGTCGAGTCCCTTGCCATGCGAAAACACAACATGCGGACGAATGTACGTGCCCAACGTGGTCTGGCCAAATCGCTGCAGTTGTCCACCAACTGTAGTCGAGGTAGGCGCATCCACAAAGTCGGGATGCGTAGCTTTCATGTACTTGGTACACGCGCTGGCCTGCGTTGTGTAGGCGCGGCAGCCGCGCGTCCAGGCCCACGACGTGGTACGGGGCAGCATGGTAGAAGGAAAGTATGACTAGATAACGATCCGAGTGGAGAGATAAAACAGGCCCTATTTGGGTCCTCCACTAGGTGGCGTCTATGTTCTAGGTCTACTGCAGCCGACGCACAACACTCTCGCGCTTGCGCTGATTCTCCGACAAACCATGCGACCAGTGCTGTGGGTCTTCTGCACCGTCAGGCTTGTCCGTACGTGTGCCCAAGCGAATGTCCGTAGCAATGCGGCCTACGCCCATAGCGTGAACGGCCTCGTGGCAACGCTGAAGCGCTTGCCAGACCTTGGAGATCGGGCCTTCTACATTGGTCCCGTAGCCGCTACTCATAAGTCTTCCATGATACGTACTGAAGCTATCATGTAAGTGGAAGAAACATACGTACCTCGTAGCGAATACCTTCCGATTTCATCGATTCCAGGACACGTTGACATTCGGTGATGTACTCGCCGACCGATGTCGTGGGCGTACCCATCGGGATCACTAGCGATGTTAGTGTGGTAGCACATACAGCAAAAGTCTCTATAGGTAAGCGATGGTCATACGTACGCGGCCGCATACAGTTCCGGTGTCTCAGATGTCGTCATGGTCAATGCGAGACAAGGTCGATGCACGTGATGGAGGGAAGGCTTTTCTCGCATGCCAATTTTTTTTTAATGCGCACTGACTTGCTTCACCTTCGTGGGATGAGCGGCACGGAGACGGCAGCAGCGGCGCCCACGTCGTTTGCGGCGCTGGGCATCTCCATGCAGCTTGTGCGTGCACTCAAAATGCTTGCGATCACGGTCCCCACCCCGATTCAGGCCGCATGTATCCCCGCGATTCTGCAGGGCCGTGATGTGATCGGTGGTGCGCAGACAGGGTCAGGGAAGACCTTAGCCTTTGCCTTGCCGATTCTACAGAATCTACTCAAAGATATGACAGGTGGCTATGCTGTGGTCCTTACGCCGACACGTGAACTCGCCGTGCAGCTCCAGGAACAGTTTCTAGCTGTAGGACAAGGCAGTCGTATGGGCCTGCGATGTGCTTTGGTCATTGGCGGTGTGGATATGATCAAGCAGGCCAATGAACTGGCTGCACAGCGACCACATGTGATTGTCGCCACGCCTGGTCGCTTGGTCGACCTTCTGTCGTCGGGCGCTGCGCAGGACTGGGGCTTGGAACGATGCTCGTTCGTCGTGCTAGACGAGGCAGATCGCTTGCTGTCACCAACATTTGCCTCAGCCCTATCGTACCTATTTTCCGTCCTTCCATCGCCACGTTTGCGGCAGACGCTCCTTTTCACAGCTACACTCACGCCGGAAATTGAACGCTTGACAGAAAAGCCGCCAGAGGATGGCAAGCAGCCGCCGTTGTTGCGCAAGATTGAGATGGATACATCAACACCTGCGACGCTTCAGCAGCACTACGTGCTGGTACCCTCGCATATGCGCGAACCCTATTTGGTTCACTTACTGCACGATCCACCATGCCGGTCCCAAAAGACAGCCGCCGCGACGACGAAGCTGGCCGACATCTATCGGACCACGACCAAAGCACGCAAAGAGGAGAACAGTGAGGCAGAAACACCTTCCTTTCCCCTCACCATTGTGTTTGTATCGCGAGGCAAAACTGCAGAGTTGGTGTCTCGTGTGCTAACGGAGCTGGGTATCGCCAATGTATCTCTGCACTCGATGCTACCACAGTCCAAGCGACTTGAACATTTGCAAATGTTTCGTGCACGTCGTGTCCCTATTCTTGTGTCTACCGACGTGGGCAGTCGTGGTCTGGATATCCCTGACGTAGAATTGGTCGTGAATTGGGACGTGCCAGCAGCCTGGGAAGACTATGTGCACCGAGTGGGTCGTACTGCTCGTAAAGGCCAACAAGGCTGGGCTGTGAGCTTTGTTACGGAGCATGATGTGTCCCTCATCCAGTCCATCGAAGAGAAAATTCACAAGACCCTCGATGTATGGGAGATGCCTGAATCGCAAGTGCTCGAACGGCTCTCTGCTGTATCTGCTGCGAAGCGAGTAGCTTCTATGGTACGTACTTTCTTGACTTACACCAGGCTCTGCATGATGAAAAGTTCGGCGAGCAGCAGGAACGAAACAAACGCAAAGCACGACGTGCGCAGCGTGCTAACGACAAGGCCAAACGTGCCAAGCAGGAAGAATAGCTAGCTTTGCATAGCATGTATACTATTTTGTGGGTATAAAGGATCTACACGCCTCGGTTGTTACGGACGCGGCGGTGGGGGTTGCGTCAATGGTGGCGGCGGGCGTGAAAAATCAGGCGGTGGCATACCCGGCGGCGGTCGCGCAAAGTTGGGCGGCGGCTTGGAAAAGTCAGGCGGTGGTACGCCAGGCGGTGGTACGCCAGGCGGCGGGCGAACGGGCATCGGTACACCGCCAGCAATGGGTGCACGGCCATTGGGCATGAGCGACGGCGGCGGAAGGCGGTAGGCCAAGTGCGGTGCCACCAGCTCCATCGGCGGTGGTAGGTTTCGTGCTTCGTACCCCTTTAGGATTTTATCCGCAATCTCCTGCAACTCGGCGGCAGGCAAAGCTACGGGTGAGTCATGAACGTTGGTACGTACAAGCATAGTACTCGCGCACATTTTGCAGGTGATTTCTACCGCAGTTGTGTGCTTTGCGGACTGGTGTAAGTTGACATTCTACACGTACCAGACGTGGAGTCGTGCGTAAGAAATACGTCGCAGTAATCTACTAATTAGACCATGGCTCGTTTACGTACCGCAATAGTGCTTGCCCATCACGTCGTAGCGGCGCTGCAGCAGCCCAAGCAAGGATAGGCTTTTCGTGTGGACGACAAAAATGTGGAGCTGGAGATGCACGACACGTGGCCATGGAGCCCTGTGTGTCGGTGGGCCCCTCGAGACCGGGGGCCGTGCCGCATCGACAGCCCAGGGTTCTGCCTCGCGTCCGTCTGCGGTGGGTGACACGTTGCGAGTGGATCATGTCGCACACACTGTTAGCACACTTGCAACATGGGCTTATCCGTCTCGCGACTATCTCGCCACGCGTTCTAGCGAGTCCGCCTACGCAGCCGCGTCGTGCGAGTGTTGCGCTGATTCTTCGTATTCGCCCTGCCGCCGAAGACGAGGCGTGGCTTCGTGCCAAGTGGCGCCAAGGCGAGGCCAGTGAAGAGGATGCACACCTCTTCCCTTCCATGTCGCAGCAGGATGCCAACGGTACTATGACCACTGAGGCTCGTTTGCGTCAGTTTTTTGCGCTGCCATGGGTCCAGCGTGGCACGCCAGAGGTGCTCTTCATCAAGCGTGCTGTGCGTGAAGGTGACAACTGGTCGTCGCACGTTGCTTTCCCTGGTGGTCGTCGCGATCCTGAAGATGAAAGTGGCGTGTATACGGCCATGCGTGAGACGTGGGAAGAAGTGGGTATCGATTTGGCCGACAAGGAGTTTTTACATGTCGGCCATCTCGAGGACCGCGAGATCACGAGCAGCCTCGGCAAACGCCTGCTCATGATCCTCAGTCCGTACGTGTTCATGCAGCTGTCACCGTTCTCGCCGCTGCCGAACCTGCAGCCGACGGAAGTTTCGTCGCTGCACTGGGTGCCGCTGTCGCTGCTTTTCACGCCGACGCCCAAGTGGGGCACGCTTCATATTGATATTGCACGTCATGCTCCTCGCAGCACCTTTGTGCGACTTCTCCTCCAAATGCTGGTGGGCAAGATGTCATTCCGGTGCATTGAGCTGGCCAACGCTCCTTCCGCGCTGCCTCTCCAGGATGCCGCTCAGATTCTGCCGGACGTGAAAGGCCCCGTTCCACCTGTGCGTGTGGAAGACGATGATACGCTTCAGCTCTCGCCTTCGCAGCAAGAGTACGTCGCATCGCACACACCGCCTTTGCAGTTGTGGGGCTTGACGCTCGGTATGACCCTTGATTTTCTGTCGCATATGGCTACGTACAACATGCATGTACTTCCGAAAGAGCCGCCAGCTATGAGCTCACTGAAGCGTTTTCTCTCTCATACCCCCTCTGCATGGCTACTTGGCTCGCCTCAGACGTCGGTGCTGGCGCAAAAGGCGCCCAGTACGTCGGAGGTCTTCCCACGCTTCACGTACCCTGACGTCAACTTTTGGATTTGGATGTTTGGCTGGCGATACCGTGCTATACACCGCCGCTGGCAGGAGAGTATCGGTACCGAGTTGGAGCATCATGCGCATTGGTCCGGTCTCGCGATGGCCGCCTTCTACTCGTGCGTGCGTCGGGCCTTGGTGCTGACTATGGTCCTGCGTGCCATGGGTCTCGTTACCCTTGCCTCGCTGGGTACATGGTTTACGCTACGCCGCTTTCGACGCGCACATTTGTAGGCGGCAAGGGGTCATCCTGTTTTCCTAGATCGATAGAGATGTGCATTACTGACTACTTGTTCAGTTCTTCCGAGCGCTTTTGCAGTTCTTCATCGGCTGCAATGTGAGAATAGGCGCATACGTACATAAAGGCTTCTCCAGCTGCGAAGCCGTCTGTGTATCAAGGATGCGTGGGCCAGGGTTCGCCTGTACAGTACCACTCGCGGCGTCCGTAGGCGCCTGGCCAGTGGTGGCGTTGGGGTCATTCGCTTACGATATTAGCATCCTCATACATACACTTGGCCGGATGAGGTCTGAGAGAAGGGGGTTAGAGATCGTCAAGACACGTACTGAATCGAGAAGGAAGGATCACTTTGTTGGCTCGCCATACTGTCAAGGAAGGTCAAGAAATACGATACGATGGCCGTGCGCGACCGTGGAGCGGCGCGCCTGTGAGGACGGACGAACATGCAGCACGTGACGCCCACGCCGAACCCTTGTCATTATTGGTTTCGGTCGTGCAAGGGCAAAGCGTCTGCAATGGAACGCGGAGTGACTGCATATTTCTCTTTTTGCGTCCCAGGCGTGGCAGTGCGTGGTTCTGCCCTGAACTACGACGAAGAGTGGGTTTGGGACGATGTGGTTCCTACGCTTCGTGTGTGGGGCGTTTGTTTGGTTTGCTGGCGTGTGTGTATGTACACAGACTCAGTTCTATGCGCGTGATGATGCGCATGGCCCTGAAGTGCCTGATACCGCGCCGGGCCTGCCTGTCATCCCCCTGGTCCCCTTCAATGGGAATGACTCGATGCCGTCGAGCCCACCGACGTACCCGTCGCCTAATACGACGACGCGTGGGTACTGGGACGAGCCTGTACGCCGTGCGCGCGAGACTGTCTCCAAGATGAACGTGTCAGATCTAGTGACGCTGGTCACAGGCAGTGGCTATGGCAACGGATTATGTGTCGGCAATATTGCTCCGATCCCCTCTATTGAGTTCCCTGGTCTATGCCTGCAGGATAGTCCACTTGGATTGCGTGGTGTGGACCTTGCTACTGCGTTCCCACCTGCGATTACGGCAGCGGCGACGTTTTCGAAGCAGCTCATGTACGAGCGTGGGGTGGCGCTCGCCGAAGAGTTCCGGGATAAGGGCGTGAATGTGTTCTTAGGCCCCATGATCAATGTGATTCGTGCGCCTGCAGCGGGTCGCAACTGGGAAGGATTCGGGGCGGATCCGTACGTGAACGGCGAAGGCGCGTACCAAACCGTACTCGGCGTGCAGTCGAAAGGCGTGCAAGCTGTGCTTAAGCACTACATTGCGAACGAGCAAGAGCATTTCCGCAATACGGGCTCGTCCAACCTGGATGAACGCACCGAGCGGGAAATTTATCTGCATCCCTTCCTCCGCGGTATTCAGGCAGGCGCTGTCTCCGTCATGGCGTCGTACAATTTCGTGAACAACACGTGGATGACTCAGAACCCCTACCTGCTCAATGGGCGCCTCAAGACCGAGTTGGGATTCCAAGGGTACGTAATGTCGGACTGGGGTGCACATCACTCGGGCGTCGCCTCTGCGAATGCCGGTTTGGACATGACCATGCCAGGTGGGACCAGCTGCTGTGAGCTGAATATCACGAGCTACTGGGGCGCCAATCTGACGCAAGCAGTGACCAACTCGTCTGTACCGCTTTGGCGGGTGCAGGACATGGCGACACGTATTTTGGCCGCGTACTACTTTGTGCATCAAGATGAAGGCTACCCCAAGCCCAACTTTAACTTTTTCGATATCAACGACCCAGCGACGAATGGCCATGTGAATGTGATGCGGGACCACCATCTGATTGCCCGCGAAGTGGCTACGGCCGGTACGGTCCTTCTGAAGAATGTCAACCAGACGCTTCCACTGCGGCAGCCGAAGAAGCTCGTGATGATCGGCTCGGATGCAGGGCCTTTCCGACTGGGTGCACACCACTACCCTGACCAAATTGGATGGCCCTATGGTCCGCTGGGCATGGGCTGGGGGTCTGGTACGGCCGTGTATTCGTACATGATTTCACCGTATGAAGCGATCCAGCGTCGTGCACGTGCCGACAATACGGCTGTGGACTGGTCGTTTGACGACTTTGACTACGGCACAGCGCAAGCGGCGGCGAACTACACGGATGCTGCCCTGGTGTTTGTCACGTCGAATTCCGGCGAGGCGTACGGTACTGTGCCCAATGTGAAGCCGGTGGACCTTTCTGCGAACATGGGCGACCGCAACAACCTGACGCTGTGGAATGGTGGTGAAGAGCTGATCAAGCAAGTCGCTGCCGTGAACAACAACACGATTGTCGTGGTGCATGCCGTTGGTCCTGTGACGATGGAAGACTGGATTGACCATCCCAATGTCACGGCCGTAGTATGGGCGAATTTGCCGTCGTCGGAGAATGGCAATGCGTTGGTCAACATTTTGTACGGTACCTACAATCCCTCGGGCCGCTTGCCATACACCATTGCACGCCGCCGCGAAGACTATTCGGCAGACGTCCTGTACAACGACAAAGCGCCGCACCCCCAAATCAACTACACCGAGCAGCTCGGCGTGGACTACCGCTGGTTCGATAGCCAGAACATTGCACCACGCTTCGAGTTTGGCTTTGGACTGTCGTACACCAACTTTACGTACGATGATCTCCACATTGATACACTGGGTGCGACTTCGTGGAACGACCGTTGGCAGGGTGCCATCGCTTCTGATGGCCTGCCGGACTGGCTCTTCGACGATGCCTTCAAAGTACACTTTAACGTGAGCAACACAGGTGGCTGGGACGGCTTTGAGGTGCCGCAGGTGTACGTTGGCTTCCCACCCAGCAGCGGTGAGCCTCCTCGTGTTTTGCGTGCGTTCGATCGTGTATGGGTACCTCGCAATCAAACCACCCCTGTCTCCTTCACGCTGAACTATTATGACCTGTCTGTGTGGAACGCTACGCACCAGCAATGGCGTCGTCCGGAGGGCGACATTTCAGTGTTTGTTGGTGCGTCCTCTCGCGATCTGCGTCTGAACACGACCTTACCTTCTATGTAATGTTATACTAATTATGTACCTGTTATTCACGCATCTTTTTTCTCTGTCGGGACGAGGATCGCTACGTCCTCTTCTTCGTCTACATCGAGCGCTTCGTCGTTTGACGACGCAAGCGCCATATCGATCGAGGCCGCTGCAAAGCTCGTGTGGGTCGGCGAACGAGGCCCCACATTAAATGTGCTACGCGTCGGCGAGAGGGGTGTCGGGCTGTGTGGTGGCATGCGGGCGGAGGGCGACTTGGCCAACGAACCGCTCGTTTGACGTAGGGACGGCGACGTAGGCATCACTACACTCGGCCGTCGCGCTGTGGGCGACATCCCCACATCGCTGGGCCGTCGCATCGAGGGCGAGGTCGGCATACGAGGTGAGTTGGGCGCGGTGTTGGACGCTGATGTGGATGGCGGAGCCAAGGCCGGCGAGCCAGGCAGTCCTTCGGCACGCTGACGAATCGAGGGCGACACAGGGAACGCATTGCTCGTTTGGCGCACCATCGGCTGGCTCGTAAACGTGCCGCTCATCTTGCGCATAGCTGGGGACCCGGGTAGGCCACTACTAGGCTGCCGCAAGCCCGGGGAAAGTGGCATGGGACCCGTCTCACTGGGTCGACGAAGCATGCTGGTTGCTGACAAAGGACCACTCATTTGTCGCGCCATCGGCACAGCTGTAAATCCATCGCTGGCCTGACGCATGGTCGGCGACATGGGCATGGCCGGTGAAGCGGGAATCGACCCTGGTGCTGGCCCACCAAACGTGGCGCTTTGCGAGAGAAAGGGTGTACCAAATGTGCTGCCTTGTGACATTGCTGGCGAAGGCGGGATCGAGCTGTTGGCACTGTACATTGACGTGGGCGAGTCAGGGAGGACAGGCGTATCAGGCATCGACGGCGTTTGGCGCAAGACGGGCGTATGCATAGCACTGCTACCACGGCGCACACCCGATACGTACACGTCGTCCACATCGCTCGCGACACCCGAGGTAGGATTCGACCAGGCTCCCCCCACAAACGACGCTGCAGAGCGCGAGGCAGGTGACAGCACATCCTCCCGCTTCTTCGACGACGCCAATCCATGCTTCGAAGGAACAGGCGGTCCACCACGTGCTTGTAGCCAGCGGCGGCACAGCACCGTCGGCCAGAACAGAGGGATGCGTACAGGGAGCAGCAGCGACAAATGTCGATCTCGCATGGCGTGCGCAGCGGCCGGGAGCGTGACCGTTTGCGCGCCAAACGACGTACTTTGTGGCTGCGGATCGCCGAGGAAGGCTAGGATGGTGCAGAAGGGGAATACCAGCATGAACAGCATCATGTTCAGAAGGCCACTGGGATGGAAGAACGAGACCAACGTCGAGGGAATGCCGAAGCCAATCAGGTACGACCAATGCGACTCGGCGAACCGTAGGCGCTTCTCCATCGACCAGCCACGCACGACCCATACCTGCTCGAAGCAAAAGTACCCGTCGACAAACGACATCAGGAGGAACGCACACGCCGGGCCGATCCACGGCACCATTTGAATCGCAAAACAGGCGATAGAATAATTCACAATCAGCACAAGACGTACAAGCTGCTCGAGCCAAAACACGCCATACTCTTTACGTGGTGATGGCCGAATATTGTGCGCTAGGAACGCGGATTCAGCCACACCTACACTCCACGACGATGCCATAAGATAGCTGCCGGCAATGAGGGGGTACAGCCAAAACGTGCTTCCTACGGAGCCGATCCACTGCTCTGGATCCAGCCACGACGTTTCTTGGACCGACATATCAGGCCAAATTTCCTCTTTCTCCCATTCCGGCAGGACAGTCAAACTGAATACGTAGACCAACGCCGAGACAAGGCTGCTGAGGCACAGGCCTTTTATGAGACCCCAGCGTAGCGCTGACGAGCTGCCGCGTAAATGTATAGTGTGCGTACCTCTGTGCTAGTGAAAATACTTGCGTCCATTGATTGCCATCTGTCCAGCCGGCCCACGCCCACGAGCCATGGACCATCGCACTCCTTACCACATTGACACGTGGCGCACTGGTACTGGGGCCTTTGGAGCTCCATATCCCCGCATCGAACAGGGACAGGCCATCATCGTACTTCTCGTCTAGCTGAGAAGATACGTTGGCATCCGTATCAAAGTCGACGGACTGAATCGTCCCTCGGCCTTTCCGCGGCATCCAGTGTCGCAGGGCGTGTCGTAAGTGTGGGAGCGTCACGTCGTTATATTGTCAGGCACTTTCTACAACATCCAACACTTGCTTATGTAAACGTTTCACGCGCCGTTCGCGTTGCGTGGCGTGGCGCGGCGTGGCGCAGCGTCCAGTCTCGTACCAGCGGCGCTGTTGTTCTCCACGTTCTATCGACGCGTGACGGGCTTGGGTGCATCTACGTTGTGCGCCATGCCGAAAGAGCTTCCACCGGTGGACGTGGAACATCCAAGCGACTTGGATTTCATGATCCAGACCATTCAGTCCTATGCCCTCGATATTGGCCGTGAGCGACTACGGGCACGCGGACGAGGTGCAGCTCACCTCGAGCCCATGCTAGAACAGGCTGTTGGACGTGTACGTATCCAAGCATGCTAATTTCATCTACAGTGGGTCTACGCAGCACGTACACGCCTGATCCCAAATGTTCATATCAACGGCCTGACACTAGCCGAGTACGCGAAAGACGCCGCAGGTACGTATGAAACACACATTCTCACCCTAGCTATGGAGCCTTTTGATGAGGCACTCTCTGCCAAGGTCAATACCCTGTCGGACCAAGTGGACGAAACGACGGAGCGCGTAGTCGAGTGCCGCAAATCTATACCCACCGCCTTTGCGCAAGCCGTTCATCGCCGCGCCGAAGCGATGGGCGCGTTGGTGAATGCCAAAGAGGAGCAGCGCCGCCGCCGCCTACGCAAGTCCAAGCCCTATTCACGCTTCAGCGCCCTTACACGTGGCCGGCCCTTGCATAGTATGTTGTGCGTATGCGATCTAACAACCCTTAGTCGATACCGACGCGAAAGACCGCGCAGCTGCTACGTTGCAATCTAGCTATGACATTTTACATCATTTGCACACAGTATGTATTTGGGCGTTCCTGCTCCCTTTTTGCTGCAAGCATGCTAACAATGATGTTCCAGGTTTTGCCCGAAAGGCGTCAAGCTGCATTGGATCAGGAACGCTTAATCCGTCGCTTGCACAAGTCTGTCCCTTAGTGTTGGGGGTTGTAGTCCAGGTTGCCCCTTGCCAATCGGCACGTCGGCTATAGGCCGGTCGCTTGACGAACAAAGCGCGACGGTGCGTCTTAAGCCTCTCTATAGATACCCTATTGTGATTGGAACATGTCGTATGCATTCGTCATTTCCTGACTAATAGTGACTGTCGATCGCTCAAAAAAATTCCTAAAAGCATCCCGGGATGCACCGGGCTGCACGGGCACGCATCCTGTCCATGCGCTATACGGCCGCGTGGGTTCGTGCACAGCATCTAGTGCGCAACGTCGGGCCTCGCCGCCTTTATTCTTTCTATCACAGCAGGTTCAACGATATGGGTGTGCACAAGCAGAGGGTTGCGATTATTGGCTCCGGTAACTGGTACGTGTATCGTTTTTGGTGGTCTACTAACACCTCTGTAGGGGTAGCGCTATTGCCAAGATTGCTGGTATGTTGTCTGATTGACTTATCTCCTAGGCTACAACTGCGCTCGTCACACCGAGTTATTCGAGACGCGTGTAAACATGTACGTGTACGAGGAGATGGTATGTATGCTTTTTTTTTTTTTCTTTCTCACACCCAGGTGGATGGCCGCAAGTTGACGGACATCATCAACACCGAGCACGTGAACACGAAGTACCTTCCTCATGCTCGTCTGCCTGAGAACGTCGTGGCTGTGCCTAGTGCTGAGGAGGCGGCGTGTGATGCTACCCTGCTGGTGTTTGTGCTGCCGCACCAATTCATTCTCAACGTGTGCAAGTCGTTGCGCAACGCCATTGCGCCGGATGCGCACGCTATCTCGATGATCAAGGGTGTCGAGGTGGCCGAACACGAAATTAGCATCTACGCTGATGTGATCCAGGATGCTCTTGGTATCCCATGCGCTGCTCTCAGTGGTGCTAACATTGCCAACGAGGTGGCTTCGGGTCTCTTCTCTGAGACCACGGTCGGTTACCGCCCGCACCAGCGCCGCCTGGCGGAATACTATGTCCGCCTCTTTGACACTCCCCAGTTCCGCGTGGGTATGATCGAGGACGTGGCTGGTGTCAGTCTTTGTGGTGCCCTGAAGAACATTGTCGCCGTGGGTGCTGGCTTTGTGGATGGTCTCGGCTGGGGCGGCAACGCCAAGGCTGCTATTATGCGTATCGGGCTGATGGAGATGCGTCGCTTCTCGTTGGAGTTCTTCGACAACGTGAAGCCGGAGACCTTCACGGAGACAAGCGCTGGTGTGGCCGACCTGATCACCACGTGCTACGGTGGCCGTAACCGCAAGTGCGCTGAGGCGTTCGTGAAGACCCGCAAGCCGTTCAACGTGCTGGAGGCTGAGCTCCTCAACGGCCAGAAGCTCCAGGGTACCGAGACTGCGAAGGATGTGTACGAGTTCCTGGAGGCTCGTGGCAAGGTCGACGAGTACCCCTTGTTTAAGACGATCTATGAGATTTCGTTCAAGGGTCTCGATCCCGAGAAGCTCACTGAAAACCTCTAGGTTGTCTGTTTGTATTCAACTTATGCACAATCAAATCCCTGTATAGGGGCGATAATGTTATGATGGACCCGGTGTCTATTTCTATATATGCGCGATCATAGGAAATAAATTCATATGGTGAGCTCGGTACCTAGCGGCCCTCCCAAAAGGCATGTTCGCGCTCGCTAGCTGTGTCATTAGGCTGGAACAGGCGGCAGCGAGACTTGAACGCCTCGAGAGATCGGTGTCGAATGATACGTTCGACCATGAGCTCATTTTGCATTTGTCGAGCGGTAAACTCTGCCTCTGGCTCACTGCGGCTGAGTCGTGGGAGGGGTCGTGGTTCTTCTTTGAGAGGAACACGGTCTAGATCAAGGTAGTCGTCCTTGCTGATGCTTCGTCGTGGCGCATGAGCCTGCTCCATTTTTTGTTGGTTGATCTCAATGCAGTAACGGATGGTATCTTCACGACGGACCCATAGATCGACCAGCTCTTTCCAAAAAGCCAAGCACATCTGCGCAGGCACAGCATTACCATACGTGGTTCGTCCCAGGTCTGTGGCGGACGATGACGTGAAGCTTTTGTCGTGGCGCTGTAGGAGCGAAGGTGGCGCTGATGTCCCATTCTCACGCGTCTGTGCCAGTACCCGATTCAGGCGAAGCGTCACGCTGTCGTCCACGGCCCGAAATTGCCTCAGCATATCTACAATGTCAGCATACCAAGCGGCACGGACCTTTGAATTCCACGAGGGACAGGCACAGCGCAGGGGTTACGTCGCGCACGGATGCCGGTGTAGGCACAGGCTTGGCAGGAGCAGGTACGTCCACATCAGCGATTGCGTCTGTAGAGCTGGACGGCTTCGTCTGCATGGTAGGGGTCCAATAGACTGTAGGAGCCATGATGCTCCTCACCCTGGGCGATGATTCTCAATCGCACGTTCACGCACTCGCTGTACAGCCAGCCATCTTCCGAGGACCGCTACCTGGTCTCGTCCCTCCACTGCCACGTGACGGCATGGCGCATGCACGGACGCTCTCGCGGGCTCGTACGACTTCCTTGCCGCCTGGCACTATACACCCACCATTTTCCGCGTAACGTCTCGCCTCCTACAATCCGTTTCCAAGATGTCTCACGACGCTAACTGCATCTTCTGCAAGATCATCGATGGAAAGATTCCGTCGATGAAGCTGCTCGAGTCGGACAAGAGCTTTGCTTTTGTTGGTACGTATGCAAGTGTCGTCTGACTCGTAGACATTGGCCCATGCTCGCCGGGCCATAGCCTGATCATTCCCAAGTACCATGCTGCCAAGATGCATGAGCTGCCTGACGATAGCTTGCAGGACATTCTGCCTATGGCCAAGAAGGTGGCCATTGCTACGGGTGCATCGGAATACAACATCCTGCAGAACAATGGCCGCTTGGCTCACCAGGTATGTACCGTTTACGCTGCTGCTCTGTTCTAACATCTAGGTGGTGGACCATGTTCACTGTATGTATTACTCGCCTCCCTTACATCTCAGTCCATGTCATCCCTAAGCCGTCGCAGGATAAGGGCCTGGTTGTCGGCTGGCCCTCTTCGAATCCGCCCAAGGAAGAGCTCCAGGCCGTACGTACTATAATTTCAGGGAAGAACTAATTTTTGGCAGGTGTATGATGAGATGATGAAGCGCATGCCGCAGTAGATTTACATATATACATCCATATCTCGTAGCGTAGAGCGGGGCTGAGTCTCTCTCGGCTTGGCCACACGCTCAATGTGTTTTCCCGGGATCATAAGCAGTGGCATGCATCGCTCTTCCCTGGGCGATTTGTCTGGCTCCATGTGGTACTCTGTGACATCCTGGAGAATCGCATTGCCATGCGTATCCACACAGACTAGCGTACCGAAAAAGGCACGATGGCTGTCCTTCAGCTCAATCCATAGGGTCTGAAGCATAAAATTGTCACGAATTAGCTCCTCCCCTGCCGCCTGCGGCATGGTCGGCGTGTGTATCCTAGAAGGCGAATGTGGTGGTGGCCTCTTGGTTGAAGGGTGTTGGTTGGCTGACTAAATCGCTCTGGTCGGTGCGCTCCGTTCCTGTCTCTCTCCACATGACATATGCCGAGGCCGACCTCCGATGACGCTGCGCCTGTCTTTCGAAAGCGGCGCAAACTTCACGATGTGGTAGGCACAAAGACTACGCTGGAGCATGTGTGGAAGGATGAGCAAGCCACAAATGATACGGATACGTATGTCATACGGTTTTGACTGACTTTCATCTAGAGCCACTAGCATCGATGAGTTGGTGGGCATGCGCGAATGCTTGCGGCGCCGTACAGGTATCCAACTTGAACAATTGAACAAAGGCGAAATGGACGCAGATATCGAGCGGGAGAAGCGTGCACCCATTAATACGGTTGACATACTAGTTCGGCAAGCCAACTTTGAGCGTGCTTCCTTGTCGAGTGATTCTCCTACAGATCCCTTGTACGTCCTCTCTGCGCTCACTTCCAGAACTCGTGCAGGTATTCACGAGAGAAAGCGAGCATCGACTACAGAAGCGGGTGCCTCATCGCCGCCTAGAGCCACACCCACACCCACTGCGCCATCCCGCGCGCCTACGGCGCGCTTTGTACCTGAAGTCGATTTGGGGATCAATGCTCGCATGCAGAATGTCGAAGCTACCGAAAAAGCCAAGCAAGCCGCTCTTCAGTCCAAGAAAGGGCTCTATGCGGAGCCATGTCCGACAGATACCTTACGATGGCGCGCGCCTGAACCTGCATCGTCGCAGGGCCGCTCTTCCTCCCATCAGCGGATCCGAAGCCGTGTTCGTGGACCGCAAAAGACATTGTGACATTGTAGTGTACATCTAATAAATCTGTCTATGAAGATGGCGTCATCGCATCCGAGGGGGCATTCCAGTCCCACAAACGCACTGTGCCGTCATCAGCACAGCTAGCGAGTAAGCCTTGAATGTTATTCCACACAGCCTCGTAGACTACGACTTGCTTACGCCCATTGTATCGTTGCGATCCTTCCGAGGATGTTTCTGTCCCCCATGGGTGTGCATGGTCCGCGAAGGTCGTTTCCAACCCGTGACCTTCCAACGTCTGAAGAACATGCGAAGACTCCTGGCTCCACATATACACCAAACCGTCTTCGGAACCGCTGACAATCAGACTGGGGTGTGCAAAGGCACACCGAATAAAGTTCTTCGACGTGTTTTGATGGCCGGTAAATCGCTGCAAAGGTCGTAGCATTCGCATATCCCATAGTCGATGAGAATTGTCTTTGGACGATGTGAGGAGCTGTCGTCCATCGTGACTCATCTCAACGGACGTCACTTCTCCCAGATGGCCCGGCAGTGTACGAATACAGACGCCGCTGAGAGTATCCCAGAACCGCACACTGGTATCTTTGGCCCCCGTTACCACCATGCCGCTTTGCGGACTAAACACTGCCGATGAAATGCCAAGCTGGTGACCGGGGAACATGCGAACCGCTGTGCCCGTAGCAACGTCGTACAATCGGACAAGCTTATCATAACCACCTGTCACCAGGTGCTCCTTATCCGAGCTGAATCGACAGCAGTATACGTCCCCATAGCCACCACGGAGTGTCATTTGTGTGAGCTTCGAGTCCGTACTCCAAAGACGCACAGTAGCATCGCTACTAGCACTCGCTAGCAGCGTACCATCTTGTGTCGCATCCACATCCCAGATACGACTTCCATGTCCTTCCAGGATAGCATCACAAACTCCTGTTTCTGTATCCCACAGGCGGAGGGTACAATCGCTTGAGCCACTCACGATTTTTCGTCCCTCTTCACCTACAAATCGGACACATTTGACATTCTGTGTGTGCCCCCGAAGCGTCATGCGGCAGCGATTCGGCACCACAAACCCTGTATAGTCATGCAAAAGCGACGAAATGACAGGCACTGTACGCTTTTGATACCGAGCAAACTCCACTTGATAGGCCAACGCCTGGTGCAGCAGCGTCAATAAACGGTGTCGCGGCACGTAGTCTGTATCTCGGGCGGATGCATTCTCAGGATCATTCTCACGCATGAGATGCTGTAGATCCAACCGGCCAGGTTCCAGCAGTGTGGAGAACTCCGACACCAATGCTTCTCGGCCAGGTTGAATGCCTTCCCATGAACGGAACGATGGCGCGTCTGTCACACTCTTGGCTGAGAGCAAATAGCACAAATCACCAAACTCAGCCGCATGGGGCTGATAATGTTCGAGTGGCTTGAGGCGCTTGCTAAGAAAAGTAAAGGCCTGCTTGTAAGGGACACGTTAGCACGCACCTTTTGGAATTCGCGATGCTCAATAAACTCCAGGAATTGTTGCCGAAAAATCGCGTACAAGAACGCCTTTTGGCCCTTGATAAATGACCTGGAGCACAGTTTTTCCACTTCAGACCAGTTTCCCTCTGACAGTTAGTCGACGAACACATACCCAGAAGAGAAGTCCGAAGTTTTTTCCGGTCGTTTTGTTCGTCGTCATGTTCTCGCAATTTCATTCCCGCCTCCTCCAACAAAGCTTGTCGTGTGGAACCAAAGCCTTCATCCGAAAGCCATTGTGCAATGATTCGAACAATGTCTTCTCGAATAGAGCTACTTCCCCATGGCATCCTAACCGAGTTGGTTAGTTGTGCAGGTGCTGTCTTATCACCAGCACCTTGCAACTCTCCATCGGAGAACGTGATATGTGAAGCAACACGTCGGTCTTGGCGATCAACTACCACCATATCATTGGAATCTTGGATGATTCTAAATATAAGTCGTCTGTAGTTTATACATACTCTTCTCGCCTGTTTCCCCATGTTGTGTTGTGCCTCTGCGGCAACTCCGTGGATGCCGATGGCGAATGAAGGTCCTTGGACGCTTCATCGCTCTTCTTCTTCGTCGTATCATAAGAGAAGTACGGGGCAAGAGAATGGATCTCTGACAAAATGGAGTCCTCTCTCTCCGGCTGGGGCGAACTACTCATGCCACACCGTCTTTCAGCGCGTCGTTTGCGAAAATGGAAAGCGGGAGGCGACTTCTCCCTAGCTTGCGTGTGTGGAGGCGGGGGGTATCACTGAAATGTTCCGTGAACGCTTTTTTCCATTCCATCATTTTTATCATGTCGGAAGCATCGCTGAAGCCTTACCAGTCGGAGTACATTGACCTAGCCCTCCAATGGGATATTCTTCGTTTCGGTGGTCCGTTTACTCTCAAGTCTGGCCGTAAATCACCCTACTTCTTCAACGCTGGCCTCTTCAATTCCGGCCTGAAGTTGCAGAAGATGGCGGAATGCTACGCCAATCGAATTGTCGACAGTGGCGTGGAATTCGATGTGCTCTTTGGACCTGCATACAAGGTATGTTACTTACATCTTAACATACAGGGCATTCCACTCGTGGCTGCTACAGCCCTCGCTTTGGCTAAGAACCATGGTCGCGATGTAGCCTTCTGCTTTAACCGAAAGGAGGCAAAGACCCACGGTGAGGGCGGTAACCTTGTCGGTGCTCCCCTGAAGGGGCGCGTCCTTGTGGTGGATGATGTGATCACCGCTGGAACTGCCATCAATGAGGCCGTGGACATCATTAATGCCCAGCCAGATGCTAAACTGATTGGCGTTGTCATCGCCCTGGATCGTCAGGAGCGTGCCTCGGAAGATACTCAGGAGAGCGCTATTATGCAGGTCGAAAAGCGTTTGGGTATCAAGGTGTACAGCGTTGTGACGCTGGACCAAATCATCAAACACATGGAACAGACCCGTGGTGATGCTGCTCGCGCTGATATAGAAAGCATGCAGGAGTACCGGAAGCGGTATGGCTGTGCGTAGGCTCTAATACCTATGCTTGTGATCCATCGTCCTTTACCGAGCATAGCTTAGGGCTGGATGCTGTCTTATTTGGCATGTCAGGTTATAGCCTCTCTCTCCACCTATAAATATAAGTGCTGGGGAATTAGCTCAGTGGTAGAGCGCTTGCTTAGCATGCATGAGGCCATGGGTTCAATTCCCATATTCTCCATTCTTTTTATGAACTTCATTCTCTTGATGGGCTCTCATTACGATGCCTTCTGTATTCGGCGTTCGCAGACTACTGTTCATTTGAAATGCACGGTTTGGTTTTCTTTTACATGGCTATATATACGTGACATTAGTGAGTGTCTGTCCACAGATGGCATGCGGTCGCTCTGTTCTCATTCCGAGAAGACATAAGAAAGGTCTAGTTTTAGCGTGTGTGAATGAATCAGTCGTTGTAGGGTATCTAAAGGAAGAAAAACCAAATTGCCCATAGGCCAACAAATCCCAAGACAATGGAAGTTAAGATCTTATGAGATCCAGCATATCTAGTTACTTGGTTTGTGAATCGATTGGCTGTAGCTTTGAGGTTAAGAGCAAATTGGTCAAATGCAGTAGACTAAATCACTGTCAGCAGTTAAGCTACACATACTGTGTCATGAATGAGACCACGCTGTTGCTCAGCGTCATTGTGGATATTGATCGTGACTTCACGCTGACAAGGTGTCAATAGGCTCATCGAAACGTACCAGCGAATGAACTTTGTTGAAAAGTCGATTCAAAGATTCATCGTTTTGTTGCTCGTATGTATGCGGACTGGTATACTGTGCCATGACTCTCACGTCGTTGTTGCTCTTGGTTTGGATCCATCATGTCTGATGTTGGAGTGGATCATGCTTATTTTAATTTCATATTTGCACCTATAGTGGAGCCCAGTTTGTCGCCAGTCTCTTTTCTTCTAGCGGTCGCCTCACGAAGATGTCTTTCCGTTCGTTCTTGGGCGGTACCCGTGCATCCATTCCGGCTGTGGTTTCTTCATGGAAGCATTTGTTGTCCGAGTTCACATGGCGTCCCTCTAATATTTTTTCTCAGGTTCGGTTTGCTTCCAATCTCGGACCTCGTCGCACGAAGTACCGCAAGTCGCACAAGGGCCGTGTCTCATTTCCCATCGGCGGCTCTGTTAAGGGAACAACTGTAACGCAGGGGATGTATGGCATTCGAACACTTGAACCTTGCCGTATTACTGCTACTCAGCTCACCGCTGCCGAAACAGCTTTGAAGCGTAAGCTCAAAGTCGTCCGTGGTTCTCAGGTATTCATGCGCGTCTTCCCTGACGTACCTGTCTGTGTCAAAGGTAACGAGACCCGTATGGGCAAGGGTAAAGGCTCTTTTGAATACTGGGCTTGTCGGTATGTACTTTTTTCTGTTAACATTGGTAGCGTGCCTGTTGGCCGTGTCCTTTTTGAGATTGGTGGTCATGTCGAAGTACGTCCAGAAGTGGCCAAGGATGGTATGTATTGTACAACGTCTTTCTTACCACTTCAGCACTACGCCTTGCTGCTGCCAAGTTGCCTATCCGTACGGAATTCATCACTGCCTCTACCCCGCCTCGCCTTGGCCGTGAAGTCAATCCTGACCTGTCCAAGCCGAAGCTTGGAAAACAACCATGATATCTGTAGATGCACGCGTTATAATAGTCTATTTTTATGGTATATATCACCTTTACAGTGTGAGTGAGTTACTCGACATCATCATCGTTGTCGTCATCATCATCCTCATAATCCTGGTCTTCGTCTTCTTTGTTTTCTGCTTGTTGTGCCTTGTTGCTTCGCCCCTTGGTCGAGTCTTGTTCAGGGCCCACGGCGTCTTTCCAAGCCGTGACAATGTCATTGAGAGCAGTACGCGTGCTATCAAGTGCATCTGCTAATGAGGTCAACTCGTTGTTTTCGTCCTTGAGCATGGTTTTGCCTTCTCCTACGCGTTCCGGTGCTTTCTCCATATCACCAACAGGCTGTGCCTGCGTGCCAGGCGCACTAAAGGCCCAGGTGTAGGTGATCTGTGCCATGGTAGAAGGGGGGATCATCCCACGTGATGTGTGGAAGGCACTGCACACGTGGTCCGAGCTCGTGCGCTGTGACGCTTGCAACGACGATGAGGACCACGGCGTGGTGGATTTGCGCGTTGACGCTCTTACTTACCGTTTTAAATGTCCATGGCAAGACAAGTAAGAAGCAAGAGATGTTGCTTAAAGAGGCCCTAAAATCTCCCTCTGGCGTGCTGCGCTTGACAGAGAGCACCTACGACACTCTGTTGGCAGCGCCTCGTGACTACAGCGTGTTCATCGTTCTCACTGCGACCAACCCCAGATTCCAATGTGCTGCTTGTAAACTAATTGAAGACCCATTTAAGCAAGTGTCTAATGGATGGAATTCGCGCAAAGACCGCGACAAGCTAGTCTTTGCTGTCGCGGAAGCGGATGAGGCTACGAATCTCTTCCGTCGTGTACGTATTTTGTTCTTGTGCTGACATTTTAGCTGGGATTGACACATGTTCCTGTCATGAGCCTTTATAAACCTGCACCGAATGGAAAAGCACCTGCACCTATCAGTTACGATGTTTCGCTGAATGGATATGGTACAGATGACTTGACAGACTTCCTACACAAGCATCTGGACGTGAAAATCAAGCCTAAGAAGCCCATCTTTACAGAAAAGACACTCATGATTTTGTGCGCGATTGTTATTGGCGGTGGTTTCATGGCCTACATGGCTGTAAATGTCAATGTGGATCATGGTGTTCGGGGTGTGGCTATGGTGATTTGCATCGGTCTCATCTTCACCTTCACATCAGGTTATATGTGGAACGCGATCCGCAACCCACCTTTCATGCTCGCTAACAGGGATGGATCCCCACAATTTTTTGCACCTGGCTTCCAAACGCAAAATGGTGTCGAATCCAGCATCCTTATTGCGCTTTACGCCGGCTTGGTCCTTTCCATTCTTGCTCTCACCAACGTGGCTTCTAGCATCACATACCCCATGGCACAGCGCCTAGTCATCGTTTTAGGCCTGATCCTCTTCTTGGGTCTGTTTAGTGCTTTGATCATGGTGTTTGATGTGAAAAGGTTCGTATCGCCATGAAAATGACTTACACCTATCAGCCCGGGTTACCCGTTCCGTCTATTCCTTTAACTACATAAGCGTACATAGCGTAGACTTAGTCTCGCTTAAACGAGTGACGATCATACGTCTTCGTCTTCAGTCGACGACGTGTCGGTAGCACAGGTTTACGTGCCTCTGCGAGACCACGAGCCTGTAGACTCTGGAAACGGTCCCAAAACAAGTTGCCTTCTGGCTTGAGCTGTCGCAAACTTTCACTGAGCTCTTCACCCGTCTGCACATCCATGCGCTGCTCAGGCACCTTGTGCTTCCCCACTTTGAACCCGGCAATGCCTTCCTCCTCCAAACGCTGTCTCTTCCTTTCACGTCGCTGCTGAATCATTTCTGCTCGTGTTTGCTGCACCTTTTTCATCTTCTTCAGGTGGGTGGGCAGCTCGGACATCATAGCACGAAGCTGGCGCTCCTTTCGGCGCTGCATAGCCTGGCGCTGCTGCTCCTTCGCACGAGCTTCACGGCGTCGCTGTGCACTGGTTTTGCGGCCGGGTAGTTTGGGTGCATGTGGTAGATCATTATCATCATTCTCATCATCCTCCGCGTCAGCAGCTGACTCATCTGGTTGGTCAATCACCATGCCCATGTACGAGTCCATATTCTTGGGACGTGATACATCTTTAAACTTCTCTGTGAGGCGCTTAACTTCTTCCTCTGTCATTTCCTGCGTCTTGGCTTTGTCGAAGGCTTTCTGGATCAATGCTTCATGGCTGTCAAAATCGGGGTTGTAGGATGTGCCTGGATGCGGCTTTGTAACAGCAGGCGCCACTTTCGCAGGTGCATGCGGTTCATGCTGCATAGAGCGTGGCTTATGAATACCTGTAACCATGGCAGGTGCGACCCAGTCATTAGCAGGCTGTGGTGCTTCAGCACCCCACAAATCATGTTTCTCTGCCAGGACAGCATCGCTCTGGATCTTACCAGCACTGCCCATCTCCGATAAACCTTGTTCGCCCTCATGTGGTCGCGAAGCAAGAATACGGAGACGTCGTTTCACTTTCTCTGACAGACCACTGGCTGCAGCTTTGCCACCTCGGGTCTTGGTATCCAATTGGAAAGTCGAGCGCTGTCGATGGGGGATAGCAGGCACCGCACTGCGCTGTGCCAGAATTTCCTGGGACTTCAACTTCCGCTTCCCGCGAGCTTGGCGTGCAAGTTGGGTTTCTTGACCTGAACGATCTTCTACAAAGAGCTCAGCATCTTTTCGCTTGTGCGCAGGCGCACCCACTGTGCGTTCCTGCTCGCGAATGTCCTCGAGCGCAGCCTCCGTCGCAGACAAGTCAATGTTTTTCCGCCATGAACGCTTTCCTTTCCTAGAGGGCTGCTTGTATTGCGCTGGCCGCCCGATATCGGTGGACGATACACTTGTTAGCGTGTCTGATTTAGCCGTCTTGGTTTTCGACATGGCGGCGTAGTGTCGTCGACGTCGTCAGTATGGCATTGCACGCAAGTTTTTTTTTTTCGCCTGAAAATGTCTCCACGTGGCGTGAGAAGACCGTGCGCACCGCATTCGCTGCCATCCATGCCACCAGGACTGGTGGCGTACAGTGACTCAGAGGAAGAAGATCACATCTATAATGGGTCAAGTACATCGACTAAAAAACTACCTCCTCTGAGCTGGCTTAACGACGGGTATAAAAATGAATGGCTTACACATGTCTACATCGAGGGTATGCTCACTTGCGACTTACCACAGTGCCGATCAGTACACCTGGCCTCTCCCCGTTGCTCTTTGACATTTATGCCTCCTTGAATGAGGCTACTAAATCTATATATCTGCCATTAGCTCAAGAGGAGCAAGAGAATAAGAGTTTGCACATATCTCTAACGCGTCCACTGATTCTTCGAAATCACGAGCGCGATTCTTTCTATGAGAGTGTACAGGCTTCGGTGTCTTCTCTCCATATCGAGCCGTACGTGTCTGAGTTGCTTCTAACATGAGATTTTGTATTGCTTTTTCTAAGTTTGTCTGCCTCCCCAGTGACACATCAACAAATGTATTTTTAGGTATGGAAATCAGTTCAGGCTGGCACGAGGTATGTATCACGTACCCACCTAATAAGGAGCTCACTGCATTGACCTCTTCAATCAATACCCGGCTTCATTCTCTTTTTCGTGCACCCAAGTATTATCAGCAAGCGCTGTTTCATGCCAGTTTTGCTGTTCTTCAAGATACGTCAAAATCTCGTGATGAGCTTGTGACATTGGGTCATACCCTTGCAGCTCAGTGGAATGACCTTTTTGCAGCACGGCTACGTAAAGTAGGTCCATTGCGCACCCCCACTCTGGTGGCGCAAATGGGTTCACAGAAAAAATCTATGGAGCTCCCCAGTACGTCATAGGAGGTGAAAGGACCTCATGTCTATGGAATATATGTATTGGCGCATACGTCATTACAAAAATGGCGGTGTACAGAGCTGTATATTTAATTCGTCGTTCCCTTCACTTTCTCAACAGCCTTGTCTTTCACTTCAGCCGCCAATTCTGAAGCCTTGGCCTTGGCTTCCGACATACTCGCCATGGCATGCTTGTGTGCCGTAGCGTCGGCCTGTTCCTGGATAATCTTACGCCACGACTGGTCATCAGCACTGTGGCTCTTCGAGAGCAGCGTATCACCAGCCGATGGGATCGTCGTCAAGGCCGCAATACCAATAAGCGAGGCCACAGTAAGACCTTGAGCCCACACACGCGCTTGAACAAGCTTCTGCGAGAACGACAACGGCTGCGATTGAATGTAGAGCCAAGAAGCACCCATCGACGCCACCCAGCTACCGATAACCACACCGAACTTGTTGTCCTTCGTCCAGGTCAGGGCTTTATCGAAAGACGAGAGGCTGTCCCACTTCTTCTCATACTCGGAACGTTCGCGACGCTGGGCATGCGCAGCCTTGTCGGAGTAATGCGCTTGCTGATATGTCAGTAGGTACGTGGTCAACATACGTCGAAGCTAATACCGGCTTTATCAGCGAAGATAACGCCGACACCCATACCAGCCGAGCCCACAATAAAGGATTTCATCGTTGTCGTCAACTTTTGGATGTGAACGTAGCGCTTCTGCAAAAAGTAGCCTGCGCCGAGGGCGGCAGATACACCGATCAAGAAGCCCTGGCCCGCTGCCTTGATGGCATGGCTGTATTGCCTGATATATTAGAGAACTAGGAAAGGAGAAAACATACGCTTCACGGTACGCAGTGTTACCAACTTCACGGTGTGTTCCGTACGACATGTGTCAAGTATAATCAAGAACGAACGCTTGAAAAGTCCCGTCGTCATTTCATCTTCCTTTTAATAAAATTCATCTATGTGGAGGTGGCAACACCACAGACAGGCGGACACCCGACGGATCGGCGGAAATCGCAGCGCTGCCAAAATTAGTTACTCGGAAGGTACTGCACGGTTAGTCTTTCAGAAACGTGCCTTGTATGGATTCAACAAGCCCTTCGGATCAAAGAGTGCCTTGATTTTCTTCATGTAATCCACGGCTAGACGATCTTTAGAGTAGCCAATCTTCTCCGCCTTCATCACGCCAAGGCCATGCTCTGCCGAAATAGAGCCACTGGTTGTTAGTCAAAAAGTACATACCGAACGCCCTGGACCCACTCATAGATGTAGGGCTCAATAGCGTCTTCCACGGCAGGCTCGTACAGCTCGGCACTAATATTGATATGAAGGTTGCCTGTTGTTAGTGTAGTCTGACGTACCATCGCCAACATGACCATACCCACAGACGGACTTGACCCGGCCAGGCGTATTCAGTGCAGGCATCAAGCCCTTCTCTACCATACGATGGCGAAGATTTTCCACCAATTCATACATCTTGCTGATAGGCATACTGATATCATATTTGTACACACGTCCATGGTGGGCCAGCGCCTCAGGCACAGCTTCACGTAGCGCCCAGAAAGCCTTGATTTGGGTTTCGTCCTGTGCTACTACACCGTCCACGATTACCTCCGACTCTAACAGGTGCTCCAAGAGAGCTTGCAACTTTTCATCGTCATGGTCTTTGTTGGAGCCGCTTGTCTCAATCAGCACATACATAGGGTAGCGTTGCTCGAAGGGATCACGGAGGTTCCGAGTTGAACAGGTCTGCACAATATTGTACGACTCCTGGTCAACGAACTCAAAGGCCGAAAGAATCTCACCACATGCCTTGCGCACCATTTGGAACGCCTTCTGGACAGCGTCAAAGGATTCAACACCAAAGAGAGCCACGTTCGTGGCACTAGGACGGCGAGGCGTAGCAATCGAGACACCTGTGATAATGCCCAAAGTACCTTCTGAGCCAATAAACAATTGCTTAAGGTCCAGGCCTGTGTTGTCTTTGCGCAGTGTTTCTAGACCGGGCAGAATTTCACCGTTGGGCAAGACTACTTCCAGCCCCAGAACGGAACCGTGGAGTGAGCCGTACCGCAAGAACCGAAGGCCACCTGCATTGGTAGCCACGTTGCCACCAATATGACAGCTGCCTTTGGCGCCAAGATCCAGCGGCATCATGTATCCCTCCTTAGCAACATACTCGTCCAGGCTCTCCAGAATACAGCCTGCATCGCAAACCAGCGTTCCTGCAGTAGCGTCAAATTCACGGATTTTGTTGAGGGCACTGAGATTAATGATGACTTCATCATGAACCGGAACACTGCCGCCGACCAAACCCGTGTTGCCACCCTGCGGCACTACGGCGATATTGTTGTCGTAGCAAATGCGCATAATCTTGGCCACTTCTTCGGTCGATTTGGGTCGAACAACGCAGGCGGAACCACCGATATATTTCCCCATCCAGTCGCTGTTAAATACGTCCAGCTCAGATTTATCCACCACATTCCATTCATTGTCTTCTGACGGGATCGTGCTGAGCAATGAAGTTTTGGGGGTCGACAGAACTGCAGCAAACTGCTTCATAATGGCAGGCGTCACTGACTGGAATGAGGAGCTTCGTGTAGCTTTCACAGCATAAAAGCGTGGGAATGCCCATGCTGGGTTAGATCGGACTGCCGGGACCGTCGCCACACGCCCGGCCATGGTCACGGGCTTCACCAGACGATTCCACATCACTACAGAAAAGATGCCGTAGGGTGAGTGGGGCAAGGGAATGAATGACTCTACGCCAACCTTATTACTAAGCCTACTAGGTTTATCAGATTGCCCGCAACATACTTTGTTCTGTCGCGTTGCGGCGCGTCCATTGTATCGACGTACGCTGTCAAGTGGGGATAAAGGAACGGTCTATCTGCCATCGTACCAAACCCTGCACCCGACACTGTGCAGGCTATCACCATCCTGGTGTGAACTATGAACTACAATATTGATGAGTACGTATCACGATGCCCAACCTAACTAATTCTGGCAGGCAAATTGCGCGATTGAAAAAATGTCAAACTCTCACCGAAGAAGAAGTGAAACATATATGTGAAAAAGCCCGTGAAGTCCTTGTCGAAGAGGGGAATATCCAAAAGGTTGATGCACCTGTTACTATCTGCGGTGATATTCATGGACAGTTCCACGACCTCATTGAGCTTTTCCGTGTAGGAGGCGAATGCCCTGATACCAGCTACTTGTTCTTAGGTACGCTATTGTCTGCGAAACTAATGCTCAGGTGATTTCGTTGATCGTGGACTGTACTCTGTCGAAACATTTCTGCTTCTTCTGGCGCTCAAAGTGCGGTATCCTGATAGGATCACTCTCATACGCGGTAACCACGAATCGAGGCAGATCACCCAAGTCTATGGATTCTATGATGAATGTTCTCGGAAATACGGTAGTGTCAATGTGTGGCGTTACTGTTGCGATGTATTCGATTACCTTGCCTTGGGCGCTATTGTTGACAACCGCGTATTCTGTATCCATGGTGGGCTGAGTCCCAGTATAGTCACAGTGGACCAAGTACGTGATAAGATGCATACTCACAACAGATCCGCTCGATTGATCGAAAGCAGGAAGTCCCGCAAGATGGAGCGATGTGTGATCTACTTTGGTCGGATCCTGATGGTATGTCCTCAAATGTCGCTAATAGCAGAAATCACCGGTTGGGGTGTATCACCGCGTGGTGCTGGGTTCCTATTCGGAGGCGATGTGGTCAAAAGCTTTGTGCACACCAATGGTTTAGACTTTATTGCGCGTGCACATCAGCTTATCTTGGAGGGTTATAAGCAAATGTTTGACTCGACTATTGTAACAGTATGGAGTGCCCCTAATTATTGCTACCGTTGCGGCAACGTCGCAAGCATATTGCAACTAGACGACGCACTAAATCAAAAGTATAAGACATTTGATTCACCACCGCAGGCGTATGTATCTGCATGTGACTTTGCATCTAATCGACAGTGTACATGGCTTGCCTGCCAAACGTCCTCCCCCAGATTACTTTTTGTAAAGGCGCTGGCTGCGTCACTCCCACGTGGGGGTATCGGGGCCGTGTATAGATTGCGTCTGTCGGTCCCAATTATAGAAAACAGAATTGCACCGTGCATCTGCTGCGTGTCGACTGCGTTTGTTTCCATTTTGCGTTACGGCTGGTCTGCCTTGACTACACTCCTTCTACACTGAAACAATTATGCCAGAGGTAGGTATGCGCGCTCTGCACTTACACCCAGAACGTACAAGCGTCTCAAGCCTCACACCACTATATTCCGCATCCTCACCTCTCCTTCCATCATACAAATCCAATTGAGAGTCAGATCGATGAGCTGTGTTCGGAAAGGTACTCAGAAACATCGTATGATGGTCTAGGAGAGCTTTCCGATTTGGTGGAGCAAACCAAGGGTTCACCGAGTGTGGTAGCCAAGGCCATCCGTCACCATCTCGAGGGCGACTCTGTCCATGCTCAGAAGCGCGCTCTTACCATCATTGAGGGCCTTGTGGAAATGGGTACACCCGAGTTCCAAAGGAAGTTTGCGGAGCCTACATTGGTCCATGCCTTCCAGAACACTGCTGAGAATTTTGGTACAGATAACGGTGTTCGTCGTAAGCTTATGCTCATGCTCCTTTCGTGGCACCGTCACTTTATGCGTGACCCCACTATGGCACATGTGTCCAGTCTATATGGTCTTTGTGGTGGTGTGGATCGCGTTCCGGTAATGCCTAACCAGGCGAAGGTGATTAAGCCTCTTCATGAGCATGAAAGCACTGTTGACTTGCTGGATGATGACTCGGAGCGCGTAAGTGTTGCTGGTGCTATCTCACTGGCCTCTTCGGAATCGCAGGCTCTTTTGCAGGCTATGGTCAATGCTCGCGAAGTTCACACCAATGTACTAGCCAATGAACAAGTGCGCGTTCATGTCTCCAATGTCTTGAACTCGCAGAAGCAGTTAGTGCGGTTCATTCACACGGTGAACGATGAGCACTATCTGGGCTCGCTTGTGCAAGCCAACGACAAGATTGTGGATGTACTTCAGCGTCTTCAAATGGTATGTATTCTTTATGGTTCTTACTTCTACTTCAGGCAGCGGCTGGTGGTCCCATTGCTACGCACGCTCTCGGTACAGAGGCGCCGGACCGCTCTGACATTATCACGCAGGCCTCACAGCGCCTTACCTCCATCTCAGAGTCGGAGCCGACCGTTTGGTCGAACCTCTCGCGTGAAGTGGATCACTCCTTGATGGTGCACTCTGGCTTTACCTCAGCGGCTCCTTCTCGCCCAGGTTTGGAGGCACCTGAGCGCGCTGATGGCACCGAGATTGATATGGCTGCTGCAGCTCACAACACAAAGCAAGTAAATATGTAGATTTTTTTTCCTAGTGAACTCTGCGTTGTTTATATAAAGTGCTGATTTAACATGACAGGCCAAGACAGAACTGATGCGCTCGGGGGACGGACGGGCGTTGGTTTCTTTTTTTTGCCCGCACAGCCTATATTCTCCACGTGGGTGTGGTGGAGGACAGCTGACTATGTCCGTCGCACGGGCAATTTTCAGGTGACGTTTGTTGGCAAACAGCACTGATCATCAACATGAGCACGTCTGTGGCTAGTCATCCGCAGCTGCGCCAACGGCTCAAACCGGAGAGCCGGAGCTCTGCAAGCGATCTTCGCGAAGATGCTGAGGTACAACTGAAGCGCTTTATTGAAACCAATGGCCATTTCAGCCTTGTTCGGTATGTGGCTACGTCACCTTTTCTTACCCTTCAGCAACTTTCACCTCGCTGATGCGTTCACACTTATGAACGGCTTCTGTGGTGCACAGTCTATCTATATGTCGGGTCGCTATATACTTACATCGAACCCGCTATACATGTGGGCAGCCCTGTGGTTCCCCTTCTTTGGCGCTATTTTTGACTTGTTGGATGGCAAGATTGCGCGGTGGCGTCAATCTAGTAGCATGTTGGGGCAGGAGCTTGACTCTCTAGCTGATCTTGTCTCTTTTGGCGTGGCACCTACTGTTGCTGCGTTTGCGATGGGTATGCGCAACCCGCTGGATACGATGATCCTAACAGTATTCGTATGCTCTGGCATTGCGCGACTTGCACGCTTCAATATCACAGCTGCCCACATTCCTCATGATGCGAAAGGCAAGGCGCACTACTTTGAGGGTCTTCCTATTCCGTCCAGCCTAGCGCTTATTGGCTTCCTTAGCGTTTGTCTGCTGCTCGGTCGCTTTGAGACCAGCGCGGGTGTGTGGGCCGCGACTGGCCCACACCTTCCGTTCACGGGTACGTGGCACAATCTTCTGCCCGGCTCTGGATTGCCTCTTGGAACGCTGCGCGTGGACATGTCGAATCAACTCTACGCACTGTTGGCTACGGGTGGCTACCTACCGCGTCTTCTTGGTGCGAAGCTGCTAGCGCAGTGTTCTGAGTTCTTTGGCGCTGTAGTCATCCACAAAATCTCGTTCCTTTGGCTGGTTTGGTCGATGGCCATGGTCAGCAAAACACTTCGTGTTCCCAAACCCTAATCGACTTCTATCTGCCCCGTACATATACACATAGATCCATATGCATTGTGTCTCGACGAGTTCTTACGTAAGACAAGGCATGGCCGCGGCTGGGTTGGCACACGACCATCATGCCGCACCTGGCACTACAGATCAAGGGCGACTTTGCGAATGTCACGCGGTTCGTGCCTGCTGAGGGCGTGGATGCAGCTCTTCTCATTCCGATTGAGTGTACGCATTGCCATGAGGCGCACCCCAAGGCTGTAGCGCTGGACCCATCGAACGTCGACGAGACGGAAAAGAGCCGTGGCGAGGTGAATTTGTTAGTGAACTGCCCAGCCTGCCGCCGTGAAAATACAGCGACGTTTGTCGTCAAGAAGCCCGGATCGAAGGAAGACGGAAAGCTTGGCGAAGTCTCGCCGTACGCTGAAATTGTGACAGACGACGACAATGGACCTACGTGGCATACGCTCTGCACAGTGGAGTTTCGCGGTATGAACCCATTGGAGTGCGCTATTGGAGACCTACTCACGGAATCGAGTTCATGGGCGTGTGTAGGCACAGAGTCTGGCACCACCTTCACGGACCTCGAGTTCGATGATGGCGAGTGGCATGACTATGACGACAAGGCTGGTGATGAAGTTGCCATCACCGATGTGGAGCTTCGTTGGCAGAAGGTCTAACGCGGTATACGACCAAGCTCTTGCAAGAGCGCACGTTCACGGTCGGGCGAGACGGCCTCGAAGCCGTGCAGCGTCATACGGTAGGTCCCTGTGCCCCCTGTGAGGGCACGTAGTCGTGTACTGTACCGCATCATACGTGCAAGGGGAATCAATGCAATGATCGTCAGGGGCTGACTCACGTCTGTACGCTCAGATCCCTGATCAAGTTCGTCGGGTGGAATGTAGATTTGGTAGTTCGACGACGACGACGACGACGACGACGACGAAGGTGTGGCCTGCTCCATGGGATGGATCATCTCCACAATCGAGCCATGCTGCTCCACACTAATATCACTCGTGAGTTTCCCGGCGTAGGTGTCCGGTGCATCCACAGCCACACGCATCATAGGCTCCATCAGCTTGGTATGTCCCTGCACTCGTTCACCAGGCTTCGGTCGTTGGGCATAGCCCAGAGCCTTGCGCAGCGCTGTGGCTACCACGAGACGCACTGCCGCTGGGGAGCTCAAGTCAGTCCCAAACACCTGAATGTGCGAGAGCCGAATGTGGACGCCTTGCATAGGGTAGCCACTAAGAGGACCACGTGCTAATGCCGCTTGCGCACCTTGCAGGAGGACTTGCTCAAGCGTCAGGCCAGACTCGTACGTCAGGTTGGGCGTCTCGCCCAAGTCGACCACCACATCGTTGCCGCCCAAGCGAGCTACGCCCACTTCGTCGTCTTGCAATGGTCGCACCTGCAGCGTGACGCCTGCCTGTACCTTCTTTCCGCCAAGGTCCTGGTCGAGAAGCTCAGTGACACTAGCTTCCAGACCCTCTTGCACCGTCTCGCGATAGCCAACGCGAACATGGCCCAGGTGGGCATGTACCTGAAATTCGCCTTCCAAACGATGCTTGGCAATCTCCAGATGCAGCTCGCCCATGCCGGAGAGAACGGTTTGACTGGAGGCACCAGCTCCACCCTCAGTGACATGCAAACTGGGATCTGTACGTACGAGCATACGTAGCGCTTCTGACACGGCGGCCTCGTCGGCTTTGCTGCGTGGCTCCACACTTACGCTAAACACCGGTGGTGGGACATGCACACGACGAAGACGCAGCGTCTGCATGTCATGCTTGTGGTGTCCCTTTCCATGCGTACCCCGCTTGGTATCCACAAGCGTATCGCCCGTGCGCGTATCCTTGAGACCCAGCACGACGCCAATTTGGCCTGCATGTAGCGCTGGCACGTCGACATATTGATCGGCATAGGGAAGTAGCAAGCGCGAAATGCGCTCTTTTTGGTGTGTTGTGGTATTGATCAGACTTGTAGCACTTTGCAGCGTACCGGAGTAGACACGCACAAAGGTAATGGGGCCTTTGCGTTTGTCCCATACCACTTTGAACGCAAGCGCTGACACGCCAGGGTGTGTCAGCTCGACGGTTGTCGCCTGCGCACGAGGCGAATCTGGATGCAGAATCCCGTCGACAGGCGGTCGATCTTTAGGGCTTGGTAAGTACAAGCCGATGGCGTCAAGAAGTGGCTGCACACCGACATTGCAAGCGGCTGCGCCACAGAGAACAGGGCATACCTCGCCTTGCAGAGTGAGCCGTCGCAGCGCGGCTTGCACGTCCTCCAGTGATACACTGTCCATAGCCGTATCTGGATCGTCCATAGCCAAGAGACGATCAAGTAAGTCCACATCCAGCGAGGTGACAAGTTCCAAGAGGGCATGCCGTGCTTCAGCCGCCGTGGCATACAGAGTGCCATGCCGTTCTTCCGACAGGGAGATCGTGACCACGTCTTCGCCTGCAACGCCATCGAAGCGCAGAATTTGCATACGTAGTAGATCCACGACACCGATAAGCGGATCGTCCGACTTCGACGATACGTTCGCCCCTGCCTCCTCGGGCGCCTGCGACCGGTAGACAGGCAGCTGAAGAAGCGCGGGGCGTTCGTGCAGACCCTTGTCGACAATCGAGCGTAACGAGCGTGCTACACTGGCTCCCGCACGATCAAGCTTATTGATAAAGAAAAGATGGGCTTGCACGCCATAACGCTTGGTTTGGCGCCAGACGTTCTCGCTTTGCGGCTCGACGCCTTCGACGCCGTCCAACACGACTACGGCGCCATCAACAACACGCACCGTACGCTCCACCTCAATGCCGAAATCCACATGCCCAGGTGTATCCACCAGCGTCATGGCCATGGCCTGCTGATTGGATGTGTTGGTCCACCATACCGGACCTACAGCCGCACTTTGAATCGTGATACCACGCTCCCGTTCTTCCTCGAGGAAATCCGTCACAGTGCTCCCACTATCCACGTCACCTGGCGCTGTTGCCGTGTGTTCCTGCGACGGCGGCTGCAGACCGGGCAGCGAGAGCGAATTCGTTAAGTGGAGCAGTCGCTCTGTCAACGTCGTCTTCCCAGCATCGATGTGCGCCACAATACCGATATTACGTATGGCGTCCACAGGCACAGCATGCGCTTGCCGTTGCGCTGTGCTTCGATGAAAGAATCGCGCTGGGGGACGCGCACATGCACGCAGCCACCACGCAGAGGAGCGACTGACCCAGCGCGCCATGGACGATCGTAGGCAAGTACGGCGTGCCTCGCATACAAATCGGGCCCCGATCTGTGTCACACTATGATTCTCTACGGGGCGAAGTTTCACGGTCTGCACGGCGGTGGTGGCGATCTTGTCGATCATCATCGTAGCGTGACCGATCATCCCGAGACCGGTACCGCCGCTCATAAGAGTCATGCCGATGGCCACGGTCCTCATACCTTTGTCGCGAGCGATCACGGTCCTCATATCGATGCGAGCGATGATTACGGCGACGATCGTCTTCATCGTATCGACGTGACCGATAATCGCGATGGCGCGTATCTTCCTGCCTTCGATCATAAGAACGGTGGGACGAGCTGGGCTTCGTATGGCTCGAGGGTGCTTTGCCTGTGCGCTGCTTGACCCACACGCCATGTAGTTTAGAGACACTTTGGGAGAAATCCACCCAAATCCGGCGATCGTCAATCAAGACATTTTGCATTTTGGTATAGGCCTAGTGTGAGATACATCCAACGTACCTGTTCAGCGGAGGCTCGCTCCTCAAACTCGATGAAGGCGTACTGCAAACTATCGCCCGTCTTCGGTAAGTGCTATACCCACATACCTTTTTGTCTTTGATCACTTCACAGCTGCAAATCTTACCGAACCGCGAAAAGATAAGTTCCAAGTCCTCACTGCGCGTTACAGGATTCAGCTTGCAAACAAACAGGACATTCTCCGGCGGCTTGACGTCCGCATGAGGCAGATCACCGACGATTTCTAGCGTGAGCGCAGCAGCCGCTGCGTCCTTTTTCCGACGCTCTTCTTCCTTTGCACCAAGTTCAGACTCTTCCTCTTCCGTACGAACAGCCGGCGCTGCCTCTGTACGAGGCTCTGTCTCGTTCTCAGGCGCCGGCGGCGATGCAGACGTCGCCGTCATGGCACAGATGGTGGAGGCTGACGAAGACATGCACGTAGTCCGCGTGTCGCGTGTAGGCCGAGAGGAACGGCACGCGCGCGTGCACGCGTCGACCCAGCGCGTCGCGACGCGCGCTGCAGTGCCTCTTGCCACTCCACCATGCTGAGCCAACGCACCCGGCTGGCGACGCCAGCCCCGTCGTCGGATCATGATATCCTATCCTCGCCCAGCCATGGCAAGACAAAGGAGGTGGAGATGCCATCGCACACACTCGCGACACCGCCGCCCTCGTCGCCCACACGTATGACATGGCCATCCAAGGGCCCTTCCGACACAGCGCCGACACAATCTGGCTCGCCTGTTAAGCCTGCACGCGCACCGACCATGGCTGTAAAAGAGACCATCCAGCCGATGGTGATTACTGTGCCTGATGAGGCGACGTTCTCGCTCTCGTTGGACTACACACACACCTTCGTCATTGGCCGATGCAAAGAGCCTCAACGGGCCCCGACCTTGGCATCTCATGCTTTGTCGTTTATTGGCTCACAGCCACTTGCATTTGTCTGCCTGCCCCCATCCGCCAAACATGCCAGTCGCTTGCACGCTCTCGTGCGCTGGGTTCCTTTTTCTTCGCCCACAGGTGATGCGACGCCGATCGGCACCTTTGTCATGCGCATTCTCGGACAAAATGGCGTGGTTGTCCAAGGCAAGCGCCATCGTGCTGGGCAAGTCGTGCGACTCAACACAGGAGAAAATGAAATGGACTTTTTCGGGGCGAAACTCGCTGTGCAAGTCCCTCGCTCTACCGCCGTGGTCATGCCACCGCCCCGCCCAGTTGCTACAGTTCTCTCGCCTGTAAAGAAAATGGTGCAACGAGCTCCCTCACCAGCGCCTGTGGATGTGCCATCCAGTCCGCCACGTCTAGATGACTTGCCGATGTCGGCACCCATGGTGGTGCCTGCGTCGAGCCCTGGCATGGAGCGCATGTCGTCGCCTACACCCTCCGCTGCTGCGCCTTTGGAAGAAGCTCCGCTCTCTCCGACACTTCCTGCAAAGAAAGATACCACTACCGATACCGTCCCCAAGCCGGGCGCCGAGTTCTCTGTGCCTGCTTACATGGATCTCGCACGTCACTTGGTGGAGCGATTGGCGCCTACCTACGACTTGGCGGGCCTACTTGCTGGCGCCATTGTGTTCCATCGCACAGCGACGATTTCCGCGTCGGAAGCTGTTCGCAGTGTGCTGGCGTCCAACCCTGGCATGCTTCGTGGCGAGGCAGGCGCTCGCGCTGCGGCTTTTAGTCCGTCATCACGCCGGATTCTAAGTGACGACGTAGCGAAGCGGTCGCCTGCGCATGGCGAGCAGATCCGTCACTGGTACACAGGCGACGACAGTCGCTGGCCGAACATTGCACGCCAAGCCTGGCATGAACGCCTGGAAGAAGAGCTGCAAAGCAAGCCGATGTTTGGCGTGATCCAGCGACCTGGCAAAGATACGCGAGGCAATCCATTGGAATGTTGGTACTACTATGACAAGGAGAATGATGAAGATGGCGAGCGAGCCTTGAACTTAGGCGCCTTTGTGAAGCCGATGCGCAATGTCGTTCGCAGTCAGAAGCCCATCTTTTGGAAGAAGAGTGAGTATGGCCGAGCTACGAGCCGCAACGGTGGCACCTCGGACGACGATAAGTTGCCCTATTCGCCACGGACTCACTACAGTGAGTCGGACACGAAGAAGGCCCGCAAGGTCGACGTGCTCGATACGACACTCGATGAGCCGGAGAAAACATGGGACCGCGTGGGCGATCAAGAGTGGTCATCGCGACCTCGCAAGAAGCGGTCTGTGCCACCATCGTAAATAGACGGTAGTGATGTCATAGTAGGACCTCACGCGGTAAGATGCCACGTTCGACCCATCGCTCGATCAAGTCACACACGCCGGGGTACGGCAGCGGCTCGCCATGGGGCCCTATCGGAGCGGCAGCCATATCTTTGAGCTCATCGGTCTCCATCGCAGGGTGATCAGGTCCGCCTACACCGCCCATACACGCGGGCAAGCCCAACGCGGGGTCGCCATGTCCTTTGAACTCGCGGAAATCAAAGAGTTGGAACTCTTTGCCAAACACAATAAAGTGAGCAAAGAGCGAATTGACATGGCCTTCACAGCTCAGGTGAAGAAGCAGTGGGAAGTGTGCATGGTATATGTGAGCAAAGATACGCAGCATTTGTTTGTACATTTGCTTGGCTGTGGTCATGAATGTAGGGGGGAAATCGCGTGCTAAGGTCAGACAAATGACGACATACAGGGCTTGGTAGGGAAGACCGCTTCATCATTTAAAAGCTGGCCGATCCATGTCATGACAAAGTCGATGTACTGCGCCGCAGGCAAATGAATAGGCTTGCGATGGACATCGACCCACGTATAATGTAGACCCACGCCAGCTGACATGGTCGGGAAGTTATGCGGCGTGCATGTCTCCGCAATTACACCGCAGAACTGATTAAGGTTGTGGAAGAGGTCAAACACTAGAATAAGCAGACAGCAAGACGTACAATTAACGGCAATCCACTCGTACGGATTCACATATTTAGGCAGCGCCACAATCGTACGGAAGGACCCTTTGATCAGCGTACTTCGCACAAACGGCTGACACAAGTACAGCGGTTTGGGCGCTGCGACGGTAGGAGGCAGCGAAGTGGCAGGCGCCTGCCCCATGTACGCCTCTGGCATAGCCGCATCAAACGTCTGTTCCAGCGATGCAGGATGGCCATGCCGACCTTTGTACTTGGGCGATATGCCCATAGAGCGACTATGCCGTAAGAAAGCACACCACGTACCCGATCTGGTTAAAAAAGCTCATGATGGCACGAACACACCTACAAGTGAGCCAGCCTCACGACCGAGCGCAGCCTGTCTGCATGGGCCGCCGCGCCGCTGCCCACAAACCAGTGGGCCCCACCCACGTCGGCGAAGAAATTACGTAATCGGAACGAAGCTTGGCTCCCTGCTCGTTTTCGTCGTCCCTCGGCTGCGTTTGTTTGCCTGTCGGTTTGTTTGCAATGCCCATTGTACCTATGGGGAATGGCCTGCTGCGTGCCTCGGCACGTAGCTCGGTCCTGGCATGGAATGCTGGAGCACGCACATTTGCCACCTCTACATCTGTGACAGCGGCCGTCAAAGCAGGTACGTACACAGACAGTTTTCTTACCTTGTGCAGCACCGAAGAAGAAAGTAGCTGTGCGCCGCGGCGGCATGACAGGCGAGCGCCGAACGGGTGGCCTGCGTAAGGGTGGTGTGGACGTATGTATTTATGTGACTTACCAGCAAGACATCGGGTCAGTTGACGAAGGCTACGCAGCACTACCAACGTGCAGCGGACATGTCGGATCTGATGACGCTGAACGCTGGCGCCGTCGTCGAAGCGGAGGTGGGTGAGCCGCTGGCCTGGTCGAAGCGTACGCTATCAGCGTTCGAAACGTTTGGCCTTCCGCGCGAACTGGCGCGCAAGCAAGCCACACAGCCCCGGCCTCGTACTGTGGTGCGTAGTGCCACACAGAGCTTGATTCGCTCGTTGGAGGAGGCCAAGGAAGTGACGACGACCGTGCCACGCCGCATGCTGGTGGGTGACCCAGGCTGTGGCAAGTCTACGTACCTACTCCAAGCGGTGGCCCACGCTTTGGAGTCCAAATGGGTTGTCTTGTACGTGCCTCGGGCGGTTGATTGGATCAACTCTTCGTCGCCGTACTTGTACTCGTCTCAGCTTGGCACGTACTTGCAGCCAGAGTTGGCACAGGCAATGATGCAGTCTCTTCTTAAAGTGAATGGCAGCCTCCTGAGCCACGTGAAAGGAGCCGCCCTGCGTCTCTCTGAATCGCATGTGTGGGAGGACCAGACACCACTTGACAAGGTGTTAAAGGAGGCTCTGCAGGAGAGTGTACCGCCGCATATTCGCCAGTTGGCTCTGGAGCATGTAGTGCGGACACTCGCCAAGCAGACGCAAGTGCCGTTCCTGGTCGCTGTGGATGATGTCCAGGCCCTGTTTAGCACGTCCGAGTATCGCGATCCTGACTTTGCTCCCCTGCAGGCGTACGAGTTGGCATTGCCTCGAGCCTTGCTCAACTTGTGCGTAGCCCCTGCGCCAGGAGAAGGTGTGCAGCGCGGCGCTGTGCTCACGGCTATGAGCACGTCGCATGCCTCGTTCCCTCCCTCGGCGGAGCTACTGACAGCGTTGCGTGAGGCGACGTCCAGCACCGATGGAAGTGTGCCGTGGGACCGTCTGATGCACATGGTGCACTGCCGCCGCGCTGCTGCGCGTGTGCAGGAGCCAAATGCGTACACGCCTTTGCAGGATACCCACTTGGCACATGCTCAAGCCGCGCAGTTTGCTGTGACGGATGTGAGTTCCCCACTCGACCAAAAGGAGGCTGCCTCCATTCTCCAACTGTTGCACCGGGAGCGTGCTATTTGGACAAGTACGTGTTTGTCAACTATGGCTAACCTATCAGTCCCCAACGATGAAGTATTCATGGCCAAGCTGGTGGAGAGCAACGGCAACATGAAAGTGTTTGAACGTAGCCTGCGTACCTCGTTGATGTAGTAGAAAAGCCCTCTAGCTCTCCACGAGGAACGACACGCACGTGTATCATCACATAGAGCCACGTGATCAACCAAGGCGTGTGTGCCTGGCAACGTGCGCTAGTCGCGTGCCGACACGCAGGCCCATGCGCTGGTCGGACTGTGCTACCATGACAGCTCGCAATGGTGTCGTGCAGCTCGCGCTGTGCGCGATCTCGATTTATACGATGTTCTTGGTATGGGGTCTGCTCCAAGAGAAGAGTATGTATATCTGTTATCCTCACGCAATCAGTCACAACTACCGTGTACAAGTCGGGCGACGATCCTTTGGACCCTTTCAACGAGGATGAGCGGTTCGAGTATGGTGTCCTGTTGAATGGTATTCAGGCACTCTGCTCCTGCTTAGCAGCCTCTTTATACCTGCTATACCGCCGTCGCGGCATACCGTCGCAGGGCCGCGGTCTCTTGGGCCATCTGGGCCTCGACGTGCTTACTCCCACAGGCTGCCAACAGGCGTTGGTCGCCCGTGGAAAGCGGAAAGCGAACGAGCCACTTCGGGGCCTGCGTAAGTATGTGTCACCTTTGTGGCAGCAGTATTTGCTGGTGTCGGCACTGCAATCGACGGCGTCCTGGCTGAGTATTGTCGCGCTGCGTCACTTGTCGTTCCCGGCGATCACACTGGCCAAGTCTAGCAAGTTGGTTCCTGTACTCTTGATGAATGTGTTGCTGTACCGCCGCCACTTTGCTGCCTACAAATATGTGGTTGTTTTTCTTGTGACGCTGGGTGTGTGGATGTTCATGGCGCTCGGTAAGAAGAAAGCGGTCAAGGGACCTAAGGGCAATAGCGTGCTGGGCATGACACTTTTGGGCATTCATTTGCTGCTGGATGGTGCTACCAACAGTACACAAGACGAGGTCTTTGAGACGTATGGGCCGCTTGTGTCAGGTACGCAGATGATGCTGGTGATGAATGCGATGTCTGCGTCCTATATGGTCACAGCGCTGCTCCTTCCGGAAGGCATTGTTACGTATGCAATGACCCATATGCGGATGCACCTGGCGTCATGGCTGCATCCCCACTGGGTGGCCCAGGTCATTACTGCTGGTCTCTCGCATCCGACTATGACATGGACACCACAGGTCGTATCGGGGGTCCAGTTTCTCTTGCGTCACCCCGATGCCGCGCGTGATGTGCTTCTCTATGCCTTGGCAGGGGCCGCGGGCCAGATTGCGATTTTCGAAACGCTGGAGCGCTTTGGCAGTTTGACGCTGGTCTCCATTACGGTATGTATGCCACGTGTACTCACAGCCAGGTTACACGCAAACTGTTTACGATGCTGTTATCCATTCTCGTATACAAGCACCACCTTCGCTCGTTGCAATGGGTCGGTGTGGCAATTGTCTTCTCTGGCCTGTTTATTGAGATGCGACAAAAGCAGCGCCAATCAGCCGCGGCTGCTCGAGCCAAGGCGCAGTGAGTCTATAAGCGTGTTGTGTAGTGGAATGGATAGGCATGCCATAGTCGCTACCACATGTACTGATGCCGTTCTGTGATTGGGAGACGCCAGCACCGCATTCGCTGGCCCGGTCCCTTCGTTGGCGCGACGAGCGGCCCGTGCGCTACGCTCACGCCTTCATTGTCTTTGAAGGTGGAGGTGTCGTACATTGATCGTGACAAACGGGCCGTTGTAGCCCTTGACTTCTTTGTGGCAGCCATGAGGCCAGCCTAGTACAAAAGCGGATACGATGGACGTTTGTTACGCCTCGTCATTATGGCGACGGTGCAAAAGATGGAAGAGCCTGTGCGGATGGACGTCCATCGGTAGGTACCACTCTCTCCTAATGATCCAGCGGGGGCATCAGTGTGCAGCACTTGCGTGAATTGGCCCAGCGAACAGAAACACGCAAGGAAGACCGTCGAATGGCGGTGATTCGTAAGGCTCGTGACGATATTGGGCGCAAATACCATATCGAATCCATCATTGGCGAAGGTGGCTACGGCGTGGTGTTTTCTGCCCTGCATCGAACGTCGGGCGTACGTGTGGCGATCAAGCGTGTCGCGCCGTTTGAGCACCAGCTGCTCGCCATTCGTACGCTTCGTGAACTACGCCTTCTCCGTTTCTTCCACGAGCATAGTGCGTGCGAGAACATCATTAAGCTTTTGGACGTTGTGATCCCCGGCGACCGATTCAGCTACCAAGATGTGTACTTGGTCCAAGAAATGATGGATACCGATTTGTACCGCGTGCTTCGTACACAGGCACTAAGCTATGACCATGCTCAATACTTTACCTATCAAATTCTGCGGGGCTTGAAACCCATCCATGCCGCCGGCGTGCTGCATCGCGATATCAAGCCAAGCAATCTGTTGGTCAACGCCAACTGCGACTTGAAAATTTGCGATTTCGGGCTAGCGCGCGATATTGGGCGTCCAGGTACACAGGTTCGGGATATGCAACTTACAGAGTACGTCGCAACGCGCTGGTACCGTGCGCCGGAAATCATGCTGTCCAGCAAGTCGTATACGAAGGCTGTGGATATTTGGTCGGTGGGATGTACGTTGTATGAAATGCTATGTGGCGAGCCTTTGTTCCCTGGCAAGGACTACCATCATCAAATGTCACTGATTCTGGACGTGCTGGGCACATCGTCTGTCGAGGCCATTGCGTCCCAGTGCTCACAGCGCGCATTGGACTACGTCCGCGCTTTGCCATGGCGCGCGTCCAAGCCATGGTACACGCTTCTTCCAGAGATCCGACCAGAAGCTTTGGATTTCCTTACGCGCACAGTGGCTATGGACCCCCAGGCACGAATGACAGTGGAGGAATGCTTAGAGCACCCGTTTGTCGCGCCCTACCACGACCCAGGTGATGAGCCCTCCGCACCCACGCTCGATCCGACGACGTTCCTTTTCCAAGCGCCCAAAGCGGCGACCATTGATGTGCATCGTCAGGCCCTGTGGGAAGACGGGCAGCGGTATGCGTTACGATCATCGCGCGCCTAGGCTTGGGCTGACGATCTCTATTTTTTCTGGCGCTTATCGAAGCGCTGTCGCTCCTCTTCAGGCACCATGTACCCTTGGTCCCATGCATGCTTCAAATCAGCGATGCAGGCGGCCTGATGCTCGGCATGGGAGGCATGGTGGTCCATATGGTCCATTTGCCAGGCAAATACATAGGGTTGAATCCGGCTAATCAGATGTTTTTCGCACCCCAATACGTCCGCCACTTGACGACCATCCAGCAACGGCTTGGCCGACGCAAACTGGGCCAGCTCTTCATCCGCGACATACGTCCAGAACGTGGCAAATTCGTCGACAATGCGTTCAGCTTGCACAATGTCCAAAGGGCCGTCGTGGCAGTACGGCGCCAAGTCACTGAGCATGGCAAAGAGCAGCGTCATGGACAGCTCCACATACAGTGTGGGGTTGGTAATGCTCGCATGGCGCAGCAACAACCCGATGGTTGATCGCCTCGTCGTCATTGGAGCAGGTTGGAATCGGTCGAGGGATGGACGTGAAAGTAGCTGCGCGGCTGTATGAAGATGCAATACCGGGTCTTTGGTCGTCCGATTCCCCAGCTTCAGGCCACTGGCGATGGTCAAGACGCCCGCCCATACGGCCTTTTTCTTCTCGCGATAGTAGATATGCTGTAGTGGCAACAAAGCGACAGCATACCATAGTAGACGCTGCATCGGAGCAGCATGTTCGGACGTAGTGAATGCATCGACCCAGTCACGAGGCATACGACGCCAAAGGTCCGCGTACGGGCCACATTGGTGGAGAATGCCGTGCAAGCACGCAGCGACACGAAGCATGGCCTGGGGGGAGAGAGCAGGGAGAGGCCCTTCATTGCTCGTGCCCTGATCGTGCGAGAGATAGAGTGTTTCGTCGTGCGGAGGAGGCGGTAGGAAGACGGCACGGTAAAGCTCCAACTCTGTCAGCAGTTCCAGCGCATGCAAGGGATCGCGGCCGGACAGCATCTTGTCCACTTCGATGCCAAACCGCTCACGACTGACTTTGCATGTGAGCGCATCCCGCAACTCTTGGGCCGTGGCCTGTGCTTCTTCCGACGACTGCGCGCCATGCGCTTGCCCACGCAACGTTGCCCGAATATCCTCGTGAATGCGGTAATGAAATCGGCTCGCAAACCGAACGCACCGCAAAATACGCAGTGGATCATCACGGAATGTCGATACGGGCTCCAAGGGAGTTCGGACCAGCCCTGCCTGCAAATCTTCCCACCCATGCTCCGTCCAGTCTTCGACACGATGTGTGTGAACATTGTAAAACATCGCATTCACAGTAATGTCACGCCGCATCGCATCTTCGAAGGGTGTCCCGAACGACATGACAGGAATCCGACTTGTGCCCTCGTACTCCTCTTTCCGCAGATTGACAAAGTCCAAATCCAGGCCAAGTACACGCGCTGTGGCCGTCTCCAAGTTTTTGCTTTGCTCTGGATTCGCGGCGATCTTGCCGATGTGACTAATACTCTCTTCGCGCGACCACTGCTTGTCCATAGCCTGCGCAAGCGATGTCGTGCCAAACGCATCGCTCTGTAGGTACTCGCGCAGAAACAAAGCAAAGTGGTGGCCAGTGAGCGTCGACAAGGAGATATCGAGGTCATGCGACGGCAAGCCCAGGAGCTTGTCACGGACCCACCCACCAGCCACGCGGGCCTCGCATGCAAGGGTAGGAGAAGAGCTTGGCCGGGCCATATCGCGAAAGCGATGAGCTGTGCCGTCCACGTCAATAGAAGGGTTCGTCGCTGTCATCCAGCGACAGGTATCGTCAAGCAGTGTACATAGCCATTGTTCATGCTGCGTAAGCGAAAGACTTGGTGTGGCTGTCATGACACACCGATAGAGAACAGGCCGCACACACGCTCGATGAACAGCACCCAAGCCAAGGCGCATGCAATCGTGCCTGGTGTCAGCAGAGGCGCGCACGTCGCAAGCGAGGTGCAAGTCCTTCACCACGTGGCTAGATCGCTATGTCATACACTATTCCATGCTCTCGCGCTCGACCAGCACGCCACCAAGGGAGCTACCACGTAAGTTTGCATGCATGCACATACCGAGCTGTGCGTAGATACGACGCGGAGGCTTGCAATTGGAGACGAAAAGCTACCGCTTTTTCGACTTCAGCGAAGCGACGCGCATGGTCGTGCGAGCGAAGAGACCGCTCGAGGAAGGGGACCAGGTCCTGGACGGCCCACGTCGCAGGCAAGGGCCGGAGGACATCGTCTACCAGATCAAAGTCATCGGCGTACGTATTTAGCAGGTAGGAAGCGCAGGCAACGGCCGAAGGTCTAGAGCATATGTCAGTGGGGCGCGGGCGGGACGTACCTGGCATCGTGAAGATAGATTTTGTACAAATCGTGTCGTAACTGTCTCGTGGCAGAGAAAGGGAGCTTGGTAATACGGTGAGCCGAGAGAAGAGGCGCATATGCCGCCAGATCCGGTGTCGCTACCCAATCACGCGCGATGCCAGGGCCACATACACGTCCATACATGCAAAACTGATCGTGCAAGGAAGGCTCTGTCGAGATCGCCGCCAACGTGGACAGTGCTTCGTGATGTCGTCCCGCCTAACGTAAGAAGTAGAGAACGTACCTTGCCAAGAAGAACGGAACGCACAGAGGCAAAGGTGCTGAAAGTCTCAAGATGCGCCTCGCCAAACACAGGCGAGTACTCTACCAGCAGCATAGCCTTGGCGAGCGAGGGCGCTGTCGTGGGGAGTCGAAAGAGAGACGTACGATCCGTCTCGTGACTCTCTGCCAGCAGCCGCTGGGCAAGCTCTGTATACAGCATGGGATCCGGTGCATCGCTCGAAAGCACCATGTGCTCGAGTAGTCGTCGCGCCGCTTCGGCATCCATCGCCTGCAGGACTGCATGGGCCTGTGTAGAGGAAATACCATGGAAGTCCACAGTCATGAGGTACTGAGGTGAGTAGAAAGTTGACATACCTCTAAGCCACGCTGAGGCGCATGCTTTGTGAGCCATACACCCACATTGACACGTTGATCCGCCGGCATACCAGGCGCCATGCGGACTACGTCGTCCAATGTAAGCGTATCTACAGGATCAGAGAGATGGCCATCGATCACGTCCTGCGTGATCGACATGGCTTTCGTCAGGTGCCCTTGTGCTTCGCAGGCTCGCGCTAGGAGTGCATAGCGTCGGTACGCACGACACAGCGGCGCAATCTGCTCACAATCACAAGCTGATAAGTATGCCGTGAAGGAGTCAACGGGGGCGCAAGCATCGCGAAACAATGCACGCGTCATGTACGCCGTCGACACAGCCGGATCTGACGGCGGGGCTGCCGCTAGCACAGCGTCCACCATAGCCATTGCACGCTGCGCAAGCCGATGGCGCAGTGTGACCAAGACGTCGTCGTCCATGGCAAGGTCCGGCACGTAGTTCCGTCGAAGGTTTGCATCGAGCAATGCATCCCAAGACGAGGGAAGCGTACGCCATACACCAGCAAGGCATGCCGGAACAAGGGCGTGCGACGTAGAGGTCCGCGAGGCTGGATCCATGGCCAGCAAACAACGCACATCCAAATGCCCATGGAGGAGCCAAGGCACAGCGGCTGTGAACCTCGCTTGAGATAGGTGGTGCCAGCCCACCAGCAACGCCGCAGCCCGTTCTTCGTCGGTGGTCAGCGTAGGCAGCGACAGACACTGTGCAGCTTCTCGCCATTGCTCAGCATGGGCAAGCAGCAGTACCTGACTGCCAGGGGTATGTAGCGAGAGCGCATACACCGCCTGTTTACCGGCAAATAGAACAGAGACAGGCGCCCATGCGGCACAGGAGGAGGGCGGAAGGTGCTTGAAAGGTCCATCGCCTACCGGTACAGGCTGCGTAGGCAGGCCAGGTCGTGAAGGAAGGAGGGACGACACTGGCGCTACAGTGCAAAGGAAGCGCGGCGCTAACGAGGCGTCCACAGGGATCGTTTGGACATGACGCCACGTTGGCGCTTGGTGGATATGTATGACATCGTCGCGAAGAAGGGCACATACGTATGGATACGAGACCACGACGGTGCGTGGATGCGATGGCCACTCAATCAACTGCGCTGTGGGCTCGCCGTCCCATTGGAGGAACGCGCCTAGGGTGCCCGACTCGGAATGCGAGGTAATCAGAAAGCACGGAGGCTGATCGACCTGCGCTGGGATGGCTGCAATGCTGGGCCGCGTGCGGGCAGACCCTATGGTCGTGCTTTGCGAGATGGGGAGGCCGACGGGGGTCCCTTGACCCGTCGCAAGATCAATCAGGCCATACTCGGACGAGGTAGCGAAGCACATAACGTGCCTGTACCGCGTCGCAATAAAAACATCACGAGGCAATGGCCATTCCTACTGTAAGAAGCAGCGCACGTACCTGGACCTTGTGATAGCCATGCACTGTGAGTGTCACGACAAAGACCGATTGGCGTTTGATAATGCACAGATCCACCTCTGGCCCTGACCGTGGGATGGCATCGTCAAGCACGACTTGAAGAGTGCCACGTAAGGGAGGGAAGAGGGAGGTCATATGCTGCAGCGTGGCCGCGTCCAGGAAATGCAGAGTATGTTCTGCGGTGAGTCGGTCACGCACGTACCACACAGCGCAGCTAGGATCGGCCGTTCGTGGCCCAGCGCTAGGACCAACATGCGCTCGACAGGCTTGCCTGCTTTCGAGAGCGTCACACTTTGCTCAAACTGCCATGCATCCTGCATGTTAGCACACAGCCACGTACACCAGGCGACGTCCATGTAAAGGTATGCAGCATGCCATCGCTCGTGGCAATGTACGCCCGATTGTCCAGCACATCGATGCAGCGCACAGTACGTCCCAATGCGGCCGGCGAGTCATTGGCCGTAGGCAGCGGAGGGATCGCCTGTGATGCGAGCGCCGTCAGGGTATATGGTGCACTGGCACGTTGCATCGACACAGCGAAGAGGCAAGAGATCGATCGTGGCGCTATGGCAGGCTATGTCCTCCACATTAAGGCCGGGGCCGCGAAAGACGACGGCGCACGGGCGCGAGGCCAAGCGGCAAGAGTCCTAGAAGCGCCGCGAGGCTCAGCACCATCGGGATCGTAGAGCCCGGGAGAAATCCAAGGTATAATCGCTCAAACGTTACGTCCACAGGTATCGTAGGCGGTGCGGAGGTGCGCGGTGCGAGCCAGCCGAACGTCTTCTCGGCCCATGCGCCCAGTGTAGACGAGTGGGGCGTTCGTGGGTCCAGCGGGATAGGTACATTGTCCGTGTGCACGGTAATACGAGCCAAAAGGAGCTCGCAAGGGAAAGCAGGCGGCTGGAAAGCATCAGGTGCATCCGCCCGATCTCTCTTCAACACATCGTCCGGCACTTGAACCTCGATACGAAAAGACGCAGGAAGCTACGATGAGCATAGCACATATACATACATTGGCTGGCGTAGAGAGACGTAGCTGGTATCGCTGCGTGAGCGCCCATCGCAGGGAGGCGGGTAACTGCAACAGCGCGGATTCCAGCCAGGATACGCGACGTTGGTACTCGTACACGCCCGTCTCCAGATCATAGTAGCTCGGGTACAGCGCAAGCCACTGTGGCTTGATTGACGACGGGGAAAGCGCAAGACGTCGAGGCTTCGTAGATACATGCATAGTAGGCCTGCTGGTATGAGCAAAAGGATACGTACCAATGAGCTGACAACGATGCCTTCTTCATCATGGTATCGCGTGGGCATAGCATGGGACCAAAGTTCAGAATCTCTGTATTCGCTAGGGCGTGCATGCCCAGCAGCACGCAACAGAGCCACCAGCGCACGACCGCGACATGCATCACTGCAGCGTGAAGGAGACCTACGCGAGGTGCCTCCACATGGTCCCCTTCACTATCGACCATGGGTCATGGCACCAATGACAAGCTCTTCATCACGCCGTCCGAGTACAGCGGCGTGCACGGCGAGCATGGCGCATCAACAGGCGCCAAGAAGCAACAGAGTGTGATTGTCCCGTTTCACATGTGTGCCATTACGCACCAGCCATGGACTACCCCGGTGTGCATAGCCCACGAAGGCCTCGTGTACGACCGTGTTCCTTTGGAGGCTTTCCTTGCCACATACCATGTGAGCCCTGCTACGGGCGAAAAGGTGGCACAGGAAGACATTGTCCCACTGCACTTTTCCAAGAACGAGCGTGGGCATTGGCAGGATCCTGTCTCGTTTCGTGAGCTGACAGACTTTAGCCACATTGTGGCCATTCAGCCGACAGGGCATGTGTACCTATACGATACTGTGCAACAACTCAACCTCAAGACCAAAATGATGCAGGATTTACTCACAGACACACCCTTTACCAAGAAGCACATCATTACACTTCAAGATCCGCATGATCCCACACGACGTAAAATGCAGGACATGTATCGTACGTACGCTCGTTACGTTCGCCGGCTGACCCACAGATGTACAACACCAGCTTACGCTCAAGCAAGGTATGTGCTGCTCTACTCACACGAAGAATCCCACGAAGATGATGTCAATGCTGCGGCGACAGGAAGCACCAAGACGCTCCTCGCACAGCTCCGCCAATCCAAAAAGACAGAAAGCGCTGCGCCTGACTCGACGGCTTCGGCGCCCGCTGACGCAGTGTCCACGGCGCCTGTCCGGTATTCCAACCGGTCGACAGGCATGACAGCAGCGAGTTTCACATCGACGAGCCTCACACCACGGACCAAGACAGAACAAATCGCGATTGACGAAGAAGAGCATATGCTAGAAACGGTCGCACAGCATGCCGGTACGAAGAAGAAAAAAGGACTGGTTCGCGTACGTATGCATCCTACTCACACAACAGCTTCAAACGAATTTCGGCGCTCTGAACCTCGAGCTGTATGTCGACAAGGCACCGCGGACATGCTACAATTTCCTGATGTTATGTCGTCAGGGTAAGTACAACAATACCATTTTCCACCGGAACATCCCTGGCTTTATGATCCAAGGAGGCGATCCGACTGGCACAGGGCGCGGTGGCGAGTCGATTTGGGGCAAGCCCTTTGCTGACGAACTGTGCAATGCAGGCGCCTACCGCCACGAAAGTCGCGGAACCTTGTCGATGGCCAACAAAGGTTACAATACCAATGGCTCGCAGTTTTTCATTACGTATCGTGCTACTCCGCATCTGGATTCCAAGCACACCGTGTTTGGCCATTTGATCAGCGATACCGACCAAGGCGAGAACTACCGTGTGCTGGACGCGCTGGAACGCGTTCCCAACGAGCCAGATACCACAACGCCTATGCGACCCATCAAGCTACTAGAAGCCCAAGTGTTTGAGGATCCCTTTGAAGAGTACATTCAGCGTCGTGATGCGAAAGTGCGTCGTGACAATCCAGACGAGGAAGAACGAGCGAAGCGCGAAGCAAAGCGACGGCGACGCGAAGAGGATCGTACAACATGGCTCGGTACGCGTCTAGGCGCCAAGGATGGATCTACAGAACCTGCCTCTACCCCAGCTACACAGCGATTCGCACCGACAGACGAGCATGGCTTGGCGGGCTTGCGGGCCGCGCAGGCCGCCGCGGCGCCTCCACCACGCCGCCGGCCCGGCAGTCAGAGCCGCGGCAAAGGGTTTGGCGACTTTTCGCAGTGGTGATCACGTGAAATCACCGGCCGGCCACGCGGCTTCGCTGACCTTCGTGCATCCCCGCATTGGCAGTGCAGATCGACCATAGACAAGCTGTTGTTGTAGAGGATCGACCACCATGGCCTTTCAATCGATGTTATCCGGGGCCGAATGTTCGGCCTCAAACAATACACTCTCGCAGTTTCTAAAGCATACGCAGACAGATCGGTCTCTGCAGCAGGATGCGATGCAAGGACAGCCGGGCTTGGCGACGCGGCCAGGTTTTCGGACGCGGCCAGGTCCGGGCGGTGCGGCTGGTGATATGGAAGCTTTCATGCGGCAACGTGATGCGCCGGGTATGCCGTTTGATATGCAGGCGATGCGCGCGGAGATGGACTCGATGCGAGCCGGTCTCGGTGGACCCCAGCAGCTTCGGCAGCCGAGTGGCGGCGCACCCAATGCATGGGCGCAAGAAATGCAGCAGCACGCACCTGCCAAGGCAGGTATGGGCGCCAGTACCGGATGGAGTGAGCAATTCCAGCATGGTGTGCCGGCGGGCGGCGCCGGGCCCATGTCGTCGATGATGCGGGAGGATGGTATACCTGCGCGGCATGGCATGTACGGCGGCAGCGGTGCTGGGATGTATATGGGCGCCGGCCCCATGGGTATGCGTTCGTTCATGCCCCGTCCACCCATGGCGCAGGAAACGCATACATCTACGATGCCGGACCGTATCGTAGAGCTGGACCAAGCCAAATGGGACGAGCAGTTCCGCAAACTGGAAGAAGAAGCAGCGGCGGCCGAGGCACAAACCGCCGATGCCAAGGGCAAGGGCAAAGAAGCCTTGACGGAGGAAGAAGAACAGGGCCTGAAGGAATTGGAAGAGATGCGTGCACGGCTGCATGATGAAGTGCAGGATGACAACCCACGCTTTGAAGAGCTGTGGAATGCGCTGAAAGATCCCAGTGTGCTTGAAAAGTCGGATGATCTGGCCAAGTGGGAGGAGAAGCTCATGGAGGCCATTGCCGCAGAGGATCCTTTGAACTCGACGCACCCTGGTGGTGGCCTTGGCCCGGGCGCGCTGGGGCTGGAGGAGCTGGACGGTCTCGACGAGACGGAAGCACGACTGCGTCGCGAACTGGGCGATGTGGACGAGAATGGATTCCCGCTGCTGGGCACGTACCAGTTTGACGAGACGAATCCGTACATCGACCATAAGACGCCGTATGCGGAGGGAATGCGCCTCGTTGAAAACAATGGTAGCCTTACTGATGCGGCCTTGTTGTTTGAGGCTGCCGCGCAGCGCGATGCAGAACAAGTTGCTGGAGACGAGCTGGAGCTGACACGCGCCGAGCGGTCGCGTGCGTGGCAGAGACTGGGCGAGTGCCATGCGATGAACGAGCATGAAGAAAAGGCGATTCAGGCGCTGGAAGAGGCACTGCGCATTGATGCTAACAACCTAGAGGCGTACATGTCTCTCTCAGTGTCGTATATCAACGAGGGCTACGACCAAGCAGCAAACAACACGTTGCTGCGTTACATTGCTCGCTCGCATCCTCATATCGCGCCCCACAGCGAATTCCCTACGCTGAAGGACGAGGCGGTGAACCCATGGGCCCGGCTGAACTATGTGCGTGAGCTCTTCCTCAAGGCAGCGAGGGAAAATGCGGCGCAAGGGCGCATGGACCCAGATATTCAAATTGGCCTAGGCTTGCTCTTCTACTCGAGCTCCAGCTACGACCAAGCGAAAGACTGCTTCCAGGCGGCCCTGGAGTCGCGGCCCAACGATTGGCAGCTGTGGAACCGATTGGGCGCGACGCTCGCGAACGGCGGCAACCCAGAGATGGCCACAGAAGCGTACCACAAGGCATTGGAGCTTCGGCCTACGTTCACGCGCGCCATCTACAATTTGAGTGTTTCGTGCTTGAACCTGGGCGCCCACCATGAGGCAGCTGAGCACTTGCTGTCCGCCTTGACGCTCCAGCGTTCGCAGCCGATCCCGGATGCGCCTGAAGGCACGAACCATATGCCGCCGCTATCGCATGTGCAGGAAAGTGAAAGTCTCTGGAATACGCTACGAAGCATTATGGTCATTATGAATCGCATGGACTTGGCCAACCAGTGTCATGTCGGCTCGGACCTGGCGCCGTTCCGCCAGGCCGGCTTTGAATTTTAAGCAGCATAGCGCGCGCATACCTCGTGCATGGCTGGGACAAACTGCTTGCGTGTCGCCCGCACATCCTGCTGCGTCCATGCCACGGCATATCCGTCACGTGGGGCACTCGGCAAGGCCAGAGAGACCAAGGCGACGTGATGCGTGGTCATTGTCTCGAGATCGTGCGCCAACGAGGGCGCAGACGCGATGGAGGTCGGTGCGTACAGAAGCAAGGCACGATGCAGCGTACCTTGGTGCTCATAGCTTGTTAATATCATAAGAAGATGTACACCCTGCTCATGAGCAAATGTCGCCATATCGTCCCAAAAGCGGGACGTGGCGCAGAACACGTCCAGGGGCTCAGTGGTGGACGCGGCGCCGACGTCCCATGTAGTTTGCTCGGCGCCATCGCAGGAGAACTGCTTGTAGTCACGCCGTAGCTTTTCCAATGTCGTGAGATGAGACGTATCGTTTTTCGCCACTTGCATGGCATGAAAGTGACGCGAAGCCTCCGTCGTAGTCGCCCACGAAGAGTGAGGTGCCAGACGATCGCGCGCCTCATAGTCTATCGCTTGCGCTTTGCCGACATTCGCATCAAACTGAATGGTATCCAAGAGAATAGCGCTGTAAAGCAAATCACATAGCGCAGGAGGAAGAAAATGATCCCGTACGATCCGCGTCAGGACACTGGCGCAAGAGCCTGCGTCCGATGGCGCATACACTTGACGTAGCGCTGCGTCCTTATACAGCTGTTCGTCGACATGGTGGTCAATCACACCGACAATGGTAGCCTTCACAAATGGACCTGTAGCACGATTGTGATCCACCAGCACAACATGGTGCGTACGATCCAGATTTTGTACATCGTCCAGGCATGTGATATGCGCTTCGTCTATACCGAGATGTCGTAAGATCAACTGGTTTTCTGGGCGGAGACGCAGGTCACTACGTCGTGTTTGGACCACAGGTACCCATGGCGCTTCGTCTCTGTATACGTACGCATACGCAACAGCACACGCTAGACTGTCCAGGTCGCCCGCTTCGTTGCCGACGACATAGTGCGTGGGAGCAGAGATGGTACGGCGCGATGCCAGAAACACGTCCATGGTAGAAGGCGTCGGTCGATGCGCACAGACAACAAAAGAGACCCAATTTGGGCCACAGCCTCCATTTTTTCGCTAATTTTTTTGAGATGTCGCGCCTCCATTTTTTTTCTTGCTCGCCCGCCTATCACCATCATGTCGGCCCAAGGTTTCCAGGCGTATGCCCATCTCCTGGATGCACGTCTTCTACGTGCACTTGCGGAGCTGCAGTATAGCCAACCTACGCCTGTCCAGCGCGAAACACTGGAGCACAGCTTGAATGGCGACGCTCGTGATATCTTAGCGCGTGCTCGCACAGGCAGTGGCAAGACGTTGGCCTATGGCCTGCCAATCCTTCAAAAGATCCTCGCGGAAAAAAGCCACATGGCACGCTCTAGCCCAAGCTATGCCGGCACACGTGCCTTGGTTCTCGTGCCTACTCGTGAGCTGGCCGAACAAGCGAACAAGCAGCTCTCTGCTGTCCTGACCTACTGCCGCGATATCGTCCATGTGGCCAACATGGCACGATCGGTGAGCGAGTCTGTTCAAAAGCTTTTGCTGTCCGAAAAGCCCGATGTGGTGATTGCGACGCCATCGCGTGCTCTAGCATGCTTGCAAGCCGGTGATCTAGTTCTGCAAGACTCGCTGCAGTCGCTGGTCATTGACGAAGCCGACTTGATCTTGTCGTATGGCCACGATAGCGACGTACAGGCCATTGTTCGCGAGGGCTTCCTTTCGCGCACGCACCAAACGTTCCTTATGAGCGCGACTCTTGGCGAGGACACAGATGCGCTGCGTGGATTGCTGCTCAAGAACCCTGTGGTACTCAAACTCGAAAACGATACATCCCTGGCTGCCAACTTGATGCAGTACTATGTTGAAACGGCCGAAGACGACAAGTTCTTGCTCGTCTACGTCATTCTCAAACTCCGCCTGATTCGCGGCAAGTGCTTGTTGTTCGTCAACGATATTGATCGATGCTACCGTCTTAAGCTGTTCCTGGAACAGTTTGGACTTCGTACCTGTGTCCTCAACGAAGAGTTGCCCGTCAACAGCCGCTTTCACATTGTGGAAGAGTTTAACAAGGGCAAGTATGACTATATTATCGCTACCGATGTCAACGCAGCGGAGGCAGATGAACCGCCTACGTCCAAGTCGGCGACGGCGGCAACGAGCAGCAGAGAGTACGGCGTGTCGCGTGGCATTGATTTTGTCGCTGTGGCCTGTGTTATCAACTTTGACCTGCCTACGTCTACACGCGCCTATACCCATCGCATCGGCCGTACTGCGCGTGCTGGCAACACGGGCACAGCGTTGAGCTTTGTCGTCCCGAAATCCGAATTTGGAAAGAAGAAATACCTGTGCTGCCCAACGTGCAAGCACGACATGGAGGTCTGGCGTCGCATTGAACAGGACCAGCGTGAGAAGGGCCACGTTGGTGCCTCAGGTATTCAGCTCTGGCGCTATGATCAGGCGCAAGTCGACGCATTCCGCTACCGCATGGACGATGCCCTTCGTAGTGTGACCAAGGCGGCGATCAAGGAGGCTCGAATCCAGGAAATCAAGCGTGAAATTTTGAACAGCAAAGCTCTTAAAGCGCACTTTGAAGAAAACCCACGCGATCTCGACTATCTACGCCACGATCGTGCTCTGCATCCGGCGCGTGTGCAACCGCATATGAAGCATGTCCCCTCGTACCTTCGGCCCCGCATTGCATCGATTCCGGGTGCCACAGGGAATGAGCCCTCTGTGGGGTACGTGCCCAAGTCCAAGGTGCCTTCAAAGCGTCAGAACAGCCACAAGGACCGTGGCAAAGACCGCAAGGCGCAGGGCCGTAAGAAGAGCGATCCCCTCAAGACCTTTTCGTAGGTAGTCTCTGTATACGTAATTCCCCAATTTTCTCCACCGACCCTGCGGGCGATCGAAAGCTCCTCAGGCACGCACACACAAGACGTCTGTGGGCCATGACAACGACGCGCTTGGCCGACTGCCGCGCAGCCTGGTCGGCTGTGCAGGCCAACTTGGCCTCGTCTGTAGGACCATCGACACCGTCGATGCTAGATCCTACGTTGATGCATCATATGTGTGCCTTGGTCGTCGAGGATGATCAAGAAGCTCCACCACATGCATTTGGCGACTGCATGGAGTTGATGCTGGAAGAAGATGGTGCGTTCTGTACCCACTTACCTCGCAGTTCTTGGACAGCTTTTTGGGCTATGCCTAGCGGATGAACCCCGCGGCGCTATGCGAGAGCTGTTGCGCGTCTATACCTACCTTGTACGCGAGATGCGCCCTGCGTTTCTTACCAACAACAATGTAGCGCGCGTTATGATGCAAGTGCTGCACTACTGCCAGAAACATGACACCGATGGATCATGGCAGACCGATGTCACGGCGTTAGTATTTGAATTGGCGTGGCAGGTGCACAGCCATCCACCCATTCTGCGGTTGCTTCTGCAGCTCAGTGCCGATATTCCCAAAGATCGTATTCACGATCGCATGCCATTGCTTCTATTTGTGCTGCGTCATTTAAACGGCCCCGATGAGTCTGGGCGGCAGATGCGGACAGCCTTAGTATGGTTATGGCATGGCATCGTAACGTTGATGGACGACGACACAGCGCACCGAGCGACGTATTTGGACCCGATCCTTATGAAGGAAATGGTGGGCGCTGTTGTAAGCGCTGTCGCTCATGCATTCTCGCAGCTTCCGACTGAATTACATCCCATATCCACGACGAACACCACACACGACTGGCTTGCGTACCGCTTTCCTCACCGCTCTTCACGCTGGCGTGCCTCCTTGCTGCAGTATGCCTCTGAAGACATGCAAGAGCCACTAAGTACTTGGATCGATACTCTCTGGCTCATACAGCAGCTAGAATGCACATGCGTGCGCCATACCACAGGTGCGTCTGCGGATCATATCGATTCTATGCATGCGATGCTTGCCGAACATTTCCAGGCCCAGTTTGTGGATGCCACCTGGATGCCGTTCTTGGAGGCCAATCAAGAGCCCCTGGCTATTTTGCTGTATATGTCTATTATGCTATCCGTCATGGAACCACGCACCTCGTTAGCTCGCTGCCTTGCTTTGCAATACGAGCGGCCAACCCTACGGACGTTCTTGCGTAGCTGTCTAGCACGGACCGAGACGCATGCCATGAGCTTGTATGTATCTACGCTTCTCTCTCGATGGAGTATGTGGCAACATGCTACATTCGGGACACGCACGGCGAGCGAACGAGCTTCGCATCCTCTCGCGCCCCTAATAGCATGCATGGCTGAGCTCCTACAGACGCCCAAGTACCGTGCTGCCTTGTCCCATCGCTTTCTTGTGCACCTCGTTACTGTGGAGCAGTCAATGCGCGACGATCCAGACTACGAACGTGGGCTGGAGATAGGCATCTCACCGAACATGCCGCGATGGATCGCAAAGTCCATCCTGCGTGAGTCTGTGACGGCAAACGAGTTCTTCTTGGACGATTATACCTCTATGCTGCGCGCCTGGTTCATCTCTCCTACTCCTAAGAATCTGGCACTAACTGCAGCCCTCAGTTCTCTGTGTCGTGCCCCTATGATTAGCATTGAGGGACTCCTAGAATCGCATGACGAATCGATGCCCATTCTTGTCTTTTACATGTATGCCCTTTTTCATCAAGCCCAAGACTTTTCCAAATCCATCCCCGATTTTGACTTTTACATGCGACAGCGCAAAATCCAGCAAATGGGAGCACCACATGAGGATATGTCGTCCTTGTCGTCGTCACGCAGTGCCTGCCCGCTGTTCCCTTGTGGCTCTCCTGCAGAGGGCCTCGTGGTATTGGACCGCGCGTTTCATGAGGCACAGTGGTCACCACCTACCTGGCCGTCTGCAAGTGTCACGTATTCCAGCCAAAATGCGACGAGCAAATCCACCTCCGTCTTGGACGGCGCTGGTCATATTTTGGTCACTGTGCCTCTCTGTCCTGCGCCGGCGACAGGGCCATGGGCCTGTGATGAGCATAGAGAGGCTGTATCTGTACCCCTTGTCCAGATTCTGGACAATGTTCTGCTTCTTGAAGAGTTTATGCTAGAATTGACCGCCCTCGTGCAGCTTCGTCAGGCACGAGGGTTGGATCCTTGTTAGTTGTCATAGCGAAGTGGAGGTGTCGTTGCTCTTCCCCATGGCGTCCACCCTTCGAGGGGCGAAGCGGGGACGCCGATGGATCCTACGAAGCGTGCCTATAGCCGTTCTCGGAATCTTCGCGTACGTGCCAAGTCTCTTACGCTAGGTATCTGTACCATGTCATTGGCTATGAGTATTATGTACGCCATGTCCTTGCTACACACCCTTGGCCACAGCACTTACGTACATGGTGTTTTGTTCTCTTCCTTCATCTTATGTTTTTCTACTGTGTGTCTTTGCATATTCAAATCACTATGGCTCGCCCAAAGTATGTGGATACTATTTCCTACACACAAACATGGTCACCTATGCCACGGCATCAGTATTGGCTACCACTATACCCATTACGTATACTCACTGCCAAACCACGCGACGAGGACAGCGCGGACCTGCAACATATGATCCATGAACGTGCTGCATCGGGAGAACCACAAAGGTGCTGGCGTGATCGATGCCGTGGTCACTGGAAAGCACCTCGTATGCGTCACTGCGGCGAGTGCGGCGAATGTCGCTTTTTCTTTGATCACCACTGCTTATGGGTATGTTGTAATCCACTGACAGTGCAGTTCAACAACGATATTACTGCCCCACATACACTTGTTCCTTTTTTGCTCCTTATTTCTCTTACACCATGCCTATTTGTTCTTGCATGTTGGCCATTGCTTCCTCTAGCATGGCATCATATCGTGCTGTTGTGGGAGCATAGCACATCGCATCCCTGGATTGTTCAACACTTTTGGGATAAGAAATGGACATGGGTCCTGGGGCCTATTCATCGCCCCTTACTTGGCCTTTATCTTGGTATGTTTCTTTTCTACTTACACAGCCTCTCGGTATCCACCATCCTCCTGGGGTCAGCGCTCTTTGTTCGACACAACAGCACCTCAACCTACGTTCCGACTCCCTTTCTGCATAATGTTGGGCGCCTTTCTTGCCCTTATTACTTTGGGTTTAGCCATCACGACAATTCGTCACCTTATTCATGGGCAACTCACAGTAGAGGCAGAACGAACAAGATCCTGGAAAAAATGGAACCAGCCAGGCTCTCTAGTCTCTATGGAGAAGAAAGAATCTGTACGACCTGCGTATCAATTCTGGGTTCCCCACAAACAATGCATCATATACCACCCTACTGATGAGGCTCTGTTCAACCGTGGCTGGCTCACAAATCTATCTGGCTACATGGGAATCAGTACTGCCAATCCGTTTGCCTGGCCCCACTCTTTGGTACAGGACCTTATTTCGTAACCCTAATTTTTGTTACACTTCCTAGCAATGTGGAGAGCAAGCACTGCTTCGGAGACTTTTCGGAAGACATGCTCAGGGACAGATTCTTGCTTTCTTCTTACTCACATTTCCTCGCTAGAGCTTCTCTCAGCTCACAGTATCATGTCGTCCGATCATGTGGTATACGCACAGAAAGGCATGATGGGCGGTATGATGGGTGGCATGATGGGTGGCCCTACTACTCCGGCCAAATATAGACCCACTAAGGAGTAACTTAAACAATCTATGTCTATCTACCCTTGTAACTTGATGTATCTGGATGCCGAGCGCATTAGTTATATCTTGTGCGCCTTCGTTTTTGTGGCTATTCTTATTCATGGTATCCGACTTGCACGTGAATTTTGACCGCGATTCGGATTGTTCTTGACATGTGGAGAGAAACTCCTAAATGCGAATGCATTTGTCAGCGTTGCGAAAATTCTGGAGGTGTGCTGGCTTCGCCGAGCCGGAGGGTTTTCGGAGAGTAAGCCATTGCCATTGTCATTAAAAACTGGAGATAGGTCTATCTCTCTTCTCATCCAGGATGTCGGTGCAACGGCTGCTTTTTGCGCGGCATGGCGATGAAGAAGATGTCCCAGCTCAATATACACCCACAGATGAAGAGTCGGCTCAAGCCAAAGTGATTGAGCCTTGGGAGAAAAACTACCTCGCCGCTGAGCGCATTACTTATGTTATGTGCGCACTTGTGATCGTGGCTGCTCTGATCCATGCTATACGTCTAGTCCGTGAGCTTAGACCACGTGCTAGCCTGTTTCTCGCCAAAATACCGGGTCTCTCATTTTTAACAGCAATTTGCCGCTTCATTGGATACCGACGCTTTAAGATCCTAAACTATCACCTTTCTGCTGGCCATTACCTTGTCGTTGGTGGTGCTTTTGTAATCTCGACAGTGGTTTGGGTATTTGCACTGACCCCTCACTACCGTCCACACTTCTATGTTGGCTCACCACCACTCGCTATCCGTGCAGGCATGCTTGGCACAGGTCTCATACCATTTATTTTCTCATGCGCTTTGAAGTTCAATCCGATTTCCCTACTTACGGGTCTCTCTCATGCGCAACTTCAATTTTATCATCAGACACTCTCTGTTCTCTTTTTATTCTTCTCCATTGTTCATGCTGTTCCATTTATTTGGCAGCCATTGCGCGACGATGGATATGCGGCTTTGAAGTACTTTTGGTACTCCGAGTACTATATTTTCTGGACAGGTACTGTGGCTATATTCGTGCTTCTTTGGATGGTTATTTCCAGTTTGGGCGTTTTTCGCAATATGTCGTACGAATTCTTTGTGCTACAACACATTGCATCCGTTTTCCTCCTCTTCGGTTTCTTGTTCGCTCATTTTGACAACCTCTTGCGCAGTACCATGTGGCTCTGGGCTACCATGGGTATCTGGATCTTTTCTGTGGCGGGTCGAGGTCTCCTAGTCCTGTTCTCCTCTGATTATTTCACCGGGTCTCGCGCCAAGGTACAAGTCCTGACAGAGGCTGGTAAAGCATCTGACACAGATCACCACAAGCCTGTGGAATATATCCGTATGACGTTTGACACCCCACTGAGCTGGCACCCTGGCCAACATGTGTATGTGCGTTTCCCTGGTGTGGCACCGTTGCAAGCACATCCGTTTACCTGCCTTTCCTTGCCCAGCCTTTTGCCTCACCTTCCGAACCGGTTGGTTCTTCTTGCACGTGTTCACAAGGGCATTACGCGACGAATTTATGACTATTGTGTTTCGCATAATGAGAATGTGTCGCTTTTGGCAACGAAGGAAAAAGAAGGTGTATCGGGCGAGTCCAGTCCGACCCTGGATGGTGTGCTGGATAAGACGTGTTGCTGTACACCCGCGATCGAGGCACAAGAGAAGCCATCTGACCTTCACACGACTCATTTTACGGCACTGCTGGACGGTCCGTATGGGTACACGTACAGCCTTGGTATCTATGAGCACAATGTGCTTTTTGCTGCTGGATCTGGTATTACCTTTGTACTTCCCCAAGTGAGTTTCCTACTTCGCGAGACCCTGATGGGCAAAAAATGTATAACCAAGCATATTCGACTTGTGTGGGTCGTAAGGTCGCTTGATATTATTCGTTGGGTCAAACCTGAGCTAATGGAGGTTGCCTTGCTTATGGAAAAGGCACCTTTCCAGGTTGATCTGGACGTATATGCTACTGGTTCAACGTCTCAACCCATTGAACCAGAGCTGACGTCCATTGTTCATTTTTCAATGGGGGCTCGACCTGATATCAAAGGCATCATGGATGCTGAAGTTTCCACTGCAAATGAGGCAAATTCATCGACTATGTCTGTCAACGTGTGTGGCCCGAAGAGTCTGATTCATGATATTTCAAACTATATATCTAGTGCGAATGCAAGGCTCGCTTTCGGCAAGTTGGGATCTCTTCGTGACCTGCGTTTAATTTCAGAGTCTTTCTCCTTCTAAACCTATTAGTTTATAAAATTACACTCTTTAATAAGCTTGCATGTGTGGTAGTTTTGGCTATACACGTTCTAAAAAATTAAGAGAGAGCAAAATAGGGTCTAAGCTGCGAAAGTCTAAAATTTCTACTTACGCCATTTCGTAGGCGTAAACGGGCTGTGTCCGCTCGCTTATCGGACAGTGAGGCTATTGGCTTCTCCCATAACATTCTGTTCTATAAGGGAAAAGCTAACCAATGTGGGGACACTATCTAAGCTTTCATGCATTCTCATCTACTACCCTACATTCTCTCTCATTACGAAGCTGCTTGCTCGGAACGTGCTAAATTTGCGCAAGGAAAGGCTATGCTATCAAGGAGGGATGCGCAGTATGTATCTTAAATCCGTCTCATTTTAATGGCGAAAATAAATAGATCCATCATTGAATTGGTTCTACGCTTTCCCACCTTCACTCTATGAGTTCTTCTTTGTTCCTCCGGTCTTTGCTCCCCAGAGGTACCGATGAAACTGCTGAAGGATCATCGGCCGCCAGCTCTAACTCTGTAGCGGGTGACTCTGGTAGCTCGCCCGAGAGTGAATCAGTCCCTCCCGTTATCTATGGTGGCTATATCACCTATGTTCTCTGTGCTTTCGTTGCCCTGGGAACTCTGATTCACATAACACGGCTTATTCGCGAACGTCATCCGAAATTGGGACTAGCCCTTGCGAAAGTCCCGGTTTGGTATAACATTTCAAGTTTGTGTCGTGCTATCGGGTACTATCGCATCCAATTTGGTAGCTTCGCCTTCGACCCTATTTCCTACGTCCTAATCTCTCTTGCGGTTGCTACCGGATCCATTATCTGGTGCTTTGCGCTACTCCCTCATTATCTGCCTTCATTTAAAGACGGAACACCGCTCCTTGCTATTCGAGCGGGTTTGATCGGCGCTGGTTTGCTTCCTTTCCTATTCTCTTTCGCTTTGAAGCTCAACCCTGTTTCGATTCTCACTGGTCTCTCACATGCCCATCTTCAATTCTATCACAAGTGTATCAGTGTCCTGTTCTTTTTCTTTGGATGTGTGCACACTATTCCCATGATCTGGCAGCCTCTTCGTGAGGCAGGTGTGGAAGGGCTGCACGAGTTCTACACGTACAACTCAGACCGCATTTGGTCAGGGGCTGTCTGCTTGTTTATTACTCTATGGATGGTGTGCAGCAGTCTAGGATGGTTCCGAAAAATGGCTTACGAATTCTTCGTGCTTCAACATATTGTTTCTATCATTTTACTGATCATCTTTCTTTTTATCCACTTTGATGATCAGCTTGGAAGCAATAACTGGCTGTATGCTACCCTTGCTATTTGGATTTTTTCCATCGTTGGTCGCAGCTTTATGGCACTGTTCTCCACGCGCTTTTTCCGTGGTGGAAATGCAAAGATTGATATTCTTGCGACTGCACAGGAAAGTAGCAGGCCAGTCTCCGGCGATATGAATGGTCGTGTGCTTCGGCTATCGTTTAAAACTCCAATGAAGTGGAAGCCAGGTCAACATATATATATTCGTTTCCCTGGTTTGACCCCAACGCAAGCCCATCCATTCACAATTACATCTCTACCGAACGAAACTTCCAAGGAAGGACTCAATGACCTTGTTCTTTTCGCCCGTGTACACAAAGGCATCACGCATAAGCTTTACGACCATGTTGAACAGCATGGTACTGAGAACATTCCTCCGTCCTGGGAAAGTCGTGCAGACTCGGTTGAAAAGCAACGTCTCTCACACGATGTATCTGAAATCATGAATCACTCTATTGAACCGGCACTTACAAAGATTCAGACGCAGAGTGGCCTTCCAACCCGATACACTACCGTCAAGGCGCTTGTGGATGGCCCATACGGCTACACGTATCGTAACACCATGTATGAACATAACGTGTACTTCGCTGCAGGCACGGGTGCCACGTATATTCTTCCTCAAATGATGGATCTTCTTCGCCGCTCCATTCGCGGCGAGGCACACATCACCAAGAGCATTCGATTCATTTGGTCTATTCGGTCGTTTGACGCCGCCCAATGGGCTCGCCCAGAGCTGCTCGAGCTCATTCGACTTGGTCAAGGAGCCCATATTCCTGTGTTTGTGGAAATCTACTCCACACGAGACTCTGCGACTCATTGGATTGATGCTGATCTTTGCCCCTTGGAATTTGTTTCTGGGCAACGCCCGAATATTGAGGCCGTCCTCACGTACGAAATTAATGAGGCTATGAAATCGAATTCAGCTACAATGTGTGTTTACGCTTGCGGCACGCATGAGATGAACATTCAGGTGTCTAACTTCGTTGCTGGTGCCAACCTGAATATCGCCATGGGCAAGCTGGGATCCTTGCATGACTTGAAGTTGAACTCCGAATCTTTCTCTTTCTAAAGTGAAAGTGAACTAAAATCTTTTTTTATTCTTCTCTTTCATTGTAAATACGGTCTTGTAAATGGCTGCAAGGGATATAGGTGTTTGTAAATAAAGTACATGGACATTACAGCTGCTATATTACATACACTATGGGGTAATGTGTTTGGTGCTATATGAGTGGACATCCAATCAGCTCCGTCAAGGTTTAGGGTATCTTACTTCTTGGGTCCATGATGATACTGTCTTCTTCCATTTCCTCTCGTCAACCTTTTACGGAACAATGCATTATTCAATGCCAAACCATACAGCATGTTCGCATGCTCTTTATATATCAGCCCACGGGAGTAGATTTTATGTATCGTCACAAACCATTTTTTCAACGCTGCGAATGCGTTTTGCCCTGAGCGACAAGTTTCGGCCGTTTGTTTCTTCAGATGCCACCGGAGCTCACGACGAAGAAGTCCTTGTTGAAATCTCAATACCTTTCTAATCAAGGAGAGATCATTTACTTCCAGGGACCACTCTAGTAGTAGCTGAGGTATTCGGAGATCAAATAATAGGGGTCTGCGCTGTGGATTGCGATATGTGGGCCTTGTTCCCCACCGGTTTTCAATATTTTGTAAGAGCGAAAGCCCGGATAGTATTGTGTCCGAACACAAAGAGTTTTCGTTCGCTAACGCTTTCATCACAAGCAGAATCGATTTTGGATCAGGCTCAATAGCAGTATGGCAGTTGATTAGAGGTATATCAGGCAAACGCATTGGCATATTCTTTACGGTGATATCTGTCATTTTGACAAATGCAGAAATCATAGATATATGTGCCTTTTCTGTGGCATAAGCTTCCATCAAAGAACTGAGGAGTAAAGAAGGAGGGGGAAAGAGCCACATAAACAGTGGGGGTTGGACTTGATGCAAGGATACGATCGGAGGGCCTTTTTTGTTCCTTTGATCATTAGGAAGGTCTTCTTTCGATAATTGCAATTCCATACAAAGGTTGAATAAATTGGCAACTTGTCGCACCTTTCCTAGCCGTGAGTATACTTTAAGTAAAGAAACAACAATCCAGGTAGGAAGAGCTGGCTTTCCTGATGAGACTGACATTTGTCTTGCTTCACGAAGGTAATAGCCAAACTCTTGCAAGAAGGTATTCCACACAGCTTTTTTGGCTTCATGCATATCATGCGTCTCTGAGCTGACCAAAAAGGGGTCCGTACTCATGCTCTCTGTCAGAGAGGAGGTATTGGTCGAGTAAAAAACTTCATCAAAAAGGACATCGTGATTTTGAATCATAGAAAGTGCGCCTTTCGATTGGAGGAGAGAAGCACACATATTTGAAGACCATCGTTTGTTCGTATCTCTTGCGCACAAGAGCTTATGCATGGCAGCCCAATTATTCTGCTTAGCTGCCAATATAAAAAGGGTATCATCGACTTGTTCTGTCAGAGAGCTGAAATGCGTGGGCGATGGGGGAGACGGCATATGATTGTGCACAGAAAGCGCCCTTTTCGACCGCTTGGTCCAAAGCTCTGCAGAAAAGCGAAGTTTTCGTAAAGCAGAGATGTCCTGACGACGTGCTGCATACCGAATGAGCAATGCAATAGAGTCAGCATTATCTGCTGACCCACTAGGTAGCCTCGTCCGACTCTCTTTCACCCTTTGGAAGTACCAAGTGAGCAACGAAGATGCCGAGGCACCAGGGTCATTGTACATCTTTTCACGCAAAAGATGAAAAAGAGTCTTTTGTTCCATCTCTTGCATGGTTATCTGTCGTGCTCCCTTGTCGTTGTAGACTCGTCCGTACGTCACTGGTTCCGGCCAAGAGCTCTGCAAGGGTGATCGATTGTGGGTTGTTAATGTGGACAAATATCTTGCATTGCGAGGTGCATGCAACCACGTCCGGAAAGATACCGCCGATACTAATTCATAAGTCATTTTGATACATACAGAGAGGCGGTACCTTTGCTAGGTGCTGCATCAGAGAGGGTGCTCCTCGAAGGCAAGTATGAGTCCAATGCACAACGAGTTCTCCGCATGCATTGCGATCTTCGATGTGATGTCAAGGTCACGTGTGGGCTGTTTTCCCAGCGTCGTCATCACATTTCAATTGTCGCTTGCCATGGAGGACCCCGCAGAAATTGCCGTCTTAACGAGCGAGTATATCTCATGTATGTATACTGGAAAATCTGACAAGTAGCACTCGATAACCTTCCTCTTGAAATCGTGCACATTCTACGCGAAATCGAAATTAAAGATGAAAAAGTACAAGGTTTGTACTGTGATTCTCTAACTCCAGATATCCTCTCACGAATTGCTACCAAAGAGAGCCAAATGCGTGAGCTATACAGCAATTCATCCTCTTCTGCAAGCTCAAGTTCTACGTCTGACTCTTCCCTAGCTAAGGCCGATAAACTTGCTTCGCGTATTGCTTCTGATTACACGCGTGCTGAGGAGTGGTCGACTCAGAAAAAGGAGCTATCCCATAAATTATGGCGAAAAGTATATGCCCACCACCGAAGGCTGTTGAAGGACATTGAGCTTATTGATGACGATCTGGTGGCCAGTGTGGCATCTTCTATTCCTAAAGCAGCTACTCTGGCAGAACGCTCACAACTCCCACTCTTGCTTGTCAATGCAGGCGTGGGTGACACGGACAACGATGCGGGCGACCCTAAGACACGGAAGAAGCGCTCTATAGGTGGAAGTGTGTCTGATGCAAAGCATCATGGCCACAAGTCTGGCTCAAGTGCACGTGGAACACCTAATCTGGACGACCCCAAATACTTGGAGAAAGACTCGTATGGAGCAGGGGATGGCGAAGATGAACGTGATGAAAACTTATACTGTTTCTGCCAGCGAGGCTCTTTCGGTGAAATGATCGGCTGTGATTCTGATGACTGCAAGTATGAATGGTTCCATATTGGATGTGTTGGTGTTTCTAAGCCACTTCCTCAGACCTGGGTGTGTAGTGATTGCTTGGCGAAGAAGAAACGCCGACGAGCCTGATTGTAAAATAGTGTACTAATGATACCCTGTACTTGTTCACATACTATGATCTTTTATATACTACATTACAATAGCGCTATGTTGGCGTCCTTCGGCTGATTCCAGTGCGAGGATACGGTCAGTGACAAGTCTGGCACTAGTAACACATCCTTCTAATAGAGGGACACCGTAACTCCAGCTTCCACAGAACCAGATACCAGGCGATTTGCAAACCCCATTGTGTCCTTGTCCAGGAGGTCCTTGAAGGGCACCCAGCATAGGTTGCCTGCTCTTTGTCGCATCTCGGTCGAAAAAGAGTTCACGGGCCTTTCTGCCCTCCAATGTAAGGACAAAGCGTTCAAACGTGCTTTGTGAGATGCATTTGCTTTCCTCTGGGAAAAGCCAAGGCAGGGGATTGGTAGTTTGCATAATCACCATGTCTTCAAACCTCCCTACAATGTGGGTTGCCATAGTGTATGTGGGATCAGTTCCTTTAGGGTTTAAAGGGCTCACCAGATTCAAAGCTTGCCATTGAGTTTTGTTTGGAGACAATACCGACGTATCGGTATGACAGACCACTGTGCTTTGCTCGTATGCAAGCCTTTTCAAATGCGCTATTTGCTCGCGGCAATGCGCGAGTTGCGGTGTCAAAGCAGGAGAGCTGGGAAGAGAAGTTAAATGCCTTTCGTACATTTGCAGAAGGCGCGCAGTTTGTGTTCCTTGCGCTGCAAAGACAATGTGATCAAATGAGATCTCATCAGATTGGGCAGAAGAATGAGTCATATATTGAATGGTAATCTGTTGTTGGCCATTCTTCTGCATTACAGGGACCAGGTCCGTAATCATACACTGGAGCTTGATATGGCTCTCCGGAATATCATTAGTAAGTGCTCGAACAACTTGGGAGACGCCACCCTGTACGGTGAAGTGGTTGTATAAAAATGTAGAATTGATGTATTGAAGAGTTTCAGCAGCGGGCATCGATTTGACAACCGTAGGATCAGCTGTCATGATCGAAGAGAAAAGAGGAATAAGTAGTGTCTCTGCAAAAGACTGTGAGATCCACGACGATGCAAGCCAGTCTCCAAACGTCATTTTTGAGATCTTGTGATTTGGGTTGGCCGTGCATCCAAAGGCCACATAGTATCGCGCTGCAACGATCATCACAAGGTAAGACCACAGAGTAGATAGTAGGAAGCAGAAAGCACCGAAACGAGACCGCTGCGGCTGTTGAAATCGGATGTGGGAGGACTTGATGGCCTCCAAACCAGAATACATAAATTCAGGAATGGGGCCAGGAATTCGGTCTTGCGACACTGGTGAGTGTCCAAAGGCGAACGAAAAGCTGGATGACGCAAATGGAATGCCCAAGCCCTGGTATAATTCCACCAGCTCTGGATAATAGCCTGCATTTTAGGTGCCATGCTTTACATACCCTTCGAAAATGCGCGCATAGGGACATCGACCCGTCGCGATTCACCGTTGACGTCTACCGTGACACTCTCCGAATCCATTCCTAGTGATCCATTCCTTTCAAATAGGTATACTTCCACAGTCATGGAAGATGACTCGTTGGCCTTCTGAAGAAAGTGGGCCGTGGCTAGACCAGCTAGACCCGTGCCTATAATGGCAATACGTCTCGGTTGCCCATCGCCCACCATGGTGAACTGTGCGTTGCTTCAAATTTTGACGCGTATGACTCCCTACCGATGCACGCCATATATTGTTTTAATTGCAATTCCCTCCTTGTCAGAACTCTCGGCAAGGCAACCTCGATCCTAGCTCAGTAATTACATAAGGATGACATTTCATTCCCACATCACGGTTTCCATGAGGGCGAAAATGGAGCTGATCTGTGCACCGAATTGTGAACCTTTCAAGTTGTGATAATGTCAAGCATATCGCTCAGACCACGGGTAGAGTACTTGTGCGGTGCCTAGGGCAAGTCCAATATAAAGAAATGATGGGGAAGGTACATTTACTCTAATTATGGCCTCCTGGGCGCGACGTTGTACACAAGAGCTAGTAGAAGAGAAGGAATCATACACAATTGAGCAGTTGTATGACTCCTCCGGGCAGCCTGTCGTCATCAATGACAAGCAACTCTTTGATATTGTTGTCATTGGATCCGGACCAGCCTCACTTACTCTGGTGACGAGGTTTCTGGAAGACCGGCCTGCTGCCATCTACCTCGAAGATGAGCGGCATCACCTACACTGGTTAAAACGAAGCAAGCATGCAGCTCCCACGATCCAAACCAGTAAGCCGGGCAAGACGAGCGACCGAGTGATGAAAGGTCTAGAGAGAAAGGATTCCTCGCTGCCACGTGAATCTATGCTTAAGATCTTGGTACTCGATAAGCTGGGCGATGGCTGGCTTGGGCAATGGCGAAGGAATTTCAAGGCCCTGGAAATCCCGTACCTCCGTTCGCCCATGTTCTTCCATACTGACCCATCAGATTTAGACGGCCTTCTTGAGTATGCTGTACAGACACAGCGAGACAAGTCCGCGCCACATACCATCATTTGGGATTTACTTACAGGCCAATCTATGATGCATCGAAAGAAGGGCCAGGGCCGCCAAGAGGGTCACCCTGATCTGCTTGAAGTTCCCGGAGTTGTTGGCAAGGAGATTAGCAAGCATAAATGGAAGCAAAGCAAGTATCGAAAGCATGCAAACCTGGTTACTGCTTTGGGTCCTATTGTAAATGAACGTGATCGACGTGACTATCAAAACCCTTCTACAAAATTATTCCATGACTTTACGGACTACATAGTGGATCGCTACCACATCCATCCACCAAGAGATGAAAAGGGCGAAGTCCTCTCTCTATCGAACTGGCTTGCTGACGATAATGCAAAATTGCTTCCTACTGCAACCTTGCTTCGAGGTGAAATCCAAGATATGGACTATGGCCGTCTTCAGGTCCAACACATTGACGGCTCTCAGGAGGATGTTAATGCATTCTCGATTAAAACCAGAGACCAATGCCATATTGCAGCTAGGTACGTTGTGTCTGCTGTTGGTTATGGTGGACGTCCATCTATCCCTCCCTGGCTTATGCATGCTGAATGTGCAATGCAGAAAAAAGGGATTGTTGACTTTGTCGACCTCTGTGCTCAAGGAGAGGATGAAAGTAATTCAAGTGACTCCGACAGCGACCAGTCGCATCACAGTGCAGGCAGCACGATAACAAATCCTTCCTCTGAGGAAGCTGTGGACGATGATAAGGGAGCTGGTATGCAAGCGAGCTCGGCTAGCTACGGCGAAGGTTGGGCACATTCCTCAGCAATATGCACAGGTACATTTGCCTTCCCGCAAGGGATGTTGGCACATCGCGTTCAAAGTGGACAAACCACGACAGTCCTTGTTGTTGGCGGTGGCTTATCATCCGCCCAAATTTGTGACCTATGTATTCGACGTGGTATCACCAAAGTGATATTCCTACTCCGTGGATTTTTTAAGGTCAAACCGTTTGATTTCAGCATTGATTGGGTGGGAAAGTATGCGAACATCAACAAAATGTCCTTTTGGCAAACCGATGATGCAGAGGGTCGCATGCAGATGATTGATGAAGGCCGCAATGGCGGTAGCATCAACCCCCCCTATGCACGCGTTTTACAGCAACATGCCAAGAATGGCAGGCTAGAAATCCGAACGCATACCGAGGTCGAGAAAGCCTTATGGGACAACGTTGCACAGAAGTGGAAGCTTACTGTCCGACGTCAGGAGTACGTGGGTACGGAAAACCAGTTTATGAACAACCCACAGAAGCCAGGGACTATTGAGGCATGCGAAGTGGATTATATTATCTCGGCCACTGGTTCCCAGCTGGGCTTCGGCACATTGCCCTTTATGCAAAGGCTGTCGAGCAAGATGCATGTACCTGAAATTCGTGGGATCCCGATTGTTAATGAGGACCTGCAATATGGGACACTACCTCTCTATGTTATCGGGTCCTACTCAGCGTTGCAAATTGGCCCTACAGCTTTTAATTTGGGTGGTATTCGGGAGGCAGCTGACCGTGTTGTCATGAAGATCCGTGATATGGAAGAAGGCTGTGAATGTGCGCACGAGGAAACAGACGATGAAGGCTCCATCGGTCAATACGCACACTTTTTATATCATCACCTCTCCTTAGATTCTGCGGAATAAGATCATTGTAGTACTGCTCGCTAGCTGATGTGATAAGTGAATCAGGAATATTTTCTGAAATTTTGACGTTGTCTCGATTTTGAAGATAAGCCAAGTGCTTCCATAAAAAAAGCGTCCCCCCACGTCGTGCCCCTCTTTGCGCCATCGCCCTTGTTGTTGAATATGAAGGCTTATCTTCTTTCAGGCCTGTGTTTGATTTTTTTTGCTGCCTTGTGTCATGGAGCGGACCCAATCTCTCCCAAAGTGATGGTGGTTACGCTCTTTGAGCCTGAGCGCAATGCGTGGCTATCAAAGATGCCGCTGAACAAAAATGTCACTGTGAACGGCCTAAGCCCCCTTTTCCCTGTGGCAGCATGTGATGATGCCGGTGACGTATGCTTGATTACTACAGGTGAGGGTGAGATCAACGCAGCTTCGAGCATGTCAGCCTTGGTGTACAGTCCCGCATTTAATTTGTCCCAAACCTATTTTGTGGTTAACGGTATTGCAGGGATCAATCCAGAGATGGGGACGTTAGGCAGTGTTGGCTTTCCCCGCTATGCTATTCAGGTTGGTCTTCAGTATGGTTTAGATGCGCGTCAGATGCCTCAGAACTGGACGTACAGCTTCTGGAATTATGGTACTGATAAGCCTGGTGCGTCGGCTGCTTGGTACTACGGTACGGAGCTTTTCGAAGTCAACACCAACCTCCGTGATAAGGTATTTGATCTCATCAAGGATGTGCGTCTGAATGATACGGAGCCTGCCCAAAAGAATCGAGCAAGGTACCCATCGTCACCGGCGAATGCCACGCCGACGGTATTCAAGGGTGATGTTACGACCAGTGATTTGTACTTTGGTGGTCACGTCTTGTACGTATAGCGGCGCACTTACCTGGCAGTGGCGAGATGGTATCGAACTTAACGGCCACTCTCACGAACAACACGGGCTCTTATGCACTTACCGCACAGGAGGACAACGCTGTTCTGGAAGTGCTTACGCGCGCCCACAAGGCTGGTTTTGTGGACTACGGCCGTGCCATTATGTACCGTTCTGCGAGTGACTTTGATCGTGGTATGTGATGTATCTTATCTTACAGCAGCGCCGGATGCCAAAGATGATTTCGAGACATTTATTTGGACTACGAAGCAGGACGACCTGATTGTTCCCTCCCTGGAAAACCTCTACATTGTGGGTCGGCCCATTGTTGACGCAGTACGTATGCGCATAACTGATGAGAAAGATTGTGGGCAACTGGACGCAATGGGCGCAAGGCGTTCCACCCCAAAACGGTACCGCTTATGGTGACGTATTCGGTACTCTGTTGAGGTAGGAAGTTTTTGTCATAGCATTCCCGGAGTCGGATGTGGAGAACTTCTCTTTCCTCCTCTATGCAGCGTCTGTGGTGGCGTTCGTGGATTCTACCGAACCGTGTGTCACTTTTTCCCCCATCACGTAGCCGAGCATACATTCACACCATGTCGTCCAAATTGAGCCCAGGTCTTTCGCGTATCGTCCAATCTCGGCCATTGGGTGATGACGAGGCAAAGTGGGTCAGCCTCCGTGCCGTTGAATGGATTGATCCTTCCGGCAAGCATCGCCAGTGGGAATCAGCAGATCGGCGAACACGGAAAGGCGATACAGATGGTATGTAATGCGTGGTACTTATATCAGCGGTGGCGATTCTCACCGTGATCAAACGCCCTTCCACGCCACCTCATACACTTTTGGTAAGCCAATTTCGACCGCCTGTCGGCCAAGTCGTGATTGAGCTTCCTGCGGGGCTGATTGATGCCGGTGAGGAAGGCGAAGAAGGCGCGAAACGTGCTGCGCTACGTGAGTTGGCTGAAGAGACAGGCTACAGTTCGGAGGCTCAGGGCGCTACAGTATCCGTGCGCAGCATTAGCGATATCATCCACAACGACCCAGGTCTTACAGGTGCGAACATGAAACTATGCATCATTGATATCGCTCTGGAGGACGATGCCCCTGAGCCTGTATCGCAGCCTGATGAAGGCGAGTATATCGACCTGCACCTCGTGCCTCTCCACTCGCTTCAGTCACATTTGCAAGGTATGTTGGCTATATTCTTACGTGTAGATTTTGCCCACAAAGGCTTTGCTATTGATGCGCGTCTCTCGCATTTGGCAGCGGGGCTAGCGCTGGCCGCGCAGCTGGCATGATAGGCCGTGGCCCCGCACAGACCCATTGTGCATACGGAGGTGGCCCGTCATTGTAGGCGAATAATTTGAAAATTCTCATTGGAGGAACAGAAACGCGTGACTGAAGCGGCGCCTCTAACACGCCATTTTGGATCGACCCTGTCTTTTTTACGGCCAGGTGAATCTATAGCATGTCAGACTTGATTTCTATGCTGTCCAATCTACCTGTGTGGCAGGCCGCGCTTGTGTACGGTGTTGCTGGTATTGCTGTGGCCATTGTGCTAAATGTCCTTTTCCAGGTGCTAGTGCCGCGCGACAAGTCGTTGCCGCCTGTGGTGTTCCACTGGGTACCGATCATTGGTTCGGCGGTGACATATGGCATGGACCCGTATCGATTTTTCTTCGAGTGCCGTAAAAAGTATGGTGACGTGTTCACGTTCAGGCTCCTTGGTCGCGACATTACGGTGGCCCTGGGCCCCAAGGGCTCGAACCTCGTTTTTAACGGCCGTCTCGCCCAAGTGTCGGCAGAGGATGCGTACACGTCTCTGACCACGCCCGTGTTTGGCAAGGGTGTGGTCTACGACGTCCCTAATGCAGTGTTGATGGAGCAGAAGCGCTTTGTCAAGTCAGGTCTCTCGACGGAGAATTTCCGCAAGTACGTCGGTCTCATCTCGGAAGAGGTGACCGACTTTGTGAAGAACGACGCCGCCTTCCGTCCTCTGCAGACGGGCGAAAAGTCTGTGACGGTGGACATTTTTGATGTGTTTAGTGAGATTACGATTCTGACGGCCAGTCGCACGTTGCAGGGCAAAGAGGTTCGCGAGAACTTGGACAAGAGCTTTGCCAAGCTATACCACGATCTTGATTCGGGCTTTACTCCTATCAACTTTGTGATCCCCAACTTGCCATTGCCAAACAACTTCCGTCGCGACCGTGCGCAGCGTCAGATGAGTGACTTCTACATGGGCATTATCAAGAAGCGTCGCGAAGGCAGCGTAGAAGGTACGGACCACGATATGATTAGTGCTTTGATGGAGCAGTCGTACAAGAATGGCCGTGAAATCAATGATCGCGAGATTGCGCATATGATGATTGCATTGCTTATGGCCGGCCAGCACACGTCCAGTGCTACTGGTAGCTGGGCCATGCTGCGCCTTGCGAGTCGCCCAGAGTTCATCGAGGCGCTGTACCAGGAGCAGCTCCGTGTGTACAGTGATGGCGCTGGTGGTTTTGCGCCTCTGGACTATGACACCCAAAAGACGTCGGTGCCTGTGCTGGACGCTGTTGTGCGTGAGACGCTGCGTATGCACCCGCCCATCCACAGCATCATGCGCAAAGTCAAGTCTGATTTGGCCGTGCCGCCTACGCTGGCTGCCCCAGCCGGGCACAAGGCCGGCGACAATGATGCGTACGTCATTCCCAAGGGTCACTATGTGATTGCTGCTCCTGGTGTGTCGCAAATCGATCCCGAGCTGTGGGACCATGCGGATGAGTTCGATCCGAACCGCTGGCTCACCGGTAAGGCGAAGGGTCTTGAGCTGTCGAATGGCGAAGAGGTGGACTATGGCTGGGGTATGGTCAGCACTGGCGGTAACAGCCCTTACTTGCCTTTTGGCGCCGGTCGTCACCGCTGTATTGGCGAGCAATTTGCCTACCTCCAGCTGGGCACCATTATTTCTATGTTTGTCCGGTCCTTTGACTGGCGCCTCGAGACTACGTTGCCTCAACCCGACTACACTTCGATGGTGGTGCTGCCCAAGCAGCCTGCGAACATTGTGTTGACGCCTCGCCGTGGCCCCGCGCTGGCCAAGTAAGTGGCCGATACCCTGGCCGTGTCATTCATTGGCGCCCCACGTGACAAGAGTGGCGTCAAGGCCAGTATAGCGAAACGCGATGTGGTTCGTCATTGTCCGTGCGCAGCATAGCGCAAATCCTACTTGTATCGACCAATAGTTCACGTACATTCCAAAAGGTGGACATAGTATATGTAGCTCTTTCTTTCGTAGGACTCTTGCCATCTCGTTCTCTATGGCTCCGCCCCGACGTGTATTGATTGTTGTGACATCGGCTAAGGCGCCTCTGTACCCAGACGGTGGTGAGACCGGTGTGTTCATTTCGGAGGCGATGCACCCCTTTGATGGGTTCCGTAAGGCTGGCTTTGAGGTCGATCTAATCTCGGAGACAGGCTCGTATTCTCCCGATGCCCTTTCGCTGACCCAGCCATGGATCAGCGAGGAGGAGTTGAAGGTGTACAACGATCACTCGTCCGAGTTCCGCTCGAAGCTGGATCACCTTCTGACGCCACAGGACGTCGATGCGTCACGCTACGGTATTTTCTTTGCTTCGGCAGGCCATGCGTCGCTCATTGACTATCCGGAAGCCCGAGGCTTGCAAACAATCGCCAGTCAGATCTGGGCCAACGGTGGGATTGTCTCTGCTGTGTGCCATGGTGGTGCAATCTTCCCTGGCATCAAGGATGCGTCAGGTAAGTCCATTATTCATGGCAAGGAAGTGACAGGCTTCACGACGCAAGGTGAAGAGGAAGAAGGCGTGCTGGACACCATTGAGAAGTGGAATCGCCCTACCATTGAGAAATCCGCCGCAGACGCCGGTGCGAAGTACATAGCGCCTCCCGGTCCCTGGGCCGCTTTTGCGCATACAGACGGTCGCCTTGTCACAGGTGCCAATCCACAAAGCGGACATGTCGTCACTGAGGCGGCGATCCAGGCGTTTGAAAAGCTCTAAATTGGTAGTCTACAGTATATAGCACTTAGCCACGGCGCTCCGCCACACGCACCAAGTCGGCCACAACGCCCATAGCCGTCACGTCAGCACCGGCACCAGCGCCCTGCACAAGCAGAGGGCGCGGGTAGCGCTCGGTGGTGAACGAAATAATGTTGTCCGAACCGCCTAGAGCCGTAGCAAAGGGGTGGTCGGCAGGGTACGGCTGCAGACTTGCCTGGATGACCTTCTTCTCCACATCAATTACACCCACGTAGCGCAGAACATTGTTGTTGTCCTGGGCCGTAGCACGCAGCTGGTCAAACTCGTAGTCAAACTCAGGCAGGCGCTTGACATATGCCTCCGCATCTGTCTCGTCACGCAGACCTGAAGGCGTGAGCGACTGTGTGTCCACCGAGGCAAAGCCCTCCGGAAGCAAATCTGTCATATCCGGGATCAGCCGCGAAAGAATAGTAAGCTTACGCGCGACATCAGAACCGGAGAGATCATCGCCTGGGTTCGGCTCCGTGTAGCCATTCTCACGCGCCACCGTAACAATCTTTGAGAAGCGCTCGGAGCTGCCATTCGCAGGGCTAAACTCGTTGAAAATGTAGCTCATCGTACCGCTAAGCACGCCCTCAATCTTTTTAATACGGTCGCCCGTCGCAATAAGATCGTTGAGAGTGCTAATGATCGGCAAGCCGGCGCCCACCGTGCTTTCTTGGTACACAAGACCACCCTTCACCTCGTCCTTGTTCTTTTGAATCGCCTTAAACAGGTCCAGAGGGCCAGAGAACGCCTTCTTGTTCGGCGTCACAACGCTGAAACCGGCCTCAAGGAACGACGGGTAGAAGCTCGCAACATGGTCATTGGACGTGTTGTCCACCACCGCAATATGGCGTTGGTTCTGCGCTTGGATAGCCTGAAGCGATTTCACGAGCTCGTCGAGCGAGAGCGCTGACGTAGTGCTAGAGCTCAACTGGTTCTTCCAGTTCTCGAGCGAAAGCGTCGATCCGGGCTGAGCCAGCAACGTCTTCTTGCTGTTTTGCAAGGCAATCACACGGAGCGAGGCAAGCTTAGGCACTGTAGAGAGCTGGTGCAAGACAGCTGAGCCAACGAGGCCAACACCTGAAGTTATGAGCACATAGTCCTACGACGTACCAATAACTGCAACGTCAATTTGACTCATGGTAGGACGGTGGTGGAGGATCAAGCGACGCACCTCGGCCCATCCTCCGACTGCACGGCGATCTTCGCCACGTGGGCCGGACCGAACTACGACCGCTCACGAGGCACATTGACAGACACATGGAAGAGGGATGCAGTAGCTAGCGCGCTATCTATACACTAGTGTTGTCCGTCATCGCATTTTCATCATCGTTCTTCGACGAAAGGCCAGCGGTACGTACATCGTAGCCGTAGCCACCTGCCGGAACGTTGGGAACCACATCCTTCACACCATCGTAGTGCACTGATACATGAGTCGCTCAAATACATACATTGCATCGCATCATAGTTCGCGATAAATGTCCAGCCCTCCGGACCCATGTGGTACAAGTTGATGGTCTGATGTGAGTACCGCTTCTGTACGTACATTGCCTGAGTATGCATCGCGATGCGTCGCTGCATAAATACTGCGACGGCCGAGATCTAACGCCTCTTCGTACGACAAGTCCCAATGGTAGCCTTGGTCTAGCACGCCATATGCAAACGTCGAGCCGGATCCGACTGAAAACAGATCGCCCTTGAGACGCGAGCCGTCCGAGTCCACGTAGAAAATGGCAGGTCCGGTCTTGTCCCATCCACAGATCATGGTGCCCATACTCAGACCCATGCCCTTATAAGAGTACACAAGATTGCTTAGAATCTTAGAAGCAGCGGCAACAGAGATGCGCTCCTTATTCCGCAACTCATGCAGACGGCATTGAATGCCCAGGTATGTCTCCCAGTACTGGCAATCCGCCGCACCACCGGCCATCGTGCCGAGCAGGTACGGGTTGATCTCAATCACTTTTTTGACCGAGCCGGAGGCAATGTAGGATCCGGCTGATGCACGAGAATCCACTGCAACCACCACACCGCCGCGGTAGCGGAAAGCGAGCGTAGTAGTACCGTGGTGCAGCTTGATGCGAGCGTCTTTGTGTGTCGAATCCACATCAGTGTACTGCGCAAGGAAGCGTGATGGATCGCTACCAGGCAACGCAAACTGTGTGTTTAGTACGCCATCCTCTTCATCATGAAGTTTTGCAGCGCGAAGGTCGTTCTGTGCGAACTGCGACAATATAGCATTCATGGCGAACGGTCTGTGTGTCACAAAGTCAAGCTAGCGGCGATGGCAGCGTAAGCGACGCCCATGTGACGCGCAAGCGTGATCGGACAGACCTACTAGGTATAATTACATAACACAACTACGAAGCCGCTGCACGCGCATACGACTGGAAGTGGAGGGGTTGCTGGGTGTAATGGACAAAGGTCGAGTACGCGGCGTCCGTCCCACCAGCCATGGTCGAGTCGACACGCAGACGAGCGTGACCGACACGCGAAAGATCGCCTTGGGCGAGAGCAGCCATACTCTCATATACATGCATATCCGCCTCGCCAGCCCGCTCTGTCTGCCGGAATTGGACCTGGGCAAATTGCGAGCAGTACAGTTGATACTCGCGCGTCTCATTCCGAGTGATGGTGGGATGAAGTGAGCGCTGTACCACAGACTCCATAGAGTTCGTAGATCCCAATTCTTGTGGTATAGATGCTGCGTTGGAGGCAGATGTTTCAGTTCTGTCGCTGTCCTTAATCGTCACGCCATGTGACGCGTGCTGCGAAGACGACTTGCCGTCGTGCGAAGGGGTCATCCACCGACGAACGCCACCAATAAACGACAAATGGAAAGAGCTGGAACGAGACAGCGGGAATGATCCTCTGGCTTTCAAACTTCGTACAGGCGGTGACGATGGTACGACATCTTCATTCAATGTCGCGAGGGGTCCACCAGGCTCGGTATGTGTTAAATGCACGGCCGTCATTTTGTACGCATGGTGTCGCTGCAAGCTAACGTTGTTAGAAGTCATCATATACGCACTCTGTAAATAAGCTTGGTCGGTAGTACCCTTCCCAGAATCCCTTGTCAGCGTTGACAAAGTAAGACAAGTAAGACGCTTTGGCGTACAAATCCTCGTCGGCGCGGAGATGTTCCGTGCTGCATACTTGATCGGGCATCACATTGCGCGGAAGGAATTCACCTGTATCACAGGGTGCTTGACCTAGGAACAGGTCAATGGAGGCCTGCTTTTCTGCATCGTTGAATGAGTTGGCATAATAGCGACGTAGCCCCTCAAGCATATCGCGTGAATGAGACGTCCAATGGTTGATTTTGCGGTACGTATCCGTGGTATGAGCCAGAGCTGATCCACCGTATTGAAGGGCAATAGTGTCGCCTAGGTCATGGTACATTTCTGTAAGCATATTCACAGCATTGGAATCAAACGATAGGTGCGGGTGCTGTAGCAAGCCCAGCGCGTGAAGCTGATATGCCAACGCCGCCTTTCCCAGAACAAACTGAGCAGCGTTGGTCCGATCCAGGCAGTCCACGCAATTGACACGGACCACGCCATTCTGCATGAGCAACGGAGATGTATGCGCCAACGCCGAGTCTCGGAAAGGGATCGGCACGGGTCCCGAATGGAAAAAGTGCGTCTCTTGTAGTGTTGTTTCGGCCAATTGTTCGAGGAATCCAATCACGTCGGCATTCCGGCTCTTGCTGGCACGGCTCATGTCCCATGCAAGGTATTGGATCTGACGATTTTTTCCGTCCTGATTTTTAGGCAGGAACTGATTGAGTTGCTTTACGCACTCATCGTACGCATCGCGCAATTTGGATTCACGAGGCTGCCGTTCTTTCCCTTTGATGAGGTTGAGCACAATGACAGGTGTGCCATATGCATGAAAAAGCTCATTAAAGTGCAGGGCTGCTGGAATAAAGTAGGGATCCACAATCGACAGCTCAATGGGTGGCTTGGGCGACATATTGGTAGAGTCTTGTGTCCAATAAATAGGAATAGAGCCACGCATCATCACATACGATGTGAAGTGTGGGGATGGTCGTAGTACATGGTCTTTTTGGCTCATATACCGGCCTGGTGGTGCAAAAAACGGGCTAGTAATAGGCTTGTTAACAATTTGCTCTGTTTCCACATCGTTAGCGACGTGCCCATCCTCCGAGATACCGCGCTTGTAGAATCGCGCGCCCGCCATATGACGTGATCGACGTGCAATGAGGCAGATATAGATGGCATTGCCCAGCACGCTTAGTTTGGCTTGATCTACAAACCCGTGCAATAGAGGGATAACCCATTGCCGCTTAGCCAGCAATTCTTCTCTCTGGGCTTCAGGCGCTTCCACGTTTCGACAGTCTTCAAACGCCGGGGTGAGCAGGTGAAAGTTCCACATGAACTTCTCGTTGTAGCCCCAGGCCATCGTTCTGTACAGTTGTCCATTCACACGAGGGCCCGTCATATTCTCTTGGAGCGTCCGTGTGAGGTCGTACGTATAACTGAAGTAGAAATTCTTGCTTAGATCGACCTGATTGAACGATCGCAAAAGCTGCGCCTCTTTCTGATCACGCGTCTTGGATCGGGGCAAGACTTGGGACAGTACACTAGAATGGCAAACAGGCAACACTTGCGTCTCGTCACAATGGTAGATGTAGTGTCCACCGATCAAACTCACGACACTGCGCTTCGACACAAGGACCATGTAGTAGCCAGCCGTGAATCGAATAAACCCAATCAACCCAAAGTAGCGGCCCACTTCTTTCAGACCACCAGACCCTCGCGACCCTTCTTGCAGCGAGGAAAGAATGTCAGTGAGCTCTTCTGGTGAGTACTCCGTGCTGTACCCTGTCACATTCAACGTCCATGCTTCATCGTCTTCTAGGTTCATTGTGGGCTCCTTTTTGGCCTTCTTTGGCTCCGTTTCTTCTTCTGTTGAGATAGAAGACTCTGGCACATGTACTGACGACGTAGTAAGAAGCGATAGGCGATGTGAGTGCTTAGGGGAGCGTGGCGCACTAAGCGCCGCAAGCGGTGGGACAGTACGCTCATGTGTCTCAAGCGAAGCATCGCGCGGTAGTTCTGCCTCTTCACCGGTGTAATTTTTCCATTCGGTCGTCGATGGTAGGTTTACCACTTCAGGATCGTAGAGGCGCAGAAACTTGCGCTCCGTCTCGCGCTCGCCGGCGTCTGCATCGTCTTTGCCCTTGTCGGGTAGAAGCGATGTGGCCAACTCGGCAATCTCGGACGACAGGGTGCCAGAAGGCGCTTGCCCGATATGTGTCGTAAGCTCATCAGCGCCGCTGGCGATACTGACAACCACATCGGAAAGACTGTTATCCCGGGCATGCTGGACAACCGGCTCGACAATGCCACGAGAGAGATCCTCAACGGTAGGCAGATCAGGGACAACATCGCTCGACTTGGACTCTGAGCTCGTATCCGTCTGCATCGTCTCTTGTCGCTGTTCTGCCCCAGCAATCGGCGGTGTACGATCGATTTTCAGGACACGATACCTAGACTGACTGGACCCATGGGAAATCAAATAAAAGTAGTGGCGTGTTTCATACAGAGTAAATCGCATCAGATCGCCCGGTCGCTCGACTAGCTCTTCGTCTGCCAAGTGCAGGGGGGCTCGATGCTGCTCACGCGCAGGTGTAGGATCGCCCGTAGGGCCCACACTCGTAGCTCGCGCCGGCCCAGGTGCTGGGAGGACGGCCGGAAGCGCGGCATTGTTTCCACTAATGGAAGCAAGGAGCTGAACATCGGACTCGGGCAGCGGATCACTACCACTCACAGCGCTGAACTCACTCATTGCGCATGTGCCACCGGCACAGTGGTCGAGAGGCTCCCTCGCCCTGTCGCACCGCACGGGCTTTGGTTGAGCAGACCTCCACTTCTCGCACGGAGCGCAGCGACAGACCAGACGAGACTACAAAGAATCGTTGGATGACATGCTACCTTAGTACACAAACGGAATAAAGCGGTACGGCACAATCTGGCAGTACTTCTCCCAGTCCTTACCGTATTTGCGCGCACAACGCTCAAAGTCGCGGCCACAGCGGTGCGTCAGCACGGCCAGGAAGAATGCGGCATAGTAGTACGGAATGATGGAGCGAGTGCCCGCGATGGCGCCCCAGAGGAACGCCTGCGTCCAGTCGGCCGTGTAGTTTGGCTTACGAAGGAACTGCCACCAGCCGTCGATGAGCAGTGCATTTCCGTGCGCTGTCTGGAGGTAGCGAGGGTTTTTCAGCGTGCTCCAGGGCCATTGGGGGAAGCTCCAGCGCACCTTGAGTGTGCCCTGCAGCTGCATACGGAAACGCGACTTTTGCGCCATGGACGAATCAAACACAAAGTGCGCAAAGAGAAGGAGCGAGTACATGAAAATGTACGTAAACGTCGAGAAGCGGTAGTACTCCGGCGGGTGAGCTGCCATGTAGACAATGCTGTAGCAGTACGTAAATGGCACACCAGCAAAGTTCCAGAAGATGACCATGAAGCCCCACTTTTCGTAAAACATGTCCCAAGTCTGCGGAATGCACTCTTCACCCTTGGCACACGCGTTGATGTACAGACCCGTAGCGAGGACCATGAACGCCATGTTCGGCGTCACATAGCCGTACTCTTCGTACTGCTTGCACGCGCCACTCACACTGATCATGAACAGCAGGATCCACGGAATGCGCACCTCCGCCCACATCTTCAGATCAATCGGGCCAATGCGCGGGTTGAGGGCAGCGCCCATGAAAAAGTCGTACATAAAGTTGCCGCTCATACGGTGCGTTGTTTTGGTCACCACAGCGTGGAAGTACGTCGCAAAGCTAACTGCAAAGCCAGCGATCATCGCCACAGTCATGTACTCGCCGAAGTGCTCGATAATCTGCGTCAAACGGTACACGCCCGAAACGTGCAGGCCGGCTGCAATGAGCAGAGTAAGATAAAGGCAGCCCAGAGCATTGCACTTGTACATCAGTGTCTTGTAGTTGAGCGACGGCACAGGCAGACCTTCCTGCATGTAGCCCGGCACGAACCACGCCAACACAAACTCGACGACCATCAGACCACCGTAGCCAATAAAGGCACGCTTGGTCGGGAAGGCATCCTCATACACATGCTGCCACATGCGGCCAAAGAAGGGCACAATGTCAGACACACTGGTCGGGTGCGCAAAGTGGCCATCGTAGAACCACAAGCAGATCCACAGGTAGTACATAAGCACTGGGAACAATGTAATCATCGCCGTCACACCCCACGGACCGCCAAACTCATACTCATGGTGCGTGTCCATAGCCTTATCACGCTCACGACCCTGCTCGCTGATGACGATACCAGGTGTGTACTGCGCTACAGCACGCTCCTTGACACCGCCCACGATCTGCGGATCACGCAGATCGGGCTTGGCATAGCTGTGCTTGTACTCGACCTCCGACGTCGACGATGCCGTCGCAGTAGGCTGCGGCACTTCCAGGGTGCTGGCCATTTTGGCCGCACTACGTGTGCGAATGCCCTCTCGAATCGGCGGAGCGGCCATCACGAGAATGTGGTTGCAAGAATGACGCCAGAAGGCACAAAAGCCCTTCCCCTCTCCTCCACGGGCTCCTACCAGCCGCACCGCGACGGGTCACGTGCACGTTTTCTACGTCGGCGACGACCGCTGGACGAGCGAGCGAGAATCTTTGCTCCTTCTGTACGACACAATGATGCACGCTTCGATCGCTGCTCGCCGTGCTGCATTGGCGCTCACTCGTGCTAAGCCTACGCAAGCACGTATGTTTTCAAATACCATCCGTGTCGCTGAGGAGGCTGCGGCTCCTGCTGCGGCTGCTGCGTCGCCGAAGATTACGCAGATTGTGGACAGCATTGAGAAACTGACGCTGCTCGAGGCTTCAGAGCTCGTCCAGGAGCTTAAGACGCGCCTGAACATTACTGATATTGCTATGCCTGCTGCTGCGCCTGCTGCGCCTGCCGCTGCGCCTGCAGAGGAGGCTCCGGCGGAAGAGAAGCCTAAGGAGAAGACGCTGTTCACGATCAAGTTCACGGGTCTGAGCTCGGACAGCGCCAAGGCCAAGGTTATTAAGGAGATCAAGGCGATCAACACCAACATGAACTTGGTAGAGGCGAAGAAGTTCGTCGAGTCGGCGCCGCAGACTCTGAAGGAGAACGTGACCAAGGAGGACGCAGAGAAGATCAAGGAGGCTGTCGAGAAGGCTGGTGGTAAGATTGAACTGGCGTAAAACGACCATGAGCTTTTGGTTCCTCATATATACTCTATTCCTCGATCCACCGGGCATGGGGACCCATGCTATGTAAAAGCGTTCGTAGCGATACGCGATCATTGCGACTCTCCACGTAGTGTTTGGCTTGGTACCATAATCGCAACGCCAGACGCTGCAGCGCATCCTTGATAGCGCTTTGCTGTGTATGCATCCCTCGGTGATCGCGAATGCACCTATGCGTATTGCGTACGGCTTGCAAGAGGGGCGCGAGTTGCGTCAATGTGTCATCGGGCGCGTGAGCGAGTCGCTCAGGGAGATCTGTACACGCCATGGCGACCAAGTCTACACAGGCAGTAAAGCTGGCAGCGACATGGGGTTCCATGGGCGCCCCATCGCGCTGGAGATGGGTATGTGTGGCTGTGAGCACAGGGACAAGCGCCGCTAGAGGACGAGAGATGGACGAGTCGCCTACCGCCAAATGCCAGGCTACCGACGCACGCAGCGGGAGAGGCATAGTTCGGAGGACAGGAATAGCGCGTGCTAACGCGGCTTTGGCTTCCATGGGCAGGTGTAGACCCACATCACACAAACGCTGTTGTACCACAGTGTAATTCGTACATTGCGACAGCAAACGTTGGACCAGGTAGTGGCGTGTAGATGGGTGCGCAGAGATGGGCATCATAGAGCCGAGAAGTAGTAGTAAAGGAACCACTGCATGAGCGAGGACAGAGGGCGTATCGATACTAGGGTTAGGTAGCGTCATACATACTACACGAGATGCGAGCACACACGCCAAAGACGTACGAGGCATCGTTCACGAGGAGGCGGTTGGCGTAGGGTATCATGATAGGCAGCAGGTTGCTGCCCTGTAGCTGCAGTAAGGAGGACTGGCGATAGCCCGAGACGTAGCAGCAGCCGCGGCAAAAGCGCCATAACAGCTGCGCCATGTTGTTGCAATCGAGATTGGGCGACGTGGGCTAACGAAGTATCATCGCTAAGCGCATACTGTAGCATATCCCACAAGGAAAGGGTATCGGTCGTACGTAAGTACATGCACGACAAGGACGGAAGAGGCGTGGGATTTGCATCGACGTCGTGTGTCCAAAGAATAGACGAGGTGTCATCCCTATGGTTGGCAGATGTAGCGGACAGAGTGTCCTCGCGAAGCAAGTGTGTAAGTTTCTTGGCACTAGACGGATCCAGCGTCGCATGCAAAGTGGCATGGACATCCTGTTCCGTAGTGGTCTTGGCCTCGTCTGTCGAGGCAGAAAGTTGCGCAACGATCGCGTCCACTTCGCGATACGCAGACGAGGCCAAGCCATGTCGTTCGCGACGCATACGATCGCGATGCAAAGAGGGAACAGAAAGCCGTGGGCTGAATTGGGGTGAAGGAGGCAGCGTTTTGTCGGCGTCCGCATCACGTTGCAGTCGCGGTGCAAAGCGATAGGGGGTTTGACGTTGCGCTGCTGCACGACGTGGTTTCTTCGTCGATGAAGGACGCAACAGTACCTCATCATCCGAGTCATCGTCCATACCTGCCATATCGGTGAGCGAAATGGGCGCTTGTACCAGGGCCTGTTGTGCTCGAGTACGAGCTATCTGAAGAATGTGCTCACTGGTCGTAGACGCTGTTGTATGCATCGCAGAGGAGGTAGGATCGCTCAGCACAGACGACCCTGCCCAACCCTGCAGCTCATCTGTAACAGGGTCAGATGAGGGGACATAGATGCCTTGATCATGCCAAGACACAGACGACATGTCCACGCATGGAGGCTCTCTGCCACCGCACGCACCGTGCGAGGCGCCTCTACGTTGTGGAGGGAGGTAGGCCGGCCCATGGACGCCTCCACATGGCGTCATTGTGCAGGCCTTGGCTCGTGGACGCATCCACCACCGTCCGAACGGCGTGTTTTTTGACGTTTCTTATCGACGCCTGACGAGAAGCAAGACGTGATTGCATCAACGCGTAGAGCGGTCCTGACGGTGACAGAGTGATGCAGGACGATGCCAAAACAGATCAAATAGCTGAAAAGTCAGCGCCGGCGTCGCTGGAGAAGGTGGAGTTGGAGATCAAAGGCATGACGTGTGGCGCGTGCGTAGCGGTACGTGAATGCGACGCGACTGACAATATAGAGCATTGAGACGATGCTTGGACAGCAAGAAGGTATCAAGTCAGTCTCGGTAGCGCTTTTGGCCGAGCGCGCTGTCGTGCAATACGACGCAGCGCAAGGCTGGACGCCCGAAAAAGTCGCCGAAGAAGTGGATGACATTGGCTTTGAGGCACGCGTCATTGAGGCGCCACGTGAAGATGAGGCGATTCTTTCCGTGTTTGGCATGACATGCTCCTCCTGTACCTCGTCGGTGGAGCATGCGTTGCTTTCTGTGGCCGGTGTAGAGTCGTGCGGTGTGTCGCTTACGACACAGCAGGCCCGAATTCGATTCGATCCTCAGAAAGTGCACGTACGTGATCTTGTGCAAGCTGTGGAGGATGCAGGGTTTGACGCGATTTTGTTTGACGATCGAGATGAGTCGCAACTTGAGAGCTTGACGCGTGTACGTGAAGTGCAAGACTGGTGGCGCACGTTCCTTTTCTCCCTATCGTTTGCCGTGCCCGAGTTTATGGTGAATATGGTCCTGGGCAAAGCGCCGGTAGTGGGTGATATTCTTCATGCGCAGCTGGTACGTGGACTCTATATACAAGATGTGCTGGCACTGTTGATCACGCTCCCAGTCCAATTCGGCGTAGGTCGACGGTTCTTTGTGTCTGCGTACAAGTCGTGGCAGCATGGCTCGGCTACGATGGATACGTTGGTGATTCTAGGGACCACAGCCTCGTGGGTGTTTAGTCTTTTCGCCATGCTCTTTATGATGGGATGCCGTGATCACTGCTACAAGCCCAAGACGTTTTTTGATACCTCGACGATGCTCATCACGTTTGTTTCGCTGGGTCGGTACTTGGAAAATGCAGCGAAAGGACGAACAAGCGAAGCGCTGACACGATTGATTCGCCTCACGCCGCAAAAGGCGACCATATATATGGACAGCCAATGCGAGCAAGAACGGGTGGTCCCTGTCGAACTGCTGCAGGTAGGCGACATTGTGAAGTTGGTACCTGGCGAAAAGATTGCGGCGGATGGGATTGTCAAGCAAGGGCACAGCTTGGTCGATGAAAGTATGATTACGGGCGAGCATATTCCTGTTTCCAAGACGCCAGGCAGCCAAGTGATTGGTGGTACGGTCAATGGAAGTGGGACTTTGGACTTTGTGGTGACACGCGCTGGCAAGGATACGAATCTGCATCGTATCGTCAAGTTGGTCCAGGATGCACAAACGACCAAGGCTCCGATCCAGGACTATGCTGACCGTGTCGCAGGGGTCTTTGTGCCTTGCATTTTGGTCCTAAGTGCGCTCACGCTGTTCCTATGGCTCAGTGTGGCATACTTGGTCGATCCATCGTACCAGCCTCACCTCTTCCGCATGGCAGGCGATCATAAGTTGATGGAATGTTTCAAGTTGTGCATTAGCGTCATCGTCGTGGCTTGCCCGTGTGCACTGGGCCTGAGCACGCCGACGGCCGTCATGGTCGGCACAGGAGTCGGCGCTGCGAATGGCATCCTTGTGAAGAGCGGAGGGGCCTTGGAAGCGGCGTGCACGGTGAGCCACATTGTGTTTGACAAGACGGGTACATTGACACGGGGGCGTGTGCGTGTTCTATCCCAATGGCATGCGCCTGAGGCGGCAACGGAGCAGACTGCGGCCTTGGTGCATGCCATCGAGAGCAAGAGTGAGCATGTGCTCGCGCAGGCGTTGGTGCACTACTACGAAGACCAAGTCGAAGCCCAGCCGGCGCAGGTTGAACACTTTGACTCGATCCAAGGCGCTGGCGTACGTGGCCAGGTGACTTGGGAAGCGCAGACGCATACTATCGTGGTGGGCCATGCGGCCTTGCACACTGCCTCAACATGGCCGACCGCCTTGACGTCGTTTGCGGCACAGCACGAGGCGGAAGGGTGCACGCTCGTGTATGTGGCTGTGGATGAGACTTTGACAGCTGCCTATGCGCTCGCTGACGAGGTCAAATCAGAAGCGCGCTGGGCCGTGGAGTGCCTGCAGGACATGGGTATCCGCTGCAGTATGATGACAGGCGATACGCGTGGCGCCGCCCTGGCAGTGGCACGCGAAGTGGGCATTGCCGCTGACGATGTGCATGCAGGTCTGAGCCCCAATGGCAAGATGACACTCCTGCAGAAGCAGCGTGTCCGTACCGAAGTCCCTGCGACGCGATGGGCCCGTATGCAGCTGGCCCTCTTCCCCACCGAGCGCCATGGCCTGGCCATGGTCGGCGATGGTATCAACGATTCGCCTGCGCTGGCGTCGGCGGATGTAGGTATTGCGCTGTGCTCTGGCTCCGATATTGCGATGGGCGCTGCATCGATTGTGCTGATGCGCAACGATCTCACCGATGTGCCTATTGCGCTTCTTCTCTGCCGCCGCATTTTTATGCAAATTCGTCTCAACTTTTTGTGGGCAACTATGTACAACATTGTGATGATTCCTATTGCCATGGGCCTCTTTTTGCCTTGGGGGGTCCATATGCATCCTATGATGGCCGGGCTGGCCATGACATGCAGTAGCGTGAGCGTCGTGTTGAGCTCCCTCTCACTCAAACGATGGCAACGACCTGATCCCACAGAAGCCGCTGCTACGGTCGCTGTAACGTCGCGTACGTCGACGGTAGCTTCGATATGGCACCGCCTTCTTGACGTTGTAAGGCCTGTGCCACGCACACCTGACTATATTGCGCTAGAAATGACCGAGGCATAGACATGAAAAGACGATTTTTTTAACTCCGAACCACAAGCATGCTGGAGGGGAAAAGACCGGCGCTCTTGTCCCAGGGACGCAGCACACGCTCGCCCGTCGCCGCGACCTCGACAAGCCATACGCGATTCCGGAACCCAATATGTGTAAGATTCGGCCCACCAGCCTGCGCCAAGCGCAGCATATCCGCTTCCGTGTACTGTGCATCGCTGCGGAGGTGCGAAAACATGTGGAACGTACGTAGTTGTGTGCATGCCGCGAGGCATGTGCCTAAGGTGTCCATATCGTATTCGTACAGCTGGACGACCAACTCACGCAGGCCCTGCGCGATAGGCGACGAGGTCATGACACTTAGCTGCCCTAGAGACACACCTACCCCAGGCATGCGAAGGACTCGCAACGTTGCTGCTGCTGGACTCGCCGCCCATTGGTGCAGACATGCTGTGCTCATACGCGGCGCTGTATCGCGCAACGTCCCTTCCTCAGCATCGTCACTATCGTCGCCGACGTACGAATTGCCATCGACCACAGGCGCACTTCCCCCACGCGCATAAAGGACCATGGTATGAAGGCGATGACACATGGCCCATATGTGCGAGACCTCCTGGAAAAAGGCAGGCGCATCAGCCACTTTCTTGGGGTACGTGACGGTGAGCGACGTAAGGTGTGGCATCCTCAGCGCTAACGAGGATAGCACGCCAGCCTCTAGCGCCAGCGATTCGAGCGCTACTTCGCGTAAGTGGGGCGTCACAAGCGCACGAAGACCCTCGCCATGCACTTGCTTGCAGCCTACCAATGATAAACGTTGCAAACTCGGTGCAAGAGTTGCCAATGTCGATAGCCATGCATCTGTCACCAAGGACGAGTCCATACACAGCAAATTGATGCCTTGTAAGGGCGCATCGAGGTGCTGAAGCATCAGCGGGATATGCTCCAATACGGCACGATCAGGGAGAATGAAGGACAAGTCACGCACACTCGGTGGAAGGCGCGTGGCTAGTAGAGCAGGCGACCAGGTACGGCTGTTGCCGGTCAGCTCCAGACGACGTAGTTGGTGCATGTGCTCGAACATCGATAGAATTACACGATCACTGAGGCTGCCAGTGCGTGTCCAGCACAATACTTCCAAGTTCTCGGCAGCTCGTATGCTTTGCACAATTTGGGACTCCAGCAGCTCCAGACGTTCAGCTCGTAAGCCAAAAGGAAATACACGAAGTTCTAAGAGTAAGCCAGAAAGTACATACCGAGAATCCGCACATGCTGCGCCAGAGCAGGGTGCGCGGCCAGCGTCTCAAACACACGAAGGAGCCGCGTTTGATCACGTAGCCAGATTCGCTCATACAGCCATGGCGTAGCAAACGTATGCCACAATTTGCATACTAAGCAACAAAGGGCCAGATCATGTACGCGCCATCGCAGGCACTCCAGAACCAGCGGCACAATCTCTGCCGGTAGCTTTGGCATAGCCGTGCCATGCTACACAGACAAGACGCACGGACGTCGTACGAGCAGGCACGGCCTGGCCCCATCTCCGTTGTGATCACGTGATAGGTGGAAGACCATCGGCGGAGGTCGAGCGAGGCCTCGACGCAAATCGCGACGAAGACGTCCGTTTTGTGCTGCAAGTCAGAGACATGGACGTGGCTTGGCGGCCTATGACAATGTTGTATAGGCGCGTAGCGCAAGGCACATCAATGTGTACACGCACATCCCTCGGTGCCGGTACCATGATGAGTGCGCGCGCTTATGCGACGCCAGCGACGGCGCCTGCCAAGAAATACCAGCCCAAAGTGCCCAAGGTACGTTGCACTATAGTACTTACCACCCACGCAGCACTTTTCATACCAAGACAAGCGCCAGAAAATGAGCGAGCGCAAGACGTACCTGTACAACATGTACGTCCGCGTTATGCAAGAAAGTGAACTTGTGGTCCTGTTTGAAGCAGAAAATGTCAGCGTGCCTTTGCTTAAGAATCTGCGCACACAGATGCACAGCATTAAGCTGCCAGACGGCGATAAGGCGCGTCTCTCTGCCAAAAATGGTGGCGAGGAATGGGACATGCCAGTAAGTACGCTGAGTATGGCACGTACAGGCTTGCTGCGTCCTGTATGCCGTGAAGACAAATCCAAGGCGGTTCAGGGCCTGGGTCCCTACTTGCATGGCCAAGTGGCGTTGTTGTCGTTCCCTGTGTTGTCGCCTGAGTACGTGGGCAAAGTGCTTCGGGCCATGGACAAGATCATGTCGGCGGCCATCGACGAGGTGGATCCCAAGAGCGGCAAGAAGCCGCCGAAAATGAAGGCTGTGGTGGCGGTGGCTGAGAGGAGTCGTTTGCTGGATGCCAAGGCCATCCCTGCCTTTACCAAGCTGCCCAACCTTCCGACATTGCATGCGCAGGTGGTGGGTCTGCTATCGGCGCCGAGTCAACAGCTGGTGGGTCTGTTATCGCAGGCAGGTGGTGCTACATTGGCTGCTACACTCGAGGCGCGTCGTCGCGATTTAGAGAAGGCGTCCGAGTAAATAGACGAGTTGCTAGAAAAAGGTACGACCGGCCTCGATCCGCCCCTCATCGTACGTGTTCTTCCTCCTCCACTCGTGCCTGGCCGTGTTGATTGTCTACGAGGATGACACGATGGGCGTGCCAGGGCTATGGCGGGAACTAGCTCCTACAGGCATCGATACCACACTAGAACAGCTAGCATGGGCCCATTGGGAGCGTACGGATCAGCAGCGGTACCGAATCGGGATCGATGCATCGCAATGGCTGTTCCATGCACGTAAAGCGCGAGGCGGTGCACAGCCAGCCTTGCGTATGCTGTTTTTCCGCGCTTTGAAGCTATTGCATATACCCGTATGGCCTGTGTTTGTATTTGATGGGCCTTCCCGACCGGCCTGGAAGCGTGATGCGGATGTATGGCTCGGTCCGTTTCCGCTCGAGGCTCAATGGCAATCGTTTCTCGATGCGTTGGGGTTCGCGTACTGGCGTGCACCTGGCGAAGCCGAGGCCGAGTTGGCGTGGATGAATTCGCGTGGCGATATTGATGTGGTATGGACGGATGATGTGGATGCGCTGCTATTTGGGGCGCAGCGCGTACTGCGTCCTCCTTCAAAGACGAACAACACAGACTCAGAGCCGGAACGACAGCGCGAAGCGCAGGAAGATCGCGGCCCTTTATCCCGTGCAAAGCACGCCAGCAAGATAGTAGACGATACGTGGACACTGTATGACATGGCCACTTCCGCATGGCCGATCAAGGCCGCGGGACTGATTTTGGTGGCCTTGCTGGCAGGGGGTGACTACCATCCGCAGGGGCTTCCTAGCTGCGGTGTGAAAACCGCCTTGGGTTTGGCTCGAACGGGACTAGGGCAGGTATTGGCCGAGGCGTATGATGCGTACCAGTATACGACTAGGGACGAAGCGGCCTGGGCGTCGTCCATGGCGACGTGGCGTGAAGCGATTCAGGCGGAATTGATATCGAATGCTAGCGGCTATTTGACCAAGAAACAGCCAAAGTTGGCACGCCTCGTTTCCGTGGATCTGTTCGGCACGCAACGTGCACGCGATGTCCTGCGTGACTATATGCACCCACGCACGTCCAAGACCGATCCGACTGCGCAGGCGCGATGGGAAAAGGTGCGTAGAGCCCCACGATCTGTGGATTTGGCGTCGGTTGGGCAGCTCGTGCAAACGCATTTCGAGTGGCCACCAACAGTTGCGCTGCAGAAGTTGGAACGGTTGCTGTTGCCAGGTATGTGTATGCAGCGTTTGCTGCAGATCAGCCCAGGTCCATCCACCCCACCTCGACCTACGAGTCCTGCACGGGAGCCCATGACCCCCGTCTCCCGTATGACGCATTCCCTCGCTCGTCTACAAGCACATTCGCCCACACGGCCTGCGCCATGGGTGGCCTTGCATACGAAGCGAATGATGCAAGGCCGCATACACATTCGAATGTCGTTAAATACCGAGGCTTTCTACGAAGATATCTGTGCCTCGCTCACAGTCGCAAAGCCAGCCGCATGTTCGGTACGGTTATGGGTTCCAATGAGGCTTGCTATGGCGCAGCCGGGAGGAGCCCAGCGTATCCAGGCCTTCCTAACGTCCGCTAAGCCCAAAAAGGCGAACAGTGTCCCGACTGATCAAACGCGTTTGACGTCCTATTTTGTGTGCACGAAACGCACCATGACGTCGAGCCCATCGCCTTCGCCGCCGCCTTCGCCTACACGCAAGCCAGCCAAGTCTCGGGAAGCGAGCGAGTTACGACTTCCTACGCGCGGCCTGCCACCGCCGTCCGTCGACGATACGTCTGTGGAACTTGTCCGTGTCGTGCCTGCGACAGAGGTGATTGTGATCAGTGATTCATCTAGTGATACCCTATAGTACAATGCAACTACATACGTTGGTCCTCCATCGGTGTGGGCTCGCTCACGGAGCGGAATCGCTCACGCAGTTTGGCCCATTTCTTTTTCGTCCATTGCCATGGGCTCAGTGGGTATCCATCCAAGAACGGCGGCCGCATGGCGTTGAGGAGTCGCTGGCGGCGCGTTGGCAGTATTTCAGGGAGAGCGTTCTGCAAATGCAAAAGACGTCGAATCGTCCAAATCAAGCCGTCACGGGAGGTGTCCAGATGGGAGATGTAGCGCTTCAGCCCAAACTTTTCGATGCGGCCCCGAAGCAATTTGAACGAGATCTCAGAGCGCACATCCGCCGCTGCCTCGCATCGGGTCAACGGTGCTGGCGCTGTCGACGTCTCTTCAAACTTGAGACCTTCTGTAATTGCCATCACCGACGTATGATCCAAATTCCGAGTCCAAATTGACATGACACGAGGCGCATTGTCATGGCGTGGGGTCAAGTCCACTTCGCTATCTTCCAATACCCACGATGTGGAATGCTCAATGATATTTTTGGGTGCCCAGCTAGGTAATGAGCCCTTTTTGAGAAGCAGTCGTGTGGTGCAAAGCACGAGCGATGGCATACCGTGCGCGTGGGAGGACGGACGTTCCTCTATGCGACGATCAATGACGTCGACCGTTAGCACATGAGACGCTTGGGGATTCGGGTATCGTAGAAAATAGGCCTGCACACAGGCGGACCATGGGTATCTGGGCTGTGTAAGATGTCGAATACGTACGTATACGTTGATTCAGAGTGCAATGTGCGCACCATGGCCACCGCGACGAAGTAAAAGAGACAACCTCGATGACGCCGTCGCCACAGTGGAGACCAACTTGCAGGGCCCACCAGAAAAAGGCCTTTTTCGAATTACTTTCCCTACAGAGCTATCACGCGCCGCCGCCGCCGCCCATCATGCGCTGCATCATACCGCCCAAGCCGCCCATGTTTTGCATCATCTGCTGCATTTGCGCCATGTCTGGCATACCACCGCCACCTAGACCTGGCATACCGCCGAGGCCTGGCATACCGCCCATGGCCGCCAGCGATGGTGGAATGTTGCCGCTTTGAATCTGACGCATGAGCTGCTCACGACCGCCAGGCTGCCGCAACTGCGCCTTGATCTCCGGGGGCAAGGCATTCTGCATCTTCATAGCCTGCTCACGCGACATACCTGGCGGAAGCATCGGACGGCCGCCGCGGCCGCCCTGCATCTGCTGCATCCAGTTGGCCTTGCCGCCTACCTTCTTCGCCATGGACGCAATCGTGCGGTACTGCATTAAGAACTCTTCCACGTCCCGCACACTCGTCCCGCTACCACGCGCCACACGCAGCGCACGCGCATTGAGCCGCACTTTGGGCTTGGGCTTAGGCTCGCCTTCCTTGGCGGGGGGCGTGGGCAAGGTCGTCAGGAAGCAGCTGCCGTCAGAGTCGAGTTCCGCCGGTGTCATGCTGTCGATAATGTACAGCATCATCTTGAACTTGTTACTGGCTAGCGCATCGTTCGCATCGTCGCCCAGCATTTGGCCGACGCCAGGGATCATACCGGCCAGCTTCGACATAGGGCCCATGTTCATAATGTTGGTAATCTGCTCGCGCCAATCACGGATCGTAAAGTGACCGCCTTCCTGGATCTTCTTCATCATATCCTTCTGGCGCTGCTGGACATCTGTGTTCATCTGCACCTCCTCAATCTTGTCCATAAGACCTGACAGATCGCCCATGCCTAGCAACTTTGATATAAAGGGGCGTGCACGGAACGGCTCCAAGTCATGAATGTGCTCACCTGTACCGATGAAAATGATCGGCGTCTTGGTCGACGCCACGGCCGAGATCGCACCACCACCCTTGGCATGGCCATCCAGCTTGGTCACAAAGAGCGCACCGTAGTCTGCTGCCTCCTTAAAGGCACGGCACTGCGCTTCCGCAGCTTGACCTATACTCGCATCGAGGACCATGATGGTTTGTGTGGGCTTGACTGCCTTGCTGATGTCAATCATTTCGTCAAACAGATCCTTTTCTTGCTTGTGACGACCAGATGTATCGACAATGATAATATCGAAGCGATTCTTCTTGAACGATGCCACACCAGCCGAGGCAATGGCCACAGGGTCCGTTTCTGTGTATGAGCCATAGAAGGGAATGTTCGCCTTCGCGGCATTTTGTTTCAGCTGGTCAAACGCACCAGCACGGAAGGTATCCGCACACACGAGACCGGTTTTGTAGCCACGCTTCTGGTACCACAATGCCAGCTTCGTACATGACGTAGTCTTACCTGAACCTTGCAGACCCACAAACATAATGACGTTCTGCTGGCCCTTGTCCAAGCGGTGTGTCGTGGAGCCTTCCCCCGGGTCCACCAGCTTGACCAGGTAGTCAAACACAATCTTCTGCACTTGGTGCTTTCGTTGCGCATCCGATAGGTTTTCTCCCTTGTCCTTGTCGTTAAGGATACCACGCACCTCCTCCTTCACATCCTGGCGCAGTTTCTGCACCAACTTGACATTCACATCACTCGCAAGGAGCGCACCACACACATTTTTCAGGAGCAGATCAATCGATGCCTCATCGACGATCGGCTGCCTTTGCAGATCGGAGAACGCCTGATTCAGACGTCGTCCCAGATCAGCCAGCACCATGATCGAAGAGCGTGTCGTGACACACCGAGCGAGGGCGCTAGCCCCACGACGACCTTCGCTCCTCCACGTGACCCTGCGCCCGACACCGACACCTCTCTCCCACACGCGCTGCCTCCACACCTGGGCGAGCGCCGCATGCCAAGTAAGGATGCCTGACGGGGCGAGGCGTGTGCTTGTCGTATCGGGGCTATGGCGCATCGCATGCGTGTCGATGCTACTGTGCTTCGGGAACGCACTGCCCTCGTTCGACACGTCCGGGTCCTTGGTCCGTGCGACTGTCCCAGGCACCGAGGCTGATCACGCATTGTGGGATCGATGGGCCGTGCCATTTGTGCGATGGGATACTGTGTACTTTCTCTCTCTCGCCTACCCCGCGTATGGATACATGTACGAAAACATGCTGGCTTTTCAGCCTGGGATCGTGGCCATATTGCGCGTTCTGGGCTTTGGCTACAGCGGCGCTTGGGACCCCTTTGTGTCGGTCATGCGGACCGTCGTCCTCGTCCAGCTCCTTTCCTGGCTTGCACCGTGGCTTCTGTACCATGTTACGAAGCAATGCACCAGCTCACCAAGATGGGCGTACCGCGCTGCGATGCTGTCCGTCTTTGCACCTGCCTCGGCCACGTCCCTTACCTCGCCCACGCCGGAGCCGTTTTTCTCTGTATGCAGCTTGCTAGGTCTCTGGTGTCTGACAAAAGAGCCCTATACCCACCTTCGACGTATTCTGGCCGCTCTATGCTTTGCCGCTGCTACCCTGTTCCGCGCGAATGGCGTATTTTTGGCCGGGTTCTTAGTCTGGCATGGCCTCTATCTTCCATGGCTCACAGGCCACCGACGCTCCGTCTTCCAGCTACTGTCTGCTCTGTTCATTGTCGTCTTCTGTGTAGGACTCTCGGTGGCACCGTTTGTACTATCACAGGCATGGGCTGTCGAGCGTATGTGCCCGGGCGCCGTGTGGTGTACGCGATCTTGGCCGGTGGTCTATACGTACGTCCAAGAGACGTACTGGGATGTGGGCTTCCTGCGATACTGGCACTGGGCTCAACTTCCCAACTTTGCTCTGGCCATGCCTGTGCTGCTCCTAGGCGCCTGGGGATGCTATACCCTACGTCCCTCGTGGCGTATCTGCCTGCGTGAGACGCTTTGGCCATGGCGCTGTGCGTTGTCGCCCCCACGTCGCGGCGTATGGGACTGGGTGTTTGTGTATCATATGATGTTTGTATTGGCCCTACTCTTTTTCGCCTCGCATGTCCAAATTGCGCTGCGTTTCGCGACGCCAGGCGGCATGCCGCTGCTTTGGTGGGCTGCTGCGAAAGCGTATGAACATCCGCAACGACGTCGTGTATTGGAAGGCTACCTGGTAATGTACAGTATCATTGCATGTGTGTTGTATGCGGGCTTCTACCCTCCCGCGTAGTGCGTATTACGCACGCCGTGCTGTGTCGAGTTCGTATGCCTCGGCGTCCTGCGCCTCTAGCACTGCGTGCTCCGAAAAGCCTACGCGCATTTCGCGCTGAATGGCCCAACGCTCGGCCAGAAGAATACATAGACTCGCGTGGATGCTCATTACCATCCACCAGTAGAGGGAAAATGGCAACGAGCCTGCATACAGCGACGTGATAACCAGGTGCAGGAGGTGCATCGTGCACACAAAGTCGAGTACGTGTGTCGGTTTGCGTATGAGAAAGTACAATACTTGCACGCTGCGTGTGAGTGTTGGTCATACATACTCAAAGAAAATGGTCAGCATCCAAGCTGCGCTGATGGCCCAGCCACGTCGTACGTCGTGTGTGCGGTGCCATTCCCACTGCTCAAGCTGCTGCTCTTGCTGGAAGAGCGTCTGTGATGGGGCCGCCGTCGGCGTAGGGGTGCTGATATCTGTCTGCGCCATGCTTTCGGAGGTATCGTTCCACTGGAACATGCTTGGCTGAATCACTTCCGGCACGCTGGATCCATTGACAAACGCTACTTGAAGCCAGAGCGATCCTGCCGTCCAGTTGGCGACCGCGTCGCTTTCTGCCGGCGTCCACATAGGCGTGCTTTTCCCGGTCGTATTCCAACCCGTATACAGATCGACAAGCTGCGCCCAAGAGTCCCAGTCCCACGTAGGCCGACTGGCAATTTCGCGCCAGTCAAGCATCATACCGACCTGCGCAGGCCCTCCTTCGAAGCGCAGAGCCGCCTTTTCGGTAAAGATCGCAAGAAGAGGCGGTACAAACGCGGCAAGAAGGATATAATGAATCGTCTGTAGCGCCAGTATCTGCGCTACAATGCGCAGCGGATCCCAGCCATGGAGCGTCGACGACAAGCGGAGTTCCGAGAGTTTCATCTCTCGTACGCAATCGCGTGGAGCTGGCAGAGAGCCAAATCGCGTGGGCGTCGCCCACAGAGCGCTGTCGTGCCCCCTCAGCGCCCTCCACCTGCCTTGGGTCCACGACGTGGACGAGAGGGGGGGCGCCATGCTTCGGTTTGTGTTGGTACTGAATCGGCAAGGGAAGCTACGGCTGGCCAAGTACTATGTGCCTTGCAGTGAGTCGGAAAAGGCCGACTTGCCGATCGAAGTACATCGCCTCATTGCTACGCGCGATCAACGATCCCAAAGCAACTTTGTCGAGGTATGTCTATGTTGTCTCACCCCAGCATCGCTCCAACAAGATTGTGTACCGACGGTATGCGGGTCTATTTTTCTGCGTATCTGTGGACATGTCGGACAATGAACTGACCTACCTGGAAGCCATCCACCTGTTTGTGGAGATCTTGGATGGCTACTTTGGCAACGTGAACGAAATGGATTTGGTGTTTCACTTCTACAAGGTGTATGCCATTCTGGACGAAGTGTTCTTAGCGGGCGAAATTCAAGAGACGAGCAAAAGCAATGTGCTTCACAGGATGGAGCAGCGTACGTACAGTGTATCTACTTACAGCTAGTGGAGCGGTTAGGCTAAGGCTGTCTCTTACGACTTGGCCGGTGCGCCATTATGCCGCCAAATCTCCTCCAAGCGGATTCGCTCTCGTGCAGCCTCCGTCATCACATGCACAACACACCATTCGGCATCAATCAGACACCAATCGCCGCTGCCTCGAGATGCGATGCCTTTCTGGCGTTTCCGGGTATCCGACAAATCGACGCTTGACACCAATCCTTCGAAGCGCACAGGCTGCTGATGCGTGCTGGCCGTGACAGAGGCCGTAGCTTGGCGTGGCGCTTCCAGAGGAATGCCCTCTCGCAACGCCGCCATCTCTTCTGCCTCACGTGTATGGGCATCTCGACGGGCCAACTCGGCGGCTTTGGCGCGCTCGTTCTGACGCTGTGCTTGTTCAGGCGTAGGGCGCCATCGACTGCGAAGAATACGCCGCACACTTTCAGGGCTGATTCGGAAACGCTTGCTTAGCACGGGAATTGTGAAACGGTCTGGATCCGCTTCATGGAGCAAGCGCATACCGTGCTGCGCCTCGTGTGACAGCTTGGTCATAGGCGACCATCCATCTGGAAATTTACGTTCCAACGCAATTTTTTGGATCTGCCAGGCAGGCAAGCGTTGGCCCAGCTCATGCTCAATGCGTGAAACGCCCGCTGGCCGAGCACTTCGTGTAGACTCCGTAGTCTCAGTTTCGTCTTCCGCGACGACTTGCGCGGGGCCCAGAATGGCATCCAATGTGACAGACTCCTCGTTGGCGGACGACGGCGGGGCCGTATGTTTGAGCTGCGGTGTAAATCTCATTCTTTTGTTTCTTATACGTACATAATGTCCCAACTCTGTGGCTACGCGACGCACTGTACCTACACCAGCGCCGCGTACCTGGACAATCACAATCCAATCTTGGCCATGTTCGCCCACAGTTTCTGAGCGGTTCATCGGTCGAATCACACAGATCGGTGAGCCACGAATTCTTTCCGACCAATCGTCAATGTCAACGTCCTCGGTGGCAGCAGGTCGTGCAACGAGCGCACTGAGTGAACCTGTGAGGCACATATCAAGCATCGTCGCTACGGCCTCAGGGATATCGGTGGTGGCAGGCAGGTATGGCGGGAACCATGCAATCGGTGGAAGCGATTCCGACGGCGTGGGGGCAACGTTTTCCGCTGGCGCCTCCATGACCTGCTCTTCCATGAACCATGGTACACTGAGTGGAGGCGACGGTGTGGGTGGCGTAGACGAAGCACGCTGTGTCGAGGCACGCGCTCCTGGCCGAATGCGTGGATAAAGAGACCCACTTGACGTGTGTACATACCGGCTAGGGCACATGACCTGGACCCATGGCGTACGCCAGAGCGGTGTTCGTGGCCATCGACACGCCATAACCCTGTGAGAGACGCGTGAATGCAGCAAGTCGCTGCCCTGCGTACGTACCCCTTCGACCATGGCGTGGAGGCCCATCACGTGACGGCGGACACACACGGTCCGTCGGCGCCAGCGTCGGATCGCTCGCTGCTTTTCGACCAGGTCTCGCACGATGCGTATGTAGAATTGATGAGCATACCGTGCTAACACAGGCAGCGCAGAAGGAGTTTGAGACGGAGTACCCTCCCATTGATACCGACCCCCACTTCCGGCGCGTGGTGCGGTACTTCCGCCCGTCTGACTACTATACGATGGCCGGCGCAGCTGTTGCCTTCCCAAGTGCTTTGTTCCTGCTGGAGAACTCAGACCCGTCGCGCGCCCGGGGCCGGCTCGGCGCTGCGCTGAAGCTGTCGGCCTTCCTTGGTCTGACGGGTGGTTTCTTGCTCGCATACCAGCGTTCGACGTGTACGTATGAGCCATTCTTGTGTGTGTACTAACATTCGCAGTCCGCTTCTGGGGCTGGTCCGAGAATGAACGTGAGCAGGAAATGGCCAAGGAGGAAAGTGCCAAGGGTACTGTCCCTGGCTTTGGACAGAGCAACATGACGGAGGAAATGCAGGGTGCAGCGCACCGTAACAGTATCTTCTCGCAGCTCAACCTTGGTATGTCTTTCATGAGTGTTCTAACACGCTAGCGGTGTTGCCGTGGTTCAACGTCGTGAACCACAAGTACCATGGTTCGGAGAGTGCATGAGTATAGTAGAACGTATAGACGAAACTATGGAAGCTCGGCAATTGCCTTGACAAAATCTTCATTGTCCGGCTCAAACTGGTGGCCCAAGTCAAAGGCGGCTCGTGCTTCATCGTACCGATGCAAAGCTGCAAGCGCCTTGCCTTTCCGGAAATGACCCTTGCCCCAATCGTTCTTAATTTTGACAACCGCATCTGCATCACACAGTGCTTCAATATACGCCTCTGCCGCTAGGAAGGCCGCACTCCGGTTGGCTAGCATGATAGAAAGTTCCTCTGCGACAACCCCGCTGGATTCCCACATGGGCCGGCTTGAAGCAATCGCGAGGCCCATTGTATAATGCTTGACAGCCGTCTTGTAGTCTTTCTGGCGATACGCCGCGTTGCCTTGATCCTTGGCGCGCTTCACAGCCTCGCTCATTTGCTGCTGGATGATATGAGGTGGGGGTGGGAAAGGCGCTTGGACAGGGAGCATACGCAACCAACTGGCAATCATATTCAACAACGACACATCCTGTGTGTCAGCGTGGACGGTTTGCTTCTCTGCATCCACCGAGAAGGTGAACATGTCGTTGCGATCCACAGCTACGAGCAGCGGATTGCCGAATGCATCCGTCGCATCTTCGGCGGGCAGACCTTGGACGTCTGTCATCGTCGAGCACACCCAGGAATCGATGGCGAGGCACACGGTGTCGTGGCCCTGGCCGTTGGCAACATAGTGGAGGCCTAGTAGGTGCGCCTCTTCTATCACGTGGGGGCCACGATCCCAGCGTTCGCTCGCTCTCTTCGTGTTGCGTGCGACTGAGGGGGAACCATGTGGCTCTCGATGGGTAGTATGCGACTACGTACGTGTATGCCATGGGCATCGGTGCGTCTAGGTGCTGTTCGTGCGTTGCATGGATCGCCTGCGCATTTCGAGAAGCCCAAGCTGCCGCCGTCGGTAAGTGAGGCGAAGCGCACAGAAAAAACCATGAAGCGGTTCTGGAAGGATGTATTCCTTGCGTACGAGGAGGCGTCTATGTCCAACGACGAGCACTTCCAGATCCAGCTCGACAAGCGTTCTGTGCGTACACCAGGCGGTGCTGTGCTTCGTGTGCCGGGCGATCGTCCTTTGCTGGCCTGCCTGATTGCGCAGGAATGGGACGAGCAATCGCAAGTCGTCAAGCCGCATTCGCTGCCACTTACGTCGCTGGTCGCGCGTGCGATCGATGGGCTCAGCCAGGATGCGACGCGTGAGGAAGCTGAGTCCTTGCTGTTGCGCTATTTTGATACCGATGCTGTGTGCTACCATGAAACCAAGCCGGCCAAGTTGGTCCAAATGCAGGAGGAGCGATGGGCGCCACTGATTGAGTGGGCGAAGACGTACTTCCAAATCCCGATTGTCCCTGCGCAGGGCACGTTGCTACATGCGCAAGCGCCTGAGGCGCGGGACAAGATCGCGCGGGTGATGGCAGGCATGGAGCCGCTGGACTTGGCTGCGTTGGAGCGCGCCGTGATGACAAGCAAGTCGATGATCATTGGTATGGCGCTGGTGCATCGTCACATTGAGGCTGAGCAGGCCGCGCTGGCGGCAGAAGTCGAGACGGCGACGCAGGCGTCGATGTGGGGCGCGATTGACGACTCGCATGACGTGGATCATGCGGAGCTGCGTCGGCAGTTGGCTAGCGTTGCGTGTGCGCAAGTCATCACGGAGCCCGAGCTTGTAGAGCGCTTTGTGAAGGTGCTTCGTGAACGCAAGGGAGCCTTTCGTACATAGATACTATGGGTAACATGGAGAGTCCGTGGGGACGGACTTAATCGTTGCGTTGGACGCCGTACTCGACCGACTCGATGAGCACTGCCTTGCGCAGCCAACGTCGTCGACGTGTATAGCGGCCCATACCGCTCTGCTTGCTGAGCTTCTCCCAAGTATTATCGCCGTACTGCCAACCTTCCGCATCGACATCCATACTGACGCCCGACTCGGTGGTGACGGGGCGTGCCACGTTGAGCACTTCTTCCGGCACAATGGGCTCTTGGCTCGAAGCAGCCACTTCCTTGGCGACACGCTGTGCCTCCACAGCGTCCATATCTTCCTTCGGCGTGTAGCTATCCGACGTGATCGTCTGCACGCCGGCAACGTGCCACTCCGGATCGACCCAGCGCCATTCGGCCACACGCACATCGTCTTTGCCTGGGGAGGTCGACGAGGGCATACGCACACGCGTGCCGCGTGGCAACGAGAACGATGCAGGTGGCGCCACGGCTTGGTTGTCGCTATCCGACCAGCTTGGGCGCTCCTGCGGCAGCAGCGCCGCCGTCCAGTCGAGGCCGATCCACCAGCGCTGGTTCTCGTAGATCTCAAACACAAACTCTGTTTCATGCTCGACCGACGAGCGACGGCCACCGACCATCTTGGCCTTCGCCGATGGACGCAGCGACATCGCCAAGGCATCACTGCCACTGCCAAGACGCACCAGCGTCATGACACTGCGACGCACCATCGCACTGCGCCAGAGCGCCGCCCGCAGCAGCGTGGCCCAGGGCGAGCACCATGTCAAGGCCACTACACCGACGATCAGCAGCACATGTCGCAACGTCAACGAGGCAATCGGGAAGGGCGGCAGCACTTGCAGCGAAATACGCTCGTTCGACCATGGCAGCAGGCGCACCATGGCGCACACCCATGGCCCCATGTACGTATGCACAAAGTGATCGCCACGTTGGTACATATCAAGCATGCGAGGCGCATGCACCTGCGCATGCGCGTGCACGGCAGGGAACACTGTGCCGTGAAGGTACGTGCGCAGCGCGACCAGCGGCGCACTGGCAGCTACGGCCGACCACGTCGTCGAGACATAGTAGATCGGGGTAAGCCACATGTGCACGGGAAGCACACAGAGAAGCCATAATGGCCATGTCACAAGGAGGAACGTAACGAGGTGCACAGGGCCGATCCCCGCGACGTTCCAGGTGAGCACATCAAACACAGGGCGAATGAGGCCTTCGTACACGGCCGCAACAAAGTCGGCAATGTCTGTGAGCTGCGCGACGGCCATACGAATTGTCTGTGCACTTCCACGCTCGTCCGCGGCACGACGCTGCCCCGTGACGCGCGAAAAGGATTTGCGGAGCCATGCATACCCAATGATCGAAAGAACAATCGCTTGGGGGGCGTAGCGCAAAACTTCGTAGCCGTACATGCACGTAAGGATATAACACAGGAACAAGAGCCACGATTGCACACGCATCACGTACCCACCGCGCCATGTCACTAGACGCAGGACGTGGTGAATCACATGGATCGCCGGCGCGAGGATCGCCAGCAACTGGATCATGCTCGGCGGGAGCCGATCAATGACATCCATAAACGAAAGCGTCTGGACGCGAGCCGTAGATATACCTACGCTCAGGCCCGAGACACTAGCCTTCTCGGAGGACATGACGCCGTAACGAGGGAAGATCCTCGCGTCCTGCGTTTGCTCCCCCCGCAGGAGGGCCCCGCACGAATGCCGGAACCGGCTGACGCACGTGATGCTAGATCGGCAGGGAGGCGCGAGGGCTTGTGGTCGCAGCCGAATGTGGAGGGTACACTTCGCTCGCTCGCTCGCCACGTTGGTTGCCTTGCTTGCGATGGCGTTGTCGTCGTCGGCGAAGGACGAGACTTCCCATGAGCGCACATCGTTCCAACGCAGCTCGCTCCATATAAGTATCATTGCAGCGCTGGTAGCTGTGACGCTGGCCGCGTTGCCGGTATGGTGGTCTGCCACGACCATTGTACGACGGCCTTTGCCGGTCGACGCCGTACGTGCCTGGCATGCGCAGGGCGCTTGCCCTCTACGTACGGCGTGGACGATCCATATGGATGGTGAACATATCGATGCTAGTACATGTACGGCTGTGTATGAGCGCCTTTTGCATAGACAAGGGGCAGCGCCTACCGACGACCTGTGCATCGATTGGGCCGTCGTTGGATCGCGCGGGTCGGAGCACCGTGTGTGTGATATCGGTGTGTCGAATACCACGGAAGTCGTGCGTGTACCTGTCCATACGCACGGCTCTGCTATGGTGCCAGAGGTCCTGGCCTACCTTGCGCCGCTGCTGGGCGCCCCGACGCGTGAAGATGCGCGCCCGATTGAATACGCACCGCGTGTGCGTCTCGTGTTCAGTTTGATGCAGGAGGACGCAAGTGAAGGACGCGCCATTGCGCAATGGGGCCTCACAGAGGCCTTCCATGCCTCTGCTTCTGTTCACCCATCGCTTGCTCCTTTGCATCGTTTGATCGAGGCTGTGCGGCCGATTCACGACATCGTGTTGGAGACGCAAGTGCAATGGTATGCGCCTCTGGAGTTCTCGCCAACTACCATGTACAACGAGCAAGAGGGCCAGATTTCCGTACTCTCCATGGACGACATCAGTGTATTTATTAACTCGCCACAATGGTCGCTCGAGTCGTACGGCACATCGGCGATGGATGAACGGACCCTCCACTTTATCTTGTTTGTGCCTCGCCCTCATCATGCCCCGCTCTATCTGCAAAAGGATCACGAGATAATTCGGCAGCCAGCGTGGCTTGTCCCCCAATGGGGTGGCGTCGTTGTGTGGAATAGGTACTTGGACGGCTCTGTGATGGCCGAAGATGTATCGCTGGATGAACTACGTGTGCCTATGCAGCTGTATACCAAGCAACTTCTTGCCCTTCTTGGCCTCGAGTATGATGGTGTGTTGGAGCAGGATGCCCTCTTGGATCTTGCTGTGCGAAGTCTGCAGTGGCGCCGAGCGTTGCAATTGGCGCGCGAGTCTGTCGACACGCTCACAAGTATCGTTCGCTTGGTCCACAAAATCCCCAATTTGGGCGTGGATCAGGATGTACAGCGGGCCTTTACGCACGCTCTTGACGATCTGCACGCTGCTAAGGCCTTGTCACTGCCGGGCCGCGCCCATTTGGATCAGCTTCTTTCGCTGGTCACGTCAGCGCAATCCCACGCATCGCAAGCGTTCTTTGATCCGTCCATGCTGGAAATGCTCTACTTCCCCAACGAGCACAAGTATGCCGTATATACCCCTCTTTTCGGGCCCTTGCTGCTGCCTCTTCTCACGGCCATGGCACGTGAATGGAAGTATGCACGCCGTCATAGACGTAGGTAGATGGATCGATCGCCTCGCCTGCCTCTTTTCTCCTCTCCTCCACACCAACGCTGGCCATGTCGCGTCGACGCGAGGCGCAGGACCTGGAACGCGTCCTAGCCTTGTCGCTTCAAGAGCAGGGCGAGGCGCCCACATCAGATCTGCCGCCTTCCACAAAGACACCAGATCAAAGTACACGTCGAGGTGCCTCCCGCACTACGACCCAGAGCTCATCGTCGGTCGCCCCGTCGTCGTCGACAACCCAACCGACCAAGCCTATACCCGCCGCACGCCCAGCTCTTTCAGCCAAAGAAGCACGAAAGAAACTTTTCGGCAAACGTACGCTGCACTGCACTGACTTTAGCCATTTCGTCCCTCTTGCATACCTCGTCGCCCAAGGACAAAGGCCATCTGGCACACACCAGCAGGTACCCAGGCCTGCACAAATCTGTTAAACTGCCTACCCTTCATACCAACCGTCGCTCGCCCCCGCCAAAGCGGCTGAAACTGCCTACCAAGGAAAAGAAACCTGTCCGAGAGCTCGGCTCGGATGAAGAGTTGGAGTCGGAGCCAGAGCCAGAGCCAGAGCCAGAAATCGACTACGAAAATGAAGGGTTCTTGTAGAACTACCAGTATACAGAAGAGTGCGGGGGAGCGGGGTATCTTGAGTAGCTAGTCCATCAAAAGCCGTCGGTTTGCGACGCAAACGAAGAAAAGTCAATGCGTCGGAAAGGCTCTGCGCCCTCCGTAGCCTCTTCCATTTCCACCGTCGGACCTGGCATGGCAACTTGCATATGGTCAAGGCTGTGCATCGGTGGCATCGACATTGTAGGCCGAAGACCTTGGCGCGCAGGGAGGGGTCGAACGGGCCGCGTCGCCCAGGCATCGTCCAGCATGGGCGGTGCGTTATCACCGTCGTCGTCCTCAAACGCCCCTGCTAAGATCGCGTCGCTATCTTCTTCCGCCATACCGCGTTTCAAGTTGAGGGAGGACGCAGTTGTATCGAACGACGTATTTACTGTATCGGTGTCCGACGACCAACGCGATATCATGCTAGGCGCTGCCGCGGGCGGCGGCATCGACGTAGCTACGTGACCACGTAAGGCGCCATTGGGGACGCTGGCTGTGCGGCCCCATTGCGTATAGTTTTTCTTCACGTCAGAGAGCGTATCTTGTGATGAGCGGAATGTCTCTGTTTGCAAGGCATTGCGAAAGTGCGGGCCTGTACCAGGCTGGTAGCCGCGGTTCACGTCTGCGATGTAAGTAGACTGCGTAACATACTAGATCGAATGCGCCAGCTCATGCTTTGCAGCCGCGCTTGGACATCGGTAGGGATGGCATCGTATTCGGACGAGACACGGGAAAGGCCTGTACCTTCTCGTTCACTGCGCCACACATCTTGCGCACTCACAGCGCGCTTATTTAGGCTCATGGTCGACCGCGTCACGAATCCGTGCCAGACCGTAGATTTATATACCAGTGCCGCCACGTGGAGTTGGGACGCCGGCCTCACTTTCTCTGACCCTCGTGGCCCGTTCTCGCACGGTGCAGGGGGGAGGGGACATCTGGACAAAAGCACGTCTGATACTTATGGTGCTACGAGACAGACGTGTACCTACGTTAAAGTTCAAAGTCGTAGGCCAGGAGGTCTGCGTAAGCGGTGTCATGTACATACCATCAATGTTCGGCAGAATGATCATCTTCATAAACCTAGCCTGTGAGTTTTCCTAAGGTACATACTCCTTGTGGTCATTGTCTTCCCGGTACTGGAGCAGCTTTTCCTGGCTCTCAAATACACTGTACAGGCCGTAGTTGTAGCCTTGGGAGCGAACATCCCAAATCGGCGGACCCAGCTTGAGCTCCTTAACGTCGGCTTTGACGACAGGGAGGTCACGCAGCGTCTCTAAACGCGCCTTGAATTCCTCAAAGCCGTTCTCCAGCACTTGAGCCTTGACCTTGAACAAAACAATGTGCACAACAGTCATGGTGGTACGAGGGGAAGACCACGTGCGATCCAACACTGCTTACATCTATTTACTTGCGCTCCTCCACACACTGAAGACGCGCCTGCGTTTCGTCCCAGAGATCCCACTGGCCCCACACGCCTGCGAGAAGGACTAGAATCATCCAGGCGCCAGATTCAGCGGAGAGAGCACCATCACTCGCTGGAACATGCATGTGCGACGCCGTCCGTGTACGCACAATGTTTTTCATGCAGGCCCGTGCGAGCACGCGCAGTGTCGCAATGTCGTCGCTGATGAGGTGCTGATCGATGCGCGCCAGAAGGGCAAAAAGCCATTGGGCATGCACTTCATGCATGGAATGAACTTGCATACGATACTCAGTGAAGTGCGGGTGCTGAATCCACTTGCGGAAGTATTTGGTGAGTGTCAACGCCTCGGTACTGTCCAATGTGCCTAGCATGGCCATAGTCGGCGTAGAGAACACGTAATCCCAGCTCGCAAAGAGATCTTCTGGGCCTTTGTACGAGGGAAGCAGTCCATCCACCTCGTCTTCGGAGTCAGAGGTTGACACTGTGGTATCCATATCAATGCTACCGCTATCATCGATCGACGGGGGTATATGTGAAGCTGCGCGGCATTGCGCCACCATATCGTTGCGATCTTTCTCAGAAGGTGGTAGGCGGCCATGTACAAAGCGGTACCACCCTGTCTCATCATCCACAGACGGCAGGCGGACACGCGCTGTAGAGCTGGGGCGAAGGGTGGCCATGCACTGTCGTATGAGCCAGCATTCTTACATACCAGGCGCAATCGCTGAAATCGTTTTACAAACACAGATCTCCAGGCACTAGTAGGCATCCATGTCTTTGTGTCTGCCTCTTTGGTCTCGGTGTCCTGTGCCACGTCAGGCGATTCGTAGGCCCAACTCGCCTGCGCCAGGATAGGCGGATGCAAACTCGCTTCATGCCTGGAAATTAGATATGCCCAACGTACCGCACCATGGCGAGGTATTCTTCACCGTCCTTGGGAATCCCATCGATTGGCAGTGTGCCAACAGGCAGGATCGCTTGGCCAAAATCGGGCGCTTGTGCGCGCGCCCCAGGGGCCATTCTCGCGCGTGAGAGAGCGGTAGAGCGAGCGCCTTCCTCCACTTGGTGCGGTTCGTGCGCTTCGGCCGATCCATTTTTTTTGAGGCATCGATGTGTGCCTTTGACACTGACGACGATGGGCAAGCGCCGAAGTGAGCGTGCAGCAGAGCCTGTTGAGGCCGAGCTTCCGCTCGGCAAGTACTTGGCATCCACAGGTATGTGCCATTCTTCTTTTTGACCGTAGAAAAACGCGTGCGTGATCGTGCCATTCGATCCTTGTCTGCGTTCTTGTTGAAGAATGCGCAAGAATCCGGTCTTTCGTTGCCGCCGACCGAACTCGCCAAGTTGTGGAAGGGTATTTTCTACTGTACGTTCTAGCGTACTAATTGCAGGTTTCTGGATGAGTGATAAACCTCTTGTGCAGCAGCAATTAGCACAGGAATTGGCACACTTGGTGCTGATGGTCTCTGGGATTCAAGACGACGACGAGTCCCAAGCCAAGCCTGCAGCGTCGCCCCTTGATGATACCACTCGCGCCTTGTCGGCACTCGACTTTTATCAGGGATTCTGGACGACGATGCAAGCCGAATGGCATGGTGTGGACAAGTTTCGGTATGTATTTTGCTCACCACTAACAGCAGCGTCGACAAGTACTACATGCTGATGCGTCGTTTCTTGTTTGCCAGCTTCCGGCTGCTTCTTCTGAACAACTGTGAGGACGTGCTTATCAAGCGCTTTGTTCAAATTATGCGAGGCACGGACGGTCCCCTGTCGTCCAACAATGTGCAAGTGCCGGACAGCCTTACGTACCATGTATGCGACATTTACTTGGACGAGCTGGAGCGAGCTGCCTCGCAGCTTGATCCAGTGCCTGCCATCCCGGTATTGGATCTTCTCACTCCGTTTATGGACTTGGCTGCTACGAGCCGTTCCAAACGGATATACGAGCGTGTGATGACGAGTGTCCTCACACCCTTCCTGGACGCCTGTGCTGCACGCATTCCGTCCTCTGAGCAGCCGCGAAAACGCCGGAAAGTCCACCAGGACGCAGCCACCGACGTGGATCTTGCATACCCCCATGTACTGGCGCACAGTACACTGGAGACACCTGCTCATGGCGCGCACGCTACCGACCGTCTGACGCCTGCAACGTCCGAGGACCCTGCGGCTTTGTACCGCACATTGAAGCAGGAGGCCTTACGTCGTATTGTGGCCGCTGCTAGCAGTCCCGATACCTATGTCCCCAGCCGCCGTAAGCTCTATGCATTATGGTCCGAGAGCCAGGAGACCGAGGACGATGAATGACGCCTAGGTAGTATATATGTATGTTGTTGCAGCGGGCTTGTCCCGACGTGTCACGAACCATCCTAGGATCGATCAGATAGGCGGGCGATCTTCCTCCACTTTCCCATCACACCCCATCCGCGGTCTTTTTGCACGATGGAAGTTGAGCACGTAGAAGAGGTGGAACGGCTGGATCCACGCTTCTCGACGGCGCTCATGGCTGGTGCTGCGTCCGGACTGTCTGTTGACTTGTTATTTTACCCGATCGATACGATCAAGACGCGTTTGCAGAGTGCGCAAGGGTTTTGGAAGAGCGGCGGGTTTGCAGGTGTGTACCGCGGCATGGGCAGTGTGGCTGTGGGTAGTGCGCCTGGCGCCTCGATCTTCTTTGTGACGTACGAATCATCCAAGTCGCTTCTTTCGCGGCTGTTATACCCTGACCGGAGTGCGGATGCCAAGGTTCAGTCGCCGTACGTGCACATGGCCGCCGCGACGCTCGGCGAGACGGTACGTTGTGTCGACACTGACTGAGAGGCGGCGTGTATGGTGCGTGTCCCTACCGAAGTGGTCAAATCGCGGCAGCAGACGTCTGCATACGGCAGGATCTCGTCGCTCACGGCGTTCCGTGAGGTGCTGAGCACGGAGGGCGTCGCTGGACTGTACCGCGGCTATGGCAGTACGATTTTCCGTGAGGTACGTCGCTATGCCACTGACATGAGATTCCTTTTACATGCATCCAGTTCCCATTGTACGAGTTCCTTAAGCACAGTATGGCAGGCTACAAGTCGGAGCCATCGTGGTGGCAAGCCGCGAGCGCTGGCAGTATCGCCGGCTCCTTTGCGGCGGCCGTTACGACCCCGCTGGATGTGATCAAAACACGCATTATGCTGGCCAAGGTATGTATATGTACGTGTCTTACGTGCTAGGCGTCCGCGGACGTGCATGTCGATACACGCATTCTCTCAACGCTTCGTGCGATCCTGGCGCAAGGTGGGCCTCGTGCTCTGTTTGCAGGTGTCGTGCCACGCACCTTGTGGATCGGTCTCGGTGGCGCCGTGTTTCTCGGCACGTTTGACGCGACGGCCAAAATGATCGAAGAGGCTTCCAGGCATGTCGCTTAGTCGAGCCACGCATTCGTGTGCTGCTGTAGCTGTTGCACGACATAGAAAAGGAGCGCATCGTAGCCCCACTGCGTTTGAAACGTCAGGCCAATCGGTAGCGCCACATTGTCCTTGTGCACTCTGTGCTGAACAGGCACCGAGAAAGCAGGCAAGCCCGTCAGATTGGCTTCCACGGTGAGGGTATCCTGCGCATACTCATGCGACGTCGCTTCGTCCAACCTTGGCGCAGGCGCTAGCGAGGTGGGGTACACTAGCATGTCCACACCTTGTGGATCTACCTCGTACGAGGCGACACGCAAGTCAGGCAAGGCAAATATGCGTCGTGTTTCCTGAGCCAATGCCTCGCGGATGCGCAGCGCTGCGTGCAAATGCCGCTGTCGCGCTTCAGCTGTGAGGGCATACGTGCCGAGCAAGATCCGCTTGGCGACTTCTTCGCCAAAGCCGTACGTGCGATTCGCCGCAATGTCCGCGTAAAACGACGCACCTGTTTCCGCCGAGGGATGCGCGCCGTACCGAATGCCGTCAAAGCGGCCCAAGTTGGAGCTCGCTTCGGCCAAGGCAAGCACGTAGTACGCGCTCGGCGCTTGCGTACGTGTGGGCGCACGTAGCGGGACCAGAGTCGCGCCTAGTGTACGTAGTGCTTCCAATACATCGTCTGCAGCTTGGGCATGTTGGTGCTCCATCTCAGCAGGGAACGCTTCAGCGACAATGCCAATCCGCAGTCCCTGTAAGGGCACGTCCAGCGATGCTATGCGCTGCGCGACGTTTTCACGAAGCGTAGCACGCACCTTTGCCTCGACGCACGTAGAGTCATGCGCATCCGGTTGAGCCAGCACATCGTACACGGTTTGCACATCGGCTACGTTCCTAGCCAGAATGCCCACCGTGTCTAAGGAGTCCGCGTAGGATACGACGCCCCAGCGACTCAGCATGCCGTACGAGGGCTTTAGGCCGTACACACCGCAAAACGCCGCAGGAAGACGCACTGATCCTCCTGTATCTGTCCCAATGGCGCTGCTGTTAGTGGCATCGTACATACACTCGGCATAAATTCGCCCGCACTGCCGCCGCGGCACCGCCGGAGCTGCCACCAGGCGAGCGAGGCGGCTGGGCGGTCATGTCAGGCTCGTGCACGTCCTCATAAACCGCCGGATTGGCGACAGGGCCAAAGATGCTGTGCTTGTTTAGGCCGCCCATCGCAAACTCATCGCAGTTGTTCCGCGATGTGATGTGGGCGCCCGCTTTGGTCAGCGCTGTGACCACTGTGGCGTCGAATGGGGAAATGTAATCTGCATAAGGAATCACAGTACGTACCCTCCATCATACGGCTGGCGCAGGTCAGGCGCTGCTGTTGCATGGCCACATTTTCTTTGATGCTCACGGACCACGCTTCTAATGGCCCTGACGGCGTCTGCGTGGGCGCTGGTAGCACGGCCGTGAGAGCATTGTACGGATCATGAGGCCCGGGTGTCCAGGTCGCATACCTACACATCCATTGTCGGACGCCCACCCGCGCAGTGAGCGCACGTACGCCTCGATGGCCAACCCACATGCTCTTGGCCGTCCAGAGCGCGTGTCGTGAAAGAGTGGAGGCACTGGTCGTGGCTCGTCGTCTTCCTTGTCGCTGACGTCCTTATCACGTGGCGCTCTGTTTGAAGGTCCACTCACCTCCACGATGCTTCGTGTGGTATCGACCACGCCGGCTCCCTGCGTGCGCCATCGCAGCGATGCTGATATCCAGGTTTTCCTTCGTCTATGTGCGCCTTTCCCATCTAGTGTCGTCGTACGGCTGCCTTGCCATGTAAATGGCGCTACATTGCGCTCGTCGGTGGCGTCGTTGCTAGGCGGCTCGCCCCACCTGCGTATCACGTCTCGTGGCGGTCGATCTATGCACCCGTGTGAGACACTCTCTGACATAGCAGGCGCCCACAACTGGGTAGAGTTGGATGTGCGTGTATGCCAGCCAGGCGGCAAAGGCGGTTTTGGGAATATGCTGCGTGCGCAGGGTGGGCGTATGAGCCAGCGTGGCAAGAACGAGAGCCAAGACTCTTGTCGTGACCTGCAAGGCCGAAGGCTCGGGTCCATCAAGGAAGCACAGCTGCTCGCAGAGTACATTGCCAAGGAACCCGAGCGCAAAGCGGCTTTGGATGAGGCGCAAAAGCGCAAGTATGCCAAGCTGGAACGCATGCTGGGCCGTGAGCCAAAGACCATGGCCGATTTCGAAGAGGCTGCCGAGAAACTGGACGACGCAGGCGAGGAACTGAGTGAGGCGCCAGAGCTCAGTGCCGGGCCTTCGTCGTCGCAACAGGCTCCCAAGCGCAAGGATCGCTTGGACGATCATGAATACGTGGAACAGAGTCGTGAGATTGTGGAAAATGTACGAAGTGCTGTGGCCTCGGCTATGAAGAAGCGCAAGGGGAAGAAACGCGCTCTTTCTTCCACGGCAGATGCATCAAACTCCTCTTCTGCCCAGCCCACAGTGTCTACGAGCTCTTCGTCGTAGACGAAGCGTGTGTGGGGGCAGGTCGTGGCGCTGGCCGCGTGTCGGAGGATGCAGAACGGCTTGGTACATAAAGACGTTGCTGATGGTACGTTGGCTTCGATGCGAGCGTCTCTTTGTGCTTTTCACGCGAGGGCGATGATATGTGTGTCTCTGTCACTTCCTCGTCTGAGGACGAGTCGTCGACGTACGACACTGAGCTGCTGGAGGCCGTTCGTGCTGAACGACGCACAGCGAGCGTTTGTTGCACAAGGCCGCCTCGTGGCTTGCGCACAGCAGCCAAGTCGGTATCGCCCTTCTTGGCCCGTTTGGGCGAGGCACCAATCCACGCGCCACTTCCACGCTTTGACGTATGGGCAGACGGTGCATGCTCGCTGGGGAACATGGCAATCCCGAATTTCTGACTTGCCTGTTGCATGGCCTCGGCAGCGTCGTATGTGATACCGCTCTTTTCACCACCCATGTCATCTTGAATGAGCATACATACTAGTTCAGGTAAGAGGACTTGATCCACAAATTCGCGGGCGTCCAGAGGATGCATTTTTTTCAGCGTCGCAGGCTTGGTCAGGTCCAAACTGGCCATCATAGGGTCGTGAATATAGGCCGATGTAAGAATATCGTGAAAGAGCTCCCATCCCTGCTCGCCATAGCTGCGTATGAGTATAGTCACAATACGTACTAGCCAGTCTGCCGCTCGTGAAACGTTTCGAGCTGCTGTGCACTTGCGCTTGCCTTTTTGCCAGTGGTCTCACGGCGCGTACGTGCCCGTTGAAACCAGGTACTGTGGTTCGGGTATACAATGAAGTCCTCCAACAGACGAAGGTACCGATTTCCAGGCGAGGTAACGCGCCGTCGCAGTTGTTTCAAGTCCAGGGACATAGGCCATCCGTACATCTGGCCAAGGGGTATCACGTCTCGCTCGTCACGATGCCGTTGGCATACAGCCAATGTATCGGTGGACCGCAGGATTTGGCCCTGCTGCTGCTTCTGCGTCCAGTACTGCATCATCGAACGAAGCGTGCTGGAGGGCTTGCATATTGGCTCATGACAGAAAGGACACACTTTCCAAATACGTGTAGAGACGTCCGATAGCACATGGGATGTCCTTGCATCGTCACAGGAGGGCGTCGCTGCATCTGTCGAGAGCGGCGTCGTTGACCCAAATTCAGCTCGGAGCTCAGCGAATGCTTCCTGCGAGAGGGATGGTACGCTCTTTTTAGGAAGAAGCAGCGTAGGAGCGGTTATGGCCTCGGCTGATCGCGAAGATGAGGACTCGCCCGTCGGCATCTCGCACGCGACGCGGTGGAGTCTGCGTAGGTGGTAAGAGCGCCCTCCACACACTCGCCCTGGCGTTGGTAGTGTACACACCTGCACTGATGACCTTTCTCGCGCGAACGTACATGGCTGGTTCTTGTCAGCATGTCGTGGATTCCTCGTGTTAGTGCAGTGGTCGGTCGTCGTATGGCAATCCGGCCCCAGATGTGGCAGATGCGTATGGCTGTGCCTGTTTACCGCTGCGCCACACCTGTTATGATTCCGCAGCGCTTTTACGCTACCGAAAAGGATGGTAGCGTTTCGCTGAATGACCCTACGGAGGCCGAAGCGCAAAAATTGCTTGACAAGGGGACTGAGTTTTTGGAAATTGGAGACATGGAGAGTGCGATGGCAGAGTACCGCAAGAGCATTGGCGTTTTTGAAAATGCATCAGCGTATTACAACCTGGGCATTTGCCAGTACCAAGCGCAGGACTTGGATGGTGCGATTGCGTCATGGAAAGAAGCGTTGCGTCTCTCGCCTGATAGCCCGGATGCGCACACCAACTTGGCATCAGCCTACATTATGTCCAAGCCTCCTCAGGCTGAGCTGGCACTGTCGCATCTGAAAGAAGCCGCTTCGTTGAGTCCTGATGATGGCGAGATCCATTTCAACTTGGCTACGGTCTTGGAAGCTTGTGAGCAGTTGGAAGAGGCTGTAAAGATGTACAAGAAGGCCAAGGAGAATGGTGTCGACCGTGCTGAGCAGAATGTGCGCAACTGCATGGCCAAGCTTATGGCGGCTCGCATTGACGTGGAGCGCCAAGAGAAGGAGATTGCCGAACAAAAGGCTGCACAGAAAAAAGACTAATTTATACAGTAGCTATAGTACAATAATTACATATCCAACGTATACGTATTCTTCTCAAACTAGCGATCAGCAAGTCGTAACATACCTCCGTCTCGAGCATAATAAGCAGTTGATCCACCATGCTGCCGTTCACAAGCACATGCGTTTCATCCAGGTCCATAACAATACATGGCATCTTCTCGTCAATAGACAAAATCATTTGCTTGACGGCCACATCGCTGCACATTAGCTAGCAACTACCTACCACGTTATCATCACACCTGCATACGCACGCATTGTCGTGGGCGAGGGGGACGTTCTGGCGACTTCACGGACCCTTTAGTCAGCGATTCGCACTGACCTGCCGGGGTAGGACACCGTGCGCCGAAGGCGTGTTGCGCCACGCTGGCCATGATGTTGTGGGACTTGTCCCACAGTCTGCGTGTCTCTGGCGAGGAGACATATGATCTAGTACTATTGAATACTCCTATCCCAGAAGAGCATGCTGCCATATTTCAACTGCTATGGAATCATGCGAGGTACCGTATAGCCGCGGATGGAGGGGCAAATCGTCTCTTTCAGTTCATGCAAACACACGAGGAGGAACTCAAATTGCCCTCGCTCATTTGCGGAGATTTGGATTCCATCAAATCGCATGTTCGTGCGTCGTTCGAAGCGAAGGTATGTATCTACATTGTATTTACGCTAGGGTGTGGACGTCCAGCGATTTCCGTCTCAATACTCGACCGACCTGCAAAAGGCCATCCAGGCACTGGAAGAGCGTGAAGGATCACGGCCTTTAGAGCTGATCATATTTGGGGGTCTAACAGGCCGCTTAGACCAATCTGCCCATACGCTGCATGTGCTATGGCAGCTGTCGCCAGGGACACTGATTGATGGGATGGTGGTGCCGCCAGCAGAGGGCGATGAGTGTAAAGATGGGCGCGTCCGACGGCGCGCGCGTACCCTTGTCGTGTCTGATGGATGCATTACATGTCTCCTCGATGCTGTATGTACAATGATACTTACGTCAGGGCTCGCATACGCTTCAGCATGATCGACGCGTGCTCGGCAAGTCATGTGGGATTCTGCCATTGGGTGTAGCTACGGCACATGTCCACACAACCGGCCTAGAATGGAATCTACGTATGTATCTTGTCCAAATATCACTTACCACAGACGGTGAGACATCTACACTAGGGGGCTTTTTGTCTACATCCAATCACCTTGCGCACGACAATGGGGATGGTGTGGTGACAATCACCACGGATGTCCCCGTATACTGGACCGTGGAGCTCCAAACGGACGATGTCCTGGACACGGCATGGCTGCATGGCCACAAGCACCGTGCGTAATTATGGGTGGTGCCATTAAAAAATCCGACAAACTGATACGCACCAATGCATGCACGCACCGACACTGCGAACCTGTCGCGTGTCGGGTCATGCATGTGGAGGCTTTCGGGCCAACAGAGAAGACCCGTTGTGGTAAAGGGCAATCAATGTAGATAGGCTGGTGGTCTCTTAGTACCTACCATGTCGGAAAACCAGACCAAGTTTGTTGATTACATTGAGAAGAACCAGGACAAGCTCGTCAAGAGCCTGGCTGAGGTTGTGGCTATCCCGAGTGTGTCGGGTGACCCTGCCTACCGTCAGGACGTGTTCCGCCAGGGTGAGTGGATCAAGGCTAAGCTCCTCGAGCTGGGTGCCGAGGCCACGACTCACGACCTTGGTATGCAGAAGCTGGACGGCAAGGACATCCCTCTTCCCCCTGTAGTGGTTGGCTCGCTGGGCAACGACTCGTCGAAGAAGACTGTGCTTGTGTACGGCCACTACGACGTGCAGCCTGCCCTCAAGTCGGATGGCTGGAACACGGAGCCATTCGAGCTGGTGCACGATGAAAAGACTGGTCGCCTGTATGGCCGTGGCTCGACCGATGACAAGGGCCCGATTCTTGGCTGGTTGCACACCATTGAGGCGCACAAGACCTTGGGTCTGGAGCTCCCTGTGAACCTCAAGTTCTGCTTCGAGGGTATGGAGGAGAGCGGCTCGAATGGTCTTGACGAATTCGTGACCAAGAACAAGGACACGCTCTTCTCGGGTGTGGACGCTGTGTGCATTTCGGACAACTACTGGCTCGGTACGAAGAAGCCGTGTGTGACCAACGGTCTGCGTGGTATTTCGTACTTCAAGCTGTCGATCAGCGGCCCTGCCCGTGACCTGCACAGTGGTGTGTTTGGTGGTATGGTGCATGAGCCTATGACCGACCTGATCAAGATTATGTCGTCGCTTGTGACGCCGCAGGGTGAGATTACGATTCCAGGCATCAACGAGCAGGTGAAGGAGCTCACGGACGACGAACGCAAGGTGTACGATGTGATGGACTTTAGCATCTCCGATGTGGATGATGCGACGGGCAGCCAGACCACTATCAGCGACAACAAGCCGGAGGTGCTGATGGCCCGCATGCGTTTCCCGAGTCTCTCGCTGCACGGCATTGAGGGTGCGTTTGCCGAGCCTGGCTCGAAGACGGTGATTCCCGCGAAGGTCACTGGTAAGTTCTCGCTGCGTCTTGTGCCGAACATGGACCCTGCCAAGGTGATTGAGTGCGTGCAGAAGCACGTGGAGTCGGAGTTCGCCAAGCTCAAGTCGAAGAACACGATGCACCTGGCGCCTGACCACCCCGGTAAACCTTGGGTGGCCGACCCGAACCACTGGAACTACGAGGCTGCGTTCCGTGCTACGGAGAAGATCTATGGTGTGCGCCCTGACCTTACCAAGGAGGGTGGCTCGATCCCGATTACCCTGACGTTTGCTGATGCGCTCAACAAGAACGTCCTTCTGCTGCCCATGGGCCGCTCGGACGACGGCGCCCACTCGACCAACGAGAAGCTCGACCTCTCGAACTATGTCAAGGGTACGCAGCTGCTCGGTACCTACCTGTACGAGATTGCCGCGGCCACTGCCTAAGATGCACGTACATACATAGGCCATAGGTTTTGTACTGCCGGACCGTTTTTTTTTAGTACAAGTGGAGGTGCTGCGCACGGATCGATGCCGGCGTGTCACACGCTTGTCTTGTCATGTCTTGCTCTGTTCGTACAGCGATGGCGGCACATACATCTCTTATATACGCCTTCCCTACCAAGGCACCCTACCTATGCTTCGTCGCGCGCACTCCAGTGCGAGCTTGGCTTCCCCGTCGTCGCCCTTGCCTGTATCTCCACGTCCTAGCAAGGCCGATCCCTTGCAGAAACACACACGCAGTGCATCTACGCCCGCCGTCCACGTCACAGGGCCCAGCTCGTCTGCATCTCGATCATCCAAAAGGCAGGTTCTTGTGATATTGCGTCCTCATATGCAGAGCGAGGCAGATCAGCGTGGCGTTCCTGTCTTCCAATTCGATACCACTGAGACCGCGTCGTCTGTGGCTTCGTACGATACCATCCCTGCACTCATCCTAGGGCCAGGCGGACACATTGAAGGGTTTATCCGCATCCCACGTACAGAAGGGCCGGGTCGACAGGTATGGCAGAGTACTCACAGGACACAGAGCCAGAAGACTTGTGCGCCATCTGTAATTCCCCCGCGATTGCATACGCAAGCGCTGCCACCCCCACCTACACTTCCCCCACCCTCACCACCGATCCGACGCGTATCATCGACGCCTGCAGTGAAAGCCCGCGTTCCAGCGCATCTAGTACCAAGTCCCACCCAGCCTCAGGGTGTAAGAAAAGGCGGCACACCTGTCAAACCCAGCGCGAAGCCCACGCTCGGCATTACGCGAAAATCCATCCCCAAAGTGCTGCCGAACGATGCGCCGCTGCCGCCTGCCAGCCAAGGATCCAAAGACTCGCCTAGCATTCTGCAAGAATGGCAAAAGGCGTTTGGCATTTACACAAGCACGGATACACATGCGCCTAGCGAGGCATCGTCGTCCCCAGGTGAAGACAGTTTCGACGATGCTCAGCAGACCCTTTACCGCGTCACCAGCCCATCGCTTTTCCGCCCTGCGTCGCATGATAGTACACGAAGCGGCTTTTCAGCATCCGACAGCAATGATACAGCCAAGGATGCACAGCGAAGCCCGCTAAAGAACGGCCCTTCGTCTTCGCGTGAGCATCGATTGCGTGTGCCGCAGTGGCTCCGCCCCATGCCACGTTCGGCCATGGACGCATGGTACAGCCTATCTCATGCATCAGAGCGTGATGCGCGATCCATACGAGGGAGAATTCCTACGCATTCGGCCCAGCAGGAACATGTCCCTGACGTGCCCGAGGATATCGGCCTACCGGCCATGCCCAGGACGCCAGGGCCTGGTACAAAGGCGCCATCTACGCCAAGTGCAAAGGGCTTCCACGTATCATCGTGGCGTCCTATGCGTATGTTGCGTCGAAAAGGGTCAACAGTGTCGTTCTCAATCGTGTCAGACGAGGGCGCTAACTTGCTGAGACCCGCCTCGCCGACCAAGATGTAGGTAGTCGTCTGTAGCGCCGACCATATCAGTGTGTGGAGGGCGCAGCGACACGGCTTGCCGTCCGCCGTTCGTCATGAATTACGAGACGTACGTGCACGAGCTCATCACCTTGGATCTGACCCATGTGCAGTGTACGTACCAAGCTCACTGATCATAGACTCGCCTACAGACCCATGGGGTGCGTACTGGGCACTGATCACGCTCTCTCCCGTGCTGATTTTGACCGTGTACATCGCTGTGTTCATGCATCGTCGTGAGCTGACGTACCTAAACGCTCTGCTAGGCCAGATCGTATGTGAGTACATCAATTTGCGCCTAAAGAAACGAATTAAGCAACCTAGGCCAACAAGTACGTGCGGTGTTTCTGACTTTCAGATGTGCTGGGCACAGGGTATGGCATGCCCTCATCGCATTCGCAGTTCAGCGGGTTCTTCTGTGCATTCTGGTGCTTGCATATTCTTCTTCACTGGCCAAGGAAGTCAAATACACTAGCACGATCGTACCAAACTCGCTGCATCGAGCAGTGCATCAGTCTCTCGCTCGTCGTCCTCACGACAGGGCTCACATGCTACTCACGACACTACCTGGCGTACCACACTCCTGCGCAAATTGTCGTGGGGTGCACGCTGGGCCTCGTGGTTGGGACACTGTACTATATGCTTACCGAGTTTTCCACACGCTTCAGCGCACGCGGCCAGGCCTTGCGTGCCTGGCTACATACAACACGAGGAAGCCGCGCGCTCCGTTTGTACGATGGATGGACAGTGTGGACGCAGGGCCCTGTCGAGGTCGTATACACACACTGGGTCCATGCCTTGGAGCAGCATCGGAAACAACGCAGTCCTGCTACTAAGGAGGCAGGGACGCACCCCGCACACTTGCGTATGATGCTACGCGCATTGCAGGAGGCAGATCACTGCGAAGCAGTTCCCACAGCCTTTTCCGTCGGGTGTGTCATTGCCGCGAATGCGCCGCAGCTAGAAGACATTGAGGTCCCGCTTGATTCGGAGGTAGAACCACTCGTCTTGACGACTGGCTACTCGCGCGAGCTGCCCGGGAATACCCATGCCGAAGAATGCGCTCTGGACAAGCTACGTCGGCACTGCGCACAGACGCCCCATACCTCTTCATCAGCTGAGGCTCGCTCACGCACGCCACTCTCACTGATTCTATACACGACAATGGAGCCATGCTCGCAGCGCCTTAGCGGGAACCGTCCCTGTGTCCAGCGCATTCAGGACTTCAATGCGGACCCGCCTCTAACGAGTGCTGCGTGGCTCGCTCAGCTAGCGCAGGATACACATACAGCCACGAGCAGTATGCAGTATGAGACTACCACTCGACCACTGCGCATTGTTCTGGTCGTGCAAGGTGTTCAGGAGCCCGACGACTTTGTCTTGTGCGAATCCACGCGTATGCTGCGAGATGCCAACGTGATGACAGTGTCTGCCACACCTGCTGGCTCCCCGGCGATGCTGGGTCTGACGTGCCCTCCGCTTGCTTCCATAGCCGTGCGAGTCGATGCACAAGCTCCGACCAAATGGCTCGAAGAAGCCTGTTTACGTATGGCTCGGAAAGGTCAATAAGTAGTACAATCTATGGCACACGATACCGCGGACCCAAAGCAAGCTGCCCACCTTTGGTAGGAAAGTATGCATCCAAGCGTGGTGTGGCCTGCGGCTTGTCCCATCGCGGCTTTTTGGTCAGGGCTCCTCCTGGCATCGGGAAATGGGTATCATCTAAGTCGTCCACCAACGCCGCCTCGCGTGAAGTCCCACGCTTTGAAGGGCTTGCGTGTGCGACCGCACGGGGTATATTTACATCGCAGTCACGCAAGGGCGACGATGACGGCAGTGCAGATCGCTCGCCTTGCTGCTGTACCTGCGATCGCAACGCTTCTAGCTCTTCGCGCTCAGCATGCCGTTTTTTCTTGCTCGCAGAGAGTGCTGCTTGCATACTGCGCATCTGGTCCGCCATGACCTGATTTCGCTGGCGGATCTGTTCCAGTGACTCGGCCATATCGGCAGCACGCTCATCGGCTTGTCGCGCGCGCTCATCAGCTTCAGCAATGCGCTCTGATGCCGCTTCCTCCGACAACGCTGCACGTCGGATCGCCTCCGCACTGGTACTTTTCGCTTGCGAGACTTGGTCCTGCATGCGAGAAATTTGCTCAGCAGTGTCCCGCTCGAGCGACTGGGCACGCGCATCCAGCTTCGCCTTTTTCTCTTGCAGCTCGCGTTTCAAGTGCTGCATATGTTTCTGTTTTTGCTTGAACGACGCATATTCTTTGTCCCTTGCCTCTTTCTCGTGCTTAAACTGGGATTTCTCTGATCGTAGACGTACATCCTTGCGTTGCAATATACGTGCCTGCTCGTCCAACGACGTATGACGTTGAGAGAGCTCACGCGAAAGCGCTTCAGTGGCTTGCACAGCCGACTCCAAAGCAGATAAGCCGCGCTACAATATGAGTTGAATAACGCACATACCTCAAGCTTCTCTGTGTGTGTAAAAGGTACAATTCGCTCGATTGGAGCAAGGGAATGACGCGCGCGTTGCATTCCTGTGCTGGAGAGGCCATGAGCAGCCATAGCATACGACTGGAGCGCCTGTACCATATCGCGTAGCGCCGATAGCAAATGGGTATGCGGAGCGTCTTTATTGGCATGAAGACCGTGCATGGCCACATATTGCTGAAAATCTGACGAGTCGGATGGCCAAAGAGCTACGATGGAGGTAGACGACGCAGGTGCTTTGCATAAGGGGCAGCCAGCCGAAAGCGCGCCATGGGAACGCGCAGTGAGCCAATCTTGAAGACACGATGCGTGGAAAATATGCCCGCATGGCAAGGCCGCTGGCCGCTCGTCCGCCGTGTACGGCTCCAAGCAGATGCTGCACACCATCGCGCGCGCTGGGAGCCAAACCAACGAGCGTGTCGAGGTGGAGGCGTGTCGGTGTTTCCAGCCCCACGTGGACCTTCCTAGTCAGCCAATAAAGCGAGCAAGTCAAAAACCCAGTGAGAAGCCGAGCATTTTAAGCCGGACATGGTTTTCCCCGCAGCGATCACGGCGAGTGTTCTGGACCCTGGCACATAGGTAATGGCCAAGCACAGATCCGATCACTCCAAACGTGAGAAGACGTGGGATTATATCCTACGTAGCGGTCTGGCCGGTGGTGTGGCTGGATGCGCTGTATGTATGCTTTCCAAACGTATAGGCTAACCATGCAGGCGAAAACAGCCATTGCCCCACTCGATCGCGTGAAAATCTTGTTCCAGGCTAGCAATCCCGAGTATCAAAAGTACAGTGGGAAATGGCTTGGCGTGGTACATGCTGGCCGTAAAATTGTGAACCAGCAGGGTGTGATGGGCTTGTTTCATGGGCATAGTGCTACCTTGCTGCGCATCTTTCCGTATGCCGCCGTGAAGTACATGGCCTATGACATTCTACATACAGCCCTGATGCCCACCCCCAAAGATGAATCAAGTCTTCGCTTGTTCATGGCAGGTTCTCTTTCGGGTGTGCTAAGCGTGTTCCTAACGTACCCACTTGAACTGGTGCGTGTGCGTTTGGCGTTCGATACCAAGACCAAGCCCCAACCAGGCAGTTTACGGAAGATTATTACGAAAATTTACCATGAGGGTACACCACCACCCTCATCAAGTATAGATCTCCCGCGATCACTTCTGAATCGATACCCAATCTTTAAGTTCTACCGTGGTTTCTCCGCCACGGTCATGGGCATGATACCTTATGCTGGTACCTCGTTCCTCGTTTTTGGACGTACCAAGGCGCTGATGTACCGACTACTCTTGAATAAGGATACACATGGCAGTCCGCTATCGGAAGCACCACCTCGCACACATACGAGCCGCACGGTCGTCGACCTATCCTCTGGCGCTCTGGCCGGTGCCATCTCTCAAACAGCGTCCTATCCCTTTGAAGTGATTCGGCGACGTCAGCAGGTTGGTGGCTTGCTGAATCCAGAGCGTATGCTACGTCTCACTGAAACGATTACGAAGATCTACCAAACCAATGGTCTTGCAGGCTTTTACGTTGGTATTGGTATCGGCTACTTGAAAGTAGTGCCTATGACGGCTATCAGCTTTGCTGTATGGTCAGCGATGAAACGCCAACTTGGTCTGTAATATATAGATAGATATAATTAAGTATATCGGTGTATGCGCACATCATGACGCCCCCTTTTTTGGCCCACTTGGGCGTGATAGGCCAACAGGCCGTGGTCGTGACAGACCTAGGGTACGTGGCCTAGGCGGCAACGTAGATGTTGAGGAGATGCTAGCCGAGGAGATGGACGGCGCAGAGCGCACACCACCAGTGCGTACTGAAGTAGTACGCAGACCTAGCTGACTGGGGCGTGCTACAGGAGCTCGAACAGAGCCATCCGTGGCCCGGGAGCTTGAAAGAGTAGCGCGTCCCAACGAATTAAGGGCCGATACAAACCCATGGGTATCGCGTTGAGGTGCTGTGGTAGAGGCACGCGGCGCAGTCACATGCGTTGATGCAGTAGCGCCTGGGGAAGTATGTATCGCATCCCAGCGACGGCCTGCAGGCGAAGAGGCAAAAGCAGCAGCTAATGAGGCAACCGTAGCCGCTGAGAGTGCATCACGACCCAGAATCGTCGCCGTCGTAGCCAGTTCGTCACTGGTCAATGATAATGATGTGGTACACCATGGCACTGCATCCGTGGAGAGACGAGCGAGTGTACCTCCATGCGAGCGCGACACAATAGGCTGTAAAAACGGTGAAAGATGACGCGTACTCCATTCCCCCATCACCAGACGACGATGAGCCCATGACACGTACAAATACGTCTCGGCACGTGTCATGGCCACATAGAACAAGCGACGCTCTTCGCGCTGCTCGTCAGGCGTGGTACATCGGTAAAATGGGAAAATGCCGTCCTCACTGGCTGGTAAAAATACTATAGGCCATTCCAGACCCTTGGCAGCATGACAGGTGCTGATCGTAACTTGGGGTCGTGACTCGGCTTCGTTGGTCACATCGGTAGCTAGAACACTTGATTCCAAGAAGGCCCGTAAAGGCGATACTCCCTCCGAAGCATCTGTGCTGGCGTCCAGTTTGCTACGCTTCGATGGTCGCTCCACGTCGGATGTGTCGCTTTCTGCAGCAAAGCTAATGAGTTCCTGCACATTTTCCCAGCGTGATTCAAAGTCGTCGTTGGCACGCAAGTACGTCTCATACCCTGACTTTGTGAGTAGAAGCTGTAGCAAGTCAGACACAGAGGCACCACCTTGAGCCGCCTTCTGAAGGGTATGGATTATCTGGACAAAAGCCTGCACTCCTTTTACCACGGCGGGGCGAAGGGACATACGATGTTGGTCAGACACTTGCTCAAGGAGATGAAACAGCGGCATGCCTAACTGTTGCGCTTTCGCTTGTAGCTGCTCGACAGTCTTTGCACCGAGCCCGCGACGTGGCACATTGATGATACGGAATACACCGGGTGTGTACGATGTATTGTCACACAACAGCAAGTACGCTAGCAAGTCCTTTACCTCAGCACGGTCGAAAAAGCGAGCCTCTCCTATAACACGATAGGGAATACCACGCCGCTGCAAAGCCATCTCAAAAGCACGACTGAGTGCATTGAAGCGAAGGAGAATGCAGGCATCGGCGTATGTTAGAAGACCCTGACTGCATTGCACCTGGCGTTGGATTTCGAGAGCCACGTACTCAGCCTCTGCCTCTGTATCATCCCACTGCTTGAGCACTACAGGTGTGCCTTGCGCATGTGATGTGTACAGGCCTTTTGCTATACGCAATGTGTCCTGCCGCATCACACGCATCGCAGCCGCCAATATTGATTTGGTGCTGCGAAAATTTTCTTCCAAAAAGACGCGATGAAGCGAGGGGAAATCAGTGCTCATCCTGTCCAGGTTACCCATTTCGGCATGACGCCAGCCTAAGCGTGAGTGAGAGACAGTATACATACTGTAGATACTTTGGTCAGGATCTCCAACAATGCTCACGCGACGGCAGGCGGAGGCCATAGCACACATCAGTTCATACTGGACGGCGTTGGTATCCTGAAATTCGTCGACTAACACTGCATGTTAAACAAAGAGAAACGTACCATGATCAATATACCGTGCAAGCGATGGATCCGTGCGAAAAAGTTGGGCTCCATGCAAGAGAAGGTCATCAAAATCCATGGCATTGTTGGCACGCAGTCGTTCCTGGTACTTGTCGTACAGATAGGAAGTAGCCGCATGCAATAGCCCTTGGGGAGAACGAAGGGGCCAAGTTTGTGATGCACGAAATGCGCGTGGGTCCAAGCTGCGGGCCTTGGCGCGTGAAATCGCGGCAGCCACATCGTCCGCTTTAATAGAGCTCTGAGCCACTTCGGGCACGTTTTCGTTCTCAGAGACAATGTCCTTAATCATGCGTTTTCTTTTGTGAGTATACATATACGTACACGTCGTCCACATCTGCAATGGTGAAATTCGCATCGATGCCGATACGCCGGCCCCATCGACGAAGAAAGCGCGCGCACGTCGCGTGGAAGGTGCCGAGGATCAACTTGCTCGTTTTTTCTTCTCCAATCAATTGAACCAACCTAGCACGCATCTCTCGCGCGGCCTTGTTCGTAAAAGTGACTACGACACACCGCGTGGGGTCCAAAGAAGGACGATGCGGCTCGTCGCCCAGCACGAGCCAGGCCACACGTGTAGTCAGTACACGCGTCTTCCCTGAGCCAGGTCCGGCTAATATTTGAAGCGGACATGTTGGATCCCATGTCACTGCTTCTTTCTGGGCTGCAGACAGTTGATCGAGCCCCAGCGACATGCCTGGGTGTCACAAGCACGAATGGCTCGATCGCAAGGGCCTTGCCAACAATGATGTAGTGTGGAGGATGCGCCTCCACGTGGCGCGTCCACGGCCTGTGGGGAAGCCATGGGAAAAAGGCCAGGGCGGCACAATTCGTGGCTGGGCCCACATTCCTGGTATTTTGTTTCACCACCAAAGATCGTCGAGTGCCATGTCCTTTGGCGACGCGCCCGGCGAGGCTGTGCCTCTTCCAGCGCCTTCCACCGATGATACGGAGACTCAGGACCAGAGCGGGGAAGCCGTTAACCTGGGTCTAGATCATGGTGCGCTTTCCGAGCAGGCCATCGATGTGACGCATACGGTGCTGCCATCTCCGCTAAAGGAGCATGAGTCGAAGGCGGTGAAGTCTTCTCCGCCACATCCAACTATGGCTTCGCGACCTCCGCCGACCTTGGCGTTTGTTGAGAGGGATCTTTGGCGGATGCTACAATCGTTGCCTGTTCCAATGCACCGCATTACCCCTAAAATTGCCGTCCGGCTGGTGGCGCAGATTTTGTTCCGTTTTCGCTTCCTTGCGACAGATGTGCTGTACGACCTGGCCCTCGTCTTCTTGCGCTTGATTGTGCTCATCTTTTTCCGTGAAATTCAGCCACGATCGTCGTACCGAATTCCCCGCAAAGGCCCGGTGATTTTTGTGGGTGCGCCGCACCACAACCAGTTTTTGGACCCATTGCTGGTGGCTTCAGAGGCTCGTCAGGTGGGCCGTCGTGTCTCGTTTTTGATTGCGCAGAAGAGCACGGAGCGGCCATTTATTGGGCGACTATCGCGGATGCTTCAATCGATCCCTGTGCGCCGCCCCGCAGACGATGCCAAGAAAGGCAAAGGTGTGTTGACGCTGCACCCATCAGGTGATCCTACGCTCCTTCAAGGTATCGGCACTAGCTTCACCGAGCAGATGGAAGCGCGTGGTCAAATTGTCTTGCCAAAAGAGACGGAGTATGCTACCGTCGATATTGTGGAAGTGCTCAGCGATACCGAAGTCCGCATCAAGAAACCGTTCACGGAAGAGAGTGCACTCCAGGCACTCAAAGGTGAATTACCTGCGTATCGCCACATGAAGGGCTCGCCATACAAGTGCTTCCCGTACGTGAACCAGACGGAAATGTATTCGTCGGTGTACAAGCAACTGTCGGATGGCGGCTGTCTGTGTATTTTCCCGGAGGGCGGTAGTCATGATCGTACAGATCTGCTGCCTCTCAAGGCAGGTGTCGTAATTATGGCTCTTGGCGCCATGGCCAACGACCCCAAGCTCGATGTTCAGATTGTGCCGGTCGGTCTCTCCTACTTCCATCCCCACAAGTTCCGCTCGCGTGCCGTGATTGAGTTTGGCCATCCTCTGCATGTTCCAAATGCCTTGGTCGAGCTGTTCAAGAAAGGCGGAGAGGAGAAGCGCCAGGCTGTGGCCGATATGTTGGACATTGTCTTTGATGGTCTGAAGAGTGTGACGGTGCGTGCGCCGGACTATGAGACGCTTATGATGATCCAAGCCAGTCGTCGTTTGCTGCAACTCCCCGGCCAGCACTTGAGCTTGGCCGACAAGGTCGAGCAGAACCGCAAGTTGTGCATTGGCTACTTGCAATTCAAGGATCATCCAAAAGTCCAGGCGCTGCGTACGTCCGTGCTTACCTACAACAAGCACTTGAAGCAGGTCGGTATTCGTGACCACCAGGTCGAGCGTGCGAACCGCTCGATTTTGCGCAGCTTTGCGCTGCTCATGTACCGCCTAGGTCTGCTGACGTTCTGGGGCGGCTGTGCATTGCCAGGCGCTATTCTCAATGCGCCTATTATTATTCTGGCAAAGATTGTGAGTGCTCGCAAGGCCAAGGAAGCGCTCGCGGCCTCCCAAGTGAAAGTCAAAGGCCGCGATGTCCTGGCTACATGGAAAGTGCTAGTCTCACTTGGAGTGACGCCAGTGCTGTACATGATGTATTCGGGTATTGCGACGTACTATGCATGGCGTCTGCCCATCGGTATTTGGCACAAGCGCCTCATGCCAGCGTACATGATGGTAGGTCTGCCGATTATGAGTTACGGTGTCATCAAGATCAGCGAGGTGGGTGTCGATGTGTACAAATCGCTTCCGCCGCTCTTTGCGTCGCTGTTGCCGGGCCGTCGTCGGGTGATTGAGCGCTTGCAGCGCGAACGAATCAACCTTACGTCGCAGCTGCACACCACCCTACGCGAATTGGAGCCGGAAGGCTGGGACTACACGGACATTGCGAGTGGCTCGTACACGTCTAAAGCCCCGCCTAAGCCGGATGAGCTGGAGATGCTCACCCGCAATGGCCGCCAGATTGATTCGTCGGGTGGTCACTCGCTTTCGCACCCCATGAACCTCGTGGACGAATGGCTCTTTGGCTGGGGCGCTTCGCGGCAACGCGGCGTGTGGGGTGGCCATCGACGCGCTGTGGTCGAAGACGATTTGGGCCCTGACTATGAAGAAGCGCTCAGTGTGTACTCGACACGTGCGTCGGATAGTGCCTCTGCGCAGCGTGCTTCTCATCAACAGGGACTGCGCCGCCGACGTAGTTCGCAGGACTACCGCCAACGACGCGAGCAGACCAGCTCGGAGGGGCATCGCACGCCGCCGACCAAATCGACACCGATTCTTCCCGCCCCTGATATGTAATTGCTTATCATGAATCCTACGGCGTTGTCTATATCCGTAGTATATTTTGGAAACAGTTAATTGTGAGAGTCATGAATCATCGATAGAAGAAGGATTACGAGCGAATCTCGAACGGCATGGGCAAGGTTGACGTGCTAATATCATGGTGCTTGATGAACATCACATCGACGTTCTCCACCTGAGCCTGGCGTGGGCCGACATGCAGGTAGTCACGACTGTCATGTAAGTGGACAGCAAGGATACGTACAGACGCTGGACATGCTCAGTCGGGCCGGCAGCTTCGCCCGACACCGAGCCATCGGGCTCGTTACGGACCCAGCCACGCAAGTTGAGATCGTGCGCCTGCTGCAGCGTACTCTTGCGGAACATCACACCCTGGACATTGCCCGTGACTATGGTAAGTAGGCGGGTGCCACACACCTCGGAAGTAGATGTACGACGACATTTCGGCAGACAGAGAACAAGGAGAGAAAAAAAAACAGGCCCGGACGACGCGTCCACCCAGACGTCGCACCAACCAACACTTACGTACGCGAAACGAACGGCCGCCAGGATGCTGACTAAGCCTTGGCACTACACAACACGGCCGGCGCGTGCGTGGTGAAGACGCACGAACGCGCGCCGTGAGGAGCTTGGCCATCGCGATGGCGACGCCACGACGGACATCGACGCCGATCCGCCATGTATCCAGCGGAAGCTTTTCCGGTGTAGCCTCGAAATCACATGCACAGACACCTTTGTCATTCCTGGAAGAAGAGGCCTTGCCGATCCTCATGGAAGAGACGGCGACGCTGCACGAGAACTTTGCTCAGATTGCGGATATCCAGCAAGCGCTGTCTACATTTAATGAGAGCTTTGCTACGTTTTTGTATGGCATTAAAATGAATGCATTCTGCGTAGAGTGGCCTGAAGCACCTACAGAAGATGACTTGGTACGTGCCACGCAACGACGTGCTACGACCTCCGTGTCTGCGACGACAACATTGCCTGTGCGGGCAGACACACATACCGAGGCAGGAGATCAAACGTACATGACAGATATGGATGAGTCAGAACTGTGTCCCCCACCTCGGTCCACGTCGCGCCCTAGTCATGCGGCGCCATCGCACGCCCAAGCGCCCAGTCGAGCCAGGGTCCCTCCAGCGACCACAGCACGCGCATCCACCACGCGACGAGCGGCTGCCTCGGTGTCTCAGTCGACCTCACGACCCCCTACGACGCGCTCAGCACGGCCAAATATGAGTGCTTCTACCTCTCAAGCACCTGCGAAGCGGGTTCCACCAGCTGTGCAACGTCGGCGGATGGTACGTGGACAAATACACTGACATTCAACAGGCCTTTGCCGATGATATCATTGATACCATGCCCCTTGAATACAGACAAGGTGACCCGGTACGTACGCGATACCAGCTAACGACGTAGAGCCAACGTACGCTCCTGCAGAATGTGATCGTCGCGCTCTTGGCCTCAGGCGATCAAGGTGTTCGTGTAAATGACATTGCCCACTCACCGGATATGCCCTCAGGCAAGGTGAGCAAGGCACTGATTGCTTTGTTGGCTGCTAATCATGTTATTCGTGTATCTAACAATGTATGTATACGTGATGAAGACCCGCTTACTTTGATCGCAGGGCGTCGTATACCGATTGAATACGCAACGGTATCCTACGCGGCCATAGAATTGCAGTGTGTATTTTTGGTTTGGCTTACAAGCCCTGGTAACGCATCCAGTTTTCCACTTCCTTGATGAGGCCTTCCTTCTCGGACCAGGCATCACCAAGGACCTTGGCATTGCGTGTAGGCACAGCACCTTGCCACGCCTCCGCCTCCTTCTCCGAAGCAGGAATGATCAGGACAGGCGTGCCGGAGGGCCAATCGCCTTTCGCGACCGCCTCCTTGTCCGTGGGGTGCAGCACGATCAGACCAGACATGGGGCCACGCGTGTTGTTGAACAGGCCGCCATGACCTACGTACGCAGGAAGCGTCTTGTCGGCGTTGTCGCGCACAAACAGCACAGGCTGGCGCTGCAGCGAGCTGAGACGCACTTGCGACGTGATTTCTGTTATGTTAGTAAGAGGATGCAACACGTACGTTCAGCAAGCAATTCTTCCTTGGTCTTGCCTTCGGCCGCCTCTTTGGGCGCCTCGACGTTCATATCGATACAGTCATAGCCCTGTTCGCGGAAGTACATAATCCACGACTGCCAGCTGAGAAGAGGTCAGTGAGAGAAATACGTACGCGCTACGCGAGCCACTCCATTCACTTGAGCTGAGAAAAACGAGGGTGTATGGCTGTTTGGTCATCGCAGCGGGCGAGGCCTCACGCACAATCGAGCTGCTCTCGCTCGTGCCCAGCAAGTCCGTCACGGGTTTGAACGAGAACAGGCCAAAGAGGGAGAAGCCCACCGACGCAGAGGTGGTCAAGGGACGAGCGCCGGCCTTCGACGCAAACGAGCCAGTACGCGGCACACGCACACGCGATACAAAGGTGCGAGCATACGCATGTGCATTCGGAGGGCGTACACTCGGTACGGCGGTGCGGGAAGCACGAAGCAAGGTGGGGGCGTACAACGACATGGTGGGATGGAGGAGCCATTGGACGGGACAATGAGCGCAACCACGTGGCCCGTGCGGCCTTTGTGACAGACCAAGAACAAAGTTTTCTATGAGGTCTTTACGGTGATGCAAGTACGATCGAATGAGCTCTACATCTACAAAATGACCAGGAACGGCATCGTGATGCTGCCCCATGTTCTTTCGACTACTTGCGCCCCCTGTTCTCCAGCTCTTAAGTGTCCTCTTAGTCCTCTTCTCGCTCGTGAGCCCTGTTCCGTTGCATACGTCCAGCATCTCGTTGATTTATATTAGTGCTGTGCCTCAGAATGACGTAGCATCATCATCAAATTCTACAGCGGGTGAGGGCCAAGCCATCACCCTCATGCCTGTGAATAGCAGGACCAGTCTGCCGACAGAAGGCGGGCAGCCGGTGCCCAACGTGACCGCACCAGCCACCCAAGATACACTCGCCTCCGAGGCTACCAAAGAGCCTACGCTGCCTCATACCACACCCTCTGCCATCTACACTAGCATCGACGGGCATTTGTCCCCGGTCACACCTGCCGCGACAGGCAGTGTATCGTTGCCTCCGGTGCTGGCTACACAGGCTCCCCAGCGTAGGTTATTCGCCCGCGATTCCGTGATTGATACTGCTGGCTCATTGGCAGCAACAGAGATTCAGTATGCCATCGGCCTGCTGGGCGCCTGCTACCGTGACGTGAATAGTACCTACCACTGTACGCCTTCACAGCTGCACCCGCACATGGATCACGCCATGCTTGCTGACGCGCCAGGCCTACACATCAACACCGCTAGTCTACCACCCACATGGACAGCCCAACCTGTCTTGATCCTCCTTACGCTGTTGGTGGTGATTGTGACGAGTGCTATGCAGGCGCGGCGTGTGCATATCCTGGCTACAGATACGCTTACGTCGTTGTCACGAAACACAATGCGTTGTTGCAAGATGGCCATGTATGCCCAGGATGTCGCAGCAGTGGTATTGTTGCTGTGCATGATTGCCTTGCGAGTGCAAGTAGCGCGTATACTCAGCACGTTCAATGCTGACAATGCCAATGCACCTTTAGGCCCCGCAGCCATCTCGCATGACAGCCCATTATCGCCCCCCTTGATCTTGCAAGCTAACACGGGGACAGAATTTAGCACCATTTGCATTGCCGCCGTGATCCTCCTCGTTCTCGCATGGCTCGAGCGGCGCCGATTGACAGCCGAGATCGCAGCCATGCCTTCATCGTCCGACGTGGAAACGCCATACCGTGAGAAGGCAGCTCCTTCGTCCCCCTCCAAATGGCAAACTCTCTTTCATACCCCGCTCACAAGTGGGGCCACGACGCCACCACGCGCATCGACGATGAAAATTTCGGCTCCTATCGCCATGACGCCTGTACGATCGCGCTCGCCCAGCCAGACATCCAATACACCATCGCCCACCAAGTCGGCGGAGATCCCACCCACACCCATGCACGACGCTGTGCCATGGACCCACGCTGGTGTACGGCGGATTGTGCTCGCCCCGCCGACGGCTCAATAATGTATAATTCCAATAGTCTGTCTGTACGCCAAGTCACGCCGCCGCATGGGCCACATGTCAAAAGAGGCTCCACTTCGCTGACTGGACGCCTCGTTGTATGCCGGTCTACTACTCCCGTCCATCATGAGCGCCACCCCCACGAAAAAAGTCATTCTTGTTACTGGCGGCAGCCGAGGCATTGGCCTGGCAGCTGTGCGATTCCTTCTGCATGGTACCAAGACCATCCCAGCGTGCAATGTCGTGAGTCTCTCGCGCTCTGTGCCTGCTGAATTGCAGGCATTGGCCAAGGAACACACATCGCTAGCGATTGTGCAAGGCGATGTCACGACCAGTAAGTCCAACGAGGAGATGCGTGATGAGGCGCTAAAGCGTTGGGGCCGTATTGATGGCCTACTCTTGAACGCCGGCGTCATCGACCACATGAGGTGTGCAGACCTGGTACGTTGCTCAACGCTAACCCACCGCAGACCGCTGAGCGATTGTTGCATGTCCTCAACGTTAACACAGTATCCATTGCCGAGAGCGTCCGTGTGACGCTGCCGGAACTACGCAAGACCAATGGCAGTGTGGTGATGGTCAGCAGTGGCGCAGCTGTAAGCAACTATGCTTCGTGGGCAGCTTACAAGTACGTATGAACGAACGGGACTAATACACATCTATAGCGCCTCCAAAGCTGCATTGAATGCGTATGCACGCACGCTGGCGAACGAGGAGAAGGACATTGCCTGCTTCTCGGTACGCCCAGGCGTTGTGGACACGGATATGCAAGGTCTTATTCGTGCGACCACGGAAATGCCAACCGAGCAGCAAGCCAAGTTCCTCTCGATGCACAAGAATGGCGAGCTTCTCTCGCCAGAGAAGCCGGCGCACGTGCTGGCCGCACTCGCTGTGCAAGGTACACGCAAGGAACCGGTAGGTGAAGATGGCACGCCCCTAGGTGCAACAGGTACATTCTGCTCCTGGGACGATGCGAGTCTCTCGGCCTACCAGCTGTAGGTACGTCCAGCGAGACGTAGGGGTCCATAGCCGCCCAATCTTCGTCGTAGGCCTTCGTACGCTCTCCTCCACATCGTTCTTCGCATGGCATCCTCACCGGCGCGCGTGTACAGGCAGTGGCGCGAGCAGGCGCGATTGCTGGGCTGGCGATGGTGCGATCCGTACCTATACCAAGCACATGCCTTCCTTGCTCGACGTACCGTGGAGGCATGGCGCGATGCGATGGTTGCGCAACGCCACGCTATAGCAGCGCGCAAAGCACAGCAAGCGGAAATGCGATGCCGGCAACTGCAGTGGGCGAATGCTGGATGGACACATGCCATCTCTCGCGCCTTAGATCAGGCGTATGCACGCCGCGGCGCACTGCGGCATAGCATTCTACGTGCGCTAGCGCCTCCGCATCCCTCTCCCAGCGTAGGAGAGAATGCGCGATACCCACGGCGTTTACGTCTTCCTCACTTATCGAGTCTCGTACAAACCATGATCCTAAGCAAGGACGCGCAGCGCGGCGATGCGCCGAAACCCAGTGCACTGGCATGCCCGCCAAAGCTCGCCTTGGCCTATGAGAGCGTGCAAAAGATACCTGGGCATACGCTTAGTCGACGACGTAGGGCCAATGCGCACTGGCGCTGGTTTTCTATGCAATGGCAACGGGTTCGCGCACCGCTAGGGCTCCATATTGTGCGTGCGAACGATGCGGAAGACACGCCGGGCTTTGCACCGCGCGAGCAGCCATACAGTGCGCTCTATGCGCACGTCGAATCGCGCGCGGCGTCGCCAGGCCCGACGGCGCCACGACGCGTCCGTCGCGCACAGAATACCGTTTGCGAATCTACAATTATACGGCCAAGATACTTGCGTGCTGCCCAGGAAGCTGTGACGGCCATGGAAGCGACGCACACCGCGACGTATCGAAAAGCCGCACGCCGTCTTTCCTCCCGCCTAGTGACTGTAACGCCTACATCACGCGCCTACCGCCGTCAGTACGCGCGGATCTTAGCGCAATCGCCTCGTATTGATGTGCATGACAATGCTGTGTCTTGGAAGAAGCATGCCTCGACGCCTCCCCATTCTATACCCCCCTGGATGCAACTGGCACACAGTCTCCAGGCGCTGACCAAGGCCGAGTCGGCGTCGCCTACCCCGGACGCAAAGCCAAGCGCGGCAGAGAAGCGCAAGCCCTTTCGTATCCATCTATCACCGCATGCTCTCTATAGTGGCAAGGGTCCACGCACAGTCCGAGCACAGGCCACGCCGGACGAAGCTGCGTGGCTCGCACGCGGATCTCAGGGATTAAAGTAGGTTGTGACAGCCCCCACTCCACGTACGTCTTCACGTGATTCAAGCTCCAAGCGACGACGCTGAGAGCCAGGCGCGTGCGTCGTGGTCGTGGCTTCCATCCATCCTCCTTCCGGGCTTGCGGGCTGTGTGCTACGTGTTGCTAGCGTGTTTCGACGATGCGCCTCTCAGCCTCACTTGGCCGGCCCTTGTTGGCAGGCATCGATACATGTGCGTTGCGTCCACGATACCCATGCCGAGGCACAGCCTGGCCGGCGGTGTTCTGCCCTCGATTCACGTCGAGTGGGCCGCCAAAACTGCCTGCTTCAGCGCAACGTATGGAAGATATGCCACCAGGCCCGACTTTTTTCAGTCCCAGTTCGCAGGATCCGCTGCTGGACCAACGTGAGGTGGCTCGGCGCATCGCTCAAAAGTACCGCCCAGCGACAGACGATCCGATGTACGTGGAAGTGCTGCCCCAGGAGCCGGCGCCTTCGTCCGTGCATGGCATCCCTGAGGGCTTTGTGGCACAGCGTTCTCGCTCGCCTACGCAGTGGTTCCGGGTGTACCGCCAACTGTCCAAATCACGTCTCACCTTCTTGGTGGTACTGTCAGGGATGATGGGCTACTCGCTCTGCCCTTCGTCGCTTGCCGTGGCGACCTCGCTGCCCCCGGTGGTTCGGTTGCTGGCCTTGGCAGGTGGCATTACGCTGTGCTCGACCGCAGCCAATGCCCTCAACCAAATTGTCGAAGCACCGTACGATGCGCAGATGGCACGTACCAAAGCGCGGCCTCTGCCTCGTCGGGCATTGACGCCTGCGCATGCATGCAGTGTAGCTGCCGTAAGCGCAGTGAGTGGTGTCTCGATTCTGTATGCATGCACCAACACACTCACAGCAGCGCTAGGCGCCGCCAACATTGTGCTGTACTCGTTCATGTACACGCCGATGAAGCGCCATAGCATCGTCAACACATGGCTCGGTGCCATTGTGGGGGCCATTCCGCCTTTGATGGGCTGGGCCTCGTGTACAGGCACACTCACACTGCCTACCGATGCCGTGGGATGGATCCTCGCAGGGATTCTCTATGCATGGCAGTTCCCGCATTTCAACGCCCTCTCGCATGCCATGGGCAATGAATACGCACGAGGCGGCTACCGCATGATGGCCGTGACGAACCCGGCACTGAATCAGCGTGTCGCTTTCCGGTACGCTCTCGCTTTGATTCCCTTGTGCTCTGTCGCCCTGCCACTGACAGGCACAGTGCTTGCGATGCCATACGCAGTGCTATCCCTCATTCCCAACCTGTTATTTGCGTATGCAGCCGGTCGCTTCTGGTACCGACCGTCGGAAAAAACAGCCCGATCCTGCTTCTGGTTCAGTCTCTTTCATTTGCCAGCTGTCATGGTACTGGCCATGGCTTGCAAGACGGACTTGTGGGAACACGTATGGCCCTCGCCACCCCCCACAGCGCACGATCCATCGAACAATTCAACCGTCGATATGTAGCTATAATACAACAAACCAATTACGGGATCGGGCGAAGGGCAAGGCTATCGCACAGGGCATTAAGGCCACGCTGCCATACTTGGTGTTGCCAGTCATAGCCACCCGCACGATACTGGGCCACAGCGCTTTTGGATACCTGCTCAGCTTTGAGCCATGGGTCCATATAGCCGTCACCAGGGCCAAGCCCGCCTAGCGAAGCAGGAGCCGGCCGTGCGGGCGCCCACTGGGCGCCGTCATCGATCAGCGCAAAGGCCCCATCAAAGTCGGACGACGCGACCTGGCGAGCATACAGGATCTCGTCTTGGCTCATCTTGACAGCGCGCGACGATGTGGATGTAGTGTGGAGTCGTTCCTCGAATAGTTTTTGGCGTTGCTGCTCTTCGCGCTCGCGCTGGGCTAACGCTTTGGCACGCTCTTCCCGGCGCTTCTCACGTTCCGCCATCACTTCCTCAATACTCCGGCCCTTTTCCAGCTCAGCGACAATCTCCTTTTCTTCGGCCTCACGCTCTCGCCGCTCACGTTCTTGCTCTTCTTTCACCTTTTGCGCACGCAGCATGCGTTCCTGCCGCTCCGCATCGTCCAGATGCTGCTGCCGAAGCGACTCTTGATCACGCAGTTGCTGCTGCGAGGCAATCATCGACTTGTTTAGCACCTCGAACTGCGCTAATCGCGCCTGCGTTTGCTCCAAATCAATCTTGTTGATGAGGTTGAATGCTGTCGTCGTTAGCATCGTTCCACGTACTAATTTCCTCAAACTCTTCCAGGTAGTCATTGTACGCTCGTGCATCTGGAAAGTCTTCCGGCTTACGGTTAAAAAGCTTGCCCACACGTTTGCGGACATTCACTTCCTCTTCCACACGGAGATCCTCAAAGATCTGCGCACTGAACTGCTGCTTACGCACGATCTGACCACACACGGGGCAAGCAGCGGGGCCCAGCGAGAACAAACGGTCGATGCAGGATTCACACATCTTATGGTAGCATGGGCTTACCATCAAGCGCAAGCGTGGTGAAAGGTACCTGTCCGTCTTGCAAATGGGGCATTTGTCGTCGGACGACTGTCCGTATAAGTAGACTGAGCTGTAAACGTACCGAGTATTCCGAAATACGCCCACTGCGATCGCGGATCTGCGATTGACCTATATGGCCATGCCCAATCGCTGAGACAGGAATCTGCGTGCGCGGCTTCGCCGCGGCAGGTGATGGCATGCCTCTCTCGTGTCACACAGGCAAGTTGGACACTGGGGTGGTGTTCGATCGCACGCGCCTCCAGACCCGATTCCAAGCCCGATCTTTTTTTTTTCTTGATCGTCGACCAACATGAGCTCGGTGCCGCCGCTGATGGCGCTCACAGAGTCGGGGCAGAAAGGTCGCACGACCAAAGCAAAAGGAAAAGCAAAGTCGACACATGGCCATGTCCCACGCCGTCGTTTCGAAAAGAAGCAAACAATCTCGTTCGATGAAGATGCACGACGCGAATACTTGACAGGCTTCAGCAAGCGCAAACAGCAGCGAAAGCAAGCGGCGCACGAGTTTGTACAAAAGAAGATCCGCGAGGAGATCAAGAAATCAAGGCAAGCAGCAGCAGAGGCCAGGAAACAGCGAGCAGCCGAAAATGTTCGTGCAGAGCGACGTGCCTATGGTCTAGATACCGACGACGAAGACGAGGAGGAGGAAGAAGCACCAGCACCTATGAACGAAGAACGCGACTTTGAAAACGAAGAGCGGTATGCACATGTTACTATTCAGGAAATGGGAATGGACGACTGGACGACGCCTGCGCCCTTTGCAGAAGTCCTTCCACCCTCGTCACGCCGCGCTGCAAAGAAAGAGGATGCCCAACCAGCCCCTGTCGCATCGAAAAAGGCCAAAGCAGAATCACGTCGCACTAATGCGATTTCTACGGTCCCCTCCGGAAGTTTGACAGGGATTTTGGAACCAGAGGTGGCTCAGGCAGCTCAATCCGAGCAAATCTTCTCACCTACCGATGTGCCTGAGCAGCCTAAAACGAAGCGCGCACATACCTACCTGTCGAAAGCCGAACGACAAAAGGAACGGCAGAAACAGCGTGAATGGAACCATGCCCAGGCCGAAAAACGCCGTGCTGAAAACAAGGTAAAAGCCACGCACGTAAAGAAAAAGAAGCGAGCCACTATGTAGAGCTATGTACCAATATCACCAGTGTCACCTCATTGATAATAGTGCGGAGAGGGGCCACACCATTTGTGCAGAACTCTCGATCAGTCCAATTGCGACCGTGCACAGCAAAAAATATACAAATCTTGCGTGATTGATGATAGATGTCGGCAAAAAAAGTCGCCACAAAAAAATTACATAAAAAATCAAGGTCCCCCAGGTCCATATCTTCTTAATCACCTCGATCCTCTCTACAATGATTGCCGACTCGACTCTTGCTGCGATTTCGAACGCTCTCGGTAGCGGTGCTATGGTCCTCATTATTGCCTACCATGTATGTGTTTAAGCACTTGGCTAACCTCTCAGATCCTGGCCGTCTCAACCAAGCGGCAAGTGGACTCCATGTCCTCTGCGGCCGCGCAGTCGAACAAGACTGTGCAAGTCTAGAATACAAGTGCACTACGAGTGACCCTTTTCCCTGTACACTATGGCATGTGCTCAACGGACGTGCTACCTGTTGATCTGTAGTATAGCATCGTATATATTCAACTGAGACGATGAGTTGATATTCAAAAAAAAAAAAAAATCCTTGTCCGAACGCGCCACCACGCTGACTAAAACGACTGTGGGGGATGTTGATAATGCAGGGCGAGCGACCGTCCGCGTCGTTCGCAACCACACGGGCCTCTTCACCATGAGTGGCAGATTTGTACGATCTTCCAAGTATCGGTAGGTATAAACAAACTTCTCCCTTTCTCATGCATGCAGCCATGTTTATGGCAATCCCGCGAAGAAGGAGGTGTCGTTTGACAATGTCAAGGTACGTTACGGCTAGGCTGTTCACTTACCCTAGGTTTCCAACAATGTACGTATCCAAACCACGGCTTACCACAGGCATGGGACACCAATCTCCTGTCGTGTAGTGGCACGTTTGTGTCACTAAACTGGCAAGTGTCCGGTGGCGGCGCTTTTGCGCTTCTGCCACTGGACCATCCAGGCAAGCTCCCCGACTTGTATCCTTTGTGCCGCGGCCACACGTCGGCTGTGCTGGACACAGCGTTCAGCCCCTTTGACGATGAAGTTCTTGTGAGTGGTGGCGACGATGCACAGCTGTCTGTGTGGAAGGTGTCGCAAGACGATATTGTCTCGCGATTAGAATCGGCGAAAAAGACGGGTTCCATGGATGACATCAAGCCGCAAGCTAGCTTTAACGCCGGTAAACGTCGTGTTGGTCAAGTGGAATTCCATCCCACCGCAGCGAATGTGGTTGCTGCCGCTACTGGTGATGTCGCCATCAAGCTCTTTGACATTGAAGCGCAAAAGGCTCGTGTAGAACTGCGTGGTTTTGGCGACGCAATCCAGTCCATGGCCTTTGACCAAACCGGCAGCTTGATGGTAGCGACGTGTCGCGACCGTAAACTGCGCCTCTTTGATACACGTGCGCCTGATAACGTGCAAGTGGTAGACAGCCATGGCGGCATAAAAGGCGCTCGTGCTGTGTGGTGTGGTGATAAGCCACGTATTATCACGACAGGCTTTAGCAAGATGTCGGAGCGTCAGATGTTTTTGTGGGATGTGCAGCAACTCGCTAAGCCGATCAAGACGGTGGCACTGGACAGCAGCAATGGTATTATCATGCCGTTCTGGAGCGACAACAACATTGTGTTCCTGGCTGGCAAAGGTGATGGTAACATCCGCTACTATGAGCTGGAGTCAGATGAACTGCACTACCTAACAGAGTACAAGTCGATCGAGCCACAAAGCGGAATGACGTTCCTTCCACGTCGTGCGCTGAATGTGAACGAGAATGAGATCGCGCGTGCGTACAAAGTGACCAGTGCCATGGTCCAGCCGCTTTCGTTCTATGTGCCTCGCAAGGCGGACTCGTTCCAAGCGGACATTTTCCCTCCCGCGCCTTCCCTGGAGCCGGCTATGACAGCGTCGGAGTTCTTTGATGAGAAAAAGACACGCGTTCCCAACTTGATGAATTTTGAAACAAAACAGACGATTGCCAGCTCAGATGTGGCCCCATTGTCAATGGCTAGCACGGCTCTGTCTTCAGAGACGCCGAAAGAGGAAGTCTCCAAGACGGATCCAGAAGCAAAGGAGGCAGCCAAGAGGGAACCAGAGGCCAAGAAAGAGGCAGCCAAAGTGAGCGAGAAGGAGCCAGAGGCAAAGAAGGAAGAAAAGGGGGAGCCCACGACTCATCCGAAAGAGGAGACCACAGCGGCGCCGAAAGAAGACGCGAAGGCAGAACCGAAAGAGGAGGCTTCGCAGGCCAAGGGAGCGCCTAAGGACACCATGCAAGAAGAGGCCAAGGACGTTCAGAAAGACGAAGGCACAGCGTTGAAGTCCAGCGAGCTGCCAACCACCTCGACAGGCGCGCCCAGCAAGGCGGCACCGGCTGCGGCGGCTGCCACTACGGTCACAGCCACCACAGCCACATCGGCTTCCACGACCTCCATGGCTGCGCTAGAGAAGGAGATTCAGGCGCTCAAGACCCAAGTCGCTGAGCGTGATACACGCATCCGCGAACTGGAGATGGAAAACCTGAAATTGCGCACCAACCAGCAGCGCGTGAGGGACGTGCTGCTGAGTTCGACGTAGGATGCATAGATAGTCATTCCGTCAGCATGGCCCCTGCGCCGTTTCCACGTGACGACAATCGTATAGGAAGACTTTTTATCTCGCTACCCCAGGCCATGATGACACAGCTGCCGCTACGGCATGTGTATCGACACTTGCTGCGTGCAGCCGCGGCATCTGTGCGCTTCTCTCGGACGGACGTCAAAAGTATCCGGCAGATTCTTCGCGCAGAGCTGGAGCGCATCCCTACCCATGCCTCGCCGCAGAGTGTGCAAGTGTTCGCCGAGCAGACCATGGCATGGCTTCTCCTTGCCTCGTTACACCGACGGCCTGTACATGAGCCGCAATGTCTCGAGGGCTCGCCGTACCGTCCATCCAGCTCCAGTCCCGCCTCCGCGCTGGCCCAACGGCTTACCAAAAACCTAGCGTCTTTATCGTACCACCATCTCTCGCCTCATACGCAAATGCAGCCACCCACGCGACGCACTGGCGGCTCAAAGACCGACACGTCCAGCAAGGCGCCCTCAGCGCTGGCCAGTGCCTTGGCGGAGCACGATGAACTATGGGGGGGCAGTACAGCCATGCCAGGCAAGACAACGACGCGATTGGATGTACTTACCGTGGCAGCGAAGCCAATGCGAGGGCCTGTGCAGCATCGTATGGCGCTATGGGATGGCCAACATCCCGAAAAGCATATACGTGCGGCAGCAGACGATGTTGTGTCGTCCGCAGCTGAACTCCCCAAACTGCAGCAGAAACTCGATACCCTGAAAGCACAGTGGGACACTATGAAAGAGCAGTATGGACCTACACACCCACGCACCCAAGCCGCGCGTGATCAGTTTCAGCAGCTGCGTGGCACAGTCAAAGGCATGAAACGTATGGATGCGCAGCGTCAAGCCAAGGAACGTATCCGGCGCAATCCGGCACGTCATTTGACGGACATTGTGCGCTTAGCAGCAGAGAGTGAATCGCTCTGGCTTGGCCTGCCACGCTGGGAAGCATGGGCCCATGGCGAGTACTTACCACCCTAATCTAATCGCATTCGCAACCGTACACGTCGCGGGCCACTTGCTTCCAACGGCTGCCGGGCAACGCCAGCGACTCGCCGTAGGCAACTTCCATAGGATGCAAGCGGTGTCCCACGATAATCAGCGTGTGCAAGGGCTCCCCCCAAAACGCAATAGCGCGTTGCACACGACGCGCCTCGCGGCGTGCGTCCATATCCTTCTCGCTCACAGTAGGGTTCTCCTCTTCATACGCGTCATCGTCCTTCTCATCTTGAGCAAGCTGTGCCTCGTCAGGCTCCGTCGCAGCGAGCAATTCAGCGAGTGTGCCAGCACGCACAAGCTCACCGCGACGTGTCGGCGTATCGTCGGCGCCCATACGACACAGCGCTACAGCGAGTGTTCGCTCTGGCTTGAGAAAGTCCACGTTGTGCGTCTTGGCAGCTTCCAGTAACTGCGTAATCAGCTGCGGGATAAGCATGTAGCGTGGTGGCTGGTACCGCACAATCCCGCGGCTCATATCTTCGATACTCTGCTCACGAACCTTGATATCGCTCAAGCACAGGGTGTGCAGGCCCAACTGGCAATTCTCGCCAATACGGCCCAACCAGCTATCAGGCCGCCAGTCCTCTGTCCAGAACGGCACACTGATCGTCTGCCCGAAATTGTAGCCCGCCAAACCACTGGATCCTAGGGCAGTAGTAATGCTAGCGTTGTGAATGATCTTGACAGGCACCGGCGTCGGGGTCTCGGACCCAGGCGCTTGGAAACGACGTGCACGAAGAATCAAGTCGGCGTGCGTCGTAGCAGAGAGAGGATCGCCAACAACTAAGAACGCAACGTTGCCTTCATGTGCCGCAAGCAGAATATCATCTGCCTCCAACTCCACGGTCTCGCGATGTGCAAACGTGATAGGCTTGCCGTAGAGCTCTTCCTACCCATGTCAGCTCAACCTGTACATACCATACGTTTTTGGAAGTCATCGACTAAAAGAATGCTTGTATAGCTCTCCAAGTATACTTTGCTGCACGATTGGATGGCTCGCAGGCCTTTCAGCGTGATATCCTGCTCATCCGCTAGGCCTAACCCGATAAGGTACAGCACCATCGTGGCGGTACTGAGGACGAAGAAAACGGACGTATTTCCCTCCACTTGGGATGGCGACACTCGCGTGCGAGCTACACTCTCCTCGCCATGGCCACCACGCAACGGCTTCGGCGCCGGTTGGAGCGCGATGGCGTGCCGGCGCATGTGAACTTGACAGAAAGCTTTTGCAGAGTACGTACGTGCTGACCTGACCGTAGTACGGTACGCCGTTGCCGTCGCTGCTCGACCACAAGAAGGACAAGAATGAATGGAAACCGTTATGGCAGCAAGAAGCCTACGATGAGAAAGGACGACGTCGTTTCCACGGCGCGTTCACAGGCGGATGGTCAGCCGGCTACTTCAATACCGTAGGCAGCAAGGAAGGATGGACACCGTCCTCGTTCCGATCGTCACGAACATCGCGGCAGGATGCCTCGCAAATCAAGTCACGCCCTGAAGACTTTATGGACGACGAGGACTTGGAGGCATGGCGCGGTTCGCAGCCACTGCAAACAACGCAAGCATACGCAAGTCAGGACCAGACTGATCCACTCCTTTCGATACTCACTCCTGCGACGTCCACCACAGGCTCCTCTCTCGGCACGACTCTCCTGCAGCGCATGGGATGGAAACCCGGCCAGGGTATTGGACCTTTGTGCACGTACCACCAGCGTGCCCACCTAGTACGTACGCTGGAACGTATGCACCTGGCCCCTCCGCATCTGCGCTGCGAAGACCCCGCAGCGCCCAGGTCCCACCTCAAATTTCCGCCCCCCGATACCCAGACCCTTTCTATTCCCTCCCATCGCGACCGACATGGCGTAGGCTCTGCCCCAGCGACTCGCGCTTCCGCACTGCAGGATGCTCTGCACCAATTTCATCACGGTACGTGGATCGCGGCTTACATCTAGGCACCTCCGACGATGAAGAGAACGTGAATGACACACCGATACCAACCTTACCGCCTCAGACCGATTCTCTTGTGGTCGGCGAGACCCCTACGACGTCATCTACGTGGCCTGATGGGCGCTCCCTGCCAGCTATGTGCACAATCGCGGTCGCACCTTGGCCCTCCGAGCCAATCTGGCCTGCACCGCCCGTCCCAAGCGACTGGACACCCGATCCTACGCGTGTATGGCGCACCAAACCCACGTCTGCTCAGACCAAGCCGCCGACCACAGCCGACGAGCGCGCATTTATGCTAGGCGAAGCACGAGCGCCAGGTGCTCCGCCATCTCTGTCTTCGTACCTCTCTGCTCAAGCGCAGGCACGGCATGGTTTGCGGAAACACACGCCTATTACTGTTCACCGCATCGATGCAGAGACAGCGCGTCGTGCCTTGGACGCATTCCGATCAACAGGGCACGATACAGAGAAAGAGGCGCGGTACTGTGCGTACCTTCGTGCGTTTCAGCAGGACCAGCCGTTCGACACCTCCTCGAGTACGCAGGACGAACTGGACGACTTTTTCCAAACGGCGTCTCGCCATCGGCCTGTGCATGGTGATATGGCGCAACGCTTCACGACAAGTACAATGCTACAAGATGAGACTTTGCCTAGTGGTCTTCATAAACCTACGTCTACGTCTCTCGCTGCCACTGCAGAGCCCAAGGCGTCGCGGTCACCGTCACCACCAGCGTCAGCTGCGCAACTCGCTGCACGCAACGGAGAGTTTGGCCCACTCACACGTACAGTTGATCTGTTTTATCCACCGCGTCTGCTATGCAAACGATTGGGGATTGCAGATCCTCACCCTGAGCGGGAGGAAACGTCGGTCGCCGAGGCGGCGCCTTTGGCGCCGACGCCGACGCCCCTCGACACGGAGACGCCCGGCTTTGTGTTTGCGCCTATCTCTGAGGCACAGCAATCTGCTCAGGAGCATGCATGGAAAGAAGCACGCCCTCCTGTAGACGTCTTCAAGGCTGTGTTTGCGTCTGACGACGACGATCGCGACGACAATGGCAACGACGAACTCGGCCCCAGCGAGACAGCGCAGACTTCGTTGGCTGTGCCTCCCAAACGCAAAGCTACATCGCACACGAAGAAGAAGAAGAAACGCACTACCACCGGCCCCCTTACCTTTGACTTGGGCGACGACGACGACGGCGCAGCGAGGTCATTGTGATGTCCATGCGCGTATAGCACCATAGGGTCTGTGCCTGCCTCCATAGCTCGAACGACCGAACGATCTCCACATTGTTCCTCTTCCTCCACGACGATGGGCGGTGGAAACGATCCAACCCGCCGTGGATGGGGCGACGATGTACGTGCGATGCTGGAAGGCCAGGGGAAGCAAGCCGGCCAGGCAAGTACGTCGCATTCGGCGATGGAGAGTACCTTTGCTGGGCCTAGCCGTACGTCTTCGTCGGCGGCCGCGTTCCGATCGCACGCCGCCACTTCGTCGCAGGGCGACGTGGAGTTTGCTCAGTTTCACCAAGGCACTCACCCGTCCAATGCCAACCCAGCATTTATGGAGCAGGCTTGGCAGCAAAGTGTGCCGTCGGCATCCACAGCGCCAAGCGCCTCAGCGACACAGGACTACGCAGCTGCACAGCGCGATGGTGATGCGTTTATGGCAGCGTTAATGGCTGAAGAAGCGACAGGAAGACCGAACGACGATGTAGTCACAGTCACACCAGCCTCCGTCGCGCCTGTGGTGGGCTTGGTCGAAGAGTGGCGTCCTCCCTCGCCTTCGCAGGGCGATCAAATGACGCGGGAGCAGTACCTCTTGCATGTACACTTGGCGGAAGTCCAGACGGGCGTGAGCCATGAGCAGCCGTACCGGCAGGCGGAAGGCGTCGAGCCGCCTCCTGATGATGCACGCTTAGCCGAGGGCGTGTATGCGCCTACCGCCGAGCAAGCGCTCGAGACAGTGTTGGATACCCAAGGCACACGCGAAGCGCGCGTGCAGGAATTTCGTACTACGACAGAGGGCAGTGTGCCTACCTCGGCGTATACCCAGATTCGTGGGCAGGCCATAGTGGATCGGTTGCGTGGCTGGCTGGTTCGTGAAGGGTTCACTGATGAAGTCTACGGCTTGCCGCCACTGGTCGCCAAGACGTTTGGCGAGGCTACGGCGTCCTCCGAGGATCAGCAGACGGAAGAGCGACGTGCCACGGCGATTCGTCGTCTGGATGCGCTGTACAAGCACTTGTCTCTCTCGCCTGCTGGCAGCCGTAGCGGCGCTGCGGAAATGGAGGCGTGGCTCCAATCGAACGGTTCATAGGATCCATGAAGATGTCTACATAGCAAGCGCCTTGGTGGCCAACGCCAAAGCACCTTCCTTGGTTTGGTGACCGCCAATAAAGCCCGATTGGTGCACGAAGATGCAGCCTGGGATGCCTGTGAGCTGGCTCAGCTCCTCATCGCGGATACCGCGCCACGGCTCAGGGAGCGCACGACGGCTCTCAAAGCTTTCCGGGTTCACTGGCACGGCCTGTACACGCCATTTGCCCGCCTCGTCGGCGTACACAATGTACAATGGCTTTTCGTTGTCAGGGATCGCCAGCTCCTCTTCCAGGTTGAAGATATGGCTTTTCCACGCAACGATCCGCTCAAACAGGACAATGCGGCCTTGCGCGTCTGCGCCCTCAAACGACTTGCGCTGGTTCAGAGCGTCGATGACAAGCTGACGAGCCGGCAGCCATGCTTCTACGGCATCGTCCACACGCTCGAAGAACTCGGTGCCGGCCAATTCAGAGGCGCGACGGAAGCGCTTCAGCAAATCGGCATCGTCCCATGTCTCGTTCCAGCGGGGGTTCAAGTAGCCGACACGCGACGAGAGATCTGTGCGAGAGCGGTAGGCAGGGGGTCCCTCCACGTCAGGGTACAGCGCGATGCCATTGTCAATCGCATCAATAGCCTCGACGAAATCGTCGTACATCTTCTTGTACAGAATGGGGACACGCTCATCGTCAGCTGTGGTGTTGAGATGAGCAGCAAGAATATCGCGGCCAAAGTGCTTCCACACCAGGCCAGCGCTGCTGAGCTTGGTCTTATGCTCGTCATCAAACGTCTCAAAGAAACCACGCTGATGGTGGTCGTAGCGGTGCTGCTCAGGCACGTACTCTGCGCCGACATCCACCACGATAGTGCCCTTGGCAATCTCCGCGGCGTCACGCGTACGAATCAGTTCAGCATCGCGCAGCACAGGCAGCTTGTAGAGCAGGTGCACAGCGAGCGCTTCGTCCGCATGAAACGTGCCCGAATGCGTCACAATCACAGGGCGCGCGTCGTGCGAGAGCTTGATGCGCTTGGCGTCCGACATGAAGCTACGTGCAAGGCGGCAGTACAACCGAGACGGCCCTAGAATCGTCGGTGGAGGTGGTCAGAGAAGGTTCGAATTCGTCCAATACATTCATTCCATGGGTTGTGTCGTGCGCCGCTGCTGCCGACTAAAAAAACGTGTGCCACGCCTCTGGTCGTCGTCTTACGACGTGCCACGATGAGTGAGGAGACGACGTATTTCAAGCCCATTGGCGAGCAGGTGGCCGATGCGTCTGGCGTGGAAGACAAAAAGCCTGTGGAAGAGATTGAGTCGCTGTGTATGCAATGTGGCAAGCAGGGCGTGACGCGGCTGCTTCCGACGTACATCCCCTACTTCCGTGAAGTGATTGTGATTAGTTTCTCATGCCCGCACTGTGGCAATCACAATAGCGAGGTGCAGAGTGCCGGAGAAATCCAGCCCAAGGGATGCATTTACACGGTGCATGTGACGAACAAGAAGGATCTCAACCGACAGATTATCAAGTCGGAATTCTGCACGATCCAAGTCCCTGAACTCCAGCTGCAGATCCCAGCGAAGCGCGGCCAGATCACAACGATCGAAGGTATGCTCCAGGACACGCTGCGTGACCTGGAAATCGACCAGCCAGTGCGGAAGCACATGCAGCCGGACGTCTACGAAAAGATCGAGGCACTGTGTGAGCGTCTGCGTGAAGTGCTGGGCGAGCACAAAGTAGAAGGCAGCGAGGCGCGTGATGACGATGGCGAGTTCCATGTGGGTCCCGTGGGTGCGCAGTACGAGGACGATGCCGAAGAGCGCACGTTCACGCCGTTCAAAGTCGTGCTGGACGACCCGTCCGGCAACAGTTTTGTGGAGTACACGGGCTCCATTGAGAGCAGCGGTGCCGCGGACAACAAATGGAGCAAGCGTGACTACCCACGCACCAAGGAGCAGAACATTGAGCTGGGTCTAATCGCCGATCCTGCTGTGCCGCGTGGTGAGGATACCGCCACCCATGGCTTCAGCAAGGAAGAGGGTGAGACGGAGTTTGAGAACGAGGAGATTTACTCGTTTGAAGGCACTTGCTCGAGCTGCAATGCGCCTGTGAAGACGAACATGAAGAAGGTGAACATTCCATACTTTAAGGACATTCTGATCATGTCGACCAACTGCGACCACTGTGGCTACCGTGATAACGAAGTGAAGTCTGGCGCGGCGATCAGCGAGAAAGGCCGCAAGCTGACATTGCATGTCACTGACAGCGAAGACTTGTCGCGTGATATCCTCAAGTCGGAGTCGGCTGGTCTGTCGATCCCCGAAATCGATCTCAACCTGGCGCCAGGTACGCTGGGTGGTCGTTTCACGACGCTGGAAGGCTTGCTGCAAAACGTCTACGATGAGCTCTATGAAAAGGTGCTCATGCGTGGTGACTCGGCGGACAAGAGCAGTGTCGAGACGTTCGAGGGATTCCTTGGCAAGCTGAAACGAGCGATTAGTGCAGAGCTGTGCCCCTTCACGGTGATTTTGGACGATCCCCTGGCCGACAGCTATATTCAGAACCCCTACGCGCCTGATCCCGATGAGCAGTTGGAGGTGGAGAACTACGAGCGTACGTGGGAGCAGAACGAGGCGCTGGGCTTGAACGACATGAAGGTCGACGAATATGAAGCGCCTGCGACGGACGACACAGCCCTGGCTGCGTGAGTTCGCAGGCGCACGGTAGGCCGCCGCTTGTATACCATAGACCCCGCAATCTTACGTAAGAGATAGGCGTCGATCTTCTGCTTATCGTTCGTGGTCGGCTCTGATCACGATGGACGAGGATGCGGCGTCGTCGCTTGAGTCGTACCTCCTTCTTATTCTAAGCGATTCCAATTTGCCAACAGGTACGTCTGTGATGCTCTCATACGCCAGGTGGCTTTATTGCGTCGGCCGGCTTGGAATCGTACTATTCCCATGGCTTTATGACACACCAGCATGCCGACTTTATCACACCGACCTTGACGTTTGTGGAACACACGCTACTCAACTACAGTACTGCGGTCGTGCCGTACATGCAAGCGGCCTACCTTCTTACGCAGTCGTACTTGCACAAGCACCATGATTTGGATACCACACTAACCGCTCTTGCCCGCTTGGATTGGCATCATCATACCCTTCTGCTGAACCATGTAGCCCGTCGCGCCTCGATGATCCAAGGAATGGCACTACTTTCGCTGTACATGCGCTCGTTTAGCGAGACAAATGCCGTGTACGCTGACGCGTCGCAGGCGCTGATGGAGCAGCTTCGGAAGGGTATCCGACGTGGCGGCGCACAATTGCAAGGCGGCGCGCTGTCCCTGTCGCCGCCGGCGCTCGCTGGCCACCTGCCGACTTGTATAGGAGCGTTCTCATGCTGCATTGGATTGTCGATGGAGCGCATGGTGCACCTCAACTTGTTTTTGCAGGCCCGCAATCTCATGTCGTGCTCCATTCGCCTAAATACATTGGGGCCGTACATGTCGCACCAACTCTTAGCGCGTCCCTTGCGTGGAATGGTCGAGCAGTGCATGAAGACCACGTCACGACTTGCTGCCGACAAGCTGTATACGCAATCGCTACCCCCGAAGGCGCCGACCACCGCTACCACGCCGCATGCTGCGTGGGACGACTGGGATTGGGACGATGAGGAGCCAGACGCAGGCGACATTGAGTACGCCTGCACGACATGGCCGCTGGGCGAAATTGTACAAGCACGTCATGACCAATTACATTCCCGTCTATTCAATAGCTAAACCACGACCACGCACCTTCTCGACCCATCGACGGAACGTAGGGATCCGTCTTGTGAGGATGACCAGCGAGACGCCCAAGGCTACAAGGCATCCCACCGTGGTCAGCTCAAACACAGAGCGGTAACAGTCTTCGCCGGCGGTGCACTTGTGCACATGGTTCCCCTTGGCCACATTGGCATCGTAGACATGGCCAAACATCAGATTGTAGATATTCCCAAAAATCACCGGCGCAAAGCTCATCCAGCCCCAATTCTGACTGAACGAGCGCATACCGAACCATTCAAAGACCAACACGGGGAACAGACCAAACAAGGTGCCATACATAAGGCCAGTCAGGCACGAAATGTACAGCAGGCGGTGAACATTGTTGATCATATCGGGCCATGCTGCGAGGCCCTGCGAGAAGATGGCCAGCAGGACGACCGGCAAGAGCAGATAGGTACGGTGCGCCGGCGACTCGGTCTTCCTCACGACCGTGTCGGAAATGACACCAATCAGCACACGACCGACGGCATTGCCGATACTGATACACGACACTTGCAGGGCCTGCGTCCGCTGAATCAGTTCAGCGCGGCTTTTCTTGATCAAGGTCTCTGTCAACAACGAGGACGTAGTGACTTCGTTCCGACTTGCATAGTCGTAGAGTACCTGCGTAATCGTACCGACATTGTTGATCAATAGCAGGCCTGATCCACTCACAAGTCCCATAATAAGGAACAGCAGCCAAAAGTCCACTTCGTACACCAAGTCCCAGCCTGTGATGTGAATGTCCTTCGCAGGCGTCGTCGCGTTGGCGGACTCGTCGTGGCCAGACGACGGGCCGGCAGTCGTCTCGTCCTGACACGCAGTTTGTTCCTCAGAGTGGTGCACAGACTGGATCCAGTCGATAACGCGCGCACTCGTCTCGGACGACGACAGCGTATGGGACGACCGACGGCCGAGATGCGGCGGCTTTACAGGTATTGTATCCTCGGACGTCGGAATGCTTTGATACGTCGTCGCAGGCGCCGGCAGCGAAGACTGCGTAGGCGGAATGACCTTAATGAGCGCCATGCCGACGAGGAAACAGGTGAAGCTGCCCAGCGCGAGGGTGTCGAGGTAGCCCGTCACATTTCCCGAAAAGAAGACGTGCGAGAGCGTGGAGTAGACAAACGCGCTCAGTCCAAACGCCGCCAGGACCAAGGCCATCGCCGTTCCACGCCGGTCATCATCCCAGCTCTTCGCCTGGACATTGATCGCTGCATTGTTCCCTGCCGAGTTGCCGAGACCTGTGAGCAGGCAGAAAAAGGCAATAACGATCACTGGCACATTCGCCCACTCGTACTTGTACGCACGCGAGAGCATGCCGTAGCCTGTGAGCACCAGGATGGCTCCGCTGAGGACGGCACCGTACGGACCGGACGCATCAATCCATCGGCCCCACAGTGGGCCAGACATGTAAATACCGAGATTGCCAGCTAGGCCCAAGACATTAAGCTGCGTACTGGTCAAGTGCAACGCTTCTTGGAGCTGCGGCGCATACGAGCTAAACACGTATGTGCTCCCGGCAGACAGGGCAATAAGCATAGAGCCTGCCTGAGATAGCAGGCGCCGGGACTGCGACATGGTGCAGAGAACGGGGGCGTGAGAGGTGATGGACGTGCCTGGCAGGCACCGCGCCACCCTCTCGTAAAAAGTGCCCATGTTCTGCCCGCGTCGGGCTGCAGGGACCACCCACCCACCCACACGATCACGTGAGATCGCGAGTTGTCACCAAGGGTCTTTGCCGACGACCATGCCCAACGAAGGCGGCTGTGGCGGGACCTTGCGTGTGCTAAGCCGCCTCGGTATCGGAACGCAGCGCCGTGTCTCGTCACAGCGCGGGTCGCAGCCCGATCCATGGTGGATGCGGTACGCCAATACGGTCATAGTCGCCGCTTGCATTGGGTGGTCTTGTGCGATCTATGTATGGCGCGTATGCTACCCTATGATCACACGACACCCCAACGCCTTGGCTTCTCAGCGAACAGGTATCGGCCTCCTAGTCGGTTTCCTGATCTTATGGGGCATGCTCACCTGGAGTTTCATTACCGTCGTCTTGTCTAGCCCAGGCTACGTCCATGATCTCGCGCTCGAGTCTCAGCCCATGACCAGCGCGCCATCGGACGAGAGACTCGGCGTGGCTGCGGCACCAGCCCCTGTCACTGTTCTACCAACACCACAGACGACAACGACCCCCACACCTGTACCACCTTCCGTGCCGCTAGCTGTGCCTGTTCCCATTCCCTCCCAAAGTCCCACCGACGACGACGCGGAAGTGATGATGAGCAGCGTTCGCAACCCGATACCCTTCTCGCCGGTCGACGAACGCGAAGCGCGATGGGCTATGTACGAACAATCTGCCTCGGGTGTCTCCCACGGTCGCGATAGCGTTTCAGGCAATGAGTCGTCTGTCATGACATTGGCTGCGCCGCCACCCAAAAGCCCAGGCACTATGGAGCCATCGTATATGCCCCCACCGTCTTCGCCCGGCGTCGAGGCGGACATAGAAGCGGATCTTCCTGCACCTACGGATCCTCGGCTCCCCAAACCACGCCGCATACCCCCTCATCCTCCCATTTACGCATCGTCCGAACTCTACTGCAATCACTGCCATCGCGCACGGCCGCCACGCGCACATCACTGTCGTCGTTGTGGAACCTGTGTTCTTCGTATGGATCATCACTGTCCCTGGGTCGGCGGGTGTGTAGGTGCACACAACTACCAATACTACTACAACACAGTGCTTTGGGGCTTTTTGCTGTCGCTCTACGTGATCGTGAGTATGGCGCCCCTATTTGCACGTGGTGTTCGGTCCCAAGAATCAGCGACCTGGGCAGAACGGATCCGCAATTGGAACGTGGATGGCTACATGATCAGTGTGTTTGTGATTGCAGCCTTCTTCTTTCTTTTCACCGGCTCCCTAGTGACGGTCCACACGTACTTGAGTGGTCATAACCTAACATCCATTGAGCAGCGAGGCATCAATTCGTTCCGTCAGAGCGAAGGGCATGTGCTTCATCGCTATTACTCTCGCTACGGCCAGGGTGGGACGCTCGGCTGGGGTCCCGTCGGTGCGTTCCGTCGATTTATCGCTCGGAGACGCATGCTAAAGCAATGGAACAGGGAATGGGGCTACCCCTTTCGTGAAGGCAATCCATGGTGGATCGGCACCATGGACGAGTTGGACTATGCATTGACCTCACCAGCAGCACAAACGCGCGAATCCGACTTAAACAAAACCCTGGGCCTGTCCTACTCGGCTTTGCCTACAGGCAATGGCGTCGCGAGCATCTCTCGCTCTGCTACATCGCCGTTGCTGCAACATCCGCCTTTCTTCCAAAAATCGGCTTTTCTGCTGAACATGGAGCAGAGTTTAGGTCCGCCTTACGGCTGGTTCTTACCTGTGACGCGCCGAGTACACACAGGTGTCCACTTTCCGCTAAACCCACGCTATAGCAGCGATGGTGTATGGCTACCATCGCACGACTGGCCCCCAGTGGTCCACGCGAAATAGGTAGGACCTCGACATAGGCCTTGTACATATATCTATTCTACCACGTGGCCTACATAGCACCTGCACGCACGCGCATTTTCTACACGTCTGTCTCCACCATGTCGCGCGGCGCCGGCGGTCGTTTTGGGCATGAAAGCGAGTTGCAGCGCAGTATGCGCGAGCCTGTATAGTGCGTATGAAGTAAGTCTAACATTCAGTGTCTGGCGGAAAGAGTGGGTGGTGCCTTCAGCCCTATCACGCCCGGCTAGCTCCGGCCAGAATATGACGGAGAGGCTTGGCTCCGACGCGGACGCTATGCGCTCTGCGACACCGTTTAAAATCCTCAAATGGGTTCGAACGACAGAAACCGTTCAACATAACTCGACGGAGCCTGAAGCACAGACTGGTGATGTGTCCCTGAGTGGCTCTATGATGGACGCTGTCCCGCAGGATCTCGAGGCTGGCGACGACGCTACGCCTGGGCCAGACAGTGCCTCGCCTTCGAAGAAGATGGACGAGGACGAAGATATGCCGGACGCTGAGCAGCCTGTGAAAGAAGACGTGGGTGCATAGAAATACCATTGTATTATAAGTCATTATCACTTTCAGGTGACGACGACGACGACGACGACGACGCCATACTGGAGTCATCCGACATGGGCCCGCCACCATTCTGCGGTTGTGCATAGAGTTTCCGTTTCCGCATTTTGATACCCGTTTGTGATACGCCTTCATGAATGAGAGGGTCATCCAGATCGCGCTGCGATGCAGAAGCTTCCGGGTCAGACGGTAGAGAGCTCCATGACGGCTTCGCCACGCCTGTTCTCTGTTTCCCAGATCGTTGTTCTTCCACATGTAGCGAGAGCTTAAGTAAGGAAGAGGGTATACATACATTAATCACTCCAGACTCTAGCGATTGCAGCGGATGCAATAACAATGGCTGAATGGGTGCGGGTCGTTGGATCGTTTCTGAGAGCCGCATCGTAGCGTCGTCTTGGTCATTTAAGCGAATTGCTGTGCCTTCAGCAGGCATCCACGGGCCATAGGATGGTAGCTGTGTGTCAGTGTTACAATCACGTACATCGACTCCGCCCTGTGGTGCCTGGCCGGGCTGCATATTGATCATGATCCGAAAAGTCAACGCTAGGTGTGAGTTGCGAAGTGTACATACCATTCGTATCGTTGATAGGTGTAAGGCGAGAATCTAGTGTCAGCAATTGCAGGAGAAAGGCGCGCGCCACTAAGCTAGCCGATGAACGTGATAAGTTGCCTCGGATTCTGTTATCAGTTGTCGTCGTTTCACATACATCAAATCTCTGTCGCGCCGATCTGTCTCTGGCAACAAAAACGATAACACAAATATGTATTTTTCTAGCATATGCGAGGCCACCGTATCATCATCATGACATATGCCTAGGGTGACACTTTGTAGAGATGACTTGCATTAGTACGCACGGACTTACCTGATCCAATTCCTTGGTCACAGCTTGTACAGCATGATGGATGTATTCTGTAAGTGCAGGGTGACGGCTTTGGTACACCGGGGTATCATACATCTTGCACCGCAAAAACACTTCTGATATTGTAAGATCATAGTCACGTACGCTGGGGGTAGACGCGCCGAACGCATAAGATGGTATGTATGCAACATTCCACTGCCATTAGCCTGGGATAACGTACAGAGCTCCTGAATCATTTGAATCGTTTCTTCTATGAGCATTGCGCGTACATACCATTGTATGTCATAGGCCCATCATCTACACGATCGCGATCTGACCTGTCAGCCTCTAATCGCATAGTGTTGGTGTGGAGGTAAAGGTGAAGGTGGGATATCGTGACAAGGCTGTACAATCTATGAGGCAAACGCTAGGGCTATTTGAAAGCGGAGCGTATGGTACGAGCTGCTTGGATCCATGCACGCAAGTCCAAGTCGTCTACCTGTTTGAAGAAAATGGCGTGGAGAATCATTGGCGTTGGCACACGTGTGCCATCCTTGGTTACATGATCTTGCAGAGACGAAGGCCCTGAAGCTGGGGTATCAGATAGGACACGTCTTTCCAGAGTACCAATACAAAGCAATTTGGATCGAAGAGGTAGTGCCACAGCTCGGTCTTCGATACAGAGCGAGACATCGACCAAAAGTCGTTGTCTCTCGCTTTCGAGCACAACTTCGGCTGTATTCTCATCATAAGATATACAACTATCATTAGTGTAGTTATACATACAATCCTGCCACACGAATCTTGCGATCTAGGTCCTCTGGGTACCGCAAATCTGCGATCGGCACGAGCGCAGCATGGTCCATAATGAAGGTGCACGCCTCCATTTAGTCTCACTATTTTTTAGCTTCGACATATGGCAGAATCTGTTCGCTCCACTTGGCACATCGAAGATTGCCGCACCCATCGTTGCAAGGGGCGTTGGTCTCCCAGTACCACAACTGCTTAGCACTCTCACTGTACATACGCGTATACGATTTCCTTTACGCACCATGTCATCCTTTACGAAGGATGTATACCCTGACCTAGAGACGTTTCCGCCTACAGGCTCGCCCAAGTTTGAAAAACTACAAGGATACGAATTGTATAAGCACATCGGGTCGCCACGGCACATCGTAGCGCCTATGGTCGACCAATCTGAGCTAGCATGGCGTATTCTAAGTCGGAGGTATGGGTCTGACCTTGTCTACTCTCCCATGATCAATGCAAAGATTTACAACCAACACAACCGCGGTGCGCATCGCGTTCGTGAGGCATACTTTAACCAGGAGTTGGGTGAAGAAGGTGCACACACTATCAATCTAGGAGATAAAAAAGACACAGACCGGCCTTTGATTGTGCAGGTAAGTCCTCTACGTTCTGACAGTAGTTTTGTGCCAATGATCCAGAAATGCTATTGCAAAGTGCACTTACTGTCCAAGATAAATGCGATGCCGTGGACCTGAATTTGGGGTGCCCCCAACAGATTGCCAAACGTGGTTTTTTTGGTGCTTTTTTGATGGATGACTGGGATCTTGTATTTCGACTGATCAATATTTTGCATTTGAATCTCAAAGTACCCGTAACGGCAAAATTCCGCGTTTACGATTCACTTGATAAGACACTTGCATATGCGCGGATGATTCAACGTGCTGGCGCACAAATGGTTACAGTGCATGGGCGTACGCGTGAAATGAAGGGTCATAAAACAGGATTGGCGGACTGGGAAAAGATTCGCGCTGTGAAGCAGGCGCTGGACATCCCTGTCTTCGCGAATGGCAATATGCTCTACCCCCAGGACTGGCGTGACTGCCTTGCTTATACAGGCTGCGATGGTGTCATGAGTGCGGAAGGGAACTTGTACAACCCAGCGCTCTTTGATGCGACCATTGACCGTGATTTGTCTGTGCTAAGCGATCCGGATGCGGATCACAGTGCGTATAAGCCTTTGGAAATTGTAAAAATGGCGCACGAGTACCTCGACATTGTGGCAGCACTGCGCACACCTACATCGCACAGCGCGTTGAAAGGTCATATGTTCAAGATAACGAGACCGGCGCTCAGTATCCATACCGATCTGCGCCCTGTTCTGGGAAAGGCCCGCTGTTACGATGACGTGGACGGTGAAGAAAAAATTCGGGAGTACCGTGCATTTGTTCGTGAACTAGAGATGCGCCTAGACGAAGACAAAAAGCAGGACAAATACTACAAACCTCAGCCAGATGCCCCCTGGTACTATATGGTGCCGAAGCACTTGCAAGACCCAGAAGACCGGCTCACACGTCCTCCCTTTATTCCTCACTGGTACCTTCAGCCCTATTTCCGGCCGCCTCTGAATCCACCCAAACCTAAAGAGGAAGACCCCGCATCCAAATCAGATACGCAGTCCACGGCCGCAGAAAGCGACCACAACGAGGATCTGCCGCCAGCAAAGCGTGCCAAGGTAGACACGGCCGCGACCCCCACCACCTTGTAGCTGTCCCATAGCACGTGATTCGACACGTCCTTCGACCATGGCACAGACCATGGACGAGGCCCTAGGGTCGTTTGCGACGCGGATCGAAGAGGCAGAGACACTTAAGGTCCTTGGTAACGACCAATTCGGCAAAGGCGCATATGCAGTGGCCATCAATCATTATAACGACGCACTGCATCGTTTGCCTCTGCGTGCGTCGAAGGAGTGTCAAGACGAGGACCAAGATGCGTCGACAACGGAAGCCGAAACGAAAGTGGATCATGCTCAAGCTACTGTGATTCAATCTCTACGCATCAAACTGCAGTCCAACTTAGCAGCCTCGTATCTCAAACTGGTAGGTAGCTGATGATCTCACCTCAGGAACATTACGACGAATGCGTTCGTGCGGCATCGGAAGGTACGAAAGCTAGACACTAACCCCAGTGCTCGCAGAAGAGCCGACAAATGTGAAGGCTTTACACAGGCGTGCTACGGCACACGAGGCACTGGGCGGCTGGTCTCATCTGAGCTCGGCCAAGAAAGGTATGTTGCCGTCACTTGACCCACACACAGATTTGGAGGAGCTTCAGCGGTTAGAGCAACAAGGCCTCGTGCCCGCCTCGTACCGGAGCGAACTACAGGCCTCCTTATCACGAATTCAACCTAAACTCGAGCAAGCAGGTGAAAAAGAGAAGGAGGAAATGCTAGGGAAGCTCAAGAACGTCGGCAACCAATTCCTCGGTCTATTTGGACTCTCCACGGACAATTTCCAGCTGCAACAGCAAGATGGTGGGGGCTATTCCATCAATTTTAAGCAGTAATCAAAATACATGCACTATGTGAAAAGCTTGTTCACGCTCATAGAGCCATCCGCTTGACGCTTAAGGACCTTGGCAATGGCCAACTCAAAGTCCTCTTGCGACACGTGTTGCCGTCGTTCACGCAGAGCATACATACCAGCTTCTGTGCAGATACCACGAACTTCGGCACCGGAGCACTGTCCCATTTTCTCCGCAAGAACACGTAGGTTGATACCACGCTGCAGTGACATCTTACGCGAGTGAATACGCAAGATTTGAACGCGCGCTTCCGGGCCTGGCGGCGGAAATTCAATCTTACGGTCAATACGGCCAGGACGCAGCAAGGCGCTATCGAGGATATCAATACGGTTGGTAGCCATAATGACCTTGATATTTTGAGTGCCCTCGAAACCGTCAAGCTGGTTCAAAAGCTCGAGCATAGTGCGCTGGACTTCCGAATCGCCATTGCTACCACCGCCTTCGCCACGGCTGGAACCAATAGAGTCGATCTCGTCCATGAAGATAATCGACGGAGCGTGTTCACGCGCCATAACGAAAAGCTCACGTACCATACGGCTACCCTCACCGATATACTTCTGCACCAGTTCGCTACCGCTGACTCGGATGAACTTGCAGTCCGTATGGTGAGCCACAGCACGAGCTAGAAGTGTCTTACCAGTACCTGGAGGGCCGTACAAAAGCACACCTTTTGGCTGTGCGATACCTAAGCTCTCAAACAGCTCTGGATGCTTCACAGGAAGTTCAATCACTTCCTTGATTTCCTTGATTTGACGGTCCAAACCACCGACCATTTCATATGTGCTGTCAGGAACCTTTTCGACCATCATCAAGGAAACGAGGGGATCCACTTTGTTTGGAAGAATCTTATGCAATGTATAAGAGTCAGAGCGAAGCGCCACACGGAGAGACGGCTTCAACTGGGTGATATCGATATCCGGCGCAATACCCACAACATACTTGCCTTCCGGTTGTACCTTGACAAGCACCTTCTTCTTTCCCATCACCTTTTCGACTTCACCCACGTACGATCCGGGTTCCTGTAGGAGCTGTAACTCTTCCCGAATCAAACGAACACGGGCATTCAGCGCGTTGCGCTGTGCCTCCAGGCGGCGAAGGTTTTGTGACTTTTCGTTGATCATGAGCTCATACGACTGAATCTTTGACTCATAAAACGACTGAATGCCGACTGGTGACTGGTTCGACGATGTCATCGTCGACGCCTCAGCCCCTTGCTTGGTATCAACAGCCACTTGGCTCTGAGCCACTGCAGCGACCATAGCGTCGATGACCGTGTGGCGGACTGCCGTGCGACGCGTTCTCTCGATCACTATCTCATCACGTGATCCAACGCTGTCCACCACGGTTTTTTAAGGTAGTGTGGCTGCATGAACGGACCTCGCGACATTGGCATGTCGGCGTTTAAGCGACGTGGGAGTGGCAGTCCCTCGGCGGCGGTAGCGGAGGGTGTGCGGCCCGCACCATACCATACGCCTGTGCCATTGTTGTCCACAGGTATTCCCTCGCTCGATGATATTTTGTGCGGTGGTGGCATCCTTTCTGGATCAGTGTTGGCGTTTGTGCCTTGTACAGGCATGGCTAACGGGTCGATGGCACAGCTAGGTGCGCCTGTGCTAGGAGGGGATGGTCGTGCCCTATACCAAGACGAAAGCGTTTCTGCAGCTGATGCCTATACGGATCTATTTCTAGGCTACGCTACTGCGCAAGGGATCACCTCGCACCATACCACGGTGGTGATTGGAGAAGCTGCCGACGCATTTGTTTCGAATCTGATGGGCCAAGCTGAAGATCCGACGACTGTCGATGAGTCTGATACTAGCGTGACACAGACAGCCGATGATTTGCAACGTATGAAGATTGCATGGCGATACGACCACACACGAACGTCCACCAAGCCATCTCTCCCAGCAGCTATGAATACTGTGTTTGATTTGTCCAAACGTATACCCTATTCCATCATTCGTGCCGCCAAAGATGCTCATTTGCTGCATGTCGCCTCGTTGGATATGGATGATGCTCTCACAGTGGCATGGGACGCCATACAGACAGCGGTCGAGCAGTGCAAGGCCCAAGCCGCATCTCGCTCGTACGCACCTGTATTGCGTATTGTACTCCGTGGGTTTGGCTCGCCTGCGTGGATGGAACAGGGCTCGAGTTATGACTTGGTTCGTTTCCTTCTCCGACTTCGTGCGCTGGCGCGTTCGTTGGCGATGCCGGCAGAGAGTACCAACGATGCGATTCCGTGCCTCGTAGGCTTGTCGCTTTCTCCCTTTGTATACCATGCCACAGACACTGTACCATCAGGGATGAATGTAGCGCAACGTCTGCTGCATTTGACCGATGGGTGTATTGGTCTTTCGTCTTTTTCCGCCACACCAGGGCTGAGCGAGATTTTCCCCGATTTCACAGGCGCCCTGCGTGTGTACCGTACTCCTGCGATTGGCACACTTACCAACCCATCGCTGCGTGTCTCCATTTTGCGTGGCATGGGTGCCGGAACCACAGCCTCAGGCTCGGCCAACGAAGGCGGCGCAGGTGGTGGTGAGAACAACTTGGCCTTCAAGGTCAAACGAAAGCGCTTGGCCATCGAGACGCTGCATTTGGACATTGAAGGCGGTGTGAGTGAGCGACGGACGAAGCCGAAGGAGCCCCTGGGCCGGTCAGAAGCGCCGTCCGACCCATCGCCTGCGCCTGCGCCTGCGCCTGCGCCGCCGTCCGAACCATCAACGCCCACGATATCCACTGTACCTGAAACAGCATCCCAGCCTACCGCCAGTCCAGCGAATCTACCTCGCCTCTTCACTGGTTTGAAGGATTTACGGCAACGTGGCCTGGCCGTGGCCAAGTCATCGTCGGTAGCTCGACCACAGGATCTGGAATTTTAAGGGGTATATGATTCATCTATACACGTCAGTGACAGGGCGCCTCAGAGCCTCTCATCTCAGGCGTGATGATGCAGGTCTATCAGGCGCCCCAAAGCAGTTTTCACACACAGCGTGTTGGGTCCTTGTGCTGCACCAGGGCCGGCATGCTACGTGGCACATCACACGCCGGTGGATTCGGCCCATTTTACGATCGTAGAGCTTAGAGGAATCGCACGGTCTGGATGCTGGACGCTATCCAGGATGGCCTTGGCCGAAATCTGAGAACGTACAGGGAGGAAGGCCGGCATTACAGACGTGCTGGGCAAAATACCATACGGCGAGGTTGCTGGACCTGTGCGATTCGCAATGCCCGAGGGCAAAGCGAGGGATTGTCGTGCCGGCTCGGGAAGGAACAGTTCCCATTCCAGCAGTCGGCAATACGCTTGCCACATGGTAGCACGTTCAGCCAACCGGGCCAGCCCTGCAATGGCCAAGGGAGCACGTGTGGCACTTTGGCCCATATCGCGTTGAGCTCGCTGGACAAATTGCGAGATGTGGTAGAAACACATTTCAAAGGTAAATGGCTCACGCTCACGCAGCTGGAGATGCCGAGCAGCAATGAGTAGGGTCATGTCAGGGACAGGCAGCGCTAGAGAGTAAGTAGGCCATGAACGTACATAACAGGAACGTATGCAAAGTATCCATTCGTTGTGAGGCCATAGCATGTTGAAATGCTGTAGCCTCCAAACATGGTGAGCTGGGCGTTAGGGCAGCAATCGGCACAACAAGGGATTGATACAGCAAACGCACATCCCCACTTAGTTCATGCAGGCCTTGCAAGCACAGGCGAAAGACCTCATCTTGCAAGAGCTGATCCACCTCTTCGTACCAGGCCGTGGCAAACGAGGAGGACGGATCGGGTGTAGTGCCTGCTAATAGGGCGGTACGTGCGAGGATCATGTATTGATCCAGCGACGGTGGACTTACATGCACAATGCGGTGTGAGAAACGACTCTTTACACGTTTTTCGAGAAATTCGGGCGCATCCACACGAGTTGTGACGCCAATGACGATCATACCTGGTGCATAGCTACTGGCCTGTACAGCATCCAGCAAGCAGTATAGCAATGCCTGGCGTGGGCGATGAGCAAACTGCTCAAACTGATCGATGACAATCACGAGCGGCCGGTGCGAGGACGTGGACGAGGTGCGAGTCAGTAAGGTCAGAATATGGGCTAGTGTCGTAGACATGGAGGCTAGAATCGCTGCAGCAACACTGTCTGGCACAGCAGATGGAAGGGTTTGTGTTTCCTCCTCTTCCTCGTCCGACACGTCGTCCTCCGGCGCCGTCGTCAAGTCCCAGTCAGGTTTGACCGCCTCCTCCGCGGTCTCAATGGTCTCCGCCTCGGGACCAAGCACATGCGCAATGGTATGGTCCACATCGCTACGTCCAATGGCGCCTTGTGCCATGAGCTGTTTGGCCATATCGGCCAGGCACTGCCTGTCTGTGGGATGCAAAAGAGCCGACAGTCTCACGATCCATGGCGCAGGATGCTGCGATGTGCCTTGCTGCTCCGCATGCCGAAGCACAGACTCCACTACCTGGTGTAAGCCTACTATCACGTACCAACGACTTGCCACAACCTGGCTCGCCCATCACGAGGCAGCTATTTCCTTCGCCCTGATGCAGGGTACTGCGGACCAGCGTATACAGCGCACGCCAAGCATCTGTCAGGCCCACACACTCCTGCCCGACATAGGGCTCGTCCGTAGCAGCAGGCGGTATAGCATGTGCCAATACACGCAAGATCGCTTCCCGCTGGACCGGCAAATGCGCCGCAAGCGTCGCAGCATCCACAGCTGTAATGGGGTGTGACATGCTACAAGCCTAGGAGGAGCGTGTGAATGCCTCCACCTCTTCTTTCTTGCCTCTCCCCGCATGCCGACGTCCTCACCGACGCAGCGCCTCATCGAGGCGGCGCCGCATCGCGCTGAGGATGTAGCGGCGTACATGGACCAACTTTTCCGATCGTTTGATGCATCTTGGATCGGTATGTGCACTCGTATCTGACCCAGTAGAAGCGCATATACCCGACGAAGTCGCCCAGCTTCGTTTCGCTGTCCAAGTAATAGACGCCCTCTTCACGCGCCCAGTCACACAACCAATCCCACCATTGCACCCAAAGCAGGAGCCTGATGCCATGACAGCCAGCATTCTGAATGTTCTTTGCATGCGCATTCCACAAGCATCGCCTCCTGCACTGCTCATGTCGTACGCGCTACTTCGCGCCTTGGGTCAGCGCCAGCTACAAGTGTACCGCTGGTTCGTGTGGGATCACCACACATGGCGTCTTCCCGGTCTTTTTCACAAGCTGGTGCACAATGTGTGGGCCGGGTACTACGCAGCACAGGCCACTGCCACGCTGGCGGACGATGCACGCACCGCCTATGCGCCAGCCCTGCCTGTGCCGGAGACCCCGGGGCTTGTAAGCACGGCATCGCTGCTTACAGTCACCACAGATCACCATATATGGCTCGCTGTAGAGTGCCATGCGCTGTCGATTATGTACAATATCTTGGGGATTGCGCATCTCCCCATGACGGAGCTGCGGGCCATTTCCTCGCACTTTGTCGAACATTTGTTTGCCGTGATGGAACAGACCGACAGTGAATGGACGGAAACGTACATCACTCGCATTATGCATGTGCTTCTTGCGTTGTATGAGCAAAGCCTGCTACATCCGGCGCTGCCATCGACTCGAAGCGCCATGCATCAATGCATGCAATCCAGTAAAGTGTTTGGCGAAAACTTGGTGTATCTGCTAAATCGTACCCCCAGCACCACCTTGGAAGGCGGTCGGCTACATTTCCTTATTCTCAAACTGCTAGCATCATTCTTTGCGCTCCCTGAGACGGCGTCCTACTTTTATACCAACGACCTTCGCGTGTTGGTCGACATTTTTATCCGGCAGGTAAGTGACCTGCCCGAGTCGTGGGAACTGCTTCGGCAATCGTATCTATGTGTCTTTCACGAACTTTTGACACAGACCCAACTGTGCACAGAAGCCTATAAACGCGATCAGGTTCGCATGTTGCTGCAAATGATCGTGAAAAGTGCACAGTACCATGACGTGAGCCAATTGACCATGACACTCGCTGAGCACTGTTTGAGCTGTGAGTGGCTTGTAGGGTTCTCCCATGGACATACTGTGGTGGAAACCATCCAAGGAGATGCTGTGCAAGATGCACCGCTGACGAAGGAGCGTGTAGATGGCGAAGCACATTACGTGGCAGAGCCATGTGACGAGACCATTCGGCAGGTATTGGTTCTGAGCTCAGTGCAATCCGCCACTGCCTCACTGGTATGCCTAAATCATATGTACCAGGACCAAATGGAGGCCGTTTTATGGCCTGAACAGGACCCCAACCTTCATTCAGACGCTGTGAATGATGGCCTAAGTGAGGCCTTGGATCTTGTATCGCTCGAGTCCTTCTCCCGCCGAAGCAGCAGCGAATCCATACGCAGCACAGAAGGACGTCGACGACCTCCACCGCCTCCTCTACCACGACGCTCTCTACGTCCGAACGATGCCGTATCGCGTGCAGCCTCTGCCTCCATGCCAGATCTTACACAGCAGAGCAGTGCTCATTCTTCACCGACAAGCTCTCCTAGAGCTGCCACGCCCGCACGTCGACGGCCTGCCCCTGATATTCCTCGCGAACGTGCTCACTCACTTGAAAGTTCACCTGTACAAGCTACGACGCCGCTTCCTCAAGTCACTGTAACACCAGCAAATCAAAGCCGACCCTTACGATACTACTTCCGCAAGCACTTTGGCGCCTCAACACCAACCGATCCACCCGAGCCGCATCGCCTATCACATTGGTATACACGGTATCGTGCCTCACGAACCTCTTCGCCTGGAGTGCCGGAAGACGACGACACCCCTGCACGGACCACAACCCCGACAGCACGTCGCCGTGCGCCGCCGCCGCCGCCTGGCCCCCCCAAGACTGGTCCCTTGTAGATCACGTGATGTAGAGTGGAAGGCAGAGAGCCATGCACACCAGCCTCTGGAACGACAGCGAGCTGGGACCACGACGTTCATGGTAGGATTGTCGCCCCTGTCGAGTACCCAAACGGCGGCTATGCCAGCCTGCAATCATATTGAAACAGTGGTACGCGATCGCTCCTCACAGATGGTCGTCAAAGATCTTGAAATGCGGCTCCGGCGGCATCAAATTACAGGCACGGCGGCTGTGGCAGAGGCGACGGCCAAGGCTCTGCGCTCTGTGGTAAGTGCAGCGAAGTGTTGGCGTCTAGAGGATCTAGTGATGCTGATTCGTACGGTGGGTCGTCGTCTGCAAAATGCACTGCCTTCCGAACCTGTGATTGGAAATATGACGCGTCGCATCTTGTTCCTTCTCCGTGAAGAGGCGAAAGCCCTTACGAACTTGGGCGAAAGTTTGCCGACAGGTGGGCGTCCGCAACCGCACCCATCTGTGGCACAGTCGCTAGCGGCTTTGTCAATGTCCACGCCTAGCTCGCCCGCTACGTCCATGCTACTCAATACCGACTCATCTGTGCCTCCGACGCCTAGTCGCTCTTTCTCCATTTCCGACTTGGTGGCGCCATCGGGTGCCCAAACCATGCGCACGACACCGATGGACATGTCACCCACCAGTACGCCATCAACACTGTCGGCACAGTCGCCCCTGCATGACTCCCTGCACTCGGAAGACGGAGATACGCTATCGGACGAAGACGAGAAAAGCTCCAATGATTCCACACCTAGCCACACATACCAACTTAAACCGCTATTGATTCAAGCGATCCAGGAGCTTATCGATGAATTGGAGTCTGTTGATACCAGCATTGCAAAAGATGCTCGCGACCACATTCACTCGGGCGAAGTCATTCTCACGCTTGGCCACTCCTCGACAGTGCTTAGCTTCTTGCGAGCAGCAGCCAAGCACCGGAAATTTATTGCGGTGGTGCCTGAATCTGCACCCTCGTTTGCGGGCCACAAGATGGCGCGTGCCTTGTCAGGCGCCGGCCTCTCGGTGCTGCTGGTGCCGGACTCGAACGTGTATGCTCTCATGCCACGTATTTCCAAGGTGATTCTGGGCGCACGGTGTGTCTTGGCGAATGGCGGTATGCTGGCTTCCATCGGTGCCAAATCCATCGCAATGGCTGCACGCGAGCACTCGACCCCTGTGGTAGCGCTGGCGGGTGTGTACAAAATCTCTCCTGATTGGTCATGGGTCAGCCCGGAGCGGTTGACGACGGGCAACCAAGGTCCGGCATCGCAAGTGGTGAACTATGCTTCCTCATCCATCCTGGCTGGCGAAGCGGACATTGAGAATCCGCTCTGGGATATTGTCGCTCCGAATGACATTGATGTGATTATCACGAATGTTGGCGAGCATCCGCCATCGTATGTGTACCGCCTCATTCAGGAGAACTATCATGAAGAGGATCTGCATTTCTAGTGGACTATGTAGTTAAAGACGTGCTTCCAAATTGATTTTGGTTCCAACGAATGACTTTGGGATGAGCCATGACCTTGGATGGCTGGAAACCTATCACTTGGAGCGAATCCAGCGAGGTCGCACGCGACAGCGCCACATAGGCTTGGCCTTTTTCAAAGACGCGGCGTAGATCGATACGGCACCATGGCAACGTTTGACCCTGCGATTTGTGGATGGACATTGCCCACGCCAGCATGATAGGGATTTGTGTGCGGGAAGCCACAACATCACCATTGGGCTCTTCGTTTTTCCACGTCTCAGGTCGCACAAGCTGATCGCGAACAAGACCATTGGGCAGGTGGAAACGAACCAGAGGCCATCGCGCAGCAGGACGAGCATCCTTGTCATTGCCCGCATGCGTCGAACGAGTTGCGCCGGGGGCTCGCTCCGCGTTCGACAGCAGATCTTCCGGCACATCAATGCGAAGGCTATCTTCGCCGTATGTATCAAGATAGGTACTCTCGTCCATGAAATCAATCACGGTACCCACCGATCCATTCGCTAGATCTTTGAAAAGGTTTTTGATGAGCATCACTTGCGCTCCTTTTTTGAGATGGACATAGCGTGGCGCCATAAAGTTTTCCAGCACACGCTCACGCTGGTCTGGTGGAAGTGTACCGCCATCCAGACTGGTATACACACGCAACTCGGAGGGGAGTGCATCTAAGCGATCACGGTTTGCCTTTTCCACATCACGACGTAATGGGTACAGTTCGGTGGGTGTAATGCCTTCAGGTAGCTCAGGGACGCGCTCTAGTTTGGCAAACGCTTGCACAGTATCCGCCGACAGCTTGCCCATACGCATCTCGTTCAGCATGCGCACAAAGGTCTGGTCTTTCTGACGGAACACTTGCGTCAAATTGTACATCTTCTGGATAACCTCATGCCACTTGGCCGATTCGAAGACAAATTGCACATCACCACCGGGCGACACGGGCGGCAGCTGGAAAAAATCGCCGGTCGCAACGATTTGAATGCCACCAAATGGCTTGGTCGACTTGCGCAGCATCCGCGCAATTTGCTCCAGCTTATCAAACAGTTTAGGATCAATCATAGAGACTGCCGTTAGAGATCCAAATACATACTTTCATCAATAATCAGTACTTGTGTACGCATCCACCTCGTCGTGGCCTTGCGGTTGCGGCGAATCACAGTCAACAAGCGCTCCGGTGTCTCTTTAGCGAGACCCACACCGCCAAAACTGTGCAGCGTAATACCACCAATATTGCACGCCGCAATACCTGTCGAGGCTGTCACAGCCACAGCATCGGATTTTAGGCGGTATTTCTCGCGCAAATCACGGATGATTTGGCGAAGAAGGTGTGACTTGCCAGCCCCAGCCGACCCTGTGAAAAAGACACTCTGGCCCTGCTGGACCACAGCTTCCAGCACCCGCTGTTGCTCTGGTGATAAGAACACCTTCGCTTTCATCCTGTTTTCCTCAGGCACATAAACGGATTCCTTCACCGGGGAGGGCGAGCGAGATGTTCGTGCCAACGGTCGCACAAGGGAGTCGAGAGTGGCCGACGAAAGCGCTTTGCTGGAGGGCTTTACAGCCAGTGTACCTTTTACAGAGGCTCCTTGTGGTACTCTATTGGTAAGAAAAGGTGTCCAACTCTCATCAAACTTTCGTTGCTTGATGGTATGTGTGACGCCAGCCTGAATGTTGCCATCCACTTCACGCATAGGCGTACTGGGCGTTGTTGGGGCCAAGGGCTTTTCAGGGCTTTGACTTCGGCGCTCGGATGTGCTCCATGACCGCTTCAGCATGCGCAACGCAGACCGGGGTTCCTCGTCACTTGGCGAAGCCATGACCGGTAGCCGCACAAGAAAAAATACGACAGCCAGCAACCAAGATTTTGGATGAGCAAGTGACACACGCGTGGCCACGCGACGCGTGCATGCGTGCACTACGTGTGGCCGCTGGCGTGAATCGGGGGACTGATAGATCGCCTTTCATCGGGCATCGACGCAGTGAGCCAAGAAGCTTGACTAAGACAGGATAAGACAACCAGTACGGTCTCCTTAGAGCTGTGAACGCTTTTCGCAGACGTATATTCCTACCGAACTTGGAATTAGAGATGGAAGAGCTACGACACTGCGTGTACGTCTTTTTTTTTGGCTGACAATAGAACGCTCTCGATACCTTGCCCCACACTTGCCACAGCCACAACAATTCAGCAAGTGATCACGGTGGATAAAGAACTTCGTCCCTATGATGTGCACAAATCATTCACTGTGGAAGAGGCTGACCACGGGGCCACACTTCATATGTACGAATAACCGACTATCGACTCACATGCAGGACAATGAAGGCTACGACACTGCGTCACTTACGTCTGGCCCTCAATGCGTTTTTGGAAGATGCAGCATTGATTGTGAGAACAATGGATACGTTTGAACATGGCCACCTCATGCCTACGCACGGCCCGTTGGAACAAGGCTCTGTGGGTTTTGCAGGGTAATGGCGCCAGATGTTTCTGCGTGTATGTACTTAGATTCTTCGCACATCCCCATAGATATGTAGTATAGAAATACGCTCAATATCATGCACATTGGCCATGGAACCAGGCTCGCAAATGGCGATAGCGGCCTACATGGCAGCAGCACCATGTCAACTCGGCCGGCGATCGGGCCACTTTTTCGCTTCGCCTGCCATGGACGACAGCGCAACGCCAAGGGTAGGTGCGCCGCTCCAAGCAGCAACACACGTAGCCTATGCTGCTGTTGCGCCGCTTGGCGCGAAATACCCCGCGCAGGAAGCTGCGCTATTCCAGACCTATGTGGATTTGAAATATGCTGCGCGATGGCAATCGCTGGACGTCGTCGATTTGCCAAACGATTCGTCGTCGACAGCCACATTGCCAACGTCGACCTTTGGTGAACAGGGATGGGCAGTTTTAATTGGCCTAGCGCCCTCGTCCAAAGTATGTACTCCTACACTAACAACGAGGAAAAGCAGGTGGTCGTCCCCATGCTGATTGAGCAGTCATTTACGACGGCGACGTACGTATATGCAGGTCAAAGCACTGACCCTATGTTTTAGTTTCTCGGCCCTCTTTGCCAAGATCCCAGAAGGTGTGGCTTCCAACCACATTCTCCTGGCTATGATGTCCAATGATTCAACGGTTGTGTACTACAAGTTATCCAAAGGCATGGTCAAGCCTGTGAACTAAGCCTAGGTGTATGGATGGAGGGTATGCAATGCTAGATAGGCTTAGACAGATCTAGCTAGAGCGACTTCCAATGCGTGCCAAGTTCTGTGTAAGTGGGTGGGCATACGTACATCTTCGCCATTCTCAGCTTCTTCGACGGCATCGCCCTGGACAACGACACGCAAAACAGATTTCTTGCTGGATTCCTGGAGCTCGCCAGCAATAATCAGCTCATCCAGTACCTGGTATGCCTTTTGGAAGTTAAAGATGCTAGGTGTTAGGTAGATGTAGACATACAGATCAAGTTCGCATACATTGCCAAAGTATCGATCGAGAACTTCGACAAAGCGGTGAATAATCTCGAGTGTGACCAATTCGTTGTCATCCGGTGCGATGCCAGCGACAAAAAACAACGAGGCATACCGTCGATACACAATTTTGTTTTCTATTGTGAGTTAGTAGGATACCCACCCTTGTATTCGATAAAGTTGCACATGCGTGACTGTGGTTAATGAGGAGATAGAGACGTACTCGACGAGCTAGGATCAATTGCGTCACATCCTTCACGATCTTGGCCTTGCTTTTCTGGCTCATTGTGCCGTACCATTTGGACAAACGAACTTTGCCCTGGCGGGAGATGAGAAGAACCCACTGGATCTGAATGGTCAGCAGCGCTCCCAAACTGCTACATACGGCCATGGTAGGATTCGCTCTCGGTCAACAGGCAGAAAGGCACACGGACGAGGCACAGGCGCGGTCTTCAGTCGTCACACACCTCCACTCTCCACAACACCTACGTGGGTGCGCGTAGTCGCGCTCGCCAGCGTTGCGCGTGTCGTTTGGTCTACAGTGTATGCTGCCGATGCATCGAAATGATGCGCAGGATGCCGACGATGCAGTAATGCGTCAGCGGCTTCATACCATGGAGTTGGAGGATGACCAACCTGTGTCCTCCAAGCCTCGGGGTATCACCATAATTACGCCGGATGCGTTTGCGACAGAATCGACGCAGACCACATCCATTGACTCTACCACGCCACCACTATGGCGAAGCAAGGAATTTTATGTGTACTACGTAACAGCTGCCTTTGTGATTCCGTATATGATTTGGGTGCCTATATCCTTAAGCTCTTCCACGCACCCTGAATATTTCCGGTACGCAGGGTATTTGGTAAACGGATGGATGGGTCATCGGTTACGTGTACGTGCTAGGTTGGGCTGACACTGCTTTCAGGACAATAGTGACTACCAGTACAGACTCTTTCGTGACAATGCAGTGCTGATCTTTGTGTTGATGGTGGTGTATGCTCTGCTCTCTAGCATGGTACGCTGGCTCGCTCATGTCACGCGGATACCGCATGTGACAGCACGCACAGCCTTTCTCTTTATTACGGGGATCGTGTTTGTGACAGCATTGCATGGTGTGAACGTTCTCAAGATGTTAGCCCTGGCGGGCATCAATTATGGACTGGTCCGTGCAGCGCCATGGGTCCCTCGACGCGTCATAACTACGCTGATTTGGGCCATGAATGGAGGTGCTTTGTTCCTAGCTTTCTACACGGAAGGCATCCCATGGCATATGCTCTCTCCATCACTGGCCTGGCTCGATGAGTACAGTGGTTTAATTCGACGCTGGCATATTAGCTACAATTTCACCATGCTGAGGATGGTCAGTTTTGCGTTGGACGCCGTGTGGGCACAGGCCGGGTATGCGCCTGACCGCCCAGCATTGACACCAGCGCAGCAACGTGTGCGGCAGTCGCGCCCCGTGCAAGAGTATACAATGCTAGCACAGTTGGTGTACCTTTGGTACCCACCGCTGTTCATTGCTGGTCCCATTATGACGTTCAACGACTTTCAATCACAGCGGGTGCAGCCACTCCAAGTGCCATGGCGGTCGGTGGCGATATATATGTTGCGGTGTGCAGTGGCCTTGCTCTCTATTGAGTTCATGATGCATTACATGTACGTTAACGCGATGAAAATGGCGCATACATGGATGGGGTATACGCCGATGGAGTTGGCGATCCTAGGGTTTTGGAGCTTGGAGTTTGTGTGGCTCAAGCTGGTCGTTCCCTGGCGTGTCTTCCGGTGCTGGGCACTGTTGGACGGCGTCGATGCACCTGAAAATATGATTCGCGCCATTACCAACAGCCCGTCTGCGCTGCTGTTTTGGCGTGCATGGCACCGCAGCTACAATTTGTGGGTCGTACGGTACATCTACATTCCACTAGGTGGCACTCAACGACAGATTCTCGCGTCTTTGGTGGTATTTACTTTTGTGGCGCTCTGGCACGATTTATCGTTCACGCTTTTGGCGTGGGCGTGGCTCATTGTGCTGTTCATCGTGCCCGAAGTCCTAGGTCGCACCTTGGTTCCAGCGTCCAAGTACCAACATACGCCGTGGTTCCGGCATGTGCGTGCCTTGGGCACGGTGGCCAATGTATTCATGATGATGTCGGCCAACCTGGTTGGGTTTGTCGTGGGATTGGATGGTGTACAATATGTCTGGTCACAGCTGCTCGGCACAAGAAAGGGATGGGTATGCATTGCCGAGCTCATAGGTGTGCTGTTTATCGGTGCACAGCTTATGTGGGAGTACCGCGCTGAAGAAAAAAGGCGAGGCATTGTGCGTAATTGCTAGTTAGCGCCAGGCCGAAGGAATTTGTTTCAGACACGATGCCCAGCGTGTCAAACGCCCCTGCTCCTCCGGCGTGATGATCGGTAACAGGGGCGTATCGGACTGCGACGGGGCCTGTTGCCATACCTCATCGAGGCGCATATCACTAGAGACGACAGGCTCGCCAGCCAGCCGCTTCAGCCGGTCCTCCGCGTCACACCAGAAAAGGAACCAATCCGGTGGCCCACCAGGCAATCGTATAAACCCATTGCTGCGCTCAAAGTACCAACGATTTACCACGTTCTCAGCTCGGCTCTTCCATACCAAGTCGCGACCTTGGCCAACACCGCCTCGCCCACCATTATGATTGAGGGCATCAAGCAACCCTAGACCATGTACCTCATCACGTAGCGCCCCCCATAAAAAGTCGACAGCGCCACTACCACGCAGCTTCGGCAGCACGGCAAACTTATCCAGGTACGCAATCGGCGGTGTCGTGGGCGTATCGGCAGGCGCATGCTCTTTCGTGACAATCGCCAACCCATCATAGTCGCCGGTCACAATAAGAAAGTCGAGACACGCGTGTAGACGAGCAAAGTAGGCATCGCGGTCAAGCGTACGTCGAAAACTGCTTTCCAGAACACCTTGTACACGATCCCAATCAATCTCGCGAGGATCCGTAAGGACACGCAATGGCAGGCCAGCTCGGACGACTGTAGGCATATGCCGCATTTCGCGGCGGGCAGCGAGCAGACGCGGCGGCAGGCTAGGCGAGTAGGCAGCTTTGTTGGTAATGAGATTCGCAATCAAGCTTTGCGGCGAGCGATGCGTTGCTAGCACACCCGACGAGATAGCAGGCATGTACGATAGGCAATCGCGTACCATAGCTAAATTGGACAGCGCCGTGGGATGTGTATCATCCCATATGTACGAGGCACGAATTGAGTCGTATTCCGACGCTAAATTGATCATCAAATGCGGATCACCGCCACGCGCATGCGAGGGCACACCGCCTTCATTTGTAATGACCAGGAGACGTAGAGGCGCCAACTCCATCATACCCTCCTCAGCTCGTGGCATATGCGTCATACCACGAGCTAATGCGACCATGACATCGTCCGCGTCGACGCACACGGCCTGCAATGTCGGTGTATCACTTAACGCCAGCGGCATAATAATAGGAATACGTCCTTCTTCGAGGGACGTATAGACGCTTGCGATGGTATCATCAGGCACTATAGGCGCACGCTCACTGCCTGTAGTGAGAGGTGGTTGAATATCTTCCTGGGTCACGACACGCATAACGGCATGGGCTTGTGGCCGAGGGTCCGTGCCAGCCGCTGTAAGTGTGTTCGAAACACGCCATAGCTCTTTGACCATACGCACACGAAGTCCTGCCTCGGCTAGCCCAAGACGTTCAGATAGTGGCTGGGAACGGGAGGACCAGGACTGCAGCTCTTCCATGTCCTCGTCAACACGCTGGCCATTGGGCAAGAACCTTGGCGAGTGAGGCCACTGCCGGTGATCCAGAACCACGATACATATGAGACCCAAGGTTTGCAAGTAGGCCAACCCTTCGGCAATGGATTGGAGTTGACGATCAGTGAAGGGACCTTGCAATTTGACAAGCGCCGCGTGTGACTCATCCAACGATGGCACTTCGCTAGATATGCGATCAGCCGTGCTGGGAGCATCACTTAGCAGGCTTCCGTGCACAGTGGATCCAAGCGGTAGAGATGCCTCAGTGGGCAAAGGCGAGGGAGGGGAGGACGCCTTGGTATCGTGCACAGTGCCTGCAGAGGCTGTGGCAGTCGAAGGAGTTTTGGCACTACTAGGCTCAAGTTTCCGGCCAAACATGTCCAGGTAGGACTTGGAATCGCGGCGCGTAGCGCGCGATTTCAGCACCTCAACAATGAGCTGCTGCACACGCGACATCCCTTGCCATTCAGCCAGAGCAGACAGGCCAAGGCATGCGTGGCCCTGGCGTCAGGGGCACACAGGCACACCCCTAGTCTTAGATAAGCCTGCTGTAGACGTATCGAAAGCCCACCTCGCTCCGTCCTACAGAACACTCGCCGGCCCCGTCCAGTCCTGCATGGCCTAGAGGGGAAATAGCGGAAGGGAAGCCAGCATGATCAAATTACATAGGCTATAGAAACAGGGAATAGATGGATGGGGAATGGGGAATCAGGATCAACATAAGAGAAGGCAGAGACGGTTTTCAAACGCGTCACACTTACGATGGTGCACCAATGACCTTCTTAAATATGGATCTCGTTGGCATCATGCGAGGCGGGCGATATTGCAGGTACATTTTCGGGAGTGGCACACCATTCTCCAAGTACATCTGAAGACCGTACACGGAGTCAATCCCAGGGAAAAACACCACATCGGTTTCGATAAATGTCGTCCAATTGCGCATACTCTGCATCTCCGAGTAGTAATCAAGACGGCTCGGTGGGTTTTCGCACTGGCCCATCGATTGCACAGCACCATCACCATCGAAAGGAATCATGGTCATACGACCCTCTGTAATATTGTAGGTGCCATGCTGCCATATCAAAGTAGCGTTAAAACACGATGGATGACCAGCTGACATGTCAGCAAAATATCAGATACATACGATCTGTCGCATACGTCAGACTAGACATCTCAAAGAAGCCATCATCCGTGAAGCTGTACGAGTAACCAGCCGTAGGTGGCACAGTGAATTGACGACGCATAGGGTTGAAAAAGGCGTTGCCATTCTGGTCCTGGCCAGTGAGAACGGCGCCAGAACCACTGCTCCATGTGCCCTCCAAACTCGTTACATTGTTATTCGGGTATGTCTGAGCATACGAAAGTGTAAACAATAAAGCCAGCACAAGGGCATACAACACAGCGTGCGTACGCATCCTTGCAAGACAAATTGACACTATCCAAGGTAAGGGAAAAAAGGTGCGGTTCACCTCAGGCCAGCCCCTGCGTGCCTCAGACGCATCTCGGCCGAAATTTCACAGAAGGGATAGGGAGACGGCCATGACTCAATGTACGCGTCCACCCGCCCAGCTACGGTTCGTGACAGCGATCGGCCGAAGTGAGATCGCGAGAACATTTGAATGCAGTCCTATGCAATGCAGAGACGTAAAGTGTAGATGCACAGCCTAGGGCCCTACATAGGAATGCTATAGAACTAACGTATACATGGGATTAAGATGAGGAAGAACGCAACGCCGAAGGGAGTAACGCAGCGCGTAACTTGGCCGAGTCCACGCCGAGCATGCGCCGAATCTGTTGAGTAAGTGACAGGTACACCATACATACTGGCATGAAACAGTGCTCTCCTTCTCCAAAGTCAGCGACCAAGACAAAGTAAAATAAAGTTGCAGCTGTCATCCCGCCAGCAATAAGTTGAGCAACTCGTTGCCACATAGCAGGGGTTGGGTCTTCTGGGAGAGGATAGGCAGGTCGCTCATACTGGCTAGCACGCCATAGACGAGAGGAATGAAGGCAACGCGCCCGCATAGAAATAGGTCGGTGCAGTAGATACATTGGGGTATATTGCACACATAGACTCGGACGGAGAGGAAGTCCTAGCAACATCGTGTCTACGTAGCCAAGTGGACGTCTCTTACGAACGACAGTGGCCGCGTTATATGCCACGTGGTCACGAAGACACTCGTCCACGCCAAGTCTTCTCCAAAATTGTATCGTGTCCTAGACAGAAACATAGTCTACAAAGTTTATGGACTACGCGCCTTCAGAGCCATAATCTGGATGTGTTAGTACGTAGGTGAGCCTGCTGGACTTACCAATTGAATTTTCTTACGGACCATATCCGCGAAGCGGCGGCGATGACGCTCAGACCGTTTGCGACGACGCTTTTGGTTCGGCTTTTCATAGCGTTCTACAAGCCTGAGTTCCCGGCGAACATTATTCCTGGAAAGAATCTGCGACAGCTGGCGGTATAAGTAGGCAGACGTGCCGTTAAAGGCGCTGTTCACAGATACAGATCGGCCTGTCGTGGGCGTACCGGGGCTGGCCATTCCGAAAGTGGGGCGATCACGGAATTCTGCATCAAGCTGCTCAATAAGAGAAACCCTGTCGTTCTCTGAACTGGGATTCAAACCAGAAATACCAGTGCCGTCAAGAGACGTGCTAGCAGAAGTGGCAGGACGGCGATGGCTTGATGGTGCACCCACGGAGCTATCCGATGGGTCCACAATGATGGCATTCAGCATTTGATTCCATAGAGCAGCACGGGCAGCCTCTGTCTGCTCCATAGGGCGCTCGCCCGAAGCCGCCTTTTGTGCATCTTCCGACGTCGTCTCAGCAGACGATCGCTCCTGCCATAGCCGAGGCGAAGTGCTTATCCTACGAGCTTGCATAGCCAAGAAAGATTGGTTCACGGAATTTGGTGAAAAAGATGCAATGCCCCTGCGCATAGGCGCAGGCGCTATGCCCCGTGTCACACTAGCAAAGGCTCCTCGCGCCAACATAGCACAGGGATTCGACGTAAGTCGAAGAGACACCGCTCTGCTTCGCTCCAATTACGCGCACGTGACCCCCGCAACACGGCGCGTCCGTCTCGACACTGTAATAGCCCTACACACACCATGGCACCTGCCATTGAAAACCCCTATGTATGTACTAGTGACGTGTATGTCTAACTATATCAGGAAGAGAGGCAAGCTCTCCTGCTGGAGCGTATTATAAAAAACGTGGATATGCTCAACGAGGCCCTCATGGAAATGAATCGATCTATTGCGAATATCAACAACCACAACCAGGAGATCACGATCGTAGCGGAGATGTGGAATGGGTACCACCGTAACGTGGAATTCAACTTGCAAAACATTCAATCGACAGATGCAAACACGCACCCCAACAAGTCAGCATCGGCCTAAGCATGATGTCATTGAAAGCCTTGCATGGCTTCATGATACCCTTACCTCCGCTTTATAGAGCACCATGTACATTGTAGTAGCACGCAATTCTGCCTTATTTTCCAGGCGCCAGGTCATCCTTTAAATCACCTCGCATTGTTGGTTTGAGGAGCCAACCAACCCGTTGGTGCCTGAAAATATGTACGATGACTAATACCACGGTGGTCAGGCATAGACATGCGCCGTGGCGATGCATCTCTTTCTGGATAACCATGAAGCCACAAGTGTATATCTTGGCGACATTCTTCCTAGCCTGCTGCCAGCTGGTCATGGCAGCAGGTCAACAATACGCCAACCCATCAGACAACGGTGGCAGCATGCTTACGAAGCAAAAAGAGCCTCTAAATGTCATTATCGTAGGCTCCTCTGACGCCTCCATTCTCTCCCCGGACGGTTTCAGCAACTATTCACAGGCCATTGGGTTTGATGCGGATACTTATGCTGGAAAATCTAGTGTCAATGGTGCACAGAGCGCAAACCTGGGCGATGGCAATGGTATGGTGCCGCAGACTGGCCTGCGAAGGCAAGGTGGCTTGGATGAGGTCATCAACGGAGGTAACCACTTCCGCTATTGGGTTCAAAAAGGTAGCAAGGCTCCTACTAATGCTCTATTTCTGGCTGTCTCAGTAGAGCAGGGACTGAAACAGAACCACATGATTGTCGATAATGGGTATGACCAAGGTCGTGACCAACTGGTGGCCAATGCAACAGGCAGCTCGAAATCGTTCAATGGCAAAACGTATACGACCAAGCTGCTTAAAATGGACTCGTCTCTTATGCAGGGCGTTTCGAAAGGCAGTCTAAATCACAATATTCCCACGGATGGGCGTGTGGCCATTTTGGAAGTGCAAGTGAAAGACGGTGGTAAAGCGTCGTCCAGCAGTACGAGCAATGCTGCCTTCAAGGCGTTGGCCCCGATGTCTGTTATGCTGACGATGATCATGGCACTGAGCACTTTGACAGTCATGTGTGTAGTATAACGAAAGGGTAGTTAAATGTACTTCATGAAACGTCCATGAAGGATTGTCTGCAGCATACACGTCACTAATCAAAAGAGGGAATGGGCGCTCATCGTTCAGAATTATAGCGAAACCCAAGGTAAAGATACAAAAAAAAAAAAAAAAAATAGATTAACGCAACGAGTCTCGGATCGCTTGGGACGTGCGAATTGGCACAGCGCTGCGTGCATTGTTTTGCCAGGACTCAGTAAAAGCCCCCACCGGCGACGCATTTGAAACGATCTGGCCGGGCCGCATATGGAAAGCCATAGGTGGCGGAGGCTCATCGTCGTTCGAGTGGCCGACGCCAGCACGCGCATAGGGACTATCATTAGCTTCCACCCAAGTATCTGAGGTGGGCCATGAGGTTGGGTCCACATCCACGTACTCGGTAGATTGTGTCTGATTTGTACCACCAGAATGGCGCCGACCAGCAGCTCCGACCGGAGGGGCAGGAGGAGAACGGCGACGTTGAGATGTCTTGCGAGGAGGAGGTGGGGGAGCTGAAGGTATACCCACCATCTCATCAGCAGTCGAGGCAAGGGTTGAAGTGGTAGGCGGTTGTACGCCCGCCCGAGATGTCGAGTGCGCCCGTACTGGTGCTGCATTGGAAGAGGAATGACGACGAGTCGCCGCCGCCGCACCGCCTGCTACAGCAGCCCCTGTTCCCATACCAGCCACACCTGAAGACACAGGTGGAGCCCCAGGAATTGGAGATGACGCTGGAAGTTCGGCATAGTTGGCCGCAGTGTCATCAAACCCGCTCATGTTGGACCGAGTCACTGTTTGCCCATAGCCATCATAGTCGCTTGGCGAATTGTGTACATAGTCCATTGGACGGTTGTAAGGATCCTTCGCCGCATTCCTGCGCTTCCTACGCCAGAGCCAGAACAGCAAACCCAGCAAGGCTACTACAGCTAGGAACCCGACGACGCCACCGACAACCCCACCGACAATCGCCCCTGTATTAGTACCACCTCCATCAGAAGCTTTATCATTAGGCGATACACTAGGTGCGGCAGATGAAGTAGGAGATGCAGCAGAGGATGGAGTATCAGTAGAAGACGAAAGGCCGGCCCCATCCGAAGTGTCGGTACTCGTAGCAAGACTCGAAGTACGTGTACGGGTTAGGGATGAGGATGTCGGTGTACGCAAAGAACTTGAGGATGTAGAAAGTTCCTCTGTATCCAAAGAGGATGTTAAAGCAGCCAAAGAATCCGACAATGAGCTTGAAATTAGACGCGAAGACGCGATGGGCAATCCACCATCAAAAGCGCTTGACGCACTCTCCAAAATGCTAGAAGCTGCATCAGTTAGCTACATCTTCAGTCAGGTACATACAAGCTCGTCGGAAACTTCGCGTGGACTGCACGGTACTAAACGTCATAACAAGTGTCGTCGATGGATCGCCATCTTCATCATATATGGTGGTCTGAGCCCCAGCCAAGACAGTCACAGGGTCACCATCCGCATCAGTAGTACGATAGAGACTAGGATCAAGCATTTGCCTCTTCTTGTGGCGACGCATCTGAGGTTGAGGTGTCGGGGTGGCTAGGCCACCATAGCTTCCCCCAGACACCATGTCGGACAAGGAGGAAGACAAGAATAGCTCAGCTCACGTTATTGAGAATTGAGCCCCTGACAGTGCCCCGTGGCGCACCTCGCATAAATCACATGGGATGTGGAGCCAATCCAATCATCTCCTCTGTCCAATTGCATAATCCTACATTGACTTCAGTGGCTGTGGAAATACTAAGCGATGCGAAAGTAGCAGCGCCCCAGGCTCCCCCTGCTTAAGGGGGTGGGGTGACTGAGCAGGGGCGTTTGTATGACATGATTACTATACACAAATAATAAACCTAGGCACGTTCGTACGCGTTACGCTTCGCTTTACGACGCTTATGCGGATGACGGCATTGGTTGCCATGCAAATGTCCATTTTGCGAGTGAGCATGGGCTACCCCATTATCATCATCCGACTCTTCTAATTCTGATGAGTCGGTTTCTTCATCCTCGTCAGATTCATCTGAACTTTCAGAAGACGACTCGTCAAAAGCACGTTGCTTGTGAAAAATGCAGCAAACTGTTCATAGTGTTAGGTCAGGTAATACTTAATACTCACTTTTGCTCTTCTTCTTACCGGCACCTTCATTGTCAATGGTATCTTCGGACCAGACAACATGACGGCCGGTTTCGGTGGCGGTGTTGGTCCTTTCCGACGTTGACGTTGAAGCACTACTCCCATTCAACCGAAGAGTTCCAACAGCGGCATCAGACGAACTTGGAGTAGAGTTATCAATATCCGTTTCTTGTAACGTAAGAGTGCGAGATCCCTGAGGTGCAGGCCTAGTAGCCCCCCCTCGCAGCTGCATACTAAACAACGCTTAAGTCACCTCCTAGCTCGGCAACAGACGTGATCTCCACAATGACCGAATTGATGACTAACCAAAAAGCCGCATGCCGCAGTCACAAAAAAAAAGAAGGAATACGGCCAGTGAAATGTCAAATGGGTAAAAGTCTTGCCACTTTTTTTTTGAGACAAGTGGAGACCAAAAAATTATAAAAGCAGGCCCGTTCCAAAAAGTTGTACCCCTAAGATCATACTTTACGGAATCACTTAATAAAGTCGATAACCGGATCTTTCGTGCTCCAACGCATGTCACAATATTTCAGTCTAGTCGATGAAAACTCGAGCGTTATGGCGTTTACGTCTGTCAACTCCCTTTAGCCAGTGAGGTACAAGTGGGCCCAGTCGCCCGTCGATGATCTGCAGCCCTTCGTTTGCTTCGAGGCCATTTGGGTTCTTGGATATGTCTGGGACGTTCGGATTCTTCGAATTGCTCGGCAAACGTCGGGGGGATTGGCCGCTCAATTCTGATAGACTATCTTTTATTGTCGCAGTTGTGAGGGAGAACGAGGACCGGAATCCGCTATGTCCATAGAATTTCTCCGTAACATGAAAGAATGGTCGAAATAATGTGTTTGATGACGAATACGCTTTAATAGATTCCATGTATACATATATATACAACAATGAATACGACACAAATAACTACCACCAGCTCCGGCAATCCTGATGTGTCACGTGATTTTACTACGAAGCACAAAAAAAGGCTGCCATGACGGGGTTCTCAACGAAGAGCTTCCCCGTCACAGCAGGACAACAAAATAGTTCCAAGCGGAACCGAAGCGAAAAAGTAGGTCATGCTGCTATAAGTGTGGGACCAGCCCGGTTGAATCTAGTAAAAGGCGAGGTTCAAGTTTAAGGAGAGGGCCCCACAGCAGCAGAGTTAGGAGAACCAGCAATAGGGCGGTAAGCCAGTTTTTATATGTTTCCTAGGTTCAAATAAAGATTAGTAATAGGTAAGTAATTAAGATGGCCGTTGCTTCACTGCGGTCCATGGAATACACGTGGAGACTTGCCCTCCACGTCAACCTCCTCGCACGGCCTCTCAACACGAACACGCCACTAGTGAAGCTTTTTTCATTGACGTATCAATGAGAGCAGCAGCATATGCTAGCTTGTTGCTAGTGTTTTTCTCTATTATTATACCTGAAGTACATTCAACAGGCATTGAAAGCCCGGGGCCTTCAAGAGCAGGTCTTTTGAAAGAGGTGTTGCACGAGAAGCGCGATGATGAACTGACGTCCTGTCGTCCAACCGGCCAAATCCATGATGCATGTTCAGATTATGAGAGCGTGGAAGATATGAACAACCAGTACTTTTTTGAAAGACTGGATAGAATACGACAGACAAAATATTTCCGTTATTTCTTGGTTGATCTATTCAAAGAATGTCCATTTTGGTTGGACGATGGGTTGTGTATGAATCGTGCGTGTACCGTGGAACGTATGAATGAGACAGACCTTCCAGATGAGTTTCGCTCTTATCGTCTAAGCCAGCTGGAACGTACTGAAGATGATGCTGCCCTTGGTAAAGAGGGAATGAACTTTAGCGAGAACACGAATTTTTGCCAGTTGGACGGTGAAGACGCTGGAGACGAAGCGATATACGTGGACCTCATGAAGAATCCAGAAAGGTTTACAGGATACGCAGGTACGAGTGCAAATCGCGTGTGGCGAAGTATCTATGATGAGAACTGCTTTGGTGGTGTGAAATGGATGGAACCAGCCCGCTCCAAAGAGTCCGGAGGTACCGGTTTTGTCAGTCAAAGCAAAGTTAAAGAAGCTATGAAAAGTGTTCCGCTTACTCTCATGAATCCTGCATCTCCCTTCCAGCCTGGACCATTGGATTCACTGATTGAATCAGTTCAAGCACCGATTGATCCTGCCAGTGTTGAGCAGTGTCTCGAAAAACGTGTATTCTATCGCGTTATTTCGGGCTTACATGCGTCTATTTCTATTCACATTTGCAACGAATACCTCGATCAAGACACAATGACTTGGGGCCCAAACTTGGAGTGCTTCCTGACGCGCATTTCGCAGCATCCAGAGCGACTGCAAAACGTCTACTTCGACTATGTGATCATGATGCGCGCCTTATCCAAAGCGGGAGAGTATTTGGATAAATTCTCGCTTCGGTCCGGTGATGAGATCAAAGATGAAGAGTCACGCAAACAACTGAGCGAGCTATTACAGCTAGCCAGGGAGAACAGGCCGTCCTTTGACGAACACAAGCTGTTTACGCTAACGGATGACCCTAACCATAATCGAGAAACACTTGCGCTCAAAGAGGATTTCCGCATGCACTTCCGTAATATTTCGCGTATTATGGACTGTGTGGGTTGCGACAAGTGCCGTCTGTGGGGCAAAGTACAGATTACCGGCGTGGGCACAGCGCTCAAGCTGCTTTTTGCTTTTGAAGAATCGGAAACAGAGTGCGTTTACAAGTTACTAACATTATAGACAGCGTGTCGAACTGACGAGGAATGAGTTGGTGGCTCTAATTAATACAGCCCATCGTATTTCGGAGAGTGTATGTACGAGAATGGAACGCTAATATACAGATTCGGGCGGTAGAGACGTTCCGTCTTTTGTATAAGAACACGATGGACCTTACCTCAGAAACGCCTATGTCTACCATCCCTTCAGCCACAAGCCAGGCACCTGCGAGGTTATGGGAGCGATTGACATCCAGCGCCAAGGCCTTTTATGAATACCTTGTCTCCACACAGGTGTACCACGCAGATTTGTAGTCCTTGCGTAGTCGCGCAGTCGGTAGTCACGTGCGAAGCGAAGAAAGACTGAACAGCCGGCTGCCGTGACTCATATCTATGACGATGATGCTGGGAACCTACATCCCGGCAGTCTGGCGCTCTGCGCTTCGGACTCGGTCCCTAGCGGCCGAGTCTTTCAGCTCTATGAGGTTCTATTCGACGTCTTCGGATCGTCTTACCAGCACTTCGGCGTTGGAGCACAAGTTGTCGCACCCTCACCGAAAGCTGCCGCCGCTTCCACAGCTCGAACGCCCAGTCATGGAAGCTGGTGTGGCTGTGAGCAACATTCTGTACAATACGCCTCCTCCTAGCACGCAACCCTACCGCCGCCATATCCTGAATATGTTTGTCCAGGATGAGCCAGGTGTGTTGGCTCGTGTATCGGGCTGCTTGGCTGCGCGTGGTGTGAACATTGATTCGCTGGTAGTGTGTGCTACTGATGTGCAGGATCTTTCGCGTATTTGTCTTGTGCTTCGCGGCCAAGAAGGTACTATTGAACAGGTGCGTCGCCAGCTGGAGGACTTGGTGCCTGTGTGGGCTGTCGTGGATTACACGAACACAAAGGTGATTGAGCGTGAGATTATGCTGGTGAAAGTCTCGACGCTGGGTCCTGAGTACTTCGAGCAGAACCATTTGGGTCTCTCGGCGGAAGCGGAATCTGAGGTGGACTACGCTGTGGCACAGGCTGATACGGGCAAACCATCGCGGACGAGTCCCATTTTGAGCTCCACAGAGGCTCTCTCTATTAAGAACGACAACCTTCGCTCGATTGTGTCGCTAGCTGAGCAATTCCAAGGCCGTGTTGTGGACGTGAGTGACTCGGCCGTGATTGTGGAGCTGAGTGCTAAGTCGTCGCGCCTGGACGCTTTCTTCAAATTGGTGCGTCCATTTGGTATCCTGGAGCTTTCCCGTTCGGGTACCATGGTGCTGCCGCGTACGCCTATTAAGTCAGCATGGAGGGGCCTTCAAGACCGTGAAGAACTGGACAGCAGCATTGTAATGGATGCAACGATGCTGCCGCCGGGTTAATGGCCATAACCTGTAAGCAGATAGTCTTAATCTCCCATGTCACCCCCGTAAAGCCAAATCATACAAGTAGATTGTATTACACTGTGCCACGCCCGAGAGGCAGCGACAGAGGTCACGCGGAGGATCGACGCCCCACAGCTCGGAAGTGTGGAGGCCCGTACGCACGCACATCTTGTGTCCGTACGACGTGGATCGTACGAACGATTGGAAGCGATGACGTCGTCGCTCCCTATGGCCCAATTTGCTCCATTCGTGTCCGTGGTGAGCCCCTCGTTCTGGAATACCCTTTCTCATCTTAAACTCAATGAGTACCAACTCAATGATGAGCTGATTCCTGTCCGAGCAGACTACAGCCCCATTCGTGCCATTGTTGATCGAACCACGGGTACATTGTTGGGGGCAGGTTGTCGTATCCGCCTTGGAAGTGAGGGACTCGATGTGCTAGAGTCAGGAGCCTCGTCAAAATCACAAGCGTACGTGTCCCTGCGTCTGACACAGCAGCCAAACAGCCATTACAATGTGTGGCTATGTGAAGAACTTTAATACTATGCAAGAGTTCAAAGCAGCCGACAAGCCTGCATATTTTTACCAAATCGCAGAGGAGGTACGTTTCTAGGCATTCCGTCTCATCTACTAGATTTGGCGGCGACTTTTGGAGGATGAAACAGATGACCCTAACGAGTTTTTACTACTCACCTACGCCGATTTGAAAGACTACAAATACTATTATTGGTTTGCTTTTCCTGCGCTTCTGACCAAGGCTCCAGGATGGCAAATGGAGCCGTATCAGGATGCTTTGTGGACTCCCGCCACAGCAATGTTGGGACACGATACCTATGCACGTATCGGTGAGATCCTTGCTCAGCATGGGCCCATCTCCGCGTGCTTTGTGGATGTACGTACGCCTCTAAAGAAATATGCGCTGCGCGATGGTATGGCATTTTGTGAGAAAGTCCCGGAAGATAGCAGGTTCTTGGTCTTTGTCGATCCTTCCCAGCATGAGCAAGTGCCTGGCTGGCCATTGCGAAATATCTTGACATATGTCTATGTACGGTTTGGCCTTGGGCGTATCCGGGTTGTATGCTGGAAAGACCCCATTGGTGAGTCCGTATCAGCGCCGCGGTCGATGACAGGAACGATGGTCCTTAATACTATGACACATGCACCGTCAGAGACTGTCTCCTGGCAGGGCCGCGATACCTATTTGGTCCCTCGACCACACATGCCTACTGTACCAGATGCCGTGGGTTGGGAGAGGAACTCGCAAGGCCGCTTGGTGCCTAAGATGGTGGCGTTGGGGGAAATGCTCGATCCATATTACCTTGCCGATCGCGCTGTGGATCTCAACTTGAAGCTGATGCGTTGGCGAGTCGTGCCGGACTTGGCCCTGGAGACCATTCAAAGCGCAGAAACGTTGTTGATTGGGGCAGGGACCTTGGGATGCTATGTCGCTCGCTCCTTACTGGGCTGGGGCATCCGGCATATTACACTCGTGGACAATGGACATGTGTCGTACTCCAATCCAGTGCGCCAGCCACTGTTTGAGTTTACGGACTGCCTCGATGGCGGACGGCCCAAAGCCGAAGCGGCAGCAGAAGCGTTACGGCGTGTATTTCCAGGAGCCAAAACGCAAGGTGTCAACTTGGCAGTTCCGATGCCAGGACATCCCATCCCTGCAGCGCACCGCGCGAAAACTGTGGAAGCCATTCGAACACTAGAAACACTTGTTCGGCAGCATGATATTATATACCTCCTCACGGATTCACGCGAGTCACGATGGCTGCCTACTATGCTAGGTGCAGCTCACAATAAATTGGTCATTAATGCTGCGCTGGGGTATGATTCGTATCTGGTTATGCGGCATGGAGTGCAAAGTGTGGATCGTCTAGGCTGCTACTTTTGCAGCGATGTGGTCGCCCCCTCCGACTCCCTCACTGATCGTACCTTGGATCAGATGTGTACAGTAACACGGCCAGGTCTAGCAGCCATTGCCGCGGCCACAGCCGTGGAGCTCATGGCGTCACTGCTGCAACACCCTCTTGCGTACGTATAGGTCCACTAACGCCTCTTTACAGCGCCCAAGCCCCTGCCATGTCCGAGCAAGACGATATGCCGTCACTGGGTATGGTACCGCACCAAATTCGCGGGTACTTGGCTCGATTCCAGACGATGACCTTATCCAGTCGCGCCTTCCATCAATGTACAGCGTGCGCGCCGGATATTGTGGCGGCCTACGAGCAGGATGGCGTGGATTTTGTGTGTGCCGTATGCGATGACCCTGCAATTCTTGAGCACATTTCACACTTGGATGAACTCAAAGCCGATGTCGATACCAAAGAGATTGACTTGGATTGGAGTAGTGACGAGGATTAAGGCCGACTTCGTTTACCACGCCGTGGTGTCATAGTGCCAGATGATGTAGGATCAACGTCGGACGAGAACGAGACCGTTCCAGGCTCCGCGCGTGCGTCTTGAAGCGCTTGAACAAAGGCTGAATGGCGCTGCTCGCTCAACGAGTGAGCAGCGTCCCCTTCTGCCTGCAGTGTGGCGACACGTTGATCAAGAGCGTCTAGGACATGTGCCGCGCGCGTTTTCCAAGCTTCAAGGCCCGCCTGTAAGGCCTGCAAAGGGGACGCACCGGCGGGCAGAGGCAAAAAGTCACGGCCTTGTGTGCGGGTGATATAGATACGCTGCTCAATAGCATCGATACGACCGTCCATCATGCCGAGATCCATACATTCGATGACGAGTGCTTCCACAAACGCAGGATCCGCAGGCACGTCCAGCGCCTGCTGAATCTCGGTGTACTCACATACGTCTGATGCATGGGTAAGCGAGAGAAGTGTAAGACGTTGAAGCTGACGCACTTGAGCCTCTGTCAGCTCTGGGTATGTCGAAGGGGCAGCGTTCTTGTACTCGTGCCATGTACCATGCGCAAACAGGGAGAGCAGTCGCACGTGGGATGCAGACGCCGCATCGTCTTCCAGCTACGTGTGAGAATCGCAAAGATACGTACCGCACGGATGGAAGGTTGTGCATAAAGCGCGCTGTACTCGACGATGCCTGGCCTTGAAGTAACGTCACGTATGCGAGTCACTGCGTCGGTCTCTGTGTCCATTGTCGTGGAGGCAGTGGCAACGCGCAGGGGCCTGGAGCCAAAAAGGGGTTCATTTTAGTCATACGATAGACCTATGTACGCGAAAGAGGAATTACGACTGAGATCGACGACGGTTCTTGCTGAGCATGCCCTCAAATAAAGAAGAGCGACGACGCGTTCGAGCAAAGAAGTCGTCTGGATGCTGACAGGCAGCCACAGCGTTGCGCATTTGAGGCGTCATGTATGTTAAGCCGACCTGGAAACTGGCATTCATCCAGCCGAATCCCTCTCGAGGCACGTACGAAAACTCAGTGCCTTGGTTGCCATACTCGGCATTAACGAGGTGACTGAGAGCCACAGCGTCGAACTTTTCCGGCACCACACCGTTAAAGTCGACAAACGCCGTAATCATCATGTACAGCCATCGGTAGGCCAGACGCTGTGCGTCTGCCATATACCCGTACTTTTTCATGCCTTCCCAAGCCAGCATCTGGTGTGGTGGCCATGCATAAGGATAGTCCCATTGACGGTTAGGTCGTGTGAGCGAGATAGGACCGCGCGACTCTTCGGTACCTGGTACCAAGCCACCTGTGACCTCAAACTTCTTCAGCGAGAGACGCATCATACGGTCTGCCTGCTCTTGCGATGCCAGCCCTGACCACATGGCCCAGAAGGCTGTCACACTCTCATACAAGCTCTGTTCCTCCTCAACGATATCATAGTCATAGTACAGCCCTTTGCCCTCATTCCACAAGTACGTATCCACTTGGATACGACGATGACGAGCACGCAAAAACCAGTCTTGGCTTGTGTGCTCTATCGGGAACGCAGGCCGCATCTGTGCATTACACTTAGTGAACTCATCTGACACCATAAACGAGTCGTTAAATACCTCGCGAATGAGCTCGGCAATGTCAATCTCATACTTGTACAGAAGCGACTGAAGGTCAATGGTAAGCAGGTTGGCACAGCGCCTCTCGAGACGGTACGACGTATCGTGGCCACTCTCACGAACAGCGCGATCGTGGCGGAAGTATTCGTCGAGCTCTGGCACTTCGACCTTTTGCCTGTTGAACAAGCTGGTAAATTCATTGATACTGCAGCCGTATCTCTCTGCATACGGATGCAAGAGGGCCGTAAAGTGCGAGGCTTCCGTCTCTGGCGGCACACCAAGACCTTCGGGGTGGTAGCGCGAAAGACCTGACTCAGCGTGGTAGCGCGGCTCGCACATCCATACTGTAAAGTACTCCTTAATCGCAGCACAGAGAGCGCGGTACAGAAACACTTTGTGCTCATCGGCCTTCTCGGGCTCCATCTCCATCAACGCGTAGTAGACACGGCGGGCATAATCGGTCAGAAAAGGTGGCTGTGAGCGCAAAAGGTAGTAAGAGCGATTGCCGTTCATGATCTTGTTGTAATGCTGGATCTCAAAGACGAAGTGATCCACGGTGCCTCGAGCCAACTCGACCCGTCCATCTTCCAATAGTCCCAGCGCAATAAAGTAGCTGTCCCAGTTGTACAGCTCATTGAAACGAGCGCCAGGAACGACAAAGGGAATTCCGTGCATGCTAATCTCATCGGAATCTTTCTCCTTGTATGGCTTCATCGCCAAAGCGACCAAACCAGGACGCTTGTTCAAATCACGAACAAATCCTGGGGTCAGCACAGAAGGCAGCACATCTACAACTAGCCCGAGATTGGGCCGTTCACTGGCGACTTTGCGGTAGTACTCAATCATGTGCGTCTCGTTCTCCGGTACGTAAATAATGTTGCCTCGATGCGCAGACCGGTTCTTTGGGTCACTTAAGATGCGCTCCAATCCATCTGCATCGATCGTACGCGTCAAATTGTCCCAGAACCTGTCGCGAATCATCCGAGATAAGCGGTCCACGGGGTTCTCGGCCAAACGCGTCTCATCAATGACTGTATGTTTTTCTCCTCGTTCTTTCGCAAGCGCCAACTCTTGCAGAAGATTGGAAAGCATGTACGTGCCGCGCACCATACCTGTATCACCATCCACAGTATCGAGACGGATCGCTTTGGGACCAGTATCGATAATACTGATATGATGATCGCCGTCTGTATCTTCCTGGGCCAATAGACGCTCCATTGTCTCGTCAACATCAACGGAGAATTGACGCATTTGTGTCCTCTCCAAGAACGAGGGGTCCGCACTCAGCCTCCGAAGAGGGGTAACACCCTCCTCCCTACGCTGGATCATGCCCCTTGTTTGTTGACGAGCCGTAAAAGCACGTCGTAAACTCTCACTAATGCTCGGCTGGCGGGGCATCTCACCACGACTCGCCTCCAGGCTAGATTCCTCGAGATCTGACATGGACAAAGCCTGTGAGACTGTCTCAGCCAGGGTCTCCAGCTCCGGTTCTGGCACTCGCATGATGAAGCAGAGAGATAAGGTCTCCACTTGGGTCACGTTGATTGTTCATGGTGGCCCGACCAACTCCTATACATGTGGCAAGGCGCATTTGCCGCATTGAATTGCCCACCTAAATTAACCTAGTGCAACGAGCGCACCATGTCAGGCTTCTACCCGCCGACATGCACTACGTATGTCATCCAACTTGATAACCAACCCATCCCAGCAGGCCGGCATGTCTCACTCACCTGCTCCATCCATCTCTACAACTCACAAATCACACACACACACACACAAACTAAGGGAATCGGAGTATATTTTTCACCACTACTCGACAAGCGATGTCTTGTTCAGAGTACAAAGGGGACAATCGACGTTAGCACGCACTCGTGACTGTTAGACACATAGGCCCGCCAGTCTGGGCGGCGCGACTGTAACACCATGGCAGGAGAGCATATTGCAGAAAACGAAATGATGCATTCTTTTTGGTTAGTTCAATAATTACAACCAAGAACACATACTAGTCGAACAGACCAAAGCCCATGTCGTCATCGGACTCCTCCTTCTCCTCTTCCTTCTTCTCCTCGGCGGCCTCCTCAGCGGCACCGCCAGCAGCAGCGGCACCACCGGCAGCCGGGGCAACGGAAACGGCCGGGCCAGCGGCACCGACGTTGGTCAGCATGTCCTTGATGTCCTTGCCCTCAAGAGCCTTGGCGAGCAGCTGGGCCCAGATAGGCTCAACCGGCACACCAGCGGCGTTGGTGAGCTCAACGATCTTGTCGCTCTAACTTGTGTTAGTACTCCATTCACACCGGTAAAGTCGGATGCATGCAAAAATGTCAAGGTCGTCACGTCGACTTTTCACCATACAGCTTTTCGACTTTTCTGTTTATACATACCGAAATCTCGAGACCCTCATCAGCGAGGATCAGAGCGGCGTAAGTAGCAGCGAGATCACTGTAATATGTTAGTATATCATGCTCTTAGGATGACTCCAACACATACGGAGAGGCCATTTCGATAATAGAGGTCTTGCTCGGTAGGGAAAGAGAGGTGGTACATGAACGCGCGAAGTCCCAGGGCTTCTGGGACTTCACGTGACTACTATATAGCTTCACGTGAGGAGATATTCCTATCGCTGGACTCGGAGTCTTGCGGGAGGGTTGCTCCACTTATGTGGAGGTGTGTTCGTTGAGAAGGTTCGGTGGCGCGAGCTACGCAGCGAAGCACCAAAGTCGCGAACGGACACTCGGAACGCCACCTTCCACTTTGACTGCCATGTCGCAGGAAAGCAAAATCAAAACAGCCGCTCATTTAGTGTCGGAGAAAAACCCCTTGGGTATTCGACCGTATGTATGAGGATACTTGTGCATATCTAACTCACGCTAAGGTGCTGTGCTTGCCCTGAAACGAAGGCTGCGCGCGACGACTGTTTCCTCAAATTTGGCCACAGTGTTGAGGAACATGGCGAAAGCGCACGAAAGTGCGAAGAGCTTGTGAAGCGCCATAAGGAATGCATGGCGAATTTGGGCTTTAATATCTAGCATGGATGCTACGATTCATGCTTCTCTCCCGCATGCTTGCTCATGTATTGTGCCGCATAGCTTACGTTTACCACATATACCAACGCTATGAAGATAATTCATTCGTAACATAGAGACAATGCAGTTATACCTATAATTTTGTGTGTATTTCTACCGGTCCACCGACTTGTTGGAATCGCGACGAACGATCATGCTCTTTGTCGATAAAGCATGTGAATTACAGCTATATATTGTTGTCATCGATAGTAGTTCAAGACTTGCATATTACTTGCTCCTCCTGTACCGTGCCCTGCACTACTACATGTTGCAAGTAGAACACTAGTGTCTATCTGGTGTTCCTATCACACATCATGTATGAGTGAGAGAGTGCATGTGGAGATGTCCATACATTCATTATGGAGGTACACGTGCGCTCTCCACGTGGGGATGGGTAGGTACGTGCGATTGCGGGTCACCGTATTGGGGGCCCCCTGAAGCCCACAGTATCGATACTTTCATCTTGGCTTCATCAGCGTTCAGAGACCGAAGATGTCGTCTGCTGAAGCATCTAACGCCGCTGGTGATTACTTTTCGCGCTTGTATGAGCGTGCTTCCGCATTTGTGACTAAGATGACTCACCCTCAGGAGGGTGAACGTCGTCCCTTGCTGCACGGCCAGAGCTCAGCTGACTATGGTACCACGGATGATGTGATTCCCGTACCAAAGCCACGTAAAGTGCAGACCCCTATTAAGGTTGAGGCTAAGGTTTGGTTTGCGAATGAGGTATGTGATCTCTGAAGTACTTACATGTGTAGCGTACTTGGATCTCGTGGCTTCGTACCTCGCTGCTGATGGGTACACTGGCTTTGGCTTTATTTAACTCGGCGTCTTACTACGATCCGAAGCCTGTGTGGGAGCCTGGTCAACCGAATGGCAGCCCTAGTGCTGCCAAGGTTGTGCGCACGTTCGGCATTGTGTATGCTTTGATTTCAGCCCTTGTGTTGCTTTGGGGTCTGTATAGCTACCAGCGCCGCGTTACACTGATTAAGATGCGTTGGGCTGGCAGCTTTGGTACGTTTTTATGCATGGTTAACTCGTAGACGATCTGGTCGGCCCTCCGCTTGTCTGCGGTCTGACATTCATTGCTGTCTTGGCGAATTTTATTATTTCATGTACGTGATTGTCAAGCTAACGCTCCTAGTGCAGCAGCACATGTAAGGATAAAGCGGGCCCTTCTTTCACGGCCTTTGTCTTCCTAGGCTACAGTTCGCATTTCAAGGCTATGATTTTGCGTGTCATGTCAAAAAAATCTGGCCTACCTTACCCATTTATGCCTATGATGATATATTATATATAGCTTTGTAATTGCGGGAGTCCATTATTGCGTCAAGCTGCTCGCCCTCAGCTGATAGGAGTACCAAGCGTACCAAGCACGTAGGCCGATATTGTGCATCTGACCCGGAGCTGACTTTATTTTGCGAAACGTCATCGATATGCAGTGTACGTAAAGTTACTCGTCATAGTTCAGGCAATCTGGCCCGCGTACCTAATTGCCTTGGCTCTAGAGGAAGAAAAAATATCAAGGATGGATACGTGAAATTTCACGTACAAGGCCTGCTACGGTTAGGCCACGTCAGTGCTCATGTACATATAATTGGTTCTAGCCGAGAAAATTTTGGCCGGAAGTCCACGGACTGTCGGACTATGCACGGACGCCACTCGATACGCAACTTAGTCATATATTGCTACAAAAGGTCACACGACACTTCCCTCATTTACCAACTACTCGTGTGATAATGACGACTGTGGATCTCGGTACTGTTTTCAAGGGTAGCCCATCGGGCAAGATCGTTGAGTCGAAGGGTGAGACTGTGACGCTCGGTGATGACCAGGTGGTGATTGATATTGCCTACTCAGGTCTCTGCGGTACCGACTTGCACTACCGCAAGGCCGACATGGTGATGGGTCATGAAGGTGTCGGTGTCGTTACAAAGGCTGGCCCCAAGGTTAAAAACCTCAAGGTCGGTGACCGCGTCGGCTGGGGCTACAACCACGACTCGTGTGACCAATGTGACGAGTGTTGGAAGGGCAACGATATTTTCTGTGAGGAGCGCAAGATGTACGGTTTGGCTGATTTGAACATGGGTAGTTTTGGTGACCGCGTCGTGCTCAAGGCGGCATTCGTGCACAAGATCCCTGATGCGATCGACCTGAGCATGGCCGGCCCGCTGCAGTGCGGTGGTGCGACGGTGTACAGTGCCATTCACACGGCCCGCGTCCAGCGTTGCGACCGTGTGGGTGTGCTCGGTCTGGGTGGTCTTGGCCATTTGGCTGTGCAGTACCTGGCCAAGATGGGTTGCGAGGTTGTCGTGTTCAGCCGCACTGACGACAAGAAGGCGGAGGCGCTCGAGCTCGGCGCTCATGAGTTCGTGGCTACGAAGTCGAACCCTGACTTCAAGGGCGTGAAACCTGTGTCGCATCTGCTTGTTTCCTCGTCGAAGCAGCCGGACTGGGAGCAGTACATCAAAGTGCTTAAGAATGAGGGTGTGATTGTGCCGCTTACCGTGAGCTTTGAGCCGATGACCGTGCCGTACGGTGACCTGCTCTTCCGCCAGCTTGCTATCCAGACCAGCCTGGTCGCAAACCGTCTTGTGCACAAGCAGATGCTTGAGTTCACTGCGCGTACGGGCGTCAAGCCGATTGTTGAGCAGCTCGAGATGACCGAGGAGGGCGTCAACACGGCGTTCGACCGCCTGGAAGAGGGTGATGTGCGCTACCGTTTCGTGCTGAAGAACCCTCGTTTCAAGGGCGTGTCCAACTAAGTACTTTACGATATAGTATATGCTTCATTCTTGTGAATCTTGGGGCGTTGGCCAGTAGCTACCATCAATGGTGTTCCAACGGCGCGACAAACGTTCATCACCGCCAGGCGCACCGTATTCGGGTTTCTCTTCATCCGAATCAGGGTCGATGATTTCACCATCTCCATCGTAGCTAGGTTCGAGGCTGTCTGCACCTGCGCGTTGCTTCGCCCGTACCTTCGCTAGGCCGGAACGAGAGTCACGAAGGCTCATGTCCTTGAGCATTTCTTTCATTTGCTCCTGTTTCGACTTTTCCATCTCTGCCTTCTTTTGCTGCAGCATAGCCTCCATTTGCGGACGATAGTCGGTCATGTATTCATGTCGTGCCTCCTGCACAGCCTGTAAGAAATCATCCATACCTTCTCCTGTGGCAGAAGACACACCGACGGCCCGCAGGTTTTGGTAGAATTCGTCCAGGACCAAACTCATACTATTCATGAGACTGTTGAGGTAGCTGGGCTCTTCGCCACGACTTTCAAATGTAGACGGCGTGCCGTCCTTAACCGGCTCGTCGCCATGGAGTGCTTGTGCTGAGGGATCGCGTGCATGTCCCGAGGCCAGGGCGCGTTGGAACGCCTCAAAGTCCTGCATCCATTCCATAGCAAACGCATGGGGTTGCACGTCGATTTTGTTGAACACTAGAATGAATGGGAGACGCGACTTGTATAGGATACTGCACGCATACAGCATATTACTCATAAAAGTGGCTGGCGCCGTTGTTCGCGGGGTATCCACAACGTACACCAGCACCGTGGGCATAGCACTGGCCAGCGAGTCGGTGATAATGGAGCCTGAGGCCGACCACGTAAATATTTCAATCTGGCCAGGCGTATCGAGGACCACATGCTCGACTTCGTTGGCTCGTTTCTCGACCAGCTGCAAGACCTGGTCAAATTTGGTCGTGAAAAGATTGAGGGAGGTGAGGATGCCACCATTGGGTCCGAGTTTGTACTCTTCCATGACACGCGTATAATCAACTGTATCACGAATGTCTACATTGGGCGCATACCCCAGCGTAGCCACAGCCGGGTCGATATTAATGAGATAAGGACGCGTGGGGCGCGTCTCATGGGTCTCGTTTGTTGCTTCTGCCATAGCTGCTTGAGCTGCGCATTGACCCAAGTGCGATGCCAGTTTGGCGACAAACGTTGATTTGCCCGAGCCGGCCATACCAATTACAATGATCGATGTGGCACGCGGCACAGGAGGAAGGGAAGTCGTTGATGCGCTTGGCATCTCAGCCTTAGTAGATTCGGTGCCTGGTGTTGCCGTCGTCATGGCCGACCGAAGCCCTGAGCAACCGTGGGGCCACGCCGCCTATGGCAAAAAAGTGGATGGGACCTCCACATCATAATTCCCCAATGTAACGAGTGGCGGACGTCATGCTGGTTCGCTTGCTCGCTGTGCCCTCTCCATCCATATGTCGCTGCGGAGCGCATCTGTGGTGCGTGCGGCTGTACGCCAAGTACATACAAATGCGGCACATCCTGCTGCTGCTGTATCAGGATCGCGTTTGGAGGCGCTTCGTCAGCGTCTCGCTAAAGAAGACATTACCATCGACGAATTTGCTGGCAGTGCGCAGCGTATTCCTATGGGCCGAATTCACGAGCCACGCCTGCCATCGTACACTAAAACACGCATCCCAAAGGGACATAACTTTGGCCGCATCAAGCGTGACTTGCGTGGTTTAGGCCTGGCTACGGTCTGTGAAGAAGCTCGCTGTCCCAACATTGGAGAGTGTTGGGGCGGCAGTGGTGGGAAAGAGGCCGCGACGGCGACCATCATGCTTATGGGTGATACATGTACACGTGCTTGCCGTTTCTGTGCCGTGAAGACGTCACGTACACCAGCCCCTCTTGATCCGCATGAACCGGAAAATACCGCGGAAGCCATTTCGCGATGGGGCTTGGGCTACATTGTGCTGACGTCCGTCGACCGTGATGACATTGCCGATGGTGGTGCAGCGCATATTGCTTCGACCATTCAAAAGATCAAACAAAAAGCGGATCACATCCTCGTCGAGGCTCTGGTCCCCGACTTTAGTGGACAGCTCGATTGCGTAGAGCAAGTGGCGCTGAGTGGGCTTGATGTGTATGCTCACAATGTCGAGACCGTCGAACGTACTACGCCCATGGTCCGTGACCGTCGTGCCAAGTACCGTCAGAGTCTGGCTACGCTTGCGCATGCCAAATCTGTGCGGCCTGAGCTGGTGACCAAGACCAGTATTATGCTGGGCTGTGGTGAAACGGATGAGGAAATAGAGCAGACGCTCCGTGACTTGCGCGAGACCAAGGTGGATGTCGTGACGTTTGGCCAGTACATGCGCCCGACCAAGCGTCATATGAAGGTGAGTGAGTATGTCACGCCTGAAAAGTTTGCCGAGTGGCAGCGCCGTGCAGAGGAGCTAGGCTTCCTCTATGTTGCGAGTGGCCCGCTTGTGCGCAGCAGTTACCGTGCTGGTGAATTCTTTGTACGTATGGGCACTACTAATATGTTTTCCAGATTGAAAATGTGGTCCGTAAGCGCCGCGGGGCAGGCACGCCTGTAGAGACAGAGACGGTACAAGCCGTTCGTGCTAGTGCCTAAGTCGTGGTCGCTTCACTGCCGAGGGTGCTAGCTGGCTTTGTAGTTGGCCATGGATATGTGTACACAAGGAATCAAATAGAACTCGATCTGTGCCGTACACCCAACGGGCTTCCACATGGTCCTCCTGGATATACCATGCGACTCGTAAGAGAGGCTCGTGGGGCTTGGCTGTGGTCGTAGTGGGCAACGTTAGGCTATCCGCTGCTCGCTGCCGAGCGCGGCGCGCACCACGTGTCCAGCATACGGTCCATACTGTTAGGGTCAGAGGCACATCTGTCCAGGCGACAGCGTCCGAGGGCAGTGTGTCGATTGCGCGCAAGTGCCAGGCCAGCTCGGCTGGCTCTCTCCACGGTATATCGGCCCAACGACGTGTGTTAGAGGGTGGAAGACTGGTACGCAAAGAGGTGCCCACACATTGTGCGACCTCGTCAGGGAGCCGGTGGGGACCAAACGACCATGCCACTACCCAGCGCCACGTCCGACCTTGAACAAGTTCCGTGAGTGCGTACTGCACATCGTTTCGCTGCTTGAGGTGGGCCACGACAGCTTGTACCGAGCTTAGACGACCCAGCATCGAGGAGAACCATGCGACGCGATGTCGGTACGAGGGCTGTGCGCTTTCATTAATCATCCGTATGACAAAGCCAAGATCACCGCCAGGGGTATACAGTTCCGTATCGCGTGCTGCACTCGGTGGATACGGCGTGTTTTTCCCATGCTGCAAAGCCAGCCTTTCCTCGTGAGAGTCGTAAAAGGGTGGATTACATATGGTGAAGTAGAAATACATCTCATTCTCTGGGAGAGGTGGAAGAACAGTGGAGCGATCGGTGTGAACAAGCTGCAGTCGATGCCGCCATGCATGTGTAGCTTCGTTTGTGTCAATCATGTGCTGTGCTGACATTAGTGCATCGACATCCACGTCGGTGCCGATCATATGCCATGTAGGGTGTATCATGCAGATCAAGGCTGCATAAATGGCTAGGTGTCCAGTCCCAACATCGATGCCTACGACGCGCTGGGTGTACGGCATCGCTTCCACGATCCTTGTGATCCATTGAATGTAGTTTAGGCGGTTGGGGATGGTTGGACACAAACGATCTGGTTCGATGGTACATGCAATTCCGTATGTATGCTGCAGAGCTTGTTGCGTGTACAACCGCTTTTGAGTTTCATCCTGCCAATCTACCACGCCCATCGCATCGTTCGCACGTCGAGGATTAGACGTTGACACATGTGGAGACGACGCCCATGCATGCGCACATCCCTCCACTGCCGCCAGCGTCCAGTCACTTGGCTTTGTACGCGATGGCCGCGCCGTGGCCACGACAGGGCGCTTGGCGCAGCGTTCCTGCCACCAAGGCTGCGCCTACCGTGGCTACTAGTGGCGAGCCGACCATGTCGTCCTCCATGACGAAAGACGGCGGGCCAGATTCCTCACGACAGTCAGCGAGGTCACCGCCGCCGCCCACATCCACGTCGTCCACGCCATTGTACATTGTCTGCAGCGAGGCCGGAAAACTTGTGTATGCCAACGGCGATGAGGGTACACAAACATGGGCTCTGACACAGGCGAGTGTCATTCATGCGATGATCTCGTTGTTTGGTCCCACGTCATCGCTGCAGCGGATTGCTTGGACAGATACCCTATACATGGCCATACTTCATCGGGCGCCCTTGTATGTCGCCTGCATCGCCACGTCTGAGGTGCCGGAAAGCTACATGCAGGCACAACTAGAATACGTGTACCTGGCTATCCTCAGTTTGATCAGCAAGCCACGTCTTGATAAGCTCTTCCAACGCTCGCCCAATGTGGATGTACGTGGCCTTATCGGCCCCATGCATGCCTATGTCGACCGCGTAGTCACACAAATGCATACCACACTTACGCCCCTATGGAACGCTGTGCCCGTGTATGATATGGATGCGTACGTCCGTGAGCAGGCCACCAAAGCCTGTGCCCAAGTGCCTTTGACGCACAGACCAGCGCATTTGCTCTATGTCATGCTATGGTATGACGCGCACTTGCTCACGATTATGCAGCCTAAGCGACATGCGCCTTCGCCCACAGATCTGATGCTGGTGCATGCCATGGTTGAATTTCTGCGCACATCGCCTGCTCAAGATGATGGATCAGATACATGGGTCCCTATGTGTTTGCCTGTACAAGCGCCGCATGGGTTTGTCTATGTGTATGCGAGCCATTTGCACGCGCTATCGTTGGTTGTGGTGTGTGGTGACAAGGACGGACGTGCAGCATGCGAAGTCTACCGAACTGCATTGTTGTCGTCTTCCTGTTGGCCGGCCCTCGGGCGAGCGCTGGCTATGCCGCCGCCTAGCATCGACAGTCTCGGGCTGCCGGGTCTGCGTGGGTTTACGTACGTGTCACGACGGCATCAGCAGGTGAGCGGGACGCCCTGCCTGGAAGCGCAGCACTCACTCTACATCCAGCTTGTCTGTGCGCTGCGTGGTGAGAGTGTCCATGAAGAGACGAAGCCGCTCCCCCCTGCGAGGCGCCCATGGCCGGTGGCTGCGCCGCTGCATATGCTGCTACTACATACGCCGAACGAGGCGCTCTTGGGCTGGCGAACCAAGGCATTTGAGCTGTGTGTATGCGCGAGCCCATGGCTTCCTGCGCCGGCGGTCGGCGAGATTGCGAACAAACTTGTGGCGATTCTTCGTGCTCGAGAAGCAAGGTATGTGGCTATAGCATCTACCTTCTAGTGGTGGAAAAGACGCACGTTTGTGCGTGCGACGACCATATGGTGCGCGTCCGCCGCAGCCACACACGCATCGTCCATCACACTACCACCTGGCGCGGCAATGTACTTGGCCCCGGAACGCGCAGCGCGGTGCACATTGTCCGGGAAGGGGAAGAACGCATCGCTAGCAACGACCACGTCCTTGAGTTGCGCAGCGTGCTGCGCACGCTCTTCTGCCGAGAGCGGCGCAGGCACCGTCTCGAACACCGACTCCCACTGCGCACGCTCCTCGCCATCAAGAGGCGTACCTTCGACAAACAGGTCGATGGCATTGCTCTTCTCGGGGCGCTTGGTCCCCTTCTTGAATGGCAGGTCCAGCACACGCTGGTGCTGACGCAGCCACCAGTTGTCCGCCTTGCCACCGGCCAGACGCGTGCAGTGAATACGCGACTGCTGACCCGCACCAAGACCAATCACCTGGCCGTGCAGCGCATAGCACACACTGTTCGACTGGGTGTACTTCAACGCAATGGTAGCAACGAGCATATCAAGCGTCGCCGACTCCGGCACGTCCTTCGCAGCGCTCACAATGTTTTCAAAGAGCGCGGGCGTAATCTTCAGATCGTTGCGGCGCTGCTGCAACGTCACACCGTACACCTGACGCGACTCGGTCGTCGCCGGCTCGTAGGATGGGTCCATCCGCAGCACACAGTACTTGCCGCCCTTCTTCGCACGCAGCAGCTCCAGCGCAGCAGGCTCGTAGCCCGGCGCAATCACACCGTCACTCACCTCACGCGAGATCATCTTGGCGGTCTGCTCGTCACACACATGCGACAGCGCAATAAAGTCGCCAAAGCTGCTCATGCGATCAGCGCCACGTGCACGCGCATACGCCGTAGCGATGGGCGACAGCTCGCCGAGGTCCGCGACAAAGCACGCACGTGCCTCCGCCTCCGAGAGCGGCACGGCCACAGCAGCGCCCGCCGGCGACACATGCTTGAACGAGGCAGCGGCCGCGCGCTGGGTCGCCTCGCTAAGCTCCTTCACGAGCGCCCATGCATTGAGACCATCCAGTAGGTTAATGTAGCCTGGCGAACCGCTCAGTGCGGTGAACGGCAGCGCACCCTCCTCCACAAACGCCTGCGCCGGCTTCTGGTGCGGGTTCGCACCGTAGCGCAGTGTCATCTGCTGGACGGGCTCGCGCGGCGCCGACGCATACTTCTCACGGAAGTACTGGCTAATCGCCGTGTCGTAGTGCGCCGTGTGCGTAAAGCCCTTCAACGCAAAACGTTCACGGCTCTGCTTCGCAGCGTCACTCTCCTCACCGTACTGCGACAAGAATGTCGAGTAGTCCTTCGGGTCGCACAGCACCCACACACGGTCGTGGTTCTTAGCAGCAGCACGGATCAGCGTCACGCCGCCAATGTCCACCTCTTCCACCGCCTCAGCGATGGTCGGCGCAGGGTCACGCGCCACAGTCTCCTCAAATGGGTACAGGTTGCATACCACAATGTCAATCGGGGCAATCTGCTGAGTCTCCAGGTCCGAGCGGTCGGACTCAAGCGACGTACGCGCAAGAATACCACCGTGAACGGCAGGATGCAGCGTCTTGACACGTCCCTGAAGCATTTCCGGCGCCTTGGTAATGTCAGAGACATCGCTATGCGTGTGAGCCTCGACGCTTTCTCCCACTTACCCAATTTCGATGCCGGCATTGCGCACGGCACGCGCCGTACCGCCACTACCAAGCAGACGCACGCCCTTGGCAGCAAGGCCTTGCGCAAGCTCAATAAGGCCCGTTTTGTCGTACACAGACAGGATCGCCGTCGGCTGCGACATGATGAAAAGGATGAAACGTGGAGAACTACCTCTCCCGGCCTCCTTTTCGATGTAGCCACGTGACACACCCTCGCTCGTCTTGGCAGCCAGCCAGCTCGTTCTACATCGTTTGGCAGCGTAGACGCTATCACGGACCTGTACCCTATTTAATACAAAAGAGAGGACGCACAAGAGTAAGCCCCATTGTGTTACCGCACATGTCGGCGACCGCATAACTGTATAGATGTGACGAACGTGTGGCGCGAACGCATTCACATGCCCTCCTACAGCGATAGCCAGTAGTTCCTCCTTTGCAGAGGTGCAGTGCGATCCAGCTCCACGCGACGTACGCAGTGCAGCAGTAGCGGCTCGTATCTTCGCACATCTACTGCGTTTCCGCCCACATCACGCTTGTTGCTTCCAATAGCACAGACTCACAACGTTCTATAGTACACCCTTGCTCATCAAGGCCATAGCGCGCATGGTTAGTATATGCATATCGTTGAGGCTTTCACATACGCGGATCTGTCCCTACACAGAGACCCGCTTTCCGATAGAATCAACGTATGCGAGAGCCTACCCATACGCATACCGCTCCATAATACACCATGACCAAGCAGGGAGATCCATAGAACCCTGTCGCTCCTCCAAAGGCTACCGCTACCTCCATAGGAGACCCTTTCAGGATTCAGCGCCGAAAGTTGCCCGGGGACTTTCCCTACAGCAGGATACTTATGTACAACATAAGTATGTCTAGGGCTGCATTCAAGTATGAGCGGTCCTTTGCGCGTCCCCTCGTCTGTATGGTATAAGACGCCCTGCTACGCCCACCCTTTTGGGCACAACGAAGCAGGACAGAAAAACCATCAGCGAGGGCAAGCGCGGCAGACCACTTTGTGTCACGTGAATATACCTCCGCATGGAAGTTACTTGGTGCCTGTGCTGTGGCCTGCGTGCACAAGCAATGCCACGCCTGCGGCGACTGTCGCTCGAGTAACATCCACCACGCACTTGACACTTGGCCTACATATGAAGCAGCTGCCACTTTTTTCCTTCTCGCTCCTTTACACCTGACGCGGCTAGTCCCATCCCCTATTCCCCTCCCTCATTTTTACGTCCCCTTCCCAATGTACCCTTCCTTGAACAAGTTCAACGCGGCTGGCCTGGCGCCAGAGCACTCGATGATTCTCCCAGAGCGCGAGATGGTGGACGATGAGGCATCCATTATGCAAGGACTTGCGCAGATTCACTCTCAATCGGATGAAGCGCTGGCGCATGTGCTCGCTCCTGAAATCATTTATACAGCACCGACGGGCGACGTGATTGTCGGCAAAAAGGCTGTGTTGCAGCGTCTGCACACAGATGCGGCCTCGCATATGGGTACTACACCTCGCCAGCGTCTTCTTCAGACGCCAGAGTCACTGCCTCCGCGCACCATGGTAATTGACCAACTGAGTGCCAACGGCACTCGCAGCCTCCTCGTGCTTAAACGTCGTGCCCATGATGGCCTCGTGTCGAGTCTTACCGAGGAGGAAGGCCACCGTAAGGCTACAGTGCCACTCGCTACGCGCGCTGGTAGCAACTTGCTCAACTCGCCCACAGACATGATGGTGTCGCCATGCACTTCTAAACTCAATTTGGCGAAGCGCCGTCATTATATGAAGGCCAAGCCGACCAACCTTTTCGCTGGTATGACGGCCCACCCTATGTAATGAGTGACGCCTTTTTTTTCTCTCCCACACATTCCCCCTACCTTTTCTTTGGTGGTAACATTTTGTTGCTTTGTTTTAGTATGCTAGTTGCTCATAATCGTCGCATATGACCTATATACGTTGTTGCGTCAAGCTAGTCGTTTCGGTTCCGAATCTGGTGATGTATGCATAGGCTGGATACTTCGTAATTCTTTTTCACGCTCCTGGTTTCGTCGTAAATCGGCCATGCGTTGCGCCTTTTCACGTTGCCTTTGTTCGTCGCGCTCTACGCCCTTGTACATAGTCTGAATTAGTTAGAGAAAAAGGCACGTACTTGACGCTCACGAATTTGAAGATAATGCACACCAGTTACAATGCTCACAGTAGTAACGATAGAGGCACCTAATGTGAACTTAGCGGCACGAGACATGGTGGTATACAGTGCACGCTATGTTGGTCAATAAAGGACGTGATATGGGAAGGAAGCGATGACGTCTCTTTATGTGGAGTTCGACCGACCAGCGTAAATCAGGTAGGCTAAAAACCTAAGCCATACACGCACTCTAACCAGGACCCTGGCCCAACCAACCTCTCCAATGCCAGAATTGACATTTAGACATACGAAATAACATCTATAAGAGGATCGCATGCTTCATGACACTACTTAGAGGCGAGCGTTGACGATGTCAACAAACTCCGGCTTCAAGCTAGCACCACCAACGAGGAAGCCGTCAATGTCCGGCTGCGAAGCCAGCTCCTTGCAGTTCTTAGCGGCCACACTACCACCGTAGATGACACGCACGCCCTCGGAGACCTTGTCGCCGTGGGCACGGCCGAGCCACTGGCGGATGGCAGCGTGCACCTCCTGAGCCTGCTCGGCAGTGGCGACCTTGCCTGTGCCAATGGCCCAGACAGGCTCGTAGGCGATGACAATCTTGCTCCAGTCCTTCACGTCCTTGGTGGCAGCCTCGAGCTGACGGATCACGACGTCAATGCTCTCGTTCTTCTCGCGCTGCTCAAGGGTCTCACCGACACAGAGAATGACAGAGAGGTCGCTCTCCAGGGCGGCAATCGTCTTCTGCCCAATGAGATCGTCCTGCTCGCCAAAGATCGAGCGGCGCTCCGAGTGACCAAGGATGACCCACGGGATCTCGGCATCCTTCAGCTGGGCAACCGAGATCTCACCGGTGAAAGCACCCGAGGGCTTGTAGTAAGCGTTCTGGGCACTCAGGCTGATCTTCTTGCCATTCACAAGGGGCTTCGAGGGGAGCAGGTACAGAGCCGGGGGGGCGATCACGACCTCTTCGAATGTGAGATAGTCACGTATTACGTACCGGTCTTGGGGTCAAGCTGCGACTCAGTGAGATGGTTAATGAGCGATTGGTACTCCTTCACGGAGCCGTTCATCTTCCAGTTACCACCAACGAAGAAAGTACGAGTCATTTTGTGCAATGTATAGGTAAGAAGGGAAGGGCCGAGACGGATGTGGCCCGCGCTCTGCGCACGTCCTTGACACGAAGTGCCTTCGGTCCCATCGACCGGCCCCGACCGGAGGATGACGTAATCATGAATACCAAGTGATCGGTGCCCCGCGCACGCCCACATGGCGTAGACAAGCCAGCGACAGGCTACACGGCGCACACACCTCAATTCAACACCATGTCGTGGCAGGGATACGTGGACACGAACCTAGTTGGCACTGGAAAAGTGTCACAGGCAGCGATTCTTGGTCTCAAGGGTGGTGTATGGGCCACCTCTGCTGGCTTCACCATCAGCCCAGAGGAGCAGAACGCCATCATCAAGGGCCTGGATGACCCTGCGCCTCTGCAAGCGAGTGGCGTGTATGCCAACGGCAAAAAGTACTTGACATTACAAGCCAACCCTCGCTCGATTTACGGAAAGGCAGCGGTACGTATTCATAGCATACTTATATCAGGGTGATGGCTTGTGCATTGTGCGTACAAACCAGGCAGTGCTAGTAGGCGCGTACGCCTCGCCGCTCCTTCCAGGTGACGCCAACAAAGTGGTCGAAGGCCTGGCGGACTACTTGATTTCTGTGGGATACTAAGAGATAGTCGACCGTTATACAGCTCCCTTTCATGAAACATACAATTGATACTACGTAGTGCCTGTATGTGCTTGCATTAGCGACGACGCTGATCACGCATAGCCAGAATCTGGACAATGCGAGTGAAAATGTTGATGAAGTCCAACTCAAGACCAATGCTTTCACGAAGCGGGTCCGAGGGGATTACACCAGCCTGCACCAGTTGGGCATGGCGCAGAATCTTCTGGGTGTCCCAGAGGACAAAGCCACCAAACACAGCTAGACCACCGTACAAGCAGATGGCTTCCGACACAGCGAGGGTACGAGCAAAGCGGAGTGGCAGAAGCATGGGTGCCAGCGAGGACAGAGCCACGACCGTGACACCAGCAAGGAGCGGGCCACCCAGGTACAGATACTTGTCCTGCTTGGCCGTAGCACCAACGTAGCACAAGCTGCCCACAAGGCCAGCCGTGTACAAACCAGCCCGGATCAGGATAGCCGGGTTGAGGAACATGAGAGGCGAGAGGACAGCCGCCTGGCTCAGGTTGAATAGCATCCAGCATGGCACCTTAGCAGGATGACTCGGGGGCAGGGCCTGCGCACCCATCATACCACTAATCGAGGCCACAAGGCCCACACCAAGCACGAGCCAAGGGTTCGCCATCATAATACGAGCCGAGTAGCCAAAGCGGTGCAGCGCGTAGGCAGCACCGGCCGTCATAGTGAGACCGACACCAAGGTATGTGAAGGTCGAGTTGAGGTAGTTGCTCTCAAACATCTCCAAGGCGCCGCGCGTCTCGCGGTTGAAAAACAGGTTCAATCCAATCGCCGTACCCGCCACAATACCGATGCTCACAAGTGCGCGGGGCCAGCCATTTTGCGCGAACGAGCCGTTCGAGCCACCAAAGGCCTGGCCCATCGACATGGGCGGCGCTGGCGCAGAGTACTCTGCCCCACGGTGGACGCCACCAGCACTTGTGGGGCGGTTGAAACGAGTGTGGCGCACGTTGCGGATCTGCTGCTGCAATGGTGAGCGGACAGACTTAAAGGCTAGGGGCCGCACGGCCACACGGGTCGACATGGGACGCACAGCGCATGCTGCCGGCGCCAAGAGGCGGGGGGTAAAGCGGGCTGCCGAAAACATGATGATGGCAGGAATAAACGTGCGTACGTCCTCCAGTGGCGTCGTTGACGGACCTCCACGTTCGATCAAAAATCCGAGGTGTACGTCATCAGGGCAGGCGGCGCCGGTTAGGAGTGGCCCACGTGGGGAAATAGGCCTACTAGGCGCTTGCAACGAAAACCTCCGCTTAGCCATCGTCGTTTGACAAACCGACCTTCCCTGGCCACCGCAGTGGGGAAGATGAGCATGTCAGGAATTCCTCATGAAGAGCTTCCTATTTTGGAAGCTCTGATCAAGTATGTGGCATGATTTCAAGCTAACCGATAGCATCCGTCATCAGTTGACGGCATTGAAGCAGAGTGCTGAATATATCAATCCGCATGACGTCCAAGTCATTTACACGGCCGTCATCAAGCAGAGTATGTATGGAAGATCATAACTCACTCTAGTTACTAAGCTGAATGCTATCCGAGAAGAAAGGCAGGCATCTACAGCGGCGCAGGATGTCAGCAAGGACTCGAACTCGTCAGATAACAACGGTGGCAGTAATGACACGTCCATGACAAAAAACACCCGTGTCGACACAATGCTCGTGGATGTGTTCTACTTGCTCAGTTTGTTTTTCCTGACTGTGGGTCGAAGCCGTGAATGCCCTGCCATGTTCAGTCAGATCGGGTGCATGAAACAACTCTTGGATCATATGGACGAGTCAGCCGTCTATACGGAAGCCGACTTGAAGCCCTTTGTGACGCGTATTCAGGAGCTGCGTGATATCATCAAGAGTGATGAGCGCCAAAACAAGCATCCGCCCCAGCTGACCAAATTTATGGCGCGCAAATTGGAAGCGTGTCAGAAGGTAGTCAACAAACTCCAGAATTCTCTCTCGGTGATCTCAGTGGAGTTGGTTCCTATCCACCAAAAGCTCGTGACGATCCGTCGGCAACTCAATGCAGCTGCAGCGAAGCCTAAGCCACCGAAAGCAGAGGTAAAGCAAATTCTCGAGGAGCTCCGAAAAATCGACGGCAAGCGTGTGGATGGTAAGTTTTTGGGCCCTGGTGGTTCGTCCGTGCCGGAGGGCCAGGAAATGTTGGCGGGCCTCCTGGAGAGCTGCTTTGAGCTGAGCAATGATATTCTCGTGCGAAATAGCACAGTGTCACCGGCATTGCAGCCAATTTATGATCGTTTGTTGGAGACGAAGCAGCATTTGGAGCATTTGGAGCAGCGTCATCGATGGACATTGCGTGAGACGGATTTATGGACCTACCATTTGACGCTCAAAGATATTGACCGTATGCGTGTGAATGGCAAATTTGTGGACCGGAACGGCGATCAACCCGAGGGCCAGTTGGTTCTGTTATACCTATTGCGTCGTTCCTACGGCCTCATCAACAAGTTAATTTCGTCGTCGGAGCCACTTTCAGAGGAGCTGATGCCCATCTCAGACAAGCTCTCTACCATCTCCAAGTGTCTCAAAGAAGTAAGCAAGTATGGAGGTACATTCACGCTACGCGATTTGTACCCCTATCGGTTGGCCTTGCACCAAATTGCCTCGCAACGCAAGCCTGTGCTGGATAAGGAGGGGCATCCCATGGAAGAGCTGCGCTGGCTAGCGAGCGACGGTTCTGTGCCAGAAGGTCAAGGCATTATCCAGGCACAGTTTGAAGAAGTGGAACAGACCATTGACGAGCTGCTGAACCGTGAAGATGAAGATGACGATGATGACGATGAACTGGCTACTGTGGACAGCTCGGCCATCAGTAGTCACAGCGACACATTTGGGTCTGATACCGCAAGCGAGAGTGACTATGTCGGCTCCTCGCAACTTCTCGACAGCCGATCCGGGCAAAGCCAGACGGGTCATTCTGTCGACGCGGCTTTGTTGGCAGAGCAGCTGGCTCGTACGGCCTCACTGTCTCTTTCCTAAGTGTATCATACAATGATGGATGTTGGCCTAAGAAAACGAACATTGAAAATAGACACGCATAGCTGCAAGAAATTGATGTCTCTCTATGGATATACATGCGTCGCCCAGGAGGTCACGCAGAAAAGTGGGTATCAAGCGGCCCAAAGCCTACGGATGGGAGGCCGAGGGGGCCACGCGGGCGTTGGCCATGAGATAGTCTAGGTTGGGCGTTACAATCAGCTTGCCATCCAGGTCGCCCAGACACTGAGCCTGTTGCCGTTCCGCGTCGAGGACCATGACCTGCTGCAAAAAACTCGTCTCGCTACCGCTCACCACATCAAATGGCATATCACCGATGCGCAGCATCACACGTCCATCCGCATAGATATCCAAGTGCCCCATTTGGCCTTCCGGGCGAGGCGGTGCAGCAGCATGTGTCTCGGTATCAATATCAATCACATCCTCGGTTTTCGCAGGCTCTTGGACAGCCATCTGGGACTCGTCCGGGCGATGGAATGTGGGGAAAGTGTGTGGAAATTGGAAGAGGAAGAGATGATCCGTTGATAGGGACCGCTGGATAGTATCAGCAAAGTGCGGTGCTGTAGCATCCTCAGCATCTTCGTCTTCACTCTCGCTCAAATCGAGTGCCTGCGACAAGTTGACATCAGGCTGGGGCTTCGTCTCCTCCGCCTTGCTCGGGGTCGGCTCTCGCTTGAACGAAGGGGGTGCATGCAGTAAGCTCTGTGGTGCCATGGCATCGAGATCTTGTACACGCTCAATATCAATGGTATCGTTAGTCGGCCCGTCTACATCACTGGATCCCATAGGCTTAGGGGTGACGGTTGACGACGATGGCTCGGACGATGGCGCAGGCGCTGCCATCATCGCAGCAGCCTTGGTCATGGAGCGCGATGTGCTGCGATCAGCATGACCCATAGCAAAGGGACCGGTCGCTGTCATTTCGATCTGGCCGCGTGGTCGCGACGCAGGACGAGGGCCGGCCGTACGGCCTTTGACGCGCGTCGCCTCGTTGGAGGGCGAGGCCGTGTGTGTGGCTGCCTCGTCCTTCGCAGCAGAGAGACTCGCGCCAGGAGTACGTCTGCGTTGCGGCATCACAGGACGGAACACCATACGCGCGCCCCCGCCAGGCTGCGGCGTAGAGCTTCGGGAGGTCGTCGGACTCGGAGTGGCACTAGCTCCTACAGCGGAACCTGCACGACTTGGGACCATGCTGGTAGTGCGACCAGGCGCCGGGGCTTGGCTGTGAGAGCGAGTCATACGTCCCCCTTGGTTCGTAGCCTCGTTGGGTGTCTCGTCTGTCATCGCGGCACAAAAGAGAGTGTGTCGACGCACAGCAAACGTAGTCGCACGAAAAAAAGTGTGGCCGCCGAGACCTTGGTGCCCCCGATGCTGACGTCAGCGAAGAGAAGTACGATCTGTCCGACCACGGGCCGGGGGAAGTGCAGAAGGTCCTTGGGCGCGAGTGACGCTTCCCTTCGTACCTTGTTGATGAGTCTCGCGCGGCTGTCCCGAGCTGCACGCGGTGTGGGCCCACGTCCCTCTCTGGCTGGTAGTGTTCTTGCTCGTGCTCCCCTACGATTCATGACCACCAGCAGCGTTGCTATGAAGGGGGTAGCGCCACCGTCGCTCGCTGCTACGTCGCAGGTGCCAGCGCCTGCGCCGCTGCGTCTCACGCCACCCACGCCCGAAGAGGAAGCGGCGTTGTTTGAAGAGGCTGTGAAGGATGTAGAAAATTGGCTGGCTAGCCCACGTTTCAAGGGGATCCAGCGCCCTTACACCGCGCGTGATATCGTGTCGAAGCGTGGCTCCTTCTCGGTGCAGCCACCCGCCTCGTCGCTGACCGCCGACAAGCTGTTTGCTTTGTTCACCAAGCATGCGGAAAACCAAACGGTGGCTCACACGATGGGTGCCATCGACCCTGTACAGATGACACAGATGGTGCGCGACCAGGAGGTAATCTATGTGTCGGGTTGGGCATGCTCGTCCGTCCTTACGACGTGCAACAATGAAGTCGGTCCCGATCTGGCTGACTACCCGTACACCACAGTCCCGAATCAGGTGCAGCGTATTTTCAAGGCGCAGCTGCACCATGACCGTAAGCACTTTGACGAGCGCTGCCACATGTCGGCAGAGCAGCGATCGAAGACACCGTATGTCGACTACTTGCGCCCTATTATCGCCGACGGTGACACAGGTCACGGTGGTCTGAGCAGTGTGTACCGCCTGGCCAAGCTGTTCGCCGAGCAGGGCGCCGCGGCGATTCACTTGGAGGACCAACTGCATGGCGGTAAGAAGTGTGGTCACCAGGCCGGCAAAGTGCTCGTGCCGACTTCAGAGCATGTAAACCGCTTGGTCACCACGCGTTTTGCCTGGGATGTGCTGGGCTCGGCCAACCTGCTTATTGCCCGCACGGATTCGGAGTCTGCGAAGCTGATTTCGTCGAACATTGATGTGCGCGACCATGAATTTATCAAGGGTGCCTACAATCTCCCGCCGGGTACCAAGTCGCTCGCTGAAACGCTTGCGGAGAAGGAGGCGCAGGGCGTGTTTGGTGCGGAACTGGACAATGTGGAGCGTGAGTGGATGGAGAGCACGATGCTCATTACGTTCAACGAGGCTGTGGCGAACCACAATGCGTCGAACCCGACGCGTCTCGAAGAGTACGACCGACGCGTAGAAGGCGGTGTATCGAACGACGAGGCCCGCCGCATTGCGCGTGAGATCTTTGGCGAGGAAGGTGTGCCGTCCTGGGACTGGGACGCGCCGCGGACCAAGGAGGGCTACTACCACTTCAAGGGTGGCATGTCGGCGGCGATCAAGCGTGTCAAGACCTTTGCGCCATATGCGGACCTTCTGTGGCTGGAGACCAAGACGCCGGATCTGGTCCAGGCGCAAGGCTTTGCGGCCAAGGTGCACGAGGACTTCCCTGGCAAGTGGATGGTGTACAACCTGAGCCCCTCGTTCAACTGGAGCGCTCATGGCTTCAGCAATGAGGACTTGCGCAACTTTGTGTGGGACCTGGCCCGTGCTGGCTTTGTGCTGCAGCTGATTTCTTTGGCCGGTCTGCACTCGGTCGGTATGACGACGTGCGAGTTGAGCCGTGCGTTTGCCAAGGACGGCATGCTGGCGTACGTCGAGCTGATTCAGCGCAAGGAAAAGGAGCTGGGTGCGGATATCCTAACCCACCAAAAGTGGAGTGGTGCGCAATACATTGACCGTATTCTTCAGACAGTGAGCAGCGGCACGTCGAGTACGAGCAGTATGGGCGCGGATAGCACCGAGCACTCTTTCTAACGTAGTTGTCGATTAGTATGTCAAGAAACGAGAACGAGAGCGTCCGTGCGAGTGTGTACGACGTCATATTCACGTGACGAAGAACGTGCGCAGCTTGTGACGAAGGGGGTCGTCTGCCTCGAAGCGTAACGCGAGGACATAGCTGGACGACGACGAGATGCAGTGGCTCGCCGTGCTAGGCGCATTGGCCAGTGCAGCATCCGTGCTTGCGGAGCAGCATGCATTTCAACTGGACGAAGCGCCTCCAACGACGTTGACACGACCAGATCAGACACTGACAGGCCGCTTCTTGCATATCACGGACATGCACATTGATATGCACTACAAAGAAGACTCGGCCGTCGTATCGCAGTGCCACCATAACAAGCCCTACAGCAAGCATGGTGGCAAGTGGCGTGCAGGATACTGGGGCTCGTCTGTGAGCGACTGTGACGCGCCGCATCGACTGCCGAATGCTACGATGCAGTGGATCGCCGAGCAGTGGGCGCCTGCTTCGGATCCCACAGAGGCCTCTAGTACACGTCGGAACCCGTTTGACTTTATCCTCTGGACGGGAGACTCGGCTCGTCATGATCAGGACCCAGAGATAGAGCGTACATCTGAAGAGATTCAGCAACTCAACCGAGATGCCGTGGCTATGTTTGCGTACCATTTCCCTGGCGTACCGCTTGTGCCGAACTTTGGGAACAATGATATTGTAGCGCACAATACCATGATGGCGGGTCCATCTAAAGAAATTGAGGAGTTTGCGCGCATTTGGGAAGACCATATCCCCAAGGATCAAAGGCCCACGTTCTTGCGTGGTGGCTTCTATGCGAAGGACCTCATCCCCAACAAGCTGGGCGTGATCAGTCTCAACACGCTGTATTTCTACGACTCGAACAAGGCGGTAGATGGGTGTCCACGTCGGCGTCGGAAAGATGAAGACGCCGATGTGGATATCGGCACCCTGGAACTCGAGTGGCTTACTGACCGTTTGATTGAGTTCCGTCGTCGAAATATGCAGGTGCACATTATCGGTCATGTCCCGCCGACGGCTGGTAATTACTACAAGCGGTGCTTTGATGTGTACACAGAATTGGTACTGCGATTCCAGGATACGATCCTCGCGCAGCACTTTGGGCATATGAACTTGGACGCGTTCTTTGTCCAAGAATCGTCTATCGTGAACGACCGTGCATCGAAGGGCAAGAAAGGACAGATTCTGTACAAAATGATCGAGCAGGATCTGCGCTACGACTATGAGTCGCTGCCTGGCAACGCACGAACGGACATGGACTACTACAGCGTGTTTTACGAGGCGCCCAGCATGGTGCCTACGTACCTACCGTCGTTCCGTGTATGGACGTACAATATCAGCATGGAGCACAGCAATCGTCCCTTTGTCGTAATGTCCGACGACGATGCATCGCTGCTGCGTGAGTATGTGTCGTACGACTTGTGTGACGACGATGACCTCTCCGAGGAATGTGTGTGGGAAGGCGACGACGACTTTGCCATTCTGAAAAAGGACCGCCGACATCGCCGTCCCAAGCGCAAGCACCGCCGTCGGCATGCCAAGCTGCCGAGGTACGCCTCGCCTTCGGCGCCTTCGCGAACCAACACACACTTATCCCTACTGGGCTACAGCCAGTGGGTCATGGACCTGGATCGTGCGAATGCACAGTATGAAAACACCCTACGGAAGTACGGGAAAGAAGCTGCTGCAAACCTCACAATTGAGTTTGATCTGGAGTATGCTACGTACGAAGCCCATGTGCTGTGGCACCCCTTCCTGGACGAGCTGGAGCAGAAGAACCCTGACCTCACGCCGCCAGTGCACCACCACTCGCCCGAAGAACACCATATTCCTGTGCCGAAGCATTTGCTTTCGCATGTGCTCGATACCGTGCAGTTGGACTCGCCCTTCCAATGCAATAAGCAAGCCTGTAAATTCGCCAAGCCTCTCAAGGCCTTCTCCAACTACGCACTCGAAGATATGACTCTTCGGTCCGTCATGGACTTGGCACGTCGGCTGGTCCTCGAGCCCAAGCTATGGAAAAGCTATGTGCATCGCTTGTACTGTAACAGTTTGAAAAACTAACTTCCATTACGTAGGACGTGGACCAGGCGGACCAAAACGCGATGGCGGCCATAGAATGCATGATACGCGTGATGTTATCAAACCGAGCGGTACGGGCCCAAACTCGCGACTATCGCGGCTCTTGGACTCTGGGTACAGTCGATCGCCTACGATGGGCTTGTGTGCACTCGCGTCGCCTTCGACCCAGGCGCAATGCGGAGGAATCGTAATGCTAAGCCACGCGCCAGACGCATGGTCCTCAATTTCGTGTGCGAGCTCTTGCAACGCATTTTGGTAAATATTGGTATAAGCCAACGATACGACGTGATCGGGCAAACCCTTGCGCGAGGTGGGGGCCAAGTTTGCGTCGCGTGGTACCCACAAATGGATGGTATCGCCGCCCAGGGCCAAGATCCGTTTGGTGATGATTTTGTTGGGATCGCTGGGTGAGTACAATGTAACGATGTCGCCTTTCTTGAAATCGCGGGAAGCAGTAACAAGCCGATTGAGCAGAACGATATCCGTCGTTGGCTTGTGGCTCGGTCGCACAATCTCTTCGGGCTCGATGGGGTTGAACGTAGGCTGTGGTGAGTACATGGTTCGAACGTACAGACATGCTTGTTCCGCGCACATTGGCCACACTTACAACGTGTCCTGTAAGGAATAGAATGACGGGGAGCCATGCTACAGCACGCCAGAAGGGTCGGATAGGAGAAGGCGATGTGTCGCTATTGCTGCGGCTGTGGGTGGACGACGAGGTCGACGGGGTCGGAGCAGCGGCGCCCAGTTTCGCATGTGAGGAAGAGGCATGTGCCTTCGTATGTTGGTAGCGTGTGGCCCATCCCTTGCGCGGCAGCGCGCGGGGTGGACACGGCGTTACGGCACGAACGCCTACCCGCGACATTACAGGCAGAGAGAGCATGCGGAGGAGGCGAAGAGGGGTGCACGCCTCCATTTCTATCTAAATCTCACGGCGTCTATGGGCGTCGGCGGTACGCACTCAGGCCGAGCTCGTGCATGTCGTCGAGTACCGCGGGACTCAAGCGGATGCGCTTAGTACTAGGGTTCTCGTAAATATCTTCGAGCATTTTGTTTCCGCGGCGCATCATGTACTCGACGGTGGCAAAGTCACGCACGGATACGCCGCCGCCCATGGAGGGGTGCCGGAAAAAGTGGCGGAGGTACAGCAGAAAATCGTAGCGCGATGCCTGGGACATAAGAGAATGGCGCTCACACACATACCTCGGGCTTCGTACGGATCAGACGCAGTCCACGACGGTAGAGAGCCATGACGGCACGCTGGCTTTGCGAATAACGCTTCATTTCTATAGAGTTGGACGTGCGTCTCGATGTTCCTTGTAGGGCAGTGGCAACGACGTTATACAGAACCGCTACACATGCACTTGCCCTATAAGGTATACTATACTTGCTCTAGGTCGCAAGATAGAGGAAAAAAGGCAGAGAGTGCTGCAAAGTGAGCGGGCCTTTCCTCCCACAATAAGCGATCACGAAATGAGTAAAGAAGAACCTGCGCCGCGTGGCGGCGCGGCGAAAGACTTGGGACCCTCCGAGCCACGTGGAGCTCCGACGCCACGACCCCACTTTGCTTGAATGCCCCCATCGATAGGACTACGTTGGTTTTCCTCCTCGTGGACTGTGGCTGGATCGAGAGCTTTCCTTCGCCCTTCTTCACTGCGTACACCTACCGTTCGCTTCTACTCTGCCATGAATCAGCCTTTGCCTTTTCACCTCCAAAAAACTCGCGTGGCGCTTATCCAGCTAGGCAACGTCGGCACTGATAAAACCAAGAACCTAGCAAACGCCCAGAGCGAAATTCTCCGGGCTGTGAAAGAGGCGCCTAGGGATGGCGTAGACATGGTGATTTTACCGGAGTGCTTCAACTCGCCGTACAATGTGGATGTCTTCCGCCAGTATGCTGAGTCCCTTTCGGGCTTGTACGACCAAGTAAAGAAAGGTGGTACAGCCACTACATTCCACGGAGACAAAGCGTGGCCCATCGATAATATGGACAATAAGCAGGCAATTACACCGACCCAGGCAATGCTAGACAAGAGCCCCAGTCTTGCAATGATGAGCGCTGTCGCGAAGGAGCTAGGCGTGGTTCTGGTAGGCGGCAGCATTCCCGAGCTGGATGAGCCCTCTGATCAGATCTATAATACCAGCATTGTGTTGGATGCTCAAGGTATGTCCTGAGAATCTAACAAGCCAGGTAATGTCATTTCTTTGCATCGAAAACTGCACCTGTTTGATATTGACTTCCCTGGCCGCATGACCTTCCAGGAAAGCAAGACCTTGACAGGGGGCGACCGTGTCACCATATTTGACTGTGGTATGTGTCAAACTTCCTACTTACAACAGCATTTGGTCGCTTTGGACTGGGTATTTGCTACGATATGCGCTTCCCTGAAAGCGCAATGATCGCCTCGCGATTGGGTGCCGGAGCCATTGTATACCCAGGTGCCTTCAATACGACGACAGGACCCTTAGCCTGGGAACTACTGCTTCGTGCTCGTGCAGTGGACAACCAAGTATACACGATCGCTTGCTCCCCTGCCCGTCCAGAGAGAGGCTATCCTGCATGGGGCCACAGCACTGTGGTCGACCCCTTGGCCCAAGTCACAGACACTTGCGACGAGCGGCCCACAATTATCTATGCGGAACTTGACCCTGAGCGTGTGACGGATGTCCGTAAAATGGTCCCCATCTCCATGCAGCGCCGCTTTGATGTGTACCCCAACGTAGCCAAGTAAGTAGGTCCCAACACCGCTGCATCGTAGCCCAGACAGCGCCCAGACCACCCCTGGACTAGACGTCACGTGTTATGATGCCCCACCTCACCTCACGCGATCTTTCGTGAGGTTCACCTTCTAGAGTGTGTATCATGTCGACGGCAGACCAGAAACAGGCCAAGCGCCAGCGCTTTGAGAGTGTGTTTTCTACGATTGTCGAGGAACTTCTTGGTTTCCTCAGGACGCAGTCAATGCCAGAGGATGCTATTGAATGGTACAAGCGCAACCTGGAATACAACACGCCTGGCGGCAAGCTGAACCGTGGTTTGTCGGTGGTGGACACGGTTGAGATCCTGCTCTGCACGGACGAGAACAACAAGAAGACTCGCGAGCTCACAGAGGAGGAGTACGTTGAGGCCGCCGTGTTGGGCTGGTGTGTTGAGTTGCTGCAGGCTTACTTCCTCGTCGCTGATGACATGATGGATGCCTCCATTACCCGCCGTGGACACCCTTGCTGGTACCGTGTGGATGGTATTGGTAACATCGCCATCAATGATGCATTTATGCTGGAAGCTGCGATCTACCACCTTTTGAAGACGCACTTCAAGTCGAAGCCGTACTACGGTCACCTTTTGGAGCTTTTCCATGACGTGACGTTCCAGACGGAACTGGGTCAGTTGATTGACTTGATCACGGCGCCAGAGGACTCTGTCGACCTGTCCAAGTTCTCACTAAAGAAGCATCACCTTATTGTCGTGTACAAGACCGCGTTCTATTCATTCTACTTGCCTGTAGCCCTCGCTATGCGCATGTGCGGTGTTGAGGACGAATCTGCGTACAAGCGTGCTGAGGATATTCTTATTCCTCTCGGTGAGTACTTCCAGGTGCAGGACGACTACCTGGACTGCTACGGTGCGCCAGAAGTGATCGGTAAGATCGGTACCGATATTCTGGATAACAAGTGCTCGTGGAATATCAACGTAGCTCTGAGCCATGCCACTGAGGAGCAACGCAAGATCTTGGATGAAAACTACGGCCGTAAGGATGCGCAGTGCGAGCAGAAGGTCAAGGATGTGTTCAACGCGGAGAACATTGATCTGAAGACCAGGTTTGCAGACTACGAGCGTGAGAGCTACGACCGTATTCACGGCTTGATCAATAGCCTCCCTGAGAGTAAGGGCGTGAAGCGCGCCGTCTTTGTGGCTTTCTTCGAGAAGGTGTACAAGCGCAGCAAGTAAGTCTCTTGTTCGTAGAGTAATCCTAAACGGACGTCAAAACATAGTGCCTTTCAATTTAGTCAGCTCCACATGAGCCCTTCAAAAAAGCCAAAATAGTCGACATCTGCAAATCGGTTATATTTTTTTTGTACTATTGCTGCTGCATGGGGCTATCGGAACCGCGCAAGAAGCAACGCCTTGTGAGCGCTGCTAGTCAGCGCAATACGTCATGGATGAATGATGCGTCCTTACCAGGACAACGAATGATGTCCATGATGGGCTGGTCACCAGGTACAGGTCTTGGTACCACAAACAAAGGTATGACGACCAACATCACTGTGGCCATGAAGTTGGATAATAAGGGCATTGGTGCCCAGCGTCATGAGCGGGAGGCGTTAGCGCAAGGTAAAGCAGATGCATGGATTGGTGCAGGTGGTGACTTGGGGTCGCTTTTTGATCGCTTGAATCAGGCGAATGATACCTCTGACTCCAAAGACACTCCTACGACATCGACTGCTGCCGTAACCGCTGTGGCAGCAGTGAGCGAACCACGGCCAGTATTTTCACGATTAGCGTACGTATCCTATTTCTAACATGCCAGGCACCGTGCTAAGTTCCGTCGTGCTAAGCAAATGGTTGGCACAAATGCTATGAGTATGAATGAAATTTTGGGTATCAAGCAAGGCGAGTCCAGTGACATTGGTTCGCCTGCTATTTCTACTCCTGTATCTACTACGACCAGTAGTGCAGAAGAGTCTGACAGTGAGAGTGACGACCTATCTGAACGCAAGTCGAAAAAGAAGGAAAAGAAAAAGTCCAAAGAAAAGACCAAGTCCAAGGACAAAAAGAAAAAGGACAAGGGTGACAAGTCGAAAAAGAAGGATAAGAAAAAGTCCAAAAAGGATGCCGCTGTAGTTTCTTCTAAGCGGAAGCGTGACGCGAATGAAGAAGAAGAGACAGCAATTCATCTTGAAGAGGAGTCTAACGTCATCATGAATACTAGTGGACAATACGTGTTCCAGTATTTGTCAAACAAACTTATACGCAAGAAGGCTGAAATTGCTCAGCGCAAGCGCGAACAGGGCATATGGTGGGGTTCATAGTGTTCATACCTTTTTACTTGGATGTTTCTGCCGGCAATGGACGTTCGTTGGGTATCGGCGCATCGCGCATCTGTTTCACCTGCATGTCACGCATAGACTGTTCAATCATCGGCTGAAAAATGTAATAGCCAGAGGCCACGCCAACGACCGTCGCCACCAACAAGCTACCTAGTTGTGGACGCGCCATGATGGAAGTCAGAATGGACCGTGATCGTAGGCGTTCCTCGCTCTCTCATCACGTGCTAGGTAGGTGGCGGACGGGTGGTATATACTTGCACCTCCACGCGGCGTAACGCACGGGCGGTTGTGCCAAAGGTGCAATTCGTCTGGTTGTCAGATCTCTTTCTTACAACGCCACCATGTCAACTGCGCATGTGTGGCGACCTCGACCCGCGTACCAACGGTACCATCGAATGTTAAATGTGTACAGGTACCACATTTTTTTAATTGGCACTCTGGGAGGCATCATTCTCCTTGGTTCCTTTGTGTCGTTTCTATTTAAGTTGAACCACTTCAACTTGTCACTCTCGCAGATTCGCGCGACAGATTATCTTGCCTTTAAAAACCTGGAGCGTACAGCTCCATCAGTATGGGCAGATCGCAGGAATTGGATGAATGTATGGTTTGTGAAACTGGCATGGTTCTGGAATACGCTGTGCATTCTGCTCATCTCTTTCACCCTGAAGCGCACTGGTGGTGGCTTGCGTGGTGAAATGGGTAAAGTCAGTGTGCCTGCGCGTCTTCATTCGTGGCATGATGTGCTTGCTTCAAAAACGTTCCTGCGCTGGATCATCCCCACACTTGGCTGGTTCGGCTTGACGCAATGGATGCTTGGTGCACCGTTGTTGGAGCGATTGCATATAGCCACTGGTGCTGCATGCTATGCAAATTCTGTAAGTGTCGATGAGAGTTTGTGTAGGACGCGTGCTCCTATCAGTACTACATCGCACCCCATTCTCTATGAGCAATTCCATCCAGCTTTGCAAGAGCACGCCGGGCCTATTCGTGCTGGATGGCATGGTGGCTTTGACGTGTCTGGCCACACCTTTGTGCTGGTTCTGAGCATTCTTTTGTTGGCAGAAATGATCATACCATATATCCCCTCGTGGATGACATGTCATGCCATCCCTTCGCACCTGCAAAGTCATCGACGCGTGTTCGCCAGTGGTTCTGCTCTCACCCGTTTACTCAATGCGGTGGCTCTTGTATCTACAATGACTCTTCTCGCATTATGGTGCTCTATGCTATTCTCTACAAGTCTTTACTACCATACGGCGCTAGAGAAGCTCGGCGGATACCTCTTCGCCTTGCTAGTGTGGGTGTGCATGCCTCGGGAAAGTGTGCATCTCACTTAGGCGGACCTTGCCTGCCATTCATGCCACAAAAACTGCAGTGCATTTGTGGGGTCAACCCAAGCGCCTGTATCGTCTTCCAATGCCATACGTGAATAATCGCCTTGTGCATTGAATACAATATCACGCAAAGCTTCCCATTCTTCAACCATAGTCGACGGAATCGTTTCTGTATAGATATCGATGTGCTTCTTGTCCTCTTCCAAGCTCGCTTGTAGCGCTTGGGCTGTAGCACTTGCACGTGCCGGCACACCGCGAATTCCAATGCGCAATGGTTTGTCATCGATGCGCATTTTGGCCAGGCCTTCTAACGGATCTTTCTCCACGACTACTTTTCGCAAGACATGTGCGTCGCGTGAGCAGTCTCCATAGTCTTTAGGGGTGGTATGCACAAAGTGCTGCAGCACTGGCATACGACGAATCGCGTCCACTTCTGAATGGGATAGATTCACATCACATACGCGCAGTTCCTGTACACGTCGGAACATGGGCGCATCAAAGGCTGAGATGAAGCTGTGTGGATTGATGGACGTAATGCATCGTGGCTGACAAGCTGTGCCATACGACTGTACAATATCTGCTGCCACCAAGGAACCACTCAATGCAATATCTTCTAGGCGCCGGCAGGCACGAAGTACAAAGCGTGTATCATTGTACACTTGCTCACGTTGCTTTTCCAAGTAGGCCGAGTCACCCGGCATCGGCAGAGATAGAATGCTTAGGAAATCTGATCGCGCATGTGTAGGACCAATCCATAGTCGGCGCACAGCGCGTGCAACTTCGGGTCGTGCACGAACAAGGGATGCAAAGTTCTCAAGGGCAGATGCCGAGCACAGCTCGACGCGGGTATAGGCTGAGGTTTGCAGAACTTGCCGCCATACATGATTGAGCTGCAATAGCCGGACAGCTGTCACTTGATCAAGGTAGAGGGCATACGAAAATATTTTTTGAAGAATCTCAGAAGGGATATAATATCCTGTGGGAGCGCGTGACGAGGAAGCCGTAGGTGTATGAGACGCGCTTATCGTGACATTGGCACGTCGCATGGCTGCAAAAATAAACGAGTGTTAGGCCGATCTTGTTTAAAATAGAAACTAGCCGGGGGATACGTGTGCCGATCTTCTCCACATGTACACCGAGTAGCCGGAGAGAGGGAGAAAATCATACGTTGGTTGGTCCCATCGCCGATCAATGCGGGGACCAAATCGATCCTCCACTTGTCATTTATTTTCTTTGAGATCTAAAGCTATAAAGGATTATCAAAGCCATGGCCTAGGCACGAGTCACCTATTTTCGGCGCCGTAAACCGAACAAACGCTGTGCGGTATCGCGCGCTCGACGCTTTGTGGTCGATGCTGGAGGTGCCTGGGCTGCTGGATCGTACCACGATGAAGGCTGAGCGCCTGTCGCCTCGTTCATCGCTGCAAAGTTTTGCGGCATTTTGGCAGGCGATTTGGGGGGAGGCGTCGGCACCGATTCTGCGCCAAAGGAGGTCTCAGCTGGTATGTTCGACCCTGGCGCTATGCGCGTCACGGATGAGAATGAATGAGATGATGGCATCTCCTCCACGGAGACAGGCCGGGGCATGGGGGCCTCGTAGGTTTCAGGGGCATAGTACGCTTGAGGTTGTGTCGTAGCAGCGTGAGATGTGTAGGGTGGTTGAGGAACGTCCCCTGCGGTGGGCATAATTGCCGGATCAAAGTACGACTGTGATGGTTGGGCGAACAATTCCGCATTTTGTTCGTAGGTATACGCGTTCGCATCGTAGTGTGCTTGTGCGTACTGTGGATCGTCGGCATGTTGGGTCATCTCCTGGTCGTAATACGGCATGTCATAGGCTCCCTGAGCAGGGGTCTGGGTCTGGGCCTGAGCATAGGGATGCCATGCCGCCTGCGAAAACGTGGCAGTGTCGGTCGGCCACGGCGCCGGCTGCATTGAGCTGGCTGGCGGCGATACCGTGGAGTCCTGGGACGCAGGTCGGTTCATGTCGCGGCTCAGGGCGGCTGACGTCCGCGGCTGACTAGTGCTCCAACGTTGCGGCGGTTCTTCCAACGCCGACGACGCCTGCGTCTCTGCCTGCGCCTGCGCCTGAGCCTGCGCACGTCGCCGTGCTTTCGCGCCTCGCTTGCCAGGCAGCGGGTTCGTCAGGTGAGAGAAGAACGAATGTTTGGACTGCTGCGTTTGTTGAGACTGCTGGGACGGTCGCGATGGGTTGGTGTACTGAGACGTGGACGTCCGCTGCGTCATCGATGGCTGCATCGGCTGACTTGCGGGGTTCGTGAAAGATGCTCGTTGTTGTTGCGACGATGGCCGTGGTGCGGCCGGTCCAGGTTCGCCCATGGCAGGTGCGCCTGGCGATGGCATCTGTGTAGTCGCAGGCGGTGCCGGTGTGACAGACGCTTTCGGTGCTTGCATCGCTGTGCCTGTCGGCAAGGGCGCTTCTGCGGCAGGTGGCTTGGGCGACGGGCCGCTGCTACTACCTGCCGCAGGTCCCTTCACCGCATCTTCTGCCGCGAGCGCCCATGGCGGAGGCGGTGTCAGTTTATGCATCACGATGTTCTGCAGAACATACATCCACTCACGGCACTGCAGTTCCGTGTCCGCGTATAAGTAAATCTTCTCGCCATCACGGAACGTGAGGCAGAACGAGTGCGGCATCGCGCATACATCCTCAGAATCACGTGCCCCAGCACTCTGCCCACACGGTTCGACTGACAACGCTTGGACCAAGTCGATGCGTGTGGTAGGCCGACGCGTGACTTCATTGTAGCAAATCAGGTTGAGACCGACAATGCGCATGGGCCGACGTCGCCATGAGGAGCAATCGCCACCAAGCTGTGTGAGTGTGCCTTCGTATGTCGTCGAGGTATTTCGCCATGCCACAGCGTTCATCCCTTGCACGGCCTCGTCAATGTTGCCAGGCAGTGTGCCTTCGAGCGATTTGGGCACCGGCGGCAAGTAAAACAAGTGGATGTGCAGTGTGCCCCGCGACTTGGACGAGGTCCAGCGGTTCGTGCGTGTAGCCTCCACGTCCAGCACAGGCATAGCCATGGAGAGACGTTTCGTGTAGCACTGTGCACGGACTTCGTCCAGCACGACTTTCACCTGGCCCAGGTACGGTGTACGTGGCGTCGTAGAACGTGGCGCACCCAGGCCAGCGGTGCCTGTCTTGAGCTTCGAAGAACGTGTGCCCAAGTGCTTGCTAAAGAACTTGCCCACGCCACTTCGAGCCTCCCCACTCAAACCACCGAGCTCACTTGGCGCCCCTTCCGACTCGGCCCGCACCTGATCCAACATAAACGTAAGCGTAATCGCAAAGTTCGGGCTTTCCAGCAGTTCAAATTCCTGGTCGATAGGCGAGGCGCCGTCCTTGGCGCGATGCAGCGGCATCGATGCCGTCTTGACACGGTGAATACCGTTGTCGAGAATGCACGAAAACGTCGAGTCGGGGTATACCGGTACCGACGAGGGCGGGAGGTACGAGTCCATTGCCAGGAACAAACGGCCTGTGGTGTACATACCATGTGCCTCAGGCGCTCGCGTCGATGCTAGTGATGTACGTGCCAACGTTGCGACTTCGTTCGGCTGCTGCACTCGCTTCCATGCCTTGTGGCCGGCGTACGGCTGCTCGTACGGCATCATATCCACGTACACACCACGCTCATGGATGCGATACTTCTGGTCGCTTTCACGCACAATCCGGCGAAGCTCGCGGTCCAGGACGTTGCCGAACGCGGTTTCAGGGCCATTCGACTCATCAGCCTGGGGAGCGGGCGCTGTGGTATCTTCCTGCGTCTCATCCAGTGTAGGCTCAGCGTGCGACGCAGGCGAAAGGAAGACATCTGATCCATCTTCCGACGTGCCTGGCACTTCGTGGGCGGCCTGCACAGACCCCGTCTGAGAAACGCCGGCCGCGGAGGTCATACTCCCATCCCCGAACCATGTCGACTGCCGCTGCAACTCTTTTGAGAGCGTATGTGGCACAGTCTGGGCCGAGGTAGTAGCCTGAGATGCCTTCGTCTGCAGTTCGGAGGCCATTTGCGTCAGTGGACTCCGTAGCGAGGTAGCTGATCGACGTGCACCGACGCTGGGCTTCGCTGGGCTTTCGTATTGGCGCTCCATCCGAGCGCGAATCGCATCGCGCGTGATGTGAGGACGCACTGTGCGTGGGGGCAGTTCCACCGCGCGACGACGTGGTGCGGGGGCTGTATCGGTATCCTTGTCCAAGTTGTCAATTAGTATAGGGCTCCAACTGGGCAAAGTCGGCAGATCCGGGGTGGGCAAGGACGGCAGCGGTGCTGATTCTGGGCTTTTGTTCGAGACAATGCGACGCATCGTTGCACTGCGTCCTATTCCCGTCGTCGGCGCATCCGGGACGTTGGCCAAGCCGTCTTCTTCCAAGAGCTGATCCACGAGATCTGTGCCATCCTCCATAGCCATAGAGTCCTCTGCTAGCAAGGCATCCACATCTACCATCTCTTCCTCTTGTACAACGCCCTGCGGCGCCTCTGTAAGCACATCGTCGTCATGCGCCGTCGTGCGCATTGTCGTCATGGAAGGCGCATACTCGCGCGACATATCGTACATGCCTGGCTGTTGTGGCACGCCTGTATCGATCCCAAGCCCTTCCAGAAGGGATTGATCTGCCCGCGGTGCTAGGTCGAGCAGATCCATCGAGTACCCAAAACTGCGAGAGGGGGCCACATTGGGCAGCACGGGGGCGGGCTCCGTGGTAGGCTCCGTCGTGGAAGATACCGGAGCCTCGTTTGGATGCTTCCATGCATACTCCCGCGTAGGGCTATCCGATCGAAAGTTGGAAATGTGTGTTACTTTGACATCAGCTTGCGGCGGCGGCGGAGGACCATCCAACGACACATCGCTGGTCGGACCGGGGGTGGGGACGCTTAAGGACTGGCGTACCGCCTCCCTTTCGTCGTACGAAAGCGACATATTTGCCAGCGACTCGTCACTTGGCTTGTACTGTTCCAACACATCGTTCACGACGATCCGATCCACTGTCGAAAGGGATGGCATCGTCCCAGGCCGTCCTGACGTACCAAGGAAGAGATGGGCAGGAATCGCACTCTTCTCCTGATCCACACGATGGAACGGCTTGCTGCCAGCCTGGATGGCCGACGCAGGGCGGTCCATGACGCGCGGCATGCGCGTGTCTGTGCTTGGTGCCGTGGATGGCGTCTTGGAAATCACAGCACCAAGGCCAAGGTGGGCACTAAACGACTCATCCAGCGGCTTTTCCGCTCGATACTCTTGGTCCATTGGCGCGGGGACAGGCATGTTGCCTGATTCCTCCTGGGTACGCCGCATCGTTCGCGCTCGCTCGACGGCAACTCAGAGACCGATGGGCGCGCGGCACAACACTGGTCGTCCATCCAAACAGTTCGCGTCGGCGCGGCCATCACGTGACACCAACAAGCGTACTCCACTTCTTCGTATGCCTACGACACGACATGCTGCATCGATGGTCGGTCGCGCGTGTATGGGTGGCACAGCGTAGTAGGTCGTATGCTACGAGTGCAAGCCACGTTCATACTGTGGTCATCGGTGGCGGTCATGCTGGCGTCGAAGCTGCGGCGGCGTCAGCTCGTACAGGCGCCTCCACAGTACTGCTCACGACGTCGGCGGCCACGATAGGCGAGATGAGCTGCAATCCCAGCATCGGCGGGATTGGCAAAGGGACACTGACACGCGAACTCGATGCTCTGGGTGGTTTGGGCGGCCTTGCGGCCGATCATGCAGCGATCCAATTCCGTATGCTCAATCGATCCAAAGGTCCTGCAGTGCATGTACGTATGACGTTGCTCACATCCGTGTAGGGACCACGTGCACAGATGGACAGGTATTTGTACAAGACACGCATCCAGTCCATGCTGCGTGAGCAGCCACACCTGATGATTCGCGAGGCCCATGTCCATGGCCTCGCGTTGGCCTGGTGCGACTCGCCGCAGGAGGGGCGTGTGGCGCATGTCACAGGTGTCTTACTACGTACGTGAACATCGACTTACCTTCCAGAATCGGGCGAAATGATTCCATGCGACCAGGTCGTACTATGTACGGGCACTTTTCTCTCCGCTACTATCCTTTCTGGACTAACACGACGGCCGGCAGGGCGTATGTTGCCTATGCCTCACAATGGCGATGAGCCCAGCTCCGAAGGGCTTAGTATGTCGTTGGCACGTGCTGGCTTCCGCCTGGGACGCCTGAAAACAGGGACGCCGCCACGTATTGATGCTACCTCGGTCGATCTTGGCGCACAGAGTCCCAACGATACCCAGCCTCGCTCATCACGGTCGCCGGCATTGTCGGTGATTGCAGGCGACGACACACCTGTGGCATTCTCCTTTCTTCACCCAGACGGTCCACCGATCGACCCACAAGCACAGTTGTACTGTTATGGAACGCGAACGACACCTGAGACGCATGCCATTGTGCAAGAGCAGATCCACGGTGACGAGTACGAAATGACGAAGTACACCGGCCCACGGTACTGCCCTTCGCTCGAAGTCAAAGTCCTCCGCTTTGCTCACAAGACCTCGCACCCTGTATGGCTCGAGCCAGAAGGCTTTCCTTCCAATCCTCAAGGTGATGGCCAAGTGTTGTACCCGAACGGCCTCTCCTGTTCGCTTCCGCCGGCCTCCCAAGAGGCTATGATTCGTACGATCCCCGGCCTGGAAAAGGCTCGGATGCTGCGTCCAGGATATGCAGTCGAGTACGATCACATTGATCCACGAGAATTGCTGCCTACGCTGGAAACGCGGCGCATCGGTGGCCTGGCTATGGCAGGTCAGATTAATGGGACCACAGGCTACGAAGAAGCTGCAGCGCAAGGCATCTTGGCGGGCCTCAACGCTGGTCTGCGTGCACAGCGCCGTGAGGAGCTGCACCTGGCTCGCAGCGATGCCTTCCTCGGTGTTATGCTAGATGATTTGCGTCTTCAAGGTGTGCTTGAGCCGTGTACGTATCCCTCTTACTTACGCACAGATCGAATATTTACGTCTCGCTCCGAGTATCGTTTGTCCATCCGCGCTGATAATGCGGATCTTCGATTGACGCCGCGCCTCATGGCAGTGTGTCCGCAAGCCGTTTCGTCCGCTCGCGTTACCGAATTGACACGTGTCCAGGCCGACCTGGCGTACGGTATGGAGATTCTCTCACGCACTGTCATGACCTCTCGTGCATGGGCCCAGCGTGGTCTCGCAGCCGCAGCAGAGGATGTACGGCCTGTGCGTGCTTTGGATATGCTACGTCGACCCAAGGTCTCTATCGCGGATGTATTGCCGTACGTGCCTGACTTGCATGCGCTGCCTCCACGTACTTTGGAACGGCTAGGAATCCAAGCATCATACATGGCCCTTTTGGAGCGTCAGGCACAGGATATCGAGGCCTTTGAACGAGACGAAGCCTTGACGTTGCCCCCCTTGGACTACCACACTCTTGCTGGACTGAGCGATGAAATGAAGGAAAGGCTTACCGATATCCGTCCACGTACGCTAGGTGAAGCGAAACGTATCGTTGGATTCACACCAGCCTGCTATGCCATTCTTTGGCGGCAGGCGACCCTCGCCGTTTCGACACAGCGTTCGTAGCGCCATATACCTCCACATAAGCAACGGCCCCAGGCTTCGTGTCCTCCTCCACTTGGTCGTTACGCCGAAGCGAACGCCGAACGATTGTCTTCCTGTTGCTCTCCACGATGGCGTTCATGACTGACGAAGAGCGCCTGGAGTACCAGGAGCGCAAGTTGGCGCATACCGTACCTATTGAGTACAAGCGTACGCGCAAGCCCATGGTCAAAGAGCTGCTTTCGATTCTGGTGGCAGCAGCTATGCTCGTGTGGGTCACGTTGCACTACCACTACCGCCTGCCAGCGCCATTGCAGGCCACAACTCCGGAGCTACCGCGTCCTGGGATGAAGGCCAGTGAGGGATGGTACAGAAAGTTTTTCGCGCATGAACTGGATACGCAGTCTGCGCCTGCCTATCATCCCTTTGACAACACCTCGTCAGCGCAAGCGCCGATCTACAATGGACCTATGCACACGTACTTCAGCGAGGCCAATGCTATGATGACGATGCAGTACCTATCTGAAGGAATTGGATACCGTGTGGTTGGAACGCAGCAGCACATCGATGCGGAAGCATGGGTCGAGTCAATTCTCCGTCGGTACGAAGGTACGCACGCTACAGGCGAGTCGTACCAGACGGAGGTGGAAGTGTTTAAGCAGGTGGGCGATGGTGCCCACCGTTTCGAGATCCTGGGTCATCCTGTGTGGAAGAAGTACCACAGCATGTCAAATCTGATTGTACGGATCTCAGACGGCACGGACGAAGGCAAGGCACAGACACTGCTTCTCAATGCGCATCTGGACAGCACACTGCCTTCGCCTGGTGCTGCGGATGACGCTGCAGGTGTTGCTATCATGCTAGAGGCGTTGCGAGTGCTCACCATGCCTGGTGCACCACGCTTGAAGCATGGCCTCATTCTCCTGTTCAACAACGGAGAAGAATCTCTGCAGGATGCCTCGCACTTGTACATGACACAACATGAGACCAACACCTCTGTCCGTGCTGTGCTTAACATGGAAGCATGCGGTGTATCGGGCCCTACTCTCCTTTTCCAAGCAACAGACGACGTGCTTATCAACGCGTACGCCAAGGTCCCGCATCCTTTCGGTACTGTGTTGGCCAGTGATGTGTTCTCGTCCGGTGTGATTATGAGCGACACGGATTTCCGTCAGTTTGTCGAATATGGTCTTGGCTTGCCAGGTCTGGATATGGCGATTGTCGGCTCTTCCTACCTGTACCATACGCGTTTGGATGTGCCTGCGTACATTGAGCGAGGTGTGATGCAGCACTTTGGCGAGAATGTATTTTCCCTTCTTGAATCTCTTGCTCTCAACCCTGACTCGCAGCTGTCGGAAGCTCGCCGCTGGCCGTACGACATCAAGCGTGTGCTGCCCGTGTACTTCTCGATGTTTGGTACCTGGTTCATCAACATGCCAGCTCGTTTGTTCAAGAACATGATCCTTTCGTTGGGTGTGGCTGTCAACTTCCTTCTAGCCTCGATCAACACGTCTGAAACGCGTGTGCACTTCATTTCATACTCGCTTCTGTCGGCCCTTGGCTTGGTAGCAAGCTACGTAGCGGCTATTCTCGCCGCCAACGTCGTGGCACTGACACTGCGCGGTGTGAACATGCCGCTTTCCTGGTTTGGACATGAATGGTATGCACTAGCTCTGTTTACTCCGCCGGCGATAGCAGCTGTGGTGGGTACACAGTTGATACTCCGCCGCTTTGCCGAACGTTCTCGTCGGCCGTACTTGGAGTTGTCCACGTTCTCTGGCCACAGCATCGTATACACACTGTGCCTTATGGTGATGAACATGTACGGTCTGGGCTCTGCCTACTTGATGTTCACCGCTACACTGGCCTTCTTTTTGCCTCTCTTATTCAATGACTTTGTGTTTATTGGTCTGCCGGCTATTGCGGAAGGCAAGGTCGCACCGGATCGTCGTGTGCGCTTGGTTTCGTACTTTCTTGCCCTGCTTCCTGCTGCGACCATGGGAGCAGAAGGCGTGATTTCGTTCCTGGATTTGCTTGTTCCGCTTATGGGCCGTATGGGTACCGAGGTGCCTGTGGACCATGTCATTGGCACTTTGGTTGCTGTCCTCGTGACGCTCAATGCCGGCTTCTTTGTGCCTCTATGCCACCGTTACGGCGCACGGTTCATGCACCATGCTGTGCTAGTCCTTCTCGGTGTAACGGCCGTGACAACAGCTTTCTTTGCTATGCCTGGTGTGCCGACGTTTGACAAGACGCATCCACGCCGTTTGCTACTCCATCATGTTGAAAACATTACCAGTGGTGAGTGGCATGTGGCTTACTCTTCGCTGGATTCGGCGAAGGAAAACCCTGCTATGGCCACAGAGCTGGAACGCGTCCTCCTTCACGGCGCTACGAATCACTCGCTCAGCTGGGATGACTCCCCCCAAGTGGCGGCGGACATGGACATTCTGTTCCCTCTGACGCACTTTATCGACACCTCGCGTGTCACACTCCCATCTACCCCAGCACGTGAGGCGGCTTCCAAGGACATGCAGCGTTGGTCTCAGTTCCGTGTGACCTGCGACGACATTCGCATCGATCCTGTGAATGCGACGCGTGAAGTGGTTCTTCGTTTGCATCACCCTGAGATTGCATGGTCGACGCTCTCCTTTGATGCGGAGGTATTAGATTGGGACTTTGCCGAAGCGCCCCCTAGTGGCTGGCAACGTCATCATTTGAAAGATGTGTCGCGTCTTGGTGCCAATGAATTTGCCATGCGCCTCGTGCTTAAGCTCACGCCTGAGCAAGTGGCTTCCTATGCTTCGCACAAGACTCGTCGCGACACTCTTCTACGCTCCCCACCCTTCCACACGGAAACGGCCATTCATCCCAGCCGACTCCGTGTACACTACTCGGGCTTGGATGCGTTCGGTATGTACCCACACCACAAGAATGTTGGTATGGACAGGCTCTCGATGCAGACATTAGCAGAGTTGGATGCTATGTTTACCTCATCGTTCCCTGAAATCGATCCGATGCTCATGTCTGTCATTGCCGGTGTGGCTGAGTGCTAAGTAGTCATCTAGTATAACACGCTATCTACACCTACGAACGAACTGTGCAGTCGATAGTATAGGGAAAAGGGCAAAGTCCAGCCTCAATGATGGGGGGTATGCGGGCTTGGTGCTCGTTGGCAAATGTCATGGCCGTCATGAGAAATTCAGTGAGATCTGACTCGACATGTTTGGTATCTGAGTCCACATTGGTATAATCCACATGGAGGCCAAGAACCCACTGCTCAAATACATCTGTGTCTGTGGATTCATGGGTAGCGTCTAGCACCAGGACGCGACTTGCATCACGCTCACGGCCATTCCCGCTCATGCGCGTGCCTGCCAATGCCGACGCCATCCAAGAGTAGGGCGATTGAAATACCGCATAGGATTTTTGACTGCTTGGCTGGCTCGAGCTGAATCGGTCTGGTGTTGACGCACGTGAAGGCCGCTCACTCCCAGGCGTGAGAGGCTTGTGCCAGCTTACGACAATATCCACGCACGTCTTATCATGTTCCTCCTGCCGATCCATATAGTTGTCCAACTGGCGAAATAGCTGCCTTGTCGTATCCTGTATTCGGGTAATGGTTGCCTCATCATTCACGCGAGGCTGTTTTATGTGAGTCCAGCATGGCTCCACGCACCATCTCCACACCCAGCACGGGCTCACTGCGGGGGTGCAGCAGTCCCAACAAACGCACAAAACAGATGGCGTGCAAAACACCCTCAACCAGTTCTGGTGCAGCTTCTCGGCCCACCATCTGAAGTCAGCGTAGGATAAACGTACTAATTCTCGCGTATATATGGGGATCCGCGTAGCTGCCTGCATGTTGTCGTCGTCAGCGGAGAACCTCCACACCGTCGCATCGGTCGAGCCACTTAAATCTACAACTTCATCCTCCTATTTCCCATCTATTACGATTTTCTTGAAGAGGGGATGAAACGGATTCGTTTCTCGTAGAATTCAACCATTCTCTGCGGGCAGCGTTGGTTCGTCATACTGGTCGGGAATGTAGCTGATGTGCCATCGCGAAATAATACCGTCGCAAAAAGCATATCGTGCATGCGCCGTACTTTTGTAACACTTTGGACAATAGGGTCCCAATCCGGTGTGTTGTACTTCTCTCGGTAAAATTGAGCATTCAATATAGGTGGTGAGAGGTAAAGGCTTGCCTTTGGAGGATATATGTGCGCGCGAGTGGGATCGCTTGTCTGTGCAGCAAATGGTGCCTGTTCTGGTGTTGAGAACGTGGATCTCTGTGCAGGGGTAGACATCATTGGCTCCGACATGGTCTCTGATTGCCACTCTGCTGGTATCGAGGGCTGTCGTGAGGGCGAGGTCAGCGTCGATGTGGTATACGGTGAGTGAGTGCCGTGCTCCTGCTGTACAAATGATTCAGATGATTGTATAGTCTCCTCCGTGGGCAGATGAGAACGCGACTGAGTTCTAAACTCTTCGCTCTTGACTTGCAGTGTTCCTAGGGGGTCAGAGGTATCGCGTGTGAACCCATCATGCTCTCCTTCCGGCTTGGAATACTCGCTCTGTGACTCTTCTTTAAATAAATCCGACGGTTGGTAATCCATTGTGTACACAGGTAGGGCGCTTTCTCGGCTCAATTGGTGCAGCGCTTCTACCTGCTTTTGCGCATCCCGATGTGTCATTCCCTGAAAACATGTCCAATACCGGTATACGAGACCATCTGCTTCTAACGCATACATCGCTGGCTCCCAGGTAAAGTCATCCTCCATATCACTCTGCCATTTAACACGATATTCCAATTGGCCCTGGGGTAAGTGTCCAATGGTACATACATTGACGGGGCTGATTCTATGCGCCACAATAGCCTCGACAACACCTTCTTCCATATCTGAGGCATCACTCTCTTGATGCTGTGACATTATAGGTAGTAATTAGCCGTAGCGAGGTGTAGTACGACAAAGTCCCAAGTGTGCGGCACGGAGAAGACCAGGGAGTGTCGGACTGGGATGCGAGTACTGCAGAGGTCCACGACTCTCCCTGCCTCCACATCCTTTTTTTTGCTTTTCTTTGCAATGGCTCGACGCACGCCATCCGCGTCGGGAGACAAGGACAAGCAAGCACAATTGCGTGCGTTGGAAGCACAGTTCTTCCAGCAGTTTGATATACCAGGTGCTAAAACGCAGGAAGACGCTCTGGAAAGCGAGACAGAAGACGAAGCGGACAGCAGTGAAGAACACGATGAGGACGATATCGTTGAGGCTGACGAAGACGAAGACGATGAAGATGAGGATGAGGATGACGAGGAAGGCAGTGGCAGTGATAAAAACGACTTTGATGATGACGAAGATTTATTGCAGCAAGCGCTAGCCAAAGGCCATACATCAGGCCCCTCGTCTCGTCGTCCTGAGCCATCTGGCACTGTCCATACCCCTGCAACCTCTGCACCAAAACGACGTGTACCTGAGACGGTGGTGTTCTCTGACCCTTCTTCACGTTCATCTACCCCTGTGTCGAAGGGCGCCTGGAAGCAATTTATGGTACGTGATCCTGTAACTTACGCAGTCATCGAAAATTGAGCATATCAACAAAGAGCCTCAGGGCTCTGCGCCTACGAAGGACGAGGACGTAGATGAAGATGAGGCGGATCAACGTGCCAATGATCGAAAACTATCGGAGCTGCTATCTACGACACTGTTTGCGCCTGGCGGCACCAGCACGGAAGGCAAGAAACGCAAACTTACGTCAACAACCAACGAGACACTCGCACGAATTATGGAGCTATCCTCCGCCGATACCATCCAAGGGCCATCGCTTGGTGTAGGTTGGGGCGAGAAGAAGCTCAAGGCGACTGAGCTTGGCAAGATGCCTGCGCGCATCCGTCAAGGTTTGCGTCGCGCGGCTGGAGAGCGACGTGATCGTGAGATCGAGACGCAAAAGGAGCTAGGTTTATGGAACCCCAAGATCCACAAGCAAACAGTCATGACGCGTGGATCAGAGACGGAGCGTGGCTCTCGTGCGACGCAGCCCAAACAGCGTCAGCGTGGTATCGGCAGCGGTGTGGGCAAGTTCCGTGGGGGTGTATTGCATTTGAGCGATAGCGATATCCGGCGGATTCGCGGCTCTCATCGCGGTGGCAGTCGAGGTGGTGGCAGCCGTCGCTAAATTCATTCCTACATGTACCATAGAAGGGGCGCAGCATGGCCCAAGCGTAGTACGTGGCCTCCACGTGACATTGAAAAAAGTCGTAGATGCACCTGCCGACGAGGTACGTAGCGCTGGCCGAGAGAGTGACGATCTGTGACTTGAACGACGATGGCCGCCTCCTCTTCTTCCGCAGAGATGGAGAGTGTGACTACGTCGGCACGTATGCTCAACACGACTGGGCCTGAGAATGATGCAGATGAAGTGTGGGCGGAGGAGGACGACAACTTTGATGGGTGGGAGGAAGCGCAGGTGCCTTCACGAGCGCTGTTCCCTGACGACTCGACGTCGTTTGAGAGTGCCGAGCAGGCGTTGGAGCATGCAAAGGCCCAGGGATGCGATCTTCGTGCCTTGGTGACTCGTTTGCAGCTGGATTCGTTCCAGGTGCTTCGCTTGATCAACTACATTCGTCGCCCATCGACGTCGCCACGCCCCACGCCTGCTTCTGTGATGGCGCTGACGGGGCATGAGGCATTCCTGCAAGATGACAAAGAGCTTCAGCCTGTGTCTGGCTACGAAGAAGATGGTCTACTGCAATTGGATTTGGCTGACGAGTCGACGAACGATGATCCTGCCGCCGAGCTTCAGATGCTGCGCCAGGCGTACAACGAGCTGCGTCGTCAGTACGCGGAACGGATCGGTATCACGTCCGATGTCGCGCAGCAGGACACGTCCGCTACGGCGGCGCCCTCTTCGGCATCTCGCAATGTCGATGCGCAGTACTTTGAGAGCTATGCCGGCCATGACATTCATCAGACGATGATTGCCGATTCCGTGCGTACGCTGTCGTATGCCAAGTTTTTGCTCTCGCCCGAGAATGCGCACCTTTTGCGAGGCAAGACTGTGATGGATGTCGGCTGTGGTTCGGGTATTTTGAGTCTGTTTTGTGCGCGTGCAGGTGCGAAGCAAGTGCTGGCCATTGATGCAAGTCCCGTCGCGGCGCGTGCCGAGGCCAATGTGCGCGAGAATGGATTCAGTCACGTTGTGCGTGTGTACCGCGGGAAGATGGAGGAGCTGGATACGCAGCTGGCCTCGTACGTGGGTCAAGTGGACGTGCTGGTGAGCGAGTGGATGGGCTACTTCTTGCTCTATGAAAGCATGCTTCCTTCGGTCCTCTATGCGCGTGACCGATACTTGCGTCCGGAGGGCATTCTTGCGCCGTCACACAGCCGGATGCTGCTGGCAGCTGCGACGGACTGTGGCGTGCTTTGCGAGCGTCAGCGGTTCTGGCAGGACGTGTACGGTTTCCGCATGCCGAGCATGACAGAAGGGCTTATGGACGAAGCTGCGACAGAGGAAGTGGAAGCGGAGGCGATTGTCAGCGATGCCGCGACGATTTGCGATCTGCCGCTGGAGACGCTACCGGTCAAGCAGCCTGAGTTCGTGTCGCCATTCCGTGTGACGGTGCAGCGTGACTGCACTGTGCATGGGTTTGTGTCGTGGTTCGATACTTGGTTTGCGCCTTCGCCACGCTTGCCATTTGATGCACTGCCGCCCGTCACGGTCTCGCCTGTCCAGCCGAGCGACGTACATGGCCTGACTTTGCACGGCTCGCAGGTGGTAGCGCCACCGAATAGTGCGTCGCAGGGCGAAGTCGTCTCGTTCACGACGTCGCCGTTCGGCAAGCAGACGCACTGGAAGCAAACCATCTTCTTGCTCAAGACCCCGATCGACGCGAAGCAGGGGACGACCATCCAGGGCGAGATTCGTGTCGTTGCGGCCCAATCCAACGAGCGTGAACTCGATGTCGAATTGCACTATGGTGTCGACGAAGACAAGCGCCCGGCCGGTGAGAAGCGCGTAGCGACGCGCATGATCCAAGTATACTCGGTGCGTTGAGAAGCGCGTTCATAGATGCTATGCATATATACAGCTACATGGCATGCCAATGCGCTTGCGCATAACGAGCCCGTCGGCTTACTGCAACGACGCGAGCTCCTTGCGAATGTCCGCCTCCGTGTCGATTTTCTGGAGCTGCGTCTGCTCGAGTGTCTCGCCGCGATCCCGGCGTTCTTTCAGCTGCTCGATCGCCTTGAGTTTCTTCGTCAGGTTGCGCAGCTTCTTTTCCACGGCACCCGCCTCGGAGCTGTTTGCACCGACATCCGCGGCGCCCATCACCGGCTTGGGTGCCGCGGCCGCCGCCTTGCCCTTGGCATTCTTAGCGCCTGTCTTTTCCGGCGCCCCAGGAATTTTCCGGCCCTTGCCGCCCGCCCGCGCTGCCGCGCCAGGGGGCACATACGCCTGCTTGGGCGCTTTGTCGTCCACGTCGCGACGCAAGTAGTCGGACGTCGAGGTGCCGGCCATACGAGCGCTCGGCGGCCTGTAGGCACCGACGGGCTTTGTAGCTGCGACCTGCTTCTTCGCAGCCAGCGCTGCGGCGGCCGCCGATGGCGTCGGCGCTGTAGGCATCGTAGCGGGGAACGCCGGCGGCTCGATCAGGTGGCGAGGACGCCATTGCGCTTGGTACATTTCGTCGACCATATCCACATGCACCAGCGCGCCTGTGCAGTGCCAGATGCGCACGCCATTTTCCACACGCAGACGAGGCGAGAGTGTGCCAGAAAGCAAGAACTGACCGTCGGGACTCCATTCGAGCACGGTGCTGTTGCTCGCGTCGATCGTAAACAGCTTGCCGTCCTGCAGACGCTCGCGATCCCACACATCCACCGTGCCTGTGAGGTTGCCAAAGCCGCCCAAGCAGAACAATCGGCCTTGCGGGTTGTACGCAATAAAGTTGCGCGGCTGCGTACCCAGCTCAGCAATGACATTCACGCGGTAGGAGAACACCACGGCCTTGGCCGGCATGTAGCCGTAAATCACGATGAATTCTCGGCTGTTGGGATTCCACGCAAAGTCATGGATCGGTCCTTCCTTGTCGAGACCCACACGGCAGTCAAAGTCGCCACGTGCCGAGAGCATATACAGATTTGTCTCGCCATAGTACGATTTGCCTGTTTGGTCATGGTCCGTCGACGTCATGAGGAGAAGCGAGGAGCCAGCCTTGTTCCACTTCATCGTCACCTTGTCCGCCTTGAAGAACGATTTTTGTGCAGCAGGCGTCACGCTAGTGCCGTCCTGCACGCCGAGGAGCGACGTAAGCGCGTACACACGCACGAACGCAGGCATGCCTTGCTTTTCCGGGAAAAAGACGGCCAGCGACGGCTGCCCGCCGGGACCGAGGTCAAACGACTGCATATTCTCCGCCTGCAACCGGCCCACCGCACCCTGCGCAAAGGCGGTAGGCTGGAACACTTGCAGCTCACGCGCCGTCTGTCGAACGCAGTAGTCTTCCTTGTCGGTGAACTGGAAGGCCCAGCCATCAATTTGGCGCCGCTCAAACGCACCGAGGAGCGTCCCTGTGGACGCGTCCCACACACGCAAGTTCTTGCTCCACGTGCCGTCGTCGCTCTTCACAGGACGCTCCCACGTCATGAGGTACGTACCACGCGGCGAGAATGTAATCTCGCTCGCCTTCGGCACAGGGATCTCATGACGCAATTGGACACTGGTATCGCTCACGTCGTAGATGCGCGTACTGCCTTCCAGCGCGACGGCCAAGCGCTCGCCGTTGGGACTATACTGCAGCATGCGTGCACCCACATGCGCGCCATCAAATCCCCCGACGCCCTCAAAGTCCGGGACACCGGCCTGTACACCTAAGCGCTTCTGCGCACGAACTGAGGGTCAGTCTGGCAGATACATACACGCCCACTGCAACGCTGCTCCGTCCATCGCTGCTGCCCAAACACGTTGCGTGGTGTAGCCCTGGCGAAAGCCGACGACGGCCCACCTTCGGCTTACCTAAGAAGGAGGCTTGGCTGGCTGGTTGGCTGGTTTGTGCCGTGGAGGTTTCGCTCCATCACGCCCGGGCGTATCCATTGATTGTCCTTTGCTCCACGAAGGCCATGCAGGTTCGTGCACTTTGCCTGGCGTGGGCCTGGATCGCCAGTGTCGTCACACTTGTGGCGGCGGTGCGATCCGGCGAATTCAAGACATGCCAAGATTCTGGTTTCTGCCGTCGTTTCCGTCGGCGGGCTGAGTACACTGAATCGTTCACCTCGTTTACGTCGCCGTACGCGGCTGAGGCCACCTCCCAGCTCACAGCCTGTGGGCCTTCCACCTACTGCCTCCCGATTGCGTCGAAACTGCATGAGGCGCACTTCGATCTGCGTGTGAGTCTCTACGACGATGGTAATGCGCGTGTGTACATGGACGAAGCTCAGCCGACATACGAGCATCGACAGCACTACAACGAGGCGCACGTATGGGGCGTCGAGACTATGCCTCAGCCTGCGGCGCATATCAAGCATGACTACAATGCCAAGACCAACACCGACACACTCACATGGCACCACCACCATGCAGTGCACATTGCGCATGAGCCCTTGCGCATTTCGTTTGTGCGTGACGGTGTGGTGCAGATGATCCTCAACGAGCGCTCTCTCCTGCACATGGAGCATTTCCGTGCGAAGCCTACTACGTTGCCGGACGATACCGACGAGGCACGGAACGAAGTGGCCTCACAGCGTGCTAGTGCTTTGGCCAAAAAGCACAGCGTGAGCAAGTCTGTCATCGAGCAGTGGTCGCGCTTTGAAGTGCCAGACCATGGTGAATGGGAGGAGACGTGGGCTGGGACCACCGACTCGAAGCCCAAGGGCCCAGAAGGAATTGCGCTGGACATTTCGTTCCCTGGCTACGATACACTCTATGGCCTTCCGGAGCATGCCAGCTCGCTTTCACTTCGGTCGACCAGGGCGCCTCCGCACGGCGAAGTGGACGAGCCGCATCGGTACAACGAGCCATATCGTCTGATGAACACCGATGTGTTTGAATACGAGTACGATAGCCCTATGGCGTTGTATGGCAGTGTCCCTGTCGTCCATGCGATTAGTCAGAGCAGTGCGGCAAGTGTGCTATGGATGAACGCGGCTGAGACCTGGGTCGATATCCACAAGACCAAGCGGCGTCCTGGTCCGTCGGTCCGTGGTACGATGCCGGCGGCCGCGGACGACGCTGCATCGCTGGCTGGCGGCTCGTCGTCGCATTCGTCGCACGTCTACTTCATGTCCGAGTCTGGCGTCCTGGACCTCTTTGTGTTCTTAGGTCCCTCGCTGCATCGCAATATGGAGCGCTTCATGTCGCTGGTCGGTCGGACAGCCTTGCCGCAGTACTTTGCGCTGGGCTACCACCAGTGCCGCTGGAACTACTGGTCAGACGACGATGTGAAGGACGTGAGTGCGCAATTCGACGAAAAGGACATGCCGATGGATGTCATGTGGCTGGATATCGAATGGAGTCGTGATCACATGTACGGCATATGGGATCGCCAAGCGTTCAAGGACCCCGACGAGATGGTCCATGCCCTGGATGCACGTGGCCGCAAGTTGGTCTTGATCATTGATCCGCACCTGAAAAAGACGGACGACTACTTCTTGTACCACGAGGCCAAGAGTCAGGACCTGCTGGTCAAGGCGCCCAATGGCCACGACAACTTTGAGGGCGTATGCTGGAGTGGCGACGCAAGCTGGATCGACTTTTTCCAGCCACGGACATGGCAATGGTGGATCGACTTTTACCATCTTGCGAAGCGCAAGCTCCTCGGCAATGCCCGCAATGTGTTTGTATGGAACGATATGAGCGAGCCTGCAATCTTCTCGGGCCCTGAAATCACGTCGCCCAAGGATGTTGTGCACTTCCCACACTGGGAGAATCGTGATATCCACAACATCAATGGCGCTATTCTGCACAACCTCACATCGCTGGGTCTGCGTCGTCGCGAGTTGGGGACCAAGGATGCGCATGGCCAAGCAGGTGTGGAGCGCCGTCCGTTTGTTCTGAGCCGCGCTTGGTGGATTGGCTCGCAACGGTATGGTGCTATCTGGACAGGTGATAACATGGGGACTTGGGAACACTTTGCCAACAGTGTCGCAATGATCTTGCAGAATGGTATGGGTGGTATGAGTTTCTGTGGTGCGGATATTGGCGGCTTCTTTGGCAACCCGGATGAGCAACTGTTGCTTCGTTGGTACCAAGCTGGTATCTTCGAACCGTTCTTCCGCGCTCATGCCCATATCGACAGCAAACGTCGTGAGCCATACCTGTACGAAGGTGCTATGGGCGACGCTTTGCGTGGCCTCTTGCAGCTGCGCTACCAGCTGCTGCCTGTGTGGTACACGGCGTTCTGGCACTCCAGCGTGAATGGCCAGCCTGTACTGACACCGCAGGCGCTTGCCTTCCCGAGGGATCCGGCTGGGTTTGCCATTGATGATCAGTACTTCCTCGGCGCCTCCGGTCTGCTGGTCAAGCCGCCTGTTGCCAAAGACACGGATCACGTCTCGATGTACTTGGCCGACAAAGAAGTGTACTACCACTTCCAGACCCATCGCACATATCACGCACCAGGCAAGCATGTCAACGTCCCCGCGCCACTCACGAGCGAAGTGCCGCTCCTTTTGCGCGGCGGCTCCATTGTCGCCACACGGGAACGACCACGCCGTGCCGCGGAGTTGCAACGTCTCGACCCATTCACGCTGCACATTGGCCTGCGACTGGATACACACGATGCAGAAGGGCAGCTCTACGTGGACGATGGCCAGACCTACGCGTTCCGCGACGACCATGCTTTCGTGGCGCGCCACTTTTCGTGGCAAAAAGAAGGACATGGCGCACGTCTGCGCTCCACGCCACTTACCGCGGCTCAGGCTCAGATGACGTCTCCTGCTGCGAACACTGCTGCGATGGACGCAGCGTTGCAGCAGCGTGGCAATGTCTTTGAACAGGCCATGTCGTCTGTACGTATTGAGCGGATCGTGGTGCTGGGCTACCCTCGCGCTCCGACATCGGTCGTGGGTCGCTCACGTGATGGTGAGCAGGTCGCGATTGAGTTTAGCTACACGCCAGCGCAGCGTGCCTCGGCGCAAACGACGGACAGCAGCCGTGAGCATGCTTCAGAGCTGGTCCTGCGCAATCCTGGCATGCCCATCGGCGACGATTGGGAAATTGTTTTCTTGTAGATGCTACATGTATGATCTTACCATTGCTCGGTGACGTGTCCTTGGGAAAGACGGAGGAAACGCCCACACGACCGAGGCCATTCTGTCTCGTAGTGACTTACGACGACCATCGCCATACGTTCCCGCCATGCCTGTTCTGCGGCACGTTCCTCCTCGTTGGCCAGCTCATCCCAGAGCCATGACGTGGACATTGCATCGTTGGGCGATTGCGCGTCAAGGAACGCACGTGCCTTTGCACATTGCTGTGCGCTCATGCCTTGGAACGGCTCGTCGAGTACGAGCAAGGCGGGACGATGAACCATGGCACGAAGGAGCAAAACGAGTGCTTGGGCGCCATGGGGGAGGCTTGTAAAGGCCATCTCTGCAATGTCATGGGCACGGGGCATTGCATTGCCACCGGCAGGGCCTTCCTGCCATAGCTCCTGCGCAAACATACGGACAAGGGACAGCACTCTCGCCTCCTGCGCCGGCGTACGCGAGCGCTTGGTAAAGATACCATGGAAACCTGACGCAATAGCATCAGCTACACTGAGCCCGCCGGCATCAAGGTGCTGCCGGGGGAACACATTAAAGAGTTCGGGGGATAAGTGGCCTATGCGTCGCTGCAGCAAGACATGCGCATTGGACGGCGCATCACGAGCTGCGCCCCACATACGCAGCATCGAGGCAGGCAACGCAAACGACCGAGGATTGTCACCTAGTAGAAGGGAAAGCAACGTCGTTTTGCCGCTGCCATTGTCGCCCATGAGCACCATACGCGTGCCGGGATGCAGCGCCAACGTCACATTACGTAGCACAGGGACGCCGCCATACTCAATCGAGACGTTGTGCATAGATACGATTGTCTCAGCGGCGGTCTGTCCAACACCTAAGCCCCGCGCATGGTTTTCCTTCACAAGGTCATAGCCGCCAAGCGCGTATCGCGTCGTGCTGGACGCCGATGTAAGCAGCGGGGTCGTCTTGGTCTTATCACCTAGCTGCGTAATGTACCCATCCTCGTCCACACGGAGGATGTGTGTCACAAAGGAGGGGACCGTATCCTGCTCACGCAAAAACACACACAGACGTGGCCGGCGTCGTGCATGGAGCGTGCCCAGCAGCTGGGAGAGTGACGCGCGTGTAGGCACATCCAGCCCTGTGAATGGCTCGTCCATCACAACAAATTCAGCGCCGCCCAGGAGGGCACGTAAAATACGGGCACGTCGCGTCTGCCCATTTGACAAGGCCACAACAGGGCGGTCCAATAAACTGTCCAGTGACAGGGACGGTGCCATGGCCATTATGCGATCCCGTACCTGTTCCGCCTCCGCACGTTTCTTATTTTCCAAGGCCTTACTCTCCCACTTAAGTAGGCCTGTGGTATCAGTATCCACAGGTGCAAGCGGATCGGGACGCATATGTTGGCGCGCAATAGCACCTGTGTATACACCGCACGACTCCATCAAATGTTCCCACAACGTAACGCGGTCCTGATCGCGTATGGAGCCATATCGTACAGAAAAGTCAACAAAGGCACCGTTGCCACCCGTTCGCGTCTCGAAGGCGACGTGAGCTATCGGGCGATGAGTCGTTGACTCCGTTTGCGATAATTGTGTAAGGAAAGGATGTACTGTATCATGTCGTTGCTCGGGCTTCTCAGCGCGCCGTGGTCGTACACGACCTAGCAAGATATTCAGAAGAGCCGCACGCACCTGGCCTCCTGTCTCAGCAGAAGGCGCAATAATCGCCCAGCATTCTATCGCGCCCTCATCGTTCACTTTCCACGTAAGCGCATTGCCCTTTTGTATGCACGGCGATGACGGCGATACCACGCCTTGCAAGTGCGGAATCTGTGCATTCTGCAGTGATACAAGGGCAGGACGTGATGACGCCCAAACGGCAGAGGCGTGATACACTCGTACGGGTCTCCCTAGACGCACTACCCAGGTGGGCCCTGCGCCGGCGCTTGTGGCATGTCGTCTCCACATACTAAGGTGCTACGGACGCTACCAGGGATTGAAATTTCGCCCATTCCTCTGACTTGATGCGATACGACTCCACAGCTGGATCAGGGAATGTGCCATCACGCACAGCCTCGGCAAATGCACGCATCGCCATAATTCGATGCACACCCAGCTGCGGTTGCGAGAACGTGCGTACAAACCGTGGCGGCGCTGGCCATTGCGGCGGCGCCGGCATAGCCGTCGATGGCGAGGACGATGCTTCTTCCAAGCCCGCAAGCACCGCAGAGACATGGGCAGGGCTGGCAAGATCACCTGCAATATCGCTACACACGAGAACTTGGCCATGCGTATAAGGACCAGCGCCGATCCCGATCGTAGGAATGCGAACACGCTCGCTGATCGCCGCACCGACCTTGGCTGGCATACACTCTAGCACCATAGAAAAGCAGCCAGCTTCTTCCAGCGCCTGAGCTATTTTTACCAGCTCCAGCGCACTTTCGGCAGTGTTGCCCTGTACACGAAACCCTGACGCATCGCTAAATCTCTGTGGCTGCAAACCAATGTGCCCCATCACGTCAATGCCAAGCTCTGTTAGCTGCTTGATTAGTGGTATAATTTCATGCGAGCCTTCAATTTTTACGGCGCCTGCTTGAGTCTCTTTCACAACGCGAATGACGTTCTGTACGGACGTGGTAAGGTCTTGGGTACACGACCCAAAGGGCATGTCCGCAATCACCATTGGCGCTCGAGGGCATCGTGCATCATATTGCAGGGCGGCGGCATGGATTGCCTGGTATACTGTTTTAGCATGGTGGATTGAGGCATCCAGGGTAAGAGAGCGAGTCGACGCATAACCAAGCGCTACGTTCGCTAGTGAATCACCCACAAGACACATATCCGCCCCGGCTGCACGCACAGAAAGCGCTGTAGGCAGGTCAAAGGCAGTTATGCATACAAGTCGTTGTCCTTCGTCCTTTGTCTTCTGCAGATCTGCGCGGCTTACAGGTGCTAGTGGCTTGGACGCGTTGGCCTGCATCGCAGGCACGGCCCATGCACTGGCACAAATCCGAGACGTATGAAAGAAGCGTGAGTTGCATACTGACTCAGATCTCGTAGCAGCGCGAAGCACGAAGCGATGAAGCATGGCCCCTTCCCACACCAAACAAGTTGTATGCGTTCCAAGTCACGGTCGTCTGGGCGATCTGCCAACACGAATCTGACTCACATTTTAGTCATCGTCCCATGTAGAAGGTATGGCATGGCCCAAGCGCTGCTGCTGGCTCTTTATCCAGAGCAAGTACTTCGATGTTCTCTGTCTTGGATACGTTATAGTCTTAACCATACATGTAGATCTATTTACCAATATAGTGAGTTTGTTGGTACCAAGAAAGATCGAAGTCAGCGCGCATCATAGCGATTGCAAAGGTCTCGATATATACATAATACATGTTCATGTACAGAGGCGCAGGACAGGTCGTAGCGGCAGATACAAACAATTCCATCTCAGGATGTTACACAGATAATGCGAGATCAGACTGATTACAGTGTCCTTTCATTATGGCGGATCTCATCGAGCTCCTGGTCAACGAAAGTTTGCACAGCTTTACTCAGCGCTTCCTTGTCATCTTGATGCGGAAGCACCACCAGCGTATAGTTCTTTATATCTCCCACAGGCGTATTCCAGGTGCAATCATACTCAGTTTCCCCCTTGGAAAAACCATTGTAGGAGCAAGACACTGAATACTCCTTGTAATGTAGGACATACTCAATGGGGTTGCCCACATTTAACGTATACACCGCCGTAGGAACGACAACAGCGGTAAGGAAGCCATAGAGTAGCTTCATTAGTGCACAGGCAACAAGGGGAGAATTTGGTGGGCGCAAAAAAAATAAATAAATAAAAAATCAGTTTGAGCCTTAACGAGACCTAAGCGCGCTTTCAAGCCATGTGCTCCCTGCTTGCCGAGAACCCTACGAATACGTGCGACTGAGGTCGATAGAGCGGCGTGCTCGGCTGGACCGACTGAACCTACAGACCCATTCAGGCCCCATACTCTCTCTCATTTACAGCTAAGCTGGCCATGCTATGAAGCACGTGCAGTCAATAGCCAACCTCAATCATCCGAAGGAACGGTTAACATTGTGTGGGGCGCGCCCTAGGGAAGCTCATTCCGTCGTTGCACCCATGACAGGTAGGATCAAATGTATCCTTTTGAGCTTGTACCTCCAGATTTATAGCGCGAAACACATTCAGTATATTTTGGCCGTTACCCCATAATTTCTCCACATCGTGTCTTTCAGCTTTCTTTATGGCCCATGACACGTATGCGCAGCGCTTGGGCCAGGCTCGTGCACTAGCGAGCAACGCCGTGTCACTAGAATTGGCAAAGCACTATGAAGATGCACTGGACATATATATTAGGGCTACAGATTTACTTTTGCAGCTAGCCCAATGTGAAGGGGTGGAAGCGTCTTCATCACGTACGATGGCTGTGAAATTACTTAGCCGGGCCGAAAAGCTCAAGCCTTTGTGTTCTTATTCTTCACGAAATAGTATATCAGATGCCTCTCTTTCTGAAAAGGAGTTCCAGGACCCATCCATATTTCAGCAAGACTCCACCAGCATACCATCTCTTTCACCACAACAGATTCAACATCAAGGCTCATATTCGTGTACAGATGATATTCCTCTCTATCTTCCCCGGTCAATCCGTGGAGGAAACCTACAACAGGGCTATATATCTGACTGTTCTTTCGTTTCAGCGCTTGAAGTAGCAGCTGAGCATGATGCACGATGGGGCACACATATCTCAGCTTTATACCCGCAAACGCCAGACGGTTTGCCAACAAAGAGTGCCAATGGCAAGTACATTGTGAAGCTGCACAATTCGGGTCAAATACGGCAAATAGTGATGGACGCCTATCTCCCTCGAGATCCTAAGGGTTCCTTGCTTACCGCCAAACCGTATGGCTGTCCGCAATTGTGGCCTGGTCTGTTAGAAAAGGCCTACCTAATGGCGCATCAAAGTGGCTATGAGTTCCAAGGCTCGGATGCATCTATTGATTTATACATGCTTACAGGCTGGATCCCCGAGCACATTCCAATGCATGAGCGTGGATTTCAGCGCGAAAAGACATGGGCACGAGTTTGGGATGCTTGGCAGAAAGGACATTGTATGTTAACATTGGGAACAGGAGCTCACTGTTCCCATCAGGATTTGGAGTCTTTGCACTGTTATGGTATTCTTAAACTAGATGAAGCCGATGGTGCGCGTTGTGTATCCATTGTAAACCCTTGGAAGCTCCATGATGCCAGCTCTGAACAAAGTTCAGGCAGAATAAGCATGTCTTGGGAGAATGTATGCCTTGCGTTCGATACTCTCTTTATCAATTGGGATCCCTCTATCTTTCCCCATCGTACGGTCTTGCAAGGTGCCTGGGATGTATCTGACTCGGCCGTACGTCTAGATGCGGGCAATGCTGTCCAGACAGATCAATACCATGTTACTATTCAAGCGCCAGGCTCTACGCGCGTATGGTTTCACCTGGAACGCCATATCTACGAGTGCAATGACAAGTCGTACATTGCAGTTCATGCTTTTCCTGCACAAGAGCAGCAACGGCGTGCCAATGTCGATCATGGTGGACTGATGGGCGTGTATGTAAATGTGGCACATACATTGCTTTGCCTGGACGACCCATGCAGTTCGCAATATACCCTGGCTATATCGCGACATGGGTCCGCGAAGCGCTCCCCTTATACCTTGCGTGTGTATTCCGATAAACCTGTCGATGTCCAGACCCTACCGCGTACGCTGCCACATCGTTCCATTGTCAAGGGATCATGGCGTGGGCGATCTATCGGTGGGCCGCCTTCTTCACCACATTTCAGACACAATCCCCAATTTCGTGTTACCGTCCATGAAGGAGCTTTGCTTCCACGCATTATCTCGATGATCACGACGATTTCCACACTTTCAGTCCAGGCCACATTGGCCAAAGGCGGCGAGCGTGTACTATCATTGGACGATGCATCTATCATTGCGTCCAGTGGCGCCTATTCGCGTGGCATTGCACTATGTGATGCACTTGCTTTGCAGCCTGGTGTCTATACATTGGTCGTATCCAGCCAGGAGATGGTAGCGACGGACTTTTCTCTCGTCCTGGAAGGCAACGTTCGTACCGAGATTGTGCCATTGCCAGAAGAGGGCGCTGGACAGTACCGCCGTTCTGATGTGCGCTCCCTACCATGCACATGGGTTTTGACTTTACCACGAGCCATGAAAGTCTTGGTATGTGCATCTCAAGCGCCTACACCTCTTTCTACCGCGCCCCTGTCTATAAGCCTTTTAGACGGTGACCGTTGCTTGACGGAGCAATCGGTCCCTGGATCGGTGGCCTGTGCTATCCTTCGTACGGAGGAGCTGTCTGCAGGAACCTACACTGTGCGCATCGGTGGCCCTATGCACTGGCCCGTGTACTTGGACGTGTATGGCATGCAGCCTGTGCATCTCTCCACAGTTTAACTTGTAGCCACCATGTCGTCGATACCTCCACCTGCGCCGACGCGTGTCTTGACGCGTGAAGAAGGGCCGTTGGTATGGATTGATTGCGAGTATGTAGGTAGTGTATTGACGCAAGAATGACGGGGCTCGATACACAAACGGACCGCCTGCTTGAAATTGCCTGTATCATTACAGATGGGCAGCTACAGCCTGTCGACGAGGGTGTGTCGTATGTGATTCAAACCGACAAGGCCATCTTGGATCGAATGGACGAGTGGTACGTAGGCACTCACTGACTCCAGGTGTGTACGTATACGTGATATAACAGGAGACAACTACCCATACGAGTACAGGACTTATGGCTGCCTGTCTTGATGCAGAGCAGTCACATTCTCACACCGATGTACGTACAGCCATCTTGGCGTATGTGTTGGATCGTATCCCTGAGGCACGTGTTGCATGTCTCGCAGGGAGTACCGTTCATGCGGATAAGGCCTTTCTCGTGAATGAAATGCCCGAACTTATTGCGCATTTGCACTACCGCATTGTGGATGTGTCGTCTATTAAGGAGCTAGCGCGTCGATGGTATGGAGAGGAAGCCATGCCAGTCAAGCAAGTGGGCGTGGCTCATCGGTACGTACAAGGTAGAGCCAACTCATACTTCCCAAGTGCACTGGATGATATTCGTGGGTCCATCGCCGGTATGTAAATCATGTTTTAACACACAGAATTGGAGCATTACCGTACCCATCTGTTCCGCGAGTCTCTGTAGTAGCATGGTATCTAGGCCATCATACGGCGATTCTTGAAGCCCGAGCGGGAACGCTTTTTGTAGTACTTGAAACCATAAAAGCCACCAGCGCCCACGACTGCAAAAATGAAGGCCCACTTGATGAGGCGGAGAATACCGTACACCAGCCCTGCCAGAAGTGACGAGCCTCCTTGGTCGCGGTCGCGACGTCCGCCTTTCTTGGGCGCCACATCGTTATCCGAGTCAGAGTTGGCCGACCACCATGACTTCTTCTCCGACTTCGCAAATGCGAGTTTACGCTCAGCTTCCAGATCGGCGGGTGTGCGGCTGTTGTACACTAGACGGTTTGTCCATACGGATACGATATTGTGATTGTCGCTCATATCGCCTGTACTGGCGGAAAAACCGAGGTAGGGTGCGTCAGTAAAGTCGACGGGCGGAACTTTGAAGCAGGTGCTCCACTTGTTCCATTCCATATTCTGGATGGCCAACTCCATGTATACATCTTTCACATAGGTGAAGCGCAGACGCGTCTCTGCTTCAGTGCGACGCAGTTGCATGGAGCAGCGTGCCATATCTTGGTTCTCACCGTCGCGGCTAATGTCATAGTCCATACCACCATTGTTTCGCACAGCGCTAATGCGTGGGAAGAAGCCACGGTGTGGCGTGTTGGCATACGTGTCAAAGAAAATACCCAAGCCCTTCCAGCGGTTGGCCGAGCCAAATACAGGACCAGACTTCGCGCGCGGGTTGCTCAGCCACATCGCAAAGCCATCTCCTGCGACGCTCGGCGACTTGCCCTTCAGCGAAAACTCGACGGTAATCTCGAAATCAGACGCTTCAAGCGGCAAACGCGACCACAGCCAGCCTGACTCATTCCGTCGGTCTTGTGTGAGCATGACATAGCGGTTGGTATCAATCACAGCGTCACCGCCATAGTCCCAGTAGTTATTTTGCAGCGATGAGTCGACATACGGGGAGAACAGAGAGTGTGTGCGCACCGGCATCACGCCATCCGCTTTCAATTCAGGGTTCGATGCCGAAGCGCGCGCACCCCATACGCCAGAGGCGTATGCAAGTACCGCAACAAGCACATGTGCCCACCAACACAGCATCGCGTGCGAAGGTGTAGCAGTGGAGTAGACCACGATGTGCCTGCCACGCCGACCGCCAGGCTGGTCAGGTCCCGGCCGAAAGTCCCTGCTATCGTAGGTGCCTATCTGGCCTACCGGGGGCATTTGTTTTGCCTTGTCCCTTCGGCCGGGTGTGCCACATTGGCCTTGCGCGGCGCAACGGCGCATGGACGCACTGATCGGTTTGATTACCACTACATCTTTTTCATTTTATTGGGAGCTGAGTCCTTTGGGATAACGGCTCGTGCTTCAGATCTGTTCTTAGCACTGTAAGCAGAGTTATGGCGGGTGGACAGCCGATTGAGGTACCACCCACGCCAGCGGCTACGCGGCCGTCGGAGCCAGACTATTTCTCGCAAGCTGGTTCCTCTACAAACGCTTCCAACCTACCCTCAGCGGAAATGGCACCACATCCGTGGGCACAGATGTTTGGACCATCTGCCTTGCCTACAACGGCTGCTATGCCTCCCGCAGAGGATCTGCAACCACTCAAGCCATCTATACGTCCTATGGGCATTCCACCTGTTGCCTACAATCGTGCATCGACCCTGCCGAATATATCCAGTCCGTCGGAAGGGTCTGTGCATTCGAAATTCAAACCCATCGATCCACCTGTGCTTCTCCAGTTGCTGGAAGGGAAGGCCCCTGTAGGCTACCTGACGCCCAAGCATGTGCTTATTGTCGATATTAGACCTCCTACGGCCTATGCACGAGCACATCTTCGTACGAGTATCAACCTCAGTGCCCCCACAACACTACTGCGCCGGTCTGACTTCAGCATTCAGCGCTTGGAAACCGAGGTTGTTGAGGAAGGATCGGTGCGCGATACCTTCTGCCAATGGCACTTGTATAAGCACGGCGAGGCTGCCAAGTCGAGTTGGATTGTGGTGTTGGATGTCGATTCGAACAAGACCACGGCCAATGCGCGTTCTACAACAGGCGGCGGCGGTGCCTCACTCCTTGGCTTGCTACGCAAATTTGAGCAAGACGGCTATGAAGGTTCGCTCTGCTGGCTTCGTGGCGGATTCCAAGCCATGTCACGTTGTGTGGCGGCACAACCTTGGGTCGAGAAAGGTGCGCATATTCCCTCTCTAGCGACAACTTCTGCTCCTGCTACTCGTCGCACATTGGGGCTATCGATGGACGCATTCTCTCGCAGTACTGTGTCGTACCTGCACCAGGGCGTTAACAATCAGTCGTTTGCTATGAATCCCTTCTTTGACAATATCCGCCAGAACCTTGAGTTGTCATGTGGTATCACTGATGTCGTTCCTTTGCCCATGGACTTGCGTGACGAAGACATGAAACGCCTTCCTCGCTTCCTGCGTACCTTGGCCAAGATGGACGACAAAACGCGTGCCAATCATCTTGCCGAGCACTTCTTTTCGGTGGAAAAGTCTGAGCAGCAGCGATTGCAGCAGATTATGCAGCGACACTCTGCCGAGTCTGTGTTGGGCAAATTTAAACCGGCATCGCCCAGCGTGACTACGTCACTCTCACGTAGGGCGGCCTACCCCTACCTATCAGAAGAAAAGGATGTGTCGCAAGAGTCGTTCCCTCTGAGCATTTCAGCAGCACTCGAACGTGGTACACATCATCGCTATCGAAACTTTTGGACCTACGAGCATGGCCGTGTAAAGCTTTTGCGTCCTCCTCATGATGACAGCTATATCAACGCGTCGTACATCAACCCTCTTCGTTTTGTTGGTATGCACCGCGTATACATTGCCACGCAGGCGCCTCTTCCGAATACGTTCAGTGCATTTTGGAGTGTTGTTTGGGAGAACAAAATCCAAACTATTATCATGGCTGCGCTGGAGTATGAATCAGGGCGGCAAAAGTGCGATGTGTACTGGGAGAATGGCTCAGCCGGCCCTTTCTTCGTTACGTTGGAGAAGGAGGAGACGCTAAACCAGAAAGAGCTGCAAGCGGGCAGCTGCGAAGAAAAAGTGGTCATTTGCCGGACCCTTGCTCTTCGCGATACACGTGAGCCTGACGAGCCGACGCGTACTGTGACACAATACCAATTCCTCACTTGGCCTGACCATGGTGTGCCTGATACGCCTGCAGAGATTTTGGGCCTGATTCGGCATACCCATACGACGCAGCCAACTCGCACACATGATGATATACCACCCACTCTTGTCCACTGCTCTGCAGGTATTGGTCGGACAGGTACTTATATCATGGTTGATGCCCTATGTGCATTCTATTCCTATATTCGCTCTTTGCGTGACCATGCTGTAAAGACATCGGCGACTCTCGACCCACAAGATGCCCTAGCGCTTACATGTTGGGAGTCCGAAGAGGATCTTATCTTTGATGCAGTCATGGTTATGCGCGAGCAACGCATGAGCATGATTGAAACAGTGCGGCAGTACGTCTTTGTGTACAAAGCCGTGGTTGCCGCCTTGTTAGAGACAGACTCTGTACCATAGCAATCACGTGATTTCATATCGACGCGCGACAACAACACTCTTTGTGGCTTGGCGAGCGAGCGTTCGCACGGGGGAGACGTGCGGGATCCCAGCATGGCTGACGCTGCCGTGCCGATGTCTGCTATGGACGTCACTGTATGGATTTCACAGGCGCTTGGTATTGTGCAGGGTGCGGTGCGTGCACACGATGCGTCTCAACGTGACTCGTGGGAACGTCTTTCTGTGCTGCTCCACGAATGCCGCGACTTGATCGAGTTTGAGCATGTCGAAAGCACCATTGCGAAAGAGATCCCCACAATCATGACATCAGACGAAAATGACGCGTTCAATTATGCGCTTTCGTTAGAAGCTGTCTCTACCTTGCAGCAAGAGCTCGCGCACTGGCGTGGGCTGGCTACGACCGACGAGGACGATGCGGACAAGACTTGTGTAGACGCTTCTGATGCAGAGCCTTGGATGGCTGCGCAATGGAAAGAGGCTCTTGCCACATTGAAAGGGCACGCTGACAGCCAGGCACAAGCTCATGCACAGGCGCTAGCCGACCTGCAAGCGACGCATGACCGCGATATGGAGCAAGTGTACCAGGAACACGCAGAAGAGCTCGAGTCGCTACGGCAAGAACATGAGACAGACATTGCTCTCGCCGCCGATGAGCATGAGAAAGCCCTAGCTGCTCAAGCGACCCAACACTCTCTGCAGCTGCAAGCGCAGGCTTCTGTGCATACGGCGCAAATGCACAAGGCGCACACTGATATGACAGCGCTCACATCCTCTATGACGCAGCTTTGTGCTGCTATTGATACCCTGGACGCTACAGCTGGCACGCAGGCGTCACATATTGCCTCGGTTCAGTCGCGCCTAGCCGCGTCCGACGCGTATATGCGCCAGATCGAAACGCAATGGACGGCCGCCAAAGAGGCGCTAGCGCAAGCGCATACGGACCTGTCGCAATGGCAGCACAGGTGGCAGCACTCTGAGAAAGGATGGAAGCAGACGCAGGCCACGTTAGCGCAGCGTGACGACGAGCTAGGCAAGAAACAAAAACGCCTTGTGGAGATAGAGCGAGCGTTGGCCGAAGTGCAGAGCGATATGGAGCGTACTGTGCATACGCAGGCGAACGTGGATGATCTTCAGCGGCAAGTGCGTGAAAAGGACGAGGAGGCGCACCAACTGCGTGAGCAGCTGCGCAGTATGGAGCCTCTGCGTGCCGAAAAGTCGCAGCTGGCGAGGGACGTGCACGAGCTGCAAAAGCTGGTCTCGATGTACAAAGACAGTACTGCGACAGCGCAGCAAGAGCAGGAGCGCACGGCTGAGCAGCTGGACAAGCTGCAAGCACAGCACTTTGCATTGGAGCAGACGTTGGCGGAGCGTACGGATCAAATCCAAGCTTTGAAGGACTCGAAGCGGAAGTACGCGGAGCAGTTGCGTGCCGTGAAAGAAGGGGAGGCACGACGCCAAACCCAGGCTAGCGCTGCTTCCGATCTTCAGCAGCGCATGACCGAGCTTGAGAAAGAGCTGCAGGCCAAGGCGGTGGAGATTGAGGAAGCGGATACGCGTCTTCTCACGGTGATGAAGGAGAACAAGCGACTGGCGTCGCAACTCAAAGCGTTGCGTGCCGAATCAAAGCGTGCGCTCCAAGATGTGACCAATGCCGTGCCGAAACTCTCGCCGACGAAAGAGCGCGTCGCACGTAGGAACCCTGTATCTTAGTTACCAATACTTATATATCTATATACTGTGTCTAGGAGCGGTCTAAGGACGACGTAGTGTGGCCATAGTGAGCGCGGTTCAGGACATTGGTACTGAGCAGCTGCACGACGTCCGAGTCCGCCAGCGCCGTGTTGGCCATATCGGAGCGCAGGGCAAGTTGCAATACGGCATCCGCAACGGCATGGTACGACTTGGCAAACATCGTATCATGGATGGGCTGGATCGGCTCAGGTGCTGTGGCAGGCTCCGAGGCCTGTTCCTCCAGGACTTGGCTGCCATGCAAGAGAAAGTCGACACATGCCTCCAGGCAGAGAGCATGATGGGCAGCTTTCTCCTCAATCAAGTCTACCAGGGAGCGGTACAAATCCACGCGTGTCTTGAAAGGAATGCTCGCATTGCGTTCAATTTCAATCGCTGGCGGCTCATGTGGATAGGCCGTGGGGAAAGTGAACATCACGCGTAGGTACGCCAACGCGCCGGCACCTTGATCATGCCACGGCCCGCTTACCGCGACTGTGCATCGCCGCCGCGCAATGTCCACCGACTCGAGCACGTACGGGTACGCATAGCTGACATGTAGCATCTCTTGCGGCAGTACGCTGGTATCCACATGTCGTCCAATGCTCTTCACCGAGTCGGTCATCGAGACGTCGCCATCACTGGCCGGCGCCGTGTGGCCTACACGTACCTGTGCCATCCATTGGACTGCATCGATGGTCGCCGTTGTCGCGTCGTCCTGGGTATATCGCATTTGTGGGCCATGCTTCGCGCCTACTTCGGTGGGCGGAGCGCGGCGGCGGCGTGGTGACGGGCGCGGCATGAGAACGCGAGGCGCAGGGAGCGAGCGTGGCATGGCGCCTTGGACGTTCGCTTCGTCGCTCGAGGACAAAGGCAGCGAATGCAGCGAGCCAGGCTTCTCAAACGAGCCAGGAAGACTGGCCTCGTCTACGCTGTTCGAGCTGGGCGAGTGGCCCAGCGCCTTGGCCGAGGTCGAGTACGACGGCTCCGCTCGAAGTGCATTGACCGGCAATGGTGTTTCGTACGTCGGTCCACTCGACGGCGCAGGCGCAGGCGCGCCTCGTACAAACCCAGCGGAGCGTAGCAGCTCGTCTGAGAGGGGCCACAGACGCAGCGTTTGGTCCTGACTCCATGTAAGCAGTTGGAATCGGCGATCATCGAAGGTCGCGTCTGGGTTGCCCTCCGAGCGGAAAAGGAACTCTTTCACGACATCCGTGTGCCCTTGAAATCGGTGCCATGGCGTGCTTTCGCCGGACCTGTAGATGCATGGCGCTGCGTCGCCACGCTGGGCGACCGACATGATGCCCTGCCCAAACGGCAGGTACCGTGCACGCCATACTGGCTGCGGGGTATCAATGGTGTACTCGGGCTGCGTAATGCGCGCATGGTTGGCCAAGGCCGAGCGTGACGTATCTGAGCTCAGATCCCAGGCCTTGATGGTGCCGTCGAGCGAGCATGTGAGCATTTCGTCGCCGCCATGCTCCGTTTCCCAGTGCCATGCAAGGCCGTACACTTTGCTGTGGTGCGTCTCCAGCGTGGCAAAGGGCACAGCGCCGAATCGGTCGTCCCACACCAGCACTTTGTTATCACAGGTCGCAGCAATTCGATGCTCCGTTAGCCGATTCCACTTGACTTGCGTCATACCTGCATTCCATGCACTGTACGCCTGCGCTGGCCGTTGCGAGTGATGCGGGCCCATACGCAGATCCCATACACGCGTCCACGTATCCAAGCTGCAGCTGGCCAATATGGACGGATGGAACGGCGACCAATTCAAGTCGGTAATCGCCCGCGTATGCGCATCGAGGAAGTATTCTACAGCACTGGACGACTGCGTAGGCTGGGAAGGCAGGCTCATGTTGGTCAATCGCATCACCGACGTATCGCTTCCGAGCATATGCGAGGCCAGCATCGAGGAGTTGCGGCCCACCGAGTTTGTCGGCGAGAAGGGCGACATGGACCGCGCCATGTCCATTTGCAGGCTTGCATGAATGCTTGCTGAGATAGATGGCTCGGGTTTAGGCGCCGTGGGGGCCTCGGAGCGATGCATATTCCAGATCACCAGCTTGTGATTGGACTTGGATTAGAGCCGTTCGTACGTACCGTACTGGCAATCCACTCGCGACGTGCCAGGTGTGGATTCCATTGAATGTCAGCCACTTCCCATGCCGTAGTATGCGCCAAGAAACGAGGCGGTGAGTATAAATTGTCCAAGTGGATCACGTAAAGACCGGCCTTGGAGCCCAGGACAACTTCCTGGTGTGCTGCAGGTAAGCGCCATGGCATAGAGACGTACTAGGACTGAGACTCATACTTCCCATAGGCTGCCGGACGTCGACAATGGCCGACACATTGATCGTAGAGAGCGGTTCATTGTCCGCATCGACCGACGGATGGGGCGGGCGCATCACGTCCCTCGTTATCGTCGTGGCCGTGCGGTAGCCCCAGCGGCGGTTCTCGCACCTCCACTACTCTCGCATGCGCCCGCTCCCTTCCTCCACTTGACATCCAGCATGACGCGCGTTGCGGTGCGTACCTTGCGCACCGCACCGACCGCGGCGGCAGGGACGGGTGCCACCGCGCCGTTGCCGGACCAGCCGTCGGTGCTAGCACGTGTAGAGCGCATGTATGCCTATACGCTGTGGATGGGCGAGGCACATACGCCCCTCCAGTGCTTTGCCAAGGCCCTCGTCTCGCTGGATGGCCCCCTTGACGCCTACCTTCCCTTGCTTCAGACCCCTACGCAACTCCGCGAAAAGTACCATGGATCGTACCGAGATACCATTATGTCCATGCTGGATCATCCCACGACGGAGTCTGTGCCGGATGTACAGGGCCGGGCAATGCACGCTGCCATTCAACATGGCCCCTTCTTCACCGCCGCCCATTCGCTCGATCATCGCGCTACGGCTGTACGGGTATTTCTAAGTGCGATACAGTGTAGAGAGTACGTATACGACCTACTTACGCAGGGTGGAACTGCAGCTGATCCTCGTCGCATGGATGCTAACACAAACGCCATCCTCATCTTCGTCGTCGGCCGTGCCATCGTCGGCCGTATCGACAGGGCGCAGCTCGTCCAAACGCAAGGCCAGCCGGACGCACCGCTGGCCAGGTATACCCACGCCCTTTGCCTGGGGCGCCACAGCTCCTCGTACATCGCCGCCTACCAAGCGGCAAGAACTGGCTATTGCCGCCGACTACGCGTCTCTATCAGCGCTGTTTGAAGCGTTAGCGGACCAGCTCTGCCTCCTTCAATTTTCCTCCACACTAGCCGAGTCTGCTACCTTGTATGGATCTCAATCACGTTGGCGATCACATCACGATCAACGTGATGAGGCACAGTGGTTCTGTGCGGATGTCATGGAACCTGTATTCCAGCCGCAACTGTCCATGTTTTGCACGACTCTGCGTACGAAATGCTTCGGGCCTGGCCCCGCAACGACGCCCGTACGCCGCCGCCGTATGAAACGAACTGTATCAGCGCCTAGCAAGCCTACGCGTACCACTGAACCCAAGCTGGCATTGGGCACAATGCTCTCTGCAGAGCATGCCGACCGACGTCGCAGCCTTTCCGGTCAAACGCGGACGCCGACCGAAGTCCACATGTCACGTCGCCTCGTGCGTACACATAGCACCACATCGGTGCCTACGCCTAGCCTGACGTCGACAGAGCCAACGCCAAGCGCGACGGCACCATCTTCCACGCTATCCCACAAGCGCAAACGACCCGCCAGTCGGTGGGCTGGCGCGCCGATCCAGACGCTTGTCATGGCGACGCCAGAGCATACGCGCATCGTGCCGAATATACCTATTATACCAGAGGATGTGTCGCCCAGCTCTTCGCCGCCCATGTCGCCCAGCCTGGACCGCAAACCGGTGGCGGCGCAGGCCGTCTCCGAGCCGAGCGACTCGGATGTGGAGCTCATCATCCCGGCCGCTCAAAAATCGGCGCGTATGCAACGCGATCCTTGGGCCTATGTACGGTACTAAAAGAATGGTATATAGTCGTCAAAAAGTCCACTAGGGTTGATCGTTCTCGTCCTCGTCGTCTTCGTCCTCGCTCACATCCCACCCAGCGTCGCGCATACGTATCTTGTCCTGCTTCCGCTTTTGCATGAGATCATCCAGGAGGACCAGCAAGTCTTCGTTCTCGCTTTGCAGAGTGCTCACTTGCTCGGCCAAATCCTTGTCGTTGGGCGACGGCGCCGACGGCGCCGTCGCCGTGCGTGCCTTATCCGCCTCGGCAATGCGCTCATGGAGAACACGAATCAGGTCTTCATGGTGCTCAAGCTTCTGCTCGAGCTTCGCTGCATGGGCCTGAGCAGTAGCCGCTTCATGCCGCGCTGCCTCCAAGGCCCGTGTCGTGACGGCATCCTCGTCTTTCACAGCCAACGCCTGTGAGGACGTCTGCGTACGTGCTGTGGCCAATTCGCCCTCCAACGTAGCAAGCTGCGCCTTTGTCGTCCGAAGCGACTCTTGTATATGTGCCAACTCGCTTTGCAGCGTAGCCTGCGCTGCCTCCCATTCCCTGTGGCTCGCTTGGTGCGAAGCATGCGCGGCTTCCAGCTCTTTGACAGTAGCGCTATGCGCCTCTTGCGCTGCCTGCGTCTCTTTGTGCGCTAAAGCAAGCGACTCGGTAGTTTGAGCCAGCTCGTCTTTGAGAGCATCCACATTGGACGTGCTTGACTGCGCCCGAGTCAGTTCTTCTTGCAGTGATGCCAAGCGTTCGCGAGCATCTTGCAATTCCGTGGACGTGTTGGTCGTCGAGGAGGCCATTTTCGGGTCGACTAGAATGGACTTTTGAATACGCACGTAGTTGTCTTTCCAGAACTCAACAAATGGCCACGTGAACCAAAGGGTCGGCGACTCGGTCGTAAGCACGTCTTCCAGGGTCTCGGGCGTGCACGACGTGAAACGAGCATCGCTCTTTACAGCGAGGATTCGCGTGCTAAACTGGTCGACGCCAATGCGCGTCATCAGGATGGGATGCATCGACGAGCGAGTCAGCACGCCATCCGTCTCGTGCTCTTGCACGCCGTGGAACTCGTATGCAATGCCCAGCACAAACACTGCCAGGCCTTGTAGCAGCGGGTCGACGCCCGTGGACTGCGCGGCAGGCTGCACAAGGACTTGCAAGTTTGCACTCTCTGATAAAAAGTCCGCAATGCTCTCGGGACTTTGCCAGAGCCATACACTAAGCAGAACAAGGTAGCCGACCATGACCTTTGTCCAGTCTTCGGACGAGTTGCCATGCGTGGCCTGCGCAGCACGCTCACGACGCAGCGTCTCGCCATGCTCTCGCAGCGCCATAGCCAAGTTGCCAATGACCACATGGACCAACGTAGCCGGCTCATCGTCGTCCAGCGATGGGACAGCCGCATCGGCGACACAGCGTCCTTCCTCGTTGAGGCGCACACGCCGAGCAAACTCTTTCGCAGTATCGCTACCTTGCAAAAGGTATCCCAGCATAATAGAGGCAAAGAGGTATTGGTACACATCAAACCTGTGCGGCGTCGACGAGGTGAGCAAAGACGTGTTGGGCAAATGCACCACCGAATCTAGCAGCAAATGCGACGGATTGCCATGCGTTTGCTCCGGCACAGGCGCAGCGACAAATGCGTGCCACAGCGTCATACGGATATCCATATTGTGCTCGACCAATGCCTCAAAGGCATGCACCGCTGCAGCACGAACGCCCAACGACAGCTGCGAGTCAGTCGAGCCACCTGGGCCACGTAGTGCTAGTGAGATAAGGCAAAGCATGGCAGGCTGCGGCGCTTGCCATGACAGCTCCACCGGTGCCGGCATCCCTTCTGGACTAGCACCTTGCACAAGCGCTACAGGCGACACGACCATAGTGCTAAACAGCTCCTGTGTAGGTCGCGAGCCACGCAGGAGAGCCGCCAAAAGGTGCAAGGTATGTGCCTTCAAAAGAGGCGGCGCCAAGCTTGCCAAGGCCAGTTGCGCGAGCGCATCGACCAGGCCCACTTTGCACATGACTTGCTGATTCGCGCGGTGGCCCTCACCTTGGCCATCAACAAGGTGCCGGATGCAGCGCAAGAGGAGTAGCGCATTGGTAAGTTTCTGTTCGTCCCACTCCTGGAGCAAGAACGCGTTGCGTTGGGATATAAATTCGTTGGTAGCGCCTTCAGGTGCATGTGCTGGCAGAGGCGGGGGATAAAACAAGAGCGGCGCAAGGAGAGGAATGCTCAGCGTTTCGCGGAAATAGTTTTGGTTGGAGACGTTGTGCATCAGCAGTGCTTCCAGCCCTTCCAGTGCGTCTTGGACGACCACCCCACCTTCAATACGGCCCTCCTGGGCGATAATATCAAGCAGGCGCTCAAAGGCTCCTTCAAACGCGACGATCTTCTGGATATCCGCACTATCCTTTACGAGCTGCGGAAGCAAAAGAAGAGCCTCGTTTCGAATGATTTCTGTGCTAGAGCTGGGCGAGGCTTCTAAGCATTGCAGCACAGCGCTACAGCCGCCGGGCGCTGTCAGCACATACTCCTGCACCTCCACGCGGCGGTGCTCTACGATATACACGAGCAGCTGCAGTGCACCGAAGCGTGTGTAGAAAGAGTGCTGCGGCGACAGAAGGCGCAACAGAGACAGCAAGGCATCTTTCTCACCGAGCAAGCGCGACATGTTTTGTAGCGCACGATGCTTGCCATGCTGATCGTCAGGCGTGATTTGGCACAGCGATACACAGCATTCAACAGCTGCACGTAGCATTTCTTCCTCCTTCTCACCCTTCATGATCCAACGGACTAACGGAACAAGGGCATGTTGGCTCACTTCGTCTGCATGGTCACGCACTAAGCCTTTGAGCGAGAGAATGGCAGCGCGACGATCTTCCTGCGAGGAGGCATCGTCTATAAGCCTGGCCGCCAACGTTTCTACCGTTTTGAGCGGCGAGGTCGGGCCACCAGACTGAGACGCGTACTTGACATACTGCTTGCGCAGCAGGTCAAACCCATGCAACATGACGCACGGATCGAAATGGACAACGACAACGCTCACGGCCGCGTGGCAGGGGGAACGCGTGCCTGCCGGCCGACCGGGGTGCCCCACGTGATACGTTCAGGGCATCCTGATTCCGCTCGCCAAACGAGGGCCTCTGGTTGGCCGGCCGGCGTGGAGGGGGAGGCGAAGCCTTGGGCTCCGCTCGTTGGCCTTCCCCAGAGTTGCCCCACATTGCGGTTGCCTCGAAAGGATCCACCATGCCGCGATTGATTGGTGTTGAGGAGGTTGCTAAGCACAACACCAAGGAGGACTGCTGGGTCATCCTGAGTAACAAGGTGTATAACCTGACGGAGTTTGTGAACGAACACCCAGGCGGTCCTGAGGTGCTGAAGAAGTTTGCCGGCAAGGACGGCACGGCGCTGTTCGACAAAGTGCACCCGAAGGACACGCTTGAGAAGTACGCCAGGCCGGAGTGGTTTGTCGGCGATCTCGACACGGGTGTTGCGAAGAGGCTGCTCACGTACGATGAGGTGACGAAGCACAACACGAAGGACGACTGCTGGATCATTCTGGGCAACAAGGTGTTCAACTTCACGGACTTTGTGCAGCTGCACCCTGGTGGTCCCGAAGTCATTATCAAGTTTGCCGGTAAGGACGGTACCAAGGTGTTTGAAAACGTGCATCCGAAGGACACGCTGGAGAAGCATGCGAAGCCCGAGTGGTTCATGGGCGAGCTAGACCCTAACACCATTCCCCAGGAGCTCAAGGACGCGGCCAACAAGGAAGAAGAGGAGGAGCGTGCGCGCCGTGCCAATGTTCCGCCGCTATCGCAGTGCCTCAACCTGCGCGACTTTGAGCTCGTGGCCAAGAAGGTGTTGACGCCGGAAGCGTGGGCGTACTATTCGTCGGCGGCCGATGACCAGGAGACGTACCACGAGAACACGTCGATCTTCCGTCGCATCTGGTTCCGTCCGCGTGTGCTTCGAAACGTGCGCAATGTCGACCCCAGCACCTATATCTTGGGCTTCCCTAGTCCCTTGCCGATCTACATTACTGCTACGGCCCTCGGTCGTCTCGGTCACCCTGACGGTGAGCTGAACCTGACGCGCGCAGCTGCTCGCACCGGTCTGATTCAGATGGTGCCGACGCTCTCGTCGTGCTCGTTCGAGGAGATTGTGGGCGGGCGTGATGAAGAGGGCAAGCCCACGCAGTTCTTCCAGCTCTACGTGAACAGCGACCGCAGCGTTGTGTTGGATATGCTGCGTCGCGCTGAGGAGGCCGATATCAAGGCCATCTTTATCACGGTCGATGCGCCGCAGCTTGGTCGTCGTGAGCGTGATATGCGTATGCACTTTAGCGACGAGGGTTCGAATGTGCAGAGCGGCAACGATGTGGAGCGTGATGAGGGCGCTGCACGTGCGATCAGCTCGTTTATCGACCCAAGTTTGACGTGGGATGATGTGCTCTGGATCAAGAATCACACGCGCATTCCGATCTTGCTCAAGGGTGTCCAGGCATGGGAAGATGCCGTGCTGGCCTATGAGATGGGTCTGGCGGGTATTGTTCTCTCGAACCACGGTGGCCGTCAGCTAGACTTTGCGCGCTCGAGTATCGAAGTACTGGAAGAGGTTGTGACAGAGATGCGCAAGCGCAACATGTTCCCCAGCAACAACTTCCAGCTGTTTGTCGACGGTGGTATTCGTCGTGGCACCGATATCCTCAAGGCCGTGGCGCTGGGCGCTACGGCTGTGGGCATTGGCCGTCCGTTCCTGTATGCGTACTCCGCCTACGGCCCGGACGGTGTGGTACGTGCGATCAACCTGCTGCACGACGAGATTGAGATGAATTTGCGCCTGATCGGTGCGCCTACGCTGAAGGATGTCGTACCGGAGATGCTGGATCTGCGTGCGCTGCATGCCCATGGCTCGACGGTGGCGCCGCGCGATGGCTCGACGGTGTTTGACCCGCACGGCCACGGCCGCTTGTAAGTGTGTCTAATGTATCGTGATGTACTAGTGAGGTAGTGCTTGCGCTGTAGCTGCATGCGCTTTGTGCATGCCTAATAGAGTTTTTCTGTGCCACTTGCGTCGTTGGCCCCGGTTGCCGCCGCTTTCCTTTGTTCCTCGTGCAGGTGGAGGGGTCGGCAGATCTTGCAGCGCCCCACCCCGGTGTGGAGGACCAAGGCAACGGGGGGCCGCGGCGTCTTGCGAGCGCGGTGTTTGTTGCGACCAGGATGGGTGTGTGTGCTTCCTCGCCCGGCGCTGGCGGCGGTGTGAGTGATGCAGACCGAGATGCCAAGCAGCGAAATATGGAGATTGACAAGCATTTAGATGATGCGCATAAGAAGGCGAAGCAAGAGCTGAAGATCTTGTTGCTGGGCAGTGGTGAGTCTGGCAAGTCAACGATCGTCAAGCAGATGAAAATCATCCACCAGAACGGATTTACGGAGCAGGAGTTGTTTATGTACCGCATTACTATTCTGAAGAATGTGATGGATTCGGTGAATGCCATCATTCTAGCGATGCGTCGTCTGAGCATTGAGCCAGCGACGCTGGAAAACAGAGAAAAGGTGGACCAGCTGGTTCACTACCACCTGCCAGCGGATGCGAATGCGTCGTTGCCTCCGCACATTGGCCAGATGATTGTAGATATTTGGACCGACCCCGTTATGGAGCAGCTTATGGCGCGCCGCGGCGAATTTTATTTGATGGACAATGCGGATTAGTACGTCGTGATGTGAGTTTGACACCAGTTTCCTAAGCAACATTTCGCGCATAGCAACGGAAGACTACCTTCCTACGCCTCAGGATGTACTGTACGCTCGTTCCAAGACGACGGGCATTACGGAGACCACCTTTTCCCTAGGTTCGCTGGCGATTCGCCTGGTCGATGTAGGCGGACAACGTTCTGAGCGTACGAAATGGATCCACAGCTTTGAGTCGGTCACGTCGATTATATTCTGCGTGGCGCTCAGTGAGTATGATCAAGTGCTGCTCGAAGACAGCAACCAAAATCGTATGGCCGAGAGTCTGGTCCTCTTTGAAAGTGTGATCAACAGTCGTATGTATGACTCTGGCTGACCCTATTCAGGCTGGTTCCTTCGCACATCGATCATCCTGTTCCTCAACAAGATTGACGTGTTCCAGAAGAAGCTTCCTATGCGCCCCTTGGCCGATTATTTCCCCGAGTATACGGGTGGCAACGATGTAAACAAGGCAGCAAAATACATCCTATGGCGTTTCACGCGTGTCAACCGCGCGAAGCTGCAAATTTACCCACACATCACGCAGGCCACCGACACATCCAACATCCGCTTGGTTTTTGCGGCTGTCAAAGAGTACGTATACGTCACCATGCGCGCTTACCTCCTAGAACGCTTTTGCAGAATGCCCTTCGTGAGACAGGCTTTATCTAATGATTTCCGCGCTGCTGACAGACACTCGTAGAGAACGGATATATGACGAAGTGATACCGGGCTACATGGTTTATTTCAACGCACTCTGGACGGCTTCATCAGACTTCCATGGCGCTGTGCGGCGCATAGCATCGCGAGTTTCGCGAGCGGGGCGCACGACTGAGGGCGCCTCGCTCAGCCATGCACCGGTGAGCTGCGCTAGCATCGTCGGTGGACGAGTGGCTTCGTACAGCGCCTCTGGGGCCTCCTCCATGCAGGCGCGCAAGCACAAGGCGGCCAACTGCACATCCACTGGTGCTGGCTGGAGGATCTCGGCGTCGAGAACGGGTGCCATGGATGTGGGATGTGCCTGCAGCATGGCCGCACACAGCTCGGCCAAGGCACGCTTCATCGCTTCCCGCGGCTCTTCGTTCGCGTGGAAGGCGGACGTGAGGCAGGCGGCCATCGACTCGCGCACAGGCTCGCTCAGCTTGTCGGCTGCGACATGACGCACAATATCGGCCAGCGCTGTCGCCGCAGCATCGGTCGTCTCGTCGGACGAGGGATCAGCGAGCGCTTGCTGAATTTGCTGGACCAGTTCCTGGATCACACCTTCCACACGCGTCTGTAGACCCATGAGGAAACCAAGTGCCGAGGCGGCCTTGCCACGTACATTCGCGCTGGCGGGATCGCCCAGTGCTTTTTGGAACGAGCGCTGCAGTTGCGGGTAGAAGGGACGGACCAGGGCCGGGACATGATGGATCATGGTATCCAGCGACGTAAGGATGGCCGCTTTCACGGGCGGCGCATGACGATCACCACACAGACGAATCAATGGGCCCACCATCGCGGTAATGAACGGCTTGATGGCGTCGGCTGTCGTGCGCAGCACAAGATCGGCCAGACCCAACGCGCCTTGCTCGCGCTGCTCCGCGGTGCCTTGCAAGAGACCGTGCAGAAGCACCGGCACCATTGGGCCAGCGCCACGTGGCAACAAAAGACCCGGCAACGGCGTCCCAGGGGCCCCTGTCGACTCGAGCGCGCGACGCAGCGGGACGACGAGCGCGTCCCAATGGTCTTTGGGCACAGCCTTCACGCACGCATCCAGCGCCGCGAGGGCCGCTGGTGTGACCATCGGCGAGGGATCGTCAAAGAGCGCCACAAGTTTGCGTACATAGTCGATCGTGTAGTCGTCCCAGCCGATGGCGACATGCTGCGTGAATCGCACAAAGAGCAGGCAGCCCAGAGTACGGCGCTCGGGCGTACGATGCCCCAGCCAGCCCAGCAGTTGGATCATGGCTTGGTGCAGCGCATCAATATCACGCACCGAGGCGAACAGGGCATCGGCCACGGGCCAGTGTGCATCTGCTTCGAGGTCCGCGGGCGAGATGGTCGCTGCCAAGGCGCCCAGCACTGACGCAATATGAGGCGCGAGCGTCGCGCCCATGACGGGCAAGAGCTCGGCAAGCGCATGTGCATGCGCTTCGCTGAGCGGCGTGCGCACCAGCGTCGGAATGACCACAGGCACCACGGCCTCCGGCTGCGTCCGCACGACTTCGCGGAGAGCAGCGAGCGCCGTCGTAGCGCGCTCGTCGTCTTCGAGCGCGCCCAGCAGCGTCGGCACCGTCGCATCGATCGCATGTGCACCAAGATGCGACTGCATTGCGTCGAGAGCGTGTGCGGCGGCGGCGCGGACCATCGCGGACTCGTCGCCGAGTGCGCCACGGACAATCGCAATGAGCGACGCCTCGTGATCCTCGAGCTGCGTCTTGGTCGCATTGCTCAGAATGTCTGTCACGGCGCGGCACACACCAGCGCGTGTGCTGGCACGCGGCGCGTTCTGCGCGCGCTCGGCCAGCAACGGCACTGTCTCGCCCAGAATCTTTTCGCCAAGCTTGCGCACCAGCTCGCCCAGCGTACGACCGGCCATATCGCGCTGCTCGTCGCCCTCGGCGGCCAGTGCACCAAGAAGCAGATCGAGCATGATCGGCAAGACTTCGCGTGCCGTGCGGGGTGTATTGTGCACCAAGGCCTTCCATGTCTGCGCCGCGGTTTGGCGCACAGGGATGCTTGGGTCCTGCCGCAAGATGTAAATGGCGGCGAGCAGACGCTGCCGACGTTCGCTGCCCAGCGCCTGTGTCAGCTGCCGCTGAATGGAGGAATGCGGCGCCTGGTCCGTTACGTCGTCAGCCTCGGCCATGTCGACGTCCAGATCGCCATCACCTGCCTCTGCGTCGCCCACCTCGGCCTTGCCGGCAATGCCACCGACACGGAACAGCAGATCGGCGGTCAGCTGCAGCGACGAAAGACGCACGCGGTGGCGCTCGTCAAACAGACGCGGCTCCAGCTGCGGCAAGAGCAGGTCGACCGACCGCTGTGTATAGTTCACAATGAGCATACGACCAGCGCGCAAGCTCGCCTCGCGCACCGACTCGACATCGTCGGCCATACTCGAGACGATCGGCGGGACAATGCGGCCGAGATGCGGCACAAAGCGAGAGCCAAACGTCGCAGGGAGGTAGATGAGCAGCGCGAGATGACCTTCTCGCACGTACGACGCACTCGCCTGTGTATTCTCGATAATCGAGGGCAGCAGTCGCTCCATACGCTCCATACCGAGACCCGCCAGCACTTCGGCCAATCCCTGTGCTGCACCATGTCGGTCGACACCTGTCGCATCGGTCTGCAGCACTTGCAGGAGCGAGGGGACCAAGTCGGCAAAGTGCACTTCGCCCAGCCGCTCGACCAGCGTACCCAGCGCATGCGCCGCCGTCGCACGTGCATCCGGCACCGGGGATACCAGCACGCCACGTACGAGCGGTGTGTACCGGGCCAGGTACGGCACGTAGTCGCGCGAATCGGTCAGCGACGCAAGGTTGCCTACAATCTGCGCCGCCTGCTTTTGCGCTGTGACACTGCGTTCACGCAGGCCACGCTCAAGAATCGGCGCGATGAGCGCTAGCGAGGGTCCATCAATGTAGTGCACAAACTTGGTATGCAGCAAAGCTTTGAGCGCCGACGCCGTTTTGGCGTTCGGGTCGACCAACGCCTTGAGCAACGTAGGCACCAAGTGGTGGATTTCAGGGTTGTGAATCACCTCGCCAAACTGCTTAAGACTCTGGTTCGCAGCCGCGCTCACCTGCCGATGCGAGTCAGTGAGTACGTCGCTCAGCCGTGGAATGACCGTCGGCAATGCCGCCGAAAGCTGCCGCGGCGCACAGAACGCCATCGCGCCAAGCAATTCCACCGCACCCTTCTTGGTCCGCCACTGCTTCTCGTCCAGCCCGGCAAGGAGCTCAGGCAAGATCAGCTTGAGGCATTGGCCACTGAGACTGCGCATCAACACACGCGCAGCGTCCTGCGTGGCCTCCCGCACATCCGCATGCGTATCGCCAAAGCAGGTGAGCAGCGATGGCAGCATCCGCTCGACATACGGCTCCAGCAGCACTTTGAGGGTGTGAGCCAGCATCTCGTAGGCCAGCATCGCGCCTTGGCGCATCGTCGTCGTACTGGTATCTGCCACGGCATCTTCAAGCCGCTCCAAGATACGCCATTCCCGCATAGCACCGATACCGCGGCCCAGCACCAGCGCGGCAAGGCCGTACGCGGCACCGCGTCGCGCCGCGTAGGACGGGCCGCGGAACAGATCATGCATCATCTCGTCGGCCATCGAAGGCACATCACGTGCCACGGCGGCCGTGCGGACCAGCGCTGGAAGACACGACGCTACGGCGTCTTGGACCAATTCACTAGGCGTCGGCAGCGCGCCGCGAAGACGATCCACGACGCGGCGAACATGCTCATCGTCCGTCGCAAGATGACGTGCGGCGCGGCCCAGCAGCACAATCGCCGCTTCTTGCACGGCATCATCGTCGCTGCCGACACTCGATTCCAGCTGCGACATGAGCTCATGCAGGACAGAAGCGCCATGTGCATCGATCACCGCCAAGCCAGCGTCGAGCATAGCGCGGCGTACACGCTCGTCACGATCGCTCAGACCTGCGCCGCGCTGCAGCGCAAACACAAAGAACGGCACCACATGCGCAGGATCAAAGTGCGGCGCAATCGCTTGGAATGTCTGGGCCACAGCCAATCGCACAGGCCACGCATCCTGGCGGCCCAACGTAGACTCGATCACCATGCCGTACTGATCATACTCCGGCTCAAGAGAATAGTTCTCGGCATGGTACAGCGACTGCAACGAGTCAAGCAGGGATGCAAACGTCGAGGGATGCATCGCGCAGGCCACACCTAGCGCTTTCGCTGCCTGTGCACGCACGTACTCGTGCGAATGCTGCAGCAGCGGGACGAGCGACGAGGCATACGTCGGCGGGACATCCAGCCCATTTTCCTCCCACAGCCGCTCGGCCAAGGGCGCATCGTCCTCGGACTGTTGCGCGAGGAACAGCGCTGCAGGGAACTCGAGCTCCGTCAAGTCCAGGGGTGCCAAGCACTGCATCGCACCGTCACGCTCCCTACGTTCGTCCGAGAGCGCGGCGTTGAGGAGCAGCGTGACGAGCGCGCCTTCGCCACGCACTTCGCGGGCCATCGCATCGCCATAGGCACGCAACGCAGCCACAGCGTCCGACGAGAGCATCGGCACACGACGTGCGAGTGTGAGCAGAGCCTTGAGGACGGGAGCACGTGGGAACGACGGATCCGCGCCGTACCACGTATGTGCCTGCAGAATTTCCAGGACAAGGTGCAGCCGCTCGACCACAGCGTCGTCGTGTTCTTCGTTGCCAGTCAATGTGTTATGCTCCACAAGGTACGTCAGCCATGGCACAAGGAAGCCACACGTGCCACACGAGAGCGGCGCACCATCGACCAACAAACGCAGCTGGTACAAGCTGCGCAACTCGACATCGCGCGCCGATTCCAGCGCGTAGTCGAGCGACACAAAGTCATCATCGACCTCGCGAAGCATCACGCTCAGCACAAAGGCACACACCTTTTCCGCGCGCGGCTCCACACTGCGAGACAAGGCGACCAACGCATCGATAGCAGCCGCACCGATTTGCAGCGTATGCACACGCTCGTACGACAAACAAGGACGTACAGCTTGCGTCAAAGGGTACACGTACGCATCCACAGCGTCGGTACGCGCTTGCGTCACACTCGCGACACGCTGCAATGCACGTGACATGCGTGCACGCGTGGTGTCGACATGCGCGCGGATCTCGCGCTCGGTAGCGAGTTGAGCGTCGACCGCCGCTTGGTCCTGTTTCGACAAGGTCTGCGGCCCACTAGCAGCTTTCTTCGCTGCGATAGAGGCACGCACTTCTGCATCCCACTTGTCCATGTTGGTCGTGCGGCCCTTGTCGACGGACGTCTTGGCCTTGGACTGCGCCAACACATCAATGTACGGGCGATCGGCAGGCGCGCCCCAAATGGCCACATCCTGCTCCGAGAGCGCTTGGAGTGGGTGCAGGGATAAATCACGGACAATGTCGCCACATACACGGCCAAAGAGCACATCCGGCGCGATGAAGAGAAGCGTCGAGAGAGCTGCCTGCGCCGCATCCGCCCACGATGCATCATGCTGTGCTTCGTATACTGTATGCAGCAGATCATCAGCATGCGCCTTGACGAGGGCATGTGGATCCGCGCCGGCCAGGCGGCATAGACGTACAAATGCATCGCCCTCCCGGTCATGCAGCAATGCACTATGCGCTACAACCACAAGATCAGGGAGAAGGAACGCACGCTCTTTCGAGGCCAGCAGTGTCAGCATACGATGCACAGTATGCGGGGCCCAGGCTACGTCGCGACGTAGCAGATGCAATACGAGACGCAGCGCAAGGCGAGCATCCGCCTCGGCCACCTCGCTAAGCAGCGCCACACCCGCCTCCGAATCATGTACCAAGTAGACACTGAGCAAGGCCTCCACAGCCTCTTGCAGCGTTGGGTCGTGTATATGCTGCACACCATGCCGACGGAGCACAGCACCGAGCGCTTCCGCATGCCAGGCGAGCGTACCAGGCTCGATCATTTTTCGCGCGACTTTCTCGTTCACCAGGAACGACGGCTTGGCGCCCAGCGTGAGGAGCGTCGCGACAGGCGCAATCTTGGTAGCCTGCGAGGCCACGTCAGTGGAGCCAGACAGAGACAAGGGGCCCCACAGCAAGGCGACGGCGACACACCCTTCCAGCGCGGCTTCAGGAGACGTGAGTGCACTGCTTGATGCAGCTTGCACGGCGGCGCGCAGAGCGGGCAGGCCCTCGGTCCAGAACGCTACGTCAGCCTCGGACGCAGGCACATGGGATTTCATAGCGACGCCAAGCGACGACATGGTCGCAGCACATAGGGGTGCTTTGAGCGATTGTGCCTTGGTGAAGAGTGCCTTGGTATACGAAGCCGGTACCTTGGTATTACTCGCCAGCAAAGCCTTGACATGTGGCCACATAGCATCCAGTTCGTAGCGAAGCGGTGTAGGCTGTACTTCTTTTTGAACCAGCGGTGCCATCGCCTCAAGAAGGGACATGCTGCCCGCTATGCTTGGAGGCACCGCTTCCAAGAGCGCACACTGCGATCGACGTTGGTCTTCGGTACGTGACTCAGCAGGCTTGATGCTCTTGCTTGCAGCCTCGACAAAGCTATCCACATTAACGCCCGACGTAGTAAGCAGCGTCGTAGCAAAGGCCAGAGCACCTTCGCGCGTCGTTGCATTCGACGAGACAATCGACGACAAGAGCACGGTTTGGAATCGCGCAAGTACGGCCGTAGCATCAACAGGTACAGCGCGGCAAAGGCCATCAGCCACATGGAAAGCAAGCTCAGGCGAGCGAAGCAGCATCTTTTGCAGTGTAGGGAAGACATGCTCGTCCAGCGCGGCTTGCGTCACATGGGTACGCAGGAACCCATCCAACGCATGGACAACGCTGCGTGGCACAGCGGTCTTGGCACTCACGATATGCGACATGTAGTACTGCAATACAACATCGCGATGCTGCTCCATACACGACACACCCAGAGCCCGGTCCTTGGCTTTGAGGTGTCGAGCCACATCGAGAATCACGCCTTGGAGAACGACAGAGCGCCACACGGCATTTGCCGGCATATCCAGCGCAACTCGCAGGCACAGATCAAGCTGCTGAGGTGCCTGGCGGAACGTACGCCATGCAGTATGGAGCACACCACCGATCAAGCGATCGGTATGCGTCGTAGGCTTCGTGATCAGCAAGCACATATGCGTGAGCGCAAAAGCCGAAAGAAGGGTTGATAGGTGCACATCGCCTTGCAAGTGTGCCGCATCTCCACGCAGAATGTGGGAGAGGAGAACAGCGATCCACATATGGACATTCGCCACTTGAGCACGGGGTGCACGCGCACTCCCATCATTGGCATTGCACACACGATCGACTTCAGAGCGAAGCGCACGGTGTGCAGAGAGAACAAGAACACTATCATACGGCGCCTGCACTTTGTCGCCCACGTCGGCGCTGAGAAGAAGATGAGCTGCCTCGAGCAGAGACAGACGCGACGCACGGTCCTGATGGAAAAGGGACGCCTGAAGCAGCAGCTGGTATAACTCGACACGCTCGTCCGACGTCGTCTCTGCGTCATTTGCCACTAAAGGAATGCACTCGCGCAAGAAATGCTGGCGTCTTTTGGGTGAAGGGTGCCGCAGTACAGCAGCGACATGGGTCACAAATCCATTCCAGTCCGATCCCCCTTCGTCGGGACTAGCAGGGCCCGTGGGCACGGATTGCCCTGGTGCCATATCATCATCCGAATCATACGGCGACTCCGCACTTGCGACATCGGCGGTGCGAAGCCACTGCCGGATATCACGCGTGCGCATGGCCCTCGGACGTCACTCGAAGACGCTGCCAACGTAGCGAGAACGCAGAAGATGGTATCACGTGATTTGAAGCAACACGACAGGGAGACCACCACCACGCCTGGGGCCAGCGCCTGTCGCGGCATGACGTCGCGGTGGCTGTCTATAAGTAGGTACACTACAGAGCAAAAGAAAAAGGAAAAGAGGCCTGTCAAGCGCTGATAGCATGATAATGCACTATCCTTGGTACACGGAGGGTACCACGAAGACGCAGCGTACGTGTACGAGGGACGAAAAGCACATTGCACCTATATTATAGACATCTGACTTGGGAGTACGAAAGTGAGCTCGACCCCTTCATCTTTGTCTTTGGCACGACGCGATGGGCACACGAATGACTGACTCTACAGGGCCATACGCATACGCATGCCAAAGAAAAACGAGGGTATACTGTCAGTGATATACATCGCTAGAGAGTGGATAAGCGCTGCATCTGGGATAAGCGGTGTCACAGCGTAAGATAGGGCACGACCACATTCCAAGCGAACGAGCCTATGTGCGAATAGGGCAGGCAGCGCTTGTTAAAGAAAGCACAGACGTGGACCAAGATACAGAGCTAGATCACACTTTGGCACAAAACGCAATACATAGTTGCTGCATTCACTTGTAAGCGATGGGCTTGGCACAATGCCAATCACCGCCTCGAAAAAACGATGCACCGAAGCTGATGGGGCAATCGCTCGCGCCACACACCTGCGGAATGCAGGGAGGTCTGCGATGCATACTTGACTAAGCAATGCCTCGCACCGCGCCAACCCCCACGCCCGCAAATGGAAGTGGAGAATGTCAGGCACAAAAGCTAAATATGCATTCACTACAAGGGTCTGCACTGCCTGGAGGACTCAGCGGTGGACAGTAGCACGAACAGCGCTCTGTTTCCATCTCCATACCATCAAGGCGATTGGGTTCAGATCCAGCGTGTTTTGATTGCTTCACGACAGTCGCGTTGTCCATTCTTCAACGTGTCAGTCCCTGCTTGACTGTATAAAATGGACGTCTCCACTGCTGTTGTCCCATCAGCCGCGCCACCTACCCCTCACCTGGAATCTCATTGCATGACCATTCCTAAAAGCACATCAGACCATGCATTGAGTGACGATCGTTTCCATGGGCACCGTCTCATTGCAGAAACTGCAGAACGGTTCCTTATGAACTTGTTCGCGTGCTCACAAGATTCTGTCTCTGCCACCATAGAGACAAAGCCAGAAGGAACATTGCGGCTCTCATACTTTATCGCTTACGCATTGTATCGAACGCGCCTTCCTATGACTGTTATGTATTCCGCTTTGTGTCTTCTTAAGCGATTAAAAACACGATACCCTGTGGCCAGAGGCTCATCAGGACATCGTCTGTTCATTTCCGCCTTTATGCTTTCATGCAAAATGATTTGTGATGACTCTTACAACAATAAAAGCTGGGTGATTGTGGGCCAAAATATGTTTACCCTCCATGAAATCAACCAAATGGAGCGAGAGCTGTTTAGCTACCTTGACTTTCAGTTGAAAGTGGAACCAGAGGAGCTGGCAGCGTTTGCAGCGGAGCTCGAGTGGTATGGCGCCCCCGCTTTGACCCTTGATGACCTGAAGCGTACGCGTATTGTAGCGCCCACGAGCGTTACCGCATCGCGCTCGGCACCCAAATCTATGAGCGGCACTGCCTCTTCTTCCATTGCGAGCTCATCGTCATCCTCGTCTGCACGGCGCAAAACCCATCGCCGCTGCCTGAGCTTGCGGCCGGACTACTGGAACAACCCCCATTCTACAGTCTCCAATGCTTCAGTACGACACTACCGTTCCGAAAGCAATGAATGGTGTGCCAGTGGGATGCAGCGTACATCGCGCCAACATGCGCGATCCTCTATGCCACTCCAACGCTCGGCGCCGATGTACCCGTATCCCCAGGCTGCCCCGCTCCATACACCTTCGTTTACGGCAGTCAGGCCTGATACTATTATTTCGCCAGGGATGTCTTGGTCACCATTCTATACGGCGGCAAATGCTTCGTCTCTGTCTAGCACAACGCCGATTTCTGCGACGGACAGTCTTCGACCTACGCCATCAACGTCTATGTCGGACCTGTCGTTGTGCAGTCCTAACCAAGTATTTAATGGTGCCAGTCATGGCGTTCCTATGTTTTTGCCATGGGAGCCAGCTAAGCCCATGCACGTGCCATCGTACGAAGTCAACGAGTCGTTCCGTATGCCCCCTCTTCCCAGTACAATGGCAGCGACCATGTCGCAGGTAACGCCACACCAAGCACCCAGCTCCTAGTCTTTTTTTATATACCATCCTTCCCACCCATAGATGTACGCTTACGTAGAGACATGTAAATTTAAGCTTGAGGCCATGGATCCATCCGTTAGTAAGGAGTCAGAGGTACCGCATGAAAATGTGGATCACGTGGGAAGAGCCAGGAACAAAGAAACAACACTGCGTCTTTGTTCCCAGCCATGGCTACCCAAGTCATGCGGGGGAAGCCTCAGCCGCATAAATGTACGGCGGGCCCAACACCAATGTAAGAAGCAGGCGCTGTTATGGCGTCTGTTCCAAAGTATGATGGCCCGCACAAGGTCCGACCTGACGCTGTCTACATAGAGCCGGACGCCATCTCCGTGCAGAGCACAGACCTACCTACCTCTGGCTGGAGCCTGCAAGGACACGACGTATCGCCTCTCAGTGCGAGCTTTGTTCATGAAGATAAATGGAAGGAGGTACCGACTACCACCGAAACATGGCAGGCCCATGTCGAGAAAGATATCATTCTTCCACGCGCTCAGCGCACATGGCGCGGCATGTATGCCCCTCTTCGTGGCTATGCGTGGCAATGGGAGGCGCTTCTAGGTGCTTTGTGTGGATTGGCCTCAGGATGCATTCCCATTTGTATGACGTACATTGTGGGCCGTGCATTTGCGGCGCTCAGTGCGTACCATGGACAGCCCGGTGACCAACATGTGCTCTTGGATGCCATGAAAGTGGACGCGCTGGCGCTGGTAGCGCTATCTATTGCTGCATTTCTGCTTCGCATGCCAGAAACACTGCTGTGGCTACGAGTTGGGGAGCGCGGTGCTCTAGCATGGCGCTGCAAACTCTTGCGTGTCATGCATACGCAGCCAGTTAGCTGGTATGATCTCGGCATGGGCATGGCACAAGATACCGTGCAAGACACAGGCGCAGCAGGGCTCATGTCTCTTTACGCTAGTGATATGGACGATGTGCGTCTTGCGATGGGCATCCATGTGGGTGGATTGCTACGGCATATCGCGACACTCGTGGGCGCTCTGGGCTTTGCCCTTTCACGACATTGGGCGTTGACATTGGTCATCTTTGCTACGGTCCCTGTGATTGCAGCAGTTACGATCATTGGCAGTATGCTAATGCAGCCAACAGAAGCAAGAATCCGAGAACAAGAGGCTAGCCTGGCATCGCACATGGAGATGTGTGCACGCGCCATCACAACCATCAAAGCGTATACGTACGAAAGCACATGCCTTCGCTCAGGTGAGGCTCTTGTGCGTCGCTTCTGCCGCAGCTACCAGGGCCTGTCATGGGGCTTGGGATTGCGTCTCGGATTGGGTGCTGCTCTGAGTCTGTTGACGTTTGTGCAAGGGTTTGGGTACGGCAGTGTACTGGTTCGCGATGGACATACCACGCCGGCGGCCGTCATGAGTGCCTTTTTAGCTTGCTTGGTCGCTATGAGCCAGCTCCAGACCATCCTCATGCGCCTCAGTGGATGGGAGCGTGGTATGCAAGCGGCTGGACGTTTGAGTGCCATCTGCCAAAGTCGTATCGCACATCCCTCCCACATTCCCACACCTGTATCGCAAGGCAAGGAAATAGGATGGCACACATGGACTCTGGAGAATGTCACAATGGCCTACCCCACTCGACCGACGATACCTGCTGTGTGTGAGTCGAGTATGACACTGCCTCGAGGCGCCTGTACGTTTTTGCTCGGTGCGAGTGGCAGCGGCAAAAGCAGCGTTGCTGCACTTTTCGCCCGGTTGTATGACCCTGCGGCTGGTCGTGTATGTGTGGACGGCATGGATGTACATGCATGGCCCTTGGACACGTACCGTATGCATGTACTCTATGTGCATCAAACGCCATGGCTTCTGGATGGCAGTGTACGTGAGAACCTCGCACCGTACGGCGAGGTGGGAGAGAGCACACTCAAAGCAATGCTGCGTGCCATGCACCTAGACGCGTGGGTACAAGCTCTGCCCAACGGGTTAGATACACGGCTCGGTGCGTCCACCGTTATTCGGCCTAGTGGTGGGCAACAACAGCGTCTGGCGCTAGCTCGCGCGCTCCTACGTGATCCCGCGCTCCTTATTCTTGATGAGCCAACCTCTGCTTTGGATCGGACCACAGCACAAGCAGTCCAGCATGCGATCCGAGTATGGCGTAAAGGTAAGACGACGTTGATTATTACACATGATCCTTCCTGGATGGAGCCAAGTGATGTGACATATACGATGGTCCATGGAAGAATCCGGCCCGGCCGACTTGGCTACGCTGAGGCGCATCTGGAAGCACCAGGCACGGTGCCAGTGTCCCATCCTACTCCAGGGTTGTGCGACACGAGTGCATCCGCCAACGAACATGTCGCTGGTGGAGAGACCAATCATCACAAGGACAAGAAGTTGGCGTCATCGGGGCGTCCCACGTTCGTCGCTTCGGCACAGTGGTTGTGGCATACTGTACCATCGCGATGGGCCTTGGTTGGTGTACTGGGTGTGTGCCTTTTGTCCGGCTTGACAGTGCCGGCGTTTTCTCTGTGCCTTACCCAAGTTCTAGTACGTCTTGCGCAGCCTGGGCGCACGCAGCTGGGCACAATGATTGGAGCGACGGTGGGCGTAGCTATGGCTGATGGTGTGGTCAAAGGTCTGCGATATGCGCTCAGTGAGTGTATAGCTGCGTCCTGGAGTGCTCGACTGCGCTCGCTAGCGCTAGCGCGTGTACTACAGCAAGATTGTACCTACTTTACGGACGAGGATCATAAGCCTAGTGCGTTGGCACATACATGGACGAAAGATGCAAAAGACGCACATGTAATGATTACGGAGTGGGCCGGCCAAGGCAGTGTCGTTGTGGCCATGGGCGCGGCTACCTGGATCTGGGCATTATGTCGTGGGTGGCAGCTAACGCTGTGTGTGAGTGCGTTGGTGCCGGTAGGTGCGTTCACCTTAGGCTTGCAAAGCGCCTGGCTAGCGCGCCAAGAACAAGTGGCCCGGGAGGGACGAGCCAAAGCTGCAGAGCATGTGTATACGTACGCGCAGCATGTCCATGCAGCACGAGCTACCCACCTAGCTGCCAAGCTGTATGAGCAGGCGCGCACGCATGCGCATGAGGCAGCACGGTGTGGCAGGCGCGCATCCTGGGCTATTGCGCTGGGCGCCGGTATACCGGAAGCGCTGCTGTACATGGCCGAAGCCGTGTTGTACGCTGTCGGTGCTGTACTCATGGTCCATGGCATCTATGATTTGGAGCGTGTGCTCAGCGTACTTAGCCCGTTGGTATTTGGCCTGTCGTATGCGTCCAGTGCAGCTACGATGATACCTTCTGTCCGCCCAGGCCAAATTGCAATGCATCGTATGCAGGCGCTGATCGAGCCAGGATCGAGAATGCCGAGCGATAGCACAGGCACCTATACCCATGCTGTGGATGGCAGCATTACGTGCGAGCGTGTTTCGTTGCAGTATCCTGGTCAAGCGCATCGGGCATTGACAGACGTGTCGCTTCACATTCGTCCTGGTGAGCATGTCGCCTTGATCGGTCGGTCCGGCTCCGGCAAGTCGAGTTTGTTGGCGCTGTTGCAGCGTTGGTACGAACCGACGTCAGGTGTGCTACGAGTTGATCACGTCCCTACGACGCAGTGGTCAGCGTCGGCCTTGCGTGCATATATGGCTGTTGTCACGCAGCCGCCCGTCTTGCTCCCAGGGACGATTGAAGAGGCCATTACCTCGCAGCCACGTCCGTTGACGTGGGCCGACCAAATACAGGCGCTGAAGGCAGCGCATGCTGATGGGTTTGTACAAGCGTTACCGCTCCAACTAGCTACGCCCTTAGGACCTCAAACGCAGCTGAGTGGTGGCCAAGTGCAGCGGTTGGCGCTAGCTCGTGCGTACGCGCGACGGGCTGCGCGAATCTGGCTCATGGACGAGCCTACGTCAGCCCTGGATGCTGCCAGCCGTAATGCTGTGGTAGCAGCATGGCGCGATGACCCACGTACTATGCTCATTGCGACACATGATCCGTATGTGATGCAGCACTGTGACCGCCTTCTCGTGCTGGAACAAGGAAGAGTAGTGCAGTCAACGACATGGGCGCAATGGGCAGGGATGCAAGCAGAGAAGGAAGACCCTCTGAGCACGATGTGCGAGATAGACAAATACGCGAACTAATAAAGCTTTTGGTTACGACGGCGCCGGCATCTATCAAAAAAAAAGACAGGAACTACGACGTGCATGCATCATCGCTCGCTTAGCGACCACCCGAGAGACCCTTCTGCACGGCACGCTTGAGGCGCAGCGAGCAGCGGCGGTAGTCGTCGGCCGAGGCGTCCTCGAGCTCGAGCAGCTCCAGAGCCTTGGCGAGCTCCTGCTCGACCTGGATCTTGGCAGCGCGCTTGAAGTTGGCAGCCGGGTTCGAGATGGTGCTCTCGACCGAGTGAACGTAGGCCTCGAGGTCATTGCGCGAGTCGTGCTTGGCCTGGAACTCCTTGTCGGCGTTCTTGAAGGTCTCCGAGTCCTTGATCATCTGCTCAATCTCCGTCGAGCTCAGGCGACCCACCGAGTTAGTGATGGTGATGTTAGCCTTGCGGCCCGAGGCCTTGTCCATAGCCGAGACCTTGAGCAGACCGTTGGCGTCCACCTCAAAGGTGCAGACCAGCTCAGCCTGACCACGGGGCATCGGAGGGATACCAGTCAGCTCGAACTCACCAAGGAGACGGTTGTCCTTGCACTGGGTACGCTCACCCTCGTACACCGGGAAGGTGACCTGGGTCTGGTTGTCCTCGACCGTGGTGAAGACACGGGTCTTGTTGGTCGGGATCGGGGTGTTACGGGGCACGACCACACCGAACACGTCACCCTGCATGGCAACACCGAGCGAGAGCGGGGCCACATCGAGCAGGAGCAGGTCAGCGGTCTTGTCGCTGGTCTGGTTGGTAAGCACAGCACCCTGGACAGCAGCACCGTAGGCCACGGCCTCGTCGGGGTTGATCGACTTGTTCAGCTGACGGCCGTTGAAGTACTCCGAGACAAGAGCCTGAATCTTGGGGATACGGGTCGAACCACCGACCAGCACAATATCGTCGACCTTGTCAGCAGGGATCTTCGAGTCCTTCAGCACCTTGGCGACCGGGTCGAGGGTACCCTTGAAGGCAGCAGCGTTGATCTCCTCGAAGCGGGCACGGGTGATGTTGGCCTGGAAGTCAATACCCTGGAAGAGCGAGTCGACCTCAACAGTGGTCTGGGTCACGCTCGAGAGAGTGCGCTTAGCACGCTCACAGGCGCTGCGGAGACGGCGGAGAGCACGGGCATCCTCCGACATGTCCACCTTGTTCTTGCGCTCGAACTCCTTCTTGAAATGCTCAAGCAGGGCGTTGTCAAAGTCCTCACCACCCAAGTGCGTGTCACCAGCAGTGGCCTTCACAGCGAACACACCACCGGTGATGTTGAGGAGCGAGACATCGAACGTACCACCACCCAAGTCGAAGATGAGGACGTTCTTCTCCTGGCTCGACTTCGAGTCCAGACCGTAGGCAATAGCGGCAGCGGTCGGCTCGTTGATGATACGGAGCACATCGAGACCAGCAATCGAACCTGCCATGTTAGTATTCGTTCACACAAAGAACGGTAGAGAGGCTGCTGCGCTCATCAAGCATGCCGAATATATGGCTTTGTCCTCATACACTCAGACTTAGCATGGAATATTTTGGGATAATCGTCGCAGCGCAGTCTCTCTTCCCGTATCGTATACGTACCAGCATCCTTGGTGGCAAGACGCTGCGAGTCGTTGAAGTAGGCCGGGACAGTGACCACAGCCTTCTTCACCTCTTTGCCGATCTTGGCCTCAGCAATCTCCTTCATCTTGGTGAGCACCATCGACGAGATCTCCTGCGGCGAGAACTGCTTCTTCTCACCGAGGTACTCGACCTCAATGTAGGGGCTGCCGTCCTTGTCAATGACAGTGAACGGCCAGTGCTGCATGTCCTTCTTCACGTCGGGGTCGTCGAAGCGGCGACCGATCAGACGCTTAGCGTCGAACACAGTCTGGCGCGGGTTCATGGCAGCCTGGTTCTTGGCAGCATCACCGATGAGACGCTCGCTCTCAGTGAAGGCAACGTACGAGGGAGTGGTACGGTTACCCTGGTCGTTGGCGATGATCTCAACACGCTCGTTCGACCACCAACCAACGCACGAGTAGGTGGTACCCAGGTCAATACCAATGGCACCCTCGTAGACGTTCGAGTCGTTCGTAGCAGGCACTTCCGCCGACATGGCTAATGGATGAGTTCCGTGGGAAAAGCAAACCGCGAGCCGGTTTTCTTCGCTCACCTACGCAGATTTTTTTTCTCCCTTGCCCCCCTTCTTGCGCACTTTCGTCTCGTCTTTTTTTCGCTTTTTTTTTCTTCCTAAGCCACGCGCGGCAGCCCCGTGGCCTGCTGCGGCGTACTTCGGCCGATACTCGGCCGACAAGCTCCACCTTGCCGTCACGGCCCTCGACCAGCTCCACGTGGAGCCGCGTGGACCTGCGAAGGGAAGAAGAACAGCCATACCATCGCTTCCTCTCGCCAGACGGATCCAACGATGAGATCTCTCCGTTGGGCTCGTGCGGCCCTGCGTGCGCCACAGGCGCTTCGCTCATATACCACCAATGCATCGCTAGAGGCAGCGGCTCATGTGCCAGCATTCTCCATCCCCGAGGAACCGATTGCGATTGAGCATGCAGATGAAGCGACAGCGCAGGCAAGTGAAGCGCAGCGTCGCGCCAACTACCAATATACTCATCCAGAGGAAGCAAAGAATGAACTTGAGCGTCAGATTCGTAAGATGCATCATACACTGTACGAAGAACTGGGCGGCCTTGCGAGCACACAATCGCGCGATACCTCGTTCCGCCCGTTCAAGCTGCGCACGCAGCCGATCGAGGGATATGAACTCACTCTCTCTCACCTCTTAGCCGCAACGGCCCAGATGGGGCACGCTAAGCAGCATGTCAAGCATAGCTATGGTCCCCTGCTGTATGGATACCGACATGGACAAGCGATTATTGACGTCGAGCGAGCAACACTGCCTGCGCTTCGGCGTGCTGTGCAAGTGGTGCGACAGATTGCAGAGAATGATGGCATCATTCTGATTGTAGGCACACGACCGAACCTGCGTTCAGTGGTTCGCTCCGCTGTGGAGCGCTTGGGCGCCAACGGTTTCCACGTGAGTGTGGACCGCTGGACGCCAGGTGTGCTTACCAATGCGTCGAAATTGCTGGCGTCGGCGACGCAGTACAGTGTACAGCGATCCCGAAAAGAGGGCAGCGAAGAGGCTATGCCCAACATGTCGCGCCTCGCAGCGACAACGTACCGTCCTGACTTGGTCATTGTCCTGAACCCTACGGAAAATGAGCATGCGCTACGGGAAGCGACACAGGCGAATGTGCCCACGATGGCGATTGTCGATACGAATGTGGACCCGCGCGCTGTGACGTATGCGATTCCTGCAAACGACGACTCGCCTCGAGTAGCCGAGCTTGTGCTGGGTGTGCTTAGCAAGGCTGGCGAGGATGGCCTGCGTCGTCGTTGTGCTGCAGTCGAGGCCTGGGACAAGGACCAGCGCCGGCATCGTCGTCGCGCTGCACAGGCCTCGTCATCGCGTGCAGACCAGCGTCGCAGCGATAGTGACGTCGATCGAAGTAGGTAGCTCTTTAGCATGGCCCTGCCCCACCACAGAGCCGCCGTATCGTACGCATCTATCACGTGATGCACTTTGGTCGGTCGGGGGAACGACGCGGTGCAGCGGTGCAGTGCGGTGCGGTGCGGCGCGACCACGGGGTACGCTACTCGTCGTCACGCCCGATCGATCGTCGACACGACCGTGAATGTATCACGCGCCTGGTGGACAGCCTAATGGGGTCCCAGGCGGTGTGTCACCGTATGGTGGCGACGCGTCGTTGACGACGACACCACCGCCTGGCACAGCTCCCACGTCGCAGGCAGGGCCATCGACGTTGACCATGCCGCCCAATGCTAGTGACACAAATCTCTCGTCTCACGCACGACCACCACCGACGACAGTGGCGCCAATGAATCCAGGGGCCCCGCCGTCGATGGGCGGTAGTCATTTCCTTTCGTCCGTGGGCAGCTTTGCCCCGAACTTTTTAGGCACGCCGACGATGCCGTCAGCGGAGCACGATACCAACAAAACCACGGCCAAGAAACCGAAGGGGCCTTCGCGCCCTGTGGGCCGCCCTCCGTTGGCAGGAAGAGCTACAGGAGCACGTCGTGGACGTCCTCCACGCAATCCACGGCCGCCTACGGAAGAGGCAGCGTCAATGCCAGCGTCGTCCACAGCGCCTCGGCCGCCTGGTGTCTCGATGATGCAGCCTGGGTGGACGCCTGTATTGACCATGCCACAGCAGCAAGCACTGTTATCTCGCGCTGTCCAAGTCTCCAAAGCGCAAAACCAGGCGTCGTTTACGCCCTTCCATGCGTTGATGCAGATGGGTTGTGTGTTTGTACGCAATGCGCAATGTCCCTATCCACCGACGGTGCATGTGGGCGAAGGGGCCGTGTTGCGTCTCGATGAGGCGGCGAGCCTAGGCCTGCTGCCGCCGCACATGGCGCAGCTAGCGCGGTCCCTCGCAGGCGGCGGTGGCAACGGCAGCGGCAACAGTAACAGCAACGGTAATGGCAACGGTAACGGCAATGGTAACGGCAACGGCAGCGGCAACGGTAACGGTAACGGCAGCGGCAGCGGCAGCGGCAACGGTGCTGCGTCGCCAGGCATGCCGATGCCATTGCCAGCCTTAAGTCCGCGGCCCCCTGGCATGATGGACAGCCCTGGGCCCACCGCTACGGCCTCGATGGCGGTCCGACCACCGCCGGCGGCCGCTGCGACCGGGACGCCGTCGACGGCAGCGCCCACCGAGAACCTTCGATACTGGCCAGAACTTCCTACGCCGCAGCGCGATCGCCCCTTGGTCGATGGTGGTATCCCGCCGCTGACCAATGTGGCAGGGATCCCCATTACGACGCACAATACCCAGCTGACCAAGCTTCCGATTCCCTTGCCAGAGGCGGCCGATGATGTGTACAAACCGCTCACGGAGAAAGACACTGAGGAGCTACGTACGATCCTGGAGAACGATGCGTCGTTCCGTGCACGTATGACGCAGCAGCAAAAAGCCATGGATACCGAGCTGTACGTACGTGTCGCCCGCTTGATGCAGCCTACGCGACCACTGCCCTGGTGGGAGACGTCGGCGCTGCCAGACGCGCCCAAGCCGCCCAGTGAGTCTTTGCGACTGATCTACCCTGTGCAACGCCAGCGTGCCCTGGAGCAGGGTGTACGTGGTGTACGCCCTGTGGTGCCGCTGGACGTCGACGAAGTAGCGCATGCACATGCGCTCTATGTTCCGATTCGACTGGAGCTGGAGCATGAACCCTACAAGCTGCGCGATACGTTTGTATGGAACGCCGCGGAACCCGACTCGGCCATGGACATCTTTGCCGTAGGGCTCTGTGAAGATTTGGGTGTGCCCACGTCGGTGTTTGTGGAGTTGATCAAGTCGTCGATCCAGTGGCAAGTGCAAGAGTACACAACGGCCATGGCGCTGCGGGCGGTGGAAGCCGCGCCAGAGGCGAATGTTGAGGGACGTGGGCAGTGCACAGAGACACAGCGCATCGCCTGGGACGCATTGCGGACCTATGTGTGGGCGGCAGGTACCAAGCCCGCCCCGCCAATCGATGAAGAGACGCCGTCCACGATCGATGAGCAAGACGAGCTACGGATCGTCATCAAAGTGGATATCCTGGTCGGCGCTACGCATCTAGTGGACCAATTTGAATGGGATTTGCGCGCGAACGATACGGTCGCTGCGGAGCGCTTTGCGCAAGCGTATACAGCTGACTTGGGCCTGGGCGGCGAGTTTACCACCGCGGTGGCACACTCGATTCGTGAGCAAGTGGGCACGCACATTCGGTGGCTTACGCTGCTGGGATACCCCTTCCACAAGCTTACGCAGATGGACGAGGAGGTGCGTACCTCGTTTCTTCCTCCCCTGGCCCCAGAGCACAGTGCACGACCCCGTGAGGCCGTGGACCGATTCACGCCGAAACTCGTGCAGCTGCATCCGAGCGATGTAGCGATGATGGAGCGCGAATACGATCGCGATGTGCGACGGAAGCGACGACAGACCAAAGGACGGCGCGGCGCGACGACAATTGATCACGAGCCGCAGCGTACGATCCGATCGCTCCCGCTGTGGGGCTTGCAAGGCGCAACGCCGGATCTGGAGAAGCCGCCTGTGCTGCATGCACGTCGTGCGGCCGCGGCTGCGGCTGCTAGTATGCTGATGCATGAGTCGTCGGCGCATGACGACCGTGCGTCGCCCGCCCCGCCCACGACCAAGCGCGTAAAGCAAGAGTACCAGGACATGCTGTTCCGGTACCCAGGCGGCCTCGGTCCTATCATGCTTCGCAGGACCGCCTCTGCGCCCCGCTACGGTGGCGCGTGGGCTGCGCACACCGCGGCGGCTACGTCAGCGACGGCAGCGGCTACCAACACAGCGTCGACCACGCCCATGACATCCGGCGCAGAGCCCAAAAACGCCTTCCATGTCCCGCCACGGCATGTGCGCCCGGAAGACTTGGAACGACAGCATCCGACGATGATTCATGGCCAATGGCACTGTGCGAACTGCGGCATGCCGGGTGACATGGACGCGGCGCGGCGCAAAGGCCCAGCGGGCGAAAAGACACTGTGTGGACCGTGTGGAAAGTACTACCACCGCCATCGACGTGTCCCGAATGTCAAGTATACCTTGGACGCGGACTACCATCGGTAGCAACTTGGCATAGCACGAGCGCTGCCGCCGCCCACGGCGACGACAACAGCCACAGCAGCGACGACCGACGAGCCTTCTGCGACATTCCTAGACAGCGGGAGCGACGACGAGGCAGCATCCTCTACGCCCCCCTCATGGCTTACGCAGGCCGTGGAGCATTGCCGGACCAAGTATCCTACAGACCGATTCCACGTCCAACCCCGTATCCGCCCTGCGGATATCCCACCGGATGGCGACGACTGGCGGATCAAGTGTGTGGACTGCCCTGGCAAAGTGTACAAGCCTGGACCAGGTGAATCCTTGGCAAACTTTGAAATTCATTTGAAAAACCGTAGTCATCGCACAGCCGTTGCGAAGCGGCTCGAAAAGGCATTGTTGGCGTAGGCTGTAGCGTTCGTTAGGTACCCTCCACATACCAAGGACGTCTTGATTCTCACGACCATGTCGAATTGTGCGCATGAGCATCATCATCATCATGGGCACAGCCATGATGATGCGGAGCATGTAAAGCAAGGCGAAGTACGTAAGATGTTACTTACAAAAAGGGGCAACAGGATCTCTTATTTGCAGCAGTGGATCGGGATGGCGTCTCAGCGTTAAACGCGAAAGATGAGGTACGTAGACCACTGCAATCTGATGCAGTAGAGGGCTGCTGCGGCGATTATTAGGCCATATGATCAACGTATGGATGAAACGCAGGCGCTCGAATCGGATGTGGACGATGAACTACTGATTCGGATACCCTTTGTGGGGAGTGTGCGACTCCGAGCCCTGCTCGTGCGAACGGGCCCCGACGCCATGACGCCACTCGCTATTCATATCTACAAGAACATCGAGACGTTGGACTTTGACGATGCAGCGAACGAGACGCCAAAGCCGACACAGAAACTCGAGTCAATTCCTACGACAAGTGATGTAGTAGAGCTTCCATTGCTTGCGGCACGGTTTTCGGACGTCCAAACCTTAACGCTCTATATCCCTGGCAGCCTTGGCGGCGAGCGTCACGCTGCAGACCCACATACACGCTTCACTTTCCTGGGATTCCGTGGCGAGGCGCGTATGCTGCAGCGCAATGGGCCTGCAACCATCGTGTACGAAGCGGCACCACGCGCCACCGATCATACACGTGTCGCAGGCACCGCCTCAGGAACCCACCCTACCCAGTAGCAAGATAGTGGAGCGGAATGGATCACGTGCGGGAATTCGCTCGACCGACGACGCATGGAGCACTCGCTGCGCTCGACGTAGTGCACGTACACGGCAAAATTTTTCTTCGTGCGAAGTGACTGTGCTTCTACGATGCAGGTGCGGCTCCGCCGTGGCATACGCCACTTTGGTAGTGCGCTAGCACATTTTGGGCAGTATATTGTGAAGAATTCCGCTATCTGGCTGAACTACTTCCGTATTCATATGCTGTACATTGTCGTGATGGGCATGTTTTGGTCCGCTATGCTCTACGCCTCGAATACCAAAGGTTCTTATGTACCCTACATTGATTGTCTTTTTCTTTCGTTTTCAGCTATTACCGTGACGGGTCTTACGACGTACCCTTTGAGCCAGCTGACCTTGTGGCAGCAAATCATTTTGTTCTGCCTCATGATTAGTGGCAACTTGATTATCGTGAGCACGACCACCGTCTTAATTCGCCGGCATATTATCTCGAAACAGATGCAAAAAGAACTAGAGACAAGTCGTACAATGATGCAGCGTGTCCATGATGTCGAGAAAAAGGAGCGGATGCTGCGTGAGCAGGAACTCAATCGCGTTCGTCGTTGGTTTGGCGTGCCGATACAGCATAAGGATGACATGGAGCCAGCTCCGCCGAAACGGCTACCCAAGGGCGGGAAACATGCACATTCGAAAATTCATGCAGGCATGATCCATCGTGTCGATGGCCCAGCAGTGCTGATCAACCCCACAGGTCAGCAAACAACAGTGGTACAGAACAATGAAGTGGCTGAAGAGGCGCCAGCAGCAGAGTCATCGGCTGCTGCAATGAAGGCTGCTACTGCTGCTGCTGCAGGTATGCAGTCAGTCCAGGGGAACAATGATGAGGCACCGATACCTTCCATTTTGCAACGGCCCGAGTCGCCTGAGGTGCAGACCATTTTACACGGTCACCCTCACAGCGGCTCCATGGGTGGACAGTCGACGTTTTTATCGATAAGTGAACGGCCTGTAGCCACAAGTATCACGATGCACAACGATCCAGGTAACACGGTACGTATTGAGGACAATGCGGCGTACATACCGCGACGCCTCTCCACCAGTGCCGCCCCGGGCGTATCCACGCAGTTTGCTCTACCCAGCCCAGTGCAAAGTGATTCGGAGGAAGAGAGCACTACAAATACCCACCGTTGGTCGAAATTTATGCGCCACCGTCATCAAATGCACAGGATTCCTGCAAAAACGCTGCATCGTACGATGACAAAAAACATGAATTCGGGCATGGGTCAATTTCCATCTGTATTTGACTTGGCTGGAACATTGCTTGAGCTGTCGCATGCGAAGAAGAAGTTCTCCGTGCCGAAAGTCCGAACGATGGCCACGGCTCAGACAAACCATGATTGGGACGGTGATAGCGAGACAAAGCTCGTGCCGTACCTGACCTTCGACGCATTGGTCACAGGCAACTCGCATTTCCATGGGTTGACAGCGGCGCAGCGAAGTGAGCTGGGTGGCGTCGAGTACCGTGCCCTTACGCTACTTGCGTGGCTGATTCCCACGTACTGGTTTACATGGGTCATCATCTGCATCGTATTTACCGCGCCGTACCTGGCATCGACGCCAGGAACACAGTACCGCTATGCTTTGCAGCAGCAGGCCAAACCACCGCACAACTCCACGTGGTTTTGGATTTTTAATGTGGTAAGTGCGATGACCAACACAGGCTTTTCGTTAGCCGATAACAGCATGATGGAACCGTTAGCACACGGCTACATGATGTTGTTACCGATGATGATTTTGATTGTCATTGGCAACACAGGTTTTCCGATTATTTTGCGTTTCATTATTTGGGTCATGTCCAAGTGTGTGCGGAAGACATCGTATATGTTTGAGTCACTGACTTTTTTGCTGGACCATCCGCGTCGGTGTTACTTGTATCTCTTCCCGTCTGGAAATACATGGGTTCTGTTGATAGCACTGTTAACGCTCAACATATTGGACTGGTTCCTACTCATGGTCACTGACTTGAACAGTCGTTATTCGTTCCCCAGCAACGGCACCTGGATTGCATCTGCGCTGTTCCAGTCGGTGTCCACACGGTCATGCGGTTTTCAGACCTTTGCTACACCAAAGCTCGCACCTGCCGAGCAGCTTCTTCAGGCTGTCATGATGTACATTTCTGCGTTCCCAATTATTATGACGATGCGTAGTACCAATGTGTACGAAGACCGTTCACTCTTTGTCATGGACCCGCCCACAATGAGTGAAAAGAATAGTACCACCAAATCTGATGACCAGCAGGTCGTGTGGGGCCGCTTCCTTTCTTCGCATATTCGCAACCAGTTGGCCTACGATCTGTGGTGGGTCGCATTAGCATTGTGGATTGCATGTCTTGCGGACCGTGGAAAGATTGAGAATCCTGACCACCCTAACATGACAGTATTTGGCCTACTCTACGAGCTTGTGTCAGCATACGGCACGGTTGGAATGAGCTTCGGTGCAGATTCCAAGTCAACATCGCTAGTGGGCGAGATGACTGTGCTGTCAAAACTCGTAATGATCGCTGTCATGATCCGTGGACGTCATCGTGGCCTGCCGAGCGCCATTGACCGTGCCGTAATGTTACCGCATAGCATGGAACATCATGATAAGGAGGCGACACGACGCCAAACTACGTTGATGGGCGACAGTCTAAGCGCTCGAAAAGTGAGTATGCACCGAACCACAACCAATCCATCGCTGCATCGCGCAGATACCCGAGCAAGCGAGCGGCCATCAGCACGACGATATGCCACAGCCATGTCACACCAGAAGAGGAAGCACGGGATGTTCCCACACTCTACGGCTCATTTCTCCGTCCCGAAGCCCCTGACCAGACACAGTCATCGACGTGCACGGTCCATGGACGACGACTTGACGTTGTACCATACTCTCACAATTGAGCCGTTACGCGAATCGCCAGAGCCCATGTAAATAGTATTTCCTGCCATATGCCAATTTGAATAGAGCAATTGGGTGTGGTCGGCAGGGAAGCGTCTTGACGTCATACGCAACAAGGAGACAAGACCTCTACACGGACAACATTTCTTGTGATATGACAAGCTGTGTGCACAAGCATATCAACGCCATGGCTATGCTCATGATGATGATGAACGCCATCATCATGCAAGCCGGGAGAGGTGTGTTGCAGGCAACCTATATGCAGAGGCAGCAAGGCATCCTTTTTGCCATTGTAGATAGATAGGCTTGGCGTATCGGTTCTGACCAACAAAGACGACGTAGGTGAAATGTATCGGAACTTTCCACACGCTAGGACGCTGCGGCACATATTATGAGGTCATTTTACCCCATAAACAAACTGGGATCGAATGCTAACGAAGAACGGGTAGAACGCATACCCTTCGCTCGCAGTGTACGTCAATAATAACCTCATGTATGTACTGGTCGTAGAGGTACAATATCCCGTGCTATTCATGTTTACAATTACAACGATACATTAGACTTTGATGAAGCAGCGAACGAAATTTCAATTTTCGCGCAAAAACTTGAAACGATTAAAGAGACTACGTAGTAGATAAGACTCCGCCCCTCAATATTCGATTCCCTGACGCACAAAACTGACGCTATATATTTCCCGCAGTTTGAGTGGCCTAGCGTATAGCTGCGCCATGTGCCATAGAACGCACAGATCAAACATAGATGCACTGCCCTAGACTACACACGGAATCACAAATCGCATTCGAAGAGAGGCACTTCACGTGACGTAGATTTGAAATCTCATGCATAAATAGAACAAGTCCCAATCCCAAACCGCGACTCAGCCAAAATGAACCGCGAAAACTCTCTCTATACATGCCCGATGTCCCAACCATAGCCCCCCCGTAAATTTGTGCTAACACGCGCTCAACCCTTCCCAAAATGGATGAGAAAGAATCAACCGTGGATAACGTAAAATATTGAAAATCCATGCACATCTGGCTACCAACGTACCAATCCCAATTCTCCCGGCTTAGTTCCTTGCACGATAGATATCCATGTACCGACACTATCCTTCATAAACTCATTACCGCTTTGCTAGTACTACGGTGGTGCACGAACCACTTCCTATTTTGGAAGAATGACAGATTACGTGAAAAAAGCAGAATAATCCCGTGTACCTAGCCACCAATCTGGTCTCACTGAAGCCTGCTATTCCCACATATAAAATAATAACCCCCATAGCATAGCAAAGCAGACGCTCTTTACACCCTTTATTTGATCATGGCACAAGGACAGAATCACCAGGGTGGTTTTGTACGTGGTGTCCAAAAGATTTTGAGGTCTTTGGTCGAAAAAATTTCACCATGGCTGAATTTCTATCGAATTCATATGCTCTATTTCATTTTCATGGGCTTTTTCTGGTCGGCTATCATATATGCTTCAAATCCTAAAGATCATTATGTGCCCTACATTGATTGTTTGTTCCTTGCTGTTTCTGCTCTTTGTGTTACAGGGCTAACATCGTATCCTGCAAGCCAAATGACGTTATGGCAACAGATCATTTTATTCTGCCTTATGATATGTGGAAACCTGATCATCGTCAGTACCTCTACGGTTTTGAATCGACGTCATATCATCTCGAAGTATATGCATAAGGAGCTCAAAAAGAGCAAAACTATGAAGATGATTGCAGAAGATATTGAGGAAAAGGAAAAGCAACAGAGTCATGTTCGCCGCTGGTTCGGTATGCATGCACAAAACAAGGATGATTTAGAGTCTACGCGACTTGGTAACACTACCGGATTTGAAAAGTCGGCACACACAAGAATCCATACTGGAATGATCCAACGTGTGGATGGGCCGGCTATTCATATCAATCCAACAGGGCAACAGACTACGGTGGTTGGGACTCAAGAAGACATGTCTGACCCCACATCAGGAGCATCTGAGCCAGCAAAACCTATAGCGGCAAGTTCGGTTGATAATAGACTTGCCGAGGGCCCACTCCACAATATTTCGCATCATGACTCACTCACCCATAGCTCTGCTCCAGGACCCCGTCATCTGCATGAAAATGGCCTAGGATTCACGGAAACACCTAATGATCGTATGAATGATCAAGTATTTTCAGAGAGACCAATTTTGACGTCCCAAACTGAGATACAGAATGGTGTTTCTGACCACTATGATATGGAAGAACCGGACGCGGAGAAGAATGAAGAAGTGCAAGGGCTCCGTCGGCGACATCGTAAGGGATGGCGCCGCAGTCTCCAAAAGTTACCTAGGGACACATTAAACCGTACTATGACCAAAAACATGGAATCCGGAATTGGTCAATTTCCATCCATATTTGATTTGATCTCTACGTTAATGGATATGACACGGACGAAGAAGAAATTTACCATTCCAAGGGTGCGAACTATGGCAACGACACACACAATGCAGGAATTGGGGCCCACTGAAGAAGTGAGAATGGCCCCATATCTCTCTTTTGATGCGATCGTGACAGGCAACTCTCACTTCCATGGACTTACAAAGGCACAGCGTAGCGAATTGGGTGGCGTCGAATACCGTGCGTTGACGCTGCTTGCCTGGCTTATTCCGACATATTGGATTACCTGGGTCGGCTTGTGCATAGTGCTCACAGCGCCGTATTTGGCTTCGGATGCTGGAGCACAGTATCGTGCGGGATTACAGCAGCAAGACAAGCCACCACGTAATTCTACATGGTTTTGGATCTTCAACGTGGTTAGTGCCATGACGAATACGGGTATGTCCCTGGTAGATAACAGCATGAACGAGCCATTGGCCCATGGGTATATGATGCTCCTCCCAATGATTGTTCTCATTATTGTTGGGAATACAGGATTTCCGCTCATGCTGCGTTTTGTTATCTGGGTCATGTCGAAATGTGTCGATAAAAGTACTCGCATGTTTGAAACCCTTACATTTTTGTTGGAACACCCACGCAGGTGTTACTTGTACTTGTTTCCATCGGGGAATTCATGGGTATTGTTGTGGGTACTTTTCTTCCTCACGATCCTTGACTGGTTTTTGCTGATGATTTGTGACTTGGATACTCGACATGCTTTCGCCAGCACAGGAACATGGATTGCCGCATCGCTCTTTCAATCAGTGTCAACCCGTACATGTGGTTTCCAGACTTTTCAAGTCCCCAAGTTGGCCCCAGCTGAGCAATTGACGCAAATTATTATGATGTATATTGCCGCATTCCCCATTATGTTGACTATGCGCACAACAAATGTGTATGAAGACCAGAGTTTATTTGCCCAAGAACCATCTGCTGAGGACGAAGAGGAGATTGTCTCGTCTAAAGGCCAAGTTGTTTGGGGCCGTTTCCTTTCGTCTCACATTCGTCACCAATTAGCCTATGATTTATGGTGGCTGGTTGTGGCCTTATGGATTGTTTTGATGGCGGACCGTGGCCGTATTACGTCGCTGGACAATCCCAACCTGACGGTGTTTGGTGTGATTTACGAAATCATTTCCGCTTATGGCAATGTCGGCATGAGTTTTGGCTCTGCTACGAAGGCTGCGTCGCTCAGTGGTGATTTTAGTGTTTTGTCCAAGCTAGTGATTATTGGATTGATGTACCGTGGCCGTCACCGTGGACTACCAAATGCCATTGATCGCTCTGTCATGTTACCGCATAGGATGGAACGCTACGATGAAGAAACGACACGCCGTCAAAACTCACTTCTTGCTCAAGATATGCATAATCGGACGATGAGTTTGCCCCGTGCACCTACGCATACGTCGCTACGCCGTCCTGATCCTCACGCTGCCAAACTACACACAATGTATCAATGCCAACAAAATGGTCTTGGTAGTATGGAGAGAGAAGGTATCCATAGCCACGGTACTGAGATCTAAATAGCTGGCACTAATTCGGACCTTTTCTCCATAGTACATGTTGTGACCAATCCTCGAGTGAACTACTGCATGAATCCAGGGCTTGAGAGTGTGTTTAATAAACAGATAAGTGGGCTCATTCTCGCTGTCCGAGTGGAAGGGATTATTTATCCATCAGCATGACAAGTCCTGTGAGTGACAGTGCGTCGCCGTGGGTCGACGCGCTGCTGAGCCATGCGCATCTCACGATGGACGATATATCTGGGATAATCAAGAGCTTTACTATTACAGGCGTGCGTACGACCTACCTAACGTCGCAGTTTAGTGAACTTGGCGATAAGACTTTCCTGGTCAGTGCGATCCTTGCGATGCGGCACTCGCCAGTTGTCGTGTTCTGGGGCTGCTGGAGCGCGATGATCTGCATGTCTGTGCTGTCTAGCCTGATGGGTGCGATTCTGCCGGCGCTACTATCGCCCCGCACTGCGCACTGGATTACAGCGTTGCTGTTTTTGGGGTTCGGTGTGTACACGCTGTATCAGGGACTGCATATGACGGGCAACGAAATCAACGAAGAGTGGAAAGAAGCCCAGGAAGAGATTCAGGCTGACGAAGAAGACCACGAAATGGATGTGCTGGAGCGAGGCGAGGAGCCACAGAGTAATCCGAACGTCAAGCACTATCCACGAGAATCGCTCGAGGAGAGTCGGGCCGATAGGACAGACAGGACGCCAGCCCTGCTGCCGCCCAAAGCAGCATCAATGGGTGCGTACCTGCGTGAAGGAACACGCAACTTGATGAGCTTCTTGTTTAACCCTGTGTTTTCGCAGGCGTTTTTGCTCTCGTTCTTAGGCGAATGGGGCGATCGTAGTCAGATCACGACTATGGCCCTCGCTGCAACACATGTACGTATACTAGGGTGCCCGACTCACATGGAAGCGTGTCTTCATAGTCGCGATTGCGACCAGCCTTGCCCATCTGGCATGTATTGCAATAGCAGTATCGGCAGGCGCCTTGTTAGCATCGCGCCTAAGCGTGCGTCACTGTACGTATAGATATACTCATACCGCAGTAACGATCGGTGGCGCGATCTTCTTCTTGTTATTCGGGTGTGTGGCCGCGTACGAGGCCATGTACGAGCCGCAACTCTCGGACCCGCAGGTTCCTGCTCCCGTGGAACTAGCGTCGCCTACGCCGGCAGCCACGACACCGTTTGTGCCATCGTCGTAAAATTGTACATACAGAAACACTACATAGACACCACACTCTCCTCCAGGAATGCCTCGTCCTCGTCCAATGAGCTGGACTGTGCGGCGACTACTACGCTAGGCCGCTCGCGGAGGGTATCTTGACGTGCCACGGCACGTCGTCGGACACGGGCAACTGGCGAGGCGGCACTAATGGCACTGCGTCGTCGTCGCTGGCGCTGTAGCGATTTGATCGCCTGAGGGGTCAGCGTATACGCCGGTGGGGTATTTTCAGCGCGTGGCACAAGAGCAGGTCGTGTTGGCTGCACTTCGCTCCATTCATCTGCTTCGAGTTCCAAGTGCGTCACAGGCTCCGGTGAGGCCATACGTGGTGGCGACATGGGCGGCCGAAGGAATGACGGCGGCATGCCATCTGCCCACTGACGTTGTGCCTCGGATGCCGCGCGTTCATAGCCCAACAAGCCTGGCGCTAGGGAACTGCGGGTGAGCACCGTGATGAGCAGCATCAACAGTAACAGGAACAATTGAGCCATACTCCAACGCTTTTCTGTTCGAACTTCCGCCGACATGCGTTCCATCCGCGCGAGTAACACCGCTCGCTCAGCATCATGACGTCGGCGCTGTGCTTCCAGCGCGGCAACGGTATGCTGCAGTGCTAGATTGTGCTGTGCCATTCGATCTTCCGTGAGACGCGTTTGCGTCGTATTGAGAGCTTTGATCAAGTCATTCAATCGCAGCTCCTGGGTGCTTTCCAATTGATTAATTTTATCTCGCAGGAGCTCACTATTGAGCTGCAGGAACTGCATGCTCAGACTGGTATTCGCTTCCAACGCACTGAGGCGTTTGGTAATTGTGCGGAAGATGGACTCGCCGCCGCCATTGCTACTGCTGCCACTGCTGCTGTTGCTGCCACTAGACGATTTCGTTTCGTTCGATGCTTTATAGCTGCTCTTTGTCTTGTCAGCATTTTTCGTGATGCCTTTCTTCTTCGTATCCAAAGTGTCATTATCGCTGACCTTCATTCCGCCGAGAGTGGACCTGGTAGTATTGGTAGCCGTCGTGACGGATGTAGAGGTCAATGTTATCGCTGGATCCACGTCAGAGAAGCGAGACACCGAGGTAGGTAACGTCACATGTTCCGTCGTTGCTGACGATCTAGAGGTAGGAAGCGACGTAGGCATAGACACAAGCTCCGGTGTTGGAACAATCATGTCCAGGAGGATCGAGTCTTCCCCGTCGACTAGCTCGTCATACGAAGACAAGGTGGGCCAAACAGCCATGGGGGGCATCAGCAAGGGCGATATACCACGCCCCGGACGATCCCATACGCACCCTGGCGAAAGAAGAGACGAGAAGAGAGGAGACGCACAGGCTGGATCCATCCATTGATCCTGCGACCATACGACCTCCGTGTCAGGGGGGCATTCCACATCCGTCACCACACACTCTTCCTCCTCATCACCCTCGTCGTCTTCCATAGCATTCATTTCATTCAGGATATCTTCGTCGGCGTCCTCACGTTCATTACGGCCATACACACGTAGGAGACTAACAGGACAATAATACTCTGTGCCATAATGCTCGAGAAAATCGATGCGCATAAAGCGATAGTACGATTGCGGTGCATGCTCCAGCTTGAACACTTGAGGCCCGCGAATATTGCGTGCATGGAACAGGCCTAACGAATGCCATTCTGTCTCAGGCGCATGGAGGGATCGTGCCACACGCACGGAAAACAGCTTGAACATGCTGCTGAAAAACTCCAAGTTTGCTAGCACAACGGTATCCACGCGAATTTGTTGGCACAGCTCGACAATCACAAACTGAGATTCGACATGCCCCTCCTTGCCAGACTGCGAGGGACATGGCGAGAGCATGTACCTGTCCTTCTTCTCGCTAAGAATAGCTGAGGCAAACTTTGCCGAAGGATTGGCCTGGTGCAGGACTGCTGCACAGTCCAACGAGGCGTAGTTCCAGCGATGCTTCAGCTCACGCAGTTCACTCGATGGCTCCTCTAGTGCGACAATAATGGGCGGGTCAGGCTCCATAGCAATGGCATGCGCTAATACTTTTTCTGCAGTAGGCCGAGGATCGTTTGGCAACGGAGTCAACGTCTTTGACGCCGCCTGGGTGGTGGTCGACGTGGAAGGCGTGGCATCGGCCGTCTCCGCCTTGGTCGTATCACGCGTCTTGTTCACGGCCTTTTTCGACTTGGCACTCTTTCGAGCGTGCTCCAGATGCTGCTCTTTCCATTCGTCAAAGCTCAGTAATGGATCGCCCGTGCGCTCCTGAGGTGGATGCGTAGCTGCTTGGGCCTCGGTACCTTCGAGTGCTTCAAGCGCAGGCACATGCGGCGGTGGGCTGCTCACTGGCATCATCACAGGTGCACCGTGCTGGGGAACCACGACGGTACCGAGGACGGCGTACACACGTTGTGTGCCGTCGTGTGCGCCAGCGACAGAGGACATAGGCACTTCGCATAAGAGTAAATCATCGCTCAGCAGCATCCGCCGCGGATCGGAGCGTAATGATATGCTGTGGGTATCATGGTCTCCATCCTGCAAGGTGGATACAGGAAAATCGGAGCCTGGCGTTATGCATGTCAGCGTCGACGAGGAATCGGGCCCTGATGGCCACGACGAAGGCATGGACGAGGACGCAGCGTCCATGAGGCGAACAGGCACTTCGCGCGGGACATCCTGCGCAAGCACCAGCGCCTGCCCTACCTGTACAATGTACCAAAGTACGATGGCCACGGCGGCGAAGCGGCCCTGGCCGCTCGCTGTCACGCCGAGCATCACAGCAGCAGATGCACAGCGAGCGTGGAGATTCAGGACGATGCGCGCATGCACAGGCGATACGTTAGTCAGCAGGAAGGCGCCTGGACGCGGTCACGGGGGCGGGCTGCACGCATATATGTACACGCTTGAGGCACGCCAATGAAATAAAAATGGACGCCCATGCTCCCATTGGCTCGCATAGGGTGAAAAGATTCAGAATGATATATGCAGGGTGACCCCTGGATTTTTTCATCCAGTAGCGCTATTTCATGCAGCGAGCCATGTAAGCTACGACAGATTGATGCAGAACGCTGCTACCGTTGCAGTTTTCATCTTCCCTTCCTTCCTTGGTGGATTGCGGACGCGCTCTGGCACGCCGTGTATATTTATCTCTCTTGGCGCCGTCCCGTACAACTTCACTCTCTTCCCTTCCCTTCCCTTTCGCCTTGTGGCTGCCTAGAGGATGCTGAGCCGTACATTCTTTTCTCTTTTGACTCTGGCTCTGTTGGCGTCGGTAGTGTTGGCGCGTGTTAGCAACGATGCCGATCTTGCGCGTGAGCACGCGGAGACAATGAAGCAGGGCCCCGGCTTCACGGTGCGCCACATGAGCCGCCGTCGCCGTGCGGAGGACGCGGGCTTGGAGACCCGCGCGCCTTCTGGCCTGCGCTTTGATTATGGCAACCGAAAGGTCCGTGGTGTCAGTGTGGGTGGTTGGCTTGTGATTGAGGACTTTATCACCCCTTCGATCTACCAGCAGGCCGACGACAACCGTGTGATTGACGAGTGGTCGTTTGGCAAGTACGTGCCCCACGACAAGGCTGTGAGCATTCTGCGCGACCACTACGACAACTTTATCACGGAGGATGACTTTGCGGAGATTGCGTCTCTGGGTTTGAACCACGTCCGTGTGCCGTTCCCGTACTGGGGTATCAAGACGTACGGCAACGACCCGTATGTCAAGGTGAACCAGTACAGCAAGCTGAAGCAGGCTGCGCACTGGGCCCAGAACCACAACCTGAAGATGATCATTGAGCTGCACACTGTGCCGGGTGGTGCGAACCCGTACGACCATGGTGGCCACACGAACCACTCGCACTGGCTTACGAACGGCAACGACCAGAACAACTGGCTTGAGATTCTTGACATTCTGGCTGGCGAGTTTAGCCAGGACAAGTACCCTGCTGTGACTGGTATTTCGGTCGTGAACGAGCCGAACGGTGACCGTGACCAGGTCTACGGCCTGTACAAGCGCGGCTACAACGCGGTGCGCAACAGCCAGTCGGACTCGGAGCTGCTTGTGATCATTGGCGATGCGTTCCAGAACCCGGCGTACAACGACTACTGGTCGAACAAGTTCAACCCGCCGAAGTACCAGGATGTGATGATCGACACGCACGTTTACCGCCTGTTCGACCCTGGCTCGATTGCCCTGTCGCAAGACGACCGCATCAAGTGGTACTGTGGTCTGAAGTCGGGCCTTGCCAACGCCAACCACCATCTATACATGCTCATTGGTGAGTGGTCGCCTGTGTTCACCGACTGTGCGCACGGTCTGAACGGTCGCTGGCAGGGTCACCGCTACGACGGTACGTTCCCTGGCTCGACGCGTCGTGGCAGCTGCAATGGCCGTACTGGCAACGCGAAGAACTTTTCGGATGGATTCAAGGCCAACCTGAAGCGCAACTGGGAGGCGCAGGTGGACGCCTACGAGGGTGGTGTCGGCTGGATCATGTGGACCTGGAAGACGGAGAACCACAACGCCGATGAATGGAGCTACCGCGCGGGTGTGCAGAACGGCTGGATCCCCCGTGACCCGACGCAGCGCGACTTTTCGTGCGACCAGGTGAACTAAGTTCATGACGCACGTTCGTTCCTTTGGTTTTCTATGGATTTGATAGATAGATTTAGGTATGCCCTGGCGGCGATGACTGCCTAAACTGTAACAAGAATGGCATAGACATTGTGGCCAGTATGTATGTCGAGCGAGACACCGCCTGGAGGAAGGAATCTGTTCGACGGCCAACGAACGCGAGGGCGTGTGGGGTGGGTTGGCACGCTGGCGCACGCGTCGCCACGTGACTGACTGTTGGATGGGTGGAGGCACGCCGACGCGTTCGTCTCTGCCACGTTTCGCGCGCGAAGGGTTTGTGTATACAGCCTGTGCACGGCGATTGTGTGAGACAGCGGGATCGGGGACGATGCCGGGATCGTCGCAGGCGTATCCTACCATTTCGACGAAGCCACCAGATCGGCCGCCACGTGCGCCGTCGCGTGTGGCTTCGAGCCAAACGTCGCCCAGCACGTCGCCGCCGTCGCCGGCTGTGTCATGGCCCTCGTCTGCCACGGCCGTGCCTACGCTACAAGTCCCAGTCATGAGCCCAATCGATCTGGGGACGGATATTCCGTACCTCCAGGAGCTAGACAAACCTACCACGCTGCGTCGCAGTCCGCGGCCGAGTCTGGGGAGTGCCGCCGCAGCGATGCCTTTCCCCTCGCTGATGCAGGCCACGGCCTCGTCGACAGAGAGTGGGAATGGCACACCGGCTTCGTCGATCCACACGCTCGACTCGACCATGGCCACAGCAGGCGATGGATCGTCGCCGCACCTACGCAGCGTTCGCTCCACGCCACATCTGGGCAGTGATGTATCGCATACCAGCTCCGAAGTAGCTCTGCATCGTGCGCGATCACGGGTGCAGACGCACTCACGCGCTCTCCATCGTGCGCTTGATGACGAGCGGCCTGTCTCGCCCATAGCACGTGGCTCGATGGATGAGTATGGCCGGTATACGCCCACGGTCTCCTCGTCCGGCCATACCATGTGGTCCGACCACGCCACCGAGCATGCCACGACCTCGAAGACATGGGCCTTATCGCGCGAACGACGTGCGGCAGCAGCAGCAGCAGCAGCAGCACCAAGTACGTCTGGGCTGGGCCTGGTCTTGCACGCAGGCTCCTCGACGGATTCCGTGCCGTTGGAGTATGACAGTTCGCCGTCGGGAAGTACGCATGCGTCGCCACACCAGACCCTACGACGTCGGCTGAGTATGACATGGGGCGCAGGGCATCGCGCCCGATCGATTTCGCAAGGACGCAGCCGGCCCACGTCGCCGCCGCCGGTGGTGTCGCCTTTGGTACTGCCCACGCTGACCGAGCCATCGCTCCCTGACAAGCTGCAGCCACGACACAGCACGACCAATCTCCGCCGCCTTTTTCGTGCAGGTGGACGGCCGACGTCGCCAGAGGAGACAGAGCCCAGTCCGCCGACTTCTCATACGCTGTGGCACCGAGCGCGGCGCCGCGTACCCTCTGGAGGGACAAAGAGCGATACGCCGACGAGTCCGAGTATGGAAGGCACGTCCGCAGGAGCGGCGGGAGCCGCGGCGCCTCCCGCTACGCCGAGCAAATCGCCGCGCCTTGCGTCGTTTTTCCGTGACTTGCCAGAGATGCCGAATCCCTATGCGGCGCTCACGCAAGCCACGTCGTCGGTCTTTTCCTCCTCGGAGCAGCAGCAGCAACGCAATGAGCGGCAACGCAAGCACCTGCTCAACGAGCTGGCAGAGACGGAGCGGATTTACGCGGCGGATCTGGGCGTTGTGAAGAATGTATACCTCGCGCAAGCACGACTTCGTGCCGGCCTGCGCACGCCTACGCCCAGCTCCACAGCGTCGTTTTCGTCGTGGCAGCATCCGTCGCCAGAAGCGCCGCCACGCAGTCTCTCGAGCCTCTCGTCGGAGCCTGACACGGAGCATGGCGTGCTGTATGGGACGGCCGACTCGAAGACGCGTTTGGCGCTCTCTGCGTCGGACGTGGCAGATGTACGCACGGCGTTCCAGCAGCTGCACCCGCCCTCTGCCCCGCTCTCTGGGGGCTCCGTCTCGTCGAGCAGCAGTGCTGCGCCGACGCCCGCGCCGCCGTTGTCTGTTACAGACATCTATGTGATCTTTGCCGGCGTCGAGACGTGTGCTGCGCTCGCACAGGAGATGACGGCACAGTTCGCGGCGTGTGCGCGTGGCGAGCGCAGCATTGCCGAGGTGTTTGTGGACAAGATGGGCGTGTTGGAGCAGGCATTCTCGCTGTACTGCTCGCGCCATGAGGCGGCGATTGCGAGACTTACCTACGTCACGACGCATCATCCAGCTGCAGCGGCTTTCTTGCGCGACTGTGACGAGGCGTCGCGGCAGCACTCGCATGCGTGGGACCTATCGTCGCTGCTGATCAAGCCTGTGCAGCGTGTGCTCAAGTACCCGCTCTTCCTACGATCGATTCTCGAGCATACCGACAAGCATGAGCGAGAGTACACGCAGCTGCAGCAGGCGCTCGAGCAGATGCAGGGCGTCGCTGACCGCATTAACGAGTCGAAGAAGCGCATGGACATGGTCGGCCAGCATGGGTTTGGCCTGCCGGCGCCGCCGAAGCAGACGTTCCGTCGTACAGGCGCTGCGCAGGCGTTGCGACGGCAGAAGACGGCGCAGGTCGACGGTCCTCTGACCGACGACGAGGCGCAGTACGTGGCGCTCACGACGCAGATGACCGAGGCGGAGCATGCGATCCACCGATTTGCGCAGCACTGCACAGTTTGGATGCGCAGTGTGCGTGCGATGTACGAGTCGCAGCTGGCGTTTGTGCACGAGTGGATTGCCGTGTACGAGTGTGGACCGATGCACGACGATGGCGCGGCGCGTGACCGGCTCGTGCAGTTCCACACACGGCTGCAGCGCCGGATCTTGGGTGATGTATGTGGCCAGCTGGAAGCGTCGTTGGACCGCGCTGTGCATGCGCCTGTGCGTGCGATGCTGGCGCTGCTGGACCGGCCACGTATGGTGATGCTGAATCGCGCCGCGAAAGAGGCTGATTACCGCCGCTACCTGCACGACCGTGCAAAGCGTCCGAACACGAAGCAGAGTGCCGAGGCCATGGCGTTCCTCTCGATGCACAAGCAGCTCATTGAAGAGATCCCCGTGCTCTTGCGGGGCCTGTCGTTCATCCTGCAGCGATGCATGTTCCAGCTGGCCCGCTTACAGACGGCGTACCATGGCGTCGTGGCCGATATCCTGCGCTCCTTCTGTGTGCAGTACATGCCCAGCGCCATGACACCGACCAGTACGAGCTCGGTGTCCAGCCCACATATGCCGGCGATGCTCGCGACGTCGCCGGACGTCTCGATGGCCAGCGTGTCTGCGCCGACCAGCAGTGGCCTCGCGATGTGGATGCCGGAAACAGTCGTCCCGGAAGTGCCGCCCATCGCTCTCTCGCCTGCCCAGCCAGCGTCGCACCATGAACGAAGCACGACACCCATCGTGACAGTCGCCGACGTAGAGGGGCCGGCCCCCCCACCCCTGTCGCATACCGACGAGCCACGCACGCCCAGCACCGGCTCGACGCTAGCGCCGCCCCTCCCGCCGATCACTGCGCTGTACACGGCGGCGCCAGCGACGCCGCCGAAGCCTACGCGGAGCGAGAAGACCAAAGGCGAGGGCCGGCCGCGACTCTCGACGCAGGACCGCCCACCAGCAGCGGCCCCGCTGCCCTCGCCCTCGGCGCATACGCCTCTTGCGTACACACGCACACGTACCATCGACGAAACGCCATCGCAAAGTACGCCGCTGGCCGTCGCGCCGAAGCACCCGCCGTACTCGCCAGACACCCCTGTGGCCAAGCCACGTAGCCAGCGCCCTGTCTCGATGATGATATCCGCAACGACGCTGCCGGACGCACGCTACTCCCTGCCGCCGCTCGATGTGTCGGTGGATGGATTTGCGCAGTCGCTCATGTCACGGTATGATGTGAGTGGGCTGGGCGGCGCTGATACCTCGGCGGCCTTCGGCGGCAACGAGTCTCTGTTTTTCGATGCACGTTCGCAGCTTCATGCCGACACGTCTGGCCTACCGCCTCGTTCAAACGGGGTCCTGTAGAGACGCCTATCCGTAGTGTGCGATGCCTACATACCCAGCCATGCGGCACCGTCGTCGGCCAGTCTCTCACCTCCACATCCTAAGGGGCAGGATGGAAGCGGGGGAAAGCACTACGCGGCCGCCGCCTACGCCGTCAGCGCGGCCTGGCGAGTACATTCAGACGACGGCGACGGGCAACAAGATCTCGCGACGTGCGATTATCTATGGCGCAAGCAATATCGTGCTGGGTGGGAAATGTACCATCCATTCAGATGTCATGATCCGCGGCGATCTGACACGCGTCGTTCGTGCTACCTCCGATGGCAGTATGCCCAAGAACGAGTCGTCCTCGTCGGTCGTCATCGTCACGGGCCGCTACGTATCGCTCGGCGAAGGCACGGTCGTGCGCCCCCCCTGCAAGACGTACCAGGGGTAGGTATGCGCCCCACTAACGCCCAGCGTGTTTTCCTACTTTCCCATGCGCCTCGGCGACTATGTCCACATCGGCGCACACTCTGTCATTGAGGCGGCGCAGATTGGGCACCGCGTACGTATCGGAGATCGCTGCATCATTGTGCGTATGTGCTCTGCCTGCTCATGCCAGGGTAAATTTTGTATTCTACGGGATGGCGCCGTCGTTCTCGATGGCGCCGTCTTGGCACCAAACACCGTCGTGCCTAGTATGTGTATATTTGGTGGCGTACCAGGCACGTATCGCGTCGTATTTATATCGCAGCAACGTGCATTGGCACCTTGTCCGAGTCGTTCCCCGAGTGGTGGGAACAGGCCTGCCGGACGTCCTACTATCACTTCCGGCCGCCGCCCTGACATAGAAGCTTGGAAAATAGGGACGGATTTCGACATGGGCACCTCCACTCATCCCACCTGGGCCCTAGCTGGGGCCCTGTCGCTCCTTTCTCTTGGCACGCCATCATGTCGACGTCCGCAGTACCGGTACTCCTCCCGTCCTTGCTGGACACGGATCTGTACAAAATGACAATGCAGCAGGCAGTGCTCCAGCACTTCCCTGAGGCCCAAGTCACATGTACGTACCAACGTCACTGACCGACAGACCGCTTCACGAATCGGGCGCCTGACATGTTGTTTACGCGCGCATCAGTCGATGCGATCCAGAAGAGTATTGAGCGTACGTCTATTGGTTTCTGCTCACTTTATAGATCTTGGCCGTCTACAGTTCACCGACGACGAACTGTCGTGGCTTCGTACGCACTGTGCCTACTTCCGTGAGCCGTACCTGCAGTTCCTGTCCAGATTCCAGTTGCAACCTGTCGAGCAGATCAAACTGTCGTTTGTGCCCCATGGCGATGGTGAGCACGGTCATCTCGACTTGGAGATTCATGGCCTATGGAAAGAGGTGATTCTGTACGAGGTGCCTGTGATGGCCATCATCAGCGAAACGTACTTTGCCCTGTGCGAGCAGGACTGGTCGATTCGCGGTCAGCGCGAGTTGGCATACAAGAAGGGCAGGCAGATGCTCGAGAATGGTGTTATTCTCAGCGAATTCGGTACGCGCCGTCGTCGCTCCTTTGCGACCCACGAAGCTGTGATCCAGGGTTTGTTGGATGCGCATACCGATATCCAGTCGTCGAATCAGCCGGGCGCCGGGAAACTGCTGGGTACCAGCAACGTGTACTTTGCCAAGAAGTATCACCTGGCTCCGAGCGGTACGATTGCTCATGAATGGACGATGGGTATCGCGGCGATTCGTGGCTACGATCACGCGAATCTGCATGCTCTTCAGCTGTGGGATCAAGTGTACCAGCCTCCCGCTTTTACGCCTGAGACGGTCGGTGACAATCTGACGATTGCTCTCACTGATACGTTTAGTACCAAGGTATTCTGGGACGACTTGCTGCATGATGACAAGGGCATTGAGCTGCTGAAGCGCTGGCGTGGTCTTCGCCAGGACTCGGGCGATAGTGCCAAGTTTCTGCAGCATGCTGTCGATGTGTACCGCCGCATCGGCGTCGACCCATCGAAGAAGCTGATTATTTTCTCTGATGGCCTGGATGTCGCACGATGCCTTGAGCTACAGAAGCTGACAAAGGAGGTCGGCATCCTCGCTGGTTTCGGTACGTACGATGTGTCTTACATGCAGGCGTGGGTACCAATCTGACCAACGACTTCACTCGCTCGTCCTCGGGGGAGCGCAGCAAGGCGCTTAATATGGTCATCAAACTATACAGCATCAATGGGCGTCATACGGTGAAGATTAGTGACGATCTGACGAAGAACACTGGAGATCAGGACGAGATTGAGTACGTATGCCTATGGTACACTAACAACGGCAGTATGGTCAAGCGCCGCTTTGGCCTCTATGGGCTCGAGCATGTGGAAGATGCCTAAGGGTGGATGGATGGAGCCAGACCGTTATTCGATATCGTGCCATTCGCACATGCTAAGCGTTGTCACGACTAGAACGTTGTTAATAGCCCTGTTACGTACACTTTCGATAATCAAATCGCTTGCGTGATCGATCAAGGAACGTGGGCGAGAGCCAGTGGGCCAAGAGATCCTCGTCGTGATCGAGCATCTCACGCACAACGTCGACATCGAGCATACCCTCATCCTTCTCATCAAAGCTTGCAAACGCGTCCATGAGCTGTCGAACATCACTTAAAGGGCCTAGTGTGTGACTCATAATCGTCAGAAATCCCATAGATTCGAGTGAGGCAGGCGTCGACCCCGAAAAGCACGCTTGTGCCTCTGTCGTGGCATCGGTAGCGCCTAGGGTCAGTGTCGTGTATACGTACCTAGATTGCGCAGTACTTGCACCACATCGCTTTCCTTTACACGACCGTCGGCATCCTTATCAATCATATAGAACACACGCTGGAGTTTCTTGATCTGCGCTGGTGTCAGGCTCGATAAAGGCGCTGCGTCGCTCATCCTTCAATAACACACCAGGAGGGAGGCGGAGGAAGGAGGCCCAGGCGCTGCCGAGATCAACACTCTCTCACGTGATACATCCCTCTCCTTTGAACCACCGACTCTCGCTGGGGCTTGACGTGCATGGCCACGATCACGACGCCCATTCGTGCTGGGGTGGCTACACCTGTACGCACAGAGCGTACAAGTATGCCACCACCAGCGTCGACACAGAGCCCACGTCGCTCTGCGGCGGTAGCCACGGTGTCGGCGTCACCATCCAAGGCTACTTCTTCCACGCCAGCCAAGCCCATGTCGATTCCTACAGCCCGGCGGCGCATCCTATGGAACGCAGTTGGGTTGTTTTCGTTATGGGGACTAGCTTTGGTATGGCCTAGCAGTGTGGATTGGTATTATGATGCACTTGACGTTCTAATGCGTATAGACAGTGTGCCTATCGGCACGGACGATATGATTGATGCGCTCCTGCTCTGGCTGCGGTATGCACTCACCATTGTGTTCACGTTCAACGTGGTAGAAGCATGGATAGCTTTCTACCTGCCTGCCAGCGTCTCATCGACAGCAATGGCCTCGCCGGTACCACCTGCGACGCCCGTCTCGGTGGGCGAGGCCTTGGCACGAAGCGTCTCGCAATCCCATGCGACATCATCCATGTCGCTTTCTTCGACTCATACACCTACACAGCCAGGCACGCGAACGCCATCGTACCGTGGTAGCCCTGTATCGCCTGTCCCAGGTGCCAGCGCCCACCACCGTAGTGTCTCGCCTTCGTTCCGTGCGAGTCCTTCGGCGACTGCTACGTCGTCCCCTTTCCGCGCATCGATCGGTATGGGCCGCCCATCCAGTATGCCCTTCCAAGCGCGCTCTGTCACGCCATCAGCTTCTCACCGCACACCCTCGACGCACAACAGTCCTTTTACGCCCAGACAGGGAAGCCGGTCTACCCTGTCGCCCTCGCCTGCGTCGCAGCGGGCATGGTCACCAGCTAGTATGCGCTCATCTGATCTAGGTACGTATATATTTTTTTTTCTCACCTCAGCCGATGCCATGGAAGTCGAACGTGCCTTGCTGGAGTTGGGACATGGTCTATAGTGTTTGCGGTTTGCTTGTTCATCATACCATCCTACATATACATGTTGAGCTACAAAGTGAGGTTGTATTCGTATTCGCTCTCACTGCGCTGGCTGAACCATAGCATCACAGCGCACGCCATAATCGCCACGTTCTGTAGAACGCCAGCCACGCCGAATTCCACATAGCCCACTGCGTGTGGGTTGACCATGTACTTGATGATAAGTACAGCCATGCTTCCGGCCATACCACCAGCCAGGAAGGCAAAGCCGACAAAAAGCCACATCCGTGTACGCCACAGCACAGGATCATCACCCCACGCCGTGAGACTCCCTGCAGCCTCGTCTAGCAAGTGCTGCTTATCAATAAGGTTAACGATGATGAGACCGATCGTCGCCGAGATACCTGGCGCCCAGTCATCCAACTTGATGGCGACGGGCGGAGGGACGTATGTCTGATCAGGTGGCGGCGGTTGATGCAGTTGGTGCGAGCGCACACACGCGTCAAAGAAGAGCCACCATCCCGCCGCAAAGACGGCGCCGGCCGCGTACACGCCGATCGCACGCCCATGTGTTTTCATGGACAGAGGAATGCTGGGAAGTCGGAAGCGGCATACACGCCGTGTCTCACCGAGGCGTGGCATTGTCAACGAACAGGCCCCACCGCAGGATGTCGTACTTGGACGTGGAGAGCGGTCGGCGGTCGCGGGGTCGAGCGCCCTTGGGCCACGTGACCTGCCGCACGTCGCTGCGTCGTCGAGCCATGCCCCTCGCTCGCCTTTCGCCATGGTGCGCGTCGTCAAGGGCGGCGTGTGGAAGAACGTACGTGCATATTTTCTGACATATAGACCGAAGATGAGATTCTCAAGGCGGCCGTATCCAAATATGGAATGAACGTACGTTTCATTGTACAACTCACACGCAGCAATGGGCTCGTATTTCTTCGCTGCTCGTCCGCAAGACACCAAAGCAGTGCAAAGCTCGATGGTACGAGTGGCTCGATCCCTCGATCAAGAAGATCGAGTGGTCTCGTGAGGAAGATGAAAAGCTCTTGCATATGGCGAAACTCATGCCGACGCAATGGCGGACCATTGCCCCAATTGTAGGACGTACAGCCACGCAGTGCTTGGAACGCTATCAACAACTCCTAAACGATGCCGAGTCGCAGGATTCAGAACTAGGTCTGACTGGGCCTGGTGAAGAAGCAGGTCCTAGCGCCGATCAGGTGCTCAAGCTTCGCCCTGGTGAGATTGATCCTGACCCAGAGTCGCGCCCAGCGAAGCCGGATCCTGTGGATATGGACGAAGACGAAAAGGAGATGCTATCCGAAGCGCGAGCTCGTCTCGCGAATACCGAGGGAAAGAAGGCCAAGCGAAAGGCACGCGAACGTGCGCTCGATGAATCACGTCGTCTTTCTACGCTGCAAAAGCGACGTGAACTCCGAGCTGCTGGTATTCTAGCCAAAGGCAAGGCAAAGTCCGCAGGCATTGACTACAATGCTGAAATTCCCTTTGAAAAACAGCCTGCGCCAGGTTTCTACGATACGACAGAAGAGTTGGCGAAGACATATGAAGAGCCGATGCGTCGTACCTTGCAACAGATGGAGCCAGGCGCACAGCAATCCGATGAGGAAGCCCGAAAACGACGGGAGCGGGCGATGAACAAGCCTGCACGTCACGAAGAGGCGCTCAAGAGGATGCGTGAAGCGGAGCAGGTCACAAAGCGACGCAAGCTTGCCCTGCCGGAGGCGCAAGTGGGTGAACGTGAGTTGGAGCAGATTGTCAAGCTGGGTCAGGCTAGCGAGGCCGCGCGGGCGTTGGTCGACCACCAGGATGGTGCAGCGACGGAAGGCTTGCTAAGCCACTATGCGCCCATGGAAGCGACGGGCCGTGCAGACGCACCTACGCCCACCCCTATGCGTACAACGGATGCCCTCGTGCGTGAGGCGCGTGAACTGCATCAACGGACCATCACACAGACGCCCTTGCTAGGCGGTGACAATGCCCCTTCGATGGCGCCGCCGCCAAGTGTGGGTATGGATGCCACGCCGCGGGCGTCGCAGGTGCCTGCTACGCCGTATCGTGATGTCCTTGGCCTGCAGGAAGCTGGCTTGGCTGCGCCTCCGACGCCACGCGATGCCAAGTCTCTCGCACGCATGGCCAAACATTCGCTTTTGTCTAGCCTCGCTTCCTTGCCGGCGCCGAAGAACGACTTTGACATCGTCGTAGATGCAGCACCTGAAGTGACGGACACAACGACCGAGCCGTCGATCCCTGAAGATGCGACGATCCGTGATGCACGGGAGCAGCTCTTGGCCGAGGAAGAGAAGGTTCGCGAATTTGCGCGACGATCACTTGTCGTGCAGCAGTCGTTGCCGCGTGCAAAGGAGGTGGATACAGAGGCCTTGTTGCCATTGCTAGCGTCTTTGCGCACGTCCACGTCTGATGCGCAGCGCTTGGTGGATGAAGAAGCTGTGCGTCTTATGGTCCATGATTCGAAAGTGTTCCCTGTCCCTGGTAGTCGGTATGGCGGGGGCGTACGTCATGCCCTTGCGGAGGTGTCTGATGAGCGTTTGGCAGCGGCACGTGCCTTGGTCCAGGCGGAAGTTGCCACGTCGCTCGGTTACCCCGGCGCCAAACCAGAGGTGTGTCGTACAATGATCGAGGCGCAGGCTGCATCGCTTGAGCGTGTCTATGCTACGCGCCCCCCTGCCATGTGGCCCCAAGCGGATGACTCTTCGCTCTCGCATGCTGAGAAAATGCAAGGTGCTCAGGCGCGCTTTACCGCGCTGCAGGCGCGCATGAACGAGGTGGCCACGATGGCTGTGAAAGGAGAAAAAACACTGGGCAAGCTGCTGGGTGGCTACCAAGCGCGCTCACGTATGCTAGCGGGACGTATTCGAGATGCAGCTACGGCGCAGTCGGAAGGCCTGGTTCGGCTTGCAGCATTGGAGCGTCTGGCTACAAGTGAGCCGGCTGCCGGGCAGGACCGCTATGAGCGATTGCAAGAAGATGTGTCGCGCTTGCAAGCCGCAGAACGTCTTGCACAGATGGAGTACAAAGAGCTTGACGCACAGCGGGCCGAGGCGCAGGAAGACTACGAAGCATGCCAAACCGAGCTGGAGATGCGGCGTGCTGAGATGGCACTGGCGGCATAGGCCTGCTGTTTAGATACCTTTTGTTCATTGGACATCCATGTAATTCATAGGCCTTACTATGTACGATGATCACGCTAGGAGCGAGCGCAAAAGTTGAATGCACATCGCATTTTCTTCGGCAGTGCCGATCGTAATACGAAGGCAGCCTTTGCATCCCAGCTCACTGGATCGGTTGCGCACGACCAAGCCGTGTTTCTCAGCCATGCACTTGTACGCCATGGCCGCGCGGTCATTATCAGGGACGCCGCCAGGCTTGTCGAGGATCTGGACCAGCAAAAAGTTCGCATCGTTGCCGCCCAAGACGTGGCCAACCGAGGGAATCGTCGCCAAATCCTTCACGAGCTGGTCTCGATTCGCGATGAGGGTGCGTAGATTGGCACGCATGTGTGAGACACTTTCCTCTGTCAAGGCCTGTGCTGCCAAGTACGCGGCAGGCGACGAAATGTTGTATGGTGCCTTGGTATTGTTCATCACCTGGATAATCGGCGGCTGCGCAAACGCCAGACCGAGACGAACACCGGCCAGGCCGTGCGCCTTGCTCAGCGTCTGGGACACGATAAGGTTGGCGTACTCCGATACCAAGGAGGCAGCTGATAGTGGCTCCGTGCCGTGCTTCTGTCCACTCGCCTGCTCTTCCAGCGCAAAGTCAATGTAGGCCTCGTCCACAACGACGAGACCACGGTACTCGGGTGTCTCGAGGATCTTTCGCACATCCGACAGTGGGATAAGCGTACCGGTGGGGTTGCCTGGCGAGCACAAGAAGACCATCTTGATCGAGGGGTCCGCCGCCAGCGCTGCTTGCACTTTCGGCACATCCACCTGGAACTGACCGCCTTCGGTGATCAGCGGCACTTTTACGACCGCCAGATCGTTGACAGCCGCGCTCACGCTGTACATTCCATACGTTGGAGGGCAAATCAGGACCTTATCTTGCCCGGGTCGTGCGAAACAGCGCTGGATAAGATCAATGACCTCATCACTGCCTACGCCCAGAAATGTGAACGCTGAGTGTGGCATGCCACGCAGTTCTGTAATACGAGGACGAACGCCATGAAGTGATGGATCAGGGTACCGATGCAGGTCCAAGTGGGTATGCTTGTTCAGTGCAGGCGGAATCGATGTGCCTAACGCATTCTCATTCGCATCCAGAAGCACACCTTCTTGATAGTCATCACGCGCACACCGGTACGGCTGCAGCGCCAAAATGTTCGGCCGCACTACATTTTCCAACTGAAAGTGCGCCGGCTTGTGATCCTTGCAAAGCTTGTACGCTTCAACATCGAGACCGAGCACGCTCATCCTGTCGATGCAAGAGAAGAATGACTCGCTTGCCCACAGCCCAGGGCCGTGCATATCGCGCTCGCTTGCTTGCACGCGTCACGTGGCTAGGCGTTGTAGTGGGTGGCCTGCCCCACCTCGCAGTGGGCGGACGCACCGTGCAGCGAGCGTGATGACCAGCGACGCGGAGACTCTTCGCATCTCGGTCGAGCGCGTACAAGCGCCGCAGGGGACGCCTGAAGTGCTTCTGGATACCTTGGCCCCGGCGCATGCCCCGCTGGCGTCGGAGCGTGCCTTGTTGGACATCCACGCCGACGGCCAGCGTATAGTCGCGCCGCGATTGTCATATATGGAAGCACAGCGTGCACAGCGTTTGCGTTTATGGGCCGAGCGTGGCGAGTTTAGTGATGTACATGCATCTGCTTTGCACACCTCTACGCCGACGGCCAGCGGGGCTGCTTCGTCTACGGATCCTCTCGCAGCTCTGCAGGCAGCGTACGAGCCGCCGACATCGTCGACGACCACCGAACCTGCGTCTTCGGACGCGGCCCAGGTGGTCAGCAAGCCAGGTACGATTCGCGAGAGTGAGTTTGTGCCGTTTCGCGATGCGATGGTCCATCAACTTGAAGTGGCTCTTTTTCATGCAGAGCAAGCACAAAATTTGCTGGGCATGCTCATCCAGCATTCACGGACCGAGCCAACAAACACTGTGCTCGCCGCCCAGAGTGAATACTTCCTTGACCCGCAGTCCATCTCACTCAGTGCGTTAGAGCGTGCCTTGCCCGACGAAGCAGAACCCCCACCACCCCCGCCTTTGTCTCAGCGCAAGTTAGTCCTGGAGGAGAAACGTGCGAGTTTACGCCGCGTTGCAGCGCTCCTTTCGCAGGGTGCCGACGAGCTGCGTGCCTCTCATACGCCGGAGCGCGAGCGCTGGCTAGCGCTCCAGCAGATCCAGCGGCGTGGCTGGAAACTCACGCCAGGTCGGCCCTTGATGGATATAGAGCGCTTTGATACGGCGGGCACATCGCATCATGTGCTCCAAGGGTTCGGTATGCCTGTCATGCAGGGCGACGGGTCTGTCAAAGAAGAAGGCGCGCGTGACGCATGGATCGGCTACGGTCCCAGTGAGGCACCGCTCTCCGTATTGCAACGTACGCTGGCCTACTGGGCCGATGCGTCTTCGTCCGACGAAGCGAAGTTGGCGTTCCCCGATCGATCCTGGCGTCGGTTGTGTGTGCAGTTCCGCGATACATCCCAGTCGCCCCCTCGTGTATGGTCGAGCGCAAGCATCCCTGAAGCGTCGGCCACGGACTATGACGCACAGCTGTACGATGCACAGCTGGATGCGGTAGATATGGAACTGTTCCGTGAACTGATTGCGCAGTCCGGCACACTGTCTCCTGTGTTGGGCCGTACTATCACGGACCATAGCATTGAGCTGCCTCTTTCTTCGACACTCGATGTACGTTTCGAGCTGGTACCGTATGGATCCGAGGATGAGCGTGCCACCAGCACCAACCTATTGGAGGCCGATACTGCTTGGCCTACCCTCCTATTGCATGTGCTGCGTCTGCGTATGGTGCGTGGATGGACTCGGCGTATCTCTGCGCTGCGGAATACGCATGCAGCTGCCATCACGGTTCAGCGTCCATCAGCACGTTCGACGCTCATGGCACCATTGTGGGAGCTGTACGAATATACCCTCTTTCTTTCTCGCTTACAATCCTTCCTTACGAAAGCGCTGGATCATCACAATACCAAGGGCACGACGCATGCAACGATGATCTGGGAGCCTTACAATGCCATTAAGAATGTGCACGTATGGATTTCTGACCTATTGGACGTAGCGCAGGACGATCCTCAATCAGCCTCGCCCTGCGGCGGGAGTGTGTTGGTCTATGTGAATGCAACGTATGTACCTGTCGACGCCTTACGCAGCAGTATGATCATGCAGTTGATCCTCCGTGCACCGAGTTATATGGTAGCTTTCTTCCCGCGTCACCCTACACCGTCTGGCCTGGGTGTTCGTATTCCGCTGGAACTCGAGCAGCTGCCTTCGCTCCTTCTCTCCGAGCTTGCAGGGGCTTCTGCAAGTGGAGAAGCGTCGCCGCGCGAAGCCTCCACATAGAACGTGCCGGGGACGCGACCCCTACCCCGAGGCACAGCAGCCGAGCGTCGTTCTCTTGTAGTTTTACTATGCAGGTTCGTTCGCTTGTTGCGTGGGTCCTCGGCGCCAGTGCGCTTGTGTACGCCAAAGAGCCACCCACGACATTGCGTATCGGCGTTACGCACCGCCCTGCGACATGTGACATCAAGTCGCAGGTGGGCGATCAGCTTTCGATGTACGTATTGGTGTTGTGCTCACCCCAGGCACTATACAGGCCGTCTCTGGGAGGGTGAGAAGTTTGACTCGTCGCTAGACCGTGGCCAGCCTCTGGTATGTATAGAGACGCACTGCTTACCGTTTAGGCATTTACGCTCGGCCGTGGTATGGTGATCCAGGGCTGGGATCAGGGTTTGCAGGACATGTGCATCGGTGAGAAGCGCCGTTTGCAGATTCCGCCCCACCTGGGCTACGGCGCTAGAGGTGCAGGCGATGTCATTCCTCCGAACGCCGTGCTCGTGTTTGACGTGGAACTCGTGAATATCCACAGGCCTACCGAGACGAGCGACCATCTCGATCTGTAAGCCTTTCCATTGGCTATTACGTCCCCTAGGTCGGTCGCTCATAGTCGTTTCTCTCAAGCGAATGCTTCCATTGTGAGCCCTTTTTGGTAGGGCGTAAGGCCTATGTATACTACATTAAGCGCGGACGCGGTGGCCATGCGCATGCTCGCCACGGTGGTGATGGCCGTGACGCTGTCCACGTCCTCCTCGGCCATGACCACGTTGGTTATTCGCAGCTTGTTGCCGTTGCTTGCGTGCCTGTTCTTCCGACTCACGCACAGCGTCAATCAAGTCATCGGCGACGCGGCAGTACTTGATCTGTAGGGTGTGAGTCGTGCCGGTGGACGTACCGTGCTGCCCTTGATGTACACTTCGGGCATTTTCCAGAACTGCTCGCCACTCTGCTGTCAGCATACCATGCACACATACCGGACTCGTCTGGTACACGTCACGCAGGGTGATATTCATGTAGTTATCGCAGGCGACCAGGTGGCCATTGAACGTCTCGCTGTTTTTCAGCTCTACGAGCTGCACGTATAAATACACCTCCTTCCACATACCATAGGCTTATTTTGGGCCGCATTGAGCAGCGTAAGCGGCAGCTACATAGTAAGTCGTCCACGTCCTGGTCCCTCCTACGTACCATCGTCGCAGAAGCAGGGGAGCCTCGTTGCTCACTGTCACGACGCCTTTGTATCACGTGATACACTGGCCGGCGCGTGGGGTCGTGGCCGACGGTGGGCGCTTTCGTTTGGTAGCCACACGACACATTTTCTTGCCATCATGACCGCGACCATGCTCACCCTCGAGCTGGGAACGCCTGAGGCTACGCGTGTCCAGGATTCGATCCAGCAAGTGCTGGTATCACATGATCTTGCGACGCAGGACGATCAGGTCATGGCGGAGTATGTCACCGTGATGATCGCGAATCGCAAAGGCCCCTCCATGATCGAAGAAGAGCTGCGTGATTTGATGGGCGGCGAGTTGGACGCCTCAATTGCCCATAAGATCTGGGCACAGGCCTGTGAGGTGCTGGGCGTGAACACGCCGGCGGCGCCCGCTGCCCCCCTTCGTGCACGCTCTGCCTCGCCGCCGCCGCCTTCTAGGCCTGACGCAGATCGGACACAAACTTCGCGCGAGGATCGGTGGGCAGACACCCAGCAAGTCTCGCCCATTCGTGGGCGGGCACGTCGGCAGGAGCGGGAGCGTTTCCCGGCAGGTGGCCGGCGCAAGAAGGAGGCGGCGTCACAGCGTGAGGACGCGCCAAGCTTGCTTGCGCGGGCTGGCGTCCCTGATCCACGCGCGGCGCCCTTTACGCCGAACGACGGTATGCCACCTATGCCGATGCCGATGCCGCCGCCCTTCGCCATGGCGATGATGGCATCGATGGCAGGCCAAGAGGGCCCTTCGCTGTTTGCCCGACTTGATCCTATGATGCCCAACAATCCCTCTGTGCCGCCAGTGACGATGGCACCGCCGCCCCGAAACGATCCATCTACGTTTCCCACGAAGCCTACACAGAGTGCGCTGTGCCGCTGGTCGTTGCAATGCACCAACCCCATGTGCCCCTACAGTCATCCATCGCCCGCGAATGCAGGCCGTCACGGTGATGCGAGTGCGCTTGTCCTGCGCGAAGAGGCGTGCGAGAAAGGCGGCGCATGTACCGACAAGGACTGCGTTCTGAGTCATGTTAGCCCGGCTGTGGCTTTTGCGACGGCGCGGCATGAGACGACAGCGCAAGCGACGCCCTGCCGATTTCAGCAGCAGTGTCTCAATCCGTCGTGCACTTATGCCCACTATGATGCCAATGGCACGCTCGTTCCACCACCTGGTCAGTCTATGCCCTCGTCGTCGACGCCATGCCGCTACGGCGCGGCGTGTACCCGTGCAGACTGCATGTTCTCGCATCCATCGGCTCGTCCACGCAGCAGTGTGCCCTGCCGCTACGGCGATGGATGCACGCGACCTGACTGCTACTTTACGCATCCGCGCGATGGACCTGCGAAGCCTACGTCGGAACGTCTGCAAGCGTTTGCCGAAGACGTGCCTGATCGTGAGCGCATCATCCCTGGCGAGATGCCGACGCCCAGTACGACGCAGGTTGTGCCATGATACCATATGTAGTTTTCGTTCCTACATGCATATTGTTATGACTACGATGTCGATCTATATTACATAAAGCCGGCCATACGAATTGCCTGCTGTTCCTGAGCACGTGTGAGTTTTGTACGACGGTGGGACGGCGAAGACGTCGACGGTAAAGCGGCCGTCCTAGTGCGGGGCGATACAGGCGATACGGGCCGCATAGAGGTTCGGTGAGTGAGCGCTGGTGCTGTGCCTGGCGATTCCGACGCGCGTGGCGTCGCTGTGGCCGAGTCCACAGAGGTGGGCGCTGGTCCGGTCGCGATGGAGGTGCGTGGCGTCGCAGAGACGGAAGGTGCGAGCTCCTGGGAGGCTACATCCGGTTTGGGTGGTGATGCTTGTGGCTGCGGCGGCGGCTGTGGCGCCTGTGGCGGCTGCGACGAGGCAGACGGTCGTCGACTCATTGTCACGGGCATAGGAAGCACACTCATCAACGATGAGAAGCGCGAGGGGTGTTGATCGCTGTAGCGTACTCCGCCGCGAGGCGAGACCAGGGAGGCATGCCGCTCTTCCAACGCGGAGGCGTACTGCTCGAACCTGTGGATCACACTTTGACTCTTCTCATTGGACGGCGCGTCTTTGCCCACCACACGGTCCACCAACTGACGGCCCGGGTACTCTGGTTCAGGATCGTACCTGGCCCATACTGCATCAAACTCCGTGAGGAGCATGCGCTGGCACAACACACACATAAGTGGCGGGTACAAGGCGAGGAAGCTCTTGGAGTGCAGTGACTGTCGTGCTTCTAAGACGAAATTGTTCACATTGTATGCCGTGGCCACGGCAAAGTAAATGAGACCGTTGGCAATGAGGCGTGCAACGAGTGGCGTAAGAGACGTCCACCATGTATACACACCAGACGCGGTACGGTACAACCATCGAATCGCCGTCAATACACTGCTCGGCAAATTCAGCAGGTATTGTATGCTGCTGCTTCGTGATCGGTGCTCATGTGGCGCCACCTCCTTGCCCATGGGATCAACACTTGCGCCTGCGCAAGTGCCAGCGGCCCCGCCCGCAGGGTCACTTTCCGCCTTTTCCAGCTGCTCGCGATGGGCCGCAAAAGGATCGACAAAGCGGACTGTCGCCGCGACGCGGCGGCCCATATTAGCGTAGATAAACAGTTTGTACATGGAAAGCACCAGTGTCGTGGTATCAAAGATCATACTGCACATATAGAACCACATTACCGTGTTGGCGGACTTCGGCTTGTCGACATCCAGGCGGACGTCGTACGCAGGACGACAGGCCCCAGTAACGATAAGTACGTCGATGGAAAAGTATAGCAGACCAATACTGGTACCAAGGAGAAGCATCGTAAATACAGTGAGAAGGACCACAATCCAGCGTTCTCGACGCCAGATAGCAATGGTCCGCCATGAGAAAATACAAGAGACGAAAAACTGGACGACAGCAATGACCACCTGCTCATGCTTCAAACATTGCTGTTCGGAAGAAAAGTTGCCCCACAAACTGTAGGAAGGTAAGATCAATGCGGGTATGGTCGCATATCGGATCAGTAAAAACAACATGACTTGCGGTCGTATCAAGTCCTTAGGATGCAACCACATGGACAACTCACGAAGCAACGTGCACAAATACTCCCACGCGTACAGTGTCAGACCCGCTACAGCAATGTACTGCGCCACAATCAGCTGCTCTTCTAGGTCCTGTCCAGAAATTTTGCGGTGCGTCGTGGGATCTTTGAACTCGCTACCGCTCCCGGTGATCGATTCATTGATCGTACTTAACGCACGTACACCTTGCGTACATGGAGTACAAACCCATAAACAAGCAAGGCAAACACACCAAGGCCGCGGGCGCGCCATTGTTCGCCCGCTCCTGCGTCGCGTCGCGTGCGTGAGTGTTATGCTGTACGTGCTTAGCTGTGCTACGTTGCGATGAGGGACACACACCCAGACCCTTTTTTGCTTACGTACACACAGGGTCCTTTCTCCCTCTCTCTATGACGTCATGTACGTGCGAACAGCGGCGCTAGCACGACTTGTGCGACGTAGCTGTGGTGGTACGAAAAGGAGCGTAGTCCTTCGCGCAGCGTGACTTCTTCGTTGGCATCGGTTATAGTCGACGCGTCCTCCATAGGGAGCATAGCATCGTCCGCCTCCTGCTCCCTCACCAGCGGTTCTAAACGTAGCGTCTCTGGTTTGTGGTGCCGTCGTGCCTGGTTTTCCAGTTCGCGCAGCGCACGCCGAAGAAGTCGTGGCTCACTTGTTACAATCAGCGCACGAGCGCCTACAGAGAGCGCGGAATCCAGCTGCTGAAGCGCCGCGACATAGTGGTCAAACAGGTGGGCATGTGGCATTTCCCGCGGTTTTTCCGGCATTTCGATCAGCGCCGCGTCAAGCGATGTGGGTGACGTATCGGTAGTCGGCTCACGTCCTCGTGAACGCAACATAGCGTCCAAGCCAAGGCCTAGTTGTGCGTCCACACTCGCCAAGGCACTGGCATGCGTGCCCTGCGCGATCGGGACCATCGACGCAAGACAAGCTGCGCGTGATTGCGCAAGTCGCAGGCGCAGTGCCTCCGCTGTACGGGGCGCTCGATGCGGCGTTTGCAGCTGCACAAACAGCGTTCCTGATGGATTGCCTTGACGAGCACGAGGTCCTGATTGCAACGACTCACGTACGCCGAAGCGTGGTGCCAATGTCCACTTGATCACGAGATCCGCCTCGGTGCGCGGCGCCCACGTCCACGTCGCATCGTCGAGCCAGGCGGCGACCAGTTCTTGCATATGTGATTCCAAGAGGTGCGAGCTGAGCGTGGGGAACACGTAGCTGCTTCGGTCCACGCTGACGCACCATCGACGACCGATGGTCGACTCTGCCTGTGCCTGTGCTTGCCATGCCGCAAGGGCCTGTGTACGCTCAGCCTCGCTGGCCGACCACACCGCATCAACAAAAGACAACAGCTCCTGTTCGGACTGAGTGAGTGGCGAAGCAAGTTCGTGGCCCGGGCCATGCATGCCCAGCGCCTGGACACGCTCGATAAAAAGGGCATCGAGGATCGAGCGAGGGAGCACCGCCTGGCTCACGCGCCAGTACGCAGCAATGGCGACAGGGAGTGACGCAGCGTCGTACGATGCCAAGGCCCAGGCATGATAGGGGGCAGGCACACACACCATGCCGGAATGCAGCGCCGATTCAAGTGTCGCATTGCTTGTCGCGGCCAACGTCGAGGGAAGACGACGAAGAATCTCTCGCTGAGCTGCATCTTCCAAGCCGCGCGGCACTTCCAAGAGCAGCGGCGGCATCTCTGTGAGTGTCGGAGTAGGTGAGCTCGTCACAACAGCGTAGTCGCCTATCCGCTTGCGCATCGTCAGCTCCGTCTGTACACGTCGCTGTGCACCGCCTTTCCCGAGGCCCAGTACATCGTCTTCGCCTGCGTGATGCGCAATCAGGGCCGAATCTGGCAACGTAAGGTCTGGCTGTGCGTCTAGTTGCTGCCATTGCTCACTAGCCCACCAGGGCAATTCGTCCTGGAAGACCCATGCATCTGTCCAGTACTTGATCGCATGTAGATAAATGTACAGTTCCTCGGGCTTCGACTCCGGCAACAGAGGGATATGACACACATCGCACGTCTCTGTCTCGTTCATTGCCAAGGGTCCTGGCGGTGCAGGCGCAGGCTCGCCATTGGGGCCGGGGACGTAGATGTCTTCGTAGCCTAATTGTTTGTTCAGCTCGCCAAAATGAACATAGTCACGCCAGCGGGCCCACCCTTCTGTATCGTCACGCGTGCCCTTCAATGCAGCCAGGACACGTTCTACCTCGACATTGCCTGACTCGCCACCGACACGTTCATAATGCCGCGGCTGCGCTGTGGCCAGCACGTCGCGATCGACGGTGTTCCACACCGGGTGGTTGTATAGGGGATCATTGCTGATCGCATGGCCCAGCCACTGCGCATGCACACGGATCTGGTGCGTTCGTCCAGTGATGGGACGGCATAACAGGACACTAGAGTCTGTCGCAGCGTCGTACGACAGACGCTGGAAGAGCGTACGACACTCTTTGCCCTTGGGGTGCACAATGTTGAGACCACTCTGGCGATCGACACTCAAGATCGGTTCGCGGCAATCGACAATACCGTCAGGGAAACGGCCTACAACTCGGCACACATACGCCTTGTTCACAAGACCTGCATTGAAATCGTTGCCAAGCTCACACGCCGCCTCTTTCGTCGTAGAACACACCATGATCCCGGAGGTAAGACGGTCAAGACGATTGCTGGTAAACAAATGCGGCAGATGGGCTTGTTCCTTGACCATTTCGACGAGTGTGTGGTGGTGGTATCGACCCGTCGCATGTACAGGAATACTGCCTGGCTTCACAACGACAATGCGTCCCTCGTCGTCATTGCGATACAAGATACGAACTGGCGCATTCGTCACAGAGGGTTCATGACGATGAACTTTGTTCACAATAAAGTCACTGTTTTGTATGCAATACGTGGGCGAGACGCGCTCGCCATTCACGGTACACAGACCATGATGAATGGCCCAGATATAATACTCTTTGGTACGATCGCGAAACTCGGTCGTAAATACTTCTAGAATTTGACGGCCGTACCAACGCGTCTTTGCACGCGTCTTGTACTCGTACCAGTACGGCGGCAGACGCCGTAGCCCTGGCGCGGCCATCCTATCGCCCATCGAAGAGGTGGTGACACAACAAAATATCACACGCATCTTCGCATTTTAGTCAGCGATATGGGGGTATCTTAGGCTACGGAGGTACGAGCTACGGCGTGGATATGGGTGCACATAGGCGAAGGTGCGATGGGTTGACATACATGTCAAGATGTGCCGTAATGACATGAGCGACGTTGCTTTTGTCAAGAGGCTGCGTAGATAGCACATGTCGCTGTCTGTCAGCGGTCTCCATACGTACAAACACCAGGCAAGTACCTGCATACGCCGTTTGAAAGCACGTCGAATAATCAGGGTGGTCACGATCCATACCACGTCCAGCCAACTGGTACTTTACCAGACGTTTGATAGATGCACGATTGTCCACCTCCATGGAAGCTTGTGCGTCGCATGGAGCAGGGATGGGTATAGGCGATGATACCGGGCGCCATTTTTCCTTCGAGGCAGGCGTATACATCGGCGGGCTTCTTGGTGCCTCTTTCTTTACAAGAAGTTTATCCGTATAAACGCGTTGTGCACGTTTCTCTCCACGACGACCAGGCGTATGGCCATGGCCCTCGCGCACCGATAGTTGGCCACGTCGTCGGACACGGGCATCCATTTTGGTCATCGATGTGTCTTCTTCACTCGAGTCCCATGCGTCCGCCTCTACTTTCACGCGCGGCAGTGGGTCATCGGGGCGTACCTCTCGTGTAGGCACCTCTTCTCGGCGTGGCTGGATACGTCGGCCCACTACTAGCGCAAGCGACGTAGGGGTATATTGCCGAGCCAACAGTACAAACTCAAAGACGCCTTGCGAAGATCTCGTAGTAGATAGAGACATAGCTGATGTGCCTAAGCTTGGATCGAAAGTCAGTGTAAGAGCACGTTCTGTTGCATTGTCCTAGTACATTTAGCTGGATGTGACACGTACCTCTTCGACCCAGCAGAAGAAATGCTCAAGAAAGGTCCATGTAACCTCGTCCGCTGCCTCTAAATGCATTTGGATCTGGCCGGACGCTTCGTACTGTGGCGACGCCAAGGCGCCTTCTTTGGATGCAGGTGCAGGTGCTTGACTAGGCAGCACCCGTAATGGATGGTGACGTACCATTTCCAAGGCAAAGCACAATTCTGCTTCGGCTTCTAAGGCCTCATCCGTGGCAGGCGCTTCCGGCAGATCACCACGCAAATGTGTCCAGGGACGCATAGTCGTCACGATCGTCGCACCTGGTAGTTGTGTCCCATCGTGCAAGACAAGTGCACCTTTCCACAAGACACGCACAGGCGGAGCAGAGAGTGTGTCTGCTGGCGCAAGTGCTGGCTCGTGGGGCTCGGCCTGATCCATCGCCGGGGATTCGCCCACTGTCACAGCGTCGTCCATCGACTGGGCATAGAAAGGTGGAGGTCTCTGTGATGCCACGAACACTTCGTGGATGGCGTCACGCTGTGGCGCCACCGCGCGCGCCCTCATCAGCGCTACGTTCCACACCGACCTTGGCCTCCAACTTGGAAGTACGAGCAGATGCACCTAAGATACAAGCTCCCTGCGAGATCCGCACCTCTTTTTCGTTTCCTGTCACTGCGCCCTCCTGGTACATCGGGCATATGCATCGTGCGATGCGATCTATACCGTCGCTTCTGGCACGCGCCCCACCACCGTTGGTCATCGAGGTGCGTGATGCCCGAGTACCCTTTACCAGCATCAATCCAAATTTCGAAAAGGTGTTGCAAAATGCGCCGTCTGCAGCCGAGCGTGTGCGAGTAGGGCGCGACACAATTGTGCCTGGCTGGGCAGCCCGTCGTCTTGTGGTGTACACCAAACGCGATCATATCGACCACAAAATGGAAAAGCCGATTCGTCTTGCCCTTGCAGAGCATACGCATGACAAAGATGTCATGTTTGTGGACACGCGCAAGCGTGCCGACGTGAAAAACGTATACCAATGGGTATGTGAGCGTGCAAAGCTGCTCCAGAAAGCCGCTGCAAAAGCAGCCTCGCGAACATCCAAATCGCTTCGGCATTCACGCCTTTCAGGAGCAGCACGTCACACGTCGACACCAGAAACAGGTGTACGTATGCTGATTGTCGGCATGCCCAATGTCGGCAAGAGCTCTCTGATCAACGCATTGCGTTTCGTCGGCACTGGCAAAGCTAGTGCGGCGAGTACGCATCCACATCCAGGACATACACGCAAAGTTACAGGCACCGTTCGTATCACCCCTGACCCACCCTCCTTACCGGAACTGGATATGGAGCAAACGATCGACATGAAGGCCCTCGTCGCGCGTCAAGCTCAGCGTGGTCCCGCTGTCTATGTATACGATACCCCTGGGATCATGGTACCCTACCTGGGATCATACCAAGATGGCGGCCCTGAACGTGCCCTGAAACTGGCGATCACAGGTACGTCCTGAGTTACTCACACCAGGTTGCATTAAACAGGCCCTCTTTGACGTGGAAGAATTGGCTGATTACTTGCTATTTCGACTAAACCAACGCTACCGACACGCTTTGCAGCGCGGTGATACAAGCTTGCCGCCGTATACCACCATTATGAATCGTCCACGGCCTACAGATGATATCAAGACGTATTTAAGTGACGTTGCGAAACGTGCGCCAGGCGCCAGGCAGCAAGGTGGCACCTTCAGCACGGATGTGGCAGCGGAATATATGCTGGCGCAATTCCGGCGTGGATTGCTCGGTTCGCGCGAGCTGGATTTAGCTTTGGATGAAGACTTGGCATCCCTGCATAATCCCACCTCTTTGAACGAGCAAGTGACGGCTCGCTTGGAGCATTTTCTACTAGGCCCCTCGGACAATATGCACGAGGTTTCATAAGCTGCATGACATAATAATGGAAATAGGCACATTGTGGGGGTGTAGAATTTAGGGCAGACATCGACACTGCATGCAGGCTGGTGCAAGGGGGCTGTGGCGCTACAGCAGTTCGAGAGTCAGAGCGTCCTTGTGCTCCGCACGCTTACGTGCCTGAGGGACCTTTCCGACAGAGTCTCCCCAGCCCCACCTTCATCGTTTCGAGTGGCCTTGATACGACTCTCGCCTTGACGGGTAACTCCATTAAGGCAAATGCGTACATCTCTCGGGGTTGCAGCCCTTGTTGGTGTAGCTTTCGCACCATGTCTTCAGGCCGCTGCGTCTGCGGCCGACGCCCAAGCAGCAGGCGTGGCCGCTCAGCCTACGCCTGCCCCTCCTGCTCATGAGGGCCATGGTGTCGGTGTAATGAAATTGCGCCGTGCGCATCATCAGCATGCCCATGAGCGCCGTGTGAACACATTGCTGGGCGTCAGCTTCCTTTCTTCTCTGATTGGCGGTGAATTCACCACCTTGAATATCAACCAACCTGCTCCTGACAACTCCCGTTCTATCGATCGCTCATTAACAGGCGGAGAGTTTACTACTCTTGCTGACAGTTCGCGCGCGCCCGGAGCGTCGTCGCGATCAAGTGATTCTGCAGAGACCTCGACATCCTCGGACAGCGAGACCTCTGATTCGAGTGAGACATCCTCGACCTCTTCGACCCGTTCTTCTACTAGCTCTTCGACGACACGAACACCAAGCTCAACAGCAGCAGGCGTAGGGGCCGCCTCGAGCTCTTCACGTATGGCCACGTCATCGTCCAGCTTGGTGCGCAGTCGCTCCTCGAGCTCGACATTGGCAGACCTTTCGACGTCGAGCTCGGATCTGCCATCCAGTTCTTCCGCACCTACATCGACGTCGGATAGTACATTGTCGCCTGTCCAGTACACGACGACGACTCAGCAAGTGCATCCGACCGTGGACCCTTCCTCGAACATGAGCGGTCAAAACAGCAAGGATGGTGGAGATAATCATATCGGCACCATTGTTGGTGTTACGGTAGGTGTTGGTGTACCGCTCGTTGCAGCAGCTCTCTTCTGTCTGTACTGGTTCTTTGGCCGTCGCAAGCGCCGGAATGATGACATCCAATGGCCTGACATTAACCATGACTCGGGTATGGCTACGACGGCACCGCTACCAGCCCGCCAGACGGGCGGCGCCGGCTTTGATATGGGCCATGAACACGACTCCTTCTACGAGGAGAGCCAGCCACATGGTCTTAAGAGTGCTGATTCGTATGGTGCTGAGTCCATGATGCAGTCGCGTGATGCTCATGCTGTGCCAGAAACGTACGTGCAGCAGCCCTACGATGCCTATGCCCAGCAGGCCCAGCAGGAGTATGATCAGTATGCCCAGCAGCAGTACAATGCGCTTCAGCATGCGAATAGGCCTCCGCCATTGGCGCCAGAGACAGCCACAGAACAACCGAAGCTTACGACGAGCGGTGTCCAATCTCGTGCCATTACCGACAATGATCTGCCGCCGCCTCATGCGCTTTCCGATGGCGCAGAGTATCAGCAGTATGTGGTTGGTGAGACCTATCCAGGGTCCTATCAGGAGGGTGTGGATGCCCCAGCCACCCGTGAGCTGTATCATGGAACACAGGCTACGACGCCGTATCAAACGGGCGCGACAGCGATGTAAAGATCGCTGAAATAAGGTAAGCATGGCGCTGGAAGCCGTGTGCATTTCTTTGTCTTGTATCAAAGCATGGGGAGTGAACTGTTATGGTACTTGTCTATCCTAGCTTGATCGTCATACACCTACCAGTAACAATGAACTCTCTTCCTGTCTCCTTTCTTCCCCTATCTCGATTGGACTTTTAAAATATTTGTATGGAGGGCGTCTATTCTACGATAATATAGGTATATAGCACGTCAAGCCCCCTGTGGTGTACCAACGTACGAGGGCTTCACCCATTATGTCTGGCTTCTATGGCGGACGATCCGTGGCCCCACGCGAGTCGATCGGGCGTAAGATGTATACAGCCACGAAGTATTATGTAATGCCTGCGTGAGTGGCGGCGCAGTGTGTATCTATCTAGGTACGCTGGGGGCGAGACACGTTTGTTTGTACATCACAAGCGGTTGTGCGTTGTGTCGTGGTACGATCGCACCGTGACGCTGCTCTAGTCGTCTTTCTCATTGTCACTTTGCGGCCATCGGCGTACCATGTTACCAATGGTATCAGTGCCGATGCCTTCCTCGTCAATGGGTGACTATGCCACAATCCGCCGTCGGCCGTCGCCCCATAACATAAAAGCAGGTGCCAATGACCATGCAGTGCCGCCGGTGCCCTCTATGGGACCGCCTACATCGCCCAGCAGTAAAAGCAAACTGCCTGGCCTTTATCGTGCATTGTCACGCCGCTCTAGCAGCAATACTCTCTCTGCAGAGGCCGCCACGTCGTCCAGTCAAGCGAAACTGTCTCGTCGCCTTTCCACGCGCGGATCCACCCCAGCCTTGAGCGCTTCTATGGATTCAGGGGGGAATGGTATGGCAGGTCGGAGTACTATTCCATGGCGATCCAATACTGCGACATCGTCTCACTCTGCGACGCAGCGGGCTTCGCCGTTGGTTGTGTCGGTGGGAGACGAGCTTCCGACATCGTCGGCTGATACCCCTATGCTCGGCGATCCATCGCGCATGCTATCATCCTCACCCACCCATATGCATATCCTCGATATGGGCGAGTCTGCGCCGTCGCTTCCCACCTCGCAGTCCACACGCAGTGAGAATGCCATGGCCTCATCTTCACGCTTCGGCGAGTCAGAAACATCGGCTACGGGTGTGTCTACAGCAGAGCCTCCCAATCAGCTCTCTCACAATGTGGTACTACTCTTGGAACCCAGCACGCGGGTATTGTACATGTTTGGCCCATTGCAGGTCACAGGCAGTTATTCGCTTTCGGGGCATGTTCGAGTGAGTTTGCCGCATGCGATGAGTGAGTGCCAGGAGATGGAATTGCAATCACTACGTGTGACGTTTACCGGCTACTCGATGTACATCGACAGTTCTGGCCGGTTTTCTGCGCTGCGCCTATGTGAGATCCAGCATGACGTTGTCTCTGCGCCTGTCACGTTGGAGCTGCCGCCGAATGGCCCAACGATGCATGAAGCGGACTTTGATTTGTTTGTGCCGGGCTGGGTCCCTGCCTCGCTGAGTACGCGGTCGTCTAGCACGTTTTACAAACTCGAGGCGGAGGCTGTCTTGTGCGACGTGCGCTCTGACAAGTTCCGCAGTGCCCCGGCATCGCCGTTGTTGCCTGATTTGGTTACAGCGGCACCTTCCTCGTCCTTGAGGCCCCCTGTAACGATCCGCAGTGCGCCTATGTTGGTCGTGGTGCAGCGCACACGCGATCTCGTACCGATTCCCGTGGCGCAAACAGCTGTGTTTTCCGGCACAGATGTATCCCTAGGACCATCGACCCAAGCGAATGCGAACCCATTCCGTCGTGAAACGAATCCATTCCGACGTGCGATGAGTGCTGAGTCCACGCCCAATCTGTCTGGTACGGCACCATTGTCCACGCCTTCCACACCATCTCTGTCCAAGGACCTGCCACCACCACCACCGTATACGTCAGCGGCGTCTGCCTCCGCATCGGTACCGTCTACGCCGCAAATACCGGCGGCTGTTCGACCTAAACCGAAGCCAGTACCGTTGCGCAACTACAGCCACAAAGCCCGCCTGTATTTGCCCACGCCTGTGCTTATCAAAAACGTGTCCCAGGAGTTTTTGCCAATTCGTATGACATTATCGGTGCCTGGTCACTCTCCTACACATACGTTCTCGTACGGCGAGCAATCGCCGCTCATTTTTGGGCTGCAAATTGAGCTGGACCCTATGTGGCAGCACGCTAAGCATTGGCGCGACTTGCGGCTGTGTGAATTGGAAGCTGTGTGTATCCAGATGGAGAAGTACAGTTCGGTTCTTTCGCGCAGTTATTGCATGGCCTTTGCCCTACCGACGCAGCCAGAGTCGCTCGTGCGGGCTCATGACCTACCGCAATTTGAAGATGTGCCTTCGACGTTGGGGATGGCTACACCGCAAAGCGCTGCTGGCATGCCGGGCCTCATACCTCATCCCTACCACCGCCCCCTGCTGGAAAACCGGTTGCGTTTGGAGCAGGCGGGCACGGCGCCTAAAGATCGGCAGAACAATGTGGAACGCCTCCGAGCCTATACAGTTGGCCCACTGCCGGATAAAAAGCAGGCCTCTTCATCGTCCAAGGCGGACGAAAAGCGCGCTACGGGCAAAGGAAAGGAAGCTGCAAGTACATCAGGGGCCCTCTCTTCGCCGCCGAGCTCCAAAACGAGCAAGCTGGCATTGGGCCGTGGACGACGGACCGTCTCGACGGCCATTTCGCGCTTCTCTGTGTTTTCAGGTTTACGTGACCACGACGAGTCGTCCAGTCATGCAGGCAGCACGCCGTCTGCGACAAATCAGGCGAGCAGCGCAAGCTCGTCGCGGCCTACGTCACCTGGCCTCGAGGATCCCAAGGCCACGACAGCCAGTACGTCTGAACATACCAAGGCGTCGTACGTGTTTGATGGCGATGATGGCTACGGTTTGATGCTCTCGCAGAAGCGTGTGCGTCTTTCGTTCAGTTTGCCGATGGTCCCAAGTTATGGACGTGCGTCCTTGAAGAATCAGATGCCGCAGCTCCTGCCTGACTATGAGAGTCCTCACATGCGCATTCGACATAAGCTCAAGGTCAAAATGCGTTTCGGATTTGGCGCTACAGCGCTGGGTTCGGCGGCCGGCGTGCAGAGTGTGGTGATGAGTGTGCCAGTACGCTTCAGCGAGGCGCCACCTGTGGATGCGCTCTCGCAAGCGCCGCCATTGGTGCTGCCTACCAGTGCGCATTCGTACGTGCCACGCGATCAAGAGATGGGCGAGGCGTTGCCGGGTGCGTATGCACAAGCGTCGCATGCCTCGCAGACGCCGCACGATGCACAGCGGTACCTTCCTGCATATACGCAGCTTTTCCGCGAAGATGGGTCGCGTTTGGAAGACGATGCGGAAGTCTTGCCGCCGTACCCGGACCAGTATGTGACGTTGCCAGGATCGGAAACGAATCAGCTGGATAGTGCGTTTGCCGCGTACCTGCAAATGCACTTGACCTTGGCCACGGCGGAGGAGCGTGAAGGCAAGACGGCTGCGCCAGTGAGTGTTGTGGATGCCATCAATGCCGAGGATGATCAGCTGTACAATATGCAGACGATGGCCGATGATATGATGATGGAAGACCGCATGGTGCAAGATGAGGACGATGATGCAGAGACGGCCTCGGATGGCGAGGACGACGACGAAGTGGTGTTGACAACCACACAGTCGCAACCATCGCAGCTTACCACGATCACGTCGTCTTCGTCGGTGGACGGTCTACGTGTCGCGCAGGACCGCAGTCTCTCGCCGTTGCCGCAGTTGCAGATGGCGCAGCCCTCGTACTTGTCCAGCACTACATCGTTCGGACAAGCGTCGACGCCGTTGTCCGTGTCAGCATCCCTCACAGCGCCGGTGGCGCCTGCGACCCCTCCGTCGGTGGCCACCGGCATTACGTCGCCGGAAAGCATGACCACGGCCTTGCCTCACGAGGCCACGGTATCGCCCACGCCACGCCCTACGATCTCTTCCGCGATGCCTGCCCCAATTGTCTTGCCGAATACCTCGTTTGTGATGCCCTTCGGGCCTGCCTCGTCCTCGTCGTCGTAATGCGGACCTGGTTTTATAATGACCCCTACCAAAACACACGATCACGGCGCCTAGGTGTAATGTGGAAGACACCTCGTGATGACAGTGTGCGTCCGCAGCGCTGAGCATCGCGTGATCGTTCGTGCGTGATTCGTATATACCGCATAAAGTAGATAGGTCTACGAGCTACTCTCCTCCACCTTGGCCAACAAGCGGTCCTTCGGCGGACGAAGGCCTTCGCCTTCCATGCCATCCGCCAACGACTCGATCTTCTCACGTGAGAGCGTCGAGGCGACGAGCAGCTGTGCCATGAAGCTGTATGCACTTGGAGCATCCATGCTCGTATCGTCGAGAATCGTGACTTGGGGCTTGAAGCCGTCGACCAACGCAGCTTCGTCAAGCACGCCCTTCTCTACGAGCGCCGCAAGGAGACGGCCTGCATCGTCGACGCTGTCCTGCTTCTTGTCCAGCACAGCGGCTACCAGCGCATCCACAAACTTCGCACGGTGGTCCGCCGGGAGCGCTTCAATGGACTGCACACCCTCGTTGAGATCGCGGATCGCCAAGAACTCTTTGACGTCGTTGCTGATCTTGCGCTCCAAGTCGGCCGGCGAGGAGCCAGACGCCTCTTCCGACGCTGGCGCCGCGGCTGGCGCAGCCTCGTCGTCCAGTGGCTTGGTCCGGGGCTGCAGCTGCAGCTTCTTACGGCCATGCTCTTCGCTACTGCTGCCATCACCCGTAAGCAGGTTGAACATGTTGGAGGAGCCACTGCGTGGCGTGGGGCTGCCTTCGTCGCCCTTTTGGTTCTTGCGGCTAAACACGCTCTGCGGGCCGCCGCCCAGCTTGCTCCCGCCCTGGCGGTCGAGCCCCTTGCCGAAGCCGGACAAGTCGCCAGAGCGACCGCGCTGGGCAGGCGCATTGCCGACGGTACTCCAACCGTCGTGCGAAGGCGCCTCGTTGCCGTGGCTTGCGTTGTTGCTGCTCGTGTGATGACGCTGTTGGCCACGGCGTGAGCCGCCGCGCGACATGGACCCGAACTTTTCAGCCTCCTTCTGCTGCTGCTCCTTTGCGGCCTCCGCATGGATCTCCGCAATGGTCTTGGGCGCAGAGGTATCGTGACGCGGCACCCAGTTCTCGTTCCGCAGATCGACCACGTCCAACAACATGAAGCGCATACGTGACGAGAGCGCCGGGCTCTGCAAAATATCATCAATGCGCTTAAAGTATACGTCCATGCGGCTCTTGTGGTTGCCAGGCGCATTGTCCAGCAAGTAACCGACGGTGGTCAGCAGACGGCACACGCTCTCAATCTCGTCTTCTTCCGGCTCGGTGGTCGTGCGCAAGAGACGCACAATACAGGTATGCATAATACGCGGCTGAAGCATCTGCAGCTTGAACAGCTCACCGACAAACTGCACGAGACCAAGACCGCGACGCTTGGCCTTCTGCATCGCGTAGTACTCGTCGGAAAGCAACTCGATTTCCTTCTCGGGTTTTTCGTCCTTCGCAGCGCCCCATCCTTTCTCAAAGTCGCCCTGGCACCACGTCAAGAGGTATTTGCGGAAGAGCATACCGCCGCGGTACTCCTTCTGCTCCTTCTCATCCAGCACCTCGTCCTTGATGTTCGGATCAAGGTTCATCTGGATCTTGGCACACAGCTGTGCATACATCTCACTCCACGCCGCCTCGTCAATGGCCTTCTCAAAGACCAGAGCAATCACCTGGCGCAGCGTGTGGCCGTCCGTCTCGTCCTTCGACTTGTTCGCAAACTCGACAATCTGGTCACTAATGGACTCGAACTTCTCGACCGTGAGCTTGTTCAGCAGCGACTTGACCTTGCGCTCGACCACCTGCGTCTCGTCCATCGCATCCTTCTCGCGGCTCTGTGGCTTCCAGCGGTTCTCCGAGTAGGCCAGCGGCACCACCTGGTCCAGCGGGATGGTCGGGCCACCCTTCTCCGGTGGGTTCACATGCGGACCGCGCTGACGGCCACGACCACTCTTCGAGCGGCCACCCATGGGAATGCCCGTGCCCATCGTCTCGCGCGACGGCAGCAGACCACTGCTACCGCCACGTGACATGGACTGGCCGCGCGAGCCAGCACCAAAGCCGCCACCCCGGTTGGACGAGGCAAAGCGCTCCTCGCTCGTCTTCATCGCGCCGCCACGGCCTGTGCCGCGGCCCATACCGCCACGACGGCCACCACGGCCAGAGACACTCTCCATACCGATCGAAGCCAGCTCGGGCAGATTGTGTGGCTTTTCCGAGTACACACTCATGAACTGCAGCAAGAACTCGCGATCGTAGCGGTACTTACCAGGCGTCGCATCCACGTTGAGATCCGCTTGCGGTGGCTGCACGTTCTCAGGATAGCTAATCGAGGCCAGATTGTCGATAGTGTGAGCATGCTCAATCGCGCGGTTGGGCTCCGAAGCCTCCGCCTCCGACTCGGGCTGCGTCTCGCTCTGCGCACCTTCTGCATTCGCAGGCAGCGACGACGAGGAGGCCTCAGTGGCCTTGGTATTCTCATTCGCAGCATCGTCGTCCGCCGCCTTCTGGGCAGCCGCTTCGTCGTCGGCCTTCTTCGCCGCAGCTGCAGATTCCTCCTCGGCTTTCTTCTTCGCTGCAGCCTCTTCGTCCGCCTGCTTCTTCGCAGCGGCTTCTTCCTCAGCCTTCTTCGCAGCCTCCTCGTCGGCCTTTTTCTGCGCCGCCGCTTCTTCCTCAGCCTTCTTCGCAGCCTCCTCGTCGGCCTTCTTCTGCGCCGCCGCCTCTTCCTCCGCCTTCTGCTTGGCGGCCGCTTCTTCTTCGGCCTTCTTCGCAGCGGCTTCCTCATCGGCCTTCTTCTTCGCCTCCTCTTCTTCGGCCTTCTTCTTCGCTTCTTCCGCACGCTTCGCCTCCGCTTCCTTCTCCATCTTTAGACGGAGCACTTTTTGCTGGAAGTCAGCTTGCGTCTTCACGCGGCTCTCATTCGACGCAGCCTCGGCGGGCGGCGTAGGCTTCGGCTTGCTAACCGTCTCTTTCGGCGCCGCACTCGCATCCGAGGCAGACTCGGCAGGCGTGCTTGCAGTCGACGCCGCCTTCTTCACTTGTTCGAGGTCAAGCTCCGCATGCGTCTCAGGGTTCACAATACGAAGCGCCTTGCTCTTCTGCGGCTCAAACATACGAGCACCCGCATTCATAGTAAAGCCCGAGGGCGACGCAGGCGGGTAGAACGTAGCGCCGCCAGGACGGGCCTGCATAGGGCCACGGCCAGGGCGAGGCGAGGCCATGTTGGGCGGCATCATCGAAGGCGACGACACAGCACCGATATGCGGCGAGCCTGGTGTGCCAGGCGTCCATGGCTGCTGAGCCTGCGGAATAAAGGGGTAGCCGCCAGGGCCAGGACTCATCGGGTAGCCCACATGCGGGTACATCGGCGACTGCCATGGCTGCATATACGGACCGGGCGTACCAGCGCCCATCTGCTTACCATGGTTGGGTGGCGGAGGGCGCACCATAGGCTTCGACGGCGCCGAGGTCATGGACGGGGTCTGTGGCGCGCTGGCGTTGGCGTTGGCATTGGCATTGGCGCCAGCATTGGTCTGTTCACCATGGTTTTGAGGCTTGGATCCATGGCCCTGGAACAACTTCTGGAAGTCAAGCTGCTTCTTACCGTTGAATCCCACCTTCTTCTCCTGCGTGGCTCCATTGTCAGCCGCAGCAATGCTGCCAAAGACAGGCGGGTGGCCACTACGAAGGTGCTCGCCCGCCTGCGGCTGGGCCGCCGGTGATGAGGACAGCGTGGCATTCTTATCGTCGACCGTGCCAAAGTTGATGCCCTGCGCAGCGCGAGCAGCGTGCTTCGGCATGCTCACGGCGCCGTCATTGGCATCGCGCGGGGCCTTACCAGGCTTGCCCGTCTTGGATGCGCCACCGCGGGGCGCACCGCCTTGCGTAGCACGCTTGTCTGTGCCACTCATACAGAGGTTAGGAATGCACTTGTCTACACGGATGTGTAGACTTTGTACCAAAAATACCCCTCCTCCAGGAGAGATGGGAAGACGTACGAATGCGTAGTAGCAGCCAGCGGTCAGGTTCGGCCGGCGCGAGAAAAAGATGAAAAGGATCTTAGTCATCTACCACGTGGCTATGGAGCGCGCTTCCTTTTGGCCCCAGGCGTCTTGAGAGCGCGTCGCGCGTCGTCGCCAACCATGGCGTGGGCAGGCAGCTTGCCGTTGGTTGGCACTTTGTAGCGTACACGTTCGGGCACTTCGTCCTCTAGCACATCCTTGGTACCGAGCTGCTCCAGATACCATGTCTGAAGCAGCCCAATCTGCGCGGGGACAGCGGCACGTGAGAGCACAATCGGAGGCGGCGGAGGTGTGTAGGAAGGCTTGGCCACTTTGTCGTGCCCTGTGGTTGCTTTGAGCGTGGTTTGGCCACCAAAGAACAGGCGGCTTGGGACAGAGAGATGTTGCATGCCCAGCTCTGCCTCGAGGCCCAGCTCTTTGAACCCGAAAAAGTCGTCGCCCAGCCCTGCCGCGAAGTGACCGAGCATGAGCGCCTCGCCATCGCGCGCCAACAAATCCGTGTCTTCTACCGTGCCACCCAGGTACTGCAGCTGCTCACGCATGGTATTTTGTAGCTTGCTCAGCCACTCTTTGAGGCGCTGACCGTACCGTCCAATGTCGTGGGTCACATACGTCTCCAGGGCTTCCAGCCCCGAGCCTCGTCCGGCGAGAACATGCTCCACGATATCTTCGGCGGAAAACTCGTGAGCAAAGCGGTCTGTATAAAGACGTAAGGTGCGTGCAAGGCCCATCATGTATTCCGTAGCGACATCTGTAAGTACCTGCGCTGCCGCTGCATGCGCGCCTTCAAACCCAGCATGCGCCAAGAGCGTTTGGACCTGCCAACTCGCTTGCGATCGCGCATACGATGCAGTCAGGCGTGGATGAGGCGATGGAGGTGTCCACGTACTGGGCCCCACAATCAGGTCCTCGTCCTCTTCGTCGTCCGACGAGACATCGCCTAGCGAGGCCGGCACAGGCAAATCCAGCTCCACGGCTTCGGCAAGTTGGAAAAACTTTTGGTGGGTCCGCTGCAAGCGCTGCAGCGTACGTATATTGCGCGCCATCAGCCGCGGGATACCAGGCCGGTGCATAGGCAGGCGCGATGTGTAGGCGGCGTTCGACGAGGGCCCAGGGTCAGAAGGCACAGCGCCTGCATACCCAATCGACGGTATACCAGCACACAACATAGTGTCGGTCGTGCATGCAGCCCACCATTTCTGCTGCATACTGCGTGGCGCATGCTGCAACGCGGTGCTTAGTGGGTCATTGTGCGAGATGGACACACGATCTAGCTTGTGCAAGGCGGAGGCAACATCGCTGGATGCCGTCTGCTCCATATCTGTGAGCTTGGTGTCTAGGTCGGAAAACACCAGGGAAGAATCGGCAGTGCGACGTAGCGCAGCACGCTGCGGCAGGGGTGTATCGTCGCGCACTATCTCCGTCTCTGGCGCCTTGGTTTGCGCTGCCACCGCTGTCGCTGCAGACGACGTAGACGGTGGGGCTGTGGTGGTGGTGGCTGCTGTGGGGGCAGCCGCAGCGATAGGTTTGGTATCCGGTGCCGACATCTCAGACTCAGGCTGAGGTGTGGATGTAGTAGAAGGGTGCCAGTGGCTTATCAGATCTTTGGTATCATTCTTGTCGCTTAGGAATTCAAGTAGGTGATCTGCTTTTTTGCGCATAAATGTTGCATTGCGACGCAAAGGATGCTGTGGTGAGGCATTGTACAAGAAACAGTTATCCCAAATCAAATTGAGATCGTGTGCGAATTGCGCCTTGGTCTTATACTGTCCACTCCGGAGCTTCTTCTGCATGGTCCCTAGATCCATAGGGTTTTGGATGACGTCGTAATAGTCGGGGGCATCGCGTTTGCTGACGCGCGTGAGGAAAGCCTGTGAATGTTCCTGGTATAAGAGGAAGAGTACATACCGTATAGTTTCGGAGTTCTGTGAGGATGCGCTCCATCGCTTCCTGGTACTCTTCACGCTCATCCTATCGGTTAGAACAAAGGTACATACACGGCCTTTTCGTGCCTCTGAGAGCAACTTGAGCAAGTCAGGATCGTTCAGTGGCACATCGCCGCGATGTGCTTCGATCGCCTGAAGTAGATACTATCATGTGAGATGCAAGGAGAAGCACGTACCTTCATGCTCACTCAGAGGCGCTCCCTCTGCACAAAGCTCTCCAACGCCGGGGGCGAACGCGAGAGCGTGTCGTCGTTTGTATCACGTGAGGTGGAGGGTGGTGCATCAGCCAGCTTGGCTGCGCGAGACTTTTTTTGTCGTGCAGAACGACGGAGAGCATGTCAGAGCGTGGGCGTGGTCGCGGTGGTGGTGGCGCGCGTGGGCGTGGTCGTGGGCGCGGTGGTGCACGCAACTATTCGAAATCCCAGCCGCGTGATGTGACGGGTGTGAATAAGCTGAAGAGCATTATGCGGCAGACCAAGCGTCTGCTGAGCAAGGTACGTCCAGGGCATTCTTACCGCAGGACTCTATTACACCAGGTGCGCGTATCGAGGCAGAACGACGACTCCTTGCCATTGAACGGGAGCTTGAAGAACGTGCACAGTCCAACAAGGAGCGCACATTGGCGGCACGATACCATAAAGTCAAGTTCTTTGGTATGTATGCCTCATGAAACTAATGCCAGAACGTCAGAAACTGGTCCGCCGTATCAAGCAGTTGCTGCGTTCGATCGATGCATCAGAAAATACAAAGTCGTTGCGTGCAGAGTTGTACGAATCGCGCGTGTTTTTAAACTATGTGTTGGTACGTCTGCCATCCTGGCTTACAATAGAACTTCCCTGCCGACCAGCGCTATGTGGCCCTGTTTGGCGATCGCGGCGCGAAGAAGCCTATTGCGCCTGGTGCGAATGCATCTGATCGGGCGCAGAAGCAGGCTGCTGAATTCCTGCATCATGTCCGCAAATCCATGAAGAAGGGCCAGTTGCCAGCGGAGCCGGACGTGGAGTTGGACGAGCGTGAGAGCCAACGCCGTGCGGCGCAAGCCAAAGCAGAGGAGATGGAGGAGGATGTCAGTGACGATGAGGGTGATGTTGATGACGATGACGATGATGACGATGACGACGACGACGACGACGAGAATGACGATGACGATGACAATGTCGATGATGTCGACGACGAGGATGATGTCGATGACGACGATTCTAGCACATCGGCTGACGACGACGACGACGACGACGACGACGCTGAGCAATCTACACACAAAGGACCAAAGGGATCACTCGCAGACGATGATTTCTTCTCGCTCTAACTATGGAGTGCAACGGCCCGTCCAGCGTGGGTACAGCGAACACTCACGCACAGTCCAGCGGTTGGTCAGCCAAGCGACAAGACGCTCGACACCGAAACCGTAGCCACCGTGCTCGCACGTGCCGTACTTGCGCTGGTCGGTGTACCAGTAGTACGGCGAAGGATCGATGCCCTCGTGCTTGTAAGCGGCCATGAGCTCGTCAATGTTGGGCATCCTCATACTACCACCCACAATCTCACCGACGCCGGGCATGAGTAAGTCGACACTTTCTGTGAAGCGCTCGTCGCCAGGCACACGCTTCATGTAGAACGCCTTGATCTCGTGCGGGAACGAATGCAAGAGGATCGGCACGCCGAGCTGGTCGGTCATCTTGCGCTCAGCAGCCTCGGCAATGTCGTCACCGACCTCGTGCGGCTTGCCCTCTTCGTTGAGGATATCGTGCTCGTTGAGATACTTGATAGCATCCTTGTAGTTCATACGCATAAACGGACGCTTCGGCGGCTGGAAGCCAGGGTTCAGCTGCTCCACCGTCTGGCGGATCTTGTCGTCGGCCAGCAGACGGTCGACCATACCACAGACGAGCTGCTCAATGATCGCAAGCAGGTCGTCAAACGAAATGAAAGCATGCTCGCCCTCCATATGCGTAAACTCACTCAAGTGACGACGGGTGTGGCTCTTTTCGGCACGGAAACTCTCCTGCACACAGAACACATCACCAAAGGCAGGCAGGCACGTCTCCAGGTACAGCTGCGAGCTCTGCGTCAGGAACGCATCCTCGCCGTAGTAGTCAAACTTGAACAGCGTACCACCACCTTCGACCTGCGTCTGCACCATGCAAGGCGGCGTGACTTCCATCACGCCCATATCAGCAAACTCCGCACGGAACGCCGTCATAATGGCCGAGCGCACACGCATGACCGCTGAGGCCGTCTCACCACGCAGCACCAGGTGACGGTTGTCCGCCAGAATCGAGGGGTCAGCGTTTTCAGAGATACGGTTGGTAATCGCATCGTCGCCACCGGGCGCCTTGCCTGTGCACACCCAGTAGTCGACGACCAACTCGTGGTTGTCCGGCGCCGTCTTGCCTTCCGGCAACGCCTTGATTTCACCGTACACTTCAACAGCACTCTCGAGAGTAAGCGTGAGCGCATCGTAGGTCTGCATCAGCGGACCCTGGAGCACGCACTGCAGGTAGCCTGTACCATCACGCAGCACAAGGAACATGCGGTCTTTTTGCGAGCGCAAGCGATGGACCCAGCCACACACTTTCACGCGGCGATCCCGGTTCTCGACACTCGTGCGGATCTTGATGCGCTTCGCTTCTGGCGCACCGGCCGGCGGCTCAATCACAATCTTGCGGCTTTCCTCCAGCTTCTTAGTCTCCTGCGCAGCACGCTCAGCTTCCTGCGCAGCAAGCTCTGCGGCCTTCTGCTTCTTCTTAAGCGCGAGGTCGTACAGCTTCTTGGCCTTCTTCACACCTGAGGCAGAGAGCGGCTCATACTCGCCCTCGCCCTTGCGCACCATGATCGACACATCAGGTCCACGCGCAGTCATCGCGCCGAGCGCCGTAGCGTACGGCGAGGCCTCTGTACCCTGCCCGGTCTCGTCATGGCCCTTGGCCTCGTCGACATACACTGGGTGTGAGTGTGTGCATACGTACCTGTAGCGCCCTCACTCACGCGCATCGACGCCGTGTCGGCTGTCACTGCGTCCACACCACTGCTCATCGTGAAGAAAACACACAAGGCCGTGGCGTCGTCTGTCGTCGTCCTTCCCTTCGGCTTATGTCAGCAGTACAGACCCTGGCCACGGCCGTCTACCTCCACGCTGAGCAGGGCTGCGTGGCCTCCGTCATGTTGCCACCATCCAGCGCTCGACGTGTGCTGCTGCTTGTGGCCCTTGTGTCTCTGTGCGTGCCGTACGCATGTGCAGCGCCTTCTCTGGTAGACGCATACCGTGCATCGCATCGCTATGCCCAAACACAGGAAGTTTCTATGGCGCCCATGCTGCATGAAGACGACGGCCGCGATGTGGTGCCCCACAGTTACATGGTCATGCTCAAGCCTGGCGTGACGGCCAGTTCGTTCCTGCAGCATCGCGCTGCGGTCTCTAACGTCGTGATGGCGGCTCAAAACGCAGCGATCTCGGCCTCGTCGGCCGACGAGCAGGCCATGGCGCAAGCCATGGGATTCCGCCACATTTTTGATAAGGATACCTTGCAAGGCTATGCAGGCACGTTTACACCCGATGTGCTCGCGTTCATTCGCGCTCAGCCTGAGGTCGAGTATGTGGAACCGGACTCGGTGGTACAAATTACAGCACTCGCGCAAGACGATCGGTTTGTGCGCACTATGGACGAAGAAAGTGAGGCTCGTCGTTTGCCATGGAACCATCCCGAGCAGCATCTTACCGAGGTCGGGGCTCCTTGGGGTCTGGCGCGTATTTCACACCGTGATTCGCTGCATCTGAGCACGTTCAACAAGTACGTCTACGAAGCGGTGGGGGGTGAAGGCGTGACGGCGTACATTATCGACACGGGCATTCACGTGGACCATGAAGACTTCCAAGGTCGGGCGCGCTGGGGAAAGACGATGCCGCCCAACGAAAAGGATGTTGATGCACATGGGCATGGCACGCACGTCGCAGGCACGATTGGCTCGTTGACGTATGGTGTGGCGAAGAACACGGAGCTGGTCGCTGTCAAGGTCCTTGGCGCTAGCGGCCAGGGCACGATGGCAGATGTCACCGCTGGTGTGCTGTGGGCCATCACAGATGCCCAGCGGCTTACAGAAGAGATGCTCGCGCACCCGACCTCCCCGAAGGCCAAGAAGCATCGCGGGTTCGTGGCCAACATGTCGTTGGGCGGCGGCAAGTCGCCGACCTTGGACCGAGCTGTGGCGGCAGGCATTGCCGCGGGCCTGCATTTCGGTGTGGCAGCTGGGAATGAGAACCAGGATGCATGCAATGTCTCCCCTGCTGGCACCAAGCATGCGGTGACGGTCGCTGCGTCGACGATTGCCGATGAGCGGGCGTACTTCAGCAACAAGGGCAGCTGTGTCGACATTTTCGGACCTGGCCTCAATGTGTTGTCGACGTGGAAGGAAGGGCCGCGAAGTGTGAACACCATGTCGGGCACGTCGATGGCGACGCCGCATATTGTGGGTTTGATGTCGTACCTGCTCTCGATTTACGGCACGGACGATTTCCACCTGATGAAGGACGTGCGACCTTCGCGATTGGGTCCCTTTGCCGTGCAGGACACATCGTCGTGGTGGACGGCGCTCTGGGCAGTGACGCAGCACTGGTGGCCATGGTGGCTCACCACGCGGCCGGCCTTGCTGGACGACACGGTAGAGGTGATGGCCGTGGAAAGTGTGTTGCACCCCGTGGACCTAAAGAAGGCGCTGCACCGCTTTGCGACGCCTGGCGCGCTTGCCGCGCTGGATCCAGACACGGTCAACAGTCTCGCGTTTAACAATGCAACTCAAACCCTGTAGAATACGTATGGTACGAGAGACAATAAACATATACACTACGACACTAGAAACCAGGGAACAGGTTGGGGTACTCGTCGACGGCGTTGGGCTGGGAGTACTCGGACAGGTCGTTTTCAGGGTACTTGTCAAACCTGGAAAGATGTCAGTGAGAGCGTATACGCACTGGCTGGCGTCGCCGTTCGTGCCGACGTTCGGGATGTAAGGCGCCGGGATCTCTTTGCGGTACAGGCAGTCCCAGTCGATCTCAGCAAACCACATGTGCGAGAAGATATCGCGGCTACCGCGGTGCAAGTTACCGAATCGCTTCGAGAGGTCGGCTGTGATGAGGGATTTGAGCAGGTCCTTGGCACCTGCCTCAAAGTACGATGGGTACTCCACGTACCCCGCCAGAATCTTTTCGTAGAGCTTGATGGGATTGTTGTCTTCCGTATAGAAGGGCGGGTAGCCAGCCAGCATCTCAAAGAGCAAAATACCGACCGACCACCAATCGACACTGGCATTGTAACCACGCGCGCGAATGATCTCTGGCGCGAGGTAGTCAGGCGTGCCACAGAGGGTCCAGCACATGCCATTCGATTCTGTCACCACCTTGGCGAACCCGAAATCGATCAGCTTCAAATGGCCATCCACGCCGATCAAGATGTTCTCCGGTTTCAGGTCTCGGTACACAATGTGGTGCTTGTGCAGAAAATCAATCGCGAGAATCACTTCGGAGATGTAAAACTTGGCCACTTGCGGTGGGAATCGGCGGCTCTGCCGCAGCAGACTAAACAGCTCACCACCCGGCACAAAGTCCATGACCATGTACAGGAATGTGGGATCCTGGAACGTGCCCCACAAATTGACCAAGAACGGGTGCCGTACCATGGCAAGCACATCGTGTTCGTTGATTACGTGCTCGACCTGCTTCATCTTGACGACATGCGATTTGCGCAGCACTTTGATCGCATAGAATCTATGATTGTGCACACTCTGGACCAAGTGCACACGCCCAAACGAGCCTGTGCCGAGCGTCCGCTTGATTGTAAAGTCCTGGAGTTTGTACCGGCCACTCAGCTGACGCATCGGAAGGCCTGTGCTGGGGTTGATCGGTGCAGACGAGTTGCTGGAAGGCTTGGTCGCCGTGGCGGATGTGGTAGTCGTTACGGCGGCGGCTTGGGTAGGCGCTGTCACTGAGGGGCTGGTCGTGCTCAATTGGTCCTGCGACACAATGCTGGGCGCCACAGAGGACATGGCAGTATGCACAGACGAAGAAGATTGGCCGGATGAGGGCAAAGCTGTACCATTGCCCTGCACAGCGACAGTCTGTGGCTGCGGTGGAGTCGTTGTATGGTCCGCCTCAGGCTGAGGCGACGACGACGTAGTGCTCTCCTGCTGACTCGACGAGGCCTCTTTGTCAGAGTGGTGAGCGCCATGGAAGTTGAACGCATTTCCTAGGAACTTGTGCCCAGTCTTTTCATGTTTATCGTGATGAAAGCCGAAGAAATTCGGCATGGTATAGAGCCAGCACAACGGTCGCTCAGCGAGTGCTGCTTGTGCGCAGCAACGACCCTTGTCGCGCAACGCGCCAGGTGCCCGCCCCATCGGCAGACAGTCCTGACTAAGCGCAATCCACCGCCGGCGGTGGCGCCAGGCCCTCCACTGTGTTGTTGCCCTCACCGAGCCGCGAGACGCGATGACACAGCGCCAACGCCTCGTGCCCTATGTGCGGCAAGCGCTTCGGCAGGTTGCGCTGCCGCGGAGATCGATAGCGACCATGGCAAGGACGACCAACGCGGCCTTGGCTGTGCGGCCATCCACGCTGTGGCCGCCTGCTCTCTGTCGAGGCATGGCTTCCGCCGCGGCGGAGCCGGTAGTTGCTGAGCTGAGTACCCAAACATACAATGCCCTTGTTGATCCGATGCTGGAAGAGCTCTCGATTGAGCTGGAAGAGCTTCTGGAAACGCACGATATTGACGCGCTGGAAGAAGAGCGTGGTGGCGACCCGAGCGATTGGGACGTGGAATATGCGGTACGTAACTATGAGCCATGACGTACGAGCTACCTAGACGGGTGTGCTGACGTTACGACTGGGGTCGTACGGGACCTATGTGATCAACAAGCAGCCGCCATCGCGGCAAATCTGGCTATCGAGTCCGTCGAGGTACGTGACTTTCTACCTTAACAGCAGCGGCCCAAAACGCTTTGATTATGATGCCACAAACAAAGTATGGTTTACCAACAAAGAGGGCGAGCTGCACTATTTCCACGAGCTGCTTACGCGCGAGCTGAGTGAGGTGCTTGGCGAGCCTGTCGACCTGTCCATAGCTTCGTAGGACGCCCGCGCCTTGCTTCGATTGACCCAGACCCAAGCGCTTGACTAAGATAAGCACGTGAATTCAAAATGGAACCAATGCCTGGTGTGGGCCAGTAGAGTTTGGAGCAGGCGTATATGCATGCAGCTATCTGCAGGGGTATAGCGAGTACATCGAGTCGGACCGCGGAAAAAAGCTGTGCGCTCGGCCCTGCCACGACTTGGCGAAGGTGTGAACGCTCTTCTCTCTAGCGACGGAAGGAGCGTTATCATGGCCCAGCAAGCACAGCGCATGGGCACACGATTCCTGCACCAGCTCACATCGCTGGGCGGGAACAACTCGCATGACAACTCTGCTGTGCAGAGTCATAGTGGTGGCGGCGGCAGTGGGTCGAATTCGTCGCCTGTGAAGAATCAGCTGGCGTCTCTCTTTAAAGGCCAGCAATATCAGTCGCCTACGTCGCAGTCGTCGCAGCCGGCTGAGACGCCGCCTGTGCCAAGCTACCAGCATGGCCAGACGCATATCGGTGATACCAGTGCTGGGTCGACGCATTACGGCGAAGCGCTGGGCGGCACGTCGCCAAATCCAATGCATTCGTCACAGCCGTTGCAGCGGACGGTGACGAGCATGGATGAGCCCCGCTCTGACGAGTCCAACTCCAAGATGGGCCGCTTTGGCTTTGGCAAGTTGGGCCAGTTTGGCAAAGGCACTGTACAGCAAACGACACAGGCCGGCGCGGGCGCTGGCCGCTTGGGCAAGCAGGGTGTGCAGGGCGTTGGTCATATGGGCCAGCAAGGGATTCAGGGCGTCGGTCATGGCGTGGAACAGGTAGGCCATCTAGGCCAGAATGGGCTTCACACGGTGGGCCAAGGCGTCACGCACGTTGGTCACTATGGCCAAGAAGGAATACAAGGCGTGGGACAGTTTGGCCAGCAAACTGTGCAAGGTGTCGGTCATGGTGCGACCCAAGCTGGGCAGTTTGGCCAGCAGGGTGCCGCGACGATCGGCCACTTGGGCCAGGAGGGTGTGCACCCTGATATGATGCATCAGCAGGGCGTGCAAGCCGGCCAGGGCCAGGGTGGCATGTACGATGCGCACCAAGACAACCCACTGCCGCAGTTGCCGAATGGCTACGAGGGCCAAGCGAATCCTGCCGCTATGGACCAGACGTCGCCCTATAGCCGCGACGGGATGTATACATCGCAGATAAGCACGGAGCCGGGCAGTACGAGCCCCTATGGCGGCGAAGGCCCCTCGTCCGAGTACCCGCAGCAGGCGACGTACCACTCGCCGGAGCTGGTGACCACGGGTGCGGCCGGTTTTCAGCAAGACACGCAGAGTGCGTACGACGCGGGTGCGCAAGCGATGACGACGCCGTACAGCGGCACGCAGTCCCTGCCATCGAACGATACAAGCCTGATGCCTGTGCCTGTGTCCGTCCCGGCGCCAGGCGCGATGGAATCGTCGCAGACGCTTGCTGTGCCCGGCACGAGCCAAGGAGCCAGCGATGCGTCTCTCTCGCCGAATCGGCAACGTACGCAGTGGTCGGGCACGTCGCCCAACTCTGGCCACAAGCGACTGGATCCGGAAGAGATTGCGACAATGTCGCGTTCGTACTACTCGGAGCTTCTGCAGTTCTTCCGTACGCAGCCGACACGTACATCGCTGCTGACCACCTCGCGCTCGAATGCGCGTGAGAAACTTACGCGGCTGAACAAGCAGCAGTTTGCCGAGCTCTCGACGGATGTGCATGACGAGCTGCAACGTCGGCAAGATCTTAGCCAGACGTCGCCGTACTTGCCTGTTCGGGACGACTTCCATCCGAAACGCAACCAGGCGCGCCAGAAACTCTCGACGCTGCCGAAGAGCCGATTCCGTGACTTGGCCTCGGACGTGTTCTTTGAGCTGGAGCGGCGGTACCCGGAGCTTCCGCAGGAGCTGCGCCATGAATCGCTGGAAGAGCTCATGGGCCCCCGCGATGTGCGTGCGAGCCAGGTAAGCACGGAGGCACCGAGCTCGGCGCCGTCCAGTGCGCCGCCGCCACCGATGCCCGGCATGGCATCGCAGACGAGAGTGGATACGATGCCTGTGGCGACCCATGGTATGAGTGGCACTGCGCCGCCTATCACCGATACCAGTGTGCTTTCGTCGCCGGTGCTCACTGATCGTACGATGGTCACGCCGCTGACGTCGACGACGACAACAACGACAGCAACAACGACGGTCGACCCGCCGCCTACGACTGGGGAGCCCATGTCGCCCATTGCCGAAGTGGTCAGTGTGACGACGGGCCGATCCACGCCGGCGGCGCCGGCGGCACCGGCGGAGGCACAGCAGCACTTGTCGGATGACATGGCCGAGGCGCAGCAGCAGATGATGGAGGCGCCGCCTGCGACCGAGACGCGTCCGCGGGCAGCGACGCCGCGTGAGGCCGCGACGGAGGAGGGGGCAGAAGAGGCTGCGCCGAAAGACAACATCGATGCGCCGACACCTGCGCCGCGGGACAGCACGACGCTGGAGCCGCTCAACTCGGCGCAGTTCAAGGCGTTCCAGGACCAGGTCATGGCGTTGCAGACGCGTGTGCAGGAACTCGAGGCGCAGGAGCACAAGCTGCAGCGCTCGATCGACATGGCCGAGCAGCAGGTACAGGATATGGAGCAGCGCAATCTGTCGCTTGAGACGCGCTTGGCGCAGACGGAGCGGGAGCGGGACCACCACGTCGCGACGTCGCATGACTGGAAGAGCAAGTCGGAGCAGCACAAGGCGGAGTTGGAGGACCAGCATGCGCAGCTCCTGCAGCACCGTGCGGATCTCGATGCACTGCGGACGCAGTACAATGATCTGCAACTGTCGCAGGCTACGCGGGCCGCGCCAGCTGCCGCGCAGCCGGATCCAGATATTGAGGCGCGGTGGAAGGCGGACCTCGATGCGATGCAGCAGCAGACGCTCGAGCAGGAGCAGATGGTGCAGGATCTGCGCAAGGAGGTCGGCTCGCTGCTGGAGGAGCTGCGTCGGCTGAGTGCACGCAACGATGCGATGACGGCGGACAAAGAGTCGGACGTGGCGATCATTCGTGATTTGCACCAGCAGATGTCGACGTACAAGCGCCGCTACGAAAGCACCAAGACGGAGCTGCGCATGGTCCAATCGACCTCGCAGCTGTGGGCGCAGCCGAACGTGGAAGAGTGGAAGTACGTGTCGGAGCGCGGCGCAATTGCCGATACGAACTTGCAGTCGTTCCAGGGGGCTGTGGACGAGCTGCTCACAGCCGCGCGCTCGGCCACGTCGTCGAATGTGCTCATTGCTATGAAAACAGTCGTCCTTGCGACGACGCTCATTACCGATGACGTCGCGAAGTACGAACTGCAGCCGGACAATGAGCTGACCTCGCTCACGCCGCAGCAGCGCGAAGACGTGCAGTCGCTCAAGTTCTCGGTGTCAGAAGCACTTTCGAACCTGATGAACGCGTGCCGCAACCATGCCTCGTCTCAGGGTCTTGCGCCTGTGAGCCTCGTGGACGCGGCCGCTACGCATGTGGCCCTAGCGATCGTCGAGCTGATCAAGCTGCTGAAGCTCCGTCGTGTGCCCAAGCCAGCCGAAGACGACGGGAGCTTTGACACCAACGCCGAACTGTCACAGCCCAGCGGCCTGAAACCCCTCCACATGCTGGGCGCCGCGTCGCCCTCCAGCAGCTTTCTGCGGCAGGGCCCCACACAGCGCCGCGCGAGCTCGGCGGCGCAGAGCCCAGCGCTCCGCTCGCTGTCGTACTCGCACTCGAACCTGGATACGCGCACGATGAAGTCGCCGACAACAGCCGCGGCGCTGGGCTCGCCCTCGCCGCTGGCCAAGTCCACGTCGACGCACAAGCTGAATGGCGCGGCGACAGCCGCCAAGAGTGGAGACAGCGAGGCGCCGCCCAAGCGCGACTTGCCGCGTGTGCCGTCCACCTCGAAGCTGGCCACTGAAGGTACACAGGAGGCGCCAGACACGCAGCCGACAAGGACGACGACACTTGCCACTGAGCCCAAGGACGCGACCGCGCAGCCAGCGGCGCTCGGCGCGTCGACGACCTCGACCTCGACCTCGACCTCGCCGGCGATTGCCGCGACGTCGCCCGTGCTGCCAGCGCCGGGGACGGACGTGTCGTCAGGCAAGTCGCCAGTGATGACCACCACATCGTCGGTGCCGGCGGGCAGCAGCGCGACCCCTGTGGCGGCCAACGAGGAGGCTGCGCAAGAGGACTGGGCTGAGCTTCGCAACTACATTGAAGTACAGACCGAGGCGATTGTACACTCGATTCAGTCGCTTCTCTCAGCACTACGGGAAGGCGCACAGAGTGTCCAGCTCAACGAAAACTTGACGCAGATCACGACCATTGTCTCGTCGATTGTGGCCATTACGCGCGACAATCTGCCACAAGCCTCGTCGTCGTCCAGTCACAGCTCCTCCATGGCCGAGGAGGCGGAAGCGATCCTGGCCGAGCTCACCGAGAACTGCGATCGCTTGAGCGATATGCAGTCCAACGCGACGTACGACCGCACGGCAAAGAGCGTCATGGCCAGTGCCTCGTACGGCGTGGCCAAGGGTCTCAAGGCTCTTAATGAACTACTTAATGCATCGGGCGCAGAGACTCCGATGATGTAACATGTACGGACCGATAGTACTTTTTTCTCTATAGGCTTTGATCGACCTTTCCATGCAGTCGCCCCGATTTGACAGGCACGCCGAGTCATTTCCTCTTCGTGGGGAGCGCCATCGACGCCGTACCATCAACGCCCGGGCCCACGTTTTGCCGCAGAGCCCACGAGGTTGAGTCACCACGTGGGAGATCACCCATCTCGGAGCAGCTCGGAAACTTTGGTGCGCGACCTTCGCGTTGATTGGCATGCCGCACGCTTAAGTAAGGTGCTTGACGCTTTGCGGAAAGCCTTCCCTGCGTCAAGGAAATTACCGGTGCTCCTGGTAAAGGCTTGGAAGTCGGTTGCACTAAGCCGCTGCAGTAGCCCTTAAAACCGGTTACCCCGGACCATTCTTCCGATCTAACCTTCTCCACCCATCAACTCTTCCCCCCTCACCATGGCCACAAACAAGACGACGAAGGCGAAGGTTTCGCCCGCTACACATCTGATTGCTGGTGGTATCGCCGGTTTTGCTGAGGCTTGCACATGCCACCGTACGTATCAAATTCGACGTACAAAGCTAACACGTTGCAGCGCTCGACACCATCAAGGTGCGCATGCAGCTCTCTCGCAGGGGCCGTGGTACAGGTGAGAAGCCCCGCGGCTTCTTCGCTACCGGTCTGCACATCATCCGTCGCGAGTCGCCCCTTGGTCTGTACAAGGGTCTGGGTGCCGTCATCGCCGGTATCGTGCCAAAGATGGCCATCCGTTTCATGAGTTTCGAGCAGTACAAGCTCATGCTTGCGAACAAGCAGACGGGTGTTACCAGCCCACAGGGTGTCTTTTTGGCTGGTCTGCTTGCCGGTACCACGGAAGCTGTGGCCGTCGTCAACCCCATGGAGGTCGTCAAGATCCGTCTGCAGGCCCAGCAGCACTCGCTGGCTGACCCGCTCGAGAAGCCCCGCTACCGCAACGCTGCCCACGCTCTGTATACTATCATTCGTGAGGAAGGTTTCATGACCCTCTACCGTGGTGTGGCATTGACTGCTGCCCGTCAGGCTACGAACCAGGCTGCCAACTTCACTGCCTACCAGGAGCTCAAGGCCTTGGCACAGCGTGTGCAGAACACGACAGACCTGCCTTCGTACGAGACGGCTGTGATCGGTCTCATTTCTGGTGCCCTCGGTCCGTTCTCGAACGCCCCGATCGATACCATCAAGACCCGTATCCAGCGTGCTAGCAAGGTCGAGGGCGAGACCGCCATTAGCCGTGTCGTTAAGGTCGCCAGCGAGATGTTTGCTCAGGAGGGTGTCAGTGCCTTCTGGAAGGGTATTACCCCGCGTGTCGCCCGTGTGGCCCCGGGTCAGGCTGTGGTCTTCACAATCTACGAGAAGGTGAAGGGTATGATCGAGAACACCGGTACCACTACTGTGCCCGCTGTGACGAAGCAATAATCGGTACAGATACCTTTTGTAGACCAAAAGTATTGTTACATTGAACTCATATTATTCCTCGTGGGCTCTTTGCCTTCGCACAATGTGGAGAGGGACATCCCACTCCGTGATCACGTGATATTAACGACCCTGCCCGAGCGTGAGCAAGGAAGCACAGGTACCCAGACAGCTAGCTTTCTAGCCCGAGTGTTCCTCTGCTCTAGTGTAAAGCAACAGTGGCCCTGCCTTACTTCCACCTTTCATCGGCCTGGCATCAACACCAACTACGAATTTCTGCTCACCTGTTTGTGCACTCAGACACGGACGTCTCTTGCCGTTGCTTTGTGTACTTGCAATTGCTAGGGGCCTTTGATTTCTTACCTGTCCAACATGCGGAACATAAAGGAGGAAGCTTCACCTCCCTCTACGCCTAGGACTCTATCATCTCACGTGCAACATATGGATGACTCTGTTGATCAAGTAACAGCTGGCCTGGATACCCTACATATGCCTCCTATGGATGGCACGCCATTACCGTCAACGGGTCCAACGCCGTATGGCACAGATCTGTATACAACGCCTATTATGACTACAGCTATGGCAACACCACATGCTGTTAGCGTCCCAATATCTCCGGCCAATATGATGGGCTGGAATCCCGCATTAACGACGGTTCCTGTGGTCATGGCTATGCCAAGCACACCAACCCATATGCAGATGGCTCCTGCGTATGGAGGCTATGCACCATCTACCCCAACAGCTATGCCAGCCGATTATTCAGCTATGGGTATGGGTACCATGAGTCCTGCAGCACCGGGTATGGTGCCAGTGGGACGCACAGTCTATGTCGGCAACATACCGTCTGACGCCGCGGTCAATGAACTACTCGATCTTGTTCATTTCGGCCCCATTGAAAACGTACGGCTGCTGCCGGAAAAGAATTGCGCATTTATATCTTTCCTTACGGGACAAGTGGCAGCCGCATTTCATGCTGATTCCTCGGTGAAGCATGTCTCGTTGCACAACCAGGAATTGAAAATTGGATGGGGAAAGCCATCCGTACCACCACCCGCTGTTGTGTATGCAGTGCAGCACCAACAAGCGTCGCGCAACGTCTATATTGGGCAACTGGAGGAGAATGAGACTGAATCGACACTGAGAGATAAGCTCATCCGGTTCGGGCCCATCGACCAAGTAAAGATCGTTCGCGAACAAAACATTGGATTTGCACATTTCTTATCTATTCAAACAGCCATGAAGGTGGTGTCTGTTCTGCAAAATGATCCGGCTTGGAGTCAGCACCGCATTAATTACGGAAAAGACCGGTGCGCCTATGTCCCCAAAGGACAACAGCAGATCCAGGCGCACAACCACCAAGCCGCTGCTATGGGATTGGCGACTGCTACCTGGCTTGGGTATCCGACAGGCTATGTGAATTACAACCAAGCACCCTTCTTTCGAAATGAGGAGGCAGACTCGAACGACACCGATTCGTCGTCCCGGTCGCAGACTCAGTCACTTGGAAATGTTGAACCGCAACTGCATCAATTTGGGAATCGCACAGTGTATCTGGGCAATTTGCATCCAGATACCACCGCAGAAGACATTTGCAACCATGTCCGAGGAGGTATTCTCCAAGCTATTCGGTATATGCCCGATCGGCACATCGCTTTTGTCACATTTGTGGACCATAATGCAGCACTGACGTTCTATCATATGGCGTTAGTGACAGGTATTACTGTGCATAACCGAAGGCTAAAAGTGGGATGGGGAAAACACACGGGACCCCTGAGTCCCGGGCTCGCATTAGCAGTGCAAGCAGGTGCATCGCGTAACGTGTATATCGGGAATATTAACGATCCTGCTTTGATGGATGAGGAGAAAATTCGCGCAGATTTATCGGAGTATGGTGAGTTGGAGATGGTAAATACATTACCTGAACGAAATTGCGCATTTGCCAATTTCACCAACATTCAATCTGCTATTAAGTGTATTGAAGGTCTAAAGTATAATAAGGATTACCAGTCCGTCAAGATTTCATTTGGAAAAGACCGGTGTGGTAATCCACCACGATACCTAGGCAAACTTGCTCTCAATCGAAATCACCAAGGACCTCCTTCTGCACAAGATTCCAGTTCTTCAGAACGCCGAGAGTCTTCGGAGCTAAGTAATGGTCATGCTGAAAATTCAGAGTAGATCTCTATCATACCACATCGTAATGAATCCTATGTTGAGAAAAACCAATAAAAAGTAGTAGTCTTTGGCTAAAAACTATAGGACCACTAACTTCTTTGAGATATATGTATTCAAATTCACAAGCGGTATTCAACGGTTCTCCTAGTTAGTACAACGGTTAGTATATGTCGCTCTCATAAGTTCTACTGTGTGGCGCCGACAAGACCCGGGTTCGACTCCCGGATTGGGAACACTTTTTATATCACTCCCTTTCTTTTTTGGTCACCATTCCATCTATTTTATTATAAGATAGTGAAACAGCCTGTGCACAGGAAGAGGGATATATATGTCTATGCAGGTTGTCCTATATAACGCAAAGGAGATTCCCAATTGATTCTTTAGGCAGGGAGTTCGAACTTTTGGCCATGCACAACCTTGGTAAAGTAAACTGGATGTGAGCGAAAAGGATCCAGGATAAGAAACACGTACTGTAGAAGAAGTCGCCGTACAATCCTGTCTGGACAAGACCAGCAATGAATGTGATATAATCAAAGTGATGCTTAGGTTCGAAAATGAGACTGTAGTGTTAGTCGCGTGATAATGATCAATGCACATACCGGTAGATCCAATTCAAAATGTACAGTGCACGGTATGCACCAAGTGCAAAGATGTAGTGCGTCGTGATTGTCTCTGCCTCGCCAAGGCGCTGGAGGAGGAACATCTGAGGAAGGATAGCCACGGCTTCCAAAAAGATGCTGTAAGACCAAAGCACTTCAAAGAATGTAAACTTATAATTAAAAAGAAGTGCAAGAATAGCAGGGATGCCCATTAAGAGGTCCAACCTAATTGTATCGATGTCAGCCTCGTGTCGTGTCCTGGATGCATTAGTGAACTGCTCTTGTCGCACAGGGCAAGGGTAACACGTACTTGAATTCGACCTTCATCAGGTACAGGATGTAAACGCTGCTCGCAATGAAAAAGACCTTCATAAGGATCAGGTACAAGCTGAAAGGACGGAATAGCTCCAAGTATCGTGTAAGGAACACAACAGTGTACATAAGCTGCGTCTTAAACGAGATACCTGGCAGGTAAGCGGCCATTCTTTCAGAAGATGAAGAATACATACCACGGCATGACCTGCTCGTTACGATCTTGTGTATCAAGATAAAAATAGACGCGAGATGCGAAAGATCACCTAGAAGCCGGAAAATATTCATCGTCGAACTCGTCCGTGCTCGCCAACGTGGCACGCGGAGGTGGGAAGACGACGACACCCGTTGGGTTGTGTCACGTGATACGTGGCTTGTTTCACAAGACGCCTGTTCCATGGAGAAGCTGCATGGATCGGCGCGGGGAAGAGGATTTGTAAGTGATCTCTTACACAACCATGATCAAAACTGTGTTGACTGAGACCCTAGGCCTTCGTGTGCCGCTCGTAATGGGCGGTATGCAATGGGTTGGCACGCCTCGCCTGGCCGCAGCTGTGTCGAATGCTGGCGCTCTCGGTATGGTGACAGCGCTGACACAGCCTTCGCCAGACGCGCTCAAGGCGGCGATCAAGGAGGCCCAGTCGCTGATTGACCCGGAAATTTCCAAAGAGCGTGCGAAGTACGGACCTTTTGGTGTCAACATCACGCTTCTCCCTGCTATTGTCCCGCCGGACTACCCTGCGTATGCGCAGGCTGCGCTTGAGGCCGGCGTGCGTATTTTTGAGACGGCTGGCAACAACCGTACGTAAGCGATAGCACTGACATCCACAGCGGAACCTGTGATTCGTATTCTGAAGGAGGCTGGTGCCTTTGTTATCCACAAGTGCACGGCTGTGCGTCACGGTCTGAAGGCCATCAAGCTTGGTGCTGACATGCTGAGCATTGATGGCTTGGAGTGCGCTGGTCACCCTGGTGAAGATGACATTGGTGGACTGGTGCTGATGGCGCTTGCGAAGGAGAAGATCACTGCGCCATTTATCGCTTCGGGTGGTATTGCCAATGGACGTGGTCTGGCTGCTGCGCTGACGCTGGGCGCCTGCGGTGCGAACAGTACGTAATAGGGATCACTAACAGTGATAGTGGGCACACGTTTCATGGTCACCAAGGAGAGTGAGATCCATGATGCGATCAAGCAGCGTGTGGTGGATGCCAAGGAGCAGGACACGACGCACATCCTGCGTTCGCTGCGCAACACGGCGCGTGTGTTCAAGAACAAGGTTGCGCTGGAAGTGCGTGAGCGTGAAAAGCACAATGCCGATATTAAGGAGCTGATTCCGCTGGTGTCAGGTACTCGTGGTCGTAAAGTGTACGAGACGGGTGATGAGGATGCTGGTGTTTGGACGGCTGGCCAGACGGTGGGTCTGATCCATGACGTGGTATGTATGGCTATAAGAAGGAATACTGACATGTGTACAGCCAACCTGCAAGGAGCTTGTGACCCGCATTGGCCAGGAGGCCGAAGATGTGATCCGTCAGACGGCTGCTTTGATCTCGTCGCAGGCCAAGCCGCATCTGTAAATGCCATAGATAGGCCATGTACCGAGCGAAGCCGTTCGACCCCGCATCAGGCGCAAGTGGAGGGAGGAAGGGCCCTGGGTGGGCGCAAAAGGAGGGCCAACGCGTCCACCGTTACGGTTCTCACTTTAGCTCGGCCGATCCACCTTTGCTCCCGGACCCACGGTGAACCATCACGATGGGGGATGGGGCTGTACTGTTCATCGTATGCTGCATGATGGCTGTAGGCACGTACCTAGTGGCTACGTTGCCGTTGGTATTCCAGCTCTCGCGAAGCAGTCTGCGAAAACTGGAGCTATGGGGTGCAGGTCTGCTGCTGGGCGCCGCCCTCACAGTGGTGATTCCAGAGGGCATTGCGAGCGTATACAAGGGTGATATGTGCCCAGGTCCAGGCCAAGAGCATCCAAAGAAAGAACATCATTTTCTTCGCCCCAAAGATGTGATTGCATTAAGCCTTCTCTGTGGCTTTGTGCTGATGTTTGTGTATGTATGCGAGGATCAAACTAACGTGCAGCGTGGATCAACACATGATAGCGCAGTCGCACCGACAGGGAGAACAAAATGGGCAGCCCGTGTCGATGACACATGGCGAAGAAGGGCCTGAAGAGAGTTCGTCCGAGTGGCGTCCCAATGCGAGTTTCCATCAATCGTTCAAAAAGATGGTGGGTAATCTATTAGGTGTGCTACTGCATGCCGTAGCCGATGGTATTGCCATGGGCTCCTCGATTGAAAGCGTAGATACATCATTGCGCTTTGTTGTGGTGCTCGCGATCATGGTGCACAAGGCACCTGCGTCGATTGGGATTTGCACGTTGATGATGTCACGACAGCTTCGGCGCAATGACATTCATCTCGGCATTCTCATATTCAGTTTGACGACGCCCATTAGTGCGTTGCTCACATACTTTACTCTCCAGATGCTGTTTGTCACGTCGGCCAGCTCTGGTGATGGGATGGATGCGCGTGAAATTGGTGCCATATTGTCGTTTAGTGGCGGTACGTTCCTTTACGTGGCGATCCATGCTGTAATGGAGCTGGCATCGTCGGAGGCAGATGTTCTCGCGGCCACCCACAGTGAGCATGTCCACCATCCCCATGACCATGACCACCCCATCCACGCGCATCTCGCGGCCCCGTCTAGCCATACACCGCTACACTCGTCACGGACGGAGGATCCTGAGTCAATATCGCCCCTGCCTGTCCAACCAGCACATCACACCACTTCATCCCTTGTGTATGTAGTCCTGGGCTCGATCGTGCCTCGCCTGCTTCAGCTGCTGATCGGCGATCACGTCCATCCTCATTAATATCGTTGTACTATGCAATCATACACTTTCTTCTCGTTCTTCGAGGGGACGCGTCATGTGGAGACGAGGTCGGCGCGCCCCCCTTTCGCGTATTCGGCCCTTTTTTCTCCATCTACTTCGCGATCCGATCGGCTGGGATGGCGTTCCGCGTACCGCAGGAAGCGGCGTTTGCGTCGTCATCGTCATCACCACCGCGCGTCGCATCGTCGTCGTCACCGCCATCTAGTCCGACGAATGAGCGTACATCGTCCACGTCGTGCCTCGCCGACCCGTTTTCCGCGTCGGCCAAGTCGTTGTCGATTGGGGGGCGTCCTCGCCGAGGGACGACGCGCTGGTCGCGCAGTGCTACGACGCCAGCTTTGCGCGTCGGTGCAGGTCCTTCGACGAAGGAGGGAGACGAGGCACTGACTGTGATACCTACGCCTGACGGCGGCACGTCTGGCCACGTCCTTGGCCAATTTTTTGACGACGGATCCGACGTATCGATGATGTCGTCCATGGATGATATGGGCAGCTCGTACGAAGCACCTTCCATGCTGCTAGCTGGCGTACGCCGGCCTTTTTCACGCACAGAGAGTGCAAGCACCGATCCGCTGAGTGCGGCTGGGACGCTGGAGCGGCCCAAAGAGCGCGCGACACAGCGGCGGCGTACCGATGCGACGCCAGACGACGAGGCGATGCCCAACGTCGGCATGGCGGCAGCGAGTGGGAGTGTCGTCGATTGGGACGCCTTGGTCAGTCGCGTGTTTGACGAAGGTCGGGAGGCGCCTGCGTTGCTGCTGGGCGGCTGCCATTTGACCTACATTAGCGGGGTGGTAGGCGATTTACGTCACTATGTTGCCTTTGAGCCGCGGCGTATGGATACGGGTACACGCACTACAACGCATCGGCGTCCTGGCCCGCTGGAATTCTACTTGTGGGACAACCAGCTCACGCGGCTCCCCAGCGCGCTGTTCCAACTGTCGAACCTCGGTGTGCTGTCGCTACGGAAGAACCAGCTGACGCATCTCCCCGCGTCGATTGGGCAACTGCGTCATTTGCGTGAACTCAATATCGGCGGGAATGCTCTTACCTACTTGCCCGCGGAGATGCAGCAGTTGACGCTCGAAACGTTTACGTACATTCCCAACCCGTTCCTCCCTGTCCCACCTGGCGCGCGACTGGAGGCGCGGTCGATGTATGGCGGACGAAGAGCCACAACGACGACGACATCTGCCGCGCATACCCTGTCGCGGTGGTCGCGTGCGCATACGGATGCGGGCATTTTGCATCGGACGACGCCCCACGAGGCGCGTGGTCAGGTGTATGCCCGCGTTCTAGGCGAGCTGCGTCGACGCTCTCTTCCTACGTTGGCCGATATGTGCATACAGCGATTGCTTAGCGACGATCCCTTGGTGCTTGAGCAGTACGAGACAGGGTGCCTTCATACGCTACGACATACACTGCAGGCGCGCGTCGTCGAACGCCTCGAAGCCGCTCGACGAAGCGCGACACATACATGGGGCGCACGATCGAATGTGCATCGAACTCGCGACGTGGCGGGCCGCGAGCGCTGGTACGCTGGCGCTTCGTTTACCCACAGCGTGGGCCACGACGAGAACGAAGAAGAGGACGAGGACGAAGCGGTGCATGCCTCGGCGAACGACGTGGATACCGCGCTCGAGTACCAGGATGATGCCGCGGATAATGTATGGTTCCAGCGGTGTCCGTGTGCACACACACCATCAAGTGCTCTCTCCGGCACAGATTGGCCGCTCGCCGAGCCTGGCGTCCTGTATGTCACGCCGTATGAAGAGCGTATGGAATGGGTCTCGCATGTGGCTGGCGTGCGTGTCGCAAAGCAGAGTATTGAGATGGCCGGCCTGACGATTGACGGGGCACCGGCCGACCAGGCAGGATGCCTGCCTCTGCTATGGCGTGGATGCAGTCCGCACTGCTTGGCCTTCCTCACCCAGGCTAGCGTTGCGCCTGATGCGCCTCTATGACGCGCTGGCGTGCCGCACGACGTTGTGCGCCCAGCCCGATCTTCATACCCATAGAAGCCGTAGTCGAGGAGGGAGCCGAAGCACGCTGTGTCTGCGTCTCGTGCCGCAGGGCCTGCAAACTTGCCTGCTGGGCCCGTCGTGTCTCTTGGTCGTGCGAGAAGCGGTAAAATGCTGCGCCCCGCGCACGCACGTCAAAATCAACGTCAAAGTGGACATTCTCAGTACGCCGCGAGGCCATGTCCGTCGGTAGCTGTGGCACCGTCGGTCGGTAGACAGGGAACTGCGTCGCCGCGCCGTAGATCGGTTGTGCCTCTTCTTCGTCTGCGGCGCCGTCCTCCTTCTCTAATAAGTACGCACGAGGCACTTCACTTTGCCTCGCAGTGCGTGTACGTCCCCACTCGTCGACGTACTCTACCATGGGATCCGTGTCATCTTCGTACGTCGACGTGACGGGGGGCGTTGGAGGAGGCGACGACGAATCCACCTCTTTGGCATCCCAGTCGACCAGACCTTCGTCCGCGAGACCCAGGCCTTGGGCTAACTTTTCGTAGCGCGCCGCCTTGTGTTCCAACATACGCTGCGATTTCAGGACGCGTGCTGAATCCTCGTCCTCGTCATCACGTCCTCGCGCTACCTTCAAAGCGCCTGGCGAGCGCTCCCGCAGCCGCATACGCGAGCGAACCTCATCATGCGTCGGTGCAGAGGCTGAAGCACGCTGTCGCGCCGCCTGTAGCTCCGCACGCAGCGTCGTCAGCGTACTGGCCTGCGTCGTGGGCATGACGTACGCACCACTGACGACGTGGAGAAGGTACATACCCCGATCATCGGGACCTCCACCTGGTGTTGCGCGCCAGCGACGTCGCAACAGCCCAAGCGACAGGGGTTTGCGTTATGAGCGAGTCTGCCAACGGAGATACACCGATGGACGACGTAGCATCGTCCTCGGCCCAGATTCAAGCGCCAGCCAAGGCGAAGAAAGTCACAGAAGCTCTGAAGATTCCCCCGACAGTGCAAGAGCGATGGCGTGATGCCACGGTAGCCTCGCTCTCCCTCTTACCGCCAGCCGCTGTTGCATCCAGCGCCTCGGTACAAGATGCGCTTACATTATCGCGCGCACATAACGGACAATGTGTTTTGATTGTGGATGATGCACATGTGCGTGGCTTTGTCGACTTGATCGACCTTGTTGCCCACGAGACGCAGGGGTCGCCGGACGATGCTGTCGCAGAGATTCAGCGGTCGTTTGGCGATGCGCCTTCTACGTTCCCAACGACATTCCGTGTGATTCATACAGCTACGCCTCTTGCTGAGGTTGCCGTGTTCTTGGAGACGGCCCCGATGGCGCTCGTCACCGACGAGGCGTGCACGCAGATCGTGCATGTCGTGACCCAAGGCGATTTGACGCGGTACGCTGATCGTATGGGTATTGATATGCGCCCTAGTGCACTGGGCAGCCGCGTCGAAGAAGAATCGAGCCGCGACCGCTCGTTGGCTGATGTGCTACGATTGCTCGATGGCTATGCTCCGTTGATTCCAGACGAGGTCTCCGACTACTACTTGGAGCGCGCAGGCTTCCAGTGTGATGATGTGCGATTGTATGTTACAAAGAAGCTGACCACAGGAAACGATTGCTTGCCCTGGCTACAGAGAAATTTGTGGCTGACATTGCTTCGGACGCGTTCCAGTACGCGCGGATCCGAACCAATGCAGGCCCGAACCGCAGCTCGCGGCCAGGCGCGACAGCGCGTGTACGTATTCTGGCCTACCGACTCACTCGCAGGACCGCACTCGCACCGTGCTCACGATGGACGACCTCAGCGCAGCGCTCGGTGAGTATGGGATTGATGCGCGACGCGCCGAAACCTTCCGTTAGCTTCGATCGATTGTAGTTTGGTGCCGCAGCGCACGCTTACATAATTTATAGGAAGACACCAGGCGCTGGGGGCGTGATGGGGCCCATGGCAGAGTGCACAGGGCCGCTCGCTGCACCGCATTTTTGCAGCACCAGAGCATCACAGCCGTGTTGGGTGTTTGTGCCTCGTCCTTGCCGTGATCCTTGTACGTGCATAACGAGCATACCGACACATATACTGTGCCTACATACACGGTCGGAGGTTTCTACTTCCTTTCTCTCTCACCTAGTCCCTTCCTGTTGCCTTGTACAACACTGCCCCTGTCTCTCCCTCTCCCCTGTTGAACAGACGGCGCTGTGCCCCGACAACAGCCCTCCTTTGCGATGAATTCATCAGCACCTCATACCTTTATGCCCATGGGCTCTAACGCCCGTGCTTCTGAGCCTGGCTCGCCAGAATTTGATGCGTTCATCCACTCTGATCTGTGCGCAGGACCCAGTCAAACACCAGAAGCTCCATCGGCGACCACATCTTCCACGACAAGCACCAGCACTGCTTCCTCTGCGTCCTTTGGGTTCGCGGCGGCACTGTACCCACAGAACCTCGTAAAGCAGGAAGATGCGATGCCTCTTTGGGGCAGTGCGGATCCTGTCACGGCTGCGGCCGCTGCGTCTTCGACCTCCTCGTCCTCGACGGCGGCGGCGGCAGCGGCGGCCCTCTCCTCGGAGCCAGGCTCCTCGTTACGGCTACCTGACCCTTCGTTCCCCAACTCTTCGTTGTGGGCGCCTGGTGCTGCTGCGTCGGTGCCTGGCGCGCCGCATGTCGTCTCGGCGTTTCGGACGTTGGGGGCGGCTGCGACGTCATCGTCGCCTACGAAGCAGGACACGAGTGCAGGTCATGCGGCTCTTGCCCAGCTGATCGGACATGGCACGATGCCTGCCTCGGCGCCCTCGTGGCTCTCGCAGTCGCTGCCGGCCCCCACCACCACGCCATCGTCGACGTCCGAGGCGTCATCGAGCCAATCCGACGGCCCTCAAGCCAAGCGGGCGCGCGTGAGTGAGTCGCCTGAGCGCAAGGCCCGGTCCATTTCTGCGTCCATGTCGACCATGTCGGCCGATGATGAGGAGGGGGAGCGTGGCCGTACCCAACGTCGCTCTGCTTCGGCTGGCTCACGGCGTGCGCCGCCCTCGGCATCGCAAGTGACGGAAGCAGGTCTGCCGTTCCCTGTGATTGATACGTCGGTGAAGCATTCGAGTCTGTTTGTGCCGCCTGACACGTCTGGCCTGACCAAACGCGAGGCGCGCCTGGTGAAGAACCGCGCCGCGGCCTTTTTGTCACGGCAACGCAAGCGTGAGCAGTTTGAAGAGCTTGCGTGCAAATGCCGTGCGTTGGCGCGTTTATCGTATATGCTTTGGGACGCCTTGGATCATGCTACGGCGTCGTCCAGTGCCCTACCAGGCCTCTCGTCGATGGATCGTGTGCTGGAAGCCACGTCGCTTCATGAGCAGCTGGCCTTTGATACCGATGGTCTGCGGTCCACGCTGCAGCAAGTCGTGGCGAACAAAGGCGGGATGATTGTGGAAGGCATCATGGGCGACGATGGGCCGTCCAAGACGCGAACGCACGATATTACAGCGCAGCTGGCCGCGTCGCAAAAAGAGTGTGAACGTCTTCGTGCAGAGTTGGATGCGCTACGTGATTCTACCTCTACGACGTCCCCCACCACCTCGTCGACGTCGTCGCTGGTGCAGCTGGTGGGCGATGCTCTGATGAAGGCGCACCAAGCGCCGCCGGAATCGGACGCGGCCGAGCTGCTATCGAAAGACGATGGCGCGATGCAGATGCGTATGGTGGTTGCGCCGGAGAGCGAGGCGGTCCTGTGCACACTGACGCCAGAGTCGCATACGGAGCGACTGTCTGCAGCGTCGCCGGCTATGGCGGCGACGGCGCACGACGACGAGGAAAAGTCGTGGCGGTGCTCGACGCCCGTGGAGTCCAGCGAGGCGTCGATGCCCTCGTTGTGTTCCAGTGCCTCCCCGTCGCTGTCCTCGCTATCGAGTGGCAGCTCGGGAGCGCGTCGTTCACATGCGCGGCGCGTGGTGGCATACTGTGCAGGGGTGGATCGATCCACGTCGCTGTTGGGCGACGTACGCCCCTTGTACTTGGACGACTGGGCCGCGGCGCATGCAGAGCCACTTCAGCAGCCGACGTCGGTGCGCAGTAGCCGTACAGAGGAGGTGGTGCAGTGTGCGACGCGCGCTTTGGAGACGCTGCTGACTCAAAACAAGATGGATGTACAGCAGGGTTGCTTCCTAGTCGCCTCGCAGGGCAACGAGGCGCTGAAGTTGGCTCTGTATGCCAAGCCTTGTGCGGAGGAGACGTCGTCGCAGCACGGCGCGTTCCTTCTTCCGGCGGTGCGCGATACGTTGCGTGCGTTGGCCGAGGGTGAGTAAAAACACTGTAGAGCGTTCCATAGATCATCGACCTGCTCCCCTCCTCCTCCCCCTCCCCCTCCGGCCGTTATGTGGAGGTGATCCCATGGACAGCTGCCTGGCCCTCGCCCGGCCGAGGAGGCGGCGCAGCCCCACGTCTCGTCGCTTGGCTTGGTACGTGATGGACGTCGATATGCAGGATGACATGCGTGGCGGCCGTGGCGGTGCGCGCCGTACGCCGCTGTTGCGCCGCCGTGGTGCTGCGAACCATGGCCGTGAGCTTGGGATCAAAGGCTCTTCGGGCCAGACGATGGTCGTTGTCGCGAATCTTGCGAAGGGCACGACATTGGAGGATGTTCGTACGACGTTTGAGCAATTTGGCCGCATTGTCAACGTAAAAGAGTACCGTATGCCGAACCTGGCGAAGAATGCGCTGGCGTACAAGGTGTTGTTTAGCAATCGTGCGGCAGCCATGAGTGCGTGCCAGAAGTACGACGGTATGCACTCGGATGGCCACATGCTGAAAGTGCAAGTAATCTCGGACGAGCCTGAGACGCCGGCTCCTGCGCCAGCGCCGCCTCGTCCGAAGAAGAAGGGGCCTTCTACGACACCGCGGCTGGAAGAAGAGCAGCTCCCGCTGCCTGTCCTTCGCCGCCTCGCGCAGGCTGAGGCCAAGTACTTGGCGGAAACGGAGCGGATTTTGCGCGAGAAAGATACGCCTGCGACGGCCGCGCAGGCAACCAAAGCGACGTCGCTGCTGAGTCGGATCGGGAGTGCGCCGCTGGCGCAGCGTCTTGCTGCTCCTACGCCGCAGTCGGCCGCGGAGAAGATGGCCAAGTCGCCTGCGGCTGCGAAGCGGCATCGTGCGCGGCAACGTCGCGCCGCGCGCGCGAAGAAGGCCGGCGGCGTGCGTGCGATGGACGTGGAGTAGGTTCCTACTAGATATCTATGCTACATACACTACGTATCTGCCGCCTCGACAAAGTCCTGCGCATCCGCACGCGAAATGTCCAGCACGGTGCTCGTCTTGTCGGGCCGGAATACCACGCCAAAGTGGCGGTCCGCTCGCTCCACCAGCTCTGGACGGAAGGTCGTGGTGATGAATTGTGCGTCGGCGGCGAGGGCATGCACCAAGTTCGCGACGGCCGTACGGTACTGCGTATCGAGATTCGCATCAATTTCGTCCCATAGATAAAACGGCGCAGGGTCCGTCTTTTGCATCGCACAGACCAAGGCGAGGGCTACCAGGGATTTCTGGCCGCCGGAAAGCTGCGCCATGCGCATCTGCGTCTGCTGCGTGTGGAACGTCACCTGCAACGAGACGCCGTGCTCGTGGCGCTGCAAGGTGCCTTGGCCGGTAGGCACGAGCTGCGCAAAGATGGTACGGAAATGCATCGCGACTTGCTCGTACGTCGACGTGAGCGCTGCGTCTTTGCGTTGGTCGAGCACGTCGATCAGTTCGTGAATCGAGGCTTGCGACGCCTGCAAGTCGGCATGGCGCTGCAGCAGCGCTGTGCGTTGCTGCGTAAAGCTGTCAAGCTGCTCGACCGCGCGTTTGTTCACATGCGACAGCGCATCGAGCGACGTACGTGTGGTCTGCAGCTGCGTGACCAATGCCTCGGTTGTCTGGCGCTGGTACGTCTGGAACGCGTCGTCCGGCAGCGCGCCGAGATCGCGAATCCGTTCATGGCACCGCGCGCGCTGCTCCAGCATGCGCTGCTTCCGCGCGGCCCATCGCTCCGCGGCCGCCTGCTGCTGCGTCACGTCCGCCTCGTGCTCATGCGACGCACGCGCTGTGGCCAAGTCTGCCTGGAGGCGCGCGTACGTCGCGCTGAGTGTGTCCTGCTGTGCTTGGAGGTGCGCGAGGCGGTCTGCATTGGTCGCACGGCTTTGTGCGAGTGCCGCGGCGGCTTCCGCGCTGGGCGCAGGACGTGCCCGTTCCAAGCGGTCTTGCACTGACGCACGCGATCGGCGCCAGTGCTCGTCCAGCTCACTTTGCAGCGTCGCCAGCTGCTCGGCAAGGGCCACTGTCGTTCGCGTCTGCGTGGCCAACGCACTTTGCTGAGCCCGGGTCTGCGCCGTGAGCCGCTGCACGTCCGCCTGCTCCTCCTGGCTCAGATGATGCAGGAGCGGCGTGCCCAGCTCCGCTTGCAAGGCAGCCTGGCGCGTCGAGAGTGTCTGGCGTGCTAACGTCGCCTCGGTACACGCCCGCTCGCATCGCGCGACGCGCGCGGCGGCATCGGCCTCGGTGCGGCGCAGGTACGTAAGCTCGTTCTGCGCTTGCGTACGTGCGTCCTGCGCTTGGGCCTTTTGCGCTTCGAGCGCTATCATTTCGCTGTACACGGCCGTGAGGGTCTGCTCGAGTGTCGCGAGAGCCTGCCGCGCTGCGGCCTGCTCACTTGCCAGCGTATCTACGCGTGTAAGAGCCTGCTGTACACGCTGCACTGCGTCCAAGCGCGAGCGGCTCGGGTCATGGTAGCCACCACTCAGCGCGCCACGGCGATCCACTTGGTCGCCATCGAGCGTGATGGCATTGAGGCCGCGGTGACTGCGGACATACGCGGCTGCAATCTCCAGGCGAGGGCACACGATCGTCTTGCCAAACACCTGCTTCATCGCCGGGAGCAGCGCGTCGTCAAACGTCAGCTTGCGCAGCAAGACGACAGCGTCAGGCGCTTGCGGCATCGGCGTATCGACAGGCCGCAATCGATTGAGCGGCATGAACGTCACACGCCCACTCTTCTCCTGCTGCAGTCGCTGCAGAAGGCGCGTCGCAGTGGTATCCGTATCGACCACGACATGGAACAAGGCCGCGCCGGCGGTCGCCTCCACCGCCAGGCGGTAGCGCTCGTCCACGTGGAAGAGCTGGTAGAGAGGGCCCAGCACGCCGTCCAGGTGCTCGGCCGCCGCTATGCGCTCCACGGCTTGCAGACCCGCGGCCGTGGCGCGGTCCATCGTCGCGGCCAGCGCTCGCTGCGCCTGACTTAGCTCATCGCGCGCTTGGGTCAACTGCGTGGTGCGTTTCGCGTCCGCGTTCCACTGCTCGTTTTTTTCCTCCACATACTTCGCGCGCGCCGCGTGACGCGTGTCCCAGGCCGCCTGCGCGTCGTGGTACGCCTGCGTGCGCTGGGCATACGTCTGCTCCACGTCGCGCATGTGCGCGGCGTGCTCCGCATGCTGGGCCTGTGCCGCCTCCCATTGGGCCTTCGCCGTCGCCATGGCCGTGTCTTGCTGCGCGAGCTGCCGCGCGACTTCGTCCAACTCCGCCTGGATCGCCTCATCACGTGCTTCGACCGTATCGTAGTGCGCCGCGCGACCTTGCTTCGCGTACAGCGCCGCAAGCCGGGCGCGTGTGTCTTCGTATGCTGTGCGCTGCGCTTCGAGCGTAGCCGCGGCGTGTGTATGTTCCTGGGTCTTGGTAGCCAGGGCTTGTTCACGGGCCAACACTTCGGCGTCGAGCGCGGCCAGCTGCTCCGTCAAGGCTTCAGGGCCCTGGCCGTCCATGGCCATCGCCACATCGTCGCGCGTATTGTCCAAGTGCGCCTGGGAGCGCGTAAGCGCGCGACGCTCCTGCTCCAACTGCGCTTGGTCCCAGGCCAGCTGCTCGAGCTGCTCTTCCAGCGCACGAGCTTGGGCTTCCATCGCTGCCACCTCATGAGCTTGCCGCGTATACGCTGCCTGCCGCGTATGGGACGCATCGACCTCCCGACGCCGTTCATTTTCAAGCTGCCAATTAGTGGAGGGTCACGTACTGTCTCGAGCATGTCGCTAATGTCCGCCAACTCCCGCTGGTAGATCGTATACTCCAAGCATCGTCGTGTCTTGTCCAACGCATGAAATTTTTGCAGTTCGCTCTGCTCAGCACTGAGCTCGTCCATACGCGTGGCCAGCTGCGCTAAGAGCGCCGTCGAAGCCTCGTACCGAAGCTCAGTCGACCGCAGGATCTCCATACTCTCCGCCCGACGTTGCTCGTACACGCGCGTGCCTGCCACGTCCTTGAGCCAGTCGAGGCGCTCGGCGTCCGTCGCATGCGCCATGTGCGTAAGTCGGCCTTGCGGGATAATGTAGTACGCCGGGCTTGTGCTGAATCCCGCGGATTCCAGCAGCTGCGTCACGTCCTGCTTCGTCGCCGCTTTGCGGTCGATCATGTACTCATCGCGCGTGAGAGAGAGCGTTCGACGTAGCACGACATCATCGCCCTGCGCTGGGAAACGCGCATCGCGATTATCAAAGATCATCTCGACGTAGGCCGACGTCGTCGTCGACGTAGCACTCGCTCCATCATATAGCAAAGCCTGCCGCTCTTCGCGCGAGAGTGACGTGTATGCATCGCCCAGCACGAACCGGATCGCTGCGAAAAAGTTACTTTTGCCACTGCCATTGCGTCCTACCACGACATTGTGGCCAGGACTCCATGCATCGATCGTGACGGTGTCACGAAACGACTTGAAGCCGTGGATCGTGAGAGACTTGTATTCGTATGGAGGTACGTGTACGTACCTTGATGTGCATGCCGTAGCCTATAGGCTCTGGTCGCCACGTCGCTCTCTCGTCGTTGACGCGTTGCGAAGGCGGCGCGTCGTACGTCTCGCCCCCACCGCGTTGAAGTGGAGTATCACGTGATACTACGAACGCCTCCTGCGGTGTCTCGCTCGCGGGCCTTTCTTAGCGTCGGCCGTGCGTTCCAGCCATCTAGCGACGGAACAATGGAGCAGTCCCTGCTTCTTGATAGGTATGTGCGTGTGTATTCTCACCTTGTAGCTCCCTGCGCAACTGGGTGCTCTTGCCCATTACATTGGTCATGGTTCTTGTCGGTGTCTTCCGTCAGAACCTCCTCCAACTCCTCGAAGGCAAGCCCAAGTTCGGCACGTTGGCCGCAGCTCGGCAACAGTACGTACATAACGCTACTTATGCCAGAAACATCCTGCAACGCTCGGCGACCTTGCGCATGAACTACCCTGTTATTCCTCCTGCCAGCGTTCAGATCCGCAAGACGTTCCTCTCTCGCGTCCTGGGCGACGGCTCGTACCTCGACCCGGAGACCAAAAAGGCGCTGGAAAAGGCGAAGAACAGGAAGCTGGATGAAATGCCCGAATCGCCCTTCAACGAGGCGATGATGGAAGGCATGTTTGAGCAGGCCAAGAAGAGTATGGTCATGATGATTCCGCAGACGGTGATTATGGGCTGGGTCAACTTCTTCTTCACAGGCTTTGTCCTGATTCGTTTGCCCTTCCCCCTGACGCAGCGTTTCAAGATCATGCTTCAGCGTGATGTAGATACCTCTGACTTGAGTGTGTCGTGGGTCTCGTCCTTGAGCTGGTACTTCCTCAATCTGTACGGCCTGGACGCCATTTACCGCTTGGTCCTGGGCAACTCACAAGGTACGTTGTGCTGTGTATGCTTACCTATAGTGGCGGATTCCATGCGTGATATGGCGGCGTTTGGCGGTGGCGCAGCGCTGGTCAACCAAACGCAAATGCCCGGTCAGGTCGTCGATCATGCCAAGCTGCATGAGGCGGAACGCGATAGTCTTGAGCTGATCGGCGCTGTGACGACCAAGGATGTGACATGGATCGGCGATGGCGTCGAGGAGCGTGTCCTGCAATGGTACGCCTAACTCGCGTTCCTCCCCTGTCGATCTCCACATCTCTTGTCCGTCGGCCTGCGGGGGCCTCGCTGCCTGGCCTGCAGCACGTGCCTAAGGTCTCCACCGGGCAGCGTCCGTGCAGCGACGGCCGAGGACCCTTTCCCCCTCCCCCCCCCCCGCGCGCCGGCGCTGTTGCGTCTTGTAGTTTGTCTATTGTACCCTTTTTTTTCGTGGATCCAACAATGAGCTGGCTTCCGCATACGGAGCCGATGGCCGAGGGCTACTGGGGTCCTGTGACGAGTACGCTGCTATGGTGTGAGCGCAAGTACGAGTGGACCAAGTACATGGCGGAGCCGGTCAATTCGGTAGGTAGGAGCTGCTTCACACGGCGTACTAACGCACACGACAGTTGACGAATCTGCTATTTTTGTTTCTCTCGGGCTACGGCATGTACCGCGTAGCAAGTGAGCAACTCTCTGCGCGCTTCTACCTGTGTGCAGCCGGGATCGGCATTGTCGGTATGGGCTCGTTCCTATTTCACATGACGATGAAGTACGAGGCGCAATTGCTCGATGAGCTGCCTATGATCTATGCCAGCAGCTTTATCTCCTGGTCCCTACTTGACCAGACGATGTTCTACGGCCAAACACTCCCGCGGCGCATCCTGCCGGTCATTGTGCTGGCGGTGGATGCGTGGATCACTGTGACCTATGTAACGAACGGCAACCCGATCTTCCACCAGGCCGCCTACGCGTCGATCATGGTGATTTCCATCTCGCATGCGATCTACATTATGATGTCGTCGAAATCGCCTCTCAACCTCTCGGACGCCGCGCGCGCTCGTCGGCAGGAAGCGCGGTACTCGGAGCGCACAGGCACGATTCTGTTCCTCGTGGGCTTCACGATTTGGAACTTGGACAACATCTTCTGTGGTCACCTGCGTGCGATGCGAGAGGTGGTCGGCTACCCGTTGGCGATCCTCCTCGAAGGCCATGGGTGGTGGCACATCTTCACTGGCTACGGCGCGTACCATCTGCTCATCGCGACGGAGGCCATCGTCATGTCGTACATGGAGCATCCAGAGAACTTTGAAATGGTGTACCGCGGCGTGCCGTACCTGAAGCGTGTCCGTCCCGCCCACCCTGAACGCTCGCTGCTCGCCGAATTCACTGCGGCGAAAAAGACACAGTAAGCTGTCTTACCATGCGACGTGGTGCTTTGTGAGCCGCGCCTTGATGTCCTGCAATTCCTGCAGCATCGAGGCTCGCGCACGATCCCAGTCGTCGTCCGCCTGATCAATGGCGTCGTCCACTGCTTCTTCCTGTGCATCCAACGCATCTTCCTGCGCAGGAACGAGTTTCCGCGGCAAGTAGTATACCTCATAGTCATGACTTGTGCCGCATAGAGGGATCTGAGGCACGACGCGCGCACCTTCTGTCGCTGCGACTTCGTTTGCATCGCGTGGCTCGCGTGCTCCTGCGGCACGTCGCGCGGTATGTGTCACCAAGAACGACGAGAGTCGCCGCTTGTTCGCACGCGCCATGCGATGCGCTGCTTCGTACGCTGCCAAGTTCTCTGCGAGCGTACGAACGCGCTGCGTATCCTGCCGCACCGACGCACGCTCGGCATCGTGCGCACGTCGTTCCGCTTCCAGTGCCTCTTGGCGTGCCTGACGCTCCGATGCAGCGGGATCTGTCTCCATTGAGGCGTGTGCCAAGGCCGTGGGAGCGGGCCTGGTACGTGGCGCACGTGCTTGTGCTAAGGTCGAGTTGAGCACGCCGAGCATGCGCCGTGTCCGCTGCCGATCTTCCGCTGTGCGTGGGGGCCGACGCGACGTATTCTCGTCGTGCATCGGGGTATCTGTCTGTGCCTCTGCAGGCCGCGTTGGCGATGCAGGCACAGCCTCCATCGTGCTATGGCTGGGTGCGGGGGCCAGGCGACGTGGAGGAGGGGCAGAGTAGGGGTCGTCGCTGTTACATAAGCTGTGGAGCACTATACGGCCAGGGCAACGTACGCTCGGTCGCGCTCGGTCGCTCGGTCGTTCGCTACGCCCTTCACTCCTCCTTGCATGGACGACATTGAGGCGTTGTTTGGGCGCGCAGGGGCGCGGATTACAGGTGGCAGTGCGCGTCCCTCGTCAAAGACACACGTCCTCTTGAATGAGGACGACAATGTGGAATTGCTGGAAGCCGAGCCGCGGAAGCAGGGAGGCGATGTGCAATCGATCTTTTCGATGAACGAGGACGACGTCGTGACGACAGACATACCGGCAGGGCCTAGTCTGTCCCGATCGCATACGATCAACAGCAAGGCCGAGAGCCTGTTTGATGCCGACGACGACTGGGTGTATACGGGCCATGTGCATTTGCGGCCCATGGGCTCGAGCAAAGTCATTCCTGCGGACGACGAGCCGGATGCGGCATGGGAGCCATTGACTTCCTCCGCGTCGTCGTCGCGCGAGCGTCGCATGCCGGCCGGCCCCACAGGCTCGCCCACGCTGCTCGAACTGCTACTTGCCGACGCCAAGTGGCAGCTAGGATCGCTTCGGCAGCGCGTGCGGCAGCGACTGCGTGTGTTGCGTGGCGAGCCGATGGGCGGCGCCAAGCGCACGATCTACCTCAACCATGCCGCTGCGAATCACAACGACGACTACAGTCACAACCAGGTGATGACAAACAAGTACAATGCCGTGACGTTTGTGCCTGTGTTCCTGCTGGAACAGTTTTCCAAGTACGCCAATTTATTTTTCCTCTTTATTGGGTGCTTGCAGCAGATCCCTGGCGTGTCGCCTACGAACCGATGGACGACTCTCGTGCCTCTGGCCATTGTGCTGCTCATTGCTGCGGCCAAAGAACTGTCTGAAGATTGGCGGCGGTACACGTCGGACGTGGAAATGAACGCGCGTCTCGTGCAGGTTCTGGACAATGGCGCATGGACGCAGCGGCCCTGGCGCAGTGTCCAGGTGGGCGACATTGTCCGTGTAGAACGCGACGAATTCTTCCCTGCCGACCTACTCTTACTTAGCAGTTCCGAGCCGGAAGGCCTGGCGTACGTCGAGACGGCGAATCTGGATGGCGAAACGAACCTCAAAGTGAAGCAGTCGCTTCCTGCGACCGCCTCGCTCACGTCCGCGTCCAAGCTGGCGCAGCTGCAAGGCGAATTGGCATGCGAGGCGCCGAACAATTCGCTGTATACGTTTGACGGGACATTGACGCTGTCTCAACGTGCGCCGATGCCTGTTGGTCCCGATCAGCTGCTCCTACGTGGTGCCCAGCTCCGGAATGCGCCCTGGATTGCAGGCCTGGTCGTGTTCACAGGTTACGATACCAAACTCTTGCAAAATGCGACCAAGTCGCCGATCAAACGTACCCGTGTGGAGAAGCAAGTCAACTCGTTCATTCTTCTGCTCTTTGGGCTGCTGTTGGTGCTTTCGCTGATTTCATCGATTGGCTCGCAGATCTTTGCGGGCTCTGCGCCGTCGTACCTGATGCCCCAGCTCGATGGACGGTCGGGTATGCGGCGGTATGTCGAGTCGGTGCTTACGTACATTATTCTCTACAACAGCTTGATTCCGATCTCGCTGATTGTCTCGATGGATGTGGTCAAATTCCAACTTGCCGCGCTGATCAATTCCGACTTGGACATGTACTACGAGCCCACGGACACGCCAGCGCTATGCCGCCGATCGAACCTGGTCGAAGACCTGGGCCAGATTGAGTACATCTTCTCTGACAAGACCGGTACACTCACACGCAATGAGATGGAGTTTAAGCAGGCCTCGATTGCCGGTGTCGCCTGGGCGGACAAGGCCAGTGAGGCGCCTGGCGACGAGGACGAGGTGAAGTATGCGTGGAGCGATCTGCCGGCGGTCTTGGCACGTGGCGATGCGTTTGCGAAGCACGTCGACGCGTTTCTAACGGAGCTGGCCGTGTGTCATACTGTGATCCCGGAAGAGCAGGATGATGGCCAAGTCGTGTTCCAAGCATCGAGTCCCGACGAAGCCGCGCTGGTCGCGGGGGCTGAAGCGCTAGGCTACCAATTCACGACGCGCAAACCGCGCTCGGTGTTTATTCGCGTGCATGGCGAGACGCGCGAGTACGATGTACTGCAGGTGTGTGAGTTCAATTCGACACGCAAGCGCATGTCGACGGTCGTTCGCGAGCCTGGCGGCCGTATTATGCTGTACTGCAAAGGCGCCGATACAGTGATTCTTCCTCGTCTCGCGCCCTCACAGGCACATGTCGACACGACGCTCTCGCACTTGGAGGCCTATGCGGGGGATGGGCTGCGTACGCTGTGCATTGCAAGCCGTGAGTTGAGTGCGTCCGAGTACCAGGCCTGGTCGCAAAAGTACGAAGCTGCTGCGGCGCAGCTCGATGGCCGGGCGGCGGCGCTGGATGGCGTCGCAGAGGAGATCGAGACGCAGATGACATTGGTCGGTGCGACGGCGATTGAGGACAAGCTGCAGGACGGCGTGCCAGAGACCATCGCTACCCTGCAGACGGCGGGCGTGCATATTTGGGTCCTGACCGGTGATCGGCAGGAGACAGCGATCAATATCGGCTACTCGTGCCGCCTCATTTCCGAGTCGATGGACTTGCTCATTGTGAACGAGGCCACCGCGGCCGATACGGCTACGGCGATCCAGGAGCAGCTGGCTACCATAGAGGCGCATCCGGAGGCCGTGGACGATTTGGCGCTCGTCGTCGAAGGGCGGAGTTTGCAGCATGCATTGCAGCCGCCCCTCGCGGAGCCGTTTTTGCGGCTGGCGTGCCAGTGCAAGGCTGTGATTTGCTGCCGCGTATCGCCGCTGCAGAAGGCGCTGGTCGTGGAGCTGGTCAAAGCGCACACGGACTCGGTCTTGCTGGCAATTGGCGACGGCGCGAACGATGTGGGTATGATCCAAGCGGCGCATGTCGGTGTGGGCATTAGTGGCCATGAAGGTTTGCAAGCTGCGCGGACGGCGGACGTGGCGATCAGTCAGTTCCGGTTCCTGCGCAAGCTGCTGCTCGTCCATGGCAACTGGAGCTATGCGCGTCTAAGCAAGATGGTGCTCTACTCGTTCTACAAGACGATGACGTTGTACGTTACGCTGTTTTGGTTCTCGTTCTACAATGCGTTTACGGGGCAAACGGCGTACGAGTCCTGGTCGCAGTCGTTCTACAATGTGCTTTTCACGATGCTGCCAACGTTGGTGATCGGTATATTTGACCAGTACGTGAGCGCCGTGATGCTGGATCGGTACCCGCAGCTGTACCGCGAGACGTTCTTCACAGGGCGTGCGATTGCAGGGTGGGTCGCGAATGCCGTGTACCACTCGTTTGTGAACTTCTTCTTTGTGACGTACTTCTTCTACAATCATACGCTCGACAGCCAAGGATACCCTGGCTACCAGTGGCTGTGGGGCACGACGATGTACTTTACCGTGCTGGTAACGGTGCTTGGCAAGGCGGCGTTGGTCTCGAATTTGTGGACGCGGTATACCCTGCTAGCGATCCCCGGCTCGTTTGGTGTGACGCTCGTGTTCTTTGTGGTGTTTGGCACTGTTGCGCCAGCGCTCGGTGTCTCGATGGAATAGTACGTATGCGGCACGGAGGACTCACACACAGTGCGAACATTGTGCCGCGATTACTGAGCCTCCCGCTGTTCTGGCTCTCGATCATCTTTGTGCCTGTGTTTTCGCTCCTACGTGATCTGCTTTGGCGGTATTACCAGCGCACATACGAGCCCAAGTCCTATCATATCGTGCAGGAGATGCAAAAGTACAAACTACAGGACTTGCATCCCCGCACCGATGAATTCCAAAAGTATGTGGCACTCGCACTCACCCCAGGAACATCCGCAAAGTGCGGGCTGTCCAGCGTGTACGACGCTCGCGTGGCTACGCCTTCTCACAGACGGAAGGCGATCAGGCCCACCTTATTCGGCAGTACGATACGACGCAGGCGCGGCCGTCTGGTATGTAGAACGTCAAGCCGACGTCTTTTTCTTGTAGCGCGACGCGTCCAGAGGGAACAGCTGGTCAAAGTTCGCTCGGTCGAGGAACCATGGCTCGGTATCGACGTGCGCAGTGCGCTGCTTCTGCACCGCGTCTTCGGCCGGCGTGGGCTCGTACGATGCCGTAGGCGGGCTCCAGTCGGTCCGCCCCCGCATCGTCTGCCGCCAGAAGGCCTTGATGCCACGCTCCGGCGGCTGTTGCAACAGTGTCGTGCGGTACGGACTCGCGCCCAGCTGGAAGGCCAGGCGCGCATCCGCGATACGCAGCATCAGCGTCTCTTGCTGATCGTACTTGGTCGCCGTAGCGTTGTACTTTTGCAGTTTCGAGAGAACCGAGGTGGGGACGTGGTCCTTCTTCTTCACGAGCTCGTTCCATTCGTGCATCTCACTCCCGACCGCTGAGCCCTGCAAGCGGTACACGGCTTCCAACGGCACGAGGCGTTCTTTCTGGTCCGTCTCCGACAAGGGGCCAGCCCGCTGGAAGTAGGGCCGCGCAGCGATACTAGCAGGAAGCCATCGGCTTGGCGGCGGCGCTGCGGTACGTACGCCGAGCATTTGCGTCTTGGGGTACACGGTGAGGCGAGTCACCATGCGACTGGGCGCGTACCAGAAATACATGCCACACAGACTCGCCACAAGAAAGGTGCCGCCGGCCGCCGTGTACCGAATCATCGGCGTCACCAGCTCTGGCTCCTCCCCTTCGTCGGGAAACAGGGGCCATACAAGGAAATCACGAATGAACAGGCCAAAGTTGACACCGGCCAAGACAAAGCATGTGCCAGCGAGGTAGAACCAGCCTTTGCGCATGTACGGCCCCCCGCGATAAATGACACGCGGCTGCTCCCGCAGCGGCATGCTCGCCTTGGACGAGGCGAAGCGGGCACCGATACGCACGCCCACGCCTAGCTGACACACCGTGCGGCGAAGCCACATATTGGTCCTGCCGAAAGACAGTCTCGTACCATCGCCGCACGACGGGCCTCCACACCTGACATAAGCCACGCGCGGTGGCCCCTATTTTTTTTTTTTTTGTTGTTTTGTCCCCCTCCACCGCCCACACACGATTGTGTCGCACGGAAGTTGGGCGCGTGTGGGGTTGGGTCTTCGTACGATGAGCTCGCAAAAGCGGCCTGGAAGCAACTGGAATGCGCTGCAGCGCAAGATCTCTCATGGCAAAGGACGCAAGCCCAGCGTGCGCAAAGCGTCGACGACGTCCACGACGACCCCTACTGCCATGGCGGCGACGCCTACGAAGCCGACGACCTCTGACGAGACTACGAGCCTGCCGTGGTTCGCGGACGACTTGACGGAGGAGGATCTGGCGATGGCGATGAAAGCGCCTGCTACTACGGCGACGGAGACCAAGCATGTCCAAGCGCAAGCCACACAATGGGAGGGCTACTTGGACGAAGCGACAAAGAAGCGCGTCATTCTGGGCGACGAAGCGGATATGACGGCCGAGAAGCGCGAGGCGGGGCACTATGTGGCGATTGACTGTGAGATGGTGGGGGTGGGCCCTCGTGGCTCCGGCTCCGCGTTAGCGCGTGTATCGATTGTCAACTGGCACGGCCACGTCTTGCTGGATCGATTTGTGCGGCCCAAAGAGCTGGTCACGGATTATCGTACGTGGGTCTCGGGTGTGCGACCGAAGGACTTGCGCAATGCGCCCTCGTTTGAGCAAGTCCAAGCGGAGGTGGCTGCGCTTCTCAAGGGGCGTGTCCTGGTCGGCCATGCGATCGACAACGACTTGAAAGCATTGCTGCTCTCGCATCCGCGACCGCAGATTCGCGATACCTCGACGTTCCAGCCACTGCGTGACCTCGCAGGGACGAAGCACCCAGGTCTACGGACGCTTACGCGCCTGGTCCTGGGCGTTGATATCCAGAAAGCCGGGCAAGAGCATAGCTCGGTGGAAGATGCACGTGCGACCATGGCCGTGTTTCGCACGCAGAAGGACGCGTGGGAAAAGATGCTTGCGCAGCACCGAGCGCCACGCAAGCGTGCCTCGTCGCATTCGCTGAAGCATGCGCGGCCCAAGTCGGCGGCGTCCTGGTGGGCCGAGGAAGATGCGTCGTGATCGAGCTACTTGCCTAAATGCTTGCTATTCCCAAAGAGGGCCTTGTACATGAACGCCTCGCTCAAGAGCATTTCGGCGTCTTTGTCGGACCAGTTCTTCGTCGGGAGGCTCTGCAGGAAGATAATGATCGACTGGAAGTCCATGGTCAGCAGCTCTTTGCGCCATCGATGCAAGAACACGGCGCAGACGAAGGGATGAAAGTCGGAGAACGCGTCAGGGCCTTCGGCCAAGTACGTGTCCCACATGCGTATGATGCTTTTGACGCTCATCTCGCGCATGAGCAGGCAATTCATCCAGCGGAACGAGAACTGCATGTACTCGACTCCCTGCGCGGCCAGATGCGCATGCAGCGGCGCATCCATACGGGCTACGACGTCGCTCATGACGCCGAGCTGCCGCACAATACCCGGCTGCGCAAAGATGTAGTTGTCCTGGATGCCATCCAGGAGTTTAGATAAGCACCAGAAGGTATCTGCTTCCAACGCGGCCCGTGCAAACGGCGGGAGGGTGGCGAGCTCAAACGATTCCGGGTCCGAGTCGATGTAGGCACTCAGGAACACCTCGAAGAACGGCGTCGCAAGATCGTTGATGCCCTGCACATAGCCGCTCGCAGGATGCCGAATGGCCCACAAGTACAGTATACGCTCCAACGCACGCTGCGTCTCAGGCTGCTGCCACAGCCGCAAGCCTGGGTTCGTGCGTGGGACATCGATGCGGATTTGGTGCCATGCTGCACGATCTAGCGACTCTGGGCCGCGTGCAAATGCGCGCTCGACCCCGGTAGCGTACTCGGCGCGCTTGCGGGCTAGGGTCGAGGTGCGTATCGATCCTGTGCCGGGCATGTAGCCTAGCAAGAGGGGCCACACAATAGGCCGTAGCGCGGCTGGCACGCCTTTCCATGCAAGGCTGCGCAGCGTCGGCACGTCAATATCGTCCTGCTGAAGACATGCCAGCATGCGCTGGCGATTGCGTACGGTTCGTGCGGATTTCTGGCGCTTCAGCGGCGCGGCTGGCAGCGAGGACGTGGACGGCTGGCGCTCGGTGCGTGGCGACATGGGCGGCTGCGCTGACGCTTGGCGTGGCGGGGTGGGCGGCTCGAGCGGCGCCATGAACACGCCATCATTCATCGTCGCAATGGGATCAAACGCGGCGGCGCTTGCCCATGCACTCATCGAAGCTTGTGCGACGTCTTCCGTCGCTGTTGCCGGCTCCTGTTCTTCGAGGCTGGGCGACGTTGTGTCAACAGGCTCCAGCGTAGGACTGTGCACGTCCCACGACGCAAGGCGGTGCATCGGGTCTGTTGTCGTCGTTAGAAACGAGAGCCCTCACGTACGTACGTACCTTCGACCAAGGCTTCCAGGTAGCCCATGCTGTGGATGTCCGTGTCTGTGCTTGCCATGGTCATGTGGCGCTCGGCCCAGCTCGATACAAGGCCCACAGACTCATCCACGCCAGGGGGCAGCTCACGTAGACTGCCGCGAGACGAGACGTCCAAGGGCGTCTCGCTCGAAGGGGGTATCTGCATGGATGGAGGCACGGTGGACATCGGAGATGGCGGCGTATCCTCACTTGTAATCAGCGTCCATGTATCTGTCGTGGGGAGCCCGGCTGGCTGCGCGTGTGCCGCCCCCGTGGACGTCACGTCCAGGGAGGACGTGCGCACAGGCTCTGTGCTCACGCGCGCAACGAACTCCTCGTCGTCAGAGTGCGACGCCCAGGCCTCGTCGTCCCACGCATCGTGCGGCCGGCGACGAGTACGTGGCGTTCTCACTCCCCGAGGCATCTCAGGTCAGTGCGCCCAGCCAGCGAGAGCGCAGGGCAATGGTGCGGGGCGTCTCGCACGCACGCGTGTCGCTGCTGCTGCTGCCGCCTGGCCTGGCCTGCGTATCACGTGGCTGGGCCACGCCCACGAACCATGGCGGCATGGGAGGGGACGGCGGCTACGCGTTCTATCCACCAGCGACATACATAGGCAATCCATTCCATGCTACTTGCTACACATACGTGTACGGATCAGGGTATCATGCGGCGATTAGCGCATCAGTAGGTACACATTCGCGCCGACCGTGATCTTGCTGAGGTGACGGAACGAGCCTGTGAGCGCCATCAGCAGGCCGCCAAACGAGCCGTATACCGTCACCTGCTCAGCACTGCGCTCATCGTACTTGAACATCTTGCCGTACATGACATAGTCAAAGTCCTTCGCCAACGAAGCATCGTCGTCATCCAGACGCCATGCCTCGCGATCCGCCGCGGCATCCGTATCGGCATCCGCCTTCTCGCGACGCAGGGACGAGACCAGCTGGAATGCGAATTGCTGGCCCACGTGCATGGGGTAAATGTCGGTAGCGATATCGATCGACAGCGTCATGTCCAGCGTCGGCGACGACGCAATAATACGCGACACTGGGCACGGTTAGATCCATCTTTTTGTCTGCCACATACCGCGATCGAACTTCTTGCCATCCGGATCAATCTCCTTCACGACGAACTGCGTATCAAACAAGCTGTTGGCACTCATACTGCACGCAAGCCCACCAACGAAGGGAACGGCGCAAAGCGCGATGCGATGGCCTTGCGTTTGTCGTCATCACGTGACGAACGCCGGCGTGGCTGTCATGCTGCCAGGCCTGTGCTTCGTGCAGGACGATGGACGAGGCTCAGCACGCGTGGTACGAGGATGTGCGAGCGTACGTGGATATGCGTGGCCCATGGCCTGAAGCCCATGAAAAGGCCGTAAGTGAGCCGTATAGGTACTTGGATGCGCACCCTGGCAAGGAGCTTCGCTCGCAGCTCATCGACGCGTTCAATGTATGGATTCACGTCCCACCGACGCAGCTAGAGTATGTCAAGTGTGTCGTACGTCGACTGCACACGGCGAGCCTGCTTATGGACGACGTCGAAGACAATTCGGACCTTCGCCGTGGCGTGCCTGCGGCGCATACGATCTACGGCGTACCGCAAACGGTCAACACGGCCAACTATGTCTACTTCCAAGTCCTCTCGGACATTGTGCAGCAGCAACCGGATGCCATGCCGGCTATGATCGACGAACTGGTGCGCCTACATCGGGGCCAGGGTATGGACTTGTTCTGGCGCGATAGCTTGCAGTGCCCTACCGAGCAAGAGTATGTCGATATGGTCGTGAACAAGACCGGCGGCCTGTTTCGCATTGCCCTGCGGCTGATGCTGGCATCCGCGCCCACACCGCCTACCGTGGATTTGGCGCCGCTCGCGAATGTCATCGGTATCTATTTTCAAATTCGCGACGACTATGTCAATTTGCAAAGCACACAGCTGGCCCAACACAAAGGGTTCTGTGAAGACTTGACAGAAGGCAAATTCTCCTTCCCCATCCTGCATGCCATACGCACAGCCGAGCCGGATCGAACGCTCTTGCACATCCTGCGGCAGCGCACGACGCACATCGAGACCAAAAAGTACGCGATCGAGTACATGGAGCGTGTTACGCACAGTTTCAGCTATACCCGTACAGTGCTCCAAGCACTCGCACAGCAAGCGGAAGACGAATTGACCCACTTGGAGCATGTATTAGGCGCGAACCCAGCGCTGCATTCCATTCTGGACGTGCTTGCTCGGCCATGCTAACTTAGGCGGTCTGTGCGGCCTTTTCCCATGCGGTCCATGTATCGACATAAACGTCAAACGTCGTAGCGATGTCCTCTTGCGGCGTGGCGATCACTGTGTACGTCACCGCTCCGGCCTCGCCACGCGCCTGCGCCACGCACGCCTCAAATGATACCTCTGTGTGCTCTTTCGTAGCACATTCCCATACCCATCGAGCGCGGAAGGCCGCTCCGACCGAGCAGTAATTGTACGGCACACGTTCGCCTGTCTCTGCCGAGCGGCCCTGGATGAGCGGACGCGCAATAGGGCAATGCAGCACGTTCGCAAGCACCTGGCACAGCGCCTGGTTCTCCGCGGCACCGCCTACGACATAGACGCGTTCCAGGGGCACGTTGGCTTTCGTTAGGACGTGGCCAATCCGCGTCTTGAACGACATTGCCTGGCTCTGTACCATAGCAGCGGCATTGTAGGTAGGCTCGGCAAACTCCTCGAGACGTTGTCCGTCTGGCGCAAAGCGATGCACACCGCTGGCGTTCCACGGAATAATCTCGGGGCGACGCCAGTAAAAGCCCGTTCCGTGCGACGGTGTAGGCGACGCATGCATCGCCTCGTTGAATTCCGTCCACGTGCCATGGCAGTAGGTATCGCGAACCCACTCACGCGCGAGCGATCCGTTCTTGTACACAAACATTTGGAAGTATGGCGGCGTCATTTCCTTGTCGTGCGAATGACTGCTCGCTGGGTGCTCAAACGTATGGAAGTGCACATCAGGCGCGTAGTCTCGGCTCGGTAGCAGAATTGTATCAGAGGTACCGAGGGACAGTACAGCCTCGCCAAAGAGCGGGGTCAGGCACTGCAGCGTGGCCGGGTTGTCACCGGTGGCTTGGCAGACAAGGCAGTCTGGGGAAACGCCATACCGCTCTTGGAACCAGGTACCAGCTCGTGCGACAATGTGCCGCGGATCCGTGGCCACTACGCCGAGCTTGGCTTCTAGATCGGCGGCGTGCTCTGCGCCACCAGCGATAAACGCTAAGAGCTCCTTGCTCCACGCACGCTGGCGCATATCGTACAAGTTCATACCACACGCATCGCTCTGATCAATCGGTGCCATCACCACATCCCGGCCCGCCGTTAGCAACGTCGCGACAAAGTTGCTGACCAATGCAATGGTTTGTGTATGAGCATACTCGTCCGGCCGTGCCCTGCGCCAGCGCAGAATCTGTGCTGCGGTGAAACGCGTGTGCGCAATACTGCCTGTGACGCGGCACAGCGCTGGCGACGGCTCGTCAAAGGCCTTGTCCGCCGCCGCCATGAGTTCGTCGCATTCCTGCAACGTCGTCGCATCCTGCCAGTTCGGGACCGTAGCGCGCGAAAAGAACGTAGTGTCAAGTTGGTTGGCAAGTGGCATATCGCTGCGAACCTGCTGCAGCTTGTGCGTGGCGCCCTCTGCAAGGTACACAGACGCATGCTGTTGGCCAGCGGCACTAATCGCAGCAATGCGCTCGATCGGCCAGCGTCGCTCATGCTTCACACGGTCCCAGAGCTTGTCCATCGCAGCCAGGTACATCATGGCTGGCGACGCTGCAGCGTCCGGCTCGTCCAGCAGCGCATGTCCCTGTGGCAGAATGCCGCCGCACGTTTCGTACATAGGCAAATCCACATCAAAGCGCACGAGCGCCTCGTCGATGCCATTCAAGTTGATATCCAGGAGCGAGGCCTTGAGCGCCTGCGTCGATAGGTCTAAACCGAGGAAGAGGGGGCTCGTGTCCTGTGCCATGGTGCTTTGAAGACCCAGCGATCGGAAGACGTGCCTGGCCAGCGACGCCAAAGAGTGCCGCAGCGGATGGCGTTGGCCTTCTGTGTGGAGGCTGGGCGCGTCAGGGAGACTACGCTCTTCCCCAGCGATTGGTAGCCCCGCACGTCGTGCTGACCTAATCTGTCCGTCGGCTGGATCAGCCGCGGTCAGCGGAGGCTGCACGTCTCTCTCACTTCTTCCAAGGCGCGACGAGGAAGAGACGATGGCGTCGGCGTGGAGTCCACAGCCGGAAGGCCTCGCGGAACTTGTTGAGCTGTTCCGCCAGTCGACAAGCACAGAACGCGATGTGCAGCGCCAAATTGCACTCGTACGTACTGACTCTACTGACTCCTGTGCAGCGTTTGGATGCGATCAGTCAAATTCCCGACTATCTCAACTATCTCGTGCTGGTGTTTGTCCAGATGACAGACGAAGATGTATCGACACGGTCAGTGGCTGGCCTGCTTGCGAAGAATCATCTGTACTTCAATGCCCAGCAAATTGAGCCTGCGTCGTTGGTCTATGTCAAGCAGATGATCATGCCCGCGCTGTCGTTCCACGATACTGTGCTGCGTAATGTCGCATCGCAGATTGTTGCCGTGCTTATGCAGGTCATTAAGCCTGCACAGTGGCTCGAAGGTCTTGAGCAACTTATGCAGCTTATGGACTCGAGCAATGTGGACGAGGCCGAGGCTGCGCTTAGCACGTTTGCGAAGATCAGTGAAGATATGCCGGAAGAACTCGACGCATGTGAAGTCCAGGGCATGCGCCCCCTGGACGTGCTCATCCCCAAGATCCTTCAAGCGACAGGGCATGAAGATACGCGGATCCGCGTGCACGCGCTTAACAGTTTGAATCAGTACATCCAAATCGGCTCTCTCTCGATGAGTCAGAACATCGATGCGTACATGCAAGTGCTCTTTCAGCGTGCCACGGACGAGCGGCCTGTGGTGCGCAAGTTTGTCTGCAAGGCGCTCGTCTACGTGCTGGGCACGTGGCCCGACAAACTCGCGCCGGAGATGAACAACCTAGTGGACTATATGCTCTACTCGACCCAGGACAAGGACGAGGATGTGGCATTGGAAGCGGCCGAGTTCTGGCTCCAGTTTGCAGAAGAGCCGCGCTTGGTCGATCAGCTGCGTCCCAACTTGCCACGTATCATTCCTGTGCTGCTCAAGTGCATGGTGTACAGTGAGCTGAGTCTGCTCATGATGGGCGATATTGACGACGACGCCTCGCGTCCCGACCGTCCTGAAGACATCAAGCCACGTCACTATGGTGGTGTGACGCACCGCAGTGAGCACGTGCGTGATGGACAAGCGCATGATGCCTCGACGCACAAGTCGCGTGCCGCCATTGATGCGGAGTTTGCACAGGAGAACGACGATGACGATCATGATGACTTTGACGACGATGACGACGATGACGACGAGTTCGACGACGACGAGGCAGCCAGCTGGAACTTGCGCAAGTGTTGTGCAGCAGCTCTCGATGTTCTTGCTGTGCACTTTGGTGACGAGATCTTACCTACACTGCTGCCTCTGCTCAAGGACCGTCTCTTCAGCGAGGACTGGCTCCAGCGCGAGGCAGGTATCCTGGCGCTGGGCGCCATTGCGGAGGGATGCTTGCAGGGCGTAGAGCCCCACTTGCCGACGCTGGTCCCGATGCTCGTCACAATGCTTCAAGATACGCAGCCGCTTGTCCGTTCCATCACGTGCTGGACATTAGGGCGATATTCGAGTTGGTGTGCTTCCGAGACGCCGGAGCACCAGCAGCAGTTCTTCATGCCTGTGCTTGAAGGGCTTCTTACGATGGTGCTGGACAACAACAAGCGTGTACAAGAAGCAGGCTGCAGTGCGTTTGCGACTCTTGAAGAAGAAGTCGGGACGGCGCTGACGCCTTACTTGGGCCCTGTGCTGCGCTCATTGGTTACGGCGTTTGACAGGTACCACCAGAAGAATATGCTCATTCTGTACGATGCCGTGGGGACCTTGGCCGATAGCGTAGGCCCTGCGCTCAACCAGCCAGAATACATTGATATGCTCATGCAGCCGCTGACTGCCAAGTGGGCTGCGCTCGACGATACCGATCCGGCTCTGATTCCGCTACTCGAGTGCCTGGCCTCTGTGACGATTGCGATGGGCCCTGGTTTCCAGGCTCATGCACTCCCGGTGTTCCAGCGCTGTGTCAATATTATCCACCAGAACCTGGCAGCGTACGAGCATGCCATGGCGCAGTCCAACGACGAGGAGGCGCCCGACCGCACCTTCCTCATTGTAGCGCTGGACCTGCTCAGTGGTCTGTGCCAGGGTCTTGGCCCGCAATGCCAAGAGCTCGTGGCAAATGTTCAGCCTCTGCTCCTTCCGCAGCTATTGCCATGTCTCACGAATGCCGAGCCGCCAGTGCGTCAGTCCGCTTATGCTCTGTTGGGCGACTTGGCCATCAATGCCTTTGCGACCCTCAAGCCATTCCTACCGCAGCACATGCCGTTGCTACTTTCGCAAATCGGGCCAGAGCCTATGCACGAGGCGTTGTCCGTGTGCAACAATGCGACGTGGGCTGCAGGTGAGATTGCACTGCAGTACGGCTCAGACGCCGAGTTCCATGCCTGGGTCCCCGAGCTCCTGAGCAAGCTCATGGCGCTGCTGCTGCACCCGAAGACGGTCAAGTCGCTTTCGGAAAATGCTGCTGTGACGATTGGCCGGCTTGGTCTGGTGGCGACGCCGATCATTGCGCCGCAATTGCCTGTGTTCATTGAGGCGTGGTGCCAAGCGCTGTGGGATATCAAGGACAACGATGAGAAGGAGTCGGCGTTCCTTGGTTTGTGCATGATGATTCATGTGAATCCGAACGGTGCCACGGCTGGCTTCCCGTACTTCTGCAATGCCGTGGTGCGGTGGACCAAGCCGAGCGAGCGCTTGAACGACGAGTTCCGCAAGGTATGTAACTATACCTGCCCTACCTAACTTCAGATCTTGTACGGCTTCCGCGAGATGAGCGGCGACGCGTGGGAGACACACAAAGCTCAATTCCCACCGATCATTCGCCAACGGTATGTATCAGGCAACACTTACATTCAGCTTGGAGGAACGTTATGGTCTCTAGTCATACCCATAGGCGATCGTAGCCCTGCACCGCCGTTCCTGCGATGTAGCACGTGATGCGGAGGAGGATGCGAGTACGACACATCTCTGTAGCACGAGGGTCGAGGTTGGTTGCTATGTACGCCTGTCTAATCGTCGTCCCAGTGCGGATTATGGCCAGGTGCCTTGAGGCCAGCCTGCTTGCTCATAATAATCGAGTCCACTTTCAGTACATCAATCGCAGCGCTGGTCGCGTACCGGATCGCCCAGTGCTTGGCAGTAAGCACGTCAAACACTTGTGCATCCACGGTCGACATGGTACCGTCTGTCGACTGGTCCACGTCTACACCCACATCCACATGCTCGGCCATCGCATGCTGGGCATGCAAGCGACTCACCACATCCGTGGCATCCAAGCCAGACGTCTCCGCCAGGGTCCGCGGAATCACTTGCAAGGCCTCGCCGAACTTCTTGATCGCGTGTTGGTTCAAACCAGGTGTGCGCTCACCATATTCAATAATGCGTCGTGCCAACTCAATCTCTGTCGCACCAGCGCCCGGCACGAGACGTGGGTCGCGCGTGAGCGACTTGACAGCGTTGATACCGTCGTCAATCGTACGTTCCACATCGTCCAACATGGATGTCGTGGCACCACGCAGCACAATCGTCGCAAGGCGTGGGCGTGATTTGCCGCCCTTTTCACCATCTTCCTGACGGAACACAGTCACACGGTCACCACCGATCTCTGTCGCGGAGACCGAGTCGATCCAACCGGCCTCCTCAGGCATAGGCGCGCCAATCCGCGCCAGCGGCGTAGCACCCAGCAGACGGCACAAGCGCTGCAAATCAAACTTGGACGGCACCTTCATAGCAACAATGCCCAAGCGGTTCAGGTAGTGCAATGCCAGCTCACCAATTGTGCTCTGTGTCACAACGACCTTAACACCAGCATCGGCAATCTCTTGTAGCATCTTCTCCAACTGTACTTCTTCGCCACGCGAAAAGTTCTTGAGCTCCTGAGCATTGTGCAGGAGCACTGTGCCCTTTGTCTCTGTCTGGCTAATGTCCAAGCCGCACGAAAATACGGCTACCTTGGCGCTCGTAGCCGACTTCACGCTGCCTTCCGGCTCACGACCAAACACCATACCACGCACCACGCGGCTCTGCGATAACGAACCACCCATGATCTTGACTACACGCACGTTGTCCACACTAAAGTCACGCAGCGTCTCTGATGAGGGGGGAATGACAAGGCTCACAGCCTGTGCGACGAGCGGCGCCAAAATATCTTCGTGGCCATACTGCTTCGAAGCCAGCGCTGGACGGAGGGCCAATGCCAGCGACTCTTGAGTCGGTGGCGAGGAGAGCGTAGCAATGGACAACTCTTCGAGCTGCTCCAGGGCTTTTTCACGTGCCAGTTCATAACCCTGCACAATTTCCATAGGGTGCAGACCCAGTGAGATGAGCATCTCCGCTTGGCGCAGCAATTCACCTGCCAAGATCAGGACAAAGTTGGTGCCATCGCCCATCTCAGCTTCTTGCTGCTGCGAAGCGTACACAAGAAGCTTTGCCGCAGGATGCACAACATCCATCTCGCGGATAATTGTGGCAGCATCACTTGTCACAAAGATGCGGCCAAGATGGTTGACGACCATCTTGTTCCGGCCATTCGGGCCAAACGAGGTACGCACAATATCCGAGAGTTCGTTCACCGCCTGGATATTCCGCAGGACGGCTTCTTCGATTCCCTGCAGGTGCTTGTACCCATCCTTGAACAGGTTGGGTCCACCTGCGCGTGGCACTTTCAATGCCATCTTTGTCTGCAATGCGCACGGCGGAAGAAAACGATTTGGGAGGCCCACCGCGACGATGAGAGGGCGACGCGTCGTCCTGACGTAAGCACCACGTGGAGGGGCGCGTGATCAGCCACTCCGCAGGAAAGTGGCCCAGCCTTGGCGCTGCCTCGAGCTGGCACGTCATGGCCGCTACGGTTCTCTTTCTTTCTCACCTTCATTTTACGACAAGATGGCTTCGCGTGCTTATGACGTAGTATTGTACGGAGCTACCGGTTTCACAGGTAGTATGGCTGCTCAGTACCTTGCGGCGCACCCGCAAGCGCCCAAGGTGGCGTTCGCGGGTCGTAATGAAGCCAAGATCCGCAATGTGATCGCCAAGTTGACCAACGTCTCCAAGGAGCGTGTCGACTCGATCGGTGTGTTGGTCGCTTCCGCTGAGGATGAGGCCAGCCTTCAGCACATGGCGCAGTCTGCCAATGTGCTTATTAACATGGTTGGCCCCTACGCGCTGTACAAGGGCTTTGAGGTGGCCAAGGCGTGTGCGGAGGCTGGCACGGGCTACGTCGACCTCACGGGTGAGTCGTCGGTGTACAAGCACATCGTTAAGGATCTGCACAGTGTGTCGAAGCAAACCAAGGCGATCCTTGTGCCGTCGTCGGGCTTCGACAGCTTGCCATTTGATCTCTCTACGTACATGGCTGTGAAGGCTGTGCGCGAGGCGACAGGCCAAACGGCGGATATCGACTATGCCCTGTGTGGCTACCTGATCAAGGGCTCTGTGTCCGGTGGTACGATTGCCAGTCTTGCGGAGCAGGCGAAGGAGCACGACATTGGTTTCCGTGACCCGTACGACCTGAGCCCGAAGCGGGGTACGCAGGTGGCGAAGGCTGTAAAGGTTCGTGCTCTGCCACAGTTCGCGCACAAGTATGGCTCGTACACGCTCTTCACACCGCACAACACTGGTGTGGCGAACCGAACGTGGGGTCTGCTGGAAGAGGCTCAGCAAGGTGATCGTTACGGTCCCAAGTTCCGGTACTTGGAGGGTTACGTGACGCACTCTGCGGTGGGTGCGTACTTGGTCTCGTCGGTGATGCTTCTCATTACTTGGCTGCTCACGCACACCACGAATGTGGGTAGCTGGATGCGTAAGGCGGTGCCACAGGGCACAGGTGCGCCGATGGAGAAGCAGCTGAAGGGCTTTGCCAACATCCGCACGGTGGCCTTCGCGAACGATGGCAAGACAAAGGGCTTGGCTACGTTCAAGGTGAAGGGTGACCCTGGCTACCTGAAGACCGCTGCTTTCATCTCGGAGACGGCTCTGACCATTGCCTTTGAGAAGCAGCGTCTTCAGCCCGTGGCACGACAGGGTGGTGTGCTTACGCCTGCTGCGATGGGTGGCGAAGTACTGGCGGAGCGTCTGAGCAAGTATGCTGGTGTGACCATTGAGACGAAGGACGTCTCGAACTCGCTCAACATGGCCGAGGAGATTAAGTGATTTGTGTTCATATGACAGGGTATATTCTTCTACGTTTGTTCTTAGTTTAATTCTATTGTTTTGCGTGCTTTATGTTTGCGTGTGGCCCGGACAGGCAAGGCGTATCGCAGTTGCGTACCATGTACGTCAATCCCGAGGCGGCCGCCATCCGGCAACGGCAGCTCGACTTGGAACACAGTTTGGTACTTGGGGATCCCTGGATGTGAGTGTGCCTTTACGTACACTGAGGTCGTGATGTGCCGCTAGGATGTGGAAGCAAGAGGGCGAGCATATCGTGTGTTTCTTGCACGAGAATGCCGCGTTTATGTACATGGGTAGGCTGAATCGATCGGACCACTGAAATCATAGCGCCCGTCCAGTCGGCTTTAATCACAGCCTGCTGCAAGGACTGGACCCAGCCAGCATGCTCTAGCTGTTCTCTGGCTGCTGCCTGCGTCATATCTCGTAGTTGCAATACATCCTGGATGTACTCGGTCCACAAAGCATGCAAGCCCTGGACTTGTGTCCACGCAAGGGGCTCTGTGATGCGTGCAGTTACACGTTTTGAAGATTTGCGCTTCTTTGTCGGCGGATCTGATGCAGCTGTAGGGTGCAGATGACGACGTAGAGCTCGATCACGCTTGGCTTGAAGGAGCGGTGTCGCAGGTGGGGGCGCAGCGCGATCCACATTGCCCAAGGGCAGTGTACGATTTTTCAAGCGCGCTTCATACGTTTCTGATGTTCCCGCCTCGGGGCCTAGCACCTCTGACCATACTTCGAACGCATCCCTGTTGTCTGCCGACATTCGTGGATCCAAGTCGTGGCCTACAGAGGCAGAAGGGTGAGTGGAGGCAAGTAGGCAGACAGGCGTCCTATTGTATCACGTGCTACGCTTTCAGCCTGGGCGGACGCGCGACGCGTTGTGCCTTGGATTGTACGCGTCGTGTCGGAGGGGGGATGCCAGCGACGTGGGGACGAGGTAGGTCGAGGGAAGTGCTTATGTACAGTCCTTGTATGTGGACGAGTAGCTGCAGATGAGGCGTCGCATGGCGCAGCTGAGGCGTACGTATGAGACTATCTCACAGGCTAGTGGCACTAGTCTCACGACACCGCATATTTTGCGGTCCGTGTGTCATATTCGCATGACACGCGTGATCACGTCGAGTGTGGCGGACCATGCGGTGTTTCTGTCTGTGCATGGTGATGCCTACGTGTATGGCCGTAACACCGAAGGTCAATGTGGCGTGGCGTCGATGCCGGGTGCCGTGGATGGTGGGCTTTGGCTCTACAATGCGACGCGCCTTGATCGGCAGCGTGATTTCGTGCCATCGCTACCGGACACGGTCAAAATTGTCGGTGGCGCCACAGGCGCGACACATACACTTCTTCTTACGTCGCAAGGCACAGTGTATGCTGCAGGCTCCAATGCACAAGGCCAATGTGGTCTAGGCGTTATGCCTGCCTCACAACCGTTCCGACAAGTGGATATGCCGTTCAGCACAGGTGCTGATCCGGTGAAGGACATGGGATGCACACGCACAGGTAGTGTTCTTGTGACTACAGCAGGGCATGTGTACGTCATGGGTTCAGCCAAGCACGGATTCTGGGGCACAGGCCCCCTGTCATGGCAGAGCAAAAGTGCCTCGGAGGTACGCTACGCGACCCAGACGACGCCCATGCGTGTGCCAAGCCTGGATGCCATTTCAAGTATAGCCTGTGGAGAAGATCATGTGGTGGCGTACGTATCTTTTAACTAACCGAATAGTCTTAGCGCAACACACCAAGTGTATGTATGGGGCCGTGGCGCCCTTTCGCGATTAGGGTGCGGCACACAGTGGGACCAACCACAGCCTGTACGAATTCCGCAATTTGCCCGTGTGCCTGCATCCGAGCAGGTGTATGCCGTGTATGCAGGACGTACAGTGACAGCTTGCGTGGACAACGCGTCAAGACTCTGGATCGCTGGCACATTTCGGACACAGGGCGACGGCAGCGCCGGTCAATCGTTTATTATCTACAAGCCTTTGCCTGAGCTGGCTGAGTACGATGTTGAACAAGTGGCCCTCGGTGCCGATACAATCCAGTGTACGGCTCGTCCTACCTACGACGGTGCTGCAGAGGCGGGTGCGCCGCTGCAAGTGCTAGGATGGGGCGAAGGGGCCTTGCATGCGGAACTAGGGTACCCAGCCACGACACCTGCTTTGCCGGATGTGATACCGGTCCTCACATCTCTTCGACCTGTACGTATCGCAAGTGGTCGGCATACATCCTACTGGATTGTAGAGCCGGATCCATCGTACGCGGATTTGCCGCGTTTCCCTGACTATGTGGCGTCGTCGAGTGTATGTTTGGTATGCCAGCGCGGTGGGGATGAAGACGATGCTACGCTGTTGGAATGCGGTCGCTGTGAGAACCCGTACCACTTGGCCTGCTTGACGCCGCCACTGGAAGCTGTGCCACCGGGTGAGTGGCTCTGTGAATCCTGCCGGGCGCATGATACAGGGGGCGAGGCGGCCGACGATGCTCCTGCGAAGACGACCCAAGCCAAGTCTGGTGCTGGAGCCCAGCGTGGACGCAAGCGGCGGCGAGCTTGAACATCACTCTATAGCATACATTGGTCTATCATGCCCTAGGAATGTAGAAATGACTACGCCGCCGAATGTTGAAGGTCTAGTTCAGCGTCATGGTGTTCCTCCACATTGCGTTCGTAAATACGGCGAAGTTCTTGCAGGCCAAAGGCAATAATGCATGCGCCGAGTAAGTACAGAATATCATGCCAGGGCAAGTGCTGCGTCAGAAAAATGGCCTGGAGTAGCGGAATATACATAATCAGCACTTGTGTGAGCGCACTGCCGCCCACTGTCCAGAGCAGCATGGTATTCTGGCACAGACCGGTGTACAGTCCGCGGTTTTGTAGCGCTGAGACCAGGGCCAGGAACACGAAGCACGAAAATGTCAGCGTCGAATCACGCCGTGTCGGCTGCGTAGGCGAGCATTGTGTGAGGAATGTGAACTGCGTAATGCCCATAATGACCATAGCAGAGTAGCATGTACGCAACATGAGGCCTCGCGTAAGGACCGGCTCGTCTTTCGCGCGTGGCGGCCGTTTCATCACGACATCGCTTGCCGGATCGACACCGAGACTCTGGCTCGGCGGACCGTCCATGAGAATGTTGATAAACAGGATCTGCATGGCATTCAGCGGCAATCGCATACCGATCATCGCACTGAGCGAGATCAGGACCAGCGCCGCAGCGCTTGTGCTCAGCTGGAATGCGACAAAGTTTTGGATGTTGTAGAAGATGGCCTTGCCTTCACGCACCGCTCCAAGAATAGTCGCAAAATTGTCATCGACGAGGATCACATCCGCAGCTTCCTTGGTCACGTCGGTGCCTGATCCCATAGAAATACCGACATCTGCCAGCTTCAAAGCCGGGGCGTCGTTCACGCCATCGCCCGTCATACCGACGACCGCATTTTGTGCCTGTAACGCCTCGACAATACGTAACTTGTGCTTCGGCTTCGTACGCGCATATACGGATACTTCCTTCACTTGATCACGCAGTTGACGATCGTTCATCTTCTCGATGTGAGAGCCCGTAAGGACATGCGACGTCGAGGCAATGCCCAGCTGCCGAGCAATGGACCGTGCCGTGGTCTCTGCGTCGCCGGTAATCATCACGACGTGCACGCCGCCATGCTGGAGTGTCTGGATCGCCTCTTTTACATGCTCACGGGGTGGATCCTGCATTGCTTGTAAGCCACAGAATGTGTATGGTCGACCTTGCACAGCAAAAGCCGTGCCAAGCACACGAAGACCCTTCTCCGAAAAGTCCTGGATGGTATCGAGGATCTGCTGACGCACGGAATTGGTCATTGGCATGATACTTTTCCCCAGGTACGTCGAGCACTGCTTCAACACAACTTCCGGCGCGCCTTTCATGAGCTGCGCCTCGCCAGGCGTCGCCTTTTTATCGCCATGCCCAGTCACACTCATGAACTTGCGGTCGGAATTGAAGGGGGTCTCGTTGGTGCGTGTCCAGTCTTTACGCTGCAGACGAAGTCCCATAGATACAGGTGCCTGCGCCATGGCCACTTCGGTGGCTTGGCCAACAAATTCGCCATCAGACGTTTGCTCCACGTTGCTGCAGAAAAAGCCGACTTGTAGCGAGCGCTGCAAGGCATCGGACAGAGGCGATGGCGGATGCGACACATGCACAACGCCATCTGGCACAGTGAACATCTGGATGACCTGCATGTGGCCCGTCGTCAGCGTACCTGTCTTGTCGGAGCAGATGACGGACATGCATCCGAGCGTTTCCACACTGGGCAAGCGCTTGACAATCGCCTGATGACGCGACATGGACAAGGCGCCGAGTGCCAACGTAACCATGACGACAATCGGCAGGCCTTCTGGAATGGCAGCCACCGCCAGCGACACGGCAATCGTAAACATCTCGAACCACGATTGCCGCTGGATGATGCCGATCAGAATGATCAGGGCAATCACGACCAAACTGATCGTGCTAAGACGCTGCGCCAAATCGGCCATCGCCCTTTGTAATGGCGTCTGCTTTTCCGAGACGTCATCGACCATACCAAAGATACTGCCAAACTCCGTGTGAATGCCGGTAGCGTAGACCACACCCGTGCCACTTCCACGCTGGACCAAGGTGCCCATGTAGACAAGGTTGTTGGGCTCGTCCTTCGTGGGCTTGGCAGACTTGCGCACGGGATCCGTCTCACCAGTCAGTGTGCTTTCATCCACTTCCAGATCGTTTACCTTCGTCAGACGCAGGTCCGCAGGAATACGATCGCCCGAGGATAGGACAACGACGTCGCCTGGGACCAGTTCACTCGCCAGCAGATTCTTTACATGGCCATCGCGGCGAACATTGCACTTGGGCGGCACGAGATTATTGAGTACCTCCAAGCTCTTTTCTGATCGGTACTCTTGCACAACACCCACGGTAATCACAATGGCCAGCGCGAGCGTAATGCAAATCGCATCGTCCATTTGGCCGATTAATACACTCACGACGGCACTGCCGACAAGGAGTGCATTCATTGGCTCTCGAAACTGCAACACCCATCGTTTCCATATGGGGTCCTTTTCTTTCTCGGTAAGTTCATTACGGCCTATTTTTGCGCGAATGGCCTCAACCTGCGACGAGTCCAGGCCGTCGTCCAACGAGCTGACATTGAGCTCTGACTGCAGCTCCTCCGTGGACATCTGCTTCGCCTGCTCGGCGGGGATGGCCCCAGGACCAGCCGCAGCCTGCGCCGAGTCATAGGGCACTATTTTGTCAGGTGGGATCCTGCATACGTACAGTCGCTCTCGGCGTAGGCCATCGTCGTCGTAGCGCCGCGCAAACACAACGACGGGGCGATATGTGGAGGGAGCTGTCAACTATGGCTTGCTTGTCTGTCTGGTTTCGTCTACAAGTCGTCGTGCACGGGGACGTCCGGTGTGGAGGTCGCCTCAGCCGGCGTGGAGGAAGACGTGGAGGGGGTCATCGTGGCAGAAGCGCTGCTGCTGCTGCTGCTGCTTGCACTTGACGAGGAGGTATGCGTCATCTTGGGCCGCGTCTTGGGGATACGACGCTTTTGCAACTTGGTCATTGTATCACGGATCTTCTTGCCACGTCGGTCCATGTCTTCGACGAGCAACACAGGGTCCTCGTGTGCCTTGCGTTTCTGCTGCGCCTTGCGGCCGTCCTCGAGCCACGAAAGATCCTTTTTCACAGTCGACTCCAGCGAGTCCAAGTCGCTGGCTGTGTACTTACTGCCCATGTTCTCGGCCATGGCCTGCGTCAAGTTCGCACGTGCCTCACGAAGGAACGTCTGGGCCGACGAGAGCGTGGCGCTGAGATCGGCAATCGCCGTTGGGCGTCGTTCGGCCTGTGCCTGGCGCTTAAGGACTGCGTCCGTTTGCTTCGTCAGCTCGCGCTCCCGCTTCGTGATGGCCTCGGCATTCGCGCCATCGCTCTGGTCGTTCAGCCACGAGTGCAGCTCGTCCGTTTTGGCGCGAATGGCGTCAAGCTCGTGCTTCGCTGCCGCCTCGGCAAAGGCATCGGTCTCCACCTGATCACGCGCGCGGTAAATGACCGACTCGAGCGAGTTCATCGCCGCATCGCGTTCCGCACGCTGCTTTGCCTCATAGACAATCAAACGCAAACGCTCCAACGACTTGATTTTCTCGAGGCCCGTCAGCGGACGCACAGGGCCAAGGTACGTGGTGTTCACAGAGAGCACAGTCGATTGCGGCGCCAGGGCATCCGCCTCGGTCGTGGTGTTCGTCGCATTGTCGCTGCTGGAGAAGTGGAAGAGCGACTTGATTGTACCGGTAATACTCTTGTGAGGCGTCACAGTGAGCGCCGCCGATGGCACATGGTACGTGCCAAACGGCGCATTGCGCACCGTCAAGTTGACCTTGACGTCGACATGACTCATCTCATTCTTCGCCTGCAAGTCTGCGAGAGCGTCTGCCACGCCGTCCACACGAATGCGCTGCAGCTCACCAGCATCGCCACGCTCCAAGCGATCCTTCGGCGACGACAGCAAGATGTCAAAGTCCGTCTGCTGGCCATTCAGCGTGAGTTCGTACGCTTCCGCAAACACAGGGCCCGAGGGGAAGATGGTGCTTTCGTGGCCCGATACACTCAGATCCACAGGGTACATATTGCCGTCGTGCACATCCACATGCTTCATACGCAGTTGCGGCTGTGTGCTCGCAACAGCCAACGCAGCACCCATCACCGCAGCCTCATCCGCGTTCACGTTTTGTGCGAGCTTCTCGTCGGGGATGCCCAGCGCTTTGAGCTGCGCCTGCACAGACGGCACACGCGTCGCACCACCGACCAACACCACCGACTGCACGTCGTCGATCGTGATCTTGTTGCGCTTCAGCAGCTGCGAGAGGGGCGAAATGAATCGCTCCAGGAGCTTCACTTTGTGCATCTTCGTTTCAAACGTCTCACGGTCAATCGTCGTACGCAAATCCAAGTCGTCCGCCAAGCTCTCGACGTAGACCGTCGCAGCAGCATTCGCAGAGAGTACATGCTTCGCACGGTTCGCTTCACGCAACAGACGCGCCATGGCACGTGCATCCTTCTTGACCGAAGCACGCTCAGGGTAGGCCGCGTCAAATGCATCGGCCAGCATATCACGCAAAAGCATATCCATCGAGAGACCACCAGCTGTGCGGTCCCAAGCAGCGTCAAGGACTTGGACGACCACAGAGCCTGGCTTCGTACTGTTTTCCGGCGTCGAGAACTCGACCAACGACGCACGCACAGACCCAGAGCCAGCATCATAGAAAATGTGGCGTTCCGGCTTAGGGAACGTACGGCTCTGTGCGTAGTTGGTAGCTGCCGCAGCGGCATCACTGATCAAGCGCGGGCGGAAGCCAGCAAGCACGGCAGCGTCCAGCAAAGCCTGACGCTCATGAGGCGTGTAGAAAATGGGCACGGTGATCACCGTATCCAGACCACGCTGGGAGCTGAAGAATGAAGAGCCAGACTGGTAACCTATACTCAGCAGCTCGCCTGCGGTCTCCTCGGCCAACTCACGAATGTGGTCCAACTGCATACCGACAATCTCCTCGGCACGCCAGTACGACGTCGTGTTGAGCGATGGCGCTACAACACATGTCGATCCCGTCTTCAGATCGTCTGGGAGCCGTGCAACGAGGTTGCCAAACACGGCACGGTATTGCGCCACCGCCTCCGGTTCATCAGGGCGGCACGATTGGCCAAGCAGCAACTTCGCGGCGTGAAAGCTCTGGTAAGGGCTCCGACTGGCGTACGCGTACGCGTCAGCACCCATAATACGCTCTTGCTTTTCCAGTGCACCGTCGTCCGGCACGGCGCCTTTGAACGCGACGCTGGCCTGCACCTTGCGCTTGGAGTCGCGACTCAACACGAGATCAAACGGTTTGCCGGGCTTGATCAGTGCGGCCTTGATCCATTCTGTACCGTAGTCAATACTAACAACACCAATAGCTGTGCTGGGCACTGCAAGAAGGGCTAGCGCTAGCGCTGCATACACTAGCAGCGCACCTAGCGCTGTATGTCCACGCATTCGGTTGTTGATCAAGATGGAGGCGCCTTCCACGCTGTCGTTGTGTTGACCTCGGCCGATGCCCTCCACATCCAACGAGCGCGCCCTCGGGTTGACATGCGCGGACCTTGTTCGTACCTGGCGTGTGCCCGTGTATCCTTGCCTTACATGTCCTGCGTCCCTATAAATGCGGACTTGGCATATCGTTGGATTTTTTGTACGACTATGACTGTAGGCTCAATTGGGTCCGAAATAAGCGACGAGGGTATAGGCCCTGGTGTTGCATTATGGCGCGACCTAGGGAGGGCAGCACCTATAGGAACTCGCCTGAATGAACCGGCCTAGATCTATTGGAACGGATGTAAGTGGTCCAATGGGTGTATGCTGTATACTATGGAAGGGGGGGGGGGGGTAGTAAGGATATATAGTGAGGGTAAGACCATATGGGAAGAGAGAATCATGGACGCTGGGATTGTACGTCCCATATTCCAAAATAATACACTACTAATATATAAGTACAAGTCCTTCCTAAACAAGCGACAAGTATTTACAACAAGGCCCTTCATGCTCGATCTGTGGCAGCTGGTAGTGCTCTATGCCGCGTTCAGGGCTAGGATGGCATGCAAATAACGCGACGACCATAATTCTATCAAGCATTGGGAGGCATACACTGAGGCACACGTACAATTGACACTTCGCAATGGTCAAAGTGAAGACACGTTGTGCGTACATTCTCCAAGCAATTCCCTTTCATCAGGGCCCCATGGGTACTGTACGCCTTCCCCCACGACGCCCACCCTTTGTCAGATCCGCACGGACCTGTTCTTTTTTTACGACCGAACGCGGCCGAGAAAGCCTCCATTCAAATTTTGGTCATATGCAATCTTGTGTATTTAATTTCATGAAAATTTGCACGGGAGGCATAAACTTACAAAATATAGGCCCAGTAGCTGCAAGAAACAGCCAGTAAATGAATCTCGGCACAGTCGGCCTGACCTCGGTTCGCACGAGCCCTCGAAAAATAAATAGGGCGGACGGGTATCGCACGACTCTCTCCGCAACTACAACTTTCTTCTAGTATGCATGCTACTATGTCTTCGATGACTTGCCGCTACGCAGGCCGCACTCTGCTCGGTGCGCGGGCCCTCTCGCAGCGCGGTGCCGCTCGTATGCCGCAGGGTGTGAGCACTTCGCTGAAGGCTCTTTCGACAGCTTCTCGCCCCGTCTCTGCCATGCAGTCGTTTCTCTCGCAGCCTCGCCAGATGGGCTCGTTGCGTTTTCAGTCGACCATGAAGGCCATGACCTACCGTGGCCCTGGTCAGGTATCAATGGAGGAGCGCCCGAAGGCCTGTATTATCGACCCGACTGACGCCGTGATTCGCATGACGAAGACGACGATTTGCGGTACGGACCTGGGTATCTGGAAGGGCAAGAACCCTGAGATTGAGGAGACTGAGCGTGCGAAGACGGGCCGGTGGAACGGCCGTATTCTTGGTCACGAGGGTATCGGTATTGTCGAGGAAGTGGGCCCGGCTGTGCGTCACTTCAAGAAGGGCGATAAGGTGATCATCTCGTGTGTGAGCCGCTGTGGCTCTTGTGAAAACTGCCAGAAGCAGCTGTACTCGCACTGCATGAACGGTGGTGGCTGGATCATGGGCTACATGATCGATGGCACGCACGCCGAGTACGTTCGTACGCCGTTTGCGGACAACTCGCTGTATGCGATGCCGGAGAACCTGAACACGGATGTAGCTGTGTTCCTGTCGGATGTGCTGCCTACGGGCCACGAGATGGGTGTGCAGTACGGTGATGTGAAGCCGGGTGACACTGTGGCTGTAGTGGGTGCTGGTCCTGTCGGTATGGGCTCGCTCCTTACGGCGCAGTTCTACTCGCCGTCGATGTTGATCTGCATTGACATGGACGACAACCGTCTGCAGTTCTCGAAAGAGCTGGGTGCGACGCACGTCATCAACTCTGGTAAGGAGGACGTCGTGAAGAAGGTGATGGAGATCACCAACGGCCGCGGTGTAGACTGTGCGATTGAGGCTGTGGGTGTGCCGCAGACCTGGGATGTGTGCCAGCAGATTGTTACAGCGGGTGGTCACCTGGCCAACGTCGGTGTGCACGGCCAGAAGGTCGACTTTGAGCTGCAGAAGCTGTGGATTCAGAACTTGACGATCACGACTGGTCTTGTGAACGCCAACACTACGTCCATGCTGCTCAAGGCGTGCGAGACTGGCAAACTCCCCATGGAGCGCCTTGCTACACACCACTTCAAGTTTAGCGAGTTTGAGAAGGCCTACGATGTGTTCAAGCACGCTGCTGAAACCAAGGCGATGAAGGTCATTATTGAGTACTAAGTGACATAAGTTATGCGTAAATAATTTTTTTCATGCACATGGATTTTACAGTAGGTGTGGGGTAATGAGTGTACGATAAGGGTGGCGAAGGGTCAAGCAGGTCTGAATACCATGGCCCTTCTGAATATATACCAACGACAAGCGAGGATGATGAAAAGGAAAGTCAAAAGAAAGAACAGTATGAGGGCACATCGCATGAAGAATAGGTACGTTTGCCATACGATAATGGATGGCTGGCTGTAAAAGAATGATAATGCATCATCATCGCCATGCCAGGCAGCCCAAAAAGCCTTGGCATACAGGACACATTTCTGCCACTGGATCGTTGCATGATGGTACTTGTCATAGTAGTTTTCCAGCTCGACATACAGTTCATACGACTTGGTAAAGTTCGACGGCCGATCGACAGTCTTAGTCGTAAGCAGCTGAGCTAGGCGCCATATTTGGGAGATATATTGTGCATAGATCGGTCTGGAATTATTATAGCACCACACAGCGTCCAAATTTTCACCCCTATGCTGAAACTCCCATACATCACACAATCTAAACAGCCCGTACAAATTGCCCTGGATTGTGCTGTGTGCCCACATAGCAAGCGAAATGTTCTCATTACCGGAGCCTTTTATGGTCAAACATCAGAGTAGATACGTACGAGGACCAAGGATGTGTGCCACATTTTCCTGTGCGACTTGCATTCCCTCGTCCGCCGCGAGTCCCCAAGCTAGAAGAGCGGTCATAATATCGCTTTTGTGATAGGCAGTCATCCCGCGATGGTAGATAGGGTGCGACCAATCACCCCTCTCAACCACATACTTGAAGTAAGATAGGACATCACTAATATCCTTTTCCTCTGAAGATTCACTCAGCTGACGCAACAGTGCATGACCTTGGAAGTAAGCGTAGACCAGATGGTTCTCCAGGAAAGTATCAGCCTGTGAAGTCGATGTGAAAGGATACATCATATTTATACGAGTACCATGACCGATTTCTTTCATAGGAAACATGTTTTCCTTGCCTAGCTCTTCATGTTAGTGAGTTCATACATACTATGTCCAAGTCGGCAAAAGTGGGGTAGGGCCAACATATCCAACTCCTTGGCTTGATCATATAAATGGAGTGCATGAGTTTGGTTCTGGGCAATACCGAGTCCCTTCTCATACATAATCCCCAGATCGACCATAGCTTTCCCATGCTTTTCAGAGGCGGCACGCTGAAGCCAAATCAACGCGGAGGCATATTTATGGGGCACACCTTCGCCACGTAAGTACATGTGTCCCAACAAGTAACTGGCTTGCACACCAGCAAAGTGCTCATCCTCAGAGACTTGTGGCTTTCCAGTATGCTCAATAGGAGTCATGGAAGTCCTCTCGTTGGTCCGTGCAGGCGGAACCGGAGGCCATATTCGCTCAGCCAGGTTTTTTGCGAGTATAGCGCTTTGGTTCCAGTCAGGCGTTATAGCCGCATACATCTCATGGTCGCCAAAAAAACTGCCATGGTACAAAGTCTGTGTCAATATCCATTGGTCCAGAGGCTGTTTATCCTGCACATATAACTGAAATATAGATAACACTTTTTTTTACAGCGGCCGTGTCAGCAAAGCTGCCATGTAGATGCGGTAGAAAGCGTCGCATGGAAAACCGCCATCGTTTATTCCAATTTTCTTGAGGAATAAATCCATCGAAATCACCGAGAGCTGATAAAATAGCTTGAGAATCCAAGGATGCTTTATTGTAAGGTATAGTACGTCCTCCTGGTGGCCCCGCCTGAAACGTTTTATATGCCTCATCAGCCAGGGCTGCGTATAAAGTCACAGCCTTGCGTTGGTCTTGAGGCATACCGAGACCGTAGTGATGACGGTAGGCTAGTGCATTCCGTGCGTGCCAGTCCCCTCCTTGGGTTCCCATAGAATAGTGAAGATTGGAGAGCAACGTTGAATTGGGTATGCCATACACGTTACACACAACAAGATTGCTTCGTAAGAATCCGATCCGGCCATGTGCTGTAGCATTGTCCTTACTAGCTAGTCGCTCATAGTATGCCAAGGCTAGTGTGAGGTTACGTGGTGCGCCATGTGTGCCCCAAAAATGGTGTTCACCCAGGATCCATAATGCGTCTGACTGGGCAGAAGAAGTGGCATTGAATGAGGTGCGAAGGTTGCGGGGAAGAGTAGTCGTTTTGTCTTGTAGAGCGGCCCAGTGCAACATAATCAGAGCAAAATCTCTCCATATATTTGGATCTGTATCGCGTTGGGATGATGGCCCATTTCGACATGGAAGCATGTTGCACAACGCGTCCAAGAGAGGTGTGTGAGAGCTACGCTTCTGATGTGCGAGAAGAATCGTAGCTTCGTCATGAGCTGGTTTCACATGGGATGGACTGAGAAAAGGACCCCACATAGCTTGCTCCCATCCATTCGTAACAGGATAGTGCGTAGATGCTGCTGCTATGGCCTTGTCAGGATCGAAGTCCCAATCGGGCCACAATGGCTCGTCTGGTACCTTGTAATGCGCATAAGGCGGTCGCGCTTCGGATGGTGTGGGGCGTCGACAATAAAGGAGATTGTATGTCCATTGCTGCACGGAGTCCGTCCAAGAGATTTCCGGGGGCGATACGAGGGGCCCTATCAGGTCACGCAGGTGGGAGAGAGCTTGATCTACGACCAATTGAGTATGGTTGTACGTTGAACCTAGAAGGTGATCGAGGTCATGTAAATGGAAGGGGACGACCCCGATTTTGTCTAGCTTTTCCAGGCGAAGTGCCTATACAACCGGCACAAGTGTCCATAGAGCTGCGAGGAGCATGCATAGCATTGTACCTGAGGCTACTACCTATGAACGGTGCCTGTGCGCGACTCGGAGTAGGATGGATGGAAAGATGTGGAGGCGGAGATGGCTAGTTGCAGTTACGTAACCTACGAGTGTGCCATCGCACGGAGCTGCTGCAGCTGCTGCTCTGTCGTATTGAGGCGACGTTGAACGTAGCGACGCCAGAAGGAGAGGACGACCAGGAGGAGCACGCCAAGCGCAAAGATCGTGAGTTCTAGGAGCACATCGACCAACTCGTCGTCCCATGTCCATGAGCGAATATGCAGCCAGCGCGGCAGGGTGGGAAGGTACGCGGCAAACAAACGACGCGCCGTCAAGTCGCCATGCAGCATCGCCCATAAGGCCTTAGCATGCAGACGCGTAAGCTCCAACGAAATAGCAAGGTTGGCGTCGCGAATATGGTATACTTGTCGAAGCAATGCAAGGCTGGGCGACAAGCTACGTGCTTGAACCGTATCAGCCAGCACCATGTCGTAGTACCGCTTGGCCAGAGGGAAATCGACAGGCACACCGATCCCGTTTTCGTACATTGATGCGAGACGCCAAACAGCCAGTACATTCGGCACGTTTTCTTCTGTCAATGCGCGGAAACAGGACACTGCTCGTGACAGACCTCCAGGCGCAAGGCCGTGGAAGTAGTAGTCGCATACTTTGAACTGTGCATACTCACTGCCCTGTAAAGCGCTGTGTGACCAGTACTGAAGCGCGATCTGGTCAGCCTCTTGAGGTGAGGGGGTATGATGCCACGAGGTGACTGCGTAAGTGAGAAAGATACGTACATTGATCAAGGACAAAGGCAATGTTATCCATGGCCTCATCAGCTCCTGTCTCTGCTGCAGCGCTCCATGCAAGGAGAGCGGTAGCGGTATCTCCACGATCAAAGGCAGCATCAGCACGGTGGTGCATTGGATCGTCCCAATCGCCCAATTCCGCGACTTCCTGTAGGATCGGCACGGCCTTTTCGCAGCTTGACGTCGTGTTATGGCCATGGTACACTTCGTCGGCTAACAGGCCCGCATACAAGTACCCAGCCTCAAGCTTCGTATCGAGGTATACAGGTCCGCGGTCTGTAGACTCAATGACCATATAGAGCGCATGCATCAACGTCCGCTTGGCCGCCTCCAAGTCCTTTGCTTCTGAAGGTGTAAGTAAATCCTAGTACGTACCCATTTCCATCTTCCCACGCTCGACCCAGGACGACATCGTCTCAAACACACTCGTGTTGAATAAAAGGTGAGCATGTGTCTGATTGACATGCAAGCCACCGTAGCCATTGGCATACATGAGACCCAGTCCATACTGCGCCGGCCCATGCTGTTCGAGAGCGGCGCGTGTCCACCATACCTTGGCCTGGACAAAGTCTTGCGGCACACCTTCGCCACGTAGATATTGGTACCCCAGCAAACTAGCAGCAAATAGAGCAGCGTTTCGTGCTGTCGCTGTCTGATCACGGTGACGGTATGTCGCTCGCAGCTCACCATTAACGTATGCACTCGCGTTGATATCGTTCAATGTCGGCGGCGTAGGCCACCTCTTTGAGGCGATGTCATACGCCAGTTGCGCACTCGTGGCTGGGTCCACAGGGACGGCGCCCAGCGCTTCGCGGTTGCCAACAAAGCTGCCGAAAAACAGCGCACGTGCCACGACAAGGCGTTTCGTCAACGCGTCATCTTCGGTATAAAATCGGTACAGCTCCACCAATTCACGCGCCGCGTCTGGGTCATACAAAAGGCGTGGCTGTGTATCGAGAAGAATACGAATAGCAGGTCGGGCCAGTTTGTATACCAAGCCGTTTTTCAAGACGTACGAGGCAGGGTACCGTAAACCAGGGGCATCCATCCGCGCAAGATCACTGAGGCGTACCTTGGTATATGGCATAGTTCGGCCGCCAGGAGGGCCCATCTGGAAGCGCTCGTATGTTCGAGTCGCCACGAGATCGTACCATTCCAGCGATACCAGGCAATTTTGTGCTACGCCCACGCCATATTGGTTGCGGTAGGCAAGCGCAAGACGGGCATGTCGATCGCCTTCCTGTGCACCAAGGGTGTAGTGGACCAATGCTTGGGGCGCAGAGGTTGTGGTATTGTACATGTATGCTAGCAGAGGACTGCTGTGCAGGTATCCAAGTCTCGCATGAGCCGTAGCATTACCCATCGCTGCGAGACGCTCAAAGCATGTAATCGCCAGTGTCATGTTCGGTGCTGCACCATGTGTGCCCCACATGGCATGTTCACCGAGGATCCAAAGGGCATCCATCTGTGTTGCCGAAGCCACATGGCCCTGCTGGTGCGCAAAGCTCGCGTGGATCAGCGACTTGGCATCCTGTGCATCTAATACCAGACCGACCCACTGCAAGAGGCGCACTGCATGTTTCCGCTGAGCAACAAGCAGTTCAGAGGGTGGCATCGGGGCCGGTTCCAAGTCGCCGCCTGTGCTGCCATATACAAGATCGGCCAACGCCGTGCGTGTGCGGTTCGCATGCACACGATGCAGGATGTGCTGTACATGTTCCGACGGTACATCATGCACAGGTCCGATGAAGGGGCCCCACATCGCCTGCTCCCACCCGTTAAGGACTGGTGGGTCACGCGCGGCATATGTAGCCGCCTGTGCTTTTGATATGTCATAGTCCCAGTCCGGCCACAGTGGCTCGTCTGGCATGTCATAGTAGGTATGCGCACTGCGCAGGGACATAGGAGACGTAGGAGACGTATCAAAGAGCCATAGTAGCAGAGCTGCGATGCCGTTTCGCAATGGTCCTGTGTACACACCACTCGCGTCGTGCGCGTATCGTCCCTGATGCTTTTTTGACCATGAGATGACGACATCTGTAAACCTGCTCCATGCATTGGCACGTGTCTGGTGTTTCCTGTATACGGCATTGGAAGCACCCTGGATGGCGGATCCATGCTCAGCCTTCAATAACTGTCGGAAGAGGTGCAGTGCCTCGTCCACAGCGTCCTGTGGCTCTGCATACAATGTCGCAAAGTACTGGAACGCAGCTTCATCGTCCAGCTGCATCAAACTCCATGAAGAAATTCGGTCTGGTGTAGATGCATGCGCTATACTAGCAAGCAGTAGCGCTGCTCCACCAAGCCATGCAACGCGCATAGCAAGCTAGCTAGCAAGCACGATAGGCCCTGGAACGTCGTGCTGTGTCGGCACCGACACTTGGTCAACCCTCCACGGTGCGCACGAGCATATCACGTGATATGGAGACAGGGCCCAGTCTACACGCGCGTGGCTCGCGGTGGACGACACCGAGGCGTCCCTGGTAGCCTAGATCTCGGTGCAGTCTTCGCATCGGCGTGTGCGAACGTAGTTGAGTGCATGTCCGTATTTGTACGGATACGTGGCCCAACTAATAATGGCGGTGTATGGCGCCTTGGGCCACATCATGCCGTCGCGCTGATGTCATTCCTGGCGCGTCAATGGGGCGCTATCTCTCATTGCTATTTTCCAAGAGTATGTGTGTTACTGTCTTACGATAGGCTCTAGGGGAAGGCCGCTTGCTTGGGTACGGTACCATTACATTTGCCGATCCAGAGAGCGTAACTCGAGTGCTGCAGGCAGCCAAGACGCGGCATGGCATACTGCGTATACCGTATGCAGCGCCTCTGCGTGATCCACAAGCTATTGCCTATGCATCGATGGATGATAGTGCGCGTGCCTTTATGACGTCGCCTTCGGTGCGCGATAGCGTTGCAGCAGCAGCACCTATGGCTCCTCATACAGACACATCGCCAGCCTACGATCACTTTTTTGTGACGGTGGAGCGCAGTGAGCGTCCACCTCGACCTGCGAAGCCACCGGCTCCGGCCACAGAGAAGCTCAATTTGGATTTACTGCGTGAGTTTGATGGATTCGCTGGCGGGTTGGCTCAGCGTGCTGCTGCCTATGCCCGTGAAGATCGCAAACGAGAAAAAGTGACTACAAAACATCGTCGCAATTGAGTGATAGATACATAACGAAGGATACCCCCAAGATCATCATGAACGGTTCTATGTCGCCTTCGAGTTGCGTGCGCGCTTATTCGATTGGCGCTTGTCCCTAGAATTGTTAGCACTGTTCTGATACCCTGCTTGCATACGTACCGATACTTCGCATTCTTGCGCTTCCGACTCTCATGCTTCGCGACATTGCGAGAGGCTCGGCGCTTAGCAGCACGCTCAGGGTCGGCCACCGCTTCCAAGATCCGCGCATTGCGACGTTCACGACGCTTGTCAAGCACACTCTGTTTTACGTGTGCATATGCATGCGTAAATGTAGACGCGCCAACACGCTCTTGGACCAGATCCTGGACTTCCTGTGCAAGTGATTTTAAGTCTTCAGGTGCTTGGTCATCATCTGTCACGCGCAGAATAGGCGATAGGATATGAATAAGGAAAACAGACAAGATACTGGGCTCAAGCTGCGTCGACATGGCCGCGAACCATTTCAACACAGCACCTACACGCTGCGGCGCTGTCTCTGTGCGACCGGCACGAGTAGCTAGACGACCAGCATGGGATAACTTCGAGAATAGCCATGCAAGGCGCGCTGGTGGCGTTGCCTTGGTGTCATCCTCCGCCTCGCCGTTGTTTTCGACGTCGTCAAGCTCCTCCACATCGCTGTTCGCCTCGCTGTTGTCGTCGTCGTCGTCCACATCGTTGCCATCGCCACGTGCAAAGGCTTTGCCGACAAACACAAGATTGCGCACGACCTGCAAGGTGAGCGCATCATCCAGGAACGGACTAAATAGCTGCGCCACAAGCTGCTTCGAAGCTCGAACGAGCTCTTCAGCGTCAATTGGCAAGCCTGCAGCGAAGTACGCACCCAGCAGACGGCATGCTGCGACGCGGCACCAGGCGTGTGGGTATGTCAGAAGCGTGATAATCGAAGGCAACGCTGGTGTAAGGCGGGACCATACCTGAGCATCGTGCTGTACGATGGTTTGCATTGTCTGCAGTGCTTGGTATGGCAATCTCCATGCATCTGCATCCATAGTATTCACACCTTCCTCCAACGCCTGCAGAATGGCCGGCGGTGCGTCACGAAGAACTGACGAAAGCAAGTGGCCATGCGTACTAGCCAAGTCGTATACACGCAGTGCCACAGCAGAGAGTGTGCGTGCTTGCGGAGTACCGTGCGACATAGCCCAGCCCTGCGTCATGCGCAGTAAGGCATGACACTCTTTCTCGTGCACTACGCCCAGCAATATCTGGAGTACATGCGCAGCCTCTTTGCGGCAAGCAACAGACTCTTCGTTCGCAAGCTGCATGACAAGTGCCACAAAGAAGAGCTCCGCATACTGCGACACAACTTCGGTCGAGAACTTGGCCAAGACATTACCCAGCAGCTCCAGCACACTGCGTCGTCCACCTTCATTTTCATATGCAAGATGCTTTGCAAGGAACTGCAGCTGCATCTGCAACCGGCCCTGGCCTTGTGGATAGTCAAGCAGGAACTGTAGGTACAAAGCACGGCATACATCGCGCACTTGTGGGTCGTGACTTACGACAAGGAGCTCAGCCACATGATCCATAATGTCATACACCTCCGGCACCACAAACGCCCGAGCTACAATAGCGCGGAGGAGAGCAAACACACTGGCCTGAGCATCAGGCGCATCCAGCTCCGGTGCGACAAGCTGCAGTAGCTCTGTAAGCTGTCGAGTGGGTGGTGGCGACGCACGACCTTCACGAAGAACAATGGCTAACGCACGGACGGTAGTTTGCGCCAGGGACGAGTGCAGACCACCAGCATGCCGAAGCAATACAAGCATTTGCTTCTGAATCACAGGCAGTGCATCTGGCAAATTGGGGAGCGGGCAGCGTGAGAGGGCCGCCGCGGCACGCAGACCACGTTCCACGACAGGCGCATCATGCGCATACAGTGTCTCACCCACCGCCTTGACAAGTGGCACAAGCTTCGCGACGGTATCCGTATCCTGCATATCGAAACGCGAACGGCGCAGAGCCGTTGTAAGCAGATCCAAACCAAGCTCAATGAACATGTGGGCATTCTGCATAAGGTGTGGTGCAGGACCAGCGCTACCCTCTAGGGCCTTGTGCCCACGTGCAATGAGCGTGTAGCACAAAATGAGGAAGGAAGAAGCGTCCACGTGTTGGTTGGCGCTGATGCCGGAGGCAATGCGGTGTAGGCATTCGTTCACAGTGCGAAGGGTCTTGGGCTCGATCGTGGTAGCTAGCACGCCACGCAAGGGAATCAGCAGCTCCTGTAAGAGAGCTGGCATAGCGAGGCGGGCCACCTGCTCAAACGTATCCATACTCTTGCTCTGTCGCAACTCGCGGACTTTAGTCTTGTACTCCACTGCTGCACGATCTTCACTCGTAAGACCAAACACGTCTTCCATGGACGCCTCAACGATGTCACGCACACCACTGCTCAACTCAGTGAGGATTGGCGCTGCACCATGTTGGCCCGGCGTGCTCAACACCACAACAAGGTGGTGGATTGTGTATGCACAAACTGCCAGCTGAGGGCCACGCGTAAGTGAGCGACGAAGCTGACTCACAACGTCCGGCAAGTAGGCCACACCAATCGCACGCACCATCTGATTCGCAGTATCACGGCAAGCATCACGCGTCGATTGCAATTTGCTGCGCAGGGCTGTCGCAAGGGCATCAAACACCTTGAATAGTTCGACGCGTCGTCGCTCCACAGGCAAATGCTGAGCCAATCGCGCAGCGCCAACAATGATAGGCAGCCTTGCTGGCAGTCGATCCTCGTCCTTTACCTGCAATGCAGCATGGAGCGGTGGCAATACACGCGTCGTAACAGTCGCTGCGAGAGCCACACGCTGGGTCACTGGCATCGTCTCATCGCGCAATAGATCCCGAGCCAGCGCCTCTTCACCTGCCTGACTCTCCGGCGCCACTTGGTCGTCGCTTTCCAGCGTTTCATCCACGTCCCCTGAGCAATCAAAGTGGAACGCCTCCAGCAGCCCGACAACGCCACGAACATGCAAGCGCTCCGCAGACGAGGCCTCGTCCTTTGATGTATGACTCTTTAGCTCGCGCAAGAAACGCATGAGCCAGTGGTAGTAATGGCTCCACTGCAGTTGCTGGGCCATGCGCCGAATGCATTGCAGTGCTTCATTAGCCATATTCATGTCGATACCACCACTGGGTCCTGGAAGGAAGTAGCACCAAACAAGCGGGACGAACAAGTCCGACAATGTACGACTACGCAGAGCGCCAGATTCAGCTGCATCGGCAAGACGATGAAGAGCACGTACACGGCGGTGAGTTTGGATATGGTAAAAGTTGATGAGTACGTTGGCCTCGTCATCACCACCCACGCGCAAGACTTGCAGCTCGGCAATCGCAGGGATCAACTCACTAAGCTCACGTACAGCCACATCCAGCACAATTAACAGCTCTTTGCGCACAGCCTCGTTCCGGCTATGCAAACGTCGACGTACACCCGGCAATACGATGCGAGTGGCATGTTCGATATGAGCTTCGCTCTTGGCTTCGCGCAGGAAGCGCTGCAACATAGCAGTAGCATTGGTCCTGAGAACGAGGTCATCCTCGCCCATGAAATAGAAGGCATGGTACAGCAGTGCTGGCCATTCACGCGCTTCTATCACATTGGCATCGTCGAGAATCGCGTCGCAAGCCGACAAGCGCTTATCCCAATCAGTCTCATCGAGTGACTTGGTGGAGTACGCGTTGAGCCCCTGGATCCATCCTACAAGCCGTGTGAATGAAGGATCAACAGTAGCCAGTTGAGCGAACGCATTCGCATACTCTGTACGAGCCTGTCTAGACCGCAGCTCAGAGCCAAGTCGGGCAAGCAGAGCGTACAAATCGTCAAGCGCACTGCCTGACGTACTAGCACGAGGCAGTAACAGGGCCACTGTATGCAGCAAGTCCGTCTTGGTTCGCTCAGGGATAGCGCGTGCACTGTGGCGCATCAATGGAACGAGTAGGGTGAGGACAGCGGCAGCATCTTCCGTTTTAGCCATATGCGGCGCAAGGTGAGAAAGCACATTGAGCTCTTTGCGCAGGAGGTCATCACGGATATGCTGTGATAAGGCATGCGTAAAGTTGGAGCGGATAGTATGCTGTACAAGCGGCATAAGCGACTCAAGCAGGGCAGGCACCATAGGCGTAACGACATGCAGTTGAATGCGGGTTGCCTCAGCAGCGTTATCAATGTCCTCGTCACTTGGTGCCTCTCCTGCGCTCAGCACTCTCTCGGCCATATCAAGCAAGGAGGTAGCCACAGCAGGCTTGATGGAGGCACGACTTAGACCTGCAAACACCGAAGGGAGAACGCGATCATTACTGAGGAAGCACAGCAATGTATCACTGCGTGTCGTCCAGGCGCGGCACAAGTCTAACAAAGCAGACGGCGCCTGTACACTATCGTCAGCAAAGGTGGGTAGACGAGGGAACACCAGCTGCTCAAGGATCACGTCACGATAGATATGCCAATCAAGATCTGATGCATATCGCACCAAGTCAGCGATTCGTGAGAGAGCTGTGCGTCGAATGTGACGCATAGTCTCATCGGTCGTGTCGGTGGCGTACGACGCAATGCTCAACACGACCTGAACGATCTGCGGCAGGCAAAAGTCCAGTGCACGTCCAAGATGACGAAGTACGTCATCCAGCATCAAGAGTAATCCAAGTTGTTTACGTGGCAGAGCTTGTGGAGCATGAGGGGGCAGCACAAAGGTACCCTCTTTTACGAAGCCATGCTGATCGCCAAAGGCGCTCAGCATCAAGTCAACAAGAAGCTGCAGCTCATCCGTCCGGCTTTCGCACAAAGCCGCAAGGATAGCGGCACGGCGCGCCTTTTGGCCTGCACCACTCGTACGAGCGCCACGTCGTGACATCATAAGACCGTACAGGAGGCGTAATAGCACGCCCATAACCTGTGAACGTGAGTCAGAGGCCAGCTGCTCGGACGTTGCTGACAAGTCAGTGTGAGCCAATGTATCCCGGAACTTCGACGGATTGAGTAGCTCGGTAAGACGCGCCTTGTGGTGCATGAGCCATGGATCTTGCCATGTCAGCAAGCAATCTAAAGCAGCACGTTGGATAGCTAGCTCTGGTTGGGCACACAGCAGTAAAAAGCGCTCCTTCATCGCCACGGCATCGTACATCTTGGCTGGCGCTTGGAACTCGCTGAAGATCATAAGGAGACGACGGAGTCGTTCGGTACGCACAGCACTAGGCGCGCGGTCTGCATCTTGACCATCCAAGAGGCTAGGCCACTGAGCCACAGCGTACTGTACAAATGCCTCACTATGCTTCTCGGGCAACACGGCATGTTGTTCGTACAGTTGCAAGAGTTCGTTGGCGTAATGAGCTGGATCGAAGCGCACATGGGATTGCGCACGCAGACGTAATGTCTGTAAAGCGCGATGAGAGGCGGTGGGTACAATCAGTCGAAGAACATGACGCAGAGCGCGCAGCCGGCGTGAAAGGACCGGGTCAGTAAGCGCATACGTCTCATCGAGTGCGTTTTCATCGCTAAGCTCTTCCATCTCGTCTTCCTCGACTTCGTCCAGCTTCATGTCGGTATTCATGGGGGAGCCAGCATGAACTGTGCCATCGGCTGCTTGCAGCTCAGCAAAGGACATACGCCACACTTCCTCACCTTGGCGCTGGCACAGAGCAACAAGAGTCTCGCGACTGGCTGCCCAAATAGGCTTCAAATTGAGTTTCAATGTGCCGATCGCATACCACACAAGCGCTTGCATTTGCGTGTCTGATGAGGCTAGATGTTTGTAAGCCTCACGCTGTGCATGGCGGAGCTGTACATTACGCGATGTAACATGAGCAACATCCAAAGGTGTCGCTTCAACGTCGGCCAGCTTCGCAAACACATTGCAAACGCTGGATGTCTGCGTCAGAGAAAGTATACGCAAAGCTGCATGCACATTGGTCCGGTTGGCATCCATGATGGTGGACGAGAGCATGGACCATACCGACAAAGTGTCCGGTAAAGCATGGGCATCGGCATGAGCAAGATCAGCCAAGTCGGCGAGCGCGGGGAGTACGGCTTGATTCGAGGCACATGCCTGCAAAATACTTGTAAAGGGACTAGGACTGCCTTCAAAAAGCGACGATACACTGCTCCTGGCCCCTGGCACGACGTGAAGAAGGGACACTAGACCAGCGACAAGTGCACCCAATACCAATGGCTTTTGACCCAAAGCGCCGCCATCCACACCAGCAGCCAAAAATCGAATACAGCGAGTGTACAGAGTAGCTAGTGACGTGCCAGTCGGCTGTACACGGCAGCCCAATGGCACGGCGAGCATGCAAGAAAGGACATCGTCGTTCAAGTGCCCTTGCTCCAGAAGCGATGCAAGACGCTCCATACGAGTCTGCACTGCCTTTCGTACGCGCTTGGTCCATCGCAAGATAATAGTCGTCGGTGGACCCTCATGTAAGGAAGCCAAATGACCCTGTTCTTCTAGTACCACGAGCAATGCTAAGGCAGCATTTTCTTGCTCTGTCGAAGCTGTGCCTTGGAGTAGAAGGGACGTTGCGTCCAAGGCAAACGGCAGAGCAAGGGAGGTAAAACCACGCCATTCCGACGATGGATCGCCCAGGGCACGATACACGCCATCCAAAGCAGCCCAAGCTACATCAAATTCACCTTCGAGAGGCCGCTTTGCAAGAGCTTGCAAGATGCTCTTGCCTGGTCCAGTCATATCCTGAATTCGTGCTGTTGGAATGGCCACACAAAGGAATGTAACGTAGGCTTGCAGCAGCGCAGATGAATTGGAGTTCCATGGCAATTGTGCATCGATCTCAGCAATCCACATCCACAGACGCTGCTTGCTCTCCTCGGCCATACGAGTGCCTTTCCTGGTCCCGACGAGTGCCATTAAATAATGCAGGATCGTGATCATATCCTCATTCATACTCGTATCACGAGCCCAAGAAAGCACAAGGTCGACAACAGGCACAAGATCTGTTGCATGTGCGTGATGAACCAAGGCTGTCATCACACGCTCGCCGACCTGGCGGAGAAGGAGTGTGTGGGACGTAGTGCGTCGTAACAGCTTCGTGAGAAGATCCACGGTTCGTGAGTGCAAAGTATGGGCGGCTGTCTTGCAGCTGTGAGCCCATGTGGCAGCCACACCACTTTCAAGTCCAGCACCAATACGGGCAGCATCATCGAGCATACGCAGAGTAAGTGTGTCGAGATGAGAATGGGGAGCTTTGCGTATCAAGTGCGCCAGTGCTTCAGACGCAAAGCGACGGGTATGGGCTTTGGGAACAAGTCGCGTAGGCACAGAGACCTCGCTGTCAAGCTCGTCGTCTGGCATATCTGCCATAGTAGGAACAGGATCCTTCGTCGTTGTCTTGTCTTGCGCTAGCACATCACGTACAATTGTCCAACTTGTTATAAGCAAATCGGCATCTTGCCTATGTGGCATAAGCGATGATATAGCTCGAAATAGCCATGCCGCGCTGTGAAAGGCGCGTTCCACGAGGCGCGCTGCGACAGCTTCATCTCCGCGTGTAAGATTTTTATCCATCAAAGACGAGGCGCGGAGGAGCGCAGCAAGCAATGTAGGGTAGACTGGTAGAAATTCTGGACCAAGATCAAACGCCATTCGAGGTACCAGATCTAGCAACGCGTCCCATGCATGCCAGTTTTGAGGCTCATGCAGTGTCAAAAAGCTGTCGAGTTCAGAGGCCACTTCATCACGGTGATGCAGTAGTAAGACAAGAGACTGGGCCTTAGGCATAACCTTTTCATAGAAGTCTTGAAATGGTAAACTCAAATTAAGTTCACTCCATTGGTGTAGTGCTGTACCGAATGCAGTACTTGCCAAGTCTGACGTCTCGGAAACTGTAGTCACAGCACCTGTTGCAACGGCAAATGCACTAGCAGGTGCATCAAGACCTGCTACTTGGAGCCTAGACGCACCCCAGCTAGTGCCTGACTCTCTGGATAGGTCAATAGATACATTTTTAAGACGCTCATGGAACGAAACGTAGCGGTGAGCCACCGCACCGTCGCCCATCGTAGCGATGGTCTCTCGCACGAACAGCGAGTGGAGGACTACTTTTTTTTTCTGCTCGGCCGATGAAAAGGTGCCTGTGCACGACCATCCTACTGCCCACACCATGGACCTGTTCGCGGACGTGGGAGAGAAGCCGGAAGATACCCTTTCCATCAACCAATCTTATGCCGAGAGGTATCAGCACAACAAAAGACGTGTGCATTTAGAACAGCTCAAAGAAAAATACGGAAATGGCCCCGTGGAGGAAGACGACGATGATGATGATTCAGACTCAGAAGACGTAACGGAAGATGAAGATGGCGAACAACTCACCCCGCAAATGGATGCTGCCATTTTACGGACACTACAGCGTATTAGAGCAAAAGATTCGGATTTGTATGATGCAAACAATCGTGTGTTTGATTCAGAACAGGCAGCATTGGCTCACCATGCATTTCCGACGGCCCAGCGAGACAGTAGCGGTAAGAAAGTTACACTACGCGACTATCAACGCAGCCGTATTGAAGAAGCTATAAAAACGTCATCAGACCCTGCTAAAGCAATTGCAGATGCTACAACATACCGCCCAGAAACGAATGATACTGCGCTTCCAACACATGACGCTGAACAAGAAGCTATTCGCTCAGAATTTCTAAATGCTGCTCAAGACTCCGATGAGGAAGATGACCTATTTCAAGTCAAAAGGGTCAGTGGAGACGATTCGAGTACGGATTATCGCACTGCTATTTTGGGTGCATTGGATGCTAAAGAAGGCGAGGATCAAGTCCGTAACCTCCTCAGGGATCATACAGATGATAAGTCGAGGTCAAAGGAAAATGAAGACTTTTTGATGAACTACATTTTAAACCGTGGCTGGGTAGATAAGGATGCGGCTCCCTCGGCGCCTGAACCTCCCCGTGACTGGGATGCGGAAGCTGCGGAGCTTGAAAGTGAAGCATCCTTTGATTCAGCGGCAGACGCATTCGAACATGCCTACAACTTCCGCTTTGAAGACCCAACTTTAGCGCAAAAGAACTTTGCTATTGAGAGTTTCCCTCGACATACGGAAGACACGATTCGTCGAAAGGACGACCGTCGAAAGAAGGCGCGACAAGAACGTGCAGCGCGCAAGAAGGAAGAAAAAGAAGAGAAAATGCGAGAACTTGATCAACTTAAGACTCTGAAGCGCCAGGAAATCGCAGAGAAACTGAAGAAATTACGTTTAGTTTCAGGTGGTGATAATCAGATGGATGGCAAAGCATTCGAAGGAATCGATTTTGAAGCTGACTTTGACCCTGATGAGCATGACCGTATTATGCAACAGCAGTTTGACGATGCCTATTATGCTGAAGAGGATGACGCTGTAAAACCACATTGGGATGATAACATTGAGATTGATGACATCATTGCAACGGAGACTAAGCCAGACAAGAAGAAAAAGAAGAAGGCACAAGCATCCAGCGAGTTTGATATGGATGCCGATTTTGTGGAAGGCCAGGACGTCAAACTATCAAAGAAAGAGAAGAAGGCATTAAAGAAGAAGGAAAAGAAAGCAAAAAAGAAGGCTGAACAGGCTAATGATGAAGAGGATGACATTGAGATGGATGCCGATAAAGTGGAAGCGAAGATGAGCAACTCGGATAGGAAGAAACGCGCGCGTGAGCTCATGGATGAGTATTATAATCTTGGCTATGAAGATATGATTGGAGATACTCCAACTCGCTTCAAGTATGCGTCTGTCCCTAAAGAAACCTATGGCATGAGTGCCGTTGAAATCCTACTTGCCGACGACGCTGATCTCAACAACGTGGTTGGTCTTAAGCAACTGCAGCCATACCGTCGCGGAAGCACAAAGCCAAGTAACCTGAAGAAAAGGTTGAAACGATTCCGCGAAGACCTGGAGGCCCGTATCAATCCTGAAGAGGAAGGGGAACGACCAAAGAAGAAGCGATTGGGCAAGAAGGAACGTCAAAAACTTAAAGCCCAAAAAGATACTTCAAGTACGGAATCTAGTTGAAATGGAACTTCTCCATATCGTCCATGACTTGCCTGCCTGCCTGGCGGAATAGCTCTGAAAAGGTAGACATCCAGTAAAAGGGACTCAAAGTAAACTTGTAGTCGTGCACTTTAAGAAGGTCGAAGAATTTGAGGAGCAGAAGAGTAAGAGGGTCAACACGGCCCTCAATAGTGTACCAGACAATCATCCAGCTCAAGTAGCCAACGAAGAGAATCACAGAAACGGTGAACATGATCATCAAGAATACGTAGACATAGAACATATTGTTCGCGTGATGAGCACGTTCGAATTCAGCTTTGGCATCCAGATCCTCTTTTGATTTATAGCCATGCTCTTTGAGGCGCAGAGCACGGTCACGCGCGAGAACCCAGTCTTGATACATGGCAGAGCGCACATCACCTTTTTTCTTGTTCGCAGAAGCCATAATGTACGATGGGAAAAGGTTTTCACACCACATTTCAATACGACCCAAAAGAATGCACCAGCGCAAGTAGTTGGGATCATCGGCCGGCAGCTTCTTATGAATTTCGCGAGCATAGTGTAGGAAAATCTTTGCAACCTCGCGTGGATTCGTAGCGTAAAGAATTAGTTGCACAGCAACACCTTTGCGGATTTTCACATTCTTCTTAAAAACGTCCGCATTGTCAAAGAGCTTTTCAAGGGTAGCAATAGCCATGACTTGTGGAGTAGCGCAGAAGTTGAAGACACTCTGGTCACGCAGCAGGGCGAGGTAGTCAAGAGACTTGATGCAATGTGACATAGCATCCAGGAGCATAGTTGAGAGAATTTCTCGTGCTTTCTTGCCCTCGACGGTATTCGCAAATTGGTACGAGCCAGAGCCTGGGCTAGTTTCCACTACACCACGTTGGATCTCCGACTGGTGCGAGAAAATATCACCAGTACCCCAGCACTCCTTAGGCCAGAAAGAGCGACCTTCCTCACAATCTTCGGCATAATCACGAATAATATTTGTCTTTTGCAAGAAAAGGCCCATATGGTTCGAAAGCTTTAACTGCAGACCAATAAGTGGGCGCTCAATATCAGTCTGCACAAACAGACCAGAAAGACCCTCACCGACGAGACCAGCAACAAAGTGGCAGTACAGATCATAGTCCTTGTATGTTTCCATAGTGAGACCATTTGGTGAGTTGCCCATTTCAATGTAGGATGCCATACCTGCACCCATACGAGCACAAATGTCGGAAATAACATTCCGGCATCCCTCATTGAGGAGCTGGTATTCAGCAATTACTTTATCAAATTCAACCAGGAGCTGGCGGTCCTTTTCATTTGGGCCACTTTCGGCGAAGTTCCAACCAGGCTGCTCAAGCTTCTTGTAAAAGTCAAGCAAGAGAGGAATTTTAACCTCAGGCTTGAGAGTCATGTCATCCTCTACAGTGTCCAAAGCACGCAGTACAAGATAGAAAATGCAAATAACACGACTGAGCTCACCCTTCAGCTCTTTAATGACAGCAGCAAAACTACGACTTGTTGCATCAAGGAAACCCCAGCAGTCACGCATGCGCTCACGGTCCCATCCACTTTCTTTAGGATTTTTCTTGAAATCATGGACAGGATCGCGCCACACTTTGTAGCTAATCAGAGCACGAAACTCCTGAGGATGAGTGATCGCTAGTTTCAGGTGCTCCATACTCTCTGGTCGCTGTGAGCGCGTACCGGAAAAGCCATATGCGATGCGCTCAGTTGGGGGCGTTTTACATTGTCACGTGGTAGAAAATATTCCGCGTGTAGGCCTCTTCAAAATGCTACCAGCCTACTGATCGTCGAAATTTCATATACCAATGGACCCTTTGCTGCAACCCCCTCTGCGCCTGGCCTCAGTGGCAAAGCCTACGTCAATTTCTACTCACGATGCAAAAGAAAATATCAACGCATTCATCCAAGACTTTAAACAACGCTTGGGAAATAATGCTGGATCTGAATCACAGGAAGTTGCTAACTCAGGAGGCGTCCTGATGAGCCAACTAATTCAGCTGCGCAATAGCATGGAGGAATGAACTTATTATACACATGATTGAATGTATCTTGATTTGATTGTGAAATTACGGTTATAAAACATCGAAGTGCTTTGGCACTAGTCATGGATAGTAGGTCTAGCATTATAGGAATAGTCCAATCATTATACATATACCCTACTTCTTGAGACCTTGGTCTTCCTCCAAAGATTTCAACAAAGTGATCAAGTCTGTGAATTAGTATATACTTAAAAGTTAAACATACCTTTATCCCAAATGTCCTCCTCATCGACTTCTCTTTCAATAACCTTGGACAAAGACTCGCTATTCTTGTCTCGATTCTTGGAGAATAACACCTCCCACCAAGAAAGATGACGATGGTATGGCTTCGTTGTATCTTTGGAAAGGCTTGTGTCGCCTTCAGTGAACCCAAATTCTAGAGGGTTAAGGCCTACAAGCATCAACTTTTTGCAAACATCAGACGACTTGGCAAGAGTACGTTTTTTATTTGTACGCAGCTGGATAAGGACATTATTCAACACTTCGCGCTGCAAAAGAAAATTTCGTTTCCTTTCTGTTCGAACACGACGCTGAGAGGTTGTGTTTAGAGCTAAGGATGTAACCACAGACAATAATACAAACTGAGGAGCGAGCTGTATTAAGGTCCTGTTCTGTAACCAAGTCATAGCGATCTCAAATTCGAAGTGAGAAGTAGTGAGATAGATTATTGGTCAGACTCAGAAAGGCGTACAAACCTCCACATATCCACTAATATAGAGGCAACACCTCCACATTGGCAAAAACGAAAAAAACCAATACGACTAACAAAAGAATATTAAATTAAACAAGTCAAATAAACAAACAACATAAATGCATTATAATTATATAATAAATAAAAATAGTTTATATATTTGTGTGCACAAATTTATACTAATTTTAGATTTATTATTCACTATTTAAGAAATTTTTATCATTTTGATATAACGTTTAAAATCAAAATACAACTATTTTACATTTTTTATTGAATCTAATGTTTTTTACTCTGTCTTAAACATTTTTTGTATTTAATATTAAATCTCCTATGCATTTGTTTTGATTTGTTATAAATAACTTTTCATAGAAATTTTGTTTAAATTTTTTTGTTTTTTTAGTTTTTTATCGTATCACGCGCTAAATTTTAACTGATTATTACATTATAATTGCATATATATTTATTATTTATTATGTGATAAAAATATATTTAATTTATATTTTACATTATGTGTAGATGGCTCCTATATCGCTCCACCAATCAGCTGCTTGCTCTTCGGTGATCTTGGTCACGCCTGTCGTCTTCTCTTCTCCACTTTCCTGAGCCTGGTTGTTCGCATCCTCGGTCAAGTCTATTACATTCTCTTGCATTTCATTCGAAGTTTCTCTTCCTTCCCTGGGTCCGTTTTTATGAGGCCAGGCTAGAACGCCAAAATAATTAATGTCCATTCGCTGAATGTCCCCTAAAATATCCTTCGATAATACGTTGGACGATTCGCCAATAGAGAAAGGCATCTGCATCATGTCAAATATAATGGATGAAATTGAGCCTGTCCCTAACTGCGAAATATATCGCTCCAATTGGCTTTTCAGCAGTGGGTCATCCATAGTATTGGTGATTCCAGATTTCCCTTCAGTAGACAGAAGCTCGTTCCAGGCCTTTTCAACAAACTCGAGAGGTGACGTATTGGCCAGGTCAGTGTTCTTCTTGCTCTTAGAATTGACCCTCGAGGATGCCTGAGCTAGATAGTCAGTAAGGTGCTCAGAAGACTTTGTTGGGATATTTGGTGACCCATGCGCGCCATTTTGTCCCTTATTGGATTGCTCAACTGCGCTTGGTGAGGTGTTAGACTTGGGCGAAATTTGATCATTCTTCAGATTGCTAGCCTTCGACATAGATGAAATCTGGTCTTCGTCATCGCGTATCAAAATTGGAGAGTCGGGTTTGTTTCTCTTGGCAGAGGATGGGTCAGATGGGAATACGTTCCTCTCCAAGGTACTCCCTTCTCGTTTCCCATTTTGGCCTTTAGTTGATGATGACAATACTTTGGCCATAATACGCTGAGCGAGTTTATCATCGTTGAGTCTTACAAACCCAATGCATCGTGTCATTTGGACCTTCAGCTTTTCCAGATCACTAAGACGTAGTATGCATTTTTTCTGTGGCAGTAAAGCAATTTGGTCATCAAACATGCAGATCATTATTTTGACACGTTTCGCCGGCTCGATATTACCAGTCATGGCCAAGAATGCAGGTAGTAAAGCAGCAACTGTAGTTTTTAGTGGCATTAATTTCTCAATTTGTTGAAGTACAGTCGTAGTTTCCTCTTCAGACAGGTTCTCCAAAATAGGTAATTTGGGTCGCGAAATCGAAAGACTCATGTCCATTTTATGCAAGGTTGCCTCTGCATCCTCAAGCATTTTGGGGGTCACCTTTATTGAATTGGCTCTTTTCTCGGCTGTCTCTCGAGCAGGCTGTGAAACGTTGGCAGTCATTCCTGTGCCTGCCTCTGTGCCTAACTTAGTTTGGGCCTGTGGCTGGGTCAAATGTGTGGTGCTTGGTTGCGGTGGCATTTGTAGGGGTACATTCGGTACGCTGGCAGCCACTGCCGGATTACCATTGTTCTGTGCCATAGCTTTTTGATAGAGTAAGGCTAATATTTGTTGTCCATTGGGTTGCTGCAATAGCTGGATGAGCTGCTCTTTGGTAATAGGCAAGTTCGGACGTGCTTGAGCTTGATTTACCTGGGGATTGAGTAGACCTGAATTAAGAGATGAGCCCATATTGGTCTGAACAGGTGTGCCTGTATTCATGGGCATCTTGCTGGTCATCCCAGGCTTGTTTTGCCCGGTACTATTCGCCATCGAGAGTTGATGGACAAGAGCACGATTCCATACCTCCTCAAATAGTTCCAAGTATGTTTTGTATAGCTGGGCAATTTGCATGCCCACTGAGGCTAGTTGGGTAGGATTGTTGGATATGAATCCAAGAGACATGGCCACAGCAGCCCAATTCCCTTTTTGCATAACAGCATTGTTTCCTCCCAGAGATTGAACAGTTGTGAAGAGTCGGTATAGATCCACCTCACGACCGTCAATGATAGGTTTGAATTGAACGGGCTTTCCATGCCGTTGCATCAAGTCTGTAAGCGCGCGTTTGAATTGGTCAGGCGACAGGGTGGTATTGGGAGCAATGCCTTGGGATGGAACTGCGGGTGTTTGGTAGGCTGCGTTGGGAGGCTGAGCTTGGAGAATAGGTGTCGTTGTACTGGGTAGAGTTCCCGGAGAAGGGTTAACCTGCATATTGGGGAAAGCCGTTTGCTGTCCGTACGAAGGCATGGTCTGGTTCGGTATGCTTTGGCCAGTCATAGCAGCTGGACCACTTTGAGGTTGCATGGGTGACTGTTGCGCAAGCACATTTCCTTTTGGTTGTGCTTGTTGCATTTGAGATCCTTGAGCCAATTTTTGCATAAGAGCGCCCTGCACACGTGTCAATTCCTGTAGAGTCCGTTGTAGCGATTGCCGCTCGTTTGCATTGATGGAAGTAGCAAGTTTTTGTTGGATTTCTACAATCCGTTGCTGGATCTTTTGGACAAACTGAATCCCTTGGGCCATACTTGTCTGGGAGACCATTTTGCTTGCATCAACACCATTTGACATTGGAGTTTGTTGCATGGGTGTGCTCTGAGTCTGGGTAGGCACCATGAGTGGTTGACTGGTTGACGCGTTCTGGCCTGCTTGTTGCATAGTCTGATACGAACTAGCAGAGGGGATATGCTGTGGTAGTGCAGGTTTTTGTGCCATACTTTGAGAGGCAGACATTTGTGAGCCCTGTGGCTGTTGTCCCATGATAGCCCTAAGCTGATAATGGTGAATAAGAAAGTATACATACCTGAGCAAGTTGAACTGGTGTCAAAAGACCTGCTTTAGCCTTAGCAATCATCTCCGATATCATCGATGCCGCATTGCTTGTATTCGACTGTTGTCCCAGATTTGGGAGGGTTGACATTTGTGGTGGCTGATTCATCTGTGGCATCATAGGGGATGGATTGAACTGTGTCCCAGGCATGTTTTGATGCATGCTGCTATTTCCTTGACCCATCATTGTTTGTAGATTTTGTGCAGCAAAGTTTCCAAGAAAATCTTGCTGCGACTTCGGAAAAGACTGCATTCCATGTTGCTGAGCTTGCATGGCCTGCTGAGCTTGGAGAGCCTGTTGAGCTTGGATTTGCTGCTGCCTCTCCTGTTGTTGAGCCATCTGAGCCATCTGCTGTTGGTTGTTTCCAGGGTACATCCCGCCTGAAGGAAAGAGCATCGTGAAACGCCCCTACAGCAGCCCAGTGGGGTAAGTACGTCTAGGAGTCGCGAACATTAGCGCCGTAGCCTGCGCAGGAAAGACCTCCACTATGACATAATTCAGCGCTAGGACCTTGAGAGAGGGACGACGTGGGCACCCAGAGGCCCAGGATACGTATGAACTAAAACACTATCTTACTCACTTCTGGGTATGCTGTATTACTTTCTGATCGGGGAAAGTTTGATAGAGGGGGGCGTCCCGAGAGATCAAAGGACATCGTGATACGGAAGGAAAATATGCGAGGCAGATTCAAATGGCATCATCCAGCTCCACCACCAGTGAATCATGTTCTTCCTTGGAAGGACTGGACATAGGAGCCATAGACTTTTGTTCTTTTGTAGAGGTATCTGCAGCGTCACGAACTGGATCCATATGCGCATTGGGTTCGTGCTCAACAATGGTCGCCTTGCTAGCGTCAGCTTCGAGACGCTCATAAAGGATACTACTGTTAGAGGTGTGCAAGAACGTACGCTCTCTCAATTCTCAGACGATGGATATTGTTCTTTATCCGGAGTGAAAATGCCTGGAGTTTATCATTTTCCTGCCATTAGATTGAAGGTGTGGGGTGTGACATACCTGCTCGATTTCGTGCACTTTACGTTTCAGCTCCTTGTATTTCTGCCGATATTTAATAGCATCGCTTTGGATGGCTACACTGGACAAATAGGCCTTGGACTTTTGCTTCGTTGGTGCTCCCGTGCCAGACGCTCCGCCGCTCGCCATGGTGACAAGAGGAGGGGAGCGCAGCGAGACGACGTCGAGTCACGTGGAGTACCACGTGAACGCACTGCCGCCATAGCGACCTTCTTTTTTTTCCGTGTCGCACGATGGCTAGCGAATCTCAGGCGAATGCCGCTGCTCCAGAGCAGCTTGCGAACGCGGTGAAGAACATGAGTGTGAAGGAGAAGCCTGCTAAGAAGGTAAAGGCAGAAAACACGTCGAAGGACCCGCTTGAGGTACGTATTTTACGATTTTCTGACGGTAGTTTGAGCCGCGTCCGGCGTACTTCCAAGCGCGTATCGACATGTTCGAACGCGTCAAGGCTGAGCAGGATGCTGCGCGTGCAGGTATGTGTATGATTTGTTGTGCTAATGACAGCTGCCGAGCGTAAGCCGATCAAGATTACTATGCCAGATGGCTCGATTCGTGAGGGCACATCGTGGGAGACCTCACCGATGGACATTGCGAAGCAGATCTCTAAGAGCTTGAGTGAGCGCGTGGTTATTTCAAAAGTAAATGGCCAGCTGTGGGACTTGGAGCGCCCGCTTGAAGACGATGTCACGCTGGAACTGCTCGATTTTGAGCACCCGGAGGGTAAGCGTGTGTTCTGGCACTCCTCGGCGCACGTTTTGGGTGAGGCCTGTGAGCGTCATTACGGCTGTCATCTGTGCATTGGCCCGCCCACGGAGGAGGGCTTCTACTACGAGATGGGTATGGGTGACAGCGGTGACCGTGTGGTCAAGTCGGAGGACTTTGACCCACTGGAGAAGCTGGTGACGATGGCCATCAAGGACAAGCAGCCATTTGAGCGCGTTGTGATGACCAAGGAGCAGCTGTTGGAGATGTTCAAGTACAACAAGTACAAGGTGCATATTATCAACTCCAAGATCCCGGACGGTACTTCGACGACGGTGTACCGCTGTGGTCCTATGATTGACTTGTGTGTGGGTCCGCATATCCCGCATACCGGCCGCATCAAGGCCATGACGGTGCTGAAGAACTCTGCGTCGTACTTCCTGGGTGACCAGAAGAACGACTCGCTGCAGCGTCTGTACGGTATTTCGTTCCCCGACAAGAAGCAGATGACGGAGTATAAGCACTTCCTTGCGGAGGCTGCGAAGCGTGACCACCGCCGTATCGGTAAGGAGCAGGAATTGTTTATGTTCCATGACCTGAGCCCAGGTAGCTGCTTCTGGCTGCCGCATGGTGCTCGTATCTACAACACGCTCATGGACTTTATCAAGAGCGAATACCGCAAGCGAGGCTTTGACGAAGTGATTACGCCGAACATGTACAATTCGAAGCTGTGGGAGACGTCGGGTCACTGGGCGAACTACAAGGACGACATGTTCTCGCTGCAGGTCGACAAGGAGACGTTTGCTCTGAAGCCTATGAACTGTCCTGGTCACTGTCTCATGTTCGGCAGCCGTGATCGTTCGTACAAGGAGCTGCCGTTGCGCTTTGCCGACTTTGGTGTGATTCACCGTAACGAGGCGAGTGGTGCGCTGAGTGGTCTGACACGTGTGCGCCGCTTTGTGCAGGATGATGCGCACATTTTCTGCCAGCCGTCGCAGATTGAAGAGGAGATGATTGGCTGCTTTGATTTCCTGCAGACGGTGTATGGCCTGTTTGGCTTCACCTTCAAGATGGAGCTCTCGACTCGCCCAGAGAAGTTCCTGGGTGACATTGCCACATGGGACGCTGCAGAGAAGCGCCTGGCCGCTGCGCTGGACCGCTTCGTGCCTGGCAAGTGGGAGCTGAACCCTGGTGATGGTGCCTTCTACGGTCCGAAGATCGACATTACGATCAGTGATGCTATGCGCCGCCAGCACCAGTGTGCTACGATCCAGCTCGACTTCCAGCTGCCGCAGCGCTTTGACCTTGAATATAAGACGCCGCAGGGCTCGGCAGAGGCTGAGAAGCACACTGAGCGCCCTGTCATGATCCACCGTGCTGTAGTCGGCAGTCTCGAGCGCTTCATCGCTATTCTGATCGAGAATTTCGCCGGTAAGTGGCCATTCTGGCTCTCGCCGCGCCAGGTGCTTGTGATCCCTGTGACACAGTCGGTGTACGACTACGCCGAGGAGGTGCGCGGCCAGCTCTGGGACCAGGGCTTCTTTGCTGATGTCGACCTGTCGGACAACACACTGAACAAGAAGATCCGTAACGGTGAGCTTGCGCAGTACAACTTTGTGTTTGTCGTCGGTCACGAGGAGAAGGCTACGCGCAGCGTCAACGTGCGTAACCGCGACAACGACCCGAACGTCGCTAAGGGCAAGACGGATACGATCGCGCTGGACGACATTGTGCCGAAATTGCAGCAGCTCAAGGCTTCGCGTGCGTTGGCCAATCAGCTTCCGTAGTGTAGGAATCGAGTGGTGGACAGATTAGTGGGCCGGTGGTGGGAAGGTCGTGCCGTGGCTGGTGGCATCGTCGTTGTCGCCATGGATGTTAGCCGGCTGGGCGCGCTTGTATACCGGCTGGACGACGCAGTGGCACTGGTCGACGGCCAAGGGAACCCAACATTGCCAAAAGGGAAGTGCTGGACGACAGGGCGTTTTAAGAGGCACTCAGCATCGTACATCTTCAACATCCCTTTATACACTTTTACCCATGTCGGCACATTCTGAGCAATATCATAGAGAATTGGTGAGTGCTCCATAAAAGGACCGCGCTTGAGGGAGTGGACACGCGCGAGGGAAGATGTGTACAGGTTCGGCTGTGGCCCAAACGGTTTCGGGGCCTCGTAAGCAAGCGTCTCTGCAGGCGATAGACGCGCATGGCCACGCGGCGTATGTTGATGCACAAAGGGGTAGAGTGCCATATCTGTCATCTGAAGCGGTGAGAGGTTCGCATGGCGCAACTGTGCAGCGCCAAAAATATAGGGCACAAACTGGTAATCGTCCAGACCCCACACGCCATGACTTCCGGCTGGCTCTAAAGCGTACCGGTCTTGCAGGTGCCATACGACACGAAGATATGCGGGAAATACCTCAAGCGCCAAGCGGGTCTCTTCGTCCGGTGTGCATGGTATACCAAATGCGCCAAGGCGCGTCAAGTAGCATAGCCAAGCGACAAAGTGCAGTTCGTGACCAGTGCCGTAATCAATCCGCACAAAGGAGCCAAAGGCATCCAGAAAGTACGCAGATAATTCAGGTATATACGCTTGCAGATGCTCTGGCAACAGTTGGCGGTGCAGAGACTCGACCTGCTCCGTCAGCCGCGCGCCCCAAGTGCGGAAGGCGAGATTGCCGAAACGCTGTGGGCCAGTCTGTGGTGCAATCTCATCTGTCCATCCATCGAGCTTAATGAGGAGGGAAAGGATATGATCAGTGAACGATTGCGAGTGTGTGTAGGCGCTCGAAGACCATTTAATGCAGCGCGTAGGCGCATCGACACACGCTTCGCCAAGCCGCATCAAAAACAGGACAAGGAGATCGTGGGTCTCACTCTCCCGCCATATTTCGATATGATCATCGTTCAAAATGCATTTGCGTGGTTTCTGGACCTTGGCACGTACCGATGGGTCATCAGCGGCCAGTAAGGGAAGCGGCGGCAAGGTCGTCGTCCTGTCTACTTCCTCGGCCATCGTTGTAAGAGAGAAGCTGGGTGTGCCAAGACCGTGCGCGCCACGTGGCCAAGAAAGGGCCGATTTTCTCAGTGCGCCACACGTTCGACGCGATCGACGCCATGGTCCTTGCGCGATGGAGTGTGTATGTGCGTGGGTTCCATACCACGGCACGGCACCTCGCCAAAGGCAAAAAAAGCAAAGGGGCAGATGCAAAGCGCCAGCTCCTGCCCCCTGGCTGGGAGGCCGTGATCGGTATTGAGTGTCATGCTCAACTAAAAGCGCCTACCAAACTCTTTAGTGGTATGTTGGTGCCACACTTACGATTCAGCAACGCCGCCTCCAGCTCTGCATGATGCGCCCAATACACACGTCGCACCTTTCGATGCAGGGTTCCCCGGTACATTGCCGTGCTTACAGCATGGTGCGGTCACAGCTGCCATCAAAGCAGCACTAGCACTACGCTGCCACATTGAACCACGCTCGTTCTTCGATCGAAAGCATTATTTCTACGCGGACTTGCCCGCAGCATACCAAATTACACAGAAACGAAGTGCGTACCTATAATCTAACATACAGAACCCTTTGCTCACTCCGGAACTGTCTCCATCCGCTTCGAAGATGGCTACTTAGCCTCGCCTGACGACGCTCTTGACGTTCCGATTGAGCAGCTGCAGCTCGAACAAGACACGGCCAAGTCGACATACGTTGCTACAGATGCGGATGCCCACGTCACCCTGCTGGACTACAGCCGTGCCGGCGTCGCGCTAGTGGAAATCGTAAGTGCGCCTGTGTTTCGGTCGTCCGAGCAGGCTGGCGCCTACGTCCGCAAGCTGCGGCAATTGCTACGCTGCGTCGGCGCGTCGGACGGTAACATGAACGAAGGCTCGCTGCGTTGCGATGCAAATGTGTCCATCCACAAAATCGGCGAGCCTTTCGGCGCACGCTGCGAGATCAAGAATCTGAATAGCGTCAAGTTTATGATGCATGCGTTAGGTACGTCCTTCTATCGACTCACACATACCAGACTACGAAATCGAGCGGCAATATGCGCAGATCAGTGCCGGCAAAAGCATTGTTCAAGAGACTCGTGGGTTCGATGAGGCGCGTGGCACGACGCATAGTCTTCGACGCAAAGAAGATGCGGTGGACTACCGTTTTATGCCGGAGGCCAACGTTGGTCCTTTGCTGATCACTAAGGCGCAGGTCGAGGAAGTACGTGCATCGCTACCAGAACTGCCAGACGCTCGACATGAACGATTGCGGTCGCAGTACCATCTCTCTGTGCGTGATGTCAATGTACTCACTCGCCTCAATGCCGAAGACGATGCGGCAGGGCCATGCCTTGTGCCGCGCCTGGATGGGTGGGAGTACAAGTCGGACGCTGTGGACTTCTTCGAGGCACTGGTCCGCTTGGAGTGTGCGCCGCAAGTCGCAGCGAACTGGACGATCCATTTGCTGCCGAAGCACCTCGGTGCAGCAGGCGTGCCGTTCTGTCACAACCCCATCCCCCCTGTCGTCATTGCCGAACTGATTCACCTGCTTTCTGAAGAAATGATTACACGTACGTATACGGGACAACTTATCCAGAATCCACGGCGCAATCTATCTTGCGTGATATGGTGCAGACATCGTCTTTCCCTCATCGCCATGGTCAGCTATGCTTACGTGAATGGATTCGCGAGCAGGGCTGGCAGCGGCTGGGCATCGAGGAGTTGCGGCCGCTGTGCCAAAGCATCATCGACTCTTTCCCTGATGAAGTCGCTGCTATCCAGAACGGAAAGACTAAGGTGATGATGCGGCTTGTCGGCGAGGCTATGCGGAAGGGCCAAGGCCGCGCCGATCCAGAGCAGATCACCGCGTTGCTCCACGACCTCGTAGTGGCCAAAGCGTAGCACGTGACTCCATACTACCACCATCACCACCATGGCGGGATCGGGTGTCGAAGACCTGCTGAAGCGTGCTGAGAAGAAGGCGACGTCGTCCGGCGGCTGGTTCTCCTCGAAGAACAGCGGCAAGGAAGAAGCCGTAGAGCTGTACAAGGAGGCGGCGAACAAGCTGCGTGTGGAAAACCGCATGGAAGAGTCGGGCCAGGTGCTGGTCAAAGCGGCTGAGCTTGAGATCCAAATTGGCGAGAAGGATTTCGCTGCGAACACGTACTATGAGGCGAGCAAGTGCTTCCGCATGTCGCGTCCTGACCGTACGTATTTCGTGTACTCACAATGGCAGAGGCTGTGATGGCACTGGGCCGCTGTGCTGATATTCTGGTGGAACGTGGTCGTTTCCGCCAAGCGGCTGATCGTCAGAAAAACATGGCGGAGCTGTACCGTGAGGACCCGAACCGCCTTGATCAGGGACTTGCGGCGTACGAGCGTGCCGCGACGTGGTACCTCCAGGAAGGCGCGACAGCGTACGTATGCGACTGACTGACCTCGACAGCACAGCCTCGGCATGCCAGCGTGAAGCTGCGCAATTGGCTATTCAGCTGCAGCAGTACCCACGCGCCATCGAACTGTGGGAGGCCGTGGCAGCGGCAAGCCTTAACAGCAACCTGACTAAGTACAGCGTCAAAGAGTACTACCTCAACGCCGGCCTCTGCTACCTGGCCATCCCCGATGTGGGCGCTGCAACACGTGCTATGGCATTCTATGCCCAGCAAGATCCCGGGTTCCCTTCTACGACTGAGGCGCAGTTCCTGCATGGTGTGCTAGAGTCGTGTGAGCACAGCGACTTGGACTCGTTCGATGCTAAAGTGCGCGATTTTGACCGCATGAAGCCAGTAACTGGCTGGCGCGCTACCCTGCTACACACGATTCGCACGCAGCTGGCTGACGGTCCTGATCTCTCGTAGAATATGTGCACTATAAAACATCCTTAAGTGAATGCGAGGCACTACCGCGATCCAGCGGCTTCTTCTGGTCCGGCGATGGTTTCCAGCCGATCTGTTGTGAGCTGGAGTCAGTACATACCATGAATATCTGTGAAAACGTCGCAGGCACATAGCCCTCTGGACTGCCATGCATCGCCTGGTACGTTGCGGCGGCGGCAAGGAGCGTATCGCGGTGGAGGAAGGTCTGGCGGTTGATCACCGCATTGTTCTCACCCATATCGCGCAAGTCCTGCACCAGCTCAAACATACTGGGGTAGTTGATCGTAAGCTCATCAATATCCACCGTCTGTAGTGAGAACTGCGCACGTGTAAGCAGCGACGACACGTCGCGTGTATCGGTCATGGGCGACACACGCACAGACAGACCACCTTGTCGCTCCTGCTCGGCCAGCATCAGACTTGTACGCAGCTCGAACAGGGTATCTCCACCTAGCATGTACCCAATAAATACGCCATCGGGCTTCAGCGCGCGCTGAATCTGTATCAACGCACCAGGCAGATCGTTTGTCCAGTGCAGGCTGCCTGTTGCGATAATGCAGTCCAGTGAATTCTCTTCAAATGGCAATAGCTCTTCATCCACGACGCGGCGCTCAATCTCAACTGCGTGTGAATATAAAGGTGTACGTACAAGGAAAGTCTTTGTCCAGGTGCGCATCGCGATACAACAGTTCCTCTGTGGATTAGCATAATTACACATACTGCTCATATCACACATAATCAGCTTCTCAATGCCTGTGCCCTGCACATCCAGGTGATGACGCAAGTGCCCAGCACCAGCCCCTAGCTCTACGACGACTGGAAAGTTGCGTTTAATGTCCTACTGTAAGTACAGGCGCCACGTACCATGAGTCGTTCTGCCAAGCTCATAGCTCCGGCCTCCCACACATAGTCTGTAAGACGCGAGATCTCTCCACGGTGACTCTCATCTAGATAGGAAGTACCGCTTTCATCGACAGGGCGACGCAAGGCCGCGCGTGAACGTTGCATACGCTTCGTCTCTCTGTCAAAAATCTGGTACGGCGCATTCGGTGGCGTTGCTGTCGGCGAAGCCTGACGTGCCAACGACGTCGTCCTCAGACCACGTAGCATGCCTGCCGATGTACCCACACGCATGGTCGATACAGACGTCGTCATTTGTCGAAGCAGTTGCGTCGCCATCGTGATCGTCGTCGTCCACGATGTCGCCGAGGCTAGATGGTTCGCGCGCACTTCGCATGGGCACCCCCCGATACGCACCCCGATCCTCCCCTCCACCCTGCAGGTCTATACCATGGAGGGTCATAGCGCAAGAGCCGTGGCAACCACCGATCCATTGCAGACATCCGTGTATGATGCTCTGGTAGCACGAATTGATGCACTTGAGAAACGAATGAAGTACGAGCAAACGATAAATGCGCGTACCATCTCTGCTTTAGAAGAGCGTATAGAGCAGTTGAAACTATCAGCTACGTCCTCTCCCTCATCCTCAGGGACTTTGCCTAGCAATAGCGCCATCACAGAATGGCTTATCCAATTTGAGAAGAGGTGGGCTGAGCATGCAGAACAGACCGACGCAACATTACAGCGTATACACACAGCGATGTCAACATGGCAAGAACCCACAGGGGCATCGTCTTTACCTACTGCACCTCTCCCCGCACCACCTGCCTACATGAATTCCGGTCCAACAGACGCACCAATATTACAATCATCCAGCGGATATGCTGACGTCAAGGCCCAGCTAACGACTGATCAAGCCAGTACCTCTACTTCCACTCCTCCCTCTACTACCCCCGCCCGAATGCAGCCCCCCCCTGACCCTATTGTGAAGTTCCTACTATCTGAGGTGGCAAAATTGTATAGCCCTTCTTCTTCTAGGTAGTCAAGACTAAAGGATATTCTTAGCTTGCGACTGTTCCGCGCGATGCATACGCGACAGCAATTCATGCGTTACACAACAGGGCGAATTGCGCCGCCACGTGCTATTTTAGGTAGGCCACGAACGCTTGGGCCTCCTCCGCTCATCTTCGTCTACGTACGTACCTTGCGCCGCGCCGTCATGCACAATGCCGTATTGGATGTTGTGCTAACGTGCCTTGCGGAGAAGGTGCCTACATGCCAGGCGTATGCACGTATTGTCGAAGCCGCGCGTGCGAAAGGCGGTCTTGCCGTGTTACAGGCAGAACTTACAGACGTCCTGGTGACCATGGCATTTGCATCGAAACCCATGCCTCCCCTCTTACTAGACTATCTGGATGCCTTGTGCATGAAATGTGCCTATGATACCGATGTGACAGCATTCGAAGAAGGGCGTGTTCTCTTGGTCCTTCTTAGAAAATTGCCCGACGCAGCGCAGGATGTCGACCAAGCTACTGTTAATATGCTCAGCCAGCTTGTCTTACAAGCCGCTGGTGACCCAACTATGTCAGACACTGTATCATTATCTTATTTCATTGAAGGATTTGACAACGATTTCCTTGCTTTCTGGCGTGCCACCTTGCACCTTGTGCGCGATGCGGACGGCGCAGGCGCCCGTCTATTTACTCGGCTTGTAGCACAGGCAGCGCGTGATGGGTGGCCTACACTTGACGAAAGTCCGGCCCTCGAAAACATCCAAGAGGAGATACAGCAACTCGCTGCTTCTGTGGATGCGATGCACACCAATCGTCCTACAAGTGATGGTGACGCGACGCGGCATGCTGTAGCGACATTGCAGCGTGGATTGTCATCTACCATGGTGGACGATCTCTTTGACGAGACAAATGTATCCGTATCATCACCGATACAGCCATTATGGGGAACTAGGGCCTATTTAGCGTATGCTACGTCCTTGCATGTTGCATGGCAGCAATCGCAAGGCGCGCAAACACGCCGACCTGTCTTGCCTGTGCCATGTTCGCCCGAACCAGAAATGTTCCTTCTTGCACACACCTTGGCAAATGGTGATATGGACTGGACACAGAAATGCCTTGCCGTGCAAGGCGTATTTCAAGCCCATCTGCATCACGCGGTACGTATTCCATCATATTCTAATCACAGGCGGAACCGGCCTCCGATTTATGTTGTGCCTTCCTATTGGAGCTCTTTGTTGCATGCATTCACACAGCGATGGAAGCCCTGCAACATGAAGCATCCCGACGAAACGCTCGTTGGTGGCGTGCAGTTGTCAGTGGATTGGTACGTATTACCTAGCTTACCACTCAGCTTCCCCCGCTTTCTGTATTCCTTATGGCCAATGTGCCTGCTACGAATGAAAGCACACTGACATGGCATGAAGTCATGCATGCACTTTTTGCACTATGCCAAAGTGTGCAAACTTGGTCTGATATGGACGCTCCTCTTACAGAGCCAAGTCCTTCTGTGATGTCACAACTTCCTGGAATATGGGAAGCCTGGATGATGTCGTTTACCCCGTCATCAGCCACGACTACACCTCCCTGGAGGGGGGTGCATGCTGATGATGTGATGCCACTTGCCTCATCACATGTGCAAACATACATGTCGCATGTACAGTCATGTCTCACTGATAAACCGGCACAGCTTGGTCCACTGTTTGAGCAGGCCCTCCATGATCCATCTCTGCAGGCTGTGCTTATGATGGAGACTCGGCGTATCTTACAACAGTGGTCGGAGAGCCACTCCGCTGATATGTCACGCGTGGCCGTGATATGTCATGCAATAGAGGAACATTCGCCTGAGCTGATGGATATCCTATCTCTCTACATGAAGCCTCGCGTGGTATGTGAGGCCCTGGAAATTGTACTCTCACATATGCATGACTCTCTATGGCAGAATGCGAGTGACCTCGAGACAGTAACTCAAGTGATCATTCTCCTGGAAGGCGTTTCATTGCTAAGTACTCCCTGCATGTCATATGTTGGTGAGGCACGCGTATTCTACTCCATGCCAACACCACTACTTGATGTGCCTTCTCTTCCCAATCCCATGCATGACCTGTTGGTCCGTTGGTGCCAGGCCATGACAAGCGCACATGGGATCTCTGATACATTATTGAGCGCTTCGCCGCCTTGGACCTTGTACCGTCTTGCACCTACCCTCGTGTCCCATCTCCTCGATGGCTACCGTCATGGATACTTCGACAAACAAGCGCTTGCCTCTGCCTTGTCATACTTCACACAGGCGCCATTACGGTATGCCTTGCCCAATGCGCTGCACTGGCTCATTACCTATACGCAACAGACGATGGCGCGTGCGCAGTACGCTCCAAAAATGAGCTCCGATGTGTCTCTCTGCCTGGAACTCCTGCATATGCTTACTCGTGCTGAAGGCTGTACTACCTTGATACGCTCCATGATCTCTGCGCCTCTTCGCGCCATGTTGCAGCACGAACGCATTGCTGCTATAGCCTCGCAGACAGGACTGCAAGTACCAACGTGGAGCGAATCGCTACCTACCAACTGGAATTCGTACAAGCCTACGAAGTACAGTCTTGCAATGATGCTGCGCACTGCATGCGACCTACCGCCCTCGTCGACGTTACCACAAACGATTGAAACCCTTTGTGTTGCGCCCAAAAGGCCACGCGAACTTGCTTCGCAGTTGTTCTCGGCTGCACTATGTACTGCCTCTGATGATGCGACGAAATCCAAGCTACTGGCAGCGACATTTGCGCTGGTCCGTTTCGATCCATTATGTGCCTTACCATTGTCGGTGGTGCGAATGGCACTGCTACATTGGGACATGTCTCTTGCCACGCCTGAGCAAATGCGGCATGTAGGACGAATTCTGGTCCTTAGTGCTGCTCTTGCTAAGCATCTACCTGGCGGCCCTGATGGTGTTCAAGGTCTCATCGACGACCTCGCTGCCTTCTCTATTGAGCCATTGGTTCATGTGCTTCGTCTTGAAGTTGTATAGTTTGTGGAGTAGTAGGCGTACGAGCCTATAAGTCATGCTTACCGAAGCGATGTTCCTCCACACCCAAAAAAACACAGGGCCACCCTAGACGGCAAATTTGGGCAAGTGACTTAGGCGTAGAAAAAAAATCGAAAAGACTCACGCACGGACAAAATGTCCCGCTCGGATTTACGCCTTTCCACAGCTCACCACTTTGTCCATGCCTGTTTCGCATAATCTCAAGACAGATTCGCAGATCGAATGGTTCGCGTCGCTAGACCCCATTGACCACAAGGTCGAAAACGGGTTTATGCGTAAGACGTACGTATCCGGATGATGAAGTCCTGACTCGTTCAGCTCTATTATTGCGACGATCGGCCCGAAGACCATGTCGGTGCCTATGTTGCACAAGCTGCGTGCTGCTGGCATCAATATCGGTATGTTGTGTTTTTGACTAACCCTGCAGTTCGCCTCAACGCCAGTCACGGTGACCACAACTACTTCAAGTCGGTTGTCGACAATGTGCATCAGGTGGAGAATGAGACGCCCGGTCGTCCGGTGGCCATTGCCCTGGATACCAAGGGACCCGAGATGCGTACCGGTACGATGGTCGACGGTAAGGACCAACCGATCTCGGAGGGCCATGAGCTCATTGTCACGACCGATCCATCATTTGCTGACAAGTGCAGCACTGAAGTGTTGTACATTGACTACCCGAACCTGCCGACAAAGGTGAAGCCTGACCGCATTATCTACATTGATGACGGTATTCTTGCCCTGCGTATCCTCTCCGTGGACGGCAACAAGGTGAAGGTGCGCGCAGAGAATGATGGTGTTCTCTCGTCACACAAGGGTGTGAACCTGCCACTAACGGAGGTCGACTTGCCGGCCGTTTCGGAGAAGGACCGTAAGGATCTTGTGTTTGCTGTGGAACAGGAGCTTGACATGATCTTTGCGTCGTTCATTCGCTCGAAGGAGAACATTGAAGAGATCCGTGACATTCTAGGCGAAAAAGGCGCCCACATTCGCATTATTGCCAAGATTGAAAACCATCAGGGTCTGCAGAACTTTAACGAGATTCTCGAGGCGGCTGATGGTATTATGGTTGCTCGTGGTGATCTCGGTATTGAGATCCCCGCGCCTGAGGTGTTTTTGGCGCAGAAGATGATTATCTCGCGCTGCAATATTGCCGGCAAGCCTGTCATTTGTGCGACGCAGATGCTTGAGAGCATGACCTTCAATAACCGTCCTACGCGTGCCGAGGTCTCGGACGTGGCCAATGCCGTCGTCGATGGTGCGGACTGTGTGATGCTTAGTGGTGAGACGGCCAAGGGCCGCTACCCTGTTGAGGCTGTGCGTATGATGGCCGAGACGACATACATGGCTGAACAGTGCTTGTCGTACCGTGCCATGTTCAACCAGATGCGTGCGCTAAAGACTGTGCCGATCAGCACCATCGAGACAATTTCCATGGTGGCCGTCTCGGCGAGTCTCGAGCAGCATGCTGGTGCTATTCTGCTCATGTCGACTTCAGGCCAGACAGCGCGTCTCGTGAGCAAGTACAAGCCGCAGTGCCCAATTCTTATGGTCACTCGTAATGCATACACAGCACGTACCTGCCACTTGCACCGTGGCTGCTACCCCTTCCACTACCCACTGCCCCACATCGAGGACCAGTCACGCTGGCAGGAGGATGTCGACAACCGTATCAAGTTCGGTCTGTCGGAGGCGCTTAAGCTTGGCATTATCAACAAGGGTGATACTGTCATTGCCGTGCAGGGCTGGCGTGGTGGTAAGGGCTACACGAACTCACTGCGTGTGCTTACTGTGCCTACGACGTCGGAGGGCTACATCCTCGAGAACACTGACATGCCGCCGGCAAACAAGTAAAGAAGAGTATTCCCGCTATTCATGCCTATTTACGGGCGCTTCTCGTGCAGGAACTGGAAGTCGAATTGCGAAGTCAACGTTCCCACCTCGCGGAAGAGCGCCTGGAACTCATCACTAGCTTTGTGGGCTTCAAAGGCAGCCTCATCCACATACTCCTCTGTTTCGTAGTTAGCTGTCCGTTCCCTATACGGCCTTTATATTGATACGTACCAAATACAATAAATTTGAGCTTGTCATTGACATCACGCGAAACACGGTACTGCCATTAGGTCGTCATCTTGTACTCACCGTCTTGGTGCCCGCCTCGTCGTTGTTCGCCTTGCGTGAAATCGTCACGAGGTGCTTCTCCAGCGACTCGGCCTCTGCCTCACCCTTGGCAGTGATGCTACTGTCAGTCTTCGACCAATACGTACGCAGCCACGAGAATAAAGGGACCTTGCTTCGGTGCCGACATGGTGATTGGTAAGGAGGAACCCACCCGCTCGCGGCCGGCCGTGCGGGGCGTCTATGCAGGCACGCATTGGGTGGCCCATGCCAACGCACCTCATTCAATCACGTGCAAAAGTGACACTAAATATGGGTCTCAGCGCGTGTCTCGCTCGCTCGCTGCTTGCCTGCCTGCCTGCCTTTTGGATCGGCACGGCCCATATGCCATGTCTGAGCTCTTCGACTTGCTCAACTTCGGCACACCAATACATGGGCATGGCGCCCCTGATCGGCCACGCAGCGCCTCACCCTCACCGCGTGGTCATGTAGCTTGGGCCGCCAGTCAGCCCAGCTCGTCCCCCAAAGAGCTTTGGGACTTGGCGTCCAGCATGGCCCTGCCTGCTGGCGCCTTACCGCCGCCGCTAAACGAAAAAACCAACATGTTCGATACATCGATGCACGATACCACCGATGGCGTAAAAAGCCCTAGCCAGATTCGCGCTACGCGCACACGACGGCGTGCTCGTGCGTCCGCTGTGCCTGTGTCTTATACCTATAATATGTGCCTTTATGCGCCATCGTCATCTACATCCCATACAAATACATCAAAAGAGACCTCTCCTGAGCCTCCTGCAAAGCGGCGGCGCCAGCATTCGGGCATCCAACGCACTCGCAGCGATCCTACAGCATCGACATCGTCACCTTCTCACACCCCTACGCCGCCGCATGCGCCTCTATCTCCTACCCCAACACGGCCATGCTCGTCAAGTACCGTTCCTACACCAGCGAAAACAAACAAAACGAAGAAAGAGGAGGACGTCGCGGCGCCCAGCTCAGACGACAGCTTTGCACGGATCCTCGAGGACGATTTCCCGATCGACGTTGCCGCAGTTGAAGAAATGGCTGCCTTGCAGGGATGGTAATTCTTTTCTTTATACCCTTATCTGCTCATACAGTTTCTAGACTACTACGCTCTGCATAAGCTTTTGTGTAAAATAACGCGAGGCGCTCGTCTGCATACAACGCAGCTTGCTGCTGTCCTAGGCGCAGGAACTTGGAAGGCCGGCGTATACGATGACTCAACATCACAGGCGCTGCCTCCGCATTCGCTGTATGTACAAACAACGCTTCCATCAAATACAATTGCAGTTTCGTCAGCATGGTATTTTCTAGCTCGCTGAATCCATGTCGTATCCGGTCGACAAACATCCCATCGACATAGGCATTCATCGGACTGTCATTCCATCCGTACAAATCCGTAATAGATTCTTGAAGTTCCTGGCGAAAGGCCTCTTGGGCATTGTTATGCCAAATACCACGGTCTGTCCATGCCCCACGCAATTCTTGCGGCCATCCACCCGTGTACATCGAGTTCTGTAGACGCTTGCGTTGCATTTCCACATTGGTACGCTCCTTGGCTCCTTCACCTTGCTCGTTTCGCCAGCACAAATCCAGGCGCTGAAACATGTTGACACCAAGCTGACGTAGAAACGACTGTACATATTGAGACTCTTCTTCGTCTCCCGTATAAGTATCCAATTGCACGTTTTGGAAAAAGTGACGGAGACGCGTAGCAAAAATATCCGTAGGCCGGAACGAGAATTTTCGTGTATCATATCGGAGATGCCTCACGCCTGGTATCCGCTTCGATGCATCTGACTCTTCCTCTGAGAGCTGGTGAGAAAGGTGGCCATTGACACTCATGCTTCCTGCACAAAGTGGCTCTAGGATTGTGAGTGGCATAGGCAGGCCCGTTAATTCACTTTGGGGGCTCACGCCTATTACATGCAAATGTGTCAAGCGATGGAGCAAGCTTGAGGGAGTTGTGTTGGAAGACGAGGAGAAAATGGACGATAGCAGTGTCTCATTTCCATCGAATACCAACGTAAGGGATATGGGTGAGATTTTTTGTAGACCTCTAGCAAATGCTTGAAGCTCTACTGAGCCAAGGGACAGGATATCAAGAGCGGGGAAGTAGGTTAGGAAGTCCGTCGCTGGTACCATGTTTGCCAACGTTTCTGGCGGCAGCGTCGCAAGGCGGGTTAAGAGATCGGGCTCTTCATCATCACTCATATCAACAAACAAATGCTTAGTATACTTCGTAGGCATCTTGCTGGGGATCGATATCAGGTTGTCACATTGCACAATCCAGGACAGTGTCGTCATAAATCGGAACAGAGAGCTGTACTTGTACAGCGCAATCGTCTTCCATCTGTGAGCCTGTGTGATTTTGCATACATCCCTAGATACGTAGGCTAGCGTATGCGCTGTGGGTATATCATCACGGGCTGCTTCCAGGAAGATGCGCCATTGCAGCTCTGTCGGCAGAGGCATGGTGGGCATTCGAATGCGGGGAAATACGATGCAGATGTACACAATTTCACCGGAGCATCGGTGATACTTGGCAGGGTAGCAAAGTGGTCTAATGCAGCGGCCTTAAGTAATGGATGTTTTTCATTCGTAAGCAATCCGCCATTCGCGGGTTCGAACCCCGCCCTTGCCAACTTTTTTGTGCACCTATCTATGTTACGTGGATGGACAGAGGTGCATACGGTTGCGTCTGGGCCAGCGTACATGCACCCATGGATGCCAACGTCAAAATGTGCCATACTTTTTGTGTAAGAATGAATAAATACGAACAAGCTTGGGCTGGTACACGAGGACCTTGATTGGTACTTGGGATCAGCTCTTGGAACTTGATGACAGGTGCGCCCATTTTGCTCTGTGCAACAATGCGCATGTAACTAGGGTAAGCATCGATCATACGTACATGAGAAAGTCGAATGTCTCTGGCTCAAGTTTCGCTGTCACATCATCGGGCCCTACCGTGTAAATGATGGTTTGTACACATACCATGTGTCTTGAGTTCCGTCACGGCCTTTTGTGCCCCTAGCCTTACTGCATCCATGGACGAAATTAAATGCGTGGATGTTGAGACAGAGTTGGGCTCTCTAGCGCTGTCAGACCATCGCCGCTGGTATACACTGTCCCATGAGAGTCCAGGTGATTGGAGTTGCAAGGCATGTTGTACGATGGATGTGTTCGCACTAGAAAAGCTGTCATTCGCAGCGCACTCTTCGAGAGGATCCAGCGGCACCTGGCCCATATGACTCCATGGGAAGTAGTCCATGTGACTGGGATCATCGGTGGATGTGGGCCATGCACGCCCCACTTCTGACGTGTACTGTGGTGAGAGATGCTTTCGACGTACCTCTTCGCTCACGTGTCCTGCCGGATCCAATGATGCCAGATCTGGTTCCTGTGAAGGCGGGTTCACCACGTCTTGGAACTTGGCTAAAGCCTTCTCTCTGCATGCCTCATGCTTTTGCTGGAAATGGTGATCTGGCTCGTTGTGAAGTGTACGTACCAAGTCGACCCAGTGTTTCTCCGACCGTGGCATCCCACAAGGGCACGAGCATGGGAGTGGTGAGGTGATCTACGGTCAGGATCCATGTACGTACACAGTCGAGGTACTGTGCCTGATGGCCATGTGGGACGAAGCATGTTGACACGGGGGTCCGCCTGTGCTATGTTGCTAGCCTTGGCTCGACAGACCTGTTCCCATTCACAAGCGCTGTACCCCGTTTTCCTGTCCCATGGACACGGTCGATACTTGGTCTTTTTTGGTTTCAGCCACGCTGCGCGTTTCGGTGGTGTGAAGTGCGGCTCGGTCGATGAGGCTGCGACGACGATATGGCGTCTGCGTGGTAACCTATCGTCGAACATACCTGTGCATGGAATCGAGCGGACCTGTGCGTTGGTCCCATGGCGTATCACTGAGCAATGTGGAAGACGATGTGGATGGCCATGACGGCGGGTCTGGATCGATGCCGAGGTCAAAAGCCTGGTCATGTGGGATGATAGTGCAAGGCCCGATAGGGTCCCACGTCGCAGGCAATGGTATATCAGGTATGTGAGGCAGTGGAATACATGGTTCTGTACACACATTGAGTGTTGTAGGCCTGCCGTCGATTCGTCGATGCCTATCCTGCCAAGGCCGGACGTGAAATTCACAAGTGAGAGTGTCAGGGGTACAAATGTCAGGCCATGTAAATGTGGTGGGCCCATCATGGGTATAAGTATGTGCATCTGGGCTTTTGCGTTTAGATGTCATACTACGTGGGGCTGGTCTTTGTACTTGTGCACGCATACGCTGCAGCTCCTTCTTCAAGCACTCTACTTGAGCTTCGTACAATCGTGTGGTGCCTAGCAAGAGTATGCTTGCCTCATACATGGGGCGAAGTCCACAGGAGTGTTGTGCAAGTAGGCTGAGATGAATATGAGCAGGCACGTACCATACATCGATCAGGTTCACATGCCTCACATCGTTGCACGTTAAGCGTGCATGACTTGAATGTACGCCCAGTGTGCCTGCTATCCTACATGTTAGCGAGATATACGTACCATACAATTTGCGCTGCCCCGGTTCTACCTGTCTGGCGCGACATGTTTTCTATCTATTCTTCTATCGAGCTGACTTTCATATAGGATTCGCCATACCGGGATCGTTCCGGTCCCGGTGCATATCATGGCTGATGACAGTATGACACTCCGAGATGTAGGCGTCGAATGCTTCGTCTTTGCTGGCTCTCAGTCACTACAATCAACCTGCCAGGCACAGGCACCGTAATGGGGTCTATGCCGCAGCGTGACCCTCGTGCAGGACCCATGACGGCCATGAAGCATAAATCCACACACACGCAGCTCTCGTCATCTTCTCTTTGCCCCACATAGTGGATGCTATTTAGATCGTTGGCTCGTCCCTTGTTTCGTGCCACCACTGATCTAGTTCGCCCACTGACTGTCCGCCCGTTTTCTACGTCGTTCCCTATGAGTGCAACGACATGGACACCGCCTGCCCCTGACGCGGTGCCGGCGCCCAAGCCACGTCCTATTCGAGATATTCACTCGTATGCCAACATGAACGAGCTGAAGCCCGTGAGCATGCATCTGCAATGGACGATCGACTGGGAACACAAGCGTATCCATGGCTCTGTGGCTCACAAGATGGAAGTGCAGCAGACCAACGTGTCGCGTGCCGTCCTAGATACCTCGTACCTTGATATCCACCATATTGAGGTCGATGGTACGAAGACATCCGACTACAAACTAGGCGAGCGTGCTGGCCCGCTGGGTGCGCCACTCAGCATCGATATCGGCTCGCGCAGTGTTGGCGAGATGGTCGACATTACCATCCACTACTCGACTACGGACAAGTGCACGGCGCTGGGTTGGCTGTCGAAGGACCAGACGCACGCAAAGAAGACGCCGTTCCTCTACTCGCAATGCCAGGCCATTCATGGTCGTTCGCTGTTTCCATGCATGGACACGCCTTCCCGCAAAGTGACGTACTCGGCAGAGATCACCTCGACCATCCCTATTCTCATGTCGGCGCTGCAGGAGACCCGGCCAAAGCCGGCTAGCGGTGATGCCAAGGTGTACGAGTTCCGCCAACCTGTGGCGATTCCGACGTACCTTGTCGCGATTGTCGGTGGTTTGCTGGAGTTCCGCTCGCTGGGCCCTCGCACAGGTGTTTGGGCCGAGCCTCCCGAAGCTGATCGTGTGCAATGGGAGTTCGAGGCAGATGCGGAGCGTTTCCTGGAGGAAGCGGAGAAACTTGTATCGCCGTATTCGTGGACACGCTATGACAGTGTCGTACTTCCGCCTTCGTTCCCGTATGGTGGTATGGAGAACGCGAATCTCACGACGCTTACCCCGACGTTGGTGAGTGGCGACCGCAGCGCTACGGATGTCCTGCTTCACGAGCTGTGCCATTCATGGAGTGGTAACTACACGTCGTGCATGAACTGGGAGTCGTTCTGGCTGAACGAGGGCTGGACTGTGTACTTGGAGCGCCTGCTCTTGCAGATGGTGCACAAGGACGACAATGGTCCCGGTCACCGTGGCTTTTCGTACATTATCGGCAACAAGGCCATGCGTAACTCACTCGAGGGCTTTGCTGATGTGCCTCGTTTCCAACGCTTGATGCCCAAGTATGTGGATGGTGAGGACCCTGATGATGCGTTCTCTTCGATTCCATACGACAAGGGTGCGAACTTTTTGTTGTATCTCGAACGCGTCGTGGGTGGTCTAGACGTCTTTATCCCGTACCTCAAGGCGTACTTCCACACGTTTGCGGGTCGCTCGCTGTGCACGGAAGAATGGCACGAGCATTTGATGGCATACTTTGCCGGGAACGAGAAGGCGACCAAGGCCCTGAAGGAGGTGGATTGGGATGCATGGCTCCACGGCGAAGGCACTGAACTGCCGGTGCACATGGAGTACGATGGCTCGTTGGCTGTGGAAGCTTTTGCGCTGGCGGACCGCTGGGTCGACGTGATTAAGCGTGGTACATCCAAGAGCGACGGCAAATTCGCCAAGAGCGATATGGATGGCTGGAATGCGAACCAGGTGGTCGTATTCCTCGAGCGTTTGTATGACGGACCTCAAGTGCCGGCCGCCGTTGCGAGCTGGATGGATGACGTCTACGATCTGAGCTCGGCGGCCAACACGGAGATCCGCTTGCGTTTCTATGAAGTGGCATTGGGGGACAAGGCATCGCAGTATGCCAAGGCTGCCGCTGAATGGGTATGTACAGTATCACTCAAACCTAGGTATCGAAGCAGGGCCGTATGAAGTACTGCCGTCCCATCTACAAGGCTCTCGGCAAGGTCGCGCCGTCTCTGGCGCGTGAGACGTTCCTTGAGAACGAATCGTTCTACCACCCTATTGCTGCATCGCTCATCCGCAAGGTACGTACTTACTTTGCTCGCGGTCCATATACCAACATTGCAGGACCTCGGGCTGTAGCATGCTAGATACGAGCCTGACTCATAGGACTTGCAGATAAATGACGGTACTTCTAAGTCTACGACGCTAGCAACGTCAACGACTCCCTCGATCATGGCAGTTATTGGCAGTACAGGCACTGGCAAGTCGCAGCTGGCTGTCGAGGTGGCCGAATATGCAGCGACATACCACCAGCATGTCGAAGCGATCTCTGCGGATAGTATGCAGACGTACGAAGGGCTGGACGTGATCACGAACAAAGCGGATGTGGCCGAGCAACGTGGCGTTCCCCACCACCTGCTTAGTTTCCTTCCTCCCGGTCATGAGTACGATGTGACACAGTTTGTCAGCGATGCCCAGAGGCTGTGCAACACAATGCATGCGCAGGACACTTGGCCCGTGCTAGTCGGGGGCACTACATACTACGTGCAGCATTTTCTGTTTCCTGGCCGCTTAGTATCCCAAGTGGAGCCCGCTGATGCGCCGCAAAGACGCGAGGCACATCAGCATCGTCTGGAGGCGCTCTCAGCAGACCTACGTGCGTTGTGGGATACGCTCGGGTCGGAGGAGGTGCGCGCTAATGCCGCGCCGGACGTGGATGCGCGTACCTTATGGGCCCTCCTCGAAGCTTTGGATCCGGCGAGTGCGAGCCGTTGGCACTACAAAGATACCCGCAAAGTGTACCGCAGCTTGCGTATCCTGTATGATACAGGCATTCGTCAGTCAGATTGGCTTGCAGCACAGGATGCAGAGGACCGTGAGGCGGCGAAACCTGCCTCGCCACGCCCACGCCGCCTTGTCTTATGGGTCTGGAGTGAGCGTGAGGCACTCAATGCACGCTTAGATGCGCGGATTGGGACGATGATTAAGCGTGGCCTCCTGGACGAAATTCGAACTCTCCGTGCGTTGGCTCGTACGCAAAACAGTGAGACGGATTATACCCGCGGTATTTTCCAGGCAATCGGGTACAAAGAGTTTGATGCATACTTGCGCTACCTGGACGAAGGGCATACGTCGGAAGATACCCATGCACAAGCGCTCTTTGCCGAGGCTATTACGGCCATGCAGACAGCCACACGCCGCTACGCTAAACGCCAGGTCTCGTGGATCCGTAACCAGCTCTTGCCGGAAATCCGCCGTGCCGAAGAGCGTGGAGAGGAGGTATGGGTGTATGTCCTGGATGCCACAGACGTAAGCCAGTGGAACGAACAAGTACGTACGCCTGCTCAGCGCATCGTGCATGCCTTTATGCACAACGAGCCGATGCCTGATGCCTTTACACTCAACGAGGCTGCCTCGTCGCTCTTACCTGTCACTACCTCTTCAGAAGGCCGTGTGGAGCGCAACCGATTGGTTGCCTGTGATGTATGTACACGAAATGAAGCCCAGCCGTTCCTGATTCGCGAATCGGAGCGCGCCAAGCACGAGCAGTCGCGTACGCACCGATATGCACTGAAACGACGGACGAAGGCCGCTTACATTGAAGCATGCAAAGCGCAAGGCAAGGATATCACCGCCGCACGGGCTACACGTTCATAAATACATCTTCTTTTTTCAATATGTACAATATATACAAGACACAAATTAATCCGAGACAGCCATCGCCTCCTTGGAATACTTGCTGCGATGACGCAGTCGTTCGCCATAGCGGAACAGCAAGTATGGGGCAGGCAGGCCGACAAGGGCGCAAATGCCAGCTAGGAACGTATTACCACCACCTTGGCCCATCACATTGTACATAGGCGGTGAGAACAGCGGGAAAATAAATGCAAAGAGACAACGTAATGATACACCCGCACTGACAGCTGAAGCAGAATATAATGGAACCGAGTCAGCCAGATACAGAGGACAAATAAAGAGTGCGCCACGAATTCCAATGGCCAAGAACACAATGCCGATATCTGGAACGATCCAATGCGTATGATACTGCACAGACCAGCCATAAATCAATAGACCCACTGGCATGGAGATACCCGTCACAATCAAAAGTGGCACCTTGTATTCGGGGATACCATAATTGTTGTTCTTCTCTTTGAGACGGCGGTAGATGATATCGACGCAGCGACCACCCACTTGTCCAAAAAACATAAAACCAATCAAAAATGGAATATAATGAAGAGATGCAATACCGGGCGCCATATTGTAGTCGTCTTTGAACACCATCGGAAATGCTGCCAGCAAAAGATATTGGCAGCCAAACAAAATAGACTGGTACAGAGCAGGGACAAAAACGGCAGGTTGAGTGAACAAAAAGATGGCAGGGCGTGACATACCGTGGACGAAACGTTTCCAGAACGGCTCGCTCTTCTCAAACTTGGTATGCCACTCCTCCTTACCTGTCTTTTCACGTAACTTCTGTACTTTGCGGTCCAGTAGCACAGGCGCATATGTCTCTCGAAGCAGAATAAACCCAATCACAGCGATCACAGCGCCATATATGCTCGAAAAGTAAAAGATCCATGGCCACTTGCTGGGTCCCCACCCTTGGATGATCCATCCTGCAAACATAGGACCAACACAAGGACCCAGCACAGGAGCCAAGGTATACGTAGCCATAGCTCGGCCGCGCTCTTCAGGACCAAATAAGTCAGCCACTGTCCCTGCGCTCATGGAGAGAGGCGCTGCGCCAGCTAACCCGGTAAAAAAGCGAAGGACAATCATCTGTGTAAATGTTTTAGAAAAGCCACAAGCCATGTTAAATATCAAAAAGACCAAGTTCATTAACTGCATCACATTCTTGCGTCCGAACCTCTCGCTCATGGGGGCAAAAATGATAGGACCCACGGCAAATGCCAAGACTTGAATTGACATCATCATATTGCCCATTATGTTGGACGTAACACCAAATTGTGTCTTTATGACGTCGAGAGCCGGTGCATTCATTGAACTTGTCATAGGGCTCTGCATCGTATAGAGCGACACAATGATTACCAACATATGCCGGTACTTGGAGTTCCATTCTCGAGGGTTATCATGTTTGTTACTTTCGTCCCAATCGACCAAATACGGATCTTCTTCGTCGGGCAGGTGAATAGTGGCAGCCTTGCTCTGCGGTGAAGCTGGCTGTGTGGGGCACGGTGTGTTCTTTTCGTCCTCAAACAGATCGTTACTGTTCTTCGCAGTGTGGACAGGCTGCGCATCGTAGCTTGAGCGAAGCGAGTTCATACCTGGCTCGCTGGTCCGGTGATCCAGCGGTGTCGTAGAAGGAACAAGCATAAATACGAATGAGTAGATCTTTCAAGCTTACGGACCTCACGGCCGCTTTTATAAAAATCCGCCTGTTCTGCGATTCCCACACGCTGCCTTGGGTATGACGCTCATACAGGGATCTTATTGGGTGACAGGTAGTTAAGCGACCGCCATACAACTTTGACATTTATTATAACCTACACGTGCAGAAAAATGAGCGATGTGCATATAGATTACAATTTCATTGGTGTTAATTTATAGGGTCCTACATAGCCTGGTGGCATCGAAAATCGTCAGATTAGCCGCCTGTACTCGGAGTACGCCAAGACAAAAAGTTTCATGAAGAGCGAGTTGTATCAATATCAATCGTAGGTACTATGCTAGTCATAAACTTGAGGAATATAATCAGATACTGGTCGACTGTAATTCCATCCTCCCAGTCTTGGCTTTTGGGCCCCCAGACTCGATGAACTGTTTGCGACCACAGGGAGCCATTCGGCCTTTCTAGCGATGTATCGTAGGTTGCCAGTTTTTCAGGCTCTTCATCTCTCTCGTGTACGGTATTCATGCGCTGGATCATTTTGCGCATCATACTTGCGTGCTTGCAAGGGTGTATACTGGCCACATGAACAGACAGTGACTTGGACGTGAATCGTGTTCCCGTAGCTTCTGAGGGAGCGATGGTATCCAATATGCTGGTGCCTGGTATGCCATGAGGAAACGGCTCAATGGTGACCGTTTTATAAGCATGGTCCGACGCCACATCTTCGAAGATAGCGCTAGGTCGTAACGGCAAGCCATGTTCGTCGTACCCCAGCAACCACATGCGTGGTGTTTGGTAGTATTTGTCGTATGTAATCATGCAATCGTATGTGCGGACGGACACCAGGGGCTTTAGCGAGAGATCTTGAACAGGCTGCTTGGCAGGCGCTGAAGGTATGTACTGCGCAGGATCTTCTCGCTCTTCCATATCTTGCGCAAAGCTATTCAGCAGATCTGCATCGGATTCGGTGTGTCGTCCGTGCACTGCTTGTGTAGGTGCGTTGGTCGCCAATATCTCACTTTCTTCGTCCATAATGCTGCTCATAGGCCGACTACTTGGTTCACTGGCCGATTGCCCTTCTGGCAGCGACAAAAGTGTGAGGCGTGCGGACATATCACGCAAGGATGCATCCATAGGGTCGCTGGTCTCTGTATGTGTCACAATCCAATCTTCGCTTTCATCAGTACCAAATTCGTCGAGATGGAGGATGGACTCTGTATCGTCCGACAAACCTCGATGCTTTCGTGCATTGACATCAAGGCGGGAAAGACTTGTCGAGCTACTGTTGCGTGAGAGTGGCAGTCTACTTCGCCGCTTGCGTTCCTTTACGTGACTAACACGTCGTAAGCACGGCACACCACGGATCAACAGGAACTGCTTATCTGCAGGCAAGTAGTCGCGTACACGCTGGGAGTCTCCGGCACACCATTGCCACGCAGGGATTCGCTCGACAAGGTAATCACCAGCATGTACGAACTCGTCCGGGGTGATGCGTCCATGCTCCTTGAATTTGCTGTCTCGCAGCACAGGCGCCAAGTAGTCCCGCACCGCCCAAAAGCGAGTGCGAACGCTATGCATAATGATGGTCGGACAAGCACGGGCCAACCTGGCACAGCACACTCACGTTGAAAAAATATGCGAAGAAACACGCCACTTTCACGACAGCAACGCACCGGCCGTCCGTTCGTCCGTAAGTGGCCGTGACGCAGACAATTTTTTATTGTGGAGGTCGGTCCACAAATAAAACAAACCAAGCTCCGAACGTATGCCTCCACGCCCTAAAAATAGATAAGGTGTGCTATGGCGAATCATGGATATATGAACTACAAACGCTGCTTGACCCACGCTTCCATACCACCAGCCACGTAGATCTCCTGGATCGAGCGGCCGATGCCGGCTGGGCGGGTGGTGTACGTCGCTTTGGTACCGTCCTGGCGAGTGAGCTCCACTGTGCCTGTGCGGCTATCAAGCGAAATGGTAGCATCCTTCAGCAGGACACTCAGCTCGCCAGGCTGCTTACCGCCGCCGCCACGCTGGCCGTCCTTGGCAAATTCGTGCGTCAGGTCCTCAACCAGTTCAGGGCATTGCAAGCAAATAAGGCCATTGTTGATAGCATTGCGCTTGAACACATCGCTGAACGACCCGGCAAGCACCACAGGCACGCCAGCATACTTCAACGCCGTGGCTGCTTGCTCACGCGAGGAGCCCGTACCGAAATTGTAGCCGCTTACAAGAATCACTGCGGCGTCCGAACCGGCATTCGCGCGCTTTGCGCGCTCTTCCGCCACGGCTGCGGCAAACTTGGGATCGTAGTTCTCCATAACCACTTCCGCCTGGCGTTCTGGCGTAATGTCGTCCTGGTACGTGTACTTGCCTGGGTACAGCGCATCGGTGTTCAAATTGTCCTGTGGCGCAAAGACCAACGCGCCCGTGAACGCAGGCGGGAACTGGGGGTCCAGAGCGCTCGGGGCGGCAGCCGGCGGCGGCGCGGCGTTCTCTGAGACGACTTGCAGGGTAGGCTTGGCATCGCTTGCAGGGGACGGTCCGCAGATCTTGCCAGCCGCTGCCGATGCAGCGACGATGGCGGGCGAGGCCAGGTATGCCAGCGCATTCGGACTACCCATGCGGCCCTTGTAGTTTCGGTTCGTCGCCGAAATGCCCACTTCGCCGTCTTCCAGGAGACCAGTACCGAGTCCGATACACGGGCCGCAGCCAGCAGGCAACGGCTTAGCGCCGGCGGCAAGTAGGGCACCCCAGTCGCCCGACTCTTCCGCCTCGCGCTGCGCGACACTGCTCGCCGCCGCCAGGTAGAAGTCGACGCCCGGTGCGACCTTTTTGCCCCGCAGGACGTCGGCAGCAGCCTTGATATCGGACGCACGTGAGTTGACGCACGACACGAGGTACGCCTTTTGGATGGCAATGTTTTGCTCCTCGAGATCGGCCAGAGGCGTGGACACCTTCACGCTGTTGGGGCCCGAGACATGCGGTGTGAGGCTCGAGAGGTCCAAACGCAAATGCTTCGCATAGGTCGCGCCGTCGTCCGAGCGAAGACGCTCGTTCGCGAGCGTCTCCAGACGCTTCCAGTTGAGACGCGGATGCGACTCGGAGCGACGAGGCGACGACCCGACATGGAACGAGAGACGGTCCATCTTGCGCAGCATCTGTTCGTACCAAGCAAGTGTCGTATCGTCGACGGGGAACACGCCGGCCAATGCGCCCCATTCCGTCGTCATGTTGCTAATGGCCAAACGCTCATCCACACTCAGGGCAGCAATGCCACTCCCAGTGAACTCGATGGCTGTGTTGAGCACTTCGTCGTTGTTAAAGTAACCACACAGCGCGACAATCACATCTTTGCCTGTGACACCCGGCTGCAGGGCACCCGTAAGCTCGACTTGGACCATTGGCGGGAGCTGCCACCATGTTTTGCCCGTGGCCCAAATCGCAGCGGCGTCGGTGCGTACGATCGGTGTGCCTACTGCGCCGACGCCGCCGTACATGTTCGAGTGACTATCAGACGCGACAACCAGGGTCTGTGGGAACGCATAGCCCTCTTCGACGAGCACCTGGTGGCCGATACCGCGGCCGGCGGGGTAAAAGTCGACGTTCTGCTCACGTGCAAACGCTTCGATCTTGGCGTACTTTTCCAAGTTCTTCGCGCTCTTGTTTTGCACATCGTGATCGAGCGCGTAGACGACCTGGTTTGGGTCGTGAATGCGAGTTGCGCCGATCGAGCGGAACTTGGTGATAACGGGGCCAGTATTGTCATGGGTCATCACCGTGGCGGGGCGAATCGAGACGTAGTCGCCAGAACGGACAGGCACTGTAGGGTCCCAGTCCACGGCGTATTTCTGTACGACCTTTTCAATGTACGTCTGTGGTGCGTCTGTCGCGAGCGAGCGGGCCCATCCCACGCCGCGGCCTCGCAATGGCGCGGTGGGGACGCGCACGGCGCGTGCGAGCTGAGACAGCAACATGAGATAGGAAGAAGACAGGCCCCAGGCGTGGCCGTCGCGTGAATGCGGTTCACCCGCCACTCGTTTTTGTCGCCTTAGTCAGCGGTACGTGGGGTAGTGTGCATGAGTCACACGTCGGCCGACATGCATGCATGCGCAGCTGCCGAAGGTTGCGTTGCGCACGCCATCGATTCCTCCGCAGAGCCAGGATTTTCTTTCTTACTCCCCACCATGAGCACTCTTTCGCGTACTCTCCCTCGCTCTGTGTCGCGCGCTTCGGCGTCGCTCCGTGTGCCTGCGCGCACGATGACTGTGCTGGCCTCGCGTGCTGCACGTGTTGGTGCGGCTGCCCCGCGAGCGGCGGCTGTGCCGGCGCAGGTGCGTGGCATGAAGACGATCGACTTTGCCGGCACGCCGGAGAAGGTGTACGAGCGTGAGGACTGGCCGCTCGAGAAGCTGCACGAGTACTTCAAGAATGACACGTTTGCGCTGCTGGGCTACGGCTCGCAGGGTCACGGCCAGGGTCTGAACCTGCGTGACAATGGCCTGAACGTCATTGTCGGTGTGCGCAAGGACGGTGAGTCGTGGCGCCAGGCCATTGAGGATGGCTGGGTGCCCGGCAAGAACCTGTTTTCGATTGAGGAGGCGGCGACCAAGGGCACCATCCTCATGAACCTGCTCTCGGACGCTGCGCAGACCTCGACGTGGCCGGAGCTGAAGCAGTACGTGACGAAGGGCAAGACCCTCTACTTCTCGCACGGTTTCTCGATCGTGTACAAGGACCAGACGGACGTCGTGCCGCCGAACGACGTGGACGTGATTCTGTGTGCCCCGAAGGGCTCGGGTCGTACTGTGCGCACCCTCTTCAAGGAGGGCCGCGGTATCAACTCGTCCGTCGCTGTGTTCCAGGACGTGACCGGGAAGGCGCTCGAGAAGGCCGTGGCGATCGGTATTGCCGTCGGCTCGGGCTACATCTACGAGACGACCTTCCAGAAGGAGGTGTTCTCGGACCTATACGGTGAGCGTGGCTGCCTCATGGGTGGTATCCAGGGTATGTTCAAGGCGCAGTACGATGTGCTGCGTGCCAACGGCCACTCGCCGTCGGAGGCGTTCAACGAGACGTGTGAGGAGGCGCTTGAGTCGCTCTACCCGCTTATTGCGCAGAACGGTATGGACTACATGTACAAGGCGTGCTCGACCACCGCCCGCCGTGGTGCGCTCGACTGGGCGCCCGAGTTCGAGGCGGCGTGCAAGCCGGTGTTTGAGCGTCTCTACGAGAGCGTGAAGAACGGCTCGGAGACCCGCCGTGCGCTCGAGTTCGGCTCGCGCAAGACCTACCGCCAGGACTTTGACAAGGAGACCGATGCGATTGCCGACCAGGAGATGTGGCGCGTGGGCCACGTCGTCCGTGCCCTCCGCCCGAACCGCAAGTAATGGATGGCAGGGAGTCAGCGGGCCGCGTAGCGACTTGCTTCCCAGCTAGCTGAAGGCACGGCGACGACACCTTGTCTTGTGTGATAGACGATGTAGACCGCCTGGTACGTACAAGGCGGAATACGTAGCATGCCAACATGCATCCGACGACCAGCGCGACGCACGTTGCTCGTATGTATCGATGACCAACGCACTCAGCCGTCCTCCGTACGCACGGCTGATGCCGGTATCGATGACAAACAACTGTGCATCGTCGCACCGCGCGTCTATGCCGCCCATGTGCGGCGTATGGCCCATAACGAGCGACTCGACACCCAGCGCTTCGCGTGTTGCGTTGGCATGGGCGCATGCCTTGGCCGGCGGATCCAGGGCGTAGCCGCGGTACCATAGTGGGCCGTCCGCCGAGTAGATCGCCTGCTCGTCTGGCGTCGTCGAGGGCGGGAGGAAGCCGGTAGGATCGGTCGTATTCAGTGCGCGGGCGAGCAGACGATGGCCGTGTGTGTTGAGGCCATCGAGGCCGTACTGCTGGGCGAATGGCAAGGCGATGCCGCCATGCACAAACGACACGCGGGGCGAGGGGATGGACGCCGTCGCCTCCTCCAGCATGGCAATAGACGCCGTGAGTGTATACTGCGTGAGCCATTCCTGGCCAAGCCAGCCCGTGGTCGACATGGCCGCACGGCGTGCGTCTTTCCCGCCAAAGGCGTGGATGTCGCCCGGCGTGACGTACCGCCAATCCATCATGGCATTCATCATCTCATGATTGCCCAGCAACGTATGCACTTCGCCCCCTGCGGCTGCGCTCTGTGTGCGCAGCGTCTGGAAGAAGCGGTATATGGCCATGGTATCGTCGCCACGGTCCACGGTATCGCCCGTGCTGACCAGCACAGTCGGCCCTCCTGTCCATGTCACATTGGTCGTAGCGGCAATCAAGCCTGCCGCCTCGGCAATGGCCAGCGCATGCGCATAGTCGCCGTGCAAGTCGCCGATCGCGACAATACGTCGGTGCGCGGCCGGAGCGGGCGTGTGCCACGCATTCCACACGGCCATGGCGCCGAGCACGGCGACCAAGCCGCTGGTCCACACAGACCACATAAGGACGACGCGACGACGTGGAGGGACGCCAAGGGGGGTGGGGGGGCTGGCGTCGGGGCTGCGTTCACACACCTCCATTCACGCGTCGCTCTTTCCTGGTTGACTCCACCATGGCCGCCGCGACGATTCTCCCGCTGGAGCTCGTTGATCGATGCATCGGCAGCTCGATCTGGGTCGTGATGAAAGGCCAGCGTGAATTTGTCGGGAAGCTGCTTGGCTTCGACGACTATGTTAGTACGTACACGCTGACTTACCGCCAGACATGGTCCTGGAAGACGTGACGGAATAGTATGTATTGCTGTGGCCCTGTCTTGTCTTGCTGGCGCACCAGCGCACTAGCGAGCGGCTCTGCACGCCATACCACAACTTCGTATACTAACAACCAGCGAAAACACCGCCGAGGGGTACAAAAAGACGCACTTGGCCAAGACGCTGCTCAACGGCAACAACATCTGCGCGGTACGTCTCGCGGCCCACTGACGTCGCCCTGCAGCTGATCCCTGGTGGCCAAGGCCCTGAGGCATGATATCACGGCCTATAGAGCATACTATAGTCACTTACTTGGCCGCATTGCGCCATTGCATGTACGGCAAACGCCACTGCGTCGCCTGCTCGGATCGCACACGAGCTGAGCGACGTGTCTCCACAGCCGGCTCACGCACGCCCAGCGCAATGTCGTCGGTGCGTCGTCGCATCGCACTTTCCATCGCGTCGCGGTGCTTAAGCAGCTGTGCCTTGAGCGCATGCTCCCGAACGCCTTTGGGCCGTAGCCATGCGATGAGCTCTTCCACTTGCTCTGGCTGCGTGTACACGGCCCAACTGCCATACGTGCTGTCGGCCGGCGCACTATGCTCGGCACGTTTACGGTGCAGGAGAGCTTCCGTGCCGTCCGCATACGACGCACTGAGCGCGTCCCATTCACGCCGCGTCGGCGCTTGGACAAACAGTCGCGCTGTCTGGTACGCCGAGCCGCCATGCGACGTCGACGGCGTCGCTGCGCCGATCCCGTCGAGCCAGTAGTACCGGTCCAAAAACCGGTCGCGACCTAGGGGCCGAAGACGCGGGATCTGGCCGTACCGTCGGAACTCGCGCTCAATCGCTTCCTCTCGCTTCGCCATGCGATGCAGCGTCTCTTCCCACCGCCGCCGCTCTTCCCGCAGCTGCTTCGTCTCGCGGTTCTGCTCTTTCGCACGAGCGTACTCCGCTGCGAGTCGCGCCGCTTCTTCTTCGCGCTGCTGTGCCTTTTCACGCAGCGCTTCCTGCCGCGAGCCCGCGATGCGTTTGTACCGCTCCATCGATGCATCCGCCTCCTCTTCGTCGTCGTCCAACTCGTCTTCGTCCGACGCCAGTTCGTCACGCTCCGAGTCCGAATCGGAGGCCGCCGCTGGCGACGACGCTTCGGCTACCACGTCCTGCGTCTCCTCTTTGACATCGGTCGTCGCTGCCTGCTCCTTCTGCTGCTCGAGCATTTGCCGGCGCGTACGTGCGAGTTCCATGCGTTCCTTGCGTAGCTCTGTCAAGTGCGCCTCGCATTCCTCATAGTACGCCTTGATACTGCGTGTCATCACCGCCAGCTCACACAGGAACAGCAGGATATGCACCTTGTCGAGGAGCGGCAGATGAGGATACCGCTCTGCCACCGTACGAAATTGGCTGCTGCTCGGCCCTTCCAGCAGGGCATCGTCGTCGTAGTACACACCTGTGAGGTACGCCAGGATCTCGTACATGCGCGGCAGCGCTTCCGGCGTCGCACACTCGGCCAGGCAGCCTACCAACTGGCGTTCCCAGCCTGAACGCACCTCGTCCTGCATCTCCTTCCGCGCCCATCCACGCCCCATCTCCCGCGCCGCGTCCATCACTTCGCGCTCAGGCGAATCACTGAGGTCTGACAGTTCCGAGGCAGAATCGTCCATCGCCGTCGCCTCCTTGGTATCCTCCTCTGCCGCGGTCATAGAGACATCCGGCGTATCGTGCGCCGCCGGCTCGGTCTTGCGTTTCTGGGCCACCGTCGCCGGCGCCCACTCGCGGCAGTGCGTCCCGTCACGCACGATCGCCGAGAGCAACGTGCCATGCACTTCACACAGCAATGCACAGGGCGGATCACAGACGGGGTGCCGCAGGGCGCCTTCCAAGTCGTCCAGCGCAATGCTCGACAGCCCAAGAGGCTCACTCAGCGTCAGCAGGAAATAGTACACGGCCAAGAACGGCTCAAAGACATCGGCTGGCACAGCAAGCATCTCTTCGCCTCCCGGCGCGGGTCGCGCTGTACGACGTGCCAACTCGCCCGGCATCGACGTCTGCAGCTCTGCCGCTGTGATGGTATCCAGCAACAAGTCCTCGCATGGGAACTTGAGCACTTTCTGCTTCGCCAGCGCCGCAGCCTTGTCCTCTTTCTCCTTCAGCCGCTGCTGCTTCGCGGCACGTTTCGCGGCCGAGGCTTCCGTCTCGACCAGCTTACGGCGCTTGGACAGCTTCGCGTCTTTGATGTGCTCATTCTGCGCAGCCTGCTCGGCTGTAGGCGCCGTCGGCAGATGGAAACGACGTACTAGGTTCTCTCGCACGTACCAGATGCTGCCCACATGCGAGTCACGGTATACACTATCGCGCAAATAGCGACGCAGAATGGATTTGGACAGAGCGTGACGCTCGCGCGAGAGCGCCGACGCGGCCAGCGTGTGTGTCACGCCCTTGGTGGCCACCTCTTCCACCGTGTACACGAACGAGGCACTCGCTGCAGGATCGTCGTTCAGCGACAAGGCCGACGGCGCATGCGGCGTATCGCCACATGTCACGTCGCGCACGACACACAGCGTCTTGCCGCTGTCCAGCTCGGCCACCACCTTCTCGCCCGGGAAGAAACGCGCCTTGACCAAGTCGAATAGGCGCTCCACCAAGTCATTGAGTCGCCCCGTGATCTGGAACTGCACCGCTGCGAGGATCGGGACTTTAAGAGCGTCGGGAAACTGCGACTGGATAGCCAAGGTATGCTGCGCCTCGCTCGCTGCCGCCTCAAAGTACGTCAAGTTCGACTTGCCAGACACTTCACATTGGAAGATGCGCTGGTGGTAGTAGCTCAACCGTGCCGCGTACTGCCTAGATCATGTTAGACAAAGCGTACGTACTCATACTCAGCAAACACTTCGCCTGTCGCTGCAAGATAAAACACAGCACGATTCTCGCCCTTCTCCAGTGCAGCCACGAGCGCCTCAGGGATCGGCAAAGGCTGCACAGGCTTGCGCTTCACGATCGGCATCCCGTCTCACGCGCACTCACCCACGACAAGATCGCCTACAACAAAAGAGCAGAAGTCACGTTCCACGACTTTCGTCCGCGTCGGCCGGCCGGCGGGGTGGGCAGCGCGCGCGACGCGCGCGAATGCACGCACGCAACGCGCCGCGGCGCGCTGGGCAGGCCGACCGACTCTCCTAAATCCTAGACTATTGGGGAAATATACATAGGAGCCCCTACCTACTCTACATGTCACATGTGCGCAGCGCGCGGCGTGTCGAGGAACTGCGTGATGGGGTCGACCCACGACGCTTGCAAGTCAAAGTAGTCAAACCACATGTGCCCAAACGCCTCACGGTCGCCCTCCACGTCAGGTCGTAGACGCCGGAGTTGTGGGAGCCGCTTTTGCAGATCGTTCGACTCGTCATAGTTCACCATACGATCATAGCGGCCATGTATCATGATCATCGGCAGCTTGGACGGGATGTGGCACAACTTGTCCTTCCCATCGTACATCGCCATCGAGGCCGCTTGGTAGCCGATGACCATTTGAGGGCGGCGTGTATGGGGATGATGCGCCATACGACGGTCAAAGGTATGTTGGAGAGCGCCATGCGGCCCAAGGACCGAGGGGTGGTACTGCATTTCCAGCATGTACTTTACCACAGCATAATCACGCTCGGCTTTTGACGAACCTGGGGGCGGCACAGGGATGTTGGACGGATGAAATTCGCCTTTCGGCATCTTGGCAAACGTAGCTGTAAGTACAGCTCGGCGCACTTCCACACCTTGCACACGCACACCCGCTTGGTCAGTCGTGGCCTTGGCATCAGAGTGCGTAAGAATCGCCTGCGCAATGAGGCCACCCATGCTAAAGCCCAGCAGGTGGATCGTGTGCATATGCAGCGAACGCACCAAGTCAATCACATCTTGCGCCATAAGCTCGATAGTAATATCTTCTGCGCCCTCTTCTGTGAGATACGAATCGCCAATTCCGCGGTGATCAAAGATAAGAACTGGCCGCGTCTGTGCGAATGCCTCAGCCAAAGGCACCCAGTCGTCCATCACAGCACTCATGCCATTGATCATGACCAAGGCAGGTGTCTTGTGCTCTTTGCCAAAGAAACGAAAGCCGATTCGCGCGCCATCGCTCGTACGAAATGTCTCCACGGGGGCCGACATGATAGGAAAGAAGAGTAGTGCGCCGGCCTTCGTCGTGGCGGAAGCACGCACGCCCCCTGTGGAGGCAGGTCCAGCCATCGCAGGGCCGCCAAGTCAGGTGACTGCGAGGCCACAACGTCGTCTCAAACGCACGAACGCAGGGGCCGTCCACTCGGGAGCTCAGCATGGACTCAGAGTTGAGGACATACGAATGTACGTACAACATGACTAACATGCAGTTCAGCTGTCGCAGGTAGATACAGCGCTGGAAGCTGAGCCTGACAATGAAGAGCTCAAGTCACTTCGCGCTGAGCTCGCTAATCTCATTGCGCTGACCAAGGAGTACCAGAAGGATCAGGACGCCACGCAAGCCAAAGCGTCTGCTAAGGCCAAAGAGTCTAAACACGAGTACCATGCAGGTGATGAATGCATGGCGCGGCATCAGGCTGATGGGCGGTGGTACCCGGCCAAAATCACCTCTGTCACAGGCTCCTCGGAGAATCCAGTGTACGCCATTTTATTTACCAAGTACAAGACGACAGAAATGGTCACGGGGGCCGATTTACGTCCACGACAGGTTCATTCCAATGCGACCAGCACGTTGGATGCGGCTTCAGGGCAGGCGCCTGCGTATACCAAGCCCAAAACAGCACCTGCACGGCCTATGACGAACGATGAGCGTGAGCGTGAGCGTGAACGCAAGCGGGTACGCAAAGAAAAGAAGATGCAACGGGAAGCAGAAAAGAACCGCGTGCACGATCAAAAGCAATCTGCCTGGCAAAAGTTCCAAGCCAAAGCCGTGAAGAAACGGTATGCCGGCGCACAAGACAAGAGCATGTTCACGACGTCAGACAACCCGTATGCAAAAGGTATGTCCGCCTATATCTATCAATGCTGACCAGGTAGTGGGTTCCTCGGGCCGTGGAATGACGCAGCAAGCGCCACGCATGAGAAATGCGTACGAGCCCTCCTCCACGGCAGACGACTAAAGAATCACACACATGTACAAATAGGAACGACATTGCTGCACTAGCAATCAATCGATTTTCATTTTGGGTAGTAGCAGAAAGAGTATCTGGTTTCGTCGTGATGGCGAGCGAGCAAGCTCAACAACCTTACTCGTCCTGCTCGATCACGGTCGTCTGGAGACCGTGGAAGTTGGTGATGCCGAGCACAGGGGTGGCGTAGGTGTACAGCTTCTCCTTCGCGTCCTCGTCGTCGTTACGCTTGCGCTCAAGACGGACACGGATGCGGCGGGGGACGTCCTTCACACCGAGCTTCCAGATCTCCTGGTTGAGCTTCGGGTCGAGGCGAACGTCCTTGGTGCCCATGGTCTTCTGTGCGAACTTGACCACCTCCTTCACACCCTTCGGGGCACGCTTCTTGAACTGCATGCTGTGCACGCGCTTGTGCAGGTGAATCGTGTACTCACGCTGTTGGGTCAGTTGTCTGTTCTTTGCAGAAAAGGGAGATACATACAGTCACCACATCGTCTGGCATAGGTTAGCATGCTGATAATACATTCGTACGTACTCAGAGCCGAGCGGGTCTTCTTGCCCTTCTGGGACTTGTCCTGGGGAGCCATGATGACGAGTCGTAGATGGCACGTAGGGGAAAGAAGACGTGAGCGCACCCAGGCGGACCTTGCGCGGCGCTCGTGACAACATGTTAGCACACCTAATGGGTTTCTAGAACTAGCATGTCACGTGTTCTATATAGTTTTCCACGTGGTCACATCTTCCTGCTACACCTCCACCGGACCCACCGCAGCGCGGCCATGTGGGCGGCGAAGACCGGCCACGCGCGCATTCGAGAGACGCAAGTCTCCACTACCTCGTTGGGTCGAGAGAGCCATAGCACATAGAAGACATAGATCGATATAGTGACTAGCTATACCGCGACTACTTAACCGAGGATCTTGGTCACAATACCAGTACCCACGGTCTTACCACCCTCACGCAGGGTGAAGCGCGAACCTTCCTCGAGCGCAATGTCGTGCACAAGGTCACACACCAGCTCGACATTGTCACCCGGCATAACCATAGCCTCGTCAGCGTTCTCGGTGCCCGGCGGGTGCGTCAGCGAGACCGTCACGTCCGAGGTACGGATGAACAACTGCGGGCGGTAGTTGTTCATGAACGGCGTGTAGCGACCACCCTCTTCCTTCGTAAGAATGTAGATCTGCGCCGTGAACTTCTTCACAGGCTTCACCGAGCCAGGGGCAATGAGCACCTGACCACGACGAACCTGCTCACGCTTCACACCACGGAGAAGGGCACCCATGTTGTCACCCGCCTCACCGCGGTCGAGCTCCTTGTGGAACATCTCAATACCCGTCAGCGTGGTCTTGAGGTGGCCGCCGAGACCAATAATCTCGATTTCCGAGCCCTTGGTGACCGTGCCACGCTCCACACGACCCGTGACGACCGTACCACGACCCGAGATCGAGAACACGTCCTCGACGGGCATCAGGAAGGGCTTGTCGAGGTCACGCGGTGGGAGGTCGAGCCAGTTGTCGGTCTCCTCCATGAGCTTCAGGATGGCCTGCTTGCCGATCTCCTCGTCGCGGCCTTCCAGCGCCGCCAGGGCCGAGCCGGAAATGATCGGCGTGTTGTCACCGTCGAAGCCGTAGGTCGAGAGCAGGTCGCGCATCTCCATGTCGACAAGCTCGAGCATCTCCTTGTCGTCCACCTGGTCAACCTTGTTGACGAACACCACAAGCTTCTTGATACCGACCTGGCGAGCGAGAAGCAAGTGCTCACGCGTCTGCGGCATCTGACCGTCGGTGGCCGACACGACGATAATCGCACCGTCCATCTGCGCAGCACCCGTAATCATGTTACGGATGTAGTCAGCGTGACCCGGGCAGTCGACGTGCGCGTAGTGACGGTTCGGCGTCTCGTACTCGACGTGCGCCGTGGAGATGGTAATACCACGCTCCTTCTCTTCCGGCGCCTTGTCGATCGAGGCGTAGTCGACAAACTTGCCCTCACCCGAGGCCTCGCTAAGCACCTTGGTAATTGCCGCAGTAAGCGTCGTCTTACCGTGGTCTGCATATATAAGTGGCGCTAGAGATACATACCGACGTGGCCAATCGTACCGATGTTCATGTGCGGCTTCGAACGCACAAACTTGCCACCGGCCTCCGCCGCGTAGGTGCGGATGGCGCCCGCCAGCTTCGGGGGCAGCGCGGCGCCGGCGCGGACGTGGCGCAGCGACGTGAGCACAGGGCCGGTGTGCTTCGCACGCGCAAGCACTGCCAGTTAGAACGCACGACCAGCGTCAACATACCTGGGGTAGCCACACGAGCCGCCGTTAGACGCTGGGCCATCGACGTGGCCGAGACGTCACGAAGCGGACGAAGAGAAACACTACGAGCGAAGCTCATCGTTATACGGTAAAGGAAGAACGCAGATCAGCCACCCAGCCGCCGCTTTCTTTGGTCGGTCGGGTTGAGTAGGATGGAGGCGCGTGGGCTGACATAAGCCACCACATCGCGACGCCAGCGGGGCGACGTTTTCGCGACGGACCATAGCGACGGCGAGCAGCACGCACGCCCATAAGCGAATGGAGTCCGCCAACGTGCCTCCTATGAGCGCGTCTGCGAACGAAGTAGATCCGACGAAGCAGGAGCCTGACGTCGGTGCGGACGATGCGTCGGTGAAGAACGAGCCGATGGACGATACGGCCGACGCTGGCGTGCAACCGTCAGACGATGCCCCTGTGGCTGAGGCGGAGCCGGAAGCGGATGCAGAAGCAGACGCTGATGTTGATGCTGACGCAGAGATGGATGGCGAGCAGAAAGAGGACGAGGAGGAGGACGAAGAGGAGGAGGACGAAGAGGAGGAGGACGAAGAGGAGGAGGACGAAGAGGAGGAGGACGAAGAGGAGGAGGACGACGATGGCTACGGACGTCGTGCCAAGAAGATGCGTCGCAATCGTTTCCTCGATGTAGAGGCTGAAGTCGATAACGACGACGAGGACTTTGACGACGAAGAAGCTGAGGAGCTCCTTCGGGAAGATGGCTTTATTGCTGACGATATGCTGGACGAGTCGCGTGAGGCGCAATTGCAGTCCGCGGCGGACAACCAGCGCCTGGATCGCACTCGTCGTCAGGAAGAAGAAATGAGCGCCGAGGCCTTGGCGGAGGAGCTTCGGCAACGTCATGCTCGCAGCTCACGGTATGCATCGCAGTCAGACTACGCGGAAGTGCCGCAGCGGCTGTTGATGCCGAGTGTGGACGATCCTGGTCTGTGGCGCATTCGATGCAAGCGTGGGCGTGAGAAGCACCTGGTGGCGACGTTGCTGCGCCGTGCAATGATGCGCGAGGCGTCCGGCCACCCGCTGAAAATCATCTCGGCGTTCTGCCGTGACTCGCTGGAGGGACAGATCTTTGTTGAGGCGCGTCGTGCGGACGATGTCGTGGAAGCCTTTGATGGCTTGGCAGGTGCCTACACGACGAACCAGAAGCCGTTCCTTATTCCGATTCTGGAGATGGCCGATCTGCTGAAGCTACAGAAGAAAAATACCGAAGTGCCTGTGGGCGGATGGGTACGTATTAAGCGCGGCAAGTACGCGGGCGACTTGGCCCAAGTGCTGGACGTGGCGGAGAATGGCGAAGAAGTGGGTGTGAAGCTTGTGCCTCGTATTGATCTGGCGCCGAACGAGCGCGATACGTACACAGACCGCGCCGGGCGGAAACGCAAGAAGCCTGTGAATGCGGCGCTCACAGCCGCAGGATTCCGCCCGCCGCAGCGTTTGTTCAATGCGGAAGATGTGCAGAAGGCGTACCCGCATGAGCTTCCGACGAAGCGGGGTGGTGTGTGGGTGTTTGGTGGCGAGACATTCCGCGATGGATACCTGGAGAAAGATTTCCGTGTGACGGCGCTGCAGATGGAGGATGTGAATCCCAGTCTGGATGAAGTGCTCAAGTTTACCGGGGAGGCGCCTACGGATGCGGCCGGTGTGGATCTGCAATTGCTGGCGGACGCCTCGAAGCGTGGCTTGGAAGCGACGCTGCAGCCTGGTGATCACGTGGAAGTGTTTGAAGGTGAGCAGGCGGGTGTCGTAGGCACGATCGATGCGATGGACGGCGACGTGGTGACGATTGAGCTACCGAACGATGCGCTGGATGGCCAAAAAATCGAGGTACCGGCGAAGAGTGTTCGCAAGCGTTTCCGTGCTGGTGACCACATCAAGGTGCTGGCCGGTAAGCATGCCGATGAGACGGGTTTGGTGGTCAAAGTCGAGGATGGTGTCACAACATTCTTATCCGACCTATCGCTGAAGGAAGTCTCGGTGTTCTCCAAGGACATTCGTGAGGCCGCCGAAGTAGGCTCCGGTGTGAATGTGATTGGCGGGTACGAGCTGCACAATCTTGTGCAGCTGGATGCGCAGACGGCCGGTGTGATTTTCAAGATTGAGCGGGAGTCGTTCAAGGTGCTGGATCAGCACGGGCATGTGGTGACCGTGCAGCCGCATCAGATTAGCCTGCGACGCGATACGGCACGTGCCATTGCGCTCGACCACAATGGCCACGAGGTGCACATTGGCGATATGGTCAAGGAGGTGGAGTGGCCACTGTCGCAGTTCCGGCAGGGCCAAGTCCTCCACATTTACCAATCGTCGCTGTTGTTCATTCACAACCGCGAGTATACCGAGAATGGTGGCCTGTTTATTGTGCGTGCGAACCATGTCGAGCCTCTCGCGCCGACATCAGTGCGGCCACGCACCGACCCATCGCAAATGAATCCTGCGCTCAAGGCCATGGACGCGGATGGCGGTGCGAATGCCTCGGGCCCTCGCCGTGGCGGCCGCGATATCTTTGCAGGCAAATCTGTCGCGATCGTGCGTGGTCCATACAAGACGTACCGCGGTATCATCAAGGAAACGACAGGTGGTATGGCGCGTGTCGAGCTGCATACCATGTCCAAGATCCTCACAGTGCCGCTGGAGTACATGGTCGAAAAGAACCCTGTGACCGGTGAGAGCCGTCGCTTGGTCGGCCCAGGCCCTGCGGCAGGTATGGCCCCGAATCCCTACTCGCAAGTGCCTGGTGCTGGCGGTATGACGCCGGCGTACACAGGTATGGGCGCAGGCGGGAAGACCCCGGCGTATGGCGGTGGCATGGGCACCACGCCCAACCCATACAGCAGCGGCATGACGCCCAACCCGTACGCGGGTGGCCGTACGCCAGCGTATGGCGCTGGGATGGGCACGACACCCAACCCCTATGCCGGCGGTCGCACACCAGCGTACGGCGCGGGCATGGGCACGACGCCGAATCCCTATGCGGGTGGCCGTACCCCTGCCTATGGCGCTGGAATGGGCACCACGCCCAACCCGTATGCCGGCGGCCGCACGCCAGCGTACGCCGCCGGGATGGGCACGACGCCCAATCCGTACGCTGGTGGCCGCACGCCAGCATACGGCGCGGGCATGGGCACGACGCCCAATCCATATGGTGCAGGGACCACTCCGAATCCGTACCACGACGCCGCGACGCCAGCGAATCCATGGGGCGCGCCGTCAGCTGCAGCGCCAGCGCCAGCGCCGGCCCCGACCAGCTTTGTGGAAGGAATGTGTGTGCGTGTGGTTCGCGATGCGACGACAGGCACGACGTACCAACGTGGCGCGTACGACCGGTCGATCGGACGCTTGCTCGCACGCAACCCGGCCGTGTGCAAGGTCGAGTTGGCCAATGGCACGCAGCTGAGCGATGTACCGAGTGCGTGCATTGAGCCTGTGCGTCCCACAGCCGATGGCGATGCATGTATCGTGACGGACGGCGCATGGCGTGGTTCCCGCGTGACGGTGCTCACGTACGATGCTCAGCGCTGTGAGTGCACGATGGGCGATGGCCAGCGTCAGCCGTTCCCTACGATCCTTCTTGCGAAGGCCATGTAGTTTTGTAGGCATCCTATTCGTGAGGACGACCTTCATGTGGAGGCGAAATTGTCCCAATTTTTTTTGGTGACGCTCCTCCTTTGCTGCGACGATGACGCGTCCCCACGACCGTCGGTTTGCCCATGTGCATACCGATCCGCGCTTTCGACGGCCACACCGGGAAGATACCAAGGTGGTTTTGGATGACCGCTTTAAGGATGTGCTGACAGGCGCTGGATCCAAGCAGATCGATCGGTTTGGCCGTGCAGGCCGTGTGAACGAAGCCAAGTCGCTGCAGCGTTTGTACCGCTTGGACGAGGGCAGCGCTGTGGACTATGCTCGTGGTGAAGGCGAGTTGGAGAGCAGTAGTGAGGAGGAAAGCGAGGACGAGGAAGAGGAGGAGGAGGAGGAGGACGACGACGAGGAAGGCGATGTCGTGCTTGGTGGCGCGGACGCTGTGCGACGTGCGAAGGCGGCGGACGACAGCGAATCGGATGCGTCCATTGATCTGGACGAAGAGCTTGATGAGGATGTGATGGCCGAGCTGGATCACCAAGCTACGCAGCAGCGACGTACGCACGACGACGACGTGGCGCGAGGCGACGATACGTGTCGTTTGGCCGTCGTGAATATGGACTGGGATCATGTACGGGCCGCCGACTTGTACAAAGTCTTTGCAAGTATCGTGATGCCTACTGCGACGCGTGAGCCCCTCGCTCCCGTGCCTATGACGGCCAAGACGAGCAAGAAACGCGCCTCCGATGTGCACTTGGCTCTGACGCCTGTGCGTGGCCAAGTGCGGTCGGTGCGTATTTACCTCTCGGACTTTGGGCGAGAACGACTAGCGCAGGAAGATCGGCAGGGCCCACCGACGGCCATCTTCAAGTCGTCGTCCAAAGTGAAGGCATCGTCGACTACCACATATATGGACGAAGGTGCCGAGTTTGACGAGAACGCCTTGCGCAAGTACCAGCTGGAACGGCTGCGGTACTATTATGCTGTTGCGACGTTTGACAGCGCAAAGAGTGCGCGGCACGTGTACAATGAGATCGACGGCACGGAAATGGAGCGCTCGGCCAACATGTTTGACCTGCGTTTCGTGCCTGACGACATGGCGTTGCCGGATGGCGAGGACGGCCGGCCGGCCGAGTTTACCGATGAGGCGACGCACGACGTGGCGCAGTACGAGGGACTGGACTTCAAGACCGACGCGCTGCGTCACTCCAAGGTGCGCTTGACATGGGACCAAGACGATCCACGACGAACCAAGCTTACACGGGCCAAGAACCTTGATGCCTTGCGCGAAGACGACTTGAAGACGTACCTGGCATCGAGTGACGAAGACGAAGAGGAGCCCGATGCCGGTAGCAAGGATCGATTGCGTGCGCTGGTTCGCGATATGCCGTCGAAGAGTGCGTTTGACGATGCGGACGACGACGATAGCATGTTTGCCAAGCCGGAAGGCGAGATGCAAATCTCGTTTATGCCGGCGCTGTCGTCCAAGAGTCAGCGCTCTGATGCGACGCAGGAAGAGACGACGATTGAGAAGTATATGCGCAAGCAGCGTGAGCGGCGGGAGAAGCGCAAGGCCAAGTCTGCTGCGCCGGCCGACGCGGCGGCCTCCTCTGAACCGATCACCTTTGACGATCCGTTCTTTGCTGACGAGCGTGATTTGGAGTCGGTCCTGGCCGAAGAAACGAACGCGACGAAGAAGGCGAAGAAGGCGAAGAAGGCCGACGGGCATGTCGATACGCCAACGGCTGCGGCCGCGGCCGCGGCGGCGAACGACGACGGTGAGGATGACGACGAGGATGCCCAGCACTTCAATTTGCAGGACATTGTGCGTGCTGAAAAGATGCAGACGAAAAAGCTGTCGAAGCACCAACGCCGCCGCGAGGCGAAGCGGGCCGAGAAACGCGCTGCCTTGGTCCAGCCGTCGTTCCATATGGATACCAACGATCCACGCTTTGCGGCCGTGATGGAGGACCACCGCTTCGCGATTGATCCCAGCCACCCGAGCTTTGTGAAGACCGCGGGTATGCAGCAACTCATTGACGAAGGCCACCGCCGTCGGGCTGCCAAAGCCGATCGCCTGGCCGCCGACCGTAGCCCGGATGTGGCATCGCTGGTGTCGTCTGTGAAACAGAAAGCGCAAGCGCCGCCGGCGAAGAAGGCACGTAGGTAGGTAGGATGCATACAACAAAGCTATGCCACATTATGTACGTCGGGTCCGGAATACATCCAGTCCATCGCGCCGCTTATCGCGCTGCGCCTTCGTGCGATCATGCCCGCCTATCCGGCCCCATCCCTTGAGCGGAACACAAATCACACTGGCATTGTCGTCACTGCCCAGTGCCTCGGCGAAACGCAGCACATTCTTCGCGGCTTGCTGCGGATGCTTTGCGTCGCGGCACAAGTCGACGATCTCCTGGTCGGACAGCACGCTGCTAATCCCATCGCTGAACCCAATCACAAAGGCAAACTGGCCGCCGCGCAGCAAGTGCGTACGAACTTCCGGCTCGGCTGTGACGCCGTAGCGCTTACCGAACGCATCGCCAAACGACCGCGTATTGGCAAACGAGCCGAGGAACCGCGTCTCTCCAAAGCTGTCTGTCACAATCCCTGCGCCCAGCCGGCTTAGCCGATCCGCTTCGTTCGGCTCTTCGGGGTGATGCAGCGTCGTGAGAGGAATCGCTTGGCCGTCGTCCACTGGGCACAAGAGGAAGCGCGTATCGCCAATATGGATCGTCGTCAGCGAAATACTCTCGCTGGAGTACCATGGCTTCGCGGGCATGTCGAGGCCATGCACGAGCAAAATCGACGCGGTGGAGCCGGCGCCGTAGTACTGTTCATTCTGCTGCACTTCGCGGTCCATCATCAAGCACGCCAACGTCGCACGTTCCTCGACCGTCATGGTCGCTGGGTCCAAGTTGTGCGGCGGCGCAATGCGCTCGGTATGTGTCGCCTGCGCCCCGCCATCGTCCCGTAGTGCCACGTAGTGATCCAGCTCGGGAATACTCGTCGTGGACGACGACGAGGACGCCAACTCACTCAGCGTCGAGAGTGTGTTGGCCGTCTGCATCGGCGCCTGCGCCTGCTCATTCGCATGGGCTTGGGCCTGCGCCTGGATCTGTGAGGAGGCCGGGATGGATGTAGTCTGTTTCTTCGAGGCGCGTTTCGACTTCGTCAAGCGGTCCTGGGCGACCCAGCGCTCCAAGATACCGCCTGTGTACCGCCCAAAGTACCCGCCAATGGAGCGCGTATACCGCACCGTATCCGTAATCATACTCACGTCTGCCTCCTCAAACACACGATGTAGCTTATCTTTGAGCAGCTGCGCGACGGCCGGCCCACCATGCCCGTCAAAACATCCGAACCATACCACTTGAGCGCCCAAGTCTGCACCGCCCGCCTCTTCACAGGACCAGCCATGCCAGGGGTCTCGCGCTACACTCTTTGTGCTGTGCACAGATACATGCTCACGCAACTGGTCACACGGGAGCATGAGGCATGCCACGGAAATCGCATCTTCCTGGCGCGCACGGTCACCACGACTTTGCACAGCGCCAAACGTCACACCCGAGCGCAGCGGGACGCGCACTGTCGTCCCATCGGATGCACGCGCACGAACATAGTCGTGCACTTGCCGTCGGCGAGTGAGCGTGTACGTCTCACGTACCAACGCACGCGAACGACACCACCAACTCATCGACACGCAATTCGTCGCTCTCGTCGGTGCTCTGCTACATTCGCGGCTGGCGCTCGCTCTATTTTTTACTTTTTTTTGGGTGTGCGTTCACGTGTCTCCACCTCCACTATGGCGTACCTACCGCGGCGTGTCGGTCCATGGTCGGCGTGACCGAACGCGCGCGCGCGCACGGCGGCGAGGACGATCGTCGTCGTGGCGGATCACGTCGACTGGACCGGTGAGCATCACGTCGCGGTGACGATCGGTCCCGATGTCGATGCCGGTCCTCACGGCTGCCATGTCGATGCCTATCTTCCTCTCGCGCGTCATGGCGGTGTCGCTCATGCTCGTAACGGCGTTCATGTCGATGTGAATGACGTGAGGACGACGTGGTGGGCCGCTTCGTATCGCGCTTCTTGTCTGCAAAGTAGGCAGCCATAGGATCTTCTAAGTCTGCATCGTTGTCGTCAGCCGCGTCTTCATCGATCACCGTCTCAGGCGGCGCACAATTCAGCGTCTCCTGCTCGACATCGATCAAGTTGCCCTCGGCGTCTCGAATGCGTTCCTGTTTGTAGTTTTTCACATGGTCTACACGCAAGGTGCGTCCCAGTACCTTGGTCCCATTCAAATTGTCCACGGCCAAGATGGTCGAGCGTTGGTCCTCGTACATCAAGAACCCGAACCCACGATTGTGGCCGCGGGGGCGGGGGGTATCACGTTCGCGGGCGGGGCCAGGTGGTCTACCACCGCGTTCTGACGTGTCTGTGCGAGGCTTGGGCAAATTAATGTTGACGACTTCGCCATACTGCGAAAAGATGGTAATCACGTCGCCCTCTGTCAGGTCGTAGGGCAGTCCACCGACGTAGATGTATGCGGAGTCTGGAGGTGAGGCAAGATATACGTACCTTTGTACTCGTCATGCCACGATCCTGCCCCATGCAATCCCAACTCCAGCTCACGCTCATTGATGCGCTGAATCTCCCGGATGGAGCTGGCTTGGTCAGTCGTTCCTCCTCTTCTGCACGTACTTCATGCCGCGTAGACGAGGCCAGCGTCGTGTAGGGAGGGAGTGGAGGCGTTCTGCACTTGCCACGTGCGCCATCCACGCCGCCGACCGCGGGTCGGGCGGCTGCGATCGCACGGTTCTCTTTCCAGCCGCGGCCAGCCATGCCTTCTGAGACGAGCTTTTGGATCGTCAGTGTGCCGGTGCAGGAGGAGAAGAGCACCGAGCAGATGTATAAGGACCTAGAGTCCCAGCTGCTTCGTGACTCTGCCTGCGAGGCGGAGGACATTGCGCCGCTTCCGATGCCGGAGCTCAAGGTACGTCGCCGCCCCACGTTGATACTGACCACGCCTCCAGACCGGCACGCTAGAGTCGCTGATTGTTATGGCCGAAGACCTGCCAAAACTGGAGACGTTGTACTCTGCCATCACGACGCGCGTGGTCGATACGCTGCGTGCGCTTGTCAACGATGACGAGCAGGCGCTCGATGAGCACTTGACATTGGACGGTCAGACCGTGGAAGACTATCTGATGTCGTGGCAGTGGAATAGCGGCAAGTACCGTACGGACAAGTCGCTCAATGAGATCGTCGAGATGCTGACCAAGGAGATGCAGTCAATTGATCACGTTATGAAGCAGAAACTCGCTGCGTACAATGCAGCGAAGGGCCAGCTGCAGCAGCTGGAACGCAAGAAGCACGGCAACTTGACTGTCTGCTCCTTGGCAGATATTGTGCACAAGGACGATATCGTCGATCCGAATTCGGAGTTCCTTGTGACGCTCCTGGTCGTCGTGCCGAAGTACGTATGCCATGTACTTACTCAGAAACAATACACAGGACTGGCTCAACAAGTACGAGCGTCTTACGTCGCTTGTGGTCCCTCGCTCATCGTCCCAGCTGGCGCAGGACGACGAGTATGTGCTCTACAATGTGACCGTCTTTAAGAAGGTCGAGGATGAGTTTATTCAGAAAGCGCGGGAAAACAAGTTCCAGGTGCGTGACTTTGAGTGGGACGAAGGCCTATTGGAGCGTGAGCGCCAGGAACTCTACGAGGCGGGCGTCTCGGAGAAAGAGCTCTGGACCGAGCTTCTGCGTCTGAGCCGCATCAACTTTGCCGAGTCCTACCAGGCGCTGATCCATTTCCGTGTCATCCGGACGTTCATCGAGAGTGTTTTGCGCTTCGGTCTGCCTGCCACATACTTTGCCGCGATCGTGGAGCCTACGCCACGTAAGGCCAAGACACTGCTCAACTCGCTGGTGAGCCACTACAAGTACCTCCACGAGTTTATCGCGCAGTCGGAGAAGCGTCCCACGGACAATGCGGCGTCGGCCCACCAAGACACTCCCGGTGAATTTGTCAATATGCTCGAGCAAGAGGTGTTCCCCTTTGTGCTTACTGAGCAGCCTATGATCACAGTATAGTATGTAGTAGCATAGTTGCAGATCCCCACCCTGCTTATGGCCATATGTGCGTGCCTTGCGCATCTGTCACACACTCGACATACGTCAGCGGCAAGGCTCCCGTCTAGCGTTAGATCGATGCCACAACATACCTCGCCTACGCCCGGCGTGAGAATGACCCCATTGGACGACACTACGAATGGCACGCCATCCTCCAACGCTCGGCTGACATTGACGTAGAGCAAACGTGTGCAGGAGGTGCGCATGCCTGTGGTAAGGGAGAATGGTACGTACCGCTGATGACACCTGACGAACCTGGCACGCCTTTGGCCAGATGAATATGGTTGCGCTGCATACGCCGCAGCGCTTGGCTCGCTTCGATCTGCGTCCACGCCTCGTCGTTGGTCCCATGAATCGCTTGGCACGACGTCGAGGTGGGGAGCAAGGCCTGCAAGTGCGACGACACATTTTCGACCGTCAGTGGTATGTGCGACAAGTCGGTAATCTGATCCAGCGAGTGACCTTGCACTGCGCGAATCCACCAGCATGTCCCGGGCTCAGTGGGTGAGTTGGCTGCACCTTCGACCAGCTCGAACCGCTTCTTGTCGTTGTCGCGCACAATCGCCTGGATATCCTCGAGTGTCGGGGCACGTACCGTGTCTTCCTCCATCATGGGCACTTTCTGCACGCGCGGACGTGCGAGGACGGCATCAACCTGGATAAAGCCGTCCGGTCGTACTGGCAAATGCTCTTTCTCAGCGCCATGCCGCAGAATGTATGCCAGCGCTTTGGAGAGTTGGACACTGGGCGGAGGCGAGGGCCGTCGTGCTGCTTTGGCCTCTGCTGTCGCGCTCGCCGTTTCTTTTGCTTTGCGTTGCGCTTGCAACTTGCGCTCCTTCTTCCACTGCTTCGCTTGCTCGCGTGAGCGAGGTGCGTCCTCAGGCTGCATCGATGCCATGGCCAACGTTCGATACGAAGGTCACTCCACATTCAAATAAAAAAGAGCTCGAGATTACGACGCGACGCGACGCCATAGCTGCATATGAACAAAACTATCTCGGTCCGGCACGATCGCGCCGAGGACTGAGGCATGCGCAGCAGGGAGCCACGCAGCATGCTCTGCTGGCGGCACATGCTGCCATGCATCGGCCTCGCTGAGCGCTGGCGGGCATACCAGCTCTGCCGCCGCACGCTCTGCGTACGTCGGGGCCCACGACGCTTCCCACGCGACTTGCGCGGGCGATCGGAATTCCGGCAGGAATACATCGCACTCCTTATCAATATCTGCTGGGCCGTAAATGCGGGTCATGAGCATGTGATCGAGGATCCATTCCGTGGACGGCGTGGGCGGTGCTAACGCGTATTGGTACAGTGTGGCACCGCCAATCACAAACGCGCGACCTAGCGCGGCCCCCGCCGCAGGGGCCGCGGTATCCATGTCGTACCGCGCGTATCTACGTGCCTGGAGAAGGGTGACGGCCTCCTCAAACGAGCGAGCGACCATCGTATCAGGATCCGGCATCGCGAGCCCCACATCGCTCGGCTGCATTGTCGTGCTGACAATCACATTGATACGGTCTTGCAAGGGCCGGAAACGCGGCGGAATGCTTTCCCACGTCGTGCGTCCCATAATCACAGCGTTTTTCAGAGGGGGGCTAGGCGAGCGCTTCGCAATGCCAGCGTCGCGCATACGCTCATCGTCGTGCTGCGTGTCGATGACATACGATGTAATCGTGCGAAAGTAGGCCATATCTTTCGGGAGACGCCATGGCAGCGTACCAGACACCCCAATACCATTGTGCAGACCGGCTGCTACGACGGCGGTCAGCGGGAGTGGGCCCAGGATCGACGGCATGTCGTACGTAGCTACGCAGACCGCCTCGCTGCACTTCGCGACGCGCAAGACGCGTCGCTCTCCTGACAGACCTCCACGTGATTGGCCGTCGCTGGCTTCCATGCACTACGTAGACACACTACAACGGGCGGATCTTGTACATACTCGCTACTCTGTTAGTCGCGATGCGCAGACGTACTGTTCACAGGCGTATCTGTAGGTTTGTTGATGATCGGAGCCTGGTACATGTTGATCTTCTGCGTACCCTCCGCCACGAGCGACGAGACACCGTCCTTGGGCGGCACAGGCGGCGCCGCGCCGCCCCCCTTCTGCGCCTTCTTTTGCGCCTTTTCCGCGGCTTTTTGCGCACGCGCCGCGGCCGCGGCCGCCTTCTTCTGCTCGGGGTTCTCGTCCGGCGCAGCCTTGCTTGCGCTCGTAGCCGCGCGACCATCGGGAATCTTGATAAACTCACGACGGCCATCGGCGCCCTGTTCATTGTCGAGAATGTAGTAGCCCTTGCGTTCGAACTGGATCTGATCACCCTTACGCAGCGTCGCGACGTTCGCATCCGCCACGGCTAGCGTCTCGAAGCGCGTCTGTGGCGTCAAAAAGTCCTGGAACTTGTCATCTTCCTCCAGCTTCTTCTTCGTAATGAGGTAGTCAAAGTCCAGCAAACGCACTTCGGTCAAGTGGCGCTTCTCGTTGGGCTGCGCGAGCCATGTCACCTTCTTCTTCGTCGTCTTGAAATCGCCGTCAAAGTGCGCTTCGAGATCCAGCGCAGTCACTACGCCGTTCTCCACCGTCTTGCCACGCACAATCACATTGCCCCAATCCATGAGGGTGATCTCTTCGTTGTCCTCGAAGCTGGCAGCGTCAGCCTGCTCGAGCAGGATCACACTGTCGTACACCGTGGTCTTCATGCCCAAGTCGGCGTTCTTCTTGTGCCTCGGTACCTGCTTCTCCTCCGCTGGCGGCGCAGGACGAATCGTCGCCTTGACGATCTTCGCTTCATCCAGCGCTACAAAGCGCGGGACGATCGGGTCCAGAATACGCTTGTTGAGCGCCCAGATGTTGTCCCACTCCATGTTGGTAATCTGCTGACTCGGGCCCTGCGACAAGATAAACTGCTGAATGCACTCGATCGTCATACCGCGGCGGCGGATACCACGCACCGTCGGGAAACGTGGGTCGTCCCAGCCCGTCACTGCGCCATGGTCGACGAACCACTGCAGCTTACGCTTGCTCAGCAGCGTGTATACAAAGTTCAAGCGACCATAGTCCCAGATCTCGACCTGGCGCATCCCCAGCGCATTGAGAATCCACGCATATTGCGTGTTGCGGTCATGGTACTCGTTCGTACGCAGCGCATGCGTGACGCCTTCGAGGCTGTCGACGACAGGGCACGCAAAGTCGTACGTTGGGTACGCCTTCCACTGCGTGCCTGTGCGCTGGTGCGGCATGTCGACGTTGCAGCGGTAAATTACCGGGTCGCGCATCGCCTTGTTCGGGTTATCGACGCTCATCTTGGCACGCAGACACCACTTGCATCTTTCCTTGGTGCCAGCCAGCATCTCTTCGAAGCGCTTCATGTTCTCCTCTGGCGACGCATCACGACGCTGGCTCGCGATACCGTCCATACGCTCGGCCCGCATCTGCTCCTGCGGCGTGTCATCCGCGTAGGCCTTGCCTTCCTGGATCATCTTCTTGGCCAGGTCGCGCAGCTGCTCAAAGTAGTCGGAAGTGTGCGTAAGCTGATCGCCCTGAATGCCAAGGAGGGCCAGGTCCTCGATAATCGCGTCCTCGTACTCCTGCTTCTCCTTGCTTGGGTTGGTATCGTCGAAACGGATCAGCAGACGGCCCTTGTACATCTTGGCAAAGTACTGGTTCAAGATCGCGGCCTTGGCGTGGCCCACGTGTAGGTAGCCACTAGCCTCCGGCGGGAAACGCGTGACGACTTGGCCCTCCTTGGCGCCCTTCAGGAAGAGGTCAAAGCCTGCGGCGGTTTTCTTCTGCTTGAACATCTGGCTCTTGGCCTCGGTCAATGTCGCGACGGCCGACGAGAACGCCGGAAGGGCATCGACGTGAGCGTACCAGCGCGCGAGGTGTGTGTGTGCCTGCTTCTTGATGATACCCAGCAGCGGCGACGACGAGCGAATCGCGCCCCAGATGGCTGCGTCCGCGGCAGTGACGCTGTGGCCGACAAGGTACGTGCGCAGCGCGAGATGCTGGTCCAAGTCGTCGGCGTTCTGCATCGCCACGGGGAACGCTGCGGAGGCCAGCGCATCGGCCTGGACGAGGAACGGCTCCACCTCCGCCCCAGTGATGCCTGTGCTAGCATAGTGCTTCGCCAACGCCTGGAGCACAGCGAGGTGGCCGCGAATCGTTTGGCCGTCGAGCGTCAGCGACGTGTCTGCGCCTGGCTCGAAAGTCACCTCAGCCGGCGCCGCAGCATGCTCCACCGCGAGATTCGAGAGCACCAGCGGCGTGAAGAACGGCAAGCGCGCGCTCGGATCGAGCACGATGGCTACGTTAGACATGGAGATGAATGCGAAAGAAGAAGCAAAAGCGCTCGCTCGTCGTCGGCCTGCGTGGCCAGCCACGCACACACGAGCGAGAGGCCTATCTCACGTGACTTGCCTCGTCGTCGCTCGGCCTCTCTTCCCATCGACCGCGCCCCGTTGCCTCTGCTGCGCTAGAGCGACACGATGAGGTACGTCGCGTATGTACTTACGCAGTCAATACGTCAATGTGCCCAAGTCCGATCTGGACGAGGCGCAGATCCGTGAGCTGGAGCAGTACGAGATCTCGCAGGGCCCACTCTCGGTGCTCCAACAGGCTGTGCGCAACCACTCGCAAGTGCTCATCTCGCTGCGCAACAACAAGAAGCTGCTAGCGCGTGTCAAGGCGTTTGATCGTCACTCGAACATGGTGCTGGAAAACGTCAAGGAAATGTGGACGGAAGTGGTACGTGGACATGACTTGCTCACCGCGCAGCCGAAATCGAAAAACAAAAAGCCGATCAACGTATGTGTACGACGTGTTGCTCACCTGTGTAGAAAGACCGCTTTATCTCCAAGATGTTTTTGCGTGGCGACTCTGTCGTCCTGGTCCTGCGCAACATTGCGTAGGCGATGTAGAGTACAATGCACTATAATAAATCACACGTCGTAGGACCTATGGCCGACTACTTACATGATTACGCGAGCGTCGCCGCGGCAGCGCCCAGCGCAATGGTGTCACGCTCCACCACACGGGTCTGGAAGAGGACCTTGTCGCCCTCCTTCCACATGGACGTCTCGAGCGTTTCACCCGGGAACACATGGCCCGTGAAACGCACCTTGATGTCCTTCACTGGACCGTACGTCTGGAACACGTGCTTGCCCGAGATACCGAACGAGCAGAGACCGTGGAGGATCGGCTTGTCAAAGCCACCCACCGACGCAAAGTTCGGGTCAATGTGGAGCGGGTTGTAGTCGCCGCTCAGGCGGTACAGCGCCGCCTGCGACTCGGCGGTCTTCTCGCGGACCACCTTGTCGGCCGCGCGCTTCGGCACAGCGTTCGGCGCCGAGGCGTTGCCGCGGTCACGGCCCGTCTTCTTGCCGTTGAAGCCACCCGAGCCACGGATGAAGAATGTGCCCTGGTTCTCGAACACCACCTCGCCCGTGCTCTTGTTGGTCGTCGTGATCTGCACAGTGACCGCTGCGGCCTTGCCCTTGTCGAGCACCTCAATGATGCGCGGCTTGCTCACGAGCGTGCCCTCCGTCGGGATTTCGCCCTTGATCGCAAGGTACTGCTCACCGTGCAGCAGCATCATCGGCGAGAAGTTCGGCAGGAAGTCGTACGACACAGCGCCGAGCGACGAGAACATCGGGATCACACCGAACGTCGGCACCGCCTGGAACTCGTCAGCCTGCTCGTAGACAAAGTTCAGGTCCTTCTCCGTGGCACCAATACCGAGGTTGTACAGGATCACATCGCGCTCCGTGTACGTGTACTCACCCGCCTCGAGGTCGGCCTTCTTCGCCGCCTTCACCTCCTCCGGGTCCTCGGCATCGATAAAGTCGTCGCCACCCTCCTCGGCCTCGTCGTCCTCGTCCTCGTTGCCAAAGTTGGCCACCATGTCGCCCAGCGACTCACTCGGCGCCGACGGCCAGCTAGCACGCTCAGGGTCAAAGTCCGTGATCTTCGACCACTTCTTCTCGACCATCTCCGGCGTCACAGGCTTGCCCGTCGAGAAGGCGTGACCACCAGCACGCTGCCAGCGCGTGGCCGCAATCCAGCCACCCGACACCTCGTACAGGTTCTTCGTAACATCACAGCCAGGGCCACCCAGGTAGGCCACCAGCGGCGCCACGTACTCCGGCTTGAACGCGTCGACCATCTCCTGCGGCCAGATCGTCGCGGTCATCGCCGTACCGGCGTTCGGCGCAATGGTGTTCGCCAGAATGTTGTACTTCTCACCCTCGACAGCCAGCGTCTGCGTGAAACCGAGGATACCCGACTTGGCCGTTGAGTAGTTCGCCTGGCCAAAGTTGCCGTAGATACCCACAGCCGACGTCGTGTTGACAATACGGCCGTACTTCTGCTTCATAAAGATCGGCCATGCCGCCTTGCACACCTTGTAGGTGCCGCGCAGGTGCACATCGAGCACCAGCTTCCAGTCCTTCTCCGTCGCGCCGGCGAACGACTTGTCACGCAAAATACCAGCGTTGTTCACCACCGTGTGCAGACCACCAAAGGCGTTCACAGCGTCCTGGACCAGCTTCTCACCGTCCTCCACGCTGCCAATGCTCGGCGCCGCCTTGCCGCCGGCCTTCTTGATCTCCTCGACCACGGCCATGGCGTTCTTCTCGCTCATGTCGTTCACCACGACGTTCGCGCCGAGCGAGGCAAAGAGCAGCGCGTAGGCACGACCGAGACCAGCACCAGCACCCGTCACGAGCACCGTCTGGTCCTTGTAGTTGATCTTCTCGTCGCCCTGCGCGTTCTCCGGCGCCTCCTTGGCACGCTCCAGCAGCTCCAGGTAGTTCGTGTCAGTGATGCGCACAGGATAGTCCGGCTTCTCGTCAAAGTCGAGCACCTTGTCCATCGCCTCACGCACCGCCTCGGGCGTGAACGTCTTGTCGGTGCGGAACACGTGGCCGTGCGAGCGCTCGCGGCGGAGCATCGCGTAGAAGCCAGCGCCCATCTCGAACACCTCACCGTTGACACCCTCGTTGTGGGCCGAGCAGAGGAAGGCCACAATCGGCACGACGTACTCCGGCTTGAGGTTCTCCAGCATCTCCGGCGGCATGACCGTCTCGGTCATCTTCGAGGCAGCCACAGGCGCAATGGCGTTCGCGTAAATGTTGTACTTCTCACCCTCAATACCGAGCGTCTTGCTGAAGGCCACCAGCGCCATCTTCGCAGCCGAGTAGTTCGACTGACCAAAGTTGCCGTACAGACCAGCGGCCGACGACGTGTTAATAATACGACCGAACTTCTGCTTGCGCATGTGCGGCCACGCAGCGTGCGCACACGCAAACGAGCCGTGGACGTGGACAGCCATCACCTGGTCCCACTCCTTGTCCGACATGGACTTGAACGACTTGTCACGCAGAATACCGGCGTTGTTGATCAGGATATCCACACGACCCCACTTGTCGATCACTTGCTGGATGATCTTCGCACCCTCCGTGTTCGAGTCGTAGTTCGCAATGGCCTCCCCACCGTTCTTGGTGATCTCCTCCACCACAAGATCAGCGGCTTTCTTGCCGTCCGGCGTCTGGCCCAGATCGTTGACCAGGACCTTGGCGCCACGCGACGCAAAGAAGAGAGCATAGGTCTTGCCGAGACCACCGCCAGCACCGGTGATCACGACGACGCGGTTCTTGAACGAGATCTTCCCGTTCTCCGTTGCAGGGAAATCGGCCATGTTGTCAGGAAAGAAGCGGTAGGACGGCCGCTGCTCCGCATTTGTCTCCACGCACCGGAGCCCTAGTGCTGGTCCAAGCACCGAGCTATGCCGGGTCCTAGCCGGTGAATGGGCCAATCAGACCCTGCCCGAATCCACCGGGCTCCTCCACATGCTACGTTATCATCCTCCGGCGGCCGTAGCTGTGAGGACTCTCGGCCGTGGGCACATCACGACCCCACTGGTTCGCTCGACTCCACACCTCATGTCCACCTCACATGGCTTCCGACGCGTCGCGGTCCTTGGCTGCGGCCAAATGGGCCGCGGGATCGCAAAGCAGACGGCACGATATACCGGTGTAGATGTTGTCATGCTGGTGGATACTACGCCCGCCCTAGCCGAGAACGCAGCTCAGACCTTGCAGGCAGCGCTTCGTGAGAATGGTGCTGACGAGCAGGCCCTTGCTAAGCTTGTCGCCGTGGCGTCCATCGCCGATCTGGCGCACGTTGATGGTGGCCCACCAGATCTTGTGATTGAGGCCGTCCCTGAAATCTTGGACCTGAAAGAACGCACGTTTGCGGAGCTCGCATTCACTTTGCCCCTCAACACAGTGCTAGCCTCCAACACGTCGTCCATGAGCATTACCACCTTGGCCAGCGCTGCATCCCTTCGTAGCGACTCCAAAACGCCGCCTACGTTTATCCAACAGAGCCCTAAGCGCGTCGTCGGTCTGCACTACTTCAACCCAGTCTCCGCGATGGAGCTGATCGAGGTCGTGGCTGCGTTGCAAACCGATGCAGCGGTGGTCGAGCGCATGGAGGCGTTTGCACGGGCCAGTGGGAAGCAGCCTGTAGTGATCAAAGACCGTCCCGGATTTATTGTCAACCGACTTCTCATCGCCTTCATTCGCGAAGCGATTGCCATGCTGGAAGCGGGTGCAGCGACACGCGAGAACATCGACAATGCCTTGTCGCTCGGCGCCCGACACCCCATGGGCCCACTGCGTCTAGTTGATATGATTGGATTGGTACGTATAAAAGTACACTGACACCAGGATACCGTGCTATCGTATGTGCACAGCTTCGTGGCTCACAGGCAGAATCATGAAATCAATTTATGCAGCTACAGGCGAAATGACATTCAAGCCGCCTGTACTGCTTGAAAATATGGTGCAGGCCAACTGGTTGGGCCGCAAAACTGGCAAGGTTTGTCTACGTCCCCTTTACTTATGCCCATCAGGGATTTTACGACTACACGCACAAATTGTAGGGAAAAAATCGCCATGACGTATATAGACACCAACGCTAGAGACGCGCAGGGGCCACCCCCTTGGTTTATACTGTCACGTGATGGATTGGTAATCGAAGGGCGGTTCTTGTCTCGGGCAGCGAGCGCCGTCGACAACCTCATCGCAGGGAAAGGACCATGTCGCTGCAGCGCACGATCAATTACATTCAAAAGGGCGGCTTCGCCAAGTACTGGCGCGATATGCAGTACATTGGCGATGCCAAGTGGGGCCGTATGGTCGGAATTGACAGGTACGAGAAGGACGGGGTAGACTGACGCGATAGCAACGGCAACAAGTACTGGGAAAACGTTGAGGAGCAGCCTGGCCGTACCCGTTGGGTGGACTACAAGCGTCACGACTACGATGCCTCGCAGCTGGATCCGATCTGGCACTCGTGGGTATCGTTCACGCGCTGCGACCCGCCCAGCCAGGACCCTGTTGCGCAGAGCTTTGAGCGCCCATGGCAAACGGTATGTACACAGTTCCCTGACGCCTTGCAGCCCGCCTATGAGAACTTTACGGGCACGCGTGGTGCGTATCGTCCATACAACACGACCAAGCCGAAGCTGGTATGTATTCGCATGCGACTTACCTGTAGTACTCGTGGGAGCCCAAGATTGCGGCTCGCGAGGGTTAAGTATCGCCCTATGCCTATGCTTTGTCCATAGTTTGACGACATGCATGATATCTACGATGCACTATAGGTTGGCTGGTCGGCTGCATGACCTACCTACCTACCTATGATGATGCCTTGGCCTTCACAGCCTGGTCACGCACCCAGTCGTTCATACCACGACGGCAGCGTGCGATTTCAAACACGTAGAATTGGAAACGCGTCACTGAGGTGAGCCGAGGGAATACGTACAAAAGATCGTGTTGCTCTGTGTATACTCGTCCGAGGCATCGGTACGGATCAGCGTACCAAAGTTGAAGTCGGCGACCTTCTTTTCGTACTTATTAATAAAGTTGCGCCATTTTTCCTTGCCCTGAGGACTCTTCATGGCATCCTCGTCAATCTTGCGGATCTGCTCGTCGTTCTGCGCCAGTTCCGGGAACGTTTCCTCAAAGTCGGCCATGATCTCGTCGTCCAGCCTGCATCATAGTTAGGTAGGGCTTTTGATACGTACTTGGTCAAACGAAGAGCCGACGCCTTCACTTTCTCGAGCAGGTTCCAGTACGTCTGCGCATGCTCAACACAGCGCACAGCAATCTGCTTCTCGATCTCTGGCAGGTTCTGAGCCTGGTTCGGGTCGAATGTGTTCAACGACATGTGTGCCTGTCGTACTAAAGAGAAAGGGCCCTCCAGGCTGCGTACCTGTGATCGCTGTCGCTGTGCCACACACGTGACCTTACCATGCGAGAGGCATGACGCGTGGACGACCTTCGAGCCCTGTCGATGTGTGGCATTGCGCTGGCTGTGCAGGCCGGCGCGTCGGCCACGGCGTTATGGACGACCTTGGTCCAGGAGGTGGCTTGTCGAGGTACGTACCCTGGCTCCTTACACCAGGCCCCGATGCACAGCAGGCATGCACGCAGGGCGGTATTTCACTCTATGCTTCTGTCCTGGGCCTGCGTGGCGAGACGGTGACGAGGCAGCCACTCACGTCGCCTGACAATACGCTTTGGCTTGCATGGAATGGCCAAGTGTTTGAGGCCGACGAAGAAAGCTGGTATGCCAGCGCCGAGAACGATGCTGCGATATTGTTACGTCACATTCAAGCCGTGGCACCCCCGCAGCGTAAAGAGGCCTTGTGCTCCCTTCTCGCGCATATGGATGGGCCCTACGCTTTTGCGTTGGTTGATGTACGTACTCATTGATTAACACCAGTTCCATGAACGTGCCATCTACTTTGGCCGCGATCCTCTTGGTCGTCGCTCCTTGCTGTATGCGCAGCATGAAGGTTCTACCTACGTGTGCTCTGTCGCCAGCGATGCCAGTGTGCAGCAGCATGTACCGTGGGCGGAGGTGGACTGCACTTCGATATGGCGCCTCGGTATGGAGACACGTAGCGATCCCACGGCGCTTTCTCGCGACGTGCGCACACATTACACGACGCGTCTTACGCTCTGTGCGCCTTCCAGCCCGATCCCAACAAGTATATTGCCTGCCTTTGCCGAGATCCTGGAGGAAAGCGTACGTCGTCGTGTTCAGTGTACTCGAGTCTCGTCTTTAGCGACGCCTGGTGCTGCGCGTATCGCCGTGCTGTTTTCCGGTGGGCTGGACTGTACAGTGCTGGCCGCCCTCGCGGCCAAGCATGTACCCCGCGACGAACCTATTGACTTGATCAATGTGGCGTTTGAGAATCCACGTGCGATTGCGGCTGCATGGGCTGCCGCCCCTCCTGGCGCGACGATCGACGAGGATCAGTTTCCTGCCGATCCCTACGCTGTACCTGATCGCATGACGGCGCAGAAAAGTCTCGATGATTTGCAACGTTTATACCCGTCTCGCACTTGGCAGCTTGTGCGAGTCAATGTGCCTTTTGCTGAATACACAGCGCATACCCAGCACATTGAAACGCTGATGTACCCTACGGCTAGCGTGATGGACTTGTCGATTGCTGCTGCCTTGTACTTTGCGTCGCGTGGGCGTGGTGATGTGCATGGCCATATGTACATATCGCCTGCGCGCATCCTACTCTCTGGCCTGGGCGCCGATGAGCTGCTGGCAGGGTACGCACGGCATCGGCAGGCATGGCGACGTGGCGGCGACGTGGCGTTGACCGCGGAATTGCAGATGGATATGGATCGCTTACCTACCCGCAATCTCGGCCGTGATGATCGCGTGTTTTCCTCGCATGCGCGCGAAGCCCGATACCCCTACTTGGCTCGCTCTGTCATGACATACTTGGCCACGCTGCCTGTGCGTGCGAAAGCTGATTTTTCGGAAGACGGCCATGGCGACAAGCAGCTGCTTCGTGCACTTGCTGCACAGCTAGGTCTTGCGCATGCGTCTACGCTGCCGAAACGTGCTATTCAATTTGGCGCACGTAGTGCCAAGATGGATGCACAAGGTGCGCGCCAGAAAGGCCATGCAGCATTGCATCCCCGTTCTTCGTAGTGCGGTAGACCTCCACATCTCCAGCAAGGCCTCCGCCGCTTCTTACCTTGGTTCGTCGACGATGATGATGTGGAGTCTTCGGAGTGCGTCGTCGCGCCTCGCCCGGCCCATGCTGCATCAGCGTGTGTGTGTGCCTGTGCGTACCTTCCAGCAGAGTGCTGTGCCACGTACGAAGACCAATGCTGTAGCGCAGTACGTCGGTCCGTTCCGGATGGCATACTATCGCATCAAGTTGTTTTCACTCTCGTCGTTGGCTGTAGCCTCGATCTTTGCGCCGGTGTTTGTGCTGTGGCCGCACAAAATGGAAATGGCGGCGCGTCTTGGCATTGCTGCTACGACGCTCGGAGCGAGTTCTGTGAGCACTGGTTTGATCTCGTGGATCGGTTCGCCGTACGTCGGCCACATGACGCTGCGCAAGGCAGAACCTGATGCAGCGCCCTTGCACTACATGACGGAGAGCGCCAACGAGCGTCTGCTGGATGATACGCCAAGCGATCCAAGCCGTCATGCTAGTGAGAAATACTACCTGGAAATTGCCACGCTTAGCTGGCACATGCGCTCGCTGAAAACGACAGTGTATGCGCCCTCGCTCCTCCGGCCTACGACGCGTGCCCTAGCTACGTGGGAGTTGCCGGAAATGCCGAACCCTTTGACCATTGAGCACCCGAAGCTGGTGGGCGAACATACCGTCTCCAGCCTGGTCGCAGAGACGGTGGATGTCTCCAGCGGCAAAGTCATTGGCCGCTGGTGGGCCCGCTGGCGCGTCTCGCCAACAGAGAGCGATGAGCCTATGGCCTTTGAGGGCGTGTGTGAGAGCGAAGGCAAGCCTGTACGCTACTTCTATGTAGATGAGGCGCAACTCGGCGACGAGTGGCGCGTATTGGAGTAGACTCGATCCTGCCCAAAAGCGAAGAGTGGAGGCCGACATAGACAGACATTTTCCTTTTTCCTGCATGGTCGAGCATGCAACGACGCGGTCCATGGCCGCGTTAGCGACGTCGCAGCCGTTTGTCGAGGCGCTGCGACGCGATGTGCACATTTTAGTTGATGCATTTGCGTTGACGTGGATGTGGCTCGATAACCAGCCGTCGGACTCGGCTACGTCTACGTCGCCCGTCTCGTTGCGATGGGAGTATGGCGCGATGGCTGTATTTGAGCGTGTATGGGTCCGCAATCACTGGAATCATGTGAATGCCGTGCTGGGACGTGGTCCAGCGACGCGCGCTACGTTTAGCGATATGATCGTGCGTGCGTTTGTCGACGAGTTGGCGCTTGTCGCCGAGCCTGGGATGCGCGATGCGTCGACGATTTTGCATGCCGTCGCTGCGATTTTTGCGTTGTATTTCTGGTCGCAATCGCTACCTCCGTGTGCCGACGATCAGATGGACATCGACAAAGGTATGTATAACGCTACTTACATCGCAGCTGCGTACGATATCCTCCTCCAACTTCCCGAGTGGTCACGACCTGTGCTTGACGGCCCCGTGACTACGCCGCCCCCAGGGATGGCACCCCCCTCAGCGGATGTGTGGTTCGTCACGCAGCAGTTGATTGGGTCGCCGATGACGCCAGGCCTGCTTCGTGTCACACTTGGCCCGATTCGTGTGCCGCGTCTTTTTGCGACGACAGCCCTTATGCCCCGGCATGCGTCGGCGCACACCGTTCGCACGCAAGGCACGGTAGGCTTAGCATCGCCGTTGGTTCCCATGCCAGATCCAGCGCCGCCTCGCGATGCGCGGCAGACGATTGTCGAGACTCTCGGCATCCCCACCTCTTCGCCGCCGCTGTCGGACGGTTTAAGTACCAGGACCGCCGCTGCCCTTGATGCGTTGCGGCAGACGCATGCAAAGCACGCACAAGCCCAGCGGCACATGGACGAGGCTATGGCCTGGGGCCCGGAGCTATGGGACGCCCAGCGGCCCTCCTCGACTGTGTCGCATTTGCTAGAGTACTTACGTCATGTGGACACCTAGTTATTTGCCGATACAAAACCGCGCAAAGATCGTACCTAGCACATCCTCTGTCGTCACGACCTGCCCTGTGACGGCGCCAACGTGCTGCGCTGCACGACGCAGTTCTTCTGCCGCTACAACGAGATCAGGTCCGGTTTGCATGGCCAGGAAGGTATCGAGACACGCTACGACCTGCAGTAAGCAATGCCGATGACGCGCTTGCGTGACGAGCGGCGTAGTGCTTGCGTCCTGGGCATACCTTGAAGCCAGCATGGCGCCTACATCGTGCACGACCTTGTGCACGCCTTGATCCTGTACGACACTGGTATGCCATACATGGCACGGCACGCCGTGGGTCAATGTAGAAGGCGACGGCACTGGTGGCGATGCGTCTGGCAGGGTATCCATTTTGTTGATCAGCAACAGCACAGGCAGGCCAGGTTTGTGGGCCGACGCGGGGATGCCCCAAGCCGCTACCGTGCTGGTGGGCACAACGTACGATCCGGCCGCCGGGATCTCGTCCATGTCCGCCGGCGTGCATACACGGATCGCCAGGTCTGCTTCGCTTACATATGCTGCGGTCAGAGCAAAAACGACGAACCTTGCGTACGCGCGATGCCAATCTGCTCGACAGGATCGTTAGTATCGTCGCGGAGGCCGGCTGTATCGGCCCAAGTGACTTTGTAGCCATGCAGTTCCATCTGTACTTCAATCACATCGCGCGTCGTGCCAGGGTGCGATGTGACAATCGCCGCTTCCCGTTGGACCAGCCGATTGAGGAGCGAGGATTTGCCGACGTTCGTTCGGCCATACAACGCAATGCGAACACCTTGCATGACTGCCTCAGCATACGAGCGACATGGCGACGGCATATCCAACTGCAGCTCGTGGGCTAGGTACGTACGTATTTCACGCACATGACGATGTACGTCGTCCCATAGCTGCATATCGATATCGTCTTCGTCGGCGAAATCAAGCAAGGCTTCCAGTTGCGCCATGCAGTCCAGTAGCCTCGAACGTAGAGTGTGGTACATCTGGGCCTGCCGTCCATGCCCCGCCCGCTGTGCGAGACGGCGTTGTTCGCTCGTTTCGGCCCGAAGCAATGCGTCAAGCGCTTCACAAGCCGTCAAGTCCATACGGCCATGCTCAAACGCACGCCGCGTAAACTCACCAGGCTCGGCTGGCCGTAAATCCGGCCACGAACGCGCGTGAGCGAGATCATTGAGGGCACTGAGCACGTCACGCACCACAGCAGGGCTGCCATGCAGTTGCAATTCCAGCACAGCATCGCCGGTAAATGACCGCGAAGGTGGGAAATACAGGACTAACGCGTCGTCCAGGACGTCGTTGGACAGTGGATGGTACAGTGTTTGCCGCACAGCACGGCGAGCAGGTGGTACAGCCGTTCGTCTGCACAGAGCCTCGTAAATCGGCAACGTGTGCTCCCTGTGATTAGCTGGTATTTGACGTACCCAGCAATGCGCACGATGGCGATGGCACTGGGCGTCGCGCCACTGGATAAAGCATAGATGGTAGGTGGTCGTGCAGCCTCCGTCATCATCCTTGGTAGTACTGACGACACCGTCCGACGGCATGGCAGCGCTACGCGTCTGGAGCCATAACGTCCAAGGCCCTGCCACGCCGAGGCCAGTCGTGCATAGACCATGACGAAGATGTGGAGGTGAATAGGACGCGACACAAAAGGCCACGCCCGTCGGCGGCGCGCGCTGGATTCGTGACGCGCCAGCATGCGATGACCGCGGAGAAGAAACGTGACGCTTTGGCGCACATTGCACGTACACTGCAATCTGATCCTTCTGCCGAAGAGCTAGCCTGTCACCAACCCATGCTGGCGAATGTCAAGCAGGCCCTGGATAGCAAAAAACGCGTCTCCCTTCCGTCGTCGGAGGGGCGTCCACGTGGTCTGCCCTTGTGGATCGTGGCCAAAGCGCTCAAAAGTGCATGGCATGCGGATGGGTCATGGCCCGTCGTTGGCTACGACGAAGCGGAGCGGCATCGACATACATGCGATTCACGCTATTGCATCTTACCCACTCTGCACATCTCAATGCATCGACATGTTGATGTCGTGCACAATGCTGCCTACGAAGAAGGGAAGCGGCAGCGTACGATATTGCCGTGCCAGCCACGACCGCCAGAGACATGGCATGTCGAGCCCGACGCCGATACCATTGCACGTGCGTACGAGGCACGGCAATCATAGTTTCTTTCTATTTGTACATCCTATCTTGATCCAGGCGTGCTGGGACGTGACGAGCTTTCACTCATGGTGCTGCGCTTCGTCGCGCGGCTAATGAAACTGCGTTTCTCTGCCTTCATTTTCTCTGAGATCTTGTTAGACGCGCCTGCGACCAAATCGCGAATCATGCCATTAAAGACTTCGCTATCGGAGGCAAAAGCCTCGCGTATAGTCAAATGGTATTGCAAAGCCTCCCCTAACTGGGTAGAGAGGACCTGCATCTCTTTCACAAGCTCACGAAGCTCCGGCAGCGTTTGCAATTTGATATCGTCCTCGGAGAGCTGTAACACGGCTTCAATGCGGTGCATGGGTACGTGAGGCTCTGTGAGGCCCAATTCACGACGACGTCGATCGCCCCATGACTCGTGTTGCGTGACGGGCGGCGTGCGTGTCTCATCAGAGGTCGAGGTACTGCCTTCTGCTGAGGGAGTAGGCTGTGCTTCCTTCGCCGATGGCGTGAGTTTCAGCTCCAGGGGCGGCAATGTTTCTTTTGACGCCCACCCTGACCCATGCACTTCGTCCAAATTGATAGGGACGCCCAGAGATATCAGGTACTGTCGTCGCGTATGAGATCGACGCCAATCCAAGGGCGCACTTGAAATATGATCCACTTGAAGCTCTCGAAGAAGGGAGCGACTATCGGTTAGCCCATGCTTCACGTACCTAGCCTCTGTGACAAGGATTTGCGAAAGACCCTCAACTTGGCGCATACCTTCCATCACGACATTGTCTTCCACAGGAGCTTCTACCGGCGCCTTCAGATCAACAAAGTCCATAGGTAGAAGCGCACGCAAACCCTTTCGCATATCTAGATCGTTTGGGTCGGGATGGATTGAAAGGCACGATAGTGTTTCGACACTCAGCGCCTCCGACGTCATGGTAGGCGCTGACGGCGTGGCCGGTGAATCGTCTTCGTTCACGGCCTCAGCTGCGTCCTCGCCTTCCTCAAAATCACCAAAGTCATCATCAAAGTCATCACCTGTGGCAGCAGGCACATCCTCTACCTCTTCAGGAAGCGGCGACGCATACTCGTCAGGCGACGCACTCTCCGACATTCTGCGGGGCAACAGAGCGACGACGCAGGCCCAGGGGGGCCAGCGTCTATGTGGAGGTGTGTATCTATACTTTGGCTACGACTGTCCGACGCGCCGCAAGCCTGGCGGCAGTCGATCGTTGCGTTTCCAGAACTGGACCAGCGTCTCGGCAGTGGAATACGGCATATCCTGCTTGGTGAGTTACTTGTATGCATACCTCCTGGACACAGTGGCCCGCATGGGGACTCACTACGAGTTGGTACTTGCCTTGCATTTGGCCAATCATCAGGGGTTGGTCGAGATTGTCAGTCTCGGCCAGAATTAGAAGTCGAGCGGCACGGCAGGACAAGAAGCGCGACGATAGGTCTGTAAACCATCCATGCCAAAATGGCTCCGTAGCGATTAAATCGGCATTCCAGCGCCATGGAAATGCACTGTGCCCACGTACCTCATGCACAAGAGAGGGAACACTGCGTCGTGCACTGTCCGCATTATGAATGGTGCGTGAGCGTACATGCCATTGAATAGCAGATTCAAGCGTAGAAAAACCTTCCGGTCGTTGTCGCACCAGCACGCCCATATCAGGCAAGAGTCGTAATGATGTGCCTTCTACAATATCAATCATCACCACACCATTCACATGCACATCAAGATGGCTCTCAAGTGCATGGGCTGCATCGACCACGATCGCACCGCCCATAGAATGCCCGACTAAAATGAAGGCAGGCCGGGTGGCTTCCTCAGGGAACATGGTTAGCAGAACCGTGACCAAGTCACGCGAAAGCGCTTCGCGTGACATGTCACGCACGATGTCTGACGGAAACTTCGATCGACCATGTCCACGGCAGTCGTAAGCCAGTATACCTACTGATCCTTGCGTCAACTCAGTGATATGGCGGGCCATGAGGGCATACGATAACGCGCCGAAGCCAGCGCCATGGTGGCACACAAACACGGTCTTGTCATGCGATAAGCCACCTTTGGGCGGTGTATAGTAGGCTCGTACCGTAGCCGTCTTTGTATGTTCAACGTCAGAGGTGGGGGTGCAAGGGATATCTAGTTCCAACGCCATAGCGAAACAATCATCGGACTTGAGGGGAGAGAAGGCCGCAGGAGCCTTGGCAGGCGGTACCATAGGTAATGGGCCTCTTGAAGGAAGATCGCCTAAACCATCTGTTTCCTCCTCCGAGGAGGAGTCGGACGAACGAGTTCGAGAAAGTGACGCGGCTTGGCCGCGTAACAACGCTGTGCGTCGTAAATCTCCGCCTGGCATGGACGATAGATAGGTGGAGGGTACGTGGCTCGAGCCACCTGTTCCCATAAAATACATCTGTCATTATTGGCCCACTAAGCGGCGCTCTATATATGCCGAAGGGGGGATAGGCCCAAAGTGTACAAACAAAACACAACTCGTTGACCACATCGCCGCCTACGGAGCCAAATGTAGCGGCAAAAAGTCCTATGTATACACTCTCACTCATGCCCACCACCCAAGGGCCAGCCCGCCTGATCTACATCCACTCGCGGACCAGCCCACTTGTTGCAGCACATTGATCAGCGCCATAACCTTGTTCGGGTACCATCCAAACAAGTAGCGAGAAATGGACATTTGCCGAAGTCCTGTAGCAGGCTCCAACGTCAGGCAGTAGCTGGGTGGAATGCTCGCTAGGAATGTCCCAAACGCAAAACACAGCAAACTATGGTGGAGATTCAGCCCAAGGTCCCAGCTCAGAAAGACAGTGGTAATCCATGTTGATTGTGCCTGACGCCCAGAGCATACCCAAATACATGGCGTCGGCCCATGTCATTGGCTTTCTGTCTATGTCTGTCTTTCGCTCGATAGCCTCTATCTCTACGCCCAGATGCTGTCCCATCCAGTCTTCTATATGTAGAAGGAAACCAAATAGTCCGTAGTAGGCATGATCGTATTTAAGATGGTCTGGTAGAAAGGGCTCAACGGTCACTTTTGGCTTCGCCTCCGGTCCATTTTCTAGGTCGATTTTATTCATAGTTTCTTCTTCCATGCTGCGCAAGGGAAAGAATCACGATCTATACGAAATGGTAGGCAACGTCCGCACTGTCATGCTGTCTCTATCGTAGCAAATAGACGGCCATGGCCATTGCAGAGCCAATCATGACCTTGATTGATACGCTATCGTAGCGCTTAGGCCTCCGAATTTTTGTTTATCAAACAGGGAGATTTCGCACCTCCATCTTTCCAGCCGGCAATTCTTGGCATCGACGCATGTGGTTGATCAACGCAAAACTTCGAGGCAACGATGGATTATGGGCCATACAAATCGTAAATGAAAAGGTCGCAGCCATTCTTCCCATGGCTGAGGCAACCACTGACGGTGATACGTACGACTGTGAAGGGCGATTGGTCTGTCCGTCGTATGTTGAGAACCACATTCATCTCGACTTTGCCAACACAGCCGATGTACCGCGACCCAATGTATCTGGTACCTTATTTGAGGCTATTGATATCTGGGCGGATCGAAAAGCAGCGGGCCTGAACAATAGCGACGACATTTATAAAAATGCGTTGCAGGCTGCTCGGTCGGCTGCCTCCTATGGTGTGGGCTTTATTCGGACGCATGTCGACATCACAGATCCTGATTTGATTGCATTGAAGGCCGTGCTACAGCTAAAAAACGATGTGAAAGACTGGATCGAAATACAGATTGTGGCATTCCCGCAAAATGGGATTATTGCCTTCCCGCAAGGCAAAGTGCTTATGGAAGAGGCTATGAAGTTGGGAGCTGACGTCGTTGGTGGAATTCCTCATCTTGAGCCAACACGTGAAGACGGGGTCGAATCTGTGCGCTTCCTCTTCGAGCTCGCTGAAAAGTACAATGCGCTGGTGGATGTACACTGTGACGAAATTGACGATGAGCACTCGCGCTTCATTGAAGTGATGGCAGCAGAGACATCCAAGCGGCACATGCAAGGCAGAGTCACGGCAAGTCATGTAGTGGCAATGTCGTACTACAATCCTGGGTACATGGCACGTCTGCTACCGAAACTTCGAGCTGCGGGCATTGGCTTTGCTATTTGTCCCAACGAAAACTTGCAGCTTCAGGGCCGTGGGCAAAGTGCGCCTATCCCTCGTGGTGTTGCACCTGTGAAGACACTCACAGAATGGGGCTTCTCTGTGGCCTTTTGCCAGGACTCGATTGAGGATCCTTGGTACCCTATGGGCTCCGGCAATCCACTTCGTAATTTGGATGCAGGTCTGCATGTGGGACATATGCTCACATCGGAGTACATTCATCGATGTTTGGACTTTATTACGGTGAACCCAGCTCGGAATATGGGCCTCGAATCTCGCTACGGAGTGAAACAGGGCTATCCAGCTACCCTTCTCGTGCTGGATGCACGAAGCGAGAAAGAAGTGCTAAAGGTACATGCCCCTGTCTTGCTGAGTATGCACAATGGGCGGACTGTCTTCACACGCGAGCCCGCTGTAACGACCTGGGCCATGTAATTCCATAAACATAGGAAAAAGAAAGAAGAAAATAAATACGTTTGATTCGTTAATAAATATGCATAGAGACTCTACAGGAAGATGGCCAAAGCACCGATGGTGCCAGCCAGCGTAGCACTGAGGATCAGGACAGACGAAGGGATCGACTTGGACGACGAGCTTGTCGCTGTGCTAGCCACGGCAGCACCGCTTTTTAACGATGCACCCGGCGCACTCTCGCCGGCACTGTGGATCGTGCCTACACCACCGTTGTACGACTGGTTGGGGTTGGTGGCAGAGACAGTCGGCTCACCACGGCATGTGGCGTCTATACGTAAGTTCAGGCAGTCTTCATGATACATACCACCGCTGCACAATCCCGATTGTGCACCAGTGTTTCCTTGCGACGCGCCGGAGGCCACAGCAGAGCCGCCCTGACCGACGCCCGACATCACAGTGCTGACAGCGCCTAGAGAGTAAGTGAACGTCGTCGAGATTTACATACCGCCGCCAAATTTCGTCACATCACCAAATACAGAGGCCGCACCTTGGCCGACCGCGTTGCTTACGTCGGCGGCAACGACGACCGACACAAGAAGGAGCAGGACAGTGGCAAATCGCTTCATTTTAGAGAGGCAATAAGGAGAGCGTCTAAGCTTCCAGAACGCGATGTTATAATTGGATGATATAATCACACAGCCACGGCCCAAGGGCCGAACAGACCCAAAGTGTAGGGAGAAGCGTCCGAGACATGCGGATACACGAGTGCCAAGCCACTGAGGCATGGCAAAGGCGGCGCAAGATAGTGCGTTTGATATTTAGGATTGGGTGCTATGGTACGCCATAGGCAAATAGCGACATGGTCAGGCCGGGCCGGTCAGGGTCCTTCTTCATTATTGTAGGCTTTTCACCAGGCAAGCGAGCGCCCATAGCGTAGAACACTGGAAAGAAGTGTTCCCAATCTGGCGCAGCAAGCGGAGCTTCTGGGCGTTTATGGTAGTCCAGCAAGGCGGTTTCGTTATGTGTCCGAACAGCATCCGTGATATAGTTGTCAAACGACTCTGTCCAAGGTGCAGCACCTGAGAGTGTGTTTAAAGCACGTAGGTTGTGCACGATATTGCCCGAAGCTAAGATAAGAACGTTGTCTTCACGCAAAGGTGCTAGGGCTCTACCGATGTCCATATGTTCTGCCGGACTGCGCATCGCATCTAAGCTGACTTGCACCACAGGAATATCGGCTTTTGGGTACATATGCACAAGGATGGACCACGTACCATGATCAAGACCCCAAGTGCTGTCAAGTTTCGCGTTGAATGGCTTTAACATGTTGGTAATCTTGGACGCCAGCGCCGGCTCACCAGGGGCTGGATACTGCATGTCATATAGAGCCTGGGGGAAGTTGCCAAAGTCGTGAATGGTCTCTGGCTTTTCATTCGACATAATACGCACCCCGTGTGTGTACCAGTGAGCTGAAATCGCGACAATAGCTTTCGGTGCGGGATATTTCTGACCCAGCTGGGCCCAGGCGCGAGTCGACCCAGATTCTTGGATGGCATTCATGGGTGAGCCATGCCCAATAAAGATCGCAGGTGCTTTGGTCATATCGCTAGCAGGAATGTGATAAGATGTGTACCAGATAGAAAGGAGGATGCCAACGACAACTGCTACATTCAGCGAGAGAGAAAAGGGCATGCAAAGGGAAAGAGAGGCCGCATGACCCCCACATTCTTATTATCAATCAAAGTATATCACGGCAAATCCACTCTCCACATCGACCTGGCAAAACCAAATCCTACAACGTTGCATATCATGATACCTAGCTATTTAGTGGCCTACAATTGGCTTCGGTTGGTACGGCTCCTCCAAGTACTGGATTTCCTCTTCGGTAAGCTGAACCTTGACGGCCTTCACCGCCTCATCGATGCGTTCCTTCTTGTTGAGACCAACGATAGGGCAAGCGCCCTTCTTCAGACTCCAAGCGATAGCAATCTGCGCCATAGACACACCCTTCTTCTGCGCCAGTGACTGAACGCGATCGACAATGACATGATCCGCCTCTGTCTCCCTAGACCGAATTAGCGACTTGAGAACCAAGTCTGTCTCGTCACGTTTCGACGAACGATCGTCCCAAGGCCTGGTAAGGACACCGCGAGCCACAGGAGACCATGGGATAATGCTCACACCGGCCTCCTCGCAGTACGGGATCATCTCCCTCTCTTCCTCACGGTACAGTAAGTTGTAGTAGTTCTGCATTGAAATGAACTTGTGCCAGCCGTTCTTTTCCGCAATGTTCTGCAGTTTTTGGAACTCCCATGCGGCCATAGAGCTAGCACCGATATAACGCACCCAGCCCTTTTCGATCACATCATTAAGGGCACGCATAATCTCTTCCGCCGGTGTCTCACGGTCCAAGCGGTGGATTTGCAGGACATCAATATACGTGCCGAGACGCTCGACACTCGCTTCGACAGCATCAAAAATGTGCTTGCGCGAGAGACCTACACGATTCACTAGCTCACCATCGTTCTTGCTCAGCTTCGAGATAGGTGGCAGCGATCCGTCATCTGTCACACCAAAGTAGCACTTGCTCAAGATCACGACACGGCTGCGCGGGATATTGAACTTCTTCAGCGCCTTGCCCACAATCTCTTCTGACTTTCCCATGCTGTACACATCGGCAGTATCCCAGGTATTGATGCCTTTCTTATACGCATGCTCGAGCATTGCCAGAGACTCGTCTTCGTCCAGCACCCAGCCGAACCAGTCGGACGTGCCATACGACATGCACCCTAGAATGATACGTGAGACTTTGAGACCCGAGTGACCGAGACTGTATTGTTAGATAAAGCGACGAATGAGTACGTACTTGACGTATTCCATGATGAGTTTGAAAGAGAGGTGTGGCACAGGTACACACACACCCCTTTTATGGGGACGCACGTGCCTTTTGGCGTCACATGAAAATGCGGTAAAACTACTGATACTCTACGATAGGCTTGGGCGAGTACGGCTCCTCCAGGTAGGCCACCTCCTCGTCCGTGAGCGAGACTTTCAGGGCAGCTACAGCCTCATCAATGCGTTCCTTCTTGTTGAGACCAAGGATGGGCGTAATGCCCTTCTTGCTCAAGGACCATGCCAGCGCTACCTGAGCCATAGAAACACCCTTCTTCTTAGCAAGCTCTTGCACGCGGTCCACAATCTTCTTATCGCCGTTGTTCTCTGTAGAGCCCATCACCACAGAAATGTATGGGTCCGTCTGAATACGCTCTGTCGACTTGTCGTCCCATGGGCGTGCCAGAAGGCCAGCTGCGAGAGAATACCAAGGCGTGAGACCCACGCCTGTGTCACGGCAGTACGGGATCATTTCACGCTCCTGCTCACGGTACAGCAGGTTGTACAAGTTCTGCATGTTAATGAACTTGTGCCATCCATGCTTGTCTGCAATGTTCTGTAGCTGCTGGAACTCCCAGGCAGCCATCGAACTAGCACCAATGTAGCGGACCCAGCCCTTTTCGACAACGTCATTCAGAGCACGCATAATTTCCTCCTTCGGCGTCTCCTTGTCCAGACGATGGATCTGAAGCACATCAATATATGTGCCCAGACGCTTGACACTTGCCTCGACTGCGTCAAAGATGTGCTTACGAGAAAGACCCATGCCATTCACCGGGGCCTCCATCATACCGTGCAAGAGATTGTTTGGGTCCTCGTTCTTGGCAGGTTCGTCTTTCACGCCAAAGTAACACTTGGTCATGATTACAACACGGTTACGGGGGATCTTGTACTTAACAAGAGCCTTGCCTACAATTTCCTCCGACTTTCCATCACTATACACATCTGCTGTGTCCCATGTGTTGATGCCGCTTTGGTAGGCGTGATGAAGAATCTCCAAAGCCTCATCCTCTTCCAAGACCCACTTCATCCAATCCTTGGAACCAAAGGACATGCATCCCAAAATAACTTTGGATACTTTTAGACCAGAACGACCGAGACTACACGTCAGATCTTGATCATACATACGTTACGTATTCCATTATGGTAGCAATAAGGAAGTGGCAAAATTTAGGCGTAATCAACCCTACTTTTCGATCACTCAAAAAGCGCCAGCGCATGACGCACGAGCCAAATCTTAGCTTCTTGAGCATAGCTCTTTTTCACCCGTGAATTTTCCAAGACCTTCTTACTTAGCATACGAAAAGAGCCTATGGTACGAGAGAAATGTTAAACATACATATAAGAAGTCTTAGCATTTACAAGTACTGATGCATGAAAGTCACACCATTATGATGGCGTTCGCCATTTTGTTAGTAAGCTACAATGACTCTCTGTACTCATAGAGCTAGGTGATCATTATCTCTCTTGTTTGCACAAAGAGAGGATATGTATGGCACCATCAAATGCGCATTAGCAGTGAGTTAGTGATAGTTAGTGATAGTGCTGAGGGTATGACGTGACGTGACGTTGGACAGTAGCAGGTCATGACGTGCTTTCCACAGATGTGGAGGGAGAGCGCCATACGAGTGACGTGCGCAAGGCTCTACCGCACGAGCCATGCAACGAACAGCACGACATTGAGATATCCGCCCCGCCACCATGCAAAGGCATAAATACCGAGCACTTCAGAGGCCGGATTCTTACCATCATCATGGCACCAGTACCTGAAGTGGAACTGTTCGTTCCTGTGAACGCGATCAAGCAGAAGACGCTCTCCAAGCCTGTGGTAGCCAAGACTGGCTCGATTGTATGGAAGACGCCCAAGGCCAGTGGTTTGCTGGATCAGCTCTATCCGTCTGAGGAGCTGACGCCTGCTATTGGTCGTCTGTATCCTACACTGCAATTGAGTGAGCTATTGGAGCATGAAGCTGCCGACGAATTGATTCGCGACCTGGCCATTATTATCTCCCGACGTGGTGTGGTCATTTTCAAGTCCCAAGACATTAGCCCTGAGCAGCAGAAGTTCTTGACCAACCGATTGGGCCAGTTGACGGGCAAGCCCTCAACATCAGGATTGCATGTGCACCCTGTCTACAACGCGGAGCGTACTAGCAACAACCCCATTGACGAGAAGGGGACGCGCAATCAAGACAACGAAATTAGTGTGATCAACAGTGACTTGTTCCAGTCGCTGGAGGTGTTTGAGCACTCTGATGCCGACGAGTGGCATAGTGATATTGCCTTTGAGCCTGTGCCGGCAGATTATACGTCGCTCAAGGTGCATACGCTTCCATCCACAGGGGGCGATACACTTTGGTCCAGTGGGTACGAACTGTACGACCGCCTGTCGCCTGCCTTCCGAACGCTTGCCGAGAGCTTAGAAGCCCGCTTCCATCCACCCGAGTTCATTCAGGCTGCACGAAAACAGGACTTTGGCATCTACCCTGGCCCTCGAGGCGCGGCAGAGAATGTGAATACGCATCTCACGGCGGACCATCCGGTGGTGCGAACCAACCCTGTGACGGGGTGGAAGACGCTATTTGGGGCTGGTCAGCACTTTAGTCGCTTCAAGGGGCTAAGCACGACCGAGAACCGGTTCCTTCGCGACTACTTCCACCAGCACATTGCACAGACACATACAGCGCAGGTTCGTCATCGCTGGGAGAAAAACGACCTGGCCATCTGGGACAACCGATCTACCTACCATGCGGCTACGCCTGACTACTTCAGCCTAGGTTCCCGATCCGGTGTGCGAGCCGTTTCTTGCGGTGAAACGCCGTATTTGGACCCCGCCAGTGTGTCACGCAAAGCCGAGCTTGGGTCGAAGTTGATTTGATGTGTAGTCAGCATGTAAAATGTGCAATGTAACATAAATAATTAAGACGTGTGCACTCACTCCACACGAGATAAGGGCATGAAAGCACGCAAGTGGTAAGAGGGGCCATTCCCCCACCACCATGGCGAAAGCGGGTCTACGGCGACTGAAGCTGGATGCAGACGCAATGCCACGGATTGTCTTGGAGGAGAGCATGCAGGCTCACCTTGTCCTTCTCCGGGCCTTTCAGGAGCTGCGATCGCGCGTAACGAAAGGCACAGACGACACACTGCCGCAATATACGCCAGAAGCCGTACCTCCATCTGCCAACGTGAAAGACGATAGTATACAATTTGTTCTTTTCCTGCACAGAGCTCTATTCCGTTTCGAGCGATATGTTTCGGTGATCCTAGCACCTCTATATACGCAGGCGCCGCTACGTTTTTCCCAATTGGCTAAAGCAAATGGCCCTGATACCGGTTTGTTACCTCCGCATATGCTGCCCCCGCTGGACGTGGCTTTCCTTTGGCGTATGTATAGGACCACTAACTCTAGATTCGTACAAGCTCCATCCTCAGCGCTTCTACGAAGATACCTTCCGTGACTCGAACTCGAAACGTGCTGGCCATTACCCCATTTCCGCTCCATGCATTGGTCCAGTCGCTGAATGCGCAGTACCATCTAGAAGCGCCTGATGCGGCTGCATTCTGGGAAGCTACTACAATGCTTCCTTTTGACCCCCTTTGCATAGAGCGTCACGAGACTAACGCCCTGGATATGGCATGTCCCTTTTGCCATGTGCCCCACTCGGTACCATGGACGTCGATCGTGTCACCATCGTGGACGACCAAGTGCTCGTCATGCATGAAAACATGGGGTGTCTCAGAACTGCTTGGTTTCCGACTGGTCAGCGATCTCGAGAAATGGGCGGATGGTGGAGACGATCGTACTGGATTCCGACTGCGCGGCGGTGTCTTATCAGCCAAGGATTCCCGCTATTTCTTACATGACCCTTTTGAGCCTGTCCTTCGGCGTGTCCTTCTTCATCGGAGGACATCCCAGGCAGATATGGAAAGCATGAAGCAAGGTACATTGGTCTCCTCAGACAAGTACGGACAGATTACCATGGGCGTCATGGCACCACAAGACATGGGCCACATGTTTGGCTAGAGCTTGGACGCGATAGAGGCGTATTTCTTCGATACGGTGAAGAAAACACTCAAGCCATTGATCAATGGGCATACCAGAGACGAGCTTCTTCGCCGCGTCGCGTTGATGTTCTATTTTTATCGACATTGCCACCCCTTGAGTGGGGCGAGTTTGGATCTTGTGGCCACAGCTCAACGTCAGACTCGCTTTATGGATGATGTGCAAAAACTAGGATGGCTTTCTGATCCAGCCACTGCTAACCTGTCACTCTGTCAGACTCGGTACCAGCGCTTTCTCGTCATGCACAGAATCCAGCCGGGTTTGCTAGCACCTACGTTAGACATTGACCTGGCATGGCATACCCACCTATTGCATATTCATTACTATTGGGATATGTACCGCTTAATGGGGAGGTTCCTTGATCACAACGACACTGTCCCAGCCTCCGCCCTGCAAACAGCCTCTCGCACCACATGTGATTTATGGGAACGCATATTTGAAGAGTCATATATGCAACAACCGTCAAAGGGGACCAAGCGGTTCTCTATATTTGGCCTAGGAAAAGGAAAATTTCGTACAGAGGATGAGACGCAACTGCGCGCTACTTCGTTAAGCCAAGCTGGAGTCGTGGAGCTACTTTCGCCGTCGCATATGGCCGCAGTCCCTATCGCCCAAGCTGCCTTTTATGCGCCGCAGCTTCTATGGGATATTGGACTTAGCGCATGTATCTCAGGGGATACATGGACAGATTCTACCAAAACATACTCATTCGCAGAGCTACAATTGGGTCAATACTACGGACATACGTGGATGGCTAGCCCAAATTAGGCCGAGCCGCGAATCTTCGACGACATGACCTCCTCCATAGACTTGATCAGATAGTCAATTGCCACCGATGCACCCGCATGTTCATGCCCCAAATCACGCAGTTGAGCAATCCAGAACATCCAACGGTCTTTGGATATGCCGCCAGACTTGGTCCATTTCTTTCCAGCGCGACATAGCGGGTTGGACTCAAGATGCGGTTCGCCATGGTTGTACAAGTGTGCGCCTGCAGAATTAAGCCAAAGTTGAAGACCCTTTACACACAGTTCTGTGTCCTCATGCGCCCCTTCTTCTTCCAGCAGCTCCCTGAAAAGGATGACACCAAACATACTAGTTTCGGCGACGCCTTCGGCTGCACATCGAGCATAAAATGTGTTGATGTTAGAGTACTCGCGAGGCTTGTCTAGATCCACATGAACCTCGAAGCGCTCACGAAGAGCCATCGGCAGGCCAGGTGTGTCGGCCCACAGGTTTTTGCCATTCACATCACGGACGTGACGTGTCTTGAGCGATTTGGCCAGCTTCAACAGGTTGTCCTGCTGCACATTGTTTTTGGCCGCTTGGTCAAGCCACTCGCACCAAAATTGGAAGGCATCGAATGACTCATCCTTTGATGATGCAACCACCTTCTCTACGACGCTTTCGATCGAATCACTGCTAAGCTCTTTCCAGTAGGACATGGCGAGAACGGATGCATACGAAACCCGCATGAATGGAGATGATTTGTCATTGGCACGTGCGTCTCGTTTACGTACTGAGACATGTGCCAAGACATCTCCCTACTCGTTGTGACACAGGGTAAAGCTATTTTTAGGCATAAAGGGCTCTATCACAATGAAAGAGGGGTAAATGAATATGGTATTCCGAGGACAATAACATACTGACATAATGCAAGGCCTCGGATAGGATGGATTTATATCAAGAAGATGACTTTTATACCGTGACAAGACTCTTTGGGGTCCGTGTACATGCCACACGTGTCAAGATAGGTACCATCATAGTGTCAAGCACGTCTATAAAGAGGGGGGGCAAGAGACCCCACTTTGTCCCTCACACACAACCACTACTACTACTACTTCAACTGAATCCGAATCATCATGCGCTTTGCTATCGTCCTTTCTCTCCTCGTCTGCCTCATCTCGTTTGTGTCGGCGCAGTCGCTGTGCTTCCCGCGCCCCAGCTTCCTTAGCGGAACCTGCAGCACCGAGTGCGGCCTCCGTGGCCACTCTGGTGGCTCCTTCTCCAATGGTCAATGCTGCTGCAGCGGTGCTAAGAAGCGCAGCGTTGAGATTTCGCCGGAGGAGAACCTCCGTAGCGCTGAAGAATTCTTCGGCGGTAAGCTCCTTGTGGCTCAGGACAACACGCTGCAGGTGAACAAGGGCCACGCTGTCTCTCGTATCTCGTGCAACCTTTGCAACATCGGCTCGCTCAACGGCGGTGGCCTGTGCTGTGAGGCTAGCTGCAAGTCGGTCGGCAAGAACTCAGGCTCGTGCAAGAACGGTGTCTGCGTATGCGGTAAGTAACTTGCATATGCGTCAAGAGCTACCGCGACGTGAATAAATAGTGTTGTTATATTTGACTCGATGAATATATGTTTGATTTTATTTTATTTATGATTAAAGGGTGTGACATTATCTCGCCAAGACCTGACAGGACAGGTACTTGTGCGGGGGCTGACATAAGTTTCAAATGCAAAAACAAAAACCCTCTCCTTTGCGTGGAGGAAAGAGCACACGTGCGCACCCCTCGCATACCGCCGTGTGCACTGGGCCGACGAAGCCCTAAAGGGGAACGAACATATAAGATGGCCGTAGACGGAGCTATGTCCACTACACGCATCTCACCTCTATGAAGGTAGCCACCCTGATTCTTGCGCTCGCCAGCGTGGCCTTTGCGACTCCGATCCAGCGCCGTGATACGGTACGTGCCTACTAAGCTCACACATAGATTGCCCACTGTGGTGCTGGTCAGGGCGGTGACATTGATGTGGACCACATCATCTCGCAGGTGCAGAATGCGCCGCGTGAGAACCGTAGCTCCGGCTACCCTCATAAGTTCAACAACTACGAGGGTCTGCCCATGTCGTCGGCGTGTGATGGCGCCTCGATGATGCTTGAGCTGCCTGTCTTTGCGGATGGCCATCCGTACGACCTTGAACACGGCGAGAAGCCGGGCGCTGTGCGTGCGATCTACTCGATCGACGACAATGCTCTCTGTGCCATCGTCGCGCACGACAACGACGACTCGAACTTCCACTCGTGCGCGACGAACTAAGTCTTTCGTAGTTCCCATATTCCGTGACCTTTGTAATCCTATATGACACTATATGTGTATCACACATGGGTATCATGTGTAGCCTCGTTTGGTTGCCCGATAATGGTGCGCTTTTTCTTTCGGTTGCGCTCTTTAATGATGTAATAACAGAGATAGATCGCGATGGCAATCCAATAAAGAATGTAGGAAAGAATGGTACTGATAGTAGCTGTATTGTTCCAGCCGACTAGACTGTTGAGAATGGACCAGCCACTACCGCCATTGTTTGTCTTATCTTCTGGGTTGCAGCAGTCCAGATGCCATACATAGTCCAGCGCATTGTAACTGCCTGGACCTGAGCCGCTTTCCGCTGCCGCATCGCCAACTTTTTGGACATACTTGTAAAACTGAAAGTAGTAGACACATCGTGAAAACATGCCGGCAGCAATAATAAGCAGAGCACAGGTGCAAAACACAAGGAACGGCTTGATTTTTGAGATGGAGCGTGCCTTGAAAATAATAAAGCCAACGAGCAAACCGCAAAAAATTCCCACAATGGCGGGAAGAGGAATGGACGAGGCTGGCAAGCCCAGCGATACACCACCAATAAACACGACACCCTCAAGTCCCTCACGTAGCGTTGTCACCAACGGAATGACAAATATAGCGGTTGGGCCTTTGGCATCGCCCTCTAGAGGTTTGCGGACTACGCGAGTCCACATATGAACCTTTTGTAAAAACGACATGGTCTCAGGCGTCTCCATCCTCTCTTTCTCTGACTTTGCTGTAGATTGGATTAGGCCTGCCTCGTCATTATGAAGGGCCTCTTTCCGCACAGTGTCCATGCCATTGAAGGCTCGTGCAAGCTTCTTCTTCCACTTGGCACGCGACTTGTCCGCATGCAAAATCACAAGCGACATGGGTGTGATCAGTACCACAGCGATTAAGTTGAAAATTCCCTCCCATAGCTCTTCCGAGCGACCATACAAATCAGTGGTCTGTGTATAAAAGATAGCAAGGAAAATGGCGCCGATTATGAAAGCAATACCTAACCCAGTGAGAGCCCCCGCGATAATGTATATACGAAGTTTTCGAATAAGCTTTTTTGACGCATCATCCATGGTATGCTTGTTTTTACCTACAACCCTCTCCAGCATACCTGTTAGAATACCAATCACCAGGGCTGCTTCGAGGGCCTCACGAAAGGCAATGAAAAAGATCGTTGGCGCGAACACGCGGTTGCCTGTCGGACCTGACCCCATAGTGATAGGATATAGGTAGGGTCAATGGACAGAAAGAACGCTAGTATATAAAACAAGGCCACGAGTTAGCGTCCACTTTCTTGAGAAAGAGTGAATAGGCGTCTTGTGTCACAGATGGATCATTTTTTTCTCGTACTTGCGCACGCAAGTCCGGGGTTCTTTCATTTAACGCAGCCCAAAAGATAATAATAATTGGTTCCACAAAAATTCCATCTGATAGACTGAGCTCTAGGATTTACACCACTTTCATATCAGATGAAAACGAGACAAGAGAAGCCAAAACGATATGCATGGAATACTATGGGAAGAGTAGATATACATATTACACCAGCCTTGTTCGTAAGGTAGGGTACTATGCGACTTGTGGCGCTGGCGGTAGTATGCCTATGTGCTTGCGTGCATGCAGCCAATGTCACTGTCGACTGGACTGTGGGTTGGGTCAATGATGTGAATCCGGATGGCCTCTTCACACGACGTGCTGTCGGTATTAATGGGCAGTTCCCGCCGCCCATTATGAATGTGAACTCCGATGACGCTGTTACTATCCACTTTCACAACGGGTTTGGTGATGGCCGCGGAAGTTCGTTGCATTCACATGGCCTGTTTTTCAATCGCACAGTGTGGTATGATGGTGCAGCGTCCCTGACGCAATGCCCTGTTCCGGATGGTCAGTCCTTCACGCAAGAGATCTTGAACTCGCCCCAGAGCCCGGTGGACCGTCAGAAGCAATGGGGTACGTACTGGATCCATGGCCATTACGGTGGGCAATACGTCGATGGTTTCCGCTTGCCCAACATTATCCACAATGCCGATGGCGAAGTGCACAAATACGATGATGATTATACAGTCGTACTGGCAGACTGGTACCATCGTGAGCATGACGATTTGCTCGTTAATGAGTTTATGAACCCCAAAAACCCAGGCGGTGTAGAGCCCGTACCGGATGCGGCTCTAATGTACATCGCTCATACACCGATGAATGGTGCTGCTTCGTATTTACCGGGCTTTAATGAGAATGCCACGCTACCTGTTGAGCCAGGTAAGACGTATCGTATCCGACTGATCAACATGTCAGCGCTCTCCATGTTCCATTTCTGGATCGAGGGCCACGACATGCGTGTGATTGAGGCAGATGGAGAGGATATGCAGGAACTGCCTGTTGACTCTATTTCCCTTTCAGCAGCACAGCGCTACTCTGTCCTTGTTACGGCACGCAACGACACTGCCAACAACTGGCTGATGCATGCAAATATGGACCCCGATATGTTTGATAATGTGCCCGACACGCTGCAGATGAACGTGACTAGTACGGTGTCGTATCGAGAAGGAGCGCCGATGGGCGCTGGGAAAGCCGAGCTGGAGACGTACGAGATGTTTGACGATACGAAGCTTGTGCCATTTGTACCGATGGAAATGTCTATGCCGGACATGTCGCATGACTTGAACGTGTTCTTCACGACGTACAGTGACGGAAAGAACTATGCCTCGTTTAACAATGTCACATTTGTGGCACCCATCACACCTTCGATTCTCACGATCAAGTCTGAACCGGTATCGCTCCTCTCTGATGCTCGTGTGTACGGACCGTCCTCCGGTGCACTCGTCTTACCCCACATGAAGATGATTGAATTTAACGTATACAACTGGGATGCAGGGAATCATCCCTTCCATATGCATGGACATAAGTTCCAGGTCGTGCACAAGAGTATGGATGTCACGTCCAATGATCCTGAGATTAATCCGCCATTTGTTGAAGGGGAGAACAAAAATCCTTTGCGCCGCGACACTGTTATGATTCCTGGTGGTGGCAGCGCGAAGATCCGATTCTTTGTCGACAACCCAGGGGCTTGGTTCTTCCACTGTCACGTCGACTGGCACTTGACATCTGGCCTGGGGCTGATTGCAATTGCCGCCCCAGAGGTGATGGCGAAGGAAATGACAGTGCCCTCTACGGTGTATGAGCACTGCCAAATGCAGGGTATATCTACCACCGGCAACGCAGGCGGTATTGCGAATTCCACGACGAACTTTGGGGCTCTTCCTGCGCCGCCAAAGCTGCTAGTTACCGGCTGGACAGATACCATGATTGGTACGTTTGTGGCATGCATTATCAGTGCAATTATTGGTCTCGTAACCATTTGCTGGTATGGCTTCTCCACAGCAGGCGAAGAAGAGGACGAGGACGAGGATGAGAAAGATGCTGAGAGTATGCCTAGCACGACAGAAGCCGAGCCGATCTCTGAGAAAGGCACGCCGTCGGAGCAGGAGGTGGCATCCCTTTCTCCTCAGACCTCGGTGCAAGAGCCCATGCCCTACATGGCATCGGTAGAGACAGGTCCGTCGGGCGTACGTACGGGGGTGCCCTCGTCCTAACCCCGTTTCCTCGTCGTCGGAGTGAAGCCATGTCATACCCCCGTCACGCTTGCCGAGACCTTTACCGTCATTCATTATAGTATCATATCCAATCAGACCACATAGATACGAGAAAAGGATAGAATCAAACAACTAACGAATCGTACTAATCTATGAATAAGCCACCCCAACGGCCTTTCATGCCACCATCATGATCATGCGAAAGTCCAGTGTGCCGCTTAGTAGGTCACACTGTACAGGTCGAACGTAGTCGGGTTCGAGCCGACCCACGAGACCGAGCCACCCTTGTCGAGGTTGAGGTACTGCGAGCCAGCCTTGATCTCGTAGCCCTTACCGTTGCCCTTGTCGGTGAACGAGACGACGACACCGTCGGCTTCGTTCGACGAAAGGCTCAGGCTCTTGGTCAGGTACTTCTTGTTGTCGCCCAAAGTCGAGATCTTGAAGCGGTTGTCCTTGGGGTCCTGCTGCTTGCTTTGCCAGTGGATCATAAAGTGCTGGCTCTTGCGGTCCTTGGTCTTCTGCGACGAGGACGAGCCGAGCTTGTTGCCGTTGTGGGTCAGAGCGTTGTTGTAGGTCTCAAACACCATGGTGCGACCCTCCGACATGCCACCACGCATCTTCTTGTAGCCCTTCTCCACCGGGAAGCCATCGGTAAGCTCAGTCTGGTTGCCGTACGGCACGTAGGGCTGGTTCTGCTTGAAGCGCGACTGGCAGACGGCCACACCGTTGTACTTGAGCGAGATCGGGTCCTTGGAGGCGCGGTTCATCTTCGGAAGCTGCACGTACGAGTCATCCTTGTTCGAGAAGTCAAAGGCGCTCACAAGGTCGCTGAGCTTCTCACGCCGCCACGGGTTCAGTTCCTTGCTGGTCCAGTTCTTGCCGTGCGCAGCCGACCACTTCTCCAGGAAGAGGATCTGGCTGTCGTGCGTGGCGTGCTCGGTGAACACACCACCCTTGCGAGTCCACGGGGAGACAATGTAGAACGGCACACGGTAACCAGGGCCAACCGGGGCCTGGCCGAGAGTGTAGTCAAACGGATCCTCCATCCACTCACCAGCGGTGCCCTCGGGGGCATGCGGGCCCATGATGTGGTCGGCAAAGCCACCGCTCTCATCGTACGACACAAACATGGCACTCTTCGACCAGTAGTCACTGTTCATCAGAGCCTCCGCCACAGCGTACTGGAGCCAGGCACCGTCGTTCGGCGTGTTCGGCGGGTGCTCCGAGATCTCAATCGGAGGCACAATGTACGACACCTGCGGGAGCGAGCCGTTCTTCAGGTCAAAGAAGAACTTCTCCAGGCCCGGGCGGTAAATACCCTTCTGGGCAAGTGGGCCCTGGCTGATGATGTCCAGCTCGTACTGCTCGAACTGCTCGAGCATGTTGTGCCAACCGTTGTCCGTGTCCTCGTACACCATCCAGGAGATGTTCTGCTCCTCCAGGTACTCCGGCACCGTCTTCCACTTGAGCGGCAAGCAAGCCAACGGGTTGCCACGCGAGTCCTTCTCACAGCCAGCCTCACGGTGGTCGTCAACGACAGGGCCACCCTGCTTCAGGGGGTCACCACCCGGGTTGCTGCCCGGCGAGTTGATCGTACCCGAGAAAAGCACGGCACGGTTCGTGTCCGAAGCAGCAAGCGTGCTCTCATAGTAGGCGTCACCCACAATAAACTCCTCCGCCAGGGCGAAGTGCACCGGCAGATCCTTGCGGCGGAAGTAACCGAGCGACCAGGGCGTCACGTTGTACGCCCAGCGGTCGTTCTTGCCCTTGTTCCACGCGGCATGGTTCGCCTCCCAGCCGTTCGAGCCGGCCACCATGCACTGTGTGGCCTCGTCGTCGGGCACGTTGCCCTGGTTGATGTAGAAGTACATCAACTCCGACACGTTCGACGGCGGAGCGGGCTTCACCGAGCTGTCCACGTGCTGGTAGAAGATGCTCTTACCGTCGTCTTTGATCTGGACGTTCGGGTCGCTGAAGCCACGCACACCGGCCATCGTACCAAAGTAGTGGTCAAACGCACGGTTCTCCTGCATGAAGATAATAACGTGCTCGATGTCCTTGAGCGAGTCCTTGGCCATAGCCGACGAGGCGGCCAGCGCCAGGCTCACGCTGGCAAAGAAGGCCTTGTAGCCGAACATGGGAGGCGGATGGTGGTGGGTATCGTTCTACGCAGTGGCCCGTCTAGATATAGTTGTTGCATCTCCCTACATGCCAGCCTGGGTTGCGGGGACGGCATGTTGCAAAATCCCCTCATTCGAGCTATCTCACCAATGAATGACCAACCATTGGACACGTCGATAATGGCCGTCCGTTCGCCTTCATGCAGGTTCGACAACGTGGAGCAACCGAGCCATTGTCGATGGCCAAATGCATATGTGAATTTCGCTGGCTGCAGGCTATCGTGGTGCTCCACATGCCTAAGCCCACACGTGCGACCCTCGCATACTGACAGGCTTTTATTACCTGCGCTTACGCAGGCAAGGAGTGAGGACGTTGCCCCTTTCAACGTGCGCCATATGCAGCAGGCAGCTTTCCCCTGACCCTGGCACGATCGTAGCCGTAGCTCATAGCCACTAAAAATAGAGCATGCCAGGTACACACGTCTGCTAAAAATCTGCATGACCTTGTAGTGTAGAGCCAAATACGACATGAATCGTTCTTCTTGACCGCGCGGCGGCTTCTAGACTGGCTGTATTGTTGCCTTTCAGCTATGTCACTGTGACGAGAAAACGAGGGCAAGTGGACATTCGTCTATGAAAGAATGTCTATAGAAACGCTGTGTTGCTTGGGCGTCTATGAAAGTTGAAAATGCAGCTTAGGACGGCTACACACAGGTTGCTTTGCTGCCTACGGTCTATGGATGCATCTACAGCCGAACGCTGAGGTAATCCTAGGTGGTGCCTGACCAAGAAAAAGGAGCGCTAGGTGTGGAGAAAAGAAATGGGCGGCGTGAAAAAGGCATTTGATTGGACGTATTTCAGCAAGGGGCATTGCAGCCACCAAGCTAATCCAAGAGGTCCTACGAAAAGGATAGGACGACACGAAGTTCTTGAACGCCTCCAACGTTAAGAGGGCCGCCATGTTGCGTTGGTGGAGACTATGCCTCAATGTTGTTTGCTTCAATGTGGCGACAAAGGCAGCGTTTGTGACACAACCCAACTACCACTTGCCACCCATCTCCCTTACGTACAGTGATAAGTCGCTCGAACCGGCCGATGGTTACATCTTCCTCAGTCCTCGCGTGACGGATCCTCGTGGCTTATTTATTTACGACAAGTATCTAAGTCTTGTGTACTACAACGATACAGCCAATGCGATTGACGCGACGTATTTCCGGCCGTTCATGCTGGGGAACGAGCTTGTGCTGGTCCATCATCAAGGCGATGTGAGTCGAGGATTCTCTAATGGCACAGCACATATCATGAGTCAGGACTACACGCTAAAGACGGTCGTGTCTACCAGTCATATGTTGGATGCCCATGAATTTCAACTTAGTCCCAATGGCTATGCCACCACCACGTCGTATGTGGATATCCCCAACTATAACATTGGTGCAGCGGGCAATGCAAATACGAACAGTGGATGGCTGACGGATAGCTGTATTCAGGAAGTTAATGTGCGAAATGACAGTGATATCCGATTCCGATTCTGTCCCCATGAACATATCCCTCTGGATGCGAGCTACTACAATGCACCTGCCACACCTGCTACGGAGGCCCAGAGTTGGGACTGGTTCCATGCCAACTCGGCAAACAGGGATGCTCTAGGAAACTTTTTGTTCAGTGGTCGTCATACGCATACACTGTACTATGTGGATGGAAAGTCGCACGAAATCCTATGGGCGCTCGGCGGCAAGTCCAGCAGCTTTAGCGGGGACGGTAACTTTTTCTCCTGGCAGCACTATGTGCGCTTTTCGAATGAAACGGGGGCAAGTGCAGAAGAGCTGCAGAAGCGTATGGATGGCGGAAAGCGCTGGATTACTGTGTACGACAATGCCAGTTCGGGCTTTGAAAAGAACAGCGATCACAGTCGGGGTCTGGTTATTGAATTGGATTTCCCGTCCATGACGGCTACGATCGTGAAAGTGTATGAAAACCCTGGTGGTGTGACGGGCCTTTTGTCGGACACGCAGGGCAGTATTCAACTTATGCAAGACGAGCCGGATTCGTGGTCGGATCATGTTATGATGGGGCTGGGCCAGATTCCCGTCTGGGCCGAGTTTACGAACGATGGCAAGACGGTCCAGCTTGTTTGGTTCGGCGACCGTGCGACTGTGCAAGGTTACCAAGTGGTGAAGTTGAAATGGAGTGGCTATCCACTCACGAAGCCTGATGTTGCTGTGAAAGACAAGAAGCTGTATGTCAGTTGGAATGGCGCAACGGAAGTCGACCACTGGGTGATTGAGTCTACGACGCAAGATTCGATGGTGAAGTCCAAACCAAAGACCGATACCATACAAAAACAAGACTTTGAGATGTCGATGGATTTGGATCCGAAGTTTTCTCGGTTCCGTGCTGTGGCGATGAGCAAGAATGGATGCACGCTAGGCAAGAGTGATTATGTCGATATGAATGGAAACAACCAAGGAGGGGGTGTAGCGGGCAAGAATTACGCAAAAGAAGACACCTCCTCCATCTGCCCTAAAGGCCAGACATTGAGTGACGACGGCAATTCCAACTCAAGTGATCCATTCCTATTCAATGGATCGAGACCACTTACAGCTCACCCCTTCCTGGGTATGCTACTTTTGGTCGTAATGCTCACGGTGATGATCTAAACCAATACGTCAACAATATGTAACAACAGTACGAATTATTTCTTAGTAGCAACAAGACAATAGACAATAGAATTTCACGGCACCAGCATGTACACATCCAGATTGGGTTTGTTGCATCTTACGTTCGCTGTGAACGAATGCTCAAAGGGTCCAGTGAGGTCACTTACGAAGCCTTCCTGCATTGGATGCAGTCAGTGGATGAGCGCGCGCAGGAAAAACATTTTTATTGGCTTGAAAAAATCTACCTGGTGTGAAATGACGCGGGGTAAATTTTATCGGACGAGAGAGGTCCCAATAGCCAGTCTCGTACTCCACAATGGCCAATTGCCTCGCCTGTCACGAAATGTAAACTGTGCGTAGTCCCACGTCGGAGAAACTTAAATCCGCTTCAAGAAGAAAATGTTGGGGCCAAGATGATCAGCGAAGCAAGAAACGCAAGGAAAAATGTTTCATTGGATAGAGCCAACGTTGGTCATGCCTCGGATGCAGGTCTCGCTAGAAACGAGCGACCGTTATTCTCAGAACAGAGCGTTGTTCATAGGGAGGAACTCTTTATGTGAGGGGCTTTGCAATCGCTCCTCGGTGTTGGGGAAGTCAGAAAAGAGTGGCGGGAAATGAAAGCTTTATAAACAGGCTTCTCGGAAGCTCGGCCTTGTCGGAGAAGGTATTAGCTGCGACATGAAGTTCTTGTTGGCTCTGTTCTGCGCCGTACTACTGGCCTTGCCTGTGTGGACGCTGGAAGCACGTGAGAGCCTTCCTTTTCCGCCGAACGATCCCTTCTATACCCCACCTGATGGATGGCAAGACAAGCCCAATGGCCATATATTCCGCTCGCGCAAGGTGGAACTGCAAACGTTGTTCCACACGAACGTTGAGGAGGCTTGGCAAGTTTTGTACCGTACCACGTATGCGTCGGATGACCAGCCGACGACCAGTGTGACGACGATCATGGTGCCTTACAATGCGAAGCGCAACGGTGTGGTAGTGTACGGTGACTTTGAAGACTCGAATGCCCCGCAGTGTGCTCCTAGCTATGCATTCCGTGCCGGTCCCTTGAATGCGCCATCGTCCAAAGTTAACATGGTGATCACTTTCCCCTTCCTGCAGGAAGGGTACATTGTCACAGTGCCCGACAAGGAAGGCAGGAAGGGCCTGTTTGCCTCGGGCATTGTTGAGGGCCGTCAGACACTCGATGGCATTCGTGCGACGCTGGCCTTTGACAAGTTGAAGCTGGACAAGAACGTCAAAGTGGTTGGATCAGGGTACTCGGGTGGTGCTATTCAGACCGGCTGGGCTGCCTCGCTGAAGCCGACGTATGCACCTGAGTTGCCTGTCGTGGGTTGGTACGCTGGCGGCACGCCCTCGAACTTGACGGACCTGATTATGTTGGTGAATAAGACGCCTTTCTCTGGCTTTTTGAATGGCGGTGTTGCGAGCTTGGTGGACACCTACCCGAAGGTCAAGGAGTACATTGAGTCGATTGCGACGCATGAGGCCATGGAGGCCATGGACTATGCGCGTGAGAATTGCATGGTCTCCCTGTTGCTCAAATACCCGTTCCAAGACCTGTTCTCCACCTACTACACGAGCCGAGGCAAGCAGCTTCTGGACAACAAAGACCTTCGGGAGGTGCTGGATGAGCTTACGATGGGCCTCAACAAGGAGCAAACGCCCGACGTGCCTGTGCTGATGATCCATGGCAAGGTCGATGAGATAGCACCATACAGATCAGGTCGCAAGACGGCTGAGAACTGGTGCAAGCACGGTGGCCAGATTCAGTTCCATACCTACGACACGGACCTCTCGGCGCACTTTATTTCGCAAATCACAGGCACGACCATGTCTTTCAACTGGCTGAGGGACCGCTTGGAGGGCAAGCCTGTGAAGGACGGATGCCAGTTTACGAGCAGCAAAGATGTGCTTCTGGACGTTGACGAACTGGGCGACGAGTTCAAGTACATTCTGGAGATGCTGGATGGCTTCGCGGGCGACAAGATTGGCCCAGGCGACAATATCATTACATCGCGTATCCGCAAGCAGCAAGCGCACCGTCACCACGTACAGCGCTCTTCATCGCTTGTGTAATAGCATATCATTTACAACCTAGACATACAGGTTTTCAACATGCCCTCGATCGCCGTAGGAGAGTGAGAGAAATTTGCTATCGCGAGAAAACGTCATTTTACTGCAGACCTGCGTGGAGAGGCTGGTGCCAATGAGAGGGTGAGGAGGGCACATGTGATGGCCAAACTCTGGTATTCGGATATAGATGTCCGAACAGGGCACGGACCAGCCCTGTCTATAAAAGGCAAGCAGTTTTGCTTCTTTCGTGAGCCAGCATCATGTGGGCATCCAGCGACGATTTCGCGTGTGATCCAAACACGTGTGTTCAGCCGGTCAGCGTACCGCAGTGACAAAGTCCTAGCAGCTCTTTATCGCAGCGGGGAGTACGCAAAGCGGCAACCAAAGCTCTTGGCCGTCTGCGAGAGTGGGTTGAAAGAAAAGGCTATACGTTGATCGTCACGGACGACAAGGAAGGGCTCAACTCTGTGTTTGCCAAGGAAGTGGTTGATGCGGATATTGTGATTACTACGCCATTCCACCCGCTTATATTACGTCGGGCGTCATCGATAAGACGAAGAAGCTTAAGGCATGTGTCACAGCGGGTGTCGGCAGTGACCATGTGGACTTGGACAAGGCAAACGAGCGCAAAATCGGTGTGTACGAAGTATCAAGCTCGAATGTCACGTCTGTTGCGGAGCATGCAGTCATGACGATGCTGGTGCTGATGCGCAACCTTGTACCCTCCCACAAGCAGTACGCCAAGACGGAGAAGCGGTTGGGCGTGCGGTACCTCGACACCATGGAAGAGATGATCGGCCAGTGTGACATCGTCACGATCAATGCGTTTCTGTATGAGGGAACCAAGGGTCTGTTCAACAAGATGATCAGTAAGATGAAGAAGGGAGCATGGTTGGTCAACACGGCGCGCGGCGCGATTTGCGTGAAGGAAGAAGTAACGGAGGCCCTGAAGAATGGGCAGCTGAATGGATACGGTGATGATGTGTCTTACCTTCAACCAGCAGAGAAGGACCATCCCTGTCGTTCGATACGCAACATATGGAACCCGAACCTAGGAGGCGGAAATGCAATGACGTCGCATATTTCAGGCACGTCGCTGAATGCGCAGAAACGGTACCTGGACGGCACGAAGGAAATCCTCGAAAATATCTGGTCCGGCCAGGCACAGAAGAAGCAGAACATTATTGTGAAAGGCGGAAAGTATGTCTCGCCGGCGTATGGCCAGCGTTAGAGACCTCTGTTAGAGGCATCGAATAGAGACGATAGCAAGGATGAACTGATAGACGTGGAGGTGAAATAAGGCCTTTTCTTGCTGACAAAAGGGCGTATAGTAATGCGACAGACCGGTGATTAGATTCTTTCTACATATCGCAACAGATGATGGCATGGGGATCTACAAGAAAGAAGTAGAATTAAGGGGACATCATAAGATCCATGCAACAACATTAGAAACCGAATTATTACATGTCCATGGATTTGTTTAGGCCATCTCCAATTCCTCTGCCGTCTCGCGTGGCTGGCGGGCAGCGGCCGTCCACGGGAAGTACATCTCAGGCACGAGGAAGAACGAGTTCGTGTTGTCAATCATGCCGACGTACGCGTTGTACCACGCATTGATGGCACCCAGCACGCAGAATGCACCACCGGCACGGAGAAGACCGAGATGAGGGCCGATACCGTTGTGGTGGTTACGCAGGTACGCACAACCCACGAGCAGGTAGCCGATGTCAAGGAGGAAGAACATCAAGCAGAGCATCACAGTCGAGCGAAGCGTGCACATGAAGAAGATGAATGTCACGACGAACCAGACCATAAAGAACAGACCCAAGTTGTCCAGCGCGCCAGGCACGCCGTCGGCCTTGGAGATCGTGTCGACAATGTGGAAGCCACCAGGCGTCTGGATAATGGCATACGAGATCCAGAAACCACCGTACGTCGCCATGACAGTCGCACCGAAGGTGTTACCCACAGCCATCTCCCACATCGAGGACAGAATCATAATCAGACCACCGAGACCGAAACCAACGGCAATGAGCGAAGCCAAGCTTGTAAGGCTCAGCGTACCCATGCAGAGAATAGAGAGAATGAACATGGACGAGCCGAGGGCCATGAGACCCATCGGCGAGGGGTTCGCGAGGCGACGGCGCTGGACACTGCGGAAGAGACCAGGCTGGAGTTCACCAGGGAAAGGACGGTGGAGACTCTCGCCGTTTCCCTCGGTCACCTGGCTTAGTGGGCCGAAGCCAAAGAGCTTCGGGTCCACAATTACTTGGTGCTCTGCACCTAGGTGGTGCAGCAGATGCGTGGTGTGGTGATGGTGTTGGCCGCCACGAGAGCCAAAGACGTTGAAACGGTGCTTCGACTCGGTGTGCGTTTCCGTCACAGGGACAGTGCCCTCACCGGGCGCGGGCGCAGTGCTATCAGCCAAAGTAGGAGCAGGAACAGACATGGGTTGGCAACAATGAACCAGGCCATGGCCGACTTTTTATTATTCCTGGCCAGAATAGTACGGTATGAAGTCACCAGGAGTCGGGTAAGAAGCAGACCAATAGAATGGAATCTAGATCACGGAGACAAATGAATTGTTTCACTAACTAGGGCAATTTGGACAGTTTATTCTCGAACCTAAATAGGGAAGTCCTTCTGACGAAAATTTCGTCAGTTCATGACCAACCCGTACCGAAATCACCGATCGTCGAACAAACGGAGAGGTACGTACGTTCCTTTAGTGACGTCATAATTGGGATTTCATTACCGAAAAAGGTACTGCATGAAACGGGCCCCACAGTCACCCTTTACTGATTCGCCATACGCCTTTCCATGAGACTCGATGGAGCGACAGAAGGGGTACTCGCGCCTATAAGCGAATCTCTTCAGACTATCGAGGCGCGCCAATGGTTTAGGTGGTCCATGGGGGCGCCACCGACGTGGGCAAGATCAGGTGATTTTGTACCTGCCAAGATGGGCCCAAAATTAAAAGCTCCGATCTCCACTTGTCGCTCTCGGCTCAGCTCTTTCCTATGCACAGGCCAACTGTACTGGGCGATATACGCTTACCTCCTTATGAACACGGCAACGTAACAACCACCACATCTATCCATCCAACTGAAAATTATTTCCATTCCCTGGTCCGCTAATGCAAATAGCAAAGTCGAAATATCATTGTTGCCACAGTGCATTCCGTCGTGCTGGGATGTGGCCGTGACCGTAAAGTAGCCCCACTCACTGTAACAGGAACGACACCAGGTGCGGCAGTCGCATTCGACTTTCCTTTGCTGTTGTAGACGACTTGCCTTTCTTGCTAGACATGCCCCAGCCGAGTGTCGTCGATGGCTTGGACTTCTTACTAGACATGCCCCTTGATGGCTTCGCATGTTGACCGGAGAATAGGCCCCAGTCTAGCGTAGTGGACGGCTTGGAGTCTTGTGACGGAGTTAGTGACATTATGAGTGACAGTGGTGGTGGTCCAAGCTGACACCTGCAAGACACTAGCGAGAGAGGCAGCGAGCAACAAAACAAGGCAAACCATGTCAAAAGTACACCGTGCCTCCTACCAATTCAGCGCATTTATATAGAAGGCTTGTTGTTTGGGAACAATGACGAAGATGCCTGATTTGGAGGGACTCTCTCACTCACTCGGTGATATGATTGGCGAGGCGGGCGCATAGTTGGCATACCAACACTTGACTGCCCTCAACTGCATGATGAGTAAACAAAAAAAACCCCTGAAGTGCCGCATTGTGTATCTTCGTAGCCATGCCAAGATTGCATTTCTCTCTTTCACTTTTTCTCTCTCTGGTAGTGTGGCAAGGTTGATCCTGAGAAGAACTGGAAGTATCCCTTTAGAACTACATGGCGGGAAGGCCTCGAACCAATATGATGGAAGGCGCGTAAAGAAGAGCGTGCAATGGTTCACATGGGCAAGTCCAAGACTCGATCCTGTTTGCCTCTCAAAACATCTCTATGGGGCAAGAATATGAGAAGTCTCTCCTATACCGAGAAGATCCAATAGGCCAAGGAGGATATCTGATACGGACGATCATGACCCTTGTTCCATGATGAGTATAGCTTGTGAGAAGGGCGTGTTTTATCATCGAGAGAAGCTCATGGCACGACAGCAAATGACATCAAGGCGTCACAGGCATAAGAATAACTTTTTATTCGTAAGACTGCGCAGCACCCTTTTTCTGCAGGAAGAGAGACAAGTGTCTTGGCACGTTTTTGTCAGAAAATTGTCTGCCAAATCCACCAATGAGAGTGGTGCAAATAGAGAGGGCGAGGTTCGACATGTGCCTCTCAGCGCTCTCTTTTCATACAACTTCACATCGTCGCCATTTCGGATTACTACGGCTTTAGTGACGATGCATTTGATGGATATAAAGGCGGTGATGTTGCTGCTCGAGAGGGAGCTCGCTTTTTACAGCTAGTCACGCTTTCGAAAAGGTATGGCTTCTTTCGCCCACGACACCACGCCTTCACAGCTGGAAAAAGGCGAAATCCCTAGCAATGATGCATCGCATCGTGAGAAGGGAGTTCTACATCATTCTATGTCACGGAGATCCAGCCAGGCAGCGTACTTGAAAGAGTCGCTTCATCCAGAACTATCGCATAACCACCACCACCATTCTCTCACTGGAGAGGGGCCATTTCCAGAGCAGGTGTTTGCGCCACATCTGGTCGACGACGATTTGGAAGTTAGCTCTACCACATCTACCAAAGAGGAAGAGAATGATCCGTTCCTGGTTCATTTCAAGGAAGGCGACAAGGCAAACCCTAAGAACTTTTCGAAACGGCGCAAGTGGGTCATCACTGTGTTTACCTCTGTTCTTTGTTTTGCAGTATCGGTCGGGTCATCCATGCCAACCAGCGATCTCCGTGGAGCGGCAAAGTCGCTGGATGTGGGCAATGTGCCCATCAACCTAAGTATCGCGTTGTTCGTGGCAGGGTTTGGTTTCGGCCCGCTGTTTTTCGCGCCACTGAGTGAAATCTTTGGACGGTGGGTAATCTATGTCATTTCGGGCTTCTTGTATTTCATCTTTACGTTGCCATGTGCACTGGCGCCTAATCTTGCTACACTTCTCGCAAGCCGCATGATTTCAGGGTTAGCGGCAAGTGTCCCTATGACGAACGTAGGTGGATCTTTGAGTGATATTTGGCGACCGGAAGATAAGGGGCTGCCGATGGCTATCTTTTCGTCCATTCTGTTCATTGGACCGGCGGCAGGACCACTGGTCGGAGGTGCCATTGCTAGTGCGACGAATCTGGGAAAAGGGTGGCGGTACATCTACTGGACCTTGTTTGCCTTTATTGGCATTGTATGGGTGGCCTCCCTTTTTACGGAAGAGACACTGGCACCGGTGATTCTAAAGAAGCGGGCAAAGAAACTGAGGAAGGAGACAGGAGATAAAAGATACCAGACTGCCCAGGAAAGGGATCCCATGGCATTAAGCAAGGTGCTTGCGATTTCTCTCCTGCGACCGCTCGAGATGCTAGTGATGGAGCCGATCCTGATCGCGTTTTCCCTGTACCTGTGCCTTGTCTATGCCCTGCTGTACATGATGTTCTTTGCCTACCCTATTATCTTTGAGGAAGGCCACGGCTTCAATGCGTTGCAAGTGGGACTGTGCTTCATCTCTCTGATTATCGGAATTTGTGCGTCGATCGTGTTTGTATGGGTGGTGATTGAGCCGATCACGAAGCGCCGGATTGCGAAAAGGGGGTATGCTGTACCTGAAGACAGGCTGATCCTGATGTTTGTGGGTGCCATTTCGCTTCCAATTTCTCTGTTTATACTGGCATGGACATCCATGCCGAGCGTGCACTGGGCAGGTGCGCTGGTGGCCGGGCTCCCCACAGGAGCGAGTTTTGTAATGCTGTACATTTCGGCGAACTCGTACCTGGTGGACTGCTACCCGAAGGTAGCCGCCAGTGCGCTCGCCGCGAAAACGCTGCTGCGGTCCTTATGTGGAGCGGCCGTGCCCCTGTTTATATACCAAATGATGCATGCCATGCACAACCAGTGGGCGCTTACGCTTCTAGCCCTGGTGTCCGTGTTGATGGCGCCCATCCCATTCTTCTTTTACAAGTATGGGCCCGAGATGCGGAAGAAATCGCGCTTTGCGACAGGTGATGATGAGTAGAGTGAGAGATCTCTATGCAGGAAGGTTTGCTGTGTCTGCGTTCGTCATTTCGCCCAAGTGCTTCTAGTGTTTAAATGTGACATTGCTAGAAAGATTAAAAAGAGAGTGTATTCTGCTGTGCTATCGCTACATAGGGACTGTACGAGCACAGAAGGGATGGGTAGTGGCTCCTCCATATACGCGCTTCATTCGTTGTGCAGGCCCAGTGTGGGCTTTTCATGTGCCAAGAAATGGTGTGTCAGACAGCCAATATGGAAGAAGCAAAGGACCTCCATGGCGACTGCAACACACTCTCCCATCAAGCGAGTAGCTCTCAAAGAGAGTCTGCTGTGCTTTGTGACACAGGTCATACTAACGAACAATTCAGCACTATTATCGAGGTACGAAAAGAGCAAACGTCTACACTGAAACACTGAATACCTGGAACAGGGAAGGGTTGGACTCCACGAGAGATACGGAACCATCCTGGCTTAGCGAGATCGATTTTTTCGGAGTTCATTGAGTGGCCCTTTCCGTCGGTATGGTCCACACGAGCAAATGTAGCGGCATGGTCGCTACCTGAGAAAGAGAGGTCCGAGGTGAGGAACTTGTCCTTGGACTGGTTCAAGATCCAGAACTGGTTGTCCTTAGGCTGAGATCCCGGCCAGTGCAGGACAAAGAGTGCATCCCGCGCAAACTTGTCCGAATGGCCAGTCGACGAAAGAGATGAAGAATTCACAGAGAGTGCATGACTCCACGCCTCAAAGCGAAGATAGCGGCCTTCTGTCAAATGACCGCGGACCTTCTTGTAACCATGTTCGACATAGAGAGCGTCCGACTCATTCTGCTTGCCATAGGGAATCTCAGGCTGGATCTTGTTCCGGTACTTGAGCTGGCAGACATACGCACCGTTGTACTGGTGGCGGATCGGGTCGATGCTTGGGTCAGGAACGGTAGGGATCGAAGGGATGCTGGAGTCACGCGAAGAGAAATCAAAAAGCGTTCACCAAGTTGCTCAGTTGCTGGCGGCGCCATACGTTCATCTCCTTCGACTGGAATGATTTGCCAATGGCCTTGGACCACTCTTCCAGGAAGAGAATCTGACTCTCGTGCGCGGCATGTTCTGTAAAGACACCGCCGTTGCGGGTGAAGGGCAAGACGATGTAGAAAGGCACACGGAAACCAGGGCCGGTAGGCTGAAGACCAAGCGAAGTGTCGAAGGGGTCTTGGATCCATTCACCGGGAGTATCTTTGGGCGCATGTGGCGCCATCACATGGTCGGCCCAGCCACCTGTCTCATCGTACGACACGAACATAGCAGTCTGGTTCCAATTCTTGCCGGTCATAAGAGCATGGGCCACTCTGCGATGGAGCCAGGAGCCATCCTGAGGCGTGTATGGCAAGTGCTCAGAGAGGTCCTGCGGAATGAAGAGGTAAGCCACTTCAGGGAGATTTCCGTTCTTTGCGTCCTCAAAGAACTTGTCGAGGCCAGGAACGACACGGAGGCGTTCGCAAAGGCCGTATGCTTCGCAGCGGCAGCCTGGTACTGCTCCCAAGCAAAGAGGCGGTCTTCGCAGAAGTTATCAAAGTCCTGGTACGTCATAAAGGAGATGTTAGCATTGCGGAGGTTCTCGGGCACAGCCTTCTACTTGAGCGGGCGGCACGAGTAAGGAATACCGTCTTCGCGAAACTGGCAGCCAGGCGTATTTGTGTTGTCTAAGACAGGGCCACCAAGTTCGTCCTGGTTGCCGCCAGCAGCAGCCGTTCGTGTTCAGAAAGCCAGACATGAAGATCGCACGGTTCGGGTGCGTAGACGCAATGGCACCCTCGTAGTAGGCATCGCCCACGACGAACGACTCGGTAAGGGCAAAGTGAATGGGCACATCGTCCCGTCGATAGTAGCCGATACTGTACGGCGTGTTTTCATTGACCCACTGATCTCCTTCGCCATGGTTCCATACGGCATGGTTCGCCTACCAGCTGTTGGTGCCGGCCAGCATGCTCTGTGGATGGTTGTACCAGTCATCGCCCTGCCACGAGAGTTGCCAAGGAAGAAGCTCGGTTTCGTTGTTCTTGAAGTAATGGACGAATGCACGATTCTCCTGCATAAAAAGGACAACATGTTTGATGTCTGAAAGCTCATAAGCAGCCGCTGTAGCTGCAAGAGCGATCACGTACGGTACAAGAGGCAGTAATCGCATGGAGCCGAGTCCATGACGCTAGGATGAGTGCCACCATCATTTAAGGCATCAGAAAGGTGTACTCTACGATCACTTTTCACCCGTGGACAAATGTTGAGGCAGGTGTGGATGCAGGGCACTACTAAATGAGAGAAAATGACATTTCACGTTCAGGAGTCCCTTCGCCCTCCATAGACGCAGACTGGCTGACGGGGTATGTAATGGCATAAACCTTTGTTCAAAAAGGATTAACAAGGAAGAGAGGGGGGCGTGAGTCCCCGCGCTCGATTGCTGTGTTGTCGCGCTACATTGGTAGTCATGGCGCTTGATCTGCTGCGTACGTTGGCGGCAGGGGCACACTTTGACGTGGAAAGGTGTGATGCTGGGCGTCGTGCACCATGTGCAGACACCAGTGCGCCTCGATCGCGCGGATGTGGAGCGTGCACGGAGGGCGCGACGGGATGGTCGGTAGCCACCTCCAAGCGAATTTGACTGCTGTTTTTTGTAGAATCACAAACGCTAGAGGAAGAGACTGGATCATGGCGGACCACTGAGGCGGTGGGTACTCGGTGAGCTGGCTCAGGTACGCGGCACGTTCCGCCTGGGACACACGGTGGGCGAGGCGGGTCGTCGCGTTCGACGCGAGGAAGAGGCCGGCATTGAGCAGGATATGGATCATGAGCTCGGCGTTGGGATCGGCACAGTGGATGCGGTGGGCACAGACCATTGAGTGCGCGCTTGGCTGTGTGAATCAAATGAGATAGCCTGCACTAGCGAGATAATGACAAGCTATAGAGCTAGTCATTATCATTGTGGGAGCGGTGAAGGTGGTTTTCCCAGTGGTCTCTGCGCAAGGATGCGGGGCACGTGTCACGACGCGATCTGAGAATGGACTAAAATAATGAAAACTTGTGTTGGTGTGCGCACGTAGGAATTCTTGGCCAAGAGTATGTGGTTTGTCATACGCGGCTGGCTGCATCGCACTGGCCTATCATAATTTGTTGTCCGTTAAAGGTGGCAGCATGTACCGCAAATGTACCGCAGAGCCGATACAAAAGGTCCACAAAGCTTTCACGGCGGCATGACGGCGCCTGTTGCGCGAGAAAAACAAAAGCCGTTGAATAAATGTGGAGGACCTCAAACGGCCTATCTCTCATTTGGGCCCTTTCTATAGTTTCGTGACGTTCGATAGATTCTCACTTTTGAACAGAAAATATTAAAAATTACCTTGATAACATAGAGAGCAACAGCGTGCATGATACACAACGGGCTTTAACTTCTTAGATCATTCCTTTTCTGACCTGCTCGAGAATTCCTTTTTCGCCTTTCATGAAGTACCCACTTTTTTCTATTTTGTGAATGCTACTCCTCACAAAAGCGTCTATACACCGTTAGAGCTCATGGAGGTGAGGACAGCCATTGATATATGCAGATGTTATCAACGTATGCCACAGTATGAGATAGGGCCACCAGGACTCACGCTCGTTGTCTATGACGAAAATGCGCAAAGAGCAGTAGCTCTGGAAATTGAAAAAAGAATCAGTTAACCGAAAGTTGTCTGGCACTAGTGTTATTGCGCTTACAATTTTCAAAGGATGAGGAACTACCCAATATTTGGGGGTCACCCGAAAAAGTGCTTATGACAATAGCGACTCGTAATGGGGGCTGGGGTCACGAGGAGGAAAGCGAAAAAAAAATGTGATCCGGATGTACCACGCATTGATTGAGGCAAACATGGGTGTGCATCGACATGAGGTTTCTCGTGTTTCACGAGAAAGAAATGGATTGCATTTATATAGTAGACCTAGCACATACAGTGATATAGTCAATACTATATGCTGGGTGCTAAAAAGCAAGGAGAGGCACCCGGAGACTATAAAGCGAAATGGTGAACACTTAGTACGTCTCACATTGTCGTCTCCAAAGGAGATGGTGCCATCCTGCGGAGGAGAAAGAGTCTTGTCGGAGGTATGCTCCACGAGAGAATCTCCCTTGGTATTCCTGTTGCCCATCAGCGAAAGCGCCATCGCATGAACATTGCTAATGAGGGAAAAATCCGACGTGGGATGCTAATCATTTTGACTTATTGGAGAACGAGTATCGGTCACCCTTTGGGTGAGAGCCTTGCCCGAGCAGGACAAGGAACGAATCTTGAGCAGATTTATCAGAGCTGTCGGTCCAAATAAGAACATCGCGTTTAATAGTGGGCATATGGTTCCTGGCCTCAAGGCGAAGGAATCGGCCATTGGTTAGGTTACCATGATCCTTCTTGAGGGAGAGCTCTCCCAAGAGGGTGTCCGTTTTGTTCTATTGACCATAGGGGGATCTCAGGCTGGCTCTTGTTTCTTTACTTAGCTCACAATTATAGTCACCATCGTGGTAATTGCGGACCGGGCCGATGCATGGGTTAGCTCCGGCTGGATGATCAGGAAACGGGTGGACTTTGCATCAGTTTATGCCTGCTTTGCTATAATCTAAGGACTGAATAGCTATCGACGAATTGGACACAGGGCGAGAGAGGAAAAGCAGGGCCAAAACCGAGCTTGCCATTAGGAAATACCAAAGTAGTTTCGATGCAAGGAGCGTATGCATACATTTAGAGGAAAACTACTTAGAGACATTGGGTGTTTGTAGCGTCGAGAGCAAGTATTCAGAGAGAGAGATTGAAGGAGACTTTTAGCAAAGATTCAAACAATAAAGTTTCTTACTACGCGATCTCAATTTTTTTAGGATACGAGAATTTACATAAATTGGAGACGCACATTTAGATGCACATTTATTTTTTCTTAATAACAAGAGGAAAGAGAGAGCCATCTTTGATCTCTCTCCATGTCAGAGAGCGATAGCTCGCATACACATGAGGAAGACCCTAAGAAGAGCGGGTGGACAGACGACGACACAAACTCCCAGGAGCAAGGAGGGAGTTGTCACATCAACGACGAGGAACCATGCCTACACATGCTGCCGTAAGGATTGACGCAGAGTACGACAAGGACGGCACACGGGGACCTAGGCGTTGAGGGTGAGTCGTGAACTGATAGAACACGGAAGCATGGAGAGAGTCAACGAAGGGGGGACAAGGAAGGAAAGGGAAGGCATATTAGACCTCGGGCAGGGAGAGGACAGATAGATATATGAGGTGTATGATCCAATAAGAGGGGCCATACGGAACCTGAGATAGATTGGCAGGTAGCCTATATAGACAACGGGTATAAAAGAAACAGACACACTGATGGGGGTCAGGGACTGCACTCACTCTGTCGACCGAGAAGGATGGGATGACTCGCTGTTGAGCAACAGAAGTGAGAGAGCTCTTTCGAATAGGAGAGATAGGAATAGGCGTCTAGATTGAAGACGGGACAAAGTGCTGGCTGGTAGCAGCCATAGCAGCGCTGTACAAGGAGGTAGAGGAGTGTAGAGCAGGAGCCATTTTAGACTGGATGGGCTATGGAAGCACCAAGCAGACAGTCTGAAAACGTAAAACCTCTAGGGTGGGAGGGCGGATGGGTAAACACCAAGAGGGTCAGGGGAGGGCACCCTGAGAAACAAAGAAAAAAACGACCTTACCACGGGCTGGCCCACACAACACGGGGCCCTCTTCAAGCGACTAGAGCACAGACACACAATGCACATCTGGAGTGAGAAAAAGAAACACTCAGCCACCCCAGCCTACAGGAGCCACCAGCGCTCCCATCTGGATGCTAGACATTGTGTGTACGTGTGTAGAGGCAATTGGAGGAAGAAGGTGAAGTTTGTGTTTAGACGGGAGCGGGTGATATATACAGTCATAAGACTTGCATTCCAGTTGATGACACAGCGAGTGATATTCCATTGAAGCTCATCTCCCAATGTATGATAAAGAAGAGTGATCTCAGATTAGGATCTAGGTTAGGCTTAATTGAGCCTGCCTTGGTCTGTGCGATGACTTCGCAGATTTTATCGACGTTGGCCTGAATCGTTGGGACCTTGTACAATCGGTACCGAATACGGAAACAAACCACAAGAAGAACATTATGACCCACATTCACACTGGCTGTGCTCGCCATAGTCGTAACGCAACCATGCCGGCATGCCCATCAGACCGAGTCAGCTTATCGAAGATGTGGGTGGGCACTCCACTTTCAGAGATTCCTTAAGGGACTGTTCCCCACACACACCTTTCCGTTATCGCTCTTATCATGCCGCTGGTCGCGTCATTGTCATTGCACCACCAGTCCTCTGCCGTTTCTCGGTACCCTTCAACGATGGACTATGACATGTATCTAAGTACTTCTCCAGACTGGGACAAGGCCTCTTTCCACAGCATATTCTTGCTCTGTTCGCGATCCCCACGCCACGAGGCCTCCCCCTAATGCGATGGCCCAGTCGCTCGTCGGAACAAAGTGCTGTGTCGTCCTGAATTACATCGTTTCCTATGTCTGAA